TAAGGGTTGCCCCTTACTAACTACTTATATAACTTTTAGAGCCATCCTTAGACTATTATAATAAGAAGTATTATTATATAAGGTCTAGCTATAGGTAATAGTATTTACTTTATACTAGGATTAATAGTAAAAGGATAACTTAATAGCATTAAGTGAATAGTACTTAACTTCCCTAAAGCTAGTGTACGGCGCGGGTTATGCGCAGCCAACTCGCTTGGCACGATAGGACCTTATCAGGCCTTAGCGCAATATGCCACAACACCAGAACGAACTTCGTGATTTGCTCGTTACATATTTAAGCCATTATACACTTCCATGTGCCTCTAAGTACTCCCGAATCCCATACGAATATTTTGCTTCACCTGAGCCGATACAGTAGTTAACTATTGGCTACGTTAGTAGTAGTCAACTATCGCTCAACTATCAGTCCTGTGGGTGGTAGTCAACTATCACTTGTTGATTATCATTCCTGTGACTTCTAGGCTTGGCCCCGTTGGCGTCCAGCGGCACAGTTGCCGCAGTGGCCTTTGTTTCGGCTTACACCAATCGTAAGCATCATTGCAATACAAAATGAGGTTCCGACCCCGTCCTGGGTCTGGATCCTAACAGATGTTATGTGCCTAACACTGGTCACTCGTTATCGAAGATTGGCACTCATACACACGGCCATCATGCTCCATATAACATCCTGGGGAACGTGCATTTTGTTAGGCCCGTAGACGTCTACGTATGATCAATGTCAAAATCTTATTCCACTACGCCACAGACACTCAATAGATACGGCACGCACATCAACAGGAACACTCACGAGGACATGGAAAAGCGAAGCAGGGCCAAAATAAGAGTGGTCTAACCATAATGTGCACTATGGAGAATGATCAAAACGGGTATTCCCTCATACAAACAAAGTATCTTCTCGGGTTTTCGTAAAGAAGAATTAAGTCAGACCACTTCGTTGTGTAGCTTAAGTCGCAAATGCAGAATAGATTGAAAACGTTCGTTGATATCCGACTCTCAATTCAAGGAGGCAAAGCCCGGGCCTGCAAGCCGAGGAGAACAGAAGGTGAGAAGGATGAATGGTGGCACCGATCTGACAATTCCGCACTTTTGTGTCGCAAACGCCCATTGGCGCGCATGGGTAGTAAATGATGCGTCTGCCGGAACAGGACTTGGCTGCGAGCAACTTGCGTGCAAACTGATAGCCGAAGACGCAGCATGCCTGCCGGCCGCATTGCCAAAGACTGGACGTCGGCTGTTCATAAACCAAAGATGTGCTCCAAAACTCCGCGGTCCTTGAGAGACCAAATGCATCCATTGCTTCAAGCGAAAACGCCGCTCCCATGCCGACGCCTATGACTGGGGATTCTATCAGTTCGTGGTGGTGGACGCGGAAGGGCTCGTAAGGGAGGTACTGGTCGACGGAGGCGGCGTCGTAATTCGTAAAGGTAAAGGGAATGAGTATTGGGTGAACGCTCAGGACGTGCGCAGTCGATACTACGCCGCCAAGGGACAGGCCGTAAACTCCAGAAGAACACACAAGTCTGGCACGCCAGGAATTTGAACTCAAAGAATGACGCATTTGGGACCTTTTTTGTCGCGAGGCCCTGGGCGTCCCCTGCCACGAGCCTTTTCGCCATTGGCGGTGCGAGTAGGGCCGGGTCGGACATGAGTGCGGTCGCGCGGCGGCTTGGAGTCACGGCTTGAGCCCTGGTGTCGCTGCTTGCGTAGCTGACGCACGACGTCGAAGAAGGCTTTTTCAACATTGACGCAATTCTTAGCGGATGCTTCTACAAACTCGCAGCCCAACTCTTTAGCCAGAGCACTGCCCTCTTGTGTGGATACTTCACGTTCTGTCACGCGATCGCACTTGTTTCCCACTAGCATGACAGGCGCAGCGCCGAACGTAGAGCCGAGCGACGAAGAAGTCAGGGGGGAGCCGGGATAGGTCGGGGAGCCTGACAGAGAGGATTCCTTGACGCGTTGAATCTGGTTGTGAAAGCGCTGAATGCGAGCAAATGACGAGCGTGACGATATGCTGTAGACCAGGACGAAACCCTCGCCGTCACGTATCCACTGGTCGCGCAAGGCAATGTACTCTTCCTGGCCGGCCGTGTCGAGCACTTCGAGCATGCACGACTGACCGTCAATCTGGACCTGTTTGCGGTACGAGTCCTCAATGGTTGGGTCGTACGTCTCAACGAAGTGGTTCAGACAGAGCTGTGGCGGAGGGTTAGCGGTGCATCACAACATCGGGCGGCGCCGTGCTCACCTGGATGGTCAGGGCCGTCTTGCCCACGCCGCCGTCGCCTAGGACCACCAGCTTGTAGAGAGTCATCTTCCCCGCCATGGCGCCGGCGTGTCGAGGGACTGGCGTGGCTGGATGCGGGTGCGGGAGGAGGGAGGTCGGGGTGTATCGAGACAGGCAGCGGGCAGCTTGCGCTGGCGCTGGCTGGGAGGGAGGAAGAGAGGGAGGGTCGGGATGGATGCGAGGCGCAGAAGCGGTCGTCGTGGAGCAGAGGTGTCGAGTCGGCGGGGAGCGGCGCACAGGGTGGTACGGCTCGCAGCAGGGGGTTCGCGGGCGACTCGCAGAGGGCCGGTGCAATCGGGGGCAGCAGGCAGACAAGCAAGCACGGGCGGGCAGGAGGTGAGGATGGAGACGGGCAGGACGCAGGGTGACGGGGTGCGAGTGCAGCGCTGCTGGGGCTGGAGTGGGTGGCTTTGGCAGCGGAGGATGGTAATGGCAGCAGCGGCAGCGGCAGCGGCAGCGTCTGGGTCCGTGTGCGCCCACGTGAAGACGGCGGCGACTATGACAGCGTCTCGTTTGCGCGTCGCATCAACGCGGGATCCGGCGTGGGGTGCAGGAGCAGCGTGGGTGAAGGTGCTGAAGGGAGCCTGCGAGGAGAAAAGCAACAAGCAACGGTGGATGCGGACGGCGGCGAGCACATTTGACCTGCCTGGCGCGCTGGCGCTGGTTTGGGCGGGTCGCAGATACACGCTCTCTGGCTCTGGCTAGCCTAGAGCAACAAACACCAACAGGCGCAGGCAGGCCCCGCGACCGCCCAAGCCCAAGCCCATGCCCATGGTCCCAGCCTCTGCTGCGTGTGCGACGGCCCGCGTGGATGCAACGTACACATGTCGCCGTGGACAGCGACAGCGACAGCGCAGACCGAGGGTGCTGCTGTCTGTGTGCCCTCGCCGGTGCCATGTGCGATGCACGCCAGCCCGCCGCGGCCAGACTCGCGGCCCAGCCCAGCGCGCCCTGGCCGGCAGCCTGCTGTGGAGAGACATGCACATGTCGGCGGCGGCCCTCGCGTCTCCATGGCCAGCGCGCCCGTCCCCAAGCAGCGGCGTGCTGCCGGCCGCGTCTGCATCTGGCCGCGAGCTGCTGCATGCGCGACCACATACAGGCGCGCTGTGCGAGGCTGTAGAATCTGGTGGGTTTTCGGCTTCTTCGACCAACGGTGTAACCCGCTGCAGCAGAGATAGCCATGTCCAGTGTCGACGCACCGCGCACCATGGCCGCCAACGCCAACAGCTCCCGCCGCCCCACCCCACAGCGCGGCTGGGCGCTGAACACTGCGCACTGAGCACTCGCCGCGGTTTCGGTACCTCTCCCACTCCCGCACAGCGGGCCCTCGGCTGCGTCGACCTGTCGCCCCGGGATCCATGGCCAGCAACGGCGCCTCGCCAGACAGACACGCACACAAGCACAGCGTGCGACAGCCACTCTCGCCTCCGCTGGCTGTTCGCTGTGTTTCACTTGCGGTGCGGCCTGGCGAGCGGTGGCGTCTTCGGTGCTCGGCTGGTCTGCGCGAATAGCCGCGATCCGGCCACGGCCCAGCGACGTGCCGCCTGACGGGCTGCCAGCATGCGAGGCTGCTCTTCAGCTGTCGCTTCCACGTTTCCAGCGCTCGCAGAAACACGGGTACATGGCTGCGCACCATGACCCGCATCAACAACGCGCCACGTGACGGTGACGCTGCCCAGCTGCTCTGCAGCTGCCAGTGGGAACTCGAGTGACCCGACAGTTGAACCTGCGTCCATGCGCAAACTGCCGTCTCCATGCCCGCTCGCGTGCAACCCCTCAACTCGCCGTGTCCACGGGTAGCGGGCCGTTGCCATCTGACAAAGACGGGAGTGATCCATCGATTCAACCGCTCTGCTCGCCCTGCTGTGCCGTCGCAAGCACGCCGTCTCGCCGACGGCAGGTGCTTCGCTCCTTGTCAATCTGACATGCAGGACGACCCAAGTCCGGGCTGCACCGATGCCTCTCTGCAAATACGGTTGTGAAGGAATTGAAAACTCAAACAGGTTCACCTTAGCGCCTACACTGCACCCTTGCCAGTCTGTACCGCTTCATCGCCTCTTCCCCCCCCTTTTTTTCCCTGCCCCTCCCCCGCTGTCAGCATCGCCTGTTACCTTTGACCATCGCACCAAGGACACGCGTAGCAAGCTGGGCGCGAGCACCCAAGTGAATGCTCTACAGCTTCGCCCTCGCCTCTGCGGGCTTGTGCAAGTCCTTCCCTTTCAGCCTAAAGTACTCCCTCACCTTCAATCGAGCAACCTCTACAGCATCCTTGTCCTCGATCGTAGATGGGACAGCAACCTCCTTGTCCAATTGATTATGAGTTGCGTTTTCAATCAGCTCCCGTAGCACACGACGGAGAGTCTTGCCGCTACGCGTCTTTGGTATCATGGCTCTGCCCTGGATCATGCCACCTAGGCTTGCGATGGCACCGATTTGATCGCGGACCAGTTTCTGCACTTCCTTGGAGAGTTCTTCATCTGGCACTGCTGCATCTGGGTGCTGATGCGTGGAGAGAGTGATGAAGGCAAATGGGAGGTGACCCTTTAGCTGATCTGGGATGCCCACCACCGCAGCTTCAGCGATGTTTGGATGAGACGTGATGGCCTGTTCTATCGCACCTACAGCGTCGTCAGCTTCTCGAGGTGGTTTTCAGAAGAATAAGACTAACTGACCAGTGCTGAATCGATGGGCTGCCACGTTCAATATATCGTCTGATCTCGACATGATGGAGACTAGATGCGAGCAACAAGTCAGTTCGACATAGGAATGGAGATCCGTGTACATCGCGCGCAGTGTAACTTACTGTATCCATCGTTGTCGATCATGCCAGCGTCGCCTGTATCGACCCACCTCCCATTAAATCTCTTCAAGTAGCTCTTGTAAAATCTGTCCTCGTCGCCCCACAAAGTAGTGAAAGCTGTAGGAGCAAGTGGTATCGACATGACGATGTTGCCCATCTGACCACGCTCAACCGGATGGCCTTCGTCATCCACAACTTGTACGTCGAAGCCCGGCATAGCTTTGCCTGCCGAGCCTGGTTTAATAGGCAACGGCCTTTCGCGTTGCTGTGTCGCAAAGTCCTCCCCTGCAGTCGCACTGAGTGCTACACCAGAAATGGGGGACCCAGATTCAGACGACCACCAATTGTCCACAACCACAGCACCTTCGGCGCAGTGATTCTTGAGGAGCTTCTGGTACATTTCTACAATGCTCGGTTCGCTTCTCTCGCCAGCTAGAAACAAGGCTCGCAGCGACTTGAGACCCCCCCGCTCGCCGTACGCCTGTTCGAAGAAAGTGTTCTCTCCATCCTCACGACGTATAGCCCGCAGTGCGGTTGGCGCGGTAAACATAGTAGTGACTTTGTACTCTTCAATGATCCGCCAGAAGGTGCTGGCATCTGGAGTACCGACGGGTTTACCTTCGAAGAGCACCGTGGTAGCGCCTATTAGCAGGGGTGCATACACGATATAGGAATGTCCTACGACCCAGCCAATATCGCTGGCGGTGAACATGACGTCGCCGGGACCATGTACGCCTGCGTTGTTATTTCTTCAAGTCCGTCTGGCTATCATGGGTCCTTTGCTTACCAAATAGATATTTTATAGAGAAGTTAAGCCCAACGGCATGCCCGCCAGCCGTTCGCACAACACCTTTCGGTAAGCCAGTCGTACCTTGGAGATGTCAGTACTCGCTCAGATAGTGTGTGACAGCAGCCCAGTCTCTGGTTAGTGGTCACTGGGGTTATACAGTCCAGTGACCTCACGTGCTCTGGATAACGGAGTTCTTACCAGAGGTGTAGATGATGTACAACCCGTCCTCGCTCTTCACAGGCACAGCATCCGCCTTGAGTCCCCTGTTCCTTGCACTCTTCACTAGTCTCTGCCAATTGCGTTGACCGTTCTCTTTAAAGACTGGGTCCCAGCGCAATTCGTCTCTTTGCCATATAATTGTCTTGTATGGCTTGAAGGTCGATCTCTCCATGGCTTCCTCGATTATCTTTTTGTACCCCGAGGGGCCTTTAGAGCCTTCGATTCCACATGACGCCGTCATGATCGCTTTGGGGCGAGATGCATCGATGCGTTGTGCTAGGGCAGCAGGGGCAAAGCCGCCGAAAACGACTGCGTGAATCGCACCGAGTCGAGCAATGGCGAGCATTGCAAAAAGCGCAGCTGGTATCATGGGCATGTATATCAGTACGACGTCACCTTGCTTCACGCCTTCCTCCCTCAGCACACCGGCCAGCGTCTCCACTTCTTGGAGGAGCTGGTAGTATGTGAACTGCTCTTTCGCTCCCGTCACAGGACTATCCCAGTAGATAGCGATGTTGCTTCCTTTTCCATGCCTGACATGACGATCGACGCAATTGAACGTTGTGGATATCTCTCCGCCTGGGAACCAGGTCCAGTCATCATGTGAGACACCGCCCTTGAGTGTTTTCTTGCTCTTTTTAATAACCGTCTCTGGTTCTTTATGCCAGTGGACATTCTTTGCTTGCGTGCCCCAGAAATCATCGGGTTTGGCATTTGCCCGCCTGTAAACGAGGTCTTGAGTGTGCTCCGACACCATTTTGTTGCTGTTTCTGACTGCAAGTGATCGTCTTGGTCCTAAACCCAAATAGCGCAATGCTGCTGTGCTTCTGCAGACAATCCGGGGTGGATTGGGGTTAGATCGGGGATTTTGGGATAGCTCTACCGCGTGGAATAGGAATAGTTGCGACCCTTCGGAGGTAAGGTGTTGAGGTAACTATGGTTAACCGGCGAGCGGCGGTGGCCTGGTTCAGTTGCTTGCAACTACCGTTGCTTGCAACTGCCGTCAGTCCTTGTATTACACTTTCTCAACTTTGATTGTTGACGTAAGTAAACTCTACCAAGCCCTCCGTTGCAGTATGGGATAGATATACTGTCGAGGTCGGGTCGGCGCAATCTAGGCATACGTAGCCGAGGAAGCGGTTCGGGCCTGGGGACGCTAAGATTCCCCCGCTTCACGCTAGACTTCCCCGGACGAGTATCATTGATGTCCTTCTCCTTCAGGGCCGTTGGGGTGGGTACCCTGTAGCGGTGCAGGCGGGTGTGTACCTACGACTTACAATGTAGCGATTCAAGTACGTTGCAGTGGTCACTCTAATATTTCCTTGCTACGGGCTTTGGCGTGAATTGCACATCGTATTATAGGTATGGTACCTACATCTTACAACGAATGAGTGTACTCTCAAAATCAAGCGCTTGTGGTACTCGCGAGATCAGCTTCATTTTGACCCGGTATATGTCGATAAACGGTTCGTGGTGCGTGTATCCATCATGAAAACTTGATCACTGTCCTATCTTTGGCAGCATGCGCAAATCGCTGTTTCTCGCTATTCTTTATATTTGAATATGTTCTCCGTGTGCGATTATATGGGTTGTCGTAATTTCGTGTGGTTTGACCATTGTTGTTGCGAGTGGTTATTTTTTAGAGATTATGATGTTGTTGTTTGAATCGTAAAAACAGGAAAAATCAAATGGTGAGACAAAAGGAAAACCCCGCCGCGAGGACACACCGAAAATGGTTAAAATATTGACTATAATCAGTCGCGATATCTCAGTCGCGGTATGAAAAGTATACCAGGACAACATAGGTCAATGCAGGCTGAGTTACAATGCCAGTGATCACAATGATGAGCACCGCAAGAAAGAAAAATAAAAAACAAAAACAAATTGCGTAGAGTCATATGGACTAGTATTTGACGTGTAAGTGCCGATAGGCTCCCCGAGAACCATTAAACTAGGCAGAAGAACTCAACTTCCTCGCATATCCTGCAGGAGGTTCGACACCCAGCTTCTCTGCCACCGTCACGAAACCTCTGTTGCCCTCAGCAAGGCTAACCCAGATGTCAACCCATCCTGCATCCCTCGCCTTATCAACTTCATCATCCGACCAGTCCTCCTCGCCTGGCCGTTCAACATAGACCACCTGCATACCATGGGATTTCGCGGCTTGCAGATCATTCAAGTGCGCTGCAACCATAACGCATTCCTTAATAGGAAGACCAAGTTTCCCAGCAGCGCCCCTGTACACGGCGGGAGATGGCTTGTAGGTCCCGAAAAGCTCAGCGCTGAGCAGGTGTGTGAAGGGGATCTTCGAGTGCACTTTGAGGTCCGACAGCAGCGACACATTTCCGTTAGAGAGTGTAGCGGTCCCTGTCCAGGTCAGTTACGGCGAATGGTATTAGCGTCGATGGTCGGGGGAAATGCACAACGTACAGAATAACCGGTTGAGCAGCGTGATACCTTGTGCCGAGTCTGACCATGGATCGAGCCGATGCCACACGAGGCTCAGAGCGCGTACCTCTTCATCACTCCACAAGCCGTCCAGTTCCCATTGTGTCAGAAGTTCTTTTAGCGACTCAAAATGATGCTCATCGACCGACTTCCACGGCACAGCTGGGTCCGCTGCCAGTTTGCGCGTAAATGTCTTGTAGCTGTTCCGCCACTGTTGTGCAAAATCGCCCCAATGCGCAAGCGTCATGTCAGAAGCCTTCAGTCGTACCCTCGAAGCGAGCGATGCCGTTGCAGAATTCAGCGCTGCATGTGACTGCGCATTCAAAGCCTGAGTCACAGTGGACCGCCAGTCGACGCACGTGCCAAATACATCGAAGAAGAGAGCTCGCGGCGGAGTAGTTAGAGCCATGGTGACCCCCGAGATAACGCGCGGGAGAGATGGGAGTGGTGTTGGCGCGCCCAGCGGTATTGCGTGAGAGGACATGAGAGGCCGACGTCATTGGATGTCGCATAAGCACGCAGAAGCGATCGACGAACATTGAGCAGGCAAATAATACCTTCAATGCATGTTGACGGATGGTCACGAACGGGCAGACTGCAAGAGGTCAACTCGGCTGTATCTGACATGTGCAGGAACTCCCCAGAGGGATGCTGCTTTGACATTGAAGGCGCGTTGAACTGTAAGACGTGCTTGCCGAAAGCAGGCGCGACATGGCGCTACCTGGACCGGCCTCCAACAAAGACATGCAACGCAAGCACCCTGCAAGGGAAAAGACCGGTTACACTGGTGAAGTGTAACGCTACGTGCTGCTATTACCCGTGAACCAGCTTTGCAGTAGGCGTACCGGCCGGGACAGACAACTCGTCGTGATGCGTGCGTGCAATTCCGATGGAAGAGAGGCACGGATACGAGAATCAGACAGAGATAGCATAGACATATGCATGAGTCATACCGAACATGTAGTATCGATAGAATCGTGTCCCGTGAATAACACATAGCACCCAAAGATGTTTTGATCGTGACCGCCTAGCCTGAAGTCTCAACGCTTGAAGTCCAAAGCACGCTAGAGCAGATACGGAAGCCCTCGCTACATCCCCACCTGATGCCACACGCATTCTCCAGAACAGCATCGCCCCAACACATTAACGCGTATCAACACGCTATAGACAGAGCATTGACCAGCGCGCTCGACAACATGTACGCGAAGCGCAAGGCGTTACATCAAGGATCACAGTGAAACGCACGCAACAGAAGGCTTTGTGAAGAATTATGGTATCATTCCATATCGAACTCAAGTGATAAGCCGATCAACCGTTGAACTCCGAAGCCTATGTTACAGGCAGACCATGAACCCCAGCCCATCCCACGAAGCACCAGTGCCGTATCAGGCGCGTGCCAAAGTCGTGACAAGAAAATGCAGGAAAGAAAGCGCTTAACCACCGAAACCGTAGAGGGTACCTAAGAATCATGTCAGTGATGCACGACACAGACGCGCTAGGTGCAGACTTACGGCCTTGTCGCTTGAGCGCGTAGACAACATCGAGAGAGGTGACAGTCTTTCGCTTGGCGTGCTCAGTGTAGGTGACAGCGTCACGGATGACCGACTCGAGGAAGGTCTTGAGGACACCACGGGTCTCCTCGTAGATCATGGCGGAGATACGCTTGACACCACCACGGCGAGCAAGACGGCGGATAGCAGGCTTGGTGATACCCTGGATGTTGTCGCGAAGAATCTTCCTGTGGCGCTTGGCTCCGCCCTTTCCGAGACCCTTGCCACCTTTGCCGCCTGGAGAGCGCGTCAGTATGTGTTGCTGTGCGAGAATAGTCGAGCGACGACGCGTTGAGAGAGCTAGTCGACGCGTTGCGCGCCGCAGTGAGAGAAGGGGCAAGACTTACGACCAGTCATTGTGATGGAGTGTTGGGGGGTTTGTGGGAAGTGGGAGAGAGTGTATGTGAAGAGTCGCTGAGAGAGATGCTTGCTGTGAGATGATGGTGTTGGAGGTGGCGGGCGCGCTGTGTATTTAGATGAGGCGAGGGCGCGCGCCAGATCACACGGGGCCCGTGCGGCGCCGCTGCTGGATCAGATCAACTTTGGTTTTCCGCCAAGGCTGTCGCAGCGCGCCCGCTTAATTCTGAGAGCGACAAACGCTGGCTTTCCAGCTGCGCAATTGTCCTTCGCTAGCGCCAACGCGCAACTGCTGTTGATCCAGGCAGCCGCGCCCCCGCCCTCCGCCCATATAAGTGCCGCCCGCCCCCTCGCCTTTCTTTCTCATCACATCCACTCCACCAACACTCCACAGCTCAACACCACAACACCGAGTATCATCAAGTCCATCATCAACAATGGCCCGTACCAAGCAGACAGCCCGTAAGTCACTACCTACCTACCTACCATGTGTCTGCCTGCGCATCGCACTGTAGCCGTCGCATCGGCGCTGCAGCCGCCCTCCCGCCCGGTGCAGGTGTCGCAGTCGCTCGGCTCGCCACCTTCACGTCAGCCCGCCTCACCACCATGACGTGTCGCTCCGCAACATCACTAACAATACCCCACAGGCAAGTCCACTGGTGGCAAGGCCCCTCGTAAGCAGCTTGCTTCCAAGGCCGCTCGCAAGTCCGCCCCGTCTACCGGTGGTGTCAAGAAGCCTCACCGCTACAAGCCCGGAAGTAGGTCTTCACTCATACCTTCTCTTGTGATCGTATGCTTACATCCTCTAGCCGTCGCTCTCCGTGAGATCCGTCGCTACCAGAAGTCCACTGAGCTTCTCATCCGCAAGCTGCCCTTCCAGCGTCTTGTTCGTGAGATCGCTCAGGACTTCAAGTCGGACCTCCGCTTCCAGTCTTCCGCCATCGGCGCTCTCCAGGAGTCCGTCGAGGCCTACCTCGTCTCCCTCTTCGAGGACACCAACCTTTGCGCCATCCACGCCAAGCGCGTCACCATCCAGTCCAAGGATATCCAGCTTGCGCGCCGCCTTCGTGGCGAGCGTGGCTAGATGCCTGCTCTTCTCCCCGGCTGATTCGGCACCCTCACTCAGTGTGATGTGAGCACCGGCTTAGTCTTTTGGCGTTTGGGTTTCATGGTCTCGGCTTTTCAATTATCATGGGTTATGGGCGGTGCACTGGGAAGTGGTGCGATGTAGTATACCATTAATCAGTGACGCACACTGAGAACACGATCACGAATTCATCGGTTCATCTTCAAACCTTCCTTAATGCTCATGTGCCTTCTATTCCAAGCTTTCAATCGTCTGCATAGACATTCTCATTATGCATTCGTTACCTCTATTTCCGCTCGGCATCGCAGTCGACCGTACCTAGTGATTCGAGGCAATCGGGCAACCGTGCGCGTATGATCCTTGGTGTTGAGCCTTTGGCGGACACATCTCAGTCTATTTGGGCCGATGCAGCCAGTGATGCATCGTCGAGGTGTAGCCCCGCTTATGACGCATTACAACCCTTTGAGCCACATACCAAAGACATCCCGACTATATCGCACAAAGAATCGACGTGATGCTAACCCATTAGTCCTACGCCTACGAATCTCCCCTACCACCATGTCCTGGCAAACAGAACTACAATCATGGATGTCTCCGACCAGCCTGCAGACGGCTAATGCCCCCGACGTCGGCGAGAACGCACCCTCTTCTTCTAGACTAACTTTGCCTGCGGAAGATGGCAAGCCAGTTGTAGTTACATTCTTGCGGCACTGCGGGTGTCCATGTAAACTCTCCACTTCCCATAGCTCTGCTAAGATCGTAGCTGACTGCGTGCAGTCGCCGAGAAAACGTTTTTGAATATGCGTAGCGCTGCATCACAACACAAAGATACCATACACTTCGTCGCCGTGTCTCACAGTGATCGTGCGTCCACAGACCACTGGCTAGCATCACTTCCCCAGTCTTCAGAGGACGGTGATGTGGCTGTCATCGTGGACGACGAACGAGATGTTTACGCTCAATGGGGGCTCGGTGTGTCTTCGTTTTGGCACGTGTTGAATCCTTGGAGCCTACTTTCGGTCTACAGGCTGGGCAGGCAAGGGATATACAATAGGCCTACTGAGAGCGGCACACGATGGCAAACCTCGGGAAGCTTTGCTGTCGATGGAAACGGAAAGGTGACATGGAGCAAGCCAAGTGCAAGTGCTGACGAGCTGCCCGACTTCGAAGATGCGCTGAAATCGCTGACGATGTAGCGAGCCCCTGCTTTTGTGTGTGTGTGTGTGGTCTACAGACCCCTGAGAAATGATTTTGGTTGTTCTTGAAGCTTTGTGCGTTATTTCTTCACACATAGCGGCATGCACACGTCTAGAGAACAGGTTAGAAATTCAGATTGAATGGAAAAGCGCTACACCCTCACGCAGGCCAAGCATTAAACACAGGCATTGATGGAAGTTGAGGGCCCGTGTGCTTTCCACGTTATCCTGGGCCCAGAATTTGCTCCTTGCACACGCTGATATAAGTCGCCCGATTGGTACGTTTTAAGATGACCTCACCACAACACGCGATCCCGTGCCATCTCAAAGCGCGCAATACACCAACGCGCCCACCCGCGGGAGATGCCTTCCAGCGGCCCAGAAATGACACTATGGATAACCACGTTGCGGCTGCAATAGCGCAGGCAGCAAACAGCGACTATGGCTCTGACGTCTCCCTCGCAGCCCTAAGCGACTACGGCTCGGACATCGACTTGAGTGACATACAGGAAGATACAGCCTTGGGCAGCCTCCTCGTCAAACTCACCGCCTCCGCACCAGACGAAATCGCATATCCTACAATTGAGGGCGACGCTCAGGATGTTGTCGTGGCCACGCACACGCGGCACCAGTCACTGGTGCACCGGGAAGAGCGCGCCGTCCAGAGTTCACCTGTCGTGGCAAGTGGCTTGTCGATGGAATTCGAGTACGATGCCCCTTCGCGGCGGACGTTCAGCGGTACGAGCCAATCCCCCATATCCCTCATCGCGCCGCGATTGCCATCTGACCAGCTGACAGCGCCTAGTTCCTAGAGTGTCGCCACGCTCACAGATGCAACCCACCCCTGAGCTCAGCCTGTCTGCCGATCAATCGCGAACACCTCTCGAGCGTTTTCGTACGAAGCCTAAGAAGCCGTTATCTGTGACGGATCTCGTCTCGCCGGCATGGTGCGAACTGCAGTACTCATACACCCTCTCCAAGTTCGGACGGAAGCCGCGCACCGAGGCCATGAGAACGGGCTCGAAGATACACCAAGATCTGGAAGATGAAGTCCACATCACCGTACCAGTCGAGACTGTGAGCAAGGAGGATCGATTCGGTCTGAAGATCTGGAACGCAATCCAGGGACTACGTTGTCTGCGAGAAACAGGGCTCACAAGGGAGCTTGAGATCTGGGGTGTAGTTGAGGGTCAGGTGGTCAACGGTGTGATCGATGAGCTCAGCTTTACTCGTCCAGATCCTGACACAGAGAGAAATCTGGTCGAGCTGTCTAATGCGAAGCAGAGCAGTGGCACACTTCCTCAGGGTCAACCTAGCATTGAACAAGCCTTCAGCAACGCTGGTGGCGGCAAGCTGGATCCACCAGGCGTCTCCATGAGTGCTTGGCGAGGTGCTAAGGGGAAGGACAGACAGGTATACATCGCCGATGTGAAGACACGTGGTGCACGATCATTGCCTAAAGGTGCTTCACTGCGTCCCACTTGGATGCAGTTGATGCTGTACCGTAAGCTTCTCGAATCGCTCTCACTGAACACGGTCGACGCAGAAACCATATTTTCCCGGTACGGTCTCGCACCACTGGAGTCCTTCTCGGAGGCTTTCACACTTAGCGGCGGTGTCCTTGACAGCACTGGCCCAGACATCGATCCAGAGAATCCCTACAGCGTCCTCCAAGCTAATGCACTACAATCACACCCGAATCTTTCGTCCTTGTGGTCACTTATGATAAGCGAGTATCAATACATCATGCCCGCCATCAGCGACATCTTGCGTGCAGAATTTCGATCCGCGACGACAGGAGAGGTTATCGGTAATGAGCTCATTAAATACAGTGCAGACACTATTGATGCGTATGTCAAGAGCGAGATGGATTGGTGGAAAGGCGATAGAGAAGCTAAAGGGGTCGAGATCGAGGAAGCCTTCAAATGTCGAACGTGCGATTTTGCAGAGGAATGCACGTGGCGTAAGACCAAGATCGAAGAGGCGACAGAAAAGAGCAGGCTAAGGAAGGGAGCGAGGATGAAGAGCGCCGGGTGAGAAATTTTCTGTGATATGATGTCGGTTTTGTTACTGTAGCACTTAAGATATACCCTTGAGCAGTCTGGCCTAAGTCGCCGGAAATTCACGCACGCGCGGTCTAAAAATATTGCCCACAAGCCCATGTCCCGGATATGGAACATTGCCTATACGTGGGTTATTTAATGTTACCGGTGCGACTGTGTTTACGGAGCAACCACGCCCGCCGCTCTGAGTGCTCAACAGACCTGCTACTGCCCACTAGGGGTTTCGTATGGTCCATAGCCCGGCTTGGGGAAATTTGGCGTCCCATCATCATTCCACGTAAACTTTTGTGCCCTAATCGTCCTTGCAGACCAGCCGTTGGTGGGGTCCTGCATGCCGTGATACACGATCCAGTCCTCCGTGCCATCCGGACTCAGGACGAAGCTCGCGTGGCCCACTCCAAATGCACTTTCGGCGGGGTTCTGGTAGAACACGGGATACTGGTGTTTGTGCCAGTCAGACGGATTCATGGGATCGCCACCTAGAGTGAGTTCCAGGAGCCCGAGACAATAGTTGCGATTGTCGGAACGAGCGGCGCTGTAAATCAAAAACTGCTGACCAGTGCGCAAGTTGGTGAGCTGCTGCGGTCCCTCATTACTGCTCAATCGATCATTCTCAGCTCGACCGTACGGCGTCTTCTCCCATGGCAAACTGGGTACAGAGATGATCTGGCGCTCGGAGAAGGGACTCGCCACGGTCCACGGATTCTCCAGTTTTGTAATGCAGAGGTTTGCAGGCCAGGCGGCGTACTGGGTTGTCCAGCAGCTGTATATATGGTACAGACCACTCGTGTGCTGAAAGTAGGTCCCGTCAATGGCAAATTGGTCATAGGTGTCAAGCTGGGTCTTATAGGCGAAGTTGGCGCTCCACGGATCGGAGCCGTGGCCTTCGAGTACGTACATGCGGTGGTGGACGGCTGGACAATTGTACGGACAATACATGTCTACTTCAGGAGAAGGAGAATCGCTGCGAGGGTCTGCCGTGAAGATGACATACCAGGTTCCGTTGAGTTGATGGAGTTCTGGTGCCCATAGGTCGGTAGAGTAGTTCTTGCCAGGCGGCGGGGTGAAGAGGACCTTTGACTCGACGTTGTTCCAGTCAGTGAGGACCTGACTTCGAAGCAGCGTGACATCGTCATTGGTCGTGTAGGTCATGTAATACCAACCATCGTGGCGGAACACCCATCTGTGCGGCTCAGAGAAGGAATTCGTCCGGAAGTATGTTCGAGACTTACGGGTCAGCCCCTCCTTTGGAAAGAATCGGGTTGGTGTAAGTGGTAGCGTTTGAGTAAGATTGACCCCATGCAACAATAGCAAAAGTTGCATTTAGCAGCAACTGCGGTAGTTTTAGCATCACGGCTGCGGCGAAACGAAAGGGCAGTAGGACTCTGATGGGAGGGGCCAGGCACAAGAAGGGGACTGACGCGGGGCAGATGCACGCTCTACTGCATGTTTACATGCTGGAGGCGGATGCACTAGTGACGTTGGGCACGGCTTCGGCCTACTTTTACAGGCGCAGGTACACGCATGCATGCGGCATGCGGCATGGGAGCGAGGCACTGGCGAGGGGCAGCTAAGCACCCCGCCCGCCCGCAGTGTAAACAAAGCTACTGCAGCGGGGCCCAGCAAGCCAGCCGTCCCTTGGCGGCAACTTTGGGTCGCCCACCCAGTGCTCACCGCTCCACACACCACGGCCATGAACAACCAGCAGTTCCGCCGACTGCTCGTCGACTCGCCCGAACAGCGCGGTGGCAATGGCGACAGGAGCAGCAAGAGTCCGCCTGTACCCTCGCGCGGCGCCGTGCTGGGCGCGCGCAAAAGCGCCAGCATCCCCATGACCCCGTACGTACTGTCCCGGCGTGCACAGCCTGCACTTTGTCTGACTGATAGCTATCCAGGCGCCAGGTAGGCCGTGGCTCGATCCAGGCCGACTTTGCTCGCCAGCTCGCCGAGCGCAATGCAAGGGCAAACCCTCCAAAGAAGAAGTTTAGGTCCGCCGCGCCAAAGGGGAGCAAGCTTGCCGCAGGCTACACTGACCGCACCAAAGAGCGCATCGCCGACGAAGATGACGAGGCGGCGCAGCGCATCAAGAATCTCGAGGAGGCGATGAAGCTTGGGCAGATCGACAGGGACATGTTTGAGAAGCTGGTGCAAGATATCACAGGCGGCGACATTGCGGCTACACATCTGGTCAAGGGCCTGGACAGGAAACTGCTTGAGCGCGTGAGAAAGGGTGAGGATGTGTTTGAACAGCCGGCGCCAGAAGAGGAGGTTCCTGAGCAGGCAGCTGACGTGGAAGACGAGTTCGACGAATTGGCCGAGCGCGATATCGGTTCTATTGTGAGGGAGAAGGGCGAGAAGAAGGGTGAGGTGGCGCCACCGAAGCCGGTAGCTGGTGTCAAGCGGACTAGGGCTGATATCCTGGCTGAACTGAGGCGGCAAAGGGAAGTGGCGGCCGCAGCAGCAGCAACCGAGTATGAGAAGAGATACCCAAGCCTTGGGAAAGGCTTTCGCAAGGTAAGCGAGCCAGGAGAAACATCGAGGATCGAGATCGATAAACAAGGGCGAGAGATCCTCATCATCACCGATGCCCAAGGAAAGGAGAAGCGTAAGGTTCGGAAACAGAAGGCGCAAGAACCGCTGCCCGAAGTACGCCACGATCTAGACGACGAAAACAAGCCCATCAACACACACCATTTACCGCCTGCGAAGGAAGAACAGGAAGGCTCGGAAGAAGACGACATCTTTGAAGGTGTCGGTTCCAACTACAACCCGCTAGCAGCCTTGGACAGCGAAGTCGACTCGTCAGAGGAAGAAGGAGAAGCACAAGACACTGCAGCGTTGTTCGAGAACGAAAAAACGATACCTAAAGAGCAAGATGCCAACGACGATGACCCCGATCGGCATTCTACCAAGCCCTCTGTCTCAGCCTGCGACCCTGCCCCGAAGCGCAACTACTTTGCCTCGAGCAAAATCCTTACATCGAGCGAATCTATTCAACCTTCAGAATCCTCCACAGCAGACGCCACCGTTCGGGCCGCGCTACAAAAAGTGCGCACCCTCGACCCCAACTCGAGTCTTATCAACGACGCAGATTCCGAGGAGTTTCGGCTCAAAGCGCGACTTGCCAAGCTTTCCGCGTCTGACCGCGACATGGAGGACATGGATATGGGTTTTGGTGCGTCACGATTTGATGATGCTGAGGACATGGAGCGAGAAGGTGAGAAGGTCAAGTTTTCCGAGTGGAAAGGCATCGGAGGCGCAGAGGACGAGGATGGTGAAGATGGGCCTAGGAGCGGCAAGAAGCGGAAGAGGGGACCGAAGAAGAAGAAGGGGGACAAAAACAGTGCAACCGATGTGCTCATGGCAATGGAGAAACAAAAGGAAAAGAAGACGTTGGGATGAGGCACTGTGGAGGCACGTTTTGAAGCGAATCTCGAGCCAAGACCATAGCCAACATTATGCATGTCATGTCGTAGAGTGTATCTGTTTCGTAACTTGAGATGTTCGACTGACTGTCGTATTGATCTCATTGCTCCCTCGCAAATCAAGTATGCAGAGGCTGCTCATCTTACAACTACAGCCAGGTTTTCCTGCCCTCTGTAGTACATGTCCAGGGGGGATCTACGGCGCATGTGCTCCTCTCTTCCTCACCCTATACCAGATCTGCCGTAACGTTTGAGAATTCGCCCTTGTTAAGTTTGGTCTCCCAGAAGATGGGGTTGGTGTCATTGAAACCGTGCTTCACCCAGCCGTCCTCCTTGACGTGGTAGAGGTTGATGAAGCCTCCGGAGTAGGCGTCGCGGTGGGTGGCGGCAAGGATACTCCGCCTGCCCAGCTCGAGAGCGTCTTCGTCCGAGAGATCGTACTTGTAGTTGGCGTCGAGAACACCGTAGGCAAACGTCTGACCGGAGCCGACGCAGAAGAGGTTGCCTGCGAGTCGGGTACCATCGCTGTCGATGTAGTAGAGAGCTGGGCCTTCTTGAGGTGTCACACCTGCGCACATGGTGCCCTACATGATCATCAGCATGTCGGCCGGTAAAGCGAAGAGGAGGGTGGTACCATTGACAGGCCCATGCCCTTGTATGAGTATACGAGGTTGGCGAGAATCTTGGAGGCTGCGGCTACAGAAATGCGGCGCTTGTGTCGGAGCTCGTGGAGGCGGCACTGCATGCCCAAATATGCCAGCCAGTATTGACAGTCCTGCAGCGCGTCAGCGGTCCCTTTTCGCCATCACGAAGCGGGGCGGCTTACAGCAGCGCCACCGGCCATGGTGCCCAGCAGGCAGTTGTTGATCTCGATGACCTTCTTGACCGTCTGCGAGGCAATCCAGTTGCCCGCCGTGGCCCTGGAGTCTGTCGCTACGATGATGCCGCCCTTGAAGCGGAAGGCAAGCGTCGTGGTGCCGTGTGCGATCTTGATGGGACAGCTGGGGTTTGAGTAGTCGTCCGTCATTGCGCGCAACCAGGCGGCAGACTGGCACTCTGATTAGCATGCTGCACACCGCCGCTCTGCAGAGAGAGCGCCCCAGAGCGGACGTACCTGCGCCACCGGCGGCAGCGCGAACTTGAGCGACAGCTCCGGCGCGGCCTGACAGAGCTCCTGCTGCTCCTCATGCGTCGGGCCCTCCTCGGTGAAGGCCGGCCGCGTGTATTGTGCAACTAATGAGTCCATGGCGACGTCTGGAAAATGTGGGCGGCCGAGGGTGCAAGCGTGTGAGGGCGGAGAGGGCGGGGTGTGGGCGCGCTTTACGGTGGTTGATGCCGTGACGCTGGAGCTCCGGGCAAGCTGCTGGATGGCCGGTCTTGGCACCTATTCGCGTCGCTGCTGCCTTTGCCCACGCTTGCCTCATACACCTTCGCCTCTACCATTCTGTCTCCAAGTTCCACGTTGCGCGCAGTGAAAGCTCGGGACTTATCCTCGCTCTTCGTGCTCACGCTTTTGGCGTCTGCATCGCATTCAGCGCCCCCTCGAGACTCACGCTGGCTGCCTTTGGATTGTCGTCATGTGCTCCATGAGCTCCACTAGGTCACTTAAGACATGTAAGCCTCGCCATGTGCCACTTCTAACCACCGGCCTCCGTCATTCGGACGCCCAAAGCCAACACATGTTCGCATACTCTACGGTACGCAGTCGTCATAAGGACCCTTTGTCTCGTACTTCAGTATTTTGGTCCAGCGCTCTTGCACACTGCTGTCGGCGCGTGGAGAGGCGCAACCACTGCGTGACCAGCCCAGCATGACGCTCTTGTCGCTGGTATATCTCGGATTGTCTGCCGTAGAGTCTACGTCAATTGAAAGCGCAAACCAAAATCACAAAGTCTAGTTGCTTGCCCTATTTCCCTTCCCAGTCCTCAGTCATACTTTCGTGCTGCAATCTGCACTCTCACTGCAAGCTGCACTCTCTCTGCATGTCGCATCGAGATTGGACCTCATATACAATAACCAGACCCCCACGCGCCTATACTCCCTTATCCTCACACGCACACCACCATCTCGCACCTCCACTACGGATCCGCTACCTACCAGGATCCTTCCCCGGGACTCACTCCAGCCATGTGCTGGATAACACTAACCCCCAAGCCCACACGGCATCATCGCCATCCTCACCATCACCATTCCGACGATGGATCATCTGTAGCAGAGCTCGTCCGAGTTCACAAAAAGGGAAATGGTCCCCGCTACAGTAAAGTCCGCATAGTTGCGCCTATCGAGACCGAGAAATACCACCATCATCTGGATCATCACCATCACCATCCGCATATCCATCCGTTACATATGCACCCTCTCCACCTTCCGCACCATCACCACCATCACTGGAAGCTTCACGGCCATGGCAGGAAGCGTAGTCCCGCACCTGCGACTTCGGCTCCACCCCCCTCACGTAGCCCGTCATCCTGTCACTCGCCGCGAGAGCCGATATACAGAACCCAAATCGTGGAGCCAGCCAAGACCGAGATAAGGGAGACGACGCGCGTTGCGCTGAGAGAGGTGCGACCTGATAGAGGAAGGCTGAGGAGGGTTGCAGGCTACGAGGTTCTGGGCAGGGACGTACCATGGGATTGGGAGTGTGTGAGTAGCGCTGCTGGTGGAGCTGGAAGGCGAGGAGGGAGCAAGTTGAAGTACCCTCCTTTCGGGGACATGGACCGGTGGATGTAGACCCCGCGGCCGGGCGGGGGGGGGGGGGGGGGGGGGCTGAACGCCCGTCCGGATTGGACTTGGAGGGTTTCGTAATTGTCTCGATTGGCTTCTATCGACGTGTACTGGGCTCACGAAGAAAGTTACCGGCACTATCGAGAACGACCTTCATACAATGGCTTGTTCAACTTGGAATACATATACACACTCGCCGCAACTTCACCCCGGCTTGACTAATAAATGAAGTTCACCTGTGCATCCTGGGAACTACGGTGGAAAATGACGCTATGGGAAAGACATTTTAAGAAAATGCAGAACTTTACCACTGAAGTCCGGGTATAGATGGCATCGATGCCGACTTCCGTAAACGCCAAAACGCCAGCCACTAGCCCTGGGCATGATATAACGAAATTCAAAAGAGCGATCAAAGCTGCCAGCCCTCCTTGCGTGCCCCTATGCAGTGGCCTCGAAGCCAGTAGACGCCATAAAAAATTCAAATGGATACGAACCTCGAAATGGAAAAGAATCTGCGCTCATACCATGCTCCTTCGTCGCAGGCCATGTTCCTCCATCTGAAGTTGCAATGCTAGGGCCAAACTTGCCATATCTTCTTCACTGTCAATAACAGCCGATGACGTAGCGCGCACCTTCGGTTCAGACCGTGGCTCGAGCTTGATGGATTCTTTGCTGTCGCGTCTTCTACCGGAAGGTGTTTTCGGTGTGTTGCTCTGCCTGTGAGAACGGTGTGGTGTTTGGCTAGGCTTGCGACTGCTAGGACAGGGCCATCCTGAGCGTTGTGCATTTGGAGTTAGTGGGGAGAATTGAATGCTAGTTCGATTGGCGTGGAGGGAAGGATGATCCTCCGCGATGCCATTAGATTGGACATGGAAGCCGTTTGGAACAGTGCCAGGGCTTACAGGATCCAGAACAGGTCCTGATTGTGCGTCCATGCTAGACCCCCCTCTTTCAACGGCACCGTTAGGTAGGTCTTCTACCGAGAACATAACCGCATCTTGATGAGGTGTGTGAGTTAAGTCAGCCGAGTACTCATCATTTCCATGGTTGTATGACTGAAGAGCCGGGTCGATTGGCATCGCATCGTCGTCGAATCCGTGGCTGCTGAGAGCCTGTTGAGCAGAGAATGCCAAGTCCTGAAGTTCGGCATGACCCCCCAGGACGAACTCTCCTGAGGAAGAGTTTCTATGATGAAGTGAGGTATACAATGAAGCGCTGTCGGCTGTAGCTTCCTTTTTCAACTTTCGTTGGCCTACAGTCGGGTCTTCATCGCTAACGCGGCGCTTCTTGGCCGCTGCACCTCTTGGAATGGGGACTTCGTTGGCCTTGATCGGATCTACGTTGCCGTACTCATCGTGAATACAGCGACGCTGGTATTGTTAGCTTGGCAGCTGTCAACAGTGTCAAACTGCTCACCTTGCTCTTGCGGCAATCCGCACAAGCCTTCACACGACCAGATTTCAGTGCATACGGATCACCATTGGCATCCGCAAGCAGTGGCCCGCCATTCGACATGCTCTTGTCCGCCGAACTCGATTGCTGCCCGTGAGACGCACCAAAGTCGCTGTAACGACGTTTGACCGATAATCCCAAAGAACCGGAGAGATCTATCGTGTTCATGCCACCAGCCATGCCAGCAGGCTTCGTTGGATCGAAGATCTCGTCTTTATGCTTGCACCGTATTCTTCGTTTGCGGCAAGCGTCACATGCAATGCGCTTTGGGCCGAGTTGCGATGTCTTGGGTGTGGTCTGGGGTCGGGATGGATCTGGCTTCTGGAGGAACCCAGTCATCATTGGTGGAGGAGGTGGTGGTGGTGTGACTAGACCTGGGCTGCGATGTTCCATGCCGTTTGTGAAGGGAGTCTCGGTCGCTCTGGCCCTTGAGTATTGCTTCTCTGAACTTGCTCTTAAGCCTTCGCCCATTGCTTGTTTCTCCATCCGCTTGAATTGGGCGGCGCTGAGTTTCTTTTCCGCCTCTTGAGCGTCGGGCAGTACAGCGTCGGACTGTGCCCACTGTGGAATGCACTCGTTTCCTCTTTTCCAAGCGATCCACATAGCGAAGCGCTTGGCAAGCACCAGCGGGTCTCCGAAGCCTTTTGGAATAGAGCTTGTGACGCTTTTTTGCACTTTCTCTGTTATCCCTTCGATCCGGCCGAGCGATATCAAAACAGACCTCCAAACATAATTTGCAAGATCAGTAAGACCCTCTAGCTCGGCTTTTGAATAATACCGTCTGTGATAGTTCTCCGGGCCAAGATGTGAGTTGTGTCCGAACTTATCAGTCTCGCAATACGTGGGGACATTGCGATGGAACTGACCTCCACCGAGCAACAAGTGTTCTATCTGAGCGGGCAGAGGGTCCTCCTCGAGGTAGCGGATCAGGGAGAGCCACATGAGCTTTTGGAAAAATGGGTATCGAAACTTGGGGGCAACCTTGGTATTCTTCTCGATCTCCAAGACCTTGATCTGCATGCCATAATGAATCCGGGTGAGGAAGTTGCCGCCGATGACCAAACTGTCCTCCGGGGTCCAAACCGCGTGTATCCAACCAGAAGGAATTAGCATTGTATCTCCAGGATACAGATCGACCCTGTAGCACTCTTTGACCTGGTGACCGAGCCATTCGTGGCCCTGCTTCGGAGACAGGCACCAGTCCTCGTATTTTTTCAAGTTTTGTTTTGTTGGTGGTATGAAGAAGAACACCTTTCTGCCCTTCACGATATGGTAGTAGACCGATGAGCCGCCAAAGTCTATGTGGAAGTCTGTATAGCAGTCCGCAACGGACATGAGACAATAGAATTGCACAGCAGGAGGAGCTTTCTTGTCATCGTCACGCCAAACAGCGTCTTGAAGATCCATATCCCGCACTGCTTTTGGCCGGCGGATTAGTCTTCCTAGTCGACTCCGGGAAACCTCCAAACTGATGACATTCCGGACCGGCTTCTCGCCTTGTTGTTCGTAATAGTCGGCCCACTTCGCCATGGTCCACCGTTTGTCCTCTCCTTCCTGGGCTTTGACATCGATGACTGGCACACGTTCTTGGGGTCCATACAGCTCCGAAACGCGTCGAACGGTGAGACCCTCCGGGATAACCATATCCAAGTTGTCTTGACCATCATCCAGTGACACTTCGAGTGCGTAGCGTGAGTCTGCAGCTGCATCAGTCGTGGTAGTCGACTTGTTATGTTCCGGATGTCCTCTGCCGGGGTATCGTGGTCGAGGATTCAAGGCTGCAGGAATTAGGATGGGCTCTTTGAAGCCATTCGTCTTTTCGAGGAAGTCGGCGGAAACTAACTCTGGTGGCAGACGCGCAAATGTCTCTGGGGTGAACTCAATGTCTCCGTTTTTGAAGGCAGCAATATAGTGGTGTTCAGGGTTATCGTCCGATGTCTTCAGTATGCCTTCATTCAGCCCAGCATAGTCGACAGCGGTGTGCGCTCTGGTCGACTTTCTGACTTTCGTAGTCTTCCCAAACTTTGGCTGGCATCGCTCGCAATAGAACTTGTCCACATCACGCACTTCTCGCTCGCTCTGAAAACCGGCGCACACGTAGTGGTGCCATCCTTTACAGCCGTCACATCTTATCCACTGTTCTCCATCGCCGATCATCGTCTCGGAATCAGATGAGCCACAACCGGAGCATATGGTGACTGGTTCGGCTGTGTTGTTTTTGGGTGGCGGGCGAGCAAAAGACGGTGCAGAAAGCGCGGTAGTCTCCAAGGGAACAGAGAGAGCTCGTGAAATATCGGAAGTTGGGTTATCGGGAACTGCAGTTGACGATAAGTCAGAAAAAGAGTAGCGACGGGCTTGAGATGAGGGCTCATCAGAGCCCGGAAAGGGTGCGAGGGCTGAGGTTGAGGCGCCATCGAGAAGCTCGTCTCGCTCTGCAGGTAGACTTTGCGGGGATTGCAGTTGTTTCGCGGGCTCATGGGCAGCAGCCGACACCGGCTTGGGCTTTGGTGTCGACCTCTTCTTCTTCGTGCCAGACGCGCCGGTACGCGTTCCGCGAGGCTTGCCTTTCGGCCACCCTTGATGCTTCTTCGTTTTGGTGCCTGCGTCCACGGCAGCATTGCTCATAACTGGGAACTCTGCTGCTGCAGTCATACCCTCATCTGGGGGTGTTTCTGTCTGAGTGCTGACTTCGTCCGGCACTGCTTCGACTGGGGCTGGTGGTGCAATCGACGTGTACTTAAATTCGGATGGTGATATGTGATGATGTGCACGGGGAGAAAGTAGGGAAGCTCCTACGTACGTGTTGCTCGGTTCGCCGTGTGGTTGACGGGCGTACGGACTGGAGGTTTCCTGGTGCGGTATGCTCCATCGCTTGGCCGTGGAATCGCGCCGAGGCGTCGAGCTGGACGCAGCGGCGGCGAAATCCATCAACAGCTGTGCATCCGATAGTCTCTTCATACTACTTTCGTCCGGGTCCTGGACCGGGCGAGCTGTTTCCTGGTACATGCGATGGCCACTGTCCATCATCTGCTCCACATTGTATGACCAACCCGGAATGTGGCTGGTGGCCGGCCGCGAATAGTGGTGCTGCCCATGCTGAGGGGAGGTGAAGTAATCGGACCGCGCGCGCTTTGCAGGTCTTTCGGTGTGCGGATAGCTGCCGTCGAGGGCATAGCTGTGTTTGGGCGCGCGGAGGCCGGGCGGGTGGGCGAAGGTATTGGGCGAGGTGGAGGGCAACTGGGCGGAGCGACGCGTGGGCTCGACAAAGACCGGGCCGTCGTTGAGAGATTTGATGGCAGCATCTGCAAGCGCCTCAATGGGGGAGCCCAGCGCGGGCGAGTATGGAGCGTCGCGTGGTGGTGGCAGCGGTGCGGCTCGCGGTCCGTATGCCTCCGCAGCGGCGTCCCGCGGGAGCTGCGCGTCCAAGGCTGCATTGTGGTGTGGAGCATGCGGCGATGGACTGGCGAGGCCATTGCCGCTCGCTGTAGGGCGGGCGACGCTGGCAGCGGGGTGTGCTGGCGGCGCTTGTTGCGGGTGGAGGACGGGCGAGAGCGGCTCCCAGACGGGGCGCGGCGGGGTGGCAGAGCGCGGCGGAGCTTGCCCGGGCTGCGGCTTGAAGGAAAGGCCCCTCATGGCGGCGAGGGCGAGGGCGGCGGGTGGATTGGAGGGGGTGCGCAGGCGTCTCGGAGGTGCCGTGCTAGGCGCAATCGTCGCGGCGTCAGTGGGCTACGGGACGGCGGCGCTGTGGGAGCAGACGAAGCAGCTGGGCGCAGTAGACATGTCCCGGGGCAATGCGGACGCGACGAGGCAGCGAGCGAGCGTGGTGGGGTGCGGCGGGTGGTGGTTGAGGACGGAGGTCGAGTGCGAGGGAAAGTGTAGTTTTGCGGGGACGATGCACAGCAACAGCGCCCGCGGCTCTCCCGCGCAGGCGCCCTGTCCTGGCCGTCTCGCAGCGCGGGCCTGGCGATGGCGTACAGCGTGCAGGCAATGCGCAGCAGCGCCGACGAGACCGCTATACTGGCTTGCACTTGCACCGTGCCTGTGGGCGCGAAGCAGCGTCGCAGCGTCGCGGGCGGGAGGAGAGGAGAGCACAGCCATTCGCTGGAGCAGCAGAGGTCCGCCAGCATCGTCCACCAGTTCGACCGCGCGAGGTGCGCCCGCCACGCCCGCGGGCCCGCGCGAGGGCGCCGCTGTGCGCCGCATCCATCTCTAGGTGTGCAGACGGCTCTGCGCGTCCTAGACGCTCCAGTATTCCCTGCGCTGAGGTGCCTGCGCGGTCGCGCCTGCCGCAAGTCTGCTTGCGCCTGCCCTCCGACCATCGAGGCGGCCACTTCGGGCGTAGCGTGTCTCGGCGCCTTCGCTCCAAGACTGTGCACCGCGACCTTCACGCCGCCGCACCCACCTCCACCAACCCCATCGCAACTCTCTGCATTGCGCAGCCTGTCTTTTCCAGCACCCTTCCAGTCGCCAAGCTATGAGTCGCGGCGGAAAGCTCGCCCCGGAAGTCAACCGGTATGTTGCGCAGTCTTCGTCGGCCGCCCGCCGCCGCCGCCTAGCACGACCTCCGCTGACCCCATGCAGTGCTCTGTTCGTCAAGAATCTGAGCTTCAACGTGACCCCAGAGGATCTCTTCGACCTCTTCGGCAAATTCGGCCCTGTGCGGTATGTCGCCCGCGCCCATGCGCTTCCGACCGAGTCCTCCGAATTCGCAATACTAATCCAAGTAGCCAAATCCGCCAGGGCATCGCCAACAATACAAAGGGCACCGCGTTCGTCGTCTACGAGGATGTCATGGATGCAAAGTCTGCCTGTGACAAGCTGAACGGCTTTAACTTCCAGAACCGCTACCTCGTCGGTGCGCGCCTCCCTCCCGTCTTTGCGCCCTCGTACTCACTCCTGTCACAGTATTATATCATCAGCCAGAGAAAATGATAAAAGCGGCGAACGACCTCGCAGAGCGCCAGGAGAACTTAGAAAAGCTCAAGAAACAACACGGTATCGATTAGCATGAGGCGAGGCCCACAGGACTGGTGACTGCGCGAGAACAAAGCAATTCAAATACTCGTGTGGGCCTCAATACCTCACAAACAAACCGAACGCCGAGCAAGACGCGCACTTCGACGATGAGCTCGACATGGACGGAGAAACCGCGGATTCCGGCCGTGGCAAAGGGATGCCGCAGCTGCGACTGGCGGGATGCCAGATTGTCCGCGAAATGGCTGTGGAATCGTTTACATGGGTTGGCGTTAAAGAGATGATGATTTCATGAACGGCAGAGATTGCTGCTATGGGAGGAATCGCTTTGGCTTCTAAGGCAGGGATTTGGCTTGGGCCATCATCCGATATCAAAGCCGCTTGGCCGGTTTACCAACTACTTCTGTCAATATGGACGGCCTCAAGTCTGTGAAACGACTTCCAGCTCCAATTGATGCATTCGATATATGCTCCGCTAAGTCTTGTGTTTCCAAAGAGGATGCTGACATGACGGAAACATGGATGATAATGATGATGATGATGATCGTATATGGACGACTGGAGCAACACAGCCGCGCAACATTACATCAGACGTTGGGACGTTCATCGTAGGTGAGTGTGGATCATGGCTGCAGGTATTCAGTCCGTTCTACAGAAGTACCTGTACGGATAATGCTACAGTAGCTCAGTACCGGCCGAGTCGTCTGAGCAGTCGCTTCCTCAACCCTTTCTCGCCGACCCCTTTACCCTGAGGGTCCATATAAGACCCCGCGATCAAGTCGTTCTTTCGTGTTCCTGTAATTGTTGATGTCGAAAGATCAGCCCCGTCGTTGGAATCGCCAGGAAGCATTTGCGGGGCTTCAGAAATTGGAAGATTGATGGTTTGGATGCTCATGCCGCCATCCAGACTCTCATGAACGGGAGCTGTCGGCGGCAAGATCAGCTTAGTCATCGATTGTCCACAGGTTGTGCTCATGTTGTGGGGACTATATCTTTGGATAGCACTGGGGTCAAATGTGTGGGTAGCGTTAGTCGCCGAATACGAGAATAGTGTTACGTAAGGTGTCTCTCTTCCTGTCACGTCTTCGATGACAGTCTGAGTTACGATATCTATGACGGTTGTTGTGGAGGTTCCTTCGAGCCTCGTGGGAAGTAGGGTTGCCCAGAGCCATAGGGCCCGTGTCAGGTGTCGAGAAAGCAACTGCGTGCTCATACTTGTACCGATAATATGGTCGATAGTGCGGGTCGAATCTTTGTGGTTTCGTGAAAGACTGTTGTGTGTGGGGGAAGCCCATGTTAAAAGACCATATACTTCAGCATTTAAATGGCTAGGATCCGTGTGACGTATCGTCACTGGCTATAGCATGGGTAATCATTCTCAAAGGGGTGCAAAATTGAACCCTTGGCAGGACAATCCCGATGTATTCCTTCATGACCTGAAACTCCGGACAAAAAAATTCAATCACAGACAGATTCATAAAGAACAGCCAAGGTGCTTATTTCAGGTAACGTTGGCCACTATGTTTTTGGGACTTGGTGCGTAGAACGCCTATCTTATAGTGCTAGGTTCTATACTTCGGAATCCTTGTCGTTGAGAGTTTGCGGCCACGTCCAAGACTCCAAATCCTCGGGATCTATACCTTCATGAAACGCATAATTCTCCGCCTTGACTCGCTTGTCCAGTAGCATCTCCCGTGCCACTCCGCCCTTGTTACCAAGACCAGGAAGATGGTCGATCGCATCGATCGCCAAACTGAAACGATCAATTCCGTTGCGAATGGCCAATTCAAGTGGGGTGTCGATGTTTCCTTTCTCCCTGTAGCCACGTACGTGCAGATTATGCTGGCCCTTCCGGCGGTAGGTCATGCGATGGATGATGCCCGGGTATGAATGGAAGTTGAAGATGATAGGCTTGTCATCTGTGAAAATGGCCTTGAATTCGTGGTCCTTGAGGCCATGCGGATGTTCATCAGGAGAGATGAGTTTGAACAGGTCGACAACGTTGACGAAGCGAATTTTCAGCTGAGGCAGATGTTCGCGAAGGAGTGCGGTTGCAGCAAGAGCTTCGGCAGTGACAACATCACCACACGAGGCCATGACGAGATCAGGTTCATCGTCTTGGTCGTTGCTTGCCCAGGGCCAAATGCCGACACCTTTGCTACAATGAGCGATAGCTTGCTCCTTAGTGCAGAATTGGAGGTGTTCTTGCTTGTCAGCCACAATCACCTACAAACCCAGTCAGTGTCTATCAGAAGATTAAGTATGTCGTGACGTACATTAACGTAATTCGAGCTGCGGAAGCAGTGATCCATAGTCGAGAGTAGGCAGTTCGCGTCTGGAGGAAGGTAGATCCGCACGACTTCTGGACTCTTGTTGGCCACTACATCAAGGAAACCTGGATCTTGGTGCGTGAAGCCGTTGTGATCTTGGCGCCATACGGTCGCTGTGAGGAGGATGTTTAACGAAGGGACTTTTCCCCTCCAGTCGACTTCAAGGCATTTCTCCAGCCATTTGCAGTGCTGGTTGACCATGGAGTCAATGATGTGGATGAAAGGTTCGTAAGAGTTGAGTAGGCCGTGTCTGCCGGACAGAACATAACCCTCGAGCCAGCCCTGTTGTAGGTGTTAGCTCTCAAGAACTTCCACTACCTGTTTTTGGTAGTACCTCAACAGTATGCTCCGAAAGCATTTCCATAACGCGTCCGCCGAAGGCGAGGTTACCGCCGTCTTCATCTTCTTCGAAGTAATCACCCATCCACACTTTCTTGCCACCCTGATCGTGATGAGGTCAGAACATTACTGCACGTGTATCGACACTACATACCTCATAAATGGCACTGAGCTTATTAGACTCCGTCTCATCTGGACCAAACACGCGGAACTGGTCTTGATTCTTCACCACAACGTCCCTGAGGTACTTCGCGAAATTACTCATGCTTCCGAACCTGGAGGTAGCATGCATTTCCACTTCTATGCAGTACTCCCGCCAGTCGGGTAAGTTCAGTTTACGTCGGAGAACGCCACCGTTAGCTATGGGGTTGGCGCTCATCCTGCGAGTGCCAGTAGGAGCGAGCTCTTTCAGATCAGGTCTAATCTTTCCGTCCTCTCCGAACAACTTCTCGGGCTGATAGCTTCGCATCCACTCTTCCAGCTTCTGTAAACTGGCCTTGTTCTTCAAAACATCGGTAATGGGAACCTGATGTGCACGCCAGAAGCCTTCCAAGAAATGGTCTCCGAGCTTGCGCGGTCCGGTCCATCCCTTGGGGGTTCTCAGGACGATCATCGGCCACAAAGGCCTGAAAGCTTTCCCAGAATCCCGAGCTTTTCTCTGATATGACTTGATCTCGGTAACGCACTTCTCCAACGTGGTTGCCATAGCCTGGTGCATTGTGGGTAGATCACTGCCCTCAACGAAATAGGGGGTCCAGCCGTATCCAACAAAGAGTGCTTCAAGTTCTCTATGGCTTATACGGGATAGCACAGTAGGATTGTTGATCTTGTACCTAAAGGGAAGGGGGGAGAGGTCAGTGAAAAAAGTCCAGAACAGAAGAGATATGATAGAGGTAGGTGTCCCAGCTGCAACTTGATATTAATGTCGAAATTTCTCAGACATCAACGACAGCTAAAACCTCCACCTTTCCGGTATCGCTCACCCGTTTAAGTGCAGTACTGGAATGACTGCTCCGTCCGTAATAGGGTTGAGGAATTTTGTCGAGTGCCAACTGGTGGCAAGCGGACCAGTCTCTGATTCACCGTCTCCCACCATTGTGAGAGTGATCAGATCAGGGTGATCGAATACTGTTCCAAAAGCATGTGATATTGAGTAGCCAAGTTCCCCACCTTCGTGCAGGCTTCCTGGCGTCTCTGGTGTAGCGTGTGACCCGATGCCACCGGGGAACGAGAATTGTTTGAAGAATCGCCTCATGCCATCAATATCTTCACTCTTATCTGGGTATACCTCGGAGTATGTGCCCTCCAGGTAAGAATTAGAAAGGACGGCGGGGGCACCATGTCCAGGTCCCGAGATGAAGATTGCATTCAGATCATACTTCCTGATCAAGCGGTTCATGTGGATGTATGTGAAGCTTTGCCCAGCGTCTGAACCCCTGCTCGGACGAAAATGATTAGTATCTTCAAGGAATAAACAAAGCAGTATCATTCCGCTCGTCTCAATCAAGCTGTATGAAATCTCCATTTATCCGGACACAAACAGACGAATGAAAGGATATTCTGAGTGAGAAAAACGGAGACGGTACTCTTGACGCAGGGAAGACTTACCAGTGGCCCAAGAGACGTCTCTTCAGGTGATCGACAGTGAGAGGCTCGCGAAGCAATGGGTTCTGCTTCAAATAGATCATGCCCAGACATAGGTACAAAGTCGCATGGAAATACTCGGTGAGGCGGCTAACCTCATCTTCGCTGAGTGGGTTGTCGTTCACGGTCGCCCTGGCTTCGCCATACGGCGAGAGGCTCGCCTTGTCGAGCTTCTCGCCGGACTTTACAGCTTCGGAAGCCATTGAAAAGATTGTGGATTGGAGCTCCAGGAATTGGCCGCAGCTGGCAGCTTTTGAACACGAGCTCGCACCGATGATGTTTTAAGTGATCGGAACTTGGCGGAACAAGCGTGGTGGATGCTTCATAAACAAGAAAACTGGTACAATTGTTGGAGCGAAATAGTAGGAGGTACTGAGTAAGCTCTCAATACATCTTAACGGATAAGAACAGGCTCAAATATGGTATGGTCGACCATAGACGGTTCCTCGGTGGCAGCGACAAGTCTTGTTTCATTGCAGCTTCGCAATCATCGTGGACCGGGTGAGCAGCCGTGTTGATTTCGTCATGGTGTGTCAATGCATATGCGCTTGAGATATCAATGGCTGACGAGGTGATGCAAGTCTAGTCTCGCCCCACAAAGCTCCCAACTACGGCAAGTCTGGCGCATTCGCGACCTCCGAACGTCCCATAGAAGATCCAATATTTTTTAGTGTTTACTGCCGCGCACTAGTCATTACGTTCTTACCCGAATTCAATGTCATGACGAGGTAGAATCATATAGTAGATATGCAATGCTTAATTTATAGTGAACGGCTCAATCAAGAAATCGTCGTGACCAAGAGCTGGATTCCACTCTCCGAGAGAACCTCAATGTTCCCATCGCAATATCCGTCTCTCGCCATCCTCTTGGTCACAAACTTGTCGTCCAATGCTCGTCGCAAACTCCAGCCAGTCAGACCTCCAGATCACGCTTGTATGCGATGGACTTCACATTCGGTAACCGCTGCATCGCCTCGCTCAATTGTCGCCCGTGCCAATGTCGAGCTCCTCCCTGTAGAAGATATCCCGATACTCTGAAACCTGGATTGGTCCCAGGACAATGAAGCGCTTGCAGTAATGTCCAATAGATTCGAGAGCATCAAGGTGGTGGCTGAAGTGCGTGATGTTATGTCCTGGCTGATGAGACGCTCGAAAAGGCCAAAATCAGCGACTGGGATGGAGCCCTTCCATAGTGGCTGGATCCGCGGGCACTGGAGGTGGTCTCCCTCATCTCGTGTATGTGTTATGGTCCTGGGTAACGGATAGCTCGACCTGGATATGGCACTTTGGAGGCGTTGTCGAACATTGCAGATCTGCTCAACTCGCGGAACCATAGACGGCCAGGGCCACTATCGTGATCCTAGAGCATCATCTCCTTGCAAACGTCTCGTTACCGACTCTTGGCATTGCGTTGACCGTTGGCGCTGGCTTCTCGTCTTTTTGGACGGCACTTTTTGATGGGACTCGAGTTGGTGGTCACTCCAGGCGTCAGATGTGGAAGGGCCGTGCCGGAGAATTGGATCAGTATCAGAGGGCGCGATGGAAGCTCGTCGCAACATGGCGGTGTACATGGGCACATGGGAGGAATGAATCGGCGCTACGTTTCCCCGGGGGGAGGAGCGATGTGCATGTGCACGTGGCTCACGGCTACGTGCGTCATGCCGGCACCGGCTGGGTTGCAGCTGCCCCTCGTGCGCAACGTAGGATGCAGCCGTCCTCAACAGGCATGGGTTCCTGAACCCAGCATCAATTCTCTGTGCGTCGTGCATCGTGTCGACCCACGCTCTCGCTACACCGTGTTGCTGCGAAGGAAATCATTTGTAAACGCGGGATTGTCGCGGACGTCCAGATAGCGCCCCAACTGCTCCACGTCTTTGGCGGGGTAGCTCGTTACTGAGCATTACCACAACATCTTTGTCAGCCCAACGTCCAATATCTTCCTTTCTCCGCCCAAAAGCAATCGTCAAAATCCACGAACAGAGTCAGGTGCGTCCCCATATTTTTCTGTCCCGTGTGCTACCCTTTTAAACGCTTCAGCATCCGCATTGGCAAGTTCCGTGTTCGTTTCAATCGCTAACTACATCTTAGATAGACTAGCAAAATTCGAATCGACTCGTCTTCGTTCACACATATCGATCGCTCGAAAGCATAGTCACCCCGGTTGAATTCAGTTGGCAATCTAGTCAAGCAAGCATAGTCCGTCACGATGCCGACTGGTTCACGACGAACACCTTCGCGGAAGGGTACGGTCGCCCCTCCCCCCGGGCCTTGCGCGCTCCCACTCGAGCCCTTGTCACCTCACAACACCCACCGCACACAATAGGACATCAGGATTGACATATGTGCCAGGTTCCATGGCCGATGTGCCAAAGGATCTGCTGGATCAAATCAACAAGCTTGAAGACTTGTTTATCGTCGATGGCCAGAAGCTCAAGGAGGTCACTAATCAGTTCGTCTCCGAGCTGGAACGCGGTCTTGGCGAGAACGATGCTACTATTGTACGCCTCTCTTACCGACCGTGGTGCCTACAAACTGACGATGTTGCGAATAGCCTATGAATCCGACTTGGTGTATGGCTTTTCCCGACGGCAACGAAACCGGTACCTTCCTCGCCCTCGACATGGGCGGCACCAACATGCGAGTCTGCGAAGTAATCCTTACCGAGGAAAAGGGCGAATTCGACATCATACAATCCAAATACCGCATGCCTGAGGAGCTGAAGACTGGCACGGCAGACGAGCTATGGGGCTATGTTGCGGATTGCCTGCAGCAGTTCATTGAGTACCACCACGGCGACGACCAGATCGAGCAGCTGCCGCTCGGCTTCACCTTCTCCTACCCTGCAACACAAGAGTACATCGATCACGGCATCCTGCAACGGTGGACGAAGGGCTTCGATATTGATGGTGTCGAGGGAAAGGATGTCGTGCCGCCCTTTGAAGCCGCTCTCGCAGAGCGTGGCTTGCCCATCAAGCTAACTGCACTTGTGAACGATACCACGGGTACCATGATTGCATCCGCGTACACGGACCCTCTGATGCGTATCGGATGCATCTTTGGCACTGGTTGCAACGCCGCATACATGGAAGACTGTGGCTCTATTCCCAAGATTGCGCACATGAATCTTGATCCGTCCCTCCCGATGGCTATCAACTGCGAATATGGCGCTTTCGACAATGAACACAAGGTCCTTCCTCGCACGCCCTATGACATCATAATCGATAAGGAGTCGCCTCGGCCCGGACAACAAGCCTTCGAGAAGATGATTGCCGGCCTATACCTCGGTGAGATCTTCCGTCTTGTTCTTCTTGACCTGCACCAAAACCACGAATGTGATTTCTTTGCAGGCCAGGATATCAGCAAGCTGAAGAAAGCGTACTCTCTCGATGCCGGATTCCTGGCGGCCATCGAGGAGGACCCCTTCGAGAATTTAAGTGAGACACACGACTTGATGCAGAACAAACTGTCCATCTCGTGCACAAAGCCCGAACTCGAACTCCTCCGCCGTCTCGCTGAGCTCATTGGAACGCGCGCGGCGCGCTTGTCCGCCTGTGGTGTTGCCGCCATATGTAAGCACAAGGGATGGGAGACATGCCATGTTGGCGCCGACGGCTCTGTCTTCAATAAGTACCCGCACTTCAAGATACGTGGAGCGCAAGCATTGAAGGAGATCTTGGACTGGCCGGAAAACAAGGGCAAGGGCAAGGGCGATCCGATTGAGATTCTGCCTGCTGAGGATGGCAGCGGCGTCGGTGCGGCTTTGATCGCGGCGCTGACGTTGAAGCGCGTGCAGCAGGGGCAGAACGCTGGTATCAGAGATCCGGAGGCAATGAAAAGGGCTGCGGAACTGGCCAGCAAAGCCAAACCATTCAAATGATGGGATGAAGTAGGCTAATTTGGTTCGATTTACAGCCACCTGGATTTGAATTCGCAGCACCTGTAGCAAGAATTTCATCAATAACAACGGATTGATCGTGCTACCATCGTTGGCGTATATATGCGCCCTTGGAATCCTTCATTTGGTAATGTGCTGCCTCTATGAGGTGTATGCTAATAGAAGCTACGCCGGTACGATAACATGCTACCCCGAACATCTGCCTCTCTCTTTCTGGTTCGCGGCCGTCTGCTCGCTCGACGGGACATGGTCTGTTTTTTTGCGCGCTATCGGGGATGTCCCTTAGTCAACAATGTTCGTCACCTTCAGCGGCTTTTATGCTGAGGCCGTGCTAGGCAGCCGTGCTTTAGGGAAGCAATGAGTTGCTGTTGAGTGAATGGTGGGTCCTCATTACACATGGTCGGATCTAGAACCACAGGACGCGTGTGCAAAACTTGGCAGCTTGAGATCGCAGTCCCTTTTAGGGTGGCAGCAGGACGCATGGAATGATTGCAAGCCGCTATGACCTCTGATCTTGGTAAGATGTGTACACCTAAATCATAATGTCACTTTGTAGATGGGCGAATCTATGACTTGGTGAGAAACGGTGCTTAGCAAGTAGACATAGTCGGATAGCATGCCAATTACGGGTTAGGGCCAAACATGATACGGTACTCGGTACCTAGCTGCTCGTATTCTAAAACTTACCAGCTTGTACATAAGTATTCCCGGCTCGAGCAGACAGTATTACGCACCTCAATTGCTCTCTGACTACTCTTGAATGAATACCATGTCTGCTCCCCAGGCGTCTGCTGGGGCTACTTTCGAGGATCTCAGCGGAGTATCAACAGCAACCTTCAGCAACCCCTACGATGCGTTGATCAAGGCTTCGAAGAACGACCCCGTTAGTAATTCTGCCTTCACTATTGAAATCATGTTGAATTTCTGTCAGGTTCAAATGCAAGCGCTCTACAACACGCACAGGAGCACAAGGAACAGCCAGCAGAAAGCCAAGATGCTCGACAAAGACTTCCTGGGGCCAAATATTGACCCTATCTTACTCAGGTTGAGTGATCCTACCATAGAGCCCGGTTTCGTCGACCCGAGACATTGCCTCGTGTTCTGGGGACGTCCAAGCGAATGCATCAAGAACCTGATCGAGCGTGTCCAACAGGAGTTGCTTGCAGCGGCGCCAAGTAAGTTTGTCTAGTAATTGATGAGTCAAAGGCAGGTTTGGTACAATACTTTGCTGCTGCTGCGTTCATCTTTTTGGGAGAACAATTTCATGTGCAGACCCATGTTGATGCGTCAGCACCGAAGATAACAGAGTGAAAATGTGTGGATCGAGGGGTCACCTCGTATTACATGTTCGTAGGTCTAACGTCTTTTAGATCTTTGGATCATGCCCCGGGAAAACCTGCATATCACTGCATTGGAAGTCACCCACTCGAAGAAGCAGGAAGAGATACAGCTGATCGTCGACTCTGTAAGGGACAAGATCCCCAGCATCACTGACTTTACCTTCGATCATCGGGCTCGCTTGATCAAACCGATGATCGGTTTCGATGCGTCTGCACTTGCGCTCAGCTTCGTCCCTGCTACGGGAGAACCATCCGAGTTGGCAAGGACCAGACGGGACGACGCATACACCTACCACCATTTACGACGTGACTTGTACTCTGTCTGTCAGGACATTGGCGTCGCCGTCGATTCCAGATATGTCGTGCCTGTAAGTTCTTCATGATCGACCGTGCTTATCATGGAATCTTACCTGGCTCTTTCGTGCAGTCTAGCCATCTCACTATCGGCCGCTTCATCAACTCCAGTGATTTCGCCGATGACAAGGGCGCCTACAACCCACAGAAGATGGAAGCATTCATCAAAAAGATCGAGGAGATAAACGAATGGCTTGAAAAGGAATTTTGGCCAGAGCACAACGAGGGCAAAGTGCCAGCCGGCGGAGATTGGCTAGTCGGACAAGAGAAGGGTCTCAACTGCCGTAAGTCATGAACAAAACGAGGTGGTAGACGAGACAATTGCTAATCGAACACACTTGTGATAGGCATGGGAACACTCTGGTAAGTCGAACCTCGGCAGCTTGTACACGCGTCTTCCTTAGCATTTTCCACGTATACCGCTGACTGCGTTGTCTATAGGTATGGTGGTGGTAGTTCCATTCACGCAGGTAAAGGTTTCTGATCGTCCAAACGCTTTATGGACGCACCGAGGATTGTGAGATCAAGCAAGCACCATAGTCTAGATCGAACAAGTGCCACGGTATGTAGGTAGTGACGCAGACATCCTGGTGGCCCGTAGAGAACCTATCTACCTAATGGTAAATATTAGTCAGTTCATAAGCTCTCTGCAGGGAGATTCGCCCCAAGTTCTGTACGAGTCTGCGATCCTGATGGCGCAAGTAAAAGAATTTTGTACCCTTGTACATATCATAAAACCGGCGCATGCGTCCAAGCGACCATGTGGCGGCCATGTCATTGCGCGCGGGACGGCGTGGGGCGGCGCAGGGGTCCAAGCTCTTTCCCCACGTAACTGAGTCTCCGGCCGATGATTGAAACTGACTTGACACAACACCTTGAGCGTATCGATCTGTTCACTGTCTACAAGATCAGGAGAACCACCCGACAACCGCTTGCGACACGTGTCTTGAGTCAACCTTGTATACGCATCGCAGAATATTGTCGCCCACAAGCGCCGCTCCAGGCACCGACTCATCCACGCTCTTGCTATACGTGGCCATCGCAGCTTCGGGATATATGTAGCGGTTCCGCTACACACGCAGCCAGCTCTTCCAAAACACATACATCATGTTCAATCGAGAAAGGCTACCTGGCCTTCCGGGCAGTTCGCCTCGCCCTCCACAGCGCAACGACGGCTACGGGCGACCACCGCAACAACCACCACCACCACAAGCGCCTCCACAACGATCACCCGGTTACGACGCAAGGGCAAGCGGATACGATCAGCCGCCACCCCCAGGCTACCCGGTCCAAGGCGGCCAGCAGCGCATGCCTGCACGCGAGTCACAGTCGGGACGAGCGCTCCAGCTGCGGCCCATCAAAAGCCCGGGGGGCAACGCCTATGCCTTTGGCAACCTGTATGGAAGCGCATACTCTTACTTTGTGTAATATCGCTGACGACCCGTAGGGTAGCTGTGTCACCCCAAGACTTTCCACCCTCGCGCGATGGGTCCGACGTCTACATTAAAGTGAACCGCAACTACGTCCTCTCCGCGAGACCCACTGAAGGCTGCCGGCCCGGCGAGATTGGCCTCACGGATGCACAACGCACGTGGGCGGGCATCTCGCTTGGTCCTCAAGATGTTGTCACGGTCGAGCATTATGATGCTTTCAGCCAGGGTGGGCAGTCATACCTTGGGAATCTAGAGGTCGAGGTCGGGTTTGCTACCAGGAAGACCACAGAGGCCCCATATGACCAGGAGGAGCTTGGGGCTATCTTCAAGAAGGTATGCTAAAGCAGAACTTCATGCCTGCGGGATGCTGATGCACTGTAGAACTTCGAGAACCAGGTTCTTGCGCCCGGACAGCAACTGCTCGTCGATGTCAAGAGTATCGTCCTACGAATGTCTATTCGAACTGTACAACTAGTCGACCTCTCGATGGAAAAATCAGAGTCTGCATCAGGAGCGACTCTGACAGATCCTGGCGCTCGCGGAATACTAACGCGACACACCCAGATAGACTTCTTCAAGGATGCACGTACCGACATCAAGATCAAGGCCTCTAGCCGACGCCCTGCCGCCAATTCCATCATCCAGCCGGGTTTCAAGTTTGAGGACATGGGCATTGGTGGGCTGGACACAGAGTTTAGCGCCATCTTTCGAAGAGCGTTTGCTTCGCGTATCTTCCCCCCTGGCCTTGTGGAGAGACTCGGTATACAGCATGTTCGTGGTATCCTTCTTTACGGTCCCCCAGGAACTGGCAAAACACTCATAGCTCGCCAAATCGGCAAGATGCTGAACGCTAGGGAGCCAAAGGTCATCAACGGCCCTGAGGTACTCAACAAATACGTCGGTCAATCCGAAGAGAATATCCGGAAGATGTTTGCCGACGCCGAGAAGGAGTACAAAGAGAAGGGCGATGAGAGCGGCCTGCATATCATTATCTTCGATGAACTTGATGCAGTTTGCAAGCAAAGAGGTTCTAGTTCTGGTGGCACTGGTGTTGGTGACAGCGTTGTGAACCAGCTGCTGTCGAAGCTCGACGGTGTCGATCAACTAAACAACATCCTGCTTATCGGCATGACCAACCGTATGGATATGATCGATGAAGCTCTTCTTCGTCCTGGTCGTCTTGAAGTCCACATGGAAATCTCGCTCCCCGATGAAGCTGGCCGTGCGCAGATTCTCAAGATTCACACGACTAAGATGCGCAACAACAATGTAATTGAGGGCGATGTCAACGTCGAGGAACTAGCGAAACTTACCAAAAACTTTTCAGGTGCGGAGATCAATGGTCTGGTAAAGGCAGCCTCGTCGTACGCATTCAGTCGCCATATCAAGGTTGGCACAATGGCATCCATCAATCCAGATGTTGAGAATATGAAGGTCAATCGCGAGGACTTCCTACATGCTCTTGAGGAAGTCAAGCCCCTGTTCGGTGCTGCAGAGGAGGAGCTTGGACAGCGTGTCCGCGGCGGTATCATCCATTTCTCTCCCTTCATCAACGACATTCTCGAAGAGGCTCGGCTTTTCATCAACCAGGTCAGGAAGGGATCGACACCTGTGCTCTCTGTTGCCCTGCATGGGCCTCCCGGGAGTGGTAAAACGGCCCTTGCAGCGAAAATGGCTATGGACTCGGAGTTTCCGTTCATCAAGCTTGTGTCGCCAGAAGATATGGTTGGGTTTAGCGAGATGCAGAAGGTACAGCAGCTTGACAAGATTTTCCGAGACGCATACAAGAGTACCCTGAGCATAATCGTAATTGACAACATTGAGTTGCTCGTTGATTGGGTACCCATCGGACCTCGATTTAGCAACAGTGTGTTGGTCGCGCTCAAGGTCCTGCTTGCGAAACCACCACCCAAGGTAAGTGTCGTGTATCCTTTGCTGTTGCACAGGCTGCTGCCAGTTCGCCGCTAACCAACGCAGGACCGCCGGCTGTTGATTTTCGCAACGACCACTGAACGTTCAGTGCTCACTCAGCTGGATCTTTTCAGCCGTTTCGATGCAGACATTGCGGTACCCAATGTTAACTCGCAGCCCGAGCTTGCGCAAGTGCTACAACAGTCAGGGGCCTTCTCAGACCGTGACCAACAGCGAGCTATCGGAGAAATACAGGAGATTACCGGTAGCAGCGATGTAGGCGTAGGTATCAAGAAGATCTTGACGGCCATCGAGACGGCAAAGGAAGATCAAGATGTTCCCGGCCGCTTTGCCAGGGTCATGTCAAGTGCGATCTCAGCGAACAGGAGCTCGTTCACCTAAAGACAGTATCGGGAGGTTGGCACTTTTGCAGATCATAGAATACTACCGTAAGATGCAGGCCCCAAAGCAGGCCGTGCGTTATTTGATACCTAAAACATGGAAGCTCTTCGACATTGCACTTGCATGTCTTACTGGGTGGGGTGACTTGGACTAGAATGCCGAGAGGTGCGATTTGCAGCCTCGTATTGATGTTGAGAGCCTGTGAGTGCGGTGTGGACCCAATACCTAACAGTCGCCGATGTGCAAGCCAGTATCGGGTTCTCTGAACCCGTGTATTACCACGGCTCCGCTGGTCTCGACGCGGGTTGCATGCAGTTAATGACAGCGGTGCCACCCGTTGAGCGCAAGGGCAGCTGCTCCGGCACCGATGGACAGGCCGGGCAGGCGGTCCAATGTCGCCCCCGAGGCCGTCGTCATCCGTGTTCTGGTAGCTGGGACGCCCGGCGGAGAGGGAGAAGACCAGCTCACAAGCACGTGTAGGCCGCGCTGGAGTCGCTCAACTGGTGCACAAGGCCTCGATGGCAGAGGACAGCGTCAGGGGCTGCGGGCGTGCAGGTGCCCGCAGCAACGGTCACATGGAGCGCGACGTGCGCTCAGCGCCACCAAGGCGCCTGCTGCAGCACATGCTGGCCGTTGCGACTGGCGTGGTGGCAGCGGTTGATGCGGGCATGGTGTCGTGCGAGGACATGGCGCAACAGGCAGGGGCATCACCCCCGGCCCTCGAGCAACACGCAGCCAATGCCGTGGCTCGTCGCGCGCCGCGAGGATGACGCACCGAGCAGTGGGCCGGCCCGATGGCGAGCCCTTTGTCGACCGCACTCGTCGTGAGCCCAACGCAGCCGACAGACAGTCGTCGCCCCGTGACGCTGTCCCCTCCACGCCGTCGCCTCTGCGCCTGCGCGGCGGTCCTGCGAACACATTGCACCGTGCTTCTTCGGCTGCTGCTGCTGCTGCTGCTGCTGCCTGCAGCGCCTAGCCGGCCGTCATGATCCTCCGCATGCCATTCCAGATTGCATGCTCCAAGGCGTGGCCGTTTTGTCGAGCCAGCGCATACCTTTGACAGCACTTAGCATGTCCGTCAGGCATACTACCCATGCACCTACAGACGCCTACAGCATCCACTCTCGCTGCTTTTGCCTCCAGCCCGGGGTCCGCGTCTGCTGCGCTTACAATGCCTTGCTGCCTTTAGCCCTGCGTCGCTGTCGGCTGTCAACTGCACTGCTCTGGATACTCCACCTCTCTGCAATTGCACCCAGCCCGCCGTCCGCCTTGCCTCTCTGCTGATACGGCCTGTATTCCAACTAGCCAGGACATTGCCATTGGCCAATGGCACTTTGCCCGGCCAGCCCATCCCTTCCAGGCATCGTGGATCGGCTGCGGCATGCAGCTTGGGAGACTATCTGCCACAAGCCAGCTCCAATGACGCCCTCTAGCTTCGGTTCCAGCGGAAAACGGTTTCAGTGGACCGTAGGACTATGCACTCCCATCACAGGCCGCGCGGGGTGACAGGACTGAGTCGGCAGATTGGAGTCAAAGCGACGCTACAAGCACCATGATGCCTGTCGTCCTGTTGCCGGCAAAGGTATAAAAGGAGGCCATGTTGAGGGCTGAAGGCCTTTTGCTTTCAAGACCCTATTCTCTCAATTGCTTAAGATCAGAGACTTGTTCTTTCAACCCGGTGCAATCACGGTACACCGTCATTCACCTCCCTCACTACCCTCAGTCAAACTTGGTAACACTTCCTTCAGCAAACATCTTCGCTCTCAGCACGACCTCCACTCTTCTCTTGTCCTACGGTCCACCAGCAAGCAAACATGTCTTCCACACACGCTTACTACCCTTCATATCCTTCTGGGCCCATGCCCATCAACATGCCCCAGAAAGGTGGTTACTACTATCCTCACCCCCAACATGTTTATGGCCGTGTATCGGCATCACCCCCGGAAGCTCCTGAGAGCGTCACAACGTCTGGCGGCCCGTCTTACGAGCCCTCGGCAACGTCGAGCAGCTATGCTGGCAGTGCAAGTGACTATGACTCCAGCGGCACGACTACAGGTGTAGATCTTATGGATTATATGGGTGATCGTATCAACGGCTCATTCAACCCAACACCGCTGGATCGCAGTCTCGCGAGGCAGGCGCAAACGTAAGTCCCATTTTCGTCGTGTCTTTGGCATCGAGTCCCGGCACAAGAAAATCACAAATTGACAGCGAACAGATCAGGCGAACTCAACGCAAAACACCGAGAACTCATGGAATTGCAGGCGTTGGCTCAGCGGCGGCTAGCTGGCGCTCGAGTCAACTTTGCAGATGGCATGAGAGCCGCAAAAGATGTGCAGAAAGATCTGCAGTGGACGCAGAAGCGCGTCGAGTGAGTCTAGTGTGCGAGTATGGCTAAACCAGAACTGATACTGGCAGTGCTTTGAACAATCGCGCAGCTCGCAAATATCCTGAGCAGTACAAAGCAGCTCAGCACCGATATCCTGCTCCTGTCGACTATTAGGCGTAGACGCCTGACGCCGATACTCGGGAACCGGTACCTTGTGGATGATGCACGATAAATTTCGGTTTACTCAGTTTTCGATTCCCCTCAAAATCAACAGGTGACGATCTCACTTCGATTTATGGTTTCTTATACCCAGTATTGTTTTGAGTCTGCAACTTCGCCGGGTATCCTCCTTTAGTCGTCATGTTCTTCTTCACGGCATTTCTCTTCATCCTCTTATATCAGCGAACGCAACGTCCAAACCGACATCTAACGGGGATGGACGCTTCTCGCCGCTTTAGCGATCAGGATGGCGCGCTTGCTTTTTCCACTTTTCCCTTGCTGGTTCACGCACGGCGGATCGGCCCGCTGCAAGGCGCTCATGCACGAGCAGGAGGTGACGGACCAGGCGCTCACGACCCCACCGCGTGGCTCGTCCTGCTTCGCTTGTTTGCTAGGGACTGGAGCCCGGAGAGCTGTGATTTGCTGGATGTGAGCGAATAGCGCGGACAAGTGGGATGGATGGTGTGCGTGCCCAGTGCCCGGTGCCTGGACTTTCCAGTGACTAAGCCCTGGCAAGTGGGTGTTCTGACCGTTGGAGAACGGAGGGTTGTTCGGATGCCTTTCTTCCTGTAGGCCTCGAATTAGGGTCGGTGTTGATATGTAACGGTCGATGTGACGGCCAGGTCACGGGGCTCTCGTGGCGCCGGGCCCCTTGGCATGCCTTGTCAATGTAATGGAACCTGTGATTTGTTGACTGCATGCACATATTTGCACATGTTTTCCTATTGAATGACAGGCTTGCCATTGTTGTATGTCTGACGTAAGGATTTCAGGTGAAAGGCCGCGCATGCACGCACCTTTCCAGTTGCAAGACTGAAATATTGTCACATGAGACGATCGACTGACATGCAATGTATTTCCTCGGCATGCATAGGCTTGTCAACGTGGTCTCATTGATATGCGAACCCACTGCGGCGGATGCGGCACGCGGTAGGTTGGGATTGGTACTCCAGATCATGGCTCGACAACAGATGAGCCACTCCGCCACATCTGCATAAGTGTAATCGGTGGGAGCGCGCTTGCAGCCAGGCTTACCGGTGGCGCAAATTTGTCTCGTCTTTTGAAACAGGTATAGTGTGGAGCTGTTGCGGCTGTCGAGGCAAGTTTCGGGTAATCTGAATGCTCGGGAGCCATCTGTGCAACTGGGGCAAAGGAAAAGGGTTCGGGCAATACGAGGGGTGAAAAGATTGTAATAAAGAAAATGTTGATGAGGGATCAGACGCATGGTGTACGGGGCGGTATCAGGACTCTAAAATCTAGATGGTGGTTACCTACAAAGTCCACACGGGAAGTCGCGAGCAGCTGCCGGGCATCCTCGCAGTGAAAGATGACCTGCAGCACAGGCAAGTACTATGAGTTATGCCTACTCGACATTGCATGTGCAAGCAACAGACGCCCATAATGCCTACTGATGCGCCCAAGCCAACCCAGATGCTGTCCCAACAAAGTCGCGATAGCTACAATCAAACCAGTAAGGGCTCAGCCTCGCATCACCATCCGAACCATGGTCCGCCTCTGATTGACAGTCATTCCGCTGTCCGTCAGCTTCCGGCTTCCGATATGACATGATATCTGGTGTGACAGAGATACAAGCCAGCATTGCGGCCCAAGTGCGACAGTTGACAGCCGATGCGAGGATCTTGAGGTCAGTAAGATTAGGGAACCTGCACGGACGGAGGATAGGCGACAAGGATATAACGGCGGGAATGAACGTGCGGGGTGTGCAAGAGACAGGGTCAAAAACTTCGTGTATCCCGCTCGTGGCACTGTGGCGGTGGATAATCGGAAAAAAAGTATGGCGTGTAACGTGGGGTGCGGGTGAGGCATTGTAGTGTGCGGGGCGTTGAGTATTTGTTGTGTACCTCAGTTAGATCCGACTTTCGTATGCCTCTATGTGCGCATGGGAACAGGTGCCCAAGAAATTCGGGTTCAGTGTCTTTTCTGTAAAGGCGTGTCTTCCAAGCCATCAGTCTTGTTGAGCGAGTCTCAATTAATGTGCTTGCGCTATCAGTCCCCGCAGAGGCACGCAGTCCGATGAGTGATTGTCGTTGGATCAGATGGACAATTGCTACAGATTTGACACGCCGTAAGTAAGATTTGAAATGCCTCATTTACTTCCGCTGGGTAGCTTCTCCCAGGGATCTTCCACAAAGCTAGGGAGGAAATAAGCCTTGTCGCCGTTCTCGTCTACCACACCATTTCGAAGAGCAGCCAGCTCAGCTTGAGGAATCGGCGGACCGCCAAAGGACACCGTGAACGAGGCGCTGGAGTCATCATCGTGTGGGGGCACAACAACCCGGTTCTCTTCTGTAGCAGGCCGTCCTGGAATATCCTGGCCCCTTGACAAAAATGCCGCAAGGCCAGTGGCGGCGGGCTGCTCTTGCTTTTCTTTGGTTTTGTTCTTAGCCAACGCCTGCTGTGACTCGATACCATAGCTGCTGGCTTCGGGATCGGCGCCGTTATCGGATGCTTCTTGCGAAGGATCCAGCTTGACCTTGGACCTTACACCCAGAAGTGTTGTGTTGGCCCCGCTTGCATCGGCTCTTGCTTTGGGGGAATTTGTCTGGTCGTACTTTCGCTTCTTAGTGCCACCGAAGGACGAGAAGCCCATGGCGGCTGCAATGTCGTCTTCTTCCATGTCCTCCATATGGTCGTTTTCCTGGAGGGGGTGGGGGGTTGTATTGGGTCAGATACTTGATTGAACGCTTATTGTGTCTGTCCTCAACGGTTTTATGGATTCACGGGCGATATCGATAAGACGAAAGCGAGTGGCCAATGAGCGCGGAGAAGCGCCGACTGCAAGTTCATCAATGGGCCGTGAGCTACCATAATGTGACCTCCTCCTCGAGAGCGGCAATGGTGCATGTAGCTTATCTAAAGGGAAAGTAGACTTGAAGTCTTGGATCAAAAAGTCTCTATTGGCATATCATCGCAGAATATATTGCATCATCGGAGTCAAAGTCCTGATGCTCTGCATCCGTACCATAGGTGGATCTGGCAGCCTGAATCTGGTCACGCCCAAGGATCGATGTTTATTGTCGACGTTGTCACCTGGGCAAGTCTGCGCCCGAGCACTCGAGGCGTCGCGTAGGACTTCTGCAGAATGACGCGCCTACGCGCCTTGGCGGTGCGGATCGCGCCTGCCACACCACGGCGCCCCAGTGAGCAGCCTGTTGCCAACGCCATGCGCAGAGTATCTTGGTAGACGCGTTGTATCTTCGCACCGCTACCATGAGCCAGTCTCCGCAACGCCCGGCGGAGCCGCGGCCGCGGGCAAGTGTGAGTTCGCTCTCTTTGAGGCTCTTTGACCAAAGCTCACAATAAGCCACAGATGCGAGCGGCCACCATGATCCAGGCCAGCACGGGTGAGCGCATTAAGAAGACGTTCACCCTGCGCAGACAACGCGCGAGATCGCATGGCTCCACCGAGTTCCTGCTCGCGCCCGGCCAGTCTGGCCCCGACCGCCACAGAGACATGGGCAGGATGGAACGGTTCCTCTGGCGGTGCAAGGGCAAGGTGCAGGGAGCGTACAGATTTATAACCTCCCCTACTGGCATAAACATCCTGAAATGCTCTCTGGCATACATTCTCGGCAGTCTGGCGACTTTCGTGCCTCTTATATCGGGTCTGCTAGGAAGGAACGATGGAAAGCACATGGTGGCCACGGGTAAGTCTCTCGCGGACTGCAAAAGTTCAATCCGAGTAGAACTAACTCCGCCTTCAAGTCACTGTCTACTTCCACCCAGCACGCTCCGTCGGGAGCATGATCGAAGCCATTCTACTCGCCTTCGCCGCCTTCCTCTACGCTGCCTTCATTTCGTTCACCAGTATGGCCGTAAACGTCTTCTTCGGTCGACACCACCTCCTCGTCGTTGGGGATATCATAGTGCTTCTGGTATTCTGCGGTGGAGGCCTAGGGTTGGTCGGATGGACGAAACAGAAACTCGGGAACCCGCTAGTTAATGTTGCCTGTTCACTGACCTCTCTTGCCTTGATCACGGTCCTTACGAAAGAAGGGGCTGTCCAGGCAGCAAAATTCTCATACATCAAGGTGTGGCAGGTCCTGAAGATGGTCATCATGGGCACCGTTGCCTCATCTGCGGTTGCACTGCTTATCCGGCCTTCATCAGCGCGCAATGAGTTCCGAGACACGTTCATCAAGGCCACGGATGCCATGGGCGAGATGCTTACACACATCACACGTAGTTTTCTATCTGGTTCTGAAGCAGACTTGAAGACACCCGAATTTCTCAGGGCATCTGACCAAAGCAAGTCAACGTACAAGATGCTTGTGAAGAACCTTGGAGAAGCCAAGTATGAACATTATGCTCTAGGTACCGAAGAAGAGTACAAGATAGCATCTCGCTTAGTCAAGTGTCTGGAAGAGCTGATGCAAAGCATTGGTGGCTTACGAAGCGCTGCTGAGACCCAGTTCACCCTGCTGGCACAAACGAATACACCAAATGGTGGTACCAGGGTGGCAATGACTAATCTCAGTACGGCCAGTTCAGCGATATCACTGATAGAGAGCGGGTCATCACCTGTACTCTCGCCTTCCTTGAGTCATACAGATCGTAGATCCAGTATTCTCGCCTCGATCGACGAACTGCCTGAAAGCTCAGCCGATGTCACTGATGATGAGTCCGACCAGCCCAATAGAAACTCTATCCGGGTGCCACAGGGTATACAGAGCAATCTTACCCCAGCCGACATGTTCACCGTCTTCATAGCTCACCTCGGCCCCCCGATGGTACGTACTACCCCACATTATTGTTCAAGCATTGTGTCTGACAAACGCAGAAATCACTAGCTTACACTCTCCGAGATGTCCTTGATGAACTCCCCTTTGGGCCAGGTCCCGAGTACGAAATGGCCATCAACGAACACTTCCGCCATAGTTTGATCGATGCTACAGCACTCTTTCTAAACGCCAGGGAGGGAGCGCTAGCAGCTGTGTATCAGAACAAGATAACCACAAAGACAGGCTCACTCGAGGTTGCTGCCGACTTCGAAGAAGTTGCCGCTAGCTGTGGTTACTTCACATCATCTCTGCAAGATTTCGCCGAGGACATGGTTACCTTCCTAGATGTTCTAGAGCAACTGAAAGATAATGCGAAACGGTACCCTCGCAAACGAAGTTGGACTTGGTTGAAGTTTTGGCGAAGATGGGCCTGGTTTAGGAGTTCAAAACTCAATGAAGACGCTGGTGAGCCCCTTGAACCTTGTATTTGACGCAGGTGCTGAATTCTCAGAATCTACAGGACTGCTAGATGATCGAGGAGTCCAGTGGCAGATCAGAAGACCAATCTACCGAAAGTCCACGCGTGGCGATCCGGACAAAGGAATCGACGAACAGCCTTTAACGTACCGGGTATGGCTAAGGCTCAGCGTTTTCCGGCAAGATGACATCCGATATGCCTTCAAAGTTGGCATCGGTGCAGTGCTGTACGCAATGTGGGCCTTCATTCCCGCAACGCGAGATTTCTACGGACATTGGAGAGGAGAATGGGGTCTTTTGAGTTACATGTTGGTCTGCTCAATGGTACGTGACCACGCAACTATTTTATGATATTCTAACATCGTGCTATAGACCATCGGTGCTTCCAACACGACCGGCTTCCATCGGTTCTTCGGAACTTGTCTGGGTGCTGCCTATGCCATAGTCGCATGGATTATGGCCCATGAAAACCCCTTTGTCCTTGGCTTCTTCGGCTGGCTTGTGTCCCTTCAGTGCTTCTACATCATTGTCGGAAAGGGAAAAGGCCCCATGGGACGATTCATCATGCTCACGTACAATCTCTCTGCGCTATACGCATACTCGCTCTCTGTGAGGGACGAAGAAGATGACGATGACGAAGGAGGGATCTCACCAGAGATCTGGGAGATTGTTTTGCATCGCGTGGTCGCAGTCATGACGGGTTGTATCTGGGGTATCATCGTCACGCGACTCATATGGCCCATCTCTGCAAGGAAGAAGATCAAGAAAGGTACCTCCCTTCTGTGGCTTAAAATGGGTCTGATCTGGCAACGTGGACCGCTCCGCGTACTGTATGAGTCGCAAACCAGCGATTCTCACTCCGGGGTTTCGTACATGACTTCTCGTGAGGACATTGACCTTCGTCGATTTCTCAGCACGCTTGAGGCACTACAAAGCTCAGCATCCTCAGAGTTCGAATTGAAGGGACCATTTCCAGCAAGGACTTTCAGGGGCATACTCCAAGCAACAAGCCGCATGCTGGATAGTTTTCACGCTATGAACGTTATCGTTCTTAAAAATCTAAAGTTGACCGAGGGCGAAAAAGAGATTCTAAAGTACACGAAAACGGAGTGGACTGAGCTGAGTTGGCGCATCAGTCATTTGTTCTCGGGTAAGATCGTCACCGCTCGGATGAATCTCTGCTTACAAGATCTTATAGTCATGGCGTCTTCTATGAAGCTCGAATACCCGCTCAATGCAGTGTTACCTAAAGTGGAGCGGATAAGAGATCGACTGCTGGCTAGGGTCTTTGAGTTTAGGAGATCTGGTCTTGGCAACGAACTTGCGAAGGATGAGGACTACGAGTTGTTATACACTTATGGTACGTTCATAATTCCGACGAGGATATGCCAATTACTGATTCTGGTATAGCTCTTATCACCGGACAATTGGGTCGTGACCTCGCCATCATCAGTCGGGAGATTGAGAAGTTGTATGGTGTGCTTCACGAGGAAGACTTGAGGCTACAGTAGTTATGCCATTACTATGCTCTTAATGATGTATATATGGAATAGGTTAAATTTGCGAATAAGTGGTGTGATTCTGAACCATCGTAAGTATCATATAGATTTTTTATTTAAAAACCACAAAAGGTATGAACGCCAGTCATGAGACGAACACATACCTGTGGGCTTCTGCTCCTGGATGACCAGTATAGTCAGAGCTCTGATCCTAGTATACGTGAGTAATCTTACGATGCCATCGAGTACATGGCTCTCATTGCGAGTCACGATGAGTGCGCAGTACACGATCGAGTTTCGATGGGCATCCGTCATATGTGTAGGCAAACTTGACACCAGGTTAAGGCATGCTATTGTGCGCATTAATCAAGTAATCGCGCTGTCCTGATCGTCTGGCTGGTGAGCTGTATACGTATAAAAAACCATCTCGTCGCCGTGTTCACGAGGCATCGTGATGCAATCGCGCTAATTGGCAATGTCCTTGTGACAGCGGAGAGAATGGAGGACTGTCAAAGGTGGAGGACAGCAGCGCACCCAAAAAAGCGCCGAGTGTTCAGAATTTGTCGATGGTCGTGAGACTCCACACTCTCAATCGGCTCAAAAATTGACCTATATTTTCTGTTATTGAATCGACATTGTTTTGGTTTTGGTAGCATTGAGGTGGGTCATGCGCTAGGCTTTATACAGACTAGTGTGACCTTGGCGGCACACACTCGCTTCCATTTCGACCTGATCCACGAAAGATTCCGCCGTATCTCCAACTTCCAACGACCGCCGCCGACAAACCACTGCATCCAAAATGTAAGAACCACGCATCTCAATACAACTCTACCTGGCAATTAGCACGAGCCCGGCCATCGATACCTCTTCCGCGTCACCGTTTCGCCCGAAAGCGCTTCCTGCGTGGCGGCGACCCCTCTTTGCCCAACTTCTTCAATACCACCCACCACAGCATCCCAGACTCACATACTGACGCTCAATGCCTTTAGGGTCAACCTCCGCACGCAGAAGCGCCTCGCGGCGTCCGTTGTCGGCTGCGGAAAGCGCAAGATTTGGCTCGACCCCAATGAGGTCAGCGAGATCTCCAACGCCAACTCCCGCCAGACCATCCGTAAGCTCGTCGAGGATGGCCTCATCATCCGCAAGCCCGTCACCATGCACTCCCGTGCCCGCGCCCGAGAGTTGACCGCTGCCCGACGGATCGGCCGACACCGAGGTTTCGGTAAGAGGAAGGGTACCAAGGATGCCCGTATGCCCAGGTATGCAACCTAGACGAAACCGCACCGGTTGTGGTGGAAAATCCGTCGCGAGAAGCGGCTTTTGGGATGCATGCTAACGAAGGGGTTTAGCCAAGTTCTGTGGATGCGCCGTCTCCGTGTCCTCCGCCGTCTCCTCGTAAAGTACCGTGCCGCCGGAAAGATCGACAAGCACCTCTACCACGAGCTGTACCACCTCTCCAAGGGTAACACCTTCAAGCACAAGCGTGCTCTCGTTGAACACGTACGTTGCCCATGCCCGTGACATCATGACCTGGTCAGCTGCACTTCAGTAGACTGACTCCGCTTCCAGATCCACAAGGCCAAGGCCGAGAAGGCTCGCGACCGGGCTCTCAAGGAGGAGATGGATGCCAAGCGTGCGAAGACCAAGGCTGCGCGCGAGAGGAGGCAGGAGCGCGTCCAGCAGAAGAGGCAGGCGTTGGTTGGCGGCGACGACGAGTAAGCGGGACGATATGTGGCATGAACATTCTGGCGTGGGCTTTCTTACCGGCAAAGGAGGCGTCTATCTCCTTTCCACAGTCTCAATGGGGCATATGCGGTCATGTTTTCATGTACGTCCGGGTCTGCAAAAGAGCTCTTCTCCGTTGCACGCTCGACCTGCCCTGGCCGCCTTCTGACTCGTGCATGATGTCCATACATAGGGTAATGGGAGCATTGAGTTAGAAACGGGTGGTCGCTAGTGTCAGGCTTTTTGAAAAAGTGATGTTTTCTAGCACTGTGGACGTCGACGCCCACCGAGTCCATCCAAAGAATGCCCGCCATGATTGAAGATATCAATAACAATAACGCCACAATGTCTTCCTGCCCGTGGGTATCGAACAGCCATAACGCCAATGCTCCCATGTGCCCGACATTCGAACCGTTGTCTCACTACCAGCATGCTCCACATCGCATCCCCACCTGCGCGTTCTCAATGAGCAACGTAGGCGTGATGGTACCCACCCTCTCGTCGCAGGCTAATGTCTGTGATTACACTCTCTAGTCCCGGGCACGAAAACTGGGCACCATGTCTCCAAAGAGTGTACTCAGACTAGGACCAGGCATAGTATGTCAATAACGATGGTGCGCTTTCAAATCTTCTAGACGTTAGCGAATGCCAGTCTCAGCTCTTCACATTCACAAGCAGACTTACCAGTTTCAGTGCGGCGCGATGCACGCTCTTTGTGAAGTTCAGCATTGCTCTGGCTTTCATGTTTCCTCGCTGCAACCTCCGATACGCCTCTTGCACATGGCCTGGCTGCACGGGTTCTCTGGCCTCCTCAGGTGGGTCAAACAAACCCCTTTCCCTCTTCCTCTTCAGTCGGTTCGCCTCGGCGCCGCCTCCGCTGGTCTTTTTGTACAGATCTTCGGCTTCTTTGACTCTCAGCGCTTCTTCCGTAAGCGTCTGCACAATCTCAAAGGTCAAGAAACCCAGGATATCAATGATGTCGTCACTCGGCTTGGAATCCGTGATCAGACCAAAGCCCGCCCACTCTTTGAAGCGCTTTCCCTTGCGGTAGGTGAAGGAGGCTTGTCGGCAGTCGGACCAGTGGACGTATTCTTCTCTGGTCATGTTCTTGGTGCGCTCGTCGGCGTTCTTAAGACGCTGGAGCGTGGCGTAGTTCATCTCCTCCTCTTCTTCGTCTTCGACATCGTCCATTAGGGGTGGGTTCTCGGCAAAAAAGGACTGCACCTCCCAAACGAGATCGACTTTTGCGCGCTTTGCTTTCTTTCCTGCATCGCCTGGAGCCGCGGGACCCGCTCCGACAACACCAGCAGCGAGGTCTGCGTCTCCCGCAGCGACGTCGGCGCCAGCGTCACCGCCCTTGTCGTCACTGTCCTTGACGGAGCGACGGACATCCTTCCACTGTAGAAAATGGCGCAGACGAGAGATTTTGGCGCGGTCGTGGCGGATGAGCATGAAGAGGTCGTCCGTGCCTATTGACTTGGAGCCGCGGCGGGTGGCGAGGGTTGTACATTCTCGGAGCATGTGCTGAACCTGGTCCTGGACAATGGACTCTATCAGGGTTGTGGTCTCAGGGGAAGGCTCGCCGGTCTCTCCAGAGACGAACATCATCTGCTGGATCTCGGTCCGGTACTTGGCCATCTTGTCCTTGTCCGACATGTTGGCGGACTCGTACTGGTTGGACGCTGCTAACGGGACAAGAAGCGGTGCATATAGCTGGGGGGAGCGACCGACAGCCAGCCGTCGAACGTGGCGATGGCGCGAGGATGGCGGAGAGGCGTCGGTGGGTTTGCGACGGCGGGCGCGCGCGGCTGGGATCGCTGTCGGGCGGAAGACGGTGCAGCGATGCGCGCTTGGCTCGCGGCGTCCAGCCCTACGAAGTAGGCGCCGGGCAGCCCCGCTTGAATTTTACGACCCCGCCAACAAACAAATCGCCAGCGCGCATCCGCGTGCAACTGCACACCCCACCGCACAGCCCACGCCCCGCGTCGCCATGCTGTACCTCGTGGGCCTCGGCCTCGCCGACGAACGGGACATCACGGTCAAGGGCCTGGAAATCGTCAAGAAGGCGGCGCGCGTCTACCTCGAAGCCTACACGGCGGTCCTGCTCGTCGACAAGGACGTGCTGGTGAGTCTTGCTCCAAGCAGCGTGCGAGGGCGCAGCTAAGTTGCACGGCAGTAGGAAGCGTTCTATGGCCGCCAAGTCATCGTTGCCGACCGCGAGATGGTCGAGTCGTCCAGCGACGACATCCTCCGCGATGCAGACAAAGTCGATGTCGCATTCCTCGTCGTGGGCGATCCGTTCGGGTATGTACAGGAAGGCCGGCGCCTTCCGGGACCGCCGCTCACATGCAGTGCAGAGCAACGACACACACCGACCTCGTCCTCCGCGCCCGCGAGCTCTCCATCCCTACGCGCTCCATCCCCAACGCCAGCATCCTCACCTCCATCGGCACCACCGGCCTCCAGCTCTACAACTTTGGCCAGACCGTTTCCATGGTCTTCTTCCTCGACAACTGGAAGCCCGCCTCCTTCTACGACCGTATCCGCGAGAACGTCTCCGTCGGCCTGCACACCCTTGTCCTGCTCGACATCAAGGTCAAGGAGCAGTCGCTCGAGAACATGGCCCGCGGCCGCAAGATCTACGAGCCGCCGCGCTACATGACCGTCGCTCAGTGCGCCCAGCAAATGCTCGAGATTGAAGAGGATGTAAAGAAGGAGGGCGTGTATTCGAGGGAGAGTCTGGCTGTGGGCGTCGCCAGGGTGGGCGCAGAGGACGAGAAGATTGTAGCCGGCACGCTAGGCGAGCTGTGCGATGCCGACTTGGGAAGGCCTTTACATAGTCTCGTCTTGCTGGGACGCAGGACCCATGATCTGGAGAGGGATTTCTTGGTCGAGTTCGCTGTGGACAAGGAGACGTTTGCACGCGTCTGGAAAAGCGATTATGAGGGCAAGCAATGAGCGCGTCCGGTTTGCCTTTTCCATCTTCACGGGGCCCGTAGAATAACAAGTAGAAGCCAAGTACAGTTGCGCTCGTACTGCGTCTTTGCCTTGAATATGTGGTACTTGTATCGTTCAAGCGCAATAGGCAGACACCAAGGCAATCCTTGTATACCTGTCATCCTCTCACGGGTTCTCGAGTAACGCTTTCCCTCGAGGAGTTCCCTTCGTGACTGCATCTCATCTCTCGAGCTCTACACCTCTCGAACAATCGGAGACACAATGTCCGCAAGCGCTATTGACTTGACCCGCCTACCGTTGGTCCGCACCTCTTACTTCACCATACTGTCACACCCAACATTCGCTTACCATCGGCCCCCAATCCCACATGCCCATCAGCAGACAATCCACCTGATCTCCCTGATTGCGAGCAGCCACCATTAGTTGCTCCCTTGATGTATAAAGCCTGCCCCATTCCCACCCCTAAACTTCCTCTCCACACTCCCAGTCTCCACACTCCCAGACTCCGTTGAGGAACATGAGTTCGACTTCTACGCCCCGTCGGCGGTGGGGTTGGAATACTCGACTTCTGCCTCTCTGCATGTGACCGTGTGGAGGGAAGGGTGACGAGGATATTAAATCCGCCCACAGAAACTCCACAATGGAGTAGACCTGGGACGGCTCTTGTCAAAGGGTGAGTCAGGGGCCGGACGTACTAACCTTCGTTGGTGTTGGACTGGGTGCTATCAACGATACAGCTAGAGTGAACTCAGTGCATAATGCACTTCGAACTCTGACGTTCCTTGCCCGACCCTCAATAGACTTGGGACTCAGGTTCAGGAGTCATCGTGTGATTATTTGATTGAAGTGAAACACTGGCATACTTTACTACGCCTTTAAGATGCTGGAATTCAAGAGATTCTAACGAGCAGCCGGGCTTTGAGCGTAGCGTCGTGATATATGCAGACCCATTCAAATCCCCCGAGTGGCGAGTTATCATCACTCCTTGTCGGTTTTCTCCACTAGGCTCTGATATCGTTTTGTTTGACCCACGATTGTGCAGAAAGGAGCAAAAAGGATGTGACGGTTCAAGTTATCAGAGAGAAGGTCAACGCATTATAGGAGCAAGTCGGGTGTTGGGTTGGGCGAGTAAAGCGAGGGTGTGTGGCCGAGCGGAAGCACGACCAGTGATCCTATTGATTCCGACCTTCAGATACCAAATTACTCCGATAACTGTCGAGAAAGTAGAAGAAGCAACAGAAGCAACAGAAGCTGATCCGTTGAACGCATGCTTCACAACAGACGTTAGACATACGACTAGCTATTGTTATGAATGCACGCTGTTCGTAATATCATGCCTAAAAGAGCATTCAAGACGAGACGAGTGGGATTGTTAAAGGGAACTTCGATCCTCCCCCTTTGTGGAGATGGTTATCAATGGACACGAAATGCGCCTGGGCGAAGTCATCGGACACTCCAGAAGGTCTACCTAAGGTCAGTCTGCTTCTCCAGCGAATCATCTCGTCTTTCGCTCCTTGTCTCACCAAAGAATTACAATGGACCTACATCAATTCAAGCCAAGCTCGACTGGCAGGTGTGAAGCAATCCCACATCCAGTTGGGAATGCTAAGTGTGTCGCGAAATGCACATTCCTTTGGAAGCATGGTTAGATATGATTGACCCAACGAAGCCACACAGGACATGTCAGCTTCGGACAAAGGTCTCACATGCATGCGGTTCAGCGATCGACATGGCTCCATGCTTCTTAACCCCCTTCGACCGTAGTTATCTACCCGGACGCTCCCGCTCCTGGACACTACACCACTTCGGTCCCCTTACTGCGGTCCCATACCAGCGCCCAACGCGTGCATCATACGCAACGAGGCATCTCAACACCAATCACCTCCACATGTCCAAACCTGTACGACCAACGTTGACGCACGCACAAGCATGGGAGACACCACCCTGAGAGCCGGGAACCCTGCATCCACATCCTTCCGTACGCCCAACGACGCTCCGGCAGCTTTACATAGATAGCCCTAGAAAGCGTAGCCCCTCAATGCCGATCATACCCCACAGCGCGCTATGATCCGCAAGCAGGCGCTACAGAGTCACCGAGGGCGACGGCGAATTTCTGTTGGGACGCACCAGGGTCTCGCTTGCTTCCACTCGCAACCGGCGCGCCATGAGCTGTGCTGTTGTTGTGGCCATGTTTGGTTTCGAGATGATTCTCCAAGGCTTGGATTGAGCAAGGGAGCGTAGGGTGCGACGTCAGGATGATGGGATCGAGGGCCAACACTTGACAGGATGAGTGCTCTGCGCATGTTGATTGGCTAGCTGAGGCATGAATACGCTTTGCAGTCGCACGTAGCGTTGCCAACAAGCGACGAAAGCACGGCGTGATGGGCGGCACGTCTACCGCGGGCCCGTTGTAGGGGTGGCGCAGATGTATTACCTGTGGAGAAATGCGGTCAAGCTGAAGTCATGCACTCCTCCAACTTTTTAATTTTTCAGACGTGATATGAAGTAGGCATGAAATCACTGGTCCAGCATGGCAGGCACAAGATCAAGTTGCAGGTACAAACAATACAAAAGAAGATTCGTATCTCATTTTAAGGCTAACCACAGATGTTGCCCAGTGCATACATAGCGCATCCTACATATTGCATGCATGCTGTTGGGTATCATAATCGGTGTGTCTGATTTGAGCACTTCGTATCAGCTAAACACCATGCGCCGTCCCGCCGCTCAACTCCGAACCAATGAGCCTGAACACAGTACAATACAATGCATGGTCGTGAATATTCGTGAGAATGCCAATCTCCAAAGTGGGTATGGCAGATGTACAGGGAGACTGCTCGAATGCAATCATACGGGGACGTCTAGCAGTGCCCTGCGTAATGGGAGGATGAAAATGTCCCTAGGTCCAGGTTTTGCTCAAGGTCATGTCCATGTCGAGGTGCTCAGCAATGGACGAAGCAAACTCCCTGTCGGACGTTGAGCCGCTTGAACGTCGGCGTCTCTGGCGTCGTATTTGCTGTTCCGCATCCATGAGACGCTCTTGGATCCACTGACGGTACTTGCCATCGCTTCGTACGGACTCGGTGTTGAGGAGCTCGGTAAGCGTGGCCTTGATGTCCTTGTTGACCTGGAAAAGTTTGTGGGCATCTTCAGGATTGGCGACGCCGTGGCCATGTCCTGCACTTGACTGCTGAACGGGAATTGGGTTCGAGGTGAATTCTGGCTCAGGCGACCAAGTTGACGAGAAGGACGTTCGAGGCGACGATGCAAGCGACTGCGACGCGGGCGATGCTGTGGTCACTGGCGCACCGCAGGGGACGTGAAGCGAGAGTCTTCGATTGAGCACTTCTTGTTGCGAAGAGAGAAGCATGTACTTCTGTATGGCGTCGTGCTGTGTGTGGATTAGCTGCAGCTCCTTGATTGTTCTTTGCGGTAGACAATGCTCACATCACTTGCTGGAAACATTGCGGTGGTGTTGTGATGGTGTCGTGGGTGAGGTGTGTGTATGTTCTGTGTGTCCTTTCTGCAGCGAACAGACCGGAGGTGGTATATGAGTGCGCAGGGGAACTCGAAACGATTGATCCGAGCGATGCGGTGCGGGGAAGCTATCGATAGCTGTAGGCTGACCGCAGGCACAAAAGCGCTTAGAGCTGCAGGCTTGCTTGGTTGTGGTCGCGGAGGCGGAGGTCTGGCCGATAGCGTGCGTTGTGGTTGGCCAGGTTCGTTCCGAAAGCGTCGTGGTAAGGTGATATCGGGAAAGGGTCTCGCGATAACGCTTGGGCTCAGGATATTTGTGTGTAATGGGAACTGGCGGGTGCTGCTCGACGTGGAGTGGTGGTCTGAAAGGTGTAAAGCGTTCCTGGCGGAGGCCGGTGGGGGCTTTATCAAGGACGACCTGATGCGCATTCCACGTTGGGCCATGACGTGAAAGCAAAAGGCCGTGGACGGCTGAATCCGGCTAGACGGCCCCCTTGAGCAGACTCCATCCTCCGCCGCGGGTCGCGTCCCAGGGCCGCTGTTGCAAAGCGTGATTGGGCCGTGGGCCTTGCCGCTGAGATCGCCCTGCCTGTAAAGCCGTGTAAAACCCGCCAAGCCCACATTTCGTGACATTTCCAGCGATTTCGTCACTGGGCCAGGGCCTCGTCGATCCTGATGCGCTGCTGCATCGCGATCGTGGCTCCAACGCACCACCACAAGACTCCCTCGTGCCTGAAGATCGTGGTACTTCTTTGGCCAAGCGCCAGCAGCTGCATGCATTGTGTTCCGCCTGTTTTTCGCCGATAAGCTCCCTCCACACCACTTTGCTCAAAATTATTTCACCATGTGTGCAGACTCTCGCCGTGAGGTCTGATTTAACAATGACGTTGGTGCAAAATCATGTCCCTCGTGGCCCCTGGTGCACGAGAATCTGTTTCAGCAAGACATGTCAGCTCTCCAACGTCACTTGCGCTCGAGCCCAGCGGATCGAACTCTGTGTCTCTAACCGAGCGCCTTGCAACAGCTTGCTTGTTTAGGCCACAAGGCGTGGCTTTGAATGATCGGCCTGTGTCTCGCCCTCTGATTGCCTCGCTAACACCATGGGAAAATAGAAACCGGTTTCTCCTCAGCCTCCTCTACGTGGCTTGAGCTGCCCCGTTGCGTGTCCCTACTGTACGCTGCCCATATTTCAGGTTTAGCTGGTACGCTTACCCATGACGACGGTGCACTCTTCAACGCTGCCGGATGTTCGGGATCATGGCGAAGTCTTGTTTAGGGAGGATCGCCAACCGCACCTTGGTAAGAACACTCTGGACCTTTCCGAGAGCAACGAAACCAAGTTTCGAATTTCCCTCCCGCGTCATGTGCGCTGCCGCAACACTTGCAGATTCCACGTGGGACATGCGGAAGTTCCAGTCCGAGATAAGGATCTCAGACATAGTGGTGCAAGCTCACTCTGAGTCATGCCGCAACGTCACTCTACGTGCCCCAATTCAGGACATCCCCACGTCTCGGCCTTTCCTTGCTGCCCAAGACCTCTGCTTCTTCGCGGCGTAGTCTTTGAGCAGCTTGTCCCCATGATGATTACTTCTCCGTACCACACGGCGCACTTCACCCTCGAATGATTCCTCAACCTCGATACTGTCAAGTAGCCCACTTAACACTGCCGCATTGCGCTCTTGTAACGCGAGCAGTGCTAATGAGGTACCATAAGTACGCATGTGCCGTGCATGACCTTCGCTTAGCTTGCTCAGGGAAGTTCGATATCGTCCACGTCGCCACTGCGGTAGACCGCGAAGAGGTTCTCAAAAGGCTTCGAGTCTGTCAAAGTTAGATGCTCGGGTGCCTTGCGCTGAGGACGTGAGCAATCCGATTGTGTCTATTTCCTTCGCTTGCTTTGCAACGGTTAAGACTGTATCCCAATGGATCCATGTCTTCCAGTTCGTTGCGTATGGTTCCGTCCCCCGTGTGATAGACTCCATCCTCTACCAGGTGCATGAAAATGGCGTGGAAGTAATCCGCCTCCGGGATCTCGCCAGACTTCTGCCGGTAGTAATCTTGACGATAACACGGGTTTGGTGCCCTGGCAGGGAAGGCACTGGCCATCTTGGTGATGTATTCTCGCGGTAAGCCGCCGCACAGGATATCGTGACCTTTCATCTAAGGACGCAGCTGTTCGTTGCGCCCTCTGGCTTTGCATCCCGTGCAGGTGTCGCGACTTTGGGGAGCGTATGGAAGTCAACGTGCCGTGGGGGCCAAACCACCATTCGCCGGACCGATGAAAAATGGAGTCCCACTACCGCAGAGCGCATATAAGGAACTCCTCTTGACGATCGGGGGCCTTCATGACTCCCGCGGTCACGTATTTGTGAGTTGGCGTCAAGCGTCTGCACTGGTATTCCAGCACCTTATCTACCCTCATATCGCAAGTTCCACAGGGGCTGATGCAAGAGACTAGACCTCTACAGTACCTTACCTTGTAAAAATCATTGTATTGTACAGTTCTTAAATTATAATCTGATAGTCCATGCTAAACTCTCACAGCCACAAACATCCTAGTTTTTACTGTTAGCCACTTTGATCCACATATACCCTCCTCAACATGAAGCTGGTTCACCTTGGATTCAGATTCGACTACAACTCACCGTCAAGCCGGGCAATCATCCAGGTAATAAAGTACCACAAAGTCTCCAATCTGGTAATGATATAAGCCACTTTGTTCAGAGCGCATGACTGATAATGTGCTCGATACATATGCAATCTCCGTGCACGAAACTTCGGAAATATGAACAAGTGCAATGAATGGAGCTGTCCTTATTTGGGATACTTGGAGCTCTGAGGTAATCGAGCACAAGACGCGGATTCTATCAAATAGACATAGTGAACGGAAATCTTCTTCAAACGTTCAGTGGCAGGCCTAATGCTAGAAACAAGGCCGATGTTTCGCTGCAATGTGTGATATGTAATCGCATTAACATTATTGGGGTCATAGCCAGCAGCAGACGAATCGATAGATCCGCTAGGCCTACGGCATGTGATGAGAGTAGGGGGGCTGTGGAGTGTATCAGATCCTCACCTTCAAGCTGGCCTGTTTCGCGCAGTGGAAGGCTACGGCTCGAAATTCTTATAGTTTGTGCATATTATGTTTAACCTTCGACCGACAGGCAAAGAGAAAATCGCGAACTGCCCCGTACCGTGTTTCCCAGACGTTCTGTTTCTCTACCGCAGCAACTTCGCCAGCAGGCGTGATACACCGTTTCCTTCATCATCAGGGCATGTCGTGAGAAACAGTTAGAGATTATCAAGATACTACTGTCTTCACGTGGCATAATACCCCTGCAGAAAGCAGGTGCGTATCAAAGATGTGAAGTACCAACGAAGATATCCTGGCTGAGAAGCGGAAGCTCATCACTGTCAGATGCTCGACATCTCTTGCATGTGCAGCCTCGCCACAAACACGTCCTACCTCGTGCTGCAGGCCATTGAAGCTTTTGCTTACGGACTCATATATGGGATACATAACGCGAAAAGAGTCGTGATCGTGAGGCGGAGCGTCGCCGGGGCGCGGCGGCACGTCGTTGTGAGAGTGTTCAGACCCACTAGTGGAGGAGAAAGGATGAGTGGTATAGCGCTGCACACTGCTCGTAAGCCGAAGAGGAGGTCTCTGGACGTCGGAGAATCTGGCCAGAAAATTTAGGACCGAGATTGCTGCCTCGTCAAACCACATGACTGCTCAAATGTCTACGTGTTGCGCCCATCGGCCGGGTTTAGGTGCGCGCCAACGGGTTTTGCGGTTCCTAGATACAACATCAGGGTTAAGTCTGAGTTGCATGGGAACTGTGATGTCCCATTTGTCCACTCCATAACTTGACTTGCTGGGTATACTGCCATCGGTGCAGTTGCCCGTCAGCCGGGTCGCTCTCAATTTGGTTGGAAATGCACGGCTGGGTCACCGAGCCGAAGTGAATAGACATGGATCGGGGCTGGTCCGGCTTATGACAGTACTCTGAAGACAGTAACTTGTCTGCCTCGCGGGGCTATCACCCGATAAGGTCATTTAGGCTAGCCGACAGAGTGCGTTGGGAATGTCCTGTAACATAGCTAATAAAGGTTAAACATCATGCTGCATCTCCTGCACTTTGTCCAGCGCGCCGTAACAGTAGTGGTCGATAATCAGGGTCTCATAAGAGGGTACTCCTTTGAGCTACGTGAGTGCCTTAGGCGGCTTGGATGGGTTGGAGCGCTCTCTGCCTTGCCAGACAGATTACAAGGTCTGATTTTCGGAAGGCGTAGGCCAAGTAGATCTCTGCGAAAAGGGCGCAGGGAGAGGGCAAACTCAGTCCTCCACCAGCATGCCCTTGAAGATGGCTTGGACGTATATTCTGAGCGGTAGTATGGTTGCCCGCGTTTCCGTCGTGCAATCGATAAGCACAAGTCGGCGAGGCTTCTCATCTTCGACCCACCCCTCTGAGCTTTATGTGCGACCTCGACTGCTTCTGCCCTTGATTCGACTACCGCACGCATCTTTCTCGTGTAGTCACGCTCCTCACTCGCCAGTCCTGTATTGCCACCCATTTCCATATCTGTAAAGCGTGCGATGTGGTTGGGGTGTGGTGCAGACGGCAAAAGTGTGAACGTATTTGCTTGCGAACTGCAAAGTCATCGTATGCGCGGTCGACGAACTGTCACATTTCCTGCGTAGCTGTACGCTCGTTCCAGAAGCCCTTCCCATAACTGACGAGGATCTCTTGACCTTTCGGGATTCCTCTGGAGTTCTTCCCGCTCTTTCCCACACGCAAGACAAAGATTCCTACCCGCTTTTCTATCTTCCCATTGCCCAGGTCGATGTAAGTATCCTTGAATTCGGCATTTGGTGCGCTTGACACGCCTCTGTAGTCATTAATGAACCGTGCTTCATTCCCACTTCGGGATGCATCGACTGAAAGGCCATGATCGCGATCTAGCGACAAGTCGTAGTCGGAATTGTCATCAGTTTCAGAGTGATCATGAACGTATCCCAGGTACGATAGTATGAAGGCACCGGGTTGCAGGCTTTGACTTGCAAACAGGCCGTACTGTCCGTGAGCGGGATGACGTTCATCTCCAATGGGGGTAATTTTGACGTTCGAATAAGGAGCGACTACCTGGCGAGCTTCCTCGCCAGACGGTAGGTCCGCTTTCGCTAGAACCAACACGCTCATGGCCTCGTAAGTCAAAACCTTTGAGTAGCTTGGTAGCCGTAGGTAAGGAATGTGTGTTGGCCAGTTTTTGGGAAGTTGTTGGCTCTGCTTCATTGACCCAGCACCTCCCGTTCGTGGGGTCTTTGAAGGAGCTCTTTTCCGGTTCGTCTGCATCGCGTGTGGAGTGACTACGTTGGAAGTTCAGATGTGAAGGTTCCTCGAGGGACTCAAAGAAAGAATGAGAGGAATGCTTTGGGGAGCGGTGGTCGACCGTTTAGAGTTGGGTGCTCGCTGGCAAGATTAGCGTTCTGATCAGCTCTGACAACTGTTAGTGTTAGATCTTTGGAGCCCCCATACCGATTATGCTCAGTAGGACGAGGGGCAAGCAGCAGCGGGTGGTGCAGCGGGTTGGTGCAATTTGGGTGGTGGGTGGAGGTCGAACGACTCCAGGGCTCTACCCCGCCTATCGATACTGCAGAGGTCTGCGACTGCCCACACAACATTGCTGGAAACGCCGAAAAAAACATGTTGACTTCACGTTGACATCTCCTACCAACAGAAGCCTATGCTGATCAGCCTCAGTCGCTCGTGTTGCGACTGCACGGCCTGCACCTCCTCTCATTGGCATGTCTGTTGCTCAGGAGAGACGTCGCGGAGTGTGTTATGCCGCATCTTCCGAGGCACGCGACGCGTCGTCTTTGCTGTGTGCAGCTGTCGCGAGCCCACACACAGCGATTGCATATTTCGATATCAGCCGTTGGCCGAGGCGTGCGCTAAGAGCACGGGAAGCAGCTGCGAGATATCGCGAGCGAGATTACTCGGCCCCGAGTACGCCGCAATACAATATTGGGGTTATCACTCGGCGCTTCTTTTTTTGTAAAGCGCATATTATGGCCTCATGCACAGAGCACATCCGCTCAGCAGGGGAAGACCACACGGTGAGCTCTTCCCGGAGACGCGAACCGAAATATTCGCTGAACGAGGCGACGAGGGCACTGGCCGGCGTCTGCCACCCGGCTGACTGCATGAATTGCCTTAGTGCGCGGTCCAGACGCAGGAACCCGCACAAGATCGAAACCTCAATCATGGAGCCCCATCGATAGTGTCTGAGCTGCCGGTGCTTCCTGGTAAAGCGCGGGGGGTCTTCCCCGCGGCTGATGGCTTCGACGCTGTGACAGCAGGTCTCTGAACCGGCCAGGAAAGAAAAAGGATGTCGTTTGGAGGCCGGGGATGAATCGCACATCTCTACCGCCGCGACATCGGTTGATGTTTGCCTCATGGTCCCCGGACAGTCCTCAGTATGCCAACAACAGTGTTCCGTTTGTGCGGCTCAGCAGAGTAGACCGAATGGGCTAGCCGATGATTGTGCACTGGATCTGCACAACTGTGCACAATGGACGGCAAGGGCTGAAGTGGTTTAGGCCGAGACATCCAAGTGCTGACACAACAAAGCGACTGGCAAGGAAAAGCAGTTCTTTAATTTCGTTTCTCTTACCGTCTGCCATTTCGGATGTACCCTGTAGCGCTCCATCAATAGACACGCCAGGATCATTGGTGCGTTTGCGCGGCTCCTATCTTCCCCTATTCCGTATCGCCCGACTCATCTGCCAGCGACGCCACACGCATGGCCAAGGCTCCCGAAAGTGAATAGACGAATGCAACCATGCGAACTGATCCCCTGTCGGGCGCCTGGGGCAGGCTCAGTCAGCGACGTTGTGCACTGTGGATATAAAGTGCTTTGAGCCCATCTGCGGATTTTCTTTCCTCACCACACACTCGCTACTTAATACACCGGTCTCCGCCGATTTCACTCGTTTTTCAACGACCTATACTTAATACCTCCGCGTAATAATACCCAACCCACAATCAAAATGAAGTCCTTCGCCGTTGCTGCCTTCGCGGCCGTTGCCGTTGCTTTCCCTCAGTACGAGGTCGCCCCCCCGGCGTACAACACCACCTCCGTCGAGAAGCCCGCCTACAGCACCCCGGCTGTCCCCTCCTACGTCGCCTCGTCCAGCTCTGCTAAGTACTCGTACTCCGCTACCACCGTGGAGTGCTCTGGCCCCACCGAGGTTCGTATACCTGTCGATTTCATGCACTTCACTCTTTCTGACATGGTCAATAGGTTCCCGTCGGACCCAGCTACACGTTCACGTACACCGGAACTGAGACCACCACTCTTACCTTCTCCTACCCCGTGTCCGCCCCTGTTGGCGAGTACACTCCCGCGCCTGTTGTGCCCTCGGTCCCTTCGTACCCCACCTCGAACGGAACCGTCCCCAGCGCCCCTGCTGGAACTGCTCCCGCGGCCACTGGTACCGGCTCTTACACCGTCCCCTCTCCTTCGGCCCCTGCCACCGAGTTCCCCGGCGCTGGTGCTAAGACTGGCCTCAGCATGCTCGCTGTTGCCGGTGCTCTCGCTGCTTTCTTGTAAGCGGTTTCTCCTCTGAAGATCTCTGGGCTTGTCTAGTCCTGGGGTTCGACGAGAAGAAGGGCGTTGGTGGTCTGAGGAACAGGATTGGATTCTGCCATGGTTGACGACTGTCAGCGACTCCGCTTCACGATGGTTGCATTGCGGGGTTGGAGTTCTGGAGCCGTCGCCATGAAACCGCGCGCTCATGCGCTGCAGCATTTCGATTGTACAATTTAATATTGCGCTTGGTCGATGAGCTACTGCCAATATCTAGCTCAGAGGAACCTGTGTGTGGTCTGGTGGATTCGCATGTTCATAGACTGGCTGCTTTCAAGAGTCGACAAATTTAATTGACATGGTTTACACCCTTAGATCAATCCTTGCTTTACTTCGTGAACTGTCTCACGCCCAGGGAAATATTGCGGCTGCGCTCCCTCCATTCACAGTGGCCGACCACGAAGGCCGGACTGTCGCGGCTGTGAGAATCCAGGCTAAATCATCAAATAGTAGTCGAGTTAATTCTACTGTGAGTTTCTACAGGTTGAGGTGTGCTCCTGAAGTCCGATCTCCTGTGGAATTGCTCATTCGGACTTGGGAGTGCCGATCAGCAACGAATGTCACTGAATACCGTTTGCAAGGCTGAAAGAAGCGATCCCACTGCTCACTGCTTACAGGGGGCATAATGTTGACCTTGAACAGGGAAATTACACATGAGCGCCACAGCGCTTGGTACTCCTTCCGCTGCCAGGCTCACGCGGCGCCAACCCGCATCCTGCCTGCCGGCTCGGCAACCGCCAACGCCATCAGGAAAGATACGTGTGATATCGATTCGGCGCTCGTTGCTCGTGTGATTGTCCAGATACCATTTCGGTCTCCAATCGAAAGACTTTTTGGACATGTATTGGACTGTAGAAATAGCATGTGGGTGTGCGGCGAAAACGTTAATTGGACAGAAGGCACGAGATCAATCAATAGTATCCATGTCAGTTACAACTGTAACATAAACGCTCGGGCACACATCCATCTCACCACCCTTATCGCACCATTCGATTTCTATTGCGGAAATTCGTTCTCGCCTCTTTAACCCCTAAATTCGACCTCCGCCGCGACCAGGCCGAAGGTTCGCTAACTTTCCCATTCAAGTGTTTCGCCCGCGAAGCTGTTAACCGACCGTTTCAGGAACCTTGCCTTGCACTGGAAGCCCTTCACAGTTCCATCGTATGTGTGTTGGCTTTGCGGCCTGACGTTTGATGTCGCTGCTCGGATGTCCGATGATGTTCACTGGCAGGGATACCATGCCGTGTTTCGTAGGACACGCGACCGTCGCGACGCGAGGGGCGTCCACGTTTGTTGTACGAACCGGGCGTTGTTGTCGTAAGACACCGCGCGATAAAAATTCGCGCTGTTACCTTCCGAGTACCTGCTCTACAAGGTGGGCCATGCTGAAGGTCTGCTGTTTCCCGAAGAATCAATCTAGACCGGAGCCATGCACAAGGACATTTGTTGAATCTCCATGGCGCATCATGCAAGGCTGGTGGGTTCCTTTGTTGAGGCCCATACTATGGCCATTTTCCCTGCAACGCTTCTTGTGGCTTGTTATTGAGAGGCTGTCGCAGTCCATAATTTTGACACTACTTCTTCATTCTTGTAACGCCTGATTACGATGCCAATTCCACAATTGTTGCGCATCGTCGAATAGGATGCAATACGCTCATAGACCTGCATGTATCGAGCTGAGGCATCACTGTCTGTGCTCTTCGTATACACGTACGTCTTGACAATATGACCTTGAGTGCCAGGCCTCTTGCGTGAACGTGCTCACCGGTGATGCAGCATTACGTTTAGCTTCAGAATTGTATAGTAACCTAAATTACTTCAGCATTTACTGTTAGATGCCTACCTAGCGAAGGCCTCAGCGTGCATCTGCTCTTCACCTTCTCACGAGAGCTAGATGACATTTGTTGTGAGTCCCCAAAGCAGAAGCGACAACGGCGTACCTTCGTCCAATCATACTTGCGATTCACACAAGTGCGGAAGCATTCCGTCAACGCCGGAAGCTACCCCGCAACCCACTACGACACAAGTAAAAACGGACCATATAGAGCGCTCTCCATAATGCAATTGAACATATTCTTCTCTTACTCTTGATTGCCCACTGAATTCACAAGCATGTCAGTCCAGAAAGTTGCCCTGATCACAGCCAGCTCGGCTGGTCTAGGAGCCCAGGTAGCTCGTGTACTTGCACCAGATTTCCGCATTGTAAGATCTGATCTCTCCCCGGAGTTTTGTAGGCGTACGTGCTGATCCGTTCATTCAGGTCATAAACTATGCCACCAATGCCTCGCGCGCCTCAGAACTCGTGGACGAGCTTTCCACGATTCCAAGCACGCATTCAAATCCGTCCACACCACGCTTCCACATACTCCAAGCCGATGTTTCATCAAGATCATCTGTTGAGGCTCTTGTGAAAGACGCAGTCAAGACCATGGGACGCCTCGATGTTGTCGTTTCTAACGCAGGCTGGACACGCATGACAAACTTCCTCAACATCGATGAGGCCGTCGTGGACGAGGATTGGGATCTTTGCTTCACTATGAATATCAAGACGCATCTTTGGCTTGCGTACGCCGCAAAAGACGCTCTAGCCGAATCGGAAGGAACATTCATCACTACAGCTAGTGTCGCGGGCGTGAAGCCGTCGGGCTCATCTTTAGCGTACAGCGTAACCAAGGCAGGACAGATACATCTCGCCAAGGGGCTTGCGGTGATTTTGGCGCCCAAGATCAGAGTCAACAGCGTGAGTCCTGGAATGATGTTGACGGAATGGGGGTTGAAATTTCCGGCTGCAAAAAGGGAAAAGGCGGTTGAAAATACAAAGCTGAAGAGACTCGCCACTGTGGAGGATGTTGCAGATCAAATCAGGACGCTGGCGCTGAGTCGGAGTATGACGGGACAGAATTTGTGTATTGACGGAGGGTCATCGATTTGAGCGTGTTTAGAGTAGCTCAACACACCCACCATGCGGCCTATTCTCCATTGTATCTTACATCCGGATTGCAATAGAAAACATTGTGAGTGAAAATCATTACCACTAGATTTATGCTCACAACCATTCTTACAGAACGTCAGTGGTAATTCAAGAGCTGTTGGACTGTAGAGAGGTGTTCGCATGCGTTGTTGGCACGAAGTTGTGATACTTTGTCTAGTCTACAGTTGACGGAACATCATAGAACGCCGATTGTAATGATACAAATTTCCCAGTCGTCTTAACACTACACTGAGCAATCCAATACCGTCTTCTCCGATGATTGCATCTCTACCATGTAGTAGCAACCTGAGAATATTCCTTGCGGCTGATATTGAGATCATCGAAGATGGAGTCGTCTCCTGCGTTCTAACATTAGTACCAAGCATCAATCGAACAAAGCAGACCTACCGTGAAGATGCTCGACGCGCAGTTCATCCTCGTGCTCCAATTTTTCGAGTTCTTCCTTGGGGGTATCCTTGTCATGCTTCTGATCCTTTGTGGTAGCTTGGACAGCATTGTCAGTGTGCTCACCGATGAGTAGGATCTGTGTATTGGGGTAATCAAGATATTTCGGCTTCACCTCAGACCACGCGAGGCCGCGGAATTCCTCGAAGAACCTAGGGAGGTCAGTCCTGATGCAACACATACTTTAGTGCTGTCTAAACCTACTCCTTTGGGAAGTCAGGGCCTTGGGGCAGGTTTGAGTTGGCAGGACCTGGACGTTGGGGATTCTTGACGGAGATGACGAAAGAACCTTGCTCCCGCAGTCCCAGATCCTCCTGCACCTCCCCCAGTTTTGATGGGATTGTGATGGCGTAGACAAGATGTGTTGAGCGATCTTCCGTACGGGTAATGAAATATACGCCTTCCGCGACCGTGGCGACTGGTTCGACCCGACGTGTGCCCTGAGTTCGCGTCTCGTACTCATCGCCCTTGAAGAAGCTGTCTTTGAGATCTTGTATGGTCGTATTGGCCTTCTCGACGAATGCCATGAAGCGGTCGCTGTGGCTCTTGGGGAACACCTTCTTCGGCAGTGCCAGCAGACGATTGTTTTCGAGGTCGGGAAGCGCCCCCTCACCTACAGGAGATTTGAATTAGCGCCATGATGAGACGCAAAGGGTGTTCTCACTGACCTAACTTTGTCCCGATAGGCAAGGGACGGAGCACAAAATAGGTGCGGGCCAAGTCGCCGATACTCTCGGAGTCTTCGATGCCGACACGATTGCGAGTGAAGAAGTACACAATCCCCTTCTCGAGTATGTTGGACGCAATGTTCTTCTCGCGCTGGGAAGATTCCTGAACTGGGCCTTCATTCTTGATCTCTGTGCTTTCAACGTCGCCGCCACCATTCTTCACATTGGTGTCCTCAGTTTTCGTATCTACTTCCTTGGTCACAGCTTCAGTCTCCACTTGCTTATCACCTTTGCTCTTATCATCATCTACGGCCCGGGTTTCCTCCATCTTTGCATCTTCTTTTATAGTCTTAAGTTCTGTCTTTGCTTGCTCTTCATCCTTGTTCTTGTAGTCATCCGTAGCCGGTCCGTCCTTCATCTCGGCATCCTCGTTCGGGTTCTTGGGCGGATCCTCAGTGTTTGCGCCTGCTAGAGACTCTTCAATGGTGGTCTGCTTCGCAGCTTTACGGCTGCCCTTGGGCGAGTTGCTATCGGCCTTCCTCTTGGAACCAGCTACTGGGTCTTGTTTCCTCGGGCTGGAGTCATTACGTGCTGATGCTCGCGTGCTAGGCATACTGGTCGATGGGTGATGTGCGAGTATCGGTAGACGTGTGATGGTCAATTGCTTAGGCACAAAACGTAGACAACTGCGACGTGCGAAGGATGTCCTTATGTACAGGTACAATCAATGTTTGCTAACGTTTGGCTTGACAATTCTAGCGCGTCGTCCTCAACGCGATTGTGACGCGTAGGTAACATTACCAGGAGACAGTGACGTCATCGATGTCAATTGTCAACGCTAGGAACACTGAGAATGACCACCATAGAGTCTTAATGATACATGTCGTATGAGAAGCCCTTCCGCATAGATTCTGTCGCATCATTTTTGTGATTGCAAACACATTGTGTTCATCCTTATTTCTTTTTTCGCTAAAATGTTTCTGTCAGTTAGGTTGGGCGGTAGTCACCACGGATAGTGCCTAGCCCACGACGAGATGACCTCACTTCTAGCATATTTCCGCTGCCATCGGTAGCGCAGGCGACGTAGGCTTTAACAGCGGTCATTGTCAGATCGTGAGAGAAAAGGTGGAGCCGGCCGTGGGAGATAGCTGTGCATATATCAACACGAATGAGGTACTCTCACATTATATTTGAGCACGTTCCAAGCGACAAGACCCTCTGACAATCGTACGTGTGTACTATAATAGGAGCGTCAGAAGGGATAGGACTACGGCAGCCTCTATCCATCCAGCGCGAGCTGTCGTTTGGTCCATCTTCTAATACCATGGGCCAGGTGTCAACATCATCGACCCGAACGCGATAGGAAGCTTTCAATGCCCTCGGCAATCCCTTCTGCACTTGGCTTCGGTGCACAAACCTCTGGAATAAACCCAAACTCTTCTATCAGGTAATCACGGGTGGTCGGCCCAATCGTGACAATCAAGATGTCTCTTCGGCTGGCACTAGATGTTGAAGCTCTGCCCGTCTCAGAGTCTAAGAGTCCCAGACTCTCTAACATAGCTTGACACCCCGTAGGAGAAAAGACTACTACCCACTGCAGGGTCTTGCCACTGCCCGCATGTCCTTGCCAAATCGAAGTGAAGTTCGACTTGAAGGACTGCATTTCAGCGGTTTCGTAGATCTCGAGTTCCTGTACCACGATCCTCTGGTCGGGAGGAAGGATTGGAGATTGCAGTGTTTTCGGTATGACATCCCTTCTCTTTTCACCCACAAGAAACAAGATGTGAGGTTTATCATTGCCCTTGTATAGTTTGTTGTAATGATCTATAATGAATTCTGCAAGGGCCTGGCCATTTCCCGTCCCTTCACCTACCACAGGGCAGTGCAGGTCCACCGAATTCAGGCCTCGTGCCGTGGCCGGGCCTACAACGTATAGAGGCATGTGGCTGGGAAGCCAGTACTCAACATTGTGGCTTTCCTTGCTCTTTTTCATGTCCTCCACTATTCGTGCGAAAGCCTCCACGGCGCGCTGAGAAGTGAAGACCATGGCGCCAAACTTGGGCCGGCTGCCAGGGTGGGTGCTAGCAAAGTCGCCATTTTCGATGTGCTGCCGAACTTGGCTGACCGTCTCTTGCTTGAATCTGTGCTCGAGTACGGGTACGAATACGGGCTCGTATTTCCCGTCGTCCAGAGAGGTGAAATATTCCTCATATGCGTCGGTTGGTGCGGATTTGGTCTTGAGCAGCAGCAGCGGCACTTTATTTTCACTGTCGAGAGCAGTATTGGCCATGATGGGGGAGTGAAAGAGTCCGCCACGATAAGCGAGGGATGGGCGAGACCGTCAGGGCGGGCCGCGGGTAAAATTGCCCTGCCCGTGCGCCGCGCCGACGCCTGAGAAACGTGGTTCGTGTGAATATTGACTACCTTTGGTTCAGGGTCTCTCATTATAGGCACTCACGCGCACCCATCCACCCTCGTCTCGCCCGCAGTTCGACTCTCTGTCGAAAGCATTTCAACACCGACAACATGGCAGACACCACCGCAGCTCCCGCTGCCCCCAAGACCGAGGCTTCTGAGGGCAAGCAGCAGTTCGTGCGCCCCGAAAAGCCAGATGAGACTGTCTACAAAGACCACTTGTACAAGCTGGAGAAGGCGCACTCCGATGCCCAGGCCAAGTTCGTAAGTACTATGCTGTTCTGTTCACTTCCAGTATTGCCCTTGGTGCCATCGATTTGTTGCCCTGTTCCTCGTGGTGCGGTGCCTGCGCATGCTCGAGTCCCATCTCCAGCAGGTACCCGCTGCGAACGGCTATTTGCTTGCGGGCGCGACACGAAGCCAAACTGCTTGCTTACGATTGTAGAATGCCGCCAAAGCAAAGCTCGATAATGCCCGCCCCAACAACAAGGACTCTCCCAACGCTGTACGCCAGCAAGAGCTCAAGGCCGAGCTCACCAAGATCCGACAAACCCAACAGGGCCAGAAATCCTCACGCACCGCCATCCTAGACAAAGTGAAGCGCCTCGACGAACAGCTCAAGGGCCGCATTGGGGAGCTCAAGACCGCTAAGGGCAAAGTGAACTTTAAGAGCGTCGAGGACGTTGATCGCGAGATTGCACGACTCCAGAAGGAGGTAGATACCGGCCGTATGAAGATTGTCGACGAGAAAAAAGCTCTCAACGAGATCACGAACCTCAATAAGGCTCGCAAGAACTTCTCAGGTTTCGATTCTCAGCAAAAGGCGATCGACGACCTCAAAGCGCAAATCGCCGAGCAAAAGAAGCTGCTGGATGATCCAGAGCAGAAGGCTCTCAGCAGCCGGTATACCGAGCTTCAGGATGAGTTGGACAAGCTCAAGGCGGAGCAGGATGGAGCGTTCAAGAACATGAAGGTCCTGATGGAGGCCCGGGACAAGGCTCGTGAAGATCAGCAGAACAAATTCCAGGCCATCAAGGAGCACAAGGACCAGTACTACCAGCAGAAGCGCGCCTTTGCTGAATACGACTTCCAGGCCCGCAAGGCCCGTCAAGAGCGCAAGCGACAGGAACAGGCCGAATACCAGGCGAACAAGCGAAAGGAGGTTGCTGCTAAGCGTCTCGAGGAGGCCAGCGCCCCTGCCTACCAGGACGAGATCCTTGCCTCTGAGGGTTTGATCCGCTACTTTGATCCGTCCGCTCTGCCTGCGAAAGAGACGGCAACCCCCAGCAAATTCGCTGCTTCCGCGCAGAGGACTGTCGACGACTCTGGTCTCAAGGGAACCCGGCTCTCCAAGAAAGGCGATGACGAGGAGGCATACTTCATTGGCAGCGGCGGAAAGAAGAACAAGAAGGGACGGAAAGCCGCCGCCCCGACATCGGAGAAGTTCAACCTGAACATTGGTGTCCTGGATGAGCTTGCCAAGGTTGGAGTGAATCCGCCATCCAGCCAGGCAGACGTCCCTGCCACGGTTGAGAAGTTGAAGGAGAAGCTCGAGAAGTGGAAGTCTGAGCAAGATGCTAAGACTAAGGAGGTACGTTTCTTTCCATCAAAACGACGAAGATCTGTAAAGATCCCATGGTCATTCTTTCTTTGCGTGCAAGTCCTGCACATACTGTGAAAAGCTTGACTTATACACAGCCGATGCCCAAATTGGCATCGGTTCTTGCGCAGTCTACTTCGTTACTGTACATCCCACGCTACTGCAAGAGAAAACGTACGGTGCGGAACTTCGAGATCATGCGCCGAGCACTGAGCCAGCCCATACCGATCGCCATGCTGACCTCTATGTAGAACATCGCGAAGGCGCAAAAGGAAATTGATCGCTTGGAGGCTGAGGAGACTGAAGGTGTCACTGATACCGCACGCAAGCCCTCGGAAAAGAATCAGGCTGTCAATGGCGGTCCTGTCTCTGCGGCCGCTGAACTTGAACAGGAAAAGGCTGCAGAGGCCGACGTGGCGGAGGAGCTCGAGAAGGCAAAGATTGAGGACAGCGAGGCTCCTGAGTCATAGGAGACTCTACTCTTAGTCGACCGTCGCCTTGGTGACGTATGCAGTGGTCTGACGGTCACCATACTATGAGCATTATGGGATTACAAAAGTCGCAATCTGCATTGGGGAATTCACAGGATCAGGCCTTTTGCTCGGTCTTGCTTCATCTCTGTTACATGCGTCTTCATGTTGCCATGTTAGGGGGAGCATTAATCGGACGGTTTCATGGCATAACGGATTTGCTGTGTTCTACATCTTCATTCGAGAAGTAGACAGCTAGACCTAGATGTACTTTTTATTTATCTTTCATCCTCACCTTCATCTTCCGGCAGCTGCGTGTGTAGTGTGTATGAGACGTGGTAATAATTGCATCTACGATTGCGCCTTTTGAGAGCAAGTCTCACCATTGGAGCCCCACATGTTCCAAGACTGCGCGCCACGATTCCGAGAGCTTTGGCACATTGAGTAGATCGTGATTACGGTACCTACCCCAGAATAGGTGGGGTTTTTGTGGAACATACCAAAGGAAGACTGACGTCATTGACTGAGAGCCCATACGTAAACGCGAACTTCGCGCTTTTGTTTGCTCTGTTCCTCGTAACAACTTCAGTCGATTGATCGAACAAATCAACTCAGGTATGTACAATCTTATTCGACGTGCTGGCCTTCCTTCGACCGTGGACCGCTGCATCCCAGCAAGCTTCAGTTGCAGTCGGACCAGGCCGCTCGGTCAGGCGCAAATAAACATCACTGCATGACCACCAGCTAACAGCCTGTAGGCGCTTCCTATACATTCAAGCAATCTTCTACTTTACCAAAATTTCAGTCGTCAGCCATGTCGTCTTACAGCAACGCAAACACGGGCAGCAAGGAGGCCGACCCGTATACCGCACAGAATAAGCAGGAGCCTTCCCTCAAGGAGAAGGTTGACGATCTGTTCACCTTTATCGACAGGACAAAGATCTGTCTGTTGACTGCGCAGACGGCGCAAAGCGACTTGCTTACGTCGAGAGCTATGGCTTTGGCGGCAAAGGTATGTCCTAGTCATGATACGCGATATGCTTAGCATGCTAACGCTGTACAGGAGGGCAACGGGTTTGACCTGCTGTTCCACACCAACACCGAGTCCGGCAAGACAGACGATCTTAAGACACACCCTTCCGTCAACATTGGCTTCATTAACAACTCTGGCGAATGGGCATCGATCTCGGGACACGCATCCATCGAGGTCGACCGCAACGTCATAAGGAAGCACTACTCACCCGCGCTGAAGGCCTGGCTTGGCGATCTCGGTGATGGCAAGCACGATGGTGGCCCAGAGGACCCGCGCATTGGCATCATACGTGTGAAGGCTAGCACAGTCACCTATGCTGTGTCGAACAGCACAACATTGGGAAGCTTTGTTGAGCTGGCCAAAGGTGTTGCAACAGGCCAGCCGCCTAACGTCAACAAGTTGCGCGAGCTTACAGAGGCGGAGATTTCTCAGTGGAAAGGCCAGTAGAAATAATGGCCGAGGAGAAAGGAATCATGAACCCATATTTCGGACGGATGAAAAGATTCATGTGTAATGCACTATGAGATCAAATATTTACACCCGACAGGGTTGGCGAATTCATGAAACTCCTAGCATGAATTAGCAAACTATAGCTGATTAGGAATAATTGAATAAATGTCACCGTAATAGCCTCATATTCACTCGCGTGCTTTCATATCGTCTAGGTGTTTACGATCCACCTTCCCACGTCCTATAGCATTCTTCGAACACCAGCTAGCAGTGCTTTCTCCGAGGATCTATGCTGCGAAGAATGAGCGCACAGCTCTGGTGGACTAGTACGCTCAATTGTAGTCCCGTCTTCGGTGTTCGCGTCCTGGGCAACATAGACGGTGTTGATATGCTCCCGATGTCGATCCAATAGCACTCTCAACGTAGAAAACCAGATATATCCCTTCCCATGGAATTCACATGGTCTTCGAGACCTCGTTTCCTTCGCTCTAGCTGCCTCACCTCTTCCTCTTCACGTCGGAGATCCTCCTCGGTCATGACATGTGCCACATTTTCAACCTCCTCTGGCTCATGTTCGACATACTCGCGTGACCGATTGAGCTTGCTCAATTGCGCAGCCTGTTCTGCAATGCGCGATTCGTAATACTCTATCGACGCCTCGAGTCGGCCATGTCGTTGGCGCAACGATGCAATCCGATCGTGTGCTCCAGGAATTGGACTATACCCTTTAGTCCCAGCCAGCGCAGGATGATGTTTACCATCGTACTTACTATACGCCTAGCAGTTTCTCAGCACCCTCCAGCAGGGTGTCTACATCTATATCATTCTTGTTCCCGCCATCGTATGCTCGGTAACCGAGGCCACTGCCCGCCCCGCCTCCACCTCCACGTCGTATTCGCTCAACGAGCTCAGTGCCCAGAACAGCCGCAACGGCCGTGTTCCTCTTTGGCGCTCTCATAGCATTCGCGCCGCCTCCGGCGATTCCCGCGGTGGCACCGGTGGCGCTGAAGATGGTATTACGTCGGTTCGAGCTGCCAACGGACTCTTGGGCTTTTGGGGCTGTAGCGGCAGGCGGAACAGAGAAGAGCGCGCGTTCATGAGATTCAGTATCACGGATCAAGCTCGTAATGTCGTGGGATTGCAGTAATGCGTTCGTAAATATCTTAGGCGGGGGGAAACTGGTGCACGGTTAAGACTGGAGGCTACAGTCGAGGCATAAGACGTACGGCAGCTCGGCGATGGATCGCGCGCAAAGTGAAATTTGCTCTAGATGCGCGTCGAGGAGTGACATGGCTGCCATGTATGATCTCGTATACCCAGCTTGTTCAGACGCGGGGTGCTGGGAACGGGCATGGACGTAAACAACGACCGGGAAAACGTTTGACCTACTCCGGCGATACCGTATGCCGGCGGCAGCTACGACCTACGAGCTCCCGCCTCTCGACAGCCTCAGCTGCATCATCGCCCCAACACCCGCTTGTTGCCCCTCCCTCCACCCGCCTGTGATCGCCACCCGTCCTTTCTCTCAGTCCCGCGGTTCCACGCAGAGCAGCAGCCATGGCGGAGAGCATGGAAGGCGTCGTGACGGAGGTCGAGCAGCCAAACACCGAGAACGTCGAGGACAAGACAGTGTCCGGTAAGCCCCCCGTATACAACGCAGCATACCCACCATGCATCTTTCTACCTGCCCTTGTGGCTTCGGAGGGCTGCCCCCGCAGGTCGGGCGCATGTGTCCGGATGCGATGCGCGAGTACGCTGCTCGACCATTCTGGGAGACTGACCCGACTTTTGCAGAGATCCGCTCTAACTTCGCCCTGCTGGAACGCGCCGTCGCCCAGTTCGACTCCCGCTTTACACTAAGGGCACTCCGCTCAATATCATCGCTCCGGAAGAGACTCACCGACCGCGTGCTATGTACCGTCATCGTCGTGACGTACTCGGCGAAGAACCCCACCGCGCGCCTGCTCATTCAGGCCGTGGGAATGGAGGCCGAGGATCTCAAGGCTGTTGCAGACCAACACAAAGATGCCGTGCAGGCGCTGAAGAACAGCACCAAGGAACCATTACCAGAGGTCGATGTCTACATAGGCATCCTGCTTCAGGTACGCTCATACCCGGAGAAGCTGGAGATTCGAATCCGATGCTCTCATATGTTGCTTCCATGTCGCTGATTTGTGCAGGTGTACCTTTACGACCAACAAGATTACGAAGAGGGCGCCGAGTTCTCCACTCAATTAGTCGACAGGATTCGGGAACTGAACCGACGGACGCTCGATTCACTGGCCGCGAAAGCGTACTTCTACTTCTCGCTCTTCCATGAGGAGCTCGATCCTAAGCCGCCATCCAAACAGTCGCAAGTCATTACAATCCGCGGGAAACTGCTTGCGGCTCTACGCAGCGCGGTGCTCCGAAAGGATCTCGATACTCAGGCTTCCGTCACCACATTGCTCCTCCGAAACTACCTTTCCACTGCCGATATCACCCAAGCCGATCTGCTCGTTGCACAGACACAGTTCCCCGAGAACGCACCTAACAACCAAGTCGCCAGGTACCTCTACTACCTCGGTCGCATAAGGGCTATCCAGCTGTCGTATACGGACGCCCACGAGCACCTCATCAGCGCTACCCGCAAGGCGCCTACTAGCTCTGTCGCTGCAGGCTTCTACCAGTCCTCCATGAAGCTCTTGATCGTTGTGGAGTTGCTCATGGGTGATATTCCAGAGCGCGAATTGTTCAGCCAACCCCGCCTTGAGCGTACCTTGGAGCCATACTTTCGCTTGGTCCAGGCAGTCCGGGCCGGTGACCTTCCCAGCTTCCTGAAGATTGTGCAGAACTCCGCGAAGGCATTCCACCGTGACGGGACATACACGTTGATTCTCCGTCTCCGCCAAAACGTGATCAAGACCGGTATACGCGTCCTCTCGCTCTCCTACTCGCGCATTTCTCTACGAGATATCTGTCTTCGCCTCGGCCTCGAGAGTGAGGAGTCGGCAGAGTACATCGTTGCGAAGGCGATCCGTGATGGTGTCATTGAGGCTTCTATCGACCACGAGAAGGGCTTCATGCAGACGAAGCAGGCTGGCGATATCTATGCTACCCGCGAGCCTGGTGAGGCATTCCACGAGCGTATTCGCGCCTGTTTGACCCTTCACGATGAATGCGTTAAGGCTATGCGCTACCCAATGAACCAGCATCGGTTAGAGCTGAAGAACGCCCAAGAGGCTAGAGAGCGTGAGCGCGAGCTTGCAAAGGAGATTCAAGAGGGTGATCTCGACGATGACGACGCCGCGGGCGACTTTGATGGCTTGTAGACGAATAGATGGTTGCGCTTGGGCGGCTTGGATTCAACGTCCGTGTGGGTGTAAGATAGTCGTTTCTCTAGCGAGCATCGATTGATCGGCCTGCTGAAGCGACAAGCATAATGAAACATGTTAATCATGAGCACACGCACTTACAACGACTTTGGAACCCTGGAACCCTGTCCATCTCAGCTTGTTTCCTTACCATCAACAATTGTGCATGTTTGCGGCAATCTTCGCGATGCACGTAATGCAAGACATCGCTTTTAGCAAGCGTTTCCTACCGCTGCCTTGCATACTGTGATGTTCCTTTCTGTAGTACCCTCATGACGTTCTAGGTGATTTATTACGAGACATAGGAATGTGGACACGAGATCCCAAGCTACAATGCCAAGCTCACCGAACGCGGATCAAGCACATGGCGTACTAGCCTCATCCGTAAATCTCCGTGAATGCAAGTCCGCCCCGCGTCACCACTCATAGTCCCCGCATCAACAAACAACAGCGCATATAACAAGCTCACACTGCTGTCTTCGTGCCGTCAATCATGCTGCGCACTGTTCGACATGTACGTCTGGCTCGAGTCTGGCTGATAGAGAGGTGGTAAGGAATCGGCTGACATGTTATCTATAGGATTGACGTACCGCGGCGTCTGCGCCGTGCCATACTCCTCAACGACCTCGATCTCGTGAAGCGCATCGTGCGCAACAACCCGGTGTACCTGCAGAACCCCGACTTTGACGACAAGAGTAACACCAGCTTGCACCTTGCGGCGAAGCATGGATTCACGGCGATTGCGGTACGTCACGGTCTATACATCCTTTCTAGACGCAGAACAGCAGCTTATCCAATTGCGATGGTAGGAATTCCTCGTCGAAGCCGGTCACGAAGCCGAGCTCGTAAGCCGCAACAACGAGCTCGAGACGCCGCTCATGCTGGCAGCCATGGCGGGCAAAGAAGAGGTCAGCGTGATGCTGGCGAAGCGCTTCCCGGAGTGCATTGCATGGCAGAACAGAGCCGGGCTCGATGCCGTGCGTCCCCCCCTGAATCTCACAGGCCTCAGCCCGTACCACCAGTTAACCTCCAGCCCAGCTTATGCTCGTCTGTAAAAGCGGCACAGGCACCCTCCATCTGATCCCCACGCTGCTGCTCCACGCGCCCCAGATCCTCACCTCCTACGACCACGTCGGCAACACGGCGCTGCACCACGCCTCGGCCGCCGGCGAGCTCAAGGCCCTCCGCATGCTCCTCCAGTACGGCGCGAATCCCCTCGCTTCAAATGCATACTCTTGGACCCCCGTGCACTATTCCGCGACGCCCGCGGCGGAGGCATACTTCAAGACGCTGATCATCGAGTTTGAGAAGAAGAAGGCCGAGGGGAAGCGGCTGGAGCGCGAGCGTGAGAAGCAGAGGTCCGCGGGCGTGCGGCTGGTAACTGACCAGGAGGCGGTGGGAGGTGCTGTGGGCGGTGGAGAGCGACAACGGGCGAGAGACGACGCGGCGATTGCCGGTCTTCCTATGCCTGGGCTGGAGTGGAGTCCGGTGGAGCGGAGGAGGGCCATGACGCCTACGGAAGGTGTCAGGGCTGGACCGTGGCCGTTCACGCAGGCAGAGAGCGGCAGGCCAAGAGCGGAGAGTGGCGAATCAGCCTGAATGTATTGATCCGTGGCGTTGTATATCTAGGTATTGGCGTTGAGGAGTTCGACTGCTCAAGAATGGGTGGGGGACTCGTCACTAGGACCGTAAATTTCAAGGCGTCTGAGGGTATAAATTCATCGTTATCAGCAGCAGTATTAGAAAAAAACCGAGCACAGAATCTGAGCAACCGGTATCAGAATTTCATTCATCCGTCCATTCCACTCTAAACCGACGAGCTATCTAGACTCACGGAAACTCAACTAGGGATGCAAGCCGTCCGGCTCAAACGCTCATGTCCCACCCAATGAAGTGCTACAAAACCCAGACGTGAACATCCCACCCAATGAGGCCTAATCTGACGAGTAAATAGCAATACACAACCGAACGAACGCCGTGATGCCCAAACACACCTCGCTATGCAGGAGATCCAAGCCGAAGATGAATGGAAAATTGCGAGTAAAAGGGAACAGAGCAGGGCCCAGGATTAATCGTCCTCAAACTCAGCGTTGAACTGGGCCAGCATATCATCTTCCAGATCCTGGTCGTTGTCCTCAGCGAGATCCGCACCTCCGCCCTGAGGATCAAATTCGTCGCCTTGGTCCTCCTCGGGCCCCGTGGTCTCGGGACTAGGCAGACCTGAAGACTCTTTGTCTGCATTGACCACGTTTGTCAGTGACGTGACTCGTTCCATGGTGCGTTTCTTCCGCTTCTGCAACCTGGACGTACTGTTGACGCTTGAATCGCTGTCTCCAGCCTCCGACTCAGCATCGGACTCCGTATCTCTCTTTCTCTTCTGCCGAGCGGCTTTGCTACCGTTGGTGTCTGAGTTTGTGCTGTTTGTGGAATGTACGCTTTCCGAGTCAGAAGCCCGCGAACCCTCAGACTCCGCATCTGAAATATCATCGAGCTCTGCGATCTCTTTTTCCAAGGCTTCCCAGTCATTTTCGGGCATGTCGAATATTGATATAGGTGACTTGGCATCATCGTCGTCGGTGCCATTGATGCTCTCATCGTCTTCCAGGTCCTCTGCGAGCGCCGGACTGTTACGTTCATCATCCACGTTGATGTAATAAGGCTCTTCCTCAACGTGTTCCCACCGCGTACAGCATGCGATCATCCACTGGATTGTAACTATCTGTATGTTGCCTCCGTCGTGCAGGATCCTTGCTGCCTTTTTGACTTTCGAGGTCTTTCGATCTGGATTTGCTATCACGTGTGTTGTTCGCTTGTCCACATTTAGGGATATTTGGGCGCCGAAACTCTTCACCCACAGCGCGAAGTCGGAGCTACAAGATGTTAGCTTTTTGTACCACGTGACCAATTAATTCACTTACGTTTCAACGTCCATCCCGAGTGGTATGATGCCGGAAAATACAATGCGGCATGTAGCAAGAGTCTCGCTCTTGATGCGTGGCATGATATAGGCGATGTCAGGCACGATTCCCTCGAGACGCGGTTTCCTTGGGCTTTTCTCGCCCTTGAGCTCGGCAACGCGGGTGCCTCTAGGCTTCACTATGGAATTCTGGTATTCGTCGTAAAATGCTTCGTACACGCGTCGTAGGTTTTTTTCGACAACCTCCAAGCCGTCGTCGTTGTTGTTCAATATGGCACGGTGCTTATGGTGTTCGACTGGCTTGGTCTCGCCATTTTCCGGGGTCTCGGATCTGGCGGCCTCCTCCTCGTCGTCTTCTTTCTCGAGCGTAAGCTGCTGTTGCAGCAATGGTCGCTCCGTTTGTTGAGCAACAATTAACTTTTCCTGCTCTCTGACGCGCTCTTCGAGAACCTCTTGACTTTCCGCAGCACCCATGGCCATCATTCTCTCCTCCAATTCATTTTCGATCCCATTGGCAACGTCTCCTGAATCCGGTTTTACGGATAAGGGCGGGAGGGGTTTGCCAGCAACGGAGAAAGAGATTCCTTCGGTATCAGATTCAACGTTGTTCGCAATCTTCTCTCTGGGAGCGGGCGCAGGAGCAGGTACCTCTAGCTGCTTGGGCAAGAAGCTGGCGTTGATGTCGCCGGCGCCGGGAAAGAAGTTGAATACGGGAACGCGGACCAGATAAGGGCTGTAGCTCCAGACGTCGGCTCTGTCATCGATGATGACGACCATGCCGGGGTTGTTGGGGAACAATCGGTGCAAGCTCTTCGCCTTGTCTGTACCGTTTTCGTCGCGACTCAAGATGCGATCGCCAAAGTACTTGCGTTCGGGATCAACGATCTTGGCCACAGCCTGGGCATAAGCGCGGGTTGCCATTGTGTAGATGTGCATCTCGTACAACTGTGACATGTTGTCGAAGAAGTCCTTGAGCCCTGGGCGTTTCTTGACGTAGTACCAGTTTGCGGCGACATGAGCAACGTTGTCGTCGGCGAGCTGGAAGCCCTCGACATCCTTGACAAATTCGTAATTTGGGTTTGTGGGGTCCTCCTTCCATTCGGCGATTGTGCGCTCGCAGGTGGTGTGGATGACGGTCTGATCCAGGTCGACGATCAGGGTCAGCTTCTTCGCTTCGAGCAGGCGCGTCTTGGACGCCTCTTCGGCCTTCCTGGCTTCTTTGTGGCTGACAAGCAGGGCGGTGTTGTCGTGCGTCATGTTGACGGTCGCGCGACTGCTGTTGAGCTTCTCGGTCAGGTAGTCGACCTCGGTCATGTCCTTGCCGCACATGGTGCACAGGCCGCCAAACTGCTCTTCATGGGTGCACGGCTCTGTGATGTCGAGAAGGAGGGTCCTGGTAGCGCGTTAGCAGGTCCCGCGGGAGGAGGGCGGAGCGCGACTTGCCCTGGCCGGGAGACAACCTGGTCCTTCTTGATGTGCCATGCCTCAATCTGGCCGTCGACGGGGGCCTCGAAGCTGGCGAAGAACTTCTGGGCGACCTCCTTGGTCTCGCCCCACCGGTTCGTCTCCTCGCGCAGGCTCTCGAACGAGTAGTGGAACAGCGGCTGCGAGCGCGCGACGTCGTCGCCCTGGGCCTTGACGAGCTCGGTGATTGTGATGGGGTAGTGCAGGCCGCTCGGGGCGCCAATCTTCATGGGCTCGAGCGTGTCCGGATCCATTGGGAAGAGCTGCGGGGGCGGCGCGATCGAGAGCGGCGCATTCGGGACGCGGGAGTCTGGAGGTGCGAGTTGGATGTGGAGCTCGGACGCAGCACGGTAGCGCAGAAGCTTTGGGCGTGTCGCGTCACACGAGCCGAGCGATGATGCACAGCCGCAAGTACGGCCACCGGGCGCCCGCGCAGAGGGAGCAGCCTCGGATGTGCGCGCGGTGTGCAGAGCGACAAATGCGCTGGTGCGGTGCGTGTGTGTGGGGAGGGGCGTGGTGGACGAGGTTGTCGTTGCAGGTGCAGCACTTGCGGCTCTCGCGTGCTCCCAGGGCTTTGTGCAGCTCCTAAAGAGCGGCCTTCAGTTCTTATACCCATGCCCCGCCTGACATCCCTGTCAGCCTAGCGGGCCGCCTCTAGTCTCTCATGTCTCTGCCTTTCACCCGCCAGACAAAGAAACTCCCCTGAGCGCCCTCGCCTGTTGCATGCGTACTGATGAAAAAGACACCACACGCCGCCCAGCATCTTGTCGTCGATGCGCTCGAACAGCCACGACAGCCTCTTCTCCGCATAGGCAGCCGTGGTCTGACCTGACGTATCGCGTCTGCAGCTACGTCAAGGGTCCTACTAGACCCAAATGCACTCAATCAACAAAACGTATAAACACCATCCCGCAGTATAATCAAAGGTGAACACTCTGAGAAAACGCGTCTCAACATCCTGGTCACATTCATCTCGTAGCCAGCATCCCATCCCACAACGCCGCGCTCAACGATGCAAAAGTGCACCTGTGCAATGCTACCCTGACACCCGCAATGCCCCTCGCATCTAACCATCATGTACTAGACGTCCCATATTACAGATTAAACAGTCGTAACAGATGGCGGAGAACGCTGCAAGAAGTTACGCAAAGGGACGTAAAGAGCCAGGACTTTTGTCGCCTAGTCCGCCTTGCGTTGTTGTGACAAGACCGCACCCACTGCCAAGGTCGATGGTCCCGTTTCCGAATCGTCCATGGCCTGTTCACGCATCCCAGAGATGGCTTCGAGGGGAAGGTCCATGCCCTGCACGTCCCCTTCATCATCCACCAGAGTCCAGTCGGCATCCATGTCGCCGTAGTGCTCCTCGTCTTCCGCTCGTTCCGGTTGTCGACACGAAAGAGCTTTTGCTCGGTCGAGCTCGCGGTATATCGTCTGTACGGCTAACTGCGCCCCATTCTCCTGTCGCATATGTTAGATCCATCGCACGATGTGAGGAGCGCCGTGAGCTTACCTTCCGGATCTTATTCCCGAGGATCCTGGCTTTGACCTTCATCCGCTCGCTGTTGGTTGCTTCCCACAGAGCTTTGCCCAGCATCTTGGTGTTGATCCTCTTGAGGTACATACCTACACCAAGGTCTTCTACGCGCGTGGCAAAGAAGTACTGGTCCCCAAAGAATGGCTTGATTATCGTTGGTTTTCCGGCTCGGAGACTGGCACCGGTGGTGCCTGAGCCGCCGTGGTGAACAACGGCATCCATCTGCTTGAACAACCAGTCATGCGGTGCAGATTCGATCTTGAAGATCTCAGGCGGCAGGGGAATCTCGACCTCAGAAGCGTCCTTCGTGCTTTCCTTGTCGCCCTGCCATTTGTCGGACCAGCCTTTGGAGAGCACACAGCGAACGTCTGCCAGCTGCACCGCTTCGATAATAGTTCTGGTAAGAGCAGCTGGGTCCTGGATGACAATAGACCCGAACCCAATATATACCAGCCTTTTCTTGTCGGCTCGCGCCTTTGCGATGAATTGGCTCAGGTCTTCGGGCGGCTTGAAATCGACTTCGTCCAGGAACCAGTAGCCGGTGACGCGGATCCAGTCGGGCCAGTCGCATGGCGGAGGGACAACATGTGGACTGAAGTTGTACAGGAATGGCCGCTGATTTGCCTGCATCCTGGCCTGCGACGTGTTACGCAGCTTGAGCTGTTCGCGGCGCCAACTATTCATCTGGCCGGCGATGGCAACCCAGAATACCTTATCTATGGTTAGGTATGTCATGCTGTTCCAGGCTCCGCCCATCTTATTCGGCCCCACGGCGAAGGCATGCGGATATGCTCGGGTGCGTGTCCATGGCATTGTGAAAGCTCGGAAGTACGGGATTCCCAGAGCTTCGGCGATGTGTATTCCAACCATAGCGGACGGACTTTCGATCAGGACATTGGCTCCCTGGCATGCTTTCCAGGCTGTATCGCACAGCTCGTCCAGCCAACCACGAAATTTCGAGTTCGTTTCCTTCAGGAATCCGTAGGAAAACATGCCGTGCTGGACGCAAATGCGCATAAGCTCGGCAGGATCGCCAGCTACAGGGGCAAATCCAATGCCGTGTTCCTTGACCCAACTCTCGAACATGCCGTGGGTCGCGATGATGGGCTCATGTCCCTCCTTGATCAGTTCCTTGCAAAGGGAGATGTAGGGCTGTACATCGCCACGAGATCCAATCGTCAGACACACGATCTTCAAGGGCTCGGCCGGCTTGAAGTCCACAATCGATGCTAGTGGATCATCAAAAATGAGTGGAATGCGATCAAGCTCTGCTGCGGGCGTAGTCGGCAGATTTACGTCTCCTTCTGCCGTATCTCGTGCAGCCTGCAGTAGCTCATGCTCAGCCTTGGCTGCTTCATCCTCGCTATCCGCATCATCGGACGACTGATCTTCTTCAATGTACTTGGTACTCTCCAAAATGCGCAAGATAGAGATAGCGCATTCATCGCGATGCTCGGCTTTTGCGAACTCAAAGAACAGTTCTTCGTGACCGCGAATAACGACTACCAGACCGTGATAGCCCATTCGGAAGCCCTTCTCTTTGTTGATCGTCTCGATGTCACGCATCGGCAGGATTATCTACAAAAGTGAGCATATCGCGACGATAGTACGTGAAAAGACTTACCTTAGTCTTAACGGTAGGCACGAGACTCCGAAAACAGAAAGAGCGTCCGCTGATGTAGATCTTTCCGTAGTTCGGAAGGATGCGTTGCAGATACGCAAAGTAGGAGGACTGGAGTTGCTCGTCGGGCAGCGCAAAGTGCTCCTGGAAGTGGTGCGCTGCCTTAGCAGCATCCTCGTCTTCTTCGGGGTCATGGACTCGGTCATTTGGTTGCAGTCCGTCTGCCACGTTGTAGTGCTTTCGACCGCCTGCTAGCATCCCAGAAACCTTTTCGTAATAGCCCATAGACTCGGTAGAAAGTAAATTGCCCATCTTCTTTGACCGGGTGCGTAAGAATCCTGCTAAACCAGCTGCTTTTTGGAGCGGATACGAGGCAATTTCTTGAAGTGCAGTGGTAGACGAGGTTGATAAACGTGCGGTCGTTTGGTCGTGATCGTTCTCGAGGTCGTGTTTATATCTGGCTGACTGCCGAGCGCCCAAGCCACCAGACTCTTTGCTTTGGCGCGAGGCCTTTGGGTGAAAGTTCCGCCCACCTGACGAGCGGGTCGTGTCCTGTGAATGTCGGCCGAGTTCATCGGACCTTTCAGACGTAGTGGCTTGGCCAGAGTGAACTGTTGGGGCGCGAAAAACATCTGAGCGCCCCAATATTTGACTTGCAGACGCGTTGCTCTCATCCATGGATTGCACATGGGCCGATGATTCGGTACCGGGATCCACCGAATTCGTCGCCGAGTCTGAAGTGTCTTGTGGTCTAGGTGACAATGGCGACTTGTCACCGGATCGACCCTTCGATTGTTTATCGTAACGATGTCCGCTGAAACTGCGGCGAACCTCGTGACTAGGTCGTCGAAAAGAGCGGCTTGCGTCCATACTACGTCGCACGTCCAGGCTCTTTTGCACATCGAGACTGGACCGTGAATCTGCGCTCATGCTTGAGCGCCCAACAACAGGACCAGGTAACGGCGATAAGGTCGCCCTCACATTCTCTTCTATATACGGAGCGTGGCCGGGACTGTCTTGAGCTGGGCCCGCATTACGGCTACTGGGAAGATTAACGATGGTCGGTGTTGCTGCACTCGGATCGCCCTGCTGCTGCATCGTCTGGTGGTGTTCATTGTCGTTGATCATGATACGCAGCACATTCAGAGCATCCTGGCCCTGGCTGAAGAAAGAGAAGAAGTACTGTCGGCTGTCAGCATTGATCGTTCCACGGTACAGAGGAAGGGCACTTGCCTCGTCGATCGCGTATGTCTCGTCATTATCAATCACGCGAATCTTCACCGTCTCGGCAAAATCGAGAATGGTACTCTCTTCAATCTCAAGGACGTTTTGAATGGGCAGGGAGATTTTCACGCTATTACCTTCGTTGTGCGTTCGGAATATGACCTTTTGTATGGACCGTACCCACTCTTTCGCGCTCACCGCACTGTCAGCCTTGAACTGGAAGGTCTTCTCGTCTGTTGTCACTACAAAAGTCGTCTCGTCCTTATGCTTGTCTTTGCTCTCCAAAACTTCGGCAGATATTGCGTATTGTAGGTTGATGCGATTGCGAGGGAAGTATAGCTCTGTAGGGTTGGTGTAGTAAGCTAACACGTCGCCTCTCAGTACAAACCAGTATCGATTGTATTTCGACCGACCGCGTTTGGAAAGATAGCCAGTTTTACTAACATCGTGCTGCGCAAATGTCAGCTTCGAATGAGGAATTCGAATGTAACACGTACATGCTTCTTGGGTATATATGCATAAAAACATATGTGCTTCTGGGTGATATACATGTATCCTTGAAGCAGTATGCTCTGTAACAGCCAGCAAGGGTATTCTGGAAAGATTAGACACACTCCACGGCTTGAGATGTTTGACAAACCTGAGATGACTTCCTCCAAGTCTTCGAACTCAAAAATTTGCTGCAAGCGATTTGCAAGCGGGGCGGTCGTTTTGCTCTTGGATCCGCTTGCTGTGCCTCCGTACCTGCTCTTGCGGTCTGAGCCTCGACGCTTCGCAATGCGCAAGTCCTGTCCAGATACCGGCTTGGGCTTCATGTCGACTAGCGATTCGTCTCGCGAGGAAAGGGGTAGTTCGTCTTCCGATTGACGCGAAGGGAGGAATTGTGACGAAGACATGGTGTCGGTTGCGTGGGCCTCCGACTTGGATTCCTTCCTGCCTGAGATCTTTAGCTTGGGTAGCGAACGCAGCAGTTTGTGCTCCGAGAGGGCTTTCCGGTGCTTGCTCTTCAGCGGCTTGCCCTCTTCCACCTCCTCCAGCGGGCTGTGGAAATCGTGAACGGAGCTCAGACGGCTCATCCTTGCTGCACCATCCAAACTGCCATAGTTAATATTCCGCCGCGCCTCATCGTCGCTTTCGCCCGAGTCTACATCTCGGGGGAGGCCGAGGTCCGTCTGTGACTGATGGCCGGCTCGTGCAATCATGGAAAATATAGACTGGTGCATCGATACCGCGTTGCTGTGCTTGGGCGCCGCAACATCCTCGTCCGCATCGCCCGCATCTCTAAAGCGCTCGGGGATGTCTAGGGACACACGGCGCGACTCTTTGCGCTTCTTGGTGAGCTTGCGAGCAGGCCGCTCTTTGTATCGGTCTTCGGCAGCCATGGTGTGTATTGATGTGCGTGCTCACGGTTCGACGGATGGATAGGCGGCGGTTGTAACGGAGGCGGAGGATGATCGGAGGCTAGGGTATCGCTCTCAAAGGGTGGCTGCGCAGCAACGCCTGGAGAGCACCAAGGTGGGCTACGATCAAGCGGTATAATAACAACTGCTTGGGGCAACAACGGCGTGGTGCTACATGTTGACGACGCGAGTCGAGCAGAAGACGCGCTCGGCCAACTTCATGCACCTGATGATCTAGCGGCGTGATAAGCTCCAACACGCAGGCACCAATGATGCATCCCAGCCGGCTCACACGCCCACAGAGGCCCACCAACAGTCAGCCCTGATTAAATCACGCCATTCAAGGAACTTAGGCGTTTGGCTCACTCTGTTATTCGAGCCATCTTCCGTCGGCCACGCCAGAGCATACGCGATATACGTCAGCCGTGGTTATCGATAACGCGCCTGTAGATCGCGGTGCAGAACGCTACCCCGGATACCACAGGCATAGCGGGGCGCACAGCCAAAGGAACTGGAAGTCTGTATGTATTTTGTACCTCACATCCCACATCTCAAAATCCTCTCCAAGTTTATCTGTTCAAGTCGGATTTCATTCGGGATATCTGTACATGAACGTGGCAGCACCATCCACAAAGCGGATCAATAGCGCTCATTATGATACCACAACCCCAACCTGGGGCTACCATTTACAACCGGGTCCTTCCATCTCCACCGTCTGTATTCCAACATGTCCTTACAATTTATCCCAAGAATGAAACACCTTACTTAGCCTTAGCAAGACCAACAGCGCTGTTGCCAAGGTCGTAGACAGAGTACCACCTCCTGAGGAAGGCGTCACCGAGAATAGCAAGAGGACCAACGGGCTCAGGGAAGTCCATTCCCATGAACGCAGAGATGCAAGAACCTTGAACCTCGAGAACATAGTCGTGAGCGCCGATAGTGAAGTTGTGGCCAGTGAGCGTAAAGGTGAGGTCGGGCAGACTGTCAACCTTGTCGCATTCAACGGTGTACTGTCCGTTGAATCCCTTCTTCGCGCCAATCTCCTTGTTCAGGAGCTCAGCGATGGTGGAAGGTAGAGCGATGAGCGAGGTACCGGTGTCAAGAATGACACCAGTGTTGTCCATCTCGGCGGTCTCATCACCGAAAGTGATCGCATCAAGGTCGACCTCCCAGTAGGCCTTGCGCCTCAAGGGGAGCTTGGTGAGCTTGCCAGTGTAGTGGTCCTCGTTCACGCCACCGAAGATGGCCTCGGAATCAGCGCCACCGTTGGCGTCTCCAAGGTAGAAAGCGAAGACGGGCTCGTCCAGCAGGCCCTGGTCCAGCATGTTGTAGAAAGGCGGGACGATCTTGTTGACACTGATGGTATCGTATCCCAAGCCGAGAATGCCATCGAACCGGCCGAAGGCAAAAGCGAGGCCGGGCTCGGAAGTGGCTTCAGCAAAATCCTGGTTCTTGACCTTCAAGTCGCCGATCTGGAAAGTGTCCTGGGACACGAACCCGCTGAGCGAGCCTGATCCGTATCGGATCTCGAACGAAGAGCCGTTCTTCTTGTAGGTTGACGAGGCCGACGAGTCATACTTGGTGTGCAGATAGCAAGCGATCGAGCTGCACTCTGACGAGGGAACCCAAAGGTTGGAGCTTCCGGTGTCGAGGATGACTTTGAAGTCCTGAGGAGGTGTACCGAGAGAAACCTCGGAGAAGTCTGCGTGCTGTCAGTAGCTGCTCGTCTTACGGGTGGCAATAGGCTACGAGGGAACATACACTGCGCATTCAGGAAGTTAGTGATGGGCACCGGGTGCGTTCCATCGGCAACGTATGGAGCCTTGAAGACCTGCTCCATGTGCGACTCGGTCTTAATGCCCATGTACTTCTGTCCGAGAGCCTTCGCCTGCTCTTGGAAGCTGGCGTGTTGCTACGACGGTTAGCGCGGGCACTTCAAAGTGCGCCTGGTCCAGCTCTGCAACGTGCAAGCTGGTTTTGGCAAATGCGGCGATGACTTACAAGCTGCTCTGACAGAGGCACCTTCTTGAGCTTCATCTTGTGCACACCAGCGCTTGCGGCGCCCATCAGCGAGCCCGCAGCGAGGAGAATGGACGTCTTCATAACGATGACGGGTAGGCAGGCGCCTCAGCAGATGCAGTGACGACTGTGAACGAATAGAGTGCTCCTTGATGAAGCTGTGTTGTGATGGAGAAGTGTGGAGTTTGGAAGCTTGAAGGAGGCGCAAGTCTGGCGGATGCCTTGGAGAGGCTGGGGCGGCCTATGACGCTCGCTTCGTTGGTCCGGAGACGCTGCACCAATGAGGATGCACGCGTGCAGCTCTTGTTTCGGGACTAGCTCAAACGCTAGTCCTTTCGTGATGTGTGGCAGGTGTGTACCTGCGTGCCCAGATAATACGGGTAAAACCCTGGAGAACCATAGATCGTGAATGTGGGCATATATCCCGCGTCGTGCAATATTGAGAGTGATCGTAGTCAGTGTCTTGTGGATGCAATCACCAAACTCCTGGCTATATGGAACTGGACGCTCCGCAGACCACGGCTTCACTCGATACATCTAGTGTTTAGCCCACCGTGGCCGTCGGCGATTACTTGAGCCCGATGCGGGGACAAATGCTAGAGAATGCGCTTTTCCTCAACCAAGCTGCAATGGTCCATGATAAACAATAGCTGTAACTTGGCATCCTCTTCACGATGGCTTCTTCAACATGTCATGACACACTGCGTTGAGTTCCTCCAGGGCACTATACAAGACCAGTCATATTACAAAGACTTCCGCACCGTCTATTAATCCTCATCCAGCGTGGTCGACGCCATCAAGCGCTCCAGCAGACCCATGATGACTTTGCAAGCCCACTTCACCGTGTCTTTCTCCTTGCTATTCGCCGTGATCTCCGTCTTGCTGACAACCTTCTTCACGAAATATTGCACACCGGTGATCATCTCTGGAACCGCGTCCAAATTGATGAATACGTTCAGCAGCGCTTTCTCGCTACGCTTATCCTTGTGGCTCTTTTGCGATTCCACTATGATGGTCACGAGCATCACCTCAACCATCGTTTTCGTCTTCGGCTTCAGATACGGAAAGTTGAGCGTCTTCAGGCCGACGATAGATAGGTCGCCATTGGCTATCAGCGTGCCGTAGAGCTTGCCGAGCGTGACGACGCGGCGTAGGGACATATCGCTCTCTAAGTCGTCTTCGTCGTCCGATGCATCGTCGTCGTGCTTCTTCTCTCCCAGTTTCCTGAATATATCCCAGAGCGCGAATTGGAATGTCTTCCTCGATTTGTGGTCGGTGCAAAACTTTCGCGCCAGGGCGGTGTAGTAGGGGTTGTACAAATCTTCGCAGCCTGCGCAATGCAGGATAACTCGAGGTATCTCTACTTCCTCTGCTTTCTTCAACCTGAGCTTCAGCAGGCGGATGTGCGCATCCTTGTAGTCGCTAGACGACATGACTGTAACGAAGATGGCTCGACGAACGTCCGTATTCATACGCTGCTCTTTAGCAAGCTGTAGGAGATCAATTTCGCCATCATCCCCGGTGTCCGCAACCTCAACATGCTCCTCCTCGTCCTCCTTGTCGTTCATCTTTTCTTGCGGTTCTCCGGCCATATTGCTCCGCCAGCTTGCACCCACGAGCCACCACTTGCCCTTCTTGTCGGTATCCCTGATGTCAGCTAGGCCTATTCGCAAGGGTTCACTGCCTTTTAGATTTCTTGTGTTCAGCGTTCCCAGCTGCTTTTTCATGCTGATAGTATGTTCACGCACGACGGCCGATGCCGCTACACCCGTCTTCATGCGATTATTTTTGAGGTCGTTGATGGTTTCTATCATGAACTTGGTTCGTACAGGTAAGTTCTTCTCGCCCACCCTAGCGACCGACTTCTGGAGTAGTATAACAATGTCCTTGAGCGAAGAAGGGTCGTCTTGTCGGAGCTGTGAGCCTGAAACCCGGACTATCCGAAGGAGCAGCTCTGTGTTGATTTCGGAAAGCTCATCGAGAAAGAGCTTGATGTAGTCGAAGATTAGCTTGCACCCCACCACCTGAAAACAATATAGCTCAGCCAAAACAGACGTGAGATTGGTAGTGTGCTTTCCAATGCCGTCCTTGTTGGGCTGATAGTGTCTGTCAAACTCAAGTACTATACGCTCCAGCATCTGTGCACCAAAATCTGGGCCGACGATCTTGTAGATTGCCGCTATAAACCCCGCATGTAGGATGAGAAATGTGTCGATCAACATTGTAGGGTCTGCCAGCATGCCGATCAAAAGATCTATGAGAGTAGTGGTGACATAGCCGCGAGGGTTGTTCTGGTAAAGCTTTTCGATGTCCTTCACGATAGACATCATGTTGGCGTCAGAGAGTCTGTTGAAAAGACCTTGAGTTTGCCTGCGCAGTCGAGCAAGCGCTTCGGAATCTGAAGAAGGTGGTGCTCGTAGAGCTGGGGGTATGTATTTGGCAGGGACAGCACCCGCTGGTACAGGCGCAACATATGGGTTCTCGCGTACGCGGGGCGGCGGCTCCACTTCTTCTTCTTCTTCTTCTTCCTCCGAATCTAAGTCACCAAAGTCTGACCCGTTCCTATCCGCTGCATCATCTTCTGAGTCGTCGACATCTTCTGGTCCTTCCTCGTCTTCCGCAATAGCCGATTCTCCCTCAGAGTCTACTGCATCTGAGTCCAGGCCGTCCAGATCCGATTCTTCGTCTTGCGCGGTTTCCACTGATCCACCAAGCGCTTTTCGCCGCTTGATCGCCAACCACTCCTCGTCCTGATGTCTTTTTCGTTTCGTCGGATTGAGTCTAAGGTCGTCCGCGTCGCTGCCGAAGTCTCCCAGATCGCCAAAGATGTCGTCCAAAGCATCATCATCATCACCACCCTTTGATTTCTTTTTTCGCTTCTTCAATCCCAGCTTCTTCTCCAAAGCTGCGATTTCTGCGTCATCTTGTGCGAGCCTGTCCTTCACGATTCGAGGGACTTTGGCAGCAGGTGGTGGTGACGCTTCAGCAACGAGGATTGGAGCGGCCTGGGACTTCTTCAAGATGCCCTTGGCTGGCGCTTGGGTAGTTCGCGCTGGAGATTGTGCTGGCTCGTCCTCGTCGCTCCAGTCCACAGCATCCTCCTCCTCTTCGTCCTGGGGCTCCGCCTCGCGTTGCACTCGAGCCCGCGCAAGCGCATTGTGAGAACTGGAGCGATTCGGCTTCTGTTGCTTGTGTGACTTTTTTGCATCGCGCTCTGCTTTCCTGCGGTCCTTTCGGTTCACAGGGCCGTTGTACACATGGCCACCGCGCTTTCGGGTGGGAGCACCTGTACAAAGTCAGCATGCACGCCCAACAGAATGATGGCAGAAGGAGCCTCTGGGTCTGTTACCTCCGCCGAACTGGTCGCGCAGCTCCTTGGGAAGCTGGGGGCCGGTGTGTTCTCGCTGGCGCATTGTGCTGATTGAACGTTGCGCAGCAGAAAAGCAGAAATCCAAAGTTACGATCTCGGACTTAACACGCCCCGCTTCGCGCACACACCAAGCCAACCCCACGCGGACCTCCAATTCACCACGGCCAGAGCTCGCGTCAAGGACCCCAGATATCCGCGCACACGTGGGCACTCGGGTACCATCGGACGTGCATCGACCTAGACAGACATCCCTTGTCCGCCCGTGACGCCGGTTCTGCAGCCGCGACTCTACCTCACCATGGGCAGAGAGCATTTGACCAACGACGAGGTACAGGCGCTGCACCCTCTCGACAAGCGCCCCGCTGATCGCGCATACAGTTCTTCGCTCAGCTGAACAACCTGTTCGAGTATAATCGTAACAAAGGACACGGCAGCGTCTACCTTTCACAGAAGCGCTTAACCTTCGACACCGAAAGCCAGCCCCAGACGCCTACGAAAGTCGCCGACGACCCTCTCTGGGACACGCACCCCAAGAACCCTCTTCCCATACTGGTCCGAGCACACAACAACAAATCTTCGAAGCTGCACGGGAAGTCCAACGGAACGGACAGGAAGGCTATCGACAAGATCGTTATATCAACCGTGGTGCAGCCGGAGAAGCTGGACGCGTTTTTCGTACAATATGTAGAGGCCTGCAAGGCCGGCATGAGTGGACTGAAGAAGAGGGATAGGCGCGGGAAGAAAGACAAAAAGAAGAAAAGGAAGGGCGCGGCGGAAACGAAAGGTTGAAATGGTCCCAGGAGCACGCGCATTACTTTTCAGTGTGAAGGAGACGACTGAGTCTAAGCGGGGAAGAGGGGGTCTTCGTCTGTCGAGCAGCACCGCCAGATGCAATTCTCCTGGGCCCCAGACGTAGGTTTAGGAAGCACAGAAGCCGTGGCTTCGTGCAGGACCAAGGCAACGGCAGATGATCTACCAACACGGGATACCACGCGAGAGTATAATAGCAAGGCTAAGGCCTAAGATTCACACTAAGAACACACAGAACATCCAAACCCCTCAACTCTGTTTCTTCTTCATTCCCCCTACATACAATGGCAGGGGCTGGCCCATCCAGGTTGCTCTCTGTGTGTGATCTCGTAACTCATCACCAGTATTAGGGTGTATAAGTGCCGAGAGTGGACCTCTGTTGATCACGAGCCATGGGACGAAAGCACCAAATTGCTCTGTTCACAATCAGTATGTCGTCTCGGGGCATGCGTGAAACAGCGTACCAGGCGTGAACAGATTGACCTCGAACATAGCCAGAGGGTGCGGACCAATTGGCATATTCCATACTCGGTAGATGCGCAATTCGGGAACTAAGAATGTATCAAATATATGCTTTTCAAGACGTAAAAATGACTACGCTCACATTCGCGTCGTATCCGCTCCCACAGCTCGTTTGCGAACTTCGTTTCTGCGGCGTCTGTCTGCAGAAAGTATATGTGGATGCTATACGGTATTTAGGAAATGTCATGACGAGAGCTGATCCTGAACGTACTCAAAGCCTCCGCGTATGTCGTTTGTAATGGGTGCTATAAACCTGGTGTAGGCTTCGCTTCTCTTCTCTGCCGGCGGGTTGACAAAGGACTTGCCGTCTGCCGCCTTTTCACTGTTCGTGGGTCAAAATTAATCATACATCCGATCTTATCTTGCAGCAACGATATATCCATGGTCTTCACAGGCGGGATGCTTACTTTGGCAGCGACTCGAGGCCTCGATAACCTTCCAAAGGCGAGGTATAAGTATAATTCCAAGGTTCTGACATGGCGCTTGGGAAACGAGGGCTGAAAATAGGTCACTGAAAACCCGATGCAGCTTCTTCTCAACTGGTGTTTGATATATATACGATGCACGAAGAGAAGCATGTGGCAGTCGTTTGTAAGCGCGGAATTGGACCTAGCAATGATGCAATTTGTAAACGGCGAACGGCGTCTAACCACTTTGTAGCTGCCACAAACCCCTTACAAACATCTAGCACATCTCGACAAGCGTGCCCATGATCCCACGTTGCTCCGTATGGATTTCGGAGAACGGATGGATAACAAGGTCACCGTGCGCCACAGACAACGCCACAACTATGATTGGATGTCAGGCCATATGTGCAGCCGACACGCGACCAGACAACCACGAAGCATAATCGCAGTTCTGCAATAATCTGATCTTCGCAATATGTGTAGTACAGAGCAAGAGTCACAGATAGTGAGTGTTTTGAGGCTTATCGCAAACAGTCAGAGTCTCAAATAGCCCGCTGAGTCACTCGTCGCGGGGCATAATTGGACAGCCCCGCGCTACCTTTCCACAATTTCAAAGAACACACAACAGCGACTACACTTCTACTTTTCCGCGCAGCAACCCCCCCGCGCCAATTGCAGTCGCCATGGCGGAATCCACATACTACATCGACGAAGACGTCGGCCAGGACATCGACACGGCCGGCGCTGAGAGTACCCCCTTCAAGTCGCTCGGTTTCGGCGTCCTCACCCACGGCGAGTCCCACAAGTTCCTCACGCGCAAGAGCGTCACCGGCGAGGTGCCCGAAGGCTCGGACGCTTCGGCGCGTCTAGAATGGAAGCCCGCCGCCAAAGCCGCCATGAAGAAGGCCGTCAACTTCGCAAAGGCGCAAAAGAAGAAGGCAGAGAAGGCGGGGGAGCTGGAAGCACAGCAGGCAAAGCTTCTGGCAGATCGCACCAAGGTCCTCGACGAGGCAAAGAAGATCACACTTGAGGAGGACAAGAGCCTGCCTGCACCCCTTAGGATCAAGCTCGACGAGACAGACCCGCAGAAGGTCACGCTGGGCGATGGAAAGGAGAAGAAGGGGACGAGGGTGCGCATATTCGGAAGGGTGCATCGCGAGCGGAGGCAGAAGGAGAACATGTTCATCACGTTGAGGGATGGCTATGGCTTCATGCAGGTCATTCTCCAGGGCCAGCTTGCGAAGACATACGACGCCCTCACACTGACCCGTGAGACGAGCATGGAAATCCTCGGCGAGCTCAGGGAGGTCCCAGAAGGAGCCCACGCGCCCAACGGACGAGAGCTACATGCGGACTACTACAAGATTCACCCTGGTTGGCAGGCAGCTGGTGGTGACGACGCCATCACCAACCGTGTCTCCAAGGACACCGAGCACGCAACATTGCTCGACCTTAGGCATCTTACGCTTCGTGGCGAGACGGCGTCAAAGGTCTTGATTGTGCGAGATGCTGTAGAGTGGGCTTTCCACGTTGCATACAAGGAGCTCCGATTGTACGTCTTGCGCCCCCTTAAACATGAACACAGGCACTGACAACACTTCAGCCGCAAAGTGAGCCCTCCAGCACTCGTGCAAACCATGGTCGAAGGTGGTGCCACTCTGTTCGGCCTCCCGTACTATAACGAAGAAGCCTTCTTGACCCAATCGTCACAACTCTACCTCGAGACCTGCCTACCGTCAATGGGTGACGTCTACTGCATCGAGAAATCTTTCCGTGCTGAGAAGTCCCTGACCCGACGGCATCTGGCAGAATACACTCACGTCGAGGCTGAGCTTGACTTTGTCCACTTCGACGACCTGCTCGACCATCTGGAGACCCTCATGTGCCGTGTCCTTGAGGTCGCCCTCGAGGACCCTACGATCAAGCAGTACGTCAAGGATCTCAACCCCGAGTTCCAGATGCCCGAGCGACCGTTCAAGCGCATGAAGTACTCTGAAGCCATCGACTGGCTCGTTGAGCACAACATTGAGAACGAGGATGGCGAGCCCCACAAGTTCGGAGATGACATTGCCGAAGCTGCTGAGCGCAAGATGACTGACATCATCAACCGGCCAATCTTCCTCACGCATTTCCCTACCGAGATCAAGGCCTTCTACATGCTCAAGGACAAGGAAGACCCGCGGGTGACGGAGAGTGTTGACTGCTTGATGCCTGGCGTCGGTGAAATTGTGGGCGGCAGCATGAGAATTGACCAGCACGAGGAGTTGATGGCTGCGTTCAAGAGGGAGGGCATCGATCCTTCCAGCTACTACTGGTACACGGATCAACGAAAGTAAGTCACGGCTCTCTTGTGCATCAAGTCTGACAGTCGCTAACACGATTGTAGGTACGGCAGCTCTCCCCATGGCGGCTACGGTCTCGGTCTCGAGCGCTTCCTTGCATGGCTCTGCAAGCAGCACACCGTCCGCGATACTTGCCTATATCCCCGCTACTTCGGTCGCTGCAAGCCGTAGACAGCGTATCATCTACGCTTCTCCCTTTCTTTTCCTTGCCCAGCCCAAGCAAGACCTTTTCATCCCATAGAAACAGCGGCATAGCTCCACGTAAGATAGCACTTGTCACGTCTCCTAGCCTAGTCCACGAGGTGTCGCACGAGGCAGCTTCATGGCCACGCCGCCAGAATCCAATCCAATCACACCCTGAAACACCGTGTCTCCCGCCGTCCGCGCAGTCCGCCGTCTTCCAGTCCTCCCACCGCAGCCTTGACTCTACCCCCCTTCTGCACCACTCCGCTCGTCGTATCACGTCTTTTGTGCCGTTGTACACAAATCACGTCTGTAGCATCAGCATGCATCAGCACCAAGCGCCCGCCGCGGTTCGGCCGCATGCGGCATGGCGCCCCTTGCTTGTTTGGGACAACGTGCGTGATACGTGTCAGGCCACGTCCTTTTGACGCTGGCAGTCCAGGGGCGTGGCGGTGGGTCCGGTCAACGAACATTTATTGCTTTTCTGCCTGGGCTGTTTGATCATGTAAGTCAATTCGGTGGTGTGTTGACCGGTCGCGTGACGAGGCTATGTATGTATGAACTCAGTCAAGCGCTGCGATCTTACGATTGGTCCTGTTCGCTTGTGCGTCCATGGGTAAGTGCACCTCGGGGTCGGTCGATATCGTATGCCAGAAATCATGCGCAGATTGCAGCACAAACTTTCGAAATGGCCTGTCGGGCTTCGCAGTATGTAGAATTTTGGACAGTGGACAGTCTATCTCCGGTAAAATGTCCACTGTCAAGCATTGGATAAAGCATTCCGAGGAGACGACTCGCACTCTTACATCATCACTTGCGTAGCGCAAAGTCGCACTTGATCGACTCAAATCCACTCTGATTCATAGCCTACATCTCCACAAAGCTGTCTGATATGCAAACCAAACCCCCCTTGCCCTTGACTATGATCCTTGGAGTCTGGCCTTCTACTAGCCACAACCCGCGGACCGTAACCCAACAAAAACACAAATAACCAATTTGACCAGCTGTACTGTGGAGAGCCCTCGCTCAAGTATGGAGGGGTCTCGTAGTGGACATGAGATAACGCCAGGCTAAAAAGCTCCACGCCGGAAGCCACGAATAAGCATGTTTCCATAATGCTGGGAAAAACTCCACGCTATGCAGTGATGTGCAGAGACGACTCCGAGAAAAGGCTCTCTGGGCCCAAAAAAAGAGAGCCTCTGTACGAAATCCTATCTTAGGATGACTCCGAAGTCCGGGGATAATAGGGAAGCAGGGTTACAAGCGCTCATCGCGCAGAACCGAACCGTCGAAGCAGTCCGATTTCGATAGAACACAAGGGGAAAGAAAAGCGCCGAGTGCGCAAGCGCCGAAATTGGATCGAGAATCGGCCGTATACAAGAGCAAGCTTTTTAGAAACACATTTCCAGACCGAAGGTGGCTGGGGGAGGTGCGCTAGTGGCGAGGATTTCGCTTAGAGCGCGGGAGGAAATTGGTAGGAAGGCGGAAGATATAGGGGTGTTAGGGTCGTGCGGCATCCGAGGCCGTGATGAGAGGCAGGAAGTGATCTCAATGAAATGATGAGAGCGATGTGTCAAGAGTGCGTAATGGCCTCGTAGAGGCTCACTCAAGATATCGTCCATGATACTCGAGCCGAACGCGAATGTCGTTTGACCGGCGACTATCAAGCTGTGGCACCACCAAGGCGAGCCTTGATCAGGTCCTGTAACTTTAAGAGCATTTCGCGTTCCTCGTTGGACACAGGGGGCGGGGGAGCAGTGTCGATGGCAGTGACGACAGCCTTCGGTGCTTCGGCCTGTTTCAGTGGGTTAGCGCCGATCAAACATCCAGAGTCAGAAAGAGAGGAAGCTTACGGTAAGACTGAGAATAAGCGCATCGACGTTGCTCTCGTTGAGCCCAATCTCTGTTTCTTTGTTGGCCAGTTTCGCAAGGTTGAGAGCAGCTTGTTGTTGCTGGATCGGGCGAGCGGCAAAATTCTGCATTGATGCCTTGCTCTGCACACGGCTCTGCGCAAGCTTCGCTGCCTTGTTGAGACGACTTCTGCGAGACAAATTAGTGCTGCGGAAATGAACTGTAACAAATGAGTGTACTTACGTCTTGACCTTGTCGATGAAATCAAGGATGAGACCCTTCTCCGGCACACGGTAGACACTGGAGCTGCTGTCCTTCTCTTCACCGCCAAAGACATAATTGCCTTCGCCATCAGTATCGTCGTCCGGATCATTCAGGATCTCTATCAGGCCGTTGTTGCGAATACCACGTGAGAAAGCAGGCTCGATGACCTGGGGGTGCCGAGGCTTGCGCACCTTCCGGCCAAGCCTGGAATTTGGCGCGTCGACCATGACAGCATCCTGTGCACCATTGATGTCGTTCTGTGTAACATTGCCGCTGCGGAAATCGTGCTCGATGTGACGCGGGCATCGCCACGCGTCACGGTGCGAGGATTCAAGGTTGATGTGGGGTGGATTTGCCATGGGAGGATCCAGGCAGTCCAAATGCCAGTATGCCGCACAATAGTCGCACTTCAGCATCTGGCGTTTGTTGCCAGAAGTCAACCCGCATGATGAACATAAGATAGGCTTATCGCCTTCAAGAACCTTTGTGTAATCAGGCCTCTGGTAGCCATAGCCGCTGTTCTTAGAGCTGCGACACGGTCAGTGATGACGCCAGCAAGCGAGGACGCGTCGCACTTACAGAGGGAACTTCTTCACGTCTTCGTGGTAAGAGCCATCAGGACGCGCAGCAACATTCTCGAAGTGGTTCTGGATGTCTGCTGGTAGCGTGAACGCACGCGTGTTGATGTGTTCAAGTGCCTGGAAAAGCGGTCGTAATGGCGTTTCTATGGGAAGATCCTCGGCAGGTTTCGCGCAGACATGACAGAAGAAAGATCCTCTGGGAGCATCGAGACGCGGCGGATCGCAACACAAGAAATGGAACACACGTGGGCAAGTGTCGCAGCAGACGAATTCACCAGCACCTCTGCAGGCTGAACAAAGGTCATCACTCTCGGATGGTGGCGAGTCCTGGCAAGGCGTTAGAGGAGGTGATAAGGTTGAACTCGGAGGCGAATATGGATATTTGAAAGGCGTTATGCCTGCAGTGAAGATCATGGGTAATGTGGTGGTGGTTGGTGACGGCGGGTTTTGTGGTGGAAGGAAGATGGTGTGGTTGGGTGGAGCGGGAATTTGAGTTGCACTTACTGGGTCATTGTCATCAGGCCCCGAATGTCTCGAACCGCCACCGCCAGTATGTGGGATTCCTGCAATAGGGCCATCGCGATTCTTGACCGGCCTAAGCACGAAAATACGTTAGTTTGCTTTATTGATCCAGAAATGTGCGAACGCGATGCAAACACGAAAAACCACGTTGAGCTTGCTCAGTCGATGGTCGCATCCCTGCATGAAACGGGTACTGGCGTCGTCCAGCGCCCCAACACAATGTGACAGGGATGCGTGGAGACACGAAAGTGGATGGTACTTACGATTTCTTCGTTCTCGCTGCCTGGTTAGGATGCCCAGCCTGACCATTGTTCAACTTGGTGCGCTTGGACGGCATGTGGCTGACGGCTGCAGGCGTAGATGGGCGGCTGGTCGCGGCCGAGTCTGGGTGCGGTGACGAAAAAATTGAGTTCTCACGTCCGCGCTTCATGCCGCTGGTCTGAATAGACATGCCGTTGCGCGCAGATGGTCGACCTGCTCGTCGTGGCCTGTTGATATCGCCAGGCGGGCCCATGGCAGCGATGGACTCTGTCATGGATGCAGTCTCGTCGTCGTCGAAGCGCATGTCTGACACTTGTGCATAGCCAGAAAGTTGTTCACCAAAGCGCTTCTGTTGGTCGTAAGCGAGCTCTTGACGCCTCTTCTCGACTTCTGCGTCTTCAACTAGCTGCTCTGCGGTTCGCGGTACATTCTGCTTGAACTTGCGATGCGGTTTCGTGGGCGGCTTTTCGGAGCTGGCTCGGGAAGCCTGTTGCTTCTTGCCGCCGCGTCCTGAGAGGGTCTTCAACTTTTTGTTTGTTGCTGCAGTGCCGTTGCCATTGACGTGAGCGGCAGGTTGAGGAGGTCCAGTGTGGAGGATTTCTTCGTCAACCTCCGACAGCCCAGAGTCACTGCCGGCTGGCGATTTGGGTGCGGGGGTAGGAGCAGTAGAGGCGACATCTGCATCAATACTCAGATCATGAACACCATTCGCAGTGCGTTTGCGTGGCGACTTGGATCCCATCCTAGGAGCGCGCGGTGACGATGCTTCGGTTGCTGGGAAGGCGGGGGCTGTGCTCAGTGGGTGGAGTATTGGTCCATCAACCTCGTTGCCGTCAGAAACATCTGCGGGGGATCGAGTAGCGTCCAGTGAAGGCGACTCTGTGAGAGGTGCAACAATAGCAGGCTGGACCTCGAGATTGGTGGGGTGGGGTAGGCCTTCACCTCCAGCAGCTGGCGAGGACACATCAGCGCCATCAAACTCGGACGAGGCGCGCGTCTTCGCAGCCTTTGCCGCCTCTTCTGCTTTTTGGATCTTCCATTCGCGCTTGATGGTCTTTTTGGCCGACTTGATGAAGCCGCGGAAATTTGACCAGTCCTCAGCTGACTCTTTCTGATGAATGATGCCGTTCAAAGCCTGCGCTAGCGTCACGTCGGACTTGCCGCTGTTGAACATGCGCCTCAACGCAATGCCAACGTTAGGTCGGTTGTCCCTGATGGAACGGGCGTGGGCATCGTTGACGGCTATCTCGATGGTCTGCATAAGTGCTGCGTCCAAGGTGCGAGTAGGAGTGCTGCCCACGGCAGGCGCGGGCGGCACAGATGGTGTCTTGCTGATGCCGTTCTTGGCCGGTGATTTTGCAGTGCTGGCGGGCTTGCTCTGTGCGGTGCCTTTACCCCTGACAGGCGTCTTGGTGCCGTGCGAAGTCTTCTGCTTCTTCTTGGGACCCGGCTTGGGCATGTAGTCGTCGTCCTCGTCCTCATCCAGCTCGGGAAGGGGCATTGGTATGTCGTCGTCGTCGTCCAGGTGCTCGGAGATGTCGCGCTCAATCTCAGGAGCGGGCGTCAGTTCCGGGGTGGACGTCTCCTCGTCACCAAAAGCGGCGGCCTTCCTGCCCTGGACGGGGCCCTTTGCAAGCGAATCGCCCAGGCTGCGGACCCTCTGCTTGACGCGGGAGGTAGGAGGGACGCCGAGGGCAGCCATGGTTTCGAGGACGCCGTGGCGCGCGAAGCCGTGCTCTTCGAAGGAGGGTGCAGGATTTTGGGGTGCGGGCTCAACCCACATGTCGAGCGAGCTTTGCATCTTGGCCTTGCGGGGTTCTGCGTCGTAGGGCGACGAGTGGCTGGCGATGGGCGTGCTGGTCCGCGATTTCGACTTGCGGATGGACGGCATGGCGACGTGGACCACTGCGAGCTGGTTAGACGCGCTGCACGAGGCCGGGGCTCGGGAGATAGTTACCACGCGTGCTATCTGGAAAATTTGGCCGCAGACAGCGCGTGAAAGATTACGTGCGTCGCGCCGCGCGTAGGAGGTTGGGTTGCTGGTAGAGAGACGATGGCCGGAACTTCGAGGTTGCGGGAGGCGCTTTCGCCAAAATACGCCGACTCCCTGTCCTGATTACTTCACCAACACGACACGGGAAATTGTCGCTGGCAGCCGCGGAAACCACGGGAAATAGCTGCCGCTGGCTGCTGGAGGCGGGATATCGAGTTTGAGAAAGTTTCGATCATGAGCGGGGTGGGGTGTCGGAGATAGGTCAAGGTTCACTTGGGCGGCGGCGACACTTTATACTGCTGCGCCTGAGCTGTTCAATTTCACCAACAGAGCAAAATGCGAGGCCGGCTCACCGCGCAGCTTCCAGAACGTCAAGCGGTCATCGTCTGCGTCAGGTCATCATTTCCATGTTTGCAGTGTGGGATGCATCAGCAGGACGTTCAGGGGCTCCTACATAGCAACCGCAACACGTGCTCGATGAAGACTGTAAACTCCTTTGTATTGCCAATGTCCGACCTTGATATTGCAGACACCGGCTTGTTCAAGAGAGGGTGAGCTACCAAGCGTTCCCCTTCCTCTAATCGGCCTCGGGAGGCGTGTGCGAGAGCAGTTCGCCGCCCCCATGGCCGTGCCTCTCCTCCTCCGACTGTCCACGTAGACAAAGAGTCACAGATGCTTCCGTCTGACTTCCTCCGTCTATCGCATAAGCACGTGTTGAAGTAAGCGCTGTGACCAAGAAATTCAAGACAGATTCAATACGTCTAACAGTTGTTGGAAGCCTGTCCACCCAGAGGAGTATGGACATCACTATACACTGTGTCGGTTTTACGAAAGGAGAATGTGTGCCATAATGCTTTTAATATTTGAGCTTTCAGCTGCCTACCGGCTCCCCTGTAAGCCGCACAGAGTGACCAAACACAATGGCAACCCGAAGGTTGACCGCAAACTGGAAGCCTAAGCGTTACCCTTGATGCAACGATGATAGGTACTCTATGCTACAAAGTATGCCAGGAGATGCGACGAGTAGGAGTTCCTCAGCTGGAGACATGGGTTGCATCGGATCGGAAAATGGCAGGCCCAAATGGCCATAGGCCTCGATCATCCGATAATTTGTGGAAACGCACATTTACTCGTCGTCGCTCTCCTCCTCTTCAGCACCACCGGCAGCGGCAGCCTTCTTGGCAGGCTTCTTCTTCTTCTTGCGGTTCTTGTTGGACCTATATTTGTTCATCAGCATCGTTCCTGTGTAAATAGGCTGTCGCTGGAGAGTGTTCCAATAACGACAAGGAGAAAGAGTTAGACTATGCTCAGACATCAAATGATCCGCACTACCTCAGGACAAGCGATACGGAGAGTGGTTGTAGCGGGGTTGATGCCGCTGTCAGATTCGCAAATCCGCACCGAGTTGCCTGTCCTGAGGTAATCCAGCGATCAGATGATCCCGCAAGTTGTCTCTGATTCTCGTCGCTGCTTTGAACGGAGATTTTGTTCGAGTTCATGGGAGAAAGAGTTTTCACTTACGACGCTTTGCCAAGGGGCTGCTCAAGGATCTTCAGGACTTCCTCGTCGGTGATCTTCTTGTCGGTCTTGTACTTAGATACATCAACTGCGGGCGGCTGCGCGAGACGCGTGAGGCCGTTCTTAGTGATGGCTGTTCGGTCGGTCAGTTTTCGTTCAGCTCCGAGCTGCGACTGTAGACGTACCAATGGTGGAAAACAACCTAGCAACTGGCTCGTTGTTCTTGTCGGCAACTACTTCGTACTGACGAAGTACACCACCACGTACGCACTCGATGACACCGACCTTGGCGGACTTCTCGTCTTCGAGCTGCCTCAAGCTGAACGGGAACGTGCCGAATTTCTTGGTAGCCTCGGATAATAGCGCACGTGAAGTAGGGCGCTTCAGGGCATATCGCGTATCAGTGCGGCGGTGGAGAGTCGTGCGGTTGTTGTCGACGGTCTTGACCTTGCCAGAGCCCAAGCTGACCCCCATCTCCACACCCCACACCTCACCCACGTCGGGAAGACCCTCACCCTTGACACCCTCGCCAGGGGCCAGAATGATCTTCTTCTTGGCTTCGATCTCGTTGTGCTCGAACAGCCAAATAGTGGTGCTCTCGACAAGGTTGCACTCGTAAGCAGAAGTGACCTTCTCAAGCAGGTTGGTGATCTGGGATTGGGTGTAGGGCTTCCGTGCGGCGGCCTTCTTCTGCTCCTCGTCGGTACCAGTGGTGGGGACAAGGCTAGGCGGAACCATCAGCCTCAGGAGCAACTCGTTGGCGTAGTGTGTGGCCAAGAAGAGGTCTGCTTCACGGCCGCTGACCTCGTCAGAGGCGCCGACCAGGACAGAGTCGCAGACAATGGCAGGGAAGCCATCGATCTGAGCACCGAGCTGGATCTTGACGACCTCGCCCTCCTTCAGGGTAACTGCGGCTTCCTCGGCATCGGACTTCAGGGGCGTGTACGGGGTGACGTAGGAGCTCGGGGAGATGGTGGTGCAGTGCCCAATGCCCTTGGCGATCTTCTTGCCCTTGTAGACCTTGGCCGTCTCTTCCTCCAGAAGCTTGTCGCCGCGCTCACAGAGCTCGACGATGTTGGCGTCGGCCTTGATCCATCCTGCAGCTGGTCAGCCCACCGCATGGGATGCGCCTGTGCGCGTGTTGAACGCACCTGAGACTTCCTTGAGGACCTTCTCGGCGATGGTCGCGGCCGTCTTGTACTTGGTCAAGGTATCGGGGTTCGCGAGCGTGTAATCTAGCAGGCGCACACAGTTAGCACACGACTCATAAGTCGACGGAGCAGCCGCGCCAGGCGTCGCCGCAACGCCACGCGCATTGCACGGGCTGCCGCAGAGACTTGGGAGCCTTACCGACGACAGCGGTTTCGTCGGCCATCTTGACGGGTAATGAGTGCAGTGGATCAAGTGCGTAGTGGGTTTAATGTGTCGGTCGCCCTCGAGCGTGCACTGCTTGTTTTGTCGTGCTGCCCCTCTTTGCGGGGCTCGATCGCTTAACGCTCCACTAGCAGCAATTACGTAGTGACGAGACGGCCTGGCCGTTTTCATTCAGCCGCTTCAACCTCAGATGGCATGTATCGAGCCGCCTTGGTCGGGCTTCTGGCTGCCTTGGGGTGAATGCATCTATCTTGGACTATCGCGTACACACTAAGCACTCTGCAGCAGAGTCTCCACCCGGAACACGATTTGGCCTCGTACGTGCTTGAGACTATGTCTGCACCTTCAACACCACATCTCCGACTACAGCCCTGTGATCAGAGGCGTACACTCCATCGTCAAACTTGTTTGGTAGAACCGCGAACCCCGTCGCCTCCCAAACATCCGCTCTCCGATCCACAAACACATGATCAAGCTCTGTTTTCGCGTCGCTCTCTTGGAAGCCCGTGAAGGTCGTCTTTGGGTTTCCATACTTCCTCGGCGCCACGTCCTTGACCGCTTGCAATGCTGAGTCTTTTGCGTTCAGGATCTGGTACGCCGAGCCAGACGGCTCGGAATTGAGGTCACCGCCGAGGAACATAGGGATAGGCTTGGTAGTGGTGCCATTGTGCGTCGTCTCGTTGGCGACCTTGAGGATGAGCTTCGCGGACTCGGTGCGCGAGGTGGCGCCCTGATCATCAAGGTGCGTGCACATGCCGACGACTTTCTGCTTTGAGGCTTGGTGGACAAATGTGCCTACCGTGACGATGCGGATCGACGCCGCATCCCATCCCTTACTGCCTGGCTTGTCGGGTGTTTGGCTCAGCCAAACCGTCTTCCATGTATCTACCTTCCATACTGCTTTCCGGAAGATGATTGGGCTGTACTCTCCTGCTTTCTTCCCATCATCTCTACCCACGCCGATATAGTCCCCTGCAGGCTTCCGGTCAATACGATTGTAGACGATTGATGTATGCAGCATCAGCAGAGTCGGTCCACTTACAGTCGGATCCAAAATCACCCATCACATCTGTCAATTGAGCATTGAGGACCTCCTGCAGACACACAAATGCCTCGTCATTGTACAGTGTGTTGTACTTGAGCTCGTTGATTACTAGTAATTTGCGGTCCGTCCATGGCTTCTCTCCTACTTTACGGTCAGCCCAAGGTTGGAGCAAACCTCAATGAGTCGCGGAGTAGTCCTGATCAAAAATAAAATGGCTTTGCAAGCATTCGGCGTACACATGCTCTCGGCTAGACCTTGTTCCATGAACACACTCACCGGTGAAAGGGCTTGAAGTCGCGTATCGTATGTTGTGCGATGTTATGCGGATCGGAATGTCTGCCTGAACCCTCAAGACGAATGCTCCTGCGAGGAGCAGGCCCTTTAAGAACGAAGGAAACATCCTGTAAGGTATCGTGCTGAAGCGAGGAAGAGACACGTGAAAATAACCAGGCAAGGGTTCGAGAGATCTCAGTCTGGAAGGACTCGCAACAGTGTAACCGTCGAGTAGAGAAGCGAGTATCAGAACTCACGGAGTGCAAAGCAACAGCCTCAGTATAAATGATATCAAAAATTTAGAGTAGACATCCTGCCGCTGACGCAATGCGGAAAGATGGGCGCTATGCTAATGTGCCGGCCATCTTCCACCATAGAACGGTAGAGTTACGCCCACATGTGGTTCAAACAGTATTGGCACTCTATCGACTTTCCAATTCTGTCTGCACCTGGTCGCAGATCTCGCTCGGCAAATGAAATCGTCGACCTCAGACCACGTTCGTCTCAAAACCCCAGTGCACACTGCAACCAGCCCCAAGACGACGATCGATCGGCATGAACACGCTTTCCGAATGGTAAATAGTTTCGTTTTTGTACAAATAACGCGGATGGATCATCTTGATTTACACAAAAACGCCTCAAGGTATAAGCTCCAATCCAGAACTAGGTCGCAACGCTTCAACGATTATGTTTGCGCTTATGCTGCATTGCGCTTCTCCACATTCTGCTTGTGCTGCTTGTTGTTGAGATGTGTCTGAAAGTTGCCGACCGTCTGTTCGGGGCCAGAATTGTACAGCTTGCCAGGGCAGTCCAAGCAACGGATTCTAGGGACATATTGTGCCTTGTGGCCTGGGGGCAGAGAGCCAGATGCCGCAAACGAATCGGGTTTGACACTTTGCAGGGTGTTCTGGTCGATAATCGTATATCGCATGGCCGCTTCGAAACGATCGCCGGGGTTCTTTTGCTTCAATTCTTTAAGGGCTTCTTGAAGCCATGATGGAGGAGGAGCCTGCGTTGGTCAGTCTTTGATATTAGCATTCATAATCCTCAGCTTACTGATGGAGCTCCCTGCGCCTGCGGCCAAGGCGCGTCTGCTCGACCGTCAGGATGGTAGTTCCACTTTGGCTGCGACTGCGAGTTTGGTGTGGGAGTAGAGGGCGGCTGAGGGGAGACCGCAACTGATGAAGCCGTCGGCGCAGGAGTATTACGAGGTGGCACCGCGGGTGACGGAGGGGGCGGCATGGAAATAGCGCCAGGTGTGCTGCGGGCAGGCGTAGGTGTATGTGCCATGAGTGGTGTGGATACAGGCTTTTGCAGGTAAGCCTTCGGATTGCGTAGATATTCCCTGAATTTTGCCGGTGAGATTTTGAGCTTAACGATCAGTCTGGCAGGCTCGGACACCACACTCTCATCACGAGCGTCGTATCTCAATTGCCTTGCTGTTCTAAGCTCGTGCTGGCTTTGTTGCAGCGCAGAAATCTCGGGCGTCATTGATCGTCCCATGGCGGAGCGCATCGCCGCTTGAGCTGCTGTGGCCGCTCCACGCATGCCTCGAGTTCTTGCCGTTCCACCGGTCATCATCATGGACGGCGCAGGAGACTCCGGCGCGGAGTCGTCACTTTCCGACTCATCCGAATCCTCATCCATGCCACGGCGACGTTCCCTGGCCTTTCTTACAGCCTTGAACAGGTGGCTGTCGTCGATAGTCTCGGCAGCTCCAGGAAGAACGGACGAAACGATGAGGGTGCGAACAGTGCGCTGTCTGTCCTTGAGGTCCGGCAATGCTGGTCCTCCACGTCGATTTACTGACCGTTTTTGCCGCCTTTGCTCGCGCATGATAGAAAGCTCGGCCCTCTCGAGCTCGGCCTCGCTCAGTTCGTAGAGGTATGGAGAGAAGTCTTTGGCAGACTGCATTGGTCGGAAGACTGAGGGGATCGGGGAAGGCAGGAAATTATCTCGGATATCCGTATCTTCAACCGGTCGCCCGTCGAATGGATGACCAGTGATATACAGGCTCTTAGTGAACATTTGACACTGCTCTCGTATCGAATGTGCGATAGCAGTGGTAAATTCACCAGATAACGAGAGGTCAGCTGCAGTCTGTCTCGCAAATTCCTCGGGAGAATTGTGCGGGTTATTGATTTCCCATTCGAATTGGTCTACAAGCGTATGCTGTCCAATCGCAATGTTTAGCTTGATCAGTATCCGCATTTCGTCGTTCTTGTAGGCAGCGTACGGTAGCGTTGGGTCGAGCGCGTCATCGTCGAAGAAGGCGTGCGGATAGTAGTCCTGGATCTGCTCTTGGATCTCGCGGTTCACCTGCTGCTTTACGGGCTCCCGTATCTCGGGAGGCACTCGGAAGTCCTCAACCAGGTGTTCGGCGAACAGCTCTGAAGTCGTGTACCGGTCGTGCAAGTTCCATGTGAATGTATCTCGAAGCTTAATCTTATCCAGCTCAATGTCTAAGCGCACGGGAACCAGTTCCTCGACCACATCTGATTGGAGCTCGACAGTGTCTTTCTTCAGCGGCAAGCGTCTTGCTCTACGATTTGCCGGGGGTTTGCAGTGGGCGGGATATTTAAGGGCGAACCCTTGCGCGGGAGGGAGTTCGGTGATGCCATTGCCGTAGCCCCTGTACCCAGGGCCGAAGACAAGTGCGGCATTGTGCGCGCGGACTTCCTGGTAGTACTTGATCTCATCTTTGAGTTCGTCTGTGGCAACCTTGCCGAGTGCGCGTTTCTCCAGCACGTACGACGCGCCTCTCAGGTCACGCTGGATCATCTGATCCAGCAACGCCTTCTGTTTTTGTTCGTTCATCGGGGCCTCGCGCGTGGGCGTATGCGATGGCTTGCGCGAGCCGGAGCGCGACCGTTTGCGACTCGGCGACGCGCCATTGGCGCCCTCGTCGTGGGCGGACATGCCCATCTCAGCGCGGCCTTCTTGCTTCTCCGCGGCAGTCGCGTCCATCTGTGCTGCGAGAACCGCCTTGGCCTTCAATTTTCCTTCGCGAATGGCAGCGTTCTCGTCGGAGGCGGCGTCTTTACCATGGGCGGCAGCGGGCGCGTCGGGCTGCTGGGCAGGATTCAGGCCATTCTGTGCGGGAGACGCGTCGGGATGCGGGTCGGTAGAGGTAGAGGGCATGTCGAGCCTTCAGGTCAGCGAGCGATGCGACAGAGGAACCCGCGACTCGTGGCTGAGGTGAAGCACGGTGGTTAGCTAGCGTACAGGAGCGCAGAGGGCCGTGGCAGGGCCATGATGGCGCCGACAGGGGCTGCACAGCGAAGCCAGAGCAACAGCAGCAGCACCGTCGCGCATCGCCAGGCCCGCGCGAGGGCACGTAAGAGGGTCAGAGGCTGCACATACCGATGGGTCGTGCAAATTGCGCGTCCTCGGGCTGGGCCTCTGTTTGGCTGTGGGTAGGGGAGGTCGGTGGTGCCGATCGGAGCAGGACGTCACGGGTTCGGCGCAAGCAGACGCGCGCGATACGGCTCAGCAGGCGAGAGACTGGCTCCTCCGAAAAAGGCTCCTTGGGCTACAGTGCCGGGAGCCGTTCGGGCGCGGGCGGCTTATTTGCTCGGAATGCGTTGTCGATGTCGCAAAGCCAGCAGGCAGAATGCGCCGCTACCTTCGCTTTAGCGCCTAGACCTTGTCCGCCCCCGCATACATGAATAGCTGCGGGTCTGAGGTCGTTCCCAGATTTCCCTTCTCCGGACGGTCCCCGGATCTGTAGTTGTGCCAAGAATACACATACACGCTTTTCTTATTCCTAGGGCGTTCGTGTCGCTTGGAGCCTGCTGCTGTAGCCCAGGAGCAACGCTGCTCACGTGACGAGCATCGCGTGCTTGGCCAAGCTTACTTGTTGTGTGCCATCTCAACTACCATAGGTACGTGCAAGCCGGAGCTCGATGACTGATATCTGGAACTCAGGCATTAGACCAAGCTAACCGGCGTTGCACGGCCATTCGGCTATTGTTGGCCCAGGTCCTATGCTTCATGTTTCAACATTGGGAAGGCCCCAATGGTCTCTATGGGATTCAGACGTGGAGCAAGAACGTTATTCGGCCATGTAAAATGCGGTATGTATGGTTTAACTGTCTACAATTTGGTTTTGAATACTCAGTCTTCTGTTTTCTAAACCCAAGCCTAAGGATAGGCCCTCGAATGCGCAAGTCAACTGAAGATGCTACACGCCCTTTGCTACGAAACCACCTAGAGACAGCATTCCAGCGCGAGTCAACAGGTCCTACTCAACGATCTCCTCGGGGCCTTCATCAACCGATCCTCTTTCCGGACTTGTTCCTGACCTTGGTTCCCTTCTTGCCGGCGCTCTTGGGGTGCGATCCCGATGGCGGTGTCGTGCCCATCTTGATCTGCCTGAAGTACTGTCTATGTGATCGAGACGTGAGAATTAGTTTATATTCATCCTTTCTCTTCCGTTTCTTCCGTGAATCCCTGAACCTCTCCACCAGAAGCGTTCACGCAGTTCGGAAAACGCAAACACCATGACCAAGCAATCTTAGTCATGCAGACGAAGCTGCAAAGCCCGAAGTGCTCAAGCTAAGGTGGTGAGCTGCCCTCATGGCAGTGACATGCCCGTTCAGGTTTCCCGCGCTAAACGGAATTACCGGTAAGATGGGCTTGGTCTTGCAAGGCCATTATTAGGACCACGGTAAGGTTCCACGTTTTCAAGAGAACTGATAGCCTAAAGCTAGGACAGTTGAAGATGTCGGCCTTATTCACTGGTGAGTAAGGCGCACAGCCAATCATTTGCCGTCGAAACGACCCTATCTTCATAGCAAGCAGAAGGGGTTCTCCCATCTTCTGGTCTGAGTATCACCAAGATGCTTTTAAGTAGTTATGTTTGTCTAAAGATCTCCGCTCTTGGTGAAGTAGTTCACTGTTATGTCGTGTATCCTGCGTGATGGGCTCTCAACAACGTTTCCTGTCCATTCTCCTACACTTGACCGCGAACAAAAAGGACACGTGAGAGCATAAGACGCAACGAATGAATTGTGTCTGATAATGTTGTTTCCGTACCGCTAACGTGTGGACATAAGTAATGTGCCAGCCACAGATGCCGCCAGACAACGATAGTGCCTACGGACTCTGCCATTGGGGATGTTTGCACAGTGAATCCAGTCTGGTCGATTGCTATAGCCGGCAAACATGGTGTGGCTGGAACTCGGAATTGTAAGATCGATGAGACGCAAATTGGCGGTTAGTTCCAGATGCCGTATCTGATCGATGCCACTGATGCCCCACTTGGCTCACGCACCGGATGGTCCGGCACCGTTCCAACCCTCGTTGTGGCTTGTATCAACAATGCACTGATCAATTGTGAAAGCAAAGAGTATATTTGGCATATAGGGAAATGAGTTGAACCTGTGGAGGATGTGAGGGCTGCCGAGTTTTCCGGAAGAGTTAATGCATGCCCACCTGGGCATGGTGTAGTATCAACTTGACGATGGTACCAGACGCCGTTGCCAGGGGGCCCAGCGCGATCGCTCTTCGGGGCTTTGCCAGGAAAACGTGATAGAGTCGCGCTCTAGTCTGGAGGATGCTTCATCCAAGCCGCCGCAATTCAATAGCGGAAACGTCGGGAATAGTGCAAACGACGCAATCAGTCGGGTCATCACGTTACGTGAGCCATTTATGAGGCGTCGAAAACGAGACAGCCGTACAATACATATGGAACATTGCACCAATTCGATACTCTCACAAGAAACAGAAATCAGAGCATCAAGTCTTTCCTGTAAAGGCTATACAATAGAACTCCAGCCTCACCATATCCCCTAGGCATTCTCCAACTCGCACCCCAAGATATGCCTGCAAATATTGACCGCCAGCTCCTTCGCCTCTTGCTCGCTATCATACTCGCTTATGTCCCAAGTGAGCTTTCCGATCTTTGGCCCTACATCATCTTTACCAGCTTCGATGGTGAGCGAAACTTGCTCTTCGCTTGTCCAACTCCTGGCGGCATGAAGGATCGTATTCCCGTGAGCATCTGGCCCGTCGGCGACACACACCCATCTGTCTTCCATCTGTTGCGGTTTGAAGCCTTTTAACACGCTGTCGTAATCTGTGTCTTTAATGGCGAGGTTCCATTCCGTTGATGTGGGATTGGCGATTGGCTTTACTTGAGGACCAAGAACGGTTGCAGGCATCTTGAATATTTTGGATGGTCGGTTGGAGTAGTATTTATTGTAGTAGTGATAAAGTGCCAGGAGCAAATGCGTCAGTTTCGAGGAATGGAAGCGTTCATTTGTGATTTGTATGATGCGTGAATCTATAAGTGCGCTACAATGGCTCGGTAAGATGCACTCCGGGGGCGAAACGGACTGTGACATGTTCTCGGGATTTGAGCAGTTAGTCATCAATCCACGCATCAAGATGCCATCTAGTATGCTTTATTATTTTGCTAGTTGATCTTACAATCAGTCTGATCCACGGTTCGCTCCGTGTATGGCATCTCTGAACCCACGCGGGTCACATTAGAGCGAGTCGAAGACTGATGAAGTGCTATCGTCTCTATTATGACAAGGTTTTGCATGCAGTTGAGCTCATAGCCGCGTTCAGCGTGAGCTTCACAGGTCCACCAGATGCTGTTGCTGGATAGCATGGTAAAGAAACGAGAGAAAAGCAATACTCAAGAAACATTCGCAATATTCTGCTGATTCGTTTGAAGGGATAGGGGCTCACGCATCTTTCAAATTGTAATATTAGTCCAGCCTGGGAAATACAGAATGGGATTTCGCTTCCATCCAGATACACCCATTGGAAGCGGAATGCTAATATGGTCCAGAGACGCCGTTGCCCCGATATCGATCCCCTTCAACTAATCGATCCGTCAATCAAGTGCCATCAAGCAAAACGCTAGAGATACGAATTGATAACGAGAATGTCATGACTAATTTTCGCCCAGAATTCCTGTATTCTCGATCGCCTGCCCGCACAGAGTCCGTGGCAAAATAGAACCCTCATTTTAACGACCGGATGATATCGTTCCTGATCATACCCAAAGGTCCAATTATTGTTTGGTAGTATGTTAGCGTCTAAGGAAAACGACAAGCTTAGAGGAGCGAGTCAAGCCTTGTGAAGACGCTCAGGCATGCCGCAACCACCTGTATGCTTCGTTAGCACTGACCAGCATACAAGCAGGATCTTTACTGACCTCTAGCTGTAACTCCCTGTCTTTGGCATTGTTGACCTCGTCGTTAATGACCTGGCCCAAGTTTGCGCCGACACCACCAGAGCCCCCAGCCCGTCTTGCGAACGGCCATTGTGAATACTCTGCGAGCAACTCATCGACCTGAGCAAAAGCGCGTTCCCGCGCCTCATGCCCAAGCGTGGTCAGGGCGTTCTCCAGCACATTCGCAGCATATGCGGCGCAGACCATAACGATTGTTCGTAGGTACCTGAACTCTAGCTCTTCGGGGAGGAATTGGCTCGCACCCAGAACGACGGTTCGGCTGGTGAGGACAGTTCGGACCCGCCGCCTGATCTCCTCCTTTGCGCCTCCGTCCGCAACCGGGTGTGTAGCCATGTCGAAGAGCAGGAAGTTCTTCTTCTCCGTGCGCAGGATGCCCTTGTCGACGAGGCCTTTGCACAAGCGTTCGCGCACCTGTTTAAGCTGATAGCCTATCTTCATAAGGTTCCAGGTCTCTCCTAGACGGCATGTCAGCGTCCGCTCGTCCATCTCTAGCCGGTGGCAGCGTGGTCACATACCACTCATAAGATCAATCCACGAGTTCACGCTCATCTTCTCGCTCGTGTTCATCATTTTCAGCGCCTCGTCCAGCAGCACCTCGCCGGTGAGCTTGCTGTCCACGACCTCGATTACGCGGTCTGCGAGCGGGAACCTCCGTCGCGACGAGTCGTTTTGCATGCTGATGCGGCCACGGAAGGCCAGCTCTATGACTATGCATCCTCGAAGGGCGTATGAAATGTTGTCGTTCCAGAAGGAGAGGTAGCCCTGTTCGCTGGTCAGCCCGTGGTCGGCGGCGGCGGCGGCTGCCTGCGCGCACCTGCTTGTCCTTGAGACCCATGAGGATCACCTCCTCCATCAGCGTCAGCTTGGGCTGCTTGCTCCGCTCTGCGTTTTCGCTGATGTCCCGCGGGTCGTATGCGATCTTGTGGCCATTCGCGGAGTTCTCGTAGGAGGTCTCGGGCGTGCGGTCGTCGTTGCGCTTCGGCACGGGGCTGGCGACGCGGGCGGCTTCGTCGTCGCCATTGTTGGTGGCCGCGCCTCCTCCTCGCCGGCGGGTCAGGCCAGACGTCGTGGTAGCCATGAGGTGGTGTGCGTATGTCGGGCGGGGTGGTCGGAGCCTTTGTTAGGGTGTTGGGGGTGAGGCTCCTATGAGGCGCAGGGGTCGTCGCTAGGGCTGCATATGCGTCGAGGCAAGCTTTGGCCGGGCGCGACACGGCGGGTGCAGTGAGAGCGAGCGGATCGGGGTGTGAGCAGAGAGGGAAGATGTAGATGTGTTTAATCGGGGCTGTGTCACGGAGGAGCAGACGTGGGATTCAGTACGACGGTCTTGGCACCCAAATATATTTTGGAACGCGCAGACACGCGCGCGCCCGGCTTTGCGCTGCAGACGTGGAGAAGTGGGTAGCATCCATTTTCTATCACCAAATACAAAAGGTGCCTTCCAGGCGACTGTTATACATGCGGAGGAGAATATATATAGCAACGCCAAGGTAGCCTCCGCCCACCTATTTCCCAGCCATGTCGTCGACATCTAGCAATCCGCTCAGAGACTTCCGTTTAGTGGGCTGCAGTCAATTAGCACCTGCGGTCGTGAACCGACTGCGGTCCTGGTTAGGGCGCTTACCATCGGGCTGGGCAAGGATGTAGTCGACTGCTTGCTTGACTGGGATATCATCAGCACTGTGCCGTCCGAATGGGCCTAGTTACAATACCGCTGTGGATGGCATCCGCCTGCTTGTCTGGGATCTCAATGCTAAACTCCTGTGATTCCGTCAGACCTGCTCCCGGGGTATATTTCCAATTCCGCCACTGACCTCCTCAATCGCCATGACCACCTCAACGGTATCGAGACTGTCGAGGCCAAGGTCGTTGTGGAAGTGCGCCTCGCCGTTCAACTAAACCTTGTTAGCTGCTGCGCGACCTGCTGTTGTGCGTTCCGAAGTGTACCTTGGAGGTGTCCGTGACCTATCCCGGGTTAGCCAGAGCCCTCGCATGCCATCAAAGCGTCATTACCTTGTCAAAGTTCTTCAACAGATCCATTATCCTACCCTCAACCTCATCCTTTGATAGACCAGCCGACGCGGAGTAGCATCGGACTGCTTGGAAGCGCGCGGAGGGAGCGATCTGCTTCGCCTGGAGCAGCGAGCTGCGCGCGGCTGGGCGAGCAATTGGCGCCGACCACCGCGGGGCAGCACGGACGGCTTGCCTTGCGGACCTGAGGAGAGCAGTGCGGAACATTGTGAGGGCGTTGAAGGTGTTCGAGGCGGAGATGTCGTGGGTAGAGTTGATGCTCGGTCCTCGTTAGTTCTTGCGAGCTTCGCCTGACTAAAACTACGCACGGGCTTCCCATCGAAGGCGACCTCACTCGCAGCAATACCCATGCTACCTCGGCGAACTTACAGATATTGAACGGATAGTTGTATAGATCTCTGTTGATTTCTACCAGTACACCCGACTTCCTCTTCTCTGACTGTCTCGGCCAACCGTTTGCCCCTCTGGGTGGCTTGCCGACCTTACGTCGTGATTTCGCAGCCAATCATAGGCCGGCCAACTATCCTGACGTTCCTGCGTTCTGCACCAAGCTCCAACTTCATCGCAACCTCGCACCTCGACAACCCCCAGCGTCGCGACTAAAACCCCACACACAATGGCCAGCACCCGGCCATTGACCATGCTGGCGCGCACCCGCCCCGCTGCCACGCTGCTGCGACCCTCTGCCTTCGCCGCAGGCCGCCTCCCCTCGCCCGCCACCGTCGCCCTATTCTCTACCACCTTCCCGCGAGCCGCCACCCCAGCCGGCCCACCGCCGCCCGGCTTCCGGTTACCTCCGCCTAAGAAATGGGATGAAGGAGAGAGCGCATTGGACCGCGCCGGCAAGTACTTCTTGCTGGTCGAGATGTTCCGCGGCATGTACATCCTGCTAGAGCAGTTTTTCCGACCTCCGTGAGTTGGCCCAATTGCCGCAGAACAGCGCGAGAATCCATTCATGGAGTTATTGTTGACGAAGCTGAAGGTACACCATTATGTACCCTTTCGAGAAGGGCCCAATCTCACCCCGCTTCCGAGGCGAGCACGCGCTGCGACGGTATCCTACAGGCGAGGAGCGCTGCATTGCCTGCAAGCTTTGCGAGGCCATCTGCCCCGCGCAGGCCATCACTATCGAGGCTGAGGAGCGTATGGACGGCAGCAGGAGGACTACGCGTTACGATATTGATATGACCAAGTGCATCTACTGCGGCCTGTGCCAGGAAAGCTGCCCGGTCGACGCCATTGTGGAGAGTAAGTTGAAGACCACATTCTGCGCTCATTGTCACCGCTAAAACTGTGTAGGCCCTAACGCAGAGTATGCAACCGAGACCAGGGAAGAGCTCTTATACAACAAGGAGAAGCTGCTGGCAAACGGCGACAAGTGGGAGCCCGAGATTGCGGCTGCAGCGCGTGCTGATGCACCATACCGGTAATGGTGATAGCAGAGGGGTTGCAAATGTGTAAATATTAGAGGAAAAGTGCAGTACGATCAATTCTGATTTCATTTGTGGTATTCGCGGATTTTCAGATTAGACATCCTGTAGCTTCAAAAGAATCACTGAACAGATGTCTAAGCAGTACGGCTGCATGGCCATTCGATCTAAATGTTGTCGACAATTAATGTTCCTAGAAATAGCAGTCCCCTCATTCAGCCCTGACTACCAACGCTACGATGTGAGCATTTCACACAAGTGCAATAACACCGACGACGGCTCTGCTGCGTCACCTCATCAGGATCCAAGGGTGAAATGGCAAAAGGTATCCATTCATCAGCCGCTACGCCAAAAATGCTACGCTAATCCAATATACACAGAGGCTACTACTTTAAAGCGCCCTTATTTGGCTTTGAACGTTCCCTCAAAACCGGCCCGCTTCTTGACCTTCTTCCCTGGCTTCGATGCCTTCTTTTTGCCCTTTACTCCCTTTTCTTCTCGCCGCTTCCGCAAGTTCTCCTCACGCTTCTTCTGCCTCTGCTCCTTGCCCTTTTCGACTGCTTCCTTACGGTCGCCCCATTCCCGCGAGCTCTTGGCCTTAGCCTGGTCCATACGCTTGACGCTCTTCTTCAAAAGCTTAGGGTCGTCGTGTACCCGCTCGCCTTGCGCTCTTCGCTTTGCGTTGAGCCAGAGATCCTTCTCTTGGATGTCTTTGCGCTTCTCCTCGTCAAGCGCATTAAGACGCGCCTGCTTGTTCTTGGCTGCTTCGAGAGCGGTTTTGGCGTCCGACTTGCCCTTGGACTTCTTCGATTCGCGGAACCCTGAAAGATCGCCTTCGAGCTGCTTGCCATCGCTCCACGCTACACGGCCAAAACTCAGGTTTCGCTCTCGGTCGGGCGAAGAGCGATGTGAAAAGATGGAGGGAGAACCAGATCCACCGCGTATCCGCGCGAGCTGCTCCTCTGCCTTGAGGCGATCCTCATCCTCCTGTGCCAGTTGGCGCTGGGCCTTCTTTGCCTGTTTGCGCTCTGCTTCCTTTTTCCGCCGAGCCTCGATCAGTTCAGCGCGGTTCTTTGCGGGCCGTCCGTCGGGACCATCAGCCTTTCTCTTGGCACGCATTTCCTCAAGCCGTGCCTGGAGGCGAGCGCGGAACTCTTCGTGTTTCTGCTGATTGGGTATAAGCGATTTCTTTTCCTTCTTGTGCGGAATTTCGGACGGCGGTGGCATAGATGATGAAGACGATGCATTAGAGGCCACGGACGCTGTGGAGGCGGTGGAGTCCGCAGCCGAGGGTGTAGCGGTAGATTGCTCTTCCTCGACTAGACCGCTGACATCCATAGCTTCAATTTGGTCGTCATCGTGCTCTACTTCATCACCCGCCGAGTCGGAAGCCTCCTCATCTTCGTCGTCTGACTCCTTGGTGTCGGTCAAGCCTCTGCTGAACTCGTCCTGCTGTGCCTTCTTCAACTGCTGGTTTTGTTGCTTCTGTGCCTGCTTCTCCTTCTTCTTCTCACGTTGTTGTTGCTTCTTGTCGGCTTTTGCCTTGGCTCGCGCTTCCCTCGCCACCTTCTTCTCCTCGTCCTTGGTCTGCTGGGTCGAGGTTGCATCAGCGTCGGCGTCGGCGTCGTCTTTGGTGGTTTTCTGCTTCTTCGCCTTGGAAGCCGGTGTTCTCATGCCTTCACCGGGCTTCTCTCGCTCAATGTCCAGGTCCAGGTCGGAAGAGTCGTTGCCGTCGGCTTCGGCCTCAGCCTCGAGCTCCCGCTTCCGTTTCCGAGCATTTTCCTCCAACACATCGAGGGCACTCTTATGGTTTGCAGGGTCTAGCTTCGCTCGCTTCGCAGCCTGTCGCTCTGCTTTGGACTGCTTCTTCCCCACGCGTGTCCACTCTGTCTGCAGGACACTTAGCGGTGGATGCAAATACGGCGCGAACAACGTACACTGGTGATGCTCTCGTCCTTGCCGTAGTAGTCTTTGGCCGGAATCAAGGACATCAGGCCCTCGAAGGCCCGCTGGTGCGTCTTCAAGCGCGCCTGCTCTGGATGTTAGCGGTGGGTGCAGAGGAAGCGGGGGAGGCGCGCGATGCTTGCCTCGAGGTCGTCGCCCATGATTGCTTCCTTCGATGTGCCGAGCTGCAGTAGCTACGCTGAGAATGCAATCTTCCGACAAGCAAAGACTCGACAAAAGGCGGGGAAGGAGCTGGGTGAGAGTGTCGTGTGCACCTGGTGAAAGCTGGTGCGGAAAATCCGAAAATTGATGGTAGACCGCCAAGATTTCCAGTCTAGCGCACTTTCTCAAGGCGGTCACGGCGCTACTGAAGAGACCGCCTGCCACGAAGCGGCCGAGGACTTTCTTTTCCTTTCGGCCTATCATCTGGCGTCGGCACCTCGCTACGCTGCCCTGCCTGCGACGTGTGGCAAGTGCAGGTCGCTCGGACGCTGCGGCATGACCGCAAGCTATACCAGCAGAAAGTAGCAGTTGACGCGTCGGCACTGCCACAGCCAGCTTGACGTCTCAGCTTCGCCCTGCTTTATATCATGGCTCGGCGCCCTGCACGTCTCTAGTCCGATGAACAAGCCTAGGCAACATCTCACTGTCTTCCGCTTGTCACAACTCACGGTCCAATGTCTGCTCCTGCCATCGAGGCTAGGTCGCTTTCTACCCTTACTTCGCTTGCCTCGAATCCGCCGTCGTACCCCAGGAACCCCACTCACGTGAGGCACGAGCCACTGGTCTTGTACATTGCTCGTGTGCCTGGCAGCAGAGGTACGCCTGCTGCATGCACGTACGTTCTTTGGTCTAATGCTTGCTAGATGTCTTCCTCTCTCCGATGAAACCGCGGGAAAAGGTGGTCACAGCAGAAGACATTCAAAATTCCTTGTATTTCGTACACGTCGAGCAGCCCGAAGACGAACAACTCATTGAGACACCTTCCCTGGACGGGCCGCCGTACCCTGATTCTCGCCCAAACTCTTCACATGGGTCACAGCTAGCCACCGTGCAGCGCAAGCCCGTATCCAATCCTGCCGCTGCTGTGTCTCCTGCTGCTAAACGCAAGCCTGTCCCCAGTACACTAGCCCCTGTCAATGGCTTCGAAATTACTCACAACAACGCTGGGAACTCTCAGCAGATACCGACGGGTCTCCTAGGCCCTGACTACGTGCCCCGCCGATCGTTTGAGGATGCCCGATATCACGACGAAAACAGACCTCCACTCCAACAGAGGCCAACTCAGCAACCGACATCTCCAGGAACGTCTCTGGTCCTCATTCGTCGTGACCCGGCATCTGGGGCGCAGTGGAATGTTGCTCGCATTGATGACCCTCCAGTAATGGATGTCTCGTCATCCACTTTGAATGGGTCGACGGCCAAGAAGAAACCAGGAGCACCAGCGTACATCGCAGTCACTAATCCCGGATATTCCAAATTCTTGTATAATCAACAACCAACTGTTCCACCACTGATCAGTCGGAACACCAACGCATCTACCGCCACCTTCAATCCTCCTCAAGGCCCCCTCTCCGCGAGTGAATTCGGAATTGATCGCGAAGATGGAGTGTTTCGTAGAAGACTGTGGATGGAAGGTTCTAAACATCCAGGTGGTGAATTCGGGCACCGGAGGCTTAAGTCTCACGATTCTAATATGTCGGGTGGCAGCTCTAGAAATAGCTTTGAGGGTGTGCAAAGGACGTCCATAGATTCTCGACCTCCAGTAACCCCTCCCTTCCTCACGAGGGAAAACCAGTCATACAGTTCCATTCAAGTCTCCGAAAAGCAATCAGCCTTTCGTGGATACGTATTCACAAGCCCATGGAACGGCCGTTGTGAGTTCATCACGGGTGCTGGGGGAGGTTCGCTAAAGGTACGTCCTTCCCTCTCAGTATGCATTTACAATACTCACATCAACCAGTGTCGCCACATTGTACCAGGTCTACAAGGAGCCCCTCCCGTGGCCCTAACGGTCAGCGAACTCCGGTTCAATTTACCTAGCAGTTCCAAAGCGTCCACGCCCCGAGGCGAAGAGTCTTCTAAGCGAACATCTTTCTTCCACAAATCGCGGCATAACCGACATAGCTCCTCGGTAGACTCTCGCGTCGAGAGTACTGACGATGTCAGGCGTTCCTTTGACCGCATGGATCTGTCCCTGGGGCAAGAGTTTGCCGGAGGTGGATTTGGCGGCAAACAGGCAAAGCTGGGCAAACTGATCATCGAGGACGAGGGCTTGAAGATGATGGATCTCCTGGTTGCTGCGAATGTGGCGCTGTGGTGGCGGGCATATGAGAGGTAACACCACGTCTCTGTGAAAGTGCTGATGTGATCAAGAAGCTGGTTGTAATATGTTAGCGTGCATGCTGTTTAATCGAACACATGAATAGCCAGACACATCGATCCGTAGTCCAATTGTGCGAGGGATGCTGGCGTAGCTCTTCACACGCCAACTCAACCACGCGTCCGCGTGCACTGGCTCTGAAGCCAGCCATTATCCGCAAGCTGGCGACGGTCGACGCCTCCCTCGAAACATTGATCTACGTGAGTGTCTCATAACTTCGGACTTTACCCAGATCTTGCTCTCCCCTCTGTTTGAGTAAGTCAGGTCAGGTTTTTGAGGAGTCCAATTCACCCTCCATGTCATCGGCGCAGGTAACTCGGCAAAGCTCACAAATACTGCACCATGGTTTTCTTAACACAGTCTCCCCTACCCAAATCTAAAGCAACTTCTACCTGTTCCTAATCATCGATCTTATAATAACATCAATAACAACGAAGCTTCGTCCATACTTGTTCTTTTACAGCTGCAAATTGCTGCAACTGAGTACGCGCACACATCAACGAGACCAGTCAAAATTCTATCTGGTTCCGCCTTTTGCAAGTGATCATGTGAACACTATCAAGCAGATATACGACTTTCGACGGGACCCGCCCAGTTCTTTTGCAAGCAGCATAAACGTGCCGAGCAGGCCACCACAAGCATTCGTGCTTATTCCTTATATCAACCCTGTGACCCTGCCCTTGCTACCAAGCAAGCGATCACGCTGGTCTCCCGCAACTCATCACTGGCTATAAGTACCTTTCTAAAAAGGTGTGTAAATCTATGCTGCTGTCGTGGGCCTGCGTACTGTGGCCGTCGTGATCGACAAATATATACTGATTGCTGTAGTAGAGTCCTTCTCGCTAATTGCACAACCGGCATCATGTGTACTACCAAAAAGACCGTAAAGGTCTATAGCGACTATCAGATCTTGCACGTGCAAGACCAAGTGGATCAAACAGTCTTCTATAACATGGTCAAGGATGACGCGGCTCTCGAGAAGTTTCAAGAGATTCAAAAGCTCATGATCCATCTGGACGGAAGACAGTTAATGCTATCCGACGAGGACAAGCTGGTCATGGCGCTGAACTGTCCTCACCCCCTTCGTGAAGGTGCCAACGTCACCAACCCTCACAAGATTGAGATCATCCGTTTCGTGGTCGATAGCGACATCCTCTTTACCAGATTCAATTACACTTTAACATCACCAACGCTATACTACAACACAAAGGGAAGGTGCTCTGAGCTTCTCTGCAACAAACTCGCACCCGCCAAAAAGAAGAAATCGCATTCCAGGTGACTCGCACCAAGAAGCTTATCGCACCAGCGCTACTCGGGCTTCGACACATCAAGAACGTCACCTTCGTCACAAGTCCTCGTCCATACAAGCTAGAGGGTGGCTTCCGCGAAATGCTCGAGCTTACCCTTCCCTGCGCTCCGCACGTGAGTTTCAAGATCAAGATCATGCGACATCTAATGCTAACCTACTCAGCTCCAAAGGTCATTTTCCATGTCGGTCATTTATCTCCCGGTTTTCATCTTACCTTTGGCTCAAGAATGTACTTGGCCGTTCATGTGGGCTCCATTCTATTTATCTTTGTTATAGATCAAATGACCTGGAAAAGGTTGTGGCGCGAAAAACAATTGATTCCATACGATCCCACTGCTCCATACATTGTATTTTATGATTGAACCAACATATCCGAATCATCTCAAGTGTCAGCTCCCCTTGTTCAACCCTTTCAATGGCCTCCCCTTTCATGAGTCCCTCCACGAACGCAGCCCCGACGAATCCGTAGTTCTCGCCGTTGGGTCCAAGCACGAACGCCATATCGCATCCCATCATGATCGCAATACGATCGCCCCGCTTCGCGTACTTCGGTGCCATTCCAATCAATCCACCCATTGCTGTGCAAATTCTCCGCTCAGCTGAGACTCCCATGGCAAACTTGCCCATGTCGAGAAATGCTTCCGGTCAGGACAAAGTTCATCTCTGGTAAAACCGAAGCGGACCCCGTGTACTTGCGCCGTAATCCCCTCTTCAGTGTTCTGAAATTTCCTTCTCTGTCTAGATTGAAGCTGCCATTGCCGTTCTGTGTAGGTCTAGTTGATCTTCCGTCCTAAGCGGGGGATGATGATAGAATTCATCACGCTTATTCTTGTCTCGGGAAGGTTTTCCTCCCATTAACTAGGGAGTCTAGATGCTCCAAGGACGGGGCAGAACCTGAAATTGGGATAATAGAAGTCGTCTCCATCGATTTGCGCCGCCACAGCCATGTAAGTATCGTCATTACGGGACTGGGACAAAAAGCACTTGAAATAAGAGTGAGGCCGAACGACTGTTCCCGTACGGAATGAATAGCTTAGGGATAAGAGCATGAAAAGTGCCGGCTAAGTTGCTACGTGGCGGAGCAAGGCTGAGGCTGAATGTTGGTCAGGCAGCAAGATTAGCGTTATGAACGGGTGCTAAATCAGGGAGGGGATAAAAAGGAAAACACCCTAAACTGGGATCGAACTCGCGCATTCTCCAACAAATGTGCAAAAATGAAAGTCTCATAGCTGAGCTACGTTTCGATCGTAGGTCTGTGTTCTTGTTAGTCAACAATCTATTGAGATATAGAAGTGTCACGTACCCTCCGGGTTATGAGCCCGGCGCGCTTCCGCTGCGCCACTCAGCTTTTCTGAGCTTTTCACTTGATGACTAATATGTCAGTTTTAAAAAATATATATCAGGTTCTAAGAAAGTTATCGTGCTGGTTGTCAGACGTGGGCAGCTAAGGAAAAAGGGAATGTGGTGGTGGGGTAGCAGAGTGGGGCATCAGAGAACATTTGAAGGACGACGGATTATACTGGTAGGCTAGAACGTGCAGGAGCGAACTACTATCGATAGCTCAAAGTTGTACGCAAGTTTTCCTCACGACCGCTGACAACATTGTGACCATTGCTCAGAAATACGGCATACACAGATTGGAGCCGCACATCATGAAATGGTTTAGATGAAGGGAGCCTACCCAACACTGGATGCGTCGTTGCAGTAGCGTCGGCACTGCGTTCGACGAGGATGGTTTTGGGAGTTGACTATAAAAAGACCGGATCTAAGCCAATATGTAATGTTCAAGAATAGAAATAGAGTCTAGATTAAATTGAGCGACTCTTCATTTCCATGCTTTCCAGCTATTGCTCTATCGCCAGTGTTTATGTTGTGGTGAGAGACAGGGTAAGCGTCTCGCAAAGCAAATTTGATACACCCGCAGAAAGACATAAGCGCGTAGTAGTATTTCAAGCTGTGTGCCATTATGATACCTTGGGCGTGGGTGGGCTGCAGTCTCGACCACGACAAGTAGTTAGAGAAACCGAAGTTCGGGAAGATTGGCTCGAGGCTTTCGATAATGGATGACCACTGGTAACAGCTACATCATTGAAGCAACCGGAGAGTCAAAATATCAACTGAACCTCCAAACCCTGCTTAAGGCTGCTGCAACGAAATTACTAGGTTTACATTTCCAGGCCTTAGAAGATAGCTTTGCTAGTGAAGATAAGCATATAAAGTGGTGTGATAGCTGGCGCGTGCGAATAAAGGAAAGGAAATGGCTCTCGCGGAGATATGTTCACGGCCAAGAGCGTACCACAGCGATTACTTTTACGACAGAGCACTCATGCCATGCAGGAGCATGCGACACGCTCTACCCAATCAGTACATACACTCCAGCTAAACCTTATGTCGCTAACTGAGTTATGCCGTGCACGCAAATGGCTCTCTGACGACGCAATTGATGTTGTTGCTTCAGTAGGAACCTTGATAGACATCTGCATCAGTATGAATAGAGAAACCAGACGCAGAAGTTGTACCTGCCAAAGCCCAGTTGGAAGGAGCCAGCCAGGGAAAAAAAGGCATTCACTTTCAGCCTTCCCTGCCAATCCCTCGGAATTGGTGCACCGCCTAAATATCGCTCGCGTGCTTGTCCATCTTTCACCCTCTTCCACAGCAGCCTGCAACGCATCCCGTCCCACCGCTAGTATCCCAAAGCCCGCATACCCTAACCAAACACACCTATTATGTCTTCTCGTCTGCTGACGGCGCTCAAATCAATGATGTTCACCGGTGTCATCTTACTTCCTACCGCTTTCCCGCACGCCGTACAGGATCTGGTAGACCTAAAGACAGTCATCGACGCGACAGCAGCGACAATCGATGCCGCGCCCAACAACTCCAGCTGGGGGTTTTTTAGCCCTGCAAGTCCGGCAGGCTCATTGGTAGGTCATGTACTAGGGCTAAGGGTGGTGAATGCTGATGAAGGAACAGGGAACAGCGGACCTGATTGCGAATATCAGCACCACAATACTGAGAGCGAAGTATCTTCTCAATGTCGACAGGGTACGTTTGCTTCCTTCCCTCTTGCCAAGTCTACCCTGTGTCTCCTACTAACACCCACCAGACCGCATGGACAACAATCCCGGACAACACTACCGCACTCAACAACACGGCGAACCCAACGCCGACGGAAATCCGTCAAGCGTCCACCCCCACACCGCCACCATCATCCAACATCTCACTCGATGCACCCTACGTCGATTATGTCTCGAGCATCCCCAGTCTCTCGAACGCCCTCGTCGACCTTGGCCGCGCCTGGCACAAGGAATTGAACAGTCCAGTCTCTGAAGCCATCGGTGCGCTTCAGGAGGCGATCACTCAGTTCTCCACGTCCATGCTGGAAGGCGACTTGCTCAACAGTACGAGCATCCTCAGAACGATTCGCGCATCTAGCAGCCTAGAGTCAGCGCAGGTGGCTTGGAGCCGGGTCCTCAATTTACCAGGCGCTGCGGGCACGAAGAAGAAGCGCGGAGAGGTGGAGGTGAAGAGACCGCCACTGCCTGACGGACAGTTCTACACGCACAAGGACTTGTGGGGAAGGGGTAGTGGCGCCGTGCCGAGGCAGGCCAAGGTTGAGAATGATGACTCGTCTAAGGCGTCAACCGTGGAGGCAACGTGGAGCGAGTGGCGCATCGAAAAGATTGCGAGGCGTTTCGTCGCGTGACGGCATGGGGACGAAAACTTGTTCAGTGTTGAGCATCCTTGATTAGCTGACATCCCACAAATACATCTCGCGCCTTTCTCCTGTCAGTATACAACCAGGTAACGCTTGATGTGTACGTCACAGATTAATAGAAGATGTTGAGCTTGTAGAATAGCATGCTCTTGCATTGCACAGGCGCCTCCGAGTCGCCTCCCCATGCATACATAAACACACGCATGCCGACATACATACATACAAAGCCCTCCTTCCTTTCCTCGTTATCTCTCTCGCAGATCGATCCGTATCTACAGGTCTAGTAGTGACAGACGGGGCAAAGACGAGCGACTAGTACAAGTGTGATGAGAAACAAGTTAGAAGCAGATAGTGGATCGGGGGGGATATCTTGACTTGCATAAAGAAAAGGCAGAAAATCAACAACGGACATGTAAAGTGCGAAAGAAACAGGAAAGTTAGGATGGGGAAAGTAGAACCATGACTCGTAAAAAGCGCAAGTCGAATCGAATGCCAATGCCGATGCCGCGCATACCATGCAGTAATCATGCAGTGCTCCTCCGTTGCTTGCGCATCCCTGCAGTTCCCTTCCCCGCTCGTAGGCAGATCCCCTCTACAGACCAGTAGGAATAAAGCACGGCGACAATGAAAGATAGTGATGTTCAGAGCCCATCCCGTGCGTAGGTGGATGGGGTCCTAATACTATCCTCTTCATTCATTACAGCGTGTAGTAGTGTATTTTGTATGTTGGGTGCATGTGTATGCGATAGGACGATGCTATTGCATGTGCTCCTCATACGAGCACCCACTCGCTTCCCCTCTTGATGAACTTGTCGAGCATGAGCGTCATATCCGCGAGCACGAAGCGGCAGATATAAAAGCCGAAGAACTCGGCGGCGTGACGGGCGCAGAGTTCGAGGCCGACATGCGTGGGCGACGAATGTTTGAGGCCGGGGTCTTCGACTTGGCGAGCGATTTGATCTAGTACATGTGTCAGCGTAGACCGGTGGTGAAGGTCGGAGGGTGTGGAGAGCTTACCCAGTATCTGAACTGAATCAAACAGCTTCGCTAAGCTGCTCATGTATCCACCGTTCGGGCCCTCAAACGCTACATTCGAGACGTCACGTTTCGCGAATCTGATATTCGGTAAGTTTGTCATGGGCAGCGTGGCCATGGTCAGCGAGTCCTTAGAGACTTCTGGCGCCGCGCTCTTTGCTCCTGCCATGTTGCTCAAGCCCACGGCGGAATTCTTCGATCGCAATTTACGCCACGACGTGAGGTACGACTTGCTCTGCGACATGCCACTCTTTGGGGCATGGTCTTGAGATCCATGTGAACCCTTCTCAGAGTTGCCGTCGGCAGCCGATCCTACTCCTACCGTGTAGGCATCTTTGAAAAGCACTGACACGCCTTGCATGCCTACTTCGTTGCCGAGCTTCTTCGCCAACTGTGTTTGTACTTGGTCCAGGACTACCTCGAATGCTTGCATTTCTTCCAGAACGGCGTCGGCATCGAGTGTGTCTACGGTTGACAGTCTCTGCAGCGCGGCGGTAAGCAGATCACAGTTGGCAATCTTGTCGTCCACGTTCTTTAGTTTGACACCTTTGACCCGCCATACGTCGCGAGGAATAAATAGCTTCGTTGAAAGATATCCGCCGCGCGGGTGCACGATGGTCTGGTAGAAACATCGCATTAGCCAGAAAGGTCGAAGGAGATATGACTCCGGGCACGGCTCGAGTGGAATTGGCGCATTCGCTACGGCACCGCTAGGCGAGCCAGGGGAGTAAGGTGAGTGAATATCGCTTTCGAAGAGATGCATACCCCCGCTCGGCAGGCCATCGACGTTGAAGGTTGGCACACTCGGTGTAGGCGTAGGTATTGGCGCAATGCTTGCCTTGCGACCACTGAAATTGAACGTAGCGCTCATTGGTGTCGCGACTGATCCATCTGAGCCATCTGGGCTTGATACCGAAAGATTACGTTGCTTCAAGCTAAGAGAGGACTTGTTCTTCCTGATCCCTATCGAAGAACCCTTGCCAGCCTTCGGAGACGCAGGAGCGGGAAGACTGTCGTTCGACATGGCATTATTGAGTGCTAATGTGGCTGGTGATACGGCGAAAGCAGTGTCTGCCGAGCTGGGGCCAAGAGTCTGTGGCGAGGGTGCGTTAAGTCCGGTCTGGGGATGTGATTGCGGAATCGTGGGAATTTTGAAAGTCGCATCGACCAAGGGCTGGGCACTGCTGAACGTAGCAGCAGCCGCAGATTTAGGCAGTGGCGGAACTTCAGGTCGCGCTTCTCTCTCCACATGAGACGCCTTGTCCGTGTGCGGCGCTGGAGGGACTGGTGGTAATGAGGTTTCAATCTTCAGCGACTTGAGGTTTTGCCCAGATAGCCTCCGACTGCGTACCGACGCCGCGTCTTTGGTGACGATTTGGGCCTTTGGTGTCGTTTCAGAAGCGTCGTTCCCGTCCGACGTTCGAGACTCCGATACCGACGCCAAGGTACCAGATGATGCGGAAACCGGTGGCGGAGAACTTATGGGCGCTTTGGGCTTCGTTGGCTGCAAGACTTCCGCAACGGTCGATAGTGACGTTCCACCCGTTGTCCTGTGCGACGATACCGAACTGTTGTACGTGCTACCCGAGAAGCCACTGGAGTCTGATTGCCGCGGCAATGACGACTTTGTTTGGAGGTCAAAATCAAATCCGTCCAGCATGTATTCCCTTGTGATCTCATCCAGCAATCGTTCCTCTTCTTCAGCTTCATCGTGGAAATTGAGCTCCGCGCTCTCTCTGACGTGTGGTAATGGTTCGTTTCGCAATTGCGTTTCCTTGTAGCGATACTTTGCGGCCGCGATAGCCTCTTCTCTTTCTGCTTCTCGTACTCGCTCTTTAGCTAGCTCTACATTCCTTAATCTGTTTGCCCTCAGCTCAGCAGAGTCCGGCATTCCATCTTCGTAAGGTTCATAGCCTTCATCATATGCAGCTTCCACGGCTGCATCGAGTGCAGCATCAAATTCGGCTTCTGTTGCGCCGCTGCCATTTCGAATATGCTTCCGGCGCAGCCCGCGTGGGGAAAGCGAATGTACGGATGATGAACAGGAAGAGCCGCCAGACTCGTCGATCGTGTCAAGCCATGATATCGACTCGGTGCTGTTGACTCGCTGGTGCCCTGCTCGCGTAGGTTCTTCCAGCCTGTCTCGCGAGCTTGGATCGGCGTCTGGTTTCGAAGAAGGAAGTGGCGATATTGGCCGGCGTGGAGACAAAGGCGGAGGCATGTAACTTCGGTCCATGGGAGACTCTAATCCGGGTGCTTCTAACCCTGCGGAATTGCCAGCAAGTCGACCGGGTGGAGGTTGCAAATGGAACTGGGGTGGGCTCGCCATGCCTGTCTGCACATCACGAATCGCAGTAGATATTACAGATTCTCTCTGCCCACCTGGTTGCACCGATCTCAGAGGCAGGTGCTGGGGATTTCGTGATCTTGAGTCAGATCTTACATGTACATCATCATCGTCCACAGGCCGGTCGTCGACAATCCTGCTGATCTTGGCAGTTTCAATGACGGGTTCTTCGTCGTCGTCTCCAAACAGCATTGATCGTCCTGCTTCAAGCGATTCATTGCTCATGGGTCGCGCGGGTAGCGATTTACCAGTCGAGGAGTGATAGCCCGGATCAAGTCTTCGTAGCTCCTCAATGCGATTTGTATAAGTCACACGCTGCAGAAGGTTAGCGTTCAGTACCTGGAGGGAAGAAGCATCTCGAGTTTCAACTCACGATTGCGTCCAGTTTCCGTTTGTCCTCTTCTCCTGAACTCCGTATCATGACTTGTTGCAGCAGCTTGCACGCATCCCCGTACGCCTCCATCGCACCCTCGAAGTTTTGCGCATTGTCCAGCAAGACTGCAGTATTCGCCTTCTGCAAAGCGCGAGAAAGCATGGTCTTTTTGTCCTTCTCCCTCCGCTCCCTGGTGCGCGGAGGGGTGCCCTGAACGCCGTCGTCTAGGCGGCTGCTCGCGTTGCTTCCACTCCGATCTCGGTAGTCCTGCTCTTTCGAGAATGATCTTTCGTGCGCGGCGCTCTGCGCTGGCTTTGGCGGGGCCTCCCTTGCGGTCCCCGTCGAGGGACGACCGGCCGCCAATGGCCGAGAAGCACCCGGACTCGCCCTGTATCTGGCCTCAGACTCGAGCACACCGACGGGCGGGGACCCCAGCGGCGACCTGCCTAGTATCCTGTCGGCCTTGGTGCGGGAGGGCGGGCGTTGGGCCGGGGGCGGTCGGGGCTTCGCGGCGAAGTAGTCGGTGGGAGCCTGCGAGTACGTGGTGGGTGTGAGGAGCCCGGCGGTGGAAGGGAGGTCGCTCGAGGAGCCCGTGTGCGGGCTGTTGGGGTCGTAGACGGTAGCGGGGAGGAGGGCAGGCAGCACGGGGATCTGCGGAGGGCGTGCGGGCGGGGGCGGGGGGTTGTGGATGGGCGAGCGCGGGCGCTGGGAGCGGCGGGGACTCGAGGCGGGCGAGCGCTGGTGGTGGTGGGCGGCGGTGGGCGTGCGAGTGCGAGTGGGCGATGGGTCGGGGCGTCGGTGGGCGTGCGGGTGGGCAGCGGCGCCATTGACGAGGGGCAGGGAGAGCGACTGCGACTGCAGATGGCGCGAGAAGCTGGGCTGGGGCAGCGGGTGCAGGCTCGCGGCGGGCTTGTCCCAGAGATTGAGATTGGCAATGTCGTCCCTGAAGACTCCTAAGGCGTCGCCAGCGCCGGCGGCAGCGCTACTGCGGCGTCTGGCTCCAGGCGGTGTGGACGAGCGGTGGGGTTGCGGCGGATCCACGACGGGGTCCTTGAACGAGGCGGTCCTCTTGACCGTGACTGTCGACGTCGACGAGAGAGAGTTGCTGCGCGAGGGGCGGCGGCGGGGCGCTGCGACGTCTGCGGCCGCGAAGACGTTCATGGCCGGCGAGGCTGGCTGCTGGGAGCCGTAGGCTGTCTCAAAGTGGCCGTTCCCGAATCATGCACGTTTATGCACGCGGTCCTCCCGCATGGCGGCGTGCGCAGGAACGCACACTGAGATGCAGCGGAGCAGCGGGCGCAGAGGCGAGGGCGCTGCTGTGCTGCCAGAGCGAGCTGCTGTGTATCGCGAGGCTGAAGCTGTTCACACTGGCGCTCGGGGGAGACAGGGGCTCGCAGCGTAGCGCACCGCCGCCAAGTGCTCAGGGAGCCCAAAAGGTGCCCCGAGGTGCCCCTGGACGACGCGTGCGACTGCCGCCCGCGCGCTCGCCGACGAGATCCACTGCCGCGGGTGCGATGCGCGTTCGGTGCTGCCGCGCTGTGCTCTCGTGTCGTCGCGCTGCGCGTCCTGTGTCCTCGTCTCCCGTCTCCAGTCGTCCCGTCTTGATCTTCGAGTCCTTGGTCTTCCACTCTTCAACTTGAGGCGGCTCCACCTGCAATTCCGGATCTCGGGTGCAGCACGACGCGGGAATTGGTGAGCCAGGGCGAGGCGGACCGGTTGGCAGGCGCGACAGCGGGTGCCCGTTTTTTCGCAGCGGATGTGGCAGCAGCAGGCTTTCCGTCCGCTGCTCTGCGGGACCCGGACGCCTGAAATCTATTATCGCGATGGAGAGAGACGTGTTGCGTCGGACTCGGGCACGCTACAGCGCAGCACCCTGCCCATGTATGCCCATCCGAGTCCTCATCTCACGCTATCCACCACCTGCATCTGATACAGCCGATCCTGCGCTTCCGCGTCGCGAAAACGGCACAGAAACAACAATCGACACGCGTTTCCGTCACGTCACATCATATCACATCAGCCACTTGGGGTCGCTAACTGGTCGTTGCGTGGCCATCTGCGCCTCTCGTCCACCTATCTACGTGGCTGCACTCCGTCAACCTTGTCTTCCAGCTCGAGGCCCCACTCCCATCCATCGTGGCCCCGAGAAACCCCATCTAGTCGTGTTTCATTCATTACCGTTGTTGCGTCATAGCCCGTCTGACTGCCTACCCCGAGACGACCTGCATCTGTCACGGTGATCGGTTTGCAGCCACTGTACACGTGTGAACATATCTGAACGCCCTAGCGTCTCCTCGACCCTCAGCGCAGGTCACCCATGATATCCTCGTCCAGGTCGCCATCTTCAAAACCCATGTCCATCGCGTCCACTCCTGCACCTCCGCCTGCCCCTGCCCCATTCTTCTTCTTCTGTCGCTTGAGGTACTCCACGTACTCCTTGGTAATGCTTAGACGGTAGTCCGCGTCCCTCACCTGCTCCGCCAGCGCATTCGTCCGCTGCGTCTGCTCAAACAGCGCCTGCTGCTGCTGCTTCTCCGTCTTGGCAAGGGGTCCCTGGGTCGGGTCGAGGTAGAAACGCAACACGGCGCCTGCTCCTGACTTGTCGTTCGCCTCAAGTTGGGCGTTTAGGAGACCCTGTCGAATCAGCGAGTCCACAAACGTCGTCACTTGGTCTGCGCTGCTGCCCACGTTGCGGGCAATGTTTGAGACAGGAATGGCCGAGTACGTTCGTGATAGGCGTGACAGATAGGCTCGATTCTGGTGTTCCAAGAGCTCCTCGACTAGACCTGTGTTCCCGTCCTACAAGTTGTGTAAGCGCCATGCGTTGAAACGTACCAAACGTGTTTCATGTGGAGTCCCGGATCGGGGGATGGACATTGAGCGCCAGGTGTTTCGTATGGATTTGACTTACTTCGGCCCAGATGTCCCTGCCTGCATTGACTTGTGCTTTGAGTTTGGGCAGGTTGTTCACCTGCTGGAAAGCTTCCGCAAGCGCCTCGTACGCTTTGGCAGCGTTCCTGCAATTCTTCACCGCGGTGCTGCTCATTGTCCGCGGGGGCGTCTTGTGCTACCATTTGTCAGTTGAGTACTCCCCAATCGAACCCACCATGACTCATGTCGGGGTCGCAGCGTAGAAACTTACCGACCGGTCCGCCAAACAGCTAATCAATACCCACTTTTTGTATGCTTCGAGCATCAACCCATTCAGCGCGTTATTCGTCGGTGTCACAAGCACGTGCTCCAAGAAATATAGAGCATCATAGACCCGCCTCTCTCCAAGATACGCCATTGCTCCTAGGACATAGTACTCTTGCAGATCCGTTAAGCTAATCTTAGCTGTGTGACCTGATTTTAAGTTTATGAACTCTCCGCTCGCGACGCTGTCCGCAGCCATTACCGAGTACTCTAGGTCTTCCAACGTCTCCTTCGCGATGACGGTGGGGAGGCTGTGTATGTAATTGTCGAGAACAGGCAGGGCAGCCTTGTAGGACCTAGTCTCCATGCATAGCTGAATGAAGCGGAGGTGCGTCGAAGTAAAGGTACCGGTGGTGGGGTCGAGGCGGAACATTGCCGAGCGTATGGGAGCGATAGCAAGTGCAGGCTGCAATGCGTTAGCAACGGCGACTTGCCTAGGCCTCAGCATCTCCAACGTACCGCTCCTTCGTTTCGCGCAATCAGCTCGACATATTCCACCAACTTCCTCCATTGTTCTCCGGCGTAGCGCATCTGAACAGGATCGAACGACTCTAGAAACAGCACTAGCTTGTTCCACAGCGAGGCTCCTGGTCGGAGTTGGTCGACGCTCTTCTTGTTGGCCGCTTCGATGCGGTGGCGGAGGGTAAAGGCGTAAGCGATTGAGTTGGTTGCGGGTTCAAGCACCTAGACTACTTAGGCGGGTATACTCAGAAGCATAGCTGGTATGATACACACGTTCAGAGGGTCTTGGGGAGAGTCTGCTCCCTTGAGAAAGGTGGCCGGAGTCAACCCATTGACTAGTTTGGTGAACTCGCGGGCTTCTTTGTCGTATTCGCGCTTCTGCTGTAGCTCTGGGGCATCTGGCTGGAAGCTCAGAAGCGAGGTGATTGTTTCTGCAGACATGTTGCGGCGAGTGATTCCACAGCTGCTGTGTGCAGTGGTAGAGTGCGCGAGCGTTGAGAAACGCGGGGCGTTATAAGGCGCGGTCGCACCTGCCCAAGTGGTGGAGCCAAAAGATGCGAGCAGTTCGCCTTAGAGAATCGACGGGGAACAGAGCGTTCAAGTTCGGGTTGCTCAAAGCGAAGGGGGATTATTGTCGTCGAGGTTTCAGTAAAGCAGGTGAATGGGTTCACTTATGGAGCTCTCCAGTGCTGCTCCGACCGAGCTCAAGGCAGTAGCGTTGTTGTGTCCGTGCGCGGGCTGCCCCACCAGCCAGGCCGCGAGACTATTCCACTAGGCGTTCCAACCTTCGTCATCACTATTTGCCTTGGGTTTACTGACATAACAACCCCGGCTTCATTCTGGAAAGGTACTAATATGGTATTGTGAAAGGTCGTAACGTCGTCCCAAAGTCCAAGCAGTGCATCCTGTACGCCACTAATCCACTGCAGCCAACGTGAACCAGCTACCTCTTCTTGACGGCCTCCTCCATCCTCCTAACCAATGCCTTCAAGCCCACCCCTTTCTCGCAGTTCGCTTCCAACCAGACCTCCATCTTCTCTCTCACGTCTCTCATTCCTCTAGAGACCGGCATTTTCCGGTCCTCTTCAATTTCCAAATGCATCAACGGGTTCAGCAACAGATCGAGAGCCTCCTGCCATATCTCTGTCTGCCAGTACCTTTTGAGACTCTCTTTGATTCGGTAAGTCTTCGTTGCGCCAGCACCAAGCGTGGCCGCTCTTTCAGCTACGGTGGAGATGTACTTGCCAAAGAGCAGGTTGTGAATGATGCCTGCAAGGCCATGATAGTCAATCTGGTACGTCCACGGCCTTAATTCGCGCATCTCGGCGCAGTCAGCTTCGGTAGTAGGCCAGTCGGCGATGAACTGCACATCCGGCTTGAACACCTTCATATCGATACCACGGCCAAAATCGATTAGAGTGATGCCCTTGGATGCCCAACCGTCCCTACCGTCGCGCTTATACTGGGAATCCCACAGCTCGTCTTTTGATAATGCGTCAAAGCGTACGAGGATGTTGTCAGCCTTCAAGTCACCGTGAATCAGACCCTTGGAATGTAGTGCCTCGACCGTGCGGAAGAGCTCGACGGTAAAAAACATCGCAAGCTGCTCGTCCATGACACCGTTGTCCGCACGGGCAACATTGACTAGGTCAAGCAGTGTGCCTTGGTCTCTGAATTCCTCAACCAAATAGCACTCGTCCTTGAATAGATGCATCTCGTATGCGTGGATCACCGACTCTGCCGCGCGAGAAACGCCTAAACGCCTCTTGGCTTGCCGCATGATATAGAACTCCCATGGCGAGGGTGGCTCCTCCATCTTGAGTGCTTCCAAAGTGTGACGTCTGACACCAAAATCGCCTTTACCCATCTTTATAGGCCCGTCCTCGTCCTGTTCATCTTCGATACAAGTACTTTCGGCTAGATAAACCGGGGCAAAAGCGCCTTTACCGAGTTCCTTCTTCACGGTGTACATCCTCTCACTGCCCGGGAAGCGAAGAGTCGGAGGTACGGTCAGACTTGTCGTCGTCTTATCACCAGAGGCTCGGCTATTCAGTTTTGATGCAGCTTTCACAGCTTTCGTGTACTTGCGTATGTCTGCACCTTTGCCGTAAGCGCACTCTGTATCCGCAAAGTAGCCATCATATGAGTCTAGCGGGGGTTGTATTTCTCGGAGGATGGTCTCTCGTATCATTTCATCAACAGGGTTGCACTGCGCATCGTGGATTATTGGACCTTTCGACTTCGTATCTTTGATGCCGACGTCCTTCGCTGGTTTCGCTTCGCACAGGGCTAGCTTCGTCACTTTTCCTGCGCCATCCACAGAAGGGGCGAGCCCTCCATGGAAAGGGCTACTCCAAGGTTCGTCGTCGTCTTCGATGATTGCTGGGGTCCCTTTAGAACGTGAAGGCGTTTTTGCCGCGAAATAGTCCTTTTGAGCATGAGCTGTTGCGATCCCTAGTGATGATTCGGTCTTCTCTACGATCGGCGTCATGAAGGGCAGGCGATTGTTGGCAGCAAGGGCAGGGTCACGATATGGCCCTGTAGGCACATCGTAGCTGTCGGGGGGTACAGGAACGTAACGTGTCGGTAAGGAGTGCGAGGGCAGCTCTGGAGACGTAGGCGTAACAAGATCTTCAGATTGCTCGTCAGTGTGGCCGGTGTGGTCGTGCGAGTGTGAGATTTCACTGAAAGAGGTATCTTCTGAACCTTCGCTTTCGTCTTCTGATCCAGAGCCTTTGTGATCCTTGGGTACGAGTTTGCTCTCAGTAAAATCGGACCATGCCGATACGCTTTTAGTATCGGTTTCGTCCACGTCGCTTTCTTCCACCTCGTAATCACCAATTGTCGTACCGAGCGTGAAGTCGGCAGCGGTGGTCTCGTCTCCGAACTCGCTTGTGGCGCCAGAGAGGTGGCCCGTCCCTGTACTTTCACCACCACTGGTGTAGTCATCTTCATCATCGCCGTCAGTCGTCCCTTCTTCACTCTCCATTTCCTCCGTGGCCTCCTTCAACGGTTCATTGAATATGTCGTAGATTTCATCCATAGCCTCTTTCGTATGGACAGTCATCGTTGCTTCTTTACCCAATTTCTTTCGTCGAATTTTACGGCCTGTCGGAGAATCCAGATTCGTTTGAACTTCGTCACATTAGTATCACGAAGTATAATAGCCATCCTAGACTGATTACTCACTGGTCTGCGTCTCGTTTCGAATTTCCTTCACCTCCATCACCTTGATCTTTCGGGTTCGATTAGAACGTTCTTCCCGTCTAGCCTTCTTGGTTGCCTTCGCCTTCTCAACTTCCAGTTGCGAGGGAGGTGTGTTTTCATCATTGAAGTTTCCCTCGTCGTCGAATCCTTTCAGAGGCACAGTCTGGGTCTTGAAGGGCCCTCTCGTAGGTATTTGTTCTGCCAATGGATTGATTTGTGGCTTTGGCTCCTCGTCCGCAAGAACGGCAAATGCCTTGTTGGCCCTTTTTTGGACCTTCTGCTCAAGCGACGCTGACTGCGGCGGTACTTCACTATCGACATGGACAACAAGGTTGGTGATGACCTCGATGGCCTGGTTTTCTTCCGGCACTGACGCTGGGTCTTCATCATCAACATGAATAAGAAGTTTTTCGCTAATCTTAGTCGGAGGCTCTTCCAGAGATGGCGCTGGCTCTTCATTGTCGACATGTATTAGAAGCTTCGTGTTGGCTTTGGTAGTCTCTACCTGATCCAGCAATGACGATGGCATTTCGTTGTCGATGTGTATTAGAAGTTTCGTGTTAGCCTTGATGGTCTGATCGTCATCCACCAATGATACCGGCGCCGCAACTGCATGGATCTGAGGTCTGGCGCCAAGGCGCTCGTCTCCATCTGCCAATGGCGAGGCCACGGATTCGGTCACTGCTTCAGGTTCTATAGGGATGAGAACCTGCTCCTTGACTTGCTCCAGTTCCTGGGGTGCTGGGGAAATTTCCTGCGGGATAGGCGTCATCTCCTCCACCGCTAGAGTTGCGGTGTTAGTCTCGTCGTTCTCGCGCCTTCGAGCTGCGTTCCAATCAATGTTCAACAAACCACGATGTTGTGCTCGCAGTTCTTCGAAAGAGTACTCTGCGTCAGCTCTAGGGTAGATCAGTCGAAGGTTCGCGAAAGGAACCTCCGCTCTCCCGGTCTTAGGATTCACGCTCGGTGCTTCTAGGTGGACTGGATGAGGTATTACATGTTCGTAATTACGGTTCAGGTTCACTAGTGCAGTCTATAGTACACAAAAGGCAAAAGCCATACCAGTTAGTCCTGCGCTTGTAAACATGTGTAGGGTTATGGCGGATTCATGTGGCTTACCTCGTCTTTAAAAATCTTCATCTTGGAAACTCCGGTGTTTTTCTTTCCTACCTTCAGTGTTTCTCCAACCCAGGAGCGTGCCTCGGGTGTGTTTTCCTTCTTTCGGTCTGCTAGAGACCCAATGCTATCCCATCCCTTGGAGCTTCCGCTCGAACTAGGATTCGGTGGCTCGTCACCATCAGAAAAGATAGCGAGCTTCGATTTCCCGGACCTTGCAGAGCTGCCGCCGACTTGTGCTCGAGACTGTGCTTGCGGGTCTATTGGCCCGGTTGCGAAAGGGTCAACCTTTGCTGCTAAGGCAGGTCGCACGGCAGGGAGCGCAGGGCTTGTGGGCTCGGCGGTTTGCTGGGGTCGGCTTTCGAAGCGATGTTGGAATTCGGCGTATTTGCGAACAAGGCGCTCAACAGGGCGTGCTTCCTTGTCAATGCCCATGCTGTACACCTCCTCGGCCTGCGTCCAACGTCCGGCCGTCTCAAGCCAAGCTGCGAACTCTTCATAGTATAGGGCGAGCTCATCGCCGATGTTGTGTCGCGCAAGGTAGGCAAATGTCTCTCGTGGCGCATCGGAGAAGAGGCGAATGTAGTGGAGCCACATCTTTAGGTAGCGGGGGTCGTTCTGGTAATGCGACGAGGACTGGAAGGCTTTGGTCGCGCGCTCGAGCAGCGGGCAAAGCTGGGACTGTGGCGTGTTCTGCGCCGAAGGGTATGCGTCCAGTGTCCACTTGACGTAGCGATCGTAAACATCGAGCGGGTCGTCCGACTCGTCGATTGCCTGGAGCTCCTTCTCGAACGCTTGACGCGTTTCGCTGTGCGCATCTTGTAGCTGTGACGGTGACGGCGTGGCGCCCGCAGCGGACGAGAGCGGCGGCGTGTATAGTTGTGCGAGTGCCTTTGCGGAGCGGCCGCTGGGCAGAGACTGAATGTTCTCCTTTTGGTTCTCGATCACCTCGAAGTCGATTAAATCGTCGGAGCCCATGGCGCCGGCAGGGTATCAGAAAGAAGGAAGAAGAAAATGGGCGTATTACAAACAAAATCCAAAAGGCCAACCTGCACGCGTCGTTATCGTGAAGGTCGTGTCAGGATTGCGGCGTGGTGGGGCGCGTCGTGTTGATGCAGTCGCGGGCGCTTGCGCCGGAAGCGGACTCGGTTGCGGTTTCCCCGGCAACACCACGTGGGAGGCCGATCCTATCCACCTGTATGGCTCCTTGTGCGCCAGACTCCAGGGCTGTCACCAGTGCGCATGTCACAGACCGCCATATCATGTAGGCACATATGTGCATATAGATGAACTTTCATTTCGTAACGTTCCGAACAAAACTTCGCGCACGCCAACATTGGTATCACCGCGCACACTCTACAAATTGCTCATTTCCCCTCAAAGACAACGCCCATACGGCCCTGTGCTTTATGCGAATTCATCAATTCAATCATCTTCGGCAGCTCCTCCAACTTGAAAAGTGTCTGGTGCGGTTGAATGTTGTGCTTCGCGCTGAACTCGATAGCCGGACGCATGTTGTAACAGGCTGCTTCGTGTTAGTCGACTTTCAATGCCCTTGCTCCAAATACACTCACTTCCGTTGTTGGATCCTTTCACCCGATATCGACCGAGAGCAATGTCCAAGGCATTGAGTTGCAGCGGGTCTCGAGGGATGCCCACAACCATCAGCAGACCCTGCCCTGGTTTGATGATTGCAGGGCAATCGTCGTAAGACTTCTTAGACGCGGTGAAGTTTACTGCCGCGTCGACGCCTCCACCTGTGATTTCCAGAACCTTGTCCTTCCAATCCTTGTCCTTGATTGAGTTGAAAACGTGGTCGGCGCCGCAAGTCTTTGCTTCCTCAAGAGCTTGGTCAGCGATATCCAGTCCGATGACTTTGAGACCCATTGCCCTGTAGGTTTTTTAGCAGGTCAAATTACAAGAGCCCAGTCCGCTTACTTTGCATACTGGATGCCTAGGTGCCCTAGGCCACCGCATCCTATGACAGCAACCCACTGTCCAGGATCGAGTTCGCAGTCTTGAATTCCATGGAAGGCAGTCACACCTGCGCAGAAAAGCGGAGCCGCCGTGTTAACGTCAACTGCGGGTAGTTTAGCTTCGCTTGCAGCGCCTTTGCCTCTCCCCGAGATCATGATCACGTACGTCCTTCGGGCAAGACCATCGCAGCGCGTGCATCCACAACAGCGTACTCTTGAAAGTACCCGTCCAGCGAAAAACCCTGCATCTTCGTTTTACCCGTGACGCACCAGGAGTTGTGAACAGTCCTGCAATTTACACAATCAAAGCAGCATTCTACGGCACAAAGAAAGCCGACATTGTCCCCATCCTTGAACTTATTCGCCGCCTCACCTGATCCACGGCCCACAACTGTCCCGGTGGCTTCGTGTCCGATGGTAACGGGGTTCTGTCCGCTGATTGCGTTGTGAGAACCTGCTGTTCAATTGAGGCTGGGGGACGACCAACAGTATGAGGCCCTGATCGTTGGGCTCGAACAACATGACATCGGAGTGGCAGAGGGAGGCATTCTTTATTTTAACAAGCAGTTCATGCTCGCGAGGCTCTGGTATTGGGACCTGATTGAGATGAAGCTTGTTATCGCGCGCATCATACCTGGCATCTCAATCAGTAATGTGGTGTTGCGCGCGTTCCCATTTACATACTGTTGCGCAAACATGGTTTTGGAACTCATCACGGCGGCTGAAATGGGCGATTACTAGACAATCTGGAACCAGAGAGAGAACGATGGGCGCGTACGGTGCCTGGCAGGCGCATTGTATACGCTTCTCCCAGCATTGGATCACACTGCAAGAGGCGGGAAAGGTCAGCCGCGAGCCATGAGGAAGATGGTTCCCGGCATCCAGCCACGGCTGCGCGTTCAAGACCTCACCCCGCAAACCCCGCAACGGACGATCGAGCGAGTCATGTCAGGGTCCAGTACTCCAACTTCACGAACTGGCTCCTTAGTGCCGATTCTTCCTCTTTGGCAACATGATGTAGCTTCTGAACTCCACCCGTTCCTGGCATTAGGTGAGGCACTGCATGCAGAGTTCAGCCAGGCAGCTCGACTCACAAGATACATACATTGCGACTGGTCTCCGATGGCTGTAAGTCTTATCCAGTGCATTGCGAAGCAGACTTGTCCAGAATCGAATGGTTGACATCCTTACAGAGTCTCTACCATACTGAACCAATCTAATGTTCGTTCGCTTATCTGTAGGGCTCCGACGAGGATTTAGAACGGCGAGGCTCTGGTTCCGCTTCTACCTGATTTCTGCGACAATCGCGACATACCATCGCATCACATTGCGTACCCGAAGCCAAATCCTTTCGACACATGTCGCATTGCAGCCTTGCACGCTCATACTGGTTCATAGGGCCTCTGATACTCCATGCTAGATATGCACATTCGGCATTCGCGCAAAGCCGGTTGGTGATATGCGGTAGAGCAAGCGGTGTGTCACGACGCATCACCTCGTGTGCTCTCGTGTAGAGCCTTTGCTCGGTCCAAGGGTCGCAATTAAATTGAGCGCCACATTTGCACCTGGAAGTTCACATTAGTTCCTCGAAGACGAGCTCTTGGAAGTCAATAAACTCTCACGTCATATAATTGCAGCCAACATCGAGCTATGCTTACTGACGGCAAGCATAATACCGCTGCCAGTTCTATTGTTCTGCCAGCGCTAATGTTCCATGCAGATCAGGATCGTAAGGACAATCGGAGTCTTCATATATTCTCCTTTGCATATAGCACATGTCTCTCTGCCGTACTGTGTACAAAACGCCTTACCCTTCATAACATCCGGTGACGAGATAAATAATGCACAGGTCAGGTTGCTGCAGTACGCCTTGTTGCCAGTCCTGAACTCCATCTCGGCCAGTTGAAGGCATTGAGCTGGGCACGGGTGACCTCACTGGCAACGACTGTCACAGCGATCGGCTGTCGACAACGTCTCGGCGGGAAGGGCATTTCGTCTCGTGTCGCATATATGAAGAGATCTTTGAGACAACCCAGGCAGTGGCGGTCTCCACATTCCAAAGAAACCATGTAAGGCGCGTGGAACGTCTCGAAACGGACCGAACAGTCGAATGCGTGGAACGGTTTTTCGAGAGCATTAGCTTGCCGACCCTGGTAGGTACGCGTTTCTTCTATACCAGCGCTGTCCATATCCTCTGTCTCGTCGATGACACGCGTAGAAGCAGCGCTGGTAGTAAGTCAATGCGGTGCGACGGCTGGATAGCTCGCTGAAGGTGCGGCCTCATCCGGAATATAGTCGTCGTCGTCGATGAAGCCACTGAGATGCATCGCAAAGTCTCGGTCATCCTGGGCCTCTTCTTCCGGAGCGGCGAGCTCCGCAATGGCGTCCGTGTCCGTGTTGACTACAAGAGCTATGCTATGCGCGTGATTCACATCGCGTAGGGACGATAGGTGCGCTTCGATCGCGTTGTGAAAATTCTCCAACGCGATGGCGCCATCCGGCGGGCTTCCAGCAGGAAGTTTCCCTTTGCCGCCAAGGCCATGTATACCGGTTTCTTCCAAATGCAGATTTCATGCTGTGGTCTCGTCATCTAGGATGTTCGTTTGTGGGGCTACGACAGCAATGACGGCAGTGGTGCTCATTTTCGGGTGATGGAAAGACGGTGGATAGATCGACCAGAACAAGATATACGAGGGCTCAACGAATTGGAGATAGGATCGGCGAACGCTTCGAGTACGTAGGAATAACTACGCGTTGACAGTGAAGCAAGGATATCGGGGAACGCGCTACTTCGGTTCCAATACCATGGTGCCGTACTACGTTTGCGCTTTACTTTCCTTGTATAACGAGGAAGGTCCATCAATCTCACGCATGTAGGTCGGGAGCATCTAATTTGATGATGACCAAGTGGAAAGCCTAGGGCGAAGCGGCGGATACACCTTAGTCGTTGAAAAGAGTGACATTGCCATGAGCTCGTTAAGAGTATCTATTCCTGATTCGGGCCCGGCCATTGGCAGTATCTCATGGGCTTGTAGCCTCATACCGCAATCATGTTGGACGACCTCTAACCGCCGGGATCACCCTAAGATTCTTTCTGCATACATTTCTTTGCAGCCGGCATGTTTTCCAAAGCCTTGATGTGGCTCTCTGAGGTCGATCGTACGCTACCCGGTGCTACGATCGATGTCCATGGCTATTATCAGACCATGCGAAGCCGCGTGGTGTCACACGCGGCCGTGACAGGTCGGACCGCGGTGATGGAGGTCCAGATCCGCCTCGGAGATCTTGTTCCAGTAATTTCTGACTCGATGCAGATCATGGGCTGGCTGCCAGATGCTTGCCATCGTTCTGCAGCTCCACGAGCCCCACCTCATCATCCAACTGATTCGAGGACACCCTGGTGTCCACAGTCTTCGTGATCTGTGTCTCGAATAAGCTACCGTCTAAGGTCGATATCTTGTTCCTCGGGGTGCTCCGCTTTCCACTGGATAACCGAGCGTTGGGCGTTCCGTCATCGTACTGTCACGTACAGTTAGCGGATCGTTTCGGGATCCGTGCCCAAAATAGAGAATTCTACCTTGAAATTCGAATCATCGTCAGAAGATGCGAAACATCTAGGGAACAAGTGGCCGAGGAACCGTCTGAACATTGGCATGCAGATGCAAATTATCCCAACGTTCTGTTCCAAGACTGAGTATAAAGCAGCTTCGAGGCTGTCGTACATGGGATTGCTCGAATTGCCGTATGTGGCAATAGTTTGTATACGAATACATGAGACTATCATCGTCCTAGGTATGACTTAGTATACCAAGCGGCAGGTAAGATTGGAGATACTCACAGGAAGCCTGTGCTGAAGATGCAGAGCAGGAAAAACTTCCGCCTCAAACTCAGCTTCAGCTTTAAAAGCTGTGGGATTGGCACCACCAATACGCCCAAATCGATGGCAAGGTTTGTGCCAGCTGCGGCATAGATGAACGCATTCTGGTTCATGCAGTACTGGTAAGGCTCCTCTCTCATCCAACCAGTCCAGACGGCCTTGATAGGGAGACAAGAGAATATCAATGCCAGCTCAAATCCCAAAGAGTGGCACACCGTGATACCCATGAGTATGAAGACTGTCACGCGGACGCCCTTCGACGGGAAGATATAGAGGAAGAAGAACAGGAATGTCATCTTGGTGAACCCGATCGTTATGAAGTAACCGGCTTGCGATGCATAGATCATCTGGAAAAGGTCAGCTTGTGTAGGGCCGAGAGGTGTTGGCGTAGGACCGACCTGCAGGACCCTGATTATTTTCCATGGTTCCACCGTCCACGTATCCTTCCCCAAGCCGAGACCAGGTGTGATCAATTGGAGCACTGTCAAAGGAATTGAGAAGAACCAGGCCGCGAGGGCGCACTATAGCGGGTACGGTGTCAGTGGGGTCACGTTAGTGGGGTTCGATGCGAAGTGTCTCCGTGGTAAGGCGATCTCGCACGAGGGAGTATCCTACCACGTCGTCCCATCTCCAATTCTCAGAGAGAAGCGCCACAGTAGATCGCATAATTATAGCCAGAAGTGCGAGGGCACCGGACACGATTGAAACCCACAGGAGTTTGCCGGTCTTGTCACGAATTGGCGCATGGCACATCGTTTGCGTTGTGTTGACCGCGACTGCTCAAGTCAGATCGTGATTCTGGAGGTATCATCCTAGCGGAGTGGAGCGTACCTAGAGTCTGCCTGATTGTACACGATGCGCCTACACAGCCTTGTATCGCTGCGTTTATCGCAGGCGATGCGCAAATGCAAGGCATGTCGGTGGGTTTGCATTCCGTCTGGTTTTGGACGGCCGCTCCAAAACATGTTTGCTAAAGTCTGTTAGTGTTCTATCATGTCGGGGCCGTTCGATCCATGGCAGCAATTACTTACGGCGCAGTCAGGAAGTTGGCCCAGTACAGGGCATATTGAAAAGCTAAAGAAAGCAAGCACAAGGCCCAAAAGACTAGTCCACCGCATCGTGAGCATCAATGAAGAACACGACGGTGAACTGTCCTATGTCAAATCTCAGCCCGCAGAAGGTAGAAAAGTCGACCACGAACCAAGACGACACCACAGCGTCCAGAACTTTTGTCAGGCATTGCAGTGACCACCACATGGGGTTCGGCAGTGGGCCAGTGCCTCCATGGGCGTTTGCCGGGAAAAACGGTTTTATGCAATCCTTCGCAGGGGCTACGAGTATCTCTAGTGCTCAATAGGCGCGTGTCCGTCCCCGAGCAGAGGGCCGAGCCGTTAGCTGGAGTCCATAACGTGCGTGGGCCTGTTGCACAGAGAGGCGGCTCAGACCCGACGATGCGCCTGCTTTGGGCATAAGTCCGCGCGGAGCGTGCAACTCATCACATGCAGTCGGGAGTTTTCCCAATCAAAGGCGCGATCGGCAGCCTGTCGTATGACATTGATCAACCTTTCGTGCGTTGTCTAGCCCGAACGAGCACCCGTACCCTGTCATCGGGTAGTAGCGACCCACATGCGTGAAACGTCTGGGGGCCCTTCGACGGGTTTTCGTAGGCTTGCGCTGGAGTGGTATTTTGTTTTCGCCCGAGCTAACCATTGCAGACCCCAACCTACACTGCTTGCGGTTCGCTCGCAACGGTTGCTCTGCGGGCCGACTGGCCTATCTTCTCCATGTCTTCCCGCCGTCGCACGAGTCGGTGGACGAATGGGGCCCTGTCTGAAATAGAACCAGACCTTCGGGCCACATTGTTGCACGCGCTGTGTCGCCCACCTCGCACAGCTACCCATTCCGATGGCGCTTCTTACCATTCTCCCTTCAGGGCCGAGCCTGAGCGTTTGGGCCTGTGTTTACGTGCCTCTTGCGTTCGTCGTCTACTATACCGGTTGGGTCATATACACACGTACCCTTCACCCTCTCGCATCCGTCCCTGGACCTCTGTGGCCCTCCATATCGAGGACATGGCTCATGTGGAGAATGCACGTTGGAGATTTCGAGATCGAGCTTCGCAAGGCACATGATCAGTATGGGCCTCTTGTTCGCATTGCTCCCGATGAGGTCTCTTCGGGCGTGCCTGCCGATATTCCAGTCATTTATCGTACACAGAAGCCCTTGGAGAAGACCGTTTGGTACCTGCCATGGCGCGCGGTGCCTCAGTTCCACGAACGCCCTGACATGTTCACCACGTTGCTCGGCAAAGACCATGCAGCTTACAAGAAAATCATTGCTGGTGCCTTTACAATGGGGAGTATCTTGCGTAATGAAGACCAGATGGACGACTGTTTACGATTGTTCGTGAATCGTATGGAAGAATTCGCCGATCGAGAAGAGAGCTTCGACTTTGGATTGTGGCTGGAGATGTACGTCGTTCTCTTGCCCAACGTGACGTGATCCTAACACTGCAAGGTATGCGTTCGACATCATCGGTGCCGTCTTCTTTGGGAAGCAATTTGGTTTCATGGAGAATCGTCACGACCATGGAAAATACATCGAGTCTGTTCACTTGGCTAGTACGTACATTTTCGCTTAAAATGCCTCTACCTCTGTACCCAGGCTTCAGGGATCACTGCTTACGGATCTAGTGCCCTTTCTTTCCGTTGTCACCATGACTCCAACCTACTTACGCTATCCTGTAATGGCCTGTGCTGTCGCTATTCCCAAGCTCCTCAAGGCTGTAATCGCAGTAGACGGCATCAGGGCAATTGCCATTCAGAACACTAAGGAACAAATGAAAGCTGCCGAAGACGCCACTTCAAAGCGCCACGACATTCTCTCTCAACTGCTCACCATCGTTCACGAGAAGGGAGAGAAGGTCAATTTCACAGAACATAATGTCATGGCAGAGATGCATGTTGGAATGTAAGTTTCGAGATACAACCCTCTGTCCAAACGCAAATGACTGAGTATGCTCTACTAGTATGGCTGGAGCAGATAGCACGTCCATCCTACTCCGTTCCATCTTCTACTACATGATGAAGAATCCTGAGACAATGGCCAAGGCTACTGCCGAGGTCGACGAAGCTTTCGCCGCCGGGGACCTCAGCTGGCCACCCAAGCACCAAGAGGTTGTCGCATCTTGCCCCTATGTCTGCGCTGTAATCAAGGAAGCTTCCAGGATATTCCCTAGCTTTGCCGTCCAGATTCAGAGGTATTCTCCGCCCGAAGGGGTCCAGCTTTCAGGTCATGTCATTCCGTCTGGGTACCGAGTTGGTATGAACCCGCATATCATCCAAATGGACAAGGAAGTCTTTGGTCATGACGCGGATATTTTCAGACCCGAGCGATGGCTACAGGACGAGGAACGATCCAAGGCTATGGACAGAGCTTATATCAGTTTCGGTGTGGGAACTCGCCCGTGCGCTGGAAAGAACGTAAGTTGACCCTTCACAAACTGTCTACTTGTGTGACATGCTGATCAGATGAATACATAGCTTGCGCTTGCTGAGATCCACAAGCTTGTACCCGCCATTCTGCGCACGTTCACTGTCGACATGGCTCATAATCGCCCATGGAAAATACACAACGCCAGCTTCATCGTACAGACAGATGTGATCTGCAGGCTTAAGAGGAGGAACTAAAGTTTCAAGGATGTTCTAACGTCAATGGAGTCTGTAAGCCAGCGTAGCTCAGCCTCTTCTCATACCGGATTGTGATCCTGAACGCTTAATCTCTGTGCAAGAGCCATGCACGTATCTACCTGCTGAAAAGGCATTTGGACCAAGCACACGCTCACCCCATTCCTCGTCCCAATTTTCCAAAGTCCACGAACGGGACTCATCGATGAGTTCAGCTACATCCCACACTGATCCAATTTCTCCTTCGAATCGAAAGAGACCTACTCCTTGAATCGTGTCCTTCAAAGTCTGTGCGAAATATCCGGGTATATCTGTAAGAGTTAGCGGATCATGTTCTTGGATCTGGAAGTCAAGGTTCACGGGGTGTCATGGTGTAATTATAGAGCTCGTCCCGTGGAGAATCAGGCTATTGGCAAGTGTCGATGCACCATGTCAGGAAAGCTTCCTGCATACACGCAGCCAATTTCACGTGTTCCCATATTTGCTGTGACTTGTCACATCCGCCTTCAAGGCAGATGGACAATACATACTCGGGGAAGCCAAGGATGGCAACAATCTTATGTGGTACACCCACGCTTTGAAAGCCATCAAGATAGAAATGATTTTCACGCAGTCATCACGCTTGCAACCCCACTTATTTCGGCGTATTAATTTGGTCCAACTTTCGGGTAAAAGGACTTCGAAACCCGATGCGCATTTCAATACTGCTTTGAGGAATTTCCGCATAGTAAGGAGAAAGCTCACGAACGTGGCTTTCTGGAGAGCGTGCTGATTGGAAACCTCCTAAGATAGACAGCTGGCGTAATTGACGTCATTGCGCAGGTGCCAGCTGTCGGAAAAATTGTATACAAGTGGCAGTCGCTAAAAACCGCCACCCGATATCTGTGGATCGTTTTGCAAGTTGTATGTGTTCATATGAGTGTTTAAGGGTACCTTCACAGTGTTCGGCCAAGAGGTCTTCCATCTCTTCGAGCTCAGCGTCTGTAGGGGTCTCGCACAAGTGAAATGGCCATTCAAAGAGTTCTTCGAGAGACCCGTCCATGAAGTAATGTAGATGATGGAAGCGTCGCGTTGGCCAATCCTGTCTGTAACTTAGCGTTTCTTTCGTAAAATCGACTGTGACAGAATGCTCGGGATGCCAATGTGTCGAGCCTGAGCTTGTTGTGACTGCGCGTGAATTTCAGTGCGAGCTGAAGAGCGTTATCGAAACCTTCCGCTGTGGATATGTAATGTCCAAGCACCTGAAGAGCGCTACGTGGCCAAATTGCCGGATACCAGTCAAACCGATCCCGTGTTGTCCTGGCGTTTCGCAGGGGCTCTCAGAACCAACCGCAGACTTTTGGAATGCGACGAGAGGCCTCCTCTTGGATATTAGGTGTTATACAGTCTCTGGCGTACCCAAGCATCTCCATTCTGGTTAATTGCACGTATGCACCTGGATTCGAGGCCTTTGTGGTCTTCTTGTTCTTCCTGAGAGCAACCAGTCGTGAAATTGAGTTGATTATCGCGAGACGTAAGACCGAACATCCCATCTGCAGTACATTTGTATGCGTATATAAGATTGTGCCTAAGTTTCCTATTGGATCTGCATGCTGTAGTTAGGCGGCCGAACCAGAAGGGGCACTAAGTTCACCCAGAAACCTCATTGAGTTTATCAAAGCCCATAATCTGTGTGGGAGCGACGACATAGCCATGTTATTGAAAATTCAGCAGGCTGAAGCCAGCCTTGACAAGTGTACAGCTGCGAATTCCTGGCGATGCTGAGTTGGTTGGACCAGTATTGGGTAAGTGTATGAGATGAATGTCATTGAACATGCTAGTCTATCGTGAAATCCCAAATCTTCATGCCTTCTTGGCTGGCACTGTACTGTATACCTTCTCAAGTTCCTGACATACCGCATCAGTCACCTCCTTCGTTCCTGCCGACCCGCCAAGGTCGCGCGTTGTAATACCCCGTTCAGTCACCGCTTCGACGGCTTCCATCATTTTCTTAGCGGCTTCCTCCTCGCCTAGCCAGGTCAACATCTCGGCGGCTGTCCAGAATGTTGCGACAGGGTTCGCAACGCCTTTGCCAGTAATGTCAAATGCGGAGCCGTGGATAGGCTCGAACATACTGATAACCGCTATTAGCGTGGAAGATGAGTCAGGAGCGAACAATATGCTTACCTGGGATTTTGTCGTGTAGGGTCCAGGTTGCTGGTTGGTGCAATGCCGATCGAACCAGCGAGGGCGGCAGCAAGATCAGAAAGGATATCGGCGTGCTGCTTGTTGTCAGCAAACAAAATCAACAGATGACTCTGGAAGGAGCGCTTACAAGGTTGGTAGCCACAATGGTGTCTAACGACTTCGGGTCAAGGACCATACGGCAAGTCATCGCATCTACCAGCATCTTATCCCACTTGACATCCGGAAACTCCTTCGCAACCTCAGCAGCCACTTCATCCCAGAGCACCATGCCGTTTCTTTGAGCGTTGCTCTTCGTGACGACTGTGAGCAATTTCCTTGGGCGCTTTTGCGCGGATTCGAACGCAAAACGCATAATGCGCTCTACGCCATGTCGCGAGAAGATAGCTACCTCTGTCGCAGTCTCCCATGGCTGGCCACGGTGTGATCGTCCACCCTGGCCGGCGTACTCTCCTTCGCTGTTCTCACGGATGATAACCCAGTCCAAATCACCGTGCTCAGCTTTCCGTAGTGGCGATGACGTCCCTCGGAAAATCTTTGTGGGACGTACGTTGGCGTATTGCTGGAATGGCTGGCAGATAGCTAACCGGAGACCCCAGAGTGAAATGTGATCGGGAACATCTAGCTAATGATAAGTAAAACCAGTTTTCATCTGTATGGTTGAACTCACCAGGCGCGCCGACGGCACCGAAAAGTATCGCATCATGTTTCTTGAGCGCATCAAGTCCGCCATCTGGAATGTACTTTCCTGTCTTCTTGTATGTGTCGCTGCTCCAATCGAAGTTCTCGAAAGCGAGCTCGAACGAGCCATCCAGCTCTACCAACTTCTTCATCACCTGCACACTCGCATCGACAACTTCGGGGCCGATACCATCCGCACCCATCGTTGCGATGGAGTACTTGTTCTGAAGAGCATGTGGCGACATGTTTGTTTGTGAATAGTACGAATGTAGCAGCGGAGAAGAGAACGTGATGAGTTATGGCAAGAAGCAGATTTACATCACGTTTTTATATTTTGCTCTCTCGCTCATCATACGCGCAGTATCAAAGCGCATCCACCAACAGAGTACGCAGGCGCGGCTATCGAGAGCGGGGGACTAGTGGGGTTCATCGCAAAAAGAAAGACCGCACATCTGCTTGCTAGCTGCTTCGGAGTTTTAATGTGCGATGCGCCACCACTAACCATCGGCCCGGTACCTGGTTCCAGACCTCGGGATAGCGGCATGTTAAGGCTTCGGGTCACGTTATCGAGTGTTCTGGGCATCCAGACGTCACACTGCTTTCCTCCACCAAATAGGCAAGTGTGCTGTTGAGGTCTTGACATCTTCACGACTCCGTATTTCACAATGTCGTCCTTAGACGCAAGCGTGCAGCAAATCCTAGAACTCCTGGTTCCTAAGTTCCGCTCACACAAACAACAATCACCCCACCCAATCGTGCTCGGCATCACTGGCCTTCAAGGAAGCGGAAAGTCAACATGGGCTGGCAAGATTGTAGACGTGCTGTCATCGAATTACAATCTTCACGCCATCACGGTCTCCCTGGACGACTTCTACCACACCCACGACAACCTTGTAGCGCGGAGGGACCAAGATCCAGATAACAAGCTATACCGCACACGCGGGCAGCCAGGAACCCACGACCAGCAACTCGCCCACGATACACTGCAAGCGCTGAGAAATTGGGACGACAGCAGTAGCTCAGGCGTCGCCATCCCCGCGTTCGACAAAAGCCGCTTCAACGGCGAAGGCGACCGCGCCCCGCGCCCCTCCTGGCCGCACTGCGCCTCCAAGCCCGACGTCGTCGTCTTTGAAGGCTGGTGCGTCGGCTTCCGCGCCATTCCCGACGCGACCTTGCACTCCAAACACGACGCCGCCCGAGCGGCCCCGCCAGATGCCAACCCAGAGTGCATCGTCACACTGCCGGACCACGCCTTCGCGCACATCCAGGAGGTCAACCGCCATCTGGAGCAGTACAACGAGACCTTCATGGGCCCGCAGCATTTTGACTTTTTCGTGCATCTGGACACGGAGGATCTGAGGAATGTGTATCGGTGGAGGCTGCAGCAGGAGCATGCGATGTGGAAGGTCAAGGGGGCGGGCATGTCGGATGAGAGTGTGAGGGCGTTCGTGAGGGGCTATATGCCCGCGTACGAGCTGTATCTTGAGGGGCTGCGGGGAGGGTTCTTTGGGCAGGGGAGTGGGAGGCATGTTCGGGTTGTGATGGACAAGGAGAGGGGGGTGGAGAAGGTCGAGGTCATCTGAGGGACCAGGCACGAGGATTCAAAATTGTACTGTGGGTCATAGATTCCTGACTCATTGTGTGCATGCTCGTCGTGCCGCATAGCTCCTGTGTTCACAAGAGAGCAATATCGACCAGCTAGCACTAGAAGCAAATGCTTGGATCCGCTATGCATCGATCCGTGTGGCACTGTGTTCATGAGAACTAACCAAACTTAGATATGAACATCGTACATCGTCACCCAAGGCTTCCGCTTTGTTGGGAACAAATCCACCCATTACCCCGCAAGAAAACCCCAGAAACCGTCGAATCTCCCCTCTAATGAACCATCCGATTGTGCTACGAGCCCACACCATCCCCAGAGCATGCGTTGCGAGCCGCACTTTGAATCTCCGCCCGCAACCTCACCATCTTGGCATTCACCGCCAAGCTGAACCCCATGAGACCCCATGGGGTGAAAGTTTGGGTTGGAGCCCCTATAAAAGTCGCGAGGTGTTTCATAGATCCAGCGTTGTGGTTCAGAGCATCCTGGACTGAGCACTGTCTTGCCTTGTCCTTGCCATTGACGCTGTCAATCTCATCATATCTCTTCTTTTGAGTGCTCACAATGCCTCCCCACGCCACACTCAAAGAGATCGAGAGCGAGAAGCCCGCCGGGATTCTACTCGAGGATGCGCCTGTCGATGAGAAGCAGGTCGAGACTGGCGGCGACTACTCCGGTGCTGTGAAGAAGACCAGCCCCGAGGAAATCAAGCTTGTGCGCAAGTTGGACATTCGAATCATGACTATCCTCTGGGCGATGTATTTCCTTGTGAGTAGATTTTCGCGTCTGCAGAGCCCAAGGGGGACGCTGTAGATACAAAGGAAGCTGACAGTCGGACCCAGAATTACCTCGATCGCAACGCCATCACCCAAGCACGTCTTGACAACCTCGAGGACGACTTGGGCTTGGTGGGCAGCCAGTATAACACCGCTATCAGTATCCTGTTCGTTGGGTATCTGCTGATGCAGGTCCCGTCGAACATGCTCATGTCCTCGCAAAAGGTCAGGCCCTCGATCTTCATGTGCGCGTGCATGATGGCCTGGGCTGTGGTTTCGGCTTGCACGGCGCTGACGCACAACTACACGGGGCTGGTGCTTGTGCGCTTCTTCTTGGGTGTGGCAGAGGCACCGTACTGTAAGTGATGAAGTGCAGACGGCCGGGCGAGGTACTGATGATCATAGATCCTGGAGCTATCTACCTGCTCTCGCTCTTTTACACTCGCAAGGAGATTGCAACACGACTAAGTATCCTGTATTCGGGCAACATCTTTGCTACCTCGTTCTCTGGTTTAATCGCCGAAGCGACGTTCGCCTCGCTGGGCGGCGTTCATGGCATTGCAGGGTGGAAATGGCTTTTCATCATTGAGGGTTCGTCGTATTGATGCATGTCCGGCGGCATGTAAAAAATGCTAACAACCCTTACAGGTATCGTAACATTCGCCATTGCCATTGTTGGCATGTGGATGCTTCCCGACTTCCCCCTGACCACCCGCTGGCTCACGCCCGAAGAGAGGCAACTGGCGCACGACCGCATAGTCCGCGACACAGTGGGCATCGAAGCCTCCAAAGGCGCACGCGCCGGATTCGCACAAGCCATCCGCGATCCCCGTTTATATCTCTTCTGTTTCATGCAGAACATGCACCTCTCAGCCTGCAGCTTCAATAACTTCTTCCCCACTGTTGTGGGCAGTCTCGGCTTTGATCGCACAATCACGCTCGTGCTTACTTGCCCACCATACCTGGTGTCTGGCCTTTTCGGCATTGTCATTGGCTTGACTTCGGGTAGGTTCAACGAGAGGACCTGGCATATCACTGTATGCATGGGTGCTGCGTTGGTTGGCTTCGTTATCTCATGCGTTACGATGAACGTTGCAGCGAGATATGTTTCCTGCTTCTTATTCGCTTCGGGTGCGTACGCGGTTAACTCGGTCATTCTCGGCTGGGTGTCGGCGACGCTGGGACAGACGGCGGAGAAGAAGGCTGTATCATTGTCGATCGTCAATGTGGTTGCAAACGCGAGTTACATCTACACAGCATACCTCTATCGTACGTTCCGCCGATTTGAATGCCGAGATTGTACTGACGCAATATAGCCAAAAGCGATGGACCGAAATACTTGACTGCGATGGCGAGCAACGCTGCGTTTGCCTTCATGACGATCGCTTGCGCTTGGGCGATGAGAGTCTGGCTCCAAATGACGAACAGAAAGTTGAGGCAGGAAAGACCGGAAGAGCACGTGTATTACGCATACTAAAGTATTGCGGTCGACACCCGATAAACACAGTGTTGGATGAGGGTTCGAACAGGATAGGTTGTCGGAAACGGGCAGCGTCAATCTGGGCGGGTTTCAGGCTGCGAGTCTCTTATGCTCATCAGCTACAATTGATACATTTTTTGACGCAATTGACATACATTCCTGCGAACGTTTCGTTCAGGACCATTCATTGATCATCCCAGCGTACTGATCCTGACCTAGCCAAAAAGGAATGTCGAAGCCGGCAAATGGATCGTGGTCATCGTTGCTTGAAAATGGAAAAGATTGATCCAGTGTTAGACCGTTTTGAGAAAAGTCACCTAAAGGTACAATGTTAGGATTGTTGTCACTCGTCTGCACGTACGAACCGGTGTCCGCTGGCACCGATATATTGTCGAGATCGTACGACCCCCGCGAAATACGCCCAGTGGCGGTGACTCGAGCGCCCGGGCGATGAGTGGGCGTGGCATCTGCAACGATATGTTCCTGGGCAGGCTCTGACAAGGTAGGTATCGTGGTCTGGGTCGGGGTATGCGACGTAATCACATGGGGCGACGCGACCGAAGTAGCGTTGTCATATGGAGACGGCGTTGAACTCTCGGGCCTGATTACCCCGCTTTCCCATATTCTCTTGCTTGTGTTGCGCGTCAACCGAGTCTGTAGGTCTTTGATGGCTGCGCCGCAGGCCTCGGGCCAAACACTTCCTCTGCGCGCCAGGTGTTCCAGTACCCTGAGGCTTTTATCTGCCAATCTATACGACATCATGTGAGCAGGATGAACTATGCCTAACAAATATCAACGGACCTTGAAACCATGGCTGTGGAGACGTGCTTAGTATAGGCAGCGTGAAACAAGATGAAGGTGCTCATCCATACTGCCCTGTAGTAGATATAGTCAGTACCATAGATCTGAATGGTGCAGCTGTGTACTTACCAGGTAAATGAAGGCCAAAATAAGGTAAATGAAGCCTGCTCCCTAAGAGGAGTAGTCGCGATAGCGTCGTGCAACGATGTAATGATCGCTCGCGCCGATCCAATGCACTGTTGCAAAGCTGCCTCATATGTCGAGCCGCTACTGTTGGAAGCGATGATAGGGCGATTCAAGGATACCACTGACTCGTGGTGCAGTATTTTCAAGAGTGTGCTGTGAAACGGTGACAATGTCGGGGGATGATTCTCATCGAAGTCGATAAACTCATCAACGTCGTTTGCGAGCTTTACGAGCTTTGAGGTGATGACCATGGCTTGGTCTGTCTCCCTTTGTGCATGCTGGATGCTCTTGTGCTTGAACTCCATGATATCTCCTCGAATATGGCAATGTCGTGACAGGAACTCCAATAGTCGCAACCGGCCATCTACTTGGCTGTCAGATGTGCGCCACGTCCAATGGGCCATATTATACCTGAAGAAGCTTGGCCATCGGCATGGCGCTCGAGACTTGGATAGCAGACTACATCGAAGATTTCATCAGTACATTACATACGCAGTCTTGTCTGGGGTAGGGGATCTGCTCACCATCAATGTCGTCATCACGCAGGCTGAGTGGAAGACCAGTCGACTGACAAATAAACCGATCGATACAATACAGTGAGAAAAATACACGATGTCGAAGCTCTCTTTGAATAGGAGAGAAAGATGGATACCGTTGTGGGCAACGATGAAGACCCATCTGAAGGGCCATGCGGATGATGAGCCCTCCAAGCCGAGAAGCGGCGTTGAATCGAAGCATTGAAACAAGGAACAACTGCACACTTAGAGCAGCTTGGAGGGATTGCATGGAGACTGGCTGCGAAAACGCGTGCTGGACACTGTTGCTTGCCTCGTCGTAAGACTGGAAAACAAGCTCCGCTGGATATGGTTCCTCATTGTCGGACGAGCTTTGGCGTCGATCCGCAAGCGATATAGACATTATGGCCCTCAGTATGATGAATTCGGAATCTGAAGTTGGGGATTCTCTTGCATCGCGTCCCTGCGATAGGCTCTCAAAGAAACTAAGGACAGCCGGGGCATGGAGGAACGGATAAGCTGGATGCCAGTTTGCGAAGTAGCTCTGACTCCAATCAACTAGCTTCTGGAAAGTGATGGTTGACGATCCATGCGGAGCCACTTCATTGCCACGCCATATCCGTTTGGACCCATTTGGAGATGCGGAAGGCAGGTTGTCATCTTCTCCGGGAACCTCTGGAGATGGAATAGGAGCTGTCGCATTGAGGTGCGAACGAAAAGCACTGTAAACGGAACGAATGAAGTAGACGCCACTAGAACTGCCAACAAAGCTCGAGATCTTGTCACCGGGGATACTGCGCATCAGTCCAACTTCACGAGGTGGATGCAAAGTTGTCGCAGTGCTCCTCCTCCTCTTGGACGGCCGCTGGTCGCCCTCTGTAATTGAGTCCGCTTCCCTGTCATATGTTTCCATGTTAAGCGAGATGCTTTGCGCACTGTGCTGTCTTGCGAATTGGATCGTATGCAGATGACGGTTCAGATGGAGGATCAAATCCCCGCAAACCTAGGAGACTCGGTCCTCGGTCCCGATGGAGATAGCGCACCCGTGCATGACTAGCGTCCGTCCACGGGTTTGGCTGCCAACTGCTTTGCTGAGGGACGCAATAGACTTGGTGTGTTAGAAATAGTTTCTCCATTGAGCCGGGTCATGAAAGTGCGTAGGCAGATGTGCACTGGTCGGTGTGTGAGAGGTTGCGGCCTTTTCCGCGGCTGTGTGTGCAGGCTCCAGAGAAGCGTGAACAACGTCGGCAGCATCACTACGTGCAAGCTCCTCGCTTTGAATGCTTGGAGGGTGTCCATTCGTGGAAGAGCGCATATGCTGTAGCTGGTGGTCGGATTGCGACTTCTCCTCGAACCAGACGCGCAGCTGCTCCCCAGATCTTAAGGGTAGACGCTTCCATTCATCCTGCTTCTCGATCTTGGAGCGCTCGCGAGCAACCGGACCCGATGCGTCCGTAAGCAGTCGGTGCAAGCCAGCGGTGCCGTTATGCGCGGAATTGATTGTTGCTAGAGCTGAATACAGGGCGGCCTCAGTCTCGGCGAGCCTGTCCTCCAAGCTGTTGATGTAAGCTGCGGGAATTCCTCTTTTCCCACCCTCGGCGTAGCGGCAAGCCAGAGACAGTGCTCGACACTGGGAACAATGAGGGCTGCGGAACATCAGCTCGGGGCGCCATCGCACGGTGCATGTGGTACGTGGCGTACAGTTTCCGGTCACATTTGCATTTTTTGGAGCGGCAATGCTCGCAGGCTATTGGGTTGAGCGCCTGCATTGGGTTTCACGAGAACGTTGCAATGAGTGGGCATCAGAGGACATGTGCGGGTATTTTCCATGTGGACTCAGGCCGTGGGAGCATTCGCGAGATTCAAGAGCATGGGCCTGGTGGACGGGGAGATGCCGCCCTCGGTGCTAGGCTGCGTTTGGGCTAGGCGGCGAGTGACGACACCGGGCAGACGACGTACGTCCACATGCACGCGCACGCCGTGTGCAGCTGGGTGCGCATTGATCCACACTGCAGCCACCCGAAGACGCGCTCCCGATCCTGCGCACTTGTGCTGCTGCCCTCACCGAGTCGCGCTTTCCCTCGCCCACCCCGCTGACAACCCCGCAAACCGCACGTTGGCCTCTCGACGCCTCTGGGAGCTCGGCCAGCGCGCCCGCAGACGCCCGCTCCTCGCGCCGAGGCAGCACAGAGCCACACGGCAGCATCGGCACAAGAGCTGGCTGGCCCAAGTGCTCGGAGGCGGCAGTCGGCCGTCATTTGACAGAATGTCCACCCCGGAGACGAAGCCCGGCTTTCTGTCCGTCGGGATCAACGCCCTCTCGCCGTGGGGTTCGCGCAGCGGGACACCCAAGCCACCGGGCACGCCAAACACACCCAAGAAGCCGGACGAAGACAGGGACAAGGACAAGGAAAAGGCTGCTGCGGATGGTGCAGGCCCGCAACGCGGCGGGGACCACACGGTGAACAGGCGCCACAGGCTGAGCCTCAAGCGATACCCAGACGACTGTCCACCGCTGGCTGTCCGATGGTACCATGCCGTAGACGTGAGTAGCCGTTGTCCTGGATTGACTTATCGTGGTCCTTACACGGTGCCAGGTCCCAAAGCGCAAGCCGTTCGCCTCAAACGCCGTCGTCCCTGAGAAGCAGCCCGTGCCACGGCCCCGGAAGTGGATCCCCTTCTCGTTTGACGACTCACGATCTATCGAACATGCTTTCCAAAAGACGGCCGCCGAGGCAGACGCTGCTGAGACTCGCCGAGGCATACTCAGCCCCTCTGGTCCAGAGTCTGGCCTGGACAAGGAACCCGAAACCAGCACAAAGGTACCCGTCAACGAGGACTATCTGTTTGATGTTGAGATTGAAACGCGAGAGCTCTCCCCTGCATACTGGCTTGGACCCGTGTACGACGTGAAGCGGGGCACGTGGTTCACACCGGATGGCGAGCCCTGCGACGAGAACCTCGCGACGCAGCTCGAAGAGGGCTATCTCAAAGTCAAGCCGTGGAGACTCGCTAAGTCGCCCGAGAAGCGCTCCGAATCGCAACCACGCACACGACCCATCTCGCTGAACATGAAGGTCGACGACGACTACAGGAAAGAGCTCGGCAGACTGAACCACCGCGACTCTACATCGAACCCTGTCACCCCAAAGGCATCCTTCGACAACCTCAGGGCTGAAGCTGGCACCGAATCCCCCCAGACTAAACCGTCAACCAACAGTGCAACGCCTCCGGATGACAGCTCAAGGACCTACCGTCTATTTGGCTCCCACATGAACTCTGTAGTTACCTACCAAGATGATGTGACTGCATACATGCTGACCGATGACATGTGGTCACGCATGGGAAGTACCTTGTACCAAAGATTCGCAGGTGCTGCCCACTTCGCCGGTCAGAAATACGTTCGTGGCTACGTTGATTCGGCGCGAAAGAAAGAAGAGAAGCCTTCCCAGGAAGGCACGAATAAAAAGGATACAGATCGACCAGTTACTCCTTCTCTCGCATATGGATCTGACCACGAAAGGCAGCGCGCCGCGTCCGGGTCTGAGACCGTTTCGGACATGGAAAGCGAAGGCGAGGAACGTGGGCGGGAGCCATCGCCAGGGGAAACCCGAAGAAAGAATCTCGAACGCCAGATCTCGTCACTCATCATATCCACTCAGACCGATAGTTCGGAACGGCAAGAAGAAGCAGTCCGAAAACGTGAAGAAAAGGAGATGCGAGAGGACTACAAAGACCAAAACAAGGGCGAACAAGGGCGCGAGATCGAGCACTTGCTCCTCGTTACTCACGGGATTGGCCAGCGGCTGGGAATGCGCATGGAAAGCGTCAACTTTGTTCATGATGTCAACTCGCTTCGCAAGTCTCTGAAAGCTGTGTATTCAAATTCGCCAGACCTGCAAGCACTGAACTCGGACGTGGACAAGGAGACAAAGAACAGTCGCGTTCAAGTGCTCCCCATATGTTGGCGCCATCTACTCGATTTCCCCCAGCAAAGTTTAAAGCACAACCGCAAGGAGCATGACCTAGGCGATCTTGATATCGATGACCACGAATATCCAAACCTTGAAGATATCACCGTCGAAGGTGTACCGGCGGTGCGAAACCTACTGACAGATCTAGCACTTGACATTCTCCTCTATCAGAGCCCGGCATACAAAGGTCACATAACTCGCATCGTTGTGAAGGAGCTGAACCGCATCTATCGATTGTTCAAAGAACGTAACCCGTCGTTCAACGGCAAGATCAGTCTTGTTGGTCACTCGCTAGGGTCCGCCATAATGTTTGACATTCTTTGCCAGCAGAAAGATCCCAGGTCCAAACCATCCATGTCGAGCAAGGCACGGCGTGCGACCGAAGAAGGAATAAAGCTGGACTTTGAAGTGGAGGACTTTTATGCGCTTGGTTCGCCCATTGGGTTGTTTCAAATGCTCAAGGGGCGTACCATTGCTGCCCGACCGTCCGCTTCCTATGTCACACCGGAGACGCCGGCCAGTCCACTTGATGACCCTTTCTCAGCGGGCTCGGACCATAACCGCGTCAACGACTTCATCGTCTCATCCCCTCTTTGCAAGCAACTGTTCAATATCTTCCATCCAACAGACCCCATCAGCTACCGGCTCGAACCTCTGATCTCGCCTGCCATGTCTTCCCTCAAGGCGCAACCATTGCCCTACACGAAGCGAGGTCTCTTTGGTGGGTCATCTGCACAAGGCCTGACTAACATTGGGCAAAGCTTAGGTCAAGGAGTTACGAACTTCTGGACATCAGTCAGCACCGGCATAGCTAGTGGCTTGCTCAACCGGAGTCTCGGGATCACGGGCTCTGACGCTTCAAAGATGAGCAACGACCTGCATGGCCAACGCACATCGCGTCCGCTATCCGTCGGACAGAGTGCTGGGAATCTCGGAAGCAATGCACCCAATGTCGAAGATCCAGCTCGGGCTCTCATGTTGGAAGAGAGGAAGCGCAGGCTGGGTGAGGAGCCCATAGCGCCTGGCGACGATGGCGAGCATCCTCCCACCTTGATCGACTCGGAGATTGAGACGCTGTTTGCTGGATTCCAAAAACGAAGGAAGAGCCGGGAGGACGATACCAACGAAAGTATAGAGAAAGACCTCGAATGGCAGGAGCTAGAAGAACGAAGCAGGAAACTCAGAAAAGAGGAGGGTAAGGTGCGGGCTCTGAACGCAAACGGCAGAGTTGACTACAGCATTCAAGAAGGCGTAAGTATTGCAGCCCCCGACTCCTTGGCTCCACATCGCTACGCTGTGTATTTTGCTGACTCGTCCAGGCCTTCGACATCTCGTTGCTCGCTAGCATTGCTAGCCATCTTTCTTACTGGGCTGACGAAGACGTCTCCCATTTCATGATATCCCAACTCTTAGCTAGACATCGTGTCTTTACGAAGACCGATAAATAGACCGTTCCTGATGTCGGGCTGCCTCAATGCCCTTTTCGATCGTCTACCTGTTGCATCTGCTCTTGTCCCTGTCTAGACAACATTGTTGATGTTCTTCACTACTCTTACCCCGCAGTCTCGCAAGGTGTCGCGCCTGCCTTGCGCTGGCGATCACTCGGTGAACAGTCCCCCTCACTCTCGCTCTCATCTTCACCTCCCTTCGTTTCCTATTGTTGCCTGCTATTGTGACACTTCCTAAGCGAGTAGAGAAGCTCTTAGCGTTTGCGTTCGCCGCAGATGAAACGTCGACCTCGACGTCTCTGAAGCCCTTTTCTCCCCAGCCTCGCATACCTACTCTCTTGCGAACGCCTCTCTTCTGTTACTCTTCCAGCTTTTGTGAGCATTTTCTTCCTCTTGCGAGCTCTCTTTCCTCTTGCGCGACCATGTTCAACTTTTTGATCATGGCGCTCACTGCCTTGCGAGATCTCGGCTTGGACGCCCTAGAATTCCTCAAGTTCCTCTTCCTCGTGGCTGTCTTTCTCGGCTTTGGCATCCTCTTCGGGGTCGTTTATTCGGCCATCTTCAATCTCACCACCGTCCCGGCGCCTCTGCAAGAAGAACCCCTCTTGCGCCGCGATCGCCGCGCTAACGCCGCCTCCGTTCGATGTTCCTCGTTCTCTTCGAGGCCTCCGGTGACACTCTCTGACTTCGACATCAAGGTGATGGCGAGGATTTCGGAGTACAATTCGGCCCCTCGTTCCCTCTCCAGCGGCACCTCGCTCACCATGAGCTACCCAAGCGCCATCGACTACACTGTGGAAAAGATGGCCAGCTGCGGTCTTCAACCCAAATTCCGAAATGGCCTCATTGTGGACTGGGAACCGATTGCCCCTCAAGGAGCATCGCTTGTCACTGCTGAGATGGTTGCTACGAAGCGCCCTTCCACTCCCGTAGTTGCTGCTCCGGCAGATCTCGCAACAGACACATCTCCACGGGTGGGTCCTGCTAAGCCACCTCAGTGTCATTTCGAGGCTGCTCCCGCAACCGACACTGGTCGTGCTGGCGTGCCGACTCCTACGGAAGGGTTGGTAAGTCGGGTCGTTGAACCTCTCCAGGGTGACAGCGCTGCTTCGGCAGTCGACCCTGGCCTTGCCAATGTGCAGGCATCTACGGATGGGATGGCCAGACCAATCGCCCCGACATGGACGCCCTCTTCTGGACCCGTGTACCTCCCTCCGCGTGAGCGGGACCCGCGGTTCACGTTGCGCAACTGGAGGCCCTCGACGGGAGTCGTGTACGAACTCCGCCAACCGCACCCTGTCCTCGCAGCCGTCTTCGCATCGCCAGCGCCGCTTCCTCGCCCTCTCCCCGTGGTGACCGTCTCTCCGCCGTCGCCCGTGGTCTTCTCTTCGCCTGCGCCGGTGGTCTTCTCTTCGCCGTCGCCCAAACCCGCACCCGCACCCGCACCCCGTCCTCTGCCGGCAACTCCGGCACCTGCCGCACATATCTCCAGGCCGCCGCGGCACACCAGGTCTCTGGCAGCCGCTATCTCCCGCCCCCGCGCTCCGATCTCGACCCCGGCTCCAACAACTACTGCTCCTGCGCCTGCTCCCATCCCGGCTCCAGCTCCCGCCCAAGGCCAACTGGCCAACCAGAACTGGATGGCATCACTCTCCGAGACCCTCGCCCTCACCCCCCAGAAGCTGGGTTTGACTGAAGATCAGCTAATGGCGTGGGAGACGCCCTCCCTGCTGCCGGCCAGCCTTCTTCCCGACGCCGCCGCCGAAGCCGCCGCGCAGCAAGACGCCATGACCATGACCCAGCGCTACGGCACCCTCGCGCGGGACCTGAAGCGCGCCGCCGTCCTCCTGCGCCTGCAGCTCCAGCGCGTCCCTGCCGGCCGCTATCCCGCCCGCAACCAGTTCCACAAGATCTTCAGGCCCTTGCACGAGGCCGCCAAGGCCTTCAACGTGCTCAAGACCGTCGAGGGCGCGCGCAACGCCGCGGACTTTGGCGAGTTCAAGAACGCGGTGAAGTTCTTTTCCGACCATGTGTTGACGATGGGGGAATATGAGGAGTGCCTTGTGCACTACGATGGGGAGGTGAAGGGAAAGGGGAAGGCGGTGAAGGTGAAGGATGCTGCCGCCCATGTCCGCAAGTTCTTGGGCATTCAGCCGCCCAATGTTCTGGATCGGCTTGGATTGGCTTGAGGGCCATGGGTTCTGGGGTGTTTGGGGTTTCGGTGGTGTTTTGGGCTCTGGAGCTTTGGCTCCCTTGATCTCCTCTTCTTGCTTTCTGTTTGGGGTCGGGGTTCTTCTGTTCGTTTTTTTCTTTCCTGTCTGGTGTTTGCGACTGGAGGGTTAGAGTCGCAGTGCCTTGACTCCCCCATCATGGGGTTGAGTTGGCACTGTTTGACTCGCCCCCCAGTCGCAGGGTTGCTCTCGTGTGGGCTGTTCTAGGGTTAGAGCTGCAGTACTTGACTCCTTCTTTGGGGTTGAATCGGCACCGCTGGTCTCGCCTGATATCTTTCTAATGCTTTGGTTTTGTTTTGCTGAGTACTATACCAGTCTCCCGCCCGCTCACATCAAATTTTCTCAAAATCACATCAACTGTGCACAGCTGTTTCTCTCGTGATGTATTGTACAGTACTATCGTTGCCACAGCATGAGAGGAGCAACCCAGTGCCGCATGAACAGTCCCATCCCAATCCTTGTACTACCGCTTTGCGACTTGACCGCAGACTGTATACTCTAGTGCTCTACAAGTCACTACATCTCGTTGACCTCACGCACTCTCAAGTATCAAAGCCCAGATCATGCGCAAACTTTCCACTCGATTTGATTACTGTTCCCGAAATCTTCCGCTATGCCTCCTGGAGCCTCGATTTCATAGCTTGATAGACGCATGTCATCACTGGCGTAGGGGCTCTCCGTCGTACTACTGGGCATCCCATCAGATCTGTGCGCGGCGCGACTCTTCTTGGTCGTCAATGTAGGCTGCGTGTCCGAACTTGGGGTACGCATTGCTTCCTCGCCGGCCTCCAAGATACGCAGCGCGTTCGGCATACGCACCAGGTTCAAATTTCGGCGTCGCGTTGCCTCCCTTCTCCTGCTCGACGAACTGTTGGATCGTATGACGCTTCTCCTCCCGCTAGCCCCTTTCGTTGACCGCCTTCACAGCTGCCTGCAGATGCTTCTTGTCCTCCTCGTCCTCCTTCATCTTGTACAGATCTGGGTGGACCTTCTTAACATACCACTCCGTGAGCTTATGGTAGGCAAACACGATGGTACAGAAGCAGGAAAGGCCGAAGGTACCCACGACCCACTCCTTAGGCGTGCCGAAGAGGTACGGGTCCTATATGAAGGCGAGGATGTAGACAGCCAGACCGCAGGCCATGACGAATTGGCCTGGGGTGGGGCAGCTGCGGAACATGGACCACATGGCGGTGAGGAGCATGGGGATGGCTTTGGCGAGATTGACGACGAGAAGAAAGAAGGTGAAGAGGACGACGGGAATGGTGGAGAGGATGTTGTATCCGCTGGTCGCGTTGGCACTGATTAAATTGCGTATATTCGCAAGGGGGCCATGGGGCGGATAATCGGTGGCGTGGACCGAGCGGTTGCAAGAGCCGTTGGCGGAGGTGGGACGATCGTGGTGGTCGTGGTAAGATATGGGCGGCTTAAATTGATGCTGGTGACATGTAAACCTGTGTTGGGAAGGAGCAAATGGCAAGCGCACCGAGCAAACGTACAATTGAGAGACATGTAGCGATCGTGGTAACCGCAAGGTGCGTTTTCGGGTCACGTTGGTGTTCAGACTCGGTGATACATATTTTTGACCAGTCTAAAATCCGGCCAGCACGGGCAGAAATACACATACAAAGCCTCGTCGTGGTTTCCCGTTCAAGGGAACACTAGCTATGTGGTCTACCTGGCAATGCACAAAACCAACAAACCAATCTCTGGCTTATGCGCCACCTCCCATTCGGCGGTCCAGCGACTTCATCAATAGGTATATGGTCTCAAGCTTTCCACAAGGCACACCTTTCGCTCTTGCCATCCGTACAGTGTTCCCAACGATAGCTTCGACTTCTGTCTTTCGGCCTGCTTTCACATCTTGCAGCATACTCGGCTCGACCGCTTTCCCTGTTGCGACTCTTCTTGTCGCTCTCTCCCATTGCGCTTCGACCTCCGCTCTGGCGATATCGTAGCCCTGCGACAATGCAATCTCTCGCGTCTCCAGCATGACATCAAGCACGAAGTTTGTGGCGTCTTCCGACGACTGCATGAACTGCACGTCTGAGCTCTGCGTGAGTGCGCAAATAGGGTTCCAGGAAGCGTTGAGAAGCAGCTTATACCATCGCTTCGCTTGGACGTCGTCGAAGACAGTGGCCGTAGCGCCAGCTTGTTGGAGTAGCGATGTGAAAGCTTGCGCGTGCGTATTTGGTGCTGACGATGGATAGCTCCCTATTTCTAACCTCTCGACCTCCTGGTGCGCGATAACGCCGGGTGGTCTCTGTACGGTCGCGCAATATGTCGCCGCTGTGAGGGTGGGGTTGTTAGGGAAGGCTTCGAGGTACTCCTCTTCGATTCCGATACCGTTCTGCAGGAGCGCGATGACGGTGTGACCAGGTGTGACGACAGACTTTATGATCTTAGGATAGATACCCGGAAGCACCTTGCAGGTGAGGATCACGTAGTCGAATGGTCGAGAGTCCTGGGCTGCTGCTTCTTCGCAGCTTCGTACCACGTTGGGCGCGACATGGAGGCCATTTCCGAAAATTGTTGAGTTGATGGTAAAGCCCTTTTCTTTCACGACGTCGTAGTTTGATCGACAGACAGCTGTAGTAGAAGCGACCTTCGATATCAGGTCTAGTCAAAGTAAGCATTCAAAGTCACTCCCCCTTGCTTCGGTCTAGGCTCACATAGATAGACAGCGCCAACGCTACCGACGCCGAAAAAGAGCACTTTGGGATGGTCGGCTGTCATTCTGATATTCGTGGATGATTGAGATGTTGGAAAGATTGTCAAGGTGCTTTTCCGGACGTCGTGCTTATCCGTAAGAGACTACCCCGCCTTCAGTGGAGCAGCTCCACCACATTACTTATCGCAACGGACCAGATATAAATATACACGGCTCACTCCTCGAATTCTGGATCACAAAGAGAAATACATTTTCAAGCTCACGTTATGATCGGTACACTCTATCTTGGCAGCAGCTGATGCAGGCCTCCCTTCGCCCACGACAGAGGTCCATGAGCCTGATCGTGCTTCTGCTTGTTGGCCTTCCTGGCGTACGACCACTCGCTCGCCCGCGAAGCGCTCTCTTCTACTTTTTGCGATCTTTGGACCGCCATCATAAGGGCATGCCGTTGCTGCGGCCCAATGTTCTGGATGCCCATCTCATCCCTGCGTGAAAGCTGACGACAGCTCTGCTCCTGGCGTCCTCGTGGAGGCAGCATGGGTGCTGCACTAGTTTGTAACAGTAAACGTGCTCCTCTTACTCTCGCCGCTTTGGCTCGCCTTTGGTGAGATACTCTCGAGGTCTTTGGTTTGACCTCCTCGCATTCCAGACCTGGCCTGACAGGCCCCAATGAGCTGCCATCTTCATCGCTTCTTTCCTCCCAAAAGTCCAAGAGCTCGGGTTCCCTGTCGAAGTTGAGCTTGCAATGCGCACTATCCCTCATGTGGCTCTGAATTGCCAACGTAGAAGTCCTGGTAGTCCCGCAGTATAGGCACTCATGCCACACTCGCACCTCGGTGGTCAGATACCCAAGGAACGACTCCAGATCCGATATTCTGTCGTGGTCGGCGATGAACAAGCCGTGCGCAGTGGACATGTGCTCAAGCATGTCCTCGAAGTCATCGGCGTCACCGTCAAATCTCTGATGACAGAAGAGACACTGCCGTGGCGAGACAACCTCATCTTCTTCTTCTTTATTATCAACTATCGCTGCCTTAATTGTGCTTTCTGAGGCTTCGCAACGGGGTTGAACTTGGCCGTCGAAGACGGCCAGTGATATCGGGGGCAATGAAGCAATTCGCCGCTTGAGATTATAAACACTATCAATTCTGTCAGCTAAGCTTAGCATAAACGCAGCCATACATACTGCCAGGAGCTCTTCATGTGCTCTCTCTGTACTGTTCCATTGTCGAATGAGATGTGACAGCAGTTGCAAGCCCAAGAGTGGCGGGTACTTGAAACTGAAGGTTGGATGACATCGCTGCAGGAAGTGGTGGCCGTCAATGTTGCTGTTTGTAATGATGTTGCAGTCATAACAGTTTTGAATGGTTTTCTGAGGCATCAAGGTCTTGCTGCAATGCGTGCCTTATATCTTGTTTGTGTTCATGAGTGACCGAGGCGGTGCTGTCCATAGTTGGCTTAGCCTCGAATGACTCATTTCAGGTCATAGTGAAGAGTTACCAGACTACACTAGAGCATCATAAGGCACACACATGGCTAAACAAACTAAGCGAGACCTTTGCGCAGCTTCCTTGCTGTACACAGAAGCGTGGAGTATACGAAGGCAGCAATGGTTGCCTCACGCGGCTGTCGTACCTGATTGGACAACTCAAGGCTTGAGCTGATCCTTGTGCCCCAGAAGCGACATCGATATAATGGTACATATGTGAAGCTGGCACCTGCTGAAAACAACCGTTATAAAAGAATCAACTCATGCCTCGGGCTCAATTACGATGCTGCTCGCGTCGTCCATGCATCTGTCTCTCCGTGTCTACGGCTTTGGTCGTTGTAGGACTCACATGCTTTGCCTTCTGGTTGTTTTTCACGGTGATCCTTCCTGCACGCCGCGCCGCCCATCTCGAGCTCGATTACCTCAATGCACTCGCTCGCGCCAAGTTCAACAAGATGTTCCTCCCTAGGATACACGAGGCTAGGAAACACTCGAACGAGTCGAAAGTCGAAAATGAGCCATTTCGGGACGTCCAACCTTTGATCAAAGATGTTCCACAGTTGCTTTACTGGAGTGACGCGTCGAACAAGGAGTATGACGAGTTACTGCGACTCAATCTCGATGGCACAGGGCAGTAGATCGGTGCAGGGGATGAATACTGGATTTATCTTGGAGGAACGGACAAGGATAGCAGTGGAAAGAAAGAAGCAGTGGCTGAAGGAGATACGACTTTTAAGCATAGATATAGAACGGCATCCTGTGTCGATGAAGGGTATATCTGCGATATGTTCAATGAGGCGTTCGACCGTATTGCGACGCAATGGCATGGTACGTTTTTCGCACCATTCCTAATCCTTTCAACAAGCAACTTCATACCTTTTTGGTGTCACAAAATCCACCGTAACGCTCAAAACTGACATTTTACATAGGCAACGAAGCGCCAATAGGGAAATTCCCAATGCTCCGCTTCGCAGACTGCGACGTGTCGCCTATGATTTGTGGACCCCAGTCTGGCCCGTTCGGATTCGGTGCAGATCCAGTCATGCTTGTTCATCTTGTCATTGACACAGAATGCGAAGAGAATGGCCATTACTGGTACCGACGCTGTCCTTTGAAATGGCGCTTCGTTGGACTGCCAATAGAGAAGGCGCCATGGACGCGTCAAGTTCGCATATCTCGTTCTGATTCCAGTGGAGAGGTGGTAGTACCAGCGTTCCCAAGCGCAGAGGAGCAGATGTGGGCCCTTATGTCCCAATCGGGCGCAGATGAAGCATGGGATGATCTTATCACAGTAGAGCCGCAAGGGACATGGGGTGCACCCCAGTTTGGGATGCACCTGTGGAGCTTGATTAGCGCGGAATGGGACAATCCGTGGGAACTACCAGAGTGGCCATACGAGATGGAGATCAAGTGCTACGTAAGGTATTGGGCGGATCGATTCTTGCGGTGGTGGGATGGAGAACCGGTGGTTGTAGAGCCGTGGGAGTGTTGACACCTGTAGGCGCATCCCTTGCTAGATAGAAATGTAAGCTACCTAATTGTCGTTGGTAACGAGTAGCGTGCTCCTTGAATCGTGGTATAGTCTAGCAGACGTTGATTGCAAACGCAGCTAGATAATCTCCTCACCTCTTTCAAGCGTCATAGGCCGCATCTTGCAGCTCAATGTTGACGAGTGATTTGTAGTGGCGACTCACGCCTATCTAGAGCTGAACAACTATGATCTACCGAAGCGTTCACAAATTAGCCATAAGTATTGTCGTAGCCGTTGTCAAACCGAGACGAGTCGAGCAAGAGAGACTTGTACCTAGGCAGGGAAGGAGGGACCTCGGCTACGCGCCCCGCCCCAACATCACTCTAGCCACCACTGACCCTCGTCAACACCAACAATCGTGCAGCTCTTAACCTCCATCAACGCTGTATGAATCCGGACCTACGATAACAGATATCCCGCAGAATGGTGAAACCAACCTTGGAATTTAATTATGATGTCCGCACACCATATATTTCGCCTCGCATGTGCGCCCAGCTAACATGGATATGGTAGATCTCCTGCCCCTTCGCCTACATCGCATCCACCCGCGTAGAAGCCCTGGCATCTCGCGCGGGTGCGACTCTGGTATGGCGGCCCGTCCTCTTAGGCGCCATCTACCGCGCTACAGCAGCACCGCAAGGCGCATCGGGCTCCGCGTCTGATGTATTCAATCCTACTAAGAAAGCTGTAGCCGCGGCATCTATGCAGCGCACTCTACGTCGGTACAAGATTAGGTACAATCCGCCGCCACAGCATCCGCGTAAGACGGTCAATGCTCTGAGATTATTGTACGCGGTAGAAGGAGAGGAGCGAAGAGTGTTGACCAAGAAACTCTTTGAGGCGTATTGGGTAGAAGGGAGAGATGTCAGTGATGGCGTCGAATTGTTGAAAATAGTGAGAGAGAGTGGTATAAAGTCTGCGACAGGGATCTCTGAGAAGACTTTCGGTGACGCCAGTGCAAGACGAGAGTTGGAGAAAGCGACTGCGGATGCGATCGAACGTGGTGCTTTCGGTGTGCCTGGATTCTGGATCCCGGAGGAGTCTTGGGTTGATGTTAGCGGCGAGAAAAGAAAGGGAAGGTTCTACTGGGGTCAAGACCGAATGCACTTCGTGGAGGCCACTCTGAGTGCTTTAAGGAGCGGTGGCCCTTGGGAACACGTAAACATTCTGAAGAGCCTCATGCCAAGGTGCATTCCCGATCACAAGATCAGCAATAAAGTAAGAGTGGAGTTCTGGTACGACTTCAGTAGTCCCTGGGCGTTTCTCGGTTGGACCCAGCTTGAGCGTCTCAAGCGGACATTCGGCGCCAATCTGGAGATCGTCATGAAGCCTTTCTTGTTGGGTATCCTGTTTCGAGAGTGAGTACTACAATCATTCTGATCATCAAAGAGCGCTAACGATTTCAATCTAAAGGATTGGTGCCCCAAATCTTCCCTCTAGCGCTATCTCGCCTACGAAAGCTGTTTGGGCGCGACAAGACCACGGTGACTGGGTCCGATTTTGGAATGCGATCAATGCGCAGGAAGGCAAACCAGACAAGAACATAGATTTTCACTGGGCCGAAATATTTCCTATACGCACTCCGACAGTACTTAGATGCGCCATTGTAGACCCGCAGACAGTACCAGTCCTTTGTAAGTCTCTCCTGCCCCTAAAGTGATTCGTAGGCTTACATGTGTCAGATCGTGCTTGCTGGGAGAGCAATGCAAACGTAGCTGACGACTCTGTCCTCGTCGAGGTTCTTACGAAAGGAGGTTTCGATGGCGCTGGGCTGCTGAAGAAAGCGAATGCACCAGATATCAAGCAGAAACTCCGAGATTCTACTGCAGAGGCCAAAAATCTGGGGATCTGCGGGGTGCCGACTTATCGTGTCTTCCGACAGAATTTGAATCGTGAATGGGAACATGTTGGTGGCCTCGTCTGGGGTCAAGATGAAAGTAACGTGGTGGAAGACCTCATTGCAGGCTGGAGTGGCGAAGGTACCGCTGCCCTCGCAGAGCCACGGAAAACGACAGTGTCAGACAAGATAACAGGCTCCCGACTCTAGTTCGTAACCGCACAGCAGGATCAGGATGCCGCCTAGCATGGATGTACCTCAGAAAAGCCACCCACAACACCGCAGTAGAGACACTTAGCTTTGCTTTTGCTAAGAGAAGCGTTCATGTCTTCCGTCAGAAACCCCGTGGCCTCATCTCACTTTGAGCGTGATTTTGAAACCTCTCCAATAGCAGCATCCTGCCTGGATGGAATGAAGTACGGCATAACCTCAGCCAGACGTACTAAATCAGGCACGACGCTTCGAAACGCATAAAGCCGACCGCGCTGTCCGACGAATCCTCCGCGTTCGATGAAGGCGCGCGATACCCGAAGAAACGATGGCGCCGACAAGTTTCGAGTGTGGTGGAGCAGCGCGTCTTCGACTGCTCATCGACATGAGACCGCATCCTGCGCATCCTGTAGTCACCGCCAGCGATTGTATCACTCATGAATAGCGCGCCCACCCAATCTGCCTGAGTGCGATTGTGACATGCTTGTTTTCTGTTGGAATATCGGTGATTATTTCCCAGCAGCCTGCCACTGCACATACCCTAACAGCCGCGTTCCGTTTCCTGTATATTGCCGCCAGGCTGAACGCATCAACCCCATCCGAATTCCCTTTTCTGGAAGCTCACTCATACATCAGAATGCTGGTCGCTGATTGGCTGTGACGCGTATGAAACGTCGACAACAAGGATGTGGTTGGTCGCTCATGGAGGATCCCGACCGATGCTGTTACAGGAGACATTGCGACTTTATGCACGCCTCTGCGGAACACTTCTCGCATAAAAATAGCTGCGGGGCAGTGCGTACCTGGGTATCGATAGGGTGCTCGAGCGCGGGAGGAGGTATGAGGGCAGGAAGGAGGATGGGTATTTAGCAGGAGCGGTGCTTTGAGTCGCCGAGGAAACTTTGGTTGTCTCTTCATCTTGAACGATTCATTGTTGAGGTATTATCCTCTTACCACTCCTTGAGTTGAAACCATCAACGTGTATGCCAACGGTGATACACATTCACTCTTTGCTTGACAGACAGCTATACTCAGTCTCCAATACCAACACAATGGCTGAACTGACGGATTCGTTGGCGGCACCCATGGACGCTCAGCACACGCCTGCTGCTCCTCAACAAGACGCCGGGAAGCGCGTGTCGATGTCTGGCAACCGTGATTCGGGCGTCTTCCTCTCCGACAACGAAGACCTACAGCCATCTTCTCGGCCATCGTCTATCTCTTCTACGCGTTCCTTGTCAACGAGAACCACCCCGCAACGAACAGAGTCCATTGCGCGCCTCCGTCGTCCTGCTGAGCTCAACTTGGGCTTCAACAGTAACGTTGATTTCGCAAAGCCCCGCTCCGAGCTCGATCTCCGCTTCGACGTCATCCGCAACTCCCAGAATCAGAATAAAGCCGCGCTCCGATCACCCACACAGCTACTAAAGGACCGCTTGAATCTCTCACCGAAGAAAGCAGAGCATGAAAAGGTCCGCATATTCACGCCACCGAAGCCCATGCTCAATGGCTGCATTCTACCTGGACCTAAAATACAGATGGAAGCGTTCAGCGGGTCGTCGGTGCGTGCATGGATCGAAAGGAGCGGACGGCCGGCGTGGTGGTGCAAGTTTGACAAGCTCGTGATATTCGATGGCTTTGAACAGAGCGACGGCGGCGACGTGAAGTTCAAGACACGAACGAGCAAGGGCTTGTCCATTGCGCGGCGGCGAGGGGATACCGAGACCGTGGTTATTCCTATGGACTGTGCACATTGCCAAGAGATGCTCAACCGCACGGAGTGGAAATATGATATCCAGGTGTGTAAGCGCGGGGTGTGCTGGAATTGCAGAGAGAGGTGTCGTTGGGAAATGATGCAGGACGAAGATAAGAAGGCAGAAGTGGAACTGGATGAGGAAAGGACAGATGCAAACAGAGTGAGAGCCGATAGTGTATTGCAAGACGACGTGCAAGAGGAAGAGCTGCTGGCCAAGATTGGCATCGAGCAACTGCCAAAGACACCGATCGAGACGGTTGGCAGTATCGAAGAGAGACTGGATGTCGCTGCATTGCCGGCCGACACGTAAGGGCGGATGGAAAGAGAAGTCGGGTGAGAGAAGCCCTCTGGAAGGCACAAACCTACTATTCTCTGTGGATACTTGATCAATGAATTCTTTCCTACTGTCGCCAAATTGTACCTAGAGAGCCACGCTATGCGCGAGATCACGCGTGCACGCTTGAAGGGGTATATGCAAGAGATAACGAAATGCAGAATGCACCAGAGACTTGGCTCTTGAAAGATGTCGACCACGGATGCAGCGTATGTTCAATCCAAATCCATGGCATCGTCCATGTACTCAAACGGAACATCATCCGTCTCCATGGCGTTGCTTGTGCTTTGCTGCGCTTGTTGTTCGAAGTCTCGGCTCGTGAAGCTATTCGGATCGGCGTCCGGACGGTCCTGCACTATGCCATGAGCATGCTCACAGCCGGCCAGCAGATATCGAAGCATGGTGTCTAGGTCAAGATCCGTCAAATTGACGTTCTTCCTAGACTCATCATCCTTGTTGTGACCACCCGTCTTGGAAACCTTTTCATCCGCGTCCTTCCAGGCATTGCGGTAGTCTTTCGCTATACCCAGCTGTATGCGCACCTCTTGGTTTCCGAGCGAGATGTGAAGTGGGCATTTTGGATCGTCGAGTGCTTCAAGAAGGTTCGCATGGAAGGCGTGCAGCGCGCGTGGCCGTATTCGGTGAAGGTCAGGATTCGTGATGTATTTGAGAGCGTTCACGTTTGTGCGAGGTGCGGTACCCGAGACGTGAACGCCCATGATCTCGAGTGAAGTGGAGATGTACCGCTCAAGTAGAGTGTAGAATTCAAAGAAATCTACTTTGAACATGGACTCTGCCTGTTTCTGCGGAGCGTTAACTTAGTACATATCAGATGAACAGGTACACACTACTTACGCTGTTGGTAGCTCGCATGAAAGCGTAACGTAATTCTACGCGACTGTCGATGTTGCCATTCTGATCAACCTCTGCTCGCAATATCTCGATGGCGCGGACGTAGGACACTGCGAGCGACTCAGCTTTCCACTGGAGACGGTTCAACAGTCGCGTTGTTCTCGCCTTGTCCTGTTTAAGCTTCTCTGCTTTCGACTGTACCAAAGACTCCAGCGGCGTCTTTGGTGCATATCTGGACGTTGCGAGGGACATGCTGTATACTGCAGGGTGTTAGTGTGTTTGGGGATGTGTAGACTGGTGGTTAGTGGGGAGTTGCTGCGCGGGATTCCGGTAGTGCGATAGAGTAGCTCTGAAGGAGCCGCATCATCCCTATGACACGAACGCCTAGCAAGTCAAGTCAAGACGAGCTTTAATTGCGCGAATCCTGTGATGTACAGTGAAACATGAACGTTCACAGAAATGCGCGAACCTACCGAGCTTGGCGCTCACGTGGCCTCGTGGACCCTGGAATCGTATTTTGGGCTTAGCGCATGACGTTGGTTCAACACATCCTCGGGATACTAAGTACAGCTTAGAACAAGACTCGAGACATGACTTGATGTGGACTGGTTCAGGCCATTTTATTCTTTGCAAAAGTTCTCAAGTACTGACTGGCTAGATGTTGACACCATGCATTTTTTCTCATCCTATATAGTCACATCAAACGTCAGGTAACTTCAAGATGCCTCACCACACATGCCGCAAAGTATCCCAAGTCAACCCAAGATCCACCAAACTAAGTTGCCGCCGCACCTGCACCTGTACCTCTTGAATATCCATTCGAGTAGCCATTGCTACCACCCTTCTTGGCGGCCTCTGCTATACAGTCAGTCGAGTTCAGTCAGGATACCTCGAGTCAGACATACCCTTGGCGTGCGCATCTCGCACTTTTCGCTCAGACTCCTCCTCGCGCGCGAATGCACCTTCACCGCTGGCATACCTTTGGAATAGGGACCGGACCGATATCCACATGCTCGCCGGTGGATGGATTGAGTATAGTGTATCCTATAAAGTCAGTGACATTCAGAAGAAGTGAATACTCGAGAAGCACCGAGTTGGAACCATTGACACGCCTCCTCCAACGTTACCAAGATGTCTCGACCCGATGAGGCGCGAGCAGTTGGGGTCTCCAGCAGGTGATTGGAACGGAGAGGCTCTAATGAGCGAGCTAATGAAGATGAAGAGGGGTTGTGTGTTGGTGGTGGAGAGGACATGATAGGGGTGGATGGATGGCGAGTGATGAGCGTATCGAAGTGAGACCTGTATGGTAAGATGCGTACGGTCTTTTATACTTCATATTCTTCTCAAATGAGCCTCATCGAGGACACGGTAACTTGGGAACGCGTTTGAATTCATTTCGCTAAAGGAGGAAGAACTTGAGCGTCGAACATCTAGAACGCAAACGTTGCCTTTACGAAACCCCACCATGGATGGACTTGAAGCCAGCAACATGAGTAAATTTTTGTTTAGAAAGCTCAGCTTATGTGGACTAAGGGTATTGCGGTTACATCGGTAAAGTCGCCTTATCCCGCACTGTCAATCCAGCATGATCCTACTAGGGTAAACTCAGCCATCTTTACACTCTCCGAACAGTCATTTGTATTACTCATCTGGTGTTAACTTAGGTACCTTTACGCTCTTCAAACGGAATTGCCATAGGCACGCGTAGAGTTTGGCATGCGATACTAATCCCCGACCCACACGCACACCCCGTACCTCACCAGCATTTGTGCGACCACCACGAACCCCCCAATAGCTGGACTTGCACTAACTATATACACACACGCTCGCATCAAGGGTCCAAATTGCCAGGCACGATTTAGCCTTGCATCCTTGTTTTCCTGGTCCACAACCCACCATATCCCACAAATCACGCCTAGAATTAGCCACTGCACAGTATATGCTCTCCACGTTGACGAATCCTCTAGTGGGATCGAACCCGCTTGGAAATGCGACATGCCACCGTAAACAGCCAGGGGTGTGAGCGCTACAAGGGTGGTTACGAGGTATTTGATAATTTGCAAACGGAGCGAGTGCGATGGAGTCGAGCAGGTGAACTTCACCGTCCAGTCGCGGTGTGTGAACGGCCAGCAGGGCTTGGAGAGCGACAGCGAGGAGAGGCGATAAAGCTGGGTGGGTAACTCGTTATCGTGACAAGGAACCGCGGAGCCTCGCACGATAGGGTTACAGCAGGGTATGATTAGGACAGGGTCGTCCTCCGTGTTGGTATAGTTGAGCTTAGATGGCAAGGTGTTGACACCGTGTGAATGAGTGAACATGGACGAGCAAACAGAACCTGACTTTTCCGGAAATTGCGTCTCTTCCTCCCCGCGGGAATGCCATATCTCCGGCGGCGCTGGAGTATGGAAGGTTGCGGTGAGCTCACCGTCTTTGTTTGATTTGAATTGAAGGTGCTCGGCGTCCTCCGCGTCAGATATTCCGCAGCCGCAAACAGTAGTGCTTTCTTCACGCACGCGACCCACCGCGCCTTCGAATACACCGCCTCTTCTTCGAGCCTCATCTAGAACGCTGTTTTCTACAATATATAAGGATGCATAATCCGGTCTGCATAAGTTCCCTAGTAGGTTCACCAAGGACATGACAGCGTACGGCGCGACTGTCAACCCAAACGCAGCATATCCGAATTGCTCGATTTGGTCTCCGCGTGACCGGTATAGTGTTGCAAGTGCATAGCAGGACTGTACCAACGCAATGAGAGCTTTGATCATGTTGTGGGTTGCAGACACTTCCGAGATTGCGTTAGGGCTTGCCGATGCAGTGAACTGTGCGTCCGATGGAACGATGGCAAACCGGTAACCATCGGGAAGTGTGTACGATCCGTGAATGGTTTGCCGTTGAACGTAGACTGGAGTTCGAAATTGAGATTTGAGCCACGGAGGTGAGTACGTGAGGACATGTACTGATGGGTCGCAGGCGCTCTCACATGTTGCTGGTAAAGACTCACAGGCGCCTCCCTCTAGCTTCGAAACCAATTTTTTCTTCGCTCTTCTGAACATCGCATTTGTCACTTCGTCCCCATAATGTGGCCGCCAATCTTTTCCACGCACAACCAGACATAGCGCTCCGCTCCTCGCTGCCTTCCTCAGGTTGTCATGTCTGACAAACGCAGCTCGACTGAGTATCGCCTCAATACCGCGATACAGCCCCAGTGCGGGAAAGAGCAAGCTCCCGATGACAGACACCATGAAGTCATCTGAGCGTTCACCAGGTCGTGTGAGTACCGTTGCTGCATGCGCCACATAGTTGAACAGGTAGAACAGAACAACGTCTGTCCACTTCGTTGGTGTGCAAAGCAATCCTGGAGTTCCATGGTTCGACGTCCCGATCGGTAGCGGGAGTGTAATATTCTCTAGAGGCAGAGCTGAAGCCGCGCATACAAAAGTGCATAGCTGCACGATATGCCGCACTGCAGTCGTGCTCATAGCGAACATGCTGCTTGCGGCGTGTGCATGGAGATGCTACGTGAGAAGGAGGGTGTGAGGGAGAGAATGCAAACTGTCCCAGGAGTCCAACGATTACAAGCCCTCCACAATGTGCTGCTGAAGTCTGCCTTGACCGGCCTTGGCCATGTCTCATTCGCTGTCCAACGCCCTACGCGTATTTCGCATCCAGTCGCTGGTCCTCTTCCCCGCCATTTCGGCTAGCGCCCTGCAGGTGCGGGAAGCCCACTCATTCAATCCTTCGTGCAGATCCAGCATCCCCAATTCTGGTAAGCGTTTTGCGACCAAGCTGCAATCAACATCATCGTGAAAGTCGGTCAGGGTGTGTGTCCAATAGCTCGAATGCACGATCCAAAGTTGGGTGAAGATTGTGGTACTGCCGCCCGCTACCATATGCCAGTGATAGTATTCGAATATCGGGCAAATAACACTTACACAGGATTTATACCTCTTCTTCCTCATCATATATTCCCTATTCAAGCTTCTAGTTCAAACCACACCAGCAGTGATGGATGAGATGTTTCGAATGCTCAGTTTGAACCATCTGGGATAGTCGCCGGAACGGCTGGTATCGGTCTCGAAACACGTCTCGACACTATTAATGCGAGAATCCAGGACACCTATGGTCGATTAGCAGCGCAATGATAACCCTTGCGCTGTAGTGCTAGTCTCTTAAGGCCTGCAGGTTCGGGGAGGTGACTGCACCGACGGCGTAGTGCACATGCGAAGGTCCTCCGAAGGTGGAAACTAACCAACTGTCACCGAGGTACACCGGGGCACTTGCGGTTGGCCTTACTGCGTTGCGATTAGCTCACATTACGAAGCCCGATTGCTCAGCCACGATCACTTGATGCGCCACCTGGACGCGATGCAATGTACGTTCCGGAAGTTCCACTTATTGCCGTCGCATACATCCCCGCTCACTCAAGGGATATCTCCTGGTCTTTTTCTTCTTTCGTTCTTGCCTTCAACTCACTCAATCGTATAATCAATTAATATCACAACTACGACTCTTATTCACCGCGGATCCCAGCTTAAAGTGTCCGTCTATTCGTGATCGTTCGGATATAGCGGAGCGCTTCTGTGAAAGAGCTCCCGCGCCCAGCACAAACGCCTAGCCTTGCCGCGACACTGCACCTTATAACTTCTCTCTGCATTTGAGAGATCTGCTGAGAGCGCCACTCCGTACACCCCTTCTACATCACTTCTATCAAACAAAGTGACATCATGTCCAACAAATACGTACGTTCCTTTCCCTTTCGCAACCGTACACCACTGACAATCGCAGGACGTCCCCGCCGGCGCGCCGCCTGCATACCCTCAATCACCACCTCCCGCCCACCATGATGCAGGCCCTTATCAACCTCCAGCACCCTACTATGGCAACTCCCCTGCACCTCCCAACGACTACTACGGCGCATCACCGAACCCCTACGCGCAAGGCCCGGGACCCTACGGCCCGCCACAAGGCCAGTATGGGCCACCGCAGGGACAGTACGGACAGCCAGGCTACGGACCACCACAGCAGGGCATGTACTACCAGCAGGGACCGCCGCCGCCGGGAGGCTACTATGACAACCAGAGGAGAGGCGGAGCATCCGATGGGATTTGCGCGGGTTTGTTGGCAGCGTTAGCATGCTGCTGCTGCTTGGACTGCTTGTTCTAAGCCTAAAAGCTATGGTAGACAAAGCGTCGTCGGCGGCGGGAGCTTGAGGAAGCTTTGCCCGGACAAAGTTGCATCAACCTTCGCCTGCTGGACGGGTTTGGGCGATCGACGGATGCAAGGGAGTTATGGTTATGTTCACTGATACCTGCATGTACTTTTCCTTTGTACACTGTTTTCTCGGCGATTTGTTCACCAGGAGAGGGTTCTGGTGGTAGGGATTGAGACACTCAGTTGCTTCATAGATGGATCACAGCTCTTGAATCACAAATCTCACTTCTTCAATCCGACATTTAGCCGTGGCACAATCGTGCGGAGAAACAGAAATTGTATAACATGAAAAATAGGTAACTTATAGGAACGTTTACTTAACACGAATCGCGGCAATAGATCAGTCGCAAGCTACGCCAGTTTCAGACTAAGATTATATCAAGTGCACACGGTACCAAACCGAAACGTCGAATTAGACGTCGAAACGATGGCACATGTACAGTGGATGCTGTGTGCAAGCAAGCAATGTACTGCAGACCGCATTAGGATTCAAGAATACATCCCCGGCTAGGGAGTGATGACGAATGACGAGTGAGCTTTAGTTGTAGATGCAGTATAGGGAACAGAAGGCTGAGAGAGGTTGTCAATACGACCAAAATCGTTTCACGAACAGCTCGTAGTTAGGAGTTCCATCATGTACAAACCTTTTGGAATAATCGAATCGCATCGTCGCAGGGTTTCGAGGGCGGAAGTGGGTGGAAAGTATTCGACGTTCTACGGGATTCGCTCGAGTAAAGTACAGAATGGGGAAATCGCCAGATCGTATCGATCGACCGACCGACCGTGAATGAACCTTCGACCGAACCGAAACCGATATCGCCGTTACGATCACCATGAAGCCATGGTTTGGATTCGCGTGACTGCTTCAATATTAATGCCGACTCTTACAAAGTCGCCGAAACCGCCATCGGAAGGTGAAAGGAAGCCCTTAGCCGTTTGCTGCAAACCCGACTCCGCCGTTAACTTTTAAGCAATTTGTGAAAGTGTCGTAGAGCGAGACCGATGGAAAAGGGTGACTAGACAATGTAGGCCGTGTACCGCATACATGGCGGCGAAGGACAAACATTTACTCTGCCACATCCAGGTCTTCAGGAGCTGCTGGAGGTGGGGTTTCGTCTATATTGTCGATCAGAGGAGATCGTCGTCTTGTAGGATAGGGTGCTCACTCTTCGCGGGGCGCTCCTCGCCGTTGGTGCCGGCGTCACGGTCCCGCTCGCGCTCGCGGTCTTCATCACGGTCACGCACGTCCTTCATCTCCCGATCGCCGTCACGTTCAGGGCTCCGGGAACGGTCTCGGTCGCGACGATCGTAGTCGCGCTCCCGACGGTCATCCTTGCGCGGAGAGTAGTCACCGCCACGGCTGCGACGAGGGGAGCGACTACGAGGACGCTCGCTACGCGGTGAGCGGTCACCGCCACGGCCGCCGCGCTCACTTCGCTCGCCACGCTCACCACGAGGGCGATCACGGCCGGAGTCGAAGCGCCACGAAGCCGAGGGTGGGGTGCGTGCCCACTGTTGGACGTCAGGTACACCAGCTGCAAAACATGACTGGCTGAACATACCTCGATCTTCAACAAGTCATCACGACCGATGCGCTTGTTGTGCATCTCATGGTACGCGTCATCAGCATCCCGGCGGCTCTCATACTCAACGAAAGCGAACCTTCCGCGCATTGTTAGTTGGTTAATATAACCGGGGTATCGTGGCCACTTACAGCCTGCTGGAGGCAGAACGCGGCGCAGGGATGTCGCAGCGAACAAGACGACCGTAGCTGGCGATGACGTTAGATGGGTGTGTAACATGAAAGGTGATAGCGAAAGGAAGCTGAATGTGGCGGGCGTTGCGCATGGAAAGGGCGTGGGTGGCGGCATGGGGTGCGACGTGATGGAGGCATCGGAAAGGGCGACGAGGCATTAAGCAGTTCGATCGCGCGTAAAGGACGGTCGACGAAGGGCGTGGTAACCATCGGGGAGGGCGGTGCGTTGAGCAACATACCGTTCGAACTCGTAGGCGAGGTCGCGGGCGCGGGTGCCGTGACCGAAGCCGGTGACATAGAGCGTGGTGCCGCCGCCGCGAGACATGTTGGTGATGTGCGATTAAGGAGGTGGACGGCTCGGGGTGGACGGAGTTGACGGGGCTGTTGTCGCGTCGAGGGCGGTGGTGTAAAAAGAGAGCGTGAGGCTGGAGACGCGAACTTTGAAGCCGGGAGGCAACTACGTAACCGCGCTAGTACCAACACGGAAAGAAGCTCCTGCCGCGGCCTCAAGGAGCGCTCTTGAACAAAGACCAGCCGTGGCTGACGGAAGCAGTGGCTGTTGGATGTAGCTGCTGGCTGGGAGTCATGCATGAAACGCTGCTACTTTGAAAGGTTATGCCATAGCCAGCTCGGTGGAGCCTTTGGACTATAACACGCGAGCAGTTCGGCGACACTCGCTTTGACGTATCCGGGGCAACATTATGACATTGAACCGATCAGGGATTTGCTAGATAACAGAGCAACCTTGATAGCAAATGAGCCACATTATTGTAGTTTCGAACGGTGCCGTATGGACTGGCGCCGAGTCTGTGTAAAAACATAGCCTCGAAGTCCGATTTCCAATATCCAGGCATGGACGTGTTGACCATTGTCAGCAAGCGCAGGCTTGGACTCGTGGATGGAACTCTGACAGCTATAGACCCGATGCACTCGCTATGGTATGCGCTATACCAACGAGCCAGAAGACAACCGAAGCGTGCAGACAGTCGTTGGAACAGCACAATGGCGCACCGACCACCCTCTGGGGCTGACTAACCCGATATCTCACTTCGCGCCAAAGAACAATTGCTCTCCGTCTACGCGCCACCCGTCGCGTCTACTACACTGACCTATCGCTTCAATTTCGACGACCGAGGAACAAGCACGACACGATAAAGGCGCATCCCCTCGCCACTCCCTTTGTCTCAACGACCCATTCCTTCGACTCGTCGCGCTCTCGTAGGCAGGTCGTTAATTGACTTCACCATGGCTACCGACCTCGCGGCAGGGACGCCTCTGGCGGCGGCGCTACAGAACCTCGTTCAGCCCAAGCTTGCCGAGTTTGGGTGGACAACGGGCGGCGACGACACGACTCTATTCGACTACATCCTGCTTATGCTCTCGAACGGCAAGAACGAGGAGCAAGTCGCGACCGAGCTCTCGAACGACCTCCTCGACGAAGCCGAGGGCGAGAACACAGACACACACCGTTTCTCGCGATGGCTGTTTGAACAGGTCGACCAGCTCCGCGGGCACTCTGCTGGTGGCAATGCGCAAATCACCGATAACCATATGGGACAGGCCGTCCAAGACTCTACCGCAGCTTCGCAAGATATGGAGATGGACGGCGTCTCTGAAGCCGGAGACGCTTCATCAGGCACTATGTATGACACCATTTTCCCTTCAAGTTCTCCTCCCCAGTCCTTTCAAGAAGTACGAAGAGATAGCGCCTGTGGACTTCCGATTCCCACAATCGAGTCCGATCAACGCGAGTCTCTGAAGATTTCCCGGACTAGCAGCACTTCCAGACGGCATTTTCTAACAAACGGCAGACCTACTGGACCCAAAGCTATGCGGAACGGCAGCGGCCCCAAGCAGGCACGCGGCGGCCGCATGATGAACCAGGTTAACAGGCAGATGAACCGAAACGATGATCCTCTCCATCGAGTCCGAGGATCGCAGGGTGCTGGCCGTATCAATTCGCACGCACGCGATCCTCCGAAAGGTCCCCGCGGTCAAAATATTGGACGCGGACTGGAGGCTATGGCGAATGGAAGGGGTGGTGGCAACATCAATGTAGGCCCCGGCATGAACGCAATGGGCGGGATGGGTATGAACATGGGTATGCCGAACATGCCTATGCCACCCATGGGACAGAACCTGCCGGGCGGAGGATTGAACCCACAACAGCAGATGGCCCTCATGTCCATGTACGAGCAGCAAGCGCAGATGATGCAACAGATTTTCTCTGGCCAGACTCCGCAACCCTTCGTCAACCCCAACTTCCAGAAAGGAAAGAAACCATTTGCTCGTGGATCGCAAGGGAACCGACAGAACCTGCCACCGTCGACCAAGTTCACGAAGAAAGAAGGCGATGACGAGAATATGACCGATGGAGCCGCGGCCGAGGGCGACGGTATGCAGGCGGAGACGTCGCGGCAAGGGCCACCAGATCCTTCGACAACGATGTGCCATTTCAACCAGAAGTGTGCCAAGGCCGATTGTCCCTACGTCCATTCGTCACCTGCAGCCCCCAAGACCGCAGTCGTCGATATGAACACTACATGCGACTACGGAGCGGCGTGCAAGAACTTCAAATGCGTTGGCAAGCATCCCTCCCCTGCTAAAAAACAGCAGTTCCAAGCCGAACAGGAGTGCATCTACTTCCCTAACTGCCGCGACCCTCAAAATTGCCCGTACAAGCATCCAATTGAGAAACCTTGTCGCAACGGTGCCGACTGCGCGACCCCGGGCTGCACTTTCTGGCACAGCTCTGTAGTCTGCAAGTTCAACCCCTGCACAAACGCTCGTTGTACCTACAAGCATCCCCAAGAGGGTCAGAAGACGGGCATCAAGGGCAAGGCCAACGTTTGGGTAGCGCCGAAGAATGGGGAAGAACAGAAGAAGGAACACGTCAGCGAGAGGAAGTTCATTGACGAGAACCAAGAGGAGGAGCTCATCATCCCGGGCAAGGCCGACGCGGCGATGGATGAAGATGCGATTGAGTAGCCTGTTGAACAAGAACTGGGCACGGCATGAGGAAATGATATCCGATGTGGCATGGTATGGTGACAGCATCAGATGCTGTAGAACGAGGAACACGGCATTTGTACTATAGTTCAGGATACCGAAGGGCATGGCGTTTTGGCTTGGGTGGCACTTGATCTGCATTGATGGCCCGCAGATGCGAAGGGATTTCTTAAAATGGAGACTGATGTTTGCTGGCGGCCGAAGAGCTGCATCTCTTGTTAACACGATCTTGCCTCCATTGCTGTGATGTTTCTCCGATTTTGTAGTGCTAGTGAGCTTTCGCAAAGTGAGCGCGTCAGAGCGGCCCGAGCTCGGCTCTCTCACGTCACGAAGCTCTGGCATCGAATCCATGGACCGCGTTTACTTACACTCGACCCCTCACACACGGCAATGCGGCTCAGAAAACATGTCCCGGTCATCGAGTCGACATTGAAGCGCGTCGCTCTGCGTCCGGCCGCCTCTTCGCTATGCAGTCGCTGCCGCCGATACGCCTCGTCGCAAGCATATCCTGAGAAAGTGGCTGTGCTTGGCGGTGGCATATCAGGGCTCGCCAGCGCGTATTTTGTGGCCAAGGAATTTCCAAAGAGCAAAATCACAATCTATGAGGCAAACAACCACAGTGGAGGCTGGATCCAGTCGAGGCGTGTCCAGACTCCCACCGGCGATGTGTTGTTTGAATACGGGGCGCGGACGCTGAGGCCGGGGAGTAACGCTCTGATCACGGCGCAATTGGTGGGTACTGAGGCCTACGAATCGGAATACTGGCTGACGCGTGCTAGATTCAAGATCTAGGTCTCACAGACAATGTTATCTTCGCTAAGAAGGGTTCGACCGGTGCAAAGAACCGCTACATATACTATCCCGACCGACTCCAACGCCTTCCTTCCCCAGGCGAACCACCCGACTTCTGGCACATTGCGGAACTGTGGCGATCAGGTCTCCTTGCCGGTGCGCCGTCTGCACTTCTTCTTGAGCCGTTTCGTCCGAAGCGACCTGATTCTTTAAAGGATGAATCAATTGGTGCTTTCATAGAGCGCCGCATGGACAAGCGCGTGGGCAACAACATGGCTTCTGCCGTAATGCACGGCATCTATGCTGGAGATATCTGGAAGCTCAGTGCTCGGACGCTGCTGTCGCAAGCATGGATGCTGGAGGGTCTGGCAGGCAGCATATTTAGGGGCATGCTCAAGATTCAATCGGAGACTCCGTTGGAGGAGAAGGTGATGCTCTTCCATCCCTACGATTTGGATGTGTACAAGGCTGTGCGGGAAGAAGTCAAGCTGGACGAAACTTTCCAGAGGCATCTTAACGGGTGTGCCATGTTCACTTTTGAGGATGGCATGGCTGAGCTGGTGATGGCATTAAAGAAGAATCTCGAAAACAGTGGGCAAGTAGACTTCAAATTCGGTAGCTGGGTTCAAGATACCAAGCTCGTCCGGGACGAGAGTCGGCAATACGTCGATGTTACCACCGGAGTAAGTACCCTCGACTCGGAACTATTCTGCAAGACTGACCCTTTGCAGCCCACAAAATCACCCTCTACCGAAAGATACGACCTTGTAGTCTCCACTCTTCGCAACAAACACCTTACACCTTTTGTCACTGTGCAGACAGTGAACCTCTACTTCCCAAATACCAACCTCATTCCCCAAAAGGGCTTCGGCTATCTAATTCCCCAGTCAGTCGCCTTTGAGGAGAACCCTGAACGTGCTCTGGGTGTTATCTTCGATTCGGACGCTATCCAAGGCCAGGACACTGCCGAAGGTACCAAGCTCACCGTCATGCTCGGTGGCCATTACTGGGATGGCTGGGAACACTATCCCTCGGACGATGAAGCGTATGGCCTAGCTATGTCGCTCCTACGTCGCCATCTAAAGATCAAAGAGGAACCTACACACTACCACGTCAACCTCAGCAAGGACTGCATTCCACAGTATACGGTGGGATATGAGGAACGACTAAAGTCTTATGCGGCCCAAGTTACGGACGCATACAAGGGGAAATTGCGGGTGGTAGGAAGTCAAACGCACGGCGTGGGTGTCAACGACTGTATAAGAGGAGCATGGGATATGGCAAGGCGGTTAAGGGGTGCAGGATGGAAGAAGATCGAATCAGGGTTGGAAAGGGCGACGGATGACAGGTATGATGGCGCTTGGGTCAGTGCACCTTCCGACCAGGGACCACCAAAAATTAAGCAGTAGGGCATTGTATGCGCATCTCTGTACACAAGAAGAGCACCGGCATCGGAGCTGGCAACCAGAAAATGTATAATATCAAAGAGCAGTCGGTGGTCACGAGAAGGGGCGATGTGCTTGGTGCAATCCGAGGTCAGAGCCGCAGACAAGGGGATAGTAATCTGCGACTAGTTTACACAGCCATGGAACCATGAGTGGAGTCATATTGCTCCATGATTACCTCGCCTCCTGTAGCTGGGATGCGAGATCTCGCTTGTACCATTCGCTGCATGGACTACGCCGCACTCCTGCACCGGATAAGTGGTATTGGCGCCTGTTGCTACCAACTACGACCACCAAGACGCAATCACAGGACTCACTTCGTCCGCGCCGCCAACACTAACGACTTAAAGCACGATCAATACAATGTGATACCACAGACACGGCACGGTCAAAGCGCTTTGCAAGTATGTGGCGGACGCGGTGTTCCTCACGAATTTGCGGCACGTCTCATCTTTTGTTCTCCTCTGCTCTGTTCTCGTGGATACCTTTTTGTCCGTACAATGGCTTTGACTAGTGTTTTTTGGTTGACTGTGGCCGGCACACTGGTGCAGGGCGAGCTCGTTACTGTCCAGGTTCGAGCCAGGCCGCCGCCCTCATGGTGCTCCGAGTCGGGCAATTCGTGCCCTTCGACAACGGCCGAGCAGACTTCGACACAGGTGCCGACATTCGTCACGTTGCCGTCGGCCGTGTCCATCACAGAAGCGCCGGAGCCATCAAGCACGACATCATCCTTCTTCAACGCGTCGGCCTGGCCTACTGGAAACGTGGCGAAGCCAGTGCCGCCGCCTTGTGCAGGAGTGAGCCGTTCACTGCAAGATGCCACACTACCACCCTGCTAACGTGTGCTTGTAGAGATGTCTTCGAGGGGGGGTCTTCTACGATTGCAAATTAGACGACGCGTCAAACGATTTTTCTTGCGTATGTTCGAAGCAGCGACGATTTGTGGACGAGTTCTTCGATTCGGTAGCGCCTTGTGTAGCGAATTCAACAGGGTGCTCGGAAGGGGAGTGGGCTGGTATGTATATCTCCAACATCTGAAGCATGGAGGAGCTTGACTGAGGAAAGACCATCACTAACCAGTGCGCCAGCGTACATGTACATGATGGAAAGCACATGTGGCGCCCTCGGTAATCCGATTTCGACATTGCCATCGACGATCTCAACATGGATGAAGTACACCTATTCGCCCACTGATTCGCAAACGGGAAGTATACCGACCACACTGGCAACTACAACGTCGTCGGGCGCGTCGGGACCCGCGGGTTCCTCGAATTCGGAGAACTCAACTGGCAGCGCGAAAGGATCTGGAGGCATGCCCACTGGCGCGGCTGCAGGTCTAGGTGCGGGTATTGCCGTCGGCGCGCTTGCCATCATTGCCGGCGTAGCATTCTTCATCTGGCGGAAACGGCGCGGCAAAGCTCAAGAAAAGGAGACAGAGGAAGTCGATGACGCGACGCCACCTCCTGATGGTCCTGTTGGACCCGCTGACGAAAAGAAGGCGCTGGTGTACGAACACTCAGCACCAGTGGGGGCGTCAGAGCTTGATGGCGGCGATGAGAGGGCAGAATTATATTCGCCACCAGCGCCAGCTGCTGCAGATATCGGAACAAGCACTTTTGTATCGGAGCTTCCGGGTGATTCGAACTACCTCCAGACATTGCCGAAACCAGATGCCGCGAGGATGAGTACAGTGTCAGAGCTTGATGCTGATGTTTGGAAGAGGGACAAATGAAGCCGATAAGCGGACCTGTAAGGATTGGATCTTCAGCGAAAGCAGCCGCCTGGAATCGACCTTTAGCTGGAGCCTCGCGGGATCGTTAGAGGCGGCCAGTGACTTGACACGGGAAGAGGTAGTGGTTTTGTGTGATACGGAGATGCGTGAGTCGCAAGGCAATACCAGGCCTGTAGTCACGGGGCACGCTCCTTCACCAAGTGCGCATGGAAGTTCACCTGGAGTTCATACTTCAGGTGGTCTGCGAGAGTCATAGTCCCTATTAAGGGTATTAATAAATGCATCACCGGCATCAGCGCCTAAGGCCTACAAACGGAGTACCAGATCATTCACACGCGCCTTCAATCCCTAAATACGACATCAACTTTGGTGATATCCCCCTTCAAGTGCCAGCCAGCTTTGCAGTATTTGTATTTCTAAATTGGAATCTTCGGTTGCGAATCTTCATTATCATCCTCCAAGCTTCGATCATCGCACGCAACCATGGCATCCTTCAACTTCATCCCACCCTCCTCCCTCCTCGACCAGCACAAGATCACAACTCACCAAATCCAACACCCCGGCATAGCCCTCCAAAACCACCAACACGTAACCGTCCACCAAGTCCACAACCCCGGCGCCATAATCCACCACCCAGCGCCCTTCCTCCCCATCGCACCCCTGATACACGACCCCTTCCCCGCAATGTACCCCCAAGTGCAGCTACCCCTCATGCCAGCCATCCAACCCGGCGCCATCACCATGCAGAACTTGGCCCCCGGAATCCTGCAGCAGAATCTCGCCCGCCAGCCGCGCCGTCTGGCGCACATGATAACGTACAGCACGACGCGGCTGGCCGGGGGCGATGCGAATGGGCACGCGCTGTACGAGCAGGCGCTTCTGGCGACGGGTCTTCACCCGACGATAACGTTCGATGTGAGCCACTTTCCTGCGGCGCCGGCGGGGTTGGCGATGCAGTTTTCGGGGGTGAGTGGGGAGGTGCAAGAGGTTGTTAGGGGGTATGGGGAGGGGATGAGGGATCTGTGAGTACCTGTTCTTCTGTCCCGGCTTGGAGCTGACAAACGTGTAGGGATGAAGTTGTGCGGCTGATGATGAGCGCGTATGATCAGGGGAAGGGGTCATTGCTTTTGATGGTGGCGTGTCCGGGGGGCACGCATAGGAGTGTGGCGGTTGCGGAGATTATTAAGAAGAAGTTGCTGAGGAGGGGGGTGACGACTGTGCATTTGAACCATGTGCATCGATTGAGGCATCCTGGGGATGCTATTTGAGTGGTATGGCGAGCTGGGGGTGTTTAGTGACAACGGTGGTTCTGGTCCATTTAAATTTATTCGGCATTGTAAATGTGAGATTGAAGAGGGGTGCGTTGCGAGGATGGGCGAGGGGTGAGTTTGAATTCGTAGTAGCTTTGCTATATATCTTGCAGTCGCGCTGCAGTCAGTCCTTGACTTACCGTCACGCCATCAAGGTATACTCTAAACCATTTGACGGTTGCAGGCGAAAGCTGACGCAATGACACGAGTGATGACTGATGGTTACGAACGACTAGCTCTCCGTTCTTCGGGTGGGGTCGAGCTGAGTTGGAGTCCTCTTAAAGTTCCTGCGTTTTCTATCTGATATTCATATCAGGCCCATGAACCGTGCCAGAAGATGAGGGGATGACTAATTTATTTCCATAAGGTAATTGAAAATCTACAGATAGCTTTAACGAAGCTCTGGTCGTCACTGCGTCGGGCTGAAGCCTGCGAACACAAGGTTGCAAGTCTTTTCTCAAGGCGGCATCCCACACCATCTGCATGATGACCGACCGTCTTCCAGTAACTAGGAGCATTGATACGAATTGGATTGAAAGGTGCCAAACTAGGACATGTTTCTTGCAATATCCGCTTGCAGGATGTGCTCACGCGGTACACTTAGGTACCAATCCAAACACAACACTCATTAGTCGGTACCCGGTGCCGAAGCAGACAGAGTGACTGCTCTCCCGAGCGAATATTTCCAGACAGGATTCGAGGGTTTCCACAATGGTCCGACGAGGAGGGATTGGGTTCGCTGATCCAACAGTAGTGGATAGTGGTGCGTCGACGGATAGTAGATGGATGCATGTGGTCAAGGCTGCTGCGAAGAAATCAAGCATGAAAGGCCGGGCTACCAGGTGAACATTACCTGGCAATGCTCCGCACTGCGCCATCATTGCCCGCTGGTGGACGATAAGCGCTAGGCAACACTCGAGAGAAGACCAATACGACGTGGGGTAGATGTTCGGGGCGTCCGGATCTAACGCGTAGTATCGGTGTAGCACCATGAGCACTCGCCGAAAGAAGATGTCGGTCGTTGTGCGCATGACATAGCTCTCGTTTTCCGCAGCTGCGATAGCCAGTCGCATAATTCGCCTTACTTCTGTATCGTAATGCATGACCTCTTCATATGATATCATCTCCATGCTAGTGTTAAGTCTGGTGAGAATTTCGTATATGAGAGGGTAAGAAGCAGGTATGAGGTCGCAGCTATTGTGTGGCAGACCCTGGATGTTGTCTAGGGCATTGGCGAGAAATGCATCGGCTGGCAATGGAGATGCCTGCCCGGTGACAAGCGATGTTTGGATGTCCATCTTGACAACCGCGTTCCATAAGCGTTTACGTTGCACCCTCTCTTCGAAGATACTGGGCATCTCGTCTGGCTCCGGGATCCAACTTCTGTGTAGTCCCATCATTATGGACAGACGAACAATGAGTCCAACAACATTCCAGGACGCGTCAAGAGCCCAGCATGTTGCATAACAAACCTGTTTGGCTTGAACATGTAAGAACAAGGTCCGGATGTTCGCCACTGTAGAACGATACATGTATGGGGTTTGTGCGAGACAGGCTTCGCTGGCGAAGAACAGTTCAGCAGCGACCTTATCTTCGACGCCTGTGGCAGATGCACCCAGGCCTAGGACGGCGAGGTATTGAGCAAGCCAACTCAGATCGAACTTCTCTGGTGTATGCCAAAATTGATGTACCTCCTCTTGGAATTTCGAATTGTCGAACAGTTGAGTGCAGGCATATAGCGCGAAATAACTTTCCAAGTAAGAGGAAGCCATATGACGATGGCTTTCGATTAGTCTTTGAACTTCTGGTGGTGAGCGGAAGGGGATGGACTCCGTTGATCCGAATGGGAAATTGCCAGGCAGGGCCAAGTCCTTACTGCAGTCGCCTTGCATGTGTGCGCGGACCGAGATTGATAGCTAGCTCCAGGCGTCTAATCAGCCTGATGGAAAGAAGCAAGTTGCTCGCAATACTGACCCATTGAAACGGGGGATCTCCAAGACCAGAGAGCGACTCAAGCTGCTAGACGTCAGTTTTTTGGATCCGCTAAAAAAGCATACTACTCACCCTGGTCAAAAGAATCTTCCAATGACTCGAACCCCTCTTGCGTAGAAACCAAAGGCTGACGATCGTTTCCGCATCATCGCCATCGACCACAAAAGGACCAGCGGAGGTCGGAGGCTCTATCTTGTGTGTATACATGCAGTCCCGTCCATGTCCCAGCCGAGCGCATCGGCTGCAGCAAGGTTGCCTCTTGTCGCATTTCACCTTGAGCCGATGGCACCTTGTGCAAGACAAGGTTGCGCGGTCCCTTTTCTTGACGAGTCGTCCAGGTGCTGATTCTGTCTCAAGTGGGCTTGGATGGCTACTGGAAGAGGGACTCAACAGTCCAGTTTGATGCTCAATTGAATTTTCTTTCGGTGCGTTTTCTGGGTAGATGCAAGTCTGGCCCGCACGGTGGCATCGCGTGCAGCTTGGTTTGCGCTTGTCACATCGGCGCTTGGAGTCCTTGCAGCGTGTGCAGGTCTGTATTTCCCGAGCAGGCATTTCGGAAGGACGAGGTATGTATGGTGCAGAGCATGGTCAATCGGCAATAATTGTGGAGGTCCTCCATCTGTTTTATGGTTGAGGTGGGCTGGCGGATGGAGAGGTGCGGCCGCATGTTATCGCCGACTGAGCCTAACGCAAAAGGATTAGTGCGGCTTATAAGAAGGAACGGCTGATGACTGCGCAACTTCGGAGAGTCAGGTAGAATCCCAATACGTCAGGGGGCCAGATATCCAGAGAGAAGGAATATGTAGTGTCGCCCTTATAGTGTAGCAGGGGCCGAGTTTGGGCTATTCGCTCGCCGTGTGAGAAGAAGTAGGAGCAGGCCGAAAATGGAAGAGCTGGTATGAACTCGTCTAGCAATTCAACCCACACCCTTACTAATATTACTCGAATACATTGTTGAATGAGTCTATTCTCTCATGGTTTCGACATCATGACTGCCACTCCATATCCCCCCAGCAGACGCTTGAGTCGAGTAAGATGGATTTTGCTATACTTACCCACACGTAGCTCTTCCCTCGATGTTCGGCACGTTCTGCTTTATCCGATGCCGGGCCAATCTGAGAAGGTTAGTGCATTATAATCGTTGTATTCTGACCAATGTAGCTTACTGAAAACAGTTCGGTCTTTGTTGCGATCAGTGACGACAGCTTCGTCTCCGACTCTGAAGACTTGTTCGTTATTCCTCCCTCTCCAAAAAGCATATCGGCCAAAGACGGGACTCCACTTGGCGCCTTTGTCAATTCTCCGATCCTTTTGTAGCTTTTTTAGGACTTGTCCTGATTCACCAGTTCCTGGCTTGCCTGTTTCGTAGTCGACATTGATACTTGCGCAGCGCACGCAGTTGTGCTTCATGATCAGATCAACGCTGCCGATTCGTACCTTGCCCCAGTAGTCTTCATCCCAAGCCTCATCGGCACCGGACAAGACAATATTGGGACGGAACTTTGTGACATCCATAGGTTCGTCTGGGGCGAGCCTTGACGAAACATTGTCGACCGAAGTCGATGACACCACCAGATACGGAGCGCAGTCTGCGAAGGTGATCTTCGGAGTCTGTGGTATGGCAGAGCCGAGCACAGGAACTTGAGCAAGGAGAGACGCGTTTTTCGTTTGTACGAGATCCGTCCATAGAACTTCACGCTTGTTGTTTCCCAGATAAACAAGCACCACCTGGTAACCGAAACATTCGGAGAACCATGCGTTGTACTCATTTGGCATCTTGAAAGCGGCAGTTGGGCTTCCATGCATGTCTACATTGAATGGTTCCAGCTTCCCCGTCTCCGGTGCGAGTGGTACGCTTAATGTGTTTGTCTTTTGTCCACTGCCAAAGGCTCTGAAGGTGACATTGACTACTGCTTGTCCGTCTTTCCGGTCTTCGATAGACGTGAGAAACTGGGTCATATCAGGGTACTTGGATACCGCCATATTCTTGTAGCCATCTGGTACGACTTGCAGCAGCATGAATACACCTAGCCATATCAGAGAGAATGCAAACTAAGCTCTCAAGATGCAAACTACGTACGGTCATGCTCAAAGCCATACCTGGTCGCCAAGGCCGATGTGAGCTTGGTGGGGCGAAGAGACTTGATCGGATACACGTATATCTGATAGCGTAGATCAGTAACGAGGATGTGTCCAAGTAACAGCTATCACGCTGAACAGTACCTCGCTTATCCGCAGCGACTTCGCCCTGGTCGGCCTGGTCTTCAACGAAAGGACCGCCTGGTAAACGATGAACAGCGCTATCGCAGCTCCGGCAACGAAAAGGCCTCGCTCGGTGAGTAAAGTGTCGGACATTGTGACGCAAAGACAGGCCAAACTGCAAGCAAAACAATATCGAGTATGATGAAGCGCAGCCCTACAACAGGGTTACACACGACTACGAGCCACGAGGTGGAGAAGCTGCCGGCTTTGACCGTCGAAGCCGAGGTGGATGTGGGGTTCGCATAAATGGCGAAATGTGCGAGAGCGGAATGTCATCCGTAGCTTACGCCCTACATAGCGCCCTGCTACAAGTCCAACGCGGTGCCGACTTTCCCTCGTTCACGGCCCGACGTGTGGCTGCTGCTTGGAGGGGTGCGGCGGTTCGGAGAGAGCGACGACAGTCCTCGTGACGGGCCCTCGAAGGCGGGTGATTGGTGCCCGAATGCTGGCTTCGGGCGTTCCTGAAGGCGAAAGCGGGCCACCACGCACCCGCTGCAGGGGCGAGGATCTCTGGCGCACTGCAACAGCTGCCAGAATGCACTGCGCGAGACGGCACACACGATGCCGCGCTTGCTGTTTGGGCAGCAGGAGAGAGTGGCGTCGTGGCGCAGCACCCGTTTTCCTCGCCTTCCCTGCGGACCGCAGCTGAAGTGGGGGCTTGGCCGGTTGGCAACGTCATGCCAACCCTGTCTGCTGGCGCACATGGGCGAGTGAATGCCCGTGACGCGCGCGGTGAAAAGTGGACGGGAAGCGGCTTGTGCCTGTGCGTGCGACGTGCGACTTGTGACTTTACACTGCACCTCGCCCTTTCCTCCAGCAACTCTCGTCGCCCCATCTTGCAGCGCGCACCACCGACGCGCTTTGCCAACACTCCGCCCAGCTGCCCACCCACGCTGCGCTAGGCTCCGCCAGTACCACGCCGGCTACCTGGCCGCTACTCGGACGCGCGCTGGGCCCAGGGCTGAGCTCAAGAGAAGGCTCTCCAACCGTGTGTGCGCCTCGTGTGCCAGCACCTTCCTCCCCGGCAAACAGCGCCGCTAGACACCCACGACGCTCGCGGCCTGCCCACCGCCTGCCGCCAATCCCGCAGCAAACGGCAACAGCATGTCCAACAACGGCATCCGGCGCAAGGACACCACAAAGGGTCCGCCGCTGCGCATCCTCTCTCTAGGTACGTCGTCAGCTTCGTGCGTGGGAAGGCGGGCACTGACGCGGGGCAGATGGCGGGGGTGTGCGCGGCTACTCGATGCTCATCATCCTCCAAGAACTGATGCACCGAACTTTTGTCGAGACTGAGGGAAGAGCGCCCAAGCGGCACGAGATCCCCAAGCCATGTGACCACTTTGACCTCATCGGAGGCACAGGCACCGGCGGCCTGATCGCCATCATGCTGGGACGGCTGCGCATGGACGTAGACACATGCAAAGACGTTTATGTGCGCATGACAAAGCGAGTCTTCGAGACAGACAAGACTTTCGCCGGCATCCCCTACCGACACACCCTGTTTAAAGCCTCCAAGCTCGAAGATGCAATCATGGAGTGTGTGCGAGAACACACCGTCTACGACGATGAGGGCAACGACAGCGAGAACGCAATGTCCTCCAGAGCTGATCTGCGCACACCAATGACTCCCGGCAGCGCATACCCCAACAGAATGGAACGAAGCGCAAGCACGTCCAGCAGATACAGCCAGATTGGCATGGCCCCGGTCAACCAGCGCATAGCCGCTCTGAAATGGGGCAATCCGAATGCACGCCTCTACGACAACAGAGAGGAGCGCACGAAGACGTGAGTGAGGTATCCCCTGGGCGACACTGCACCAGCTAATTGAAGCAGCGCTGTCACGGCAGTCTACAAGGGCTCCAAAAACGCTAGCACCGGGCAGATACTCCTGCGCTCGTACGATTCGCGAAAAGAAACATCGGTCGAGCCAAACGCCACCATATGGCAGGCTGGTCGTGCGACGTGCGCAACGCTGCTCGCTTTCAAGCCCATTCGAGTCGGCCAATCGGATTTCCTGGACGAGGGAGTCGGCAAATACAACCCAGCACCCATGATTCTGGACGAGGCTGTTTGTAATGAGTGGCCTGGTCGCGAAGTGGGTGTCTTCATTAGCATTGGCACCGGTAAACGACCCGAGGGGACAAATCAACAAGCCCATCTGTGGTGGGAAGGATTCGTTTCAACCGGCATTGGCGATTTCGCCGAGGCAAGGCGGCGACTGATCACCAAGATCGAAGACTGCGAAAAAATACATTTGTCGATGAAAGATCATCTTGCCAAGCGGGGCGTCAATCAGGAACATTACTACCGACTCAATGTCAATGTCGGAGTGGGAGAATTTGGCATGAACGAGTGGAACCGCCTCGCCGAAATCAGCTCCAGTACGCGAATGTATCTGGGAGACAAAGAGGTCCAATCTAAGACGCTCGACTCCGCTGCAAAGCTCGCGAGAATATACTTTGCCAAAGTGAGGTGGGAAAGAGCAGAGAAGGGGTTGCCACCGCGTGGCGGCCAATTTCCACAGCTGAAGAGTCCCTACGAGCGTCCCCTCCCTACGGTACCGGCCCCTGCGTTAGCCATCGAGCTTCCTGCAGAGGAAGTTGCGCCAAACTTCTACTCGCACCAGCAGCAGGAACCCGATATCATGCTGCATCCTGCCTATCGTCTTGCGTCAGACAATGACAAGTTTGCCGTCGTATCTTCCGACGAGTATCCCGAGCCCGTTGACTCTGCTTTAAGCCCTCGATACTCTGGAGAATTCATCAACATGAACCGCAGATCAGGGGAGCAATTTACAGTAGGCTCATCACATAACTCACCACGAGTGAGTAACGTCAGTTTTGAAGAACAGCAACAGCCTGGCAGTCCATATCCGAACCATCCACCCCCTAGACCACCAAAGACACCTTTCGAGGAAGGCTCAAGGCCAGCAGATTTGACCGCTGGCCCGCCGTTATCGCCACCCCCGACTTCGTCCTTGCCCCGACCCCCGCCTGGAGCACCGCTACCATATCCAGACACGGATGGGCCGCCCCCTGTGAACAAGTCCAGAAAACCGGAATTCAGACGATGATCGAGTACACTATCACGGCTGTAACGTTCTATACGACGTTTGTCTATAACGTATATTTCTTCTCTCGCCTTGGCGTAATTCTGGATCGTCGCACGCTTGTACATCTGATGAGCTGCTGGGTGGGAAATACGTACGGTTTCATTTCGTCGCATATGGTGTGTGCGTGCGCTGGCAATGAATTTACAGATACCCTTCCATGTCAGATAGCATCCCAAATTAGCATTTTTCCTGCATTGAACTCTCAACATAATTCTTTCTTGTTGATTAAGTGTGTTCACTTTGTGCTGTTTTAAAGAGTCTGTTCGTCCCTTAATGTCATGTTTCGGCCCCAAGCATCTGAGGATTTAAACGTTTCGCCACCCCGCACCAGCGCAATTAAGGTATTAAGCTTAATTGTCTCAGGCATCGACGGCTGCCTTTTCGGGAAGGTTGGGTCGGTGTCGACAACGTCACTCAGATTCAGAGAAGGGCTTACATTCAGCTGCATTGATTGTGCATTGGAATTTAGAGGTACAAGTCGTGTTCTAACGTCATTCCTTGACGTACGGTGAATGCGCGAGGGCGCTATGGGTTGGGCGCGTTCACTGCGTGCAACTCCCAGCACTAGCACTGCCGAACACCTCTTCGGCAGGATCCTGGTCGTGCTCGGGCTCCTCGTAGCCGGCGAACACGAGGGGTGTTTCTTCCTCTTCTTTCAATGGCTCGAATTGTGCCTTGCTGTCGTCTTCGGTCTCGGCTTCTTCGCATTCGACGACGATTTTGATGCGCTGCTGAGATTGAGGCTAGACTGGGCTGGTGTCTGCTCCGCCTGACGAGGTGGGCGAGGTCCTGTGGTCTTGAGTGCGTGGGATGCGATAGTACACACTGGCAGAGTGCATATGAAAGTGCGCGGCATGCGGAAGAGGCTGCGCAAAGGATATGGGTGGGTGGAGTTGGCTACGATAGCGCGGACTGAAACCTGGGCGGTGGCAGCGGTGTGAGATATGTTGTAGATGCATATGCGGATGGCAGTGATGATGGGTAGGCGGAAAGGAAAGGAGACGAGGTTGCTGCGCGCGTCGTTGGAAGGACTTGTGGGTCTCGAGGTCAGGCGTCCATTGCGAGGAGTGGCTGGGGGATGATTGCTTGACGATTGGATCTGGCATATCGCTGTTCGGCTCGGAAGTTCTTGGTAGACGAGGGCAACGGTAAGTACGCTCAAAATGTAGAGCGAAAGACGAGTTGTCGGAACAGATAGATATGTCTGCGCATATACAACGGCACCAACATGGGGTACGCAAACGAATACACTTCAATTTTGGATTCCTATGCGGGTATTCACTGGATTTTCGGTACACTACTCTTGTGAATAGTGGTGCAATGCGGTATCGTTTGCACTCTGTTAGTTTGCACAAACTGTGCCGAATAAGGTTTCGAATTTGGTCTTCGCGATGATGCTTGATATAGATCTATATTGACAAACAGAACGCCGATCCCTGCATAGCGGCTTAAGTTCAGGTATACGAAAATGCAAGTGCTTGAGAATAGCTACGTCTGAACTAGGCCAGATGCCTTCCAAACTTGAACGTCAATAGTACCTACGCCCGCATCTTCTGCCATGTCTCCTGCCACCATACATACCTGGACTGTTGTAGTCGCCGTACATGTCATACATAACAGAAATATCGTACACGTAGCACATACCCGGACTGTGGTAGAAGTCGTACATGCCTTCGTAGCCTCCGTACATTCCTGGACTACCATAGAACTCGGAACTCCCATAAAAGCCGGGAATGTCGAAACCCGGACTCCTATAGGGTCCCGGAGTGCCATAATGATCGTTAAATTCGACACCCCCACAGTAGCCTTCATATCCGTAATATGAATCATAATCCGTCGAAGGAGTCTGGTCTATGGGAGTTGAGACGACGCCCGGGGTATCTGGGTTAAAAAAAAAATCCTCGAATTGGCTATCTTTGGGGTTGTATTCGAATTCTCCGTACTCGTCAGCACGGTTGGTGTCATATTTGTGGTAAATAATGCAGCCCATGTTGAGCTTCAAGTTGCGAGACGGCTGATAAAATCAGTTTGATTTTTTGGGTAGCTGTTGAGCTTGTAGCGTGGAAGATAGATAGTGTAGAAAGTTTCTAGGGAGGGGGCGAGGCGGTAATATATGATGCTGGGAGCTGTTAATGTTGAGCTGGCATTCTGAGAAGCTCACATCGGTTGCTGACATGCATTTTGGGTAGCATGCCGCCCTGAGAAGTTGCCTGAAGGAACATAATGGCTGTTGTATATTACTGTTCACAGGATATCTCTGGTGGGATACATCTGCGGTAGGACACTGTTTCATAAGCGATAGCATACATCAACAACTGTAAACACGTTCCGATATTCGTATGCTTGATGTTGGCTGACGGGTCATAGATTCTTGAGCCAAGCGGGGCGTGTTGTGTGAAGTTCGCCAAAGTTTGCTTCCTTGATCTGAATTAGTGATCCCAAGCTACGATAAAAGAGTTCTGAATATTGAAAACTTGAATTGAGCGCAAAGTCGTCATAGGCACGGTAGAGGAGGCCACATAGAACTGATGTGGCACTGAAATTCCCGCTCAGGCCAGTTATTAAAGATAACATTACGCTTACTATAGAATTACTCGAAAAAGGAGCTATATATGGTTGCTGAATCTGAATAATGCGCAGCACGAAGTTTTGATATGCCACTTCTCCCTGGAAACAATGCAACGAAAGAAATAGACATTCTGCGAGGGCATCTGTTTGTCAAGGATGATTATGAAGCTAGACTGATCCAGAATCGTCAGAGACATCCATCACACCGTGACTACGTAAAATACCACGTTCCCGGCGAGTCAAGCTTCGCGGGAGAGGTCTTCGTACAATTGCCCGTCCGCTTTCAAAAGAATCAGAATTCTCGCTAGAACTCGTGTCGCTTGGCCCTGTATCGTCGCTTGATAATTCCCAGTAGTACCCCGCGTAAAAGCCTTCTCTTGCGGCGTCGCTAAACCCGCCATATCCCATACCTCCTGGAAAGCCGCTCTCTTCATCACTGGTGCTTTCGGAGCCTCCCCCTTCTGAGCCAGATCCTGGACTGTTAACGAATGCACAGCGTCTAGAGCCTCTTCGAACTCGATCGCTCATCTCTCGGCATGAAGATGACGTTATTGGGATGTTCGGTATTTAATTGAGAGATCAGTCTGATAGGCCAAGCTTGCTAATAGCTTGATAATGTGGTAAGTAAAAACAACATCGCGAAAGGTACTTGAAATACATATGCCAACGTCAATCCACTTGAGGAAATGGTATCACTGGTGACAGCTTTTGGTGATGCTTTAGGTGACGCTTTAGGGGACGATTCAACAACAGCGTGTTTCGTGATTGCACTATTATGAATCAGCGACTTCACCAGAATGGTACCTTGTTCACGACTGATAACTAGCAAGTCATACATTCCATAATTTGAGGTCTGTTTATTCAAGAAATTTAAATCTGAAAAGCTAGGCAAACAAAATGGCAAAGCAGGTCTCCCCGAGCAGGTTCCAGCAAGAATCAAAATATCCAGTGATTTCGCTGACGACTCTATTGCAAGAGAAAGAAGAAAGGCAGGCCAGCAATGATACAGAACAATGACGCCAGTGGTACTGTAGATATTGAGCCATTTGAATTCGGATCCTTCGGCACCTCCTGGGGTTTCAAGCTGCTATTGCTCAGATGCTTGCCAGATCTTAAACAGATGTGTGCTTTGGCCCATGATACCGATTCACTAATGGCCATATGAAGAGTCGTGACAATCGGATCGATGGGAATTGCCGAATTGTTGTACGCACGAAAGCTGGTCGAGTGGTGTGTCGATGCACCCGACGTATGTGCAACGAAAGACAACGTGTTGTTGGTGCAGTCAGAGCTGGCAAAGGCCGAGCTTGCCACACTATGCATGTCGGACTCGTCAACGAAAACGGTCCAACACGAACATCAAACCGGGTATGGACTTATACTCGACTATAGGTCCTGAAACTCGTCTTCCTTCTCTGCCAAAGTTTCATGAGGTTTCTTGGGTGGAGGCACGTAGACTTTATAACCAAGCTTCAGAAGGTCGGGGTCGTACTCTTCCCTCGACATTGATCTCACTGTCGGAAGCAATCTCTTGGACGTCATTGATAACATATTTGTTTCCGTCTTCGCCCGTCTTGATTTCGTGCAGCCACTGATTCAGTACGTGGTCTCTCTGGCAACCAAGTGTACTCGGTGTGATATGAGCGGGGAACGTGGAAAAGTGGAACTTGAAGCAAACTGCGGTAAAAGTGTACCTTCACCTGGCAAAGTAGACCACAAGAATCAGGATGTTATCCGATTCGACAAGACTGTGGTAGATCCGCGATATTTCAACTCGGGATTGGGTTTGCTGCACGCCTAAGTGCAATAACAAGATGAATCCGAAAATAAATAAGTTGCGATGTTAGATCCTGTTCGCGTGGCAAAGATGGTGAAATTAAGACGGTGTTGATGAAGGATGGATGGCCCTGATGGCAACATTCTACCAGGCTTGAAGGACCCGGATGGAAAGACAAGAGGGGCAAGAAGGATAGCAAGGAGGATACTCTGATACGGTAAATATTGTGATTGGTAGTAGCAAATCGTATTTGACACTTGAAAGGAATGGTAGGTTCTGTGAGATCATAACAGTGGACTGCGACTTTACAGGCGCACAAGTTTGGCCAAATAGCTATCATTACCCACTTTCCGTGAATGTGCATTCACATTGAGTCTCATATCGCAATTGAATGGTTGGTTAGGTTTGATGTTTGACTTCACGTTGCTCTGCACCGTTGAACACAATTGTTCCGAAATGTCAGGACTCCGGGATGTGTCTTCACAGAGGCTCTTGAGATCCATATATAGTAGGCTTCCCGTTTGCCTGCATCAGTCATGGCAGTTCTCGACGGTTTCGTTGTCTTTGTATCTATGTACCACTCCACTTCAGGAACCCTGGAAGAATGGTAGGGGTATTGGAATACCACTGGTATGAGGTGGCAAACATTATCTTAAGCTTGCTCATTAGTTTCTACTGCTGCGAGTGTGTCAAACCAAAAAGTTGTCTCGTACCCCAACCTATAAAGAACACAGGTGCCAATGATTGTAGGTCGTGGAACTTTTCCCGTCATATCCGTTTCCAGATTCATCTCAACCCATAGTGATTGCATGGAATTGCGAGCGAAGTACCAATTATATTGCAAACCCATCAGCCAATTTTTCTTTCTCAGTTGACCCAGCTAAAAATTCCAGGTCACACGGAGTAACTTGAACTAGAAAGCATAGTCATATCGCACGATCATCTGAAGATTATATCAGGTCGCAGTAAGGACTGGATAGGCCGACTAACCTTCTCTCATCACCCCTCAAACGAAACAATGCGATGCGCCCAAGTAAGCCAAAGATCTAGAAAGCCCAAGAAACTGAAGAATCACGACAAGCTGTTCAGCAGTGCGTCTTTCTTCAGGGTGTTCTGTCGCCATTTGAAGAGATACGATACTTATTGACCAGTTTATTGGTATGTGATTCTTTTTCACTTCCAGAAAGATGCGCCGAGCTCGTCTACCAGAAGAATCCGAGACCTAATACCTCTGGTATATGCTGCATGGCTCCAATCGCCTTTGTGTCGCGACAATGTTTGCGCCCAGCGAGTAGAGTATTCACTATGGTGGATCATCTGGTATACCATATATAAAATCTTCTTCATAACGTTCTTACGATCCACCACTCGATTTACCCTTCGCCTCTGCACTTAATATCAACTAAGCCATTTAACTCAATTCATATTTTGTCCCTGCCATGAGCTATTCTCGTGGCGGTCGCGGTGCCTTCCCTGGTGGAAGGGGCTCTCACAGCTACCGATCCCGAGTCCACCTCTCTCCACCCCGGGGTAGCGACTATTTGAATAGTAACGGAGGTTCACAGGATCTTATAAACATGTCATCCCCAATGACAATGCAAAATTGGGTCATTGGGATTCTGAGAGGGGACAACGCAAGTTGGCTGAAAAGTTATGTTCAGTCCAAATTTTTTACGCAGGCTGGCGAAGCCAACAAGGAAAATACCGGTTTCGATGTGAATAGACTCGTTGAGATATTCTTCCTAATCCATGCGGGGGCTAAATATATGCCGTCCCTGGTGAGAATCATCAAAGACTCTGTTTCGAGCGGGGTCGAGATACACACCTCGAACATTGAGCTTCTGAAATCCCTGGACACTCTGATATCACAACAGCCAGAGTCTCTGTGCACATCATGGCTGCCTTCCGGAACTGAGAAGGAGTCGTACACTTCCGGTCTTCCGAAGGATTTCCAATATCAAACTCAGAAATACACTCGGCGTTTCTTCTGGTACCATAACGTCCTGTTCATGATGGAGTCATCCCCAGAGGCCAGGAGCGTAGTATCTAATTCCAGGCCCTACAACAACCAGTGGGGCGAACAAGACGACGAAGACAATGACCAAAATCCGTATGGCACGGTTACAGTCCGATGTTTCGGAAACAGTGCTCAACCGGTCCGCGATTTGATCACAGTGCTCGAAAAGAACAGCAAGAAAGAAACGTCAATCACAGTTCACGAGCATAAAGCGGGAGGCCAAACAAAGTCGTTCGAAGTCCGTCAAAGGCCGCTCTCGACTGTAGATCTGGACCCAGATTTACTGTCCGAGATCAAACAGGATGCCGAGTCGTTTTTTCACGAAAGCACACAAGACTTTTGCGAAGCGACTGGCCTTCCGAACCGTCGAGGGTACCTATTTTGCGGTCCGCCAGGAACAGGCAAGACAACGTTGAGTCGTGCACTGGCTAGTGATCTCAACCATCCGTTACATATTATGTCGCTCGCCGGAATGAATGATGAGGACCTTGAACAAGCTTTTCAATCAGTCCCTACGAGTAGCATTATACTTTGCGAGGAGCTTGACCTGGTTGGCTTGCCGAACAGGGCTCAGAAGGACACTACCACGCCGAAGATTATCTTAACGGAAGCGGAGTTGCAAGAGCGAATAGACTCAGAAGTCAACAAGGCGCAGAAACAGTGGCAGAAGAACCATGTCACTCCTGCTCCGCCTCCAGGCCACTCATGGGCAGACGTCGTCCGTGATCCCAATCTCAACGAACCTTCCCTCCCCACATCAGTACTCCCTCCCGCTCCCCGGTCACCGAAGAAGATCACACTGGGCGGCTTGCTCAATGTTATAGACGGTGTGCTTGCACCTGAGGGCAGTCTCCTTATCCTTACGACAAATTCTCCTAAGTCTCTGGATCCCGCACTGTACCGGGAAGGCCGAGTAGACCGCATCTTCGAGATCAATTATGCGTCGAAGACAACGGCCGAGCTGACATTCAAGCGCCTTTTTGGATTTGGAGATCAGACAAGGCGTTTCACGTTGGAAGCGGTCAATAGAATGGCCATCGCTTTCCGAGACCAATTTCCCACGAACAGTACCATCAGCACGGCTCAGCTTACAGGATACTGCGGGAAGTATCGTGGATGTCCTGATGTCGCTGTCCTCAAGTTCCCGGAATGGATACGGCGCCTTAAAACAGGCGAAGAACAATTCTCCTACGATATCAACGACGTTGTTGACGAAAGCGCCAGCGCAGGCCCGATCAACATGCCAGAAATATACGATAAGGCTCTGCTCGAACTTCGCCCGAGTGACTACGAAAAGCCTCGAACGGATAGCCGGCTATTCAGTCCCAAACGCACGGAAGTCACGGAACGGGTCGGAAATCAGCTTGCCTTGCGGCAGGATCAGCCGCCTAGATCGAAAAAGTTTCACTACATGCCGTCTTTGCAATGGTTCAGTCTGGGTCATATCGAGAGTTTGCCCTGGCTTTCCGACCCAGCTTCTCATGCTGAACCAGTGAAGGCTCTCACTGACGGCGCAGTCGAGGACGACCTTGCAGAGGATATTTCTGGAAGACTTCTACTTGAACAGCTCCCATTTCTCGAGCGTTAAATTGTAGAGAAGTGCGGGGACCACAGTGGAGGTGTCCTCGGTGCCTCTTTGTGGGCGGCGACCAAAATCAATAAGTATCTGGAGAATTTCACTTTGAATGTTCTTTGGCTACAGAATGGATGGCCGTCGGTGCTATCAGAGGTTTGAGATGTCAAAATCCAGTTGGGGCTAGCACCTACTGTTGGCGCAAGCCTGTAATGCAAGGATCGCGCTCCTCTCACGCTCCATGTCTCACAAGTCCTGCCCGCCCATCTCGCCTCGAAAGTCCACCACTGACGTTCCCCCTGCACATTTAGCCACCGCGAATATTGCGCGATGCCTGACGATCGTTCCCTGACGGTGTTATGCGCAAAGCCTAGGCAACTGGCCGGCCCGCGATGCGCATTGCACTCTTGATGCCTTGATCCCCTGCCTCTCACTGTGCCGTGCCTCATTCTGGTCCACATCCTCATCGTACTTACCACGCACTTTTCGCTTTTCTTATTCCTCGCCGGCGCGAGAGAATGTGCCATCGTTGTTGAGCAATGATCGGATTACCGTCCTTCCTGCGCTCGGTTCTAGTACTTGCTACATTATGGGAGAACGGAAATGGGCAGATGCTAGGGCAGTGGGGAAACAGACACAGAGTAGTAGCGCGACAGAATGGCAATGGGAACAACAACGGGCAGCCCAATACAAGCGCGTTCAACATTGTTAACGGACGGATATTTACACCTGGGTTGGGTATAATCTTAGCCGTGAGATTCTCTGAAGTCGAACTGCGATCGTAACTGACGTCCGCAGCCACAACCTTTTACTCCGATGGGCGGTGACTTTTTACACATCGCGATAGATGTATCAGGAGATGGAAAGCTGCAGGTACCGCCGAAGGATATCAGCGATCCGCTCACCCAAGTATTCAACTTCACCATGTTCCTGACCAGCAACACACTCTTCAAGAATTTCACAATATCCAACATCACGACTACAACACCTCCGTTAGCCGACATAATGAACCAAGAGCCAGGGCAGACGGTGAAACACATTAATTTCGAGTGGCCCGACTGTCTAGTTGGCGATGGCAAAGAAGACATAGGGACGACAGCACGGGGCGAATATAACATCTCGATCCACCAGAACTTCCGCCTGAACGGCAGTGACTTTTACAGCGTCTTCAACCTGCCGATATCTGTAACCAACAGCATCTCCCAATTTCCGGGTGCAAGGCAACTTCTCACCAACCCGGCGCCAGGCCCTCTCAGTGCGAATGGTGGCCGTATGAGCTGTGGCATGATCTCAAATCCAATGATGAACTTCACCGCTCTCGTCAGAAGCGTAAACAACCCGCCAGGCCAGCCTTACCAGGCTATTCCGATCGAGACGACGCCGAGGGATGATGGTGGCCAGATCGGCGGGCCTGGAGTCGCGAACGGAAATGGTCGCACACCTGCCGGAGGTACAGCCGAAGGTCAAGTCGGCAACGGAGTACCGGGTCTGAGTCCCCGGTATCGTGGTACGCTTAATTTGGGAGCAGCGATGTTTATTCTCTTCATCACAAGCTTGTAGGTCTATGGCGGGATCATACTCACGCCGCAGATGGGCGGGTTATCAGAGAGCCATAATGAAGATACGAAGAAAGCGACTCCCTGGAGGATTTCGATGAGCATTCAATCAGACGGAAAATACGATACCGAGAGTTTGGATTGATAATTTCAATGTAGTAATTCACCACGTGTAGACATTGCATGCGTAACTTAGACTGTGCAAATCAATGAGAGTGTGAATATTCACAGGTAGTGATAGGTTCTAAGCTTTCCAGCCGTTTCTGACTCGCACACATGCGGTGTCTCAACTTGCGACATGTCACATATCGTTCCCGGCGCACAGACCTGGTTCATGCGAGCGTTTCAGCCCTATAGTCGACGCAACACTGGAGCGGAAAGCATGGAGCCCAGGAAGGCAGGTGTTTTGGCAAGGCAATACTCCGACCTTTACAAGCCTGGTCGGATCTAATTAGACTACGTCACTGTAGCTGGACCCAGTCGTTGGCTTAGGATTGTCTTTACAGACCATGCAACAGGAGCACTCTGGCATCCGATCCGCCACCCCATCCTATAGGTACATGAATTGCTACTCTTAACTTTTTCAGAATTGATTTCCATTCAAATCACACTGTGAACAGACATTTACCATATACTCAGGAAATCATGTGCTCACTCAAAAACAATATGCAGGTCCATCGCTATTAGTCTTTCGCCTAACTACGGTATTTGGATCCACGCTATAACGACTGGCATTCGAAGTCTGATCCGCACCGATGCTATGTATCACACGGCGGTCCATGGGTTTTGTGATCGTTATCGCTAATTATCCACAAAGTGATACTCCCTAATAGAGTAGACAAATAAAGACTATTGTCTCATTTATGGTAATTCATGGGAATGCTTTTTCGAGCCCTGGAGATCTGTCTTACACGTGCGATTTCAATAGCCGTACAACGTAGACCGATGTTTGCGGCCACAACATTGATCTTTTCATCCTCGAGACTGGTGATTTAGGGTATCAATCGCAATCATTGAGTCATTACATTCCAAGGATGTGTAAGTTTTCTCATCACCACTCCCCCCCGCACTCGCTCCTGGCCTAGCGGGCGTTCGCTTCCTACACTGGCCAATCGGCTTCGGCCGCAGTATCAACCGGTTCGGAAACGACCGGATAATTTTCCACCCCTCCTGCAAGCGACTGTTCACTCCTCTTCGCGCCGAGAACGATGGAACGTGATGTAGAGGGGGCGTCTCTGCCAAAAGCGTCGTCGGACTGGGTCCATGTCACGGGCAATCCTGCTTCAGGGAACGCAGAGGAAGTAACAAGCACACCTGATCGTGCGTCAAGTGGCACTACCAGTCCGCCTGCGAAGAGGAGAAGAGAAACAAAAGAAAGATCGAGGGTCAGCAGAGCGTGCGACAGATGCAAAAGGTAAGCACTCATGTTAGAGGATTTCTTGTTTGCGCAGACCAGACCATGCACAATTGGGAATTGCCATAGCTTTGCATGTGGTTTTCCTTATCCGAAGCCCCCACTCTCCTACCTGAGCACCATGCACTAATGCCATGCCAGGAAGAAGACAAGATGCACAGGCCGCTGCCCATGTGCGCTATGCTTGGTGTCCAACCAACCCTGCGAGTTCACAGCTTCATATACAAGAGGCAGGGTACCTTCTGTCATCGTAGATGAAGCCGCCTTGACAACAAATGCGACTGCGCGCCCGCGTGTTTCTTTACCAGCAAATTCCTCGGTAAAGGACCACATTACACCTGATTTCCCTTCACCAAGTGTCCAGCTCCAACGACCTTTGTCACCTTCGCGCATAGACGCACCAAGTATCTACAACGGGACAAATCGACTCGCTGCCAAGGATGAGCCCAGCTCTCGCACATCACCCGAACCTGCGCAGACTGATCAGCAGGGACACTATGTCGGTCCAGCTAGTGGTGTATCATTCCTCCTACGCATTCAGAAGACATTGCATCAGAACAGCTCCCTGTCTCACGACTCATCCATCTTCACCTTCGGCGATGCTCCCTTGCCGGATTTTGACCCTACTTTCTTTGTATTACCGCCCAAGGCTGAGGGTGAGAGGCTCGTGGAAAGGTATTTCGACTTCGCTGCTCCCACACACCGGTTCTTGCATAGGCCCACAATCGAGGGGCTTTTGCAGGAGTTTTACGAAACACAAGGCGATATGAAGAACAAGGAGGAAGCGCCAGGGAAGACGGCGCTGTTGCTGATCGTCATGGCACAGGCAAAGGCTTATATGCCTGGAGAGGCAGATGCGCACTCAGCTAGGTATCCTGTCCACTGACACGTTGTGTACGAGAACCCATGTGCTAACGCTCAAAGTGCTCGATATTACTTCGCTTCTGAACATCAGCTAAGTAAAGAACGTGGATCTGTGCGTCTTGCAAGTGTGCAAGCCAGGCTAGGTCAATGCTTCTATCTGCTCACCCAGTCCCGGGTAAACCACTGCTGGAGTCTGTTCGGCACACTGGCGCATCTCGCGTTTGCCATTGGTCTGAACCGAGGCCGGAGCTGCAGTCCTTCTTCTTCTGTTGACTACATTGAGCTGGAGAGTCGGCGTCGCCTCTTCTGGGTCGCGTACGTGTTGGATAAATATCTCGCCGCAGCTCTTGGGCGCCCTCGTACCTTCAAGGACGAGGACATTGACCAGGTACGCATCCGGCCCCCTTGTTGTCCTTGCAGCTTCTAATACATTTCAAAGGAACTACCCACCCTTGTCAACGATACCGACCTAACATCCCACTCCATGAACCCCACCCCTTCCCTCGGCTACTCCATCCCCGTAATGATGGCGCCCATAGAGCACATCAAGCTCTCCAAGATCCTCTCCGCCGTGCTCCGCGACCTCTACCCGATCCGCTCCCCATCTCTCCCGCACCGCCTCTCCCTCGCGCAGAAATACACGACCGACCTCACCGCGTGGCGCCAATCCAACGCCCATTTCCTCGACACCAACAACCTCCCCTCGAGCCTCCTGATCCCCATCTACCAGCGCCAGCGCAACGTGCTCAACCTCGCCTACTACCACGCCGTCCTCCTCGTACACCGGCCCTTCCTCCTCTCCAACTTTGCCAACCTCACGCACTTCGAGCAGACGGCCGCCCAGCGCGGCGGCGGCCTCGTCGGCGACGCGCACCCCGCCATCGAGCTTACTTGCAAGGAGAACCTCAAGCACTGCCTGGACGCGGCCATGGGCATTGTGCGCGTCGTCGACGACATCGCGGAGAGCCAGATCTTCCGCGCGTTCTGGTTCACGCAGTACTACGCCTTCTGCGCGGTGGTCGTGCTGTACATTTACCGCATCCAGCAGGGCATCGTGGAGCCGGGCCAGTGTGAAGGGTACTACGCTGCGGGACTGAGGTGCCAGGGCGTGCTATCGTCCATCTCGGAGGCGGACTGTTTGTCCAAGCGGTACGTGCTTGTCTTGGAGGAACTGCGCATCGAGGCAGCGAAGGTGCGGGGGCCGGCAAAACAGCAGCAGCAGCAGCAGCAGGCACAGGCGCAGAGCGCCACGACGCCTGCGTCTGCGACTGCAACGTCGCCGGCCGTAGGGAGCGGGGTGACGCCGAATCTGGGCGGGAGCATGGGAGAGAGTCCTGGGTTTGTGGATCCCTACTTCGGCGCTGGGAGTGGTGGTGTGGGGAACAATCTGCCCACGCCTGATAGTACGGTGTTCAACACGAGTTTCCTGCCGACGAGTAGCATCATGGCCGACTTGACGAGCTGGGGCCAGTTTGATAGCTTGGTTACGGCGGGCATAGGCATGCTGGACGGAGGAGGCTATGGTGGGGACGCAGGGTTTGGCTTTGGGCTGGGGATGTAGTGCTAGACATGGGACGGGAGCATGGCTTATCTCTGCGTCGTGTATCACGAATGCGATAGACATTGCGACCCTGGTGCGGTATAAACAGCTCTCCCCATCCGTTCCCAGAAGCGGGCAACAATCTGAGCATCCTGGCGTGTTGCTGCACGGCTTCTTTGTGTACGGTGCATGTTACATTGGCGCGTCCGGCAAACTCGCTCGAGTACTCTATACCAGTCCAGACAGGACGACCGGAAAGGGCCGATTCTCATGGGTTCATTGCTCCATTACTATGCCACGTATGCTCTCCTCCAGGCTCGGCGCCATGGCCACGTCTCCTGTACATTTCCATGCTCCGCTCGACAGCATAGCTCGTCCCTCGCAAGGCCTTTGCCTGCTTGCCAGCCAACGTCCGTATGTACGTGCACCTAGCAACCCCCTCTAAGTGCAAGCACCAAATGCAGTGTCGCGCCACCCTCCAACTGGTAATCTTCAGCCGTCTTGTCGTCAGCCCTGCACTTGTCAGCCGGCGCCTCCCACGCATCCAGCCATGGCCATGGCCATCACCTCCCCAATCCACCCTACTTACATCTGCTTCCCACCGTAAATCAGCCTCTGCTGGGCGGGCGGAATCCCCTCCTTCTCCTCGACGCGCTCCTTTATCCTCGAGACCTAGACAGGCGCCGTCAGCACTGTGCGGTGCGCTGTTGCGCTCGGGGGTCGGCGTAGGCAGCCAAGAGAGCGGCGGCGGGTGGGCGAAAGCGGGCAGCGTACCTTGTAGTCGGCCTCGATGTCGAGCTCGATCTCCTTGCCGGTGAGCGTGCGCACTCTGTCGCTTTGTTAGCACATGCAATCTTAGACGTGCTGTCTTGCACTCCGGGACGGACAGCTATGCCTGCGGCGCTTACTTGATCTGCATCGTGCCTGGTGTGCGGCAATCGGTCTGTGTGCGTTTCGAGGTGCGCGCGGCGATTCCAGGGGGAGTGGTGGGCGAGCGTTGGGACGTGTTTGTGTGTTTTGTGTCGAGGGCGCGGCTTGGGACGAGCCAGGCTGCAGTTGCCTCATGGTGGGGCGCTGAGGCCGAGGACACGGACAAACAGCAGTCACAGCCGCGGGGCAGGTGCGCCACCTGTGGCGCGCGAGGAACCTAGTGCGCACTAGCCTTGTTGGGAGGTGCTGTCCTGGACGAGCAGTGCTGGGCTCACGCGGTGAAAGTTCCCCATCTGGTGGGTTCGAGACTCGGTCCAATCGGCTTGGTGGATTGTGCAAGCACTATGAGATGGATCGTCTGTGGTGGTTTGTGACAGCTGGACGCTCGAACATCGATGGCTTTCCCGTTGGACATCAACTCGAAGCTCTGGCGGTAAATGACTTCGTCTTCGAATGGAGTAATTCATCCCGATGGGAGACACCGCTTGGGGTCGTACACTCCCAGCACTGTTGTATACATGGACAGTTGTACACGACCGAGGCCCCAAACCCAATCTCGAGCCCCCGGCTGAAACCCAACCACCATACCATGCCAATCAGCTCATAATCGCCATCGGCCCGCGCACCTGATCCTACGGCCAGCCTCATGCAGCCTCATCCTTCCACAGCCCTCCCCCATACACCCCTCGTGACACAAACCCTCGACACGCTCAATCTCGACCCGTCACCTGGCGCGCCACCATCTTGCCACAACTCCAATCACCGCGCCGAACTGCATACCACAGCGCTAAACCTGCAACCACGCAAATCTGAAACACGAGCACACCGCAAACGCCAAAAATATCGTCTTTGCTCTGGCCCCAAGCCGTGAAGGGACAGCCAGCTGAGCTGCGCTGCTTCGGCCCACGCGAGCGAGCCGAACCGAGGGCCCGCTCGCTGTAGGCCTGTCTGCATTTCTCTACGTACCGAACACGCGTCGTGTGGTTATACACAATTCGAGCACCATCGCTGAATGCTCCGAGTCCCACTCCAAGCCTTCCCTCCCGTGTGCTCCCACATATGCACAACCCGGCTGGTTCGCCGTCTCAAAGACACTCCATGAATATATACAAGTGATGATGCGTGATGCTTGCAAAACGAGCAATCTCGCGCGGGGTGGCGCCCCAAGTGACATGCTAACCTCCGACTCCAACAACGCCATGACATGTGCAGGGAAATGGGTATATGTGTAACAAATTGCGGCAAATGCTGATACAGATCCGAAGATCAAAAGAAGAGAAGAGAGAAGAGAAGAGAAGAGAGATCCAGAGTCAAATGCTTCAGCGAGACTGCAAGTGGAGAAGACAGGGACCGAAGCAGTAGGAACCAGCTATCCGAAAGCCGACGCAATGTATCATGCCAGTGTTGAGACGAGAATGAGCGATCTATTCAAGACCGCATATTGGACTCTGAGTTGGCCCAAAGTGACCAAAAAGACCATCTGCCGATACGGCTGAGTTATGGCGGCATCCAGGACCATGTTCATACACGGCGATTAAGAATTCGAGTAGGTGTTGTTGACAGGAATAATCCCAGATGCGGAAGTGACGTCCACCGAATCATGCTTGTTACGCAAAAGCTGGCTGCACCGTTGAGCGTCAAGTGCTCAACATCTCGGGTGGTCACGTTTGATGTGCGATGTTGTACAAGGGCGTATTCGTGTCTGACCTAGCCATAGCGCCGATTAACTGGACCCGACTGCTGCATCCAGATGTCGAGTCTGCACGCAGTGATCAATAGCACAGCGCTAATTGCTGGTGAATCTCGGTCATGCGTAAGCAGCCTCTGCGCTAGTACATCATCAAAGCGTTTCAGATGCAGCCAGGAATAGGGAAACTGGCTCGCTGACGAGAGCTCTCGCACGCACGCGACCACCTTGACTGGAAACACGATTAGAGGCCTTGACCCAGAAGTCCATCGACAGCATAAGAGCAGTTCTACACGTAGCAGTCAAGTGACTCGAGTGATGCGATGCTCTTCGGAGCAATGCAGTTGACACGTCCAAGGCGCTGGCCCGTATTCAAAGGAGTGATGTCGAAGATTCAGCCATTATGGGTGAATCGGGCCTTCTCGAGACCAACAGCCAAGTTGATAAGCCCAGCAACTGTATCGGTCATTTCAAGCGCAACAAGGCCTGCGGACAATGTCGAAAGCAATTTGCTAAGATTGGCTGGCAGCGTTGTTGGTCCGTGTCGCATGGGTGATTTCGTAGTCGAGATGAGTTGAATCTGGTGTTGTGGAGCTCATCTCGCTTGAAATGCATGCATGCCGCGACCGAAATACACATGCGTGTGGCGTCATTATGCGAAAACTTCGAATCCAGGATTCGGTCGTGTCTGATGATAATTTTCGGAATTGAGAGAAATGCTGCAAATCCATTCAAGCTACTGTCCTCCTGGCTCGCGTTTCGGTGACGATGCGAAAACCCGATCCAGCTGCTGATGTGGCCCTGCTTGCCGCGTTTCACCTTGATATGACATGGAAGATGTGGATTGCGAGTGCTGTCCATGCCCGCCACCCTCACTTCGCATTGGTGTTGTGTAGGATGACTCCCGCTGTTGGTGTTCCTCTGGCCCACGCAGTTGTGACTGGAATCGATATTCGGTTGCTTCGTGGTGCTGTGCACCTCCCTCTGCATGTGCGTGCGTTGAGACAGTGCCACGGCGACTCAAAGCACTGTTGCGCCCTTCTGGCCCCCGTGTAGATGCATCAGAACGGGCTCGGGTGTGTCCTCGTCGTCCTGGAGTCGATGTGGAAGATGTTGATACGTGCGAGAACGACGGCGATGTATAGGATTGAGGCGCCGTTGTTGGAGGTGGTGGAGCTGTGTGTCCGCCTTGCGCTTTACGCTTCTTGGGGGAGCTGGTGTAATCTGGGTCAGACGCATGAGAGGTGGCACGTTGACGGGAAAGGAAGCTTGGTGAGGCTTTGTATTTACCTGATGGAGTTGCAGGTGGATTCCCGCTGGACGGCTTCTCCTGTTGTGAATTGGGTGGAACCCAATGGTGGAAGTAGATCGATGGTGAGGACTGCTGTTCTTGCTGAGACGTCTGATTTGACTGGAGCTGTTGTACGTTTGAAGGCGCTGCTGGTGGCTGTTGGATGTGAAGCTCATTCGTGGTCAGCCTGGGTAGCTGCGATTGTGGAGGAGGGCGGGGAGCGGAGGTGGGTGCACCGACATGAGGTGGCTGGGCAGCTCTCGCGCGTGGAGACATGCTTCCTGCAGCGTACGGAGATTGTGAGAATGCCCCATGTTGAGGTTGAGATGGCAAAGGTTGGCCCGGTAGAACTGCCGTTGGTGGTAATACGGTCTGCGGAGTCTGCGGCTGTCCTCCGTACGCTGCTGGTTGTGACTGGCCGATTAACCTCGTTTCCCGACGAAGCTCTGGGGACAATTGAGACTGTGATTGCGCTTGCGCTTGCCGCTGTGCAGCTTGAAGCTCGAGCTGGTGTTCCCGGAGCATGTCTGCACTGATGCTCGCAAGGCTTCCTCCTCCCATGCCTGCAAAGATCATAGGGATTAGGTGTGGCGGCACACCGCCCTGGAGCGACTCCCGAAGCATTGACTGCTCAATCCGACGTTGTTCGACTCTAAGATCTTCCTGTCGCGTTCTCTCCTCCTCTTGTCTCCTCTTCTCCTCCTCAGCCTTTGCGGCCAGCCAATTCTTCATACCGTCCTCGGCGCCTTGCCATTGAGTAGGAGCGGGTGGCAGGGAGCCCATTGGTTGAGAAATAGAGGATCCGCGCCCAGGATCCGGCAATGTCATCGCTGAGGGCGGAGGGAGTCCTCGGTGAGGCGTTCCCATGTTGGGCGTGCTGGTCGGCTTTGAGGAAAACAGCCCACCGTTGAGTTTGGGTGAGTATCGAGCGGCCGCAGACGAGATGGCAGTCGGGGACCAATCATGAGTCTTAAAGTCGAATTCGGACTTTGGTGGTTTAGCCAACGTGAGCAACATGGAGGGTAAGAGTGTTGGCGCGGAGGACGTGTGTGGAGGGCATCGACATTGAAATGGGCAACTCCAAGAATCAGAGTTCCAGAAACGGACGGAAGAGTATACGTACTTATTCAGATGGGATCGATCAGAAGCAATGTTCAGCTACTGCCCATAGCACGACAGCCGTTGCCTTGTGGGCTGGGCCTGATGCTTGCTGATACAAACGATCCGCTTTGATTCGCGGGTAAAAGCTAAGCTAAAGGAAGCAAGTGGACGGGTCAAAGAAAGAGCTCGCTGGACCGAAGATCTCAGCCGGTAATGGCTTACGACCACGCGGACAGGTCTGAGCGATCACGCCTAGAAAGTGCTAGGATTGAGTAGAGAGATTCTGAAGAAGGAAGGAGTGAGTACAGCGGAGAAGGTTGTAACGAGTGTACAAGAAGGGAAGAGTGCCCGGTAGCGGTTGACCAACCGGCGAAGATGACTTACAAGAGCCAACGAATTTACGGTACGAGGGGCGGCAGGCCGCGCGACCAGGACAAGCTGGTGCGTGGCGGCGTTCAGCGGGCGGCAAGTGGGAATGAGTAGCAAGGATATGCATGAGCGACCAAGTTGCCGTCAGCAAGTGAGGGATGGGAGGGTCCGCAGTGGGCAAGCGTAGTCTGCAGTCTGACGTGCCGAAAAAGGCTCCCGCCGCTGCATGTTCTGGTAATGTATGCCAGCTCGGGCCTGTGGCGTTTGCATCGGCCACACGGCTACTTTTTGACGTGCGTCTAGCCAAGTCGAGATGCATTCCACCAAGTTTGATGGTGCTAAACTGGCGTGAATGCGGACGGCTCCCACTTGAATTTGCGTTTGGCAGCCGCGCCGCATCATTTCTCTGTAGGATGGGACCTACAAAGAGCGCAAATGAGCTGATGAGCTGATGCTGCCCATCGTTACGCTTGCCTATCAGATCGAGTAGAGCAACGGCCACAAAATTCATTTCGCATTGAGCTCGTTGAAGTTGATGGTATGGCAGCGACATGAAGCACAGCGCGCTTGGTTGACCCTGCTGTGACCATGGGGTACGAAGCTGCTGAACAAGCATTGAAAGCAGTCATTTCTGCCATGCGCTGCTGTTGACGTCTGCTGCATCTGGACTCGGCATGCCGCTGCCGACCAACCTTGTTTAGGTATCGTGGCTAGTGGAGGCGAGGCTTGTGGAATTAAAGACGGTCGGGTCGACATGGGCTCATCTGCGCGGCCCAGAACCGCCAGACAGGGTCGAACGTTCGGCAGGAAGCGAACCTCCTCTGGTGAAGATTAACGCCCCGGTGCATGGACTCAAACGACACTCTTTTGAGCACATGGACGTTGCTCGAGGCCGCGTGGAGGGAAATGAAGGGTTATGCTCCTGTCAGACCTTGAATGTGTGATGACCTAAAGGAGCAGCGCGAAATGAAGTTTGCATTTCAGTGGAGCCGCGGTGTATCAAAGCGAAACTGTCGACGAAGGACACGCTGTGCTTAGTGTCTCCATAGACGCGCTGCTGCAAACCCTCCCAGCACCGACCAGTGCACCACCCGAACAGGCAAAACACTTGCCTTCACTCAACCGCTAACCGCTGACCAACTGGCGTTCCAGCTGCAGGAAGCACCATTGTGGCACACAAACACCTTGTCAACCTGTCAGCCTTGGATATGACCCTCCGGTGGATCGACGCACCGCCGTGAGCGGCTGGCAAATCGATAAGAGCAACGATCAACGAACTGGCACCCGTGGCCCGGCGGAGCGTAACATAGGGCGCCGCCTGGACTGGAGATGCGCCGGGTGCTGATCACTGCGCGATGCGCTTTCCTCCTCGTGCTCTACGCGTCTCTTTCCCGCGCTGCACCTCTGAAGGTGGGACCCACCGCTCAGACCGTCCGTGAGGGGCTACTCGTGAGAGCTGGGTTGCGCAATCACCGAGAGCCTGGCACCGGTCTGAACGATCGACTCAGCGTTAAATTTCCGTGTCTGCGCTGGCGCCTTGCCAGATTCTGTAGCGGCGGGGATCTACCTGAAACGCGGTGGCGCCCTAGATCAGTCCAGAGGATCGTTTGGGCGAGATTTGGGTCGCTGGGGATTAGGCGCGCACCAATCAAAGACCCATGGGCATTCGCCTAGGCCCTGCCCAGTCCCCATCTGTGACTGCTTGGCAATTGCAGTGTACTCTGCACAGAATTGCCCTGTTCGCTAGGCCCTGCCAACGACCGATACAGCAGTCGGTCAAGCAGTTGGTGTCCCAACCATGCTGCAAAACCTGATAATGAAATGAAAGGGCTCTGATGAAATGAGATGACTTGGACGGTCCCGAAGCCTGTTTGGACGCGGGGCACCCGCTTCCAGTTGTTGCACCCCATGCTCATACCTTTCTAAGACGTGAAATTGGCGCGAAGTGGGTATTGGCACATGTCGAAAGTGGTGTATCTCACGTACGTATTCAGACGGAGATTGACCGGGACGCGGGTATTACTCAATGCAGTGCAGAAGTTTATCCTCTTCCACGGCCGTGACAGTGACTATGACGTGGACGAGGCTTTGGGACTTGACGGGAGACAAACGCAGCTTCTGTTGAGCAGGCCGGAGTAAACACCGACATGGGACGGGGATAACAAGAAGCATACGGATACCTTAAAACAGTAGAGGTATGATCTCCGGCGGCACAGGCTATTGAGATGGAACTAAACCGGTTGAAGACCGACTGGATGGCTTGAGCTCGCAGTGAACATACTGAATCCGTTCAACGTAGCTCCGGGTCAGCGTAAGCTTCGCACTTGTTGGACAGTCCAAGTGGGCATCGGTAAGTCGGTATTAGCAGCCAGCCGCGATGAGATGAGCATACGTAGTCGTGGTGCAGTAGACAGATGTGGCTGGATAAAGGGGAGCCGATGGAGTCTCTGTTCCACTTTCCAAAGGACCGAACAGAAAGCCAAGATGGGTGAAAAATCATGCGACTGCAACGGCTGAGGTGTACGTATCGCCGTGCCGTGTGGCCCTAAATGAGAACGGTCAGTAATCAGAAAGGCACCCCGCTTTTGGGGTGCCACTCTGTACGAATATACGAGTGAGGTTCGGCTTCACCTTCACCATGTTGAGCTCGCAATCGCTTCCACAAGCACGGCTCGCGGTGGCGTTCCGAAAAGGGTGGCGCGTAAACCATACTGCGTGCGACCGCTCGCGTCGAAGCACCCAGCTCTTCATCCAGCAACCGCCGCGCCGATCGGCCTCGCCTCACCTTGCAAACGATCATGCCACTGATCAGCGTTACCGGTTGTTCCATCCGCTGCTAAATTCGCCGCCGAAAGGACCATCGTTACCTCGAGCCTAACAGCCGAGCGCTGCGCCAGGTGTGTTGTTCGTGGAGGCAAATTGGACGCGCACCTCCGTAAAGAGGGGCAGTGGTACCGGCGGCAGGAACAGACGACCCCACCCACCGCTCCCTTCCCAATCCGGAGCCGCGCCTGCTTAGCACTTCCGTAGGCTTTCGCCTCCGCAAGAGTTTTCGGGCCTCCTCAGTGCTACTGGAGACGGCCCATGGTAAGACGTGCCGCCTGCTGTGTTCTGTGCCACGCCGTCCTCTCGCTCGCTGGGTACAGTACCTCTGCGACCGGGCCGGAGGGAGGCAAGGCCTCTCCCAGCGGCAGCTTGTGCATCAGAACGGGTCGCAGATTGCGGTACTCTGGCCATCCCGAAGTGGCTTCGACCACAACACATGTGCAGCACGACGCCATCAGACACTGCGCTTCCTTGTCAAAATTAGAGATTATAACTAAGAGCTAACTTTTGCTTGCTCAGTATGTGGGACTCTACGGTCCAGGCTTCATCGTGGCATATTCCAGCATAAAGAAAAGGTATCTTGTTAACAGCCATGTCCGTAAATGCGCCCATAACAAAGAAATGATCGTGTACCGCAATGCCGTCACATCAGAAAAAAAAAAAGAGATTCAGCCCTATCGCCAGGGGCATCGAGGCAGTAAGCCTTAATCGGCCTGTCTCCGTGTCCAGTGCAGAAACGTGGGAGAGGTGGGCGAAAGGGTGTGGGTCGCTTGTTCGACCCTCACGATAGTCCCAAAGCCTAGAATTGCTGTCCGGTAAGAATTGCCCTCAACGTAAGTCGATAGAGTCCGGATCCGAGACAACGTGACAGCCACGCTAGATGCACGCGACACCAGTAAGCCACTGATCTCAGGGATCGACACCCAATATCGGGAACGCTTTCTCAAAAAAGCATGGCAAAGAGATCGAACGTTCCGTGGTGCCGAATCGCCAACTGTGGCTGGCGGCTAGCAACGACTCGCTTGCAGAGATCGAATCGTAACAGGGCCTCACCCTGCCTTGGCTCGCTTCTTTCGCAACTTGTATTCCGCCTTCGCCACCTTCATCAGGAGGTCGTCGTCCTTGATGGGCACCCACGAAGTCAGGACCTTCATGGCATTTTCGAAGTCTGAATCAAGCAGGATCTCCCTGGTTGCATCGATAAGCGCAGCCGAGGTTGCATGCAGCATGTCCAGGTCCCCACTGAAGCTTGACGACTTATCATTCGAGTAGGAAGCATCGCCCAAAAGCATAAACACATCCCACACACGGAGCTGTGCTGAAAAGGGCAAAGAGTAATTGAAGAGGGTCAGATACCATCGCGTTCCGTAAGCAGTCGAGGTGATACCCATTTCATCCTATGCGCGTGAGTTAGCGGGGTTCTGGAAAAAATCATTTCCGGCTACGAAAACTTACCAGCTGCTTCGCTACGTCTCCATTGCGAAGCCAGTTCTTCTCGAAATCTTCCAGGGCTTCCATGAGACCCGCAAAGCCAGATTCGTAGAGTCGCTCTAAGCCCCGAAACATCCAAAGTCGGACTAACATGACGAACGCCCGGTCCTCTTCGAAATAGCATAGAAGCGTTGCTGCTAGGGCGGCCATGCCCTGCACATACCCGGTGTCGGGTAGATACAGTGACATGGCATGCAGAACTCGAAAGAGCAGCCGTTGTCTTCGTATATATTAGCAAACGTGTGGCAATGCAGTACTCAAGCATAATGAGACTCACCCTCCACGATATCTTCTGCGAAACATGATGTGTCGATTGATGGTCCTTGGCACGTCGACATCGATCTGCATGTCGTCCGCCGAATTCTCGTCCTGTAGCTCGTAGAAACTCGTGACCAGTTCCTCATCTGTTGGGCTGTTCTTGTCTGCTTTTGCGCTCGCCGCGAGGAAAGCATACCACGCGGTAGCCCTCCAGCGATCCGGGATGCCCTTCCATGTCCGGGATATCACTTTGGGGTCCTTAACATCGAATTCGAACATCATGCCGCCGCTCTTCGCTCCTGCCTGCACCACCTTGGCCATCTTTCGCCATTTTTCCTCGCGCTCCATCTCTTTTGCCCTGGTCTTTTCGGCTGCTCTACTGCCTTCCTTTTGCTCCGCGATTTCGGCAAGACCAGGAGGCAACCTGAGCATGTCGCTAGCTTCGTCCAGTAAGCGGCGGTCCCTGTTATGCGGGAGGCGATTTGCAGCCTGGCGGAAAGGTCTTTGGGGAGTGCTTCGGGCTGTACGATTCGACATGATAGACGCTGCCGGTCTGCTTGATTTGTGCGACCGACGCCTCTTGGGTGTGCCCGTTGCTACAGTAGCAGAACGAGAGGAGCGAGCCTTCGACACACTACGCCCCAAGCCCTTTCTCCTAGGTTCTTCGGAAACCAGCTGGAGCGCTGTTGATACTCGCTGGATGCGAGGCTCATCTGGACCGCCTCCAGAACCGCCCGACGCCGTCTTTTTCGGGACGATGAATCCATATCGATCAACCTCGCCACCGTCCAATTCAGACCAATCCTCGATGCCACCTGCAGTCTCATTTGGTTCTTTTGCTATGAGCACGCTTTCTCTCCTTGAACTCATTATAGAGCTCGACTCGGCTCTGCTCCCTTCAGCGACAAGCGACGAGCTGTTAGCTGGCGTGCCGGTGACACTGCTATTGTCCACATAACTGTTCCGCATGCTTTCTGTCTCTTCTTCTACATCGTCCCAGTTGGCCGCGCTTTCGTTGCCGTGTTGGTACATGGATCGCACCTTCCGAGATAGCATCATTTCATCAGTGGACAGCGCACGGCTGCTGACGACTCTCCCCCTGGCCGAGACACGCGACGGCGAGCGCGTCTGAGGGATGTGGCAGGGTGTCGCGGGCGTGGAGAGGACCTGCTGCTTTGGCTCCTGCGGCGTCTCCAGCTCAGTGGCCGGTGCGCCCTCTGCAACAAGGCCGAGCTGCTTGTTCATTCTGTTGGGGCGCTTTCCGCCGAGGAGCATGCTTCCACGCTTGGAAAAAGAAATTTGTGTGGGCGAAGTGAGGTCGTCGAAGCCGCCGGTGGGGATGACGGTGTCTATTGCCTGGAAATCTGCGGCGGCGTCCCCGTCGCTGCTCGGTATGCGGTGTAACGAGCTACTCGATGGCACGGCAGGCTCATCTTGGACGACGATGGCGGGAAGACTCGGCGTCTTTCGCAGGCTGGTGGGTGTCGAGGGTGCGTTGACGGCACCCGCATCGGCGTCGGTGCTGGCTGTTGAATTAGAAGACGCCAAGGCGGAGTCGCGTCGAGCATCGTCCTCGGTCAACAGCGTGCGCTTAATGGCAGCCTTGGGCGCCGGCGACGTCTTAGGTCGCCGCACGCTGCTGAGCCATCCCCGCTGCTGCTGAAGCGGAGGCGCGACTTGGTGCTGGGACGCGGGCAGGGTGGGCTCTGCCGTCGCGTCACTATCGGCGGAGCGCACAGCCTCAGCGCTCATGGTCGCGGGATCACGTAGCTTTCATCGAGGATCCTCGGAAATGGCGTCGCGCTTGGGTCGCGAAGGAAATGAAGGCGCGCAACGTGCGGTCGATGGGTGCTTGTTCGGCGTCTCTTCCTGCGGCACAGCTACCGTGCAACTCTGGAGTCCAGGGCTTGCAATGGCAGTCGCAACATGTGCAATTGGGCAGTGAGTGGGCATGCGACAGCAACAGCGACCCGCGCAAAGGTAAGTCACCTTGGACATGTCAGGGGAAAGGGGCACTTGCACATCATCCATGCAATCCGTGTGCTATCGTGGTCCTGCTACCCGCTCCAGCACCCACCGCGGTAGCCCCGTTTATTGGCTATCTCGCTAAGCGAACGCCATCCCGCCTTGGAGCCACATCTCTACCTGGCTTGGACATGTTGCCCTTGCACAGCTTGCGTAGCCCTTTACATACAGACCATGTAGGTTTAGTGCTAGACGCTTCGATGGCTACCATATCTAGGTCACGGATACAGTGGCTGACAACAAGAATGGGGATCTTGTAGCAAGTCTGACCCGATGTGTGAACAATCAGGGTGGATGAATAGGTTGCATTCCAACATACATATTACAGTCCGAGTTACTACAGGATCAGGTGCGGCGATATCAGCTCTGTGTCCACCACGGTTGACCATTAACATATGCGCTCAACCTTTCGTGCTGGGAAAAACCGCAGACGTACGTTGCCCATCCGGTATAACGGAAAACTCGGACTATACATGCATCTGGTTATGAGACAGACTCGGCAATAAGAGCCATTTGCTAGAGTTGATGCGACCCAGACACAAATGGCGGTCGAAATATCAACAAATACCGCTTGGCAGGGGATCAAAGTCCCTACTGCGGGGCTCCAATAGTAATCCGTTGGCGCCGTCTTTCGCTTTCCCTTGCATGAGCCTCCACAGCCTCGCGCATCGTTGATTCATCAACAGGGTGCACGCGTCAATCACGTCCTTTTACCACTTGTCTACCACGGCTATTGTACGCTCGATAGTCTTGCATGTGCGTACTCTCCAGAGCTGAGTCAGTTCCTATGTATGGACGAATCCGACCAGGTGCGGACATGCTCACGAGCATTAGATACTCCGGACACTGCTCCGACACTTGAAAAGGCGTACGTCACACTGATGAACCACAGAACTGGTTCTGGGGTACGATCGGCCAATTATTGATGAGATATTGAGTGTCCCTTTCCATAATATTGCACACTGCGTGCACACTGCGTGCACACAGCACTCGTTAGGTGCAACTAATATCAAAGCAAACCAAAACACCTAACGTTACCGGTATCGATATCTAGGATAGTCTGGGCGACACGAATTAGAGATCATTCGGGCTTTCCACCATACACTATAACCAGCGTCGACGATTATGCAAGAGTGTTTACGTCAGACCAGCTGTTACCGCTTGTAATGTTGAGGGAAAAACTCCCGCATATCGCTCACCATCTCCTTTGGACACTCCATACACGCAAAGTGCCCGCCATGGTCGTACTCTGCATAATGTCAGCTTTTTACCTTGCATCCAAGATAGCCCTTACCTTTGAAGAACTGCAAATTCGTGGCTGTGGTCTCCGCACCGGCTTTGGGTACAGGGAATGCGTCGTACGGAAACGTGCTCACGCCGAGCGGCACCCGAATGAGGTTCTCTTCCTTCGCATTAAACTCGGTGTAGACCTCATGCCGCACATTGTTGTAGTAGCACAACATGGATGTCATAATTGATGGCGGAGTGAAAAAGTACAACGACAGTGTCGTGCAGAGGTCGTGATTGAACTGCTTATTATCCAGTGTCGCCGTTTTCAGGGTCGGATCTGCGAGCTCTTGATACTTCTCGCCGATAAACATCATGATACCCACCGGGTTGTCATTGAAAGCCACGCCAATGGTCTGTGGCCGTGTGCGCATCTCAATCGCATACCCCATGTGGCCTTCGTTCAGCGGGTCTCCAATCCACCACTTCGCGCGGTCCATGGCTGCCTGTTCTTTCTCATTTAACTTAGTGCCTTTTGGAGGTGCTCCTGGGCACATGTTGGTGTGGACTGCCTTGCACGCGGGATACCTGCCAGTGCCAAGTTCTCGTACCACCTGCACAGAAGGGAGCAAAGTCAGCGGCGTCGGATCGGTCTCGTGTTTCCATCTCACGTACCCAGTGGCCCCAGTCACCTGCTTGCGCAACGTAAGTTTTGTAGCCAAGACTCTGCATCAATGTATCGTATACACGCGCGGTGTCCTGCAACGTCCATGTTCCGTGTGGCGGTCCTTGCGACCAACAGAATCCTGGTAGCGAAGGAACAACAAGATGGAAGGACGGCTGGTCAGCCTCTGACGGCTCGAGCAAAGCATGCATTACATTCTGGAACCTGGCTGGTGTGAGCTTGGGATCTGATATGCAACTCAATTGTCTAGTAACGCACTCAAAGAATGTTCCTGGCCAGCCATGGACAAGCAGGAGTGGTATCGCCTTCTCTTTTCGCACTCTGGCCTTTTCATGTATGAAATGAACTTTGAGCTCTTCTATCGTTGTGGTAAAGTGATGCCATTCTGATATCTGCTTCTGTGCATCTGGCCAAGAGAAATCGTTCAACCAGTAGTTGTATAGCTTGTTGGTCCATTCCAGTGAGGGTCCTTGGCCGTATCAGTTCGATCAAATTTGACCTCGCGCCTCCGTGAATCCTGCTTACCAAAATCATCGCCCGCATCCGGCACAATGGGTATCTGCGGTAGCCGCGTGTCCTTGAGCTTCCGAAATAGGCGATCTACCTCATCCTTGTGAATGCTAGGATCAAACGGCCTGATGGTGGGCCTTTCCTCATAGGTGTTGCGCGACATTGTTTGTGGGTGCGTCTACGGGATGATGCTCGGAGGCACGAGGTACATTGATTGCGCAAAGCGTCGCGTGGTGTAGTGCACAACAGCATCGTGCATCTTAGCGGGACGACTAATTTATTATGGTACTCTCAAGATCTGATGCCAACCAATTGAAATCGGATTGGCGAATCATCAGGGGGCGGACCGTGAATGGATGGGCCGTTCCCGCTGTCCCCGCTTGAGGCTGTTCACGATGACGCAATGCATCAACACTTGTCTCGAGAACAACAACAGAAACTTAGCTACAGTCTCGCGCCAAACGTTCGTTTCAGAGGGGATACAATTTGGAACACGATATTTCCGAACAGGAAGTTCCAATCAGTGATATTCTTGCTGCATCCTTGTTGACGCGTAGACCCTCCTGGTCGGGCTAGATCTACGTACAAACGCGAGGCTGTAAAGATCTCTGATACCAATCCCGGCTACTGCAATCCGTATGCGGTTGTCAGATTGTAGCAAAAGGGGCTTCTTTAGATCCGGGTAGTAATTATGAAAGCAGTCAATTCAAACAGCCACAGCCCCGGCAATCGTACCCGCGAACGCGCTTGTCAAGCGTACGAGACGGACCGTCCGTGCGCCGCACCGCCGGCTTAGAGATGCGTAGAGCTTCGAACCAGCCGTTCCCTTCTGTTTGGGGTTCGTATGGGACTGTAGAAGCTGGTACCGGCTCCGTTGTCGTATAGTGGTATGCCAGCCTCCTCACATGTGCCATCGACTGCCCAGGTGGTTTGACAATTACTCACTGAACTCATGTCAGATTCATACCCCTAACAGAGCGCCACAGCACGATTATATTCCTTAGTAACACAACAGAGATCCAAATCAGACTGCAAATACGTCAAGTCTCCTCATACGTGACTGACTGAGGACACATACTTGTCATAAGTGTCTGCCAGTGCTTGAGTATACACTACTCTCTTTATGATTTACCATACAAGTGAGCGAATACGGCAAACGTTTCAAGCATCAGTCACAACAACCGTTTAGTCCCAAGAAGACAGTGAGCTCCCTCGGGCACAGGGTGTCTTATTGAGAGCACTCGAGGTCAGCGCTGCTAACTAATGGCTCATCATTCACTTTCATGCGATTACATGATTAGATAGATCGAGTGCTCCCAAACAACCTCGTAAGTTCAGCGCCTTTGCACTAAATAAAATTTTATACTACTGTGACGAACCTACCCCTATCTCTGGAATTGATGTTCGCCGCTACAACCCATTAGCTTGCATCTACATTCCTTTGCGTCTTCATGGGCGGATATGAATCAATATAGGTTTCGAGCTTGGTAGAGCCGTTGGAGATGCAGTTATTCGTCCTCACACACGGGCATCCCACAGTGCTCTCTCTTGCACCATACAAAATAACACTCCTGCTTTTTCTCGGAATGCAGGTAACCCGGGCATCTCTTTCGAAATAGATATCCAGCCCTCGGATCAAAGCGGAGATCGGGAGTAAGCTGGTACTTTGGTCAAATTGTCAACGCTAGATCCTGGAGGTACTTGAGATGCTATAGGCATCTACAATCTAAATTCGATATTGTATTGCCGGTGTGAACGTTCACACGCGAGCCTGGCATGGCACTCTGCAGGGGCAATCTCAGTACTTAAAGGTCACGGTCCAAGGACTTGTTTTGCATGTCACTTAATCAAGAGCAGTGTAAGAAATACACACAATAAATATAATCCAAACAACACCCATGTCCAGAAACCTGTGGTAGTAATGACAATGGCGCTCCATTCCCCCCGAACCATGGGCCAAGCGAGTCCCAAAGAAACCGCTTTCCCGACAAAGCACGTACAAAGTCCATATTCGTTAGGGTCAGAGTCAGAGTCAGGGTCAGGGTTGTCACCTGCGTTCTCAAGAAGCGATGGCTGTGTGTTTGACAATGGAGTTCCTGTTGCTTCTATGACACGAGCGCCGGACATTGATTCCACTACAAACGTCCATGGACACAATTCCATCTACCATATTCAAATCACCCACCCAACCCGTTTTCCCTTAGAATCCTGAATCCCATCGATCGTTTCTCCGCGTCCAAATGCCACTCACCCAAGCATACCCCAAGAAGCCCGCCTACCCCACATGACCCTATCTTACATATGGCGTGACACACGCACGGACTCCACTGGAACTACCTAGATACTTTCCTGGTCCAGCCCAGTGTTCTTGGTAGCGCAAGTGGCTGGGCTGAGGTAATGCCTACAAAATAGTTGGGCCACTGTGGCGCGCGCCCAGTATTTGCGGAGGCTAGCGCGTCTTGGAGGCCAAGCTGGCGGAGCGGGAAGCTTGGTCTGTGCCGAGTTCCGGGCTTGGACTGTGACACGGACTGCGCTCGGAAGTACGGCGCGTGCCATGGTCGATTTCTGGGCGCTGCGTTATCATGCGGTTGTTATCACTTGAAAGCGGGGTATTGTTAGGAAGATATGATCTTGATACGTAATATCCTTATGTACATGAACTGGTATATACAAAACCATATGAAACGCTATCGTGATATCGAGCTCGAAAACAGAAACCAACATCGCCAGAGAATCGTGAATAACGTGATTCTCGAGTCTTCTCATCGCAGGACAAGCAGAGACTGGGGCGTTCTAGACCTTCTCGTCATCTGTGCTGATCGCCGTGCTGAGGTATCTTTCGAAAGTCCTCTTCTCCAAATCAATACTTCCCTTGCGCATACCCTTGGCATGTTCCTGTCTCTTGAAGTACTGTCTCTTCGCAAACTTCCAAGTCTCGATGCCTAAGAAGAACAAGACCGTAGCAACGAACACGACGCCCCACTCCCAGCTGATGCCTTTGTGCTTGAACACGATAGTGTTAAGACCAGGAATGTAGACAACCGGGAAGATGGTGATGAAACCAGCCAAGATGGACCAGAAGAGGAACTTATTGCGCCATACATCGTGGAACCACTGCGTGAAGTACTTCTTGGAGCCGGGCTGCATGCGGAAGAATGAGCGCCTCATGTCGATCATCTGCCAGGCGAGGAAGAGTGAGAACCAAGTAAGGCAGGCGAAGCAAGTCGCACGAGCACGGAAAACAGTCTCGCAGTCGTCGCTGTAGCTGTCGTTGCAGGCTGTACCGAGATTGCCATCCCCCCAGCCGTGGAGAACCAGAGTGAACGAGGCGAGACAGAGCGCAGCAATCCACAGACCATAAACGAGCATGTCGAGCAGCACTTCGATAGTGAAGACACCGCGCTTGAGGCTCTGAGGCGGGCGTGAGAGAATGTCCGGTGACGCAACCTCGAAACCAAGACCCATATCTGGAACTGACGAAGTAACCATGATGATCCACATGACCTCGACAGGGGAGAGGGGGAACACCGAGAGTCCAGTATCATCTTTGAAAACCAAACCTATAAGTAGGATGCATGCTTGGGCGATGTTCTGAGCGAGAAGATGGAGGATGAACTTTTGGATGTTGTCGAACATACGGCGTCCTTCTTCGATGGCGTTCAGGATGGAAGCGAAGTTGTCGTCAGTGAGGACGATATCCGAAGCGTCCTTGGCCACGTCCGAGCCGGTACCCATACCAATACCAACATCGGCACGTTTCAATGATGGAGAATCGTTTACACCGTCACCGGTCTGAATTCGTTAGTCATACGGCATGAGGAACTGGATTAATCAAAACTTACCATTGCAGCGAAAGCTTTGCGGCGATGCAGAGCATCAATCATGCGAACCTTTGTGTTTGGTGCGCAACGTGCAATGACCAAGGGCAGAAGCGGGAGCGCGTCAATCTCATCTTCGGACAGCTTGTCGAACGAGGATGCAGTCATGACCATCGCGTCTACAACGTCCTTGGCGATAGTCGCGATGTTCGAAGGTAGAATGCCAACTTCCTCAGCAATAGCCCGAGCAGTACCCGGATGATCACCGGTGAGCATGTGGACTTGGATACCAGCTTTCTGGCATTGTCGCACTGATCCAGCGGTTTCGGGTCTGGGTGGGTCGTACAGGCCAACGAGACCTCTGAAAGTGAGACCCTCCTCAATCTGGCTGCGATCCACGTCCTCGCCCTTTGTGATCGTTCCGTCCCATGATCGGCTAGCCAGAGCCAACACGCGAAGACCTTGTGATGCCAGTGCGTCCATGTTCTTGAGAATCTCATCACGAATAGCATCAGTCATTTCCGTCGTACTGTCTTCGCTCTGGAATAGAGAAGTGCAGGAGTAGATCACTCTCTCGACAGCACCCTTGGTGAAAACGTATTTCTGGGACGTTGAGGCTTCCTCGAAAATGACTGACATCTTCTTGACATCTGAGTCGAACGGGAATTCGGCCAACTGCTTCCATTCCGGGTTGTTATCTCCTGTGTGGTCCAACCTGTTCCATTTGAACCGAGAGGCAAGAACTTGAATAGCGATCTCAGTGGGGTCACCTCGGGCGTTCCAGCCACCTTCCTCCTCGTTAGGATGAACATGCGCAAGATTGGCAAGTGATGCAACCTTCAGAAATTCCAGCAAGTGTGTGTTGTTTTCCAGGAGTTGTTCGTAAGTCGACTCATCTCCATCCTTCTCAGGATCCAGCTGACGAGGTGGCTTGGGCGTGAAGCTAAGCGTTCCGACGGTGGGATCGTGAGGAGAATCGGTCGTTCCGACCGAGTAAGTACCCTTGGCAGGAATCCAAGCTTTCTTAGCAACCATTTTGCCTTGGGTCAATGTGCCGGTTTTGTCTGAGCAGATATCTACAAGATGGTCAGCTATAATCCAAACGTTCCATGTTAATGTACGTACCTGTTACGCCGCCCAAAGCCTCCAAAGACTTCAAGTTACGAACAATAACATTGCGCTCGACCATGCGTTTCGTTCCCGCAGCCATAGTAATCGTCAAGACCACGATCAAAGATGCTGGGATCATACTGAGACCAGTGGCAACAGCGTAGATGATAACTTCCTGGTCGTTGACGAAATTGTTGGCTGCCAGTACAATGATCGCGCACACAACAGCAATACCGAACAGAAGAAGTGCAAGGCGAGATAGCTTTCTCTGCAGGGGGGTTCCAACGTTGACACCCAGAAAATGTCCGACAGCATCGGTAGCAGTCAGGCCCCAAGCTTGTACGTGTCGGTGAGGTCCAGCAGAGCCGTCTTCCTTACGCTTGACAGGACGGCGGCGGGAGCCCTTGTCTCGCAGCGACATGGCGATGCTTCCGATCTCAGTGTACATTCCGGTAGCGAAAACGATTCCTCGTGCGCGGCCCTTGGTGACAGTCGAAGAGCTGAACGCAACATTCAGTCGATCGCCAGGTCCAGTGTCATCATCGAACGTGGCTTCGGCATCTTTCGAAACGGGCAAGCTCTCACCTGTGAGGAGTGCTTCGTCTGTCTCAAAGTTGACCGCCTCGATAAGGCGAACGTCGGCGGGGACAGTGTCACCTGTCTTCATCTCTACCATGTCTCCAGGGACAACTTCGATGGTTGGGACAGTGATAGTCTTTCCGTCCCGTACTGCTGTTGCGGTTGGGGAACTGAGTGATCGCAAAGAGTCCATGGTCTTCTCGGCCTTCCACTCCTGGATGAAACCCACAATGATGTTCAACAAGATGATGGCGGTTACAACACCACCCTCAATCCATGATCGAATGGCGAAACTGACAGCCATGGCCAAGATTAGGACCTGCGCAAGCGTTAGAATCCATGTGTGGCTCTTTCCGAGCAGTGCTGCACACCAAAGTCATTGCATTAGCTACTTGCCGGAGCAAGATCTTGGCCGGCTGCACTCCGCCATCTTCTCCCAGATCGTTATTTCCGTACTGTTCATGTCGTTTGGTGGCCTCGGATGCCGACAGTCCGTTCTCGGAGTTGCAACCTATCTCCTCAAGGACTTGTTCGAAGGTGAGGGCGTGGGAGGGGCGAGAGAGAGGTGTGTTGGCTTGGCCGGATACATGACCATCTAGAGTCTGAGCCTTCTTTCCCATAGCGAGTGGTGGGAAACTGAATACAAAGGATTTCTAAGGAAGACAAGCAATCGATGGGCGGGGGGAACTCGACCCATTTAACCACATGCTGGAGAAGGCTCGGGAAAGTGTATGACCGCAGCCAAGAACATGTATGTACCCACTTCTTGGCATGGTGTACGCTACTTTTGGAGGCTGGGACTGGTCCGGGGACTTCGCGGCTGGGTCGTGGCACCAAGAATTAGCCTCCGGGCGGAAAGAAGCTCTTCACCACGGCATGGTGACGTTCGAGTTGCGATGCCACCACGGCGCTGACGGCCGCAGCGGGCCAGAGACACGAGGACGCTCTCAGAGAATTGAGAGCTCAGCGCTGTGCTGGTCGATGCATCTGTCCGCAACCGATGACGCAGCGGGGTCTCGATGCGAGCTGGAGGGGGGCGACTGGCAACGGCGCGGGAATGCTGGGCGTTCCGCTCTTGCACCTTGGCAGGCGCTAGTGTCTCTGCGCCTCTAGCGGCCCCGCCTATCGCCGGGACTTCGATGGCCCAAGCCCGTTCAAATCGGAACACGGCACCAGACGTCACTCGGCGCGAGGCGACCTTCTCCAACTTCGCATCCACATTACTCCTCATTTGCCAGGCGCACTCGTACTTCACTGATGCCAAGCTCTTGTGCTCAAGACAGTCTGCACACCAGCATTGGCGCCTCTTTGTCCTCACCGCAAATGGAGGCGAAGCTTGTTTGCAGTCCAAGCTGTCTTTGGTCCATTTCGACACTGTTCACTCATCTGTCGTCACTACTCACCATGTCGGGTACGTGTGTACGTGGGGGCATACTCGCTATATCCAAGTATTCATCGTTTAGGCATCCACCGTCCCACTATCATATCTATTGGATCATAGCGAGAATGAGGATTATGCACAGCACCTCTAATTCAGGCCCTTGCCTAAACGAACCGTAGCCTTGTCTGCACTGCCATCAATTGTGTTTCCCTGCGCATCCTCCTCTGCCCCAACCCATAGCTTGTTATGCCCTTGCCGAGCCGATTCACCCGTGTTCGGCGCTGTTTCCGACAGATCAATGGCCTACATGCTCCTACTTCCTTCCTTGTTTTCCCGCTTGCTTGCTTACTCGTGTCTTGGTGCGTGACAAGCACAGCAGAGCCCTTCCCTGGCACGAACAAGTTCCAACAGGTGTGTTGCCCAGTGCGTTCGTGCTGCCTGTGGAATTGTCGGCAACTGTGCACCCGTGGTAGGTTCTCCACCTGATGTGAGTGATGCATGAAGCTTTCGAGGGGGTGTCAAATGTTTTTGCTTCTTTGAAATCTATACCCTGACTCTGCTTCAGTCCCGAGCGACTACTGTACTAGCCATGTACTTTCGATAACCAGGGACAGACCACTGGCGGATCTGCTTTCCGTACACGGCCAACCCCAAAAAGGTGAAGGGACATGCGAGAGAGGCTATTCCAGCGGTGATGAAGCAGTTCGGAAGTCCCGGCGTTGACCACCATGACGTAATGGCGTAGCTGAATCCAGATCCAATCGTGTTGCGGATCAGCATTATTGACACAATTGTCTCTCCGGTTATCTCTTTGAAGCAGTCAATATTATAGCCCACCGCGACACTTCTACCAGTGACGCATCCGACCGTGAGCATCCCAAGTCTAAACACCAGGCCCATCCAGTGTACTTCATGGTAGGCCCCGACGCCCCACGTTAACGAACCGGCGGCTGAAATGGTTTCAGAGAAAAGCAGCACCCAAAGCCAATTCTCTGCCTCACGGATGCTTTTGTTGCGCCGCGCTAGCCTCAGGGCGATACAATCCGCAAAGTTCCCAGACCATAGCGATGCAAATGCAGCGCCAATGATAGGTCCTGTATAGACACTGCCTACTAAAGCCGCTGACCAATTGTACGGGGCAAAGCTGAACTTGGCAGGGAGTGATGAAATATGTAATATGTGATATTGCATAAAGTATGTGACCTTCAGGGGTGTAGGTCCATTTATTAGGGCGCCGGGAAGGTGCCAAGACACTTACCAGATATCACGTGGTTCAAAGTCCAACTGGCAGCACTGAGGACTGGGCTTGCAGTACTGTTGAGAAAATTGTACCACGCCAGATTGATTCCGTAGAAGAATCCGGCTCATCCTACTGTGGGAACGCGGAAGATCAATATAACTGGCCTGTATGCCATACGAAGCATGTTCGGGTTGCTTGGTCGTCCTGGTAAAGCCTTGAACATGGTGCAATGCAGCGTTGATGTCGCGATACTTGGATAGCCTTGTTGGAGAGGTGGGCGACGAAGCGCTTGCGGCAGAGGCTGTCTTTGCTGAGCCCTGGTCAACTTCCTTTTCTCCCGTCCCATCGTTCTCCATGGGCCAGCTTCTTCACCTTCTACTGCGTTGTCACGTAAGTCCATGAAGAAGAACATGATAACGAAGCACACAGCCCAAAAGATAGCTCCGAAGTGCATAGCCCATCGCCAACCGAAGGCATCGTTGAACCTAAGCGGTATACAAAGTCAGCGTGGTTAACAAATTCACAAGGTTGAGCCCATCGGACATGAGGTGAACAGCTCAGACGCGCAAGGAGAGGCTGTCCTTTGTTCCTTTGAGCCCGCCGTCTTGTATCTTGGACCTACTCATCAACCAGCAACAAACGGAGCCAAGAAGTTCGACCCAAACAAAATGAACACATACAACCCCATATATATGCCACTATTATGGGCAAACAACAGGTCAAAGATTGTGACCTCGCATAGAGACTCGATTGGGGATACGAAGATGCCGATCAATGCTGGATGCGCCATTCATTTCCCGGCAGATGTCGAATAGGCTCTCCATATCATCATAGGTACCGTTAAGAACAGTGGTATGAGACAGACACCCCGATGTCCGTACGTAAGCGCGATTGGCTGCCATAACAAACAAGCCCACCCAAAGAACAAGCACATGATGCCAGTTCACTGAACCAAATCGGCAGTAGAAATTCCGGTGTCTGCGGTAATGTCCGCCAGAAAGGAATATTGGAGGGATGTTGCAATACCAGTACCTAAGCGTTGCGGTATATGTCAGCAATGACTCGATGAAAGAAATTTGGACAAAAACTATGGCCTACCAAGGACATGGAGTATCCCATGTTTCCTGATGCTGATACTATACGCCCGAAGGCTATGGTACCCTTGCGGATGCGAAAGGCACTTGCTGGCAAGAAGATTGGTATACTTAAGATGTACATTGGCGGCGTTGATTTTGATCCTACAGCAAAGCCACACACGCCAGTTTGTCATGGGCCTTTGGCAGAACGCCCAAAAGGTCCTCGAGGGGCTTGGTGCAAGCGTTCAAGAGGTCGACTTCCCTGTTGTCACGAAGTTCTAGAACCTAGTTGCAAGCCGTGCAGATAGCCTGGTCGAAAAGTTGATTGTACCTCCCCACCACGAAGTCGACATGTGCAAGGTAATGGAATACGCTTGGGACGATTTGTTGGCCTCAAATGGAGACCATAACGTTGCCACTAGCCTCGCGCAAGTCGATTCAGGAACGATCTTCCCACGCCCACCAGGAGCCATCAAAGACAAGTATGCGGACGACGATCCTATTGTGCGCCACATCGATGTAGAAGCACATGTAACCAATGGGCTTGTTATTACGCATGAGACACCTATTCTTGGTGACGCACTCAAGAACCTTAAGCCAAAGCGGAAGTCGGACTACGAAGACTGGCCTGCCGAAGTAGGCCTCGATGCGGTTGTGTGGCCCTGCAACGGCGACGTGGGCAAAGTCGACGCGGACGTTAACAAGCTATCTGCCGCAGATACCTGGCGGAACGGAGTTCTGTACTCTAATGGTGACTGTGCCATACGGCAGCTGGAAATCCCGACAGTTAGTGCTCCGATGGGCGTCATGGCCGATATGGGCATGCCTTTCAATCTCACTTTCGCTTCGAAAGCTTACGGTATGATTACAACAACCTCTTCCGGTACGCATATGCCTTCGAAAAAGCGAGCAAATTCCGCCAAGCATCTAAGCAAACACCTGCGCTGCCCACCAATACTTTTAAAGTCGCTGAGCAGGCGAATAAGATTGGGGCCGACGTACCATAGCTTACAGCCGCTGCATTTGTTGTTAAAGACAAGGAAGGCAGGCGCGTCAATCTTTCTGGTACGTGCGGACAAGATTTGGTTTCATTGGGCGTCTATGTAGACGGCGATGAAGCTGAGAATGTCAAATTTGGGGGTGGTCAATGGGTGGATAGCGCCGTTACGGAGAGTGTTTGAAATGGGGGTAAGGAAGAGAAAGCGGTACCTGATCCCCAAAAAGCAATGGCTATTCTCCTTGCGACGTCTGGCAACGGAAGGTCTGCAGGCAAAATGATCTTTGTTTAGTGTAATGCCCCCGCGAGTATATTTGGAAGAAAGTTGTTCACCCGGGTCGTGAGATTATGATTACCGGCCCTGAAGTTCATTGACTATGTATTACTCTGTCATGTTTCATGTCACACTGGTAGTGTGACTAAAATAATTTCTGGAATTCTCTCTATTGCGAGCCATTCGATAAAACGCCTTTCGCCAAACCGTCCAAGTATTTTGCGTCGCTTTCCTCCGATGGAGATCTTCTCATTAGCTCATCAAGCGTAGCACCATGCGCCTCGCTTCGAACTCTCACTTCGATGCTGAATGGGCCAACTTTTGAGACAAGGCCTGGACCAAAGGTGTGCACATTTTTCACCGTGTCCCCACGTTCGTTCACTGCTGGTACAACATTGAAAGTTGCAAGTACCTGCGCGAACGTCAGGTATAACGAGGAGTCGGCCAAGACACGTCCAGGGCATATCCTGCGTCCGAATCCAAATACAAAGTCTCGTGGAGAGGGCTCATTGTATGGCTCCATGTATCGTTCGGGTTTGAAAGTCTCAGGATCATGGTAGACTTTCGAGTCGCGCGTAAACCACCATACGTTGGGAAGGACTATCGCGCCCTTGGGGATGCGATAGCCGTTGATACAGTCCTCTTCATCAGACAAGTGGGGAACGCCCATAGGAACAATAGGATGCCACCGTAACGCTTCGTCGACAACAGCGTTCAGGTACGGCAGCCGATCTCGATCGCCAAAATTCGGCATTCTTTGCGCTCCCACCACGCGGTCGATCTCCTCTTGTGCTTTGCGTTGTACGTTGTGGAACATGCTCATTGCTAGGAAGAACGCATTGAGTGTCTCAGCAGAAGTGTCTTCGCCTCCCACGTACAAAGATACAGCAGTCCATTTGATCGCATGTTCTTGTTCCTCACTCAATGCACATCCGCCGTTGTCAGCTTCAGCCTCGTCCATCGAGCGTGAGACAAATGACATGCTCGCCGATCCGCCCGAGTGCCGCTTCCTAGCAAAATTGTAAGGCACGTTGACGCAGCTTAGGACGTTGTGCCTCCACAGCCGTGCTGTTTTCTTAAAGCCTGCTCCTGGCAACCATTCTGGAACATGAGCGAGCATGGGGATCGTGTCTACCAGCCACCTACCGGGAACGGTAGCTTGGCTGAACTGGTCCATTGCGACATCCGCCATGGCGATCAGTGGGTCAGCTTCGTTCTGTTCAATCTTGTAGCCGTACAAGACTCTGAGGATGAGGCTTCCAGTTTGCCTGTATAATATCATCAGTAGAGATACCCATGTCTTTTGGCTGGGAAGACAGTGTAAGGAAATTGAACCTACGTTTTGAGGTTATGGACAAGGTCTCTGCCTCCGCACTCTTTCATACGTTGAAGAGTTCGACCGACGATCGCCTCCTGCATCGAATGGTACCGCGATACCGCCGCCTTTGACCCTATCTGTTGATATGCATATTTTCGATAGAGTCGGTGCAGTGCGTTGTTCTGCAGACTGCTCATAGCGTCAATCCAGCCGACCCTGTGAGAATGTCAGCTACTTCAGCTACTGCAAGAACAGACAAACTGACATGTCTAGGCCGAACCTTAGCCTCGGTCGCCCTGAATAAATTGCTGAACGCTTATTTAGCAATTCATCAGCGATGTTCTTGTCGTGAATGAACACAAGGGTCTGGCCCAAGACGGTGATAGAGCTGATAGGTCCATAGATGTTTTTGAGCTCTAGCCAATGTGTATACTCAAGCTTTCCTGGTGGCGGAAGGTCCTTGATGTTGCCGAGCAGGGGCATCCCCCGAGGACCAGGCGGAAGACGGCTATTAGTCTTTTTGACGCGTGCATGGAACGTTACGATCAATGATACAGTCAGCAAGAGTAAAGTTGTCGCTATAACGGGATCCAAGACGAAGTGTGGTAGCATCTTCATTATAGAAAAAATCTTCGGATTAGTGAAGACAGAAGGCACGTGTAGGCCTGTCAAGACACTAACAACATGGCCACTGTGGTGTGGGGATTTTCGGGCTGCAAGTTTTGTGGGCAGAACTTAAGTGTACAAACTCACGTATGGACTGGAGCGCTTGGCAGACGAGGATGACCGGTCGGCAAAGGCCCCCGAAATATCTTGGTCGGAAGGATTGTGCATCAGCGTAGCGCTTGCCCAGCTTGATAGCGATTCAAGTTGGCAGTTAGGGAGGGTGAAGGGTCATATTCTAAATTTCAGTTGGCCAGGGGAACACAGGCCAAGGCGACTCCCTGCCACAGATGGTGTCAGCGTCGAGTGCGCCATGTGTATGCCTTGTGATAGGTGCGCTGGACCATCATAGACCAACTTGCTCAATATTATTCCACAAAGCCGGTATACCGATCGACTGAGTAAGCCTTACTGTGCATGTGAGACTCGGCGCGTTCCGATTGACCCAGGTATGAGAGAAACGTCCGAGTTTCGCCCGTCGAGCACGCGATACTACTCACCTCTACGCCTGCTACATGGTACAACGGTAAGATGGTCGCGGTTTGACACATTTTAAGCCGTTTCCAGCGCAAAACTCTATTACCCTTTTGCGCATCTTTCTGCGAGATGGGTCATCCTTGGCCATTTACAAGCGAGAGAGCTCCGGGCTGAGTTCAATACGCAATACGGGCGCCTTTTCTTTGGAGCAGACATAAATCAATGACTAAGAAGAAACTCACGATGCTGATTAGTTGCGGGTGTTCCTTGTTTGGACACCATCATATCACATTAGTGCGGCCAGGCAAGATTCGTACCTATGGTAGCCTTTGTCTAGCGCCGGAGACGATATCGTAGTCCCACCCTTCTTGCGCCCACTTGAACTTAACATACGGAGCAAGTTCTTTGTCGTTAGGAATGACGCGCTTCCACTCAGGCTCTACTCCTTCCGCATCTTGAAGCCCGCGCAATCGATCACGTCCGAATATGCGATACGAATCAAGCGCATACTCTCCAATACCTGGCAGATGCCCGATTTCCCAGCCTTCTCGCTCATCGTCGGGGCCTAGCAGCTCACGATTTTTCACATCTCTGCCCTCTCCCTTTGGATAATCGCGACGTCCATATCGCCGATCAGCTGACGGCGGAGCAGCTACCCAAACCTGGGCCAGCTTGACTAGACATTGTGCTCTTCGCTCTTGTAGCCCGAGTATGCGAATGAGTTCCTGCACTGCAGTGGGGTCGGCAGAAGCGAGCAGCTCTGGAGTTGGGTATGTGCATAAGACTTTCCATAGGATAGGTCGGGCCGCAGTGCCTTTTGTTTTGTTCCACAGAATCGCTTGGATGACGAGCGCAAAAAGACTGTCGCATATACGCTCTTGAATAAGGCCAAATTCTGGGGCTTGAAGCTCGAATTTCAAACCGGGGGGTGGGCGCTCTCGAGAGAAGGGCTCAGGGAAGAATGGGGATATGGTAGGACCTGCAGTTGGCTTCTTCTTTGGTTTTGTTCCAGGTTCGGGGAAGTATGGAGAGATTGTGGGTTTCCTTGGTGCGTCTTGGACCTTCGGATTTGGCCCGTTGGTTCTAGATGACTTTCGCACACTCTGTAGTGGGCGAGGTGTTATGCTCCGGTTGAGCAAAGCTGTCGCAGATGACAAGTCGGTGGCAGCTTGGGTCAAATGGGACGATCCAAGTTCTAATGACGCACAAGCTCGCGCGATGAGCTGCGCGGAAGCTAAAAGCCGCTGATGGTCATCGGTCATGTTGTCAATCCAATGGGTATAAATGGGCAGCGATTGAGGGGGTGCTGTGAGTTTGAGCGATGGGAACGGATACCAATCGACGGTGGCTAAGTCTTGGCAGCTAGGGCCTTGTTCTCTTCACCATTTCACCGCCAGGGCTTTGTTATTCTTCTGTACCTGCAGATCAATTCAAGAGACGTTCTACAAGCAATGCGTCGTCACCAAACTTTGTGGCATGTTTGACCGTCTGATATCGGAAGAAAACGAAACCACTAAGCTTAATCGGGAACGGTGACATCACATAGAGGGTCGTCAATGGAAGCTCACGATGCTCGACTCCAACGTAATTCGCAAGATTGACACGTTTGATCCGGATAGCTCACTGTTTCGGGATCAATGCATGGTGCATGGTGCTGGTAATATCAACTTGAAAGGAGCTAGTTGAAAGAAGCGACACATGCAGAGGGGAACAAGAACATTCACCCTCTTACCGAGCATTCAGCCCGACAAGCTGTGCATACTCTTCGCCTGTGTTATAGTCCTCCTATTCTTTATTGGACCCGTTGATGAAGAGGAATTTATGGGAGAATCTTCGCCATAGATCTTCGCGATATATCGCGCACCTGATTCAAAGACGGGAACCAAAGCCATGGTTTCCCTCGTTGCCATGGTGATGTTTCTCGCAATGTTCAACGCCCTCGCTTCGGTATCACGTCTCGTTTGGATTTTCGCTCGCGACAACGGGTAACCATTCTCGGAAGTCTTCGCGTACGCGAGTCCCTTGGGCTGTGTTTCCCGTCAATAGTTGTAACAATTCTCAGATACACACCAGGCTCAAGCGAACTTTGAACGCCCTCCTCCTTGCCGCCATGACAACATGTCTTTTTCTGATTTACATCGCCTGCCAATTAGGTATGATGACGTCATAAGCAAGTCGTGATATCTCTGCCTTTCAGCGATTAGCAGTGTCTCGTACTAAACTTGTACATAAGTAGTGAAAAGTACACGGCGCCCTCCTGACAGTTGCTATGTCGTTCGTCCTCGAATGCTACTCCTGCATAAGTAATCTTGGGAGCATTAAGTAGCGATTATCCTGATGCAGTTGGTGTTTCAGGCATGTACAAAAGCTAATAATCTAAATTCACAAGGGACTACCGGCATCGGTAGTGTAGTTGGGGTATTTTAAATATCCTTAGAAGAATTGTTAGAAGCGGAATCAGGGCTAGCTGACGATGCTTCACGCGAACTTAGGAATTCACTAACATCCTTTCTCTAAATACTGCGAGGTGACTCAACCCTTCCTACGGGCACGCGATCGATAGGCTACAAGTTTGATCTCGAATCAATCTCTAGGATGAACAACAATACTTTGTAGTTAGACGACGGCAATGCGGTCGCTAGGCACCCAATCCCAGCTAGGCATCTCGTGATGGACCTATCGCAACAACTTCGCAGCTTCGACCGCAAATCGCTTATTTGCCATTTTATAAAGCGCGAAGCAGCTTTTGACACAATCCCGCGGTCTGCACCTGGACAACAGCGCCCTACGCTCAGCCTGATTTGTCTTTCCGCGATCGCAACAAAACTCAGCTACCCACACCACGTAGAAGATGGCCACATCGACGCAGCCGTCATCCCTCTTCTTCAGAATTCCCCTCGAGATCCGGGAACAAATATACCACCACGTGTTTCTCTACTCTCGCTGCATGCACGCTGCGTTCCCGACCCAGCCTCGATCATCCACAGCATCACAACCACATCTCAACGATATCACGCTGCGCTATCGGCTACCAGACCCCAATTGCAGGGAACAGCGCTATGCTTCCGGCTACGAGCATCTACAGATAGATTGGATCATGTCATGCAAAGCGATCTTCTCCGAAGCCTTGGAGCAGTTCACGCGCAACGCAGAATGGGTCGTTTGTGGGATCGAAGGCGTCATATGTCGGAGCTGCAAACATTGCTCGTCCGAAGGGAGGCGAACAAGTGCGATCAAGAGACATTGGACAACACGGATTCCCGTAAATTCAGCGCGTATTCGCAAGATGGAAGTTAATGTTGACAACCTGACTAACTTTGAAACACCCAAACGATACGAGCACTGGGATGAATACGATGGCATAGACACTACCGAGCAACTGAAGGCGCTGAGTGAGGTCATGCGCGCTGCCCACATGCAGCTGGATACGCTGAGATTCGTTGGAAACAGTTACCAGCTCCGCGGTACTGGTAAGAGGAAGACGAAGCCTAGCATCTGGACGTCTGGCTCAGAACAAACAATAAACATTATGCAACAACTCATATCTTTTTTCGACGGTATCAAAGTGGACAGGTGGGAACTTGGTATTGTCGATATGCCGCGTTGGACTTGTTGGGTATTGTTTGAATGGGTTGATAGCGAGGGATTGAGGATCATCAGAAACGAAGGGCGTCAGAAAGCGACAGATCCGAGGCCTGAGGAGGATCTGTTGAATTTGTTGCCGCCTGGGTGGGTGTTGAAGATTCCTACGTGCGGAGACGAGGACTGCGATGACTGTAATCCGCTTTGAGGGACTATCAGGAACATAATGGTGTAATCATTCCTACTCCTTCGATGTATTCAGAAATTCCGACAACAAAATAAGGACCAGGGGGATACAGAGGTCGATGAAAAGCCACCAAGCTGCACCGAAGCTTGCCACCCAGTCAATTGGAATAAGGCACTATGACACACGGTAAGACATCCCATGCATTAGATATCAAGATGAGCTCTTGGGCGAAGGGGACTGCTATAATTTCGACTTCGGTGGCGCACTGGCGAAGCCAGAAGCAGTAAGGCGATCTAAGTTCGACGGCTAGGAAGTTTAGCATGTCTCATGCCCAAGTCCTAAAAGGGGAACTCGCCGCTGCGGTGTGTCTGGCAGAAGGGTTTCTGAGAGCTTTGTGCAAAGAGGAAACTTTCACGCGGTTTGCGCAGAGCGTAGTTAGAGAAGGCAGCCTCCAAGCATACTGCCAGCGTTGCTACCCCGAGACGGTTCCTTCTTCGATCTCTTTCGGTGAATCATCTGGCCTATGGCGCTTTCCCGAAAATAGTATCTTCCTCCCTATAGATCTTCCTCCACTCGGGCGTGGATCTGCTTCTCGATCCTTGTACTAGAATGCCCACAAGAGGAAGACTACAGATAATGCAAAGCTGATGGGAACTATGCTAATGCTAGTATTAGTGTCTTTCAGGTTTGACATTTTATCCTGAACACACACCTGTAAGTAGAACTTCTTCCTACATGCACTGGGAAGCCGTCTCCAAGTTCGCTGGTATTCCTTCCGAATATAGAGCTGATCAGGCTTAAAGGAACCTATGAAACAAGGTGTCAGGCGGCACTTGGGCCTCAGATGGACTAAAAGACCAACAGAATGGTCACTATCGTGAACAAGAGCACTTGTGATGGGGTGCTTCTGCGCGCATAAATTGTTAGTCAATTCAGTAATACAGCTAAAGCTTCGACATTCTGAAGCTGACCATACTCACTATGACGGGCCCGTATCAAGTACGAGCACTCTCTCACACACAGTCAATGCAAATACTATCTGCTTGTCGCACCATACAGTTCAATCATTCCAATATCTCGCCTCGCGCCGGTATTTGTGGCATCTTTCGAGTTTATACATGTAACAAGTAGGTTGAATTCTGCAGGCTAAGTCACGAGAAGCAGCGAAGGACGGCATCCATTCGATATGTGACGCTGAATTGCGCTTAAGCTGGATCAATAGCAGCACCCCGCCGGTGATGCTCATCTCTTATCAGCTTACATAGGGCATACCGTACTCGCCACGACCTCCAGAGACCCAAAACTTGGGACTCTATCAAGTAAGTGTAGCTACGCGCCGTAACGGCTGCGAACTTTTCATTCCAGACGAGGGCAGCCGCCCTATTCGTGCCGTAAAATGAACCTTTCTCTCCTGGTGGTTTCACCCCACAGCCACTGACATTGAATACTAGACTTTGTGGCTACACAACGTTGGGATATTCTGTGAAGGCGTGCTCTAAAAATCCAGTTTCTTGTGGCAGCAGCCCCTGTGCTCTGCGATAAGGCCAGGAACGCCGAAGCCCACATGCACTGTTGGGAGGAAGCAGGGGCGCTTCCCCGCACTTGCTCACAGCCCGCCCCCACCATGCAATCTTTCCGTACTACACTTTGTACTTTATCCGTCTCCACAGAGCTTCACGACCCATCCCTTCTTAAAATCACTATGGCAACACCGTACGTTCGTCCCTTCAATTTCGATACGGATCACTCCGCTGGTCTACACGTTGTACGTGTCCAATATCCCTCAACAGAGTGCGCAGCCCACCTCCTCCCCCTAAAACGCACCGGGCCACCGCCACAAACAATCACTTGCAATCTTTGAATACTTTCCAGCACCCGAACTAACCTTCTTCCCCCAAGTTCCTCACCACCCTTGACCCCTCCGTATCCCACGAACCCGCCCGCACGATCGGCTCCTACCTCTGGTACAAAGCCTACGTCTACCTGACCCCCAATACCTGCTTTGTCCTCGACAACGGCGCCGGACGCGCCGTAGGCTACATCATCGGCACACCAGACACAGCCGCCTTCGCACAGCGCTGGCGCGAAACCTTTACCCCAATCGTTGATCCGGAACTGGTCCCGCCGCCAGGTATAGAGACGAATGATCCAGCCATGGAAACTGCGCTCGTGAAAGGGCTTAGAGAAGAAGTCCATTCCGGAGAATGCAGCATGCTCCTCTCCCACCCCTCCCTCCTTTCCACCTACCCAGCCCACCTACACATCGACATCTTACCCGAGTTCACGGGGCAGGGTTGGGGCCAAAAGCTCATGTCTGCTTTCCTTCCCGCTATCAAGGAACTAGGAGCCGGAGGCGTGCATCTCGGCATGGTTGCCACAAACGCCGGGGCGCGGAGGTTTTACGAGAGGCTAGGCTTCGAACTGTGTGGGGAGGTTATGGATGGCGGGGTGAGTGGGGAGGTGGGCAGGGATGGAGGAGCGGTGTGCTTGATGAGGAGACTTTGAGACGGAAAGATGAGGATGGGATACCCATGCAGATTCACTTTGTTAGGTAAGTATGTGTCATGTACAGCTGTCAACGCTTGTGCATGTTTTGTTGGTTTGTACTGTTTGAGTATGAGAACATGCCCGAATAGCACCGCTCCGACGCCTGCCTGCCGCGTAAAGAGTGAAAGAGGGAGATCCCCGTCGACCATTCTGACTTGCATCTGCCTTCGCATCGTGTGATTCGATCTGAAAACTATCTACAGCCTCGACAAGCCGGTGATCTCGCGCGGCGCGTGGTACGTTGGAACCTTCATGTCGAGCGCGGAGCCAGAGTAACCCAGGTCCTCGGCGGTGAGAACAGCGCACTTCTCGCCAATGAGCAGCGCGGTGGAGTAGGTGTTGCAGCCGACGTTGTCCTAGAAGATATAAGTTAGCCAAGTCCTCGAACTACCACGGTTGCGCGAAGACGTACTGGACAGATGGACAGATCCGCAACCTTGAGGTTCTTCACGCCATGTACATTGAGGCGTTCATCGAGTACGCCGTGCTTGACGATTGAGTTGCCCTCCTTGGGTGCCATAGAGCAGGTGCCTAGAGAGTGCCATGTAGTCTCAACGTGACCTGATTGCTGTTAGTGAGTAAAACTTCTGTGGGATTCAATGCGCGTACGTTTCGTCCAGTCCTCGATGTGTTTAATATCCTCATTTGTGTACTTTAGATCCTCCAGGACGTGCTGACAATTGGAATTGAGGAACGTAGGTTCCGGATCGCGGCCCTTCTCGACAGGCATGCTCCACGAGCCATGCTGAATACCGGCGGTGAGGTTTCCAGGGAGGGCGTACGCATTCGTAGTAGCCAGATCCAGGTCTTTGGCTCGAGCAGGGCTGTCAAATGAGTAAAATGGATGCATGGCCTGAACCTCCCCGGCGTAGGCGTCCATACGTCGTGCCGTCTCGCGGGACTTGATGTAGCCCCAGACCATGGGCGCTGTCAATCACATATTAGCCAGCGGAAAACATCATGTGTGTATCGCATATACGCACCCATATCTCGCTTGTCATTCATGAAGCCTGCATCGAAGTCGGGTGCCTCGTAAGGATTTGGCGATACAATATGCGTCGATCCACGAGAGAACGGATACTCCAGGAAATGGAACATGGTGAAGAACTTGCCCGGTGGCATGAGCATCTGGTGTGTGTCAGCGTAAAGTACTGACCACAAGACATGGAGGTGCTTACATGGTCACCGAACCATCCGGCGATGACAGCTGCGAACACGTTAGCGATAGGCGACGGGTAATGGGTATGAGAGATAGCTTACAGTAGTGCATGACCGGCTTGTCTGGCTTATTCTTGAAGTAGCTGTCCCAGCCCGATCTGAATTCCTTGCAAGGCCAGGAGTCCATCGCCTTCAGCTCCTCCTCGGTAGGCCTGATCTTCACCCCGGCTTCGATGCCGTTAGTCGCCAATGGCCCAGTGCCGTTGAGGTTCCATTGTTGGAAGACTGCCTCCTGCGTTTTCGGGTCGCCCCGAACGAAGTCATCAAACGACTCGACGTGCGGCTTAGCGCGGAAGACGGAGAAGGTCTAAAAGTCATTAGCTTGCTTCCTTCCGACTGCGTGCAAACACATACCAAGTAGTGGTCTTGGAAGTTTAATCCCACACCGGGAAGGTCAACTAACGGCTTCACGCCAGCCTTGCGGAGCTTCTCGGGGTCACCAATACCGCTTCGCTGAAGGATCAAGGGCGAGCTAAGAGTACCACCGGACACGATGATCTGCTTTCGAGCTCTGTAGATCTTGCTGTGCTTCTGATTAGGGTGAAGTGGCTTGGTTGGTACGGTCTGTACTCCGACCGCCTTGCCACCCTCAAGAATAACCTTGTCGACCTTAGTGTTGACAGCCAAGTGCAGGTTCTGGTGGACAGCGCGAGTGCTGTGGATATACCCATGGGCAGAGTCGCTTCGACGTCCGGTATCGCGGTTGATCCACTTCAGCCAATGCTCGGCACCATGACCAGTGACCAGGTCTTGGAGATCGTCCGTGGTCGGAATACCCTGAGACTCGGAAGCGCGTAGGAAATCCTCTTTGATAGGGTACGTGTAATTTCCGAATGAGACCTTGATGGGGCCCTCGAAGCCGTGTATGTCTCGGTTGTTGCATGAACGCTGCCGGCATCGTCAGCAGCTGCTCAGATTTCGATAAGAATGATCAACTTACTTGGTACGTCTCGTGTTTCTTCATCAATGGAATGAGCTCCTTGGTGGTCCAACCCTTTGCTTGGAAATCATCGTAGTCTGAGGCAGACGCACGAGTGTACATCATGAAGTTGATTGAACTGCCGCCACCCAAGATGTGAGCGCAGGGTACAACAGCTCGACGTCCATCGAGCCATTCTGAGGGCCGTGAGTAGTAGAAGGAGGCAGTCTTGCTGTCAAGCTTCATATTACGGGGGTAGATCCCCGGTCGAAAAACCCTGGTAAGGTCAGCAATGTCGTTCATGTGTACCTAAAGATGCACTAACCATGGGTTGTTCAGGTTGTTCTCTCCACCTTCGATAAGCAGGACCTGGAGATTATCTGTACAGTAGGGCTTAATTTGTGATTCAAGGGCTTCATTGATGGATCAGGGCATATCAGCTTGCTCTTATGCAAGAGATCTTGCGGCGATAACGACGTAGACCGCATAGAAAGGGAATCATGACGTCCACGAAGCTACGGAGGAAAACATGTGGTCGAACTCACGGTCAAGGTTGGCCAATCGTCCAGCGACGACACATCTGTGACCAATGAGTACAGCTCAAGCCATTGGGGAAGCAATACTGACCCACAAGACCCTCCACCACAAACAATGATATCGACCTAAAGTGAGATAAGTCATTAGATCGTACAATCATTGATAGATGCTGTTACCTCGTCTGGAATCGTCATCTTGTCGTCAAACTGTCACTATGAGGACACTGCTCAGGGTTCAGAGAGTTACCACAAGAGAATCTGAATTCAATTGGGCTCACAGATGAATAGAATTGGCGCGCTGTCCTTCTTAAGCTCCGCAGACCCCGCATTGAGAGGGCGTCGGTTCCAAGAAGCTCTGACATATTGGTCTGGACAGCGCCAATCCTGTCAGCGTAGGCCTTCGATTCCTTGGCTGTATCTCCATACATTGGGCGTGGCTGTGCCACTCGCGTCCTAGCTTGATACCATCAACGTCGGCAAGTACCCTCGAGCGAATGTCCTGTGAAACGGATGTGGGCTGATATTCGGTCCGCGTGATTGCCATCCAGCGGATCCGCAACGACTGTGCATCTGTAGAGAGGGCCCTCGCTCATGATTGGCGTAAGCAGGCGGGTATCAAGGATGTTTCCCGGGGCTGTGGTAGCATGTTATGCCCTGATTCAGCGGTTCAATAGGACTTGCAGGTGTAAAGCGGAGAGGCACAGTCCCAATTCTCCACCTAAGAGCTGCAAGGCGCTACAGAGCAAGGTCCATGCAGCTGGTACGTACGTCACTGCCTATCTACTCGTTCGTAGGTTGTATGGCAGCGAAGAGCGACAACTCGAACCCTAAATCGTTGGTAGAATCAAAAGCCGTAGGGACTCCTTTCCCGTCAACGCCACAACGGATTGCGAGCTCTAGGAGTAGAAATTTAATGCTCTCGATCGAGGGTTTGACATCCGATGAGATCTTTGATTTACGCGTCGTCAACCTTGCGATCGAAACATACCAGTAGCTTTGCGGGGTTAGTCTGACAAGGGGCTAAGTTGCCGTGCCGTCCGAGGATACGTAGGCGCCGGACGTAAACAGCTCTAGCAGCTTTCAAATTGGCACGAGTGTCTCACCGAAAGGATGTGGGGTGCAGTAGCTGCTGCGGAGAACGCTTGACCGAAGACGCGCCTATGCAAGGGTCGCTGGGCCGAAGGTTTAGCGAGCGGGGCCAGTTGAAAGTGCGGGGGTCGGACCGGACATCGAGGCAAGCTTGACAAGTTAGGGGTGTTTGTAGACCATTGAGGTTAAAGATGGGACGGTCCGGAATTTATGTAGGTCCTCGGCCTTAGCTTCTTCATTGTTTGTATGGGCTCAAAGACTGCCTGGTGCTCCGCGGTGTCCGTAGCTATGTTGTTCCCGTCAGCAGTGGACTTGCAGGTCGGACTAGATGCCTGCAACAAACTTCTTGGTCCCACATTGCTCTCAGCATACAAGACGTGGGGACCGGGGTCATCAAGACTCCTGTTGTTCACAAATTGACGAGGGCTCTTGAGGGCGAAGTTTTTATTCGAAGTATACATGTTGCTTTCCTAACACCCGATATGCAATGGGTATCCGATGATATCCGCCTTCCCTGAAAGAAGAAACGCCGTGCTGATGTTTTTGAGAGTGGACAAAAGAAAGAGAAAAAAAAGTACAAGGAACTAGTTAAAAGGAACAACTAGGCTTGTCAGTCTAGATGATATCGCTGCGTTCCCACCCCGTCGGTCGCTGGAACTTGAGGTCCTTGCGTGGATGGGGCCTCTCACTATCCTTGTATTCGCTGACGTAGGGGTTAGGGTCTTCCACCTGGTCGAGGTTGCCCCTACAAGCAGTCAGTACAATGCTCCTCGATGGCGTGAATTGAGTGAAGCTTACAGAGTATGGTTCACCTCACGGTGTTTGCTCTCGTCGGCGCGAACTGGGAATAGGTATTAGTGAATGTACGACCCAGAAGAATGGATACATACTGTAGAGGAGTAAGTCTCGCATGGATTGATGGCCTTCCGGCATGTTCCAGTAGTCTATTGCGATCTGTGGTGCCTGAAGCTTCTCCCATTTGGGAAGTCGCCCAGCATCCAGGTCCTTGAGCTGGCGTGTATACGTGATAACAGCTTCTTCTTCGAGGTAGCCGACGAAGCGATGCACTGTGCGAGGAGAAATCAGATACGCAAAGAAGAGGGCATTGCACCACACTCCTTGAGCGCCAAGGACTGAAAGAGTCAGTAAAGATCCCTTAGCATCGAAACTCACATCCTCGGGCTTACCCAGAAACCTCATGAACCAGCCCGGCTCACTCATCTTGAGGAAAGTCAGGAGGTGCATTCGCTCGTTGTAGCTTTCTTCGAGCAAACTCTCGATCCTAACGGCTGTCAGACACTGCGCCCTACGCACCCAAGTCGAGCTTACCATCCGTTGTCTCTCTTCATCCGTCGCATCGAATGGAGATGCCGGATCATACCAGCGACCATTCCAGGAACACCAGCAACCGATTCCAAAAACACATTCCGCATCATGTACTTCTCCTCTGTCATGGCATACTTCCTTCTCGCCGCTTCCGGGTCCTTTTCATTCAACGCAACAGCCTTGTCATGTTTGTATCCCGTTGCGAGATCCAGGCCCCATCGGAGGACCTTCACGGCGAGGAGCGCGACTCTATCGGAGCGTGTCTTGGCTTCGCGGTGAGCTACGATAACGCTTTCCATATCATTGTACGAGTACACTTTCACACGTCAGCGAGTTTCACTAGGTAGTCGGACCGAGTCAGATATACCAGGGTGTGGCCATGCTGACGGCGTCTTGCGGACTTTTTCAGTCTCTTTCTGGGGAAAGTACTCGTCGATCCTGGATGACCTGGACGTGTTGGAGAAGTGCCGTTGTGGTGCCGCGCTCAACTGAATATGATGGACGGCGACGAATGTCGGCCTCAGCCCAGCACCGGAGGCATTCAAGCAATTGAGGGTCTTGATGAATTGAGCAGAAGCCTGCCTTGAGGCCCTGGGTCCGTTTGCTGTTACTCTTGTACAGATCATAGGTGTAGGTAAGCTGTGGCGATGTTGGTAGGTATTGATAACAAGTTGTCAATGTGAGATTGGGTAACACGTTAAAGCTGAATAATAGCTGTAGCTGTAGTTGTGAATGAGAACTGGGAGCTGAAGCAACAATCGGGCTTTATATAATCAAGGTATCGTCGGGACGACAAAGCGTTTTAGGGGATCGATGACTTTTCGGGATCTCGTTCGATCCACCTTGCCAGTGCACGCGCCGCCGACATAAGCCTCGAACTATCTCATCATAGCGAACGGGATTCGTCGATAGAGCTAAAGGAAACCTGCGCTGGTCTCGTGCATTGGAGAGGCTGAGGTGTTGGTCGCGTATACGAAAACGATCCGGGACCGTTGCGGAATGTCCGCCAAGGTCGGAGCCATCCTTCGCAAGTCGCCGCCGCGGCGCCCCAAACAGATCAACAGCAGCGACGATGCAGTGAAGTGGTTAATGCCATTGGATGCTATACTTTGTATCATATCAAACATCCAAACATCGTAGTACACACATGACGAGGGAGTGTACATGATTGTCTAGAGGCTGTATGCGGCTGGAGTTTAGCTCGTAAAGCAGCCAATCGTTGGCCCCGAAAACTAATCGGGCGGTGTCTCGGTGTCTCGCCTTCTTACCCCCCACATAATCCCACATAATGTCGCCGACATCTATTCTGGTTGCCGATGAATTGGTTGCCGATTTAGTGCTGCCGTGAGACGTGCTGCCGAAATGGTTTCTTTTCGACAGACAAGAGCAGAATTGTCTCTTTACAGTGGTCGATAACCGATCTCCTACAGTGTGAACAATCATGCTGGCTAATCCCCCTATAGATCCACAAAAGTACAACAGAGTGAGTTGGCACAGGATGAGGTACGCGCCTACAATCCCACTTTCTGTGTCAGCCACTGTGCCTGGTAGAAACAAATCGACCACTTGCTGGTGCTGTCATTATCCTCATTGTGTACAAGTGCTTACTTATACCTCTGGATGCGGCTTTGTCATTCCAGAGTGTACAAATAGGTTCTGTGGAAGTGATGTTACACATGTATCAATTACTATCGTTGGCCGCAGTTCTTTCTCAATGGGGCTTGCGGGCGATATCGCAAATCGAAGCAGTCACCAAGCGGGTTACTTGACGTTGAAACCGCTCTCCCCAGACTTGGTCGCGATGTCATTTTGCTCTAAGCTGCTCACGCTAGCAGCGGAGGGCCCCTTGCTGAGATGCTGGATGAACTCTTTGAGTGCTTGGGATGAGCCTTGAGCTTCACCTTGCACCTGGATGGTTCAGACTGATACTTTGAGGCGATTCGAATATCATACCGTGCCATCTGATACATTGGTGACAAAGCCTGTGACCCCGAGACTGTGGGCTTTTTTGGTCGTGAATGATCTAAGTAGCAGGGTCAGCCATGGCCATGCTGCGGGAGCAGTTGTTCGCACCGGAAGTTCACGCCTGTGATGATTAGCCATAATTCTCACGATCTCAAGGCGAGGATATGCTTACCCTGCACCTCGCCATCAACCTTGAAAGAAATCTACTGCGGTTAGCACCATGGCCAGCTTGCTCTTAGGATACGAACTCGCTTGTCGGCCATTCTGATTGTGCTTACGAGGGACCGTTTAATGTAACAAGCTGCTTGTGTACAGTTGGATTTGCTGTCTTGTAGACTGTGTGTCGCGTCCACTGCAATATTGAGCGCAGGGCATCGACGTCATCGTGAACGCGCAGCACGTGACTTTGGTACGCAAGGACAAGCTAGACTCGAGGCAGCATGACCCCTGGCAGCTAACGGCGGGGACACCCGAGCTTCTCTCAGGGACTCGGAGTTTCACAGCGGGACAGAGTGTCAGAAAAGAGTGCATTTTCACTGCTTGAGTTTCCTGCGGCAAGCAACTTGGCGTTCGCACGCGTCAGCGCCGTGCGCACAGCTGCAGTTTGCTGATTGGGGGTGGGGCATATAGCTGGCTGGACCGGCGCGTTGTCGCGTCTCCTGAACGAGACAATTTACGAAACAATCTCCTGCCGTCGCTGCCTAGCAACCGCACCTTCCTCCACTTCATGGACTTCGGAGATGATCTGTAGCTGACTCCCCTGCATCACACTCAGACACACGACACTCCAACGACGCCTGCTGCCTGCACCTGTATAACCGCCACGCCGCCCGAAACTAGCCATGGAATCAACCCCCTCTCCTCCGCCCGAGCGCACGCTTTCGCCGGAGCCATGGGTGTCGCCGTCGCTTGCGCTGAACGCTGTGCCGCAGCTCGATCGCTCAGTATCGACAGCTTCTTCCGTATCGTCCGTCTCCGGCCGCTCGGCGAGCTCTAGGCTCTCTGACAGCGGCATACCTGGCAGGAGGCGGGGTTACATGCGACCAGAGGGAACAGAGTTCTCCCGATCTGCGAAGAACAGAGAGAGTGTCATGAACTTGGGCACCATAGCGCATCTGCAATACTACTTTGCCCGAACCGGCCTGCTGGACGAGGCCACTGGTAGAGTGGCAAAGAAGCGGAAGCATGGCTCGAGGACAGCAAGCGGGTCGGAGCGGCCGCTCTCAGACATCGAGGGAGATACGTCTGGACTCTCGCCCGGGACTATGGACACGCTGGGGGATGGCCTCGTGGAGTCTCCCATCGACGACAACGCATCCATGAGCTGGGATGACAACGAACCCGTTATGCTTCCACCTACCGTGAGCACATACAAAAGCACCCCAGTTTACGTACCTCCACCGCCCGACATGACGATTCTGCGCCGAGAATTACGCGAGTCGCTCACCGAATGCACGAAACACTTGCAAGAGCTTGAGAAGGGCCATAGCAATGGAACAGCGGCAGATGCGGGGTTTGGAGATGGAGCGGGAGGTCGACAGTCTGCAGAAACGCCTGGGTGGCACCAGATTCAAGGTTTAAATCTTCTCGACGTGGCCACGCTTGCAATCCGCGCGGCGAAGAACTACTACACCGCACACGAGAACCCTCAGCGACTCTACTCGATCAAATCAGAGCGCGTGATACGTAAAGAGCTCTACGACGTGCTTGAGGTGCTGAAACGCTTAGCTATACGCAACTTCGCCAACGGCGTGTCACCTGCAGAAACGGTCTGCATCAAAGAGTGGGTCGAAGACATCGGCACCCTGTTGGACACCGAGGAAGAGAAGGAGCGCGTGGAACAAGAAGAGCGGGAGAGCTGGTCATGGCGCGAGGGCGACTGGACTGGAAAAGAGAGAGAACGGGAGCTACTCTTCCTGAAGTCGTTCGATTCTGTGCCAGAGCCGCTCCCCGAGTGGACAAACCCAGAGAGCGCGGACCTGCCAACGCCCTTCTTAGCAACTCTCCAGAACGGACTGCGACTCATTCACCTGCACAACAGCATTGTGAAGAAGTCACCACGGCAGTTCGAAGAGATCAAGCAGTACCACACGGATACAGCAAAGCCGTATCGATGCGCTGACAATCTGCGCTACTGGGCTAAAGCGGCCGAGCTACGCTGGGATGTGAAGATGGAAATCGATGCCATGGGCATTGTCCAGGGCATCGACGCTGAAGCATGGCGGAACTTCGACGCCGCGCTCATGAAATGGAGCAAAGGCGTCCGCGAGGAGATTGTCAAGGAGTGGAAGCAACAGAAGAGCCAGGTCCGTGCACCAACTCTTCAGATCGACACCGATTTTGAGGTCTCGTAGCCAGATCTCGCATCATATCGGCCATCACATCATACCCCTACCCCTTCTCTGTCAATTTTTTCAGCACCACACCATTTATCAGAACGAGGCATCCGAGTTGACGAATTCTCTGGCTAGCGGTTGGGTTGGATACTGATACCACGTTTCTTACTCAGACTGAGACTAGCCAGTTTCATTTCTCTCAGTTTCCTTCTACCAGAGCGATACCACATCATCTGTGTTAGATACCCCATACCCCATCTGCTTACCAATACCAAGTTGCATTTATAGCACGTAGCAGACATGAACCGTCTGGCTGAATAGATTAATTCCATTACATGTCACATGTCAAGTTCCGGGACCTCATTACCAGCGCTATAGTACACAGTGGCTGCCGTTCAAACCCAGACCTTGAATACCTTGTCTGGTAGGAACTCACTGTACAATACCGTTGTAAAAGTATGATTTGGCAGTCTACCGCGAAGTTCCATAGCCACTGAAAGTACAGTCTTTACTGACACCCACTGTATTATGTACATACATACTCACAACCTATTCGCTTGCGTTGTGTGCTGCACGTCGCGTCGGCCTACTATAAGCAAGGGCAGTGTAATATAGTACACAGCTGCAGAGATGACGGCGTGCTGGTCAGGTACAGAGGTCCGTCATCCAAATAACGAACCGAGCATCTGTGCGGCGCCGATAGGAACGTTTGAGATTGAACGGGGCTGCTTCTGGAAGCCGGGGTTGGCATGCAATTTCGCGGCCAGGGGCTCGCCGCTCGATGAGCATTGACGCACTGTGAGACGCCACATATTCAGTTGCGACGAGAGAATGAGTAGCGCGCGGAGCGGTGATACGCGTGCCTCGATACCACTGGCAAAGGCGAGCGCTGCGGTGTACACTGTTGACTGTTGACAAACGTGTGCGACAAATAACAACGCACGGCGGGACAGACGCGCACCGGACGCGCCCCAGAAGCAATCAAAACGCTTTGCACAACATCACCCAGTGCATCATTCCCGCGAGCGACAGCGCCTGCAGTTCCTTCCGCAAGCGCAGTGTTCTTTCCTTAGCATGTTCAATGACCATCCTACCCACGCTGCCGCCGGCCCAACCCGACGCTCCCTCCCCGTCTGCTGTTGATGAGGTGGCAGCCCGCCGTGGCTCATCAACAACAGGTCCGCGCCTAGGATCGCCCGCTCGGTCCACAACATCTTCACCAAAACGCCCCGAGTCCGCCGCCGCCCTCGAGAGCACTACCAAGCTTGCCAGAAACGTGTCGCCGGGCCTGTTGGCCCGCATGAAATTCCTCAACCAGAACCAGGCACCAGAGGTTCCCCGTAGCGCCTTTACACCCGCGCATATTGGCAAAATCTCGGAGCGCAAGATCCGCGAGCTCGACGAGTTTCACCGCGACCGCCGCAGCTTTCACATCGAGCGCAGAGGCACTGCCTGGAGCGGTACGAGCAGCCAGGTCGGCACGCCCCTCATCCCGCAGTTGACGGGCGAGTCGGTTCCGGCGCTGGCCATGGACGCCAGCCCGCCCTCAAGCTTCGAAAGCAACCGCAGCAGCTTCGTGAGCACCAGCGACCGCGTCCTGCCCTCTGACTCGGAAGCCGGCGACCTGAACGAGGACCACCAGAAATACCGCCTCCCCGACATCACCAAAAGCAAGAGCCTCTCGCGCGCCGTCACCGAGACGGAGGCCAGCAGCGACACCGAGCTGGGCCGCCCACCCACGCCGCCGCCCAAGGACACACCACCCGTGCCAGAGGCCTCGGTGCTCGACAGCGAAAACGGCATCGATGTCGACGCCTACTTCCACCAGCGCCATTTCTCGCGCGCCAATTCCATCTACACCCTCTCGCGCGCAAGCTTCACCAACCAGATCCAGCAGTTGACCTCCATCAAGCTGCCACCACCCGACTCCCTCACCTCAGAAATCCGCGCGCTTCCTTCCTCAACGGCCGCTGGTCGGGCGTTACACAGCGCTGCCAATAGCATAAAGCAATGGATGGCCAAGGCAGCAGAGGTCCTCAGTGGGCTCGACGCCGAGGACGATGTGGAGTGGGCTGCTGCTGCTGGGCGTGAGGGACTGGAAGAGGTCGACGCTGCGATTGGCAAGTTCGAGGGATTGGTCAATGTATACATCACCGCCATTGAGGATCTTCAAAGCCGAGACGACATTGCTACCTTGCCAAACCGAGACCTCACCACGCTAGTGACTCAAATGGAAGAGGTGCTCAGCAACTGGTCCAAGATTAAGCAGACACTCAAGGGTATCAAATCGCAAGTGGAAATGGCCATGGAGTGGGAAGAGCTGTGGAACACTGTGCTAGGCGAGATTGGCATGGAGATTGAAAACCTTAGCCGGCTTGTTTTCGAGATGGAAGAACGGCGGCACCGTGCGATCAGCGATTCCGTTGCAGAGTCTGCAGAAACGTTCAACATTGCAGACTTGGAAACGATCGTGGAGGAGACTCCTCGCCAACAAAAACGCGAACACGCCCGGCTGCAGAGCAACCGGTTTAGTATGCCCACGCTCTCAATCATGTCACCTGTTTCACCTATTCCGCAAATTGAGCAGGAGAACTCGCGACTACTCGCATTGTTTGCGAAACTTCAGCCTCTACGCGCCTCCTTGGACTTCTTACCTATGCGTCTTCAGCACTTCCAGATGCGCGCAAGCAAACTGTTTCCTTCTGCGTGCGATGAGCTCACTAGGCGGAAGGAACAACTTGAGACACTGGAGAAGAAGCTCGAAGCTGATGCTGATGCTTTGAGAGAAGAGCTTGGCGAGGACAAATGGGTGCATAGCTTCCGACAGGCTGGCAGCAAAGCAATCGCCATGTATGACTCACTAATGAAGAGCATTCAGAGGCTACGACAGGTCATTGACGAGGGTGACGATGAGAAATTGGGCTCCCGCATGTCGACATACAAGGACAAGCGCGAGCACTACCCACCTTCGATGAAGCGGGTCCTGGAGCTGATCGATATTGAGATGAAGCACCGGTCAACCGTCAATGGCGAGATCCTGCGCATTCAGCAAGATGTTAGACAGAAGGTATCTGACTTGCAGATTCAGATGAAAGAGACAGACATGGTCATTGAAGAACTGACAGCCACGCGGAAGCTGCGCGATTCAGTGTCTACAGTTCTCTCGGCGCGCACTGAGGCATCATTGACAGGCTCTGCTTTAGACACGCCAAACAGTTCGCCTGCCTCAAGCGTCATCATGAGCCGGAAAAGCAGCGAATACGGCCGCATTACTCCAGTCGGGAAGACGTCGCGCCAGCCAAGTACATCTAGCACAAAGTCTTCTCTAACTGCAAGTCGTCGGTTGTCTAGTCTTCCAATGGCTACTGGTACTAGTGGACGCAAGACAATCTCATCGTCTCGGCTTGAGGCACTTGCTGCGCCCGTGCATCCTCCACGATCCATGTCTACTACTCCGACACGGCAGTTGCATTCGGCGACTCCATCATCCGAAAGACCCCGGTGGAACTCCAGCACCAACATGCGTGATACTGTAGTCGGGCACAACTTCAAACCCTTGTCATTGACGACCCCTTCACCGCATCGGAAGGACCCTACCACCCCTCTCAGGACTTTGAGGAGTGTATCTAGTCACTCTGCCATCCCTGTCCGTAGCCCTCTCAGCCAGGCTTCTGCGTTATCGCCTATTTCCTCGCGTCCTGCCTCCACTACGCCTGCGCAACAAGCCATCGGTCGACGTCCCTTGGCCAGCCCTATGCAGTCTCCCTCCACACCCGCTCGTGGCAAATCCGCTCTACAGACTACACCGAATTCATCGTTGTCGTCCTGCCGCACTCCAAACTCGACTCGCAGAGTGACAATTGCAGAAGAGGAGAGTGATAGCACTGCTACAGAGGAGAGTCCCATGGCTCGTCGCGCCTCGCGCCCAGCGAGTGCAATGACAAGCCGCCGTACGAGCATGTTGCCCACACCCAAGCAGCGCACTACCAGCGGTACAACCGTGCCGCAGATTACAACACCTGGAGGGCGCACCCACAGCAGGATGGGCAGCACCGAGGACGGACGTAGGAGCAAGCTTGGACTCGATGCAGGGCGCAAGAGTTCGCTCGGGCTGGCCAGTGGTCGCAAATCCAGTATGGACGGCCGTCAGTCGAGTTTGGATGAGCGCCCACGATGGAGGTAGATTCTCACTTTTCACGCCTAGTGCGATTTTCACGGCGGGTCGGCCACGCTTTCGCTTCCCCTCATATGGCTCCAGTAGCCCAGGCATCTTCTTCGCTTTTAGCAGTATGAGATTAATACCGACCGGTCCGTCAGTTTGAGTTCAGATTGCGAGCATCTCAGTGGGCTTCTGCCAGATCATTTGCAGAAGCTAGCAGCAGATTGGCGTTTTTTCCTTGAGGGGGAAATAGTATGCTATACCCAGGAGTTCTATATGGAGCGTTTGTGTTTTTTTGTTTTAGCGATATGGTCTGGTCGCAGATGTCGCGGCGCGCAGGAGCAGAGCGTGTCACCGCGTAAGGTTGGTGTCGATAGGAGATGGAGAGGCGGAGGCAAATGCAGGAGGCCGAGCACGCGTGATGTGACTAGATAGACTATGCTGTCAATAAAGCATGTTGAAGAAGATAGTGCATCTTGTGCGTCAGCTTGCCATGCCAATTCGAAGAGTCATTATCCAACAGGTTGAGGCGCGCTGAGCGTCTACGCAACTGCCTACTACCCGAGGAGACAAGAGATAAAGGATGTACTAGTACCATGCAGACATGGTGGGCTGGATTTCTTAAAGGTTCGACGTACTTCGAACTCTTTCTGTTTGGGGTTCTTCCGTGTTTGCATCGTTCCTTCCATAAATGATACCTCTATCGTCCGTCCTGCCCACCTCCACCCCGCCTTTTACGAATATCTTACTTCTCCACAGTGCTCTCGCTCTTCACTGCTTGTCAAGTCTGTTTCTCTGCGAGTCTCGTTGATTCGTCCTTCCTGCTCTTGCCACTATCCATTCGCTTTCACCAATACCTTGCACAACATGTTTGTACCAGTATTCGTGTCCGGACTTCTGCAGCTGCTAGCTGCGCCTGCCATCAGCGCCAAAGGGTTGGTCGAGGTAGCTAGTCTTGATGAGATCGGCGAGGATTACAACTGCCCTGGGTCAGTCTCTCTGGGCGTTTATACACAGATCACCTCACTGACCGGCCGTAGTGGAAACGTCCACTTCGTTGCGCATCCGGTCGATGTATTGCTCTATCAGAACCCCGATCTTTACCACGACGTCCGCACCTTTAAATGCACCACAGTGGTCATGCTCACGGCCGGCGATCGTGGCGTGAAAGACACCAATTCCACCGATTCACTTGAGCTAGGGCTCCAGGCATCATTTAACTTCATGGCGGGGGCACCGATAAACCAGACAGGCTGGGACAGCGTGAAGGTAATTTGCAGGGACGCGTTCATTACGCTTCGATACCCCAAGGATGCGAAGGGACTCTTGCTCATCTGTGCGTGCTATCAATCGAGCTTTGCATCACATGTGCTGACGAACGACAGACCTACGTTTCCCAGATGGCGGTTCCGACGGACAAGGCTACAAAGAGACGGGCCAGGTCTCGCTCAGGAAGCTGTATCAGAACCAGACCCGGAACATAACCTCGATCGACGGAGAGACGACTTATGACCTCAACAGACTGAAGCACTTGATCTCCACCATTCTTCAATGGAAGAGCCCGACCATTATCCGTACTTTGGACAACATAACGCCCATCGCCAACGATGGAGAATATACCGCGGAACATGCAGATCATTCAGTGTCTGCGCGAATTGTCCACGACGTGATCAAGGAATACAAGATCCCAGGGAACGTGACCAGGTATGCGCTTGGCTCTTAATAAAGATCACACAGACACCTGATTGGCTCTCAGCTATGGAGGCAACCTCATTCGGACCTTCGAACCGACGCTCGAAACGCAAACGGAAGACTTCTCAGTCAAAGTACGCGCTTACCTCGAGTACGCCCAATACGACAAAGACATGGTACGAGACTCTAACTTCACCCGCTCTCGCGGAAAGTTGCTAACAAGAAGGTAGTGCAAACTTTACAGCGAATGCTTCAAGAATGCAGGTCTTATGCCCAAAGAAGCCCCAGACGACGATAAGTACACGGTCCAGTATCTCAATCGGGAGTATTACGTTATCTAGTGATACCAGGTGTCAGCAACGAGGGTCAGATTTCCGACCAGCTCATGAGCTCGACGGTTCCATGCCTCTCGTATGTGTGATTATTTGAGCGACTTCGCACTGCGGGGCAACCCATTTACAATGCAAAGTGCTTACATGCACAGGTGCTATGTTTACAAGCAGATTAAGCGGGAATCTCGAAGACGAGGTCACGATATAAAGTAGCTAGTCGTGTAATATACATTCCATGTAACTATGAAGTCGATGGCATGTTGTTGAGTGGCGGAGTTTAGCTTAATGCGCAAATTGACAAGGATGTAGCTGTGGATGCAATTCGGACTCTTGGCGAACTGTTGGTAAACGCGCTAAATCCGAAAAATACTCCCACTTAGTCAGCAATTTTTTTAGAAGTGCAGACTTATCCTGCGACTCTATTACTGACAAACATGGCCGCCATGTCTCGAGGCACACGACCGGCCGCGAAGCCGCAGCTGCGCATCGCGAAACGGGTGAAGGGCGGCACAAAGTCGAACAAAAACCACACCTTCGAATCGTTCGCCCAGCGCATCGCGAGACTCAAGATCGAGCCCGTCCGCCGCGGACGCAGCACCATAATTGACGATGCAGAGCTCGATGCGACCTTTTCGTACTTTAAAGATGCTCTCGTCGAGTGGAGAGACATCAACCTCTCCGAGATCTTCTCCATATTTGCCCGCCGAGTCGCCCCGCTGTGCGACAGCCTCCCACAGGTCCTCCACCACGACGAGCGCATCTTCGAGCTGCTTATTGAAAACATTGAAAAGGGGGACAAGAACAGTGAGGAGCCGCTGCTGAAGCTCCTGGCAAATTTTGCGCATGATCTCGGCGTGCGCTTTGAGAAACATTTCGAGCGTGCAGTCCGGACGGTCGCCCACCTTGCCGCCACACATGCCGATGTTGAGGTGATTGAGTGGGCGTTCACGTGTCTTGCCTGGTTATTCAAATACCTCTCGAGGCTTTTGGTTCCGGACCTGCGACCGGTGTTTGATCTGATGGTCCCGTTGCTGGGGAAGGCGCGCCAGAAGCTGTTCGTTATGCGATTCGCTGCAGAATCGCTGAGCTTCTTGGTGCGCAAGGCTGGAGCTGCCTATCACAGGGACCAAATTCCTCTGAGGACCATAATGAAGCACGTCTCAGGGCTTCTGAAGGACGCGCAAGGCACTGCCTCGGACATCGATTTCCAACAAGGCCTCATGACTCTTTTCGCAGATTCCATCAAAGGAGTCCAGCGTGGCCTACATTCGAGCGGAGTCGCCACACTGAAAGAAATGCTATTGTGCACCTATGACGGGGAATATGCGGATTTGCAAAGTCCGCCTTTGGAATTCGTGCTCAAGGGTGTGATTACTTCCGTGATTCACTTTACAGACGCGGAGCATTTCCAACCCCTCTTGGAAGTTATTATCGAGACGATGAAAACCAAGGTTGCAGATAAACGCTATGTCGGCCTATCCTCCAGACTGCTTTTCGTCGTGTGCGGTGTTCGTCGAGGATCACGAATCGCCCAGTGGCAGTCTATGCTCGAAACTATCAACTTACTTGTTGATGGCATCGATGAGTCCACGACGTTGGAAGCAGCACACACCCAAGAGCTCCTCTCAGCGCTTGCAGTCGTTTTTCAGTATTGTCCGATTGACGCAGCAATTCCCCATACTCAACTCTTGGAGAAGATCAGCAAACAGCCGCTGGAAAAGTACTTTTTGTCCTTCTGTAACACATTTGCAGGATTAGGCGCCGAGCGGTTCAATACTCTACTCCTATCGTACTTCAAGAGGTCAGTACACTGAACATCAGATGCTCGATCCTGCGCTAATTGTTTGTAGGTTTGTCGTCCAAAAATCCCAAGAATATGGAGATCAGCTCGCTGTGATCCTGCCTAGCTTGTACGAACACAACATAGTGCCGAAAGACACCTTGCAAGCGCCATCTGACTGGCAAAATACTATGAACAAGCGCTTGCAGCAACTTCCCACGTTGGATTTCGACTCAGAAGGCTCTCAACGCGCCCTGTACGACTGCAACGCCTTCATCGACGCTATTGGAAGCTTTGTACTGTCTAGCGAACAGAAACAAACCATCTCCAAATATCTTTACGACGCTTTGGCGAAATCTCTGGAGAATGGTGATAAGTTGGCAATGAATACCAAAACATTTGCCACTGGGAATGGATTCCAATATCTTGTGCGCGACGCCAGTCTCCAGCAGTCGTTGGTTCAACTCTGGCCTGCATTATGCAAAGCCGCATCAACCAACGGGAACAGCACTCTGGCCTTCTGGAATGGCTTGCTCGCTCTTGCTGAGCGAAACAAAGCAAGTCTTAACTTCTCTGGCGATCACATTGACTCTCTCAAGCAAGGCCTCCTGCGTTGTTTGGGATCGCCTTCGCACGAATTGCGCCTGGTGGCGTTAGGTCTGTTCGAGATCCTAGCGTCTGATACTGAAGAACGCCGCAACGCCATCTCCACTGCGAGCATCATCGAACAGACACCTGTTAATCTCGAAACCCAGCGATCCATTTCTATGCGCATTGGACAACTTGCCAAGCTCTATCCAAATGTCGCCGCTGATGAATACCTCGGAGAGGCTATACCGACCTTCCTGTTCGGCCTACTTCACGTTAGACTTGCTTCGATCTGGGACGATGTTACTTCGGCGTTGAAAGCTATCTGTGAAACAAAAGAAGGAGAAGCATACTTTCTGCGCATCGCTTTTGAGTGGATAAGTCAGCCAACAGACCACGACGAGTCTGCTACCGGCCCGGCAGCAGCCCCTGCGCCTCCGCAATTCGTCAGCTTATTCGAATGCACTAATGTCATGCAGCTCGAACACATAATCAACAGATCGCAGGCCACCTTGGACGACGCTGAAGAGGAACTCCAGGTTCGGTTCAATCGCGATCACACAAGCGCCCATTTTCTCAACGACTTCAGCAGAACGCAAGCCCTACGAGTTCTCAACGAGCTACCTGTCGTTGCTGAGAAACGCTCTCGTGTCCTCGTGCCTGTTCTGCTTGACTGGGCCTCGGCTCAGCGAGCGATAGGCATGCCGGATGACGACCACACTGTCGGGGAAGAATCGGAGCCAGAGTCTCGATGGACCAGAAAAGACCAAAAGTCGATGCTCACGCTGTTCTCAAAATTCACCAACCCGAAGGTCCTGTACCGAGCAAGGGATGTTTACCAGGCCTTATTAGCTCTTCTGGGCAACGGCGATGCCGATGTTCAGAGAGCTGCCCTCAAAGCGCTTCTTACCTGGAAAGAGCCCGGCATCGTCGAATATCAAGAGAATTTGTTCAATCTGCTTGATGACTCGCGATTCCGTGATGAAGTCTCTGTATTTTTGGACGCTGGAGCGGGCCAAAGTGCGATCAAAGAGCATCAGCGAGACGTGCTATTCCCCGTTCTACTTCGTCTGTTGTATGGCAAGGTTATCAGCGGCAAGCGAGGACTCGATGTCAAGCGAAAGGCAGTCTTCCAAGCATTGACTCGATTCGAAGATGGTGCGATTAGTCAATTTCTTGAGATAGCGCTCGGTCCACTGAGCGGCGTTCACATACTTCGGGACCAGATACTGGACGAGAGTGTTCTGCAAGCGGATCTGCTAGCACCGCGAAGGCAGGTCGGTATGATTAACATGATTGAGGACATGCTCAGCGCCCTCAAGACGACTATTCGTCCATTCGTTGCCTCCCTAGCCGATCCGGTCCTGTACTGCCTCATCAATGCATCTCGAGCTATCGCAAAGTCCACCGCTGCGCCAGAATCAGAACCGGCTGATAGCCAAACGTCTATTTTCAGAGCTATTCGTCAACGCGCCCTCCACGTTTTGAACACATTGTTCGAAAGCTATCCAGGCTACGAATGGGCACCGTACGCGTCAGTAATAGTGGGAGAGCTCGTCACTCCGAGAATCCAACAACTTCCCATCGAGACGGCTCAATCAGTTTCAGGTACCCTGCGCTTGTTTTCAGCTTGGTCGAAATCTGCGACTACAGCTGGGTTCCTTGTCAACTTCAACCAGGACATACTAACAAAAATCACCGAGTGCCTCGATGTGCCCTCGGCAAAGGACGACGTTAAGCGCTTTGTGATGGACAGCATTCTGCGTGAGCTCATTTCCTTGGTGGCAAGCAGTGAGCAAGAATCCACGGAAGCCAAGATCAGGCGGAACAGCATACAGTCCAACATACTCCAGCCATACGCAAGCACTATATTGCAACACGTTGATTCCCTGCTTCGAAAGAGCCCCAGCAAAGAGGTGCTTGAATCCGGAGTTCACACGGTTGCTGAGCTTGCACCCTATGTTGTTGGCTCAGCCGAATCTCGCAGCATGCTCGAGATCTCCAGCTTCTTGCTCAGGCAGCCATCTCAACGGGTCAACGCAGCGACCAAGCTCGGGTTGCTGAAGATTCTGCACGAGTTCATTCCGCGCTGCCAAAATATCGACATCACAGAGCTCTTTGATACCATATTCGAGGGAGTCAGCCCGCTTTTCTCGTACATGAAGGATAGGAACGCGCGGGTCTTGCTTTGCGGCATTCTCGAAGACCTCTCAGCCTACAGGGACGACCTGTCAGTTCTGGCGAAGCTCTGTCACGGTCTGAACTCGTATTCTGTGTCGCGCTTAGACGAGCCTGACTTTGAACGCCGGTCTGCTGCTTTCGGCGAGATCACTAGCGATATCCGCTACAGCCTTCTGCAATGGAAGCCCCTGGTTCACAGCATGTTGTACTTTATCAAGGACAATGACGAGCTGAGCATTCGCGTTAATGCATCCCTCGCGCTTCGGCATTTCGTCAAGACGACTCCCCAAGACCAAGATACGAAGGACTTCGTCTCCGCAGCGCTTCTCCCTGGCATTCGTTTTGGAGTGCGTGAGCCATCGGAACTTGTCCGCGTAGAGTTTCTGGCTGTGCTCGCCCAACTAGTCGAGACCTATAAAGACTGGGCGCCAGTTACTGACCTCCACATATTAGTGTCTGAGGATGACGAAGCGTCCTTCTACAGCAACGTCCTGCACATCCAAAGCCACCGACGCCTGCGCGCATTACGTCGACTGGCATCCAACGCTCCACATCTACAGAGTGGGAACATCTACCACATTCTCATTCCCCTCCTGGAGCACTTTGTGTTCAACAAGGCCGAAGATGATAACGCAAGTGCCTTGTCTGGTGAAACAGTCAAGACAATTACCACTCTGTGCCTGGGTCTGGAATGGCCGCAATTCCGTTCGTTGCTCAGACGATACACCGGCTATCTTTCGAGCAAAGAAGACATGCAAAAGACCGTCATCAAGCTCATTAGTGGTCTCTTGGACAGATTGCACCAATCAGCGCGTACAAAAGGCTATGTTGCCTCAACATCACCAGAAGCGCAGGCCCAAACTCAATCTGCCGATAGTACCGATGAGGTCAACGAGGCCGATGCCATGGAAATCGACGAACAGCCATCGGTACTTTCAAAGACTCTGCCGCAGCAGGAAAAGCTAACGAAAGACATTATCGACAATATTCTCCCGGCCCTTTCTGAGTTTCTCCGCAAGAAAGATGAAAGCACTGTTAGCCTGCGAGTCCCAGTAGCTATAGCAGTGTGCAAGGCACTTCTGGTTCTACCTCCCCTCGAGATTGAGGCAAGGTTGCCGGCCGTTCTGCTCGACATCAGCTACATCTTGAAATCGCGCTCCCAAGACTCTCGCGACATGGCTCGAAATACCTTAGCAGAGATCGCCACTTTCACGGGTTCAACTTACTTTGGCTTCATCCTCCGTGCCCTTCGAATCGCGCTTTCGCGGGGCTACCAGCTCCACGTCTTGTCCTTTACGCTCCACAAGTTGCTTGTGGAGCTCGCTGAACAGCTCAAACCTGGAGATCTAGACTACTGTGTTACGGACATCATGGATGTGATCATGGACGATATCTTCGGCGTTACTGGCCAAGAGAAGGACGCAGAAGAATATATCAGCAAGATGAAAGAGGTGAAGAGCAGCAAGAGCTTTGACACGATGGACATTATCGCGCGGTCGACGTCTCCTTCCAATCTATATGCCCTCGTCTCGCCCATCAAGTCTTTGCTGCAGGAGAAGCTGAACGCTCGAATGGTACAAAAGATCGATGAGCTACTGCGCCGCATAGGGCTTGGTGTGCTCCAGAATCCCACAGTAAATGATCGCGATATTCTGGTGTTCGGCTACGAGCTCATTCAGGAAGTATACAAGTCGAACAACAGCACCGAAAAGGCCGAATTCGTGGAACCAAGGAACAAGAAATTTCTCATCAACATGAAGGGCGCTGCGAAGTCAGGTGCTCGTCAGTCCACGGCGCTCTACAACTACAAGTTGATCCGATTCAGCTTGGACATTCTGCGAACGGTCCTCCGCAAGCACGAAGAGCTGCAAACACCACAGAACTTGACCGGGTTCCTTCCAGTGATCGGCGACGCCTTGATCGCAAACCAGGAAGAACTACAGACGTCTGCCATCCGCTTGCTGTCCACCATCATCAAAGTCCCAATGAAGGAGCTGGATGAGAACTGTCCTGTCTATGTGACAGAGTCCGTCCGTCTGATCAAGGGAGCAACATCCTCAAACTCCGAAATCGCACAGGCGTCGTTGAAGCTGATTACCAGCGTGCTCCGGGAAAGGCCAAATGTCCAGATAAGAGAGCAAGATCTGGCGCACCTTTTGAAGCGCATCCTTCCGGATATCGACGAACCAGATCGTCAGGGCGTCACCTTTGGCTTTCTCAAGGCAGTGATGACGAGGAAGATTGTGATTACCGAGGTCTACGAGTTGATGGATAAGGTTGCTGCGATGATGATCACAAACCAGACGCAGTCTGCCCGTCAGATAGCTCGGTCTACCTACTTCCACTTCCTAATGGAGTACCCCCAGGCGAAGAACCGTTTCAAAAAGCAGCTGGAATTCCTCCTCAAGAATCTGCGGTACGACTACGTTGAGGGAAGGCAGTCTGTCATGGAAGCCGTGAGCCTGATTCTCAACAAAGTCGGTGAAAAGGTGCTCGAGGACAACCTCGGGATGATGTTCATTCCGTTGGTCCATTCTATGGCCAACGACGATTCGGCCGACTGCCGCACTATGGCAGGCGCCCTGGTCAAGACCATCTTCGAGCGCGCCAACTCGCAGCAACTGAAGAGCTTTACAGCTGATCTCAAGGAGTGGCTCATCCAGGATGAAGATGCGGGCCTCAAGCGTCTCGGTATCCAGTGCTGGGGTCTGTATCTCGAAGTCGCCGATGCCAAACCCAAAGAGCTCGAATTCGTCATGGAGCAGCTCCGGGCGACTCTTGACGTCTGCTTGGAGCGACGGGACGAAGAAGATTGGGAGTTGATCTACTACTCTCTCACAGTATTCTCGAAGCTCACCAAGCCTTGGCCCGACTACACGCTGTCTTCGGAGAGTATGTGGCGTTCGATCCGCGCATGTGTTTCGTATCCCCATGCTTGGGTCAAACTCACAGCAGCGAAGCTCGTTGGCACGTTCTTCGCGGACGTTTCCACGGCAAACAGCGAGTCAGGCCTCGACAGCGTGCCACTCAAAGGATCCCGCGGGCTAGAGCTGACCGAAGAGATGGGCATCAAACTCACCCATTTATTCCTCAGACACCTCGAAAGCCTCAACACCAGCGAAGAGCTGTGCATACAGAGCGTCCGCAACTTGGCCTTCCTAGCACGATGGTTGGCGGCGAATACAAACATAGTGTGGAACTTCAAGAAGGTGGACGACGAGGAAGATGTAGAGGACGGCACGCTGGTCCAAGGCGCAGAGGAAACGAACGGCGACGCATCCGACTCTGAATTCGGTGGCTTCTCCCCTCGACCAAATTCGACCAAGACAAAGACGGCGCTCCCGACCGCCATCCACCGCCTCGTCACCCGCCTCTCGGGCATCCTCCGCCGCGAAACCAAAATCATGAAGCTCTCGTCCCTCTATCCCAAATCAGCAACCGCGACCCTCGTCGAGACGTTGATGTCAAAGTTGCCGGTGCCCTCGCTCACCTCTTCCCTCCCGCACCTCCTGACCACTCTCTCCACCCTAAGCGACCCGGCAACCACGATCCCGCGGTCCACCGAGCCCGCGTTCAACGAGACGTATCGGGCCATCGTGGACAAGAGCAGCGAGACGATGAATGTGCTGCAGAAGCGGATGGGGACGCACGAGTACCTCAAGGTGATGGGCGAGGTGCAGAAGGGGGTGAAGAATCGAAGGGAGGAGAGGCGGCAGAAGAGGAAGATTGCGGCCGTCGCGGAGCCAGAAAAGTTCGGCAAGGAGAAGAAGCGCAGGAACGAGGTGAAGAAGGTCAAGCGGAAGGAGAAGGGCGCCGAGTACCAGGGGAAGAGGAGGGGGTGGTAAGCCTCTGAAGTGAGTTGGAGGAGGAGGCGGTGAATTTCTTATTGGTCACGATGCATTGCAAATGGCGTTTCTGAGGACAAGGAAAAGCAGCATGTTCAGCATGGGATGTTGAGGATTGTAGGTAGAATCAAGATGATACCCAGCTTCAGTGCCCTCGTGTTCTTTACTGTTGCCGAGTGTGAGTGTGAGGCCATCGACAATGGTGACTGCACACTCACCCTCACTGCAGCTAGGGGTCACTCACGTGAAGTCAGTCTTTAGGTCACGACAGGTGTAATGCTAACGCTGTATGTACCCGTGAGCCGGATCAGGGGGAGGTCTTTGGGAACGTGTGAGAGACTATCGAAAGGGGTGGCTGTGCAGTCGTGGCCATTGGACGCACGCCAAAGCAGGTCAAGTAAAGGGCACTCATGTAGCGAGGGATCTGTTCGATTCATGCCTCTCGTGTGCACCAAGAGTTTCGGCAGTCGCAGTCTAAGCCTCGACGATAGTTTGTGGTCGAAATGGTCGCGGTTTCAAACCATGCCTTGCCTTTGCACATGCAAGGTCACCTCCGCAGACAGCGCACGCACCAACTGTTCCACCTCGCTGCGATGCCAACGACGATATAAGCGGAGAGATGACGCCCGACGGCATCGCAAGCACGCGACGCTGATCTCTGCACCCGTGGTACAAAGCCGCGCTGGTGCGTACGGGTCGACGCGACCCGAACCACGTCGCGCAAGCAGGCAGGTCCGAGTGAAGATCAGAATCTCGCTCGCTGGCTCGCTCAACACAGGGACGGGCACGCACGCCATGATGCACGCAGCGATGGCGTCGATCCGAGGCCACTCGAGCTCAGCAACTCTGCCGATCGGGCGCGCGGTGCAGCGGTCCAGACGCCAGATGCCTTCTCCAGTCCTTCGCAGCGTCTGTTCGGCGGTGGAGCAGCGTTGCACTCCCTCTCTCAGCACGGTGCATTAGCCGTGCAAACTTTGTGCACGCCTGTGCAGGCACTGCGGCTAGGGAGCACGGCGGGCGGGCGACGGCGAGCGGGCGCGTGGGACGGGGGCTCTTCTATTCGCCGCGGTATCGATAAGAGATTGCGGTGGAGAAGCGTGGCATTGCGCGGACGCGTTGGGCACGCTCTGGAATGCGCCGGGTGCACGAGGCGGCGCGGTGTGGTGCAGGCCAGCACCATTGCACAGCACGTGCTGAGCGTCGCACCGTGTTAGTTTGAAGACGCGAGCTGCCCTTTTCGTGGACGGTACCCTAGCGGGAGGCCTACAACGGCGGCTCCCACCTCCTGGCCGTGAGATGAACGTCTGCGCGCACCACCAATGGGCGGCGAGGACGACGTGGCTCTGCCCAGGCGACAAGTTGCGAGCGCTGAGATGCGCCGAGCAACAGGCGCCTTGGAGGAGCTGAGATGCCTGCGTAGCTTGTGCAGCGAGTGGACTCGTGCGCGCTTTTGCAGCCTGCACCGCTGGCGGGCCCGCTGTCGTCGCCGCTCGCCATCGCACGCTTTCTCCTGCCAGCAAGCGCACATCAGGCTTCGCGCCGTATCTGGGATGCGTGGCGAGTTGCGACGGCATTGGACACGCGTGGCCGTCGTCACCCCCAAAGCCTCGTCGACGACGCCGACGCCCACCACGTCGCGGAGATGAGGCCTGGCAGGACGGCTGCGCTGCTGGGGCCAGCAGCCGGCCCGCTGCATCCACGTCCAAGGCGTCCGCCCGTTCATCGCGCCAACATTCGCCCCGGGGCGCTCGGCGCTGGGCCGTCGTCAGCGGCCACGAACGGGCTCGTCTCCAGCAGACTGCTCCTCACGTCGAGCGCTCCGCTGCGGCGAGCATGGCTGCGCGGTCGCGGTCGCTGTTGGTATCGCCCTCTCGCAGACGCTGGGCCGGCGTTCGCTGCTGCCCCTGTTCCTGAGGTTTGAAACGGCGGCGTGCTGCGCAGCGAATCGCACGGCGCCACGGCCCCAGACAAGCTTTTGGCACGACGATCGCTCTCTGGCTGGTCCAGCGCCGGCGCGCGCCCATTCGCCGGCTGTGGTCGACCGCTGCCAGTCTTCCGCCCCGTGCCTGGCGCTTGCCCCGAATAGCCAACCGCCAGATTGCCGTGGCGTCGCTTGGTGTGCGACCTTGCAAAAAGTCTGATCCTCTGGGCCCATGGCCGCTGCCATCCTGGCTGCTGCTTGTCCAGGCCCAGCTGGGTCCCCGCGCGCCCGTTGCCAGGCCTATATCAAGCTTCGAGCCCCCAGGCCCCCGAGCCGACTGCACCTTCATCCTCCGACATACCACGGTGCTGTTGCGTTCACTCCCTCTGAGCACTCGCTCGTTGCCTTCTTTGTCTCTCGCAGACGTCCACTCTCTCTACCGAAGCATCAGCCCTGGTCGGCCCGAACATCTCGTGCGCTCGAAGCTGCCAACTCTGCGTTCTTGTCTATTAGCGACTATATCAACCCAACGTAACAGCTCAGCACCACCATGTCTCCCAACATGAAGCTCTCGGTCCTCGCCTTCGTTGGCGCTGCCGCTGCCATTCCCCAGTACAATGTTGGCGGTGGCCACGGCCACGGCCACGCCTCTGCCCACAGCAAGCACTTCACCCCCTCTGCTGGACACGCCGGCCACGCATACCCCACCGGCGGCTGGGGAGGTTACAACTCGACCGCTCCCAGCGCTGTTGCCCAGGGCACCGGAAAGCCCAGCAAGCCTGCTGGCGAGAAGACCACCGCCACTGACGCGTACGCCACCGAGACTGACTACACCATCACCTCGACCACCACCCGCACCGTCTACCTGACCCAGTACCCCAGCTCTGCCGAGCCCACCGTGGCCGGCGTCAAGGATGTCACTTCCGAGGCTGTCTGCGGCGGTCCCCAGACCGTCTACGTCACCGAGACCAACCGCGTCACCGTGACTGTCCCTGCCGGCGGTGCCTCGTCGTCCGCCGCTCCCCAGGCGCCTTCGTCCTCGCACGAGGCTGCTAAGCCTTCCGTCCCCGCTGAGAAGCCTTCCTCGGCCGCCCCCGTGGCCTCCGCCCCTGAGGCCAGCTACGAGGCTGCTACCTCCTTCGTCTTCGCCTCCGAGGCCGCGAAGCCCAGCTCTGCCGCTGCCGTGAGCACTCCCGCTCCCGCCGCTGAGGCCGTCACCACCACCTACGCAGCTGCCTCTTCCGCCAAGGCTTCTTCTGCTGCTCCCGCTTCCACCAGCGCCTCCTCGGCGGGTGGCTACGCTGGCGGCAAGCGCGGTCTCGCATACCGCTGGGACGGCGCCGCCGACTGCAAGTCCTTCGAGGGTAAGAACTTCGGCTTCGTCTGGAACTGGGAGGCCGACACCAAGGGCGACGTCGGCAGCTTCGCCGCCAACTTCATCCCGACGCTGCGCACCCTCGCCAACGCCGGTGACTGGGCTTCCAAGGCCCAGGCTGCCATCGACGCCGGCTCCAAGGTTCTCTTCGGCCTCAACGAGCCCGACATTGCGTCCCAGGCCAACCTCGACGTCGCTTCCCTCTGCACCGCGTGGAAGGACAACATGAACGACTTCTACGGCAAGGCCACCATCGTCGGGCCTTCCGTCTCCTCCTCCCAGACCGAGGGCCAGGGTCTGTCCTACCTCCAGCAGTTCGTCGAGCAGTGCCCCGAGGCCAAGTTCGACGACATCAACATCCACTGGTACGGCCCTGCCTCCGCGGGCTTCGACGCCTTCAAGGCCCACTACGAGGACGCCGCCTCCAAGTTCCCCGGCAAGAAGATCTGGGTCACCGAGTTCGGTCTGACGGGTGCCACCGAGACCGAGTCTGCCGACTTCCTCAAGAGCGCGCAGACCTACCTCGACGGCGAGTCCACCTGCGCCGGTTACTCCTACTTCGCCGTCGGCAACTTTGACCCCGCGGCCAACCTCCTCGGCACCATGTCGGCGCTTACCAAGGCGGGTGAGGTCTACGTCTCGTAAGCGACCTTGTCGACGTGGGGCGTTTGGTTTGCAAAACTTTTATCTTGGGTTCGGGTCTAGGGTCAATATGGGTCATGGGACATAGACGCGTCAACACCGCGCTATTACTACTGTCTGTTGTTTAAATATTATCTTCTCCTATGTACAATTTGGGGCAGCGGCTTGGGGCAGCGAACGAGCATGTGTGCTGTATAAAGAGGAATGAAAAGAGTGAACGTAAATGACATTGCTCATGTGCTTGGTGAAGTGGTGCCTGCTGTCATATCCATGGAGGGTGCAGGTGCGACGGTGCGTCCCTATCCCGCGTGATTGAGCATCATTACCATGATGCTGCGCAGGGATGCTGTGACAGTCAGGACATCTGCCGTGCGGCTGCGTGACTCGACACGAGGGAAGTTGTAATCCACATGGCCAAAACCAGCCTCCGGCTCATACCACTTCAACCACAGCGAACGACGTGCCACTGCCCGCCGTCTAGCGTCTATCATATGCCATCCCCGTCCGTCGTCTGTCATCAAGACTGCAAATGTTCGACACTCACGATGAGTAGCGTCTTGGTGAGATCCACAGCCCGATCTTGTCCCGCCGCCCTCGTACAGCACATCCTGATACGACTCGCGAGCTTATGCAGCATTACGCCTGTCTCAGCATGGCCTATCTAGGTACAACTCGCAGGGGTATACTCTTCCGAGTTGTGATTGATGACCAGAGACGAGGACGGCTGGCAGACAGAGGGAGATGCGACAATTGTGGAAGAAGAGCAGCAAATAGCATACGTGCAGACGAAAGCATGTATGAGGTACCGTCGTTGGTGCGTGCAAACATCTGGTATGGACGTCCTACCGAGGAGCATCACATGAACGACCGACACCATAGAACGCAGATTCGGTAAGTCGAGAAGGCAACCGAGGGCCCATGCCAATCACGAAATAAGTCACAAGTACAGTGGAGTGCAGGCGGGAGGGGGCACGTACGTACATGCCGCAGGGCATGATACTTTGCTATATCGAGTCAGAGGGGACCGCCGTCCCGGAACATGATCTCTGGCGAGGCATTCGCTGCCATGGAAGAGATAGCCTTTGCTGCCACTCCCGTAACGATGTTGCAATACTTACACGGAGCAAGTGTGGACGCCGCGCAGCACCCAAGTGACACATTGAAAGAAGACCGAGACGCCGGCAGAGAACAAGGGGACGGCAAGACAGCGACGGCAAAGGAAGTCGCCATGAAAGCGGATCCAGGTGAGGTTCATCCCACTGTCGATCAATCCACTGGAAGCAAGTTCGAGTTGACTGACTAGCTAGCTAGCTAGCTGGCTGACCGACTGTCACAGCACCCAGATAAGCATACGTCTATGTCGAGGTATCTTCCAGTCAAGGACGGATATTCCGCAGGCACGTCGCGTAGCCAGCCGTCGCCCCAGTCTTCACACCAACCGAAAAGAACGCTAAGAGAGACGTTCATTACGCAATACTGTGGCCGATAGGACCAGGCGGGTGTCCAGCAAGAGTCGCCAGCTTAGTAGGGCGTGGAGATAGATGCCTCGCTGGTCCAAGATCTTGATCACTTCATAGTTCATGGCAATTCTCAATAGGCTACAACGTCGGCTGATCACATCTGTATTCGCTGTGCCATGTCAGTAGCTGGTTGGATTGACGAGAGCAGGATTGCTTACTCCCCTGGACGAGCACCTCGATGCCTGATCCGGTCGACTCCTGTTGTGGTCGGGGTATCTTTGTACCGGCTACCAATTGATGTGCTTGAATAAGTGCTTCGGACGTGTCCTGTGCGATAGCTCCTACTCTTGCAGCCACCAGTAGAGGTGTGTACAAACTCTAACTCTTAAACCGATTTATACTTTGAACCAGGAGACCTTGTCCATACAGACATGGCATCTTGAAGCCCATATGCCATTCGATGGGTGAGAGCACTGCGTGTTTCTATGTAATTGTTGTTAAGGGAACTACATGGCATGGGGCAGGCACCACCACTAATATATATATGCGTCATCACTCGCTGTACCAACCCATTCCTCCTGTAGCAATTGCGTCTTTCATTCACGTTAAGAGCATGAACTTGGAACAAATGAAGCAACGCATAGAGGCTTGCAGCGTATCCCGTTGTGTGTCGGTACCGACAAAGACCGTCATGCCGTTTCCCGATTGTCCCGACTACGGCCGTAAGCATCGAACCACAGTCTCACCACAAGCCACACGCATCGTATAACTCCCCACAACTGACTTTCTGCCATCGCATAAGATGGAACGTCACGCCGCGCCGTGATCAAGGTTCATACGAGCCCTCTTCTTCCCTACCACGCCAGGCGTGCGCTCACTCCCAATCTCCATATCAACCAGTACCCCTTGAAAGTGAAACCCCTCAAAAACACAACCCAACGATGGCAACAACTACCCTCCTCGGCCTGACCCTGACCCTCTCCCCACGCGCCCTGACCCTCCTCCGCCTCACCCCCCTCCTCAGCACCACCGCCTCCCTCGCACACGCCTACATGGAATACCTCACGACAACATCCTTCCTCGCCGCGCCACCCACCTCCAACGCGCTCACCCGCACCATCCTAGGGTCCACCGCCCCCGTCCCACGCAAACCCACCGCCGCGGCTGCGCTCGCAGCCGCAACCGACGTCCTTCTCCCCGCGTGGTTCGTCAATTTCTTCAACACGGGGCTGTGGTCTGTGCTCGCGCTCAACAGCACCACCCTCGTCTCCGCGGCAGCGAACCTGTGGGCGGTAGGCGGGCTCGGGGAGGCGAGTGGGAAGTGGTACTTTGCGGGCTTCGCGGCGGCGGTGGCGCATCTGGCGTTTGCGCCGGCGGTGGCGGGGAGCGTGGAGGGGTTGTATCGGCTTTGTGTTGAGGGGTGCAAGGGCGAGGAGGGGAAGTCTGGGGAGGGGAGGGCGGCAAAGTTGCTGGGGGAGTGGGTGGGGTGGCACAAGGTGAGGTTGTGGAGCGTGGATGTAGCGGCTTGGGTGTGCTTTGGGGTTGCGGCGGTGGAGGCGTTGACGGTGTAGGAGCGGTCGGAGAGTCTGGAGCACAGAGTCCTGAGTGTGTCGGTAGGTGAGAGGCTGTTTTGTTTTCTCTGAGATCTGGGAGGGCCTGCATATTTGCGCGGCCAAGTCGCACCTTGCTACCACATGGTTCGCAGACGATTGTAATATATTCGACGCTCAAATGCCGGGAAAAAGTCTGCGAGGTGTGAGGTGCGGGCTGCGTGCGAGGCGCTCACTTTTTCGGCCTTTTCATACTAGCTCAAAATTGTGCGTGCAGGAGTTTGAGGAGGTTTCCGCAATTCACTTGTCCCTGCACATCGGACGACGCAACAGGTCTGTATAGTTCAACCTAAACCCGCGGAAGTGTATCACTGCGCAAAAACACCCGCACTCTGCACCTCCTTTGCCCACCCCGTACACCCCTTCAACACTACCGCCGGATCCTCCTGCCACTGCCCAGCCAGCACCTCCCCGCCCGCGCCCCCCCTCACCCGCTCAAACATCTCAATCAGCCCCTCTTCCCCCCCGTACCACCTCTCCAGCCAAATCTCAATCGCCCTCCCCTCGATCTTCGCCCGCCTAGTCATCCACCACAAATCCGCATGTCCCGCCTCCACCCGCCGAAACCACCACAGCAGCAGCAGCAGCGCCCTCGCATCCTTGAGCTCCAGCAGCGCCCGAAACTCCGGCGTCATGTACAGCAAGAACCGAATGAACGGGAGCACCAACTCGTGCGTGAGCGTCAGCGCCTGCGTGCGCTGCACGCACAGCAGCGGGAGGTAGTATATATTACTTTCGACGCTATCGTGCTCTGTGATGTCGAACAGCCGCGCCAGCCGCGGCGGCACGGAGCTGAAATCCGGCTGCGCCACCCAGTCTGGCCGCTGTGTGTGGTTCATGTGCTTGCCGAGCTGGTAGAACATGCTGTCTGGGCGGCTGGGGTCGGCAATCTGCCAGATGGCGCGCTTGCCCTCGGCGAGCTTGAGCCAGTTGAGGTCGTTTGGGTCAGGGGGCTTGAGGGGCCAGGCGTGCGCCGGGTCGGACGACTCGATGTAGGCCATTGATGCGGTGCCGAGGAGGGCGCCCGTGGCCCAGATGGCATCGCGGTGGGAGGGGGGGATAGGGCGGGAGAGGAGGGCGTTGAAGAGCTTGGTGGCCGTGTTCCAGTGCGTGAGGGAGGCATTTTGGAAGGACGTGGCGAGGTCGGAGGACGGGGATGTGGAGAGGTGCGCGTCGTGGAGGAGGGTGAGGCTGAGGACCATGTGCATGAGGAAGGGGTGCTGGAGTTTGTCAGTCACTTTGGTCCGATGGAACGAGTGATGGACGGGATGTTTACGCTGAATGCTAAGTGGCTAATGCAACCTCGATATGTGGAAGAAGCCTCTTTACTCCCGATGGTAGACACAGTCCGCGTTTGGAACCTCTTTACGATCTCCATGTCGTTTTCTGTGAATGTCCACACAGAGAATCGATGCATATGCGGGAGCCCCGCCATGACTAGGCCGTCTGCCCGGTTGTCTGTAGTATCGGATAGCGAATGATGTACCACCGCAGCATTCACTTTGCTTAGCGATACGGGAGGCTTCTCCGGTGCAACGCTGAAGTCAAGCGTTGCTTCCGCACGCGGCAGATTGACCTGGAAGGCACCTTCGGCGCTGAGATCAAGCGAGGGCTTGGAGCCATCGTAGTCGCAGGAGACGCCGTATAGTACGCATTTCTTACACTTAGGCTTATCCTCGTCGCACTGCGGTCGTTCAGCATCTGCTGACGCAGGCCAAAGAAGGCAGGCAACTGACCTTGACTCGTCTGAGCTTGCAGTTCCCACAACCCTTGCGGGACTTAGCATGAGCTTTCCTCTTGCGCTCTGGCGGGCTCGTGACTCGCGATACGACTGAGGGCATGGTCGCTACCTGTGGCCAGGCAGGTGTGCCTGGCCGTTGCCTTTGTCACGGCGAATGAACCGTTCCTGATACACGGGTTGGCTTGATTTGTGTTTAGCGCCAATGAGGATCGTGCTTTGACAGCTCTTTTAAAATGCACAATGTTGAAGGCGCGGTGTCATTCGGTTTACGATGTGGAAGACGGGAGCCGAATACTCATGTCCAGCAAGCATATAGACATGACATTGCGCTAGTGATTATGCGCTAACCTCGTGTCGTATTCCAAAGACCTAGTTTCCGCCGAATAAGCACCCTAATGGTATGATGTAAGCAGCTCTACTGCTTCCTATCCGTCAGTTCATCTGAGCAACCTCACCGTCGATAACCAGAAATTCATTCTACAGAATCATCTTTTGAGTCTGCGACCTCCAACTCAGAGTAAATCGTATCGATTCGAATGCGTACTAGGCGACAATGGTAACTAGCTACTCGGCCGTTAGTCCATCTCTTCCAGTCTCCATAACGCCTGTCCCATCCCATCCCATCCCATCCCGAAAAGCACTGTCGCCAATGATACACACGCTGCATAACCAGCGCGGAAATGCCGGACGCCGTGTCCACATGCACGTATGCAGTATGCAGAGGGTCCGCCCCTCAAAACAGATAGTAAACAGATGCAGACTAGAACGCCAAAACGCGCGATGAGTGATGCTACGCTTTATGCGAGATACCGGTAGGAATCGACCGCGGCGCCTTCGATGCGTTCGAGATACTCGCGCTCGATGAGCGACTCGATGCGCTTCTTGATCATTGTCACCTCGGGCTTGAATTGCGAGGCGAGCTGGCTGATCGTCTCGATGACCAGCTTCTGGTGCGGGAGCTCCTTGCGTTGTCTAGTTGTTCGTTAGTGAGTGGCACGGATTGGACCAGTGATTGAGTGACATACTTCATGATACGAACGACAGCAGCCTCGATGACAAAGTTGCGCTCATCATCATTCTTCTTCTCGGTCTCCTTCCGCTGCTGGTCGCTCTCAACCTTGTTCCCGCTGCTCACAACACCGACCTTGATCTTCACAAAGTTGCCCTTGAAGCCCTCGTTGAAGAAAAACTTGTCGGTTGGCTTCACTTCTTTGGTCATGGGCTCCTTGAGCAACACACGCGTCCGAGGAGCGACTGCAAGCGACTGCAGGTTGCGCACTAGATCGTTCTTGGGAATGTTCGTCTGTGCTTGAATTTCTTCAAAGGTCAAGCACTCGTCGGCGGGCAGCTCGTTGAATAGCAAGAGGATAACCATCGCATAAGTGGACACATTGAGCTCGTGCCGGCGCTCTTTGAAGGTTCCATCCTTCTGGGGAACCTTGGGGAACACAGCTTTGATGTCTGCAGTACCCATGTTTGGCAGCCATGTAAGCTCTCGTCCAGAGTGTTTCTCGGCGTAATACTGCTCAAAGCCCCGTCTGACCTTATCCACGGCTGGCGGGAAGTTGCACTTCGGTCGGTTGCCCTCCTGGGCCTCTCCTGAGCCATTGATGGACTCCATGGGCCAAGTCATCTTGGTCAAGACGCTGATCGCGAGGTCGATCCGCTTGGGGTCGCGGTCGCCGAGGCCTTCGACATGCTCCTTGTAGCCACTCGTAAGATCGGCGGAGATGGACATGTCTTTGAACATGGCGTCGAGCTTGGAGGTGAAGCTGGGACCGAGCTCCTGCTTCATCTTCTCGATCATTTGCTTCTCGACTTCGTTCGATACGGACTTGTTCATGATGAGCCTGCGGCATAAGTGCTTCTTGTAGTATCGCTCGAAGAGATCCTTGTCTTGCACGTATTTGATCAAGGTTATCGCCTTGTCCAAGACCTGGTCAATCTCCATCTCGGTTTTACCCTTGATGCCCTTCTTCATGTTCTCGTCAATGAATAGCGAGATGTTCTCAGAAGAGCGGGGGAATGCGGTCGAGTTGATGAAATCACGGAAGCTGTTGAACATGGCCGTATCCAAAAGACTGTCCGAGTCAAACGATTGCCGCCAGATCCTGTCAAACTTGTCTTTCAAGCCAAGAACGTCTTCCACCCACTTGATCGCAGCAACGGTCTGCAAATTGACGTTCTTCTCCTGGGCCTGTTTGGTCTTGTCTCCGGTATCCGTGCTAGCCGCCGGTGCTGACGCAGGGGCTTGTGATGCGGCGAGCGCTTCGTTGTTGATTTCGATACCCAGCTCCATGATGCGTTTCTGAATAGACCTCGTAACCTCTGACTTCCTCTCATCCACTCGTGCATTCAGATCGTAGACGAGGTTCAACTCTTCCAATCTGTCGTTGTCGATCATAAAGTGGACGCCGCTGTCCATCTCGACTAACTCGTGTATGCGGCCCTGGATCAATTCCGCCTCCACTACCTCCCGGATCTTAGATGTAGTAGACTCCATAAGCGTCGCACGACAGCGGTCCTCTTCCTCGTGGATGCGCTTCTTTGCGCGCTTGCAGTACGCACCAGCATCCGATTCCCGCAGCATCAGCTCCGACTCGGCCCGGTAGAATTCCCTGCTCGTGTCTAGATACTCTTTTTCGAACGAAACATGATACAGCCGCTGCTCCTCCGACTCGAGGTCGTCGGCGTGAAGCCCGTCCAGCATGTGAACGCACGACTTGATGAGGTGCTTGTCTATAACGTCGCCGTCGCGCTCCATCTGGATTTGTTCGAGAATGACGTGGTTCAAAAGACCGAGGATAGTACGTTCGTCGGCCACGGAGAGGGGCGAGTTCAGGATCTCGTCGCGGAAGAGCACCATGGCGGAGGTGTAGATAGAGGGGCGTCGGTGGTCCTGGCAATAGACGCGATCCTGTTCATGTAATCAGCATTGTCGCTCGCCAGGCGCGGCGTAAACTAGAGGGGCGTCTACTGACCATGTACATGAGCACATCGGCAAGCATGCTCATGCAGACCTGGTGGTCGCCCCACGCCTGCTTGAGCCCTTTGAGGTATTTCTCGCCCGAGACGCGACGCTCGTTGGCCGTGGTGCTGGCAACGCTTTGCGAGTGCGCGAGCAGGTTGGGGGACAGCAGCTGCTGAATGTGGCCGCGGACCTCTTTGCTCAGCCAGGCCCTCTCGAAGTCGTGCACGTTCTTGTACAGCTGCTCGCCCTTCTTCTTCAGCACTATCCTATAGGCATGGCGGTACAGCTCCTCGTAGGACAGGCGCGAGGCATTTTTGGTGTGGATCTCGCGGAAGGCGGCCTCGATGGTGACCCATGTGTTCTCGAAGTCGACTTCGTCGCCGTGCAGACCCTTCAAGCTGTTAGGGACCCTGATCTTGGGTTTCTGGCGGAACGCCATGTTGGGTGGCATGGCTGTTCTCGGGGTGGGTTGGTGGAGAGTGGGGTGTGGCAGGGTGGAAGCACCGAGGCAGAGGCGCTCGAGGTGAAAGGTTGAAAGCTTACTCGTCGCGGCGGCCGTATCCGCTGGCGTCCTCGTCCCGCAATCATGCCGCCGGCGCTCTCTCTCACTTCACGCGGCGTCCAGCTCTGCTCGCGGCCGGGGGTGCCTGTGTGTTGCCGTGGCGATGCGCTTGTGGGCTGATTGCGCGCGGAGCTCGCTGGCAGATGCACGCGCGGCAATGGCGCTGAGAGGGGACGGCAGGGCTTCCCCGGGTGCGAAGGAGGGAAGGGCGACGATGCTTGGCCCCAGGGAGGCGTCTGCGTGCGTGTGAGGGTGAGGGTGAAGGTGAAGGGAGGACGCCAGGCTGGCCGACGACGGTCTGCTATGCGGGGATGTTCCTCATGGGCCCGCCGCAACCAGTGACGAAGCCGGTCCGCGCCACTCAGTGCCTTTGCTTGGATCCATGCAGCTTTAGCTCAACACCATCGACACCAACCCTTCCCTTGCGCATTCTCGATTCTGCCATTGTCCACCTCTGCTGCATCCCAGCCATGCCGCCTGCGCCCTCATCGCTCCTCCGCGGCCTCGCGCGGCCGCCTGCGCCCCGCGCGGCGCGCGCAGCGCTCTCGGAATGCATTCCGGGGGCAAGGCGACTTTTCCACGCGCCGCGAACGTCAACGTCGACGCTGCGTCGCCCTTTGCCCATCCTAGCGCGGCCGCACCTGCCCCGGGCAGCTGTTCGCTACGAGTCGACGCCAGCAAGCAACTCGCCAGGCACGACCACGGCGGCCCCAGAGTCGCGGCTGGAGCGCGACCAGGTGCCCGCCTACGAGCTCACCTTCACCTGCAAGGCCTGCACCACCCGCTCGTCGCACCGCGTCTCCAAGCAAGGCTATCACCACGGCACTGTCCTCATATCCTGCCCGGGCTGCAAAAACCGCCATCTCATCAGCGATCACATGAAGATCTTCTCGGACAAGTCGGTCACCCTCGAGGACCTGATGCGCGAAAAGGGCGACCTCATCAAGCGCGGCACATTGAGCTCTGGAGGAGACGTCGAGTTCTGGGACGATGGGTCCACCTCGCCGCGCTCAGCCCATTTCCACCCCAACTCCAACGTAAAAGGCGACGACGATGCTCCCGAAGGCACCCTGACGGAGCCGCCCAAACCCTCGGAGAAGCCTTAGAAGTTCGCTTGGTCACAACGTCGGGTGCTTGTACGATATTGTAGGATACAGTCCTACTGGCTGGATAGAGCAAATCTCCATGCCAAGTAAAAATGCACAGTAAGAGGTTTTGTACGATACAGAAGGAATGAGAAGGCCAGGCATTCTGTTCGTGACAGAGGCAGCCACGACCAAGCCCTGTGGGGATAATAATGTAATACAACTCAGGCGCAAGCCCAAGCTCAGACACACCGCAATTGCCATCCACGTGAGGCTCGGATATGGTTCACTATCTGAGGCCAATGTCAACAATGAGAAGTCGCGAGCTAACCCAAAAGCCTCGGCGCTAGAACCTGACGACCATCATAGCGTCGCCGCCATTAATACCTTTGTCCTGACTACGTCCTTCGACAGCTCCTCCCAATGATCTGACGCTATGCATGCAATCCCGTGGAGATTTCTCCCCATCTTTCTATCCAATGAACCAGGGCCAGTCGCGCCGACACAAACTGATGACACTCAAATTGTCTGTATATAGCAAGCGCTCTCTTAGTTTACACCGATCGACTAAAGGCAGTGAACACTCGTGTCTCTGCTGCCCAATTTGCAATCCAAACTTTCCATGCGAGTGGAAATTGCGGGGGTTCTCACGGTAACACGAGCGGCTCACGACGGAGCGAGCGCGCTTACGGTGCCCTGACACCTTCAAACACCGACAAATAGACAAAGTCCTATCTACGCCCCAGGAGAACAGTCCTACACTTTCTCCATACGTCCGCCCCCTTCGCAATTGATTCTGTACTTCGACCATGCCGTAGAAGCTCACTCGGAACAAAGGCTCTGCCCTTATCACGCCGCCATGCTCCTGCAGCGTGCAGCACCCGTGCAGTCATATCGCAGCCACCAGTTTCGAAACAAGTCCGCTGCCCTCGCTAAACGCTCAACCTACAGCGGCGCCTGGCGACGCACCAATTCGGTCGTGTCCCTCCTCCTGCTGTCCATTTGCGTCTGCAGGAACCCGCAGGTTGCTCATTTAGATTGACGCTCGACTGTCTTAGGTGCATTCTTGCTAAATTGAGATAAGGACAGTACCAGTTTGTCGGGCATGTATGGGTGAGACGAGGTAGAGTAAGGTAAGCCACTGTACACTACTTTTGGAGCGACATCCCCGAGTTCTGCGAAGTCCTGGGCCAACTCCGTTCTCACCTTCACCCTCACTTCTTTTCATACATTCGTTTGGCAGGTTTGACACCTGTGCCGCTCCTTTATTTGTGCCTTTCTCTCCGTGAATATATTCCCGTCACTCTTTTTCTTGTTGCCTCGTTGAGAAATCGCTCTATCGCTGCCCAAGTCTCGTGCTCCAGCAGTATGCAGTATCTCCTTGGCCTCGCTGCTTTGCTAGCAGCTCCCGCAAGCAGCACCTTCGTCGTGCAATGTTACTCGTACGTAGACTTCGCATGATACTTTGGGATACTGGAGTACTAACAGATGAAGTCGTCTTTTCGATCAGCGAGCCGATCCCGTTGTCAACCCGGGTGTTGCTTCTGGCCATGTGCACACCATCACCGGCGGGTCAGGCTTCAACTTCTCCATGACATATGACGATGCTCGGGCTTCATCTTGCTCTACTTGCAACATCAAGCAAGGTACCTACCAGTTGAACCTCCCTACCAGCATACGCGCTGAACATTTCAGATCTGTCCAACTACTGGACCCCGAAGCTCTACTTCAAAGCACAGAATGGCAGCTTCCTCGACGTTCCCATTGTCGGCGATACCGATGGCGGCCAAATGGGCGGCATGGCAGTATACTACTTGACGCGACCCGGTCCCGACAACGACAAGCTCACCGCATTCCCCAAAAACTTCCGCATGCTCGCCGGCGATCCCATGAAGCGCAACGAAACCGACGACTTCGCCTCGCGCGCCGTCTCCTACAAGTGCGTCTCCGCCACCAACGATAAAGCCGATATCCGCCACCTGCCCACCGACAAATGTGACCAGATCCGCGCCCAGGTCACCTTCCCCGCGTGCTGGGACGGCAAAAACACTGACTCGGAGGACCACAAGTCGCACGTCTCGTACCCTGAGGAGGGAAACTACGACGGCGGCCGCTGCCCTAAGACCCATCCCGTGCACCTCGTCACCCTCTTCTCGGAAGTCTACTACGACACCCGCGGCTTCCAGGACATGTGGTACGGCGACCAGCAGCCATTCGTGCTTGCCAACGGCGACGCAACGGGGTACGGGTACCACGGCGACTTCGTGAACGGGTGGGACGTCGATGCGTTGCAGAAGGGTCTAGACATGTGCCCGGACGGCGTGGAGGACTGCGCGCAGAAAGCCTTTGGGGATTTTAACTCCCCCGATGAGACGAAAGAGTGCAAGTTGCCCTCCATGATTGACGAGCCTGTCGCGGGCGTCCTCGATGCGTTGCCGGGCTGCAATGAAGTCTCCTACGGACCCGAGCCTGCCACCAAGACGGAGAACTGCAATGCGCCGAAGCTGGAGAGCACGTTGAGCCCGAAACTCGCTGGCTATGTGGATGTTACGAATAAGGGGTTCAAGTACATCGGCTGTGGAAAGGACAATGCGCTGGAGAGGACGCTGAGTGAGGAGCTGTTGACGGGGGATGACATGACGGTGGATAAGTGCATCGACTTTTGTAAAAGCAAGTCCAAGTCATACGCTGGGTTGGAGTACTCCGGTGGGTCTACATCCTTCCCCCTCATTACGACAAAGCTGACACATTCCAGGCCAGTGCTACTGCGGCAGCGCCGTTGCCGATGACCGGGCACCGGCGTCTGCTCGTGGAGTGGTATGTTTCCCTCCTGCCATGCAAGCATCTCGAACTGACAGCAACCTAGGGTAACTGCCTGATGAAGTGTTCCGGCAACCAGGAGCAGGTCTGCGGTGGCAACGATGCTATCAGCCTGTATGAGGCCTGCTCTGGAGGTGCCTGCACCAATGCCGCTAAGCGTCACAGCCGCAGACTTGCGAGCATGGAGGTTGCGCGTGCAGATTCGGCGGCTAGGGGGATGTGAAGGGATATGTGAATTCCTGTTCCTGGTGCGTTACTGGATTTGCTATGATTCGATGGAAGCCTTTATTGTATTCGCTTCTTGTATATAGTTATCAACAGACGACATTGCATTTTGAAGGATCTTTCTGGATGACTGATGACCAATTGGTACCTGAGAATTTGTGTTCGATGTCGTGAACTTAAGAAAAAGGTCGAAGTACGTCCCAACTAACATGCCTGCTCAAATCCTCCACATACCTACCAAAGCGACATAAACGCACACACGCTACCTCAGGCGCCACCACGATCAGCCGAGATCGTCTCGTCTACCAACTCAAATAAAAGCCAGCGTACCAGCACCACGCCACCTGTCTAGCCATCTCACCCCTTCTCTCTTCCCCACCCCTCCTACACCTTATGAAAATAAATATGCAAACTCCGGCCCCCCGGCCTATTCCTCTCCTTATTCCACCCCGCATCCCCCAACGTTAGCACCAAACTCATCGGCTCCCCATACACAAAAGTCTGCCCCTTCTCCCACAACCCATTCACCATCTCATGCACCTCGCTAATCCCGAACCCCTCACAATCTTGATTCTCATTGCACACCTCGATCAGCCGATTGATATTCGTGCTGCAGCTCACATACAGCACCTCGACCTCCATGGGCATCCCGTGGTTGAGCCAGGGGAACACGGGGCCCTTGAGCAGGTGCACGATGGTGTGCTCGGTCGACTCGACGTGCGTCATGCCCGGGGGCACGCCGCCGGGGAGCGAGGTGATGTCGGCCTGCGGAGGTTGCGGGGGCGCGAGGGCTTCGGTCATGATGCCGGGCGCGGGGCGGTGCATGCCGGGCCAGAAGCCCACGCCCATGCCCATGCCGAATCCTCCCATACCGAGTCCCATACTTCCCATTCCCATGCCCATCGCACCTAGTCCCGGAATCCCTGCCCCGCTCCACAGCGGCTGTCCGGGCGCAAACGGCGGCACGACACCCGCAACACCCTCCGGCACCGGCGGGCCATCCACGCACCGCTCGAAGCCTAGCCACGGCATACCAGGGACACACGCGCCGTGCTGCGTGGACGGGTTGCCCAGGAGTCCGGGAGTGTTCCAGGGCATCCGCGGTGGTGCGAGAGGGCCTGCGGATTGCACGCCACCGAAGCCCATGCCCATCACGGGTCCGAAGGGGAGAGGCATGCCCATGCCCATGCCCATGCCGAGAATAGGCGGGGGGAAGGGGCCGAGGGTGTGTGCGGTGGGGAGGCCGGGGAGGTGGTGTGTCATTGTGGGTGGGGAGATGTGTTCGGGGGTTTCTTGAGCCTGGGCTTCGGCGGGAGGAGGACCAGCAGGTGGGCCAGGGGGTGGATGTGGAGGGTGGAAAGAAGGGGGGACCGGCTCGCGGTTCAGGCCGATGTTGCCGCCGACATTGGGGAACCAGGATTCACCGAGAGGAGGAGGGGGGCCGGACATCTTGAGGGCTGTTGGGGAGGTGGTTGGAAAGAGGAGATAGGAAGTATGAGATGCGGGGGAACGAGCGACCGTGCGGATGTTGCTGCACTAACGGCAAGCAGGCAACGATGAAGGTGGTGTGTCAAGTATGTATGTAACGAGAGAGGTGAAGATGGGGGAAGTACTGTGGTTGAGGGTGGTTTATATACACACCTACCTGTGCAGTTGAAGTGCGCAGTATGTCTACCGAACGTGAAGAGCACTACAGTGACCGTTGTGAGTGCTGCTGCGAACAGAGGAACATCCGTTGCCTGGGCTTGAAGCGCGTCGTGAAGCAGGAACTGGTGCAATGAAGAAACCAGATCGGCAACACGTCGACGTATCGATGTGAATCTTGTGTAAACGATCAAGAATTCCACATGTGTTGTGGATCTGTGAAGTGTTCCGCATGGAAACGTCGATTGCGACAGAATTATGATCTGCCAACGGGCGACTTCTTGACTGCACACACGTATCTGACAAAGATGCAAGTGATATTGCAACAAATGATCTTGGTAGAAAGAAATAGCTGGGGATTCGTGTAGACGATGAATCCGGGGTTGAGTTGTGTGTGTTGACTAGATACTGGCATCGGCCACGTTGTGGCGTTCATGCACATTACTAGTGTTGGACGTTGAGATCAGTATAGACGGACATGGAATGCACTAGTCCAGCCCCCCACGACGGAAGGCATTGGCATGGCAATATGCGAGCAACTTCTTCAGATTTCGACGGCACTTCCAAACGTTAGCATCATAGCACCAACCAGATCTGGATTGACCTCGCAAGGGGTATCTCGAAGTCTAAGAATTCCATAGTACATTGATATCATACCTGTACAACCTTTGAAATGGTATACTACATACTGAAGCCAAATCCAAACGCTCTAGCTACCCGCGACAACTGCTAATCCCTCATAGATCTTCCTCTTCACCTTGTAGAATGTGACTCCATCGCTCTTGCGATCTGTTAGGTTGTAGGCACCGCCATCGACCTCGACCCTGTTCGTAAGCTTGTTGATCGTCACGGACACGCTCCCGTTGATGACCAACACACCGCCTCCTCCAAACTCCGCGGTCATGCCTGCAGCTTGCAGGAACTTGCGCAGGTCCGGCAGGCGGAGATCGCCCACGTGGAAGGGCTGTGCCACGGTGCGGACGGCAGTGGAGAAGTTGGCGGGTACGACATCGAGGATGGGCGTCGCGTCCATCTTGTCGTTTTCAGCCGTCGACGATACGGCGTCAAGTCTGGCTTTCTTCTTCGCAGGCGTATCTTCCTCCTCTTCGGCCGAGGAGGCGAGGGAGGCTGCTGCTAATCGCCCAGTGATTGCAACGACACCAAGGCCTCTAACCTTCTGCCATTGCAGTTTTCGTACCATGCTGCGACTCAACTTTACAGACCAGGCGTTCGTGTCGACACTGGCGTCTATCGTGTCGCCCAGATCGGGTGTGAAAACGTCGACTGCGTTCGAGGCTTCGCCGGCGCGTGCAGCGAGTACTGTCCTGGCTTCCTCAGCTAGCTTCTCGGTCTCGGCTTCGTCGCCTGCAACGAAAATGAGCTTCCTGGGCTGGATGAGAGGCAGCAGGTTGTTGATTATGCGCAGATCATGCAGTGCAGAGAAGTCGACGAAGGCGATGCGGCAGTGTAACTGGAGAGTTTCTGTTTCGAATATGACTTTCGACGGGCCCTCGATGTGCTCGAGATCGTCATCAGGTTCGTCATCAGAAGCCTCGCCACCATCGTTCGGACCTTTGTCGTCTGTGTCTGCTTTCCGTGTTTTCTTCTGGCGCCCTCCGTCGCGAGTCTGAATCGTCAGGTCTTCCCACTTCCTTTTCTGGCCCACCTCGTTCTCTTTCTTCGCCCCCTCTCGTAGTGCTTCCGGGGCTGCCTCTTCTTCATCAGCGCGAGCAAACTCTTCTGGGCGGATAACTTCGCCAAATTCATCCGCTCGGCGCTGCTTGGCCACAAAAGGAAACACCTTCTCGTCTCCCCTCTTTGCCCGGACATCCCAGTCGTGCACATTTTTGCGCTGCACAAGAATTTTGACACCGAGCTCTTCATCGCTTAGTCCCAACTTTTTTCGTGTATGGCGCAGGATTGTTGCCGTATTCAGCAGCCTTCCCTGATGTTCATCATCAGAGTCTTCGGAAGTCGTCGACGTAGACGCCGACCAGTCGTCCCCGACGGCACCTGATGTCTCTAGCGCAGCGCCCGTATCGCCTTGCATGGTAGTCTGGAGTTGGCGTTGCCTCGCGAGATATTGTTGATACAGTGGGAGCTCCTGGCCATCCAACGCCACAGCTCGGGCCGACCTTGATGAAACTTGCGTTCCCTCGCCGGAGAAAGACGCAACGGAAATCGCGTCTCCCTCAGCTGCCGGGTTTTTCTCGTTCCAAAATTCCCACAAATATCTTCCTAGCGCGTTATTCGAGCTTCCAAAATCTCCAATACGCTCTGTCAGAATGACTAGATTGCGAGAGTCCGATGCCAAACTTCTTACTGCGTCCTTCGAAAAGCCCCATTCGAGCGAGGCATCGCTCGCAAGAATCACACGAGGTTCTGTTTGTGCCAGCATCTTCGTGACACGTGACTTTCGCTCGAGCAGTGTGATATGCTTGAAATCGAATGAGTCGTTCTCGATACCCTTTTCCATCCACTCCAGCATACTTCGCGCATAACGCATGGTAGCTCCAGCGGTTCTGCTAGCAAGGTATACCTTTGCGTTGTTCATTTGGCTGCCCGTCTCTTTCCATGTCTCTTCGAGGAGATGCGCTAATTCCAGAATTCGTGCGCTCGAATCGGAGGGTATCAGCACCGAGCCACCGTTGGCGACAGTCTCTCTTACTAGAGAGACAAGTGCTTCGTCTCGTTGGTTGAGCCCTACGGCTTTCTTCAGGCCAGTTCCTCTGCTGCTGCAAATCATAGCCGTGGGGCGGCGCAGCTCCTTGATGACTTCACCTCCGACCTCACCAAACCAAGCAGCACCCGGCAATGCGCGCTCTCTGGCCTGATTCCAGTCAACCGCATACACGATAGACTCCATGCCATGCTGGATGTGCCATATGGTTCCTCCTAATGTGTGTCCAGCGCTGTACGCAGTGATTGTGAGGGAGCCCAGAGGCGGTGTGTTCGGCAGCTGCTGAGGTTGAGTTGGTTGCGAGTATTTGAGTGGATTGATGAGGCTGAAGTAATTGGCGATTTCTTCAGACGTCGGTGCTTGCATGAGGATATTGGGGTTGGTGTTGCCCAAAGAGTAGGAGGACTCGGCGAGGGCATCCGCCGGCACGGTCGAGCATGCCAGCGGCGTCGATTCGTACAGGTCTTGTAGGAGAGTGCGGCCGAGAGAGATGACTGGGGTGGTTGCGTAGACGGGTATGTTCTTGAACTGAGGGAAGTGCTTGCAGCAATGGACGAAGGCACCGATGTGCGCAGTGGTGGCATGAGTGAGAAGGATGAATGACAGAGTCGGGACGTGTCTGCCACAAAACAGTCAGTACATTTCTTTGATATGGAGTGGCTATGGCGAGCGCAAGCGCTCCTAGCTAAGTTCCTGGCGCAACGCCCTTCGCCAACATTGCGCGCGTGGCGCGAGCTGACCACGTACTTCTCGATCTCCTTCAGCTTCTCCACATCAAAGCTTTCGTCCCAGCCCACATCCACGAGCACCTTGATGCCGCCATCGAACTCCAACAGTGATTGCGACGCAGGCGACGCCGACTGCGCGCCCAGGAGTGGTGTGAACGTAAACATGTTATCGGCGTGTTTAATTGTAACTGCGCGCGCAGCTCTAGAGAGGCGAATGAGACGGTCGACGCGGTAGCATGGCCGCACTCTGCTGAGTGTCTTCCCGTGGAAGCTCAATGAACGCCAACCTTGAGCGCGCTTTCACGCATGTTTCGGGAAAACTCTCGGCCCGAATGATGCCAAGGCTCGACCTATGAGCACCCATCATGGGTATCCTCATAATCTATGTCCAGGTCTCGTACTTCGCCGGAAGACCAGTTCAGGCAGATATCGCTCCAATCGCTCAGCTGTGCGGCATCCGCGAACGTGATGCGAAATACACGTGACAGGCATTTCTCGGATCACCCACGCCGCCCAACCCCCGGCATGGACAGTCTTCCAAGGTTGTATACCCATGTGAATAGACGCCACATGGAGCGTAATGGGGCCGATGATGAATCACTAGTGATACCGCTCTTCTGGAGACAGACCGCCGAGTACCAGCTCCTGCAAGTTCGTCGGACAGCGCCGCATAGCTTCCAACATCGCTTCCTCCGCATGCCTTGGGACCGCTTACGCACCATGCTGTGAAGTCGCACTAACATCTCGTATTTTCTATCTTCGGTGCATTAGCGGAGGAAGATCGGCTCGCGACACTGCTGTTGCTGAGCCACGTCGGAACTGGCACTTTCAAAGTTCCATACTGTAGGCCGGCCGGCCGCCCCGCTTGCGAATCACTTCCCAGTTCTGCCCAAGGCAGCTTTGCGCCATCTCACACTAAGTATGCACGTCACACCCTCATCCCACATCGAACCCGCGCTGGCGTCTGTCTGCCATGGCTGTGATCATGGACTAGCGAAACTATTACGATGGCTCTCTTTCACGACTCACAAGCGCTTGTCCTGGCCATTCACCTCAAGGGGCTACGCGTCGATGGCCGGCCTCACATCGGGTATCACGGTCTAATGCAAGACGGCGATCATGGTTCGCTTCGACCTTCGATTTCAGCGCCATACTGCAGTCTCCACTCCGCAGCATTAATTCGACTGATGCTAGTTTGGGCCGACTGCGGCTCTGACATTTGATACTAGGTCAGAAAATCAGGCAGTGACAAGCCCAGATGACTTTGCAAGTTCACACGCTGGTTGAAGCCACCGCCGCCGTCGCCAGTCGCTAATCTGAAACTCCTTTTGGGCCATGCAACATCAGCTGAAGCAGATTGTTTGGTGCGGAGAGAGTACTCTCCATCTTTGCGCAGCTGTTCCACCTTCGCTCGGCTCATCCCGATGTCAAGGCTCAGGGTTCGACGGAGCGGCCCTTTTGGAGCCAGCTCGTGGAGCGTGCGTAAAGTTCTGAGCCGTCCCGCTCCCGTTCCGACCCAGATGGCATTGTGAGTAGAACAGATGTTATCACGACGCGAAGTAGCGACAGCGTCGAAGCGGCTCTTTCTCCGCTTGGTACACGACGACTTGTACGACGTCGCCGATGCCTGGCGTCAGCTTTTGTGGCTGATTCTTACTTCTGGCTGGCTGTGGCCATGCATCGCTCCCAAACAAACTTTAAGCCGGTGCGGTCCTGCCTGACCCCAGATCCGGCATGCTGTAGGGACGTGGCGCCCGGAGGCCCTTGCAGAGCTGTCCCTGCGCGTGAACTTTCCAACGTTCGACACTGCGGGACTAGCGCAGTCATCACCATATTGTTGACAAATGTGGTATTCCGTCTTACGTCGGCAGAAGAACAGCGACGTCGCAGTCGTCGTTGATGGATGCATTCATTCGAGGCGCCAGTGGAATGCGCAATGTATTCGCAAAGTGGGGCTGAGCCCACCCGGATGCTCGAAGCCCAGACCAAAAGATCGCGGCGTCACTAGCTGCTTGGGCGACCAGCCGCCGTTTTGATGGCGTTTGGGTCGTCGTTCAATAAGCACACGAAACCGCAGTGACTGGCAGGCTGGCAGAACGAGCCGGTCTCGGCCGTGGATAGCGTGAACGAATCAGATCACAAGAGGCTGCAGCAGCTGCCGCCTTCATACGATGGCATGCTTCCCCGCTGTTCATCATATGAACACCACCAGTGCGGACATCCCGCGGGATGTGACAGCCAACAGGAACAGCAGGCTACGTGCATACGAACAAGCCTTCGAAGCAAAGCGTATCCCAGTCGGAGCAGCAATACAATACGCACGGCTGGACTACAGCACGTTATATACATGCGCCCGCGTTTGAGAGATTGCAGTCTCTCGTCGAGGCTAGTGCTCACCAGCGTCAGTACGAGCATGATTGATCCTCTTCCGGGGCAATCATCCACACGTCCCATTGCTTGGTCAATGCTCTTTTCCAATGCTGGTCGGCGCGCTTGGAATATGAGAGACCAGCAATCGGTACAGAGCAGCTGGCTCCTAGGCTCCACTTCGCGTGGCTCGTCCGGTAGTAGTCGAATCGACTTGGTCATCGTGTCGGGCACAGCAGGAATCGTTATTTTAAAGCTGCCCTTACCTGTTTTCCATACCTTGCCGCCTCTGCGTAGTGTACACTAGCCGGCCGCGACGTTGTCAGGGTTGCCCCCTTCTCGTGTTCCCTGCCCCGGCTCTTTACTGCTCCTCCCTAGTCGATAAAGCGTATTACCTCCACTGTCCCCGCTCTCAGGTCGATCTTCTCGTGCGCCTTCCGCTCCCACTCGACCACGTTCTATCTCTTGTCACGTCCGACAACCCAGGTATAGGCCCCAGCTCTTCGCCACCCGATTTTCCCGCGCTGTGCTTAAACGCTGCTTGACTGCGTCGTGGACGCATCCGTGTGCGACTGTGCTGCTGCTCTTCCACACCTACCATTGGCTTGTCGCACGATTCGCTAAAGGCTCCTCACCCCCGCCCGCAACGTTGCCGTCTCGAGACCGCTGGAGCGACCGGCTTGGACCCTTTGCTTCCTCACATTCCTGGAGCGTCGCATACGTTCCAGAGTGTGCAGTTCCCGGGCTCTTCTTGTCCCCTACAGTGCGACGGGTGCTACCAATCCGCTTGCACGGCGATTACGCTCGGCATTAAGCTCTCGAGGCGCCCCTCGCCTGCGCTACTCACCTTCAACGAGCAACGCGTGTCCAATGCATGTCTACCACAAACGGTAGCCATTGATCCTACCTCTTCTCGCTCGAATGATCTCTACCGTTAACTTCGGGCAATCGCCGTCGGCAGCGCAAGCTCGCCTGAGCATCAGCTCCTCTCCTCAGCCTTCCATGTCGTCCAGTAGCGATTCCCCGGCGAACACACCCACCTTCGACTCGAATGGCGTCTCCATCGCAGATTCCCTGTCTGAAGGGCGCATAGGTTCAAGAGACGGATCCGATGAGATTGTGCCCAAGATCGAGGAGACCGAGCTCCAACTGTCCGACGTCAAGCCCGAGCCTGCTGCAGATGACACCCCAATATCACCAACCGAGCCAGTGCGACTTAGACGCGCCAGAGGTCGACCACGCATCCACCCTCCTCGCTCCCCCACCGCTGCATCTAAAGCAGCAAAGGCACGTTCGAAAACGGGTTGTACAACGTGCCGAAAGCGAAAGAAGAAGTGCGACGAGACGAAGCCTTTTTGTAATTATACCAAGTGAAGTGAGTTGGCGGTTCGCTAATGCATCGTAGGTCTGTCATGCCAGAAGAACAATATACACTGTGAAGGCTATAAGCCTGTGGAGATATGGAAAAGTGGCAAAGAAAGAGCAGCAGAAGGTCACTACAGCCCTCTTCCGGCGCGGATGGAAGCTAACGGCTACACAGCACGGCGAATGAGCGTCGAGGTGAAATTCGAACTGCCGCCGCTTATGGGAGGAGTAGAGACGGACGTCGACCGGACCCTATTGCAGCATTTCGTCAGCAGGGCTAGCGCTGTCCTTAGTCTGCACGGCGATCAAAGCACAAACCCATTCACAAGGATACTATTACCAATGGCCCTTCAACACGAGGGTTTAATGCATTCAGTGCTGTGTCTGTCGGCATCACATCTCTGTTCACAAGCTCCTTCGCAGGAGTACGAGGACAGGCAGGTGTTCCACCGAGGCAAGGCCCTGCACTTGCTGAACCAAGATCTTCAGCGCCAGAAGGCTGGCGAGGGTGGCACTATGCGATACGAAGATTCCAACGTGGCCCAGATACTTCTTCATCTCCTACACGCCATCTGTGACGGCAACACCTCAGGGGAATACCGAATGCACATGATCGCCGCAAGACAGATCGCTCTAAATCAGAAATCACAAAATAAGGAGTTTCAAAACCTCTTCGACGAGTTCTTCTACTATCACTGGATTGCTAGTGAGATTACGTCTCTCGATGGCACCGAAGTACCTATGATGGAGAACTTCAGCCTTCCTTTCGAGATAAACCCTGAGACAGCCGGCCTCATTGGTGTTTCCGACGGACTATTTGGGTTTATTTCGAAAATCAGTAATCTGAGGAGGACGATCCGAACACGCATCGATGAAAAGATAGAACCTATTATGGACTACGAGGCGTTGCTTACTGCTCACGCGATTGACACAGGTCTCCGCAATTGGGTCTGTCCCCAGACAACAGGCACTCCGCGCTACACATTGTCCATGTTGTACCGTCAAGCGACCTGGGTTTATCTGTATCGGACGACAAAGAAGTCTAAACCGGATCCGTATATCAGGTCTGCTGTCGACGATGGGATCAAGTACATCAACGAGCTGCCCGCCGAGGGTTGGATTCAAAGTAACGTTCTGTTGCCGCTGTTCCTGATGGGGTGTGCCGCTTTTGAACAAGATCAACGCTTCGAGATCAACAGGGCTTTCACTGGGCTGATGGCAGTTACAGGCCTGGGCAACATCACCTCTGCAAAAGAGGTCGTGGACAAGGTGTGGCACCTAATGGACATTGACGACCCCGACTCCTGGGACTGGGAGAAAATCATCCACCAAAAAGGATGGGACTTCCTCGCCACATAAGCACTCCGCACATACGCATACGGCCGACGCACGCATCACGTTCACGATCTATTCGAAAATTGGAGTTTTGGGTTTTCCTCACGGTTATCGACGGGCGGGACTGGGCATCAAACTGGATTGGTGTGGGACCTGGGTTATGGAGTTGGCACACTCCGGAAATCCTCTCTTCTTCCTTTACGCACACGTTCAACTACCGAAGAGCATCTAATTTCCTTCGGCATGGGTAGGCTTCGTCTGTGAAAACGGGGTGCGGCTCTCTTTCAGCCTGTTTCTGCAAAGGCTACGGCTTATTGCTTTTTGTACTGCTATCCTATATTTCTGGATCTATCCACGGCTGGGGCTACTTGTACGGACGGGGGTCATCTGCTTTACTGTCATTCTATCACACTGGAAGGAGGCCGGCGCGGTTGCCTACTCAAAGCATGTTCCACTCCGTCCAAGACACAATGTCACTGGGCATCTGTATCGTGCCTGAAATATCTTTCGGCACGAAGTCTAGCTTGCACGGAGCGCGCCCATAACTGCCTAGCAATACCACTCTACCTTCACCATTCCCCGTCTGACTCGCAGCACAATCGGCCCTTCATCCTCGCCAGCCAGCACCACTCGTTCACCCTGAATCTGTACGCACTGCGGCGTCTCCGCGCGCCTTGCCCATTCGAGCAAACCGAGCTTCTCCCCCCTCGCTCGCCCCGCTCTCTGCCGCAACGCAATTCCCTGGCTCAACTTAGCGAGCGGCCCTGCGACTCATGCTAGCTCCCAGCATTATCGGAATGTCTTAATCAAAGAGCAATGCTGCGCAATGCCCGATGCTCGTTCTCTCGAAGCGCTTGCGTGCATTTATCCGGGTGCGATCGTGGAGGGCAGGGGCAGCGTCCGCGGCCACGGTAGAGGCGTGGGGGTGCGTGGTGTTTGTGGAGCGGAAGGAACATTACGGGTGGGCGAGAAGATGGGGGGAGCAGTTGCTGGGCCGTACAGAATCAGCCCACTCGCTTCCGGGTAAACGTATGGCGAACTGAGAGAGAGGCGATCGCGATTCACACAGTACGAGGCCGCGACTTGTGGATGTGTAGACGCTGGAAGGATGTACCTGGAGATGCTTTGAGTGAATGATCACCGGCGAGGGCGCACCCCTCTTTCGAATCGAATCGCGTCTGCAATCGGCCGCACGTTTGCGAGATAGATCCTGCAGCTATAATTACCCACGATAGGTTCGTTGCACATATGTACGCAGCCGGCGTGCCTGTCTTGACATAACATGCATTTCTACACATCAGACGTGGTACAGCATATAGCCCTAGATATTGCACCGCCATAGCAGGTGAACTAAGTTGACCCCCACGGCGAAACCCGCATTGTACCGAAGGTGGGCTTGCTGCCCCTCGGACGTGTTTCTTGTTTCAGGACGCTTGAACCTCAGACCTGGGCTGGGCTGTGGGCACTCGTGGTCGGATGTCATTAGGAGACGACTATTGCCGACGGCAGTCGGAGGCTGCGCATTATGGGGACGGGTGACGTGGACTCGAGGCCGCTGCGTCAGCGATCGTGCTGAGCAGAGCTGCGATTATGCCTGTGGTGCTATGCAGATCGCCGGCATCTTCGTGCGAAGTTCGAGCACGCAGCAGGAAGGATTTGTGGCGAGGCTGGTCTGGGTCTGGCGGTGTCCGGACTGTCACGCATGCGTGGAGCTGGGTTCATGGGAATAATGTCTGCCCAGGAGGGCGGGCTGCGATTCATCAACACCCACACCGTTCGCATGAGCGCGGCACCGCTGCGCCATTATACCTGTTTGGTGGTGAGCATTAAGCACCCCATGGGACCGTTCCAGCGCTGAGTGATCGCTGTGTGGGCGTTCGCGATCGGTGAGCAGCCCTTGCAGCTGCGAACATCCCCCAATCGAGCAAAGCTGCTTCCGAACATTGGGGCGCTCACCGATGAGCGTAGCCACGAGGTAGAGTGTGCCTTACAGCGTCTCGCGCCTAGGCCTATGGGTTATTACTGGAGGTCATCGGGCGTATGAGGCGTATGCGGCGCCCTCGACGGCGCTGGATGGTCGCAGCTGCTTCCAGTCACTTGATCGGTAGTGTGAGCCGGTCAGCTCTCTAGAGTGCTGTGATGATTGACTCTTCGTAGGGCTGACCATGCACACTGCAGGGAGCTGTGCACTTCACGTGAAGACTGTGGTGTGAATTGACGAGTGTGGCTTCCCGTGGCTAATAATGTGGCAGCCCTTGGCAGCTGTCGTATACCCTGTTAAGGTAGTGTAGCAAATGGGCGCAAGACCGAGGCCTGAACATCAGACCAAAATGCGAACTGGCTCTTCAACACGTTCGGCATCGCATTCCACGAAGGCTCGTGCAAACAGGTCGTGTCGTCAACCATATCTGTTGGTGTCTGCTGTCTGTATCGTTTCACTTCGCTTGGATAAAGCTTCGGATGGGTGTATGGGACGGATTATCGTGCCGGCATTTCCAATGGATTGCAACACCGAGCCACGCGCGGGTGCACTGGTGCTCCTGGTCATCCTCGATAGGGATCAAACCACGATTACCGAGGCCATAGCGTGTGATGAGTGTGGGCCTCGGTTGGCAGGATGTCAAGCTACTTGTGTAGCGAAATCGTCGCAACGTTCACAATATGGAAGTGCTTCGGCGGTATTTTCCAAGGATTTACAGCGGAGCGCATACCCATCGAATTGAGGAAGTGATTACTGACCGAGACCTTTCGTTCGAATAATTGGCCTGGTTTTCATCGATTTCTCTTCCGGGTGGCGTCAGTCCGTGAATTGACGTTGATGGACAGTGGCGAGCATGCAAAGTCAGAAGGCCTTTCGGCTTGGGTGCGATGTTTCGCTTGTTGTTATGGAAGCTCGCTTCGAGCTGATGAGCGGGCCTGCGTCAGACAGGTAATCGCTTCGACGTGTTGTTCCAGAAGGCCGTTAGCCAGATATGTATCTCACTGCATTCTTCGCTTGGCTTGAGTTACGACGCCCAAGTCCAGCATGATCCATGCACTCTATGCGAGTACCGACCGTTGAGTGTCTTAGAGGCCCGGAACGTTCCTAGGTAACCGGACACAAGATCGATCATACTTTTACATTTTTAGATAGTTCAGAGACCGAAAATCGGACTATGTGTTATGACGCTCGCATATGAGGATCAGACGAAACACGTTGATGGAACGTCGGGACGCTTGCGGCAGGTGGAAAACGTGGATGTGCGGGGATCCTTGGGGGCGCTGCACCCTGGAACAATCGCAAACCTCAGGCTCCATTCCTCCACAGAAATCTCCTCATAGTGTCTACCAATTTCCGAAAATGCCGACCACTCATCTTACAGAAACATGCAAATGATTTTCTCGCCAGATCGTTGTCCCTTGAGGAGGGACCCTGGGGAAGCGTGCAAGCGAGGCGGCCACGTCCAACGGCAACGCCTGCACACCACATCGGTTGCTTAGCGAGGCCGGGGGGACAATGGGGCTGCGGAGTCAAGGCGCATATTGCAGCTCGCGTGCAGGCTGGAACGCAGACTCTTCAGCTTTCTGTCGTGATTGTGTCGCTCAACTATGCTCCAAACGCTCCCTTCTTTTGGTGTTGTTTGGTGATCGCGACGATGACAGACTTGACCGAGAACGAAAAGCGGCACAGTGCACCGCCAGCGATGGGAGATGGCGGCGGCGTGGTGGCTTCAGCTGTGCAGATCGATGAAATACGACGTACACCGACACACGCGTCCGCAACCTTACATGTCGAGAATGCGATCTCGCTGCGTGAAGTTGACCCCGTATCCGTTCAGCTGCAGCATCTTTCGGTCACTGTAGATGAATCGCCAAGTGCCCTTGCGAAGCTTTTCCAGAAGAGTGCGAAGGCCCAGGTCGGTCATTCAAAGAAGATATTGGACGACATCTCGGCAGAATGCACGAGTGGGACGCTGACAGCGATTATTGGAGGGAGTGGCAGTGGAAAAACATCGCTGTTGAACCAGATGAGCGGGCGGATGAAGGGCAATCGACTATCAGTATCCGGGCGGACTCTTTTCAATGGGAGCGAGGATGCATCGCGAATACAGTCCGGCTTCGTCATACAACAGGACATTCTACTGCCCACTCTAACAGTCCGGGAGACTTTGACTTATGCAGCTCAACTTCGTCTGCCTTCGTCCATCAGTCAGGAGGAGAGGAAGAAGCTTGTGGAGGAGGTCATCATGGAGTTGAGTCTAAAGGAAGCTGCGGATACGCGGATAGGGAACCACGAGCATCGCGGCTGCAGTGGTGGTGAGAAGCGACGGGTCAGCATCGGCGTGCAGCTTTTGTCCAATCCCAGCTTACTCTGGCTGGATGAGCCGACCACTGGGCTTGACTCTACCAGTGCATATCAGTAAATTCTCGCCAAGCTGTCCAAATTCGATATACTAACGTGCCAACAGAATTGTGAAGACTCTACAGAATCTAGCGCGAAAGGGGAGAACCATCATTGTTACGAGTGCGTATCCACAGAGACATGGTTTGTGGTAGCTAATGGCATCAGTACATCAACCACGGTCGGAGATCTTTACCCTGTTCGATAACATTGTTCTCCTCACAAGGGGCAAACCCGCGTATGCGGGGAGTGCCAACGAATGTCTGCCCTACTTCCAGAGTCTAGGACACGAGATGCCTCCCTTCACGAATCCTGCAGAATTTCTCATTGATGTTGTGAGCGTCGACAACCGGAGCGAAGAAGCGGAGGCTGCAGCCCAGATCCGTGTCAACCGAATCACAGAGGCATGGAGGGACCGCTCGTCTAAACTACAGGCCGAGAAGGAAATGCATGAGAAGGTGGCGGGCGTCAGGAATTCACCAAAAGTCTCTCCGGCAAGACACATATCGCTTCTCCAGCAAATCCGCGTGTTAACATCGCGGACTTGGATCGTCACTTTGCGCGATCCGATGGGCATGTTCGGCAGTCTTGTGGAAGCGATCGCTATGGCTGTCATAATTGGTTGGATCTTCTTACAGTTAGACGGCTCCCTCTCCGGCATTCGGTCCCGCCAAGGTGCTCTGTATATTGCATCCGCCATGCAGGGCTACCTTATCTTGCTCTACGAGACATACCGCTTAACCATTGACATCCATGTCTTTGACGAAGAGGCACGGCAAGGGGTGGTCGGCATTCCAGCTTTTCTCATATCAAGGAGACTAGCTCGCTTGCTGATCGAAGATATCCCGGTGCCGCTGATCTTCTCGATCATCTTCTACTTTATGGCTGGGTTTCGGAAAGACGGCGAAGTCTTTCTTACTTTCTTCAGTGTCATATTGCTAGAACAATACATCGCTGTCTGCTTCGCGATGGTTTGTGTCGCGATCTCGCGGAATTTTGCTGGGGTAAGTCCTCCAAACCCCAAGCGGAGATCACACTGACTCTCAATAGGCAAGCTTAGTGGCAAACTTAGCGTACACACTCCAGTCTATGGCTTGTGGTTACTTCATCCAGTCAAACACGATACCAATCTACGTTCGTTGGACAAAGTGGACCGCCTATGTGTTCTACGCATTCGGCGCATTGGCTGCCAACGAGTTCACGGGGCAGTTTTATGATTGCCCGCTCGAAGGTGGCGTATCGAATCCAGCATGTAAAGAATACACGGGTGCGTTCATTTTGGACTCTTTAGGCTTTCCAAGAGACTGGGTCTGGCGCCCCATCCTTGCACTCCTCGGTTTCGGTATCGCTTTCTACTTTGGCGCTTACCTCTTGCTCAAATTCTGGAATGCTGAGATCGCCATGGCAAGAGCTAGACCCTCCAATGTAGATGCATCAGCAGGCAAAGAGAAGATGGTCGCCAGGTCTCGAGATGAAGTACGCACAGTCACCATTCGACTCGACGGATACGGGCTTGATCTCGAGAAACGTTCCATTAGGAAGAAAACCACCAAGACGATACTCAACCCACTCACCGCAGAGTTCCAACCGGGCACGCTAAATGTCATTATGGGCCCTTCAGGGTCTGGCAAAACGACATTGCTCAACTGCATGGCTGGCAGACTACGGGATGACTTAACAACGAGATACAAAAAGTACGGAGCCATGTCATTCAACGGCTTGTCGCCATCGGAAGATGTCGTGCATGCTATATGCTCGTTCGTCACGCAAGATGACGATGCTCTTCTTGCTTCACTTACTGTACGCGAAACATTGCGATACGCTGCCGGTCTACGCCTACCGAAATTTTTGACGACGCAAGAAAAGATGCAAAGAGCGGAAGATATACTTCTAAAGATGGGTTTAAAGGACTGCGCGGACAATCTCATTGGGAACGATCTGATCAAGGGAATCAGTGGCGGTGAAAAACGTCGCGTTACCATCGCTGTTCAGATTCTCACGGAGCCTCGCGTTCTCCTTCTTGATGAACCGTTATCCGGCCTGGATGCTTTCACCGCGCTCTCCATAATGGACGTTCTTCAAGGTCTCGCCAGCGAAGGCCGCACACTCATTGTAACAATTCATCAGCCACGATCAGATATCTTTGCGCATTTCGGCAGCATTCTTCTCTTAGCTCGTGGAGGCCATCCTGTCTATGCAGGCCCATCCGGAGAGATGTTGTCCCACTTCACCAAACAGGGGTACCAATGCCCCCAGCACATCAACCCTGCCGATTTTGCACTGGATCTTATTACTGTCGATCTCCAACACGAGTCGCGTGAAGCTGCCAGTCGGGCCAAAGTGAGGGGGCTGATCCAGTCTTGGACACCAGATTTATTCCCGATCGCTCGGACAGGATCAATCACTACACCAGCAGAACTTGGAAGCTTGGTACGAGCGCCGTCCTCGTTCACGAATGCGGTATCGATCCTTCTGAGGAGAGCGACCAAAAACTTCTTCCGACAGCCTGATCTGCTATCTGCGCGTATCGGCCAGGTTGCTGGTCTAGCCATTGTGCTTGCTTTGTTCTTCGCACCATTGAAGAACAACTACTTCGCAGTGCAGAACCGCCTCGGCTTCCTCGTCGAGATTGCCCCCCTGTACTTTGTCGGCAGTAAGTATTCTTTCTAATGCCATTATACATGCAAGTTGTGGCTGACCATTTCCTTGCAGTGCTCAACAACATCGCTGTGTATCCACTCGAGCGCGACGTGTTCTACCGCGACTATGCCGATCGTGTGTACAATGTCGAGGCGTTCTTCCTGACCTACACTGTCCTAGAAATTCCATTCGAGATCATAAGTTGCATCCTCTTCTCTTGTCTCGCCGTCCTCGCGTGCGGCCTGCAGCGCGACGCCCAAACCTTCTTTATAATCACGTACAACGCTTTCTGCATTGTCAACTGTGGTGAATCTCTGGGCATTACATTCAACACGCTGTTTACCCACACTGGCTTCAGCGTGAATTGCATGAGTGTGTTCCTCAGCGTAGCACAGATCATGGGTAAGCTTAAGCTTGTCGCTCCTGTATCTATGAACGGAGTGCTAACAATTGCCAAGGTGGTGTCATGTCCCTCAACATTCCTGGTTTCTTGCAGGCTTTTAACCACCTATCACCTATCAAATGGGCAATGGGAAATATGGCACCATATACACTGCGCGGAGTCCAGTTCACGTGCGATGAGTACCAGGAGATCAACGGACGCTGTCCTATTACTACAGGGGAGGACGCACTCGCACTGTACAAACTCAACAAAGATCCCGAAATTTACATCATGGCATTGGGTGTGTGCACTATCGTGTACAGACTCATCGCATACGTGATACTGAAATGTGTGAAAGAGAGATGGGTTGGAAGGGCATGGAGGAAGATGAGCGGAGCACGCTTGCTGAAAGAAGAAACACTGCAGCCATCGGGAGCGACGGAGGAGGCAATGCTAAGATAGGAAATTGTAAACGGCCGATATTGGGAAAGAGATGGCTTTGCTTTGCTTATTTGACTTTTAAGATACCCACTCACGTTCCCCGCTTTTCCTACAAGTATCAGAGTCTTCATGTCAATCTATCCTAACGAGCGTGTTGAATCCCCTCCCTCTCACATAATCTCCCGTCTTGCTTTCAGTCACTTAAATGTACTTCTCCGACCCAGGAAGCACCGTTCCGTTCTGCAAGATAGCACTGGCATGCCCTCTCATCAGGTAGCCATATGCGGGCATGTAGTCGTTTATGATGGGGACGATCTTCTCGACTCCTGGAAGCGGATTCCTCCAGTCTCGCATGAGGTCCGCCAGGATGGCAAAGAAGGAAACGAGGTGCACACCTGCAGCTTGCATGCGGAGGTTTGCCGTGTCGCGAGCGAGTGTGCTGGTGGTGCCGCTGGCTTCGACGTTGGCAAAGACAGAGTAACTTGTTTAATTAGCTTTGGCGAAGGTGGGAAGCAGTGGTGGGACTCCAGACTAACCCCTCAGAGCGGAGAGACAGTGCAAGAAAAGCCGTGCATACATCCGTCACAATGCCGCCGATGATGAGTTGCTTCTTGCCAGTGGCGCGGACCGCAGCGCGGAATTCTGGGCTATCCCAAGCACTATTCACGCACAAATGTTAGCATACTCATGTTGTGTACAAATCATCTTGGGTCCTACGGTCTCACTGGGCAGACGACCTCTTCGTTCTAACTTACTTGATCTCCCCCTTTCGCTGCACAACTTGAACGTCGGGATACAAATCCAGAATCTCCTTCGGCAGATGCCCATTTGGACCCGTCTCTGCGGAGGTAGTCATAACTACTGGGAGCTCGAAGAGTTTCCCAAGCGTTGCGTGTCCGATCATGTTCTGTCTGAAAATGGTAGGGTCCCAGTCGCGGGTTAGCTCATACAGACCGACTTGGTGATCGACGATGAGGAGGGCGGAGTCATTCTGGCTAAGGCGCTCTGCTGTCAAGTCAGTGGATGTTGTAATGTGGCCTGATGGTACTGTGCTCATGTCCCGTCTAAGGACGCGAAGGATGCTGCAGAGGAACATCTGGGTCGGAAGCGGGAAACTTGCCCCACGGAAGCCAGTCGCCGGACAGAGCAGGCTTTGAAGTAGGGTCACATTGACCGAGAATGCTTAGAGTCAAAAGCATGAGGGTGGTGGAGGATTTCATTCTGAGCTATCAGCCAAAAAGAGGACAGTGATGTTGCGAAGATTGTATTCGGGTGTCCAATGTTAGAGCTCGATGAGGAGTTAACACGGTCTGGCGGATCCAAAGCATTTATACTCAGATCTCCTCTTACAAGAGGTTCTGGAATTAACCTTGTGGTTCTCGTCCTCTTTCTAGATCGAGACCCTCCTAACCATCTTCTGTGCAAGACTCTCTCCCCCAACCTCGCTAAGCACCATGTAGAGCATCAATCCGCCTGGGATACACAAAAGCCCTGCGCGCGACTTCGAGACCCATCTTGGCAAGACCTATCGGAGTACCAAAGGTTTCCTCGCCAAGTGCTTTTGTTAGTGTTTACAAATGGATACCACAGGCACGGATCCACGCATCCGACTCGGATGGTAATTATCTAGGTCCCCGCTAGACGAATTTGCTTACAGTTACCTGAGCGAACGGAAGGAACAAAAAGGCTAGTTACCCAATCCCGTGGTCTTTATCCCGACTGATCGCCTCCGGTGTAAGCTGTAGCCAAGACTTGAACGAGCTACACTACGAAAATGGAAAGAGGTGAGACGCGGATCGCTTCCTTCGACATCTCATCAAATTCTTACGGAAACTTCGTTGTGCAACACATCGACATCAAGCCGATTACTAAAGGCGATGAGGTTGGCGTCGACGTCGGTTCGGTAATGCAAGCGATCCGCAGCGGAAAACTCCCGCACACGTGCGAGATGGCTACCGACAACGAGCTCTACTTCTCCATGTCGACGAGGCGCTACGTGAACGGCGCTACGTGAACCACGCTGTGTGACTTGAGGTCGTGCGCACACTCTTTTTCATACGTTTGGCAGTCCACGAAGGGCAGTATTGCAAACGACCACTGCATGATTGCGACATCGAGAGAGTGGGACGAGGGAGGGTGAAGTGATCATTCGGAACAGGACATTTCTCTTATTAACGACGTCCAGCACACGATCACAAAGCACATCAGACGTGAGGCAAAGAGTATCTTCTCAGTAAAGAGGTTCAGTTGGTATCTGCATAAAAAGAGGAAAATCGTGACGCAAGAGGCTATCTACCCAGCGTAATCATACAGTCCATCTCCCCTAGTGAGACCCCAAAAGATCAGCACTATTTTCCATCTGCAAGGTTCTCATCGCCTCGCCTAGCCTAGCCTAAAAACCCAGAGCTTTGTTGAAAGAGTCCGCCGCCGCCTGTCCCTTGAGGCCAGAGGACTTAACTGCAGCATCAGCCTGGTCGCACTTGTCAACGGCGGCTTGGTCTGCCTTGCACTTGTTCACGAGCTGGTCGCAAATGAAGCTGGAGATGACTCCGATTCCAAGAGCTGAACCGTGGGGGAAGTTGGTCAAGTCAGTCGCCTCAAAAGCAGCCTCTTGACGGCCGTCAGAGGGGGTCTGCGAGAACGTGATCGTGGGGTCGGTGCAAGATCCGAAAGAAGCAGCTCCAGTGGCAGCTCCAGTGGCAGCTCCCGTGGCAGCTCCGGCAGCAGCTCCGGCAGCAGCTCCGGCAGCAGCTCCGGCAGCAGCGTTGTTACCAGATTTGGCGTTGTTACCAGATTTGGCATTGTTACCAGATTTGGCATTGTTACCAGAGTTGTTTGAAGCATTGCCACCTGCAGAAGCAGTGCCGTTCGCAGCACCAGCACCAGCAGCGGCACCAGCACCACAAGCGGCGTTGTTGGCATTGTTGTTGGCATTGTTGTTCGCATTTCCTTTGCTCTGATTTGCTTTGCCGCTACCTGCTTTGCCGCTACCTGCGTTGGCAGTTCCATTTCCGGCCGCAGATCCAGCACCACCCTGAGCGGCAGCGAGGGCCTCGGCCTCAGTCAGATCATTGACGCGAAGGCCGAGGGTGTTGATGCAACCCGCATCGTCGGCATCGTCATCACAGGTGTTACCCTTCGCAGTGGGGTCGCCAATCTGGCCGGGCGCGAAAGTCGAGGCCTCGTTGGCGAGAGTTGGGTCGCCACCGATGGCACTGATCTGCGCGGCCAGTTCGGTTGCAATCTGCTTGTTAAGGGCAGCGGCACCGTTCGAGGCAGGGTCCTGATGCTGCTGCAGGGCAGCGATCTCAGGGTTGACTGCCTTGATGGAGGTGCATGGCACAGAGGCAAGGCCAACGGAACCAGTGTTGCGCTCCAAGGCGCGGTAGATCAGAGCAAAGGTCATGCCGTTGACATCGCCAGCCGCCTTGGCGTTGGTGAACGCCTGGTCGGCTGTGGCTTGCTGGAGACAATCGGGATCAGCAATACTCCCGGCACCCTCCGCAGCAGCCTTGGCTCCGAGAAGACCGAAGACAGGGTCCTGGATCTTGTCCGGGTTGTTCAAGTTCAGAGATTTGGTAACCTCGAGGTTGACGTTCCTGTGGGCGTGTTCCTGGGGAACTTCGCGCTTCTCGAAGCTGTACCTGTTGACGCCAGGACGGGCGAGTACTGCACCGACGAGGGAAAGAGCGATGATAGACTGCTTCATTTTGAGATCGATATCGTCGTTATATCGTTACTTTGAGGGAATGTGGTATTGGTAAAAGTTGTACAGCGAAAAGGACCGGCCGAGATTGGTTCTCCAGGAACGATAGAATAGAATGCGAAGTGAAGGAATAGACGATTAAACGACAGACTCTTGTAAGCTGCAGATGCTTGATGGGATGGGAGTCAGGCAACGAGAGCGCATTGTTCTTATATACAGGCAAAGATGCCTGACACAGTTTGACAGCCGCCACAGCGCCCGTCTTCGCGCTCCGCGATGCGTGGAGGCGCCAAACAGTGTGTCGTCGCATAATGGAGCCTCCTGGATACGAAAGGACGTGATCGATCCTCCGAGCTTCGCTCAGTGATGTGCGCAAGCATGTTGACCGTGAATCCGGTCGAGCTTTCCCATCTTTGGCACGGAGAGCTTGGCGCGATGAACGGTGATTGGTGGAGATGGCCAAGCTTCGAACCGCGCACCTCAAACGTTACGGAAAGCTTGGAGACAACACCTGCTTCATGTCTGTCGAGCAAACCACAATGACACCGGGACCTAAGCTATACACGGCGCTGTTAAGGGCACTCGGGGGAAATGATGAGGCAATTCGCGTTCTGGCTACGGAATCTTCTCCAGGTGTTCCTCGCGACCGCGCACACGGGTCGGTCAACGCCTCGGCCCTGCCAGTTCTGGAAGTTAAACGCTCAGAAAACAACATCAGGCCATTTTGTCCAGGTTGCGTGGTTTCGAAGCTGTTGGGATTCAACCATCACGAGCAATTGACCATTGACCTTGGCTCGAATGCCCTCGGGATTAACAACGACCTTGCGCAACGGCATCGCAAAGGAGGGTCCACAGCATCAATGGCCTTTCAGAACCAGCGCCTGCATCTCTGTTACCCGGTTTGAAGTTTGATTAGCCGTTATGCTTACCATAGCGACCACGTTGTAGTGGACACCATGGCGCGTTGCTCATGCGATGGTGCGGGCAAGATCTGACGAGGGCGATCAACGGACGCACTTTGTTGTTGAGACCCCACCGCAGTTCGGAGAACCCGCACTCGGGTTTCCCAGAAAGCAGTCTGCCCGATCCACCTGATTCCTGAAGTCTTTGACGGTGAGCCTCAGAGCGCATGGTGGCTGACGTATTTGGCGCAAGGCGGATTGTTAAACGCTTCGTCTGATGCATGTATGGCATATGCTTCCTGACAACTTCGGATACGTGAAGGCCGATGCACACTTCTCAGGTCCCAGGTCAATATTAAAACGAGGGTGATCAATAAGCCGCGCGCGTTGGCCATTGCCGAAGGGTCTTTACACCTTCATCAACATCTCGAAGCCAGAACCGAAGCACGGATCACTCATCACCCAGTCGCTTGCCCAGCGCTCGAACGGTTCACGTCTCAAACCCCTTCCAGCGAGGCGTGGGGTATATTCTCCGCTTCAGCCACCTGACCTCCTTCAACCCGCGTCATAAGTCTTTTTGGCGCACCAAAAATTCGCCAGGAGTACCCCTGGTTTGATCTGTGCAGGGCCATGTGCCGTCACGGCTCGACTCGCATCCATCTCCCCAACTCTCCAAGGCCATGGCGATAATTGCTTCGCATCACAATACTCTCGACAACCAATCTTAGCATTACGGTTCGCTCGACTTGATAAGAGTTGACTTGGTCACGTCTCGTACTCCGTCATTGCTGCATCGCTTAGCCATCTCACTTAGTTTGCGCCCCTCTGCATCATACCATCTTATTCGGGTCGAAACGCGTTGCTTTTACCCGGCCAAACCTGTCGTACTACACATTCCTTCACATTTTGGGTCCACAATCGAAATGACTAAGCCTAAGTCAAGAACTATCTCAGCACCTTTTGACGCACGGCATGTCGGTGGCGTGAGCATACCAGGAGCGACAGTGCCTATTGTTGGCATCGAACGCTCCTCTACCTCATTGGAGCCGGACAACGCGCCCTCGCATACATTTGTAGCCCACGGCAACATTGAAGTGCCTCGAAGATCCCACACGATTGCTTCAACGCTAGGCCGGCCAAGCTTGACGCTGAAGACTTCCATATCGCTGTTGAGGGGGCGGTCGAATTCGAATGCTCAGGCACCTGAGCCAACAGACGGGAGCTTGAAAGGCGAGATGTCAGTACATAGTTTAAGAAAGAAGACGAGCACATCACGGTTCTGGCAGAAGGCGCACCACGAATCACCAGTGGCAGAGTCTCCAAAAGAAGACAAAGGGGCGATGAGGGCATTCCCGCCGCACAAGGAAACACCTGTTCTTAGGACCAAGCCTTCTCATCCATTTATGCCCTCCTTACCGACAGCAAATCCATATGTGTATCAGGCCCCACCAGTGCCTTCGCCTCCGCCACCACCGGCCTCTGAGTTGCGACAGACTCCACCACAGAGGGCACCCACTCAGAAGAAGCTTCCCGTTGTTCGATCGAAGCGTGCAGACTCAGGGACAGCCATAGATTTCGATGATGTGCCGGCTGAAGAGCGACCACTGGGCTTTCGAGAAATCCTAGCCGTTTCTAGCTTCTCGGAAAGAATGGCTCTCTACAAGAAGACGAGGGACTATTGGGCGCATGCCGACCACGGCTTGGTTGAGTGGGTGGATAGGTCAAGACCAAGGCCATCGTTCCGAGTGTAGCCGTCCGCCGTAAGGGCGATTACGATTCGATGTTCGCTTAGGTTCTGAAAGGCATGAACCTCATGGAGAAGTGGGGAATTCTCGAGGGAAGCTTCTCCCTTCTCCCTTCTTTCTTCTTGAAAACATCCAGTGATGTAGCACGCATCCAATAAAGTTTAATCCGATACCCCTTGTATAGCGCTGGTAGCTATGTTACATGTATATTATGCTTGAGCGTTTGGATTTCATTGGGGTTCAAGAGGGATAGATGTCAGCGTATGGTACTTTACGAAGAGATGTGCTAGCATCGCAAGGGACACTCAAGAGGGTGCGATGAGCTACGAGGATATAAGAAGTCACTCGTTTCATCTTTGCTCTTTCTCACTGTCCTAATCATCGTTGAAATACGAGCAGGATTGCACGTGACAATTCTCTGATGTGGCATAGTCCGACTAAGCCGTATGTTTAGAGTCATTCGCTCAACCAAAGTACCGTATGCAGTCACCAAATTCATCGAAGATTCACAAACTTTCAATTTGAGCCCATGTTGCACACCCTCGTTTGAGGCACCCTGGTCCTCTACTCAGTGCGCCAAACGATCCATCATCTAAGCTCAATGCCAAAAGGCCGCGAGAGATTCTCGAGGTAATTGAGCTTTGACTTACCATACCACGTGCATCTAATCGTGTACTATCCCAGCCATGTATTTCGATAGAAGTCCTGGCACACACGAAACTTCATCTTGGAACCCTCGGGCGGCGTCCAGTAGCCGCTATAGAGACCCATGTCACTATCGCCTTTCCAGCGACAGCCTTCGTCGACATAATCTTTGAAGTTCCACAATCCCTCTAGACAATTAGTGAACAGGTCCACAAGACGAAGCTCGGGAAGCATGTCCTCGTGCTCCATAAGTGTCTTAAGATAACGGTAGATAATTTGCACCGATCAAGGATAGGTGACCCCAGCGTCGGTGGTAGGAACCCCAACTTCAGGCTAGGAAGCAGGTACATAGGTCCCTCCGTACTCTCGGGAGTAACTGCTTCACCGTTGATTACGTTCCTCACGTGCTGGTTGAACAGCTGCTCGGGTATTTTGAGCGCCTCCAACCGATGGAAAGTGGACAAATTGGGAATCAGCGCATACCAGATTCCGTTTTGGTTGAATTTCCCGGGTAGCAGTGGCGTTTCCAAGGTGTCGAGATGAGGCTCGAGTGATGGTCCTAGCGAGGCAAATAGGTTGAGCAACAAATCTTCGTAGAGATAACGGGCTCTCTCTAAGTCCATGCCATTGTAGACTTCGACGGAGCGCACGGCTTCGAAAAGATCAAGAACAAACGTCAATACCTGTAGGAAGCCCTCGGGAGGGGCATATGTGTCGCTGAAAGCAAATCGCGAGGTTTTCACATGCTTGGTCTTGGTGAACGGCAGCTCGTCGTGGGCCGCTCGGCCACGCAAATGGTGAATACCTGCTTTCTTCACATGGGGCAGATCAACCAGGACCAAGACATCGTAGGGTCCGCAAACAGGCAGACTGATATAGTGGAGCATTTCGAACGCTGCGGGTGGATAGAGTAGGTTTGACCGGATTAGTAGAGGTGAAGGTCCTGTTTCACGGCGGTAGTCTCCCATATATTCGAACTTGTGTACGTCGGAGTGGATGTCCCAAAGCCTCAAGCACTGAAGCTTTGGCATTAATGCCAGAAGCGCGTTGCACAACAAGTGCAGCTGATGACTCGACATACTAAACCCCTTCTCGCTTGGTGATGTCCAGCGCTTGCGTAGTCCTGGTGATTGTTATTGAAGACGGAGACATCATCTACGGGAAATGCGTATATCAATGGCTGTGAGTCTTTACGTCGATTCAATCTATAGGATACTTAATACACATATCGCGATAGATTGTTCTCTAAACAACCGCATATTCGAGATCGAAGTGCTGTTGTCCAAATGTTTTGGGGGCCGAGTTGATGTCCCGACTCCAAGCACAGGAAATTTCCTACACTTATACTATAAGTATGCGGTGGACAATTACTATGAAGCTACCATATTTTCTTCTTGTTAAATGAGATAAATGACTCCCTGGAACAAACTTTGCAATGTGTTCCTTGATCAATCTTCACGGTCGCTGACCGACAAAAGTTCTCTAAATCATCGATATACTATATCTGCTCTCTAATCGCTACTACATTCGTGTTCCATAGAAACCAGCAAATCGTGAGGTATCTTGGGGCTGACGCGAAGTTTTAGCTTCTGATGCGGTGATCGTCGCATGTCGAGGCCGCTGCAGCGCGACGCTACATGTATGAAACAACTTTCCGAAACATCAGCTCAATCCCCAGCCTCAACCCCAGATTAGAGATGTTCGTCTTGAACAACGCAATTTCTCATCACCTCAACTATTGAGCACTACTAACCACGATGCATATTCTACCATTCCTCCTGCCATTGCCCGCCCACTATGCAACATGTCCAACCCACCCCTTCCAAACACAATGTCCCTACCCACCTCTTCCTTACATGGTCGAACCAAGTCCCGGCAAGGGCCTCGGTGTTTTCGCAGCGCACACATTGGAGACCGGTTCAATCATCATGCGCGAGGCCCCCGTCATAACCATAAAACCTCCCAAACACGCCCCAGGCACAGGCTATCCACTACCCGTCATCTCCCAGCTCGTACACGCAGAATACAACCGCCTATCAGAAGCGCAAAAACACAGCGTCCTCGACCTGACCTACTCAGTCCTCCCAATCGACCTCCAAAGATACGGATCCAACCTCGACATCCTCGGACTCATCTTCCGCAACAACGCATACGACACAGGTTCCGAGATCGGACTGTTCCCCAAGATCGCGAGGATCAATCATTCATGCCGGCCGAATGCAGCTTATTACTGGAACGATAGGCTGAAGCGGCGTTTCGTGTACGCGACGCGCGAGATCGAGGCGGGAGAGGAGATCTTCGTGTCATTTATCTCGCTGCTCTTGCCCCGCGAGGAACGGCAGAAGAAGCTTGCACGGTACGGGTTCACCTGCACGTGTCCAGCGTGCTCGCAGCATCCAGTTGATCTGCATCGCTCGGACAGATCGCGCGTGGACATCGAGCAAGCTCTGCGTGCGTTCTCTGCACAGATGAACTTGACAGCACCCACGCACCCCTCCGCTATCAGGAAAGCGCGGAAGAACGCGGCGTCGAGTCTGGAGCTAGCTAGTCTGGTGGAGAAAGAGGGACTCGCAGATTACTATGCGCAGACGTATCGGATTACGGCGATCAGCCATGCGCGGATTGGTGACTGGGAGAAGGCGACTGTGTGGGCGAATGAGGGGTATAAGAGGAGGGTTATGGAAGATGCGGAGAGCGCGTGGACCATGGAGATGTATGAGTTGACGAGGCGCTTTGTGGAGAATTGGGAGGCTGAGTTGAGGGCCGGGATGGCAACTTGAAGAGATGAGTTGGGAGTCGTATAAGGTTATCAGGTTTGGCTTCACGATACCGAGGAGCAGGAACAATTGAGTCTGACATTGAGCTGTTCGTAGTGGTTGAAATGTACGATGTTGGGCATTGAGCAGCCGATGGAGCTCGTGTTCCGCGACGGACATTATAAGACTCAGTCGGATGCGGTGGATAGACCTCGATGTTTTCCTTTTTTTTATTTTATGCTTGCTCCTACTCTTCTGCAGAAGCAAGACTCCTCCTCCGAACCTCATTTTCCCCCTGTTCATCTCCCAGCAAACTGCTCTCTTCGTCGACAGCTTTGCTCCCTTTCTCCTTCACCGCATTCTTCTGCAGACTCACCCATACCGCAGCCCCGATGATCAGCACCGCGCCAAACAAACTCTCAAGCGGCGGCGTAGTCCCCCAAACAAGACGTTCCACAATCAGCGCAAAGACCAGCTGCAGATACGTAAGGTTAGTAGCCCGTCCACCCTTTTCTCTTTGCAAGCCCTCGGTGAGGAGGAACTGGAGTGCGAATCCTGCGAGTCCGATGATGGCGATGAGTCCCCACTGGCTTAGGTCTTCGGGCATGACGAACTGCAGGTCGGGATGAACGAGGATGATGAGCGCGGAGCCGATTGTGGAGAGGAATGCGAAATATGTTACGCTAATGAGGGAATGGGCGCGTTTGCCTATGACTCGAATGGTGGCATAGGCTGTTGATGCTCCAAAAGTTCCGAGGACAGCTAGAATGATGGCGATGGTTCTTTGCTCAGCCGAAACTGGAGGGAGAGAAGGCGCTTTTCCGCCCAGGATGCCGAAACTAAGTAGGCTCAACGAGCTGCTGTCTGGGCCTTCAACGGGCTCTGCTGGCTCGCCTGAGATTGGGTCAAGAGGTGCGCTGCGGAAAAGCCATGCTAGACGAGCGACGAACAGAACGCCAGTGAAGGCGAGGAGTCCGGCGAGTGCTTCTTTCACGGTGTAGGGTTCTCGCAGCCAGACCCAGCAGACCAGGGCTGTCATTGTGGGGACGATGAATGTGATCACCGTCGCGTCAGCAAACTCAAGCCAGGAGAGTGAGTCTATAAGCATACGTTAGGTCATGGACAACAGGGCTCGTCAACGTAACCTACAATAGAGACCAAAGAGCCCAATGAACCCCGCTGTTCCGCGGAGTATCAACAAGCCGGTCACGCCCTGGGATCTCGGGATCCTGTTATACCATATGTACAAGCAGCTCAAGATAGTTGTGCAGGACATGCGAACAAAGATGATCTGCAAGGCATGGAATTTAGTTTCGTAGCCCGTGGCCAGCAGTTTCGCTGCTGTGTTCATCTGTGAATGTCAGTGCTCTAACCCTAGGCAAACTTGGAGACGGTGTCGCGCACTACTGATCCACATGTCTGAGCCAAAAAGACAAGGAAAAGGCCGAAGTTCCTCTCGTAGAACTGCTTCAATTTTCGCCTCGCGCTAGGATGCTGAGTTTGTTCCTCTGCATCTTGAACTTGGTGGTCCGTGACTGCAGGGGTCGATCGATTGTCGTCTGGTCCTGCAGCTGAGGTCGCACCGTAGGACCTTGAGCCCCCCATATTTCGGATGTATGAAATATGGCTGGACGAAGGTTGCGGAAGTGGACTTTTGAGAGACCCACTACCGTCGGGTAATGCGTGCCGTCACTGGCCGGCTGACCACAGGCTAGTCCGAGTTGAACATAGTCACCAGACGCGCTAGGGTTTCGCTCTGCTTTCACTGCACCCAAAAACGACCTTCTGATGAGATGCTCCTCGCTAACACGGAAATAAACATGTTGAAGGCTTGTAGCCGATATGGGTTTGATTTCTGGCTGTGAGAGATGCTCACTTGACCTGGGACGAAACATGTAGTGAGAAGCCGATGAAGACATATTGTCCCTCGCCAAATCAGCAACAACATGAGAGAAATCCCGCTCAAAATCCCTCATCAGATCCGGTGATCTGCTTCATCAGAACGTAAAGACATTGTTCGCACCCCGGATTCTCTTCGCCGCACAAACAGGATTTCCAGGCGTTACCGCTGTGCCCTCAGCAATAACCTTGGGCCCGGGGACGGTGTAACCAGTAATAGCAGAGTGAATGTTGATCTTGATGCCAGGATCTAGACGCAGCAATCAGTGTTGGCCCTGCTCCCGCGTCAACCAAACAGTAACTCACCACTCGAGCCATACAGCCCCGGAATTTTCACCGTAGCCGGCGCTAGCGTTCCACTTCCCGTAACGGTAATCTGATCTTTTCATCGTCAGCCTAGCACTCCACAGCGATCACCACCACCGTGCACTTACAACAGCTCATATAGAACTGCGCCCCACCCGCGCTCTGCGCCGTATGCAGCGCGACCACCTCCGCCCTAACCAGGTAGTCCCCTGGGGCAAGGTCCTTCGGAACCTTGAAGTCGACCTTCCCACAGCACTTGTTCATGTCTTTGACGCCCCAGTAGTCGTTGTCTGCGGCACCCTTGTTGCCCGGTGCAGCCGCCCACCCGTTCTCATAGACTTTGAACCAGCCAGTCGAGCCGTCGGCTTTGGAGGCGTCGGGGCTATACTCGCGGGTGCCATGTTAGCTGAGTTACAAAAGTGGGCTTGGGTACAAGGTGGACATGTCTACGACATGGCGAATTTGTACTGGGAAGGGCAGGGTCGTACACTTTGCTCATATACACAAGGACAGGACCGTAGTGATTACCACCAATAGCTTCGTTCTTGCAGGAGCGGTCGCCGGGTTGCTGCAGACACCCCATTACTATTATTTTTTTCAAAGGTGCGTAGAATTCTTAATTAGACCTACCTGATGCATCTCCACCGTGAGAGTGTCGCCAGCGTTGACAGCACATTTTCCAGATACGCCAGCCGCGCCGCCAGCGTTGCAGCGCATGTCGTTGGAGCTTACGCTGGAGACGGGGCTGTTGCTTCGCGGTGTGCGGACGCAGGTGTTCGATTTGTCGACACCGTTGACCCACAGCTGCTGGAAGAGGGAGTGGCCGGCAGCATGTTGGAGGAGTAGGGTTGCGGGGAGGAAGGAGAGTCTCATGGTCGCGGGGGATTTGGTACCAGGTTGTGCTTGACGAACGAAGTAGATCGAAGGAGTAAAAGCTGTCAGCAGGTTCTTGGTGCGATATCCCCACGCGCAGTGCCAGCGTGATTGTATAAGGCCAACGTGCTTGCTCTCTCGGCAGTTCTAAAAGCGATCTATAGCACCTCATCTGACACTAGAAGACAAATTAATTAATCATATTATTGTGTAACATCAGTGGGCGCATTATTGAGCCCCATAAGCTCCAGTAGTATGATGTTGTTATACGACACCCAAATTGCCCCACAATAACCGAGATTGAGTATAGCAAGGAGCGATCATCCACGGATACTGTATGGAACCCTGCTACATGCTACATGGAGCAGCATCGAGGGTAGTGCTTTATTTAGTCCATATCGACGTCTCCACGTTCGAAGAAGCCAAACCAAGGACAGAGGTTCTTGTTGTATGCAAGAAAGCGTTCTTCCAAATGCTCCCTCCACCCATGTCGGATCAACACCGAAAAGAAGTCTGCCAGCGCACGCGCGAACTGACCACCCTCAAGCCACCCTCCTGTTTTTTCGATTGCCAGTGGAAGATCACGTAGCTTCCGACGTGCCTCAAGAGCGTTGCGCCATTCTTCCCTCCCTGGTATAGCCATGAGCATACGCGTGTGTTGTCGCCATTCTTCCCCAGGGCGACCATAGAATTGCGTATCATCTCGGAACTGCGCTAGAGCAGAATGTAGTACGACCCACAGCTTCAGGGCACGGCCTAATAATTCAGCAATGCGGTCATAGTCGATATATGCGGGTGTGACTCACGAGCTGTTGCACGTTGGGGGGCAGGTTGAGCCTTTTTGAAGGCGTTGAACTCCTGGTCCAACGAGTATTGGTTGAGTATGTTCTGCCATAGCGTGTTAAGTTGAGCAGAGCTGGGGTTTCCCGTAGCAAGTAAGTCTTCGAGTGCTTGGTGGGTAGAGAGCCGGTAGTGCTCATCCAGAGTTAGATCATTGCAGACGAAACTAGGCTCATCAAGCGCAATAGCCACATCGTCGCATGGCCCATCAAAGCCCTCTGGCTCGTCTGGCTCTTCGTCACTGTCGCTCTCTGAGCCCGAACTCAATTCTATAGGAGCATTTTGAGAGCCCTTTTGCTTCTCCTTTTTCACCTCCTTGCGTACGTGGGTTTCTGACTTGAAAAAAGGGTCGGATCCAGTGTCATCGGTTCCAGGCACTTCGACAAGGTCATCGGCTGCTGTACGGCTGCTGTTGACTGCAGTGTCGTCTTCAGCGTCGTTGGATCCAGGTAACTCAACGAAGTCTCCACTTTCCCTTTGTCCGTCTTTAGCTACACCGCTTTCACGTGTGTACAGAAAACGCGGCGAGGATTTTCCCTTTGTGAATACTGTCATTCTTATGATGTCATTGGGAAGATTCTCTCTTGTTTTCGTACAAGTTTTGAAACCGGACGTAGCTGGAGTTGGTGCCGAGACTGTTTTCGTTCTTGTTTTGAGTTTGTTTAGCTTGGTGATACTGCCGGCATAGCCGCCACATCGACCTGTGACACGGGGAGCTATGGGAGGTTTCTCGCGAAGACAAGGTGCAGGGGCTTCTGCCTCACCCAGCGATAGAAAATCGTCGCCGTCATACTTCACTGTGTCGCGTTTGCGACTTGGCTTCCCAGTCGCAACCGATGTGGGTTCCGTGGAGGATTTGGAGGATGCGTCCGCTTCTTTTCCCGTCTCGTTTTCGTCGCTTTCCCTGGATTCTGCATTGCCTGTAACCCGTCGTTTGGCGATGGAGCTTTCTAGGGCCGTCACTGGGACCCTATGACTAGATTCCGTGCTTGTGCGTTTTCGCTTGCTATCTGGGGTCACTATGGGTACACCATTGGAATGCGCCTTTTTGGTGCAGTTGGTCGTTAGGAGATTCGCTTTACTGCTCCCGCCACTGAAAGTGTCCGCACTTTGGTTTGACTTGAAAGAGGAGTCAACACTAGACTCAATAGGGGAGGCTTTATGGGATGATGGCATGCTTGCATCTGGTGTTATCGGCACCTTCAGGCACCCACGCGAGCGCCTTCTCGCTTGTTCTTCAAGGACTCTGGGATCCCCATATGGTATCGGGCCAGGGCCTTCGTACAGATCATAGTTGTCATTGAACGTATGATCTTGATGTGCGTCGGACTCCCGCGAATGGACATCTTGGTTAGGAAGGGGCAGAGGTACGGAATTCGGCAGAGGTCCAGGATTCGACAACACCGGGCGCGATTCACGGGTGAATGGCTTGACGCGAAAAGAATCAAGCCCCATGGGAGGGAGTTTCGACCGTGACTTCTTTTTGGGAACGCTATGAGAGTTCACTGCTACTGGGGGCTGGCCGCTCTTTGTCGTCTTGCTTTCTAGTGACGTGCTCGTACTGTGTCTTGATGCGGTGAGAGGCGGCTTAGCTGCGATCAAAGAACGCGGTGAAACGTCGGCACTGCTACCAGTATGCCTAGCCTGTGTTGTCCCGGGCACTTCAAGTTGCTGAGGATTACGTGGAACAGTTGCAATCGGCAAAAGATCGCGATCGTCTATACCCGCGGATGCAGGAACGGGGCTCGGGAAGACTTGCACGACGGCACGCGATTTTCTTTGGGCAGCAGTTATCTTTCTTAGACGGATAGCTAAATCAACCATCAGATAATAGAGAATGCTAAGAAGTTGTCAAACAGGAGTTCCCTCAAGTTGAGCCACAATACATACAATTCATCGTGTTCCGGAACTCCAGCTTGGAGAGGGCCGGAAGCAGAACGTTTGGGGTTGCGATTGCGAGGGGATGCCCAAATGTCGCCATAAACGCAATAGAGATTCAATGCATAGGGCCTCACAATATCCGGATCGTTCATGAAATTGCTCCACGAGTGTGCGGATGCACATCGCTTACTAGCAAGATCAAGTCCAGTAACAAGCTGCTTTGCGCGTTCGACGGCAACGTAATTGTCACCCTCGAGGCACAGGCCAAGAGCATCCTGGGTATCTTTAACTGAAGCGGACACGGACGCGGGGACTAAAGGCCCGTGAACGCCAAGTGGTTTCCCGGAGCGTACCTAGTGGCAAGTTAACACAGCAGACCTACGCAAAAGGTAGCTGACAAGACGAACCCGAAAGCCATCGTTAGCAATGCAAATCGTGCAGTAATCGCGGTCAGGCCCATTGGGGGACCTCATAAGAGATTTTCCACATCCAAAGTATCGGCATATTGTTTTCGGCCCTGTGAAAGTGGGCTGAGAGGATGTGACAGGGGTGGTTGGAGGTGTAGGAGCGGAGTGATTAGCGTAGTCAGCTACCGGTGGATGCGACGCGCGTGCCACGTTTCTTGAAGGTCTGTTCGAGTTTTCCGCCGGCCAAGGGTCCAGAAGGTAGCTAGAAGAAGTGTGAAGTGCGTCTACAGGGCCTGAATTAGAAGGTTTGGGGATCCGGCCGGCCTTTGGTGTTCGGGTACGTGGGACCGACTTTGCTGGCAGTGATGATTTGGGTATTGTGACTGGAACGAAGACATTGGCATTTGGATCTCTGTAGGCTAGCAGGAGTGCTGGCGATGGCGAGCCGGGTGGTGTCTGCGATTCCACGAACGCGTGATCAGCTCCCGGTGGATGGTAGCTAGAAGAAGTATGAGGTGCGTCTACAGGGCCTTGGTCGATTCGTTTGGGGTTCTGGCCTATATGGTCTAGGCGTAGGGAACTACCCAGGTGAGCAGGGTCAGCCTGCATGGCCAACTCTATACCCTCGCGAGATACTTTTCGCTTCAGTGGCGGGCGGGCCCGGCGATGCCTCGGGATCGGCGAGGAAAAGTCAAAATCGCAGGCACAGGTTGCACGATAGGATCTAGACAACGGGTAAGCCGTAGGCGTGCGCCTCCCAGGCGCCCACCATATGACTTGCGCTGCGCTCGAGGTATGTGCAAGCACACGTCCTCCTTGGCGGGCGTGGGTGGTACACAGTCCAGGAACGTCCCGCCAATGGAGCGGGTCCGAGCGCGGCTTTATCACGTGTCTGTACTCGTCCCAGGCCTCGCGCTCTACGTTGGGTCCTCTGAGCATTGCATGTCAGATCCCCTGACTGGCATACCTAATGTATGATGTAAAAGTCTTTACGGAAACAGATTACAACCTGATGAGACGCAAGCTCCAGTGTTATCCGCCGTCGGCTGCTCCCGTCTCGACTTAAACCGCTTCCGTGGGGGACAATTCCGCGGCTACCCCAGGTTCGGAACGCTGCCGCGGTCAGATGCCGAGGGAAACCAGAGGCCTCTAAAACAAATACAAGCGACACCATGCCAGTAGTTCCAGCTGTAGCCGCGCCTCCACTTCCCGAGCTGGGTCTTGTCTTGTTCTTCTGTCTCAGCATCAGCTCTTTTCTCTGGGATTACATTTAGTAGTATTGCAGAGCTTCGCATGCAATTGAATCGTGGCACGCAGGCCGAGAACCTCCAAACACAATGCCGTCGCTAGCCCGAACTTGCCGCACAGCTTCACTCTTCTCGCGGAGCACGACGAAGGCAATTGCAGCACAACATCCTGTCTACACGCAAGCTAACAGGTTGCAGACATACTTCAACGTCGCCCGCAGCTTCTCGACGACTTTCCGCCGCAATGAGATCAACAAGATTTATTCCTCGCCCGCGGCCGCAATTGAGGGCATGCAGTCCGACAGCACGCTCCTCTGCGGTGGCTTCGGCCTCTCCGGTGTCCCGGATACCCTCATCAACCAAGTGAAAGATACGCCGTCCATCACCGGGCTCACCGCCGTGTCGAACAACGCCGGAGTCGTGGGCTCAGGGCTCGGACTGCTGCTCGAGAGCAAGCAGGTTAGCAAGATGATTGCGAGCTATGTTGGGGAGAACAAGGTGCTGGAGCAGATGTATCTCCACGGCGAACTCGAGCTCGAACTCACGCCCCAAGGCACGCTGGCCGAGCGATGCCGCGCAGGCGGTGCGGGCATCCCCGCTTTCTACACACCGGCAGCCTTCGGGACCGTCGTGCAGACCGGCGAGCTCGCACTGAGGCACAACAAGGACGGCTCCGTCGCGCAGTACTCGACGCCGCGCGACGTCAAGGTTTTCAGCGGGAAGTCGTACGTCATGGAGGAAGCGATCAAGGGCGACTACGCCTTCATCAAGGCCTACAAGGCCGACCGCTTGGGCAACCTGCAGTTCCGGTATTCAGCGCAGAACTTCAACGGCGCAATGGCGCGAAATGCCAAAGTAACCATCGTGGAAGCCGAGCACATCGTCGAAGTCGGCGACATCGAGCCGCACGCGGTCCACGTCCCCGGCATCTACGTCGACCGCGTGATCCAGTCCACGGCGTCGAAGAACATCGAAAAGGTCGTCAACGCAAAGGACCCCCAGGACGCCGTCAGCGCGCTGGGCGCCGGCGACGCCGCCAACAAACGCGAGCGCATCGTGCGCCGCGCAGCCAAGGAGTTCAAGAACGGCATGTACGCCAACCTGGGCATCGGCATGCCCATGCTCGCGCCCTCCTTTGTCGACCCCTCCATCGAGCTGCAGCTCCAGTCCGAGAACGGCATCCTCGGGCTAGGCCCCTACCCGCAAAAGGGCGCCGAAGACCCGGATCTTATCAACGCCGGCAAAGAAACCGTCACGCTGCTGCCCGGCGCGTCGACGTTTGGTTCCGAAGAGTCCTTCGGCATGATCCGCGCGGGCAAGATCGACCTCACCATCCTGGGCGCCATGCAGGTCAGCGCGCGGGGCGACCTGGCCAACTGGATGCTGCCGGGCAAGGTGAAGGGGTTCGGCGGGGCGATGGACCTCGTGAGCAACCCGAGCGCGACGAAGGTGGTGGTTACGATGGAGCACACGGATAAAAAGGGTAGGCCGAAGATTTTGAAGCAGTGCGAGTTTCCCTTGACGGGGAAGGCGTGCGTGAGCAGGATTATTACGGATTTGGTGAGTGGATCCAGTTGTGCGAGAGAGGGCATTGGCTAACTGTGCGGCAGTGCGTGTTTGATGTTGACTTCACCGAGGGCCTCACGTTGATTGAGGTAGCGGACGGCGTGACCGTTGACGAAGTGCGGTCGAAGACGGGCGCCGACTTTAAGGTTGCCGACCCTGTGAAGCCCATGTTGTAAAAGCTGTTTTGATCTGAATATCGCATTGTATATACCACGCGGCGTTGAGATTTGACGGACCTCCACTGTATTTGAGCTAGGCTACCCTAAGAAAGCAACGTTGTGCATCTGCATCCCAAGTCCTGCTCGCAATCACCCCGTATGCTTGGGCCGTGCGCACATGTTTGTCACTCACTCTGTATCTACAGCTCCAACCAAACAGCAGCCCCGCCCGCGATGCTATATCGCCCAAACTTCCTGTATGGCCGCACAAGTAGACCTATAATACAGTTCTCTAGCCAGCCAGTCGCATGCATCAAATCATAAACAAACGAAGGACCACGCACGGACCGACAAGAGCCTCATAGGTACTTCTTTGGTGCACTGTTCCGCCTCTTCTTGTACAGCTGCCACGCGCCCAAGACCATGACCTGCACCGCAACCACCACGAAGAAGAAAGAGGTCATGCTAGGTCTGCCCTTGTCCACGACTGTCTCGCGTCAGCGTTATGCACATGGTCAAGGAATTTGGGGAACTTACTATCACTGATGGCCGCCGGGATATTCGCACTCATCGCACTGTGCCCCTGCTCAATGCTCCTATGCACCGAATTCAACAAGTCCTTGAAATCCTTGCTCTCGAGATCCCTCAGCGTCTCCATAGTCGTGCGCTCCACCTTCTCCACATTCCGCATCGTCGCGGAGATCTGGTCGTGCATCGGGACGACGCGGCCCATGAGCTGGTCGAAGCGCTGGTCCTCATTTGCAGCTACTTTCTCGAGCAGGTCGTACAGCCCGTCGATCTTGTGGTTGATGATCTGCAGCCGGTTGTGCAGGTCCGCGAACTGATCTTGCTGGGACTTGATGTTGGCCGCGAAGACATCTTCGACCATCTGCGGGATGTTGGGGTCGAGGGGTTTGTTTTGCTCTTGGGTGCGTTGGAGCCAGTTGCCGTGGACACGAGGCGGGGGCTGCACGTTTTGCTGTTGGTTTTGGTCTTGCTGCTGCTGCTGCTGCTGCTGCTGGTTTTGCTGCTTGTGGGAGCCGGGCTCCTCGCGCGTGTAGGCGTTTGTAGTGGAGACGAGGAATTTCTGGATTTCGAAGGAGTCGGGGTTTTCGGCGGAGGAGGCGGAGATACCGAAGTAGTAACCTTCGGGGAGTCGGACCTGAAGATTCGTTAGTCTTGATGTGTGGTGAAGAGGGAAAGGAGGCTTGCCTTGTCGGTGGAGAAGCATGGGTTGCCGTCCACGGTGACTTCGAACTTGCCATTTGCCTGCGACATCTTCAGCACGCTGAAGCGCCCAAGGTTCCTGTACGCATAGTTGCATTGTCCGAAAGCCAGCTGGTCCAGATCATGAGCCACCTTGAAATCGACGTCTCCAGCGTTCAAGAACCCCCGCACCGATCCGCCCCGTCCCTCGTATTGGTCGACAACCAGTACCAACCCATCGAACTTGGGTGCAGTGTACAAGCTCGCCGGCGGGTCGTTCTTCTGCGACTCCCTCGTGTACCACAGCTGCAGGTTCCCACCACCCCGCTCCATGCCTGAAGCACGGAAGTGCAGTTCTGCATTCCAATCGCCAGCATGGTGTAGTGGGTCTTCGCTCCATAGTGCTCCTCGACGGTTTCCGGGCCACGGGGGCGTAAGGACCGCGCGGTCGGATAGTATCTCGATGTCCCACCCAAGACCTTTCGCAAAGTAGTGGGGGATTCCACGGAGATTAGGCGATATGGGCTCGCCTTCTTTCTGGCCGAAGCTCAGGTTGTCTATTATGTACGATGCATTGGCGGTGGAGAGCGCGAGGCTAAGCCAGGCGATGGCCTTCTGGGTCCGCGAGGTGAGGCGCATGGTGGTGGGGCGCAATTGCGCTGGGTATCTCGTGGTAGGATGTTGCTATAAGTACTCTGCGCTTGGGTAGTTCAAGTCGCAATTGGCCTTGGGCTTCTACATCTTTGTTAGTTGGTGACACGTTTTGCGCTGAAGCTGCCCGCATGTACCTCAATAGCTGGAGCTGTCGCACAAAGCCAAAGCTGCCACGCGACAATGAACACGGGCGGGTCAAGGATTGATTGCTGGATCACACAGAAGAAAAGAAGGGGTATCACAACAGAGGAGTAGGCGCAGGCGACGTCAAGCCAGCTCGCAGAAGATAAATTATGACAAGGTCGGCTGGAGCTTCTGGACAGCTGTGCTTAAGCAACATGCACTCTCCGACGTTGATTGGCCTGATGATCCGTGCGCCGAGCGGATGCGGCGACTGTCCACCATTGTTTTGAAGTCTGTCCGCCGAGAGGGAATGGAAACATGCTCTGGCACATCCCACCCAGTGCTGCCGGAATCCCAGACGTCTAGTCACGCCGAAGAAGAGCAGGCTGCTTCTCAGAAGTGCGGCGAGGTGCAAGGGAGCGGCGACCCACCGACCTGGGGTACGTGCTTGGCAGAGCATCATCCCTGCACGCCGGAGCGCAGTGTCGCCGCGATCTTTTCGTCGACCTCACCACTACGACGACATCGCCATCGCCATCCTATCCGTTCCTAGACATTCACCCGCCAACATGTCTGCCCCCGATCCCAAGGAAGCCTGGCAGCGTATCCAGACCGAGCTCACGCGACGCACACAACGGTTCGGTGGCGCAGGCGGCGGACCACCCAAAGGCGCTTTTGGCGGACTCGCGGGTATCGTTTTGCTCGCTGGCGGTCTGTATGTCGCAAACAACGCGCTCTTCAACGGTCAGTCAGCCAGCGGAAGCTTCCAAGATCCAACTTGGGGGCGAAACCAGGGCGGAGCAATGCTGACGGAGTGGCAGTGGACGGAGGTCACCGCGCAATCAAGTACACCAGGATAGGCGGCGTGCAGAAGGAGATTTACAGCGAAGGCACCCATTTCCGCATCCCGTGGCTCGAGACCCCCATTACCTACGACGTCCGCGCGAAGCCCCGAAATGTCGCCTCCCTCACCGGCACAAAGGACCTGCAGATGGTCAACATAACCTGCCGTGTGCTCTCCAGACCGCGCGTTGATGCGCTGCCGCAGATCTACAGGACGCTGGGCACAGACTACGACGAGCGAGTGCTGCCGTCCATTGTGAACGAGGTGCTCAAGAGCGTCGTGGCGCAATTCAACGCTAGCCAGTTGATCACGCAGCGTGAGAACGTCAGTCGGTTGGTGAGGGACAACCTTGTGCGGAGGGCGGCAAGATTCAACATCATGCTTGATGATGTATCTCTGACGGTATGTAACCACGATACGTCACAAGTCATGCCATACTAATTTGACATAGCACCTCGCCTTCTCGCCCGAGTTCACTGCTGCTGTCGAAGCCAAGCAGGTCGCCCAGCAGGAAGCCCAGCGCGCCGCCTTCGTCGTCGACAAGGCCCGTCAGGAGAAGCAGGCCACGATTGTCCGCGCACAGGGTGAGGCACGGTCTGCCGAGCTCATTGGTGACGCCATCAAGAAGTCACGGTCATACGTCGATCTGAGGGAGTTCGACAACGCGAAGAACATTGCCCAGATCCTACAGTCGTCGCAGAACAAGGTGTACCTCGACTCCCAGGGACTGGGTCTCAACATCAGCCAGACGGCGTCGGACAAGGAGAGGAGGGGTCACTAAGCATTGAGCGGGTACGGATGACGCATCACAAAAATCGCCCAGCGATGTACAATGAACAATGTATAATTAAAGGAGCGGTTTGAACGCGAGCGAAGAGTGAGCTTTGACTGGTTAGCTTTCCACTCTTGTCTTAAATACGAATATTCTACCATCGCCGTGTCCCAGTCATCCGTCAACTCTGGTGTCGATCTTCAAGTCTGGTGCCACATGCACTAGCACTCGCACTCGCGCTTCGGTATGATCACAACCCACCCGTCCTCGATGGCTCCACAGGTTTTCTTTTGCTCATCGTCTCCCTCATTCGCATCTTCATCATCCCCCACGTATCAACCATCTCCATCCTCTTCGTCATCATCCGGCCCACAGCCCTCCGGCCACTCGCCTATCTCCCGAAATTCCTCCTCCAAATTCTTAACCCCCTGCTTCGAATCCCTTTCAGCATCTATATCAAACTCCCAACACCACATCCTCCAGCCTAACTCGTCGCCCTGCAGCCCAGCTAGCAAACACACCTTCCTCATCCCATCAGCCCTCTTCCCCTCCGTCTCTCGCTCGACTTGCTGCACCGCCTGCCGTCTCCTACACTCGAAGTGACCGCGCCATTTACCCTCCCTCTGCCCGTCCCACCACACCTCTACCGCCCGCATCATCTGCTTCCTCCGGATGCGGTTCGCGGGGCCAACGTCCAGCCACTGTACGTGGGGCGTGCGGCCCCGGAGCACGGCATCCCGCAGCATCCTCAGGCCGAGGCCTTCGTATGCGGTCCCCCTGGCGAGCGTCTCAACGTCTGAAACGTATTCCCGCATGCCGTCCGCGAAGAAGCGCGAAAGCTGGAGGGTTCGGTGCGGGTCCACCGAAGATGCGATTTCGGACAGGTACCCGGCTCCGAGGTGCGTTATACGGAGGTGGAGGAGGTGGATTGCTGAGGGCATGTCGCGAGGATGTGTGAGGGAAGGGGTTGGCGGTGGCGTTAGGCAATGGAGGTCATCGTCTTTGGTTCGTGATTCGGGTTCGGGTTCGGGTTGAAAGGGTGATGATGCAGTTATGGTGAGGGTAGAAGGACGTTGGCGCGAGCGGGAGGTTGTCGGGGTGGCTGTTGTGGTATTGCTTGCCATCGTTGTGCGTGCGTCCAGAATTGGCTCGAAGACCTTGACCCTGACGGGTGGAGTTGGTTTTTGTGACACCTGTTCTTAGGGCGTTGATGCGTCAGGGGTGGACGCGGTGGGTTTTGCTGTACTTGGCAGAGGTGCTCTTGTAGTGTTGCACTGAGCTGCGGGAGCGTGACTGTGATGGCTCAAGGGTTTCTGCAAGGGTACACAAAGACTTTGTTTCACTGGACGATAGTGTAGCTTGATTAGACTCGAGTACTCCTGCTTTCACAAGTCTGCGAGATCATATATGAGTTTCATGGATCTTAACCGATTTGATGGACCGATCGAAAATAAATTGGTAGCCAAAGTATGGTACACCCTTACTCAACCAACACCAGAGCCACGCGATATCCACATGGTTCCATGAATCTGTGACGACAGAAAGGTATACAGATACGATGAAGATGTAACTATGAAATGGTATCTCATGCAATGCAGTGGTGTTATACTTATCCAAAATCCAAACGCCTGCAGTTGATGGAAGAATGCGGTACCCCAGATGCTATACAGATTCGCTATGCCGAAAATGATGGATACTAAAATGTGTAATCGCAACCGTGGTTGCGTGACGTGGACCCATCTTGCTCGCGAGCTATGCAAGTCGCGTAGTGCGTTATCGAAATGGCTCACTGAACCCGTTGAGGGATGCATATCCGTACCGTTGGAGGAATCAAACCCGTTTCGTTTCCAGACTTTGGCATGACGACCGCTGGGTCCTGATGAAGCTCTAACATGCTTATGCACGCCACGGCAAAAACTCTTCGGCCTATGCATTGTCTGCCTTGGGGCAGCACAGTGTTGAGAACTTGGGCCTTTGCCCTGGCACATTCAACGCTTGGTCTGGGTACCAAAAAGCTCGGTAGGCTCTGAGGTGACGATCACGGGGATGTCCACTTGCGCGCTCTGATGCGGCTCTTTTGCGCAAACATCGTCCTGTGTCAAATGGGACGAGACAACGCGAGTGGTCTTCCCAGTAGGACCGGGGCTTGATAGGTTTGTAGAGTCGGACAAGATTGGAGTCGATGTTCCTACTGGGGCAGCCTTTGGTGGATTCGACGATGACGTTTGTGCACTTGATCTCCTCGACTGAGACTTGATACCAGGCTTAGGTGTCGCCTTTCCGTCCTCCTCTTTCAAGGTGCCCGTCAGCCACTGTCCCATGTGCGTTTGCCAGCGGCGGAGGTCATCATGCTTCGTGGCTTCCCTCAAGCGTCTATGCCGAACCAGTCTCTCTGCGACTTGCTGGAGCATGACTTTCGGTGGGGCATATTCCAGCAGCGGAGGCTTTGTCTTTGCGTCGTTTCTGTCCAGGTAGTCGTGTGTAACGTTTTCCATCTTTGAAAGGGATTTCCCACCAGGAACTTTCTTAGTGATACCGGTAGCAGAGTTAGTCCAAACGCCTTCTTCCCATTCGTCGAGCGGCATATCTTGGAGTCCTTCGTCCACATTCAGGCGCTTGTACCAGCGGTGTTCACCCCGGGCGATGGTGCGCATCATCTTATGACGGTCCTCCCCCTCAGTGTACTTGATCAGAACATTCTTGAAGACAGCGAACTTTTCAGACCATTTCTGCAACAAAGGGACCTTCCCAAAAGGTCCTGGCCAGACTGAAGCGAAACCGTCGTTCTTAGTATCTGGTCTTCCTGTACCAATCGATAGTAGTAAAGCAGGTTCGTGCTCGTCGCCCTTCAATGAAGCATGTTCGCTATAGGCAGCGTATGAAGGATTGTTTTCGCGGATTCCTCCATCTTTGAAGCCAGTTTTATGCTTATCACCGAAATCCGCTTCCAACATCTTGAAGAAGAAAGGTGCTGCTGAAGTCGCACGCGTGACTTGCCAAATCTTGAGCTTGTCAGCGCCCTCATTGTAAGGTGTCACCCACACGGGAGCAATGAGTGGATCATAACGGTGATCGTAGGTCCGCAACAAGTAAGCCTCATCAATCATTCCAGAGTGAGTGGCAGTAAGGCAAATGCTGGCTCGGTCAGCAGCTATTCAACTTCGTTTGACACATCTTGGGGTGACACAGGGGTTATTGATACTTACGATTGGCAAATCCGATCTGTGTGACCAGAGATACTAGAGGCGGAAGAGCTACTCTGTGACTTGTCTTCGTCGACGTTCCATGGATGCCAGTCATCGCCTGTGCAGGTTTCGTGATGCTTGCAGTACTGGCTGACTATCGTTTTCACGGCTTTTTCGAGGGGCTTGTGATGGTACTTTGTGGCCAGCGGGAGCGTATTCCTGCGGTGTCCGAACAAATCCTCTCCAACTTGACGATAGATCTCAAGACACTGGGGCACTGTCATGCGAAGCCGCGCCAGCATTACTGATATGAGACCGCCCGTGCTCGTTCCGTACATGTAGTCGAAATAATGACATGGCAGTAGCTCATCTTCGTTGAAAGTCGTCCTTTCCGAGTCCGCTACCGGTCCTTCTTCCTCAATCAAGCGCTTCTCGCATTCGGCGATTTCGTGCATGAGACGCTGGAGAATAATCAAGCTAGCGTAGCCTCGTATGCCGCCGCCATCTGTCAGTATGTTAGCATCATTTCACAATAGTGTATCATGTTGCACCGGTAGATCCACGCCATGGTGAGGAGATCGGTTCGCAGCATTCTGCAGCGCAATCAAAGTAAGCATCGGCATGTAGCCAAGAGCTCGGTTGACCCAGCGTTGCATGTGTTGAGGCAGGCTGGCCACAGGATTAGATATCCGGGGGTAAGTGAGGGTGCTCATGGCAGCCGAAGTGCGTAGCGTGGCGCTATCGACGTGTGCGGGTCTCTTGCACGCATCTATGCCCGTCGAAGTAGATACGTCGTATGCCAGGACCCTGTCGACAGACTCAGGCTGCGCAAGACTAGGCGATCCCGACGTTGGATGTCGCCGCAAAGCCACAGTGCCTGGACAGGAGTCTGAGTATGCTGTGTTGCCCTAGGATGAGCAATAGCACTGTCCGTTGCGTATGACCCAATCGAAGATATTTTGCCTAGCAACCGCTGCCTTCTACTGCCACTGAGCCTTTATGTCCATGCGCCGATAGGTATTCGTTGAGGAGATGCGTCGGGTCGAGGAAGGCGCGATCGAGGGAGCAAGAGAAGCAACGGGTCGCAAACGGCAGCGGCGAACGGATCAACGCATTGTACATACCTAGCGTCAATATGAGATCTTCCCAGCAGTTCTCCTCTGTCACCGACACGCTCCACGTCTGCCCTGTCCTATCTGCTGCCGAGGCCGAGGTGCCCGTTGTCATAATCGAGAGGGCCCGCGGCGAGTCCACGGGAGGAGCAAGCGACGCCTGCATGTTGAAGGCGGTGGGTTAGCGCCAGATTTTGTAGCAGCAAGTGGACCCAGGGTGAACCGTGGTCGAAGGAATGGATCGCTGATCGACAGGAATCGGATGCGAGGTGATGCGGCACTTCTGCGGTGTGCAAGTGCAAGGCTAGGGGAGAGCCTGCCAACTTAAGGCCTCGCAGCCATCTGACAGATGTTCCAGCTCGGTGAGGGTTGTAGCTAGTGATGCGCGGGTGTGGCTGACGAGATGGCCCGAAGTGGCCGCCTTCCCGGAAAATAGCGCCTGATTCGATGAGTCGTCAAAGGAGCCACTGCTCCGCCTCACACCCCATTTTCTGCTTCTTATTGTAGCCTCTGCTGGGCCTTCAATACTGGCTCATCTTGCGCGCGATTCTACAGCTTCAGGGATCCTCAGGGGCGCGTGGGGTCGGTGTCACGCACGTTAAGGTGATGAGATCAGCCCGCTCCCGCAGCGGATCCTTTGCCCAACCGATCTGGGGTAAACGCACCACTTGCACATTCCCGGGCGCAAACCACGGCTACACAGAAATACGCTCAGAAACTTCTCTACACGCCCGAGGATTGCACTATCGAACGGCGCGAATAGCGGGTGCCCGTATTCTGCGGCTGCAACCGCTGCTAATGCACGCACAGCAAACGTCCGATGGTCGCAGGCCAGATGATGCCTCCATGTGATAAGTTTAGAGAGCATCAGAGACCAGCTTTCCGCGATGATCCAGGGCGACCTCGTCCCCGAGTCACCTGTATCGTCCATACGGACACGAGAAGCATCCTGTCTCTTTCATTTTCGTCCAATGATAGCTGCGCAGGGCATGGTATGCATGTCCTTCGCGATGCTTCAAGTCCGCACATCCTGTATCACAAATGACGCATTTTCAATCATCTTGCGCTCGCATATCGTCGGCAAGCACTGCGGCGTGCCCACAACGAGATCTTGTGTAATGTAAACTGGCAGGGTAACATGAGCATTAAGCTCTATGGAGTGAAAGCATGCAGCCAATCGCATTGCCAACTGTGCAGCCAATCAGCTTGCCTCGGCCGACGCCGACTTGGTACGCCACGATCCTTGCGGCGCAGCAAGGTGACGTTGAACTTGACGTTCTTTGATGACCCAGGCTCTCACTCCACCTCTGCGCTTTCGCATCAGCAGACTTGCGCTGCCCCAACGCCCTTCCCTATACAAAGCACCGTCCACCAGAGCTCGTGGCTCGCAAACAGAACATATTCTCGACCGCGTCTACCGACAGCCCTACCCAACCACCGTCTCAGCCTCATCGCCGGTCTGCTACACCCTCGCACGCAGATGCCCGACATGGCCACCTGGAAGTCCAACTCGACCGGCGGATCGAGTCAGACTAGCAAAGCCAGCGCCCTCTTTGGGCTCGACGAGGATGACAAAACCAATATCCTCGTGTATAGGTACCGCTCGGGCTGCAAAGCGCTCGAGGTATCTACCCAGCATGACCTGTGTCGCGAGCTAGATAACGGTAAGTTGGAAATTGTACCTCTACGTGCTGCTTCGCTAACGAAGGGCGACCTCTCTAGATCCGCAGTTGCCTTTCATGCGTGTCACCAAGAAGGAGATCCCTCGAGGCAACAGCCGCTTGGAGATTCGCACCGAGGATCTCCTCTTGCCTGAGGACCTCGAGCGCAACCGCGACAAGCCCACGCTAAAATCCTCGCTCGCCAACGTTGGCTTGCCATCCACGGCCTACTGGAAACGCCTTCTCTTCAACTCGTTTCCAGAGCTTTACATCGTCCACCGCTCGCCGACAACCAGTCCTGCGAGTTCAAAAAACAACTCGCCCGAGAACTCACAGCACGTGAGCCCCGCCACGACCTTCCCCGTCGACACGCCACATCCCTCGCAGGACCCGACGGAGTCGTGATCTCTCGCTGTGGGGTTGGCCAGACCGCAGCTATCGTTGGCATGGCTGGACTGTCGCACTGTTTGCGGTCGGCTTGTCTCATTCGCCTTGACTCATCGCCTCAATCACCAATCGAGGTGGTGCTAGCCGCATTTGTGCGCACCCATCAACCATCCGCAACACCATAGCATTCCTTTAACATACGTCTTTCCTTATGATACCCAACGCTCCCGAGTTAGCGAACGGCGTTGGTCAGGCGTTATTCTCTTATGGTAGACTCCAGCTATCATTTCCATTTGTCGTAAGGCGTTTCGCTGGTTCAAAAAATGTCTTCCCAGCGCGAACAGACAGCCCTTGGGCGGGTTATATCAGGCGATTGAGTGCGCTCTCCCTATTGTTAAAAACGAGATCTCAAACATGACACGCTGGCTGACTATGTTATTGTTGTGACTTATCGCATTAAGACAATTCAGACTTGATTGGCGAAGAAGTTTACCCTCTCAATAATGGTACCTTTCCCACCGGCTGCGGCTCAACTGCCACCGTCGACGCAGGAGAGTGGAGAGCTCAGAGCTACTGCACGACGGGAGCTACCCCACATCGCGTCATGTCTTCAACGTCCACTCGTCTTACAAATCCCCCGCGGAGTTTCGCTCGTTCTTTCCCATATCATGAGCTTCTCGGACCGTCTTCTTTAACGTCAACTCCCATACCTAAAAGCACACGTGCACACACAATGACCTCCGCGTTCCCACCCCCCGAGCTCCGGGAAATCGTCCAGGAAGTAGCCTCGCTCCTTAAAGAACGCAAAGAGACCATCTCAGTCGCCGAAACAGTACATCCTACTCCCTAACTCCCAAATCATCCCGAGCTAACACCTCCACAGGCAGCAGGCGGCCTCATCTCCGCAACCCTCCTCTCCGTCCCCGGCGCCTCCTCCATCTACCGCGGCGGCCTCACCCTCTACACCCTCGAATCCCGCGTCGCCTTCGCCGGCTGGAAGCCATCCGACATCGAGTCCTACTCCGGCCCAACAACGGACATCGTGAAGGGTCTGGCAGAGCACACGCGCAAAACACTCGGCAGCAATTGGACAGTCAGCGAAAGCGGGACGGCGGGGCCTGGGGGCGGGGTCAAGGGGACGAAGAGGTACCGCGATCCAGGGTTTGTGGCGTTGGCTGTGGCGGGGGAGAAGGGGACGGAGGTTCGGGAGTTGGTTACGGGGTTAGGTGGGGATCGGGAGGGGAATATGGTGAGTTTGAACTTCCTGCGCGGATGGGAAGGGTTTGGCTAACTAGGTGTAGGTGCAATTTGCGGTCGAGGCGTTGAAGTTGGTTAGGGATACTATCAAGGGCGAGGGAAAGCTGTAGGGCTAGATAGGGACGTAGTATGCATCAAGCGAGGCTTCGGCTGTGGGAATGATGTAGCGGAACCCAGTGGGCAATGTCTGGGTCATCGTTGAGAAAACACTTTGAGTCGATTCCCACTCGATGCTCCGCATCGTCATAGGACTAGCGGTGTACAGCACTCGTACGCGGATGAGTACCACACATTCATGCGGCCCGTGGGCAACAAATTTGATGATTGAGAAAAAGGTACGTGTAGCGGCCAAGATCTAGAGGGAGGTACAGTTTATGTGCTGCGTAGTCCAACTACACGAATTTCCGAGATAGGGCCACAAACAGCTTTATTGTCGTGCGTGGGTTTTGAGACTTCTCCTCACAGCATACAAGCAGTCTCGAAAGATTTCAGTTATAGTAAGTATCTGTCGTGCACTGTTTCGTAATATGTGACTGAAGAGGAGGGTGATTACTAAGTGTTAAACAAGTTATCAAATATGACTATAGCTAGTCATGAACGTACGCGTTGAGGTCGTCGGACTCACCATCCACGTGTGAAGAGTCAGTCCTAAATGCAATCGGAACTCAGGATACAGTCATGTTGGGAAATACTACCGTTCCCAGGCTCTTACCCGAGTACAACATGCTGTGCGAGCTTCCAATCAACTATTGAAAGTTTCACATCAGCTTCACGACCTGCCTATACTCATGTCGAGTTGCTGAGCATCAACTTCTGGAATACAAATGGTCCTTAGTGCATTCAAGTCGAATCATATAAGGAAGTGAGTTTACGACTCGCAATATATTGCTCACGCAGATTGAAGTGGCGTGTCTTCAGAGGACGCCAGTAGACCTATGGTGATGGGTGTTCAGTGCTCGGGCTGAGTCAGACACAGAGAGTTTGCTTCGACAGTACGCGACTTATGATAGAGCTTGCCTTGCTGTCGTGGTCTCCTACTTCATATCCATTCTGGTTCCTGCTCTCAGGATAAGGAGAGGTTGCGTACGTCGTGGTGGTGCAAAGTCGAAAAGTCAGGTATCTACGGCTCGTTAGATCGAACACTAACAGATTTGACTCCACGATTCTGTAGAGTGGCATCTTCAGTCATTCGCAAGACCGTATATAAACTGTTCGTTGGTGATCTGCTTCGGTGTCCAGTACTGTTCCTACTACCAAGATCTGGTTTCAAGTCGAAGGCGTACACCAAAACCGTCACCGTCTAGAACTCCACCGTAAATCAGTTGCCTAAAAACTGCTCCATTTCTTAGCCCTCATTATAGCACCAGCACATCCAAGACCAGAATAGCATGTCTTCCACCACCCAAGCTACTACAACAAACGAATTCCCCGCCGATCGCCTCCCGGCCGTCAAGCACTGCATCGAATACCTCCTACGCAACTGCCGTAGCGACATCATCTTCGACCACAAACCCGTCGACGAGCACGATGACCCAGATGAACCCGATGCCCGCAAATGGAAGGACTTCGCAGAGCACCAAGCAACTGCCCCAGAGACAGGAGATGACGTGACCGTCAAGCTGTACGCGAGACTCAAGAAACACGACAAGCAGGCACCATTTCGTTTGGACATTGGACGCTCGCGTAAGTACTTGTTGAGCTGTCTGCCCAATATAGAGGCGAATAATTACAAGCTCTTCAACGGGACTTGGAGTGCGTCTGAGGATATTCGCAGTTTGGGTTGCTACGGGGACAGGGCGCCTGAGCTCCGCGAGCGGCGGGAGTATGCTGTGCAAATCAAAATCGACGTGGTGTTTGTAGACAAGTCGAAGTGAGCTGGTGGCGAGATACCTACATGTACTACTGAAGACGTGACAGCAATCAGTTGTGTATAGATTGAGGGACTACGAACTTGCTGTGCTCTCTCAGACACGTACACCTTGCTCTGACTAGCAGCCGATTCCAGATAAGGGAGTGACTCAGTCCAAAGGATGCACAGCGACATACTTATCGATCGCATAAGCAAATGCTAGTAGCGACTGCTTCTCAGACTCTTCATGTACTGGGGCCGAGAACTCTCACAACAGACGATCACAACATCTCATCCTAACAAGCCCACCTTATCCTTCACCCGAGACGTGCAACCCAACGCCCTACCTCGGCACCACTTTACCCGACTACGCTACTCTACCCAGGTAGGAAGGTATTCCGCTCCCCATGTTGGCCTCCCACCCTGAAGCAAGCCTCACTTGCAGCATCCTCCCACCCAATCGACCCAGCAGCCATGGACTCTCGCATAGTACTTCCATCCAATGTAAAACGCATGACAGTCACGGGAGCGGCCCGGCATCTATCCGTTTATCCGCTGCGACCGCATCGCCAGGGTGGGAAAGCAGCCCTCTGTGGTGGTGGTGTTGGTGTCCACATCACGTCTGGCACCCGAAACGGGACAATCGAATCGAACCGGGCTACCCGCATGGAGGGACAAATGCGCGAGCGCGAGCGCGACGGTCGACGTGGCATAACAAAACACAAATTCATTGAGTAAACACAACACTATTCCGCCAATCTATCTGCCGTACCTGCTGTCTAGGGTATCTTAAGTCTATAGGTATCAAATGCGCGCTGCGTGCCGGCCAAGTCCAGCCCAGCCCAGTGACGTACATGCCGATGCGTATGCAAGAAGGACGGGTCGTGAAAGCGAACGCGCTTGCCGCAGGAAGAAATGAGGAGCGTAAGAACAAAGGACTCCGAAACTCCGGGCCCAAGGGGTCCAGGTTGGAAAAAGCAAATCTCGACCTCCATACGAGACAAAGAAGGAAAACCAACGATGGGCGACCTGGTCGTTGAGAAGGCGAAGTGCGCTGTTGGACCGATGCTGTGCGTTGTGGAGAGCTCTGTGATTTGCTCCGCTTAGTCTGGGTGCTGCACTGCAACGTGGGAATGGCCTGGGAGCTGTGTCGGAGATCGTGATTCGTGAAAGTCGTGGCGTCGCCTACAGTAGCTAATTTATGCCGAACAAATGCGGGAGCTCGTGCTCCTTTGCTCGCGTGTGCAGCGGCTGCAGGATATGCATGGAATGAATATGTGCGTTCAATGCGATTTGCGCGGATCGCTGGAGCGATGCCGCAATTAGGGCTCGTAGAAGGCCGTTGAGTCGGCCACGATGTCACGCGCATCTTCCTGTGGCAGTTCATCGATCATATCTGTTGTGCGGGGTCCTGTGTATCGCCTGCAGGCCATGTCAGTGCGTGCCTTCTAGAACCAGCATGTGTATGTTGAGTGGGATGACTTACTTGCGTGCCCCTGCATACCACCAGATCATACTGAAGAAGCCAATGAAGGCTGCGACGCAGATCGCGTAGTTCATGTTTGTAGCGGTGACTGGTCTTACCGTGGGGAAGAACAGAATCACGCTGATAAAGCACACCCACGTAACAGCAATTGCATTGACTGGCTTGCTCCACCGGCCCATGGTGTACGGTCCTGGGTGGAACTGGACTTTGCCTTCGTACCATCTGTGCGCGACGATGACGGCAATGTAGCTGATGTCGAGCGCTGGGGCGGTGATGTTGAAGATGCTCAGGATGGTCAAAGTACTGCCGATACCGATCATGTTTAGGCAGCTGCAGAAGATCACGACGAGCCAGACGGCGTTGATGGGCGTGTCGGTAACGTTGTTTACCTTGGCCCAGAAACTGTCTCACATCAGCCTTGCGCTTACCGATCACGACAGGGCGGCAACTTACTCCGAGAAAGGAAATGCAGCATCACGAGCAAAAGCCCAGGCCATCCTCGAGTTCGCCAGCATTGCAGAACAACCGGTGAAGAACTGGACCAGGATGACGAAGAACCACATGACTGTCCCTCCTGTCCTGCCGCCAGCGTTTAAGAAGATCTGTGCGACGGGCAGTCCGGTTGGTGTAGCCATGATTCCCTCGTAATCTGACATGCAGAAGCAGAAAGTAACCGTTAGCATCCAGCCGACTACTCCGGACACGAGGATGGCAGCTCTGATGGCAACGGGTCCTCGAATCGCGGCGTCGTGCGTTTCTTCCGACATGCTGTGGAGCATGCGTTAGCGCGGCCTCACGCAATTGCTGTGATAAAACTCACTGAGTAGTGCCATCGTAATCCGTCATAGTCCATGCAACCGAGAGGAAACTGGTCATGTTAGATGCACCCAATGGAATTGGAACAGCCGACGAACCCGAGAAGAAAGGAGAATCCTTTGCTGCCCCAGCCAGAACCATCTGTAAATTCTGTGAAAACCCACTTGGCGCTTTGTTTTTCGGGGGTGAGGACGAGAAGAGCAATGCAGATCGCAATCGAGGCAAGGACTGTCAGGCAATTAGCTTGGCTCTACGTAGGCGGAAGGAGCACTTGCTGTTAATGGGTGCAAACCAGAGAATGACCTTGTGAAGCCAGAGCGTGGGGAAGGAGCAGATGGCGCCAAACAAACACAGGACGAGAATCGCAAGCAAGACCGTTTGTACCGATGTGCTGCAACTCGTCAGTTTGGTGCGATGGTGAACGACTTCTGCGAAACTCACGGATGGAAGGTCGGCACTCCGTTACTGTCCTCAATAGAGTGCATGACTGCTGTCGCGAGAATCATCTGTGAGATGGTGTAGGCAAGACTTGCCACACCGCCAGCTTGACCCAGGAAGTTGCACCAACCAACGATCCACGCCCACGGTGCCACGCGGTCTTTGGGGACTACGTGTTTCGTAACATAGTACATTCCTCCCGCGGTAGGATAGGCCGAGACCAATTCAGCAACTACGCAAATTAGTGCGCTATTGGAGGCGCGTGCCAGCAAGACGGACCTGAGCTGGCTATGCAGTAGGCCATGATACTGCCAATCATCCACGCCCAGACGGCGGTCGCCGGCCCTCCAGAACCCACAGGACTGCCAAACGTTGCGGGGACAGAGCCCAAGACACCGAGAATCGAGATTGCGTAGGATACCGTCGACCATCTTGAAAAGTGACGTTGGAGAACCTTTTCTTGTCAACAAATTGGAGCAAACATCCGGCTTTGAGGACATACTGGGGTGTATCCAATGCGCGTGAGTAGGCGGTCGTCGTCGTCAACGATTGTTGCCATATTATGCGTGCTGGGCGCATGTAGTGAAGCCTCTGCTCCTTTTGATGATTTCGACGCGATGGATGGTGCTGATTGTGCGGCCTTGCCCCCACCAAAGGGTTTGGCCGAGCTGGAGCCTGTCTTTGATTCTGAGCCCATGTTCACGATTGTTGTCCAGTGCACAACATGGAAAAATGAGAAAGCGAAGCAGAGTAAGAAGGTTGCGGATGGTAGCAGGATGTATTAAACGGTGTGGGTCTCGGCGGAGACGAGCAGAAGAAGGATAGAAGGGGTGCCGGCAGGGCCGTCTCAAGACTGGTGCTCAAAAGGGAAGGGATAAGGCCAGTCTTTGAAGACCGTGACCACAGGATATGTAGTCCACATATTACAAGTTGCCGATTGGCACCCCTACCGTGGACCAACGGAGCCAACAGGAGTGGGCAGGGACCAGCAGGCCAGCATCAACGAGATGGCAACAGCACTCACCTGCTGCCAGACTGTCAGGGACACGAGGCCTCTAGGCCATGATGACACGCGCAAACGAGCAGGGCTAGCGGATTGAACATGCAGAGGGACAGATGTGGGGGGAGAGCGCCGGGGCAGAGCCTGCAGCAAAAGAGGCGGACGCCAGAGAAAAGCATCTGCTAGGGAAAATGGTACACGGCGTGCGGACGCGGTACTGTCATTTGCGGGACAACGCCCTGGCAGCGGTGCTGAGCACGGTCTGCATTCTGCGTACTTAGATGCCAAGGAGGAGGCCCCAAACAGCCGCCGGCGTGCCATGCTGCCGGGCCGACTGGCGCTACAGCGCACTACTTCCATGCCTACATACATTGCTGTGAAAGGCACCCACAGCTACGCATGGCCGTGTTGGAGTGTGGATGCCCGCTTGTGCGTCGAACGGCCAAGACCCGAGTCTTCTCACCGTTGCTGCTTTCGTGCCTCCTGCCGGGAGTACCTCGATCGCTCGTATTGCTGCAATGCGATGCCGCGCGCGAAATTTGGACGCACAGTGCCGCGGTGCCATCGGCGCAATGACGCAGCCCGTCAAGCTCTGTCATTGTCTGAGCGCCGCGACTCAGCAGCATGGTGCTTCGTGGCTTGATGATCGACCCCTGAAGGCGGATGCTTCGTCCAGGCGGTGTGCGCGACCATGTCCATTGGTCTGCCGTCCGTCTCCGATGCCACGTTCCCCCGAGAGACGGCGGAGGATCATAGCCTCAACCTTGCAGCGAAGTTTGAAAATCTTATCGACATGGGACGACAATTGGATGAACGGGTCGGCGCTCTCGCGACACGTGAGATCATCAGGCTTGATCGATTGATTGCGCTGCAGATACCCACGAGGACGACCTGATACGAGGAAGCCCGCTCGTAGCAAGAGCACAGAGGCAACAGGTACGGATATTCATCCCATAGATATACACTGTGACTCTGTTACGTGTAGCACGCCGCATTGCCATCTCCGTTTGGCTATATCGCCTCGCCGCGGGTTAGTACTTCCATTCCAGGCAATCCTGGCGAGAGCATGTCCACGCGATTGACCTCTTTCAGAGCGTGGACATTAGCCGATTTTGTGCTTCAGAGGTCACTTGCTACAAATTTCTTTTCTTCGCCGTCCTGGCGGGTTACATCCCATGTCCAAGCGTGGGTAAATCGCGGATATCAAATCCGAGTTGGCATAGTGCCACCAGCCTGAGGAACGCCGCAGTACACTCCTTCGCAATCCATCATCCATCGTTTTGAGCGAAGAATGGCTTCGCCTGCCTTCTAGAGCACGCCTCTCCCGGCACCTGCGCTGCGTCGCCGGCTTATGCTCCTAGTTCTCACTGCTGCAATTCCTTACAAACAAATATGCAGGGCAGTTGCATCCAACACTCGCTCGCCGCACTTGCGTATCGCTGCAGTTGTATGTGGCAAAGCCGAGCGAACTGCAAGTATGGCAACACTGCGTCCGCAACGATTAAGTAAAACCAACATCGGGCCCAGCCGAATGCATTCATTTGGACGCTTCTTTGTGCAACCTGAGACATGGTGCTTGTTCTCGGATGCCCAAAGAAACAACACCGAGTTGATCCCATCCTGACGGAAAGCTTGCCGTTGCTCCCCACCACCATTCAAGAGGAGCGACGGAAGACAGCGGCCCACAGCGTCGAACAAGATATTGTACCCACCCGGAGATATAGCCGCTTCCCTTGCGCTATGGAAAAGTTTCTGTTCGCTTGAATGTCTGCATGTATCCAACTCCTTCCCGGAGCTCCATGCCACCCTTGGACTCCTGAAAGAGGCAGGTAAAGGGTTCCCTGTCGAACGAGCCGTTGATTCATCTCAAGTGTGAAACTTGCGCGCGATCTTCACTTCCGCATAGGCGCAGCCGAGGTACCCGGATGAGCCAAGCACCTCGACTTTGACTTTGACCCTTGCCCACCGGACTTGGTGTCCGCGATTCCTTGCCTTTCAACGTCCCGGGTAAACTTCTGGAAGGGTTTTGGTTCCTTCGTGCGGCTCGCTAACGGGAACTGGGGACTGGGACACGAGTCTATCGATAGGCTACGCCGCATCAGATAATCTGACGAAGCCAATCGTCCAGTGTCATTACTCATCTATTCCTTTCTCGAATATCTGGTGTATGAGCTCGTCTCTGCTTACGAGCAACGCATTGCATCGTGCACGGAACTCAGGGTTCATCTCACCCTTCAATTCTCTTCTTACTCTCAGGTTCCGACAAATACGCCCAACTACCTTGCCACGCCTATCAGACACCTCACCCCGCTGTTTCACTATCAATAGAAGTGCACGCGGTTGTTGGATCATTACCGGGAACTCAATGTGGGGTTGGAGACGTGTGGCGTTGTGGCAGCTGCAGCCAACTCGGTCGCCGTAGGGCTGACCGATCCAAATGCAGTGCACCAAGAACATGGCCACGTTGGTATATCCCAAACGCGGCGGTGAAGGCCTTCGATTAGATTGAGTGCTGCCACAGCTAGCACCTGACTCGAGGCGTCTGTTAGCCTCAGGCCTACTAGTTACACGTTGCACTCACATCCACGAAAAGAGCTCAAACGGTCAAAGACATGCAGCACGCACAGACAGTTTGCCTGATCTCTTTCCAGGATGCACGGGGTGCAGCTGCTGCAAGGGTATTGATACCCTGTGGAGATCGGTGTAGAAGCCGGCCAAATATTAGATACCCGTTTGGAGCATGTCGGTACAGTAAGACATATGACGGGAACTTCAAGGTACGTACAACCGCAGGCGCTTACTCTGGATTACTTGCATATACGAGATCGCTCTCGCACTCTTATTGTCCTTCCATACGGAGGACATAGCTCCGAATAGAAGTGCTATGGATCGGAACGTGACCACGACCATCACGGCCATCACATCAACATAACGACATCTCTCGAAACCACATCATCAAACGGAGCTAGCCGTCGCACAATGGCTATTTCGGTATTCCAGCACCGATCGAAATTCGGAAACGACCGCATGAGTAGCTAGCTCGACCCAAGTCACAAGCTTCGGAGTAAAGGCGAGAAACGCGCGACAGTGAGAATCTCACCGAGCATCATTGACAGTGACATCACAAAAGCGGTATGCTTCAAAACCAGCAGTATTCCCGTCACAGGATATTCTGAGTCGCATCGCAATAATCACTTCCTCGACCGATCACCCGTATATCCGATCAGATGGTGGTAGAGTCACGAGCGGTGAGGCCTGAAATCAAGCGGTGAGGCGGCAATCGCATATCAACGGCAGCTTCACACAAGAACCTTGGAAGCATCACGAATCCTAGAAGACATCCACTGGTCAAATAATCATTGAACTAAGCGGTGAGTCAGGAGGCGCATTCTTGAATATGCACTGCAGCCTGAAAGAGGGTACGCAGATATCACCTGACGGCCATCTTACATCGGTCCTTTGACGGCAGATGATGATGCGTTGTTTTGGAGATCGACAACTTGTTTCTTGCGCGCGGAGAAGACGCCGCCGCACTTCACAGGACGGACTCGTAGGATCCTAGTACGCCTCATTTCGCAGCATCACGCCATTCATAGGATACAATAACTACTAGTCAGTTCTTCTGATTCACTCCATTGAGCCACAAAGTCCCTAGTATGGAAAGTGTTTTGGTGTAGTAAGGGCATCGGTAGAAGGTCTGGACAAGCTTCTCGGGACCTGAGGCGGTATGTATGGCATACCTTGCAGCACGCATCCAAGATGAATCGCAGAATATCTCACCTGGGGCGTGATCTAAGGATATCTCTCCATATCATAGCCGGGCATGGAGAATATCGCAAGATAATGACTACGTTACTCTTCGTAATGGCTATCATGTCACCAAATCACTTGCCCACCACCACCTATCTTACCAAGACGCCAATCTGAACCAAACACAAGTGTATCTCAACCGAATTACATCAGTGTCCAAGACGAGGAGTCAATGTCTCTATATGCCTTCAGGAAGTTCAGAGAAACCACACTCAGTACAAACCACTGATATTCAATGCTCATTCCCCTTACAAGCACATATCTATGATTTCAGGTAGCAATTTTAGAACCAATTATCAGTCACCCGCTCTCTCGTCAAAGAAGCTAACGCATAATGCCTCTATCAATTCTCGACTCGCTTCCTTCTGTCCAGATAACCCGCCTGAAACTTTCTTGCCAGCCCTTCAAACTCATTGTGAACACAAGCATGCCCTTTCCCTCCTTCGCTCTGATCAAAACCCTACATGACGGCCTATCAACCCCATCCTGGAAATGCCCATACGCTCTGGCAAAACACATCGATCCGTGAATCTAGCTCGCCAGCAAATGTCACCCTTTTTTTTTTCCGCCTCACGTGCCACCCCATTCACTCAGTCCTGCACTCAAAGCACTCGCATGCGAAGACCAGCAACCTAAACACGCGTTTCCTGCAGTACGATAAACGGGTGGGATGAGACATGCATCGTAAATAGAGTTTCTCTTGTGTGTACCAGTGCGGTAAGCACGTGTCGAACGAGAGTCATGACCAGACCAAGATCCAGGCACATAAAAAAGAAAGGTATCCCCACTTCATAATCGTATCAGCCACACAAAACCGTGGCGCGAACATACCAAACATCGCTCTATCTTGTCTGCTAGCTAGTATGCCACGACCAAGGCTTATGCACCTAGCCCTGGCCAAGCACCTACCCCCGAGCGTATGTATCACGGTCCACACATGTAGGCCTGCAGTCATTTGAGGACATGGCACTTCAAGGTAAGGGATATTTCAATTATTGCAAAGCTACCATTCCATTCCATCTCTACCTGGGGGAATCAATTACCGAAACCGCATTTGTTCGTGCACCCATCAAATAGTAAGTCAGCCGTTACATCGCAAAAAAAGAAACGCCTCTTCCTTACATCCAGCGTTCACCCACAGTGGAAGAAAACCCACAATAACCCGTCTTAGTGCCCATATCGACCACCTCCCCAACCACCATCATCAAAATCGCCTCAGAAAATCGGTATATCTAGCATAGAGCGAGGGTGGAACCTAATACGGGCTGTTCACGATTTCATTCCTCCCCAAGTAGCTCCCCCTCTGCTTCCTTGGCGTCCCCACCTTCGTTGCCATCGCAATACTCTCTCGTGTAGGCTTCTGAAGTGCCCTTTTAGTGACCATGTCGACCTCGTTCGGCAGGGCCACAATGATACCCTTATCGCTGCCGAATTTGAAGTTATCGGCCTTGACCTCTTCCGAGTATCGCTTGATGTTATACGGATCCCTACGGTTCGCGAGTACCTTCTTCATGCTCCATGTGATGATGAAAGGACCGGTTGCAGTGATGATAGTGGTCTCTTCGGAGTCAATACCTGTGTTGAAGCGTGCAGGTGTGAACGAGATTGGCGCCTTGGTCTCGTGCTGGAATTGTGCGACATGCGCAGGGGTCAGAGCAAGACGACGGGGTTGCGGCTTGTCATCCTTTGCGAAGGCTTTCTCGAAGCCAAGCTTACCATCGTTCTTGCCACCCTTTTGGAGAGCATCAATAAGAAGGAGATATGTACGGGTGGTGGCAAGCACCCAGCGACCGTCGGCCGAAACGTCCATACCGATAATTGGGTCGCCGAGAGCAGGGATGAGCGTCTTTGCGTTGATGCCTAGACGGTCGTACAGACGAATGTCACCCTTCTCTGATGCTACAGCGATATGTCCCTTTTCAGTGGTCGCAGCTGCAGAGAAGGCGTTCTTTGTGGTGTATTGTTTGTATTGGTCATCGACGAGTTTGTGTCCTGCCAGACGAGGATCAATGCGGTACAGGGCGTTACCGGAGAGACCCAGGAAAGTCTGTTCACCACTCATTTGGGCAAATTTCTGGGATATGTTAACCAATGACTTCTTAATTCATCGGACTGTACTTACGCTTTCTGGAGCAAACACCTTGACTGGAATATCCTCGTGCACGTTCCACTCGTCTACAACCGTCCCAGTCTCTAGATCCATGCGGTACAGCGCATTAGGGTTGTCTAGATTCTGCAGGATCATGTTCTGGTCCTGCTGGTGCAGCATAACCTTGTTCGGATTGAAGTTCTTGCCTTTGGGAGTCTTGATGTTCGAGATGGTGGTAGCAAACGAGAGCTGGTTGTCCGGAGTGTGCTTGAACACACCAATCTTGTTGCCACGAACCACGAACGACCTATCGTGTTTGTACCCCACAGCAAGTTGAGAGTTAGCAGCCCCGTCCTTTGGCCCGGTCTCGACGTCGTCCTCCGACTCATCTTCGTCATAATGTTCACTGTGCTGACCATCGTCGGCGTCTTCGAAATCATCCTCCTCCTCTTCCTCTTCCTCCTCTTCTGGCGCGTCTTCCATAGTGAGGTCGTTGAAGGCTTCCATCACGTAGTCGCGGTCGGTGTCTTTGACCTTGCCCCACTTAGTCTCGTTCAGATGCTCCCAGAGGGCTTGCATGACGCCGTGTTGGAACTGTTCAAGGTCTTCTTGTTCTTTGAAGCGGAGGAGCCAGGAGTAGGCCGAGCCATCTTCCAGATAGTGATTGAAGATGAACGACTTGAACTCAAAGTTGAAGACAGGGTTTATGTCATCAACCACCGGCTGGCCCAACCACTCGCGCTCGTCTCCGACAATATGTAGCCAGTATTGCCAGTTTCCGAGCTCTGTGACGGTTGCGCGGACTTTAGCATCCTGTTGAATGAAGGTGCCGGAGGGGAAGTCGAACAGGTGGAGCTCAGCAACGCAATTCGCGAGCGTTCCTACAGCTTGCGGCTGTGCAGCTGCAGGAGGCGCTGTCGTTGGCTCTTCCTGGATCGGAATAATGGCTTTTCCTGCAGCCCTCTTCGCCATGTTCTCTTGCGTGGTATTGGGAAACAGGTCGGCAGTCGTAGGCGCTTCGATAAGCTGAGGAGATTTGCTCGTGGGACTCGAAACGGGGCTCGCGTCTGGGATGGGTTCTTCGAGGTAGGCTAGAGCTTCCAAGTCCTCCTCCGTTGCCGTCTCGTGGCTTCGGCGAAACTTGCGCTCGTACTGGCACTCGAGCGCGGTACGCTCAAACAGCAACGCAGACTCTGGCTTGACCGACGCGTCGCAAACAAACTCCCAGAGATCGCCAACGTCGCCGCTAAGGTCCCTCCACGCGAAGATGTTCTCGCCGGTCGAGCGAACGTCGGTGCGGAACTGTAGGCTCTCGTCGAGCAAGAAGGTCTTTTCGTCCTTGTCGTCTCCAAGCGCGTCTACTCCGCCGTCTTCTTGTCCCTCTTCGTCAAGCAGGTCCTCCTCGCCTTCCTCGTACGCGCGCTGTACAACGAGCTGGTATTGGAACTCCTGGCCAGTGCGGCGGATGGAGGCTACGGCGTCCTTGAAGATAAGCTCGGAGTAGCCTTTAACGGATCGCGGGCGGACAAGATAAAGCTGGCCTTGTGGAATTTCTACGAGTGACTCTTTGGACGCGTCGCCGAAGACAATCTTGCTGACTGTAGACGGGGTGTTGCGTTAGTGGCTTTGTGCTGCAATGGCGGGGGCGGGGCAAACAAACATACGGTTGCGGAGCATAAACATGGCGGTTGAGTGGGCTGGCGCACGGCAAGTGGAGAGAGAGAGGAAGCAGCTCGCAAGAGAAACTTATTGAAGCTTCGCGCGGCTTGGGGCTTCCATGCGAGGTGAAGCTTGCAAGGCAGCAGGTAGTTTGATAGCACTTTCTGTTTGGGTTGCGTCAGTTGCCAAGCCAGGCCTCGCTTGCCCGCTCGCTCTTGCCACCCGCTGCGGCGCGTCGCCTTCTCTCACTCTTCATAGAGGCAAGTTGTCGCATATTCCTCGGCAAGGTAGCCATGTACATTGCGGCCTGTTCATTGTCTACATAGTCTCGTACAAGCTCGCAGCCCTCGCAGCCCGCAATACGCCCGCAAAATGCTATCGACAGCTTTTCACCCGACAAAACCTGAGATACTGATCGCCCGAGACACGTCTAGAACAGGTCCAACAGATCCTGGTTGCTCTTTGGTGCAGACTGTCCGCCCAGCTGCTGTTGTGGCGGCGGTGGTTGGCTGTTTCCTGATATGTTCATGCCAGCAAAACCGTTCATGATGTCGTCGTTGGTCATCGGACCCGTAGGCTGTGCCCCTCCACCACCTTCTCCAAAAAGACCCATCAAGTCGTCCATAGTCGATGCAGGTGCAGCGTTCCCTGCTGCAGGTGAAGCAACACGCTGAGGCGTACCAGCCAGCCCTTCCAATCCCGATTCGCCCTTTGAAGGCTGCTTCTGTAATGATGCTGGTGCGGAGCCATCGAAATCGATGTCGAGCAGGTTTTCAATGTTTGATTGAGGTGCTGCCTGGCCACCAGAAGCGGCCGCTGCGACAGCGTCTGCAGCAATAGGGTTCTCGAGCGCATTCTCTCGTTGTTCCCTGGGCATTATTAGCTGGGTTGAAGGTACCGTGTGGTTTTGTGCTTACTCGATGGCGGCTCTTTGCATGGCTTCTGCACCATACCGGCCCTGGCCGAGGAAGGCCTCCGGAGGCTTGTGGTACACTGAAGCAAGCGTCGAGAGCTCCGCCAGGAGCTGTTCTAGTAATTGAGGCGGCATAGCCGGGATAGTGCTGGTGATTGCGGGCTTGTCAGAGAGGACGATATTCTTAGATGGTCAGCCAAGCTCCGCTATTGTCACGCGTAGGCGCTCACCTTTGCGACCTGGGGATCACTGGACAGCAATCGCCAGTAGACGTATGCTCGGTCACGGATATCGGGGTTGTCGTTTTCTGCTGTTGCCGCCTGCAAGACCTTTTGTACTAAACCTTGGGATTCGTCCGGCTTCTTCAAGAAAAGCTTGACAACAGCAGTAAGGATCTGGAGTTGTACCTGTGGCAATAGTCAGCCTTAGCAGCCTTGAGTAGTGAAGGAAGTACTACTCACTTGAGTGAACTCTTCCGCAAAAGTGTCAACAAAGCTAGTGAGAATTTCACCAGCGTTGTTGATCTTCTCAGCGTATTCGCCCACGATCCAAATGAGAGCTGCTCGGGCATTTGGCTCATCCAGCTCATCGATACATTGACAAAGCGTCGGTATTATGCCTTCGTATCCAGGGTACTTTCGGAATATGTCCTTGATCACTACTACTGCTTCCTGTACCACGTAATTTACTTTGGTGTTGATCAGGTCCAGGAGAGTGTTTACGCATTTTTCGCTCGCGCTTTCGATTTTGATGGCCACTTGACCGATGGCTTTGACTGCTCGTCGGACAAAATCCATGTCAACTTCCATGGCATATTCCTTCAATTCCGCCAGCAGCTGGTCCACGTTCTTGTCGTTCGCTATCCGAACCATAATATCGAGTTTTTGGAGCTTCAGGTATGGCGGATCATTGTACTTGCAGAAAAAGACGCGCATCTCTTTGCTCAGAATGTCAGGCTGCTTTTGGAGGATCAGGTCAATGTTCCTAAGAGCCACATATTGGACTTCAGGTGCGGAGGAGATGAGTGTAACTACGCTTGGTCAGTTGCGGAGGAACAAGAGACAGCTGTTACACATACCTAGTGGTGGCGCCATTTTTTTGGTGTATGATTTGACGAGCTCGGGCGAGATGTTCTTCATATGCAGGAAGACAACCTTCACAGCAGCGAGCACCACACTCGGATTTACGTGCTGAAACTGAGGTGACACCCTCTCGCAAATGTGCTCCGCCTCCTTTATATCTTGCGCTTTGTAGTCGGCAAGGGTAGTCAAGATAGTAACGCGACCCCATTCTGTGCATTCATTGAGAGCCATCAACATCTTCTTGAGCGTTACGGCGGTGATGGTGAAAGCTTTTGTTTCGGGACTTGTTTCCTGTATCTCGACGAGCGCTGTGACCGAGTTTGCGACCACCATAGGGTTCGGGTCGCCAACCATCTCTTGCAATTGCTCGATAAAGCCATTCTCTATGCATAGAGCGGGGTTCAGATCGTACAGCTTCGCGACGCAAAGAGCTGCCGTTTTCCGGACATATGGCGATTCGTCTCTGAGCGTTTTGCGCAAGGGTTCTTCCATGTAGTCTACCATTTTCTCTACCCGAATACAGCCCATTGTCCGTATGGCGAGCGCGCGTACCAGGGGGTTTGGATCTTCCGAGTCTTGGACGAACGTATTGACGGCGAGAATACACAGGTCGGGATGCGATTTGGCGTAGTTCCTGTGAGCATGTAAGTCCGGGAAATCTGCCGTCTTCATGCTTTTAGGCGCCTACATAAGGTATAGATACACCAGCTTCTTCTGGTCGAGATCCGCAGTCGCAATGTTCTTGAGTACGTCAGGGAACAGCGCAGACACATCCTTGCCCAGTGTCATGGACATGATGGTCTTCTGAATGGCTTCCTTCCTGTCAAAATCTCAGCATTCCCACTCCAGCAGGCAAACGTGGGAGAGGTGCGCTGACCGTTCGTATGCATATTGGGATCTGGAGGCAACGATTAGCTTAGATGCGCTTGAACATCCTGTGAGTGCATCTTACACTAAGCCTGCCCTCAGTTCGAACGTCTCTCCCTTCCTCGGCACCGCGAAGGCGCCTCTTATCCTGTTGACCGCCATCGCAACGCTTTACAAATGTAGGCCACGACCACCGCGGGCCCCTCACTCGCCGTCCTAGCTCGATGTGTGCGGAGAATGCTTGCGGGGAAACTCGAAACAGCGGGGAGAAATCGTCGTTCTGGTAGGTGTCGATTCGGAACGGCGTCAAAGTGTTAAGAGCGGTTGGTGTTGGGGAATGAAATATCGAGGCTCGAATCGGTGAGCCTGCAGCTCCGTCCAAAGCGACTGCCACATTGACAATGGCGGAGGGTCCGTGCGCAGCCTGTCGCATCGCATCGGATCCCATCTCAGGTCGACTTGCGCTTGCACAAAACAACAATACAGCCAATATGGTAAGTTCTCGGATTACTCTACATAACATGACTGATGCGGATAGCCTTCTAACCTGCCCAACCTACGTCGCTTGTTTGTGGAAGCTCGCACTGAGGCTGAGGAGAGCTCATACTCTAGGAACGCGGTAAGTCTCCTTAGGTGAACAACCAAGGTTTTGTATTGATTGCCGTATTGCAGTTCTACAACCTCGTCATATTCATGTCCTCCATCGCTGCATTTGGTCTCATTGCCCAACGCATGTCATCAGGCAAAGCTATTCGAACCTGAGGCCGTGATTGTGTTCTCTACTACGACATTGAGCTTCCAGCAGAATCAGGCCGAGGATATTCTAAAAACCTCCAGGGTGGCCTTCGGCTGGACGATGCTGAGACCGGAAGGCTGAAGGTCAACTGCCCACAGGTCACAGTGCAATGCCGCCAGGAGCCAAGTCAACCCGCAATAACGACGAAGCGAGTGCTCAGTCGGGTTAGAAAGGGTCACGACAAAAGAACACACGCTGTGAGATCTGGTATTATGCATACTATGTGTGGCAACAACTAATGCTACGTCTACTATGTGGGTATCTGAAACCTTCTGGGTGCTAGGATGATCAATGCGAGGAAGCCCAAGAAGAAGCCATGCGATCTATCCTAGACAAAGTCCACGTTTTGTACGTTACTTCGTGATTGAAAATACGTAGGCAAACCACTTCAAGCTTCCTCTTACTCCGAGTCTTCATCTCCGTCCTCGTCGTCCTGTCCGCCAGCGCTGTCATCTGATCCAGAGTCGCTGTGGACGTCATCGTCGTCATCGTCGCCGTCGGTGCCGTCGTCCTTCACACCTGGAGCCTTCTCCTCGTCTTCATCATCACTATCTTCTGCAAGGATGACCGGTGGTGCAGCCCGAGCAGCAGCGCGGCGTGGACGTCCGGTGCTGATGGAATCGCCCCACGCCGCGGCACCTGCCTGGATCTCTTCTAGGTCTTTGGCAAACTCCCGTTGCTCCTTAATCTTAGCAGCCTTTTCGACGGAGTATTTGCCGTCCATGCCAGCATCATTGAGCATGCCCTTGAGGTGGCGGATCTTATCCTTGGAAGTGTCGCACTTGGCAAGCTCCTTTCCCCACACTTTGCGGATGCCACACTTCACAAGCCAACCCTGCAGCCGCTTTATCTCTGCCTGGTCTGGATCGTCTTCGGTCTTGGCTGCCTTCGCTTTTGGTTGTGCTTTTGCTTTCGCGCCGCTCACGGCCTTTGCGGGCTTCTCGGTGTTTCGTTTCCGTTTCTTGACCGGAGAGTCGTCGATCACGCTCGAAAGGTCGCTGTCTCCGCCCTCGTCTTTTGCAGCGAGAGGTGGCGTTGCAGGGCGCTTGGTGTCTTCCTCTCTATCGGCAGCCTCGTTCTTTCCCTGGGGGCGAGACTTTGGCGGAGCCACATCCTCCTCATCTGAATCCTCCGCTACTACCTGTTTCTGCCGACGTGCAGGTTTCTTGGCTGGCTCGCTTTCGGCATCAGACGCTTCATCTTCCACAGGTGAGTCGGAAAGCGCAGCCTCAGATTCCTCGTCAGACGAGACGGTCTTCTTGCGTTTATGTAGCTTCTTCGCGGGCGCAGGTGCTTTCCTCTTGACACCGCGCGATGCGTTGTCGAAAGCAGACTTTTTCGCCATCTTCTTCGGCTCAGGTTTCGCTTTTGGTTGCGCCTTTGAGGGTTTCATTGGGCTGGGTTCAGGCGCAGCTTCGTCACCGCAATATCTATCCTGGCGTTCGCATTAGTCTCTCTTCTACAGGCGATCGAACCCAGTGCGATCAATGAGGCGGTCGCGAATGGTCTTCTTGCGGTCCTATCGTCATACAAGATCCATCCAGGGCTTGTGCGCGAAAATTAAACATACCACAGCTTCTTTGATCATTGTCTTACTCTCATTCTTCCACTCGTCCTTCTTAAGAAAGCCAGCTGATAGTCCCAGCTTCTGCTCCGCTTCAGTGCGGACATGATTGACAGTCAGATTGTCATCGTCGCCTGCCTTGTGTATCGTGATCACAACGTCGCGAATGGCTCTCGAAACGGCTGCTTTCGAAGGGACCTCTGTCTCAGAATGTGACATGCTGCGCGAGTCGGCGAATGAGGCGACCCTGTCGATGCTGGTCGATCAAGTCTGTGGTCGAGCGACTCACTTTGCGGGGAACAAGCTAGCCTGTGAAGGACTTGGTGATGGAGACGCGCTGGGGCGCGATAGAACCGCGGTCGTACCAAGAAGGTCTAGACTGAGAGCGCCCACGCACGTGATTCATGCGCGCTCGCTGCCGCCGCGGGGCACCCAATTCAAGGAAGCTTCCATGCACATTGCAGATCACGGTGCCAGACCAGAAAAGAAACAGGCACAGGCTGACCCGGGCACTGCCAGCTCAAGCCGGCCGGTGCTCCCTCCACGCACTCGAACAACTTGAAACTCTGCGTGTTCAGTCAGCTCGAATCCTGATGCGCCGCCTTATTGTGATGTGGCTTTGTTATTGGGGCTGCACCGTGCCCCTAGGGCTACGTCACTGCCCGCGCGCAACATGCAATTTGGAGCTGTCGCGCGTTTGGCAGCCAGCCGCCTTCACCTGTTTTCGCGACACCCCAAGATTGTGCGCCCATCCTAGCATGTGTGTGGCCCAGTCTTTTGCCTCCAATCTTTAGCTCCCGCACCCTTGGTCTCATTGCTCCCTTGTCCGCTACCGCCCAACCTGTGCGCACCCGCATCCTGGTGGGTCTTTCTGCGCAAAATCATACTGTCGTCACCCCCAAGCCGCACGAGCGAATTCTTGCACGTCCTATCGTGCCGGACGCCGCACAGCTTGCCCCTCATATCACTTAACGTGGCCCGTCGCTTTTAGGTAGGTGCTGGACGCCAGCCCTTTCGCACAAAAAACCTTCCCTACTCACCCACCCTACAAGCTGCACACCAGCAACCCTCCTACAGCAACAAACTTCCATTCCTACAACGAACAGCATAGAAGTACATCAATATGGTTCCTCCTCCGCCAACCAAGTTGGTGCGGCGCCATACGACCGAGGGGCGCCTGCTCCTCGTGTCCAATCGTCTGCCAATTACTATCAAGCGCTCAGATGAGGGCAAATACGACTTCAGTATGTCCTCTGGAGGTCTCGTCAGCGGCTTGAGCGGTCTTTCCAAGTCCACCACTTTCCAGTGGTACGGCTGGCCGGGCCTTGAGATTCCTGAGAACGAAATCGGTGACTTGAGGAAGAAGCTCAAGGACGACTTCAACGCAGTCCCTGTCATGCTCGATGACGAGCTGGCAGACCGTCATTACAACGGCTTCTCCAGTAAGTATATAAAGCATACGCGAAGCACTTCATACTGATCGCCAGACTCTATCCTTTGGCCCTTGTTCCATTACCACCCCGGAGAGATTACCTTCGACGAGTCAGCTTGGAACGCATACACTGAAGCGAATCGTCTTTTCGCAAAGGCTATCGCGAAAGATGTTCAGGACAACGATATGGTATGGGTCCACGATTACCACTTGATGCTCCTACCCGCGATGCTTCGCGAAGAAATTGGCAACACCAAGAAGAACGTGAAGCTCGGCTTCTTCCTTCATACACCGTTCCCTAGCTCTGAGATCTACCGCATCCTTCCTGTACGAAACGAGATTCTTCTCGGCGTTCTACACTGCGATTTGATCGGGTTTCATACCTACGACTACGCCCGCCACTTTTTGAGCAGCTGTTCTCGCATCTTGTAAGTTTATCAGTACAGAACTACTAGACTGCGCTCACAAGCAACAAGGGGCCTCGCGACAACACCCAACGGCGTAGACTTCCAGGGCAAGCTGATCACCGTTGGCGCATTCCCTATCGGGATTGATCCCGAGAAATTCGACGAAGGCCTCCAGAAGCCCAAGGTTCAAGAGCGGATCGCCGCTCTGGAGAAGAAGTTTGAAGGCGTCAAGCTCATCGTTGGGGTCGATCGCTTGGACTATATCAAGGGAGTTCCTCAGAAGCTCCACGCTCTGGAGGTCTTCTTGACGGAGCATCCCGAGTGGATAGGAAAGGTCGTGCTCGTTCAAGTCGCTGTTCCTAGCCGACAAGATGTTGAGGAATACCAGAACCTGCGAGCTGTCGTTAACGAGCTCGTTGGCCGCATCAACGGCAAGTTTGGCACCATCGAGTTCATGCCTATCCACTTCATGCATAAGTCGGTCTCCTTTGACGAGCTGATTGCGCTCTACTCTGTCTCTGACGCCTGCCTCGTTTCCTCAACGCGCGACGGCATGAACCTCGTGTCATATGAGTACATTGCGACTCAGGAGAAGCGCCACGGCGTAATGATTCTCTCCGAATTTACCGGTGCCGCGCAGAGCTTGAACGGCAGTCTAATCGTCAACCCATGGAATACCGAGGAGCTGGCCGATTCCATTCACGATGCGGTGACCATGGGCGACGAGCAGCGGGCTCAAAACTACGAGAAGCTCTCTAGGTATATTCGCAAGTACACCAGGTAGGAAACCCCAAAACCTTCAACTAACCTCGGCTAATAAAATCCAGTGCTTGGTGGGGACAATCGTTCGTCCAAGAGCTCACCAGGATATCTGAGCAGGCCGACAGGAAGGTCAAATTCGCCCCTCGAGCTGAGGGACAGCCGTCTTTCCAGCCCAAGCCTACCGCTGAGGCCACCGACAAGCAGGAAGCTGATTCAACCGAGAATGGCGGTGCTGCGCCTCAGCAGAAGAAAGACGAAAACATGGTAGTCAACCCTTCTTAGTTCCGTAGGGTGACAACGGTATGATGAGTACGAAAATGGCGTACATATGGGCACTTTTTTTCCGCACTACTTTTTTGAGCGGATCATTGCATGGCATGGCATAGCAGGCAGCACTTTGGCGCACGGGAGACATGGCTATGTGGATGTCCCAATACGACCCTTAGATTTCCTCTATCCAGAGAGATTTCCTGTTCTCCACAGATGGATGACTCTCCTAAACAGACGAGCTTTGCGTCTAGCATAGCAATCTATACCCCTTTTCGAACGTATGTAGCTAATTTCTGAGGTCACGTAGCGTGAAGGTAGTAAAGCTCTCGTGAGATGATATCATGAAAACTGGCATGTTTGGCTGGCGTGGGCTGACCTGAATTCCGTAGAGAAAGTGCTAGAACGAGCCGAGTGCATGCCTCCTCCGAGACAGCCCGCATGGCGTAAAGTCAATGTACATGTGCTCTGCATCGCCACAAGCGCCGTCGCGCTGTCGCGTCGCCGAACGTTCTACAATTTTCTACCAGTTGCGTAGAAGAATCGCAGCATTGTAGTGAAGTTCCAAGGTTCCGTAGGGTTCTACTCCGACAGTATGAATGGAACCGCACCCGCGGTACGCATATGGCTAGTTTGGGGTGACGCCTTGCCCGCGCTAAGGAATGCAGTGTCGTTCGGCCTTGTGTAAAGGCATGCTTGTCCAGAGGTAGCTCATACCAGACGTACGAGACGTGAACGTCAAGGTCATTCCTTCAACGCAACGCAGCTCTTGTCCGCTATTTTAAAGCTCGACACTTCCGCGAGACCCAGTGGAAAAGGTCCGAAACGAAAGCTTTTGTTGAGCCCATGACATGCGGCATGAGAATCGCCCACTACGAAGCGAGGACTTGATAGTGCATTCTATCACAGTAGCTGTTCCTCAATTTATCCTGCTTTCCCGATGTAGACGTTCAAAACCTTCCTCATGCCACTGCCTTGTTCTACTGTGTAGTGATGCCTGTACAGCCGCAGGCCAGCGCCCCGCCCGCGGGCCCCACCAGACCTCGTGATGCCACGTCCCACTTCACCCAATCCACCCAGCCCCGCACCTACCCTCATTCCTCGTGTCTCCGTGTGTTTGTTTTCGACTTACCGAAGTCACTTTCTTACCCGTAGAATATGCCTATATATATTCTATTTGTGAAGCATTCTTCATCAATCACCAGATAATCTGGCACTTTGGCGGAGTGGTTAACGCGCGGGCCTGCTAAGCCCGTTCCTTCGGGAGCGAGAGTTCGAATCTCTCAGGTGTCGATTTTTTCTTTTGCTTGTCTTCTGGATACATGGAGCGAAAAAGAATATCTCTGGGCTTGTTTTTTGCGCTCGATGGCCAACGGCGCATGTGAAGATAGGTCGGACGCGACGTGAGACCTTTTCTTGGTTTTGGACGGTTGGGAACGCTGAGGATGATGTGCGAAGAAAAGGAAGAAAATGAGCTCGTTGTCAGTCAAAGCCACAACAGACCTATTGTTCCTACGTGAAGACGAGGCTGGCCAGAGCGGCGACGACGTGCCAGATATAGACCATGTTTCTGTTAATAAAGGCTTTTCTTTTACATGCAACCGGAGCGCAACATTCTTTTTTTAATTCTTATTTTTTGGTCTTGCTAGCGTGCAGTGGCAAACGGGATGGAAAGTCTGCCGCAGATTCGTACAGAAATGCTGTGGCTATGGCATCACGCAACTCTTCTCAGGAATTCATTCCAGGTGACCGCGACGAATGAATCTTGTTATACTTGCCTTTCTCGTGCTGACCCGCCCACCAACCATATAGTCTGTAGGCTCTGTAGAGGCGGGGATAGACCTCAAGATTCTCGACTGCGCAGTTCAGCAAAGTGAACGCTTCCGTGCCAGTGTGAATACGCCCTGGCTCTCAAGCATGTGTGTTTGATAGGGTTGCGACCGCCCGTGAACTCGACATATCCACGAACATTGCTCCGTACGACATAGCACAACGCCAACTGCTCCCTCATTGACCGAACGGCATGTACCAGTGGTCTCATGCAGCCTTTGGATGCCATAAACCCGGCAGTCAGATTTCTTCACTCAGACAACGAGCATCTTAATACCGCTCAAAGACTTGAGTGCACCTTTCCACAAGGGTGACGTTTCGATTCTATCTATTAACTCACACGTCTTCCGCAACGCTACATTTCTGCCCCCACCAGATCTACCTCTTCTTGCTCCCCCTCCCACCCCGCTTAGCCATCTTCTTCCCCTTCGCCGCATTGCTCAGCCCCCCACCATCCCTCCCGCCCGCCATCATGACCCTAACCTTCGGCACGCTCACCACGCTTACAACCTCCGTCTCCTTCCAGCCGCGGATCAACTCCATCTCCCTTGGCCAGATCCTTTCCACATCCTTGCCGTACTTATCCGTCGCTTTTGCATCTTTACCTGCGTTGTCCCACTTGGACAGGATGTCCTTGACGGCTTTGCCGCGCTTTAGCGACCCGGGCTGCATCTTGGCTTTGTACTTGTACGTCGAGAGCGCGGACCAGGGCGCGCAGACGGGGATCGCGGAGAGGAGGTCGTCGTCCGGGAGCGGGCGGCCGATGAAGGCGTCGAGATTAGCGAGGTTGGCCACGAGCTGCTCGTCGTCGCCTTCGTCTTCTGCGGGGGCAGCAGCGTCGCCGGCGTTTGCGATGCGGCGCGCTTCTTCCGCGGCTTTGCCTGTGGCCTGCGCGCGGAGGTGCTGCTCGCGGCGGCGCTGCTTGTTGGCGGCTGCTTCTTCCTCCTTTTTACGCTGGTCTTGGGCGGCGGTTTCGGCGGCGCTGGGTCCGGACTGCGCGCCCAGGAGGCGGAGCGCGAGTTGCCGGTCTTCTTCGTCTTGGTCGGCGTACTTTGCGGCGAGCTTTTTGGCTTTGGCGCGTTTGCCACGTGGGAGCGGGCCTTTGGAGGCTTTCGAGGCTTGTGATGTAACTGTTGCTGGGGGTCTGGACGCGGGAGTTGGTTCGTCGTCTGTGGCAGATGCGGCATCACTTTCTGCGCCGGCTTCGGGAGCTGTGGACGGGTCGGACGGTACTGATATGTCGTTGAGTGGTTGTCCCTTCCGGAGAAGTCTACGTTCTCTGGCTGAAAGATGGCGATGCCCTGTCTTGTCGGTCTTCTCCGAATCTGCGACTGAGCCAGCGTCTTCCTGAGGCAATCGCTTTGCGGCGCCCGTCTTCTGTGGCTGAGCAGTAGGCTTCTGTGTTTCTGTATCATCCTCATCCTCCGAGTCTGCCGCTTCGTTCGCTCTCTGCAATGGGTTGGCATGGGCTACCGTTTCCTCCTCTGCATCGCTATCGTCAGACTCTCCGAGCTTGGTATCAGGGAAGTCATCTTCCGAGTCAGATGCAGGCTTTGCATCTGGGAAGTCTTCGTCGCTATCACTGTCTCCATCCTTGCTATCACCTGCTGCGGTGGTGTCCTCCTTGTTTTCGAGTGTAGGTACGGCATCATTGACGCGATGCTTCCGATGGCGGGCCTTGCTGTCCTCGCTGATCTCAAACATGACGGCTAATCCTACTACCAACTGAGCGGGTGGGAGAAATTCTTTCCGGCCGGTGATGTTGAACATGCCTGTCGCAAGGAATTCTCCTCCATGGCCGATTTTGCTGACCTGATCGGCCTTGACCCACCATGCAGACATGACTGCCTTCGAATCCCATGCCTCGGACGTGCAGACGGAAAGGTGTCCGGCTTGGGAGAGAGTCGAAGGGGGTATTGGAGAGTCTGGTGTGTGCGGGTTGTTTTTAATGACCATGGGTACTGCACCCTTGAGGTCTGCATGAACGTAGATGTCGCCTTTGCGTAGGTATCGGCGGTAAATGATCTCGTTCTGAGGGCCATCCTTGCCACCAAGCACGAGGTATCCGTCGGACGAGATGAAGTAAATAAACTTTTCGAACCACTGCTGCCTGCGCACAGGTCTAAGCACCTCTTTCTCTTGCTTGAGACCCTTCTTCAGGTCCTCAGCCACTTTACGCTCGTGAGCCTTCATTGCTCTCTCAGATGCTTCGATCGTACGAGCCTCCTTGCCCTTGGCGGTCTTTTTCTGATCGAAATATTCGCTAGAGTTCTTGTACGCGGTCAGACCGAGGTCGACGTCGATGCTCAGTGTTGACTGCACCGGTGCTTGCGGTGCAGTGGCTTTCTTCTTGCTTTCTGATGGTTCATCTTCGTCAGAGGACTCTTCGACCTCGCTCGTCTCGTAGCCTTCATCTTCTTCTTGATCCCCTTCGCCTTCATTAGCTTCTTCGAGGAGCAGCGTGATGGTGTTTTCGTGCAACTTCAGGGGTAGCTTAATAAGCTGTGCCACGGCGTTGCCTTGCTCCTGCTCCCGCTCGATCAATCGTGCAATCTCGCCCCAGTCCATTCCCTGGCCGATCAACCCATTGACAGCAGCCATTGCCTCATCTACCCTGTGGATGTTGGCAAGGATAGCCTCTGCCTTGCGGAAATTCAGCTCCTGTGTCTGTTGTAAGCCTCCAATACGGCTTTCGTGCTCTTTGCGCGCTTGATCCAACTTTTTCCGTGCGTGTAACTCGCGCTCATGCAGTTTCGATTCCAGCTTCTGGCCTTCAATCGAGGAAAAGAACTCGTCTACGCATTTGTTGAACCCATCGAACTCTAGAAATTGGTACTCCGAGTTTTTAAATTGTTCGGGCTGAAAAGGGTGAAAGTCGTCATACAAAACATTGGACTTGCCCGAAGCAACTTCTTCCGCCGGATCTTCTTCCTTGGGAGCTGCGGGATTGGGCTTCGCTAATATGTAGCCCTTGATCTGCTCCGTCGATGTGATGTCTTCCGAGATCTTTCGCGCCTGTTGCAGTACGCCTAGGAGCCCTTCTAGCAGCCCGTCGTCGGCCAGCACATCTTCCGGCTTCAACGAAGAGTCAAAGCTGGCAATGTGTAACGCATGGTCGACCAGCAATGGCGGACACTCTGTTATTGAGACTGCAAGCGCTTTCCGAAGCGCATCCTTGTGCGACTTCTTCGCCTTCTTGCCCGACGCGGCAGGCTGATCCTTCTGGCGATCCACGGCCTTTTGAAGCGCTTGTTGAACCCGCTCTTTCGTAAGTTCGGGAATGCCCCCATAGTTCTGACGCAGCGAGAGGTTGTACTGCAGTCCAACCCGCAGCTGTTCATGTTCGGCGCCTTCCTCGACGTTGCGTAGTAGAGACAGGATCTTCAAATCTCCGTCTGTGAGCACGATGTTTCCACCCGCGTAGAATTCGAAGTATAGCCGGTACAGTCCATCCGAGAACTGAAATTCTATTATGCGGTCGGTGCCGACCTGCGAGATGGCAGTGACTCTTCGTGTCTTGAGGTATTTGCGGAGCTTCGCGACGAATGCGGACGGGGCAGAAGCAGTGGTGCGGGCGTAAGAGGTAAGATGGCAGCGGAAGCCCGATTCTACAATCAATTGCTCGCGGTGGTCGGGTTTGTGGAACTTGAAGAGGAAGATGCGCTAGTCCTGGTCAGCATGGAAGACGCAGAGGAGAGCGAGAGCTTTGCTACCGAGGAAAGATCGTAGACATTGGTGACGCGCAGCGGGACCAGAGTTTGCTGAAGCTCGTGTGCAATGACCTGCAAATGTCAGTATATGCGCAGGTGGTGATCGCTGGACGCTGTACCTTGACGTCGAGGGACGAAAAGCGCTGCTTCATGGTGTCGTGTGCAGAATGTGTGGCACGCGTGCTTTGGCGGGGTTGAGGTGGGACGGCGATGACGCTGCGAACGCCGCTTTCTGCGTCGCGTAGGGCTGAGCTAGCGGCAGTGAATCACAACTAGTCCCTGGCACTTGTGTCATTGCCGCAGGGACAAGCGTACAAGTGGCTCAATTCCGCCAGGTACAAATGGCCACTTAGCGGCTTGTGGGTGGCACATTCGATCGGTCAATCATTACTGCGACGCATTTGAACCCGCTGTTCCCGTTGGACTGACCGTCTCGCGAGTCCACCACTGGTTCATTACAAGTTCAGTTCAGTGGGAGAGCAGTTCGAACAGGCGAATGAGCACTGTAGATGCTGGTGCAGTCGATCGATTCAAAGTAACCACGTGAGCCGCCGTAACAAGGCATGGCTCCAAGCGCAATGCAACCACAGCTATGCCTTTTGCCAGTCTAACTCCTGCAACGCCAAACCGCTGATCGATTCTTCACAAGCCCTGTCTTATCCGCTCCGCCAGCTGTCTCTTTCCAAACTCCCACGCGTTCAGGAAACCTTGCTCAGAGAGATCGAGGTTCTTCATTGATGTCATGTCTTGCGCAGGGGGCCTGCTCACGCGGGAGGCCACAGTGACGGGGTCAGTCTCGAGGATGATACCATCGTCCACCAATTCGTCGACGGCAAGAGACTGCGGTTGTTAGCTTTGGTTTCTGCGGCCCAGCAAAGACACGGCCACATACCACGAGGTCGTAGTTCTCGATTACGGTGCGCTTGTCGACCGAGTTTCTGGCTACGTTAGTGGGGGTCCAGGCTCCCTGTCGCGCTACTCACTTGAGGAGGATGTTGAGCGAGTCTCGTAACGCAAGCACAACACTGCGCAGGCGTTAGTACGTTATAACTTGGAGCGCATGCTGGCTCTCCATACCTGTACAGAAGCACCTCGTTTTCCTCTGCGCCGCCGACGACGTAGAGCATGACGTCCGACTCCATCTTGAAGACGATGACTTTCTGGTCATAGAGGATGATGTCGGTAGTCTGCTTGGCCGTCTTCTCTGCGCGCCTGTCAGACCAGCTTCATGGTTTCCGGGCGTCTTCACACACCGAGCAGGCCCTTTTCGAACGACTTCTGGTCCTTGACCGTCTTGTAGGCTATCTGGCCGGGGTAGTCGGTCTGGCCCTGGGGCGGGTGCGGGTTCGAGTAGTACTTTGTGAGGATGCGCGAGCCATCGTCAATGGCGAGGATCAGGATGGCCGACACGCTGAAGAGGGAGAGGGGCCGCGACATGGTGTGCTGTGGCTGTGGTGGTGTGGGAGCTGTGGGAGCTGCCTGTCGTCGCCGCGGGGGTTTTGGGGAGCGGACAAGGTGTCGTCTCCTCCGCGCTCGCCTAACTCGCGGCCGCTGCTTGGCGCGTCGGGAAAAGTGTAGAGCGCATGCTTCGCAGCGCAGGCCTCTCGCGACGACGCGCTGGTGAAGCACCGTCGACCCGAGAATGCCCGCGCTCTCCAGGACCTCGCTGGCCTCGATCGTGTGCCCCTCGGCCCCGTTCCTCGCCCCGCGCCTGCTCCGCACCTGTGCGCCCCTCGCAGCGCTCTCGCTGCAGCCATGGGCCCTCCCCACGCCCAGTAGTCGACGGTACATGTCGGACAAGAAGCCCTCGCAGAAGCTGCAGTACAGGAAGGTACGATCCGATGCAATTGCTTCCCCAATCGCTCCCGCTGATCTTGCACAGCGGCAAGGACTGCAGCAGCTGCACCACGGCCATGTCGCGTTGCTGCAGCAGTTCCGCAAGGCCATCAACGACGACAACCTGCGTTCGCTCATGGACCTGTACCCTAGTGTCCTCTCAACGGGCTACCTGACCCGTGATGACACGCGCCGCATTGCCAAGACGCTGCACGCATTGTTGCGCACCCGGGAACTCCCCGACGACACCAAACCCCACCTGCTGTCCTTCCTCCAGCAGTTCGTCAAAGACCTCCAGAAGGGAGCCCTGCCCGTGCATCCGATTGCCTTCGTGCACATCCTGGGCATATACAAAGAACGCAAACTGTTCAACGAGGGATACCAACTCTGGCAGTGGGTCGTTCAGCAGGACGACAACCATGTGACGCAAGCCGTCTATGGCGCAGCTATCGAGCTGATGGCCTATGGCAAGAAGCTCCGTCTGCCTGAGCTCGAGAACCTCTACCTCGACGCTCTCAAGCGCTTCCCGGGCACCTTCGCCGAGTACCACCTCTCTCCGGACGCCATCGTGCCCAACCGTGCCCAGCCCATTGCCATCGCCAACGTCCCAGTCACGCTTCTCCAGGGCATTCTGACAGCCCGCATCCTGCACAACGATTGGAAGCAATCGTACCTTGCGCTGGACACTGCCCTGCGCCTGTATCCTTGCCAGCTGCCCTCACGCTTTTTCGAAGTCTTCATGGAAAGCAGGCAACTACCAGAAGCCTACACTGTCTTTCTGGTCGCTTGTCGTGCGGGTGTTGTAACAAGACCCAGCCAGATCACGAGTATACTGTCGAGAATCAGGTCCAGCATGGTTCGGTGTGATAGTCTGCGGGATCGCATCGTGCTCCTTCGCGCCATGGCCAATGCTCTGTACGCCAACCTCGAGGCTGGCGGCAACCTGGAACCAATACATGTGGGTCAGTTTCTAACATCGTTTGCCTCTTTACTTCCAGAGCCTGCACCTGGAAGCGACTACCAAGGAGACATGGCATCGCTTCGTAACCGCGTCATCACCGAGGCCCACCAAATGCTATCGACACTTCTTCAGGCCGGGATGCCTCCTTCTCCGCAAGCCTTCCTTGCCCTCGTAACCCTCGCTGGAAAGTTGCGGGTGCCGGATCTCCTGCGTGTCGCACTGCAGGACGCCGAGACAGCTCGCATCGATTTGGGCGAAATTGGTATACGCACCGTTTTGGCCTCGGCAGCTCGGGTTGGCGCAACAGCACTCATCGAAGAGTATTGGACACGGATTGTGCACAAGGCAGCTTCGGATGGCAAACAGATCGGTTGGAAGGACTGGAAGTGTTTTGCCCAGGCATGCAAGAGAGCAGGTCATCGCGATTACTTCGACGCGCAGCTGCGAGATCAAGAACACACCATATCCGCATCGTCCAGGGAGTCAATCATGACCGTGCTTGAGGAGGAAGAGAACCTTCACGATCGAGAGATTGATATCTCGCGTCCAGAAGTGTTCAAAGGCGAGCTTGCTGGGCTCAACCAGCAGATCAGGAACATAGCGGCGGTCGTCATGTCTGGCCAACGCTTGGATTTGAAGCAAACACCATTCTACATGTTCCTGGACCCGGAAAGATCGCCTCTAGCCAAGCGAGAGCACTTACGGGAGATCTATGATGAGTTTACCATAGATCCACATCAGCCGCCTCTGGAAGAAGGTTTACTGCCCACCGCGTTAAGTTCCACTGGAATCCCCTACGACGAACTCCGCTTTGAGAATTGGGTGTCTATTGTGAACCTGATGGACCAAGCCCACAGCTTGGAATTTGAGCGGCAAAACAAGGTCCAACTACTTGGGGAAGACGTCGCTCGCCGTGAAAGGAAGAACCCTCTCGAAACGGAACGATCCGACAAACAACTCTCCCCCAACGTCCTCAGAGAGCACATCAAGAGTCTGCGAGACCCATCGGTACGCCCGCTCCCGATCAACAACAACCGAAAGCTTATTCCCTCTAGTCATTCCAACCTCAGAAAAGTCCTCTCTAAAACCTCCTCCGCCAATGCAGACCAGCCCAAGCCCCTGAACATCACAAAACACACCGACGGCTCCTTCACCTTCCGCTCGCTCGAACTCTCTCCCGACGCCGCCTCCCCACCTCTCTCGCAGACAAAGTCCCCCCGCCCCCTCCACGAGGGCAACCATAACGAGCTCCAGCTCCTGTACCACTACCGCGGCGGCAACGCCGTGCCCGCCCGGTCCGACGGTGCATTTCCTCCACCGAAAAGTATACTCCCCGACCGCAAGATGAGCCGCACAATCACACAGCCGAGTCTTACGTACTATGCGGGTATCAAAAGCAATCATGAGGCGCCTGCGCCGAGGCTGAGTCGGCGTCCGCTCGGCCGAAGAGAAAAGGAAGGATGAAGGGGAGAGGGAGTAGGTGCTTTTTTTCTTTTGGATACCCTGGGTTTCTTATCTTAGGCTTCATTGTATGATATGTGGATGGTAGAATCTTGTAATATTCGAGGGTCAGCATTTTGGGCGTTTGTACTGCATTGGCGTTTGTACATGTAGTGGTTGGATGGTTAGATGATGGTATAGATAAAGAAGGTATGAGCTTTGTTGTACGATAGATGTATATGACGCCTAGTCGCAACATGAAGAGATCGTGCTTGTTTGAAACGTTCGGGATATACTTCTAAGCTGTATATAATAGCTTGCAGTCAGTTCAAGGCACGCTTCAGTCATTGAGCGACTATGCTCAGTCCTCTTGGGCCTCTCAGCTCTGGCCACAGGACTTCGACGCTTGGAACTACTACCATTTTTCGATCCTCGATGCTAAGCGCAGTCTTTTATCTACTTCACCTCCAGCCTCAGCGCATCATACTGCACGTAAACCGACTCCGGCAACAGCGCGCTCTCGTAATTCGTCGCATTGTACGGCAGGCTCAGCACAAACGTATTCTCGCCCGCCTTCAGCAGCCCCACATCGAACACAAACTTGTGCGCAAGCTGGTAGCAGATTACTGCGGACCGCACAGCGCAGGAGCTGGATTGATAGTAGGGGATTACCCAGGGCGCGAGGTCCTTGCCGTTGACGTTGACGGTATAAGGGAGGTTGGAGTAGGGCTCGGACGCGTTGAAGACGTCGGTGTTGCCGGCGGCAGTTTTGGCGCCTGCGAGTTGGACCTAGAGAGGTTAGTTGAGTGTTCGGGTGTTATATGAGGGTGGTAGGTAGCGTACGGTGAATGTTGCCGTCTTCTTCCCCTTGAGCTGGTTTGCTTTGGTATCGAACAGGATGGTCCAATTGTTGATGTTATCGTAGACTGGCTCAGGCCGTTCATAATTCGCTTTACCCCCAAACACACTCCAGTGGACGTAGTTTAATGTTTTCGCCGGGTCGTCTCGACCGACTTTGTACGTCACACCCTCCGGAAACTCATCCACGAAGTCGTACGCCGCCCAGTACAAGCGGTATTCTTCAGTGAGGAGCGGGTGGTCGGGAGACGCGGCATAGCCGTGGCGATACTCGCCGGAGGACTTGTCCGGTGTGCCGATGCGGAAGAGCTCTGTGCCTGCTGATTCCGCCTTCCATTCTACGTTGAGTTGTGTTTCTTTGCCGGCGGAGATGGCGACGTTGTCGCGGATGAATTCGCCAAAGATGCCGTCAGCGTAGATAGTCAGTCTGTATTCCCCTGCCTTGACGCGGGGAATGGTGACTTTGCCTCTGTTGTCAATTTCACTCCAGTACTGGTAGGCTTTGGCGTCGTAGACGTTGTCTTGGTAGTTACGGCCGCTCTCTGTTAGGATGGCGATAGGGTTCTTTGCGTTCTTGGGAAGAGCTACTCGTGCGTTGAAGGTACCGCGCCCGGAAGTAGTGACGAGATTGGGGACGTGTTTTGCGATGGAGTCGTAGAACTTTGCGTTCCAGTCTGGACGCAAACCATATTGCTCTGCGTCAGCGCGTAGCTCGCTGAGCGAGCCATCCTTATTGAAGTGGAAGTATTGAGGGCCAAAGGTGCGGTCGAAACCGTCTGTGATGTTGGGAGTTTGATCCCCGTGATCTAAGCCAAGGTCAGCGCTGTTCTCGCACACAGGTTAGAGAGTGGAATCGCCTACGGTTGCTGACCATGTAGTTATAAACAATACCGTCAACAACCAGGTCAGAATGCACAGGTCCATTGTAGTACGTCTCGACAGTGTTGTGTACGAGCCAAGCCCCAAACGATGTTCCGTTACTTCCTGATCCGTCGGCATACATGCCATGAGCCTTGTGATTGCGCCAGGTGTCTTGAAATGTGTACTTGGTGAAGTAATCGCCAACGCCCTGCACGTATGGGGAATCCTTGTTGGGGAGCCACCAAGTAGCATCCTGCACGGTCACCTGGCCTTCGGTATCTGGCCGCGGTGCCGCGAACTTCTCGTTAGTGATGAAATGTGTGAACAATGGTGGGTCATGGTTTGGGCGGAACATTGTACGGAACTCCTGGAGGTTTCTCAAGAACGGCGTAGTCTTGTTGTTATACACAATGCGGCTGAAAGTGTGGAGACCGGTTTCGCCTTCCTTCAGAAACCAGTACTGTTCCAACCGCTGGCCGGTCGCAGCGTAAGTCTCGCCCATGCTGATTCCACCATACTTCTTTCCCGTGGAGTCCGTGCCGTTATATAACTCGTAGTCGACTTGTTTGCCGCGACCAGGAGTCCAGAAGCCGCTAGGTGTACAATAGCAGTCGAGATAGGGTCCCACGCCAGTGTTTCCATTCTCAGTGCCCTGATTTTCAATCAGCAGATGATGGTATAACTGATTAACAGTACTAGGTACACAACTCGGGTACTGTATTGCTCCTAGTGTAACACAACGCACTAGAGGATTGACTAGGTAACGTAGTTGGATTTAACTTACAAGAAGATTCTGTCCATCAAGAGTGAGCACATTGACATAACCCCGGCTTTTACTAACCGAAGCTACCAGCCTCTCGTTAGCGATGGTCAAGCTCGCATCGTTTTGTGTGGCATTGAGAACCGCCAAAGCAGTCGACGACAAAAGCGCCGCAGAAGCCGCCAGGAAGCGCATAGCGAGACTGGTACTGTGATATCGAACTCTTCACTATCTCCATGTTTATAGCAGACCCTCGGGAGAATTTGGAGAAGTCCTAGACCTTATCTGGGGTAAATAATCTGGGGAGGACGCCGCCAAGAAGCCTCTCGGTGTGAAGGACCCCGAGAGTAAGCGAAAATCCAAAACCCGAAACACTGTGTAGTTGAAGACGAACATGTTGGTGAGGTTTGTCGCTCGGATGTAGTCTCGATCTAGTATGCGAGCTAGGAAGGCACTCATGTATTTTTTGGAGCTCCAGAGGTGCACGTAGTTCACACCTGTAAGAAGCAAGCCGCGTGTAGTTCTTCCGTCCACGGGTCCACGGGTCCATGGACCTGCTTTGGGGAGATCCACACCCGCCTCCCACCATGGCAGACTTCCACAACGTCAAAAAGATACCAGCCTGAATCCAGGTCACAGATTTGTTCTCAACTCGGATAAACTACAGTGGAGCTTCATTATCTCTCTAGGTGATTGCAAGCTCACTTGTAGCTCCTGCTCGAGTAAATAGAAGAAGCATACTGAGACCTGCGCCAATGTGCGCTTGAACGTAGAGGAGTCGTATCTAGCGAAGTCGAGTAAAATGTAACGACAAACCCGCGGAAGTACCGTGCAGAACATCAAAACGGTTTGGACGCTCGAAGACAGAATCGAAACAGAAGTAAGATACTTCATCTCTTCAAGGGGCATTATACATCACTCGAATACGGCGAGGACTGCAGTGGATGGTGAGTTTCATACCTTCTCGTTCTTACTTTCCACAAGAAGTCGGTGTGAGGTAAAACAACATACCCGGACTTCCAAGCGAACAACTGTAATAGGCGCAACGTCAAACACCCTACTGTCCACCCATTAAACCAGACTGGCAATATTGGATGGGCCAGCGCGTCGTCTTAAGTCTCACGATATAAGAGGAGCGAATACGGATCAGGATGTCGCACTGTTCCTGTCCTCAAACAGTCAGTGCGAGTGTGTAAAAGTGAGCAAAGGTGCTGCGTTCTCCTTTCGACGCGGACCGTATTGATCCATCCGAGGTCAGATTGTCTATAAGTGAATGAACGCTATAGGCTCGATCCACGGATTTCAGCGCCGTTCAAGAGTCAATGCACGGTAAAGTTTGGCTAAACTCGATCGCATCCTTCTTTGCGCAGGGGGATAGATGTGGAGAACGGACAGGCTTCCCCGTATTTGTGGTGTGGGTGAGAACGGTGCGGCGGAACGCGAACGGTGCTACATGGCGGTATTCCTCCGTGTACAACGTCCGGACTGATAACGAGAGATGCGTATCTCGTAATTTGGCGTCATGAATCCTATTCGCACGCCTTGTCTTGAAGCACAGTCGCATCATCACCCGCCCGGTCTTCGAACTAGGTCTGCATCGGCGACCGACCCACAGTCGGCGAGAAATCCGCGAGACTTTGGGAAGGCATTTAGGGCGGAATTAATGCCGGGCAATTAAGTTTTCTGGCCATGATGCGACGTGATCCGCGATGCAGAAGATTTGCGCCAGCTCGCGATCCCTGCACCCCGCAACAGGGCGGCAAGGCGGATGCAATGCCGTTGGGCCACGCGAAGAGGCTCCACAACGCCTGAGACAGGAACAGGAAGGGTGAGTCGCGGATCAAGGACGAAAGCATCCGGGATTGTCTCAGTGCGCTTTGCGCGAGTCACCCGAGACAAAGCCGATCGATAAGTGATTCGTGCTGCAGGAACAAAGAAACGAAATGAGTGCGCCCACGCCTGCGAATGCAAAAGGAAGGTGTCAGCATTCGCGTATGCCAACAGAGGAAGCGAAGAAGCCAGTGGTGCAGACACACATTCAGCCCACGTGTTATTATCCGGAAACCAGGATGCCAGAGGACGACTGTCCAACAATAGCCGTGTGACAAAAATATCGTGCCGCCTGGCACATTGTTCCAGACGCTTTCAGTCTTCTGTCAACGTTCCATGCATGGTGCACATACCAACCCCCGACGCTATGAACCTTGGAACTTTATCATGTCGTCCTTGATTAATGTTGCGTACTTGCGCGCTGGACCGACGTCTTATGTGCCCCCTTGGCGGAGGAATGAGGCAGTGAAGGGGCGGAAGTGCGGTAGATGGAAGCTGACGTGAAAGCCACGCTCACCGATGGAGTTGTCCAGAAGTGGGTTCGAAGCGGGAGCGGAGCGGCGCGATGCGTTTCGATGCGGGGCCTGATTCAACGATCGTCATGATGGCGGTGAGAGAAGTTAATCAAATATTCGAAGCAGCGCATGCTTGTCGGGCGTAATACGAGCACTTCGGTCCGGATGGGTGCAGGAGAGCGGGGGATCCTCTCTAAGCAACAAGATAAGCCGATGCTGTCCTCGTCACAGTTGCTGCGCTTCTCCATGCGGGAGGCAGAGCGTTGGTGGAAGAAGGAGCGCACTACGGACGCCACGAGGGGTTGTGTTGGCCTTTCGGTCCACTTACCACGAACGCTGATTCCAGATGTCTGAGACATTGACATCCACAATGGTGAAGAAGATCGTTACACGCCGTCTGACAAATGTGGTACAATGGATGAATCACGTTGAGAACTACACGGATGGAGATTGATGACGTTTGTGATTACCAAATACTATGATCTCCAATCCGTGACTGCACAAAGGGCAACCATGGGAATCAAATGCGCACGAGCGTACAAGAGCCAGTGGCTCAAAGTCTATCGAAACCAAAGTACAATGAACAAGAAGGGTATTCTACGAAAAGTAAAGGCGAAGGCAGCGGTCAACGCGCGAACCATGAGACTCCAAAAGTACGTTGCTAAAGAAAATCCAGTAATGGAGATTGAACCACAGGCCAATGTATCCCAACCCCGTACCGTGTTCCTGGTCGTGACAGTCGAACAACCTGCCCGCTAAATGCAATATCATAATGAAAACAAATGTCGAAGAGATGCCATCAAAGGACACTTGATGTGGGTTCAGTTCGATTCGCTTCCAGCACGACTTCTCTGCTCGGCCGGTGTTGACGGGAACGAGAAGTCGATGGGAGAAGGTGGTGGTGCGGGAGTCTCGTTGAATTCTTGGCTTGATCGCGAGAAGGTGCTGCCAGCCTTGAAAGCTGCGCTGACATCGTGACCAAGGTTGGAACTGGTCAAGATGGCAAGGCGATGGCGCTGGTTGTTGGCTGATTGCTGGGAAGGCATTGTGATGTGCGTCGGAATAGTCTGGCTTGGGATTCGATCGGAGTCGATGGCGAGTGTGGCCGATCTGAAGAAGATTTTGGTTGGAGTGAAATACTAAGTGATGACGACTAGATAGTGGGGACGGCTGCGAACGCTGTAAAATGCTGAGCAGAGTGATGTGGCCTGGGGTAAAACTGGGGCAAAGCTGGGGAACAAGGCTATATAGTTGGGTCCGGTGGGTAGGACAAGAGCGTGCGTGCGTGTCTCTCGGTTGGAAAGCAGATTTGGGGAGGCGCTAGGAGTGCGGTATGAGCTGGCTTCAGACAGCTAATAAATTTGTTGGCAAAATTGGAATGGCTGATTTGCAAGTCCCGAGGCAGGATCGCGGGAATGGCTTATGGCTGAAATGCGATGCAAGAGGAACCTGGGTATGGTGAGTCAGATTTAATATCAGAGGCACGCAGGGCTGATGTGGATGCGTTGGCATCATGGGAGTCGGGACCAAGCAAAGCACAGCGCCATGTAAAGCGGCGCAAATAGGGGGTGGGCTGCAGAATGGGGCTTACTCACGATCTCTTTTGGGCACTGGGACTGACACTGATACGCAGGACGTAGTTGGGGCTGTTAAGACTGGGCGGTGCCTGGATGTGCTGGTCCGGATGATCCGACGAGTTGGAGGCGAAGATGCAGGTATGGATTGATGTGCAAGACAGGTTGATGAGGATCTTCCAAGTTTAGGTGAGGATATGGAAGTAGCTAGCGATCGAGTATGCTTAATGGAAAAGAAGACGAGCGCCCCGGTGTGGGGAGAGCTATGCTTTATACTCAACCCGCAGGGACATGTACAGGGCAGTCTTGACTCGCATGGGCGAGCAGGATACCCTTCGAGAAAAAGGAAGCGCCAGAGCAATCAGAAGGCCGGGGGCAGCAACGGGGCAGCGGGCAGCCGCGCTCCTTGCTTTCCTGCTCCCCCGTCCGTTGCACATGAAGCGGAGCGAGACGGCTTGCCCCAAACCGATCAAGCAAAGCCCACCCCACGCCCACCGCCACCCGTGCCCGCGGTGCTTGGGCGACTGTCGGGCTTTTTTCCTCCGCCCATCAGCGGCTGGCTCGATGGCGTGGATGCGAGGACGCGACCCGGGGTTTGGACAAACAAAGCCTGGCGCTCGCCCACGCATCCTCCAGCTCCCCCATACAGATAGCGTGCGCGCGCAACGGCGCGGCAAGAAGCAACCAACGCCGAGGGCTCTGCCTCCCACCCGCGTATTGAAAGCGGCTTGGGCGTGACGTGTACACAGCGCAAGTTTATCAGTGTGTCAACACGCAAGGGCAACCATGGCGGGTGAGGTGGACAGCTTGACCGCCTTGTCCAAATACCATGCAATGCAGGAGGATGCGCTTCCCCACGCGCGGCAGCGTCCCAGGCACATGGTTGAGTCGGGGAAGGTTGCCCCTTGCCGCGCCCATGTGCGCCCTGTTACGCATTGGGCGACGTCTCAAACTCTGTCAGCTACTGCCGGATGGCTTTCCGTCCTGCCACCAACGGCAAGCTCGCAAATCTTCTGCGAGGCCGCCTGCCAAACGAACTTCTGCAAGACTGTTAACAGAGATAGAAAGTCTGAAGAGCCCTCCCTCGCTGCCTCCGTTGCGGCACAGTAGTGGTTCTTTGTTCGCACGATATTGTCTCGCGCTACCCGATCTCGGCATGATCTTCCTGCGAGACCTTCCAGAAGCTTTTGGAAGACGCTTGGACAAACCTCCTTGGATCGCACGACTCGCTGCATGGGTCTGTTCGCACTCCAAACGTTCCGCCCGTCCTTCCGGTGCCAGATGCCATGGGAACCGGCAGATGTCCGGGAGAGATGACACCTCAGCTTTTCATCCGCCTCGAATCCGCGCGCCAGAATCGAGCGCTGCCAGAATGAAGCCAGAGATAGTGCTACACACCACGCCAACAGCCTCATGCGGTGAAAGGTAGTAGGCAGCCGAAGTCGACGCGACTATCCGCCAGACGTCAATAGCCGTCGGTCCGACATCCTGGCAGTCGGGAGATGCTACCATCGCATCATTCGCGTGGTAACCGCGCGCCATGACATGCCGCCAGTGGCCTCGGTCCTCATGTTGTGGAAAGTAGCTCACGTCCCTCGGCTTGCGTTGCCTCACAAATAGGAAGGACTGGCAGACATGTGTCAGTCCTCGCTTCTGTCTTGCAGCCGGTAATCTCCTCGTGTGTGACCAGATGCGGCGTCTTTCGCGCCTCGAGCAGCACGTCGGGCGCCTACTTTTCTCTATGTGCCTATTCTGGGGCTCTCGTCCTTCTCTGGCTTGCATGCTCAAAACATCCCCGCAAATTCGTGCAACCTTGGGCTTATTGCCACACTGCGGCATGCCGAGCGCAGCTGTGTGAGCTGTGTCGCCCTGCAGCTCGGGCGTTTTACGAGCGAGGATTCGATCGAGATTTGACAGGTGTGGTGACCCCTCCTGTGCCAAGTTTTGTACTCCCATTACTTTGTCGACAACACAGTTATCGCGGCCAACGGCAGGCTGCCCTATTGGCAGACTGCATCGGTGTGTACTTGCTCTTCCGATAGACTGCAGGTAGTCGTCTTTGTTCTCGCGTTGCGTGGACTGATCGGTGCATCTCTTCACCGTACTTTGTGCGCAATAACAAGCGATCAGCGCAGCCAGATAGAGGCAATATAGCCGAGTGTCCGGACGTGTCGGTGGGAGGGAACTGTATCTCGGGGACAGGTGAAGAGTGGGTAGAGTTGAGAATGTAAAAATGCCTCGGCAACCGCGTTGTATGTTGGCAGCTTCCGGATAGGTAACGACGACAATCGGAACGAGCGACCGACTGAGCTCTCGAGAGGTCTGCTATCCACACGTCTACTAAGCATCTGTAGATATCGCGGAGCATCCAGTATCCTAGTCGACAAGCATTTTTTCATAGTTCTCAGACTCTTCTTTTAGTAGCTGACTCTCCAAACTGTTCTGGTCAAACTGCATTGCCAAATCTTATACTACAGTCTTCCATTCAAAACAACGAATATCAATGCTACTTCACACGTACATGTGATGAGAACAGCAAAGTTTACACTGTACAAAGAGATAGGTAACGCTTTGCGGGATCAGAAGTGTTGGATAAAGATACAACAAGATAGGGCTTTCACGGCTTCAGAACTTTCGCTCAGTGGGATGACCTGGCACTGCTCACTATTACCGTGTCCATAAGTCCTGGAGCTTTGCAATTTGTAACACTAAAGGGCTTGCTCCTGTTGCCTCAGCTTACAAACATTTGCTTGGTGGTCCAAATATTTGGAAAGATCTCTAGTAATGTCTGTTTGGTGGGCATGTGTCTACACACATGTCACCGGTACATCCTGGAGCTTGCTGACACCTGCTTGAGGACTTCAACGACCTCCGCGTCACTATCTCTATGCATGATGGAATCAATCTGCAAATGGCGTTGGAATAGCTCAAGCTAGTGGTGTATTGGGCGACTAAGGGCCATTCATACTTGGGCTCCGGCCCTTTGAACATAAAGCGCTTATATAGGTTCTTTCACTAATGACACGTCCCTGTTCGCCACCCCATGGCACAAGCCACGCCCACCTGGTATGGAACGCCCAAGCCTGTTTCACGTTACTGCATACTCGGCTCTACATGGCACGCTGTACACCACTGCTTGCCAACCCATCACTGACCCAGCAAACGTAACAGACCACAACTCAGTCAACGAATACACTTTGGAGCTCATTAGGTTGTGGCCTCGTGCGCCATGGATCGAGATGCTCTGCTTCTGGATCTCTACTGGGGCAAGAAGAGCGCTCCGTGGCCAAAGGATGCGATCGAGACCCATTCCGAGATATGGCTAAAGATATAATTTCGAGACTACACTCGGCTACACGATATTATCATCCGTCATGAAGCACTCATTCAAAAACGATGGAAGAAGAGGTCACCAGCCAAGCGGCACAGCTTGTTGTTGAAGGTATCCATCATGGCCGATATTGCCACAGAATTGACCAGCAACGTATCGAAGACAGAGATTACTCAGTATGAATATCTCTAGGTCATCCTCGACGTCTTAAAGAGTTGGCTGCGGCAAGAGCCTTCCTCGCGTCAAGGGCTGTCTTCGTTCACGGAAGAGATGCTTACACCCGCCTCGGTCGTCGTTGAGAGCCTTCACCTCCTTGGCATCCAGCTATGGATACGGCCATTGCAGGACGAGCGATTTGGTGGGAGTCAGCTTTAAATGCCTGCTGGTTTACAAAACACTTGAAATGGCTGAACATGGCAGATGGGCCCCAAGCAGGTCTCGTCTCCTCAATGTTAGGCGATATCACTGGGGAAATTTTCACTACCCTCCGCACCATCATCGCGGGAACCAGCACGTGAAAGCGACGATCAAAGCAGAGCAGCACCTCGACCGCTTCTGAAAGCATGTTGATACCAGGCTTTGAGAGGGAATAAGTTCATACGGGACTTACTCAGCAAAAACACCATAACACGGACATCGCAGTGGATACCTCCAACAAAATTGTCGCAATCACAAGATCCCACGTACACTGAAGTTCCCATTGTACTTCATGATATTTCAATAGACTTCACCGAAGTCCACGAGAAACTCCCAGCTCGGATCATCGATCTCCCAAAACGGTCCCCTCAACAGCCAGCTGAGAACGATCCGGACGATCTGGACGAGTCTGTTCAACTGCCCGTACTCAACATCGACACAAAGACTAACAAGGTCATTCAGGCGCTGTTCCATATACCTGGCGATAATGAGGTTCCCAACGAGATTGAATGGACCGCCTTACTAAGAGCTTTCACCAAGCTCTGCTTCGCTGCTGAGAAGCTGCCTGGGTCTGCTTGGCAATTTACACCTCGGAGGTACAAACTGAAACGTAGGATCCAATTTCACGAACCACACCCGAGCGGAAGTTTCGATCCCTTCCACTATCTCGCGTATTTGGCATGCATGGACGCCTGTTCAGGCTCCAGTGAGTTGAACGTATTTCGTACCAGCGTGGTTATACTTACACGTGCTTACTTAGATGAGAGTGTTACCATGTACGCTTTCCACGCTACTCTTACGGCCCGTGGACCTAAACGTAATGGTGTATCCTGATTCTGTAGGTATGCCAAGTCAAATTCTTATTGTCAGCTAATGTAGATATGTGGTCATGACTTCTTTTGGTCCTGGATTGTGCATACATCAGCATCTTCATGCATCCTCTTCCTTTTCAGAACTATACCCAGAAGGTATCCTCTTGATCTTCTGACTTCGCAAACAGTCCCAGTAATCGTAGTGCATGTATTCCCTTTCGGGCTCCCGTGCCCGCCAGCAAAGGCGGATCGTATGATACGTAGCGCTCACGTAGCCTCCATGGCCGTGTTCCCAGTCCCCGGGTTGCCAGGTCTTGCCCTCCCATGTGTATTCCATGGAGTAAGTCTCGTCCAGCTCAATTTTCGACCCATCCCGCCGAGTAAGATGGATCTCTCGGAACTGATCAGATATGGCTCGCAATTTTCTTCGATGTGTCGGGTTCTTCCTCAGCACTTCGAGCTCCAGATTCACTTCGCGGCAGGTATCTGGGAATAAGATCTCGTTGAGCTTGGTTGATATCTTCTCAGCGTAGCTGAATTTAGGGGTTTCCCACTCATTCGTAAAATCCCAGCTGGATGAGAGGATTGTCCATGTGATTTTCCTCCACTGCAGATGAGGTTGTAGGTGCTTCGTAAAGTCGGGAAGCCACCAATTGGTCGAGTGGAGATGATGCAGGCACTCTCCTGACTGTCTGGACATGTGGAACAGAAAGTGGTCCCACTCGTTAGAATTGTAGCTTAATGCCTGATCCCCGTAAACATGATGTGTTGCGCTCCGCAGAGGTATCGTACGTGTCTCAGTGTAGACAAGGCGACATGTGCGTAAAAGCGCTGTGTGTGTCACTGGATGTCTTTCATGGTGAGGTCGTGAACGGGCAATTTGAGTTTCAGGAGGCGATTCATGAGGATCGGGATCAATCCTTTGGCAGATGGCGTACTCGAATATAAGATTGCGCACTTCGCTCGGGAGGACTGCGAACAACGGAGACTGGAGCTGAGGGTGAGCGCTCTGGGGTGTTGTATTTGCGAGAGATCGCCTCAAGGCTCGAGCTTCTCTCTTTGGCAGAGATATCTGTGGTGCCCTGTCTGTCCAATTAGTTTAGAACCAGGACAAGAAGCTGTATGCTATACATGTCAACGTAGCTAGGCTCTGCCGTCATGCTTCGTCCCCCTAGGCAAGATTTCGTATGTTCTTCTAGCAACCATCGAGTGGAAAATTCTGCCTTCAGATAATGGTGCACAGCATGAAACAAACTCTCTGGAGGATGGTCACGTGTTCATCGCCTGAGCTTAGCTTACGATCGTGGAGCATTCAAACCTTGAGAGCGGACGATTACATGGAAAGCAACCACTTTGGTGCGCAAATCTTCAGAAAAGGTTTCCAATAATAGATATATGAGCCGGAAGCCTGCCGGCCCTCGAGCTATGTGAAGACGACAGACATCGCCCTCGGTTGCGACATCCGTCGCTTCTTGACGCTATTTTACGTTAGTAAGCACAGCTAGCGTGCACAGGTGAATTGCATGTGAGAACACCGATTTCCGACACTTACGCTCCAAAACCGACACTTTCATCTACTTGCGAAGAGCTGACAAGGAATTTTACCGGTTCCATATTTTTTCTCCGTAGTCCTAGGGAGACGTGTGCTCGTACGGTAGCCTCAACTGTCGAAAGGACATACCGTCTCGTCTGAACCCACTCATTGAACCAAGATCACTTCGCCCTGGCCTGATGCAAAACTGAGGGAGTGAGACTGATGGTCGCTGCATGTCCAGGCGTGTGAGACATGTAGGTCATTTTAGTCGCCTTGTCCATTCAACAATGCTTTGGCACCGACAGGACTGTGCCCCATTGCAGCTCGACTGGAACCTTCAGGTCAAAGGCTCCAACGTCCTCAATAGTAGGGAATCACATGCAATCACGAGTACGCATGGGATCTACATAAAACACCGACGGCAGCCACATAGTCTCGTGGTATCTATCTTTGGCACCGAACCCGGCGTAGAGGCAGCAGGCACGATCTGCAACGACCTATCAACGCGCAATCTCTCAAAGGTCCCTTGGTACAGTCGAAGATAAATCGGATGCCCTTAGACACAATGAGAACCTTTGTGGCAGGTTCGTTGCACGGCATGGGCTATACTCTCTCATCCCAAGTCCCACAATGTGGTGAAAGAGCATTGTATTTGCATGTTGCCAAAGGCATGCGCGACCTTTATATACGTGCACCTCGGGGATTGAATACGAGCTCCAGACCAATCTCACACGCCGCAACTGCAACCAAATGCAAGAGAATCGCGACTAGTCTACCCAAGGCAAGACCTCTCGGGCAGAATCGGACCGTTTCTTACTGCACGTTGAAACGGTTGAACCGAGATCAAACCACCACAATTAGCACAATGGATACACCTTGCTCCAAGGACCTTCTTTCTCCATCCGTCTCTCATTCCTTGCAGGCCATGGACGCTCTACCCACGCCGCCGGCTACGGCCCCCAACTCGGGACCTTCCACTCCGGATGCTCAAAAGCGTATCGACTACCTCGCCGGGTACAATCTTGATGAAGACATACTCGGCAAGATTAAGGACGATCTTGTAGACATTGCACGTGCGGCTGGACAGATGATGATCAACGCTGATCTCACTGTCGATGAGTCCGACACGAAGAAGAACTCCTCGGACCGTGTCACCTCCACGGATAAGGCGGTCGAGAAGATGGTGCAAGACCGTCTCAGGTCCACATACCCGGCCTTCGGTTTCCTCGGCGAAGAGGGGTTCAAGACCGGCGACAAGCTCGAGGACAAGCCGACGTTCGTGTGCGATCCCATCGACGGGACGCTGAACTTCATCCACGGCTTCCCGAACACCGCGGTGTCGTTGGCCCTCACAGTCGACAAGAAGCCCTTCGTGGGTGTCGTGTACAACCCTTTCCGCGGCGACTTGTTCACGGCCGTCAAGTGGCAGGGAGCTTTCCTGACCACCGCCACGGGTCTGACACGTCGTCTTCCTATTTCACCCATCCCGAAGCCTCTGCCCTCGCTGAACGAGGCACTCGTAGCCGTGGAATGGGGATCCCAGCGCTCCGGCCCCAACTGGGCGCTTCGCACGTCTATGGCCCAGCAGCTCATGACCGACAAGACGGCTGGCGGTGCGATGGTGCACAGCATCCGGTCCAACGGCTCTGCGGCGTTGGACTTCTGCTACGTTGCAGCTGGCCAGATCGACATGTTCTGGGAGGGCGGATGCTGGGTGTGGGATGTCTGCGCCGGGTGGATCATCCTGGAGGAGGCGGGTGGTATGGTCGCGAGCGCGAATCCTGGAGATTGGGAGCCCACGCTGGAGGGTCGCCTGTATCTCGCTGTCCGAGGGGCTAAGCGTGCTGAGCAGGAGGGTGTGGTCAAGCAGTTGTGGGACATGATGGGCGAGCGCAAGTTCATCTACTGATCACGCTGCCAGACGGAATCACGCAACACCTGGCTATGCCCAAGGATTCGAGCTAGTGCTTTCTTTCCCCTTTCTTCGCGATTGTTGTGTTCCACTATAGACCTCCATCCAGCTGACGCTTCATTTCACCAGTCTTTGTCCTGTTTCCGCCCGCTGTTAGATATAAGTAATATACCCCTGCTGTTGTTACCCGCACCTTGATGATACTACTACAGAACTTCACGTACAATAAAGTCTCATTTCATGCTTGCGCCGTGTTTGGATCATGAGTAGATTGAACGCTGATATGACTACAGACCATCATGACCGCCCCGCCCCATCCCTTGGCGGCTGGTACGCCATGTATCTACTCACATCCATTTCCGCAGGCACAGGCGACCCCTCCAACTCCACCGCTGGCACCGGCTTCCTCGGCTTCCTCGCCAGCCCTCCCAATTCACTGACCGAAGCGTGCGCAGCACTGGTCGTTGGCACAGCAGCCCTCTGGCGCTGTGCCTCGGTAGCTTCGAGCTCCGTGTTCCATTCTGGTGTCTCGATTGCATTAGGATGGCGTGATGTTGCGGACGTTGATCCGATGACATTGTGCTGCTGTGAAGTTCCAACCGGCGATCCGGTGACACCAGGTTTAGTATCTGAGTAGCCTTTCGGTTCCGCAAAGGCTTTCTCGTGCTGTTCGACGGCTTTGTTGTGTCTTCTACGTCGCCAGAGTAAGAAGATAGCCAGAGCGAGGAGAATGAATGCCAGTGGGACCACCGCCCCAATCGCGGCTTTTACGCCAGTCGGTAGGCCTCGTCCACCAGTCTCCCCTCCGTTGCTGTTCGTACTCGACGATGTCCCAGATCCCGATCCAGTCGCCGTCCCCGTCTCCCCCTTATCCTGCGCCCGAAACCTCACCCGCAACGCCGGCACATCCACCGTGGCGCTTGTAGGCCAACTGCCCCCTGTATACGTCCGCGACTCATTCTCTTCCGCATCCGCCTCCCCGCATTCCACAACCGCGAAGCTTCCTGTACTCGCTGGCTTGCAGACGCCTCCACCGCCGTCTTCGAAGCCATTAGGGCAGCACGACAGCGCCGTCTCGCCTGCAACCCCCTGCGTCAAACCCGAGGTCTGCGTGGCAACTGCGCGCCAGGAAGGTGGACATGCGGTGGCGGGGGAGTAGAAGGCGTTTGGGGCGGGCGTCGTGCTGGCGAGCCAGGGGAGGCAGGCGGTGTCCAAGTTGTTTATTGAGGAGGGTGCGTCTTCTTCTGGGAACGCGCAGGTTGCGCCGTAGTTTATGGTGGAGGAGGCGAGGATGAGGGTGGAGCAGGAGGTGGGCGGGGGAGTTGCCCATAGGGTTGACCAGGGGAGGTGGAGGGAGCGGGATATTGATGTCATTGTAGGTGTTGTATGTGGATTCGAGAGATGTGGTGGTCAATTGGCGGTCGGGTGCATTTGGAACGAAGGGCTATTTTGACGAAAGCGAGCGAGAACAGCGAATTGAGGTGTCGAAGATGGACTTGCACTTGTTTTCGGAGCCATCGAGTTCTTGAATCGCACCCATCCAGGCACAGCCTCGACGCGGTTTGCCGCTCCGCACAACACCTCACCATCCTGCTGCATCCTCCTCTTTCATAGGTCAAAAAGTCGTAAAGACAGAGATAACCCACGTGCTAAGCCGTTCGCCACAGTTATCGCTTCTGGGCGGCTCGGCAGACTAGCCCGAACAGATTGATCTAACAGTGGGTGGATGACGGTGTCCGAAGTGTGGTGCAATAACCTGCGGAGATGGGCATCCATACAATCACCATCTGTCCTGGGAATGCGGTGGCGGTCTTGTCATGGCAATGCTACTAGCACAAGCGTAGCCCAGCGGTATCTATTTCCGTCGTTGAGGTTCTGATGGCATCGGAAAGCCGATGTCTTTTTGTCGTCTCTTCTCATTTTCTCGAGAGATTCATGTACGATGGCAACTTGAGCAGGACACCAGCATCGACGTTGGTTGGTTGGTTGGGTGGTGAAGGAACTGGGTGGATGTGCTGCACTCCTGGTGCAACTTGATCTCTTGCATACGTCCGACAAAAGGGCAGTGACTCGACAGGTTCAAGAGGTCGCCAGTCTTGAGCACAGAGCGAAGAGGGTTCTGGTCCCTGCTGATATAACCTGAAGCGCAAGGGACTCGTCGACGCAGTGGAGTGACATGATCTCGGCGCTCGGATAGGCTAGCCGCCCTGGAGCTAGCTCGGGATGTGCACGCGGTGAGGTCGACGCACAAGCGGAGAAGGATGTCTGGGTTGGCAGACGCATAATCCACAGTGAAGCAGTCGCAGAGGAGAGAGGAACCTAACCAGCTAGAGCAGCGATCGGCCCGCACTTACGGCGGCACGGCTCGCAACCCACGGGCAGAAGTTGGTTCGGCGTGATCCAAACAACTGCTGGGACCGAACCGAAAGCGCGCAGGTACGACAACTTCCCACCTGCATCCCAGGCGCCGTTTGTCCCGCGCCGCACCCCCACAAGCAGCCCCCTTTGCGTGTGCCCTGCGCGTTGCTGCTTCCTTCTAGTCGCTCCTTTGCACGACCCGTGCCCTTTTTTCTTGCTTGCATGACGGCGGCCCTGGGCGACGGGCCTTTTGCGAGCGTCGCACGCTGAGAAGCTGCGTGACGGCCATAATACACGACTGACAGCGCGCGCAGCACACCGGCCAGAAGCATGGCGGAGAGCAAGCGCCAGAGCATCGCCGGCAAGATTGCGACGCCCAAGGGCGGGCCAAACAAGGACGCCATCGACGGCGACTCGATGCTGTACAAGGCCGTGGGCGCGCGGTAGGTTCACTCTGCCTGGGACACGGCCGGCCCATGCTGATTCCACGACAGCATCAAGATCACATGCGCCCCCCACAACAACGTGCTCGAGGGCACCCTCTTCACCACCTGCAGCGTCACCAATGCCATCGCCATCAACACCGCGCCCGCCCCGCCGAACCCGTCCGCCCCGCTTTCGAGCCAGCCGGGCGACTACCACATCATTCCCTTTGCGCACATCCTCAGCTTCGAGCTGATCGGCGCCGGTGAGCGCGCAACAGCGTCAGGCCCCGGGTTCGATGGCGCGCTGCCGCCCATCCAGAAGGTGGACCTGGCGGCCATCCGCGCGAGGGAGGAGCACACCATCCGGGAGATGAAGAAGAAGGATGCGCAAAAGGGCAAGGGCGTGAGCAAGGAGGCGCAGGACATCTTCGACGCTGTCTCCAGGCTGTGAGTCAACTCCCCGTCCACACTCCCAAGGTTCCGCAGCTGACCATCCCACAGCCTCCCCACGCGCTGGGCCGACGCCCAGATCGTCGTCAACGATGCCGTCCTCATCAACCCTCCCTACACCGTTGACAACCTCGCCGCGCCCGCCGGCAAGGAGCAGAGCGTGGCCCAGGTCCGCAAGATCCTGGAGAACCACTACCAGCGCAAGAAGAACGCAGGTTCGCGCGCACCCGTCGCCACACCCATTGCGCCGCGAAAGGGCGGCTGAACAGAGGCTCACGGAGCGGCAGCTGCCCAACGCCTGGCTTGTGGGGGTGGCATGTTGCAATGCCACGGTGCAGACATGCACAAAGTGGCATAAGTGCGACTATTGCCGGAGGAGGACGAGAGGTTCGCTTGGTTACAGGGGAAGCGTGGATAGTAGCATACTGATATGTATGGATCAGAGCCCACTGAGCATATACAGCAGGAAACAATAAACAATCACCCTCTCAAAATTCGATCATGATGTCTGTCTAGTGACGTTTAGCTACCTGGACGTATCGCTGTCGGGCTTCTTAGAAGCCAGCCTCTGAATCATTTTGCCCTGTGATTTCCAGCCCATCACAACTTTCAATACCATTCGTGATAGGCTCAGGTAATCACAGAACGAACTCAACCCTACATCACATGAACCTGTGAATACCAAATCACAGGAAAAAGTCACAGAGGAAAGCAAGCGGTTGAGAAATTCACATCTTGTACTGGAAATGTATCCGCAGGTAGATTGCAGATGAAATGGAAGCAACCGTTCACCTGCCCTCGAGTCTTACCACAAGACAATTCAGGATATATATCTCGTGTACTCATGCCCGCCCAGTCGCGTTGATAGCAGTGTATCTGTTGGAGGCATATCGCGCACTGTGACATGCAGTCCTTCAAGCCTGCACACGGAATCCAGGGTCACATCCTGCGATCAAAGATGGGAGAGCTGTGAAGTACTACGGACGCTGGCATACAGCTTCACAGTGACGATCAGGAGCATCTCCAGTACATAGACCGCTGCTAAATGCCAATACAGTGCTATACAACACTTCCACGAAAATCCACACAGTAATCCACGAGACTACCATCTACTACCACGAAGTACTCCACAGTGCCCTAACTACCATCTTCTTATACATCCAGTCAACCCAGCCCAGCCCACAACTAACGACACATTACTACCATGGCCACCCACGCCACGATCCCCTCCCCAGACCCGGTGAACTACCTGAAGGAGAAACGCCGCAACTGGATAACCATCTGCTGTGCTTGTCGCAGCAGGGGCGAGACGCCCCCGTTCTGCTACGTAAACGGGTTGCCTAGCGTGTGCCCTCGTTGCGGACATAATATGAACTTCTGCATTGGGGACGGGGGTCGTTGTGAGCGCCGTCCGAATGGGGGGAACTAAACGTGGTTATGCGAGCCATGTGGCAGCATGGCCGGCCCCTCCAGCGGGAAGGGTGTTAGTCTAGCGATGGTTGGGGGTGTATATGCCATCATGTATGATTTATACAAGAGCAGTCGCTTTGGCACGTGAGTTCGGTTCTATTTTCCCTAGCGATTGCATAGATGGTCTAGTAGTTCAAGGGCGAAGACGACGGGTCCATAGTGGCGTTGATTTGCAATACCAACTTGGTTCAAGACATTCATTCATACTATTTGCATACGTCTCGCACGCTTTTCCTCATGTCGTTAGTAGACAGACCATGACAGCCGGCCTATACCCATGTCTACCTAGCATACAGTCTCCCCGCTTACGCGTTGTAGGTCGACGCCGACACGTTACCTCCCCTGCCGGTCCAGTTGACGTGGATGTCCTTGCCCTCGGGGTAGGTCTCGCTGGCGTACTCGGGCTTGACGCGGAAGGTGTGGGCGCCGAAGTAGTCACGCTGGGCCTGGAGGAGGTTGGCGGGGAGGTCCTTGGTTCGGTAGCCGTCGTAGAAGGACAGAGCGGTGCTGAAGGCCGGGGTGGGGATACCCCAGAGAGCTCCCTTGGAGACGACGTCTCTCCAGCCGGACTGCGCCTTGTGGATGGCCTTGTTGAAGAAGTCGTCGAAGAGCAGGTTCTCGAGGTCGGGGTTGGCGCGGTAACTGGAATAATGTGAGTCATGGGTTTGGTATAGGAAGAGGGATACTCACGCCTTGGTGATGTCCTTCAAGAAGACGGAGCGGATAATGCAGCCACCACGCCACATGAGCGCGATCTCGGGCTTGTTGAGCTTCCAGTTGTACTCCTTGGCGGCGTTCTGGATCAACATGAAGCCCTGGGCGTACGAGATGATCTTGGAGGCGTACAGAGCCTGCTCGAGGTTGTCGATGAACTGCTGCCTGTCGCCGGAGAAGCTAGGGGTGGGTCCGTCAAGGAGGCCAGCAGCACGGCCGCGCTCGGCCTTGAGCGAGGACAAGCAACGAGCAAAGACAGCCTCGCCGATCAGGGTAACGGGCATGCCGAGGTCGAGAGCGTTGATGGCAGTCCACTTGCCGGTACCCTTCTGGCCAGCAGAGTCGAGGATCTTCTCAACGATGGGCACGCCGTCGTTGTCGTCGTTCTTGTACATGATGTCGCGGGTGATCTCAATGAGGAACGAGTCCAGCACGCCCTTGTTCCACTTGGCGAGAACGTCACCGATCTCGCTCGCCTTCATTCCAAGACCACGCTTCATGATGTCGTAGGCCTACTATTGTCAGACGTCGCACTGATTCACGGGAAGTTGGTAATCCACTCACTTCGCAGATCAACTGCATGTCACCGTACTCGATACCGTTGTGCACCATCTTGACGTAGTGACCGGCACCTTCGTCACCGACCCATTGGCAGCAGGCCTCGCCGTCAGACTTGGCCGAGATGGACTGAAGAACGTCCTTGATGTAGGGCCATGCCTCCTCGTTACCACCGGGCATGATGCTAGGGCCGTAGCGAGCACCCTCTTCTCCTCCGGAAACACCGGTTCCGACGAAGCGAATGCCCTTCTTAGCAAGGTACTGTGTGCGGCGGTTGGTGTCGGGGTAGTGGGAGTTTCCACCGTCGATGATGATGTCGCCCTCCTCTACGCCACCCTCGTTAAGCAGAAGCTCGATGAAGTCGTCGACGGGCTTGCCAGCCATGACGAGCATCATCATGCGACGGGGCTTCTTGAGCTTCGAGACAAACTCCTTGATGGAGTGTGCGCCGACGATGGACTTGCCCTTGGCCTCTGCGGCGCATTAGCTTGAGCCAGCATCAAAGTCCATGTTATGACCGTACCATCGTTCAAGAATCGGTCGACCTTGGCTACGCTACGGATTGGTCAGCCTCGTTTTCAGGCGCTGGTTTGCGCTGCCCTTACGTTCGGTTGAATGCCACAACCTGCGCGAGTCTGTTAGTAAACAACCAGGTAGGAACATGGGGAAGGTGTCCGTACGGTGAATCCGTGATCGGCGCTATACGGTGTTAGCTATGCTTATACAAGCTTGCGAGGAGTGAGTAATGGCTTACGCATTGAGAATCAAGTTCTGGCCCATGACCTGTCCATTGTGTGAGAAGCTGTCGAGCACAGAGCGCAGCCCAGCGGTATGAGGAACTCACGGCCAGACCGATGAGACCGAAGTCACCGACGGGTTCGGAAGACATGATGGAGGGTATTGAGCAGCGGGGCCAATGTTGGCAAAGTGGCGCGGTTGGCGGGGTATCTCTGCGGCGTCGGAGCGCGCAGGTAGTGAAGCAATTGGGGTGGGATGGGAAGGTGAGATGAAGAGTGCAGGGAGTGGGGAGGCAGCAGATAAGTAGCAGTTTTGCTCGCGTTCCGAACCGGAAGAGTTTGGAGTCTGTCTGGTAGCGTGGGTCAGTGTTGGGTGCTCCGGCGGGGCACTGCGTGCATCCCGTAATTACTCTTCAACCCCTCTGGTGCCCTCGACCGATCCATCCCACGCGCATGGGCGGCAACGGCGGACTTTAGCTCATCGGTGCAATTTTTATCTATCTGCTTGACGCGCCGTGCTCCCTGGACCCAGCTCTTCCGAAGGGCCGCGGAGACGGCAGTGCAAAACATTCGCGCAAGCAATTGCCCGAGCTGCCCCTCCATTTCATCACTCATGACATATTTGGCCGATCACGTGCAGAGCATGCGCCACCTCTTGCTCCGGGGCTAGTGGCCTAACGATTCTTTGCCCAACAGATTGTCGCATCACGACCATAAGCCAGACGCTGCCGGCCCGCTGATCCACTACTTTCTTTCAAAGGCCGACTTGCATTCCTTCCGGGAAGTCTTGGCACTGCTCCGTAAGCGTTAAGTGAGGCCATACACCGGTGCGGCATTTGCACGCCGTGCTTCGACAGGACCGGCATCTCCCCCGCGGCCGACTACAATCATACTCTGCAGCAAAACCCACTCCGCCTATCGTGACCAACGCGCCGACGTCACTTCGCGCTTCTATCACAGCCGCGCGCTCCACGACGACCAGCAAGAATTTGAGCATCTAACTTCAGCCTCATTATGAGCAACAGAGACAACCTGCAGCCGCACCCGTCGCTGCCTGCGCGCCCGCCGCCGCCAACTTACTCTGCACCGCCCGTCAGGAACAACAGCGCCGGGCGCAACACCGCGGCTTTCGCTGGCTTCGCGCCGCGATCAGTCGTTGCCCAGGCTCCTCCTTCGCAGGCGTCTGCTGCATCTCCAACCATGTACTCTCAGCCGACTGTGAGCGCCCCTTACCAAGCTACAGCTTACCCGTCCAATAATACTTACTACAATCCCTATCAAGCCTATGGCGCACAAGCTCCGGTGGCAGCGGCAGCATACGCGCCTCCCGCAGGTCTGAACACAGCCCGAGGCAACTATGATCCAGAAGAGGAGGCGCGCATGGCTGAGTGGAACAGCGCATACACCCGCGATGACAACGCAAAAAAGCCCAGCAACATCGCTGCTGCTGCTGCGCGCGTTGAGGCCAGCTCGGCGCAAGATGGCGAAGCCGGCGCAGGCGGCACCGGCAAGCAGAAGACAGTCGTTCGGGAAGGCGGTGGAAAGCAATGGGAAGACCAGTCACTTCTTGAATGGGACCCTCTTCACCCGCGCCTCTTCATCGGCAATCTGGCTGGCGAAGTCACAGACGACTCGCTCCTCAAAGCGTTCTCCAAGTATCCCTCGGTGTCGAAAGCGCGCGTAGTCCGAGACAAGCGCACCACGAAGAGTAAGAGTTACGGTTTCGTGAGCTTTTCGAATACCGATGACTACTTCCGCGCTGCGAAAGAGATGCAGGGCAAATACATTGGTAGTCACCCCGTCCTCATCAAGCGTGCTACCTCAGAAGTCAAGGCCACGACGAAGCGAGACGACAAGCATGGGAAGCACAGCAAGAACCGCAACAATAACAACAACAAGAAGCAGCAACAGAGCGAGCCGAAACCAACTTTCACCGGCCAGCTTATGAGTGCTGGAATACAGAAGAAGGGCAAGAACAACGGACCCAGGATGCTTGGCTGAAGGACGTTGGTATACATGCGATCCGGCCAAGCGGTCGAAGATCGCATGCGACTGCCAGTGACACATTCGATGGAAGGCAGCTGTCTTCTGACTTGGTCGTCTTGGGCATCGATGCTATCGGATATCGCATAACTGCTTAAGTACAATGTAGCGGGCTTGACGATAGGTTACCCACCGCCCTAGGAGAGGACATGAAACTCCGGCTCTTATGCTGTTCATATGCAATGCGAGGGAGCGCTGGGACCCAGGTTATGGGAAAGTGAAAGCGTGGAGATGGAGCAAAGTAGCGACGGACACGAAATTCCTTCTACAGTATATACATTCAATATGAAAGTCTTGAGATACAATAAGGTGATATACAAGCATTGACGATGTCTTATTTAACGGAGCAAATGGAAATCGTGAGGAGCGAGTTGACTGGACTGATGCCAGGCGAACCGCGGTATATCACGTGATAAAACTTGGCGTTGAGACTCGCGCAGGCGCGAACGCAGCGAACGCGACTAAATGTCCCAGACATTCACCAACGTCGCGCCAGCCCAACCCTCCTCCGCCAACGCCCATTTGACGTGGCGCTGCTGTCGCCTGATCTCCAGTCAAAATGTACGGCATGAACCAAGCCTACAATGTTCCCGCAGACCCCAGCGGACAGGTGCCGAACCAGTTGGTGAGCGCGCCCACACTGCGACTGCGCGACGAAGCTGACCCTATAGCTCCCCCACATACACTTGGTCTCCTCGTACCGGTTCCCAACCCTCCCGTCGCTGCAGCCTCAGCAAGCGCTTGATTACCTCATAAAGGCACCTGAAATCACCCGCAATGCTGCACCTGTCGCGTGGACGTTCTTTGCGCAACCGCCTCCAGACGGCACCGCTCTGCTCATGTGGCAGCCCCCTCGCATGGGAACGCATTTTGCTTCCGATGGGTTGATCTGGGCCGATGCCGAGCTGTCATACGAAATGAATCTGAATGGATTCGTACGTTTCCCGGTGACTGAGGAGCTGTGCTGGAAGCTAACCTGCAGTAGCAACTCCAAGTACTGGTCCACAAAAGCGGTTTCTTCTACCCTCACGAGCCGTTTGCCGCGCATGCACGATTTCGCTACAGGATCACTAATGGACCCCGCTCGTTCGACGACAAATTGTGGTTAGTTCATTACAGCATGGCAGAGCCTAACATGCGAATACCCGCCCAGAATATACCCATGACAAGGGAGATACAACAGCAGTTGGCCACGCGAGGCCAGCTGCAACAAGCCGGTCAACTGATTCGCAAAGAGTTCATGCTCAACGATACGGCAAACTTTCCCAAGGTCGAGTTCGCACCACCTGGCGCCAGGACACAACCAGCAGCTTATGGCGCGAATCCCATGACGAACCGATATCCGTATGGTCAACAGCAGCCTCCAGCGAAGAGAGCTCGAACGGCGCAACCTCCACGCCCGGGAGTACCCGGGGCCGCAGTTGGTGATGCACTATTCGATGAGGAAGAGAATGCGACACAGGATACGTTCGATTTCATGACCCCTAGGGATATTAGCCTTTCCAGGTACAAGCAGCATCATGAATGGATGGAGGAGATATTCTCTTCGCCCCATGCATTCCCGAAAATCAAGCCTATCGATCTGGGAATTGGCCTCATGGGTGAACTGGCTCCACTGACGGCGGATATCCTTGATGCAGCAACTGGAGATGCACCCATAGACAAGAACGGAGACCTCAATGCGGATTATGGCGAGAAGATCAAAAGCTATTCACAGTTGACACCGGAGAAGCTCAAGGAATTTGAGAAACGCGTCTCGGAGTATGAGGCCAAGGAAAAGGCTGAGATCGAGAGGATGAAGACCGCGCATGCCAACAAGATGGCAGCACTGAAACGATCACGCACATACATCAAAGCTGAGCGTCGGTTACGCGACGCAGCCCCGCCAGCCGATGCCGAGGGCGATGGTCCAGACCCAGCTGAGGCGGTCGTAACTGATCTCGAAAAGTCGATTGGAGTAGAGTTTGATACAAAGAAGCTGGTTGTTTGCGTGGACAAGGGTGGCTTCATCGAGGCACAACAGCCCAAACCCGAGCAATTGCAAGTCAACGGATCCACAGGACTCAATGCCAATGGAGGATCGAATGGCTCTGCACAGGATGGAACTGCAGAAGGCGATAACACTGCCAATAGTCTTCTAGATTTCGGTTCGACATCACTGGGAGGGACTCCGATCGGGAACATATCGCTACCAGCGCTGTCTCAACCTCAAAGTCAAGCACAATCAGCTGTGGCCACTCCCAACACGGCTGCTGTCGATGCAGCCCAGAACCCAACCGGTGATCAAGCTTCCGGCCTCAACCCCTCGAATGCTGCAAATGACCTACTCGATCTTGACGTTGAGATGTCTGGGATGGCCAACAATGACGGCAAGGGAGATGCAGATTGGGTCATGGTAGAGAATCAAGGCATTCCCCAACAATCGGGAGCTAACAATGCACAGCCTCCTACCAACAACGATGCTCCCGCAGACGCTAGTGCACTGACGTCCGGCGTTGACGCAGAAGTTGGGGGCATGTTTGACGCCGCAGACTTTGGCAGCTTCGACAACCTGGATACGGCTGGAGATGCGCTTGCAGACTACACAAACGTAGGTGACGATAACATGGGACTGGACCTGGTGGACGACTCAGCGTTCGGAGATGCATTCCATGGGACAGAGATGCACCACGGCGACACCGGCGAAGAGAACAATGCATAGGATGCATCCACTCATTGGACTGGCCACCCTCATAAACGCCTCCATTCCTTAGTTTCCGACGAATTCTAGCGGACCTGTGGGGGTTTCCTACAACTCGCGAATCGAACGGGAAGTGGCGCAAACGATTCGACGGTGTTGCAAGAAAAGTTTGGGAGGACGAGTCATGGTTGTCACATCGGATCATCGAGCTTCGATCGTACACTCTTATTAGGGTCCTGGGCAGCACATGTAAAGAGTGTACGTATCGTGTCAATCTTGGACAGACGATACGATTTGTTTTCGTACGCAAGGCTGCGATTAGTTTTTATATGGCGTTTGGGCGTTGATGCTCGCGGCTCGAAGATAGTTGTCTTGGTCACGAGATATATACCCACCTCTGCGGGTTATTGGCAGACTATGCCGTTTCAGATAATTACACTATGATTACTCCTACCTTTATTATTGATTGGCGGGTGGCATGTTGTTATGGCAATTTCGAGCAAGACAGGCTCCCTCGTGCTCAGCTGATGGAGCATCCGCTTCCCGACATCGTGCGAACGCTGATCATCAGTCGGACTGAAGACCTATTTCCGTCAAGGCTACTAGGTCCTCGGCATCCCAAACCTTTCAATTGATTGGCAGTTAGATTCGCCACTCGACGCCCTTACGTCGCGTCTCAGGGGAGATTACAATGGGCACACACGTGTGATAACCGTTGCCCGGGAGTAGCACAGAAACGCTTGTGTCGACGCCCCTGTCAAGTGTCACCCCCAGAGGGTTACATTCCTCAAGTTGTCTTGCAGCGTAATCTGCAGGTGAGTGGAGTTCCAGCGCTTGCCTGTCGACAGACGCGTTTGTGAAACGGTGGAGATTGGAAACAAACTTTGAATGGAAGGGAAGAGGAACATTGATGTTTGTGAGCTGACAATACCGTAGCAGCGGGTCAATAAATTACTGAGAAACGGTTACCAGAGCAGCCGAATGCTCATCGATCAGCAGGTCTAGCCGTCTACTGCTGCGAGCCAGTCCGAAACTGATGGTAGCACAACAGGTTCCCATGTCCGTCGCTTCGGCATCTCCTAACGGTGTTGTCACGACCAAGCAACTCTACTATCGTCTTGTGCTCGATCGTGCACCGGTACACCGCCGTTCTCGTGGGGGACCACGCTGCGCGTACCAAACATGGCCTTCCGGCGGCATGGACAAGGCTCGAACAATCGAATAATTTCATGCAAGCGTCCCTTAGGCCACTATCAGATAATCTGTCTAGGGGCAACTGTATTCGCGTCAACGGTTCCCCAAGCAGGCATACTGTGAGTCGTTCGAGGGCGTTGGGCCCGATTCGGCACACGAAGACTCTCAGACGTACGGGCCGTTCAACGCTACTAGAAACAAGCATTTCCGCACGAGGAAAGCTGAGAACGTAACGATGGTTCGTTGACCCATCTCGGAAATCGGCGAGGCTGTGTACACCCCATCCCATGCTCGGATCAGCTGTGCGCGGACACGGCGGCGATGTTTGATTTCGTCACGGGCACGTTCCTGCAGCTCTGCGTATGTTGTGTTTCCGGTCCAGCGCAGGTACTTCTGGCACTGCTTTCCTGCTTCCATCGAGCTCTCCAGATTCCGTAGTCGCCAACCACTTGATTTTTCGGTACATACTTGAGAACATCGAGGAAGCGTAGTCGCTTTCATATCCTTCCGTCATGGCAAACTTTCGCCTCCCTTCTATACCACTTCTTCTGTCTATTGCTTACTTTTGTGCCTCAAGCATATGCACACCCATCGACTCGGTCGCGGGACCGCATACGGTCGATGATACCTCCGACCTCTTGCGGCGCCAAGACGGCATCTTCTCTGTGCTGGGGATTGCTGGACTGGGAGACTCTACGATATACCCACGCCTCGAGATACGCGATCTAGAAAAAAACCACCCGGACCAGTGGAACATATTTCTGCTTGGACTTCAGAGATTCCAAGCAATCAGTCAGGATGACAAGCTTTCTTACTTCCAGATCGCTGGTAAGTTGTTGTCACAAGATCACCACTGTCGCCATGTGGCTACGCGAGGAATGCGATTACGCATTTTCGGGTGGATCCATTTGCTACATTGAGCCATGGTCTATATCCCAGCAACCGGACAACGGCTAATTTGCGCATGTAGGAATTCACGGTCGCCCATTCGTACCCTGGGATGGTGTGAAAGGCGACGACTACTACTGGAGTCGCTACTCGGGCTACTGCACCCACGACAGCAACATCTTTCCCACGTGGCACCGACCTTTCCTGGCTCTGTTCGAAGAAGTGCTCTACCTAAACTGTCGTGAAACTGTCTCCGCACTGCCTAATGGAGAGCTGAAGGAGCGCTACTTGAAGGCGCTGCCCTCGTTGAGGCTGCCATACTGGGACTGGGCTGCTATCCCGCCTGAAGAAGAGGGAACACTGCCTGCGAGTGTGCAGGCTGAGTTCGTCAATGTGACGATGCCTAATGGAACGGTAACAATAACGAATCCGCTGCACTCGTACAAGTTCCACCCGCTGCCGGACTGGGTATGTTCTTGCAACCACCAGTCTAGATGTGGACGCTGACTTTCCACAGGAAGCAGAAGGTGAAGAACGCTGGAAAGAGTTCCCTTCCACGGTGAGGGGCCCGACTACAGCCGACAAGAACGCGCAAAGCAACAACACCAAAGCGGCGCAGGCGCTGCAGGAGAACAGATCGAGTATGCAGGCGCGCGTCTATAATCTGCTCGCTATGCAGCATAGTTACTTGAACATGAGCACCAAGTTGATACCGGGGGACAGCATGGAGAGCATCCATGGGACAATCCATGATGGCATTGGGCAGGATGGATCGATGACTTGGCTGTTCTACTCGGCGTTTGATCCGTCGTTTTGGTTGCATCACTGGTAAATATAGCAAGGGAATTGCGATGTTGATACTGACGACGACAGTAACGTTGACCGGCTACTGGCAATGTGGCAAGCATTGGTATGTATCCGCCTTGACTTCATCATCAAGTATAGAATCACGCTTACACCAACACAGAACCCGGACGAATGGGTGGAAAACTTCACCACGCCCAGCCCAACCTTCTACTCCCCGGCCAACTTCAACGTCAACGGGAGCACGGGTAACATTCTCCACAATCCTTACCCCATGCTAACCCACTGACCTTAACAGCACTCAAACCTTTCCACAAAGATGACTCCGGCAACTTCTGGACCTCAGACTCCATTCGCGACCACACAATCTTCGGCTATACCTACCCAGACCTGCTCGACCTCCCCAGCAATAGCACAAGGAGTTTCCTCAACGCCCGCGGCGTCTCCACCTCCCTTATCGCGCGCGTAAACGCCCTCTACGGTCCCAACGCCTCACCCCTCCAATCCCCCGAATTGCGCGACCCCAAGCTCCTCGCGCGGGGCATAGCGACCACGGGTGCGCCCCATTTTGCGGGGAAAAGGCAGTACAGCCTTGAAATCACCGTGCGCGAGTTCCGCGATGCGGGGAGTCTGAGCGTGTACGCGTTCTTCGGGTCTCCCAAGGGGGATGTTGAGGGGTGGGTGAGGGATAAGGGGTTCGTGGGTACTGCGTCATTTCTAGGGGCGAGCAAGAAGGCGAGTCAGCGGGCGCATAGTGTGATTCCGTTGACGCCGGCGCTGGAGGCGAAAGCCAGATCCGGGGATCTGGCGACTCTGGGAGAGGAGGATGTCGCGGAGTATTTGAGGAATGTGTTGAGGTGGAGGGTGGTGCAGGTGAGTTGTGGCTTTTCGCCGCAGGGATCGAGGGGATGGGACAACAGGACTGACGGTGTACAACAGCAAAATGTCGATCTTACCGACTGCGAGACGGAGAAGGCGCCGGGATTGGAGGTCGCGGTTACGTGGCAGGAGATTGAGCCTGCGCTTAGTATGGATGAGTTTCCGAAGACGGCGGGCGAGGTGAAGGACTTATTGTGTGCGGATGGGAACAAGAGGGGACACTTCAAATAGAAATGTGAGCAGCTTGGAAAGGGAAGGACAGGGGATGACGTTCGTTCCAGAGGTGAGTATATACTTAGCTGTGCTACATATTAGCGATTAGATATTTGTTTGCGGCGCTCTTGGTGTTGTAGGATGCTTTTGGGATTTCGTTTCCACTTATTTTGCGCTGTCTTAATTTAAATAGACGATCTTTAAAGTACACACATTTGAGTACGATGTCTATTTTTCAACAATCTGGAGCTTGGTTCCTTCCTATCCGAAGAATCGACTACAATCTACCACCTCTACCACTTCCCCATCCCCTTCAAATACTTCTCGAACCCCTGATCAAGCAACTCCTGGTCCTTCCTCAATACCTCCTTCTCATTCCCCTCCATCCACACGCGCAACCGCTCCCTAACCGCCAAATCCGTCGCACCGAGGATCCGCACCGCCAACAGCGCCGCATTCGTCGAGTTGTTGATGCCCACCGTGGCCACCGGCTCGCCCCGCGGCATCTGCGTCATGCTGACCAGGCTGTCCCAGCCGTCCATGTGCGTCGCCTTGACGGGGAGTCCGATGACGGGCAACGTGGTCCACGACGCGCACATGCCCGGCAGATGGGCGGCGCCTCCCGCGGCGCCGATGATGACGCGGAGACTCGTGTCTGCAGCGGATTTGGAAAACTCGCGCAGCCAGTCGGGCGTGCGGTGCGCCGAGGTGATGCGCACTGTGAAGGGGACTTGGAGCTTTTCGAGGATCTGGAGCCCCGCCTTGAGCACCGGGAGGTCGGAGTCGGAGCCCATGATGACGGCGACGAGGGGCTCGTCTGTCGTCGCGGTGCGCGCGCCCAGGGACTTGCCCTTTTGCTCGTCGACGAAGTCGATGAGGGGCTGCATCTCCTTCTCCGCGTCGGCGAGCGAGGGCGCGGTGACGGTGATGTGGCCCATTTTGCGGCCGGGGCGGGCGTCACCTTTGCCGTAGAGGTGGATGGAGGCATTGGGGGAGGCGTAGGCCTTGTGAGTGACTTGGATGTGGGAGTCGGGGTTCTTGCCGCCGAGGATGTTGAGCATAATGGCGGGCTCGCGGAGGCGGAGGGCCGAGGGCGGGATGGGGATGTCGAGGATGGCGCGGAGGTGGGCGTCATATTGGGAGAGGGGGCAGGCTTCGATGGTGTAGTGGCCAGAATTGTGTGGGCGGGGGGCGATCTCGTTGATGAGGAGGGTGTCGTCTTTGAGGAGGAACATTTCTACACCGAAGACGCCCTTGCCTTCGAAGGCTCCGATGGCCTTCTTGGCTAGCTCTTGTGCCCGCTCTGTGGTTGCCTTGGAGACATTTCTCGGTGGCGCGTAGGTGAGCTTGCAAATTGAATCCTCGTGAACTGTTTCGACGGTGGGGAATGTGAGGACGCCGTCCTTGGTCTTGACCACCATGACGGCAAGCTCCATTCTGAAGTCGGCCCAGCGCTCCGCATACAAGGGCCGGTCACCCAATGCCTTGACTGCCGCATCGATTTCGTCTGCGGTCTTGACCACGTAGTTTCCCCGCCCGTCATACGCATCCGTCTTGCTCTTGAGCATGAAAGGGTAACCAAAGCGCTCGCCAACAGCCTTCAGACCCGCTGCGCCCTTGCCTTCCAAATCTTCGCTCTCAGCAACATCCACGCCGTGCTCTTTCAGGTACCCTTTCTGTGCATACTTGTCCTTGATGGTCCTCAAGGTCTTCCAGCTCGGCTCGACAGCAACCTCGCCAGCAACTTCTTCAAGCATGTGGGTATCCACGTGCTCGATTTCGACAGTAACCACATCGCAAGCCTGGGCGAGTTTCTTGACGGCGGAAGCATCTTTGAAGGAGCCTTCTATGTGGCCATCATGTGCGGAGATTTGTTTAGCGGGTGATGCTGCTGCGTCCAGGACATTGACTTGGATGTTCAGTCGGTTCGCGGCTTCAATGAGCATGCGGCCAAGCTGGCCACCACCCAGCACTCCCACTTTTCTAGAGTCGGCCATTAGTCGTAGACTGGGTGCGTTGAGCTTTCAACCAAGTGTTAGCCTGTGTAATCGGACACTGATGTAGCGCTGCTGGAGATGTGAAGTGGCCGTGGTTCCGATTGCGGAAGGACGCTAGTACTTTGATGGGGTCGATTGGTGGGGAAGATTTTAAAAGTAAAAATTCGAGCGCCAGCGCGTCACGTTAGGGCAGCAGCTACTACGGAGAACAAAAGTAGAAAGGGCAGTTTTGCAGTGCATTGTACCTGTTTCTATGTGATATCGACCATGAACAAGTGCTATGAAGTGTCACACATTTCGATCACACACTGCACTATTATTATCGTTTGCAAGAAAAAGGTCTCCAATTGAAGGTATCACTTGAAAAGTAGTAATCATCGAATCGTCCGATGAGCCCCGAGAGCCCACGGCATACTTTCATTGCATTTCATTGCAAGCATGAGTATCTTTTTTAACCCGTAAGAGAGTCTTCGCCAGACATGATGCACGCCAAATTGACTATAACCCATGACCATGTCCACGCCGGCGACCCAAGGAAACAGCTCCACCCCGTCAAGGCGCTTAGACCTTGAAACCACGCGACCGCCTGCGTCCACGAGCGCGCTCGAACTTGCGGCCCTTGGACTGAACGTAGGGCTTCTTGTTCTTGTGGGGACCCATGCCGAAGTGCTTGACGGCCTCACGGGCGTTCTTGGGGCCACGGAGGAGGAGGGTGTTGGCACCGGTGGGGAAGCGGGTGGCAACCTCATCGATGGTGAGGACCTCACCGCCGGCCTTCTCGATGCGGGCACGGGCGGATGCAGTGAAGCGGAGAGCCGCAACGGAGAGCTTGGGGAGCTCAAGGAGACGGTTGTCGTCGGTGACGGTGCCAACGATGACAACGGTCTTGCCCTCGTGGGTCTTCGCGGAGTGCTTGTTGGCAGCGGTCGCGACGATCTTGGAGAGAGAGACCGCTATTCGGTGGTTAGTCTATTGACTGTGTGCACATAGTATCGTTACGCCTTACGGGGACGGTTGATCTTGGACATCATGAGACGGCGGAGGACAACCTTGTTGAAGGGCGCGTCGGTTCGGCCTGGTCGATGGTCAGCACTCCAGGATTGCGATTCGAGCAGTATGACTTACGGGCAAGGAACTTGTACAGGCGCACCAACAACTTCACGTAGGGGTTGTCGGACTTGGGCACCTCTGTACACTCGTCAATTCTCGCTCTCTCGATCATGTTGCGTCCTGAGGACAGCGGCTCGCCGGCGCATTTCTGCGCCGACTCGACGGGGTAGAACACATACTGCGGTGCCCGTCTCGAACATGATGGCGGTCGAGGTCAATGCCCATTTTGACTGAACACTGAGGTTGTGGTGGTGTTGAGCTGTTGGGTTAGTATTGTCGAAGTTCGCAGAGAAAGCATCCAGAGCGAAATTCGTGTGGGCGCCGACGGCGCTAAGGTAGCGGCTTGGCGTGATGGCTCGCTGACCGCCTGCAGCGTCCGGCAGAAAAACAGACGCAAGCGAGAAAACGCAGGCCATCGCAGACACACTGAAGAGCGAGCGTAAGAGTGACTTTTGGTCTATTATCATTATTAAGCTAGTACATGTACAGCGCAGTTCTGCCAGAATCTGCCGGCTCTATCTATAACACCATGTGTAGTTTTCATCCATCATATCTTCCCTAGGTATGTGACGAGACAGCTGTGATGCTAATTGCCTGTCGATCCAAGGAAACTGCCTCATCGCGGCCTCTTTCAAAAGGGCCTGCGGGGCAAAGAAGGTACCCATGCGTCTATGCTTGCAACACTTAATGAAACACGAATCTGCTGTAGCCGAGGCTACGGAGTGAGGATAACAGAACAGGGAGATCTTGCTCCCGACGCCCTAGCGCCCACGAACCCAGTCTTTGGCATTTCAAGATTATGCCATGACTCAGCTTCGACTGCTGTGCAGTATTGACGCTACTGAAGCGCTCAGACCTGCTTGTCTCCGATCATGTTGCCAATGCCATTGTAGAGCTTATCGGCGGAATCGGGGGCATATCTCGGGCCTAGAGATCCAATAACGAGGAAGAAGGAGATGATAACGCCACCGAAGATCATGAGCTTGCGCAGGATCGGACGAGTCTGACCAAGTTCCGCCCAGGCCAGCGAACCCTGGCCGAGATAATCCTTCATCTTCTGGCCACCGAGCTTGTAGTAGACCAGGCCACCAAGGGCAATGCTGTATCCAAAAGCCTGGAGCAAGCTGACGGGGTCGCGGAAGAGCATGATCGACGCAAAGACGAGGAGGATGTCCTTGAGCACACCAGATAAGGTGAGGACCAAAGACGACGTCTTGCCGACCTTGTGATTGTTAGCACATGTCTGTGACTGTAGAGAGTTCTACATACCAGGAATACAACTGAAACATTGAGCATGAATGCAATCGACGCGTTGGCGAAGAGCGTGAAACCGCCAACGCGATTGATGTCATCCATGGTCAAGATGGGCAGCTCAGTGAACAAGCAGATGATGCCGTTCATGACTGCGCAGGCCGGAGCATAGTAGTACAGCGAGACCAAGGGATCCATCTTGAACTCCCCGCCGCTAAGCAGACGCTCGACCATGGACAAGCGGATCGCCTCAAAGATGATACCGCCAACCTGGAAGAGGAAGCCAACCATGACGAATTTGATCTCACCGAGCGAGGCAATGATGACACCGATGACAATGAAGGACACGTTGCCGAGAGTCTTCATGTTGGGTGGGTGCAGGCCCATAGTCCAGGTGGTGATCAAAACAGCAACAGGTGTGGTGGCCTGGAAATTGTCAATGCCTGGGGACCTCGAGCTGGTGACTATCCTACCTTGAGCATCTGAATGAACGCAACACTCAGGTACAGGTATGCCTTGTTACCGCAGATCAAACTCAGACTGAAGAAGACACCAATGGGAACAATCGCGCGGAGGTACACGCGGCCCGTCATGGGCACCTTCTTCCGTGAGTCGAGGATGGTGGTGAAGCGTGCGAGGAGCTGCGTCATGACGGTCGCGAAAACGAGATGCCATGTCGTGAGGAAGATGGCTGCAAATGTCAGTCTTGGGAGCGGGATTGGGAGGGTGTCTTGCACGTACGGAAGTCTGTGATGCTGTTAGCAGCTTGCTCTTGGCATTGGCTGGGTTGACTTACGGAACTTTGCCGTGTCCAGGATGTACTTGTTGAATATGATGACGCTGGAACTGAGAGCAATCCATGTCGCGATGTACACTGCAGGGTGCAGCGAGTCGGACTGTGGCTCGGCGCGCTTGATGTTGGGGTTCACGGTGGGCAGCACGGGCTGGGCGGGGTCGCGGGCATTGTCGAGCGACGCGCGCACCTTTTCGTCTGACATGGTCTCGGTGTGTTTTGCGTGTGAGGACAAGACTCAGCGAGGGCTGCTGTTTGGGTGGCGTCGGGGGGAGGCAGGCGACAGAAAATCAACGGCCGCTTCGTCGGGGGCGTCACCGGTGGAGCTTGACTGGCGCGGGCAGCTGACTACTGCGGGTTCAGGGTCGCTGCACAAAAATTTCCTGCGCGACGCGATGGTGACAGGCGGCGTAGGACGGAGCGGTGCGCACACACAAAGGCGAGGTAAGACAGGACGGCTCGCTGAGGCTGACGATCAAAGGGGAGGAGCGCAGGCAGACGAGAAAAGTACAGATGCGGGTAAATGAGGCCAGGGGGTGTGGAGCGGGAGTCGGGGGTCGAAGCGCAGTAGCGACGCGGTCCTTCAGGCGCAGCACGGGCGCGCTGGAAGCGGTGCAAGAGGAACTGGGGGCCCAAGGTGACGTGCTCAGCGAAGCTTGAGTGCAGCGGCGGCGGATCGTTGCAGTTCAGAGCCCAGATGAAACGGGCGGTCGACGGTGGTCCTTTGTACGCGCAATCACTGCCTCCACTGTCTCCCTCGAACCCGCACCCGTACAGCAGCGCTTTGCGGCCGTGCTGCGACCATACTACACGTAGTCCATGCAGCGAGAGGGCGCCCTAAAATAGCAGCCGCGTCTGTCACGGCAGCAGAACGCGACCGTCGTACATGTCGCTGTCATGCGCATGTCTGCCGCGGACTGCATCCCAGCGCCGCGAACATGTTCGCTATCATCCACATCGATATGCCCAGGACGACGCCTTCCTGCCATCCCACTCGCCATGTCGACTGATACGCACAGTGCTTGTTCGACTACATGTACTCGGTGTCCCGTCCCCCACAGCACGAGCTCCCGCACAGTAGGCTGTGGGACGCGACGAGGCCGTCTTGGTAGTCTTGCGCGTCTTGCACCCGCTCCAAGTACTTGCAAAGTTTCGCGGTACGAGGCAGGCGCCCGCGCAACATCAGCCTCGACTGACTGCCCACACCAGGCGGCTAGGGTGGAAGAGCAGTGCTCGCCAATCAGGGCGCCCACGCAGACAGCGTCGCGTCTCCGGGCGATGTGCCCCTTTTCGCTGTTGCCGCATCGACCACATCCTAGCCCTAGGGTCTCAGGGCCTGTCCCGCTAAGGTGTAACCCGCAGCCTTGGCGCTCTAGATACTGAAGTAGTTTTATACATCTCGCCCCAGCAACGTCCTCACGTCTCCAGATACCCCAATTGATACTGTGATACCCCCAGCTCCGGGTACATGCTCAGCTACGCTCGCCAGACGCTGAAACGAGTTCCTAGCTTCCAAGAACTGCTGCACGGCGCCATGGGCTCCGCAAAGGAAGAAATGTAGGTCCATTCGCCTCACCGCCCCCGCCAACCACCTGCGAACTTCGGACTGACACAGACAGCTCGGTCGACGTCCTCGTCATTGGCGCTGGCCCAACCGGTCTCGGTGCCGCAAAGCGCCTCCACCAGATCGTATGCAGCCTCACGAATTCATGAATTGGAAGGCCAGAGCTAAGAAGTACAGAATGGCCCCTCATGGTTGATTGTGGACTCGAATGAGACGCCCGGTGGTTTGGCCTCAACCGACACCACCCCAGAAGGCTTTGTATGACACCCATGCACCAATCACACGCTGGCACCATTGTTAACAACGCGCAGCTCTACGACGTCGGCGGCCACGTTATTTTCTCCCACTACCAGTACTTCGACGACTGCATCAACGAGGCGCTCCCCAACGAAGAGGACTGGTACACACATCAGCGTATCTCCTATGTCCGCTACAAGGGCCTGTGGGTCCCGTATCCCTACCAGAACAACATCTCGATGTTGCCCAAGGAAGACCAGGCGGTTGCCATCAATGGCATGATTGATGCGGCGCTTGAGGCTCGCGTGGCCAACACCAAGCCGGCCGATTTCGATGAGCACATCCTGCGAACCATGGGCGAAGGCATCGCGAACCAGTTCATGAGGCCATACAACTTCAAGGTCTGGGCGGTTCCTCCCAAGAAGATGCAGTGCGCATGGCTCGGTGAGCGTGTCGCCACCCCGGATGTCAAGAAGGTGGTTAACAACATTATCCACAACAAGACTGCTGGAGGTTGGGGCCCCAACGCAACCTTCCGCTTCCCCGCCCGTGATGGTACTGGAGGTATCTGGATTGCTGTCGCTAAGACCCTCCCTGACTCGAAGAAGCGATTTGGCGAGCACGGCACCGTGACCAAGGTCGACGCGGATGCAAAGCGAGTCACCTTCAAAGACGGCACTGTCGTCAACTACAACAAGCTCGTCAACACCATGGCTGTCGATGCGCTAGTTGAGCACATGGGCGACAAGGAGCTCATCGACCTGAGCAAGGGTCTGTACTACTCAAGCACGCACGTCATCGGCGTGGGCATCCGAGGAGAGCGACCTGAGCGCATTGGCGACAAGTGCTGGCTATACTTCCCCGAAGACAACTGCCCCTTCTACCGCGCCACTATCTTCTCCAACTACTCCCCCTTCAACCAACCCGAAAAGAACGTCAAGCTCGCCACCCAGCAGTTGGCCGACGGCTCAAAACCGAGCTCGTCGGAGCCCAAGGAGGGCCCCTACTGGTCCATCATGTTGGAAGTTTCCGAGTCCAGCATGAAGCCTGTGGACACTAAGAATCTCCTGAAGGACTCCATCCAGGGCCTCATCAACACAGAGATGATCAAGCCCGGTGACGAGATCGTGTCCACCTACCACCGCCGCTTCGATCACGGCTACCCGACGCCGTCCTTGGAGCGTGAGGGCGTGCTCACCAAGCTGCTCCCCGCCCTCCAGGACCGCGATATCTGGTCGCGCGGCCGCTTCGGCTCTTGGCGCTACGAGGTCGGCAACCAGGACCACAGCTTCATGCTGGGCGTCGAGGCCGTCGACAGCATCGTCAACGGTGCCGTCGAGCTGACGCTCAACTACCCCGACTTCGTCAATGGCCGCCGCAACGGCGAGCGCCGCCTGCAGGATGGTGCGCAGCTGTTCGCTGCTAAGAAGGCGGGTCAGTAGGTTGACACGGAGTTGTAGTCTGTCTCACAGTACAGTGTAGCACTGGACATTGGCGACGGCGCTAGCGGACCCATGTAGCGGAAACGATAAACGGGATATGAACGGCATGATACTTAGGATACCAGGATGGACAGTATATCAAATTAGACGTAATGGTGTATGGAGCAGTTGGGCTCCCACAAAAGCTATTGAAAAATAGACTAGATTCGTCACGTTAGTCTTGTTTTGGGTGTGTCTATGTGAATGTGTGATTTTTGCAGGTGGGACAGGTCGTTGTACGTTGGGTCGTGCCGGCTGTGATTACACTGCGTTAGGGGTCCCAGGGGCGTTGAGTACGCTGGTACAGGTTCGGTAGAGGCGAGGGTGTGTGGGAGCACAGGATACGTGGAGCAAAGTGACTTTGGGTGGGTTTGTCTATGGTGTCGACGCTCGGTTTCAGCCAGTACTTTTTCTTACCCTATCATCCACCCGATCCATCCATCAATCAATCCATCCCACATCCCAGCATACGCCTCCCCACTTGACGGTCACGCTTTCTTCGCAGCCCGAAACTTCCTCAGCACCTCCCGCTCATCTTCGTCCCTTGCCACGCCCTCGTCCAGCAGCACCTCGTGCTTCCACTTCTTGCCGCCCGCCCCATAGTCCGCACTGACTTGGGCATCCCCCACAATCGTCCATTTGTATATCGTTAGCCCCTCTAGGCCCACCGGGCCGCGGCTGTGGATCTTGTTCGTGCTGATGCCGACCTCGGTGCCGAAGCCGTAGCGCTGGCCGTCCGCCATGCGCGTCGACGTATTCCAGTAGACGGAGCTGGAGTCGATGGCCGCGAGGAACGTCTTCGCGGCCTGGGGGTCCAGAGTCAGGATGGCGTCGGTGTGGTGGCTGGAGTGCGCGTTGATATGTGCGATTGCTTCGTCCAGACTCTTGACCGTCTTGATGGCGAGGACCAGGTCGAGGAACTCGGTCCGGTAGTCTTCCTCCGTGGCTTCCTGGAGGATCGCTGCGGAAGCCGGGTCTAGGGCGCCTTTCAGGGCGGACAGGGAGGCCGCGTCGCAGCGGAGGGAGACGCCGTATGCGAGGAGGGCTTTTGCAACGGTGGGTAGCGAGGTCGTGAGCGCGGCTTCGTCGACGAGGAGCTGCTCCAGGGCATTGCAGCCTGCGGGGTACGACGCCTTTGCATCGACGAGGATCCGCACGGCTTTGCCGGCGGGGTAGTCCGCGCAGAGGTAGGTGCTGCAGATGCCATCTGCGTGGCCGAGGACGGGGATCGAGGCTGTGGTCTTGACGTAGCGGACGAGCTCGTTGCCACCGCGGGGGATGCACAGGTCGATGTAGGTGTCAAGCTTGAGGAGGTCGGCGATGGCATCGCGGGTTTGGACGAGCTGGAGGCAGTCTGAGGGGACGGCTGTGGTGGAGAGGGCGCGCGAGATGATGGTGGCGATGGCGGCGAAGCTGTGGGAGGATTCACGGCCTCCTTTGAGGATCGCGGCGTTGCCGGATTTGATGGCGAGGGCGGAGATGTTGGCGATGACTTCAGGGCGGGCCTCGAAGATGATGAGGAGGACGCCAATGGGGCAGGTTACTCTGGAGAGGATGAGATTGTCGTCTAAGAGGGTGCGTGCCGTGGTTTTGTTGACTGGGATTGGTTAGCCATATTGGATGATATCAAGCAAGACATTGTGTAGCTGTATTTGATGTATAAGATGGCAGTAAGCCATACAATGGTCCCGATACGGGAAGGGGTGGTTTGACAGGTGGGGCTGACATACTTGGGTCTTCGAGGTCCCTCACATCCAAGATACCCTGCAGCATATCCTCATATTTGCCCGTCTTCCCCAGATCCAGTCTCTTTACCAAGCTCTGGCTTAGCGTCCCGCCTGCTGCAGCCTTGTTCGCATCCTCCAGATCCTGCTTATTGGCTGCAAGGACCTCATCTTTGCCCTCCGCTAAAGCCTTGTGAATTGCAGTTAGCGCAGCATTGCGCTCGTCTGTGGAAAGAACCGCAAGCCTGCGAGAGCCAACTTGGGCCGCTTTCGCTACTTCCAGGGGAGTTGCGTTTGTGAGCGACATCAGGTGATGGGCTGAGTGCAGCTGTATTGTTCGGCGTGAGACGTGGTAAAGCGACCTTCTTGTTCTGTAGGGCGTGTGACTCAACCAATACTTCTCAGAGAGCGCAAATTCCTCGCAGCCAACGGCAATATGCAGGGCCCGAGTACGCTGCAGACCGTGCTGACAAAGGAGCGAATAGGAAGGACCGGCTTCTCGTCTAAAGATAGGCTCTCGTGATCGATTTTGCGTGGGGCGTGCTTATGGATTTGATGGTGTTTTGCCCCGCGTAGCGGTGGCGTCGATGCTTGCAGATGTGGCCGTGCGCCGCCTGCCCTGCATTTGGCCGCACATCGTCGCGCTACCTTCATCGCAGCTCCTGAGATATTGGCTGCGCATTGAATCAATCCATTCAGGTTTCTGTCGCGTCTTTGTTATTGCTTGGAGATCATCATCATACTCGGCGTCGATAGTTGCCATGACGTCCGAGTCGTGTTGGGCTCGTGTGGCTGGGCCCCAGCCCCCAGCCCGTTTCGGCGCCAACCTCGTCTTTAATCATCCAACCTGAGTGTCGAGATCATGCGAGGCGAGCAAGCAAGACCACGTCGATAGACGCTAGCCGAATGGCTGGCATTCGCTTTAAAGACATAAGCCTACCCATTCTCACTAATATTTGCATCCATTCCAGCTCAACCTCTCACTCAACCTTTCCGTGACGCTAAGCATCACACCACCTCACCTCTACACCAACAAACACACTACTACCGTCGCTTACCACTGCTTCGAGGCCGCTGACCATTCCGGCGCGTGCCGAACCTCCTTCTATACTCAACCCCTCCCCGCATCTCTCCTCACCTTCACAAACATGCTGCGCACTCTGAGAGCTGTCGCGGCTTGCGCGCTTCTCTCAGCCCCGGCATTGGCCCAGACATACACCAATTGCAACCCCACGGAAAGCACTTCCTGCCCTCCAGATTCGGCATTGGGAAAAACAGTCAACATCGATTTCACTTCTGCATCGGACAGCTTCACCGCCGAAGGCAACCCCACATACGGCTCCGATGGCGCATCATTTACAGTCGCCAAGCAGGGCGACAGCCCCAAGGTCACTTCAAAATGGTACATCATGTTCGGCCAGGTCGATATCGAGCTCCAAGCAGCACCTGGCCAAGGTATTGTCAGCAGCTTCTTCCTGCAGTCCGACTGCCTGGACGAGATTGACTGGGAGTGGCTCGGTGGAGACAACGCCCAGGTGCAATCCAACTACTTTGGCAAAGGGAACACCGCAACGCACGACCGAGGAGCCTTCCACGCGAACCCGGGTAACCACGACGGATTCCAGAAGTACACCATCATTTGGACCTCTGAACAGATTGCTTGGCAGATCAACGGGCAGACCGTCCGCACATTGATTCCCGAAAACGCCAACGGCCAGTACCCCCAGACACCCATGGCCATCAAAATCGGTGCCTGGGCCGGTGGCGACCCGAACAACGAGCAGGGCACCATCGACTGGGCTGGCGGTCTGACTGACTACAGCAAGGGCCCGTACACGATGAAAGTCAAAAACTTGAAGGTTCAAGATTATTCCACCGGTACCACCTACACGTATGGCGACACAAGCGGAACTTGGCAGTCGATCAAGTCCAACGGGGGTACCATCAACGGGGGCGGAACTCGTGTTGAGCAAAACGCCCCTGGTATCACATCTGCAGCCACCGGAGCTCCTCTTCCATTCACTCCTCACACGACTTCTCCCTACACCAGGCCGAGTGTCTATCCCTGGGTCCCTGACACCACTGTGGCGACCGTTGCTACAACAACCTACGGCAACTACCCTGGATTACCGAGCGGATGGTCTGTTTCAGACTCTGGCAAAGTCGTTCCTCCCAGCCAAGCTCCTGTCAGTAAGCACCTTTTTTTACCCCTCCCTCCCCTACATATCCATTCTTACTAATTCGGCTACAGTCGACATCCCGAGCCGCTTTCTCTACGCCATCGCCACCAGCTTCGCCCTCGGCTTCATCTGGAGGTTCTGAGCAAGTCACCACTTTCAGCACGGCCTACACAACGCCCGGAGAAACATCATCCGTGGCCAAATCTTTCGACTCCAAGGGCTTTCTCATCACCTCTGCCCCCGCTCCTTCTGCTGCGACATCAAATAGCGCTGCCAGCCCAATAGCCAACAGCGCGGTCGACTCCAAAGGCAGCTCGCCAGCTCCCGAGGCCTCGAGCGCGCTCCGCTTGCCGGTTAGCTGTTTCTTAGCTGTATCCCTAGCGGCATTTATCGGCGTCCTGTCCGTTCTCCTGTAAACCTTCTAGATCTGGACTTTTACCTCGGCCGCTTCGGCTGCGTCTTTTCCTTGCGACTGTATAGCATCAGCGTCGGCGTTTTTGAGACTTTTCCGATTGGATCAGGCTGAGGGCTTGGATCGCTTTGTACAGAATCCTACGGACATGTCATGATCATGATGATGATCACAGTTAATACGATTTTATTGAGCCATGCTCTGCACATAATAAGAAGACCGATTTACACACCTTATTCCAACTCCTTCATCTGTTCGAGCTCGTGCGCTTACTGACTTACAGAAAACGGTTCGCTAACTGTACCGGGACTCTTGTCCCGGCGATCTACGGTCGGACAAATGAAGAGCACTCACGTAGATGTGTGAACATCATAGAAATCGTATAATTCGACTTAGTGTCCGGACAAATCATTTGGTACTGTTTGTCATGCATTCATTAGGCGTCAGTCATTACGCTAATCTCGAGTTTTCAACAGCCCATTCGTGTACCATCTGTACGAACTTGTCGACCTGCCCCAACTCCGTGGCCCATGTAGTCAACAGCCTCACCACAGCATCATCCCCACGAGACTCCCAAACATAGAAGTTGAAATGCTCCTTCAGTCTTCCAATGAGCCCAAGAGGGAGCACCGCAAAGACCTGATTAGTCTCCGTCGCCGCGTCCATCGTGAAGCCCGCCTGAACGATTCCCGTGGAAAGCAACTGCGCACAACCGTTCGCTTTCCTGGCTAGGTCGTAGTACAGCTCGCCATTGAACAGCTCCGCAAACTGCGCACCCATAATTCTGCCCTTCGCCAGCAGCGATCCATGCTGCTTGATGTAGAACTCGAATTCGCTCGCCAACTCCGCATCCTTCACGACGACGGCCTCGCCCAGCAGAGCCCCGTTCTTAGTTCCTCCAATCCAGAAGAGATCCGTTAATTCCAGGATGTCTCGCATCGCCATGTCGTTCTTGTGAGACGTAAGCGCGGTCCCAATCCTCGCGCCATCCAGAAACAGAATCAACCTCTTCTCCTCGCACAGTCGCTTGATAGCGGTTAACTCCTGCCTGGTGTAAATGGTACCGATCTCCGTCGCATTCGAGATATACACCAACTTGGGCTTCGCCATATGCGGGAAATGCCAATTATCATCCAGCGCACGCCGGATGCTCTGCGGTGTTAGTTTTCCATCCTCCGGTGCGACCTGGATGATTTTGTGGCCGCTTGCTTCGACGGCGCCGGTCTCGCGGGTCACTATATGTGCAGAGGAAGCCGCGATCACGGCTTCATGGGGGCGCAGGCATGCTGCGATGGATATGGCGTTCGCGGAGGTGCCGCTGGGGACGAAGAAGACGCCTACGTCGGAGCGTCCGAGGTGGGCCTGGATCCGTTGGCGGGCAAGTGTGCAGAGCGAGTCGCGGCTGTAGCCGCTTTCTTGGGTTTTGTTCGTTTCAATGAGGGTTTGGAGGAGTTGGGGGTGTGCGCCTTCGCTGTAGTCGTCTACGAAGCTGTAGCGGTATCCCGGGGATGGTGGGTCTGAGTGAGGCATATTGCGGAATTCTGATTGTGGAGATCACGGGGGGAGGGAGGAGAGCGCGGTCTTGTTAGATGCATACAACAGGCCATTCTCGGGTTCTTATGGAAGCGCTGCTGTGTTGATGATTATGTGGTATTTATAGGGTAATAGTGGGTGTTGGAGAAGTGCTAGCTCGACCGTTAGAAAAATTATTGTGGGGATCCGAGACCAATCGCCCAATTGCGCATGGGAAGCGCGAATCGTGTGTTCGTTATTATTCAATCGAGTTTCGGAGGAGTAAGGGCACCCTGGAAGTCTGTGGTGTAACGGTTATTCTCGGTATAGCACCCAGTTAACCTCACTCTACCCCGCTACTCAAAGTAGGCCCGTTTCTATGGCTGCTGAGTCATGTGTCTACCTAGAATAGCTGCAAGAGCAAGCTATTCCATCTTACTTTCACAGGCTGCCCACGATTTTCGTATCCTGTGGCAAGTGGAACGATACTATATTAGTACTTGTTTGGTTCAATCGTCTTTGGAAGACTTCAGGCTTCAAGATTGATCCACCAACCATCTTGTGGCCAAGAGGCTACCGTCAAGTTCAAGCATTGTTCACACGTTTTGATACTCTCCTGTTTTGCTGAAAATATATATAGTGACCAGAGCAGTTTTCCTTATAAGTTGACTCGAGCCGAGACACCCCTAGCTTAGCTTTCACATATCAATACCGACGCATAAATAATGAAAAGAGCCAATCGCCATGGCCATGTTCTTTGTATTGTACCAGAGCGCACGCCATAAGGACTGCTAACATACAATCTCGCTGGCAGGTGTATGAATCAAGGGGAACCGCATACTGCCGATACCACAGCAGTGAAACGCTCAGAGCCTCTCTTCATAACACTAAGCACCACCCATCCCTTCATAGCGCTTCCCTTGTGCCTGACACTACACAAATACCCACTCACAGTACCGCGGCCGCCACAGGGCAACACTGTTGCAATCCAAACGCTCGCGGTGGCAATGGAGCTCACATTCTTGAAGTTACCAGGAGATAAGTAGTATGACACGATTTGTTTCATCCAGGATGTACTTACTGACTGTTGACACAAAGATATGAAGCCGCATCTACCACTTCGCTGCCACAATGGATAGCAGTCCAACCAATGTCATGCTCCAACAGGAAGGTGGTACAGCAGGTACATATGCTGCTCTGACGTGTGTGTGCTGCCAGGTCCGCCAGGAGGAGTGTCTTCCCAGTAAGTAACGTTCAAGTCTGACATCGTTGTGGACGGTAACGTCATTGTAGTACAGCAACAGGATGCCAGAGTCCGCGTGTGCCATGCGGGTCTCGAAGCGTTCATTCGAGACTTATTCAACGAGGACAATCCTGTCAAGGAATTGCAGATTCTGATCTGCCACGCACTGCAACCTGGCCATAAGAACCATAAGTCGATCCGCGAAATCGAGCTACTTTCAATCTTGCGAGCGCAGGCAAATTCGCCCATACACTTTACGTGTCAGGCTTTGCATCTATATCGACGCAATGACATGGAAGTGGTCCCGACCTCAGCTACCGTCACCTAATACTTCTACCCAGTATTTCTAAGTACAGACATGTACGAATGGTATGAACTGTGGTAGCGAGCCTATTGCCAGGCGTCAGACGTGAACAAGGTATCATCGGAGAGGAACGCAGCTTGGTTCGCGGAGCTGAGATCAACATCGTGCCAGTTTCAATCATTCTCTATGAGAGAGAAGCCAGCTCAGATCCGCATTGTGGCTCTCCGGCCTGTGGCAACGGAGGAGTGCTGGGACTACTTCAAAAATCTGCAGGTGGAGCAAAGCAAATGGTTCAAGATCTTCATCGATATTAGTGGCAGTGATGCCAGCCCGCCGGTCGTTTACGACCATTAACTTCCCGTAGACATTCGAAGGTCTGGTTCATGTATACACGAACGAGGTACGTCGGCACGAGCTTCAGCTTAGGGCTTGCTAGAGGCGCACAATGAGCTTGGAATGGAGAGGGAGCACATGGGTACAGGTACTTTATGTTAGCGGATCGATTACTGGGTGGATTTTGAAGCATGAGGGCAATATAACGGCCTGTTTGTGCCGCGAACAGGCAGCCGATGTGGAGTTGAGGTGTATCAGATCGCACCTATGCGGAAGAACCAACAGTTAATCAGTCACGATCAAGTGAGCTATCTCCACAGCTAGTGTTCGTATCATGGGCTATCTTCATGAGAAAAGTCAGTTCGCAATGATCTGTAGCATGGTTGATTCCCACGTGTAATTTTTGAAGCAAGAAGAATGGCCTCAATCCACTCGTTTACACGCCGACTCCACCTTCACCCGCGCCTTCCTCGTGTGTAGGTGCCCCGCAGTCGCCGATAGTTCCACAGGCAAGTGATCAAGACTTAATTTAACCAGCCTCCTCGCCGCATCGCAACAGCGCTACCTCATCAGCGCTGCTGCCATGGAATCTCGCTTGTTAAAGCTCGCCGGAGGTGAGTCGAGTATAGAGATTAATCTTAATACACGGCGTACTGACTACTGACGTAGAGCTCCGTAACCACATCTACGAGCTTGTCGCCGCCGATGGTCTTCCTGTCACCGTCAAGCATGTCGGCGACGATGGATCTCCCGGAAAAGGAACGTTCGCAGGACTCACGCGGACCTGCCGTCAAATTCGCACGGAGTGCCTTCCAGGTAAGTCTATCTCATGACTCTCGTACATTTCCAAGTACGAAATAGAGAAGCCCAAAGCCCCAGGAATATCACGATTTTGGGTGCTGTACTGACTGGCATTGCACAGTCTACCGACAATACGCCAGGATTTCGATCCACTACGAGGATCTGGTACAGTGGACGCGGCTACAGAGCGTTCTCGTCCATGAGCTCCATGTCCAGATATCGAAGCACCATAGAGAGCTCAACCGCGTCGACTGGCTCCCAATCATCCGAGCAAGAGCTATTTCGTTGTCGTCTCAAGGTCCCTCCAACAGCCCTTTTCGCACAAAGGTCCACTTTGCCGAGCAGGGCCTCAAGGACTGACCTCACCGGCCTAATCAAACCCGCCTTATGTTCAAGGACAGCCTTCAGCGACTCCTCGACCGTCCCAGTGGACCTTCCATGAGCGTGTCACACGAAGAGCTTTCCCCTCTGGTGGCTGTGTGGGTGGACTTTCGAGAGGCATATATAGCATTATGTTTCGATCACATGCTCAAGATGGAGGCTGCGGAGACATGGCGTAGCTATCTTGAAGAGCTGGGGTTTGAGGTATTTCTTGGCATTTCACACAACAAATTTCGTCGTTTCATCCAATTCACCCGAGCTGGTGTGCGGAACAGAGCCTGAAACCGGACTGGTGAAGAATGGCTCGCGGTAAGATCCCTGACTCTGGGACCTTGATTACTTTCCAGGAAATAGTTCATGTTATCGAATATCAGGAGTACTGCCAGTGCAATTGAGTGCAATGTTCGGGTTCGCTTTGTTCAATTGCGAGGTCCAATGCTTTTGCGAGCCACCCTGAGTAGCAGTACAAGCCTCGATAGGGTTCTAAAAAAGAAACATTCCCAAAAGCTGAAAGAGATGTAATTCCTTCATCACATTCATTTTGCTTTTCCGAAAATTGGGCAGACGTCGTTCCATTATCGAGGGGAGGCCTGTCACGCTGAACACGTGCTAGGTGCAATGCGCAACAGGCTGTGAGTCCTCCTACAATGTAGCCAACTGCTTGGATATAGCTGCCGTTTTCTTCTGAAGAAACTGGAATGCAGAGTGGTTAAACTCGCGGACCTGTTTCGGTAATGTGACGTCATGTGCTATTCCACGCGGAAGACTTAATGGAAGCAATATGAAACCTCGCATTGCGACAGATCATGATGTTCACCTTTCTCTATATCCAGACGTGAAATTCCAGAGGGCTTTTCCAGCACAGCCATCGCACCTTCGACTAACCGGCCGTTGAGGCGCAGACCGAAGGCAGCGGTGGCTGTGAGTCATTAACCTTGGCTGAGAACTACCATTTGTTCCGATGTCTACGCCCCCTAGACGCACACATTACTTCTCTATCTTTACAAAGATCTTGCGCAGTACGCGTGTTTACCATCATGCCGACCTTTTGCGATTTACCCACAGAGCTGCGCCAGCGCATACTGGCCTTGGCCATGCCAGAGTTAAACTATATTCGAAAGCCATGGCCACGAAGCATGTTTAACCTCATGCACGTCAACCAACAACTAAGAAGCGACATGGGTTTCGTGATTGACTCATGGTCGCCCATACATTATGTCTCTCACTCACAAGAGATCCTTCAGATCCAAGACCTGTCAATCAAGTTATGCGGGCGAAGGCGAAGCCCGAAATTCGAGCGCATACGCCTAGACATTTTCCACAGTGCGGACGCCTCTGTGATGAGAGACACATGCTACTACCGTTACCATGATTACTTCGGCGAAGCAGATTACTGGCAAAAGTGGAACAACGCGATCGCGAAATTACCCTTGTCCGCATCAGAGGTTTCGATCGATATCACACCTGCCCCAGCGGAACTGCGTAATCGACATGACCTCGAGCTGAACTCTTTTGTCCACGACAGACGTGTGAAACATTTCTTAGAGAGTCTCAGCGCAGAAGTTGCGGACCTGATTCGCCTTCTCAACGAACACTATCCGGGGCGCCATTCTATGCGTGCAACAGGGAAGCTGAGTGTAAAATGCACGTTCTTCATTTCGGCGCTGGAGCGCGAATCTGGGGTCCCTATTGAGTTCGATGGTATTTGGGTTTCCGGCGAAGATAGCCGTTTCGCGGATATCAATCTCGCTGCTAGACAGGTGGCTCGGACCGGAGTGGGTAGGAAAGCAGAACGGAAAGGGGCGAAGAATCCACTTGCATGGCTGCGCGACGTCCAATGGTCCAGACAGACCTCATGGACTTTTGCAAAGGTCGCACAACATGGTGAAGAAGAGGCGGCTGTGCAAGAACTGCGAGTTTTGGCAGACTTCGCCAAAGAGGGTGGGAAAGAGCTCTTAGAGATGGATCCCGTGGGTGGAGTGAGGCGGGCCCTACAGCACAGAATGGCGGAGGATCTCGGGTTGAAGACTTCATCCGAGGGTGATGATCCGGAACGGCGTGTAGTCGTTACGAAGTGAAAAGAAACGAAGGTACAATGAAGACATGATGAAAGACGAGTATGCATATGTCGGTTGATGCTGAGACCTGAGGGCTGGGCTCGAGCTTTACTTGTATCCCTGCGTGTTCTGCAGTCGCCGCGCTGCTATAAGACCACCTTCCGCTACTCTCCTGGGTCTCTCGCCTGTTGACCCACCCATTTAGACTAGCACAACTACATGAACGCTTATCCACGATGGAATATTCATCTCCCTTCCTGAATCTCCCCTGAGGTGGGTCCCTCTTCTTCAGAATCAACAGTGTTCAAAGAGCTTACGTACAAACGTTCAATCACAAAGATCCGGAACCGCATCTACGAGCTTGTCGCCAAAGACGATGAGCCGATCAAAGTTACATATTTCGGCACTAGTTGCAAGGACTATGCCGGTCTCACATGAGCCTGCCGTCATGTTCTCGAGGAGTACCTCCCCGGTAAGGTTTCCAAGATCGTCGTACCCTGAGTACACCCCGGACTCACAGCCACAGTATACTATCGGTATTTTGTTGTGCGTACCGTTTACCAAGATCTCGGCCAGTGGGCGTCGATGATAGGAAACCATGTTCTTCCTTTTGGGCTCCACTATGAGTGGCGACCATCGGGCCCGCCACTCGAGTTTGAGGCTCGAGTTCGAAAGCATCTTTGAGCTCCGTCAATATATGCTAGTAGCTAGCTCTGAATGCATCTTGTGGCTTAAATAGTTGTCTTGTACAATGAAACTATAGCCTATTCAACTGTAGAGAAGATATGTCCGTCCATAACAGAAGAGTCAACACTGTGAACAGATTTCACCAAGGATCACCCAACGCCACCGTACAATGCCCCCATCCTTCATCAAAAGTCATCACTCATGAAACGCTGCAGGCTTATATCCATCAAGGCGCACACCCACCCTCCATCCTTATCTTCACCCCTTCCTGAAGCTGAGCTTCATTCATACCCATAGCAGAGTCGAACCTCGCCATCCCGTCCTCGACAATCGCCTCCATGCTCGATCTCTGCCCATTTGCCCCATACACCAGCTTTCCCCTCTTCGCCAGGAGACCCTCCCGGAGCCTCATTATCTCGCCAGGTGATGGCCTGTGCAACTGTTCACGAGCTTCGGCCTCTGCCACCGCGTTTGAAAGCGAGTATGGCACCGACGGGGCGCGCGAATCGGTGCCCGGCGATTGGGAGAGGCCTTGAAGAAAGGGAACGGGGATGTCGCGGTGCCACACTGCTTCCCATGGTGTGTTGAGCGGTTTTTGTACAAGATGTCCTGTAGATGCGCCGGCCGCAATCTCCGGACGTGTTGCGGCTCCCCTCGCTGCAACACTGAGATCAAGTATGGCCGTATTGAGGCCCCGGATTGCGATAACAGGATTTTCGTGTGGCTGCTCCTGCTTTTGTAGTAGCATCGCTTTCCTCCCTGTGACGTTCGTGGCTTCCACATTCTGCCTCCGCGGCGGCACCTCCCTTCGCCCCGCGACACTCCTGCAATCCACATTTGCCACACTCACGCGCTTTAGGTGTGCTCTGCCCGCTGTCTCTGTAGTGAAGACCCTCAAGCTGGGTACGCTCTCCACCGGCTTGGGCGTAATTCTTCTTTCTGTGAACGTGCTCATTTCCTCTTGCGCCATAGCGGAACTTCTTTCCTTCAAGTTGTGGGCGCGAACAGCCTCCTGTGCAACTCTTTGAGCCCTCGCCCTGCGGATTCTCTCCCTCGCCTCTGTAGCGGCGATGTCAGAAACATAATCGAGCCGCTCGGAACATTGTATCCAGATGGCTTCTTCGTCGACGACTACGCCGTTCAACCTGGGCGGCGAACAGGGGTTAGGCTTCGAATTCATATCTTCAAGAATACTCCTCAGTTGAGGCGCAAGCGGCTCCACGACGCCATGCCCAGGTGTCCTGGGTAGCGCAGAGCGTGCTACAGCGAGTCTGTCGGCTTGATAATTGTGGAATTTAGTCGGGGGGTATCCGACATTGGTCCTGAGAGGTGAAGGGCTGGTGACCAAGATAGCAGGTGTTGTCATCGGAGGCTGGCATAAAGGTGATAAAGGCTTCTTCATTCGAGGCTGCTGAAGACTTGGTAGCGGCGCTTTGTTCGCAGGGTCCTTAACCCTTATCCACGGTGCTTTATTTGCAGGTTCCTCCTCAAGGCTCGTTCGATGCGCAGCAATCTCTTTCACCTGTGTCGTAGTTCGACAAGACTCACATTCAGGCCCGCAAGTCTGTCCAAAGCTCCTCTCCGACGCCTCGCCATCATTGCGCTGCGCCACCGACGACGGCGCAGGCGCATAGCCAACACGCCCATCGCACACGGGGCCGCCTTCCCACCCAGATCGAGGTTCTACAGGTGGCTGCTGTGGATCCAAGGGCCATGGTGCATTCTTATTCCAAGGGCCAGGTCCTGGATTAGGACCATGTGAGCGAGGTTTCGAGCTAAACAGGGTGGACCACCATTTCTCCTTGATTTCCTTTTCCTCCGTGGGAGGACGCGCTCCAAATGACCCAGCTGCGATTTCATTCGGCAGGCCACTCGTCGTTCCCCGCGACTTGACAGAGGTAGAAGTGAACGGCATCCTCGCATCTGCGGAGCGGCTCGAGGAAGAGTTTGATGGCACACTCGCGTCTGGGCAAGGGCTCCTTCTCTTTTGCAGCTTTTTCTGGCCGCTCCCTCGGAGAGCCATTTCCCGCTTGAGATATTTCGACCCGGACACCATATACTTCATGCTCTTGAACAAGCTGGGCGGTGTCGGTCCCGTGAGAGTCTGCACCGACCGCTCACTCAGGACAATGGCATTTATCGTGGAGGTGCTGTGCATTGCGGTTCCTGGAGCATTGGCCTTTCTCGCGGATATGCTGTGCTTTGGCTGCGTAAATGGTACCTTTGAACGCCCCATTGAAACGACGGCCTTCGTTGTGGACATACTCTGAATTGTCAATGTCGGAGAGGCTCCCATCGACCGAGTAGATGGATTCGTGCTCTCCCTGCTTGCAGAGCGCGCAACAGACACTTGGTCGCGGAATCTCGTTTCCGCTCGTCGATCCCGTTCCTGTCCGTCTTCTTTCCGCTGCGCAGGCATTTGACAAGGTCCCGCTCTCGACGACGCGGGAACCCCGGGATGCAGCATCCCCTCCCCCGCAGCAATGGCCGCATACTCCGTGCCCGTCTCCTCATCCCGCGCTCTCCCCACCATCTCACGCTCCTGAAAGGGCTCGCTTCTCCCTCTCATCCTTTGCAATGCTGGCATCTCTTGCACCTCATTCATATCTTGGAGCTGGCCATACACCCCCCGTCGCAACCCAATCCTCCTCTCCATCCCCTCAAGCCACCGCCTCCGCTCAACACAACTCCTCTTCTTCCCCTGCTCTCGCCCTTCCCCTTCCATGTCTCTATCGCCCATCCCTTCCTCAACCTCGTCCACCTCAAATCCCACTTCCAAATCCAACACCACCGCGCCCAGCACGACTTTACATTCGCCGTACCGCTCCCGGACCCTCGCAGCGTTGCCTTGCCGCCGAGGACAAATAGCGTCCGCGTACCGCTGTCGGATGTGCAGCGTGCGCGGTCTGCGGCTGATGAGGAGACGCAAGATCTCTGTATAGAGGCGGTGGGCGGCGAGGTCTTGTTCGGCGAGGTATGGGTACGAGGCGTGGGTGGGTGCGAAGTGGTGGGGGATGATGCGGCGAGGATTGGCGTTTTGGGTCTGATTGTATCTTTGCCTCTGGCTATGGCTCTGGATCTGACGGTGGATCCGAATGTGACTCTGTCCCTGGCGCTGCGGAAGAGCTGGAGCTGGTGGTGGAGTGTCCGACATGGCACGGCGAGGCGGGCGGACAGAGGGAGAAGAAAGCGTCAAGGCGACGGGCATGTATTGTTGAGCTTGTAGAGACGACCGCACCGACGACAGACCGTACAACTACACCGCGCGCAAGTGTTAGCATTGCGTGCGAGCACGTTGGCTGCATCCGCGGTCCACCAAGGAAACTGTTGGGGATGGCAGTGGAGCAGTGCAAACGGACGTCGTCACATTGGCTCAGCGGCTGCTACTCTTAGCTACACGTTGACTCGTTGGATTGGTATTAGGACTATTGGGTCGATTCTAGGATCTTATTTCTGCTCCACAGGAGGCAGGCGCAATACTTCCCTCAGCACCGCTTCGGCGGCAGCAGGCTCCACCGTCCCCTCCGCACTGCGCGCCATCATCTGCCCCACGAACCACTTGATCTTGCCGAGTTGCTGCTTCTTCACAATGTCATTTGCCATATCAGCCTTCTCTTCCACCAAGCTCTGTGCAAGATTCATATACTCAGTGTGCGTCAGCGGTCGTAGGAACAGGTCCTCATCGGCGATGATTTGCTCCACGGAACGCTCTTCGCCTTCGAATTTCATCAGGATAAGCCGTTTCGCCGTGGAACCTGTGATCTCCTTCCGCAGTATGTGGGCGACGATGGTTGCAAGCTGGTCGGCAGGCACCTTTGTTCCAGACCACTCTTCGTTCTTGAAGAGAGCTCCCAGCTCCATGAGGACCCTGGTTAGAGCAAATTAGTCAAAGTGTCAAAGCGGACCACGTAGGTCGCATTTCAAGTTGAACTCACCAATTGCCGGCGACTTTGCCCAGTCGCGTTAGCACTTCTGATCGCTTCGAGAACGTACTCCGTAGGTGTTCAACGACGTCGAAGTAGTAGTCCAGCCTGTCGCCGTCGTCGAGGAGTATCAGTGTACTGGCATCTTTTGCCGTGAGTCCATAGGTGGTGCCATCGACCAGAGTGCTGACTGTCTCATCCGACAGGGCAGGCAGCGTCTGTCGCAAGTGGTCGACAAGATCTTGTCCAATGAACACGGGCGCAATATCTGGGTCCGGCATATAGCGATAGTCAATCTCGCCTTCTTTACCTCGCAAACGCCTCGTCGTCTTGCTGCCCAGGGTCCAGCCTCGTGTTTCGCCTTCGACAACGCCGCCGTTCTCGAGGAGGTCGATCTGGCGGTCGCGCTCGGCAATGATGGCGTCTTCGATGGCCTTTACACTGGCCAGATTCTTGATCTCTGTCCGTTGGCCCAGCTGCCCGACGCCGTGGTAGGAGTGCACATTGTTCGCGGAGTTTCCATTTCTTTCCTTGACTGAGACATTGACATCAGCGCGCAGCCCGCCCATCTCCATGCCAGCGGTGACAGCATTGACTGCCTTTAGGACGTTCTGTATCTTCCGCACAAATACCGCCGCGGTGACAGGGTTGTGAAGTTGGGGAAGCGATATGATCTCAATCAGAGGGTGCGACACGCGGTTGAAGTCGAGGAGGTGGGTGGACGGCGGCTGGTGGACGGTTTTGGCGGTATCTTGTTCCATCTGAACTTGCTTGATACCGATCGTAACAGGACCATCGTCGGGGCACGCGCCGGCGGGGAAGTCGTGAGGATAGAGGGTAATGTGACCGTTTCGGGCGAATGGTTCTACGACATGTTAGACACCAGCCTCGCGTAAGGATCATGTAGAGGCTCACCATAGTATTGTGTTATTTGATAACCCGAAGGCTGATCCTGGTAAAAGTAGTGTTTCCGGTCGAAGCTGCTCCTGTGCTGAATCTCGCAGTTCAGAGCCAAAGCTGCACGCAAAGCAGGCAGAAGTGTTTCCTTCTGGAAGTGTGGCTGGGTCCCAGGGAATGCGGTATCGAAGAGTGCTACATGGGTATTCGGTGTGGCATTGGCCGACGTTGCTGCAGCAGAGAAGAGCTTCCTGGCGGTGTTGAGCTCGGCGTGGATCTCAATGCCCACGGTGAGCTCCCATTTCTCTAATCGAGGGTTCCGAGCTTTGGAAGAGTTTCGTGTGGCGCCCGAGGTAGCGCGCTCCTCTTTCTTCTTCTTTTTGGCAGCGTCTTTGAGGGCCTTCCGGAAGGGCGCATCATCGGTCGGCGGTGGTGCGGTGGCTGTCTGGATGGCCCTTGCCGTGGGAGACTGACCCTGAGCCAATGGCAGGCTCCTCGCACGACGCAAGCACGATTGGCAGACGTACGGACGGTTTTGGAGGAATACAAGGGCCCCACGCGGGCTCCTGGCGAGCATTGTATGCAGCTCGTTGTCTGCACGTAAAGAGAGATCGACGTTCGCGCGTCTCGTCCGTGCGCGTTCCATTCCGTCCGGAATCAGTTCCGACCTCCACCATCAGACTGCGAAACCACTGCGCAGAGTCATTCGGTTCTGAGACGCCGCAGAATTCTGTGGAAAATCTCTCTAAAGTGGATGGTGAACGCCTTCCTTCTCGAATCGAGACGTTTCGTTGTTGATGTGGACCTGGCCTCTGAACTCGCACTTGGGAGCAAGCTCTCCAAGGTTGCAGCGTAGTCTTTCTCAGGTGGTGGATCGAACTGATCCTCATCGGGCCAGGAAGTGCGAGTGGAGACGAAAGTGGGAGCGTAGACAAAGATTGGCGAATTGACCGAGGTGGTGTAGTACGTTGGTTGGAATGGGATCCCACTTCCTCCACCGGCGTTGTAGAAGTTGACCATTTGCCGATTAAGACGTCTCCTCTTGTGCCTGTTTGCACAGACGAGTGCAGATGTACGCTCGAAGCTTCTTGAACCGGTCCCTGTATCCCCGCCAGGCGTCCTGACTCCCAATCCTTTTCGTCTGCTGGTCCACAGGAGACACAAAGGTGCCAGGATGGACGTAGGTGCCAGGCCAATGACTGAAATCCGGCTCTAGCAGCTGCGAGCTGACCGTAGACGTCCGTCTGCTGCTTAATCTTCTGCTCAACATCCGGTCTGGTAATCTTTGGGGACTGCTCAGACGATGCTCTTCGTGAGAATGGTGACTTGTCGTAGGGATCGGTGGCTATACCGTCGAATCTCTTCCAAACAGTGCTCGCTCAGACCGGAACCTTCACCAACCTGACCTTGACCAACAAAATCTTGACGTTTGTCTTCGTCAAATCCTTGCCGTGCTTCAACTTCTGCTTCCTCTTATGCCACCGCTCTGGATCCTTTGGACGTGCCGTGGTGGGGTTTATGGCACCGTTCCCGCAGCCGGCAGAGCCCCCAGCAAGCCCGCAGCCACCTGTAGATCCACAACCAGCACCTCCCGCACCGCAACCAGACATGCACTCGCGTCTGTCCTGACGAGGAACAAGAAGCTTACTGGTGTCGAAAGCAATAACAGAAAGAACAAGAGTAGCAGATAAACGTTTGTCGTGTAGCAATGGGATGGGATGTGGTGTGTTCGTGTACGTGTATGTAGGAGAGTGATCGAGTGAGCGTGCGTTTGTTTGATGGCGTGCTGGCTGGAGGAGCGCGCGGGACGCTGAGCCATTGACCGCGAATGTGGCAGTGACGAGAGGAGGTCGACGTCGGGCCAGAGGGAGCGGTAGGTGCCGTGGGTATATGGGAGGCAGGAGTGTTGTACGTGGAATATGTGGAGGTAGTCCCGTACCACCCTACGAACGTCGAATCGGTTTCCCAGTGCCGAAACTGTAGGTTGTCGCACAGAAGTTCCCCAACTAGATGGATAACATTCAGAACTGTAACATTGAAGACACGATGTTAATTGCTACTGCTGCTCTACTCTTCTGCCGCTCCACGCACGCTCTCCCCTTCCCCTCCTCTAGCACCGTTGCACGTTCCCAAGCCTCCGCCGTACACGTCCTCGCAAAATGCTCGGTGTGCATAACCTATGACACAAGAAAAACGGGTATTGTATGTTGAAAGGACATGGTCGGTTGACAAAGGAATGTAAGAAGATGGACCGCCGATAGATGAATCGAGACAAGTATGCTGCTAAGCCCAGCAGAGTCCAGTAAATGCCTTCCCTTCCCTCTCCTTTTGAATGATATGATATAAGAAGGTAAATGTGCGTCCGTAAAGTCGTAGTTCGAGTCGGGTCGGTGCCCGTATCTTCGTCCATGGTTGTATCTGTGCCGCTGTGTGCGGGCGCCAGACACATGCTGTGTCCCGCAGTGCATGTGGCAGTGTCGTACCAGGCACGCACGCGTGTGCTGTATATCGTAGGTGTAACATTAGGAGCCGCTTCGATTGGCTCGTTTTGCGTGCCCACGCGCGCTCCGCCCTCGCATCCCCACGCGCGGGGCTCGCTCCCTCACGTCCTCATCGGCAGCTCAGCGCAAGGACTCGAGCTGTCTATGCGCGGCCAGTCGCTGACCGCCCGAACTCCCGTATGCGTACGGAGGGGATCTTGGAGAGGCGGCGGTTGGCGGTCGCGGTGGAGCTTGTGGATGACGTGGGCGACGAGGCGCTGATGTATTCGCCGTCGACGTACTGGGCATCGCTGATGAAGGTAGTGCGCTTCTCGCGGCGGGTGTAGCGCTGCTCAAGGCGGTAGAGCTCAAGTCCTGGTGCCGTTAGCCATGGCGTCTCGTCTGGTTTCTGGTCGCGTGCGCCAAAGCGCCCGCAAAAGACGTACTAGCTTGAAGCTTCTCGAAGAAACCCATCTTGGATGTTGTTTTGAGTGAGTGTGTGCGTTTGAGGTCGTCTGTGGGCGGGCTGGGCGGGCGCGAGCGGTATATACTGCGCGGAGGGCAGGGAGCCGGGGAAAATCCAAGTCTGACGCAGTGAGGGTATCGGCTGCACGTCTCCCGCAGGATCTCCAGGCGATCAGCTATATTTGGGTGGGCAAGAACACTGGCAACGCGGACGCGACGACGACGGTAGAGAGCGAATGTGTCGAGGAGGCAGAGGGGTAGGAACGAGCAGAGGAGAAGGGCTGGAGAGCCAGCGGCGTGCAGCGTGCAGCGGGCTTAAGCAGGGGTAGATGGGTCTGGACGGTTGGGATTCGCCCATACCGCGCCATTTCTCGCTGGCGCAAGCCATCTCGAATCGTCGGAATCGCCGCTTGCCTGGATCCAGACCCACGCCCGTCTCCACGCTCTCGCAAACCCGCCATCGGTGCCCCTGCGTGTCTGTGACAGCTGCCGGCCGCATCGCCTGCCTGAAACCCTTCTGCCGAGGAGCCTCATTTGGCAGGTGCCATGCACGTGGATCACACTTTTCCCAGCTCTAAAAGGCCCCGATTCCTCACTACTGCACCTACCGCCCAACCTGCCGTTCATCAACCTGCCGCGCGCTGCCCGAGTCAGTCTCCCACGCTGGGGGAACCTCTAGCCAGTTCGAGATCCTAAAACGTGCCGCCTCCCCGGCACAGACGCCTACTCCAGGGGTGCATTGACACCCTGACATCTAAAATCGCCCTACGGGCCCGCACCCCGAGAATTGGACAATAAACACACCTCGGTCAATGCGCATCACACAACGCCACCTTGGTTACGCGAACAACGTCCTTGGAACACGATGCATTTCAGGGTGTTCTATAATTATGTGGCTGGCATGGCAAACTCCCCCCGCAGCCGTGTTTGTTTCTTGGCCCCCGAGTCAGTGAGATTCCATGCCCTCGTGCTTCAACCTTATATGTATCGCCTAGACGCCGTGACGGATGCTTCGAACGTCATGGCATATGCTCTGTTCATGCTCATGATTTGGTAACTGAAAATGCAAGTGCAATGAGGTGCTGTATCCTCAGATCCTAGCTTCAGGCACAGGACCGCCGTCGACGACCGCAATCGCGCCAACGTTGCCCGCGTCTGCCGACCCGTTAAGCAGAGAGATGCAAGAGATGACGTCGGATGGCTCGAGGAGATGCCAGCTTGCCAATGTCTGTTTAGAACTGGCACCCACAGTGACGGAGAAGACGTGGTCTTCCGGTAGCTCCGATTGCCGCAGCGACCGGAACATGTCTAGGAATGTTAGCATGTCGAGATGTCGATATGAGGAGTAGACTCACCTTCGTCTGTAAAATCATCTCCGAGGCAGAGTACGAACTCGGGAGGCTCTGCGCCATACTCTTCCACAAGTCTCTTTGCAATCTCGCCCTTGTTGACGAATCGTGGGCGGACTTCAAGGTTGGCTTTGCCAGTCATCACCTCCACGTCGTACTTCTTGCCAATCGTGTTCTCGAGATGCTTCTGGCACTCTCGCGCTTGGAAGGCACCCCACTCTGGATCTGCGAGCCGATAATGCCAGGTAAGAGCAATCTTCTTAGTTTCAACAAACGACCCTGCCGAATGTTAGATGCGACGAACTCCTACCGGGCGAACTGCCTACCTGGAGTCTTATCGGCGTAGTGCTGGAAGACCTCTGCCGCCTCCGATCGCCAGCTCATGTCTGTTGTCTCGGTGAGATTCTCCCAGTCGTTTGTAGCAGGATGGCGCATGAAGCTTCCGTGCTCGGCACTCAGACCCAGCTCAGTTATGTGACCCATCCACTCGTCCAGGAAGGCTTGGTCTCTGCCACTGATGATCCAAACACTGTTGGCTGGATCGGCTGCAAGCGTTTTAAGCGTACGGGTCACACGGTCCGAAGGTATCGCCTGACCAGGGTCTTTGACGATGGGAGTGAGTGTACCATCATAATCGAACATGAAGAGCCGCTTCTTGGAGTTCCGATATTGTTGGAGCAGCTTGGCCCTGTCGAGCGCTGGTGTTGCAAAAGACTGGTCAAAGGACGATAAGTTGGTCATTAGTCTCTTCAAGAAGTTGTTGCACCACGCCTGAACATTGTTCGAGACGACATGCTTGTACAGCTTCTGGTAGTCCTGCTTACGCTGCTCCAATGGCATTGTCAAGGCATTGTTGATCGCCTCCGCGACGCCGCTGAAGTCGAAAGGATTGATGTGGATTGCGCCACTGAGGGAGCCTGCGGTTCCAGAAAATTCGGACAGAATCAACGGACCGCAGTTGTCTTTTTGGGAGATGATGTATTCGAGGCTGGTCGTGTTCATGCCATCTCGCACGCTGGTGATCAAGCCAACATCGGCAAGACGGAGTAGAGCAAAGTACTCTTCCCGCTCCAGATATTGAGGAAAGTGCCTTACTGGCGTAAAGCTGAGCGAACCATAGACGCCGTTGATTCTAGCCACGAGGTCTGAGAGTTTGTTCATCATCTTCTCGTCGTCGTTGGCTTTCTTGTCAGCGTGGATGCTGCTGGGACTCGTCACTTGTACAAGGACAACTTTTCCACGCCATTCTGGGTATCGTTCGAGGAAAAGTTCAAAGGCTTGCAGCTTCTGCAGCACGCCTCGGGCCGCATCCAGCCTGTCTCGACCAATGATTATCTTCTTATCCGGATACATATCTTTAATGGCTTTGATTTTCTCTTCGATGACCGGGTCCTCGAAAGCCTGCTTCTGTGTGGAGGCTGCGTTGATGCCGATAGGAAATACGTCTACGGCAACGTGAGCTCCATATGCATCGACACCTGCTGATGAAGAGTCGAAACCAAGGATGCGTGTGCAGCATGACGAAAAGTGCCGCGAGTAGCTGTAAGACTGGAAACCGATCATGTTGGCGCCCAACACACCTTCGAGAATCTCCTTTCTTCGGCTGAGACAGCGGTAGAACTCGCTGCTGGGGAACGGTACATGAAGGAAGAAACCAACATAGATGTTGGGGAGGCGCTGGCGAAGAAGGCTGGGGAGAAGGAATAGGTAGAAATCGTGAACAATAACGATGTCGCCTGGATTGTACAGTTCCAGAATACGGTCCGCATAAAGCTTATTCATGCGGTAGTAGTCGGCCCATGATTTGCGAGCAGCCCTTCCGTCTGCGGGCTCATTCTGCTTGTAGTGGCACAGGGTGTACAGCTCGTGTTCAGCATAGGTGCGCCACCGGCCCTGGTCTTTCAGAACCACCTCATCGTTCTTCTCGTCCACTTCATCAGGTAGCCAAACGGGAACGATCTTGCCCCCATGATCGCGCTCCAGCTGCTTCTCCAGACGATTACGGTCTTCGCGGCCGATTCGCAGGCCCTGCTCCTGTGGGGGAGCCGGAGGGGGCGCCCCATCGATTGGCACGGGAGCAGCAGCCTTGTTGCCTGATGGTTGAAGCGCAGCATCGACTTCCTCAGTGGTCTTCTTGCGAATCTCTCCTGTCCACCCAACAAGGGTATGGTTCCATGGAGATGAAGACGATGCAAGGTAAGAGAAGGAATCGAAGAGTGCAGACGTGCCGCGTCGGGGCAGTAGGTCGAAGTCCTGCCCTGGGGCATAGGCAATATTGTATGGTACAGCGAATGTTGCGCTGATGAGACGTCCGCTAAGGTTTAGCTCAGGATGGGCAGCGCGAGGGTCGACATCGGCCAGATCTTGTTTGTAGGCGGTGGAGGGGTCCTGTACCCCGCTGAGCCGTCGCAACAATTCCTCTCCAGACTTCGCGCCCGCTGCAGCTTCGGTAGGTGAGGACGCGCGATCTTCCTCCTTTGGGGTGAAGTAGGAATTGGCGCTCCACGAGGGGCCGGGAGTGGCCTTCTCTGGATCGAATGGTAGTGTGCTGTCCTGCTGACCATTTGAAGGGTTCGTATAGGCGGAGTGACCTGACAAGTGAACACCGGGTGTTACAGGAACATCGGTGACAGCGGGCTGGAGTGCAGGATGTGAGTTATGTGAAGGTTCGTCGACTGCCTCGGGTTCCTCGCGGGTTGGCCGCGTAGGAAGAGACATGTTCGGCGCGAGAGAGTCGAGATTCAGGCGCTGTGCGGCGGGTTAGTGAGCGAAGTGGTGGAGTAGCGGAGCGGTATTGGGACAGGCGGGAGATCGCAATGGCGTTAAGTAAACAGGTGGCACCAGGGCAAAATATGCGGGACCGTGCCTCAATCGCAGCAAGCTTACCTGGGAGACGGCGCCTTTTGTGAGGGGAGGAGGAGTGAAGGAAGGAGAGACGGACGAACCGTGCCTGCTGTTGTGAATAGGCGTGGTGGGGGTGTTTGGAACAACAGCGCGGGACAGGTACAGGCACTTCAACCAGGCCCAGCCATACCAGGGCGTGCTTTAACAGTACGTCAGTCTGCGTCGCGGAGCTTGGGCCAAGGTTAGCAGTGCTGTATTATCTGTGCACACTGCCTACGCGACCCACTATTGCACGGCGACGCTGCACGTTTTCAAGAAGGACTTTTTCATGAAGTTATAACATGATGACGTAGGTCCAATGGTCGCGTTCTAGCACCTAGAACGGCAACGCGCCTTGCCCGGGCATGTGTCTTTAAGTTCAAGCTGGCTGCGCTGGGCTTGATTGTATGTGAGACATCGCGCTCGGCAGGCGGTCACCAGTGAGTGGTACAGCAAGTGATAGAAGCGACGCATGTAGCTGGAGTCTCCTCCGCATGCCCACATCGACATCGTTTCTGGGAGAAGAGGGCTGCACAGGCACGGGCCAGACTTCGGCACACATGGGTCCTACTACGCGTCGAGATGCTTCTCTTGCTGCCCACTGAGCCAACATCAGGCCATCTGAGGAGCAGGAACAAGCAGCATGCGGTGCGGGAACGCGCATCGCGTCCGGGCTTGCCCTGAAGCGGCGTAGTGGCTTGGCTACGCAACGAGCATCAAATGTGAACATCCATCGCCAGGTGCGCGACCGCTACCAATTGGCCCTCCATCGTGCCCTATTCGCCACCCTCGCAGCGGGCCTCTCATGAAGCTCCCTCGCGCTGGGCCTATTTGTCGTGCCTCGAATTGCTTCTCGCCCTCAGCCTTTCTGTACCAGAACTTCGTCGCACCGTTTTATGCCACACGCCAGCAGCGTTTCTCTTCGTCCGCACCCGCGCCCAAAGCGGCCGAGCATGAATCGCCCAAACCTTCCTCCAAAGCCTCTAGCTATTCCAACGAAGTGTCCTTTGACAAACAAAGGGGGATTGCAGATACGAAGATTCGTTATTTCGAGAAGCGTGCTCAGAAGAAGGAAAAGTCGCTGAAGGATTATAGGAAGCAGTTGGGCCCAGCACCAAAGTCGGTGGAGGAATGGAATAGGGTGTTGGGCCCAGCGCCGAAGGCTTCCGAAAGAGATGAATTAAGAGACCGAAGGGGGCTGGCCCATGCTTCCGAAACATACGTCGAGCAATTGCTGTTGAGAGCCAGACTTGCTTGCGATGTAGGTGAAGACTATGCACCTATGCTTGTCAGACCTCTGGCGGGACGAGCGCTTGTTCCTGAGCAGAAATGGCCCTGGTCTGCCAAAGCTTCGCAGGCGAATCTCGATGCCATGTCCAGGTAACGAATTGTTCTCTGTCACTGCAGACTCTTGTTGACGCCGTTGTTGTTATAGGCTGAATCGAGAGATTAATGACTTCTACGAATACGCGAAGCCTACTAGAGCAGAAACCTTTGCGCGGAAAAACCTCGTCGAGCAAATTCGCGCAGACGTGCGCGCACGTCTTCCAAACCATATCCTAGAAGTATTTGGATCGGAACGAACAGGCATGGCGCTCGCGCTGTCCGACATCGATCTGCGACTTGTCAAGCGTGACGACTTGGACCAACAGGCGTCAGACAAGCCACCCACACCCGAGGAGCGGAGGGATATTCTTCGGAACTTGTACGATCTCCGGTACAAAGTTTTTGACAACGCAAAGACCGCAGCGAAATACCTGCAGCCGACTGTGCGGCACGCTCGATATCCTCTGGTCGGAGTGCAAGATCGTGGCTCGGGCCTCGAAGTACAAGTCGTGGCGTCCAACGATACCGCCAAACAGAGAGAATATATACAGCGGTACATGAAAGAGTACCCTTACATCCGACAGACGTACGCGGTGATCAAGACCATGTTTGACCAGCGAGGGCTTTCAGACGTTTTCCGAGGAGGCTTCGGATCATACCCGCTCTTTATGATGTTAGTCGTAAGTCTGCAACAGCAGCCAAACCAAAGGAGGGATGCAGCCGGTGCCCTTATCAACTTCTTGTACTACTGGGCATACTTCAAGACCAAGGAGAAGGGCGTCTCCGTTTCTCCTCCTGAGTACTTTGACAAGAAGGAGAATCCTATCCTTACAGAAACCTTGAAAGCGAAACTAGACGTAAGTCAAGCACACTTCTGAAATATACACACATGCTAAATGATCTCTAGGCGGGAACAACGAAGCCTCTCCCAAACTACGTCCTCTCCCTCCGCGACCCAGCCGATGAAACAAACGACCTAGGCCGCAAAGCAACATCCATCCTGCACGCCCAAGCCACCCTCCGCTACCTCATCGCCAACATAATCGAGAACCTCAACGCAAACAACCGCCCCAGCCTCCTCGCCGAGATTGTTGGCGAGGTCTACGCCCGCGACCGCGTCCGCCGCGAGAGGCTCACCGAGCACGGCCTTTGGGTACAGAAGCAAGTGCTGAAGTCGTTTGCGGCCGCGAAGCAGACTCAGTCGCCGCCACAGGAGGAGGCTATCGCGCAGTCCACCCCGCAGGAAACACAAGGCGACATCCACGGTTTCCTCGAGGCGGACATGGAGCCCGCAGCGCCCGCTGGCATCCGGCGAACAAGAAAAACAAATGGTCACCGACAACGCGAGATCAGGTACACAGTAAACGACGGAGGAGTGGACTTCAATGGGGTCGACAACGAGGAAGGTACTCCTGTTCTCGACCAGCCTCCCACGGTTTCAGTCAACAGTTTTTGGCAAGCCTGAAATGAGGCGTCGTTCCTGGCGAAGGCGTGCAACAAGCGATAAGAGGGAAGAAGGCCCATGCGCTGAGAACGGGGGCGTGCATGTAGAAATGTATATGTAACTATCGCGTAGAGGATGGGCGAGGCTGGATGTGGGCATGGATACGTCCGCCTGGCGTTCGAAAAACAGACACGGGTGACGCATCCGCTCTGTGTAGCGCAGAGGCCCGGGGATTCGCCCGAATAGCCTGGCAATTAAACCAAAACACAAAACAAACTAGTTGGCCACGAGACCCATACACCTTAATGTCACTGGCACTAAAACCATGATCGCTCGCTCTCCGGGATAATCATTCTCCAGCCTAGGCTCATAGCCACATCACACACATCGCAGCTAGCAATCGGAACAGGAACCAGTGATCTAGTCATGCTTATCCGATCCCTCACGCCTATAAACAAAACCCACGTATGCATCATGGGAGGAAAAAGTGGTAACAAAGGAACACCTATTTGAGCGGAACAATGCAAGACAGCGCCTGTCTTGCTCACTCAACTCTGACAGTCGCAGGACGATGAAAAATCTCCTCATGTGTCCGCCAGTTCCATGTCCATGCAGCCTCTCCATCTCGCAGCCGTGCCGCCCCGCATCGTGAACCGTGATATATCCGTCAGCACTGGAGAAAGCGAACTAGATTGCGTACTTCCGGGTCCACTCCCGGGCTGTCGACTCATAGCGGGACCGGTCCGTCTTGTACACGTGTGCGATCTCGGGGACGAGCGGGTCGTCGGGGTTTGGGTCCGTCAGCATGGAGCAGATGCTCAGCAGGACTGGGAGGGGTTAGCCAATCAGTACTTTATGCGATGGTTTGCAAGGCCCGGGAAGTCCTCGTGCTGATATGCGCAGTCATGTGGGAAAAGCAGGCATCGACATACCCTTGCTAATGGTCAAGGCTGGGCTCCACTGATCTCGCAGAATGTCCAAGCAGATGCTGCCGTTTGAGTTGATGTTGGGGTGGTAGATGCGGGTGGTGAAGTTGACCTTCGGCGGCTTGAAGGGGTAGTCGGTAGGGAAGTGGATCGCGAGGAAGAAGACGCCGCCTGAGTACGGTGAGTCGCTCTGTTGCGAATGTTAGCGTCATCGCGGGCTGGTGGAGGGCTGTGGCGGGACCGCGCAGGCAGCGAGCCGCGAGCGATGCCGGGTGTACGTACAGGACCCATAATGGTTGCTTGCCAGTGGAACTGCAGCCTCGTTAGTCGGTGTGCCTCTGGTCATGGCGGTGTCGTGCGGCAGCGACAGCGATGCGGCCGCCTCAGCCGCAGGTTCACGAAGGGTGTGACGTACCAGGTCATCTCCGATGGGTCCGGCACTACAGGACGAGGGAGGGTCACTGTACGCAGAGTCAGTTCAGCGTCTGGGTTGCAGCATAGCAGGGCTGCTGCCGATGTATACAGAGGCTCCGTCGCCCCGCACTGCGGGCTGTCATGCGAGCAAACAGGCGGGCAGCGCGGCGCGGCGGGCGGGCAGCACGTACCGGCCGAGGTCAGTGAGCTCCTTGTTGATGCGCTTGAGAGCCATGGTTGTGTGTGTGGTGTGCCGGTGCGGGTGGTGCGGTATAACGTGAAGTCAGAGAGTGTCGGTGGTTGTTTGAAGAAGAGAAGTGGGCTGGCTGCAAGAGAGTTAGCGCTTTGATCCCGCTGTGCGGCGTGGCCCAGCGTATCAGCGGAAGGCACCCGCCCCCGCTGCAGAACGTACTTGTGACTTCGCTCTCTTACGTCGTTGGCAGGCAGGGCGTGTGGCTGAAGGCGATCGAGTTGAACAGGGCGGTAGAGGTGCGGCCAGGGTGCCTTGTATTATATGTACAGCAGCTCTGGAGGCGCGGCCGAGACAGCAATCGAGGCCAGCCGTCACAGCCCGCCCGCAAAATTATTCACCGACGTCCTGACCGCAGCGCAGCGCGGCAAGTGGCAACTAGTCGAAGTCGAAAGAAGGTCTAGCGGCCGCTCGCAGGCTGACCTGTGCCCTGCGTGCCTCTCTTAATAATGCATTGGTGATGCTGTTTCCACTTCACCACCTGACAAACGCTTCAACATCACGGCTCTTGCAAACGGCTTGAGTCTCACGGGTTTCGAAACCATGAGACGAGTCGACTCGCATGCACCATTTCCTATTTCTATCACGCCTTTGCATGCATGACATGCGTCCACTGTCCACGACAGCTGCAAGCCAACGCTTGGGGCTACGTGCTATGGCTACACAACCGAACCTCTGCAGCTATCATTGACCAGTATACATAGTACGCGCGGGCCTCAACGTTCAGCAAAATGCTTGGATCCCCGTGATAGCCCTGCCTAGAATCAAGGCTGGCGGCCAGGTTAGCATGCGCCAAACACCGCGCAGCAGGGTACTCACAGTGGATGTCACTTTGTCCTTCGTACGTCTGGGTCACGAAGAGATTCGCCACGTGTCTGCCGATGCCGTACTCGTCGCTCACAGCGTTGCCACCGAACACTTCCTGCAGCCTGCAATTTTTCTTAGTCAGCCAATACAGCGTTGAATACACTTGCAAGTATGCTTACGTTCGTGCATTGATCAATGCTCGGTCGCAATTTTGGCGCTTGATCATGGAGATCATCTCGGGTGCTGCCTTGCCCTCGTCCTTCAACCGTCCAACTTGGTAGGCTGCAAGGATACCGTATGCCGCGTCCGTCGTAGCATCGGCCAGCTTCTTCTGCACGAGCTGGTACTTCGCGATTGGGTTGCCCTTGAACTGCTTCCGCTCAAGCGCGTACGTTCTTGTTCTGGAGATGCAGTCCTCGAGGGCGCCGATGGTTCCCCAGGCAATGCCATATCTCGCAGAGTTCAGACAGCTGAAAGGACCTCGGAGGCCTTCTACTTCTGGGAACATGTTGGCCTCGTTCACGGGACAGGCATCCAAGTGGATCATTCCAGTAAGAGAAGCTCTCAGGCCGTTCTTGTTCTTGATTGCTGGTGTCTCGAGAGTTCCAGGAGGGCACTGGTCACGCTCGATCACGAACCCGCGGATTTTTCCAGTGCTTTCCAATTTCGCCCACACAAGAAGCACGTCGGCTATGGGCGAGTTTGTGATCCACGTCTTTGATCCTGAGAGCAGATAGACGCCCTTCTTGGACGGGTGCGGCTTCGCCACAGTCTCCATTGATCCAGGGTCGGAGCCGTGATTTGGTTCTGTCAACCCAAAGCATCCGAGAAGCTTGCCCTTAGCCATCTTCGGCAGAAGCCTCTCCTTGAGCTCTTCGGTTCCAAATTCTTCAATTCCGCCCATGGCAAGCGCGCTCTGCACCGAGTAGCCGGACCGGTACCCTGAATCGACTCTCTCGACTGCTCGCGTGATTAGTCCAGATGCGACGCTGCTGACACCGGCACATTCGTAGCCTTGGATGGTGGCTCCCAGGAGACCTAGTTCTCCCATTTCCTCAATTATCTTCCTGTCAAAGTTCTCATTCCGATAGGCATCTGCATGATTGCATTAGTGATGCGGTCTCTCATTGTAGGTGGGCCTGATTTACCCAGCACCCTCGGTAGCATGCGTTCTTGACAGTACGACTCTGCCGTCTCGGCAATTGCGAGTTCTTCTTCAGTGTAATTGTTGGCAACGTTGAGGGGGTCCTTCCAGTCGAAGGATACTGGTGTGTGCAAGTGGCGTCTTCCTGCAATTGCAGCACGGTTTGTGGACGTCAATTGCCTTGCGGCATGTCGGCACACTGGCTTAAACATATTTTACAGCGTATCAATTGAAAATGCAAAACAAAAGAGAGGAGTTGTAACAAAATGTATGCGGATGTAGACGTAGAAGTAGTCTCACCCCACCTCGATCCCGAACGTTGCCTTGGGCCGCGGCTTCTTTCAGAGCTAACCTAAACGCCCTAAACGCTTCCAAGTGATGATGAACACTCAAGTAACACCTCTTGCGGGTATGATCGGGATCTATATGTAATGGTTCTTTACAATAGCCTGCATCTCAAGCCTGTCAAACCATGCAAGGGTTGGATGCTTGTTCGGTGCCAAGCAATGTAGGGCTGAAAGTGGTTGGCGGGTGATTTCGCGTCGTGCGCGTCTGGGACGTGACGTCGCCCAGCCTCGCCCACCAGAATCACGCGTCTTAATTCCTCGCTCCACCAAACAGTGCACTGCTCCAGACAACCCCAAACACAGCAGTACACAGCACACGCCACAATGGGTATCAAACAGCTCTTCCAGATCATCCAGGAGCATGCGCCCGATGCCATCAAGACGGGCGAGATCAAGAACCACTTCGGCCGGAAGGTCGCCATAGTAAGTATGCAAAATGTAGGACTTTTGGACGTTGTTGACGCGTGCAGGACGCCTCCATGAGCATCTACAGCTTCCTCATCGCCGTGCGCTCCGACGGCCAGCAACTTATGAACGAGTCCGGCGAAACCACATCCCACCTCATGGGCCTCTTCTACCGCACACTTCGCATGGTCGACAACGGCATAAAGCCCCTCTACGTGTTCGACGGCGCGCCCCCGAAGCTCAAGTCCGGCGAACTCGCGAAGCGGTTCCAGCGCAAGACGGAGGCGCAGGCGGCACAGGAAGAAGCAAAGGAGACGGGTACTGCAGAGGACATTGAGAAGTTTGCGCGGCGGACGGTGAGGGTCACACGAGAGCACAACGAGGAATGCCGGCGGTTGCTCAAGCTTATGGGGATTCCGTACATCGTGGCGCCGACGGAGGCTGAGGCACAGTGTGCGGAGCTGGCCCGGGGCGGGAAGGTGTATGCAGCTGCGAGTGAGGATATGGATACGTTGACGTTCAACGCGCCGATTCTGTTGCGACATCTCACGTTCAGCGAGCAGCGCAAAGAGCCGATTTTGGAGATCCATCTCGATAAGGTGCTCGAGGGACTGGACATGAAGCGGGAGCAGGTATGTCACGTATTCAACTCGTCAAGGAGTACAACAATTGACTGACAGTCCAGTTCGTCGACCTCTGCATCCTCCTCGGCTGCGACTACGTCGACCCCATCAAAGGCGTTGGTCCCTCCACCGCCCTGAAGCTCATCCGCGAGCACGGCACCCTCGAGAAAGTCTACGAGACCATGAAGGCTAGCTCCAAATACACCATCCCAGAGGACTGGCCCTTTGCCGACGCGCGCGCCCTCTTCCACGAGCCCGATGTCCGCTCCGCCGACGACCCAGAGTGCGACTTCAAGTGGGAAGCTCCCGATGTCGAAGGCCTCGTCAAGTTTCTGGTTGAGGAGAAGCACTTCAACGAGGACCGCGTGCGGAGCGGTGCGAGCAAGCTGCAGAAGAATCTTAAGACTGCGCAGCAGAGTCGGTTGGAGGGATTCTTTAAGCCGGTAGAGAAGTCGGCGGAGCAGAAGGCAAGTCTGAAGAGGAAGGCAGAGCAGAAGCTGGAGGAGAAGAAAAAGAAGCAGAAGGCGGATGCGAAGGAGAAGAAGGCTGCCAAGTCGAAGGCGAGGGGTGGCGCTTGAGCGAAATGTGTGGCATGTGAGAGATATCATGCATACTGATGCGGTCTGCGGCGAAACGGCGAAACGGCGAAACAGCGAAACGGCGAAACAGCGAAACGGCGAAACGGCCGGAAAAGGGGCTAGGCACGAATGCATGAGAACGCGGGCATGCGTATGGCGAACAAGGCGTTTCAGTGGCGTTACCGAGCATTCTTGCACAGTGGAATACCTTAGGGAATGCTCGCTAGGTACAAGGTGGTATTGTCTTTTGCCTAGCCGACGCGTTTGCGCCGAAGGCCTTACGACACATCAACTAATTCTGAAGATACCAATTTCATGTTTCTGATAACGGAGCTTGTAAATACCCGCTGTTGTCACCACACTTGCGATTCGAGCGTGTATCGAAATGTGAGAGTGGTAGAGCCTGGGTGTGAGCATGAGTATTCAGTGCTAGTCACCTAGACTACTTCTCATCCGAAAGCAAACTTGTGTTCCCTAAAGTTTCTAGTTCATCCAAGCGATGACCCTAATCGCTCGGTTATACCGAGGATCAAAGCCTATCCCATCTCATGTAGCCCAACCTTTTCCGTTCATAGGTTGCGCGCCCAACTGCCCATTAAGCTTCGATTGAAAGCTTTTCAACGACGGCGGCCATACTCGTTATACCACCGCCTGGCAGGGCGCGATAAGTCCAGACTGTATTGAAGCACTGGGCCTCACTCACCTAGTGCTCGAGGCGGAGCTTGCGTATGATCCACTCTGTGATTACCGAGGTGCACCCAGATGTTGATGACGTGTAGATCTTTGGTGAATATCTAGTGTTCACATAGTACATGCTGATACTTGGAACGGTTCGAACTGTACATTACCGTGCGACCGGTCCCCAGCATTATATGTCTCCCTGGGGCAATAGAGGGTACCAGACTCAAAATCTAGAGAGGTTGAAGACGAGCTCGTCGGATTCATTTGTGCTCCTTGCATCTCTCATTCATATGAAGCAAGGAAATCCAGAGGTCAAGAAGATGCCAGAAAAAGAGACAGTGGTGTTGGACTCCTGGACGTCTATAGCATGAAAAATGCTAGTGTAGGCAGCGTGAACGCCTTCGTAAAGATTGCTCAAGGTAACAGGCGGAAACTCCCGGCTGCGTTCATCCTGGGTGAACTTGTATGCCTTTACAATAGTCGTCTAGCCCCACATTAGGTACTCCCGGACGTTGAGAGAGTTCGTGTCCTCACTGCCATGAAGGGTGCGGTTGTGCTAGACGCAATCTGTGTGATGCGCTTGACATTGCCATCACGTTCGAGGACTTGCTGATACACTCGGCTACCTTCGTTGTCGAGGGAAGGTGGGGAAGACGAAGTCGAGCGTCGAAGAGAGGGAGGTTCATTGTAAACAGCGCGTAGCCAAGCCGACCACAAACTATCGTGAGAGGCAAACGCATGTGAAGGCGAAGGCCGAAGTAAGCGACGCTCTCACTGAGAGCAAACGGACCAGACAGCGGCCGTTTAGTGAGTCCAGTCTGCGAATTAGCATCATCTCGCCTCCTGTCGCGGATTCAGATCCTCACTACTACGAAGTCGGAACTGCAGGCAGAATTTCAGAAATTTATCCAGGGATCGTCACCGGGATGAATGCCAAACATATAAAAGCGAAACCGAATTCAACGCCTCTCGCGACCGGCAACCTCATGAACCACAAACACACACACACACACACACACACACACAGCGAACAGTAGATACAATTTATTTCACATAGCATTATCACTCACGCCTAAACGCTTTAGCACAAACACGCTCACTATGGACTATGAAGTCAAGACAAGTCATAATCTTCGTAAACCCCGCCCTCCATCCGTTACCGCTGGGGTATCTCCACCAAGCCCGATCATGAGAAATGCCGCTTGCCGCTTACACATCACCAACGCATCTCCACTGAAAATATCAAGTAATGAAAGCCAAAGCAAAGAAGAAAAAAAGAAAACGACCAAGGACGACTCATTAAAAAGGCCACGAAACGCATGCTACCGAAACAACCCATTCAACACGCTCTCCAGCTTTGTCGCGAGCGGATCCTCATCCCGCACGCGGCCAGTCTCGTCGAACCGTGGTGGCAGCTCGATAGTCTCGTCCGACGCATTTGAGGCGGGAGACTCGTCTCGCTTCCTGCGGTCCCTGTGTCCGTCCCTATCGCGCCTCCGCCTACCATCTCTATCGCGGTCACGCTCTTGCTCTTGCTCTCGCTCCCGCTCACGCTCAGGTGCCTTCTCCCCATCAGGCGTAAATTCCCACTCCTGCGGCTGCAAATCAAACATGACGCTCTTCTCGCTCGCGGGCTTGACCGGCTCCGGCTGAATCGTTGTCTCGGTCTCGCGAGACGCCGAATGAATGGGAGACGGAACGTTGTGAATGGGCGAGTTGGCATGCTGCGCGCCTAGACGATCTGCGACTCCAATGTTAGCAGGGCTAATTCCACGGCCAGGCGAAAGCCTAGACCCACCGAAACGAGAAGCGTGCACGTGCTCGGGGAGGGGAGGATCGCGAGCACTCACATTGTCATCCGGGCGGCGGTAGCGGGGGTCCTGATGCGCGTAGGGGTTGCCCGGCTCGGGCGGTGGTGGGGTGTAACCCGTGGCGGGGTGGATGTGGCCAGCGTTTGAGGGCGAGTAGCCGTTGTTTGGGGGAGGATAGTCGGCGGGGTTGTAGGGTGGGTAGTTGTTGTTGTTGTTGCTGTAGTCTACAGGTTGGGTTGGTGGTGGGGGAAAGTAGTTCGTTTGAGGAAAGTACTGGGGATCTTCGGCGCCGGGAGGGGGAGGGCTGTAGCTGCCGGTGGAATAGGCTGAGTCTTCTTGTCCTGTGGATGTTTAGACTGGCGGTTCAACGTCTGGATGCGAAGAATACCTACGTTGTCGCTCGCGTTCAGCCTTCTTCTTCTCGCGCCGCTTCGCTGCCTCGTGAGCAGCCAGGCCAGCTACACCGGCAACAGCAGCAGTCTCGGCAGCTTTGCGTGTCCGACTCTTGCTGCGGCTTCTACTGGATCGAGAACGCCGCCGTCCACCACCCGAAGAGGATGACGAGCTGCGACGCCGATGCCTGTGGTCCGCCGGGTCGTAGTCGCGAGACCGGCGGCTCGAGGGGCGATCGGTATAGATAGGATCACCACCGTACTCTACAAGGGCTGCGTCACCAGCTGTGCTTCCGCGTCTACCGGAACGTACCGACCTGGATCTCGACCTTGATCTCGACCTCGACAACTCTTTGGCCTCCTTCTTAGCCTTTCGCTTCTCGTACAAGCCCGTCACAGCCGCGCCGGCTACGCCAGCAGCAGCAATCGGAATGCCTTGACGAACTCGGCTGCGGCTCCGTCCACCCTTCTTCTCGCGCGACTTGCTACGTTGATGTTCGACAAGACCGGCGACTGCCGCACTAGCGAGGCCGACCTGCGCAGCACGCCGATTGCGATGCTCAGGGCTCATGTGCCTGCTCTCCGACCTGCCTCGTGAGCCTTGACTCTTGACAGACACGGCCCGGGAACGGGACCGGGAAGACTTTCGACGCCTAGATCTGCTGCGGCGGTCTTCAATGATCGTCGTCTGTGTCTCCTTCTTCCCGCGTTTCCCTGCGGCGTATGCCAGGGCTCCGATACCGGCGACAGCCGCAAGAGTGCCCAGCTTCTTCGTGCGTGACGAGGAGCGGCTCCTACGCCTGCGGCCACGGTCACCCGACCAGGACCTCGAACGGGAGCGGGCCCTGTAGCGGCTAATGGCTTCGGCGCCCACCGCTCCCAGCGCACCATAACCGGCAACTTGACGGAGGTGGTGGCCGGGATCTTCTCCTTCCCTCTTTCGACGATGCCTGATCAGCTCAGCCGCGGCCACGCCACCGAGGACACCTTCAGCGAGGTGACGGCGGTGGTTAGGGCTGACGTCGCGGCCACTGCCCCAGGTATCCTTTTCCTTGTGGATGAAGACTACGTCATCGTCGCTGTACGCGTCCCTATCGTAGCGACCGCGACCGTATTCACGCTCATCGTAGTAGCTCTCTTCGCGGCGGCCACCACGATCGATTTCCTTGACCTTTCGCTCATAGTAATAATCTTCGTCTCTGCGAGGCTCGCGCCGGGCAACCTGTCGGTCTTCGACTCGCTCAACAAGCTCGTAAGATGGCTCTTCTCGTCGGATGATGACCTGCTGGGGGGCCGACTCTTGAAGAATGATGGGCTGCGGGGCCTCGTTGCGGATAATGATAGGTTGCGGCTGCTGAGGCTCCGGACGGAAGAACTCGGTGGATCTTGAGTAACGTTCCAGCGAGTACGGCTCGCGCTCGACCTCGCGCTCGACCTGACGTTCCACACGGTACTCTCTGACCGGGGACGGCGAGCGCTCTACTTCGCGCTCGATGCGGTACTCGCGAATCTCGCGGCGGGGGGAGGGGTCACGCTCAACCTCGCGCTCGCGCTCGACGAAGCGGTACTCTCGGACTTCGCGGTCGCCGTGGTCGTGGTGGTCATGGTGGTGGTGGTCGTCGACAGTGTACCTGCGCACCTCTCTGCGCTCTTCGATGTCCTCGTGGTGCGGTCGTTCGCGGTGGACGAGGCGCATTTCCGACTCGTAGCGGTCCTCCTCGAGTGCGTTGTCGGGAATCTTGTAGCGCTTTACTGTCGTGTAACTGCGACCCCCGTGGGAGCCCGTCTCCCAGTCGCGCTCCCGCTCCCGCTCTCTAAATATGGTCGACATGGCGCACAAGCGGGGTGTTAGGCAGCGGGCCGAGCGGACCGAGCGGACCCTGTCTCGCGAGTGTGGTGTTTATATGTAGATGCAGTGCCAGTGGGCGGCGATCCGGTGCGGTGAGAGTGGTGAATGGTGCGTGGCAGGCGGCAGCGCAGTGACGCAGCGTTCGCAGGACTCGTCTATTGATCTGACTGGGCAGAAGGCGGAGGGGCGCGGGAGGCCGCTGAGCAGCTGAGTGCAAGCGAAGCGATTGGCGGCGGCAGCGAGATGCAGCGCGCGATGGATAGTGAGGTGCGCCGGTTCGCAGGACAGTCTAAGTAGTGCTATAGGAAGGGTTGGAAATCCTCAGCTGCGGGCGACGGCAGGCTCAATATGAGCCCATGCGGAAACCAAGGATGTGAGGCTGCCCAGTTTGTGGAGCAAGGACCAAGGACCTGGTCAACTGATTGACGTCACAGGGCTGGAGCCGACATGCGAACTATCACGACTCAGATGTTGGATGGCGCAAGAAGGATGCGAGAACGGCTGCAGAACGCTCTGCGGGGCCTATATAGTTCGAGACTACTCGAGGCCACGCTGGAAGGCTGCCTCGTGCATCGTCACCGTTAAGACGACACCGTATCCTGTCCATCCCCGCGCCGCTTCGCCCCCACCGTAGCAGTGTACGACACGTCTGGCGAACCGTTCCTCTCGCAAGAGTGCGATGCTTTCGAGCATTGCTTTGGTTGAAGTATAGCTCACCGGTTCCCTTGCGCGGTTTTGTTGAAAGAAGGCTATTGGCACAGCCTACCCTACGGTGAGTAGCCAAGCACGAGGCTCGCAGACGGACAAGCCACCACCAGCTGGTGAGAAGCGTCCAGTCACCTGTCTGTTATCTGACTCACTTTAGCCATTCGAACTCGTCCGCTCCTGCTTTGCGTGCTGCTGCTGCTGCTGCCTAGGAGCATTTCTGTACGAAATCTCTAGAAGAGTCACCAGGCTTTCGAAGTCTTCCGTTCAAGGAACCCTTGTGATAGCAAGCTGCACGCGCGCCCGAAGTCCTGCATTCGATCGGTTTCAGTCGGATAGGCGCAGGTGACCGGAGAGGGGCTGAAAGGCCGATATTTTCTACCTTGGCTGAAGTCGTCTTAAGTGCGTTGCTCACCATGAGTAGACGCAACGTTAACAGTGGCTTGAGGCAAGCACGAAGTAGATCTGTCCAACAAGCGACCTGGCTGCAGAAAAGGCCACGGCGTTGAGAACGCGCGGCATACGCTTATGGAAGCGCACACATGTCGAGTCTTCCGACGTTGTACGGGGGGATGGCTGGAATAAATATAGGCATCGTACATCACAGTGTTGGTGGTTTGATGACCAGTGAAACAGGCCGGGAAGCGTTCAGACGATTGACTGCGGGAGGACAGCGGCCATAGCCGCACGCGCCTGACTTCCTCGGAACGCTTGCGCAATCTCACCGACACCAATCCCAGCAGAGGCTACATGCTGGCGTTGGCACAGTTCGTCGTTTCGCTGAGATTTCGAAGTTCGTGATCTGCATCGAGTCCTGGCACACTGCCTATGGGAGTTTGCAGAGTTGCCGAACAGAACGATAGCACGAGCTGCCACACCGTATGTACGCCAAGAACTCCGCCCACCGTTGTACCCATAACGATCGGCTATGACGGCGTTGTGGTGCCGCACCCGCAGCCACAAGACGTGCTCTGGTGTCACGGTGGCAGTGCGGCTTCGCGCTCCTTAAGGAAGGAGTATCTCCTCCTTTGCGAGCCCGGGACCTGGTCAAGTCCGTAGAAGCAAGGCAAACAGCCAAGACAATGCACACAATTGTCCCCTTCTGCCCTGGCTGACTGGTATTGGAAGAAGACAAATTGTCCGACGGAGTTGTCGCGAAGCTCAGGAGCATGCATGGCTGTGGCGTAGCATCCCAACTTGAAGTTCGAAACTGGTCACGAGCAATACCTGGGCACGGTGACGCGTATGTGTCTCCACAGATCCCAGTATCGCCTTCAAGGATTGCGATGAAGTATCCTTTCGTGCGCGTTTCAACTTGGGGAGATGCTCCGCTGGTCGCGTTTTCCCGCCTTAGGCAACGGTCGCTTCGAAGTCCGCAGGCTGCTCACGCTACTCACCCGGCCGACAAACGCTTTGCATGCATGCTCGCATTTCTGCATGGGAAAGTGGTGCCGCGTCAATGTTTCGCAGCCGAACGAGGAACGTAAGCTAAGCCAGTGGGTGAATGTGCTACGGTAGGAGACTCTGGTTTAGCCATCGGAATGCGGAGTGGCACAGCTCTTCTCTCGCCAGCTGTCTTCACTCCTCTCTGATCCTCGTGCTGGACAAACAGCAGTCAGGGCTGCCGCCTCGTGGCGTTGTTTGCTGTACCTCTCCGCGACGACTCCTCTCCTCGTTTCACACGAACCGCCCGGGCAGCCCACCGTGCTCGAAGCAGTCAAATCTGGTGCGCGGACTATATTCACCAAGGGAACGCCAAGTTCTTGGCATGGAGCTTGACCTGCGGAACGGAAAGCGCAGGGTGGGCACGTCCAGATACATACGCACTGTGGTGCTGTATATCCCCGGTGATGGTCCCTCTATAAACTCATCCTGGCCTCATCGCCGCTCCGCTGCCGCCCATAACTTCTTCGTCGCTCCTTCCACACGTGGCCTTGCTTCAACTTGACCCTTGTTACACCACGGTCGACCGCAAGCGCTCAACTACTCCACCTACCTCGTGCAAACTTTGCCGCTTGATCCGCTCGCTGCGATGCCCCTTGAGACACTCACTATTTCCTAGATTTTGTATTTTCTTCCTCGCTCTGGCTGTGCACAATATCCACATCTTTCTTTTGTTTCTCTTGAGCATTAGCGAGTCATTGGTAGAAGATGGCCCCACGGGACGCTAACTGGATCGATGTAAGTCTACCCGTCCAAATCCTTTCAAACAGTACAATCACTCTGACGCCTCATGATGAAAACAGGGCCTACGCGGAGTGGCATCCTTTATGGTCGTAAGCGGCCACCTGTGCACAGCTTTCGTCCCATGGCTGCATTCGCCAGCGAATGACCCACACACTGCTCCACACCTGTTTCAATTACCATTTTTCCGACTTGCCGTCGGCGGGCGCTCGGCTGTGGCGCTCTTCTTCCTCATAACCGGATACGTGAACTCGATAGGACCTATTGGGCGATCGCGCGCTGGAAACACTGATGCGGCGTTCAATGGCATTGCTAAGAGCGCCCTCGCTCGCTCAGGCAGGCTGGTTCTTCCGACGATGATGGCCACGGCGTTGACGTGGTTTATGGCCAACATCAATGCTTACCATATGACCAAGCATGTCGATTCGACGTGGATCCGTCAGGGCTGGCACCGGCAGGAGCCTACTCTTGGAGCAGCATTTAGTTCGCTGTTCAAGGCTGAGGTGGATACGTGGACAGTAGGATGGGACGACTATGACGGGACGCAATGGACGCTGCATCTATTCCTGGAAGGCAGCATGTTGGTCTACATGACCATGTTTGCTACGGTTCTGGTAAAACCAAAGGCACGATTCATTGTCTACGCTGTACTATACCTGTACTTCTGGCAGCTTGGAGAAGGTAATTGGTATCCCACGGCGGAAGAAGCCCCTGAAAGCTAAAACGACACAGGCCTCGCAGTCGGCGCTCTCAAAGGCCTCAACATCGTCTTCGGTATGTTCGTCGCAGAGCTACACAACCACTACAAAGATACAGCGACCTCTGTCCTCCCGGCCCCGATCCCAGCCCTCATGATCATCGCGGGCATGTTCATGGCCGGCTTCCCGCAAGACTCGCCGCAAAACGCGCACTGGTCCGACTCCATGGCACACTTCATGCAGGCCATCACCGTCGAAAAGACCGACATCCGCCGCTACTGGGACCACATCGGCGCCGCGACCGTCCTGCTCGGCATCTTCTTCAGCCGCAACGCCCGCCGCGTGCTCACCAGCCCGATCTTCAACTTCCTCGGTCGCGTGAGCTTCCCCGTCTATCTCATGCACAACACCTTCATCAAGTCGGTGCTCACCTGGATGGTGTATCTCCCATCCGCGATGAACCCGCCTAGAAACGAAAAGGGGCACCAAATGGACCTCCAGCGCGGATCCACAACGCACATCTTCATTGCGGTCGCGGTGTTTTACTACGTCCTCTACCGCGCCGCCGCCCTCTGGGTCCAGCACATCGACCCCTTCTGCGCGAACCTTGTAAACGCTGCGACGAGCTGGGCGTACGGCGAGTCGCAGCCCCGCGAGAGCAGGCCCATTCTGCAGACCATCGAGCGGCGATCGTCGCCTAGCCGCGAGAAACCGAAGCTCGACTCGCCCGTATGAGCGCACACCACTTTTTCGTCACCACCCACTCCCGGCGCCAGCGCCGTCCCATCGCTACCACCTTTCTCTTCTTGTATATTCTGCGCCGAAGCCTGGGCTTCATTTATACCCTTGTAGTTTACCTCGTTCCGTTTGTTGTGTTGACACGGCCGCGGCCAAATACCCGATCCGATCTTTCTCGCGAATGTACTGGCCTAGGCCTTGTGGAGCATGTACATGTATGTGTACGGGGCATGTTGGCGTTTTGGAAATGATATGATGTCGTGCATTTACGGATGGGATTGATATAGTGTGGAGAAGGGAAGCCATGAGCTTTTTTTTGGAGCTTGGATTATGATATACTGGTTTCGCATCGGATTGGATGGATAGAGATGAGAAGAACTTTAGAGATATACTTTCGATGCTAGCAAGCGCGAATGAACAAGTACTATCCGTATACCACGCTTTCGGCGTCGACTGTCGCTGTGCTACTGTGTAAGGGGAGTAATCGCACAGAATGAATGAGCACATCACGTGTCCTCTCCTTTATATGATTACAAAATGCCGCGATTTGTAAGAATAATATAATATTCTCATTAATCTTCCGCCAGCACCACCTCGCAACTCTGGTATCTCGCATGCATACATACTGAAAGACTTGCCGCAAACGCTGACGACAACCCCAGTCAGGTTGTCCCAACCCCGACCCCCTAAGACCAAACACCAACAGACCGACCCAACTCAATAAACCCCGGATTTCCAAGACAGACAAGCAAAGAGGAAAATAAAAGAGAAAACTACCGTGCAGCATTCGCAGCTGGGACCCGAGCCCGTGGAGTTATGATACGGGAGGTTGGATTTTTGCCTTTGTACACGCCTTGGGAATTCATGGAAAACATTTGACAGACAGACAAGACAGACACTGCGCCGGATGCTCTATGTCGTTTCGTGACCAAAGACATTATAGAAGTACAGATTGATGTGGTATGCCGCGCATGTACGGTACGAAGAAAGATGGCGCCACGCCCGCGAGGTTATTGCTGCTGCTGCTGTTGCTGCTGGAAGTTGTTCGGCATCGCATTGCTCGGAAGTTGCATATTTGGCGGCATGCCGGCGCTGTTGGGATGCTGCATATTGTTGTGTAGCCCGGCGCTGTTGGGCGGTTGCATATTGTTTTGCACGCTGGCTTGTGAGGAGGTCGAATTCAGGCGCTGGGGACCGGGTGAGGGCTTGTTGGGCGCGCCTTTCCAGCCCGGAAACAGGCTCTGGAGGCGGGAGTAGAGCTTCACGAGGTCATCGGGCGATGATGGCGCGACCATGATGGCAGGGCCGGGCATGATGTTCTGGTTCGGCTTGGTGTGCTTCTCGGCGTTCTGCGCGAGGAAAGCGAGGTTCGCTTGCAAGCGGCGCATGTAGCTGGGAACGTTAGCAGATGTCGCGACGTGTAAGCTGCGGGAATGCTCGCTCTCTGTATTCTGGCGAGGGCTGCTGCGCCTTCTCGCCCTCCTGCTTCGCGTCGGGCGCGGGCCCAATGTGCCCGGCCTTGCCCTGCTCGTACAGCTCCATGACCTGCTGGATGAGCACCTGGTTGATCTCGAGCAGCGTGTCGATGCGCTGCTTCTCGCGCGCCTGCGAGACGGGCGAGACGGGCGACTGGGGGAGCGCCTTCGTGGGCGTCTGGGAGGCCATTGGCTGTGCGGCGGCGGGCTGGCTCGTGGGTGGGTTCATTCCCTGGGTGGCGGGCACGCTGGGCGAGTGCGTTTGCTGGGGCGTCGCATAGGGGGACGCGGTGTTGGTGTGCTGGCTGGTGGCGGGCGAGGCCGTGTTGCGGTTCTGGATGAACTGCTGGTGGGCGGGGGACGCGAGGGCCTGCGCAAAGGGCGCGCTCGAGTACGGGCTCGCCTGGCCCTGCTGCTGCTGTTGCTGCTGCTGGAGCGCGGCGGCTTCATGGGGGTCAGCGGGCGGCGCAGAGGCGTGACGGCACGGGAAGCGGGACGCAGGATGGGCACGGGGATAGCATAGGGGCAGGGTGATGGTGGCAGGCAGCGGCGCGCTTACCTCTGGCCTGGTGCATCTGAAGCTGGCTCTGCGACAGGCCTCCGGGCTGCATCACGGCGCCACTCGTCGCTTGAGACGCGCCGCCTGGCATGCTCGCCGGGAAGCCGCCTGGCTGGCCATTGGCAAACTGCTGGTAGGGGAACGAGGCGGTGGCTGGATGCTGTAGCCGGGCCTGTGGATCTTGGTACGATTGTGCCTGCTGCGGGGAATGCGAGGGTGCTGAGGAGGTGGAGAAGGGCCCGCCGAACGAGGGCGGCAGGTGCTGGGGACTATTGAACGTTTGGTAATCCATGGCGGGCGCTGCCAGTCATTGGGCACGTCGCACAGCTCGGTTTAGATTGATTGGGGGGATGGGATGATCAAAGAAAGGAATCGTGCGGTGTGTGATAAGGTTGTTGGGTCAATGCCGACGCAGCGAAGAACCTGCGCCACTGCGAAACCCCGGCGTGCCCTAGAGCGCCCATCGCGCGCAGCAGTCCTCAGCGGCGAGCCCGCACCGCGACGACAACGACGGCGACAGCAGAGCAGAGCATCGCGGCCGCCCAGCAGAGCAGCCCGAAACAGCATGCAACAGACCCGGCGCCTCGTCAAAGGCCTGCCCGCCTCCACGCATGCAATGGCACCTGGACAACCCCTGCTCGCCTTGGCCCACTCTACGCTACGGAGAATACGCTGGACCGCTTCCAGATCCGCACTGCAGCCACATGGCATGGCCCGGTGGGACGCCGTTAATGCTCGTCTCGCAACCAGCCCTAGCCGTACAGAAGGCCCATTGCATCCTGTGATATGCCGCAGCCGGGATCACCGCACGCCCACTACGACGAACGGTGAGTCTGTCACGCTCACCCGTGCCCGGCCCAGGTCGCCTCGCTTCTTTGGGACGTCACACGGCACAGAACTGCATGTGTCTGGTGGGGATTGTGGCGAGCTTCATTCGGAGCGCTCCGAGCGGCCGCGTTGAGCTGCCGCTGTCTCCATTGGCATATCGCCTGGCCCCATCATCCGCCGTGCCACAGGACCCTTGATCTGGCATCGTCCAACCGAACAGGTGCGAATACAACGCCCCTTCGGACACACAGGCACTGGCTGGTCTTATGCTTGCTCCTGCGCTTTGCTTTTAGGAGGCTGTCCTGTCCACGTCCAACACTATCGGTGCAAATCACCCAGCCCTGACTCGTGTCCGCATCTTGCCGTGCCCGTCGGGCCCTAGCCAATATAATGATCACATGGCCGCGTGTAACTTCCCGCAATCGCTCAATATGGGAAATGGGAGCGACCTTCCATCTGCGGTCCAGTTCAAAAGGGTAAAATCATTGATCCAGCATGAGCTCGCAGGAGACCTCAACCACGATTGCCGATGTCCGGCACATGGCGTCATCCGTAGTTTGGCTTTCGCTTCGTAGTGGGAACATGTCTCGTGTCACCAGCGCTACAGCATTATTCTCGAAATACATCTTCTCTTGTCGGGCTTTCTTTGCGTCGCAGTGCAACGAAGTATCCCTCCTTGGACTCCTAACATCACATTAGCGGTAGAGAAGTAGATGTGCTTTCAGGACGTACGGCTCGTGAAGAATCCGGCTTCTCGCGATGCACTTTAGCAAACAGACGCCTGAGCTTTGTCTCGAGGGCTTTATCTTCCGGACCTTGATAGAACTTGCAGAGGTAATGGCCACCGGTGCGGAGTGTGTCGAATGCAAAGTTCAGCCCTGCCATACATAGATCCTGTCCACCAGATTAGCGCGAGCCTGGCAAGAAAGAGAATTTCTCTCACCATGCTGCCAGCGTGGTCCTTGAAAGCAATGCCAGACGTGTTCATCAACCTGAAATACGGGTCACTCAAGCTCTTCTTATAGAAGCCAGTAGTCTGGTCCCAGGGTTCTGACATGTCTGAGAGCACCACGTCCACGACTCTGCCTTGGCGCAAGTCTCGCTCTTTCAGCGAAAGCTTCGACTCGCTGCCGGTAGTCTCCTTGTCTAGTTGTCCTATCGATTCCGCACCAACCCCTTCTAGATGTGCATGTCGCTCGATGTCAACGTAGCTTTTCTCCATTTCATCGAGCTCCTCTTCTGTCATTCCGTCATCTTTGTGCGTCGCGACCTGCTTTCTGGGGCGACCAAGGTCGGGGTCTTGCACGTAGGCTCGCACTTCGGCTTGTATTGTTGGAGAGAGGAAGTTTCCTTGGATCGTCGAGACGCCTCGGGGAGGCTGGGCCGGTATGAGATCGATGCCTACGACGCGGCCGCCGGGTGAGGTTCTGTTCGCGGCGACCTAGGCTGGTGTCAGATGAACAGGTGCAACGGTTGCGGGGAAGAGGACAGCGCGAACCTGGGACCACGAGCCGGGAGCAAATCCCTATAGTAGAAGTTAGCATTTGGATCCTCTAATCTACGGTTCTCACATACCAAATCGACCACAGTTTGGCCGGGCTTGAAGAGCTTATGCTTCTCGTTCAACTTCAGGCGCATTAATGATGGAAACAGTCGCAACATCGTGTAGCGCATACCTCGAGAAGCTTGAATGCAGCGCGACTCTTCAGTCCCTGTACCTTTGCCTCCTTGGCAAAGAAGTCCTTTCCTTGTCGTGATTTCCATCTCGTTGACGAGGAGGACCATCGCAACGCAGCAGCTCTGGGATATGCTGTTGGTAAACATGTGGTACATTTGACGGCGGCGCAGAAGGCTGGCGCGGGCCAATGCCTTGCTCCTAGAAGCGCGCCATCGGTGAGTTGCTGGAATACACGGCGCGACAACATTGAGAGACTATGGACGTTGGAGTGGCCGCGGTGCATCATAGCTCTTTCCAAAGTTCGAGCATGCGCCACACGGTGGCGCACCACTACCGGCTAGGCGGTGTCGATCTCCAACGTCAGTGTTCATGCCGTACTTGAGGACCTGTGTTTTTCTTCGCTACGCTATTTCTGTTACTTGCACTGCATGCCAAATCGGGACGGGTACTCTCTCAACAGGTATATAGGCGCAATTTAATGTTCCCCATGAGCAATATGCAATCACAAACCAAACAAGTGCCACCGACAACTGTCACCTCAGACGAGCTCATGCAAGAATTAGATGTGAATGGACGGGGATTTTAAACAGCAAGCCAAGTCTGCATTGCTTAAGGTCTTCCTGCATTGGCCTCGCAAATGACAGTTTCACTTCTCTGGGAGATACAAGACAGTTACCCATGGGGTTGTCTAAGGATCGTATATCAGACTCGGCCTTTGTAATATCGCATTCTGAACGCTGTACGTGCCGCCACGTTCACTGGTCAAATGCATCCCGAGTGGAATCGATGTGGTTCTAATGCGACAGGCGGTTCGCATTCTAGAGAAACAGCTCGCATTTGCTTGCCCCGTCCCTGTCAGTGACAGCTCTTGCAGGATCTGGATTAAATTGGATCACCCTTCATAAACAGCAGGTCAAGTCTGATTTGCTTAAGTTCTTGCTATATGGCCCATGCAAAAGACCAGGTCACCCATCCGAGGGATACAACACAGGACTCGCTGATATAGGCCATGTCGGAAAGCCCCTCTACGTGTCCGGAGTTTCTTACACACGGCTTTCTGAAGTCCCGTACTCTGGATGCCGTATCTGGTTTACGTCGCAGAATTCAGCGGTGAAGTGTGCCGATCCAGATTCAACTTTTCAACCTGGTGAATAGCTCGAGTCCGCCTCCCCCGACCCTGGTCAGTGAACAACACGAGCCAGCCTGCAGTGAAAAGCACAAAGCTGCCTGCGATGGATACACGCGCACAAGCCCCAGCTATTGTGCTAGCGGGACAATAGCCTCACGCCCTTCTACATGAAGACCGCCCGCAATCTCCACCGCACGTATTTTCCAAACCGACTACCTCGTGTGCGGGACCCGGAAAGCTCGACAGTCTTCACACCTGCTTTAGCACACGTCCACCACAATCCACCTCCTTATACCCTTTCCTGCGGCTTGACTAAGATCACCCGCTCGCACGCCCACCGGTCGCACACCCCGCACGTGCGACATAAATTTGTCGCCTCCCACCCCGATACCCTGTCCCGTCAACCTCAGCACTCCCATCTAAGTCACGGACAAGACTTGACGATGGATTTCATCTGGGCGCAATTTGTCATCTCTGTCTGGTACTTTATCCTGCTCGGGTGTATCGCAGGTGCCCAAGTCCCTTCGCAATACGATACACTCAAAGGGTTTGGGTGTGGAGCCATCGCCCTCACGGCATGTTTCGACCACCGCCCCGCTTTCGCTATCGCCACCCTGCTAGGGTATTTCCTGTACGATGCTTGGAAGGAAGCTCATACCGACTTAGTTCTCAAGCCTCCAGTCCTCCACCCCAATGGCTGTCTCGTCTCTCTACGTCTTCTTCTCGGAAAGCTGTTCGCTGCCTCTTCCCCATGTAAATGCTCCATCAAGGATTCTAGCAATGGAATTTCTGTTTCGGAAACTAGCTGGAACAAGGAAGACGATCCCGAAAACGCGAAAGGATCTCCCAATGGATTCGCTGTTCCGAACACTGACTGGGATGATGAAGACGATTCCGATGGCTCCGAAGTATCCATCGTCGTTGCCCACGTAGAAGCTCCTTCGGTCAATGCTGGCGATCTGCTCGAGAAGGTCCAGGAGCTGAACAAGTCCAACGAAGCCTTGCTTGCCGCTAACGATAGGATGGCCAAGGAACGCGACCAATTGGAGACCGACAACAAGCGTCTTTCTGGCCTCAACTTCGATCTCAACAGCTGTGTCAAGCTATACAAGAGCGGCCAAACTCTCAAGAACGTGACCAAGAGGGTCGAAGAAGCAGAACAGCGCCTTGCAGATGTCAACAAAGAGAAACGCCATCTGAGAGGCGAGATCGCTCACCTGGAAACCGTTGTTGAGAAGTACCGAGAGCTTCAAGGCGAAGCTGAAGAACGACAGAAGCAGCTCGAAGAACAAATCAACTTTTTCTGCCGAACAGACCAATCCACCGAAGCGAAGCTCAATTCCCTTGATATCATGGTCAAAACTCTCCACGAATTGGCCAGTAGGGGTGGACAGATCACGGACGCCACTGTATTCGTCATGAACGAGCTCGTCCGTGTTAACATTCCTGCCACCCACCTCCAGATCGACCTCGGCAAATTCGCTTACTACGTTAAACATGTAGGCTTGCAATGGTCGAAGGCAGGAAGCATAGCGGGTGGTTTCCGAGCCTCCATGTCCACGTACTTCGGTGGCGATTCCCGCACCAATGTGGTCTTCATCCACCATGGTGGAAACCAAGAGGTTCTGCCGACTCGATCTGCCCACAATCGCCAAGAGTTTGACCATGTCTGCAAAGACATTGAGGCCGAATATCTTTCCTCGGCCAACATTGTCTTCTCCAATTCTATGGCGGGTCCTGGCTCCTCTGGTCTCGTCTATGACACTAGCTACTCCAGTCCCGTGGCCACTGCAAGTGCCTCTCAGATTAGCCAGCCTCCAGCTATTGTCTCCGGTTCTCTGCCTCCGCTTGCGGGTATACATTCTACTGCCCTTGCCAATCAAGGTTCTATGTCTACCACTCAAATTCAGAAACGCACAGATGAATTTTTCCGTAAGGATATTCAGAGCGATAATAAGAAGGAGGCCATCGCAGCAGCTAAGAATGCGGCATCGTTTTCCAGCGGTAACACGAAGCAGTCTGCAAACTCTGATCGAGGCATATCTATCGATGGCGCCCCGGCTGGGAAGCAGAACCCTTTCCAGAAGGCGTTCGCAGAATTGGCCCAGCAAAAGGCCCAGACTGCAGCTCCGGCTCCCGCTTCGGACCCTTTCGCGAACCCCTTCGACAAGAGCATGAGCAGGGCAAACGCTCTCCCGCAAAACCGTGGCTCAGGCATGTCATTCTCGATCCCCACCGCTCCGCCATCGGGCGGATCACGGAGTCTAGCTCGGGGTTCAGCTAGGGATGCCGACTCATTCGATATGCTCTAGGTTTCCTCTTGGTCCTGGTAACATATTTCCCTCTGTGCTTCGCTTGTAGTCGCTAAAAAGGATACCAGCGATCGTGTTGTTCTTTCTTGTCGGTACCCTTCCTTCATTTGGTATCCAGTCCCCTGTTTATGTACCCCAATTCCCTGTCCCTGTACCCTAGCGCCCTGTTTCTGTACCTTGTTTTCAGTACCTGTTTTCTATACTCTGTTTTCTGGACCTTTCCTACTTGTAGATTCTTTCGTATCCATTGAAACCCACCGAAGAGAGTGTGCACGCTCAACTCGGTGCGTGGGCGCGAGATGACTAGGAGGGAACACCTAGTTTGACACTGCCTTTCGATGGACATGGAAGCATGAGCAAGTGGAGGGCGCTGAAATCTCTCTTCTGCATCTGGATTTTGCACACTGTCTCCACACCACTTCACTCCTTGCCCTACGGACCAGTCGAGAACAGCCAGCCTGTCGAGGAACTGTATCGAGCCACTCTGCCAGATCGGGGGCCGGCTGTGCGTACATTGGTCTGGAAGTCGGAAGGAGGAAGTGCAAACAGTTTGCTTCAACACTTGTTTACACGGAGTTTTTGGTGGCGAGATAACCCCATCGTAGCCTTCACAATAGAGGCTTTTCTTTGTTTAGATTTGTAGGGTTACAATGGCAAAAACGTTGTCGGAATCGTTAGCGTGGTCCCTGTGGACGTATCCTCGCGTACTCGCATCCCGCGTATTCTGGCGCTAGTGGATGCCTCTAACATCGTACTACGCCGTCATGCCTTCCCGAAATACATCTTACTACGCGCGTCGCTATGCAATTCTCTTTCGCAAAGGAAGCGTATTCTCAAGCGTTGCCCGATGGGTGGAGCTGTATTTCTCGTATTTAACGCCCTGATGCACGACGTGCTTGACTTCGACACTCCCACATGCACCGACGAGACACCATGACCATGCCCATCTTGACCGCACGCGGCGAAGCCGACTTCGATCTCTACCCGTACACTCCATCCGCCTCCGCAGGCTATGCATTCGTCGCCCTCTTCAGCCTCGGAGGCCTTGTGCATCTCTGCATGCTCATTCCCCTCCGCGCATGGTTCTTCATCCCCTTCATGCTCGGCTGCGCAGGTACGTCCTCCCCATTCCCACCTCCCTCCACCAGCGTATACAACCCTAGATATATCCACGACTAACCCACTCCCTAGGCGAAGCAGCAGGCTACTACGGCCGCGCGTGGTCCCATTCCAACATCCGCAGCGGCAGCCCATACCTCCTCCAACTCATGCTGATCTTAGCCTCCGCCCCCCTCCTCGCAGCCTCTATCTACATGATACTCGGGCGCCTCATCCGCGCGCTGGATGCTACGCACCATGCGGTCCTGTCACCGCGCTGGACAACGAAGATCTACGTCCTCATCGACATCGGCAGCTTCGTGACGCAGCTGATGGGCACGGCGATGCAGGCGAGCGGCGATGCAGCGGGTGCGAAGACGGGGAATACTATTGTGGTCGCCGGGTTGGGCGTGCAGCTTGTTGCGTTTTCGGTGTTCATCCTCAGCGTGGCCGTGTTCCATCGGAGGCTAGTGCTGGAGCCTACAGAAATTTCGATGGAGCATAAGAGCTGGGCGAGGTACATGTGGATGTTGTATGCGGTGAGCGGGCTGATTGTTGTGCGGAGTATATTCCGGTTGGCGGAATTTCTCGAGGGGGCGGAAGGGAAGCTGTATACGACGGAGGTGTTCCTGTATGTGTTCGATGCGAGCTTGATGTTTGCGGTTGTGGTGATCAGCGCGGCTGTTCACCCGGGGATGCTGTTGAGGGCGACTAGGAAGAGGGAGAGGGATATTCCGCTGCTTTAGTATGGTGGGCAAGGTCGAGAGAGACTGGGTGATTAGGGTTAGGCATGTATGCGATATTCTGAGCGTTTTCTGCACTTTTTCTCTTGCGTCCGCGCTTCTTCATTGTCTTCGGCGGCGCGGCCTCCTTAGGCGAGTCGGGCGCAATCATAATAGCCTGACCCAAATGGTCTATATTTGCCAGGATACTGGCGAATTGCGCGACATACTGCCGCGATTCTTCCTCCTGCTCAGAAGAAGCTTTTGAAACATCATCATTGTTGAGTAGAGTAGCCGCGATCTCGCGGATTTTCACAATGACGGACTGCCCGTTCGCCTCCAGGCTTCTCGAAGAACAAAAATGGAGTACATCAAGAAGCTCTTTTGCGATGCTCTTTCTATACACCCAGATTTGCGTCCGAGGCGGTGCACCTAGGCTTGACCCTGTTTCAAGAGGCGAACCGGCCATGTCGCCGTTCGAATGCGAGAACGCGCTGGAGCAGGCTTCTAGGATCGTGCTTTGTATGTAGAGACTCGTGATGTGGATATTGGCCTTCATGATGTTGAACTGATTTTCCAGCAATTCAGAGCTCGGTGATTGCCCTTCGGGTGTTTGGGGCTGCGTCGAGATGCTGAGTTCATCAGGCAGCTGTTCGAGTGCGGTCTGCACTTTTCTCACAATGCGAAGTAGGGTTTTCAAACTCATCGTGGCATCCGTTCCAAGCGACTGGCCGGGATGTATCGAGGCGTGGACGCTGCTGAAGCTCGTGGCGTAGACAGGGGGATAGAAACCGGGAAGGCCATAGGAGAGCAGATCGACGATGCAGAGATAGACCTTGATCAGAGCAATGAAGCCAGAGATCACCGGCAATCCTGAATAAACTCGGGTACCGGTGACCAGAGCGACTGGGTTTATGATATCCTCATCGTCAAGTTCCTGAGGGAACATAAACTGCCAGTCAGTTCGCAGAGGGTCAAAGCTGAGCCCAGTGTGAGGAATGACAGCCGAAAGACGGTCATGTATTTGCATGATGTAAAGCAGCCAGAACGTTCGCTTGCAAAACTCTCTTTCGAGAGGCGGCAAGTGCTCGTAAACTTCTGGTCGATAGAGTCCCAGCGCACGGAAGAAATGAATCGCCTCGATTGCGTAGCCCCATCCTTGGTTCGCCCTTCCAGCATACAGGCTTGCGGTAGCAAGCAGCACAGACACAATTACAGTGCTGGTGGCTGGATGTTCCTGCCACAGAGACTCCGTAGAGATCCTGCTGAGCAATACTAGATGACATGCGCGGTCAACCATCGCGCCGATATCGGCATATCTTCCCCTGCTGTATTCATTGAACTTCTTCGGGAGAGATGCCACCGTCACGGCACAGAGCGCGAGGCAGAGCCGGAAGAAGGCCGGTTCGTGTTCCGCTGCATCGATGGTGTTGGTTTCAAATTGCGTACTGAACGTTCCGCGGTGGACGAGAGGAAGCAGCGGGTATACAAGGTCGAGATAGTCTCGCACAATGTGTCGTAGCACCGATGGATCGCAGAAGAGTGCGAGGGAGAGTTCACCCACTGGAACGGCGAATGTGTTGAACGGCCATCACAGAAGATCAGCACGGTATCTCCTTTGCGCACAAGGGTTGGCATACCGTGGTGGAGGCCCGCGCGGTTTGCGCTGGCTAAGGAATGTGCAGTCTATCTGGTTCGCTGCGCAGCGATTGCAGACCTGGCCGTCCCCGTCTATGATGCATTGCACCTTTCGAGAACGACAGGCGTCGCATGCTTTGGATGAGATTCGGCGTCCTCGCCTGGTAGAGGCTACAGGTGGCATAGCATCTCGTCTCGTTCAGTGTCGTTACAGCGCATCGATACTTTGATCGGCGCGCACTATACCGTAGCCGAGGTATTTCCCTTTTTGGACACTTCTCTTCCCCATAGCTGCCCTGGCCGCGTCCCCACAGCCCACCAATACAAGCTACCATATAGGAATATCAATGTGAACCTTTTTCCGATGGATCTGTGCCTTGTCTGCAGGCATCACTCCTCCGACTCAAGGTCATTATAGCCGCAACGCCCCTTAATTCCTAGCCCAATCTTCAGAAAGGGAGATTCTTGTGATGTGCATCAGCGGGCTCGCCTCCGGCTATTAGTAAGACAAGTTGCAACATTCGAACGACAGAAACGCTACGAGGATGCTTTCACACAGTACAGTGGCACACGAACATTCCATGTCACGTGCTCGTCCCCCAGCCCCACCAACACGAGCACTATGCTTAGCGAAGATTATACATTATACCGAGATGACAGGAGTATAGAAAGTGGCAATATGATGAAGCTATGCAAGGCGCTGCACGATGCTTCTCAAGGGTATTGCGCCATAAGGACTGTGGCAAAGAAATCTCGATATAGACCGCGTTGCCGTCAACCGTAATTTGCAGGGAAGCAGAAACTCATCCCAGAAAATCATGAGCAGAAGGGGTAGGTTGTTCGCCAGGCAAAGGTAGCATCACTACGCACATCAGCATTCATAGTGTACCACCAACACTTCGAAAATACTTACTCGCAACTTCACTGATGGAGCCCTGGGTCTCATGCACTGGCATCATAAATGGGGCCGGGGTTCGTCGTTTTTGGTTGGGCGGCGCTTGATCGCAGCCATTAAGTGGGGACAGAGCTGACTTTCGCACGATCCTGAGGTGATTTCGAGAGTCAGAATGTTGAAGTTTGTATCCCCTCGGCAGGAAGTTGGCAACAGGCAGGTCTCCATCATCATCATCATCATCATCCTCGTCGTCGTCACTGTTATTCGAATGGTGCGGACTGTCAGTCACTGCCCGCTTCGCATAAGTTTTACGGTCAGCGAGTAGTGTTGTGTCTCTACGAAGTGGCTCTTCTCCTACCACCTCGCGACGGAAAAAGGCCAACCGCGAACCGTGAGGCGTCTCTTTAACGCCGAGGTGCGCAATCGCTGGAACAACTGCTGCCGGCTGATTTTCATCTGTACACGATGATGGCACTTGTCGATAAGAGACACCAGTACCGCGCAGTGACTTCGAACGCGGTTCCGTGTTCGCTTGTGTGGCATGAACTTCTTGTAGCTGTATGTTCTCCACCGGCTTCTTTCGCCACCTGCTCTGGCCAAACCCGCAGCTGTTTTGAAACCAGTGTCAATTACTGCTCACCAATTGCTTGAGAAATGGCACTGACCAACGAACAAATTTCTTCCAGACCCTTTTCAGCCGGCTTATGCAGGACGGCATGTCGACCGAGTGTGAGCTATCGAGGATGGTCACTATGGGAAAGGCACAGGACCACGGCTTGAAGGAGGAGCGCTCAAGAGCAGGATTGGTAGGACGAGCTGAGATACAAGCGCCCTCAGTTGGAGCAACCCGATTGATCAATGAACAGATTGGCACACTTGCATCGCACAGGAGGATATGATAATCTATTTGAGGAGCAGCCGCTGGCTTTCTAGTAGAGAGTGACAACGCGCATCTCGTCCAAGTGACGAGTCATTGAGCGAGCGACTAATTCGCGACAGTCAATTTTGCCATCATCGCTGGTTTCGCCCACAAAATGTGGCATTCTTGCTGAGCCCAATCGTCCGCCTCCTTATTCAATTCCATGTCAAAGCTGAGCATTACAGTTGCCAGGATAAGTCGCATCTCGTGGTACGCGAGACTATTGTCATTAGTCTTATGCCTAGTGTGCAACAAGCGCGACGTTGGGAATGAACTCACTTCTTGCCTAGACAGTTCCTGGGCCCGTACGAGAACGCATTGAACACCTCCTTATTGTCCGCACTATACTCGTGCTGTCCCTCGGGGAGCCAGCGCTCCGGAACGAAAGAGTCAGGGTCTTTGAAATTCGACGGCGAATGATATGCTGCATAGTGCGCGATAGAAATAATGGTCTACCAGATGTTAGCGTCAACGAATCGCAATGTGAGGCGGCACCAAGCTCAACATACGCCGCCAGGGATCCATCTGCCTGCAACGTTCGCACCGGTGCCGGGCGTCTCTCGTGGGATTAAACCCGGAACAGGGGGGTATATTCTTAACCTGTCGGATATGATTAGACATAAGACTACACGAGAATCAAGGGAGGGGACAGTTACCCTTCTTCTATGCATGCATTGAGATATTCCAGATGCAACAGCTTCGTCATCGTGATGTCGTCGACGGATGTAAAAGCATCACGTACTTCCTTCTTCAGACGTGCGAGCTTCTCGGGGTGTTGATGGAGGTAGTATGTAATACCACTTAATTCGGTGGCCGTTGTCTCCGTGCCAGCCAACATGAATGTCGACGCGTTGCTATGAAGCTGCGTCGGAAGCAGACCAGTCATCTCGCCGTTCTCGCCTTTACCTTCCTTCATGACATACGTCCAAACTGGAACACCAATCAGTCTTAATCCATTGCTCATTTGAAGTGACAACTTACTATCTGGTCGATCTGTCTGTTTCTGCATTCGCTTGTCTACTCTTTCGCTCGAGAACAAAAGGTGCTGTCGTCTCTTCTCCTTGAGACCTCTTGGCAGATATCGCTGAAGCAGGCCGTCGAGCAAGGGCCAGCGTTTCACTACGCCCACCATAGTCATGAGCCTCACACTGCCAAACAGTGCCGCAACCCAAGGGATGTACTTCGAATTTTGCAGTAGCCCAAGAGGTTCACCGAAAGTCAGGTCGGCCATGATGTCAAATGTGGTGTAGTTGTAAAACCTGACCAGGTCCATCTCACCATGCTGAGAAGCTTTGGTTAGCTGCTCGACGAGAAGATTTGCATATCCCTTGAGGATCTGCTCCTGCTCCCTCAGCGCTTTATCGCTGAACGCATGGGATACCAGCTTTCGTTGCCTTGCATGAGATGCGTTGTCTGAGCGAATCAGTCCAGGTGGGTTACCATAGAAGTCTGGACCGTAGAACGCCTTCTCCTTTGTGAACAAATTCGTTGTTCGGTGTCCGTAAACGTCCTTCCACACTGCAGAGTCAATAACAGACAGCTCGTTTGGCGCGAACCTGACTACAGGCCCGTACTTGAGATGTAATTTGTGAACCCAAAACGGGAAGGCCCCTTTTAACGTCTGGGTCTGCGATGCTAGAATTGTAGCGCGACCCGTGAGTGGGCCGGGGAAAGAGCGTAGTGGGTGGAGGAACAAGTTGTAGAACACGCGAAAAACAACATAGAAGACCTAGAATCGTCAGGTTCCGTGGCACTATATGGAAGGGACCCTTACAGAAAGTACGGGGAGTACGACCGCAAGCCGGGAAATAGCTTCAAATAACATTGTGTCGCGACACAGCACGGTGCTTTTCTTTAGCTGGAAAATATGCGTATAAGAATTCAGCTCTTGTAAAGACGATGAGAATTTCGAACGCGCTTCGTCGAAATGATACTGCGAGGCGTAGTCGCTAAATGGATGCAACTCAGAGTAACTCACCGATCTGGGAGTTGGTAACTCAAATAGACTACCGGTGCAGTGAGAAATCGCGCTCTCTAACGATGACCAAGCACCCACGATGCCCACTGGCTCTTTGAGGAATTCGGGTCCATGTTAGCCGTTGGTCTCCGCTTTTTGGAGGCACATTCGAACGCTAGAATAGTGTGACACGATGCCCCAGGTAACATTCACCTCGGCCGAAGATGTAGAGGCGAACTAGCGACATGCATATTAGAATGTATGTGCAGATCTAATACCTGATTGCGACTTCGATTGCTGGAACAGGTCAATATTGTTTCATGGACAGTGACGAAATCCCGCATGTGTGGTGTGTTGCGGAGCTTGCTGCAGCTTCGAGACAAGCATTACCCACGTGAGATATGTTGCTTCACACTTCCGGACCATCTTCTGCTCTTCTAGACCAAGGATTGTGGGGTATTGCTTGTGGATCGCAATCTATATCCATGTGTGATGTGACCTAACGAGCTTTGACTTAGCGGAGGGTCGGAGGATCGGATATTGAAATAATGCCGTTAGCATACAGCAGATACACCTCAGATGCTCGTTCTGCAGCATTCATGCTGCAGACATCAGCTGTTAATGTAGATCGATATTCGGCCGATGTACTTCGGCCGATGCACATCAAGGATACAATGTCTTATCAGAATCTATGTGTCTATGTTGAGTAACACAAATAATGGGTGCACTAATTGCTGGAGCCCAGCCGCAGGTCAGCGGCAATTTCGATATCGCAGCTCCCAGAGAAAAGATCCCTGAGTGGTCACAATGGGATGATAGCGGATGATTATACCGTAGTTCCATCAAGACTGGGAAGTAATGGAACAACCACTGGCTGCATTCATCACAAGACCTAGTGGCAGAAAACATAACTATATACTAATACGGCCGAAAATTGTACCATACGATATCTAGTCCTGCCACCTACAATGCCATCTCACTCGTAAACCATCCTGTCCCAAAGCTCGTTCGAGAATCTCCGCTGCAACTCGTCCAGTGTCCAGCTGTGCTGCTTCCCGATCTTGCTAAGCATTTCCCGAAACTCGGGTATTTGATCTTTGTATGCAACTTCCTTCAGATACTTCCTCGCTTCCATACCTTTGAACTTGAAGTAGTCCCATTCTTTTGCCCAGTGAGGTCTTGTGTTCCCGCCATAGCTCATCCAGATGTCAATGACTCTTTGTGCGAAGTCGTGCCACTCATCGTCAGCCACAGCGTCAGGCAATGTGAGCACTTCGATCGACAATGTTCCCAAGTCGTTGCCCTTCTGAGGTGCCATGAGCATATCACTGCCCGCCATGAGACGCATTTCGAGCGCAACGCGCATTGCTGAGGATGGATCGCTACTGATGTCGGCATCCTTGTAGACAAGCTTGATGATGTCCCACCAGGCACGCTGAACGATGCTGAAGTCTGGCTTTGACGGGTCATCTTTACGTGGGGGCAGCGGTATTTGGAGTTCGATGTCCCGGACTCGCATGTTCTGTATTCCGCGGCGGAAGTGCAAGGCATTCGGAAGGAAGGTCTTATATGTGGGCGTGTTGCTCTCGCCGAGAGTCGGTGGAAGAGTTGCCATCGCAAGCGTGGCAAGAAGTTGAGCTTGCCAATAGCCTGGTATCGCGTTGAAGAACGGATTTGTAGTCACGACGCCCCCCAGCCAGTTCTGCACCCACTGTAGGAAGACATTCTTATCATCGGGGTAGTCGATAGCATCTGTTGCGTCCGTTGTCGTACTGAAAGTATTCGTCCATATTTTCCTTTGGTATGGAAACCAAAACCATCTATGAGAATTAGCTATCGTATCACCCTAGACGGAAAGAATGATGTTCACTTACTCGCTGTAGTATTCGCTCGCTGCTCGATTCTTAAATTCTGCCGTTGCAGAAGCCAATTGTTGATCTACATTTGGCGCATCGAACCAGTCGCTTCGCAATGCTTCGGGAATGTCATTCTTGTCCAGGGGCGGCACACCCAAGCCGACATCTTCTTTCAGTGGTTTCTGTCATGAATCGGTAACTGGTAGTTACATGATGGGAGTCCGTACTTACCATGACTGCATAGGACATGGCATCGAGCTCGAAGGTAATGTGGGTCACGACACCAAGTAGGCCAAAGGCCCCTGCGGCTGCCTTGATCTGAACCTCGTCGTCGACGATTTGGAGCTGACCATGGCAGTCGACATACTCGAGGCGTCGAACGTAGTCGGACAGAGTTTTATGGGTTATGCCAGCACCGTGACAAATAGGCCCATTGACACCTCCGATGGTCACCTATGAATCGATCAGATTCCGAGTTCTGGTGTCGTAGCTAAGAATTACAGGGTACATACCTCAACCAGAATCACATCAGCGGGTAGAGACCAGGCCTTCCCCGCAATAGCCCATCGGCGGAATTCTTCGTTCGTGACCGCGACGCCAACACGACACAGTCGTTTTCTTCCTGGTGCTGTCTCTTCCTTGAGCTCAATCGTTTTGAGCTCTGGTACAGCCGATGGATCATACTCGCCAGGTATGAGCGAGGTCGGGTCTGGAAGCGTGTTAACTGTGTCCAGGTTGACGAATGAGATAAATAGCTCATTGTCTTGCGAGAAAATAGGACTCCAGCTGTGACGATATCCAGCACATCGCACACGGTAGTTGTTGGCAACTGCGAACTGCACGATGCGCTGGACACCACGAACGGTCGTGGGAAGGAAGGTGAACCTGGGCGAGTTCGCCACCGTTTGACCCCAGTTTGCGAATGGCACTTCACTGTAGCACTGTTCTGAAGTCAGTGATATGGACAGAACCAAGTCTGAAACTGGTATGGCAGTAAGAATTTCGGTGTCGCCATTTGCTTACCTCCAAGAGTTTCGTGTTCTGTGCATCTTCGTATATGATTGGTAGGTTCTTTACATGCTTGTGCTTCGGATGGAAGACATCGCTGATTGCCGCCTTCAAGTCGATTGAGCAGACGAAAAGCTGCTTTAGCTCATCAATTAATGAGAAGTGGTGTTGTACAGGGGGGCTTTTGTGAAGGTCGACCCTGAACTCTTTGCCGTTCATGATGCTTTTCGCATCCTTCCCTTCCACAAACTCTATGATTTGTTCCTTTAATTCTTGGCTTTGAATGCTGTCGATTGCCTTGATAAGGTGTTAGTCTTAAATTCGAGTTATCGTGATGTTAGTGCACTTGCCAGCTTGTAAGCTAGTGTATGTTGAAAAGTCCGCAGGAACCCACGTATCTGAGTCTGGGGGTCGAAGTCATCTGCCAACACCGGTTTCAAGACTTCTTCTTTCAAAGGAAGATAGTCAATCTTATCGTATTCAGCAGCGTACTCATCAACGTGGTCCAGTATCTCCTTGAGAATCGATGTTCGTTCAAGGTGCTCTCGGCGGAGCAGAGGTCCCATGGTTGGCTGAGAGAAGGAGATCAACTCGTGGATGGTCTCAAATGAGTTAGGTTTAAAGGCTCAGTCTACAAGAGTGTTTGAATTGCACGGCTACAAGACTTTGGCTAAAATCCCGGTGCGATTTCACGGCAATAGTGAGTGCTAGGGCGCACCGTCCTTTATGGTGAATTTCGATGTACCGGTGCCTCGAAGATGGCTGGACTGATGCAGGGTTGTTGACCGCTCCAAGACTGACAGGCGATCACTTCTCTGTGCGGCTGAGACTGATATGATCGAGGCGCACCTGAGGCGAGCGAGCCCATCTTTGGCCATACCGCATGGACGAGCTGGTGAAAGCCACCACATCCGCACTAAACGATGCGTTCAGCTCGAACATTGAGTATTTTGACTAGGGCGCATGCCGCAAGCCATAGCTGGCGGCGTGTTCAGCCCCAAGCTTCACCATGAAGCCAATCATGGGCTGTTGGGAAATGCAATGCCAGGTCAAAAGGCAAACTGTGTTTGCACATGCGTTCAGCCTGAGCTGAATGGTGGTCAGCAGAGCGCACAAACTCGTAGTCAGCAGTGAACCGGTCGGTTTTTGTACTCGTGGTAGCACGAGGTGCGCCACATCGCATATTTGTTCTAAGCGATATTACTACGGTACACAATCAGGAAGCGGCCGACTCTTTTCGTGATTCGGCGACTTGGTATTCATTTGATCTAGTGGATGAGTGGTGTGATGAAACAAGACGAGCAGGGCACATGATCACCTAAGATCATGAGCAGTATGTCTTAGTAAGCTCCCAGCGACTCAGTCCGCGAGATCTAATTGGTCCTTATCCAACTCAGTCAGCTGGTATATCTGAAACGTTGTTAGACGGGCACCTCATCGTGCATTAAATCACTTTACACTCTTCTAAACATGCAACGTGATATATTAGCGTGGATGCTTACAGTAGGACAACTAGGACCACTGGAACTACCATTGTACTGTCGGTCACGATGGCATTATGTGGTCATCTCTTGATCATGATACATTACAGGTGTATGAAAACAGGTTCCGAACCACGACAGCTAGACAATGGTTTAGGGCCCTTCGTGGGAGAGATGGATATGTTCCGGTACTGAGAAAGGGGGCAGAGAGACGTGCTCGCGAGGAGCGAAGGGACCACAATTTGATATTCGCCCCTTACGCGTGATAGAGACCTAGAGTTCAAAGAGGCCCGACAATCTTCCTTTGAGAGAATAATATAATGATCAGCTCAAATGTAAGAAAGTTAAATCAAGTGATTCTGGAGCCGTAAGTAAATGCATTGGAACAATTCATCGCCGTCGCGCGCTATCCTCGACGAGACTGTATTGATCTATGTCCCAGTCATTTGTATCTACGCTGCATCAGCGTCCGAACCTTTAGCGAATCTAAGCAGCCGGCATTGGATGAGAATAGGGATGGAAAGCTAACTTGAAGGTGAGGAATCCAATAGCATCGCAAAACTCCCTCCTAGCTGTGAACTTGGGAAGAAGTATGCATTGCTTGGTCGGCTGAAAACACCGTCTCATGTTTCAGATCTTCAATTATAGCGGAGCTTGTGCTAAGTAGTAGCGAGATGAATCGAGCGCCAACATAGTACAAGAAAAAGAAAACAGGACCAAAAGTTTCCGTCACGGTGGTCAAGTTCGTGGGTTATCCTTAGCTTAAGGGTGGACAACGACAAGGCCTGGGTATTTGATTCTATGTACAGGAAAAGTAAACATCTTTAGCGCGCATAAAATGCGACAAGCACAAGTGAGGGAGTATAGACAGGAGAAGATTGCGACACTATGTCGACTAAGATTTAGCGTCACGACCGTGTACGAGCGGGCCAAGGATGAACGATCAAATCGTTCACCGTCTAAGCAGTGGCCGAGGCAGCGGGAGCAGAGCCGCTGGGGACACCACCGCTGGGAGCACCGCTGCCGCTAGGAGGGGCGCCACCACTTCCGCCGCCCATGCCGCCGGAGTTCTCGTTCGCGACACCGCCCTCCTTATAATAGTAAGCCTGAACACATGATTAGTACGTTTTCTTCGCTGACGTCAAATATTGGGTCACTGAGAGCGACTTACAGCGGGTGTGACAGAGTTCACTTGAGTAGAGTTAATGCCGAAAGCCAACCAAGCGAAGATGCCGTCAGAGAGATCGTCGCCGAGAAGGGTGTATTCGTGGAAAGGGTCAACGCTGTCAGCTTCTTCACCGAGAATAGAGTCGTCAGCATTTTCAGTGATCTGCTGGGTGTTGGTGTTGTACGGCTCGGTGAGCTCGACGGCAGAGATGAGGTTCTGGTCGAAGAAGGCCTGTCCAACGTGGGAGGTTGAAACGTTGTTGCCAAGCGTGCCGTTGACATACAGTGTAGGGTTGGTGTGGACCATGAGATGTATGTGGGTGGCGCGGGAGGTGTAGTGGCCGGGGAACGTAGTCTCGAACTGGGCGACACCATCGGCATCGGTCTTCTGGATTCCGCGGAGGAAGGTGTTGTCGATGTTACTTTCGTCGGAGGAATCTCCATTGCCGGAAGCAACTATGCCAGAGTAGACACCGGTGGAGTTGCAGTGCCACATCTCAAGGTAAACGCCGGTCACGGGCTCGCAGGTGTCAACGTCAATGACCTGGTAGTCGATCAAAGTTGGAACGCCGGCTTGGTCCTCAGCAATGTTGCTGCGAATCCACTCGCCTCCGACATAATAGGGACCCTGGGTGACCTCGGGCGTCAGAACGCAGGAAGCATTACCACTGAAGAGCGTAGTAGCGTCCGTGTTCAAGGTGTAACCCTTGGCGGTAGCGTTGTGGTCAGTGGCGACCACAGTGTCAAGGTCGCGCTTCTTCAAGCCACGCTTTGCGCGGGCCTTCTCGAGAGCTGCCTCGCGACGGACGGCATTGCGCTTGTTGACACCACGTGCCTTCAACTTGGCGGCACAGTGGCTGAGATCGGAGCGCTTCACGGAGCTGAGGAACTCGCGACGTTCGGCGATTTCCTGGGAGAGGTCATGTCCTGGATGGGCGGATACGGCCGACAGGAGAGTCAGGCCCGAGAGGACTGTCTGAGTGAGACGCATCTTTATATGGAGCGAATGGTCTATGTGAAGCAAGAAGTTCGCAAGGACAGAAAGAGTTGCTGTAAAGATGTGTAAGTAGCGAGGTAGAAGCGCAGCGAACGATCTGGATGATGATCTTAACTGTCCATTCCTCTCGTTTCCTTTATACTTATCAACATAATGTCACACTGCAGGGCCATCGATTCAGACAGCGCAGACGATCGTCATTGTGGATCCTCGCTGGGGCGTAGTCGTTGCCCATAATGACAAGGACGTTTCGAGCATTGGCCTTTGATCTCTTCAGCGCCAACGCTGCACCCCAGTTGAACATTCTTTACGGTCATTTCTGGGGAGTATTCGTCAACATCTCAAAATTGCTAGAGGAGTCGTCGTCCTGCCAAGGCCCTTGCTCCAAAAGTGGCTAGCGACCGCGTGGCATGGGGCATTTTCGCTATGCCAGTGGGGCTTCTTTCGTCTAAGCTTTCACCAGCCCTTCGAACCACAGCCTCGCCGTCATTCTTGGAGCGTGGACAGACCATTAGCCAAGCTTTGATTACGCGGTCGACATCTTGCGCCTTGCGGTCCGCGCTGTGCTGGCCAATGATAGAACTTGCATTACACTTCCGAGATAATGCCGCAGGTGATCCCTGCTGTCGCTGTGAACGCGTTTCGAAACAAGCGGCTGAGTTGTGCGATCGAGCTTACGACTGAGGGGAAACATCACGGGATTGAGTCCCGAGGCTAAAGGAACCGCAGCAACTGTTTGATTGCGCTATCTCGGCTTCAATCCGAGCTGAGCACAGAAGAAGGGTCCATAGCGCCTTCGACGCCCCTGGGGCTCGTACACGTCAACTACATGGAAGTCACAGTCTTGAGTGGTATCGAATCGATATGTGCGAACCTTCTCATGCTCAATCATTGATCACATTTCCAAGCCTATTCGATGTTAGCTCACAGAGTCTCACAACATTCTCTCCACACTCGCCTTCGCAATCGCTTATCCATCACCCTCCTCTCCAGCATATAGACCAACCTGAACCAGCCTGGCTCTAACGCATGCCCTTCACCTGGCTGTTGGAAGACTCCTCTGTCGAATGCGCTGTGAGCCAACTCTTGCTCCCGTTCCTCCTTGCCCTGCCCTACATCCTCTATTAGCCAGACTGCGAGATTGATAAACATAAGAAGCCTGCATTGACTCGGGATAGATACGTCACACCCATCGGCGAAAGACGCTCACTGAAGTACGTGTACGCCTCGCCTACGCGCTCCCGGCTCAGTGTTATAAATGAACGCATCCATGTACGATCGTACAACGTAGCAGACGCGATCGCGACCGAGGGTCCCGAGGGATTACGAAACCGGGTCACAGATTTCACCGCTTTGAGCAGCGGTTTGCTATGCGTAATAAGGGCTCCTATGCGCAAGCCCGGAACGGCGTAGTTTTTGACCATACCATAGGTGACGTGCAGCAGGCTTTCGTCTATTTGTGGTTCAAACCAGAGCACGGAGGTGAAGGGATGAGTACCGCGCTCAGTGGGGTCGAACCCCGAAAAAGCATAGATGTCGTCGCTGCTGAGATGGATATGGTGCTTCTGGTGGAAGCACATGAATGCGATGAGAGTGTCTTCGGGGCAGCATCGACCTGTGCATCGTCAATCTGTAATACGTTTGTGTGAAGCACATGGCTTACCTACGTAGGCGATTCTGAGGATTGATGATAAGCACAGCCCTGATCTCTATACTCCCAGCCTTCGCCTTCTGCGACGTCTGTTCGAATGCGTCGACGACATCGGGCTGCAAACAAGTTCCTAATGGTGTATCCGCAGCCACCATCTTCAGCCCAGCCTTGAGCCCAAAGTCCAGCTCAAAGCGGCCATAGTAAGGTCTGCTGGTCATGATTCCTTACAGGCTATAAGTAGTTACTCTCTTTGTATAAGGCTAATTCTCGTACAGGTCTCCAGCGCACCTTGTCCTGGATCCGCAATACTAGATCCGAAAGCCTCGTGCAGCGCTGTCGCTGTCCCAGTGATCTTGATCTGCTCTCCACTCATCAACTTCCGTGACTTCTAATACTCGTTCAAGTGCGCCCCCAGCGCCGCCGGGAGCTCTTTGCCACCAACAGTGCTGTAGCTGCAGTCCAAAGCCTGCTCAGGAACTTGGACTTTTACTTTGAGGTGTTCGGTGAATTTCTCCTGCACAAGATCGTTCTCCGCGCTTGTAGCATGTGTTATAACGCCTCCAGGATTTGTATCAGGATCGTAGCGTCACTTCCGCGACTCCAGCTGAGTATGCTGAACCTACTTCGACCGCCACGCATCACGACCGCCCTCCGGCGGCATGAATAGGGGACATGGCGTATGAGATTTGACATCCATGGATCTGGAGTACCTATGGCACCTAGCTACTGGATAAAGCACGTGGTGTCCTTGTCGCTGGGGTGTCATCGTCTCCTAGAAGGCCTTATACGCCATTGTACGCCGTTGGTGTATGCCGTCGAAGTGCTGCAGATTTTATTACCGGTTTTACTCGATGACGCTTAGACAGCTTTCGCTGTCGAACTTTTTCATCACGCCGGGTAAGAGAGTGCTACATCCCACATTAGCGGACTATTTAATGAAGGCTCGAAGTCTTGCTTCCTTCACTTACCTGGGTGAGGATTCGTTCTGCACATCGTCGATAAGCTTGTATCTCCTGCTAAGCTCGTACTGACTGACTCCTGGCTGCGTCAGAAGCGCAGTCTTCAGCTTCTTTAGCTGGCGTACCTTGCTTTGCTTCTTCAGTGTATCTTCTTTACAGCGCTGGCATTCTACATGTCTGTATATATGCGGTAATTCTAGAAATCTCATGGTCAACACCTCCAGTGCCCTTAGCGGCACCGCGAAGGGACGATTGTTCGCCAATTATTCAACCAGAATCGCCCACCTCTAGGGACAGGCTTCGCCTAGATTATCATGCAGAGGCAGTGCGCCAGTTTGAAACCCAAAGTAAACGCATAGAGAACTTTGTGGCGGGCCCTTGGCCAAGGGGTCAAGCCAATAAAGATGTTGGGAGTTTCTTGGTAGTCGGCCCAAGCCCATGGGATAGGCTGCTTGTTTTGCTCCACATTCATCGCTTCATCTTATGTACCTAGAGTGATTAATTATTGGCTGACCTTCTTTATACGGTCTCACGACTTTGTCTTCTCTCTTTCTTTATAGCTGTTCTTCCCCTCGCCCGTCTGAATTGCCTTTCGCCCTATATTTTTGTGCGCCATGTCCGCTGCATTGTCATTTCTGCGCATTGATGCAGACGCCCTAGTCTCTCTCTAGTTCTCCTTCATCCCGGTGCTATATCTCATATCAGTCAGACTTCCCTTGTCATATATTTATTCACTCTCCTTCCTAGTGTACTCTACCTCTTGAACGTCTAGTTGTTGACTTATCACGCCCTTTTGAGAGCCCCGGTCAACCCCTGAATAGAGACTCTAGGGAGGTACAAAAGACCTATCTCTTGTTATCCCCTCATTATTCCCTGTCTCTTGGTAACAATTGGGGGAAGGAATCATCTACATGAATATGGAATTCGCAGTGGAACGGCTACAACAGACGTACGTAATTTCAACATACTACACGAAAGCCTCATTTCTTGCCCTTCTTACCTGATGTCTGCTTCCTATATGCTTTTGCACAGCATATCTGTACGTTCTCTACAACCATAGACCAAGACGAGCTTATAACTGAGTCAAGAGATACCTAAGATTAAACGCAGGGAGTCTAGACGTAAAATCTAGACGTAGCTTCACTCCATGCCTTCTTGCATTTGTGATATCAGTGTGATCGTCGAAGGCAGTAGAGTTCGTAATAGCCAGATAGCATCGCATTTGGCAGGATCTCCAACACGCCTTGGAGTGTAAGTGTACATGAACGTCTCGTTTTGGGTGTTCGTCCCCTGATCCAAAAGTTCAGTCCGCTGCTCTGACGCTAGCCTACCCATTCAAATCGTTACTCAGTGCTCCGGGATAAAGCGCATTTGCTCCATGACACATATGTGCTCTACCCGCACTTGCAATCTGCATCGCGGGAGACTATGCCGCCTCGCATGACCGCCCACGCACCGTTTCTCCGCAGCTTCCCCGCCACAAACACCGTTCCACGTATCACAGGACATGCACTTCCTCGAATGGAGTGTAGGAATGCTTACGGGTGTATTCCTAACACAGAGCACATCGGAGATGCTGCTGTACCGCCATTATTGACATTCCGCAGCTATTCCCGCCTTCCACGCCACAGACGACCTCGCAAAGACATGAACTACCATCCGCATAAAGGCACCTGGTCGACTACATGTAGTACAACTACCATGGCACTCTGTGCGTCGCCTTCCTTCTTACAGATGATGTAGCCTGGAAATGTGACTTTAAGCTTAGGTCACATCCCACCCATGACCCTTGCGAGACGAGCGGTAGTAGAGCGAGAGATGAGTTGGTCGACCGGGCGCGGTGAAAAGTGTGTGTACGGAGCTGCTGGGGATATAGATTCCCTGGAAAAGAGGTAGGAGGTAGAGGGAGAAGTGGATACGAAAGGTATGGGTGTTCCTCAAAATTGGGGTGATTATATGGTATATGCTACATAACACTACCCTTTCGTAGTTATCCTTCATCTCTCCTGCCTGTTCGCACCGTTTTTCACTCCGCCATCTGCGACCACTTCCGTTGCAACCTTGACCCACCTCTGCCCGCCGCCCGAGGTTAGAGCGCAAAGTTCGTCATTCCACTCGGCGTGTTCCACAAAGCCTCCCAACTGAAATCAAACGCATTCGGATCCAGCAAATCGCTCAGCAACAGTCCGCCATCCTCCATTACCGGGCCCGTGAGGGCTTCCTCCGGATCCTGCGGGCGCTCAGGCATAACCAATATAGCCTCCGGCGGCGGCCCGTCGCCTCTTGCCGTCAAACTCGCAATCTTTGCCACGCTCTCGCCGCACCGCTCGAGCGTGTAGCCGGCAATGTCCCAGTCGTAGTTGTCCCGCGCGTGCTGGATGTGCGCGATGAAGCGTTCGAGTGTCGAGACGGAGGATGTGCGTTGCTCGACGTCGGACGTTTCGACAGCACATCGGAGGGAGACGGTGACGGCGTGCACGAGAAGGTGCGTGGCGTAGGGGAGCCAGAAGTCCTGGAACTGGGATTGGCCAAGGAAGCAGATGTAGTCCAATATCGCGGTGGAAGCTTGCCTCAGCTCGTCAAACCGGGCTTTCTTGAGCGCGGGTTCGTCTGCCAGAACGGCGGCGCGCAGGTTCACCCGGCTGAGTAGCAGGCGCACAGAGAGGAAGCAGAACCAGAGATTCGAGGTGCCGGGTTTGTTGGGGAGGGGGAGCCAGTCTGGGAGCTGGTCCTCGAGTTTCTTCAGCTGGGCTTTGAGAGAGGCTACCGTGTCGGAGAGGGTCGCGCGGTTGGGGTTGATTTCGTAGACCAAGGGCAGGATATCGCCGAGGAGCTCGGTCAGTGCGCATAAGTGGACGAAGGAGATTGTTGCGCAGCGCTGGGCGGGGGTCGCGCGGAGCGGCATTAGGGCGTCGATAGTGGGCAGGGGGACATCGTAGAAGCGCTTGCCAATGTGGGGGAGGACGCCGTAGGCGATGGAGCTCCAGTAGTCCGTGATGAGGACGCCCCAGAAGGAGCGGATGCGGTTTTGCTTCTCGGTCTCGGTAATGTTCCATTTTGTGGGGTCGCGGTGGAGGCCGAATGTTTGGGCGAGGGAGATTGTGCGTCCGCAGAGGGTGAGGTTGCCCATGATGGAGACCGAGGGACGGCCAGTTTGGTCGAGCACTGAGGCGTTGACTGTGGCCATGCTGGGGCTTAGGAAGTCCTCATGGAGCGCGCTGATTGCCTAAAGAAGTCAATGCTTGCTCTGCATGACTGTAGAGTTACCAACCTTATTCCAGATATAATGCAGGTCTGGCTTCGGATGCATCTTCAACGTATCGCTCAGGAACCAGTTCGCGGTGCCGTTCGCTAGCACAACGCAGACCAAGTTCTTGCTGACCTTATCGAGCTGGCCCTTCTTCAGCAGAAAGCACGACTCCTCGTCCATCACAGGGAATGCGTAATGCATACAAGAGAAGAACAAATCAACGACTTCTCTCTTAAACGGGCCCATCAGCTGCTGTAGGATCTCCAGCTGCTCTTTCCCGGCGCCCAGCTCCGGTGCCAAACCGCTCCGGAATCGTGGAACAGTGAGGTAGACAATGGGATCAGTCGTGTCCTGATTCAGTGTGCGGTACTGCCCTGCATCTGATCCCGATCCCTCAGGCGGTCGATGTTGAGACATGTGTCTCTGCAGGATATCCACGTCTTCAGCCACATGCGGCGCCAGAATGATACTGGCAGAAGGGTGATTACTCGGACGATGCAGCACCGGCGCGCTCCTTGGCCTATCCTCCTCATCCTCATCATTCGGACCCCTATCCAGACGCTGCCGCTTCGGCGTGCGCGTCCCACCATTCATGTCCTCCGGAGATCCATCGCTGGACTTGTCCGCGTACTGGCACTTCAGGCGTCGTTCCCGACATGACAAGCACGGCTCACCGGGGATATCGATGTGGCACCTGATCTTGCGGCTCCGGCAGCGGATGCATGCTGGGACTCTGTGGGAACGGTAGGGCCGGCTTTGGATGGGAGCTCCAGCGGCGCTGGCCATTCAGGCCCGCGGAGGGGGTGTTATATGTGCGTGAGGCTTGGGGCTCGGGGCTCTTTGCGCAAATGCGGGTACCTGGTGCGTGTGTCCGACGGCCAGCAGTGGATGCGGGAGATGCCGACAGCACGCCGATCTTTCCGGGATTACCAGGCCAGATAGGGCAGTTCCTATCTGTTGCAGTGGTCGAGTCTTGCGTAGTACCACTCGAACGCTTTTCTGTTGAATCTAGTTGTTTGTTGCAGTTAGGCCTCGGCTACAAATGCCCCGGCCGATACCGCACCGCTAGATGTTTCCCATCCATGCCTCTTTGGGGTCCTTGTCACATGTAATATTGGGCGCAAAGGTAAACGATCTGTCTGCACGTAAAGAATATAGCACAAATTTCCAGAACGAAATGTCAACACAGAACAGGAAGAAGAATTTAGGCCTTGGTCATGGAACTGTACTTCCGTAGACGTCGCAATAGGATGGTGGCACGCGAATTCATCAAAACTGGTCACTCACGTCCATAGCATCAATAACAAAGCGTATGCACATGGAAGATAGAGCTTCATATTATCTTCAAGATGTCCTTGAATTGATAGTACTGATGACCTCCGCTGACAGGATGCCGAAATGGCTAAGATGGTGGCACCACTCGTAGACCTAACTTCAATATTTTTTGTCCTGCTCGTATGTCCTAGCTGGTGAAACAGCGACTTCTCTGGCCATATCTCAGCACCCCTCTTCCGCTGACTGAACTGAACATCAGGGAGATTGAAAGACATTGAGCACGATGTATTCGGCAATTTCCATAGAGATCATCAGATCTCTTCTTCGCAAGTAGACAAAAGGCGAGAGTTTGAGAGCCTTACTCGCTATTGTCATCTGAATCGAGGTCGTCGAAGCCCGCAAACTGTTGCGGCTTCTCGGCTGGCTTCGGTGGAAGCGCATGTGGTTGCCTCTCTTCTACTCCTGCAGTTTGAGCAGCGACTTGAGCCTGGGCTTGCACCTGCGCCTTCGCCTGCGCCTGCGCTTGTGCAGCTTGTGCTTCTTGATTTACCTGGGCCTGTGCCGCCTCTGCCGCTATGCGGTCCTTCTCATCCTCGCCCAGCTTCGTGAGGTCTTCGCTCGTGGGGTCCCTGCCACGGTCCAGCACATGCTGGATCTGCATCAGGTTGCCGCGCCGAATCTTGTCCTCGTCAGGCCAGGGGTACCAGGCAAAGCCGCTCGCCTTGAGCTTCTTCAGCCACTCCGCCTCCTCCTCTGTGATGGCCTGCTCCTCGCCTTCCCTGGCCTGAACTTCAGCGGTGTGTTGGGGTGCTTCCTGCGCGGGTTGCTGTGCTGGCGTTCCTACCGCATTGGAGGGCACTGCGCTCGATGCGCCGTCTTCTGTGGGTTTGGACCTGTCTTCGGATTGCTTCTCTGGCAGGGCTTCGCGGTACGTCGGAGGGACGGTGGACTGGGCAATGTTCTTTGCATATTGCAGCAGCTCGTCAAAGGGCACCGGGCGCAGGTCGTCAGGGAACTTGGTCACGGGCGTCGCAAAAAGGTCCCGTCGGAGCTCCGCAAGGGCAGCAACGGACGACCTGAACTGCTCCTCAAGAGCCTCCCGCTCGGCGCGCAGGACATGGATGCGGGCGCTGTTCTCTCGGTGCTGTGCGACTGGGCGGGTTAGCATCCGTAGGCACGCAGTCGCAGGCGGTGCTGGTTACGCTTATCTATGCCGCGGGCCAGCTCATCGTCGGCAGCAATGAGGTCACCGGCGGCCTGCAGGGATGGGTTGTATGCGGCAATGGAGTCGACGAGGGTGGTGAAGGCCGTCTCGACACGCGAGAAGACGCCGTCGAGGGTGACGTCCATAGCTTCGGGCGTGAGCGAGAGCTAGGGGTGGACGGGGGCTTTATTCGCAAGGTGATTCGAGGGACTGCGGCAAAGACAGGGACTGGAGCGACGCTCCAGGGCCCGCCGACAACAATGACACCGCCAAGGCGTCCGCGCTGGGCAATCTGAAGCACCAACGCCGCCAGCGAGCTGAGGTGCTGTGCATAGGGCTACTGGAGCTGCAGCCGACGGGCGCCAACAGCGCGGCTCTGGATGGCTGGCTGGCAGCGGGATTGGCCAGCCCGCCCGCGACGCCCTCGCTTTTGGAGTTGTCGGCCGGAGCAGGCGCATCATGACGCCGAAGGTGGAAGCGGCCGCGACCTGGCCCGTCAAGCTATATTTGTCGCGTCCGCCGACCGTCACCTTAGCCCAACTGAAACTCCCCAGCTGCCCTAGCACTGTCACACGCGCACCTAATTCTTCACGCCTTGCCGCCCTGCTGTTGTCTTCGTATCCGCGGCAACCACGGTTCTGTCCCTCTGCTGCGCCCCGTCCGTAACGGACTGACCCCGCCAAATATCGCCGCTGCGCGAATCACCCCCCGCCACCGTAACCCAGCACGGACGGCTGCCTTCAAATCCACGACCCTACACACGCCGCCGACCTCTATCCACACGCCTTGCTTCTGCCTGTACGCGCCAGAACCCGCAACAGTGACCTGCTCTCGCCGCAGCCATGGGTAAATCGTGAGTCCCCCACTTCTCCTTGTGCAGCAGCAGCAGCCGCCTCCCGCCTCAGACCGGACGACTCCTGCCCGTCACCGCACGACCCGCGCAAACATGGCGCCCGCACATTCGAGCCCAACGTCTGCGCTTGACAGCGAGCGCTCCACGATATGCCACCGCCAGCCAACGCGATTCTGGCTGCAGGACACCCGCTCAGCCGCCACGCGCATACTAAGCACACCCCTTGTGCGCAATGCCCGACAACCATATACCGCTGGGCCACAGCACCCCGCCTCCTCTAGAGGACCACCAGGTGCCGCTCTACTTTGCGCGCCTGCACCACATCGACATACCGCACCACCGCGACCGCGACTACCCTCATTACCACGCCCTGTGCAAAGTCGCCCTCGCCAACGCCGTCAAGTCCTTTGAGGCGGAGCTTGCTGCGCGGAGTCCTGTCGAGCACATTAAACTTGTGAACGAGACGCTGATAGTGCTACCCCGCAGCCAGAGCAAGCTTTCCCAGCAAGAGCTGGCCGACCTCCAGAAGGCGACCCACTTCGACAAGAAGGAGCTGCAACAATGGTACAAGGGTGAGGGGAGTCTCGTCCCATGGAGGGATACCGGCGCTAAACGAACGCAGGCTTCCTGAAGGACTGCCCCTCTGGCATGCTCACCAAGGAGGAGTTCCAGAAGATCTACAAACAGTTCTTTCCATTCGGTGATCCATCCTCGTTTGCAGATTATGTGTTCAATGTGTTCGACGCGGACAAGTCTGGTACTATCGACTTTAAGGAGTTCATCTGTGCCCTGAGCGTCACGAGCCGTGGGAAAATGGAGGACAAGCTCGACTGGGCATTCCAGCTGTACGATATTGACGGCGACGGAAAGATCAGCTACGAGGAGATGCTGTCGATCGTTGAGGCGATATACAAGATGGTGAGGCGTTCCGTAGTACCTCACAACCAGCAACTGATCATTGCAGGTCGGTTCCATGGTCAAGCTCCCCGAAGACGAAGACACGCCCGAGAAGCGCGTACGCAAGATCTTCCGGATGATGGACAAGGATGAGAACGGCAGCTTGGACATGGCCGAGTTCAAGGAAGGCTCCAAGCGCGACGAGACGATCGTTTCGGCCCTATCTCTCTATGACGGCCTCGTATAGACGGCTTTGGCCCTGTTCTGTTCTCGTTTCTGCCGGTGTTCATTGGGTGTCTTGATATCAAACAGCGCATTGACTGGGTTTCTTTGGCATGCTAGCGCGTGTGTGGTGTGGAGGTCTGCGGTCGCTCCGGCGTATCGGCTGTACATAAGGAAGGCAGGCAGAGAGGAATAGCCTATCCAAATATCCAACGAGGGACACGATTTTATGCAAAATACCGTTCTCTTAAGCCATGTGATGTACGAGGCGCGAGGCGTGACTTTTGGACCCTACGCGTCCCTTAGCGCGACAGTTCCTACCCCTCCGATGGCGGGGCAAGCGCAACCGCGTCATGAGTCAGTAGCATGTAATAATTTCTGAAGACCAGTCAGTCGTTCACTCACACCACAAACACCAATTGATCACCATGCCGACCGTTCACTTGCTCGACTATGTCGCCGGAAACGTGCGCTCGCTCGTCAATGCCATTGAAAAAGTCGGCTACACCGTCGAGTGGGTCAGATCACCCGCCGACGTGCCTACTGCAGAGGTAAAGACGCCTAGCTGTGTGCTTCAAACACCAATTGACATGAGCTGACAGAGTTGAACCCGTAGAAACTGATCATTCCCGGCGTTGGCCATTTCGGACACTGCATGACGAACCTCGAAAAGGCGGGCTACGTCGAACCCATCCGCGAACACATCAAAGCTGGGAAACCGTTCATGGGAATATGCGTCGGGATACAAGCGCTCTTTGAGGGATCAGAAGAAGACCCGAATGTGAAGGGTCTGGGTGTGATACCAGCGCGGCTGAAGAAGTTCGACAGCAAGGACAAGAGCGTGCCGCACATTGGCTGGAACAGCGCAAACACGTCACGGACTGGCCAGGTTACAGATGAGTCGCTGTATGGACTGCGGCCAGACTCCAAGTACTACTACGTTCACTCATATGCTGCGCCGTACGTAGAGGGCGAGCTAGAAAAGGAGGGCTGGCAAGTAGCAACAGCGCGCTATGGCGATGAAGAGTTTGTGGGCGCAGTGGCAAAGGACAACATCTTCGCGACGCAGTTCCATCCCGAGAAGAGCGGAGCCGCTGGCCTGCGTGCTCTGAAAGCATTTTGCGATGGCGAGAGGGTACAAAAATTACCCAAAGTCCCTTCGAAGGAATCAGCACGAGAAGGGCTAACGCGGAGAGTGATCGCATGTTTGGACGTGCGGACAAACGACCAGGGCGATTTAGTCGTCACCAAGGGAGACCAGTACGACGTACGGGAGAAAGATGGCGTAAACACAGGCGGCGAAGTGCGCAACCTCGGAAAGCCAGTCGAGATGGCGAAGAAGTACTACGAGCAGGGCGCCGACGAAGTCACCTTCCTGAACATCACCTCCTTCCGCAACTGCCCCGTCGCCGACACGCCCATGCTCGAGATCCTGCGGCGTACCAGCGAAACTGTCTTCGTGCCCCTCACCATCGGCGGCGGCATCCGCGACACCGTCGACACAGACGGCACCAACATCTCCGCCCTCGACATCGCAACCATGTACTTCAAGTCGGGCGCGGACAAAGTCAGCATCGGGTCTGATGCAGTCACCGCCGCGGAAGAGTACTACGCGCGTGGATCGAAATTGAATGGCACTACGGCTATCGAAGCCATCTCTTCCGCGTACGGCAACCAGGCCGTTGTCATCAGCATCGATCCCCGCCGCGTCTATGTTGCCTCTCCCGATGCCACGCCCCACCACACCATCAAGACGGCGACCAAGGGCCCCAATGGCGAGGAGTACGCGTGGTACCAGTGCACCATCAAGGGTGGCCGCGAGGGCCGGGACTTCGACGTCCGGCAGCTGGTTACGGCTGTGGAGGCCATGGGCGCGGGCGAGATTTTGCTAAATTGCATTGATAAGGATGGGACGAACAGCGGGTTTGATTTGGAGTTGATCAATGATGTTAAGGAGGCGATCAAGATCCCCGTTATTGCGAGCAGTGGAGCAGGGAACCCAGGGCACTTTGAGGAGGTATTTGCGAAGACGAGTACGGATGCGGCGTTGGGAGCTGGCATGGTAAGTTACTCCTCTGCACGGTACGGGCGAGAGATGTTTGCTAACTTGGGGTAGTTCCACCGAGGAGAGTACACGGTCAAGCAGGTCAAGGATTTCTTGCAAGAAAAGGGGCAGTTGGTTAGGCAGTTCGAGGAGGCGATATAGACGCCTTGAACACTATTGAAAGTGAAAGTGGAACGAATACGTGCGATCTGATGAAACTCTCTGTTGAGCCGATGAATTTGTTATAGACTCCCGAATGCCAAGTCCTTTTGGTATCTCCCAAGCGCCCATAATGCTGCATGCGTAAACTTGATCTCGTGCCCCAGAACGCCGAAAATGTAGTGCCGTGGTATCCTTTTTCCGTTCAAGCAAAGTGTATCCCTTCCTGGTTGAACCCGTAAAGCTATGTCTCGGTTAGTCTCCACGCGTTCTTTCTGCGCTCATGTCGACGACTTACCAACTTCAAGAAATCCCCCTCGTCACACATCCGCGCCCGCTTCTCGGCGAGGTCCGCGTCCTCGAGCACCTTCTCAATCTTCTTGCGCACTACGCCCGTCACCGCGCCGCGGCTCTTCTTCTTATTCCCGCCCTTCTTCTGCGCCGTCTTGAAGAAATCGGGCACATCATCGTCCATGTCGTCCGGGTCGCTGAAGCCCCTGAACTCGTCGTCGGCGTCCTCAACCTCCATCTCATCCACGGCGTCGGCGTCGTCGACGGGCGTCTCGTCGATGGGTATGTCGTTCTGCGCGCAGTAGAGGCGGTAGTTTGACTCGAGGAGCTCGACCACGGCGCTCGTCCCCAAGAAACTGGACCGCAGTGTTTTGTTTTTGCGGACGAAGCAGATGCGGAGTAGGCCATCCCACTCCTCGTAGCTGATAGCCGGACGCGGATGCTTTGGCTCGATGCGCACGACGTTGGACTCGACTTTTGGTGGGGGGTTGAAATTTGCCTTGCCGACTTTCATGACGTGCGAGACGCGCGCCCACATCTGCACATTCACACTCAGTCTGCTATACAGCTTCTCCCCCGGCTTTGCGAATAGTCGCATCGCGAATTCCCGCTGGAACATGAGAACTGCGCAGCGCGGGGGGTGCGGGAGGGAGAGCAGCTTGAAGACCAAGGGCGAGGAGATTTGGTACGGTGTGTTGGAGATGCAGACGTCGAAGTGGGGGTACTCCATCTTGATTGCGTCCCCGAGCAAGACTTTTAATCGAGAGCCTTCGGGCGTGCCCTGCACGCGCTTTGTCACTTCGGCCGCCATGCGCGGGTCAAACTCGACCGCGGTGACCGTCTTGGCTTTCTTGAGGATCAGGACTGTCAAGTTTCCTGTCCCCGGACCGATCTCCAGCACGTGGTCGGACTGTTTTAGGTTCGCTTTGTCGACGATGGCGGAGGCGACGCCCGGGTTTTTGAGGATGTGTTGCCCGAGGTCGTGGTTCATTTTGAAGATGGAGTGCGCAGCGGCGGCTTTGGCGGAGGGTTTGGCGTAGGGCGTGGATTGCGTAGAGGACGCGCCGGCGCGCTTGGGTTTGGCTTTTGGCATTCTGGAGGGTTGGTGTGTAGGATTTGAAGATGCAGCTTGCGAAGGGATGCTGAGGGTCGGGAGATGCTTTCGGGGGTAGCGATCGCGCGTATAGCTTACGAGGATGGGTACAGAGCGAGAAAACGAGCTTTCGGAGCCCGCTGGTATATGGCCACAATTGAAGGCTGGCGGGGATGTTGGCAGTCGCGATGGATTTTTGGGGGTTTTGTTATCGATAGCGGCTAGAAAAGTGGCTCGCCAAGATTTCGATTTCGGGCATCTTTTCGTCGCGCTCGCTCCCGCATTTCTCGGCGCATAGAGTCTTGACGGCCACCGTGCTCAAGACCGAACAGACTGCCCTTACGAGTTCTTATCCAAGGAATCCGCCTTCAACTCACACAACGCACCGCTAGCTCGCGCACGGCACCATGGGTCGCAAACTCAAGCATCATGAGCAGAAGCTCCTCCGCAAGGTCGACTTCAAGTAAGAAGCCCATGTCCCACGGACATTCCCAGCTAACCATTCCAGTACCTACAAGTCCGACAACGATCACCGCGAGCATGCCATTATGCGCCGCTACGGCGTCCAGAAGCGCGACGACTACGCAAAGTACAACCGCCTCGCCGGCTCGCTGCGCCAACTGGCCCACAAGATCGCCGCCCTTGAGCCCACCGACGACTTCCGCCGCAAGCACGAGGACCTTATGCTCGAGAAGCTGTTCACCATGGGCATACTGGGCACCGGCGGGTCGGGCCGCGGGAAGCTGTCCGATGTCGAGCACAAAGTCACCGTGAGCGCGTTTTGCAGGAGGAGGTTGCCCGTTGTCATGACGAAGCTACGGATGGCAGATAATGTGACGGCTGCGATAAAGTTCATTGAGCAGGGGCACGTCAGAGTTGGAACGGATGTTATGACCGACCCGGCGTACTTGGTTACGAGGAATATGGAGGATTTCGTGACGTGGGTCGACTCGTCGAAGATTAAGAGGAACATCATGAAGTATCGGGATCAGCTCGACGACTTCGAGTTGGAGGCGTTGTAGGGTGGAAAGGACGTGCATTGGGCGGCGTATGGTTTATAGCATTTCCGGCGTCATGGCTCTTCAATACCCCATGTTTTGGGTCAACCGATCAATCGACTACTTGTTGGCTTTGCGGGACCCACCACGGTCTACCACTGCGTCTCTGACCGTGCGATAGTTTCCACACGTTTGCTCGATCTTGATTGTGTCGTGCAAATGAGTATAGCTAATACAATGTCCGACGGAAAAATTGTGTTTCAAAAAGTGAGCTTCATTCGGTTGATCAAGATCTTCCTCCATCCGGCAACACCACGGACGAGAATGTATACGATCACGTTCAATGACCCTTCCCGACTTCGGTTGTACGCGTGGTGGCAGAACGGATCAGCGCGAAAGCAAGAGCGACCCCGCTTTGAGCCACCACCAACCCCACAGTTAGGTACATCATCAGCCCGAGCAATCAACCCCCCAGAACCCGGACGTCGGCAAGACGCAGCTTCACACCCATAAAACCCTCAAACAAGCTGCAATACCAGCCGGTTCACATCATCTCCCCACCTTCACAACATGCCCCCAACAACGACCCGCCCCCCCTTCTCCTCCCTCCCTCTCGACAAGAACGGCCCTCCAGGAAATGCCTGGGGTCTCTACGGCCCCAACGACGAACTCGGCGCCCTAAATCTCCTCACCCCCGCCATCGTCAAGCTCGCCGCGCAAGAAATACAGCTCGGTGAGCGCGTCTCCCTGGATTGGTACCTCAACCTACCGACCTACCCCTCCTTCAATCGCCCCGGCTTTAAATGGAGGCTCCACAGCAAAGCACCGCGGACCGTCAACGATGACTTCATCGACATCAACACGCAGAGCAGCAGCCAGTGGGACGGCTTCCGGCACTATGGGTACCAGAAGGCGAAGCAGTTCTATGGGGGTAGGGCGCAGGCAGAGATTGAAGGGAGTGATGTTATTGGGATTGATCGGTGGGTGGAGGCTGGCGGAATTACGACCAGGGCGGTGATTCTGGATTACCCAAGGTATCTGGAGAAGAAAGGACAGGAGAAGGTGAATGCGCTGCAGCCGAGGAGTATCTCGGCGGACACGCTGAGGGATATGTTGAAAGAAACGGGCGTGCAGACTAGGGAGGGCGATATGTTGCTGCTAAGGACAGGGTTCACGAGGGATTACGAGGCGTTGAGTGATGAGGACCGGAAGGCGCAGGCCGCGAAGCCGACAGCGGAGTTTTTGGGCGTGGAGAGTAGCAAGGACGTCTTGCAGTGGATATGGGAGTCGGGATTCGTAGCCGTTGCAGGGTAAGTCATCCAGCATACATTCTTTACTGAGATGTTTGTAGAGCGCAGCTGACTATCTAGCGATGCACCATCGTTCGAGATGTCGCCGCTCGTCGGGAAGCACAACGAGCCAGGCGGGATCTGGAAGGGAGAGGCGTGGGAGGAGGAGATGCAAGGAGGGGGGCTGATTCATCAGTGGTGTTTGGCTGGATGGGGTAAGTAGATTGGAGCGTCCTTGCTTCGGGTAGACTTGCTGACAGGGTGCAGGTGTTACCATAGGGGAAATGTTCGACCTGGAGAGACTTTGCGAGAAGGCGGATTCGCTCGGGAGATACACTTGCTTTGTGTCCAGCGTGCCGCTGAAGGTAGGGTAAGACATTTTGATTTGATTCACTCGACTGACGCGACGTAGATTCCTGGAGGTGTAGCAAGTCCGCCGAATGCTGTGGCGATATTCTGATGGGTGAATGTCTGTGCCTCACATATTGACAAGTCTGCTATACATGTGGACGTAAAGAGCGCCTAGCTTGACCTCCGCACTGCGTTTAGCCGGCGCACACGTACCCCCCACACAGCATCACCAGCAAGCTTCGCCAAGTTATGAGTCGCTGTCTCAATAAATAACACCGAAGAATCTAGTAGACACCAACCATCATCATCCGACTTGGCTACCCTCCGCAAAATAGCAAACATACGTCTCATTCACGTCTCGTGCCACCTTCCTTCTGTACCACACCCAAACCTTCTTAAACTCGAAGGACGCCGTGGATGTAATGTCATCCTGCTGTCTACTTCCAGACTCAGCCCTTTCACTACTGTCAACTCAATCTTTCACAGCACTGTTGTCCTTCGTCTTGTCTCTAGGCTTCATATCCACACGAATACCCGGCCTTCGATCTAGCGTTCATCGACTGGATTAAGCCAAGATGAGACCCCTTCCCCACCTTGTTATAGCCCTCCTAGCTAGCGGAATCAGCGCGATCCCGACCTTTTCGCAGGATCCAGTAATGAATGTCACTTCTCACGGTGGCCACGAGCGCGCGTGTGACCGGCGCTGTGCAGCTACCGCCGAGGGGCTGGATTTGGCTTGTGCGCCGGGCGTGCCGGGGAGGAATGGGGTAAGTACCATTTATTCCTTCCCATTTTCAAGGGCTGGGAGAAGGTTGGATTAGAAAGGCGGTGGACAATAACATCAAGGGGGGGAGGGGATAACGCGAAGGAAGAAAAGGGAGAAGAATGGGAAAGGGAAGAGGGTGTAAGCTGACTTGGACAGGACTGCTGGTCGTGCTGTTGGTACCGTGTGGTGGAGCCTTCACCGACACCGACGCCGGAGGTAGAGGAAAACCCAAATGGCGGTGGGTATGGGAAGAGGGTGTAGGGGATCGGCTGGGAAGGAGAGAGGGGACTGCTTTGGAGGGTGAACGTAACGTAAGGTAGGGCAGGCTTCTTCTGTTGTTCGAGTTGGTGGTAGATGAATGGATTGCCATATTCTGATCTTTAAGATTGTGTTTCTGAGCCTTTCGTTATTAGCGAGTGGTACTTGAATGTTACAGTAGCCACTAGGCTGCCTTGACTAGTAGACTGAGATTGAGCCTTGAATTTTCTAGAATGCGACTGGTTTTGGGCCGCCGCAGCACTAGGCCAGGCATCTAAGAGGCAGTAGTGGTGGAATAATTTCGTTGGCCTGTTAATGTCCTTGTGATGATTGATGTGGATCGTTGCGAATTCGGACGTGTTCATCGGGAGTCAGCAGTGAATGGTCAAAGCTTGTAGAGCAAAAGACACAGCTAAGTAGAGGGTGAGCACTCGCAGTAATGAGGGCGCGGGAGCGCGCACATGCCAAGAAAGCACTGGTGAAAGTTACTAAGCCATGCTAGGTTAGCTTCTCACGCGCCTCCCACCTCCACCATATAGCCTTCACAGGGCGATTGGAGAAGCCTTGCCCGCACCTTCTCTCACCGCACCACCGAGACGCGACCGCTACCCTCGATACCATGCCGAAACGCGACCTCGACGCGCTCTCCGCCAGCCCGGGCGCCGCGGGGACACCGGCCACGCAAGCCCAGGACGCGAAGGTCGCAGCGTTGCCGGATACGAAACGATGCAAGTTCTCGACCCATAGTCATGCCAGGAGAGAGATAGAGAACAACTCCGGGTCAGCACTCCTAAATTTGCCGGGCGAATTGCTGAACACCATCTATGAGTACGTCCTCACTAGCGATGATGATCTTCTCGAGTATGTCCCCATTGAGTACGCCAATGGATTGAATGCCACCATAGACGCTCGTTCGCCGGACACAGAGTCGCATATTCACACCACGGAACTGCCGTCTCCTAAGGACGGTCCTGATCATCCAGTCCCGGATGTGCAACGGGGCGGGTTCGAAGGTGTGTCGGATGCCGACTATCGCAAGGTCTTTACCGTTATTACTTCGAGTCCTGTTCAGGCTCAGAACCTACAGAAGGATGGCCGTGAGTTCAACCAGCTGAAGTACGTCTGCAAGAAGTTCTGGCGGGAGACGTATCGACTGGAACTGCAGTTCAACGGTGTCCTATTAAGAGATAGAGATGGGACGGGAGTCGACCATATCGACCAATTCCTTGCTAAATGCCCTCCCTCTCAGGGAGAGTGGCTAAAAAGGATCACGATCTTAGCCATAACCACCGTGTATGGAAAAGAGTTTGAAGAAATGGAGTCTGACCAAGACGTGAGTGGGAGAATTGCTTGGTTGCTCCTGTATGCTACCCAGTCTGAGCGGCTCTCGAAGCTTGAAGCCTTCTGCTCTAGTTATCCCTGGATGAGTGTCCGGTTCGTACCAGATGCCTTCACACTTGACGAAATCGTGGAAGACGACGGAGAGGTGTCGCCGAAGTTCGTTAGTACAGCCTTCTCGCTGTACTACGTACTTAGGAATACGCTTCCAACGGGATTCGATTGGCTTCAGCCTCAGTTCACGAGAATCGATGAAGCAATTGGGCGCGACGATCATTCGCCTCCTCTTCTACAGGCACCAAATCTACGAGTCTATCCACGCAACCTACTTGGTGGGATCAGTATTGCTGAGCTTTTAGGGAGCTTCCAGGCACAAACCAAACACGAGATGAGCCAGCCATTCATCATGGTTGCCCGCGAATGGTTGATGCATGGCATGTGAGCCATTGCTGGCTTCTTGAGAGAGCCGGGCTTTATGATGAACTTTTGGAGGAGATCTGGATGTTCGCTTGAGCCTTGCGCTTTCGGTTCATGAAGAGACATTGGCGCTAAAATTGGAAGGATTTTGGAATGGTTCGGATTTTACCCGGTACCTCGTACCCGGGATGTGCACTCTACAGCTCATCTAAATAGATTGTATCGATCGGAAAGCTCCCGCCACAGAATTCACAACTCGACACATAAGCTTTTTGACGCCTCATCCCCGCAACATGTAGTGCTACCGCACGTTCTTTGTAGGTCTTCCTAGGTTCGCTACTTGCAAGCCTCATCGTGACCACACAATGTGGAAATACGTCTTCCTATCTCCCCTCGCTCTCGCTCTCGCATCACCTTACTCCTATCGTACAAATCCTATACAGTGCCCCGTCATCTTCGACGGCCGCGTCCCGCAAAACTTCACCCCCGCCTCTTTCAACCTAGCCTCCACATCGCCCTACAGCCCCCAATACGTCAAAGGCGAGAACCTCACCTGGAGCGAAATCATCCTCCTCCCCAACACGACCACTTCGCGCTTCGACACCCTCTTGGTTCACCGCCCCCTAGAAGTCACCATTAACGACGCCTCGCTCTTCCGCTCGGGGTCCGGTCTTCAGCTCGGTTTTCGGCGCGCAGGCCTCTTGCTTAGGGACGACAAGAACGCAGCCGGTGCTGATGCCGCGGACCAGGGCGTTGTGACGTTCCACTGGAGCGTGCGGCAGGATGTCAGCAGGTCGATGAATTTGAGCCACGAGTATATGAATGTGTGGCATGAGAAGGCGGATTACAGCGGCAATCAGTTTACGTTTGTGGGCGGGGTTGTGTTGCCTGTTGATGGGGGGAGCGGGCTGGATACGCCCGAGGAGAAAAACGTCTGGAAGATTCAGAATCATAAGAATGAGTTCGTGTTCCGTACGCCGATTCGGAACGATGTGTGGCAGAATTTTGGGGTGCAGCTGGACTATGCGAATAGGTGAGTTATACCGGCCTCAACCACTGCAGGTTCTGCATGACGGGAGCACCCATTGGTTGGAAACGCGCCCTTGATGACTATTACTCGATTCTACATGCTGATGTACTTGCAGCACGATCCGGGTTTATTACTCCGCTGGGAACGGGCCGTTGGAAGACGTTACGGGTGCACTTCCCAACGACAATTCGGGTGGAGGACAGCTGCAACTCGGCATGGCGAAGAAGCCGACGGAAACAGAGACGGTTGTCTGGGATGGTTATCAAGAGCCTATGCCGCAGGGAGAAGGGCAGATCTATGGCGGGGTCTTCGTGGAGGACAGCTCCAATGGTTGCGTTAGTCTGTGATCATGATGAGAGTTGTATATGTTCTCCTGAGTTTTTGGTGCGTAATTGGGCAGATGTGTGGTTATGGATATGATTTGACGAGAGGGAAGTCGTAGACGTGCGGCGCCTGGCAGGCGCGCACGAAGCATTTGAGAGGCTTAGAAGGAGTTCGGGTAGTGTAGACTCGGAACTGCACATACAATAAGATCGGACGCTGCAGTGTCTACGTGTGGCACAGCAGTGAGACAGTTTTCGGGAGTACCTAGGGAGAGCGCGTCGCACGAGCCACCTTCCAATCACTCCCGCGTCATTGGTCCAATCTCCAAATAAGCGCTCGTCACTATCCCAACCACTTCCATCCTTCGACGCGTGCGATATTGTTTCATCGTACCTGAAGTGCTTCATACTTTGCGCTGTACCAATGCGCGGTCTCTGATTCCTTCATATCGTGCTCCGGCGCGTGAATGGTCTATACTGCCCTGCCCGTCACACCACGGCGCAGCAAACACATGCACCTAAATCTAATGCAAGAGCCGGCAACAATGGGATCCAGTACAAGATATTGAGCCGATCTCGCATAGGGCATGATATGACGATGTCCAGATCAGGGGTCTCTAATCCTGAAGACTTGCCGCACAGATTAATCAAAAGACCTTGTGAGATTTCAATCGACAAAAGAACGATCCCGAAATGTCCTCCACTCATGCTTCTGCATGAATGCAAGTGAAAGCCACTTGAGTAAAACTTTGCGAGCGATGCGCTCCAAATATGATCGGAAGGATGCTTCCTTAGTCTACTCATGCTTCGCCACGCTTCGCTGACGCGCGTTTCTCTCGCAAAATACGGACCTACGTGACACCTATGTCACATACTTCCAAGCCATCTTTTTGTCTTACTCTCGACTCAGATTTGAGGTATGGGGCGAATTCGGCGCTTCTGTGTTGATTTATCGAGGCGTATGGACTGTGCCGCACGATGATCGTTCAGGGGACTACTCGAGGAGACCAGCCCATACATGCAAAGAGCTATCCGCGGTCGACTTTGTTGCCCAAACCGGACGAACGGAAAATGGACACGCGGGCCGGACCAGGACCAAAGGTCACTACAACTCTGAGGAGATCAGGATAACACGCTGCTGCACTTGTAGCTTTTGCTCAAAACTAAGCCACCGAGAAGAGCAACCACATTGTTCTGAATTCCCTTATCAAGGACGGCACCCGAAGAATCCTGGAGGGTATATTTTTTTACCATCTAGGATTTATGAACGGTCTTGTCCGACTAACAGCCTTCATCTGCTAAGTCATGCCGATGTTGGGTAAGTCTTACTTGAGCAGTTCTTACGTTATGCCCGACGGAGATCTTACAAACGTCCGACTCCGATCCAGGGCTTGATCGGATCGGAACCGGGAACAGTACTCGCAGGCTTCCCAATGTGTACAGTCCTCTGGCGAAGCATATTTGTGACTCAGGATATGCTCCTCCCAAAGGCAGACACATCCTCATGTCAACTTCGAAGCGAAAGCAGCAGCATTCATCTCGTGCGAAAGAGTGCAATTCGACACGGGGCGTTGGGCTTAGCGGTTCCTTCGCGTGGTGCCTTGCTGATGTAGAGAGAGATGTGCAACCTATCCACTCAAATTTTCTGGGCGGCACAGTTCACACCCTCGCGATCTGGACGCGGTTTCGCAACACACCACAAAGGTCGGGTCCGAACAAGTATGCCTTGAACCATTCTCGCTAATCCGGGGCCAATTTTTTGTGATCTCTCCAGTTGAGCTGCCTCGCTTCGACAACGCGCCTGTAATTGGCGGCAATTCTGCCAATGAGCACCCATAGCCCCATTCTGACAGGAACCACGTAAGCTAGGCCGGGCCCAAGAAATCGTCAGCATCAAAGACTTTAATGGTCAGTTGATTGAAGGTGGTCAGCTCCAAGGCGTAACGATGGAAGGTATGGGTGGCATGGACCCTCTATGGCGCGGATCATGAATTGGCTCAGGACCTGTTAGGTGATCAAAAACCCCTTCTCGTCTAAGGATACGGCAAGCAACCTAGCCTGACGCACTATGGATTCGTGTTGCCAACTTCGTGGTGGTGCTTTGCGAGAAGGTGTAACATAGCCAGGTTGCTTCCGTCGGCCTATACTACTCACCGCCTGGCTGAAATACAAAATTCTCATGAAACTCGAAAACAGGGTGGAGGTATACCAAGCTGCGACTTCTGGTCCTACTGTGACCTCGTCGACGAACAACATCTTTCTTCATAGCCACTATCACTTGTGTTTCTGGCACCCCACTGCGTTCCTGATGCGAAGAGTCAACGGTTGACTGAAACATTTGCTATCATTCTTACTATCCCTGCGGTCGTTGAAATTCACTTCGAAAAAATCACACTAACGCTCAGTCTCGGATGGCGCCCAGTCGCGGAATGCTGAACAGATTGATTCGCAAAGCGTATTCACAGCCAAAGGAGATCTACGGCGAGGACGACGAGCGTTTTCGATATAATGATAGCATATCAGCTGTGCGAAAGGCGGAGTATCCAATGCTGCACGGTATGTTTGCTCTTTCTTTGACTGGAATCTGTGCTAACATCGTAGGCATCACATATCTGGATCACGCTGGTACAGCCTTACCATCAGTGTCTCTCATAGATTCGTTCTCGAGACAGCAAAAGAGGCTTCTACTCGCGAACCCGCACTCTGCTCTGTCTACATCGCCTAATCTCACCCAGACTGTAGTCCAAGGGGCCCGTCTCCAGGTGTTGAAGCTGTTCAACGCCAGCCCGGACCACTTCGATGTAGTCTTTGTTGCCAACGCTACCGCTGCGACGAAACTGGTGTTTGATGCCTTTCGCGACCAAAATCAGGGTTTCGACTACTATTACCACAGGGATTGTCACACTAGCCTTGTGGGAGGGAGGCAATTAGCACAACAACACTGCTGCTTCAGTGGTGCCGATGCGGATGACATTACCGAGTGGTGGCTGGGGCAAGACGATGCACAGAACGACCATGCGCGACCCAAACTATTTGCGTACCCAGCACAATCAAACATGAACGGTCGTCGGCTGCCACTATCATGGCCAGCTACTATGCGCAAAGAAGGGCGTCACAAAAACACGTATGTGCTCCTTGACGTCGCAGCATACGTATCCACCAGTCCGCTTGATCTTAGCGACCATGAAGGGGCTCCAGATTTTCTCACTATGTCGTTTTATAAGATATTTGGATACCCGAACCTCGGAGCGTTGCTGGTGCGGAAAGCCGCTGCGCACGTCTTCAATCAGAGGCGGTACTTCGGTGGAGGAACGACGGACATGATAACGTGTAACGAGGATACTTGGGTAGCCAGGAAGAAAGGCTTGTCTGAGTCGGTGGAGGACGGCACCGGACCAGCACACAGCATTTTGGCCCTGGACTGCGCGATCAGAGTCCATCAAAAACTGTACGGTGGCCTAGAGCAAGTGTCCAAACATACAAGCTGGCTTGCACGACAGCTCTATGAGCAGCTAAGCTCCCTGCGCCATTCGAATGGACGGTTGGTATGTGTGATATACAAAGACCCAGCGTCAACATATGGCGACCGCACTACCCAAGGAGCAACTGTGGCCTTCAATGTTTACGGGACGGACGGACGATACTTCGACACCGCTCTCGTCAGCAACGAGGCCATGGCATGCAAGATCCACATCCGAGCTGGCAGTCTCTGCAACCCAGCCGGCATGGCGCATACCTTGGGATACGATGATCACGAGCTACGAAGAGTATACAGCGCTGGCTTGCGGTGCGGTGAAGGAAACAGCTTCACTGGTAGGCCGCTTGGGATGGTTCGAGTGAGCTTCGGAGCATGCAGCATACTGGACGACGTTGTTGCGTTTATGAACTTCATGAAGGCATCTTTCGTTGATAGGACAAGCGACAGACATGATTCGAAGACACAGACGGTAGACAAGCAGGGAATGAAGATGCTGGGTTCGAACGGGTTGCCGCGCTCAACGTCGTCGCTCTCGGTAATACTTGTGCGCAGCAGTAGAGAGGAGAAGGAGCAGAGTGGGAATTGGAGAAGCAGGCTGAAGTCGGTAAAGAGCAGTGCCACGCTTCGTAGGAAAGTTTAGTGGCCTTTTCGTAGAATTGTATGTTTGGAGTGGTCATGTGACGTTCCCAGCCACCTGATCCTATATAGAACACTTACCACTCTACTATGGAGTTGACACCTCAATCAATTAATTCACCCAACTTCACTTCGAATTCATGCTCCCATTTAACATTGTATACTTTTCCAGCAGCCGAAGCAGCCTCAAGAACACGACAAGTATGGGGTGATAATGGGAAAAGTAGAGAGGATGGAGAGGCCACTAAGGACTCTAAGGAGAGTTCTAGTGATATTCATGATCTGAAGGGTATACCTTCACTAGTTTCGCATCGTTTTGATCGTCGTCGATACCCACATGAGCAGTCGAGGACCATGTCACGTGATGACATTTGCCCCGCTTATCTTCATATACATTCGGATCTCGCTAGAAACCTATGTACAGCGTATGAGGTCTTGCATTAGATTGAGTTATAACTTTCGTCCAAGTATGTATGTTGAAGGTAGCGGTTCGAGTTGTGGGACGGGGCTTGGTCTGCAAGTTGATAACGATAAGATGGGAAAGCGGAGTAAGCGCCGACGAAACGTGCGTTTCTTTCCACTGAGAGCGGTGAGCAACTGGGCGAAGATCGACACAAGCATAGATCCTAAGGCTGGCGACATCAACATATACGTACAGTGATGCAACAGTCGAGCGCCCGAGTGATTTGGAACACGATCTCTATAGATCTTACAGCCCCACCGGTACCACTTCTTAAGTTTTCCAGTGTTCGTATAGAGTGAGTCGCCTCCAGCAGATGACTTTCCGCATGAGTTCTTGATTTCAACATTACCAGGGTCTTTTCCATACTCGGTTAGCTCGTGAAGGATGTTGATGTCAGTGGTCCGTGCAGAACTTACGTAGCAGCCTCCCCTCGTCTCGCTCACGTTGCGAAGTATTGGCTATATATCCTTGCGTAACGGCTTCCTGTGTTCGTTCGTCTACCCGTGAGATTTTCTGCTCTTTTCCATTTTCGGCGGTCAATTTGAGCATTTCTTCTCTTCAGTGCAGCAATGGCTGTTTTCTCCGCACCACTCCAATCGCAGTGTTACTTTTTCAACATCCCACCAGAACTCAGAAATGCTATCTATGAATACGCCCTAACCGAGTTCATGCCCCTTCTTTGCACTGCTGGCGATGCAACTGGCTCCCCAAAGCTACTGTTGCAATACCAACCGGGGGATAAGGAAGCCAGACGCGAGGCTAACCAGCTGAGGTACGTCTGTCGTCAACTCAACTACGAAGCTCGAACGCTTTCTCTACGATACAACGATATCCACTTCCACGGAATTGAAAATTTTGAGAGCTTTCTCCTCTCTAGCATGCATACCCTGCACAGGCGCTTCCGCAATGTTATCATCCTCGACGACCATGAAAGCCTGAAGAAGAGCTATACCATCAACCAGCTGATAGACCGTTCCATGTCTCCAGTGCTATATACATTTTGTTCTCGGAACCCGAAAGCACGAGTCGTCATTCGGAATTCGCGTCGTTTCACCGAAGGTGCTTGGTTGACGATCTACGTTAAGCTGCGGCAGACTCTGCGTGAAGATATGGAAGAGAAGATGGAGACTATGTTTGATGCCGAGACTGCAGGTCTCATCAAAGAGGGATCCATCTCACTTAGAAGAGATCTCGTCGAGAAATACCAACGACCCTTCCTTCAGAATCTGAGGATTGCACCAACCGCTGACTATCCGCAAATGTCGACGTATTGGACCGATGTGCAGCTTGCGGAGGCTAAACGGCTATATGAGGAGGGCTGTTGACGCGTGCCATTCTCGCAGATAGAGATCGCAATTTTTCCATAACTGAAAAAGAAGCGATGGAGCGACATCATGATAGGAGAAACGCGGAATGCAATATGTTTATCCGAGTAAGTTTGCGCGCCCTTTACCACACATTGTAGCATCATATCATCGTCGAAACTATGCTAAGCTCACTTCTCTCGTCACAGGATGCCCATACTGAGACACAACTCTCAGGTATCTTAAACATGCCGATCCTTTCACAGTTTCCGTTCACTGTACTACCAGCGTGAAATGCGACCACCGATACAACGCAGTCTTAATTCCATCTTTGCGGCTCCCTTCGCATGGGCTCAAGGTGAAAATGGCCCGCAAATCGTTTACCTGAAATGCCGAGCACAGTGAGCTCAATAGCAGTCTTGACAGGAAAGGTGGATCCTTTATGAAGGAGATTGAAGGATTCACAGGGATTGTGGAGACCATTCCGAATCTGGTACCAAGGCGTCAGCCCATTTGACTCCACGAGCTCAATCTCAACGAGGGCGGAGAGTGCGTGGAAATGTAGGACTAAGGGTGCCGATATTGATTGGTGAACCACGTATGGTCCATGTTCACTTCGATATTCGCTCATTGGCTCGCTGGTGCTTGCGATGCTCACCGCGTCTACGGCGTAACTAAAAAGCCTCAAATCATCTTCATCTTTCCACGGCCAGATTGCCACGCGTAGTGGATCTTTCAGGACCAGAGAGATACAGTGTGTGCATTATGTCAACTCTGCCGGTTGCAGTTGTTCAGTTACACCATCAGAGCAATGCGCCTGTTCCTTCCGCTCCACAGAGGTCGTGTACAATGTCGAATCTTCTGGTCGCGGTTGTTCGATTACACCGTTGTGGTGATGCGACAGTTCTCCCAGCCCGAGAAAGGTACACAGATCTGACTTTGTCACAAGTTGTCGTGATTGTGCCTTCGCGGTATTGACATTATGTCTGTTGACATTACGTCGCTCCCTCCATCTTCGAAACCTTGTACGCATCGCATTCCGCATGGCTACTTCATGCTCTTATGTTCAAGTTTTTTTATTTGCTTGCGTGGAGCATAGGGCTCCGAATTGTTTCAGAGGCTGGCGAGCAGGCTGAGAACTGCATGGCCAAGAAAGGTTAGTGTTCACCGAGTAAAAAAAGAGATCCTGATTCTTTGGCTTGCTGCGTCATCATGGCATGTCTCCAATCATATTGTGCCATTTTCGCGCAGAAGTTGAACATCCACAACCTTGTCATTCATCACAGTTGTCCAGTAACATTCTGTTCATCATGGTCGCGATTTTCTTGACACTGTACTTTGATGTATTTCTCATTATGATCACTGTAGGAGGCGAATTTCACTTTCTCTATCACCAAGACAAGTTGTCTATAACGCAATGTACGCACAACGATTATGAAGACTCCCGAACTCTACTAGGCCCTTCGCATTCTCACACTAGGTATCTTCTCACCTTATAACGTATCGACCTGCTTTGAAACCAGCTCTCATCAAGAGACAGACTTGATTTGGGTGCTATACAAATTCTTGGATTGCTCGCCCTCGTCAATCCGCGCTTGTGACGATCCGCCATCGCTGACTTCAACATCAGCCGTGGTCGTAGATTGGGTCGCATTTGGGTCTCTTCGCTGCTTCAAATACAGGTTGAGAAGATGCGCGCCAATAATCAGCGATGTCGACATCGAGAACGAGAAGCTGTAACCGTTCAGGAATCTCGGGGCCTCTACTGTCGGATACGCCAAGATACCTGTCCATGCGGTAGAGGACTGCGCGATGATGTTGATAAAAACCAAAGTGAACGAGCGTATCTCGGGAGAATCGCGCAGTATGTTGTTGACCCAACCGTGCAGGACGCTCGATAGGGCGTATGACCACCCGTAGTTGCAGTACGCGAACCATTTAGCGGGTTCTGGTACGTTCCATATAAGCTGTAAAAGTGTCAGTCGATTGAATTCGGGATAGGCGGATTGCACTCACCAGAATGAGATTTGTCAACGTGTTCATACCACTGGCAAAAGTGATAGCCCAGACTGGTCCCCAGAGCAGGTCGGACGAAAAATTGGCGAACAATGTAAAGAAGATGCCCATGGCAGGAGGGATAGTGCCGTATTCGTTCACAGTCGCCGAATCGTATCTCTTTAGACTCTTCAGCCATAGTAAGAAAGCTCCAGAGTTGATACCTGCGTTCCAGAATAGAACATCTACGAGTACCACGATCCAAAAGTGCTTGCTAGACATAATCTGTTTGATGTGGCGGAACTTCAATCTTCCTTGTACCTTATGGCCCTTTTTGTTTAATCGCTCACGTGCAATGAGACGATCGTGATCGTTCAGGACAAACTTGTTTGGCTTGTCCAAGGTTCCTGGAAGGATGAAGTATCCGACAATTCCGACAGGGATGGTAACAATCGCGCAGATGATGTACATCCATCTATAAAACGTCAACAAATTTCCATTCACAGTGAGACATCAGTTGAGTAGTGAGAAGTACCTCCATCCAGAGAGACCGTGGAGTCCATCGAGTCTTCGTGTGGCGCCGGCCTGCACAAGGCCCGCTGTAAGGGTTCCAAGAGGCAGCCCAGTATACCATATACCTCCTCGACGACTGATCTCATGACCGCGGTACCAGGAGCCTGTGAACACATCAGTGGAGACCTTTATTGAGCACAGGCGGCTTTCGCGTACCAAGAATGTAGTGAACAGCTGGAAAATACGCAGCTTCGAACCATCCCACAAGAAATCGATAAGCAGCCATCTCGGCAAACGAGTTGGCTCGGTACTGCAATAGCGTCGCGACCCCCCAGCAGACATCCATCCCTGGTATGACCCAGTACATGGGCCAATACGTGAACACAAAGAGAAAAGGTATTTGCCCGAGCACTGCGCCAATGATATACATCGTTTGGAGACGAATAAGCTCGTTTCCGTAGAACCCAAGCTCTTCCTTCATCCCACCAACGTATGCATTGTCTCAAATTAGTCAGTACATGATACAGGTCGCTCGATTCGCAATGACATACTGAGATTGTTCTGATCCAAGTTCTTCACCCAGTAGGTAACGAAGAGATAGGGAATGAGGATTAAGTCAAGTTTGGTAATGAACTTCTTCTCTTCGGGAGTATCATCGTCGGAAAACCACTGGATCTTCCACCACTTCTCGCGTGGCACTCCGGAATGGGATGCCATCCGTGAAACCACTTAGTAAGACCTAATCGGAACGAAGTGAATGAAGCAAAGCTGTTTGCATTTGACCCGAATACACGGGTTCTGGTTCTTTTGTATACCAATTGAAAATGCTTCCTGTGGTTTTTCTCCGTACATCGTTGCGGTTGCAGGATGACGACATTCGCTAAAGTTCACACCATCTGCATGGTGCCATTCTAGACCAGTTGATGTGCTCTGTCGTATACTCATTCTGTGCTTATCGCGCATTTCCGAGAGCACGCAACGACGCGCATCGTTGATAGCAAGCTGAATAAGGAAAAGCGAAGTGGCCCTGATAGGAGGCTTGCATCGGAGAAACCGACATCACGGCACCACGACGGGCAGTCCTCGCCTCGAGGACTGTTGTTGAATCAGGTAGTGGAATTATCCTGGCAGCCATGAGTTTGGCAACTTCGTTATCAAGATACGTTGCATTTGCCAAGTCTATCTATAAGCATAGAACCTGTGCGCACACGTGGTGGCGTAATCTGTCTCCGAGATCGCTGGAGGTCGGTAATAGGTTGCCGAAAGACTTCAAGGGTGCACATTTCAGCAGTGGATATCATATGTCGCAATTTGCAAATCGACCTATCAGGTTCGCAGACCTCTCTGCTTCAGGATGGGCAGGATCTTCTCTCCGAAGTGTTCTAAGTCAGGCAGAAAGTCGTAGAAACACAGCTGCACTCCATCAATGCCAATCTTATGCAGCGCCTCAATTTGATCTGCCACTTGTTCAGGGCTGCCAATGATCTCGATATTGCCCCCGATGTTCAGCCCCTGCTTGTGCCTCGCATCTTGCCTTCCTTTCCATGCTTGCGCATCACTGTCGTAATGCTTGTTTCCACCAAAAGTCTTCACATCTTCTTGTTTCGGTTTTCCCTCCCAAATAGCTTGCGCATATGCCTTTGCTTCTTGTGGCGTATTTTTGCTAACGATTATCGGATTGATGAGAGTTTTGATTTCTCGGCCTTTTTTCTTCGCAGCTTCTTTGACCGTTGCAATATGTGCCGGCAGGGTTTCTAGCGCGCTGTCTATGTGCGCTCCACCTGGCGAGGTGATGAAGATGATATCCGAGTAACTGGATGCGAAGTCAATTCCAGCTGGTGATCCAGTAGCGTTCACGAGTACGGGCCGCCCAAAGAGTGGTTTCGGTGTAACGAACGCATCTTTCAGTCTCCATGCATTGCCCTTGCCGGTTTCGTTTGCGTCATAACTAAGATTTTCGTCTTCTGCCCAGAGCGAGTTCAAGACGTCAAAAAGTTCTCCTGCTCTTGCATATCTCTGGTCATGTTCAATCCTTCCGCCCCCAAACATCTCGTGCTCGATCGCACGGTGCCCCGTCACCACGTTGATACCCCATCGCCCTTTAGATAGGTGATCAAGTGTCGCACCCCATTTCGCAAGATGCAGTGGATGCAGCGGGCCGTAGAGCACGTGGAGTGTTGAAATGAGATGGATGTTCTTCGTTGCGGAAGCCATGGCACCCAAAGCTATGAACGCGTCCAGTGAAGCTTCTCCGTCATAACCGCCTTTCGGCAGCCATTGCATACGCGAGAACGCAAGTTCGAAGCCTTGACGGTCTGCTTCTTGTACGCATGCTAGATTGTAATCGTAGGTCCATGAATTACTTGTCGGGTATGAAGATACGTGGATATCTTGTAGGTTGAGAAAGACACCGAGGAGTAAAGGTTGCGTTGAGATCGCGCTACTCAAAGGGCTGTCGGGGTAATCCAAAGGAGATTTGAGTGGCGGTCCGCCTGGACGCACAGAAGTCTTTGCCATATCGCCTAGTTTGAGACCAGTACCTGTATAAGTTGTGGTAGAATGCCGCAGGTAGGATGCGGTAGTCAAGATTGTTCTAGTCACGGCATTTCATAATAACGACACACGCGGCCTGGGTGGTGCAATACGCCGAGAGATGTTGCCATTATCAACACCAGGCCAGATAAAGACCAAATCGGTGGTATCGATCCTATATGGTGGATCATAGAGTTCTCAGGGCGGCTCTGCTGGTCATCGTTGGGATTTTTGGATGTTGCGCAATCGGGGTAGACGATGTCGTGACCAACGCCTACACCCGCGATAGCAAAGACGTGCTTGGAACCTTGCTGATCGTCATTAACGAGAAACATGAGTAGAAATCTTCGCGACGATAGTTTTGATGGTTTTTCAATCGAAAGCCCCTTTGTATTATAAGGTAAGCTATAGATACCACCAGGTATATTCTATTTAGTAGAAGAAGACAGAAGCACAACAAATGTTTTCGGCGATTGTAATGCGCTGATGATTCATGATCAAAACTTTGACGGGGACATCGTCGACTCCATAGGCATCTCTTGCAACGCACGTGAAAATCTCGGTTCGTCACACGTTGTCTCTCTTCGCTTGCCAAGCTTCCCTTTTGTTTGTATTGATAGTTTCGAGGAGCTGATATAGAGTCTGAGAATCCAGCTCACTTTGCCGATCTCCCGGTAAGCAAATCTCTACACGATCGTCCCAATGCGCGAATGTTAGACACAGAGTGAACAGCAGAGTGCTCCTTTCCACATACCCGTCTTCCAAAACATGTACGTCAGAGTCTGGGTTTTGAGATTCACAGCAATCCCACGGACCGTCAGTATGTGGACTCAGCCCTTTTCAGTCCAGGTATACGATATACCAATCTGAGCTGAGTACTTCACTTTTCAATTCGACCGTCACGTCAAATCTTTCGTCAAAATAATCTTTCACACTAGAAGCACAGCAGGGCTTGAAATTGAAGCAGTTCAGGTGCAGGAGACGCTGATGAAAGAGTCATCATGAAATCCATCCTAATGCTGTTTTCTACACGCTGGAGCGATGTGTTCCCACTGAGTCCGTATTAGGCCAGTGAAAGGAAAGTTACCCATCCGATATTGTGTATATGATTGGACAATCAGTAAGCACGAGCTTCCTGAGCGTCTCGCTGTGCCTATAGGTCTGATGGTCCTTCTCTTCGAGCTTCTTGAACTCTGTATGTTATTAGTTATAATCGTAACAACCCAGCCTGGAAATTATCGAACTCGTGCGCCTATCTTCGAACAAAACTCCGGCGTGGGCGAGACCGAGCAATTTGTCCTCGATGCGCATGATCTTTCGCTCGAGGTTCCGTTCGTTCTGTATGCTATCTATGAGCGCACGAAGACCCCTGTAGATCTCGATCATGTCGACTTTGTCTGCAAGCGGCACGTGGAGATCTGTAGCAATCCATTCGAGATATAGGAGCACTGCCTTGCCTTGGGCAGTCTCGCAGGCTGCGGCCGGAAGGTAAACTTCGACCATTCTTCTGAAGCATCGCAGGGATTTTTACCGGTGCGCTTGACGTGTAAGCAGCTACGTGAGAAGAAGCATTCCAGACGGGCCTCTTTATGTGCTGCGGCGGGTGACACTTGTTTTTGTACGCGCGCTGTGGGAAATCTTTGGTATCGAGGTAAATGACGCACGACCTAAGCGCCTGCTATGCATAGGCCGCTATTGATCTTCACCTTCACTTCTGACTCAGAAGGCAAGCTGGCGCTGCCTTGTTTGATCTGTGCGTGCGCTCCACTGCTGCCCATAGTATAAATTCCCTGTCCCCCCTCTGCTCCTTTGCTCTCTACACCTCTAACACTCTCCATAGTGCGCACCTGTTCTGACTATCTTGTCGTCATCTGGGAGGTTTCGCTGTCGTCACGAATGAGCTTGGTCTCTGTTTTCTCTAAACCCTTAGTGGTCCGTTAGCTGCCGCCCGCGTGGTCTACCCCATTGCGCGGAGGTGCGGCACGTACGCGAGCCGTGCTCCATCGAAGCCTCGCACAACAGCAACGGTGGGACGAGTTGGATTCGGTCCTTCTGTGCCTGAAATCTCGGCCCTGAAAATCCTGGTGCTGGCTAGCCAGCCTTGTGCCAGATTTCTCGCCTGAGTAGCGGCTAATAGTCTTGAGCGTCAGAGCTGTACTTGTACAGCGACAACACCCTACGCTAAAAAGGGGCCAGCTCTTCTTCAATCAAACATTAGATCTTTGATGTTCGTCAGATCCAACATACGCATCTTATTGGGCGTCCAGCTGTGAGGTGCTTCGGTGTACATAGTGACAAGCTCTGCGCCCAGGAAATTCAACTTTCTATCTTTTTCATTGAGATCCTGGTCGGGGAGACGGAAATTGAGGGAGAAGATCTTCAATTGACCTGGCTGACCTGACTGATTGCTCACAGTCGTTCTTTCGAACCGCCCCACGTATCATTTTGCTCAACTCGATATCAGACCCTAGGGTCTGTTGCAGGTGTAGGTGAGTCACTATATCCCATTCGTCGAATCGGACTTTCCCGAGACCTGCCGCCGCCCCGGATTGATGCTCCTGTGCTTACTAACATTACGCCTCCGCTTACTCACATAGATAGTCTTCTTTTTTGCATCCATGATCACGTTCCTCGTCACTTCGACCTCGGCAGACACCAAGTAATATCACTGTCATGATCGAGGACTTCCTGTTGCCTCCATCGCGTTAACCCAGACACTGTACCACAGATGGCAATACCACATCCCTAGGAAGCAGAACTAGAGCGGAACGAGGAGGACAATCCAAAGGAATACCCGGCCCATGTAAAAGGCCACGGCGAATACGATGAGACAACAAAGAAGAGTGAGGAGTGTGTCCACTTCGGCGGTGGACGAGAGTTGAGTGGTCTGGTGATGGGCACAGGGGTTGTATGGCATGATCTAAAGGTGTTCGTACAACAAGCAAGATGTGTTTGCGGAGGATATTTAGTATGACGAGAGGACAAGTTCGGGGACGATAAGACTTTATACGGGAGAAAATGAGAAGCAGCGAGTGGAGAAATTCATTTGTGGCAGACAAAGAGATGGGATGCAACGGGAGATGATCGGTAGGGGCGATGATGCCAACATGCTACAATGGAAGCCGAGTTCGTTGAAACACAATTCATTGCCGAATATGCGGGCAAGTCGACTGATTCTGGTAGTGGTTTTCCCGCCCCCATCCTGATAGATATCTAGATACCTAGGTCTCGTGACTGTGAGACCTCAGGAAAGCCAATGACGACACATTTGAATACTGTCAAAGTTCCGAAACGGGGAAAGAGAAAATTTAAGACACACACTGGCACTTTTCGTACTTGCTTCATCAGGAGTGACTGTCTGTGGAGCGCTTTTGCCCGACCACGTACCCTGCCCTGCCATCAGCAGCAGCAACGGCAAGAGGCACACACGCGGTCACCTGCCTCTAACGCAGATCGAAACATCTTTCAACCCCGACCTCATTTCACCAACTCGCATCTGGCCCTGCTTACCTCCCACATTCGAATCAACACGTCGTGAAGTCATCATCGGATCGCACCCGCGGATACGGCAGTAGCTTCCGCATCCTCTTCCGCGTACCAACGTAGAGAACGCCTCGACAAATCACTTCATCACCCACACTTTTGCCGAGCGGCACATGCCAGACACGCCGGGCAGAAACCGCCCGCAACCCCTCGCAACTATCGATACGGTGGCACGAACCTTCCCGCAGACCCGCCTGCCCTAAGCGGAGAACGACTTCCACCCCATCAGCAGAAGAAAATAGAACACCGCCTGCATCATGCGCATCTCAAGCACCAACGCCGCCTCAGCCCGCTCGAGAGCTAGGTAAGCTGACTGACCGTCCGCCCGACGCCAGCTCAGCCCTCGGAACGGCACCGCTGGCATCTTCCCTTGCAATTGCCTCGAACAACAGTCCTACACAGCTATAATCACGGCGGGATCAGTCATTGCAGCCCTCACACGCCCGCTCAAACGTAGTCTCAGTCCGCCCCGCCCGAAACAGCGCCTTAAAACCACTTTACGACACGTAACCACGGTGCCGCGCGAGCACATGATGCACGGTTGCGCGGTCAGAAAAGCACTATAAAGTGGATGCTGCTAGCCCCTTCGGGGCGCCTAGTCCTGCGATCACCGACCGAGACACGCGACGCTCCGCTTCATAGTGGGCTCCCGGTGGGGTTTTCTCTGCGTTGCTGTTGCTGTTTTGCAGCCGGGTTGGGGACGGCCGTTGGGCTTTGTTTAGGAGGGGCATGCGAATCCACTGACATCAGAGATTTGCTTGCTTGTGTTGTTGGACTGACGGATTCACCGGCGAGCAAAAAGCATTTCGAAGGATGGAAGTGCAAAACCGCCTGCCGAGCTCTGGCTAGATGATTAGAGCACCAGACGGCCCAGCCCCCCGGCCACTCTCACATCGACGTAATGCCCTGCATACGAAGTATCACGACGGTCTCATCTCATATAACACCAGCTCACGCACTCGGCCCTTTCTCCTCACAAAAATCTCTCAATTCGTCATGACTAGTTAATCCGTCTAGATGCCGATTCCGAAGGACCGAAGCTTAATCGCCGCTCTTCCCCTCCCCTCCACAACCAGTCCGTCTCTCGATGCCACTCTGGCACTCATCTCCCGTCCGGTCCTCCCGCCCTCGCCATCCTGACGATCAATTAACATCAGCCGATACAAGAATTACGGATTAGCCAATCACGTTTCGACGCACCCTCATTGACATCGTGAAGACCGCCCGAAAGAAAACAAAAAGATCAGCCCCGTTACCGCCTCGAATCCGCATTCGTTCGTTACAATTGAGCGTTCCGTCGTGAGTGAGCAAGCAAAGGACAAGTTGGTGAAAAGACAAAGGAAACGGAAGGGCGTTCGCTCCAACATTATGGGCAAGAGAAAAACACGGGCTGCAAAGAGCTCGCTTGGTGTGTGCGTCGAATGTACAAGAGAAGCGTGCGTCACGAGGTGGGAAGGTCCGTCCGGGACTGCTGGGTGACGCATCGATAGCCATCAATCGATCAGCAGCCGTTGTGCGTCGCTCCCAACCCAGCTCATCGCTCGCCCGCCTCAAGATTACGGAAAGAGAAGTCGACAGTAAGAGAAGATCATGAAGCCATACCATCATGCCCAGATCGTGGAGCAAACAAAGGACAAGAAGGCGGCCACCTTTAATGCAGCAAGTATAATCCCCGAAGCAAGGAAGGTAAACACACCAAAACAGTGGTGGCCGGTATGAAGGTAAGTCGAGTATAAACAGACATAGGAGATACTTTTCAGATGGTGGATATCAGGCCAATGGCCAAGGTGAGTACGCCTGGAGATGTTCCAGGGTCGAACGCGCGGCGCCTCACGGCTGCCGATGCTAACGCCGGTGATGCAATGCAGAACTGTTGCTTGGATGAGAAGGCATCAAACAGCAAATCGCTAATGACGAGGCAGATACGCGGGATCGCTAGGCATAGCAGCGAAGCGCTGCTCAAACGATGCTGGATGTTCGAATCCATGCGAGGTAGATGCCCGTGGGAATGTGTTATTCGGTCGGCCACCGAACGGCGATCCGAGACGGATGGTAGCCCGCCCTTGGACTTCGGCGGGGCTCACCGGCGAAAGCTGCTGAGCATTGACTTGAACAGCTCCCGGCGGTTGGGCGAAGGGATTGAAGCCCGTCGGCCCACTCGTTGACAAAGGCAGTCGTCGGGATCCTTCGACCATGTCACCCAAGCTGAAGCCACGACTTCGTACGCGGCGGTGGCTCGATTCAGCAGGCGCACCGAAGACGTGGCTGATGAAGCTATTGCCTCGATTGCGTGCCTGGTCTTCAAAGTTATGCAGGGCTCTACGCTTGAAGGCACGCGAGATGGGTCGCGGGGCGTGCAACTGCACGGGAGAGCCCAGCTTAGGTGGGCGTGCCGAAGCCGCATGCCACGTACGAGCACTGGGCTGCGTCATGACTACGTCGGCTTGAGGTGCACTGTCGAGAGAAGACCCGAACACGTTGCTCAAGCCTAAGCCGAGCCCGATGTGGAGCGACTGCGACTTTTGATGTGCTGAGGCTCGCATGTGTGCCCGGTCGACCTCTGCAGGTCGGGGAGTTTCGTTGTTGGCTAATCGCGCGAGAGGGTTGCCGGCCTGCATCGACGGTGCAGTGCTTGTTGCCAGCGAGATGTTCATGTCACGCGTTGAGAAGCTCGTGGTCGGTTGGGAGAATGGCGAGGATAATACGGCCGGTCGAGAGGGAGCCTCGGGCGGCGGCGACGACTGCAAGGGCGAGGGCGAGCGATGCATCAAGCGTTGGTAGTGGGCCGAGAGGGTCGGCTTCTGCTTAGCCAGGTACCTCAGGCGCCTTCGCACTTGTTTTTCCGCCGGGAATCGTGGGTATGGCTTATTCGCTCCCAGAACTGGCGTATTGCTGCCGCTCTTGGCAGGTCTAATGGTATCAGGAGTACCGCTGCGAGAAAGGATACGCGCAGCCGAACGCACACCAGGTACAACAGACGATTTTCGGGGACCCTTCCAGGTATGTCTTGCTAGACGAGCGACGCGATGGCATACACCGTTCGGCGGCACAGTGGTGGGTAGAGCTTTGAAAGGAGTCACGGTGGGGTCCTGAAGATATTTCATGTAAGTCATCCACAGGTGGTAGTCCATCTCCTCAGTAAAGCTAGCCTTCAGCTTGAGCTTCGCCTGCTGTCGTTGTTGGGTTACGATGGGCGAGCTCAACATAGGTGTATGCTTGGGTGCAGGCGAAAAGAACGGGTCCATCTTCTCATCCTCGGAGCTGGTGCAGCTTCCACCGAGCGAAGGGAACGACTCGAAGCTGTCGAAAGAAGACTGGGAAGAATCGGAGAAGCCCGAGGAGGATGTTGGTCTGCTTGAAGTCTCGCTCTGGCTGGCCTGGTCCAACTCGGACCAGTGCTGCAGACCCTCAAAGCTGCTCAAACTGCCCATTTGTGACACAGGCGTCTTTGGAGGCGAAAGCATCCGGCTCCAAGTCAATGCTGGTGACAGATAGTCGTTGTCGATGGCAGGCTGCAAGGTAGGAAGCTCTGTTGAGACATCAGAATGGAGTTCCGGTGCTTCTATCGTAGGTATGGGCAAGCCGTCATCCGGGTCGTTGAATATCTGAGTTGGCACGAAGGTAGTGCGGCGTCGGCGGACCTTGAGCACTTGTCGTGGCGGCGGCGGCGGCTGCATATCGTCTACCTGCGCGTCGGGCTCTGGGGTGCGCGGCGGCTGCCCGTCCTGGTAGTGGAACATGAAGTTCCGTGGTAGGGTGATTGACAGATGAGGACGGTCCTCCATGGCGAAATAGGAGAACAGTGATGTCGATGAATTCACTTTGGTTTCGATGCGTCAATTTCAGGATACAAGAACCCAATATCCAGCGTCTGCAAGGGCCGCAAGCAAGATCAAGCACGAGTCCAATGGCTGCAGGTCCGGGTCGGTGGGTATGCAGGGTGATGCTGACGGGAGCCAGCAGTAGTTCAAAAGCTGCAAACGCGACTGTGCGGCTGCACGACAGGTTACACGAGCGATCAAGGGGACCCGCGCCGCGTTGTGTCGGTCGCAGCGCCTTTGCAGGGCGTCGGGCACAGTTCACCGTGGGTCGCAGTGGCGACACAGGCAAGGAAAGGTCGTAAAGAGGTCGTGGGTGGGCCGGCGCGTAGCTTGAACGCGCTGGTACGGGCGAGCGCGCGCTCGACGGTGCAAGGAAAATCGGCAGCGGCCGAAGATGCTCGCTATGGGCACTGGAGAGCACGCGCAGCGATGGGGCAGCACGGCGGAGTGCCTGGGGAACTTGCGGAGGCGGACGGGCGATAGTCGATGGGCGCGGATAGGCGATTGGCAGCGCGATCAGGCGGCGGCTTGGGCGCGTCAGTCAAATTTGTCCATGGGCGGCGTCGAGGGCAGCGGGAGTCGTGACACGCAAGGAAAATCGTCGGGAGGCGCGACCAGCCGTTCTCAGGACATCGCGACGGCGGATGGCTGCGTGGGCGAAGATGAGGTTGCGGTGAAAGCCAAAGCTGGCGGGAACTGGGTCGGGGCATGCGCTGCGGCCGCTGCTTGGTGGCCGCTTGGGCCACACGCTAGCGACGAGCTCCACTTCACTCTTCCACAGCACACCGACTACCACACCACACATTCCGCGCTTCGCCCAAGCGCAGGGCCGCCTCGTCACTGGGCGAGGGCACGCGCAGTCGAGTGCACGCGTGTCCTTCTGCCACCCGCTAGCCCGCGAGCATCGCACTCGCCATGAGGATGTTGAGATGCTCAGCGGCGCCAATGTGAAGGCCGACGCGACGCGCCTCGCCGCATTGGGAATCACCTAGCCTGTGCCGCGAGCCCCTGCATTGACTTGGCTGCACGAACACTTGTCCACCCTCGCCCACTCCCGCTGCCAGCGCCATGCGACACTTCGGAAACACACAGCGGGCGGGCTTCCGTATGGGCTGCGCGCTTCATCGACTCCACTCGGCCTACTGCACGTGAGAACGAGCAGGATTGCTTTGCCAGCTAAGGGACTACGTATGTCTCTGCCATTCGCTCTTTTCCTCCTGAGACCACCAGCTGGCGAGACACTGGACGCGCTCGCCGTCGCTAGCCACCATCTAGCGCTGCTATTCCAGTCGAGCCATGCAGAGGAGAGGGGTTCACTGTTTGTTTACAATTGCTGTCTTGCAGCGTCATACTCAGCTTCCTGTTCCCCTCACCACCGACCTGTTGGGCGTCGAATTGCCGTCTGAAGCTGCATCACGCCTTCATCTCCTCATCTGCAGGCCCCGCCGCGTTGAACATCGATGGAGTCGTTGGTATGCCGCGCTTTCCACAAGCGGCCTCGCTTGACGCGCCTGCACCCCCATCACACACCAATATTTGACGCTCCCCCACGGGTGCGCCGAATCAGGCAGCGTGACGAGAAATTTGACTAGCATCAGACGGCCATTGGACGCATTTATGAGCTTCACCCACAACCGCTGGGCCCAGGTCGCAGGTGAGGCTGTGGGGTACATATCGATTCTGCACAGCATCCATCACGGTTGTGGCCAACTGCCTGAGGCCGCTGCCGCATGAGGAGGTGATGGGCGTCGATGGCGTTGACGTTTGTGGAGGCCTTTGATCACGCTTCAAACTTGAGCGCCTCATGCGTGTCGAATAGAAGTCTCTGACGATTACTGCATGCACAGTATGTGTCTTAGGCTATTCGGGCATTATTTGTTCGAAGTGTCGCTTCAGACGTTGACAGCCGTCAGATCCGCGCGGCCGCACAAGACAACTGTTTACGCGGTGCAATTGCTAAAGTGTACGCCAGGGCGTTGGCCTGATGGCAGCCTTTGATCATGAGGTCCAAGTCCAAAGTGAACTTTGGCGCTTAGGTATTCAATGGCGTTCCCAGTTCACCAATTACACATCACCAGGCGAGGGAGTCCGCTGTCTCTGGGTCATTTCCACACGATCCCTCCATGTGCTTCGTGGCAGTCCAAGTGGCTAGGCATATCACGGTGGGGGCCGATCTCAGCAACAACTATCTTGTGGCGGTCATGTCTCGGCTTGTAAAGTTTCAAATTGGAACGCAGGGCTGAGTGGTCTCCGCTACAGCTACGTCAACGCTCTCAGTAGAGATGAGATATTCGTTGGCTCAAACAGGCTAGACCACGTCCTTGCATTCAGCAAAGAAGTCTCATTCCGACACAGCGGTAGAGGACCATAACTCGGCAATGTTTCCTTCCAGTGTTTTCCCTCAGCCCTAAAGTCGCGAGCAGAGGTCGAAAGTAGGGTAGCCTAGCGCTAGGCGCAACCGTTCAGGCGCATCGACTCTCACAGGCATGGACTGTTTGCGATCAGACCAGAGCAAACGCGTGACAGGTCGTGAGCTCATCTAAAGTAATGCGCGTGATGGGTGTGGAGGGATATGATTCGGCAATGCGCGGCGGCGAGGTTGCGTTGGACACGTCTGTCCGGGCGGTACCTGCCTCCCCTCTTCTGCCGTCGTCGTTGCTTCCACTTCACTTCAAGACATTTCTTGTCTGCTCGCGGTAGGACAGCATCGTTCTCCGCAGCCGCGATAAGCATCCCTCCTCGCTTGTGGCGCTGTCACCGGCTTTATCGTAGCATCTAGCGCGTCATCCTAGCGCGGGGAACGCAGTCAGAACGTCACACGCCCATCGCACGATCCGTACCAACACCGGCGACTGCGTCAAAGCCCGGCTGCAGGCCGGCGCGAGCTGCTTCATCTTCTCCTCGCTGGAATCTGCATCCATCTCTCGCGCTCCTGGCCGAGCAGCAACAAAGTACGACACAACACGCGAAACACGGTGTTTCATGACCCCAGCTTCCGCGGTCCCGACATCGTTCACCGCCCACCACACCGCCAGCCGGCAGCAACAACTCGACTCCTACGACGGAAGACAACGACAGACACCAGGATGCCCATTCTCACGCATAATCCACCTGCCCCCTTCCCACTCTATCTCCTCCCCAGCCTCCCCTTCCGCCGCCGCAGCTCGACAGCCACAACCTCCACCATCCCCTCGCCCTCTTCGTCTCCTCCGCAGCCAACATCCTACCTCTCCTCCACGACTACCTCCCACCTCCGCTGCGCCAAATGCCTCGCCGACTTGATCCCCACGTCCTCTATCATATCCAAGGGCTTCACGGGGCGTCATGGCCGCGCCTATCTGGTTTCTCCTCCGCCACCTTCTACCCTCCACCCAACTAAGGCCAGGGAGGGGGATATGACGGCCGGCGACCTGCCCAACACGCATGTCCACAAAGCCGTCCCGCGCCAACTTGTCACCGGCGCGCACACCGTCAGCGATATCAGCTGTCGCGTGTGCGGGAGTGTGCTCGGGTGGAAGTATGTCGAGGCCGAGGAGGAGGCGCAGAGGTATAAGGTGGGGAAGTATATTCTGGAGACGAAGAGGATTGTAAGGGGTGCGGGGTGGGAGGGTCGTGGCGAGGAGGACGAGGATGATGGGGTTTTGAGGGACGGAGTCAGGGATGAGGACGTCGAGTTTGATAGCCAGGATGAGGAGGAGTGCGAGGATCTGTTTGCGGGTGTGTGGACGGCGAGGGGGGCTGCGAGGCGGAGGCGGCAGCGGAAGTTTTGAGTTTCCGGGAAACTTTGACTTTCTATGGTTTCTTTGGGATGATTGTTGGCGTTTCTGGATTTACGGACGGGACGGATTGGATAGGACAGGCGTCAGGATGCACGATACCCCACACACCGCACTCACGAACGGACGCACACTACGGATACCCCTCGCTGGACACGACACATCATGATTTGGGGGCGCAACGGTTTCTCATTGACTTACGGGTAACATAGGACACGACACGCACGTCATAAGCAGTACATAATCATAATACATCTATCTATCTTACCGTCTTCCTCTCGCCCGCTTACTCGCTTTAGTGTAAACATATATGTCTCCATGTGTACGGCCCCCACCCGTTCAGCTCTCGTATTCTCGTGTTCAGATACTATTCCGAACACCACCCCTGCGCGCGCTCCAATCACCTACTCGTCCAACAAACGCCACGCCCGTCCCCATTCGCTGCCGCCCTACCATCCAAGAAAATCGCGGCATCCCCGCTGTTATTCTTGTTACTTGGAGGGCGCTGGAAATGTTTTGAGAGGGTGTATAACACCTCAGCGCGCGCAACCGGCAGGCCAGCGCAAGGCTCAGAGACAAGATGGCCAAGGGTACGTTTTTGAGGTGAGTCGACATTCCTCTGGTGGGTAGGGAGGGAGAGAGGGAGACTGTGCATGGCGCTGCGCTGCTGACACCGCGACAGACAGACGCTCAATGAGCGGCAAGGTGCGCGAGATCCATCCAGCTGCTGGTCTTCGACGAAGAATGCACTGACGCTCGAGTCGAGTCAACATGATGGCGTTTTCCGCCTGCATCGGCTTCGGCCTCTTCCTGCACACGGGCGAAGTCCTCAACGTTGCGGGCCCGGGGCTCGCCGTCGTCGCCTTCTTGCTCGCGACGAGTGTGTTCTGGTGCGTGGTCTCGTGTCTGGGTACTTTCGTCCCTCCCCCTCCCATTCCATCCCGTCTGACTGCGTGAGCAAGGCGAAATGACCGCCCTCTTCCCCGTCCAAGGACCCCTCTTCGAATTCCCCGCGCGTTATCTTGATGATGCTGTTGGCTATGCGGTCGGGTGGATGGCATGGTTCAGCTGGGCTGTTACGATCAGCAACCAGGCGCTGGCGGTGGCGGCGCAGTGGCGGTTTCGCGTGCCGGCTTCCTACCTCCTCCAGGTCAGATATCCGGATGCGGAGCTCGGGTGGGGGACTGAGAGTGCGAGTCCAGCTGTCTGGGTCATTATTACCCTGTTGATAGTCCTGGGGGTCAACGTGCTACCGGTGAGGTGGTACGGGCGCGCGGAGTACGTCTTCGGGTGCCTGAAGATGGGCTTCATCTGCGGGCTGATCCTATTCAACGTCATCCTCGCCACGAGAGAGGGAACGAGAAGAGGTGACTCCTTCTGGACATGGAATCATCCATATCACTACGCGGCACCGAACTACACCATCCACCCCACATCTCCAGCCCCCATCGTAGTGACCGGTGACAGCGGTCGAGCCCTGTCTCTCTGGGCCGGCGTCACGACCTCCTTCTTCGCCTTCACCGGCTTCGAAATAATCGCGTTGTCTGCGGCTGAAAATAAAGATCTCGAGACCTACGAAACGATCAAGCTCGGCAGCCGCAAATTAACCCTCAGACTAGGGCTCCTGTACATCCTGGCCACATTTACCGCGAGCCTAGTAGTTCCATACGATGACCCTATGCTACAGGACACTCGAACAGGCCACACGCTCGGCGGGCAGCACAGCGTATTCATCATCGCCGCCGTGCGCGCCGGTCTGCGCGGCTTTCCCACCTTCTTCAACGCGTTCTTCATCTTCTCTGCGACGACCAGCGCCATAAATGGGGTATACGTCTCCAGCCGCCTGCTCCATGCCTTGGCCGGAATCCCTGAGGCGTGGCCACGCCCACTACACGGGATACGCCGCACGCTCGCTTCCACATCCGCCCACGGCGTCCCCCTCGCCGCAGTCTTCTACTCCTGGCTCTTCGGGCTCCTTGCATTCCTCGCACTGCGCCCGCTGCCGGGGAAGGTCCATGCGCGCCTCGTCGAGTTCGTCACGGTGCAGTGTCTGGTGTGCTACGGGGCCATCTGCCTCTCCTATACGCAGTTCTACGGCGTGTTGTCCCGCGTGGTGAAAGATCCGGGGGATGTGGGGATCAGTGCGGAGCAGCGGAGCGCGTATGATAGAGACAATACATACTATCCGTACCGCACGTTCGGACAGCGGGCAAGGGCGTGGTATGGCGTGGTGTTCTGCGGGTTGCTTGTGGTGGGGAACAAGTGGACGGCTTTCATAAAACCCTTTGACACGGCGGATTTTCTGGCAAGCTATTCGGTTGTAAGTGTTCTTGTCTCTTGATGCAGAGCACGGATTAGAGAGTGGACATCGACTGACCTTGTTCAGATCGCCGCATACGTCCTCATCATCGCGGCGTACCACGTTCGTTCGGATGGGTGGCGCCTCTGGAAATGGCGCAGACACGCATCACTGAATATCCAGAGGCCACCTCCCAAAGTTGTCGTGCCAGGTCGGCGAAGGGGCAGACTGCATCTGCCGAACCCGAAGCACGCGCTGTGGGAAGCAGATAATATGAGGGCCATCGGGGCGTGGATGTGGCTGTGGTTGAAGTGAGACTCTATGCACGACACTACAGCCCGTCGCCTACGCCCTCTCTACGCCCCGCCCCCTTCTGTGGAACTCTGCGCACGATGATGTGCGATGTGAGATTGAGAACGAACAAAACAAATTTTTAAAACCATGGAGGAAAGACGTCGAGGGCGCTGGCTGTGCATAGCTAGGGGGTTCCTGCCATGCCCAATGGGTGCTCCTGCCGACCACAGGAATATTCAAACTAGATCTATGCTTGTGATACTATGACGGCTCTATATCTCTTGGCGGATGTTGTTGATCATATTCAATTTACATACACTCTACAATACACGAGACGCGTATGAACAAGAAATACTCCGAGTCTCGGCTGTGATGCTACCCAAACGCCTCGTGTCTAAGTAGTAACATTAATGCATAGGTGTAGGAACATCGCTATCAGCCTCAGGCCCAGTCATTGCAATACCACTGTCAGCTGAAAGCACGACCGCGCTCCACAGAGCCTACTCACTCGCTGACGACGACGTGGACATCCTCTACCCGACCAGCCCGGCCATAACGTCGTCCATGCCCGCACCGCCAAACTCATCATCGGCCTCAACCACCCTCTCCGCCCGGCCCTCCAACGCCCGCGTAGCCGGGTTCTCCGTCCCGCTGATAGCCTCTTGCTTCTTCTTCGCCTGGTGCGCCTCCAGATCTTCCAGGCTCCAACTCGAGTGCCCGTCGCCCTCACCCCGCGTGTATGGCACCGACATCTGCTTCAGGAACGCCTTTGCGTTGTTGACAGCCATGTCCACGCTGAGCTTGGTGTTCTTCAGGTCGAGCCCCATCTGGATCCACTTGGGCAGCTGTGTGATCTTCTTGCCGAACCGCCTATCCGCGAGCACCATGATGCCGTAGTCGTCTTTTCCACGGATGACGCGACCCAGACACTGTGCTGCGTGCCGCATGGCGTCGAAGGAGAGGAAGTCGTTTTCCTTGATGCGATATGTTTCTCGCAAGAACTCCAGTCTTGCTTTGAGGATACGTGATTCAGTGTATTGATAGGGAACGCCTATGTTGATGACAGTGCGTCCGTAGTGATGGTCGAAATCGATGCCTTCCGACACCTTTCCACGCGCGACACAGAGTAGGACAGCGCCACGGCCGTTATTGCATGCCGTGCGGAAGGTCTCGAGTGCCAGGGATGTTTCTTGCGCATCAGGGGTTTCGACGAGGATAAGCTTGTACTTCCAAACATCGTCGAGGACACCCATGCCCTGCCACGAACTGATGATGCTTTCCATATATAGATAAGAGGGGAAGAAGACGACAACACCGTCGGGCGTTAACTTGCAGAATTCAAGCAACAAGCTGCCAAAGTTACGCATGACGGTCATTTCGGAACGCTGTTCGAAAGATGAAGATATTGGGACTTGGTCGCTGCCACGGTCGACGATCATAGGCAGGAACGTTTTTCGAGATAGGGTCATGGTGAAGGACTCTTGAACAACAGTGTTGAAGTTCAGCATGCGCGGATACATGTCTAGCGGCGACAAGGTACCGGAGGTGACAATGACAGAAGAGAAGCGCTCAAAAACGGGCTTGATGGCGATAGCTGCATCAAGGCAGGTAAAGTGCAGGACCGGGTTGGCCACAGTTGCCTTGGCAGATTCAAAGGGTTCGAGGATGAGCAAGAAGCCGGTTTCATAGGTAGCGACAAGGGTAGCAAATGTGGCGACTTCCTGTAGTGGCTGGTAGTCTTCGATGTTTGTAAGTTCGAGCGTGCGGACTAGAGATGTGAGGCGTTCGGCGCAGAAGCGAAGGGGTTTGCGTTCGATGAAGGTCAGGTCGCGGAGATGGCTAAGGAAGGAGGGTGGCGTCTCTGATATGACGTGTAAGACCTTCATTCGAGTTTTCAAGTACTCCACGAAACGCTTCAGGAAGGCCACAAAGTGTTCCGCTCGCCTTATGTTCCCGGGAACGGCTTCTTTCAGAAGATCGTCAGGTAGTGCTGGGTTTGCCATGAATGCATTCTCGTCTCGTGCTTCGTCGGCTGCTCGCAGGCCTTCTACGAGCTTCGCGTATTCATTTTGTAGCTTCTCAGAGTCTGACTCCTTCATTTGCTTGATCTTTCGATCCAGGTTATCGACACCACGAGTAGCTTTTCGCAGAGACTCCTCGGTCAGATCGATGCTGAGAGATTCTATGCACACGTTGTCGATGTTGTGGGCTTCGTCAAAAACCACTATACAGTCCTTGGACAGTTCTTTCGACACGCGCTCTGCAATCTTGGGGTCGAGCAGATAGTGATAGGAATAGATAATGACATTGCAGTAGGACATCATTCGCCGTGAGGTGAAGTAGGGGCATTGCTTTTGCTGCTCGCCGTATTTGAGCAAGCCGTCAAAAGTCCAGACCCCAGGCGGTATGAGATTGTGAGGTTCTAATAGATCGAGATTGTCGTGATAAACACATAGCTCGACATCCTCACCCCGCTCTTTCTTCTCTTTGACGAAGCCGGCAGTCAAGCTTCGGCATCGCGCATCGACAACAGAGCCGCTCTTCTCGCGTTTTACAGACGGGTGGAGGCACAAGTTTTTTCGACTCGTGAGCCCTAGGCCTCTGAACTCTTCTTCGTAGCCCAGCTCCTGTGTGCGGTACTTCATTAGTGCCTTCAGCTCTGCCAAGGCCTTTTCAATTTCGGACATGGTACGCGAGCAGTATATCAGTTTCCGGTTTTCAGGATGAAACTGCTGGTAGGCTACAATGAGAGAGAGCAGCGACACAGTTTTACCTGTGCCTGAAGGCATCTCGAGGACGCAGTGGCCGCCAGCGTCCAGCGTGCGCTTGAGGTCACACATGTATGCATACTGCTCTGGATAGACCCGCGGATACGGGAAGAGCACGGGAAGCTCACTACGAGCATGTTAGCGTATATTCTTGTGTGATCGACGGCCGTGACCAAAGCGGCGACTGCGCGTTACTCTCGCGATGGGTGGCAAATGGAGGGCGTATTTTTCGGAGATGTATTCTGTGCATAGGGAGACATACTCAATGAAGAACTTCATATTGGCGATGGCCCGCCTGCGCGAGAACCTGTCGTGGTGATGGAGCGGTGCTCGTCCACGTTGAAAGAAAGTTGGGGACCAGCGTTGCCTTCAGATGAGGTGCGGCTCTGCGCGCTTCGGCCTTGCCGTATGTGTGCTAGCGTACGAGCAGGGGTGCCCCGCCAAACTGAGAGGTGCCGTCATCGTGGAGCGCATTTTCACTTGCACCAGACGTTTGCGCTCTTCTGCTTGCTCCTCCTTCCCGTCTGGTGTCGCTCCTTTTCCTCACATATCTGCTCATCTCCTCCGTCATGAGCAAGCGACCGAACAAGGCCCAAGCCAGCAGCGCCCGGGCTGCATCGAGCGCATTCGGTGCGTTCGGTTCATCGACGCCCGCCTTCAGCACCAGCTCGTCACAGCTCTCCCACGTAACAGAGCCACCCGACCTCTCGACCATATCCGACGCAAATGTTGTCGTGTACTTTAAAAACCTGTCCAAGAAGGACAGCACGACTAAAGCTCGCGCGTTGGAAGACTTGCAGGCACATGTCGCGAAGTCGGAAGAGCCAGTAGAGGACGGGCTGTTGGAAGCATGGGTGCGTCTGCCTCATGCGTGTACATACCGCTCAGGTAGTAATTCATCTTTTCCTGCAGGTCAAAATGTATCCTCGTGCTTCAATAGACAACGGTCGCTTCGTAAGGAGCAGTGCGCACGCTCTGCAAGGCCAGCTGGCTGCCGCGGCTGGCAAGAGGTTCGCAAAGCACATGCCTAAATCCGTCGGCGCGTGGCTATGCGGCCTGTATGATAGCGACCGCTCCGTGGTGGACGCGACGCAGAGCGCGCTGCGCCAGGTCTTCAGCACACCAGAGAAGATACAGAATATCCGTCGCGCTTACCAGCAACCCATACTGGAGTACTGCCGCGATGCAATCGATCGGGAGACGCCGCAGACTCTCAGCGACGAGCGGACTGTTAGCCCAGATGATGCGGAAGCCAAGTTTAGCAGAGTTATTTCTGCGTGCATCTCGCTGCTTGGCAGCCTACTGGCAAACTTGAAGCCGGAAGAAATCTCGAAACACCAAGCAGACTACGACGGTCTCCTTGGCGACAAAAAGTTGTGGGAGTTTGCGTCGCACAGTGACGCCTCGGTACGGCGAGCAATTCACCGATTGCTGAGGACGTGCTTGGAAAAGCAACCAGAAGCAGTGAAGAGCCATTTGCGGTCAATCAGCAAGGCCTACCTCGCGACCGGGCTCGATTCCGACCAGACTGGTTCCTCAGTAGACTACGTTGACACTCTAGCGTTGCTCACTGCTGCCTACCCCACTGTATGGACAGACGACTACAGTAGCAAGACGTCAGTGGACCGGAGACTGCGACAATTTCTGAAGAAGGGCTCACAAGCTGGTCCACAGCAGTATTGGGTTCGAGCGGCCACTCTGCTCGAGGCTGTACCAAAAGACGCCCTGCCTTCAAACGCCGCCGATGCCATCAAACTTCTGAGCGCCATGCACGATGGCATCTCGAGGAGGGAAGAATCGAGGATCAACCTAGAAGCTGCCTATGGCGCCTACCTTGGACTTGCCCGGTCGCTTTGCGCAGATCTATCTAGTGAGGATCAGACCAAGGTACTGGAAGACATGCTGCTGCCCATAATAGCGCAGCATCTACGTCCTTCTCCGGAGACTAGCGACTGGAGCGTACCACCCAGCGCATTCCATATTGTAGCCAAAGCCACGGATGTTGGCTGTATGCCGACGATCCTGGAGACCACGTGGCCGAACTACACCGAGCAGCTCATCAGCGATATAAAGGTCTCAGCTCCGGAGCAATCCAAAGATTATGAAAAATCCCAAAGTGCTCTGATACAAAAGGGCACGCGACTTGCTGCACTCCAGAAGCAAGTGCTGGACGGGCAAAACAGCACAAAGTTGCGTGCACTTTTCCAACGCTGCTGCACTTCCATCATCCGGGAAGCATTGACTGTTGTTTCTAACCGAAACGGAAAACCGTATGGAGCAGCAGGTGTTGCAGCCGAGCTTCTACACCGCGACCGTGAAATGGTGCTTGCTGATAAAGAGACTGCTGATGATCTCGAGAAATTCATTGGTTCGGAACTGCCAAGGCTGATTCTTACACCATCTTCGTCACATCTGGTGGACATTCTTTACTCCTTGTCTGAGTCCAAATTGTTCGGGCAGGCTTGGGCAGCGACACTCAAGGCTATCCTCGAAGGGCCTGATTCACCCACGAGGACCAAGGCCCTGGAATCGCTTTTGACCTCACGTAAAGTACCCAAGTCATTCGACCTCGCGCTGGGCGACTCGTCTCTACAGGGCTATATCAAGTCAAGTGTCCGTGATGCACTGGCCGGATCTACTGAGTGGGACGCGTTCCATCGCATCCTTCAGTCCCCTGCTAAAATCCTAGCACAGGAGACCACTGACGAGATATTGTCGTACATGACCCAATCACTTTCGATATCACAAGAGGCTCCATACGCACTACAGGGTCTCCGACAGATTGTTAGGCAGAACCCTTTGTTACTAAAGGATTTTCTCTCTACCCAACAGGGCTCAGGTCTGCTGCAAAGCCTGCTGTTGGCATCCGAGTCGGGCGATGAGGTCATCTCTCGAGATGCTGCTGCTGTCAATGCATCCATACAGACGGTGCTTACTGCTGGATCGGACACGAAACAGTCAGTGTATGGACTCCTCCAACAAGGACTCAAAGAAGCGACGCAGACATCCGTGTCAGTGGAGACTTTGGTCGAACTCGCCAAGCAACTCGTGAAACCCATAAGCTCTTGGGAGGACATTGCAGGAGCCTTCCCTAGCACTGAAGACTGGTATGCAGCACTATCACCATTCCTAGATACCGCACCGAAGACATCATTGGCGATAGCCAATCCCCTCGGCGGTCTGGTGTACCTGGTGCAACAGGCCCAAAGCAAACCTGCAACAAAGATTTCCCGAGATGCTGATGGATACTCTGCCGCCTATCGTATCACGCAGTACGTCACACGACTCTTCAAAGATGCAAACGTCTTTCCCATTGAGAAGGTGCCCTCGGACATCAGGGATGGCTTTCTGCACAACATTGCGCTTACGATCCAGCTGGCCGATGACAATCTTGGTCTAGCTGGTGCCAACGGACTCTGGGCCGATTACAACCCGGATGTGGAGGCTGATGCTATCGCGTTCATGGCTGATGCCCAGCGTTTCGTGGACCAGGAGCTCAAAAACATGAAAGCGAACCGAGGATCTGAGTCCAATGACTTTCTGCTCGATTGGGCTTTGTCACTCCTGTCCAAAATTGAGCCCGGAGCGTCTCCCAGGTCTTACTACTTAGCACGCACTTATAGCGTTTTAATCTCGGATGCTCTGGAAATTTATGGCTGGCGTAATTCGGAAAGCGCGAGGCTTCAAGACACACTGAAGACAATTCGAAGAAGAAAGGGTGAGTGATCCAAGGAACCCCCTCTCAACTCCCATAACATTATTTCCAGAAATATTCCCGCTTATCGGCTTGCTCAACTCTTTCAAGGAGCAATTCGCGGCCTCAAAGTCGTGTGAGAGAATGTGCAACGAGCTTGTGGCGGATCTCACAGGTCTGGACATCGAACAGAATCCAGACGAAGGTAATTTAGCTTTAAGATCTATGAAACCAATATGACTAACACTAGCCAGGCCTCCAGCAGCTTGTACTGCTCAACATACTCTTGAACGGTCAAGAAGAAATTGCACACAGCATCGCAAAGCAACGCTTGATATTCTACGTCAAGCATGTAATACCGTGGTTGTCGAACAGTAGTGATGCTTTCCCTCTTCGCGCCGAAGTCTGCCGTGCGCTTACAGTGTTGTTGCCGCTCATGAGCGATCTCTATGGCGAGCACTGGGGCGAAATACTCAACACCCTAGGCGACAGCTGGGCAGTCACTTCTGAACTTCAGGAGACCGAGTCTGGAATGAACAGGTACGATCATCGAAGGGACGCTCGATCAGGATATTGACGCTGAAACAGCCCGATACCCTTTATGCACGCATCTCTCAAGCTGTATGCTCAGCTGCGTAAATTAACACAGACCGAAGACCCGAACGACGATCTCGTCGATGTTTGGAAGGAGACCGAACAAAATATCGCGAACGGCCTCGTTAACCTTCTCAAGCACTCCCACCACTTCCCTGACGAGTTCCACCAACCCTTGAAGATGGTCAATGACGTCCTGGCTCGTCAAATCGCAAAGGTGCCCCTTCAGCACCTGGAGTCGACAGAGGATCTCTTCCCTCTCTTGTACGTAGAATCGCAGCCTGTACAGCAGACCGCTTTCAACATCCTCCACAAGCAAATTCCCGCAGCGCAGGAACAGATTTCGATCGACTCCGCCCTCGAGAAGACTACAGCCCGCCTGCCGGAAGAGCTGCTCTCTCTGATCCTGGAAGCACCCACCGTAGCTGCACTCGCCGACGCCAACTTCGAACGCAGCATCCCGCTGCCCCTGCGCGGCTACCTCTTCTCGTGGCTCCTCGTCTTCGACCACCTCGCCCACGCATCGTTCAAGGTTAAGAACGACTATGTCGACCACATCAAGACGGGTGCGTATCTACCTGGCCTGCTCGACTTCGCCTTCGACTTCCTCGGCCACGCACACAACAAACCCGTCGACATCTCCCGCCTCGACCCCACCACCTACGAGCCCGACGTCGAGCTCCCGCGCCGCGACGCTCACTGGCTACTCACCCACATCTACTACCTGTGCCTCCTGCATCTCCCCTCTCTCACAAAATCCTGGTACATCGATTGCAAGTCGCGTCCCATCGTCGTGACCCTCGAGCCCTGGACCGAAAAGCACATCTCACCACCTGTGATAACCTCGGCGCTGTCCTCAGTCCAATCCTGGGCCGACACGCTCCCATCGGACGAGCCTTTCGCTGTGAAAATCGCACCCCGCGCCCATGAAATAACAACTACATACGCCATCGACGACGCCACCATGGCGATGCGGCTCACCCTCCCGCCCTCCTTCCCTCTCGCCCCCGCGCGCATCGAAGGCCTCTCCCGCGTTGCCGTCAACGAGCAGAAGTGGCAGTCCTGGCTGCGCACGTCACTCGGCGCAATCACGATTTTCAACGGCTCCATCATCGATGCGCTTACCACTTTCAAGCGGAATGTGGAGGGCGCGATGAAGGGGCAGACTGAGTGCGCGATTTGTTATTCCGTTGTTGGGAGCGATAAGAGACTGCCGGACAAGCGGTGCAGCACGTGTAGGAATTTGTTTCATGGAGGATGTTTGTTTAAGTGGTTTAAGAGTAGTGGGAGCAGTAGTTGTCCGCTTTGTAGGAATCCGTTTAATTACGGGTAGGTGGATGGGATGGAAGACAGGCAGAGGGGTTTTTGTGTGTAGTATGGGATTTACCGACGTAGGAGATTAGTGATGAAGTCAAACTCGGAGAAATTTATATGAGATCCCATCACATAGAAGCTTTTCTACGTGGCGAACAAGGCCGTGAAAGCTTTTCTCGTTAAGCACGTCGTGATGGCGAGGCCAGCGTGTGGGATTTAGGGGGGACTGGGCACCAGTAAGACCTGATTTAGTAGGTACCTATGGCCTTATTGAGGTTCTGCAACTGGACCATAGGGAAAATGGTTGCAGAGTCTGCGTGAGGGAAGGGCAGTATCTGCAGTGCGGGCATCGCAAATACAGTGTAGATAGTTTGTCTGTAAGGAGCTCGGAGGAACTGCGTGTCACATTCACGTTAGCTAGAGGAACTCGGGAGATTAGCTGGTGAATCGAACCTGGCAAGGAAATGTATTGAAAGTTCCTGACAGCTGCATCACATATCTTGCACGCAATAGTGGGAAATACAAATTGCTACGATCAATGAAGAAGCGACGGAAACCCAGTTATCCATGGTAATGATCCATCAGTACAAAAGTCCACACCGCATGTGTCCACCCTCAGCTCCTCTCTCACGCCGAACCTGCTAATCTAAGCCAGACAAAAGGCACTCTGCACCGCAATGCAGATCCGACAAGCCTGCCTCTTCGTCGCCGGATCCGGCCCCGGGAACTGCCCGTCGCAGTACGGCGCGCACCACCCGTCGACGCGCTCCCAGCAGTCTTCCTTCCTTGCCTCTAACTCCTCGCTTCGACGCTCAACGCCGTCGGAAAGCTTTTCAGCGAGGATGTCGTGGATGCGGGAATAGTAAGGCGGCGGCGTGCTGGAGTGGATGGGCGTGGGGAGGGGGATGAAAGACGTGGTGTCTGGGACGGGCGAAGGGAGGGGGATCAGGGACTTGGGGATTGCTGCGTGGGGAATATTAGTTGGGGAAAGACACAGGAGATGAGGAGGGCGTGGTACGTACAAGACGCCGCAGCCAGGCCGGCGAACAGAGTGGCGAGAATGGTGGACTTCATCTTGATTTGTGTATGGAGCGTGAGGAAGCGAAAAGTCGTTTGTAGTTGCTGCTTGCTGTGGAAATGTATCGTCGAATCTGAGCGATGTTCTGATGTCTTCTAGCATACCAGCTGGCATATCACCGCCTTTATACCCATTGCCTTTGCCCAACTTGCCGATTCATCCAAGAGCCACCCTGAGTCGCCGACCCAGCCCAAGACTCGAATGTTACCTCGCATCATCAACACGGTGTACCCTCTCAGCTTCACCAGTGATCAGCTTCACCAGTGACTGTCTAAACAGCAGCTCTACACTAACTAGGCTACATCCAGCCCCGACTTGGCGTTGCCCGACTGCGCTCTAGGTGACCTTGGCAAAATGTAATATAGGTGTCAGCTTCAGCTGATCCAGTGGGCAGCATGGGTTCAGCTTCTGGCACAGAGTACCTGGAGGTACTCAGCCAGCCTCAACTGTCCCCATCGCGCTGAACTACGCTCATGCAATCACTCTTGTAAACATTACCGTTTGTGCACTTGGGCATGACGAGCACTGTGCATACGTACTTAACACACGGTTATACGCGGACAAAAGATTCTCAGTGATTCATATACCCTCAACTACCTACTCCGCCATCAAAGACAGGACATGACAGGGTAGAGAAAGATGCAGGGACAAGTGCAGACTCCAAACGAAACTGACACCGACTCCCGCAGGTGAACCGTACTCCTCTCCAGAGGTCAAGCTGCAGGAAAACCATACTCGAAAATCCGTGAAACTGAGACTCGGAACAATTGCAAACCCATAGACATGCACGTGGTAGGAACTACGTGTCCATTTCCATGAACAGCCACTCGTTGCTGATGACGTCACCCTCTTCGACGAACTCACGGAGGGTGGTGAGCTGGAAGCCGATCCAGCCGAGGTCCTTGGAGAGAACTTCCAGGGACTGCTGCTGCGTGTGGCGGTCAATGCAGACGACTAGGCGGGTGCAGGCGAAGTAGTCGACCGCGCAGAGCTCGAGGAGCGCCATCAATCTGTTGGAAAGTCAGTAGATGTTCAGTGCACATGACTTAAAAGTAGTCCGACTCACCCAGCTTTGAGGTCGCCTCCGATCACGTTCTGATCGAAGAAGACGACCATAGCCTTCTCGTCGGCTTTCTCCGCGACGAACCCACGGAATCGGATACCGCCCACATAGTCCCAGACCTCAATCCAGTCGCTCACCAGCCCCTTCTGCTGGACCCAGCCATATCCCTCGGGGAACGGCGAATCCGTAGCGCTACTCGTATTCATTCGTACATCGATGCCATAGTCGTTGACGATATCGGTAGTCGTGTTGTTATGCATACCCATCACCAGCGAGTCCTTCTGAGCCAAGTTCCCCTCACCAAGGAAAACAGCCCGCAGTGTCTCGCAGAAGAGTCTCTCACACTCTCCCGTAATGGTGTATGCAGCCCCCCCTCTGCGCGCCCGTCCAACAGCGTTAGACGATGCCTTGGCGGCGAGGGGGGGACTCGGTGGAGGTGAAGGTATTCCCTGCAGGACAGTCAGTAGGTGGGAAGCGCCGACGCCGAGGCAGAAGACTCACCGAGCCGACCTCAGGAATACCACTCAGCCCCGCCAGCCCCCGTAGTGGAGTAGTGGAAGCCCTGCAGGGCGGCGGACGAGGCGTTCACAACGTAGGCCGAGGCGCGCACATTGGCGGTCGAGCGGTCGCTGCGATTACTACTACTACTACTGCTTCGTTTCGAATTCGAATGCGCCATTGTTCGGGTTTGCCACGGTTGCGTCGGGGTGGGACGTAGGGTGCTGCGGGAAGCTGCTGCTTGGATTGGCGAGGTTTTGAGCTGGCGTAGCGGTGGCGGCGGTGGCGGGCGGGAGCGTTGAAGTACGTGTGTGGTGGTGCGAGAGAGGTTTCGAGAAAGAAGCAGATGAGGAGAAGAGTGGGGCCCTGCGCCGGTGGGTCCGTCCGCGGTCGTGGGCCCATGCGCCACCCTTGATTGGCTCCTGCCTCGACCCGCGCCTGAAGCAGCCTCGTCCACCTCACCGCACCCAACCACCAAGAATGACCTTGGAGCAGCTGTGGTGAAGAAGACGTCAGGCAGCAACAGCCCGCTGAGCTGCCGCATAAGCCTTTCCATGGTCCCCGTGCCCGTGGAAGCAATGCAGCTTTGGCAAAGCCTGCGATGACACGGTGTCACGTTATTGCTGTGGGCGCCCAGAGTCACGATGCTCCGGCAACGTTAGCCGGTAGCTTAGCCTTGCACGTGTTCAGCGGTGGACGCTCTTTCAACATACCCCGTTGTCAATACCTGTTAGGAAGCAACAATTGAGACATCACTGAGCTAACATTGCCTCAGCTTGAAGGACGATTTGTTCGTTGCCGTCAGCTATGCCAGTGACCCAGAATACAAAGACGACCTGTGGTATTCAGGAGATCAGGGGCTCATAGAGTGCTTGTGCGAGATGGCCTCCTACAACCAAGGGATACATGATCACCTGGAGCGTGACCAAAACATATCAAAAATAGACAAAAGCTTTCCAAAAGTTGGCCTTCCCCAGTCCAAAACTTCCAAACTGGATCACAGCAGGCCCTTGTCACGCCACAATATCGAACAAGCATCAGCGCAGACTGCACCTGTAACTTGGAGTCGTATGCTTCCAGTCTATCATGAAATTCGACATGTCCTGTTGAGATATTCTCATCATGTCTGCCTCATCGCTTCCCCAGTGCGACCTAATCCAGAACCGACCGGAACCGTTCACGCCACCCGCAAGCCACAAACTGTCAGTGATACGCTGTTAACCTCGATGTTGTACGCGGGAAAACCCTTGCTGTGATCCGTCTGTATTCATATCGACAGTCAGAATCCTGCATGTCAAAGGTCATATCCTGCGCTGAGAATTATGTACATTGAAAATACATGCTAGAGGCCGTGCAAGTGGACATCGCGACTTCCAACGTCTATGCCCTACACATGCGTCCATCATTACCCACAGTCCACGCATCGCTTCCCACAGTCTTCAGCCCATAGAATAAGCCCGCGGGATCCCACTTGTTCTTAACTGCCAACAGATTCTGGTAGTTCGCGCCATACCATTTGCTCTGCCAGTCCACCGTCCTAAAGTCTCCCTCGTTCATGTACACTCCACTGCCCGGCGTCACCGCCTCAACCTGCGGCACAAGCTCGTTCGTAAGACGGTACTGGTCTGCGATCATCTTTGGCCATGCAGAGGGCGTGTTGTTCCACGGGAGCGTCATCTGCATGTGGATGGCGGCATCGCGCCACGCCGGGAGTACGGCGTTCGGCGAGCTAGACTGGCGCGTGACGTTCAATGCCACCGAGACAGCGAGGACGCCGTTTTCGGTGATGTTGCGCAGCGCCTTTTGGAGAGCATCGTTGTTCGTCTCGAGCACCTTGCGCGGGATCAGGCGGCTGGAGAACTGGTATGCCTCGACTGTGAGATGGCCAAAGGGCAGCGGGCCCATGTACTTGTTGTAGTGGTCGTAGTACCTCGTGGAGTCGGAGTAGGTGATGGAGTAGGGAATGGCGAGTTCGCTTAGCACCGCCATGAAGGGGGCGAGTGTGGTCTGCACCTGCGCCGATGTCTGGTTGAATGCAGTGATCGGCGCAATTTGGAAGACTTGAGAGTTGAAGATGAACGCGGTCGAAGTGCCGCTGTCGGTGATGTTCGGCACCATGGCGTGGAACCTTGCAATGGCTTCGTAGAACTTGTCGGGGGTAGTGTACGCGGCTGCCATCTGTAGCTGAGCGCCGCCGACCTTGGCATCGGTGTAGGCGCGCACAGTAGCCGAAAGCACAACGGCGTAGGTTCCACCACCGCCGCCACTCAGTGCCCAGTAGAGGTCTGGGTTGGTGGTTCTCGAAGCCTTGACGATTTTGCCTGCTGCGGTGGCAACTTCCCATTCGAGGACTTGATCAGCAGCCAGACCAAAGTTTGTGCTCAAAGCAGAGTGGCCACCACCCTGAAGGTAGCCTCCTGCAGCTCCGACTGTTGGGCATGTGCCCGAGAGCACAACAAGACCTTGTGCGGCTGCAAGCGTGACCGCTTCGTAGCCGAGGATCCCGGCGCCCATCTTGAAGGCCTTCCCATTGTAGGAAGAGTCAGACCAATCAAGGAATTGCGCAGTCTTGAGGTGTTGAGTCCAGATAGAGAGCGAGCCAGCACCAGTAGATGCTCCCTTGTAGCTGCAATTGAATAGCTTAGCTTTGTTTTCTCAACAACAAACGGCGTACATACTCATGACCAGTGTTTCGGATGACGAAACGGATGTTCTTGGTACGTGCAAAGTTGATGGCAGCAACTACATCCGCGCTCGACGTCGCGTTCACGGTATACCGAGCATAGTTGCCGAGAAGGCATTGTGAACTTTGTGCAGTGAATGGGTCACAGCTTTGGTTCGCAAAGAACGCTTGCATGACCGACGAAGAGGATGCTAGACTATTGCCAAGTGTTAATATGCATGTTGCGTTCTCGTTCTCGAGTCAGACCATGGTACTTACTGCGTCTGGGGTAGCTGCCATGCAGATTGCAACGCTGCGCAGTCCGCATCACTGTAGTTGGGATCATGGCAAGGAGATCCAATAGGGACAGTGGCGATAAGTCGGCCCCCTACGGTGCTGTTCAAACTTGCCCACGCTGACGCTGCAGGCCAGCAACTGTCCCCGGGAAAGCAGCGACAGGAAGCTGAAGCTCTGGAGCCCTTGGGGCCAGGGAGCAGCCCTGCGTATGCCTGGGTGGCGAAGAGGAAGAATGTGAGAAGCTCCATTATTTCCCGATAACGCAAGATACTCAAGAACCAAGCGGCAAGGCACCAAAGAAAGCAGGTACAGCAAGTCATCGAACACATCGTTCTCGAGCTATATGTACAGCTTGGCCATCTGCGTGCGTGGATACCACGGAGATAATCTGCCACATTTGGCAGTTCGGTAAGGCCCCCTGAGCCCACAGCTCGGAGCGCATGAATCGGATCTTATTCTTAGGCGACCGCTCGAGAACACGAGCACGGAAGCACTCATGCTGTGTTCAGCCTCCTAAAAGCGCAATATCAGGAATGTCGAGATGCACCCTTTGACTGCCTCCGAAGTGGCTTCTGTGCATACATGTAGTCAAGTTTCAAAGTTCGGTACGCCCAGGTGCTGTTGCTTCCGCTTAATCGGGCGTTTAGTGGCGAAACGTGCCCAACCGTCGCGAATTGATTTTGGCGTACGATTATAGTTCTCACACAGAACCGTCAGGTAGCGCGGGCTTATTGGAAACCTAATTAAATGGGGGGCAGACATGGGGTGGCTTCCAGCCTTCCACGCGGCAAACCTCTGGGGACAGGGAGGGTTTAAGCACTGAACCGTGCGCCTCTCTAGCCATCCACAGTGCCTAGGTAAAGTTCTGCCCTACGGTACATCAAGCCCATCCCGTGACGTCCCGCTTGATCGTTGACGGTGCGAGACGGCGAATGGAAAGTATGGTTTATACTAATCCGCACTAGATGCCAATGGCACGAAGGTGATCGACGCCTGCCGGCAGATCAAGGAAACATCACTTCACCTCGGCCCGGCATGTGCGCGCAGGGTCTAGAAATGGTGCCTGAAACAGCGCTTTAGCTAATCCTCCCCCAATCTCTGAAGCGCAACTTTCGCGAACGGAAACCGTACCATTGCCCCTCTGGACATCCCTGTTCATACCGAGCAGATATACTGCTGTTGACGTCCTGTCACAAGAGGCTAGTTCTCCGCCGTTGCGACTATCGGCGTGGACCCCGCTAAGCTTGGATTGGTCCTTTACAATGCATCTTACCCGTGGTTCCAAGGTCCGACGCATTTGCGAAACGACTTCCAAGAAACAACTGCTGCATACTATCAAACTATCACCAGTAGCCTCCTCGCTTCCTTCTATAGCGTCCATCATCACGCGACCCTAGGTGCATGCCGTAGACTTTTGCCATTGCCGTCCAGCGCAGCCGCCAATTATCTGCCAGCATTCCTCAGAATTCTCCAGTTTTACGACGGATACTGTTGTCTGGTTTGATCGCTTAATTGCTGGCTTGCCTGTTACGTGCAGAATTTTGATGTACGGTATATGTGACGAGGTTCGTTCGTGAGTCAGGGGATCCACGAGGTGGAAATACCCCGGCATATCGGCGGAAGTGCCACTATGGCGATCAGGGTTGAAGATCGCATATGTGCAGGCCAGACCCTTCGAATTCGACGTGGCCGGACAACGGAGTGAGCCATGAGGGCACCCATCGCGATCTTGACGCTTTTGCTGCTGTCTTTGCCCTTTAGCATAGCGCAAGGGACTCTGACTGAGGCTATAGAACAGTTGCCTGCGTGCGCGGTACGTACAAGTGGGCTCATGCAATGCAGCGTATCATACTGACCAGAGCATGCAGTTGAAATGTCTCGTTTCCGCCATCAGCGAGTCTCCCTGCCAACTCACCGACCAAACATGTATATGCACGAACCAGAAACTGCAGCTCGACGTAGAAGTCTGCGTGTTGCAAGCATGCTCCAAGAAAGAGGCTCTGAGTACGGCAAGTCCTCCTGGCTTCAAGTATCACCGCTGATGAGAAGCACAGCCACCAAAAACATCACATCGACAAGCTGCGGTGCCCCAATCCGTGACAGCTCAGCCCTCTACTGCACGATTTCCACCACGCTGGCTGTCCTGTCCGCTGCCCTGGTGCTGCTGCGCCTCGGCTACAAGATGTTCATAACTTCCATGGAACTTGGACTCGACGACTGCTTCGTCTTCATCACACTGCTCGCCGGCACCCCCAGTTCCGCCATCAACGTCCTCGGGCTGGCCGCCAATGGCCTAGGCAAAGATGTCTGGACGCTGCGCTTCAACCAGATCACAAGCTTCTCGAAATACTTTTACATCATGGAGATTATGTATTTTGCGCAGATCACGCTCCTCAAGCTCTCACTGCTGTTCTTCTACCTGCGCGTGTTCCCCGGGAAGCCCGTGCGAAGGGTCATCTGGGCGACGGTGATATTCAACAGTCTCTTTGGCGCGGTGTTTGTCACAGTTGCCATCTTCCAGTGCAGGCCGATCAGCCACTACTGGAACGAGTGGCACGGCGAGACGCCGGGGACGTGCATCAATATCAATGCGCTTGGCTGGTCCAACGCTGCGATTTCGATAGCGCTCGACTTCTGGATGCTGGCGATACCCATCTCCCAACTTCTGGACCTGCAGTTGGCGTGGAAGAAGAAGGTCGGCGTTGCGTTGATGTTCTGTGTCGGGACGTTGTAAGTGTGTCCCTGCTTTGCACAACCCTGCCTCTGTCAAGCTCACGTGGGATCCCTACGTGCGAGCACAAAAGGGACCCCCCACGAGTTCTGTCCCATTCGTTGCGTTTACCATCTTCGCTCACGGACTCCCGACTAATCATCTCTACAGTGTCACAGTAGTATCGATCCTCCGCCTGCACTCCCTCGTGCACTTCGCCAAATCCATCAACCCCACCTGGGACTACTGGGCCGTGTCGAACTGGTCCACCGTCGAGATCAACGTCGGCATCATGTGCGTCTGCATGCCATCTCTGCGTATAATCCTCGTGCGCTTCTTCCCCAAGGTGCTCGGCACCATGCGAAGCAACACCGGTGGCTATGCGAGATACGGATCCAGCAGTCGCATCGAGAGAGTCAAGATCGGAAACAGCAATGCAAGCACTGGCCATGACAAGGGGATGGAAGACGACGTAGAGATGATCATACGAGAAGCTCCTTCCGTTGATGATTCGCGTTCGGATGTGTATAAAAGCCGGGTGTACAGATGACCCGTGTAGCCAGACTGGAATGCCTCACATGCCTTTGGGAGTTACGGTCACGGTGTTAGGGCTGTGCGCACATACTCTCTGCGCCATCAGTGAATCAGAACAAACATCTATTGCCTACATAACTCTCCATCCACCGTGAACTCCTAACTTTTACAGATTAGCATCCTCGGCATATGCCTGCCGCCACGGTAGGCAGCATCGCCTCGCTATATCAGTGACCCGGATGGCAACAGATTAAGAAGAACAGTGACTATGGAGGCCGGCGAGAAATCCTTCCTCCCTGCACGGATCTCGTGAAACTAGAGGATGCAAGTCGGATATCTCATAGCGCTATGCAGTACAAAGCAGACAAACAGACAGTAGCAAGGAAACAGATATGGAAGGCGAGGCGCACAAGCGCGGCAAGCTGCATGGATGCAACAAAGAATGCATGCATTACACGTAGCCTGCGCAGGCGGGCGCAGGAGTGGAGTCCGCTACACTGTACAGTACATGTGAGGGAAGTGGGACACCTGTCTATCTTACCGGGGGATGCGGACGTCTACGACACCGAGATACACTTGATATCAAAGATGAGCTCGGAGTTGGCGGGTATGCCGGGCAGCGCCTTGGAGCCGTATGCGAGCTTCGCGGGGATCGTGAGGCGGCGCTCGGCGCCAGCCTGCATGCCAGCGACACCGACGTCCCATCCCTTGATGACCTCGCCGACGCCAAGCTTAAAGGAGAACGGCTTGCCCTTCTTGTTGGCTGTGGGTAGTCAGCTTCTGTACGATGCTATCAAGACATCTGTGTGACTTACCATCGAACTGCTTTCCGTTCTTCAGCTTGCCGATGTAGCGCATCTCGATCTTGTCGCCCTTCTTAGCAGCCTTGCCCTTGCCCTCCTTCTTGTCCTCGACGGTGACACCGCCGACGTTACGGGGGCCCTTGGTCGGCTCCTTCTTCGCCTCGGCGACCTTGGGCGAGCCCGTAGGACCCTGCTCGAGGTTCTTAGCGAATTGAACCTTCTTCTTGTCACTGCTGGGGGTATCCACCTTCTTAGCCTCCTTTGCGGGCTCAGCGGCAGCAACGGCCTGGCCCTCGTTGTTCTTGAGCTTCTTGGCCTGCTTTTTGCTGGGCTTCTCGCCGTTGGCGGCGGGAGCCTCAGCCTTGGTCTTGGTGATGAGTTCGTCGAGAGTCATGGCCTCGCCCTCATCCTCATCCTGTGCGGGGCGCTTGTTCTTGCCCTTCTTGTCGGCCTTGACCAGCTTGGGGGCCTCCTCCTCGGAGTCGACCTCGGTGATGCGAGGATCAGCAAGGTCGTCGAGGGAGTCCTCCTCCGAGTCCAACTCAGAGAGCTCCTCATCAAGCTCGTCCTCATCAGGCGACTCATCATAGTCGTCCTCGCCAAGACCGTAGAGATCCCGCTCATCATCGTCATCCTCGTCGTCCATGATGGCAACGTAGTTACCGGTAAGGTAGATGTCGTGGGAACCATTGGAAGAGAAGTAGATCTCCTCGCCCTCGCGGACGGTGATCTCCAGGGTCTGCTGCCAGTGCTGCGTTCTCGTTAGTGGTGTCGCGAGCATGCGCCTGAAGGAACTTTACCTTCTCCGGGTCGAGGGTGCAGAGCACGAGCTCCTCAGCCTCGTCGCCCTCCTCGGAATCGCTCTCATCGCTGTCCTCGTCGTCGAGAGCCTTGCCCTTGCCCTTACCGTTCACGCCGTTGGTGATGCTGTCAATCTCCATCTCCTCGGCGGCAGCCTCCTCCTGGAGCTTCTTCTGCAGCGCCTCGCGCTTGGCCTGCTTGGACTTGGCGGGATCACTAGGCCCGCCGTTGGTCTCCTCCTCGCTCTCGTCCTCGTCCTCGTCCGACTCGTCCTCGGAGCCAAGGACGCCGTCAGCAAGTAGCTTTGCGCGCAGCTCCTCGATGTTGTCGGGGTCGAAGTCATCGTCGTCGTCGTCCTCATCCTCGTCGTCGTCCTGGATGCGGATGAGCTTGAGGGTAGCACGAGCCGGCCCAGCCTCAACCTCGGCGGTGGGGTCGATTGCAGCCATGGTGATGCGGAACTAGGGACTGTAAGCTTGCTGCGCACGAGGAAGAGCTTGCGATTCCGGAAGCGCGCATGCATTGGCCGCAGACTTGCGCGCTCCCGTCACAGCTGCGATGAGATACTTACAGCAACATTGGGGTTCACGCTGGCGGGAATTGGCTGGCCGCCAGCGGGGACGCGAAGTCCGTAGACACCTGCAGGTATGCTGGCCATTTTGCTGTGTGAAATGGACAAGGAAAAGTGGTGGTGTGGTAGCGGAGAACTGGTGCAGAGTTCGAGGCTGGTTGCTCGAGGAACTCGACAAGAAAAGTTTAGGAACCAGCGTTTTTCTGCCAAGAGTTCGAGCTTGCCTGAGTGGGTCCACGGGCTTCCACCGCCTACGCCATGTGGGGTGGCCCGGAACGCGACACCAACGCCACCGCCGCGACGCGACGCGGCTTCACTGTCGACGTCGCAACCGGCGGCCACACCCGCTGCCCGCGCACCATGACGGCGGCTGTCATCAGGCACCGGCTGCAGCATCCTTCGCACCCACCCCGCAACCATGGGCTCGCGCCTTGAGAGCAACTCCAACTCGGTGCGCAAGCGCATCGCCAAGCACACCTTCGATGACGAGGACGGCGACGAGTATGGGGGCTCCAAGTTCGGCGGCTTCCCAGAGTACTTCAGACGGAAGAAGATCAAGCTTCAGAACCTGGACGCAGACCTTCGCTTGCAGTCCGCCGACAAGCCCCAGATATTCAGAGGAATCGTCGCACACGTAAACGGCTACACGCAGCCGTCGCTCAACGACCTGCATACGCTCATCGTTCAGCATGGAGGCGGGTTCCTGCAGTACCTCGACGGGAAGACTACCGCGACCCACATCATCGCGAGCAGCCTCACCCTGAAGAAGGCCGTAGAGCTCCGCAAATACCGCATCGTCAAGCCTGCGTGGGTCGTGCACAGCATCGAAGCTGGGAAGCTGCTTCCGTGGAGCGGCTATCGTGTTCTAGACGAGGGAGAAAATCAGAAGGTGCTGGCTTTTGACAATGGCAAGGTATCAAGCGCCTCCAGTAAGAAGGTGCAGGGGTATCGCGACCAAAGCAACCAGAGCTGGTATACTAGCCAGCTCCGGACCAGCCAGTTCGATGGGCCTGCGAGCACTCCAACTCCCTTGAGCTCTATGCGACCCCGGGTTCCCCGGGAAAGGCTGCTGACCCCAGGTGACGATATTGAGGAACATCTGCCGCCTTCGCATCAGCCAGAACAGGGGCCATTTGATCAAAGCTGGGTCGAGCAGCTGGAAGATGCCGCACGCGCCTCCGAAACGATCGTGACTCCGCCAAAGACGAGCCCTACCCCGGAAGATCCACCTGACGAACCCGTCCCGATGGCACAAGACAGCGTACCCCAGGACCACGATGGTCGATACACTCATCCAGATGAAGAAGCCGTTCAGTACCCCGCTGCTCAGGAACGGGTTGCAAAAGCAGCAAAAGAAGAGTCAGTCGTGAAGGGACGACCACTCACCGCGGAAGAGCACAATGCCATCTTACTCCGAGACCCCAAAATTCGCAAATCTACCGTTGTGGATCCCAGCTTCCTTGAACAGTACTATCGCGAGTCTCGTTTGCATCACCTTTCCACCTGGAAGGCCGAGCTGAAATCACAATTGCAGGCTTTGGCCAGCGAGAGAAGTTCGTCGCAGAAGGCGAAGCAGAAAAGACCTGCGGGCGCAAGGCGATACATACTGCACGTCGACTTTGATAGCTTCTTTGCTGCAGTGAGTCTGAAGAAGAATCCGCAATACAAGGACAAGCCTGCGGTTGTCGCTCATGGCAATGGCAGCGGGTCGGAAATCGCCAGCTGCAATTATCCCGCAAGGAAATTTGGAGTCAAAAACGGAATGTGGATGAAGAAGGCTCTGGACCTGTGTCCGGATCTGAAAATACTTTCATACGACTTCCCCGCGTACGAAGACGCTAGCCGAGCGTTTTACGATGTTATCCTTGCGACTGGCGGGATCGTGCAAAGCGTGAGTATAGATGAAGCGCTGATCGACGTCTCGAGCCTTTGCATTGGAGTTGGTGGTAGTGACGGTAAAGGCGTCAGCGAAGGTAGCATATATCGTGAACAGGCGAAGGCTGAGGAAATTGCTCAATCTTTGCGTGATGAAGTCAAAGCGAGGACAGACTGCAATGTCTCAATCGGTATAGGCGGTAATGTCCTGCTTGCCAAAGTCGCTCTGAGGAAAGCCAAGCCGGCCGGCCAATATCAAATCAAGCCTGAAGAGGCCATCGACTTCATAGGTGAACTGCAGGTCCAGGATCTTCCCGGTGTTGCATGGTCTATCGGCGGGAAGCTGGAAGAAATCGGCATCAAATTCGTCAAAGACATCCGAGGGTTCACTAAAGAAAGGCTAGTACAGACATTGGGGCCCAAGACTGGGGATAAGCTATGGGAGTACTCCCGCGGCATTGATCGAGTGGAAGTTGGCGAGCAAGTGGTGCGCAAGTCAGTGTCAGCTGAAGTCAACTGGGGCGTGCGATTTGAGAACCAAGAGCAGGCTGATGAGTTTATTGGAAGTCTTTGCGGAGAGCTTCAGAAACGCCTACTGAAAGAAAAAGTCAAAGGAAAGCAGTTGACGATGAAGATCATGCGTCGGTCACCAGACGCTCCCTTGGATCCGCCCAAGCATCTCGGTCATGGCAAATGCGACACACTTAACAAGAGCTTGGTGCTCGGAGTGGCGACAAATGCCAAAGAGACGTTGACGAAAGAGGCACTGAGCATTCTTAAAGGCTTCGGTATCTCTCCAGGTGAACTGAGAGGCATAGGTGTGCAAATGACCAAGTTAGAGCCCATGAAGAATGCCACAGACGGTTCCCTGGAAAGCTCACAACGCCGTCTCCAGTTCAGAGCTGGGCCTGCCGAACCCAAACAGGTCCGCAAACCCCCACCAGTCGTGGACGACATGGACCCCATCCAGGATGATCCGGTCACTCCGAGGAAACCAAAAGCTGCCGCAGAAGATGAGCACGTCGCTTTTGGTCCTACAGAGCTCAACCATTCCACGCCATCCCGACGCCCGCTAAACATGATGGGCACGCAGTTCATAATGCCAACCCAGGTAGACCCGAAAGTGCTCGCAGAGCTCCCCGAAGATATCCGCTCGAAGCTTCTTCGGCAAGGTCGCCAATCTACACCTACCCCCGCCACACCCAAAAGGCGCACAGAGTCCCGCGAAGTTACTCCTTCCCCGCAAAAAGCCTTACCATTCGCACTCACGGCGCTCCCCGCGCAGTCTCAGCTCGATCCCGAAATTCTCGCCGCGCTCCCCCTTGACGTCCGCGCAGAGGTCCTCTCTCAATACGCCGCAGCAGGAGCGACCCCGTTCTCTCCGTCCCGCCGCCCAAAACACATCGACCAGACCCTTCTTCCCCAGTCACCACGCAAGAATCGATTGATTGGTATTCCTGCCAAACGTCCAATCGTGCCTCCAGTCAAGCGGGGAAGAGGCCGACCTCCAAGGTCCGCACAGCTTGCCGCCGCAGCGCTCGCGAGCGCAAGAGACGCCACGGGCAAGACTCTCACCCAGGCCAACTTCATATCGCTCAAAAACCCCGCGCGCACCCGCGGCAGCAAAGAAGGCTCAGCTGCAAACCCGCTGCCCGCCGCTGAAGAACTCGACGCAGACTTCCTCGCCGCCCTCCCCGAGGACGTCCGGCGCGAAATTGTTGAAGAGCACAAGCGCCAGAAACTGCAAGCGTCTCGCCTCGCCCTGGCAAAGACGCGCAGGGCCGCCCAACCAACCGTACATGGCCCACGCCCATCGCAGATCGTCACTGTCCCCCGCCCCCCACGGCCAACCTTCACCATGAACAAGCTGCACGACAAGAATGACCTGCGACTCGCGCTCAAAGACTGGATCCGCGAGTTCGGCGAAGAAGGGCCGTATGAGGAGGACGTCGGCGCGCTGGCAAAGTATTTGGGCCGCGTTGTGACCGAGGAGCGGGACATGTTCAAGGCGGTTGCGGTGGTGAAGTGGTTTGAGTGGATTGTTGGGGATTCTGCCGATGCGGATGGACGATTTGGGAAGAAGAGGTGGGAGGACGCGCTGGGGAGTGTGAAGGATGGGGTGCAGATGGCGGCGGCGGAAAGGGGGTTGGGGGAGGTGAGGTTTGTTTGATGGATGGGTCGTTATGATGCATACGCAATTGGATGATTTTTACGTGTTATGGCGATTTCGGTAGGCTGGTTAGCTACACTACAGTATACAGATGCATGATATAAAGTACAAAATGCTGCACCACTGTTTGCCATCTGAATTTACGTACTGCATATCCCCTACTCTCATGAGAATGAAAAGCCCGGATCTAAGCACAATTCTATAACAGTGCGAAGATAGTAGCGGAGCCTAGGTTAAATACTAGACTTTTTTATCCTTTTTGCTGATATTGCATCGTCGGTGACAGGTTGTCGGGAACGGCCCTCCTGCTTCCGGCCATGTCCCCTTCATATTTGGCTTACGCAACACAGTGGCTACAAATCGGATTCCATTGACCAGTCAGACACGTGTAGTATCTACTATTTCGCAAGTTGATTAGATTCAGATGCCAATTGATTGCTGCATATAGCCGTCGTAACTGCATCCGAAAGTCCTGCCTAGGTTGGTGTGAGTGACTGCTGCCTATATTGCTCGGCTTATCACTGGTACTTTCGTTCAACAGTGCTGTCTCAACTTGCTGTTGCAATAGCGAGCTTTACTATCCTGTTGCAAGTGTAGAGCCTGAGATAACCAGACTTCGTGCATCTCATGCTGCATATTCCTCTCATTCATCACATCTAATCCTATCAATGTCGTACTAGAAGCTACCAAGAGACGTGAAGTCAATACGGCTTCTCGAGCTCCTACCCGCGAAGAAAGAACATGATGATATCTCATGTCATATCACGACTGTTTCCTTGCATACCACCATGCCGTACACCCCTTCTCTTGTAGGTGGGACCATGGCCCAGACCCGGGCGACATAATATACATCAACGGCAAGCCACAGTTAGTAGGAAGGAACCTAGCTTCGGCGTTGCGTCACATACGAACCAATCTCACTCAGCATCCAGCCCACTATCACCATTAGTCTGGGCTGATGCAATCTGTATCAATCAGAACGACGACGAAAAGTCCTATCAGGTCCAACTCATGGGAGAGATATACTCAAATGCATCAACAGTCGTCTCGTGGTTAGGTGCAGACGAAGCTGGAAAGATGACGGCTGCTACCACGGCGATGAAGTTGATTCAGCATGTGGCGGCGTCTGAGCCAGACTGGTCGGAAAATCTACACTGGATGCAAGACCATCCCTCGTTCTTGCAGCCTGGCAATAACGCTACAGAAATTCACAATCAAGTTGAGTTCGCACAAGACGTTCTTTTCCGAGCCATATTGGCGGCGAGTATGGGTCCTTTCAAAATTGGTACTCACCCACAGTCTGTGGGCCATGGTCGGAAAACACATCATTCATTACGAAAGCGTGTTAGACTCGGCCAATTTGATTCGACGGTTTAGTCCAGAGCCAAGATGAGGAGACGGGGTTTTGCCATATAATATACGCTATGTCCTCAGGTATCGCGAACGGATCCCAACTGCAAACCATACATTCATCGAAAGTTTCCGGGACACTTTGAAAAGTTCCAAGGAGATGAGCGATGCAGACAACTTGGACGCTATCTTTTCCACTTTGGATTATCAGGCCACCGACTCCAAAGATAAAGTTTTCGCCTTGCAAGGTCTTCTCGGGAACTTTATGATCCCAGACTATAGCAAGAACCACCGTGGAAATATATTCTGGCCTCATGGAAAAATACATTGCAACCTTTGGAGACCTCTTCGTTTTGCGGTTCTCCGGTATAGCTATTTGTCGTCCCGAGACAGTAGAGCCAGGACTACCGTCTTGGGTCCCCGATTTGCAGGCAATCTCCTTAGAGCATAGCTGGCAACCTTTCCCGACCCAAGACTCCTCTTCTGGTTATGGCCTGGGCCCTTTGCGTTCTTCCCAAGCGCGAGTCTTAGATCAGCGCTACTTACGTGTCAACGCATGCATATGCGACACAATTTCAGATGCCGGACCGATTTTCGACACAGACTCACTCAATTTTGAGCGTCTCTACCGAAGCTTCCTAGAGAGGAAGAGTGATATCGAAACGCGTACCAGAACCCCGTACATGCAGGCCATCCTGTGCGCCATATTGTCATATTCTATCCTTTGGATCGGAAAATCCAGTGATGCATCGAGTCTCGCTGCCTACCAGCGGCTGGTATTGGCGACATTGTACTTTCTCGAGGGGCTTGTTTCGAACGCGCCAGTCTTGGACATACTCCACTCCACCGTCGAAGCCTTGGACATCGCGTTCGAGAACCACGTCCCGTCCTTGCTCCAAACGGTATTCCCCCATGACATGATTTATGACTGCTGGAAGTCCGAAAAGTGGGTAGCAACTAGTATTATTGGTCAAGCGCGTTTACTGAGACCCCATCTGACGAGGTCTTTAAAAGAACGACACCATCTCTTCACCACATCCACTGGTTACATAGGGTCGAGTCTCTACGGTGTGAAGGCTGGAGATGTAATTGGTGTGATCCAAGGTTGTCCATTTCCGGTCCTGCTTAGGGTGGAAGGAACACGGTATATTCACCTAGAGACTTGCAACGTCCTAGGTCTCTGAATGGCGAGGCTGCTAACAGAGTCAGTGACGGGTCTCTAGAGATGGTGGAAGTAGATCTTATGTAAGCTATCAGGTTGACACTCATACTGCAAGATCGAGAAGGATAGACGGCACTGTACGCATTAGACGATTCTCCGATAACCGGTATCTTATCGATTTTCCGAGATGATTCTTGTGGCTATGTATCGTATATTTTCCCTATCGTTAACACGTACGACCATATGACACCGAAAACTTGACTTTACCTTACGATTCTCTTCTGAAATGCGTCGAAGGTTTGTAATTTATCGATGTGAAAGGTCAGCTTATCTACATCTTGTCCATCCAGTGGAGATCATTGTGCAGCGAGTCTGCTCGTCGCCAGGGGGCGCAAAGCATGCCGACACGAAGAATCGTGATGCAGTTCTCTGATGACGGCGGTAGGTGATGCGTGAAGGGGTTGCCGAATAGATCTACTTGTCTCGCCTCTCTGGGACTCAAGTAAGAATTTTCATAGATGCTTGCCCTTTGTTTAGATTCGGCCTCCCAGTCGTCTGGACTGTCTTGGATAAAACAGTATAAGTCTATCCACAAATAGCTCAGTCCAAGGGCAGGAACAAACTTAATCGCGTTCCGATATGTCCTCGAAATCGTACTCCAAGTGATTCCGCTCAGCATTTGAGCATAGGTGTCCTGACGTGTAGTACCAGCGTCAGAGCCACCCCATCGGTGGCTCAGATACGCGTATTTCTCTCGCAAACCCCTGATCTCCTGTAGATTTACTTCCAAGCTACCTTCTAGAGAGCTCGAAACATGTAACACTTTGGTCGGCAAAGGTGCTTGATCACGTTTAGCACACCTGGAATGCCTCTGACGACAATCGTCGATGTGTGAATGGACCCACCTCAAGTTTTCCTCGCACATCGGATGTGTTGGCTTAGACGGTAGAGCTAGGTGGAAGAGCGGGCCTGGAGAGCTGGAGACTGCATTGAGTCCTGGAGACTATCCTTTGCAGCCTCATTGCACGTTATTGGATTTGAGCTTAAAGGTATCCGCTGCAGAGTCTGAGAGAGCGCGTGCGCTGTACGGGGAGCGAGTGCAGGCCTGCTGCCAACGGTGAGACTACAATCAACACGTGGATATTGCGAGCAGAACCATGCATCAGCGCTGGGGTATCTTCCTCTACCTACTTTCCTGTCCCACATCTCCCACGTCACCGTACCGGCCTCACAAACTCCTCATCGCCCAACACCTCTCTCACGTCCCCCACCTTCCCCTCTCCCACACCGCCATCCTCCCCACCGTCCAACCCACCCGACAAATCTACCAAGCCCTCCCTCGGTGGGCTGAACTGCCTCAACCGCACCCCGCTCTCTGCAAAGATCCTTGCCGTCTGCGTATCGACCATGTACCCCTGGTTATACACCACCTCGCTGATGCCCACCTGTGTGATCTTGACGCTGCACGTCAGGCAGGGACACGTGTTGCAGTAGAGGATGCTCGTGGCGCCGATGCGATCGCGGCCGGCTTCGAGCAGGGCGTTTTCCTCGGCATGGAGGCACAGGCAGGTGGAGAGGTCGACGCCGCCCTTCGCGGCGGTGTTGCAGCGGGGGCCTAAGCGTGATTAGTGTGATGAGAATGGGACGGAGAGAGGCAGCGAAGGGAACCGTACATCCGCCCTCGCTGCAGTTTGTCATGCCGCGAGGCGTCCCGTTGTAGCCTGTGCTTATAACGCGCTTTTCCCTCACAATCACGCAGCCGACACGCCGCTTCATGCAGTTGCTACGGTGGGCAGCGAGGTCCGCGAGCTGCATGAAGTACTGGTCCCAAGACGGCCGGAGGCGGGCGTCGTTGGGAAGGTTCAAGGCTGCTAGCGCGGCGTGCAGCGACGGGATTGAGGTGGTCGAGTTGAGCAGCTTGAGTTGGGCGCGCTCGAAGAGGATCTGCAGGCCGGTACCGGGCGCGAAGAGGTGCTCGTCATTGCGGAGGACGAAGGCTTCGAGAGAGGGCGGGGTGAGCTGGCTGGATGCGCATCTGCAGTCGTCAACGGCAGGGAAAATGCGGTGGGGTGGATGCGGTGTACCGATCTTTGAAGCGCTGCCATCGCACGCTCACGGGTGCGTCTACGCTCACAAGGAGGAAGAAGGGCCGTCGGAGCAGCGCATCGACAACTTTATCGTCCCATATGTCTGTAGTGACCCAGTTCTCCCTCCATCTCAGTGTCACGAATTCGAGCAGCGAATCGACGTTTGGGAAAGTGTATTGCGCGTCATTTGGGCTCAGTTCGGCGGGCGGAACATGGACATTTGACGCAGACTTCTCGACGGAAGGTGTTGCAGCCGTGCGTGCAAGCTGTATACGCTTGAATTGATGCTCTTCGACGAGGTACGATGCGATGGAGGACTTGCCCGCGCAGATTCCTGGATAAGTCAGCGGCAAGTGTTTGATTGAGGGCCTTGCTTGCCTCCGCACAGCCCTATGAGCATGTTGCTGGCGTTCTATGCGGCCTTCAGGCTACCAGTCGAAGTCGACGGCATAGCTTGTGGTGTGTACAAACATCGATTGAAGCGGGGTCTGGCCCAATGCGGCTAACGCGACCTGCTTCCACCACCACGCGTACAGCTATATTTTACACGTGTCAACCCGTGTACACAGTCCCGAGGTCAGTATCATAAGGTTAGATCCGCTATCTAATCTTTCGGTCAAAGGCCGATCCCTCCTACTTAGTCTCTCGCTTGTCCCTGTTTCGCCCATACTGCGAAGCAAAGTACAGCTGCATTTGCACAAGCTCAACGCGAATCATCTTTATTACTATTTTTTAATCCTAGTCTACGCAAGGGTACCGTATAAGCCACTTGGGCTGCCTTCTCGAGGGTTCGCCACTTGAAACCCTCCACATGTAAAGTTCGCGTGGTGATCAGGGGCAAAGTTTGGCTCCAGCCACTCGGGGGTGTTTTCAGCCTCAGCGAATATATTGGTGCGACCGCTACGTCGAAGCTGCCAAACTTACTCCCACCTTCAACAGCGCGAACCGTGGTACTGCGGCTGTGAGTGCTGTCAGGGTCCCGGATCTCATGCATTACCCTGCTTTTGGTCGTCTTCTATTGCTGGATGTGCTCACAGCACGTACGATGCGTCGTTGCCCGCGAGCTTCTGCGCCTGCTCTCATGACAACACAGAGACCGCATCTAAGCCAATACATATGATTGTGGATAGTAAAAAACCGTAATAGAGCCTAGGCTAACTTGAGCGGTTGTAAATTTCCATTGTTTTCAGTGTTCATGTTGTCGTGAGAGGCTTGGTACTATCGCAACTGCTTCGCCATGGGCAAGTCTGGTCGAGCGGATGCAATTTGTGAGCGATGGAGCCGTCATTGACGAAAACACTGGAAAAAAATGGAATGAGGTCGGAGTTGCCTCCACATTGCAGTAGTGACAACACGAAATTGAGATTTCGCATTCTCTTCCCAACAAATGTCAATACGAAAATCGCGTGTGCCACTCGCGTGTCTTCACTTTGAGTATTATTGGATGTCGTGGTACATCATACATTAGTGTGCACTTCTTGGGCCTCATTTCGGAGATTTTTCTGCACGAGCTGCGGCAATATTATCGACGCGCTTGTGCGGTGGAACGTGTTTGTTGACGCGTTTGTTGACGCTTCGATATTCGTCCATTTCCCGATGCTGCCAGTAGCAACGCTGCGCCTGGACGGCGCGCGTATTCGCAATACTTGTTTTTGGACGCCTCGTCGTGCCGCGAGAGCATGGGCATCCCTCTTCGCCAATGTGCTTTGGCGGGCGCTGCTATCCTAGATGTGCCTTGATGCGTTGCCATTGCTCAGCATCCGAGGGCTTTCTCTCCAAGGTGATATCGAAAGAACATGCCAGGTCCCATGGCGATATGTGATAGGCCGTTGCTGCTGAGGTGTGCACAGAGTTCTGGTAACAACGCTCGTCGTGCCAAACAAGCAACAGTCGTATCCCACGCGTCGCCCACGCTACTGCAGCTCAGCTGCGCACAGTCCGTCTCTCCACGTTCGAAAACGCCTCGATGGCCGGGTGTCCGGCCACCTCTCTTGTCTGCTTTGGGGCCAGCAGCCGCTTCCAAGGCCGCAGACAGAGCAGCGACAAAGCACGTTAGGCGAGCGGGTGCAGAGTCTAGCAGCCGGTAGGTGCGTTTATTGTGACGATGGCGGTGCAGGCGTCCCGCGAACCTTGCCGCATCGCATCCAGCACTGCGGAGGCTGGCACCAGAAACAAATCGAGCCCGATGAGGAAGTGCCGCCTGCAGTCTTTGGTGTGCATTATTTTTCATTGGGCCGGGCCCAAAGAATTCGTGTGTTGCCAGTGGCTGTCTGCAGCGTTCGCAGTAGCAGCTGCAGCAGGTACGCGTGAACATGCACGCCGCTCAGGAGTGCATTTGAGCTGCGAATTGATGGCGCTGCCGAGTGTTTGCTGCTCCTACGCGTTTCCCACCGAGTCGCTCTCCGCTCCGCATTGGTGACTCGGGCGACGCGGGCTGTCTGTCAGCCGTCGAGCAGCCATCGGCTAGTGGGCCGTGCATACACGCCCGACGCCGCTGTCGGGGGGTTGAAGGTGCAGTGTGCAGTGTGTGCAGTGGTGTCGCAGCGGAGACGGGCACACGTGCAGCACGCAGCGGCCTCGAGCTGTCCGTTTATCCAGCGCTCCGCATCGGGCGTGCGTGACAGCAGGTGAAGCGGGCCGGGGACTCGAGATGTGCCTCTGCAGCGCGCAGCAGAGGAGCGTTTGGCCAGAGCACGTCTAGCGCACCGGGGAAGTCGCCTCCATTTTAGCTTCCTCTATGCCCCGGCGCCCCTGACCCTGTAAGCCTCCTTGCTCACATCGTCGCCCCGGCTCGGCTGGGCGCATGAGAAGGTCCCGCCTTGGAGCGCCCAAACGGCAGCTCGCAGAGACGAAAATCCCTTCGACGCCCGCACGCCCATTGCTGCCCGTGATTCCACTGCGTCCTCCGCCTGCATTACTCCCCGTTCCCTTCTCTTCTCCATCGCCTCGGTCGACTTGCTCGTCTTTCTCGCACCGACGTCTCGTCTCACCCCAAGACCTTTAGCACGAGAGCTTGCTCCACGACCCCCGTCCCCAAACAAAGACGACCAGGGTGCCACTCCCTACAAACCTTCGACCGCGAAACCGTTGCGCGGTGCACGAATCGAGCACTAACTTTCTCGCCTCCACTCCACCTGACTACTGTCTTCGCATCACATCACCTTCCCTTTGCACAGGCGAGACCAGGGTGCCACGCCCTAGAAACCTTCTCCCAGAGCCGTTGCGCAGTGCACGAATCGAGCACGCTTTCCTTCGACTCCACTGTGGATTGCCGCCTTGGTACTTATCACCTTGCCTCTCCTTCGAAACACATCAGGGCCGCGCCTTCCTTCCTTTCGCTCACCAACACGTACCCCGCCAGCCCCACGCTCATTGCCTCATTGCTGCACACGGACCCGTTGATCGCATTGCGTCTTGCGATATAATCTCTCCGGCCTAGCCCACCTCAAACGTTGCGTGTGTCTATACCGTGGTTGAGTGGCGCTGCAACAATCTGTTCCGCTGACCTCACCGGGGCAACCCTGGTACCTGCCACCTGCCACCTTCCTCGACCCGTTACATACTTGAGCTTGCACCCCAATTGCCGCCATGTCTTCAAATCACTCCAGGAATACGTCTGCGGAGACGACTGGAACCACCAATTCCTACAACATGATCCTCGAGCACGTTCTACAGTACCCCGGCAGCTATGAGATCCCCCTGCGGACCATGTACACCCTCAACTGTACGCCACGAGCGCAGCCGCTTCCCAAGGATTTATCCCGCGCTCCGTCACCCACTTCCGCGCAGCAACCAGCGTGGGATGACGCGGAGTCAGCCTCGATGAACTTTACGTCGCAGCTCATGAGCCACATCAACTCAATGCCGCAGCAGCCCAGCTCGCTGCCGCCTTCCTTCATCGTCAGCTTCGTCAGCCGCATATTCCACCCTAGCCTGTCTCTGGTCGACTTTCCCCAGGCATTGACTGCGCTCGACTACCTCCGGGACCTCGACAACCGATGGCGGAAAGAGTTGAAAGCCGCCTTTGATCGCGTCCACATCCACCCAGAGACCGCTGGCCAGGATATCGAGACCTTGTCGGAGCGCTACCCTGGTATTGCTCTCTGGGCGAAGAACCTGGAAGGCAAGAGCCAAAAAGCTGAGCTTTATTATGCGAAGATGTGGCTCGGTCTACGCCGATGGGTAAGCTTGCAACCAACGTTGCCGCAAACGCGTATTAACAGCTGTTCAGGTCATGATCAACGAGCTCTCTCTTCAGCCCTTCAATAAGCTGAACTGTATGGGCATGCTCAACACTCTCCTGCCTCCCCAGCCCGCCAGCGGTGGGAAGCTTCCTTCGCCTCTTCTAACACAACAGACCCTGCGCCAGGAGCGGGAGAGCTTCTTCCACTACATTCGGCAAGTGCAGAAATCGGGCCCTGGCTGCCTTGAGATGCTCACGAAAGGCGAGAGCACAAAGTGGTCGGTTGTGCAGAAGCAGGTGGACAAGTACCTACGTGTCGCCAAGCACATCATCGACGACTGCATGACTACCATGGGCACTGAAGACTTCAAGTCGGTCGACGAGCCCAGGAAGGGCAAGAAGACGGACTCTGGTGTCAGCTTTGGTTCGGACAGCAGGCGTCCCAGTACCGGTTCTTCCACTCACGACAGGACCCTCCCAGAAGCCCTTGTGGACAGGGAATCCACATCAAAGGGACTGAGCAAGCTCGAGAAGCTCAGCCGGGAATTCAAACGGATGCGCGTCACGTCACGGCCTGAGGTCAAAGAGATGGTCAAGATGGAGCAGGACCTGCCAGTATCCGGGGAGAACCAGGGCAAGAAGATCAGGAAGGCCAGGTCGCTAGCCAGTCTGCGAGGCCGAACCTCCGTCGCCGCGAGCGCAGCGGACAGGAAAGGCAGCGATGCCGTGCCGTACGACGCAGAAGAGATGAAGCGTGCCCGCCAGCTCTACGAGGCACGGAATGCGTCGTAGCCCTGGCGCACGATCATTCTCTTCACGCCATTGACTGATGCCGGTGCTTTTCTGCCTCTAGAAATCAATGTGGACACGATCAGCAAAGCAGGATCGGACGCCCGACATAGTGTTCTAGCTTTTCTTCTCGGGTTTCACTTCGCTCCGACTCGACCCGGGTTGAGTCCCACTTTCGCCATTCACAGTCTGCTCCGGGCGCTTTGCGGACGGACTTTTTCTTCCTTTTTCCCGGATCCGGCGTTCCAGAGGCAAGGCTCTCACGAGTTGGAAAAAGTACGCAGCCCCCGACTGTTCTATTCCCCTGTTTGTGTATGTATTATCTTCCACTTTCTAGTTTCTGTTCGAAATCACTGCGTGGCTATACCCCTAGGGTTAATGGTATCATGAGGCAATCTGTTTGTTTATGTGTTTATAGCGTGGCGCATGGGTGGCATGATGGAGCTGTGGCGTCTCACTCTCAATCTGGGTTTTGTTTACTTTACGAGCGCGTCGTCGCGGACGCCGACTTGGGCGCTTCAAGGGCACATCGCGGTGCAGCCGTGTGGCACAACAGCAATAGCATAATCGAGCGGAAATGAAATGACTGAAATGAAACAATACAAAGAAAACTTTTACTTCTTCCCGCTGTGATGGAACTTCCGTAACTTCACTTGCTTTTCTCGCACCCGGGGACACGGCGTAGCGTTTCGTCTTCCTCGGGGAAGTTCAGGCAACGCGTATGGAGCTGCGCCGTATCGATTCCGTACTGCTTACCTACCATTTGCGTTTCCAAGGGTTCAAAATTTCGTCACTGTCACATGACGAGTTGTCCATGCAGCTGCGCCGTATGGTGCCCATCACAAGGGAACGAAAGTAAGGAGGAGTAGACACGGTGCAGTTCGATACGGCGCAGCGGGGCAGGCGAAAATGCGAGCGACTACGCCGCCCACCTGCGGCATCTGGCCGCGACCAGTGCAAGAAACAAGGCGGCCGTACGTAACAGACACCTCAGTCCATGTGAGGCACCGTGTGAGGCAAGGCGAGCAGCGCGAAGGAAACAGAGTTCGCGGCGCACGCATAATCACACCGCCCACGCTTAGCTCAATGTGGAGAGGTGCGCAGATGGATGCAGGTACGTACGGGTGGCGAGGCGAGGCGAACACCTGCAGGACCCTGGTTTCGACGGGTGTAGAAATGTGCGATGACGAGGAGGACGAAATATGAGACAGTTGGAAGAGGGGAAAACTCAGGGTTAAAGTATCGTGATTATTGTAGGGCCATCTATACGATGGGAATAGGAATATAGTGCGTCGTCACGGAGTAGTGTTGACTCATGTTCGCAGTGCACTTGGGCATGAGATATAATAAGGGTCCGGAATAGCCTTACGGATTCGGGCTGGCGGGGTAGATAGTAGGTGCTAGCAGATTGCGTTCGCGTTGATAATCGTGAATTGATCAGCTGGCGAAGTGCGGGCTTACAGTCGTAGGAACCCCGTTCACTTCACCTCTACGCTTGCCATCTGCCCGACTCACCTCCACCCTCGACGAAGGAATAGTGAAACGTAAGAGTAAGGTGGGATAAGATAACGGCGTATGCATGTATTCTGAGTAGTTCTCCAGAGCTACCGCAGCAAGGAAGAGCGATAGTAAATCACATGGTGCGGACGCATACATCCGGTGTCTACTGCTACTTGGCGCTGGAGCGCGTTCCGGACCGTCGACGAGGGGCTGGAGGGGGTTGGCGACATGGGTGGAGTGAACACTCGCGTTGGGCGACTACATCCGCACCGAGCAGATTATGCAACGACTCTCACAGGCAATGGCGTTCATGCCGTTATCTTGGAACAGCGGGAATCAAGACTGCAATGGTACAGACAGTTTGTAGGAATACGAGTACCTGAAGGAATACCAGGCGTAGGTGCCGTGAGTGTCGCGCCTTAACCTGATCTGTATGGGGGCGCGAGGGCGACGACGTGAAGCGTGCGCGACCTACATGTCCACACCTATGTTTCTAATGGCGCTCGACGACGACGATCCGGAACACATGGAGCAGCAAAGGCTATACGGCAACGAATATCAAGTGGTTGTGCATGCGATGCCGGGCATAGTTCGCGCGCACAGAACTTAGGTGCCAGGATCCACGGGTGGGGGAGGCAGAGGAGCAGCCAGTGGGCAGCATTCATAGTAGATCAGAGAGTGAATGTCTAGTAAGAAGGGGTAAGCCGATCACGGCGCATGCAAAGTAGTTTCGTGGGGGTGAGTTGACTGTATTGGCAGCAGGTTGCGCATGTCTTGACCCGATTAGTAGAGGCTTGTTCCACCGCGCTCGCTTCATCGCCATTCCATGTCAACACCCATGTCCGCGAGCAAGCTCGACGACGATCCGGAGCTCCCTCCGCCCTCTGCCCAACCTGTACAGCAGCAAAAATCGCGTGCTTCCGCGCTCAATCCTGGAAATAACTCCCACGCGAGAACCTCGGGAGTGCCTCGACGCGATGACCGCACCGTTTCACATCAGGCCAGGGTCGCAGCGCACGCGGCCGTAGATCACAGCGCACGCTCACGAATGCACACGCATCACACGCCTGCGATTCCCTCGCGCACGAGCACGAAACCCCCACCCGCACCCGCACCCGCGCCCGCGGCCACTTCGCAAACGGCCGCCAAGCCCAGCGCGTCCTGTGCGCATCCCCCGCCGCTCCTGACGTCGGGCGTCGCATCGACTGCGCGCACCTTCTTTGACCCCTGGAACTCGTCGTCAACAGGGCATCAACGGGCCGAGAATCGCCTGTCGGGGTCCACGTCGTGGCGGCAGAGCCGCAGCCTGAAGCTCGCAGAGCAGTACAAGGGTGGGCGGGGTGGTGGAAAGAGGGTCGCGGACACGGTTGGCGCGGGCAGTGAGGACTTTGGGCAGGATGGACGACTGGCGAATGGCGGGTGGCAGAAGGGCGCGCGGGGGTTGAGGACGGGTGGGCAGAAGAGCCTCGCTGAGTTTTGGGGGAAGAGTAAGGCGTCTTCCACAGCGAAGAGGTCGTCGCAAGAGAAGCATGCAGAGGATGCTTCGTGGTCGGAGTCGCTGAGCAGCACACGGGAGATTAATCTACACCAAGAAGGTGAGTACACACATCGCATCCTGCCTATACGATACTGATGTCCAGGCACAGATCGCGACGCAGAGCCAGCTTCCGACCCACAGCACCTCGCGAAGCTGCCTGAGAAGCAGATCTTCCGCAGCCTCTGTTTCTACATCAATGGCTCAACCATGCCCGCCATTTCAGACCACAAGCTGAAGTATGTCCTCAACGTCCACGGCGCAAGCCAGTCCATCGCCCTCGGCCGCCGCACAGTCACGCACGTCATCCTCGGAACCACCTGCGGCGGCGGTCTCGCAGGCAGCAAGCTCCAGAAGGAAATCGCGCGGACACGAGGCGCCGCGGTGAAGTACGTGACCGTAGAGTGGTAAGTCATACCTGCTATCCTATCCTCACCTGCATCTCCCCTCCAACCCGCAACTCAGCCGTCTCCGGCTCCCTGCATCCGTACCTCTCGATATGCTTCCAGGAGATATATAAGGTTTCCTTCCAGAAGGTGCGAAACATGGTTGCGCTGACCAAGCCTGACCTTATGCAGGGTCCTCGAGTCCATCGCCGCCGGCAAAGACTACCAGAATCAAGGTTTTCGCCGTTGAAGTTGGCGCCCAAGACGCAAGCTAGCGTGCGTGATGCGATGCGCCCCACTCCCAAGTCCCCTCCGCAGCCGCCTGCGGGCTGAAGTGTGAGGCCGGGCTACGGAGCAACGGAGGTAGTGCGCTGTTGTGTACGCCGGCCGAGGAGGCACCGTTGGCTGAGAACTTTGTGGGTGGGGTGAGGGGTTTTGCGTGGTGGGAGAGTAAAGGTGTACATGATACCCAACGACACTGGACGTGCTACGAATAAGGAACATAGATAAAATCACAAGAAAGGAAGGAAGTCTAGCGGAATGTGGGGTGCTTGTCTTGCCGGCGTTGCTTGAGCGCTCTCTCTAGCGCAAGCAGAACGTCGAGGTTATCACAAGCCACTCCATTATTAGCAACACGATAACACGATGCATATGCATGTAAACCCTCGATGGGTGTATTACCTTAAATTCACAAGCTTGTTCCCAACCTTCCTCAATACCATCCCCAGTCCATCTCAAAGATGTTGTTGCTGTGAAAGTGCACTGATTTGACGAGGGCCGACCTGTTGAGGACCTCGTTCCCGACACTCTTGTGCGTGAGTGAAGTTCATGATGACAGTGAGGAGTCCTTTTGACAGCGCTCCTTAAGAAGTCTATATTATATATCGTGCACTAGTAAGTTGATACTTGATGTAGATTACAGGAGCTGTACTTTATAGGGTTTTTTTTAACACACTCTGCTAGGAGCTGCACGGTTGCAGTTAAATCATAGTACCAGCTTCTTCGGCGCGCAATCGTCTATCAACGCACGTAGGCACGGTAAGACCTGCTGAGGCACCGGTCGGTATTGGAACGACATTCTGCGTCGTTCGGACTAGATGTCTCACAGTTAGTCTTCGAAAGAGGCGCTGAAGCATGTTGGTTCGTGGGTCTGCTATCGTTGCCGCCAGAAAAGGCAGGAATTGTGCCAGAGACTATAGCCTCTATACTGCGTGTATGGGACTTTGCCGATCTTCACCAGACTGCAAAGGCTACGGGTTTGGCAGAATGGCACCTTTTTGACACTTCGGCCTGATCGTAGCCAGATTCGAGCTTGAGGGAAGCACAGTGTACGGGCAGTTTCTTGTCGCTCTCATTTGATTTACGGCTGAGCTGTCTCCCTCGTTCTGGGGTGCTCACAGAAACTGCTGTCCGTTGCCTTGTGGATGGTTACACCACATGCATAGCCTCACCTGGGCAGCATGACCGTGTCGATCATCAGGGAGGTCAACTCAGTGCCGGGCAATCGTCGAATCATAGAAAGGGGAGGGCATCATTGAATCCAGGCGCGAGGGCGAATGCCCTGTCCGAAGTGTAGCGCAATATCTGCACGTTGAGCTGGCATCGACTTGCGCATTCACTACCCTAATCGCGGGCGCCTGGAAAGGGCCAAAAACAGCTGAGCGCATAAATCCACGCAAAACTGACTTACTGTGCCTCTTGTATGTTATGCGCGTGGCATGTTCCGGATGCGTTCATGCTAGTTCTGACCTAAAGTGCATGTTGTATTGGAGATCTGCTCATATTTAGCCACCATTTAGATCATTTCCATGGCAAACAAAGTAGTGTGTGATTTCTGTGCTCATTACACTGATCTGCCGCGCGGAGGCATGGAAACGGGCGCGCTTCCGATTGGACTAATGTCGAAGCCTAAGATAAAACAGAACTAGATGAGACGACCCGTGCTGCAGTCATCTACCGCTATTTTGTAGTTTGGGGGCAGGATATAACCGCCTTGAAGGCAATACCAATATTGACCCCTCATGAGCAAAGACCGGTTGTTACAACATCGCTAGCCTATACATAATTCCAAAGTACGTTGCTTTGCCTCTCTTAGGATTGCTGTGTACCCATTAAAGTGACCACAATCACTTTTACTAGTACTTGTTCCTACAGGACCTGCAAGACCAGATTACGGCCCCTTGAAACGAAGATAATATGTAGAACAAGGTGAGACCCGCAGGGAATTCATCTTGTGGCTTCTTACTTGCTAGCGGGCGCGATGATCCTAGCTTCATTCGGAGCTATAAATGAGGCGTAGCTGGTATGATACCATGTCACTAGGAACAGGGCTTCAGAAAGGCAGACTTTGTCCTCGTATTGTTCGATCTTTACTACGCTGGTAGATAGTGTCTGAGTATAGTGCGATACCATAGGATACGTAATACGTAGGCTGATTGCACTGCGACCTGTTATCCTGGTACTGTAGCGTGGACGTGCGGACAGGGATGCCAGTGAACTGCGCCTCGTCCTCATGTTGCCATAGCACACTTGGTCATAAATTGGTTTTACGGGACCTAAGATGACTTTGAACTCACTTTGACCGTAGAAAAGATTGATTGAAGATATGGAAGGTCTTTCCGTTGCTGCAAACAGTATAGTTGCTTTCAAATCTTTCCTTACATTAGTTCACTGACTGGATGAAGGCATAGCTGTTGTTTCGGTCGCTGTCCATCTCGCGGAAGCTTGCATCAAGCTTCACGATTTTTGGGAATCCATGGAAGATGCTCCGCACGAAATCGCAACAATCAAGGAAGACTTACTGTATCTCATCTCTATTTTTAAGAGGGTCGAATCCAGCGAGCATTCGTCGAGCAAATGTATGGCGGAAGGAGCCACCCACTGCCAGAGAAAAGTAGCGGTGTGTATTTTAGAATGTGCGATGATTGATTTACTGATGGTTCAGGAACTATTGTTGATTGTCGATAAGTTTGAATCCGGTTTACAGTCATCGTCACGTACGAAACGGGTGCGGACAGCTTTCAAAGCCGCCATTCATAATAAACATGTCCAAAGGTTTCGTAACGCATTGAATGAGACGAAAACAACGTTGACACTTGCTCTGGTGTACGAAAGGTATGAGGATAAGATACGAAAGTGTTTGTGATTGAATTAATACTGACTTCTACAGTCTTGTGCAAGCGAGTGCTGGTACTTCCTTGATGCATTTGAACGTAGCCACCGATTCAAATTACCATTGCATCGCCGAGAAACCGCGACAAATCTTATCCGGTGGAAGCAAATCTACTCAGCTCAAAGGAAATACTGAGGCTTCCAGGTTTCGCTGTTTGCAGTCTCCTTCGTGTACGCCATCGACTAGCAAAATTTTGTATCCAAACAATCTGAAGTATATGATGAAGCCTGTCGATGGGTCATACAGGTCAGAGCTCCAAATCCAACAACTCATGCTACATGCAATCTCGAAAATCGCAATAGCTGCGTTTGAAACGACTTCCTTAGATATTCTTGCTCGAGACAGCTACATTGTTGATGAGTGTGGACAGCCACGGGCAAAAACTTTTGTGTATGCAGATCGTCTCCGATATAGCATTCACCACACAACGTCTAGCTTCCAGACCCCACTCGGCCCAGTTTGGGTACGCAAAACGACCATATACCCCACCAACGACCCTGCAGCTGGAAGTTACCAGACGGTGACCTCTATTGTATTCTACCCTAGGACATGGATGAAGTGTCTGGGTTTCCAAAGGGGGCTGGAGGCGGCCATGTCATCTGCGGGCAGAAGCTGGCTTCTCAATTGCAGGGTAACATTGACTCGCGCAGTACCTGAGGATTCTCTTATATTTGAGCTCTGCCGAACTGGACAGACTCGTGCTGTTGAGACCCTGTTGGGTAAAGGGCTGGGAAGCGTAGTAGACACGAGTCCGAAGGGATGGAAACCTTTACATGTAAGAGCCCTGACCGTACGCTGGTCATGCTGAATATATGTGCACTACTGATGGTGTTCTCAGTTTGCTGCCGCCGCCGGACATGTGGACTTGTGCACCATGCTGATCCGAGCAGGTGCAGATAAGTCAGCATTAGTCTACAAAGGGCCCTCCGAATCCATCCTGTAAGTTTCGTATACAACACTCGGACAAAAGTTTGAGTACAGATACTCTACGTGTGACCTGCCCTAGGGCAACGCACTGTACCCAAAAGCTTTTCTTAGTACTGTAGTTAAGACAAGCACTGGAGCTGACGTCACAAGATCCCCCATCTCACTCTTTGTTGCATGTTCGCCCGAGATGCACGCCGAGACTAAGATACAGATGCTCAGGATGTTTTACGACTGCATCGACCTGACTAGTCCTGAAGGCGACGGCTGGCAAGTTCATGAATGGTTGAAGAGAGCCTATGCAACAGAAAAAGTCCCAATATCGCAGAACAGCATCACTTGGCTTTTACATTTGACAGCGAAAGAACAGTACGTTGAGTGCAACCCAAGAGTCCTATGGTCTGGACTGCAGCACGCTGTAAGGTCAGTGCTCAACCACGAGCGTTATAGCAAACATCTAGAGCATATTCTCCAACTCTGGGACGCTGATGCTAGGAATCTCAGCCTGCAGCACGTAAGTGCACTTTCGTCCTGGATAGCTCTTCGAGTAACAGGGCGTGTGCTTGTGATGGCTGTACAAGCAGGGGCATTCCTTCGGATCAAGGGATTTGACTGGACCGAGGACGACATGACGTACGGAGCGTTCTTGCAAGCACAACCTGGCATCTATGCAGACTGGTGCAATGCAGTTCTCGATGCGGTCGACAAATTAGAAAATCACATGCGAGAAGAGTTGGAGTTGTATATGCGGCAACTGTGTTGGACGCAGGATGATCTTCTGAACGCTCTATCAAGCACGAACGCTGTCATCTACAACTCGAACGACCGGACATCCCACCTCCAGACCTGCTCGCGATGCCAACATAACTACACTTCGATGGCCCATATTCTAGTCGAGCCTGCACGAATTGAAATCCAGGAATGTGTGAAGACCGGCCACAGCCCTGTCTGCATATGCCGCAACATACCGCAACAAAGTCTGAAAGTAGCTGAACTCCCAGAATACACTGGAATGTGGTGTTATCCTTCTATAGACGATGTATTGGACGCTGAAGAGGACTTCTTCGACGCGCAGCCGTACCTCTTCGACCCCACATCGCTCCAGATCGATCGACCAAATTCGAACGTATTCTCCGAGGCAGCTACTCTACTCTACACTGCCCAAGGAAGAAACTGGATAGGCAGTTACGCGATTGGAGAGCGCCTTTGCGCAAGCTGCTTCTTTTTCAAGGAGAGATACATCGGTGAGGACGGGTTTGCAGCGGAGTTTCCACCCATGCCAGAAAGCTTCGTGAGCCTTCGCACTAAGTGGTAGTAGGCTGGGGCTCGTCCCTAGAGCTTCAAGCAATGGCAGAATTCTGCGTACTGTTGGCCTACGTGATGTCTACCCTGAGGCAACTCACTATTTTCAGCAAATTCATTTCCATCTTCTTTGGGGTGTACCTGTTCTTGTTCAAGATCGATTGCTCCGTGATGTTCGCATCGTCAGCCACAGACAATCTGCTAGCTGAAGCTGCGCGTGGACTCGCATGCGGTCCGGTGTTGTACTGCTACCCGACTCAGTAGGACCAAGCTGACGAAACTTTCTGATCGAATTCATTCTAAAAGTACCTTGTCCTCTAAGTCCAATCTCATTTCCTGGTGCCCTCTCCCATCAGCACACTCATTCTACTTTTTCGAAGATGCTTGGTCTTTTTGCTTGGTTATCCGTGACTCTCGCTGCTGCACAGGCTGCGCAAGGGGCCTCCATACGCATCAGTGGGACGGCTCGTTGCGGACCCAGCTTTGGCCTCACCTGCCAGGGTAGCTCGTTTGGCAATCGTTGCTCTAAATATGGTTACTGTGGTTCGCGAAATGACTACTGTGGAGATGGCTGTCAGACAGGCTGGGGAACTTGCAAATCTGGCTCTGCGCCTGTCGCCCAGTCAAAGATCTCGAAGAACGGCAGGTGTGGTATTGAAGGCGGTGCCACATGTCTGGGCTCCAAATATGGTAATTGCTGCAGGTAAGTTTCGATGGAAAGATCTGAGCAATTCATTGTTCTAATTAACATAGTACTAGCCAGTATGGTTTCTGCGGTTCGAACACCAACTTTTGTGGCAAAGGATTCAATCCATTGTTCGGAAATTGTTCTGGCTCTCCCTCGTCGATCAGGTCCAGAACTTCGCCCGCACCTTCGTCTACTAAAGTCTCTTCGAGCCCGAATCCCTAAAACAAGTACTAAAGTGGCCGACCAAAAAATGAAAATTCACCCTACTGTGAACATCAATGCATAGTAGTGCAAAGCCAAGGTGTCTGCGTACCCAATGTCACACATTTAAACACTGTCCTCACTACTGTGCGTACGACGAGCTGAGGGAGCACGATTCCAGGCAAAATCCACCACCGGCTTGGTTTGGCGAAGTGAAGTCCCGTCAACTTCCTCACGGTCCATCGAGAGTGGACCGTAAGTCAACACAGCCATCAGCTGATTTTAGTAGTCCCCGATGTCCGAACCGCAAGGGGCCCCTTTCCTGGATTGTGCATTGTTAGATGCGCTGGAAGAGTTCCAACAGGACGGCTGGAGCTTCTTGCTTAAGCAAAAGCGCTTGTGAAGTCGTGATTTGATTTACGATTGCAAGCAGTCTGTAATCTATTCCAAAAACTCGACTAATCATACAAGCGCATACGTACTAGACGACCTCAAGAAGTTCGCCCTTCTATATATCCATTCGTTCCGCGATGTACCTTACCTATCATTAGATGGAGTAGCTCCAAGATCCGCCTTTTTGGTTCTGCTCCTTCAATTTGTATGGGCTCGACATATTCACGAATGTATAAAAACCGAGTCTGCATATATCACCTAACTGAATCTGGGAGTGCCAGATATTGAGACCGAGGTTTCAATTTCGAAAAAGGTGATTTTAGTAGGCGAGCTTCTTGAGAAATACTCGTGGGACGCCCGCCGATCCGGAGAAAACTCATCGATTTACATTGGCCGTTCGACCGGAGTGTCTGGTGCTCAGTATGGTGCCGGGTAAAGTAAGATGACAGCCCTATCGCCCGTAGCTTGATCGCCTTCTTGTAAACATCACCTCGGGTTCCACATCAGCTATGCGTCGTACTCTACACCTCTTTCCAACTTCCGGATCCACTGGGATACTCTCATTACGAGAGCAGCTACCACGGGTGGCGGTCTCGCGACAAGTACAACCAATCCTGTCAATGGAATGGCCACTGCAAAGTAAACCCAGAAACCTCTGCTTCCAGGTAGGTTCTCGGTGTTCATACTGAAGAGACTGGAAACGAATGTCAAGGGGACAAAAACCAGTGCGAGAACCGTCAGACGACTCATGTTGGTTGTCTCGGCGAAGGCACGGCGCGCATCCACGATCTGCACGAAGCTCATGATAACAGGGATCGTGCTTTCGAGGTGTTGACCGATTGCGCTTATCCTCTCCTGGATGTGCTCGAAGTCTTCGCTAAGGTATTTCAGATCGTAGTTTTGCTGCTCCCCGGTCTTTTGGTCTGCTGCAAGGAAGCGCAAGACCGATTTGATCTTAGATTGCGAGGACAAAGTCCGACGTCTCCATCCCATTAGCTCATGGAGGTCTCGATCGTATATACCAAGTGATGTAGCGGGCAGTTGATCGTGGCTGTGTTCGTACTGTTTCAGGCATTTTTGCATCGCCGCAATGTAGCGGACCCATTCCGCTGCAACAACACGTAACATGTGATACGATAGCGATTGGATGGACGGGTCCGATGAATTGAAAGATGGTGGACGTTCGCGATTCCAGTATTGTTGGAGATCATCAAACATCCCTCGCTGAGCAACAGAAGAAGTCTCGGCGTCTTCGTCCTGCCACTCAGAAAATGGACGCGGCTCTACAGAATTATCATGCGTTCCCAGATAATTTCGTAGGTCTAAACGAAACCTCCTTCTTTCGGCATCGTTGCTCGTGTACACACTGCTTATCGGGGGGTCTACCAAGATCAAAGCTATCATCATCAATATCGAAGGAAGCCTAAAGGGTGACTGAGCATACCTAACCAGGGCCTGTCCCTCTTCTTGACCCGAATCACAGACGCACAATGCTGTGATAGGCCAATATTGGCAGAGCCAAGGATGACCAGTTCACGGGTTATGTTGAGGTCGTGTAGAAAGGTGCCTCCAGGTCCTATAGGCAGTACGTTTTCGTCTGACATGAGTAACCGATGGTAAGAAATATTGAAGAAGCCTTGGGGCAGGAGTCGTGACGGAAGAGTAGCCTCATGAGGTTTTTGTTGACGTGAGACTCCCCGATCTATTGCGCGCAAATGCAAGGCGAAGAATAATGGGTCAATGTCTAACGACGCCCCCAGTAGCTCGACAATATCTCTGGACAGGTCTTCAACGACGACGATACGTCCTTGCAGTGGTCTTTGATGCTGAACATGTCCACTTTCACACTTGCTGTCATTGATGTCTTCAGCCCTTTCCTTTCCAATCTCTGCGGAAAGCTGTTCCGTGTCGATATTTGCGCGCACTTTCGGCCTGCTCACCCCTTCATAGAAGTCTATCGAACAAATGCGAGAATTCGATGGAGGTTTCGATTCAGAGAGAAACTGCGCGAGGTTTCTCAAGTAGGGATTGTCAGAACAAAGCTGCTTCACGTACGTCCGATATGATCGACGCTGTTCGGCTACGAACGACTCTCCAGTTCCACGAACCAAGAAAGGTTGAAGTCTTTCCATCAGGATGTGGTCTTGTCCACTAATTGTTGAGCTTAGGGAAACGTGCTTAGGAGAGTGAAAGCTAAATGTACATGCGTAGACTCGAGTTATCGATAAGAAGGGACTCAGCCTTGGAACACCCTCCTCGCAGGCAGCCTATACGAGAGAAATGCGCCTTGCTGCGCCTCGCACTTGCCTCCGCTCAGATGTTTCCCCAGCAGGGACCACGCTAAAGCATAATTCCGTGGACAGGCGCCCTCCAACAGGTAGACTGAACAATTGCTTTTTTGAGACCATGCTACACCGCAAACATAGCCCACTTGGTGGCAATCTGCCCCTATAGGCAAATGCTCATTATCAAATCATAGGCAGATATGAATGTCAAATGGAATCGCTATGACGCATAACAAGCGCCGAGGGGTGATTCCAAGCAGAGGTAGCACATTTTGAAAGTAGCAGTTACGCTCGACAAAGGCAATTCTTTAGACCTTGAAGCATTTCAAGAGTTCTGTACTGCTACTGATTAGCCTACCAATTCTATACCATTGATCGCTACGCCTACATACGACCCGAATCCCAGCATACACGCGTGACTTCCGTAGGTGCGCTTGAGATTGCTGCGCCGTTCTTCCAGAGCGATTCATTGCTTGGTCGCTAGGCTACTTTACACAGCTGCACACCAGACAGGTGAACAGTACACTCAGATGCTAGACCAGAGAGCGGTAGATGGAGGAGGTGGAAATAACGATCACGCCGAAGCGCTCTTGTGTTCATTCCCGATGCGATGAGCGTGATGCAATGCATAACGCACCAACACACGCGTATATACCAGACACATAACCGTACAGCCCCCGTGTATCATACCAAGCTCTTCTACATCCCCCATTACTTCAACAATCTAATGCAAATATCCCTTTTACAACCCCTCCTTCTTACACAATGCCAAAAACCTTCTTCGCAATAAAGTAACAACTCAATCCAAATGCAATCAAACTCCCCGTAATCCCCCAGAACCAATTCAGATTCTCGATGTCCTGCCCGGGGACAAGACAGTTCATGCCCCAGATACCCGTGACGACGTTCATGGGCAGGACGATGGTGCCGAGCACGGTGAGCTTGCCCAGGATGTCCGAGGTTTGTTCTTGTCGCTCGTTCATGCGGATGTTGATGTGAGCGAGGTAATTGCTGTGGCTTCGGGAGAGGAGGCTGGGGCGTGTTAGTATACGTGATTGATGGGGCAGTGGGAGAGGAGGAAACGTACTTCTCGTAATGCGTCAAATTGGCCGTCATGGTCACGATGTGATCCTGGATGTCGCCTAAGTAGAGCCCGACCTCGCCCCGAGGGGCAACGTCCCATTGCTCCGTGCAGCGTTTGGCAAAGCCCTTGATGACGTCGGCCTTGGTACTCAGCAAGCGGTAGAGTGTCATGACACGCTTTCGAGCGTTGCCAACTCTACGCAGCATGTCTCGTCCACCACCTTCATGCTCTTCTCCATCGTCTGAGTCCTTCTCGTTGAGAATGTTGAAAGGGTCTTTCTTGGTTTTGGCGGTCTTTTCCTCTTCTTGCGAGTAGGTACGCAGGATGGCTTCGTCGATGTCGTCGACCTCTTCCTCGATCCGCTCAATAAGCGGAGCGTAAGCGTCGGTAACATCATCGATGAGGGCGTAGGAAATCCAGTCGGGGCTGAGGATGAGGTAGTCCTTCAGCTGGCGGATGCGACGTCGAACATTGGCCGGGTGAGGTGTCATCGAAAAGTGGAAGCTGATGACGCCCTCCTTGAAGACGACCACGTACAAGTTTACGGGCTCTAGGTAGTCTTCGCTGTTTTCATCCTGCTCGAAAGTTCGGTAATTGATGAAGTAGTAATGCTTGAAAAGCTCCACCTTCTCGCGTTGCTCTTGCATCAAGATGTCCTCGGCTGTCAAGGGATGGATGCCAAAGGCCTTTGATATGACCTTCATCTCCGCATCAGTGGGCGAGAGAACGTCGAGCCAGAAGGCGGGGCGTGGACCGTACCGCGGCGGCTTCTCCTCCTTTGGCGGCTTGGGGGTCGAAGTGCGCCCAGGTGTGCTAGACTGTGTCTGTTCTCCCGATGAGGTCGGGTTCAAGAGAGTCGGTGTCCTGGTGTCAGCACGAGACAGTCCATTCATGCTGGGTCTTTCCATGCTAGATCTTTTATCCACGGTGCTTTCTCTCGTCATGGTCGTCATGCCTTCCTCGTCATCAGTCTCGTCGTCGGTGCTGTCTTCCAATATCGGGGGATCGGGAATGAACAGCTGCCGGAACGTCTGTCCTGGCTGAAGAAGCTCGCCAATGCTCTGACTATGGATGGTGTTGTCAAACTCCTCGTTGAAGTACGTGAAACGATATGGGGCGTCTTCGGTATCTTTATGCCAAGTGCGTTTCTGTGGTCGCAGGCGTCCATCTACCATCAAAGGCTCGCTGACCTTTCGGGCACGCATGCCTTCCATGGTTCGTTGTTCCTTTTCCTCGTGCGACCAAGTTTCGAGCACCCTCAGGTCTGGCCATCGACGGCGTCGCCGGCGCTGACGCGTATCGCCGCCCTCTCGGCGGTTCATGTAGTCCTCCTGACCGATCTCTGACATGTCCTCCAGCGGGAAACAGACGTCCTCGGCGGCTGAGAGGGTCATGCGGCGGCCCAGGTCCCCAGGCGCAGGAGGTGATGTTGGAGCAGACTCCCATGCCTGCTGTCGCGGAGTAGGCTGCTCGTCGATGTCAATGAGCACGTCCCGAGACATGCCCCGGCTGCCCCTGCTCTCTGCCTGCTCTTGGTCGTGCCTCAGATCTGCCGGGAGCATCACATCGCCATAGCTATTGAGCTCTGGTGTCAAGACCGGGCTCGCAGGTACAGAGGGGGGATTGTTGACGTCGTATTCGGCGAGAGTGGTGTGCGAGTGATGCTGTATCGCGAACTGCGCGCCTATCATATTGGCCGACGCCCCCGAAGACCTGCTCCCTCTCCGGTTCCGCGTAATGTTGCCAGCACCCCCATAGCCGCGATCCCGCGCAGAGGAGCTCAGGTGCGAAGAGCTCATGAGCGGGGTGCGGTCGTCGGCATCATCATCATCGTCGGGGCCACTGTCCGAGGCATAGTGCTGCTGAGCAAGCCCAGAGCGACTGGGTTGCGGCTGGGTGGAGCGGCGCTGGGGCGGCGAGAGCAGCTGGGGCATCTGCACGCTCGCGCGCCGCGTGGGCAAGGCAGCAGGCTGCTCGCGGTGGTCGAGCAGGGCCTCGCTCTGCAAGCTGTCGTTGCTGCGGTTCTGGTTCGGGCGCAGGCGGTAGAAGCTGGTGCTGCCGCGCGAAGAGTGCCCGCCGACGTCTGCGAGGCTCGGGCGCGCATCGTCGGTCATGTCGCCAGACTCGAGCGTGTTGGCGAACGATTGCCGGCGATTGCGGCGCTTCTTCCCTCCGCGATGCTTGCGCTTCTTCGCGGGGGTGGCTGGTTCGGACGGCTGCACAGGTGCCAATTCTGGGCGGGGAGCGGTGCCTTGGGCAGCCTGCCCTTGATTCGTGGCATTGGAGGCCATGGTGAGTGAGGCTGCGTGGGAGCAGGCCAACGACGCGCAGCGGTGGTGCAGGACGACCGAGTCGCGAACCTGGCAGAACAAGTGTGCTTGCGGCAGAGCGTGTGGGTTGAGTGGACGCGCCCAGCCGCCGTATCAAGAAGACGTCACAGATCGTGGTCAAAGCTCGAGCCTGCGCCCGTGTCAGAGCCCTTGGCTGCGGTTCCTCTTTTCGGACGCAACGACTCGAAGTATGCGCTGGTGGACGACTCGGCTAACACGAATCCACCAATCCACTACTCTGTCATGGCAATGTTCTTCGGCGTCAATATTGATATATGTGCGCGTGGCGGAACAAAAGCAGTAGTCGCGTGCTCGATTTCCTTATCTGTCTGGCGCAGCCGCTACTTCCTCGGCCCTATCCGCTACAATACGTACCTAAACAGCGGCCCGTAGTTCTCAACCGCAACCTCGTTCTTCACCTCACCGCCTGCGCTGCGCGCTGCGTCCTCAATAGCCTGCTTCTGCTGCGCCAATGTCCCGTACTGTCTGTCGAGTTTCTTGTTCTCCCATACAAGCAGCGTCCTCAGTACGATCACGAGGAACGTCGTGAAGAACATGAAGGCCGCACACACTGACTGGCCCTTGACGTAGCGGGGACCTTCGCTGGCCGGGTACATCCTCGTTCCCAGCAGGGGTCCGCATTGCCCGATGACATTCAGCAGAATGATTCCAGCGCCGCGCCGCGTGTCGGAACCCTGATTGTTCAACACCCACGGCAAGATGTTGGCAATGGCGGGGAAGATGCCCGCAGCAGCGAGGAAGACGCCAAAGTACCGAGCTGCTACACTCCTCGCCGCTGCCAAAATCACATAGCCTGTTCCGCCGATGCTGGTGAGGATCACAAGCATAATGCCACGTTGCTGCGTGCGATCCGCAATGTACGGCGTGATGATGGTGATGAGGAACGACAGGAAGAACGGCGGGGCCGTGAGTCCTTGAGCGTTGATTGCCGAAAAGCCCATTTCTTTTAGTATGGTGGGCAGAAACACCGGAAGCGACGAGAACGAGACGTTGCACGAGAAGTACATCAACTGGGACCGAGTCAGTCAGCTGCACTCATCTCTCCACGAAGAAAGACAACTTACCCCCAAAATCCACCCCTTAGGGTCTGCAAGCCCCTGCCCAAACTCCTTCCAGTTCACGCCGCCGACCCTGGTCGCAGCCCCGGCTTGCCTCACTCCTCGTGCTCTAACCACCTGCTTTTCCTCCTCGTTAAGGAACCTCGCCTTCTCAGGGCTATCTGGCAGGAAAAGGTACGCCACTCCCGCCATCACAATTGTAGGTAGCCCTTCCACCAAGAAGAGCACTCTCCACTTCGGAATACCCGGAGAGCCAGAAGTAATGCCATACGCCAGCGCCCCCGCGAAAGTATTCGCCAATGGCGCCGCACTCAGGAACAGTCCCGCCCGCAGCCCCAACTCGTGCCTGAGGTAGAAAAACGACAGCAAGTACGGAATCCCTGGCCCGTAACCGGCTTCTGTCAACCCCATGAGAAATCTCAGCGCCATCTCAGCTTCCCATGTATGAATGGCCGCTTGGACAGACGAAACGAGGCCCCATCCAAACACCACAAAGGCCGCCCACCGATGCGGTGGCACAATCTTCCACATGATAGCTTGGAACTCGAAGATGATGTACGAGATGTAGAAGATTGTGAGGAGCCAGTCGTACTTCTCCCCGTCGAGGTGAAGGTCCTCGCTCATGCCTGCGATGCGTGCATTACTGTTCCATCCCATTAGCTAACATGTTCAATGATATGTGCGAAGGGGGGAGATGCTACCCAATGTTCGACCGGTCCAGAAACGCGAGCAAGTACAGCGCCGATACGAGGGGTATGATATGCCAGTCCAGCTTCCTTCTCACTCTCTTCTCGACCTCGGGATCAATGTGCATCTGCGCCTGCGCTCCGGCTTCCGCATCTCTTTCCACCCTTTCTGCTTCGACGCCCTTCTCTTTGCTTGCGACAATGGCGTCTTGCGCCGATACAGCTCCGTCACCAATTTTGGATCTCTTCGCAAAAACTCCCATGGCTGCGCTGCGCTGTAACGAAACTCACGAAAAGCAAGCAACACCTGCTCAGTAAAACGCGATAGCAATAGTGATAGCCTGGGCAGCCCAAAATATAAGCAACCCAAGCCTCCGCCTAAAAGCTTGACCCGCGAACCCGCTCGGCTGCTCGGACCTGAATCGGCGTCCTGATCAGCCCCGGAACGGTGCTGCAGCTGGGTGATCAGCGGTTGGGATTACCACTTCAGGCCTTCCACTAACGCATTGGGGGTGGACGCTTGGAGACTCATGCGGGGGAACGTAACAACAACGATCACGGGAATTGCCCGAGCAAGGAATCGGTGCGAAAGCGCCCTGTATGAAGCGGAGATAGGCACGCGAATGGCCGAGCAGCGAGGCAGTATGCTTGCGTGCTTTTGTGCCTCCTCCCATGAAAAACTCGCCTGTCCAACTTCGAATGCCCAGAGAGCCTTTTGTTGGGATTACCACAGGTATCTACCAACGACCAACTACGCGTACTCTAGCCGCTAAGGGCAGTACTACGCTGCAAGCGAAGTGTAGGCGTAGGTACGCATCAATATTACAGAGGAGGAAGGGTGAAGAATAAAGTTGGCGGTGCGCGCATAAAACTACGCTGTCCGGCAAGTGCACACGTGAGACATGAGTGTATGAGCCCACTTGCGTCTCAAAGGTCGAAAGGACACAATGTCTCGTCGAGTACCGCCGAGTTCGTTCCTAAAAACGGACACTCATCGGCGATATAGGCGCGACAGAAATTAAGACATGCAAACCTCGTACGAGTTGCTACCGGTTTACCTCGAGCTCACTGCGACGGAGAAGTGGCGTTTCCGTGATTGCAAACCGCCTTGGGCTTGCGAATGAGGCAAGGCCATCGCTCAGGGTATACCGATGCGACGCCGCGCACCGATTGGAGTATTGCCCACGCAATGGAGTGCATGGTGTAGGGATGGTAACGAGGGAGGAGTGGACGATGTGCCGGCAGGGGAAGTTGCATGCTTGCGCGTGTGGTGAGCTATGTTGAGGAAGAAGCTAACCCGTTTCCAAGATCTACACGGGGATGGATAATGTGTGTGCGGGGTGCGGGGGTCGGACGGTGGATGCAGGATGGATACTATTTGCGTTTGAGGGCGATGGCTCTGTGCACAGGAGGGCTCGTTAGGTTGCGATGGTACGTGGTTCCTGCAATGCACGCGCGCAACTTGGTCGGTTCTTGGATCGCACTCGCGCATGTTGGCGTGCGGGTTTCACCGACAAAATGAACACCGTGCTTCTTTTCTCCAATATCCTACAAGCGCGCCGTACATGGAACTCCGAACTCATGTCATTGCCGCACAACCCTGCAGCGTATCGTACACCTTCTCCGTACCCAGTAACGGAAATCCACACAAAACGCCCTCACTCTTGCCCAGAGGAAAACCCAAGCCACCCAGCTCACCCACGTTTCAGATGAGATCAACGCCCTAGAAGAAGCTCTTCACCTCCCCCGCCTTCGCCGGCGGCTCGTACCTCTGCGCCGGCTTGTACTTCTGCACCGGCTTCTTGCTCGCCTGTCCCGGCAACGTGTTCGTCCCCGGGTACGGCTTCACCGCCCCTCCCACGCTCGTCGCCGCACCAGAAAACGGCTTGCTCTGCCCCGGCCGCACCGGCGTCTTGCTCCCCGCACCTGGGTACGGTTTGGGCAGGGGGTTTCCTGCGCCGCCGGTGCCGGAAGAGGGGTAGGCTTTTGGCAGCGACGACGTTGAGGCGTTGGGTTTGCCGCCGGACGTTGGGTACGGCGAGGGTTTGGACACGCCGCCCGGGGGGTTGAACGGCTTGGGCGTGAACTTTGGGAGGGCTCCGTTGGCCGGTGTCTTCTTCGCGCCGAGAGGGACGCCGGAGCCAGCAGCACGCTTCACGGCTGCGGCGCCGGCTGCTGCGCCGGCGGGTGTTTTCTTTGCGCCGAGGGGGACGCCAGAGCCTCCGACGGGGGCCTTGGGCTTTGTGTTTGCGGGGAGGGACGAGGAGCGGTGGGCGGCGGGGCGGCGGGCGGTGCTTGGGAGGGCTTTTGCGGAGGGGGCTTTTGGGGGCGCGCCACCGATGGCGGTGCCGAGGCCGGTTGCTTTTTTCTCGATCCCTGTTCACTTCGTCAATGAAGGTTCCTGCGCAGACCTTGGGGAGTCCCCAGGGAGTGAGAGTGAGAGGTAGATGGATGAATAGAAGGCGTAACATACCATTCCCGACCGTCCTCCCGCCGCCCTCCACCATATCGCCCGCTTTAATCAACGCGTCGCCTGCGAACCCGCCGACCGTCCTCTTTCCCTCCTCTACGAAGCCCGACACACTGTTCCATATCATGTTCTTTACGAAGTCCGTCATAGTGGATGTCTCCTCTTTCGTATCTTTCTACGCAATCGCAGTTGCAGTCGTTCAAAAAGGTGTATATGGTCGTCGAATTGCGATACAACGTGCTTCAGTGTTACCGGAGGTGTTGATGAGCGGTGGTGACGAGGGTGTGCTAGTGCTACATTGCGATCTTGCTTTCGCAGAGGACGGGCTGAGAGCGGAGGAGTGGTACCTATGACGTTGCTTGTGGCGCGCGCATTAGCGTGGGCCGGGGGCGGGCTAGACTATGGCGATCGATGGGGCGTGGGCGTGGCGCGTCACTATCAGTGGAGAACGGGTTTTTCCATTTCCGTCTCGAGGAGCATGGGATTTTGGGACAGAATCGCATGCATTCATAATCGTGTAAGATCACCCAGTTCAGCAGTGAGTCTCTATCTGAATTCTCTTTTACCTAATCGCGAAGATTTCATTGGCTTATTGGCATGAGACTAATTTGCATAGATATGAGACTAAATGTACACTGGATGATGTGAACTCTATCAACATACAAGAGCAGGTGCCAACAAACTGTCCCCCTCATCTACATGAGTCAGTCCCGTGCGATAGACAAACTTCTTGTCTTCGCCTCCTGGTTGCCTCTGAACATACCCGCCTCCACCCCTGCCCCAAATGCAACTCCTCTGGATGTGCATGGCGAGCTGTGACCACTCAGCGAAGCTCCATTGGAATCCTTCGCAAGATGAAGAGCATGTATACATGACGCACGACCGGTAAGGAATTTGTATGCATCGATCCGCAGGCATGTCCACAGTCATGTTGCCGAACTGTCGAAAGGTGTCCATGATCACCTGGAGACAGTCTTCGGTGTTGGGCGGGAGCGCGGTATTGCGGGGACATGTCCAGAAGCCAGGAAATGGGAGATATGGCTCGCTTGGAGTTGTACGGCTCTGGATACTGGGCGTAACATGTACATAGTCGTCTGCGAGAGGTCGCTGTGCCATGGGATGGCTGAGTTGCGGTGCCCTGGTGCTGTTTCGACTGCCACTCATGATCCATATTGGTTGTTGTATCGTTGCCTGGGAAAGTAACAAGAAATATGCGAGTACAAAAACGTAAATCCGCATCGTAGAGACGGAAGCTTTGAGTGCAAGCTCTATAGCAAAAAGTGGCTATATGTTACATGAGGGTCCTTTCACTTTAGATGGGCCATGGAAGAAGATGGGAGACCAGATAGTCTCTTTGGCGAGCGACCCAGCGGATCGTTGGCAATACAGCCACGGACGCTTGAGCTGGCTCATACTATTAGGTGCCACGCGCCAGGTAGCTGTGACAGCAAGCATGAGAGGATAACGAATCGATGACCTTGATTCACGTGGTCTTCTTGGTTGGTTTCCCTGGCGCCGTTGGTGTGGCTGCTGGCTTCTTCGTTGGGACTGAGACAGATTTCTTGACAGCACCATTTGCCGGGGCAGGCTTTTTCATTGCTGATGTAGCTCCGCCGGCTTTCGGCGCGGATGTATTGGTCGGCAGGTTGGTGCTTGGTTTGAACACATACTTTGGTTTGGCAGGGGCCGACGGTGTGGCGTTGGTCGTTTGTTGCTTCTGTCCTACATTAAGTGCGCCGCTTGGACTGATCTTGATGGGAACGCCAGAAGAAGTCATGAACGTAGTGCCCTTCTTCTGTTCCGCTGCTTCGATTTCTTTCTTGCCGACCCTGATCTTGAGACCGTTCGCGGTTGTGATAGTTCCGGTGTCCTTTGCTTTCTCTACTTCAGGCTTGGGAATCTTGATGGTAACCCCGGAGGCAAGCTTAACTTCCCGCATTTCTTGTGGCTTGGCGGCGGGTTTCGGCTTCGCTGCTGGCGTTGCCGCAGGTCTTCTTGCACCACTTGGTCCCACTGCACTGTTCGCTCTGGGAGCCGTCGATGTCGCCAAAGTCCTTGTCGGAGCCCGGGGTAAAGCTGTGCTCGCCCTTCTGCCACCTGGCAGTACCACACCCTCCTTGATCGCTGTCTCCTTAACCAGCTTAGCGAGATTCTCTTGTGTCAGGTGTTGCACGCGACCCCTATTCTCAGGACTAGCGGCTTGATTGGCGCCAATCTTCGCTGCGCCCTCTATCATCTTCTCGAGCTCGTCGGGGCTTGGCAGACCCTTCAGGTCACCGCCGCTGAGAACAGATTTCATCATTTGCCCGAAGAACTTTTCCCCGCCAGGAATTAGGTCGCCTGGTGATGCCCCGTACGCTACAGACATGGCCGTCATGACACCCGTAATTGGCGCAAAAATCTTGACAAAATCGTTCCAGTTCGCCGACTTGACCTCGGTTTCTATCTGGACCGCAGGGCGAGGCCTGGTACGGATGGTTTGTTTATCGCTCTGTGAGCTACGGTCGCCGACGTCGAGATGATCTTTCCAAAACTCTTCAGCCGGAAATCGGGTGTGACGTTGGAAGTACTCTAGCATGTAATCCTTCTCTCGCCAGCGGTTGCGCAGCCAGACTTCAAACGCCTTGGTGTTGTGAATTGGTATAGTGGAAATATGGAAGCGACGCCAGTGCATGTTGACAGACTTTGGAGGTCGCCCTTCGAAGAACGAAGAACGTAGCGTGAAGATGTCCTGTCCGAACTGACCAGGCGGAACTCCTTCGTATGCGATCGTGCAGTCGTATAGCCATTCTGTGCTGTCCTTGAGTTCATTCAAGCAGAACTTCAGACCTGTGCTTCTAGGAAGGAGTTGATGCTTCATATCTTCGAGCCCGTTCTTAGCCGCCCACTTCTTGCTCCGCTCGCGGGTTGATGCAGACAGGTTTGTCCCTTCCGGAAAGATGATCAGCCACATTGGATCCTTCGGGTTGCTGAGCTTGGACAGTGCCTTTTTGAAACGCTGTTGGTCTTCTTCCCAGTTCCTCGCAAGGAAAATGAAGTTGTACATCTGCGCGGACCAGCCGATGATCGGGACGTTCTTCAGCGACTCCTTAAGAATGATGTAGACAAAACCATGTAAACCATTCGTATAGGCAATCCACCAGAGGTAAAGCCAGTCCGTGTAAAGCTGGTGATTCGCCATGAGCACTAGACGCTCTGAAAAGTTGCATTTGAGGCTTCCGTCTTTCGTCTTAATCAACTGGCCAATCATGCTTGAGTCTCCGCTGACCCTGACCACAGTGGGTGCCCACCACTGCGTCAGGCATGTCACGAGAATCGCAAAGCATTCTTTGGTGTATGCCATGTATCCCTCGTAAAAGACGGGGTCAATGAGTTTGAGTGGCGCTCCTAGGACTTGGGACGCGCTGATGCTGTAGGAACGTCAATTCTATCCTGCGCGGGCGCAGAAGCTACTCACGCAAGAACGCCGGAGAGGAATGTCGAAGCCAGCGTAAAGGCTCGCTCGGCCTGGTTCAATTCGCCATATTTCGGAGGGCCAGCAGGATGCTCCTCCGGTGCGATGTTCTGCTTGGCGATTTTGAGACCTGCACCGAAGTCATCCTTCTTCTTGCGCATAGCAGGAGAATTCATCTTGGTGTGTCGTTGTCTGGACCGCAGGGCATCGCTTGACGGTGATCTCTCCGCAAAGTCGACGGATAGTGGAGATGTTGGCTGCCAGGCCGTTGACCCGTCGATAACATTGACGTCGAAGGATGCAATGGTGGCTGGGCTCCGCGGGTGGGCCTGGCAGAGCGGGGCCCCATGACGTCGTGTGGCGCATAAGGCCAACTTTCCGGGAGCAGCGACGAGGAGGACCCTCATCATTCTTCCAAGCTGTCTGCACCATCCACCATCCGACACGCCTCGATTAAACCACTTCTGTAACCAAACTTCAAACCTTTTTCTACAAGCGTGTAATCAACGAGCAAATGTAAGTCTTGGTTTTACTCCAGCTGTAATTTCCCACGAAGCGCACTTTGCCACGCCGCCGCACGCGAGCTCTGTGGTCATCGGGTAGGACCCTTTCTAACAACGCAAATCCAGATCAAAAAGTCTTTCGTACAACAATCGTCGCAATGCCTGCTGCATCCGTCGCATCTGCGCCTGTCAACCGCACGACCAACAGAACTGCCGCCTCACGGACGAAGAAGCCGGCTGGCGCTGCTGCAAAGAAGACACAGAGCGCTGCCAACGGTGCCGCAAACGGTGTGCACCAGGCTACCTCTCCATACACCATCATGGCGTCACGCATCGCAAACCGCGTCGCAGAGATGGCTGAGAACATGACCTTTGTTGAGCGCGAAAAGTATGTTGATTCCGAACAATGACGCGTTCGCGCACTGACATGTTGCAAGGCCCCAGTCCCCCCAGAACGCCCCGGCCGTCCAGGCGCCCAAGCAGAAGAAGCCCCCGCGCAAGCTCGATATCCGTGTACCCAACAACGGCGCGTCACCCACTAACATCACCTTCTCTGCGCCGTTCCTGGATAACACCCTCGCTAAACTCTTGACGCTCCAGAACAGGATGCTCAAGGTCAGCAACGACATTGCGGCTAGCGAGGACGTGGATGAACACACAAAACAAGAGCAGTTTGCACAGAGTGCGGAGCTGTCGCGCATCATCGCTCTCATCTGCGCTGAGAAGGCCAGGCAAGGGTCTTAGGTTGTTGCAGCGCGGGAGGAGGCAGCAGAGGATGAGGATGTAATGGGTTGATGATTGAATGAATCGAACTATGCGTTAGTGGTTCAGGCGTTGAACTTTTTTGGCCATTTATCAGATTTGGCGGTCTGACGGGTTTTCCTTTTTCCTATGTAACACCTGCTCTGAAGCGGCTAGCTCTATTATGTATGATATCAGTAAGAATGAAAAGGCAAACGTTGAACACGCTACAGGATAGCCCATCTCATGTTCGGTCCTAGATAATCACCGCAGCGCACAGCTGATGTGAGCATCTGCCTGCCAACTAACATCTGAAGGGTCGATAGCAACAATGAGAACCATGCGCTGCCATGGACTAAAAAAGTGCAAAAGGGTGGTTCAACTTGTTTCTCAAATCACTTGGGCTAGATGATACAGAACAAAAAGAACGACTTCAATGTTTTTTCGAAGTAAACGCATCTCGCGAAGTCGACGGCCTTCTCTCTTTCCTTATACGTACAAGGTTCTAGTCGGGAACCGAGCTCGATCCGGTGAAAGAGCCTAGATCAGTGAACATCTAAAAGCAAAAAGAAATGTTCAGATTCCGACCGACGCAGGACTCGAACCTGCAGCCTTGGCCTCACACGTGTGAGGGGAACGTAGGAGGGCCACGCGCTACCATTGCGCTAGCCGGCCGTTAACTTAGACGCATGAAAGCCTCAAATTATAATAATTTTGGACTTTCAAAATTATATATATAGCTACGCAAATCTGGCATACCTACTAAGGGTGCGTGTTGTGTTTTCTCAACCAGGGTGGAGAGGGGATTGTGGCGTAAAATAAGCGGGGCACTGGCTGACGCGTTCCACGGGAACGTTAATTAACGACCACGCTGATGCACTAAGAAGATAGCTAGTAATAGAGTGTACCATATTGAAGTCATAAACTCACGTAAGATACGACGCTCCGACATAAAATCTGAAGTCGCTAAGGTGCTCAGGATGCAGGTGTTTAGAAAGTAGCCACGAATGTAGGGAGTGTACACAGTACAGTGCTCAGGAGTGTTCTTTCTCCACCGCTCTAGCCTGCACCACTAAGCCCTTGCGGGTCGTGCTGAGAAAGTGTATTCAGGCTGAACATCATCTCTAGCACAACAACATTAGAGCTGCTATCTCCCTACAGGACCTGAGCCTACAGGACATTCCAGAGTGCAGATGCGGTAAGATGAATCTGGAAGGATCTATACCCCGGCTGCGCCTCTCGTATACATACTGGGCACCCAGCAACCTTCGCAACACTCCAACCAGAATTCCCCTGGGACGGCAAACATCCATGTTAGCTCTACTACTCCTCCTCTGCTTCCCCCTCGCCTCCCCATGGACAATCGACGTGCACCCTGATCTGTCGTACCCCGCGCGCTGGACAGCCGCACCAGGTGACCGCTACATGTCCCGCAACGGCACCTTCCTCTCGCCCGGCTACCTGAACTCCTGTCTGAATGAGCGCGTCCCACAGAACGTCACGCGCAGCAAATTCCATGTCTTCAACGGGCGCGCCATCTTCGATCTCGTGAATGCGACGCAAGGAAACCCTACGAACGAGTCGTTCCATCTGGATGTATATCTGCCGCATTTGTATTATAAATGGGTTGACGGGCCGGGCGGTTCGGAGTATAACGAGGGTCCGAAGGGAAAATATAAGATGGGACAAACCATGTGGCGGTATCACTATTGGTGAGTGTGGTTTGACTTGATGTGAGGTACAAAGATCTGTTGTTGCTTACACTTTGAAGGCAGAATTTTCCGAAGCAGGGACGCTGCTATCTCCCGCTCAATATGACTGAGATGGTAGTCGACGAGGATGGAAAAGCCTTGCGGTCTGAGGATTTGGTGGGGCTTAATGCAACGCTAACCTTTGAGCTGTGCGATGCGAGAAATTATCGAACTTTTGAACAGGTGGATCAGGTGAGTTTGGGACTGCCTCGTGGAGATGCTTCATTAGACAGTCAATTAATGTGGAGGGATAGTGTGCGTATGTGACCCTGACGGACGAAGATGTACAGCCTGTGGAAGATATCCCGCACTGCGACAGCTACAACCCAATATCAGAGCTGGCCAAGAACTCCCAATCGTCGCCGCCACAGAGCCCCGGAAAAAAATTGGAGAGGGGACGATTAATTGGGCTACCGGGGCTGGTCATAGCGCTCTGGATGGCTGTGTAAGTTGCTAGCAATATTGTATTAAGTAAAAGTGTGCGTGATCCAGACTCCAAGTTGATGTGAGTTTCATAGATCTAGGACTAGAGCTTTAGCACTGTAATGCTCTTCGTGGGGAAGGACTGCGCGCTCAAACTATCGACCAGGCATGATAGCTAGGTCGTGACCTACTGTAGTATGTGAGCATCGAAAGCACATAGAGAGGTGTGAATGGTAAAACGCCGAACAGAGCAAGGTCATAGACTTGCTTAGTTCTGAGGTTCTAGTTTATTGGACGACAAGAAGTCAGGGCAACGATCATAATCGTATCCTACAGTTTAAAGCAGACTCCGGTTGTGCATTACGTCTGTCCGCGTGGCAACAATTTCACGCTTGCATACGTCTTTGTACCGAATTGTACAGTAGGCCGTGCCATTCTACACAGTGGAGGAGACTTTGCACAAACCTGTTGACAATTACATGCACGCTGAGGACCAGATCGCTGCGTGTTTGTAGGGTGTGCATCGGATCTGTCCAAGAGCTAACACCAATGCACCTGTATACGGTTTCACCAAAAGAAGGATACGGGAACATGGAACCGCCCGCGAGTGAAGTACTCCACCTCGTTGCATGAGTGTTGCGTGCAAACTTATGATATCAAGCGGTCGCTGATATCCTGAAGGCTGATACGTGAGCTTCAAGTTTCCGGTCGTATACGTTCTTGGCCTCGGCCAGCTTGCCCTGATGTGGATGAAGTGCGGTGAGCCACAACAACCTCGTCAATTGATAACTTGCGAATGGGCCAAGTGTCGCTCCACTTCCCGCAGGACCCCCAGAGTTTATTTCCAGCCATGGTGACGATTATACCAGCGTATAAAACTTTCTTCAACGAGAGTTCGCGTATTCTTCGCTATGTTTCCGCCTTTGTAGTAAATGAGCGACGTTCCTAGGGTACGAACCGGTAAGTAGCGTTGGGCTGCCCTCCTACATACGAAAACCACTGGGGTAATGCTGATCGGCCTTGAACCTTCGATGCGCTGTTTCGCAGAATGCTATCCCACTATTGGACGTGCACACAATGCCCACCTTCCAGCCCCGGATGGTGCGTAGAATTAAATGTTGCCAATATGCGTTCAACCGGATCTGACCTCCCTACCACTCGCACGAGCTATTGGAATCGAGGAATAAAATGTGCATTGAAGTCAATAGACTGCGATTCAATTGGATCACACTCAAGCAAGGTATGGTTGGGTTCGAGTCCCATAGAACGTTCATATATAGTTCTGAAACGTTTCGGCCGGTTCGGTGATGACGAGGCGAGAGTCATGTCTGTTGAACCTGATGTGTTTTTCTGACTCTCGATTGCCTTCGCATGCGTGTTTCCAGCATACATAGTACATTTGCATGTGCAGCGATTATTGATTTGTGTCGGAAGACCTTCCCTGTCGGCGGATCAAGGACACTTCTTCGGCGACTTGTCTGCGCTAATGACATGGCGTCCTGGGGGAAGCCAGGAAAATGGGCGGGAGTTGCCTCCGGCGGCACGGGCGAACAGGTTAATGACGGAGGCGTACGCTAGCGGCTAAGCCGCAGCCCCCCATCCGTGCCCTTACCACCACAATCCACCTCGTTGGGCTCGCGGAGGAGCGCCTTAGTTGCGGGAGTCTGCGTGACAGGCTCTCGGTTCCCTTTGCCGTCGTTAGCAATCCGATTGGGCGCCATTACCCACCGATTATCTGCAGACGCCCTCAGACGGGGAAGCACATCCATCCAAGCCAAGCGGAGCCCGCTAGAACCATGCATTCTAGGACGTGACGTTAATATCGCATCCGTCTGCTCCTCGTCTAAGACTTTTTCCCATCTACTACGACGACCGTTCGACGACACAGCTGTTCCTTTCGGTTTCAACACCACCATGGCGGGCGAGACGGGGCCCACGACGCTGTCGCTAGCAAAGGCTATGATTATAGCTGCATTTTTCGGCATTTCCATCTACAACTCCGTCGAGATTCTCTTTTCCATCTTCCATAGGTTCCGGACCCACAAGGGACTGTATTTCTGGAGCATGCTTATTGCATGCATTGGCATCCCCGTTCATGCGACCGCTGTTCTCCTGCGCAACTTCGGCCTGGCGCCGAACGTACCGATGTGTGTCTTCATTGTTCTGGGATGGTGGTGCATGGTGACTGGTCAGGCTGTTGTCCTCTATTCGCGACTACACCTAGTCTGGGAGCAGAAAAGGCTGCGATGGGTGCTGATTATGATCATCACCAACTTCTGCGTCCTCCATCTGCCGGTGTCAGGGCTATACCTCGCTATCAACATACACCCCGACAACGCGTACCTGACGCATGTTTTCTCAATCTACGAAAAGCTTCAGCTCACTGGCTTCTCGGTCCAGGAGTGGATCATCGCCGGTCTCTATATCTGGGGGGCGTATCGCGCCTTGAATCCTATCTTGAAATTCAAGGGACCACGAGAACGAAAAGTGATCCGGCATCTCGTCCTCGTTAACCTGATCGTTATCGCCATGGACGGCAGCCTCCTCCTCACCGAGTTCACCAACAACTTCGAAATCCAAACTACCTACAAGACTGTCGTGTACAGCATCAAACTAAAACTCGAATTCTACGTCCTCAACCAGTTGCTTTTCATAATCCACAACCCGACTTGTACCTGTTCCAACTCCCACGCATTGCTTGAATACGACGCCGCTTTGTCCGATGTCCGCATCCTACCTTCAAGGTCCGCGCCCACGTTCCGCAACACCGTACAGAAAACCGACCTCACCCCTTCGACTACGGATACGACAGACAGCATTCAAACAATAGCAAAAGCGAGGACCACGAGCGTATGAAATTGGAAACGAAATGTCTAGGTACACACAGAATCCTAACTCATCAATCCCAACAATGGGCGCCAGATAAGGTTCCGGCCTGCCATTATACCGAATCGAGGCTAGATGAGGTCGTCTTCCATCACTTGTCCGACCTCTAGCTCCAGTAAAAGGGCCTGTCTCATGACCAGCTCGAGCTTGTATGGTAAGTTATATCAAGCGCATAGCGAAGGCTGCTGCTGCTAAATTGTATACAGTTTCGAGGCAACGATAACTTCTCAAGAGCCTAAACCTCGACTCCGTGTTCAGCTCTACACCCAACCACTCGACATTTCAATCATCTAGGGAATAAATACCGTCAGGGTCTTCATCGTCACCTAGTTCCCCCTTGGAGTCTTCATCGTAGCGCCACTCACCATTGGGGTCTCTAGCCTGGGGACGTTTCGACGCACCCTTGCCATAGCCGGCTTCCCGCGCCAACCTTTGACGTACCCTATTGGAGTCGAATTGCTCTTCTTCGAGAAAATGCCATGTCTCCTCCTTATTACGACCTATAATGAGGAGCTGGACGACGTCTTTGATGCTATCCCACAATTCTTTGGCTGAAATCTCATCACCTTTCTTTTCGTAAAGGCGGACCCTCAACTCGTCGGGTACTCCATGGATCTCGAAATATAACCTCCGGGCATCCATGTCATTGAAGTACTCGTCTGTTGCCCGTTGCACATTATTGTCATAACGCCTGAGATACACCTCCGCGTCTTCGTAATGAATACCGGCATTAACCATGCGCTCAATCGGTGTAGGGCCAGCGACACGAGTCACGGTGGGTGGATCTCTCCAGTTAGTGGGACCCACCGGGTCCTCAGTCCAACCTTCCCAAGGGTCCCTGTCTTCCTCTTTGCTGGGCTCATCCACGTTGGGTAGAGACGGAGATTCTGGACCTTGGCCTGTTTCAGCATTGGCATTGGCATCGAACGACGGACCGGCGACCGAAGCAGTGCCGTCCCAGGGTAGATAGGGCTCGGAAGCATCCCCAACTGAGCGCGATGGAGACCTCAGGCCGTGGCCTGTGCCAACATTGACAGGGGACAATGGCCTGGCGATCAAAGTAACACCAGGCTGAGCGGTGTCGTCCAAGGGTAGACTGGGCCCTGAGACATCGGGAGACGAAGTAGGCGTGGCGTTGCCAGCGGAAGAGGCCTGTGAAGCGGTCTCGGGCTGTGCCTCCTGGTCCCCCACTGGGCTAGGTTGAGATATAGAAGGTGGAAATGAAGCGACTGGGTTGCGTGAACGAGGTTCACCACGAGGTGCAGTTGATAGTCTTGAAGCAATGGAATCGCTACTATCATGACCACCTGTATTGTGATTGTGTGAGCCATCTCTCAAGACATAGAGGTCGACTTCGGCGTCGCGTAACTGCTGGACCAAAATCACGTTGGTATCTCTCAGAACCACTATGTTGGCATTCAATCCTGCATTGCGTGAAGTCAGAGTGGCATTCTCAGACATCAAAGTCGTGATCCTGGCATTCAAAAAATCGTTCTGGTGGCTCAGGTCCCGTAGTCTCTTCCTTAGCTTCTTACGTTCTGCCATATCGGCCAGGAGCTGATACGTGATTCGTGCCCGCTGCGATGATCGATCGGATATGAGGTGGATTTGGTTGAACAGCATATAACACGACGGAAGTGAAGCTTCTTTATAGTCTTCAAGATCAGTTTGTATCGCTGCTTCGTGTCGGTGGTCTCACTGAGCATGGGTCATGTGCAATCATGTTTGTTCATTATTCTAAACAGTTCGGGTATCTGATAGTTGTTCATACATACGGATTGCTTAGTGAGACGTTTAACAAGTTTTTCGGGGGTGCTGGTGTAGTCGAGTTAGTGTTCAAGGTAGAAATAGCGAGAAAAACAGCAAACAGAGTATTGTACGTGAGACGGAAGTTTGATGTTGTCTGCCATATCGACCAGTGAAGATCATAGGTTTCAATAGCCCAAGGGTCTGGGTGAATGTGGCGAGATACACTAACAAATAACAATGTGGCAAAGGTTTTACGCCTAGGCGTACCCTTATCTCTTGGGGAGGTTCTAATACGCTATATAATTGAGAGCAACAGTAAAAGCCAATTCCAAGGGATCTATGCCTAATTGAGATTGTGAGACATTCCGTATTTGTCGAAAGAACTATGGACATGTCACACTGTTCCTCGAGATGATCAAATTTAGCAGTGGACTTGAAGAGGCTGGACAGGATACGGGTCTCTAGACATGTCACAGTATTGCACCCCTTAGAGAGACGTCCTAGTTCAATAACCTCACATCTCCAACAACGCACCTATGATCGCTCAAATACACCCCATCATCAAACACGTTCGACAAAACCGTGTACCCATCAACAATCCACTGGCAGTTCCCCTCAACCTCCTCCTTCACGCCGTGGTTATGTTTGCAAACCGCATCTCCTGGCCCCAACCAAATGAAGTCAATCCTCCCCTGCTCGTCAGACCACTTCTCCTTCTGGAACCCTGTAAACGTAATCTCTTCTCCGTATCTGCGGCTCGCGGGCACAGAGTCGCGCAAGTCATACATGTAGTCGCTTGCTGCCATGCCAAGATACGCCTCCTGAGTTGGAAACGAGTTAAAGTCGCCAGCCAAGACAACCGGCAATTCATCTTCGGTGGACCAGTCCCTCCCCACCCGCTTCAAGGACTCCAGTATGATGGTCACACTGTTCTCGCGGCTTTTACTACCCTCATTATCCAAATGTGTCGTCGAAGCTAAGATACGACGTCCTGAGACTTTGTGCTCGAGCACGGCAATAGTCAGAAGGCGGATACTACCTGCGTCCCAGCCCAGACTGGGTTTCTCGGGTGTCGGACTCAGCCAGATAGTTTCGGTGTGTAAGAGATTAAAGACAGCCACAGGATAGAGTATTGGGCTGTATTCGCCTTTTTGGTGGCCATCATCGCGACCCACGCCTACGTGAGCCCAGATTGGTCCGTCTGCGAGCTTGTCGTTTGAAGAGGGAAGTTCGTTGAGCGAGTTGAGGAGATCGACAAGCTGGTTGTGCAGCACTTCTTGAAGGCAAATTATAGATGCTGCAGAGTGCTGCGGTGATGAGTCAGCAGGTATGGAGGTGCCATCCAGAAATCGTGTCTCATGCTGAATTTGATTCAAGACTCGCGGAAATCGCTCGGCCCACGGCTTCTCGTTCGTAAACGGACTGCCTGTTGCATAGCGAATGTTGAAAGTTAAGATGCGCAGATGGAAAGCAGGGCGCGAACTATTCGAGGAGAAAAATGGTAGCTGAAGGGGCCAGAATTGCATCGTGAATCTGCTGGTAGGTGTCTCTCGACGACTGACAGTATGAATGAGGTCAATAATATCGCTGCCTGGGAGGCCGTGGCGAGGTGCGTTCCTCTGCCGTTCTTGATTGGCAGGCTATGCGGGGTAATCTGCAGGTGCAGCTCCACGGAGGTTGGTGTAAGGTGTGCAACAAAAAACAAACGAATTGCACCCATGGTGCAATCGCCCAGTTTCAGCCTCGTCGCATCTCAGCGCAATATAACAAGACCCTCTTCATACTCTTTCTCACTACGTTGTGAAGAAAACTCCTCGTCAAAAATTAGATTATAGTAAACCCGTATTATAGTAACGTCTCTATGCAAGTCAATTTCAAAGGTATTCCAGTTCCAGGTAAGTGTGCCCAAAAATAAGCCACACAACGTTACTCATGAACATACTCTAGCAAGTTAGCAAGCGATGAGCATACTATCCTTTAGTATAGCCGCAATCCTTCTCATATTCGTAACACTCCTCGCGAAATTTCTTCGCCGCTCCAACGTCGATATCGAAGCAAGAGCGGCATTCGACGAAAAGAGCATTCCAAGAATTACGAGCGAAGACGGAACGCTGGGTGCGTTGCCTACCGCGGTCACCGAGTCGAACATTGCGCGCGACTCCTGGGTCTTGCGCTTGACCCAGCATGTCTGCGACGAGCGCCATCGGAGTTGTCACAATGTGCTAGTGATCAACGAGGAACTGGAGTACTTCTTCAATCCTGAGGGCGTCGTGGAAGAGATGTACGTAATTCACTACGAAAGCAAGCCAGGCAACGCTACATCGCGGAGAAGAGCGATCAAGTATCGTGTCACGGTATTTGAGTCTGGGTCTTTGGTGAATCTTGGAGATGGCGGGGACATCAACTGGGACTGGAAGGGCAACTTCGATCGTACTAGTGCGAAGACGCTGACCTTCAAGCCTTGCGTGAGCGGAGTGAAGTACCAACAGGATTCGTGGCAGGCGGTAGCTAGCCCTTGAATAGTGTTTCAGTATCGCAATGTCTTCTCCTAAGCCATAGTTTTGCATTGAATGCGCCCGCGCTTGGATTGATACTGAGTTCTTTTCTGCGTCTTTTGCTCCCATCAAGCCTTGTGTGTGCCATTGGTCCAGAGCAGGCTGAATCCGCCACCCAACGCACCCAGACGCCCATCCCATCGGCCCCCAACCCTTTAAAAACGTTCGCGTCCGCCCCACCCTCTTCCCAAAAGTCAGCCATCCCCACTTAGGCCCGCATTTTGCACCGAGAAAAGGGCCGTTTATCGGGAAGCTGTCCAGCGCAGGCCGTCAGGAACTGGCCCTTGTAAACATCTCGCTTGTTGCGCCTTAATCAGAAAAGACTCGCATGCGCCATGGATCCAGCATCGGCGACAGTCGCATTTGTCGGGTTTGCAGCCAGTATCACCACGTTGGCGGCGGTCCTCTTCCAGAGCTGCAAGACGTTGCGAGACCTCTGCCATGATCTACACAACGCACCACAAGACTTGCACAGATTATTGCGTAATGCGCAAACTTTGGAGAAGGTCGTGTTGCAGGTCAAGCGGACTGGCGCGGAGATAGCAAACGAGGAGTCGATGGAGCACATCGACGCTTACTGGATGAATAACGTAAAAGACATGGAGCGAGATCTCGAAGTATTCAACAAGAAGGTTTCAAAGCTCCAGAAAAGTCTTGAAAAACCATCAATCACGTCGTTGCAGGTGAAAGCGCGATTTTACAAGGTCTTTTCGGAAAGCGACATCGAGCAATATGAGCGACAGTTGTCGCAACACCGCGATACGTTCACCATGCTCTATTCAATGGTTTCAAAGTAAGTTGCAGTAGTCTCAATCGGGCGACTTCAACTGACACAATACCAGCGAGCGTTCCAAGAAAATCATGGAGGAGCTCCACCTGCAATCGAAGAAACTCGATCGACTCGCAAGCAGTGCAAACACATTCCACGCAACAATGAAGAATGAGCTCCGGGCGACCCAGAAACTTTTGTCGGAAGAGAATAAGGTGGTGATCAACACGGTGAAGCGGGAAGTCCGGACGCTAAACTATCGGCTGCCTAACGAAGAAACCATACTGTCACAGCTACAGCTTCATGGAGCAGAGCTCGCCACTCTCGCTCCATCGAGCGAGGAGCTGCTCCCCGGGTACGAAGAACCTCCTCCGACCTATTTGGAGGCAATGACAGAATCAGCATCATCAACGCAGGTACTGGTATCCTGTAAGTTCTTGTCTGCGAAGCTACCTCTCGGCATCCTCACGATTCGAAAGTCCTCCACCCAGGCCTGGACAAAAGGAAATGGTTGCGACACCAACGAATGGTCGCAATCCAGTTCCAAGATCGAATTCTCGCTGTTTCCGGTCCCATGGTTGACCAAAACTGTTGTTCATCTCTCCTTTGGCCTCAAAGGAAGAGGAGATGCTACACCGGACATCAGCTGGAAGCTGAAGCAGAGGCATTACAACAGTGACCCGCGTCTAATGATGAATCTGAATTTGGGAAACGTATCGGCGATCCAAGAAATGTTTCGCAAGCGAGAAGCATCTCCGCATGACCTGATCGCACCTTGGGGTAATACACTGTTGCATGTAAGCCTTGTTAAGATAATGCGAAGTCATCGAGTCGCCTGACCAATCTTTAGGAAGCAGTCAAGCGACTAGCCGCCGGAATACCTAATATGTTAGAATTGTCCTTTCTGCTCTTGAAGCAGGGAACTGATCCAAACATACAAAACGCCAAAGGCTGGTTAGTAGATATATGTCATATCATCAAGCGACGAGGAAAACTGACAAGATCGAAGCACGGCCTTGGTGCAAGTCTGTCATCTTATGGGTCAAAGTCCACAATTGTGTGATAGACTTCGACCTGTGGCCGATGTTATCATTCAACATAATGCGGATTTGACCATTAGCGACCAGGAAGGAAACTCCGCATGTACTTTGATCTTCCAGAACCGGGGTGGTTTATCTTACCTCGAGGAGTTCGTTTATCGATACATAGACCTCTTAGCTCTGCATGATATGGAGACGGTCGATTACTGGTTGATAACAGCACTAGCCAGAGCGTATCCGACTTTTCGGAGATGTCTAGAGGCTGAGAACGAGTCGTTCCGAACCGCGCCGCGTCTGGCACTGAAACAAGCTCGCCCGTCGGCTTCATTAACAGAGCTTGACTTGAGTGTGCAAATGGAAAGCATAAAAAATGCCGAAGTCAAACATCGAACTCGGTTCTTGCAGTCGTTGTGCGCGAAAGGCACCCTCGAGATGGTGAAGCCGTTCTTGGCCATCGGGCTGGACTTGAATGAGATTGAGGCCGTGCAACATCAAACGTATCTGAGGGCGGCCGGGAGGGCAGGCAATATGGAGGTTGTCGACGCATTGATGAAAGCTGGAGCGTCTGTTGACGGAGTATCAGACTTCAACCATCCATATAGCATTGTTAATGGGGTAGTGGATGAGATATTTGATCGTTGGAATTGTTTGCGACACGGCCGTCCGGACGTTGATGCACATGGGCACTCCGAAGGAGCAGAATTCTGGATTCTACCTCGATTGCTGCAGAATCCGACGTTTAACGACCCAAACGTCTTGCTGCTAGCCGTCTGGTATGAGCTAGATCATGCCATCTTTGAAACCCTCCTGGATCATGGATGTGGGCGAAGAGACGGACAGAAGCCGATGTCTTGGCAACTACGCCGATACGGAAGCGAAGTGATTGAGGCGATCAAGTGTGACAATCCAGTCGTGACGAGGATGCTGGAGCACGGACTAGCGCTGGAGGTGGAAGACGGCTGGGGTTGCACTGCCTTGATTCACGCTTTGGACAAGGGCATAGGAAGAGAGAATTATACTCAAGCGGTAGTTACCGCGGGTGCAGACTTGGAGAGGAGGACCGGATGCGGGTACACACCACTCGAATTTGCTGAAACAAATATGCGGGCACGCCACCCAAGGATGCCGCAGAGGACGTGGAACACGAAGTCGCTCGAAGTATGCAACTCGCGACTCATCTCTGTGGAGGAGGACCGGGCGACATACATCATGTTGAAGCGGGCGATTGGCGAGCGTAAAGGGCATCGTGCCACATTGAGTACGTGTAGGTTCCAATATCATAATTCTTCACTGACCTCCAACCGCGTAGAAATCCCCTCGAGCAACGACTCCTTCTTCAGCATCCGAAGTGTACTTCATAGCAGTTATATCGGGATTGAGCGAGATTGGTCCGACGTCCAGCTCACGGTACTAGGTACAATCTTGACTGCTCTTAGCTTGGTATGGGTGAAGATGGTGGCGGCTCTATGGAAGTTGTTCAGCACTAGGCGAGGTGCGAGAACGAAATTGTGAGATGAGATGTCTACTATGTCCGAATCCTAGAAGTATAAGGCATGAGGCGTACGACGGGCACCTCTAGCAAGTGGCAGGTGGCACGGTGCTAGCGTACCGCAGCGTCATCGCTCCCACCGGTTCACCTCATTTGCACCCAACAATCGTCTGGGAGCCATGCATGCCTTGAAGAAACGATGGAACACCAACCCGAACTTAGCATGCACATCTTCCTGCCCGGTCTTACTACTTTGTGAGCATAAAGAGACTAGCTTCACCTCTGAACCGAAGTGAGCGAAGCGCCTACATATCAAAACCCCCGCTTCCTCCCGCTTCCACAGGGCTGCTTCAGCAATACCGGTCAAGCATGCGCCTCAATGCTTTCCTCCCAACCCCACCCAACCTGGACGAATCTCCCGCCACGCATTTCCACATCGGACAGCTAAGTCCCAAGGCGGTTAGCGTAGTCTTTTACGCAATGGAATGATTGGCCAGCGCAACGTCCAGCCTTTCAGCCTCAACACGAACACGAGAGTTTGTGTTTTGCGAGGTGTCTGGAATCATGCGGGCGGCCGCCGGAGGCAGAAGATTGGCTTCGTGATGGAGTGGAGCATATCGTGTGGCGGGTCTGGAGCCCACATGCCTACAAGGGGCTTGCGAGCTGTCGTACGGTGGGTGAGTTGGCTGCTGCTCAGCCGCACATGGAGAGATTTTAATATGCTCGCAGACAGTCGCGGAGTTGTCTCCTGGTTGTCGCATCAGTTCCATTGACGATCCAGTCGTCCTGTCAGGCTTTGGTTGTCGTTGTTCATACTGAGTGGCTTACTCTTGGGTGTCCGACCGAGACGACAAGTTTGAACAACATGTACCAACTACTCCTCAGCGGGATGGCTGCGCTGCCATTAGTCCACGGCATCGCATTTCCCGCACCCTCACCCACAGCCGTCAATGCCGCTGAGAAAGCGGTCATTGGAAGGACCCCGCAAACAACGCCAAAACCTCGACATGCCCCAGCTATCGAGCTCGAAAAGAGACAGACAGACTACTTCAGCCGCGACCCAGGCCTGTGCGGATGGGTAGACTTCGGAGGTGAGTTTCCAGCTATGAGGCCCCATCATCGTGGCCCACGCTAACTTCGAAGTAGTTTCAAGCCTTGCCTGTCCCGGCACAGGCCTAACCTGCGCCCTATATACTGCGGGAACGGGCGGTATGGCAGGCTGCTGCGACTCCTCCGACACCCAGAATTGCAATTGGGTGAATTCATGTGTAAACTATGACGCCTGGACTAAGAAATCCTGCGATGCGGCCTGCCAGAGCAACACCTTCGTGCGAAAGTGCACAAACGCAGCGTCTCCCTACTGCGTAACGTGGACGTATCCCAGCGACGGAGTCGCAGACTATGGGTGTTCGGAGTCCGACTCGGGTGTTGTGACGGTGGAGCAGACCTCCACTGACTTCGTGGCCGCGAGCTCGTATTGGATTACGCTGCCGACGCTGAGCGGGAATGCTGTTACTGGGTGGGATGGCGAGGCGTCGTCCGTTGAATCACCTCTCTTCAGCACGAGCGTGGATCCCGACTCTTCTGAGCCCGGTGCCACCGACTCACCTTCGGGCAACAGCAATGGCAGCACGCACAAGCCCAAAACCCCCAAGAAGAAAACATCTGTTGGTCTCATCGCTGGCGCGGCTGTAGGTGGCCTCGTCGTGCTCTTCCTCCTCGGCGCGGCTGTCATATTCTTCTGCGTCAAGCATCGCAAGGCGAAGCAGCTCGCGAACAACCAGACCATTATCGCCGCGCAGCAAGCCCAACAGCAACCACCACCCCAACCCCAATTCCAAGCTCAACAGGAGTACAAACCCCCTGTCCCTGTCCAAGCACCCCCGCCTCCTGCCCAGCAACAACAAGGCTACTTCACCCCCCAGGATCAGAAAGTCAACTACCAGACTCACGTCACCGTTCAGGAGCAGGGGCTACAGTCCCCAGTGATATCAAATCCTCCGACGCCGGCGCCGCCGTATGTGCAGCCGTATTATGCGGCGCCAAATGCCAACGTGCCGCCGATGCCTCAGGGGGCGCACGAGGTTGATGGTATTACTCCCGTGCCAGGGCGGTCGGGAGCGTTCGAGATGGGGCCTGGGAAGTGAGGCTGGGTGCGTCCGTGGAGGTGCATTGGCGGTTGGGGCGGAGTAATCTATGTATGTTTATTGTGTTATTCGCACGTGGGCTGCCCCTGGGAGCGGTGTAATGGAATCTGGGTAATGGGAGAGTTTTCCCCAGAAGTGCCCCGTTCCACATGCATCGCATGCGTGTTGACAACCCCTGCCACCTCGGCTCGCGTCAAACCCACGCGATCCCAACCACATTCGCATGCTCACAATCCCATCCCACGTCATCGCATTCGCACAATCCCCCTCCATTCCCCCTCCGCTTTGACCCAACCCATCCCTAACCAGACCCTTACTCCTGTGCCGTTGTTCGTTTTCATTTTTCTTTCATTGGTCAAGTCGCGCCCCCTCCGATGCCTTACCTCCACATCTCCCGGGATCGCTTGTGGTTGTTGCCATGCACAGCGGGCACAGCGTGGTTTGTCACGCTGGCGGCGATGCTGCTCACGTGGGTGGGGAGGGCATGTCCGCGGTACCCTGGGCAGAAGAATCCGTACATAGCGTGCGCCTCACTCCATCACCACTTCTCCCGTCCACGGGGACTGCATACGTGAACGCAACAGCTTGCTAGAAAATAGTGGGTCGGTGCTGATATCCGGGTATGGCAGGTTTATTAGTGACATCGCAGCGTTCCAGCTCAAACCTCTCTTTCTGATCGGCAGCATCACAACGTCCTTTTCCTACTCTTTGACTATCCTGGCAGTGCACACCGCGCGGTACGATCGCCGCATGTACGGCTTCGCCGACGACGCAGCGTGGAAACGGACTGCCTCTGTGGTGGCGATGTGCAGCGCTGTGGTCGCAGGGATAGGACTGATTTTGCTGGCGGTGCTAGACACCTTCCGCTTCCACTCCGAGCACGCGGCGCTGCTACTCGTCTGCTTCGTCGGCCTGGCGGGCAGCATGGTATTAACGACGGTGGTGTGGTGGGAACGGGCATGGGAACCTGGGCCACTGAGGGTGTAGTAAGTCCCCGCTGTCCTGTTCTACCGCGTCTGCTAACGGGAGTGGTTGCGCCACGAGTGCGATCATAGTGTTTCTGGATGCGGGGATGGGAGTGGCGTTTTACACGCTGATGCAGATGGAGTATTGGAGGGTCAGCGGGGTGCTGGAGTGGACGATGGCGTTCACGGGGGCGGTGTGGCTGTGGGGGTTTGTGGGGTTTATGAAGGAGCCGGAGGGAGGGGGAGCGGGTGAGAGGAGGGCGTTGTTGGGGGAGTCGCAGTGATGAGGTCAAGCAGATGGAATCACACATGGTATCGATCCGGCAGGGCGGCTCTCGGTGGGTTGATGTGATATGGTACAGGCGCTGTGCCGTGTTAATACATTGCGCTAAAATACATACTCGGTCTATATCAGCCCTCATGGTACAACCTCGGTTCCTCAGGTAAACCGACCCGGGTTCACCTTCTTCATGACCAGCGGGTGTCTGTGGACACTGGGCATCAGGCCCAGCCCGATGGCGCGCCGTATCGCCTTTGCGATCTTGCGCTGGTTCTTAGGACGCAGGCCCGTCTCCCGCGAGTGCTTTATACGGCCCGTCTCAGACACATACTCGGACATCATGGTGAAGTTCTTGTATTCGAGGATGGGGTTGATGCCGAGCGTGTCGAAGGCGTCGCTCGAGGGCGTCTTGCGGGCCATCTTCCACTTCTTCTGCTCCACGGCGGACAGGTCGTGCGGCGCGTAGACGTCGCCCGTGTTCCACTTGCGGTAGAACTGCTTCTGGAAGGACTGGCGTTCCTGGCTCGCTTGGAGGAGGGCCCGCTGGCGGTCGGCGCCGCCCTCGAAGGCCATTGCTCCCATGCGCATGGCCAGCTTGGGGTCTCGGGCGGCCTCGGTCGGCGGGGAGAGCGGCTTCTCTGGGGCGGCGCGGTTCGGGGAGCTGCTTCCCAGGATGTCCAGGAGGTTTCCGGCTGTGGAGGCATCAGCGGAGGTCCGGCGGAGAGGCATGGGAGGCGTACCGTTCTGGCGACCCGCGGTCGTTGCAAGGCCCCGTGTGCAGGTCCGCGACGAGGCGGCCGCCGAGCGCAGCGGTAACCGCATGAGAGACATTGTGATATGTGGCGAGTCGTCCCGATGCTGTCTGCGCCGTGCTCGCGCGTCGACGTTCAGAAAGTTGCCGCGCTAGCGGCTTGGCGGATATATGATTTCACCACGCGGCGGCCATCCTCCCGCCGCTCCATCCCAACCTGCCCCTTGGAGGTCCGCTGCTGTACCATACTGTATATTACTTCCATCCCCTCTGCTTCCATGGAAGCTCCGCCCAAGCTGTATTAATAGTACCCGTGCTGCAATTGCATCCCGACGCCTTCTGCCGCCCGCGAGCTTCCTCGAAGCTCCTCCGCCATGCCGTCACACCTCACGCGCGTCGTCTTCCGCAGCATCATCGCCGACACCCCTCTGATATGCCGCGGATGCGTGCAGCGCACCCCGCGCCTTCGCGCATCCTTTCAGCATGGGCCCCGCGCAATTGCGCCCCAGCGGCGCACCTTTCTCGGCATGTTCAAGCCCGAGCGCAAAATCAAGCCGCCGGATGTGCCCGCTGGCTTGGAAGTAATGGGTGAACTGATACAAGCCCAAGGCGACGGGCTGCGGCCACCAACCCCTGCGCAGGTCGCTGCAGCATTGGATGCCTTTTTCACGCAGAAAAAGGCCGATGTCGAGGACTTTCACGTTGCGAAGGCTCTGAACGCACTCCAATATCTGTTGGCGAACCCGAAAGAGGACGGACAGCCATGGCTGTCATACAAGAGCATGAACGCCATGATGTACAAAATCGAACGATATCCGCCAGGGACGGGCGGAACCCCGCATAGAATCCTGGCCAAGCTCCTGGATGCAGAGATAGAGAAGGTCATTGGGAATGAGATGGACCTGAGCAAGTCGCTTGCCACCTTGACGGTTTACGAAGCGATAGAGTTGCCCAAGCTTGTGCGTATCCTCTGCACCTATGGTGCGAGTCTAGAGGCGAGGGACCTGGCCAACAAAACATTTGGAACCCCGTCCGACAAGCGCTCACTCCATGAGGACAAGATTGTGCGGAACACCTGGAAGGCAGTCGTGGCAGGCTTTGCTAAAGAGGGCAATACGCCAGAGCTGATCAAGACGACGGAAATGATGCGGGACGCTGCAGCCACGTTTACGTCTGAAGTTCAGGGCGTTTTGGTCAAGTACTTTGTGGAACGCAACGATCTGGAACAAGCTAAACACTGGTATTCCACCGCGATCCCAGAATGGGACGACGGTAGAGGCTTGCAAAGTGCCCTGGGACCTTTCCTCACCTCTCTTGCGCTTAGCGGAGACACCGCCTTCGGCCAACAAGTCGTGGCCTCGCTCCTGCAAGAAATGCCAGCCAAGGAGACCTGGGATGCCATTTTCGTCTGGTCGGCTGCAATTGGCAAGGGCGCCGATGAGATCGACCGCATGATGAACGTTATGATCCGGCGCAACCAGGAAGAGCGACAAAAATCGCCCGAAAAACCTGTCATACTACCGGACATCAAAACCATCAACTCGCTAGTAGAGCTCGCCATGTCCAAGCAAGACTCATACTCGGCCGAGCGCTTTGTCGTTCTCGGAGAGAAGCGCGGCATCTACCCGGATGAGAAGACTTATACCATGCAGATGCGCTATCGACTTTCGATCAATGATATAGACGGCGCCAGGGCTGCTTATTACGGTTTGCAGGGTCAGATTACGGAGGACAGCGACTGCGCCGAAGCGGTCAACAAGCTCATCCAAGCGCTATGCAATTTGCAACAACACCATTTCGATGACATAATGGCCATTGTGGACGACTTACATGAACGAAACGTACGGCTTACACCAGAGACGGTTGCTACGGTGTGCGTACTCCACCTTCGACGTGGAGAGCCGCACGATGCGGGTGACTTGCTGAACATGCACGCCCATCACCTTTCACCCGAACAACGTGTAGTCATCCGAAACGGCCTTGCCTCATTCATCATGGACAGTCAGACCAGCACAGCGGAAGCCTGGGAAACCTATCAGATGCTCCGCCACGCGTTCCCAGAAACCCCTCGCGCTGACCGCATCCCCCTCATGGATGAGTTCTTCCGCCGGAAACGCTCCGACATGGCGTGCCATGTCTTCTTTCACATGCGCAACTCTGTCGAGGAGACCATTGCAGCTGACAAAGAAGTCTACGTCAAGGCCTTCGTGGGCTTCGCCCGCAACGCTGACGCCGAGAGTCTGGAACTCGTCAGTAATCAGCTCAAGATCGACCTCAATGTCGAGATGGACACGCAGCTTCGGAATTCCCTGATGCTCGCCTGGGCCGCAACCAAAAACAACGGGCGCGCGTTGTCCATGTGGGGCGAGATCGGGTCGTCACGGGAAGGCCCCACGTACAACAGCATAGCCATTGCGTTCCGTGCCTGCGAGGGCACGCACCACGGCGAACGCCATGCGCGCTCCATCTGGGCGCGGCTGAAGGAATTGGACGTGGATATCGACAAGCAGATCTTCACCGCGTACATGTGTGCGATTGCGCGGAATCATCGCCATGACGATGCGCTGGCGTTGATCGAGGCGGCGGAGGAGGAGTATGGCTTCACGCCTGATTTTTACATGTAAGTCAACCATCTGGCACCTGCATGGTGGGGCATATTTGCTAATCGAGGTACAGACTGGGAAACTGGTTCCAGTGCACCGCCAACATCGACAGGCAAGAGAAGGTGGAAGAGTGGATCAAGGCAAGGTATCCCGCTGTCTGGAAGCAACTGGAGGCTCTGGGGTCGTACAGGACGATGGATGGCTTCGGCTACCGCCAGTTCAACTTCAACCGGGACCTGGAGCCTTAGTAAGACAGTGCTGTATAATGAATAAATATGTAGTTGATACCCAGTCAGATTCTGAGTTCTGTCGGTGGTCTTCGTTTCTTTGGTCTTCACTCTGAGGACTTTGACCTCGCTCTACGCTATAATGCTCGACGTTGCAGTGGAGTAGATAGGGCTAACGATATCGCGGCACAGGTACATAAAAGGTTGAATATGATGGGAGAACTCGAGTGTTCTTTTCAACAAGGTCATGGTATTTGGCATTCCACGGCTTGAGCCAGGGATATGAGCGCTATCGATGACAGTATTAATCCAATCCCAAATGTGCATCAAAATGCCATCTTTCCCGCGCAGCCGCCTGGAAACCTTCGATCTGAACCTGGACTAAACGTCATCCCCAACATCCGCCATCCTGCATACTCCTCCAAGCCAAAGCGCACACGCTACGCACTCAGACCTCTCAACACGAACGTCGCAAGCACCTCCCTCACCTCGCGCATCAAAGCATTGTACGCCGTACCCAATCCCCCCTGCTCACTAGCCCTAGCCTCTTTCAGCACTGTTCCCCCTCCCTCCTCATCCTCCCTCTCATACCCCGTGATCATGACCAAGTAACTCGAAACCATAATGCTGTGCTGCGCAGTGTGCTACGGCGAGACCCGGGACAGTGTGAGACGAGCATAATGTTGTGCAAGAGGCAAGTCTTATTGACCAAGAGATGAACTAATCTACTCTGCTTGCTACTTACACCTGACACATCCTGTAATCAGCCACCTAAGACGAGACCATTCCAATGTTCTCCAGCCTCACTGTCCGACGGAGCCTCATCCACCGCTCAGACATTACTGCCCAAATCAGCCCACTCGTCCAGTACAAATGACGCGAGATCAGAAATCCTCGTGCTAGGATCGAGCAATTTCAGAAACGAAATCTGGCTGTTGTAGGTAGCGATGAACCAGCCCCGCAGCTCGGCTGCAACTAGACTATCAATACCGTACGCAGATACGCCCAAGTGCGGGTCCAGAGTATCCGGCGCAATGAAAAGCATCTCGGCCACACGGTTGACAATCGAGCTTAGGACGATGTCTCTCGCCTGTTTGCTATCGCCGGCTCGCATGGAAGCATCGAGTGCTGCTCGGAAGGATGCCGGATCTGAAAGAGATGTTCGGGTCCCAGCTGTTTCGGCGACCTCAGAGGTCGCAGCTAACGTCTGCATCTCGCGGAGGATGTGGGAGAACCGCGGATCGTGATGCCAAGGTGGCGTTGTTGTGATGCCCTTGTTGCTGTTCTCCTGCTGTTTTGCGAGGAGCAGCGCTGGTTCCAGCGAAGTGACTATGTGCGCCGTCGCCAACGGGTCAGCATCTTCGCTTCGGTCTGTCTGCGGCGGGAAGAACGCAGCCTCGACGAGGCGTAGAAACTCAGCCTCTCCTGTGCCATAGAGGTTCTTGCGGCCCATGGAGTTTTGCACATCAATCCTGCGGCCGAGCTCACCAACCTCGTGGATCAAGCCGAATGCGATACTGGTCGCTGGGCGCCCTTGGCTGCGACGGTAACGTGCAAAGTAGTCCTGAAAACTATTTGCCGCGCAATAGGCAGCCTGAGTCGGCTGTGCAATTTGTGTCGACACGGAGCTGGTCATGACAAAAAAGTCCAAGGAAAGGTTTAGTGTGGCATCGTGGAGGTTGAGCGCACCCTGCACCTTGGCCGCAAGTCCGGTTTGCCACTCTTCTAGAGAGAGGTTGGCGAACAATTTGTCTCTGAGTGCCATGGCCATGTGGACGACGCCTTTCACAGTCCGTTTGCCTGCAGCTGTGGCAATGATTGAGTTCACTTCGTCTCGAACCGTGATATCGCACGCTACTGGTTCTATGAGGATCCCCTTGGCATGCATGCTCTGAATGAAGGAAGATGCCTCGGGTATCGCATCGGCTTTTCTGGATAGCGAGATGAAGTAGCGTGCACCGCGGGTGGTCATCCACGATACCAGGCTCCTCCCAAGCCCACCCAGTCCACCCGCGATGACGTAGCAGGCATTCGGATCGAATGCCGCCGTGTGCCACGAGGGTGTCATCTTCAAGCTGTTAGCAGATATTCTCTCGTAGGAGATAGTAAAGCATTATCTTACTCGAATCAAGGAATCCTGTTCCCCATAGCTGACGACTAGTTTTCCGAGGTGCTTCCCTTCAGACAGTTTGGCGAGTGCGCTTCCCAGTTGGCTGATGTCGAACTCTGTGACAGGCGAAATAGGCTTTATGGAACCGGCTTGAACAAGCTCATCCACCTCGCCCATCAACTCAGATAGATGCCGCATTCCCAGTCGTCCGAGATCGAAAGAAGAAAAGGTTGCATTGCGGTTGAATGGCTCAAGTGGAAGGCTTCCATGTCCATGAACATCAACGCGACCAACGTCGATGAATCTACCTTGCGTAGCCATTGCACTCCAAGTTACATCCATGATTAGGCCAGAAGATGTGCTTAGAACGACGTCAAAGCCCACACCTCCGGATATATTGAGTAACGTGTGTACGTCAGGTACATCTCGTGAACTGTAAATGCGGTCAACTGGGATTCCGAATTCCTCGCAAAGATATGCACGCTTTTTCTCAGAGCCCGCCGTCGCATAGATAGTGGCACCGATTGACTTTGCTACTTGGATTGCAGCCGTGCCCAGGCCTCCAGTAGCTGATTGAATCAAGACGCTTTCATCCGCACGGAGCCGAGCAAGTCGGTTGAGCGCGTACAGTGCCGAAGCGAAGACAACTGGGACAGTTGCCATGTCGACGAAGGACGCTGTATCCGGCATTCGCCGAGCGAAAGTTGCTGGAAGTCGCATGTAATTCCCAAAGTGGCCGAAAGCAAACCCGTAAACTCGATCTCCGACGTTGAAATCACATACCCCGCTTCCTATCTGTGTTATGACACCAGAGAATTCGGTGCTAGCGTTGTTGAGATCGAACCGACCCGTTGCAACTGCTGCGTCTTTCCAGTTGAGCCCAACAGCTTCTGTCTTGGCGATTATCCAATCATCAGGAAGATCTTGGAGAAACTCCTCATCGGGGGTGAAGAAGACTGTAGAAAGAATTCCCGGCTTTTGGTAAGAAATCTTGAATGGTTTCTGTCCTCTGAGCGGTACGTCCATGAAAGTGTCCCGCTCAGAATGCAGCAAATGGAAGCCGTCATTTCGGGAGTGATCAGCAACTAACCTGCTGATTCTGAGACAGCCGTCCCTCCACACATACTCTCTTTCAGCATATTCTGCATTCTGGCTGCCTTGCATATCCAACTCTAGTTGTACCAACTGAGTTGCTAGGCGCATGTCCACTCCTTCCGCTGCGTCTCTCTGAATATCGACTATGACGTGGGCAGCTTGAGGGTTCTCAGCAGAAATGACACGAAGCAGCCCCATCACCAGAGCTGCCGTGGGGACTGCTCCACCAGTGACATTCGATTGCGTAATCCACAACACTGAGCGATAATGCTGTACAGCCTGCTTGACTGATTCGAACCAAGACCCATCTTGAAGATCTGTGAGCTGCTGGAAGCCTAGGAAGTAAATGGCTCGAGCAGATCCAATTGGTGAGTGAGTCTCTTGTGTTACAGGGACGCTGATCTGATCGTATCTCGATGCGACCATTTCGCAAAGGCCGATGCTCTCCTTCCCATTTACAAGGTAGACAGGATCGCTGTAATTGATTGTTCCCGGTACGAAGTCTTCTTTACGAGTGGATAAGAAAACAGAGGCAATATTCCACGGAGAGGGGTAGTCTTTGAGCTGGAGATCAATCCCAGAGAAACCTGCCAGCTTCAAGACTGAGTCCCATTGGCGTTCGTCCAGGAACGGACTATCAGTACGGTAGTCTTCTGTTCCCACCCAGTAATCGGGAAATGTTCCGAGGAGTAGTCCATGTGCCCTCAATGTTCGCGTAGTCTCAACAATGAGTAGCTGGCCATTGGGTTTGACTAGTGATCGCACGTTTCGAAGTGCTTGTTCGACATTCTTTGACGTATGGAGGCATTCCGATGCGATTACAAGATCGTACTGTTGTTCGTACCCCTGCTCCAACGGGTTACTTTCAAAGTCGAGTGTATTGAAGACCATGAACCCGCCATGGTCAAATCGAGACCTAGCTGAAGTGAGGAAGGCCGTAGAGACATCCGTGAAAGTATATTGGTTAAACAATCTCTCAGGCGAATCAGCCCGAAGACTTCTCAAGACCACATCTGTTGCTCCGCCTGTTCCAGCGCCGATCTCCAGAATGTTCATGTGAGGACTTCGAAACGCGCAAAGATCCACGAGTTGACTCAATTGGGGATACGCTCCCGCAATCCCTATGCTTGATGTGTACAGCTGAGTGAGAAGTCCATCCTGAAGGGCGACCTCAAGGCCGCTTTTGCTACCGTTGAATATATTCCCACGATTTTGAAAGATCCGATCGATGAGTTGCACCTCAATCTTCTCTTTCATCTGGGTGGTAATGGCAGATATCGTAGCGAGCCGATCAATACTAGAAACGGAAGCCGCTTCGCAAAGCACAGAATCCTCAGGGTCCACACGTCTTCTTATCGACGAAAGGAATTTGATCATGTGGGGCTCGTAATCAGGCTTGGTGAGCTGAGATTCCGGATCCGTAGACATTTCCATGATGATATAAGCGCAAAGACGATCGAGCCTGTCCATGTCTGAGGTAAGCTCAAGCCCAATGGATGGAGGGGCGAAGCTCTTGTCTGCATACTCCTGGCTGACTTTGGAAATATCGGGCTTCCATACCAGGTTTCGATATGGCCGACGAGGAGTTTTGACAGCAGCTGTATTCTCTCCATACGCAACGCACCGTAGATCCTCTATGCTTAGAAGCGGCTCTCTATCATGACTCATGAGCTGAATCTGGGCGTAGAGTCCTCTGATACCGCGACGAGTGCTGTGGCAAACAGCAAAAGCAGAGTCCTGGACTGGGCCTTTCGGGGTCCAGAGTGATATTCGCCTAAAAAAGATCGGAACGAACGCATGCTGCGCGTTATCCCTGTGGCCTCGATGGCCAGCGACAATCGCAAGCTGATGGCAGGCATCCAGAGAAGCTGGATGTAGCAGGTAGGATGACTCTTCCCCGGAAAAGAATTCTTTCGTCGTGCGTAGCGCGATCTTTGCCGAAACGGTTTCGCTCTGAGGGTTGGACATCAGATCTGATATTGCTTGGAACGAGGGACCGTAGCTGATACCCGTGTCTGAAAAGGTGTTGTACCATCGGTCACTGCTCAGTATGCGGGGATCAGGCGGGCTTGTTATCTTTTCGTGAGGTTGAAACTCTTTGGCTAGTGAACCCTTCTTCATAACCCTTATTTCTCCCGAGCAATGGTCACTCCAAATACCATCTGGCTGGGTCACTGAGCTGACCCGGAATCGATGCAATGCTCCATTAGCGGTTTGGCGCTGTTCCAAATCGAACACTATCTCGAGCCCCCGGTCGTCCTCTGGTATGCGCATTGCTTTCTGGATACCAACATTCTGGAGAATGTATCCTCCGATGTTTTCAAGTGAGTTTTGCTCGGCAAAGACTTGATTGGCTGCTTCCACCGCCATGCAGATATAGCCTGATGCAGGGAATACAGTATGAGGAAGCAACTAGTGTATGCTGAGTAAGAAAAGTCATCTGTCATATCAGAGCATTAAGTTGACTGACCTTATGGTGCTCCAACCAAGGCACATCTTTGATTCGCAGGATATTACGCCATGAAGGTGACTTCGTAGAACAGCCTGGCTGTCTTGATCCTAGAAGGTCGTGTCGAGCATGGCGTCTTAAGCGCATCTCTTTGCTTATCCTACTCTCACTATATATAGGTAGACCATAACTGAAACTGTAAGGTGGTAAGCTTCCTGTAGTCCGACCGTGGCGATGAACGTGCTCTCCAGCTACAAGATGGTCCTCGGAATTCATCGCTACCAAATCTACAGGGTAATTTTCGCAGAAGAGTGACCCACAGAGTTGGAGGAGGGTCTGCATACCATCCTGGCCCCGAAAGAGGGCTGAATGATAAATAACTCTACCGACATCTTCTCCCCGCTCGGTGGCCCAGATCTGTGCCAGAGGGGATTTCAGCGCCGAGTGTGGCCCTATCTCAACCATCATATCGACTCGAGGATTTTCTGAGTGGAGGATATTTACGACAGCCGCTGAGAACTGGACCGTCGAGATGAGATTCTGGCGCCAATAGAGTGGCTTCGTTCTCGATTGAGCCATAGAGATGTCTGGAAACACCGAAGATATCCAAGTAATCTGGCTATTATAGCCTTCGTTGCTTGGCTGTTGCTCCATTTCTAGCTCCTTGAGAGCCTGTGTGAGTAACACCTCATACTCCAAACCGAGCGGTTCCATATGGAAGGAATGATATGCATTCCCACCAGTTTGGAGGATACGAGTAAATATGCCCTGGGAGTGTAATAGATCGGAGAGATCATTTATATAGTCCGCGTCTCCTGAAAGAGTGACGCTATCCGGTGAGTTGATCGCTGCCAACTGAATCGTAGCGTACCGGTCTCTGAGATAAGATCTCACCTGGAGTTCACCAAGACCTACGGCAAGCATGAGACCTTTTTGTTCATTTTTAGACACTGCCACGCCTCTACAGTATGCAATGGCGATAGCTTCTGCAGATCTCACGTGTCCAGCACAGTAGGCAGCAGCAATCTCTCCTGTAGGGTTGTTACTAACAGCTTCGATGTGTACAGGGAAATATCAGACCAGAAGAGTGCCCGACGACTGCCGTCGGTTTTACATCCCAGGTCCTTAAGAGATCAACCAAGCCAATCTGTAAAGCTGTACAGACGGTCTGAGATATCATCGGCGACCCGATTGGAAGGTCACTTGCACCAGATAATACATCTATGACTATCGTAAGACATGATCTCTAGGTCAGGGGCGTATCACTACCTTGAATTTTCCAATCGGGGGCAAACGAAAGCCGGGACAAGATAGCATCAAGATATGCAATTGTGGTTCGGAACGTCTCGTACTCTAACAATGTCGATCCCATCCCAGACCAGTGAGTTCCTTGTCCTACATGGAAATTAGTGATCGATTTAGATTGCGAACAAAGGAGTGTCAGCATCTACCGACCTGTGAAGACAAAAGCAATCGTTGGAACATGTACATCTTGGAGCTTCCGAGGATTTCCTTTGCTGAGGACGGATGTAGCGCCACTATTGTCCAGTTGCATCACACTGTATGAGCGATGACGATACTTCGATCTGCGACAAGCGAGAGTGTATGCAACATCAGCTAGTGGCAAGCTCGCTATATTATCGAGGATTCTTCTCTCGATCGTTTTGAGAGCATCCTCATCATGGGCTGATAGAGGAAGAAGGGTCAGTCTCCTAGTGCTGGCACTCGCGCTTCGCACCTTTCTTGGTCGAGCAAGGTTGGGTGTGCAAGGAGGCCGATTAGCAAAAGTCTCGATGCTTCCGTTGGTGTCCAAGGAGACAACGCTATTAGTTTCCGATAATTCAGGGATAAGTACTGAGACATGGTCGAGAATGCAATGAGCGTTGGCGCCCCCGTATCCGAAAGAGTTAATACTGGCTCTGCGTAACTTGTCCGCGGGCCAAGGGAGAGTTTCCGTGGCAACCTGTACGTTAGCCTTCGTAAAATCCACTGAGAGAGGTCAGCATGTGCGCACTAAGACCCTTTCTCAGTACTCATTGACGCACCCTTAGGATTGAGCGCTATGATGCCACGTGTTGGGGGGATCAGATTTGCCTCCAGTGCTAGGATTGCCTTCATGATTCCAGCTAATCCACTCGTTGCTTCCGTATGTCCAATGTTGGGTTTTATTGATCCAATAAGCAACGGACTGCTGCTCGTGCTAGTACCGAAAACATTTCCGATTGCTGCCACTTCAATGGGATCGCCGACAGGAGTTCCTGTGCTGGGAGGTGTGTGAGCTTCTCGGCTAGGAGGAACTATGTGAATCTTACTTACCCGTGCGCTTCGAAATAGCCCGTGTCTTTTGGATCGAGTTGTGCGTTCTGGTAAGCTTGCCTTATGACCGCTTCCTGGCCTTGAGAACTTGGGTGGGTCAGACCTGCGGATCGTCCGTTCGAGTTGATTGAGGTTCCTCTGATAACAGCACGCACTGGGTAGTCATTTTTTACTGCATCGGACAGCTTCTTAATATAAAAAGCCGCAAATCCTTCGCCACGTGCGTATCCATCTGCTGAAGCATCAAAAGTATGGCAGCTGGATGTAGGCGATAATGCTCCAAGCTTGGTGAGCATCAGCTGAACATCGGGAGTCATGATAAGGTTCGATCCTGCAACGATAGCTGACTCACAGTCACCTCGATAAATTGCGGTGACGGCAAGATGAAGAGCAAACAGGGACGACGAGCAGGCGGTATCAACAGTAACACTGCCTGTCTCAGCAAGGTTCCAACGGGAGCTTCAACATTGTACAGGTCTTTACCTACCTTGGCCCAACAAGATCCATAAGAAAATTGATTCGGTTACTCAGGATGCTCGCACCTGCACCTGTAGACGAGTAAGGCGATGAGAAATCCGAGTCCCGAGTTTGCGCAAGTAGGTGATCACTGTTAAAGTTTCCAACAAAGACTCCAGTCTTGGAGCCAGCGTAGCATTCTTTAGTTTCCCCAGCACTCTCAAATGCTTCGTATACAACCTCGAGTAGCTTTCTCTGGGCAGGGTCCATGGTGGCAACCTCGGTGCCGCTGATACCAAAGAATGCGTGATCGAATAGCTTAGGATCATCATCCAGAAGATATGCGCCACGGGTCTGAATACTTCCAGGACGTTGAGGGTTGCTATGGCGGAATGCATCTGGGTCGAATCGGGCGTCGGAAAATTCCTTGTAGGCGGACTTCTGCTTGATTATAAAGTCCCATAGCTGTGATGGTGTGCAGATTCCGCCCGGCCAACGACATCCTAATGGTCACAGTCAACGAGGGTCATTTGGCTTGGAGTGTGAAGACATACCCATTCCTACAATAGCAATGAGATCGTTGCCTTCGTTCAATAACCAACTCGATGAGTCTGTGTCGAAATTCATTTTTAAACACGCTTTGGTCGGGAGTATCGACACAGAATATACAAGGTGAAATAGCAAATAAGGGAGATATCTGTGAAAAAAACCACAGTTAGAATGGGGTGGGTCATTATTTTGAAACTAGCCAGGATGTTAAGCTTACTCTTCCAAGACGGTTACGCACCTTCTTCTGCTATGCCAGCTGCGAGAGGGCGTGATGTTGGGGGCCGTTGGTACTTGGATATCTCCACTGCTGAAGGGACCGTCGATCGTAGCAAATCTGGCCAATCACGTAGCCAATCTGCAATCCGATGCTGGAGTAGTATCTTCGGTACTGCCCCAAGGATTTGCCTTGGATATAGCCTGTTTCGCCTGCCGGGTCGCTTGACTTATCCGTCTGTGACCAACAGGCGAAGAATGCCTCGAGCTTACGTCATGTGTCTCATGGGAAGCTGGCCAGGGCCAATCAACTGACAGGTTTCAGCTGCAATTGAAGTCCCGCTGGTGGGAGTATTGAATGTTCTGGACTCCATCAGCTCTGAAAATTTTGGATAGAGCCATTGAAAAAAACGCCTTGTATGAGGCACAGGCACGGATTTGGCAAGAAGTTATTTTTGTGCTTTAATGTAATATGCAGTCGCGCACTTTAGCTTCGGTGATAATTGAAACCGTGTGACACGTTCACCAATAAGCATAGGAGGTCAAGGATATGTATATATCGCTAGCCGGACTTCCACAACGTGGGGTATCTGGCCCCCCATAGCCACAGGGGTCATATATCTGGATCGATCGTTGAAGGAGGGAGACCAGAGACTAGGAACTTACTGGAGTTCCCGGGATTGTGACCGGATCTGTTGGGTTCCCGAGTCATCACGCATGGAGATTTGATGAGCGCCAATTCTATCCCAGCTAGTGCCAAGTCATATGCAGTGTGACAATCATGCTACAGTTGTGCCACGGCCTAATCGCTGAGCGAGCCTTTTTTCCTGGGCAAGTGCCTCACCGGAGCAATCCCTGTCAGCGGTTCCTGAAGGTGCATGACTTAAGGATAGCTACGATGCAGAGTTATCATCTGCGTATCTGGTGGATGCGTGCGAGACTCAGCCCTCGCATTCAAGTCCTATTTTGGGCAAAATCGCCCTCATCCGTATAGTTGGCACACATAAATGGATCCAGATGTCGTTGCCTTAACTAGGCATTTGATCTTCAACCGCTCATGGCTTTGATAGGACAACGAAGATGCAAGCAGGAGACCTCGAATTTCTGAACAAGGCATTGATTACGATACTGACTCCGGCCTTCTTTCACCATCCCGGCTCAGATCTGTGCACAAATGTTGGAATTTATTGGCACATAACCTCCAAAGAGTGCAGAAAGTAACAAATGCAGTACAGATAATGTAGTATTTAAAGGCTTTTTCAACTTATTACGTGTCCCGCCGCGACAGCATGGCTTTCAGATTTTTGCCTTTGAACCTTCGAGGACATTAGCGGTGGTTTTCACAGAGAAGGCAACATCTGGGACCTACACTATAAGAACTGCATCTATCCACTCCATGTCAGCATCCGAAGTGTCGTGTATGACTACATGGAACTGGCGAAAGAGTCTGGCGAGCATGACGTATAGTTCGCACCATGCAAGGCTGATGCAATTAGTTACAATATAGGTGACGGCTGTAGGACACTAACTCCTTTCCAAGACATTGACGTGTACCTCTGTAAAAGGATGCCATGTATTGTTCCAATAAACCTGAGTTAGATTTCAGCCACCTGTCAGGATCGAAGTCATCCGGTCGGTCCCAGATAGATGGATGACGGTTCAACAGATACGCAGAAGTGTTGAAGACACACTGTCTTATATGTTAGTGTTGAGCTACTCATAGGATACTCTACTTACTCCGCCAGGAATGTGCCGTCCATAAAGATCAAACCCTTCTTGGGGCACTACCCGAGGCAAGCGTCCCGGTAGAGGGTTGCCAGTACGCAAAATTTCCTTTATGCAAGCATTCTGCGATTCAAGTCAGTAACTGGTCATTGAAAGACTCGTGGGACGAAGATACCAGATATGGAAGACTGTGCGCCCCTTGATATGACACATCATCTGTCGCAGGGAAAGCAGTCAGTAGCTCTTCCACGAGTTTTCGGTGCACCTGCTCGTTTCTACATATATGGTAGATCCCATATATGAGTGCTGAGGAGACGGTGTCTCCGCCTGCTGTTAGAAGCGTGACAACTTCTTCTGATAACGTTTCGAAATCTAGTGGCTTGGTGTTCTTCGAGCCTGACGGACTAGTAAGCGCGTCGATAATGACTGCCTTCTGAAGAGATTGCTCATTCGACACCTCTCCTTTTCTGCTGTCGACGTAATCCCGGATGAGCGGCTTCGCCAATTCTTTCATCATGACCATAGTGGGCGGGTGAACGAATCTGAACATCCACGGCGGAGTCGAAAGAGAGACCTTGGCGACTGTAAATAAAATCTTCTGCATCCATGTCATTTCTTGGAAGATGGAATGCAGCTGTTCTAGAAACACATTGCTGAAAGTAGGGTGGTCCAGGCATCCGAAGCTTCGGCCCATGGTAAGTTCACTGATTACATCCATAGAAAGCGCTTTCATGCCCTTGTGAATGTTCACCGGGATTCCTTCTACTGCCCATGTATCAAATCGGTCACAAAGCTTTGTCACCTTTTGCTCGACAAGACGTGCTAGGTGTTGAATATTCTTCGGTGTTGGCGAGAATGCAGCGTTGACCAGGATTGAGTGCCTTGCACGATGCTGATAGGGGTCCAAGAATCCTAATGAAGTGTTGCGGAAAGAAATGCGGTCATAGAATTTGGGGTCTTTTCGAAATCGAGACCCGATCTTGGTGATCTGTAAATATATGCTGGGGTCATTGATGTGTAGGTCATTGATTCCGCTGCGCACTATCGGGCCATGTTTCTGGTGAAGCTGTTCTATCTCGAAAATGAACTGTCCACGTCGTTTGAAGTTCCTGTATAGCTTGTAAAGCGTCGGGGATGCAATGCCGAGCTTTGTTCCAGGATATGCAGACAAAGGGTGGAAGTACAGCCGCCGTATGACAATCACAGCCCGAACTGCGAGCAGAAAGCAAAGACATAGCAGTATTTGGTCCATGGCATGCGAAAGGTTCTTCGGATGAGATGAGGTACAGTTAGAGAAAAGAACCCAAGAATCTAGCTCTCGGCGGCTGTGCCGCATTAGGCAGCAATGGTGCAAGTTACACAAAACGGTCGCTTAACCCTTTCCGGATAGATAAGCAAGGTCTGTATTTTGCCGGCCTCTTTCGGTGTCCGAGACAATCTTGCCTCACATGCAGCACACGCTGCTTCTGTATTGTGCCTTCCGCGCGTATCGTTGTTCGATCCACCAATCGCACCAACTCTACGATGTCGACACCCCATCCAATCATGCACCACATGCAGTCGCAACTTAACGACTTGAGCCGATTTCAGCACGGAGAGCAAGAAAGAGCGTCACTACAGCTGAGACTGTCATAGTCTGTTTCTAGACGGGACGCAAAATCTGCCTCGCGCCTTATTGTGGTGGAAAAATGGGGCCAATGTTTGCGCACCTTGAGTGAGTCTCAGCACAGCTGGACTCCCGTCTGTGTGCTTTCCCTCAAAGGAAGACTGGGGGCGTACATGGGTCGACGCTGGGAGTATTTGAATGGACATGTGCAGTAGCACGAGGTCCGATGTTCGTTGGACAAGCACATGCACCATGCAGATTTCCACACCGTCTTCAGTTGCGATCGCCTTGTTATGGGTGTTCGGCCAATTCTCTGTCACTGAAGCCTACCCCGCTGCAGCAGCAGCTGTAGCAGATGTTTGCAGTCAGCTGGCGTCGATCGCAACCGGATCTACCATCACAGCGGCCGATAGCACGGAGTACGATAGACTGCGAAAGCTGCATTGGTAAGTCCGCTACCTTATTACTTCAAGGACAAGATGCGGGTCAACGCTAATGTATGGCACACCCAGGTCAGAGACTGCTTGGAAAGTGCCGTCGTGCATCTTTGAACCTTCAGATTCCACGGCACTCGCAGATGCTGTCAAGATCATCTCCTCCAACAATATCACATTTGCCGTACGGAGTGGCGGCCACAGCCCCTTCTCTAATTGGGCAAACGTAGATGGCGGAGTTCTTATTTCGCTGAGTGCCATCAACGCCATTTCATATAACCCTACCGACGAGACTGTGCGCGTTGGAACTGGCAACCAATGGGGCCAGGTGTATGGGAAGCTTGCCGAATATGATCGAGTTGTTGTGGGGGGTAGAGTTCCTGATGTAGGCTTTGGCCTACTCACAGGCGGTAAGCAAACCCTCTAGCCCTCGAAGTACACCAGCTTATCTCACAGGCGGTCTTTCCCACCACTCTAGTCTTTATGGTTTTGCGGCCGACAACGTGATAATCTACGAAGTTGTCCTTTCCAATGGAACAGAAAAGACTGTCTCCCGAGCCTCCGACCCTGAGCACTTCTGGGCCCTCAAAGCTGGAGGGACAAACTTTGGTATGTTACCTTCCGTCTTGGAAGAGGATACATCACTGAGTGTTGATACAGGAATTATATCATACGTCACACTAAAGGCATTTCCGCAGGGAAAAGTCTGGGGAGGCGTGATCTTTTATTCCATCGAGTATCTGGATCAGATTATGGCAGCAATAGCCGAATACCAGGCTGTTGGACAACTTGACCCTAGATCTGCCATCCTACCATATGTGGCCTTCAACAACTTCAACTCGATTTTCATTTCGTTTTCCTACCTGGACGCTGTCGAGCGCCCAGAGGTGTTCAATAACTTTTACAGGATTCCGTCCTTGTTGGACGACACGAAGATCCACAACAACTTCAGTGCATCAATTTCTGAAGTGGTGGACAAAGTATATCCGAGATGGACTTGGGGCTCCACCACCTTTTACTTAGATAACAGCACGTACGTGCAGGTTGCACGCTTATGTCAGAACATATCCCGTACGGATGAGTTCCAAGCTATACAGGGCGCCACATTGGTGCTAGTTCCTCAGCCCGTATCTAGAGCAATGGTGCAACGATCAGTAGCGAGCGGAGAGCATCCCATGAATCTGCGCGACAGGGAACAAATATGTAAGCTTTGTCCTGGTCAGGCCAATGCTCAATTAACGTGTCTAAGGGTTCTCGATCAACCTCGGCTGGCAATACGCATCAGACGACGCAAGGATGGAACAGTTTGTCGTCGACACTCTCTCTTCGATTGAGAAATTGACAAAGTCAAAGGGTTTGTTCGACGAGTACGTGTTCTTCAACAACGCTCACACAACGCAAGACCCTCTTCGGAGGTATGGACAAAACGCATTCCGAAAGATGAAGAGAATCAGCCGGACCGTCGACCCGGCGCAGATTTATCAGTCGCGGCTAGCTGGCGGGTTCAAACTTGGTGGTTCATGAAAGCAACGAGTTTAGACTTGCAAATGCGAACATCAATGAGTCTAGATAGAGATAACTTATCATTATCTTGAAAATCATAACCATGGCTGCTTGATCTTTGCTCCATTTGCCGTGATTTTCCTTCGCTTTAATGGTGTGCAGTGCCCGCGGTGCTGGGTTAAATGCGATTGCCTTGATCCTTGGCTGCCAGGGTAGTGTTACTCCGGCCCATGTAGGTTCTCATGGCCTTCCTGAGAGTTATGCAGGGATTGTTAACTTACAGAATACTTCAAATGATGATGACGTATTCAAGGTCTGCCAAACCCAAATTATTTGTTTCAAAAGACATCAATTTGACCACTGCAGGCCCAGGGTAGAATGCCGAGAAGAAAACGAGGGAAGCACAGCCCCTCCCTATCTGTGTTACACGACATATGCGCCCTGCACGCAGCATCCTATCACCCCCATCATATGAGTGTCTCAATCAACAGAGTGCAGAATACCCGGAGCAGATTCCTTTAAAGGCAAATAAGACTCAGGAAACAAGCGGTCCACATTCCTGGCTTTTTTGTTCCACAGCAGCGGAGTTCTATACGATGCAGCGCATTTCGTAGTCGCAATCTCACTACTTTGGGGGCCGAGAGCCAGAGACAGAAGACCCCCGCTCAGACCTGCGATGATGACCTCGACACTTCTCTCAAAGTCGCGCACGACTGGCATACACACTTTATCGCGTGATCATGCTCAGCATACCTCCAGCTCCGCTAGGCATCGCGGCTGTAGCCATAGCCGCTGTGTTTGTCTTTCTCGACATCGCTGCAGTCTCGTTAAGGCTATGGGCGAAGAAGATAAAGCAGCGACCGCTGGACGCCACAGACTACCTCATCTTGGGTGCTTTGGTCTGTGTAGTCCCATGTCCAACAACGGCAGCACTGACAACCATGTAGTTTTTCGCAACCGTCGATATGATCACGAAAGGATTTGGCAAGTATTACGTTTCCTTTGATGACGCAGTGCGCTGACAAGTGCAGAAATGTCGTGGGGCGCAGGAGAGCATTTCCCGGTAGTGATGGCGGAAAACCCTGGGGTTCTTGTTCCACTGCAACAGGTGATACGTGGGCAGATGCGGTCAAGCTACTGACGACTGACGTCTCCCAGATAACGTTTGCGCAATACTTCATCTGGGGGATAACCATTCTGCTCATCAAACTTTCCATCCTCCTCCTCTACCGCGGCATCTTCCACTGTATGGTATACACGCTCGTCGCCATATACGCCTCGATGGCGATCTGCGTTGGGATCTGGATTCTCCAAATCGGTATTCTCTTCGGATCGTGCCAGCCGCTTGCCGTCAACTGGGATCCTTCGGTGCCAGGCAGCTGCTACTTCAAGGGCGTCAGTGAATACGTGATATCCATGTCGACGAATCTTGCCATGGATGTCGTGTTGGTGCTGATCCCGGCGCCCGAGGTCTGGAGACTGAAACACATCTCCGTCAAGAAGAAGATAGGCATAAGCTGCGTGTTCGGGCTAGGAATCTTGTACGTGGGATAGATGCTCGCAGCAATGGGAAAGCAAGCGACTAATCGCATCATAGGACGTGCATCCTCGTTGGTCTGCGCTTCAAGTATCTCTACGAGATGAACATGGCAGATGCCACGCACGACGGCGTGCCTTCGGGCATTATTTCCAGTGTGGAGCTGTACCTCGGAATCATCTGTGCCTGTCTGCCTATCATGCCTCCAGCTTTCGTGCAGGCGGGGAAAAAGATGCAAAGCAGCTATGCCGCCGGGCTGCTCACGCGCAAGACATCCAAAGACTCGTCGCTAGGCAGCCAGAAGCCCGAACAAACTGCTGTGGATAGTAAAGAGCCAGATTACGATCAGATTGAGCTCAATTCGTGGCCACCCCGAACACAACATGAAGTCTGAGCGCGTATATACTGAAGGGATGAGAGTAGTCCTATGGTACCATACCCGTGGTCATTTTCTGTTCCTGTATGCAAGCATAGGGTCGAACTAGGCTAAAAGGACAGAATGCAATATCACACGAACCTGATCCCCCTCCCGCAGTACAAAACATCTAAACCATCGCCCTCAGCCTTTCCCTCAAGGTCCCCCAACGCTTCCTCTTCAAAATCGCAAACCCATGACAACACACACCCGCCGTCTCCCTCCCCTCTCCCTCGTCTTCAAGTATCCCTGTCTTTCCATTCTCCCCCGCTTCGTGCACCGCCCAGGCCCAGACCTCCAACGCCCACCCACCCAGCATCGCCACTTCCCACGCCCGCGGCCAACGCGGCCACGTCGCAACCCTCCACTCCACCCAGCTCCTCGCCCCCTCTCCGTTCAACAGCCGCGCAAAATGGAACGTTCGTAGCGCATCGCGAAGCTGCGTGATTCCTTGCGCGGCATGTGTGCGCTCGTGCTCGAGAAATGCAGCGATCTGCATGAAGGTGAGCCCGTGACGCAGGAGAGAGAAGATGGTAATTTCGAGGAGGCGGTGGGAGGGGTTGGTGGTGCTGTCGAGGAGGCTGGGGAAGGTAGTGCGTGTGCGCTGGGAGGCGGGAGTCTGGTTCTGGGCATGGTGCAGGGCAGAGAGGCAGTTGGAGGGGGCGCCTGGAGGTGGTTCTTGCTGGTGTGTTAGTGGTTGCATTGTCAGAGCTGGTAGTTGTGACGAAAAATTATGATCGACCTGGGATTTGTGGAGCTAAAGGTGGGAGCCCGACGTTGGCCTTGCTGAGGAGGTGTGGTGGTCATTGAAGAGGTGGTGAAGTTTTTGCATCTTAGTTTGAGGGCGTGAAGATGTGTCTGCAACGTTCAGATCACGGTGCAGATCAGTACAGCGACAGTCTAAATGTCGCAGCCTAATTCTGGCATCCGGGTGTCATTATTCGCCCACATGCGGAAAGACTTCAGACATGGGCACTGCAAATCGTTGGCGAGATTCATGCAGTGATGAGCGACTCCAGCTCAGTAAGGTTGTGGAGATCCATAGCAAAAATTACGCAGTAGGTCTTCTTGGTGGCGACGAAGCCACCGCCCACACGACTTTTGAATCTGGAGAGCGGAAGTGTAGTCAGCCTCAACAGTGAATGCGCAACAGAAGGGTAGATAGCCCGGACTAGACAGTTGTCTCATCGAGAAGCTGTACGGTATATGTGGACCGCAAATGCGCGCTGTACATGATATGGGCTCATCAGGCGTCTTATCAAACGCTGGTGAAGATAGTCGCAAATCACGATGGCCATCAGGTGAAGGTGATGCTTAGCCATCCATGTATATCATCATCAGCTCAATCGATGGCCTGGGGGCATCAACCAATACTTGGAAGATGCCTTGTCCATGCTGCGATGTTGAGTCTATCGTCCTGACTTTGAAGAGCAGCGAACGCAAGCGTGAGGATTGTGAGGCATACTGAGTCGTATAAAGCCCAAGATATCGAGATATCGAGTGAAAGAAAATGTGATTATATCTGCGGCTACCAGGCTTGGCGCTAACAATTGGTCCTGTACGTAGTCGGATTTCCAGGGGAGGTGCGGTGGGACTTGCGAGGCAAGGAGGGAGACTTCATCGGTGTTGTTCAAGACCTCTCCTCGGAGCCACTTGAACGCGGGACGCCGTCTCCGTATCTTCACATCGAACAATCCCATGAGATTTTACGCCGCGGGTAGTGTGACGCTTTGCTGCTCAAGACATCCTTCAAGAGATGTAGAAATGGCTGAAATTTAAGCACTTCCGCATAGGAGCAAGAGCTGTTTGATCGATCTGGGTAACATGATCAGCTGCGGCGAGCAGCTCTGTGAGGGTCCCGAGATGGTTCCAGTCCATATCGTAGAACTCGATGTGCTTTGGTGCGAGTAATCCCTGAAGTTTTCAACCTCTTGTAAACCAGCGACTGTTCGCAAAACACGAGCTTCCAAGTTTCCCACTTGCTTGTCTTCGAAGGATTCATCGTCAGGTAGTAGTCATGGCGGGTCCGCCATCACAGTCACATCGTTCAGATGGGCCTAGCGCACCGCGGAGTCTCTATACCATGCAAACTTGGAACTGATGGACTCACAGCTTCGCACTACTCAATTTATCAATACAACATGGATCAACCCAACAGTTCCTGTAAACCATCATTGCTTGACCGTTGGGCGCAGAATCGGATCTTTTCGTGTCTGACCTTGCCCCGACCGCTGTCAATGCCAAGTTTGAGTTCCTGTGTGAGTTCTTCGGTGTCCGGTCCTCAAATATGGGACAATATGGCGTACGGGGGGACGACGCTGTGCATTACCGAGTAAGAGTGATCTCGCCAGTGTCGCCGCGTTGAAGGAGACGCATCGCTTACGAAGCTCTCAGCGGGAGCAAAGCGACCCAGCGTCAAGAGTTCGGGAAAGATGGACACCCAGGTGGCGAAGCTGAAGTGGACAGGCGCGGCCTGGGCGAGACAGCCTGAGAAGGCACGATTGGGCGCCCCCTGCATCGTCCAGCACGTCTCTGATTGACACGCATCGCTACAATAAGATTTCACGCGTTGTTAGTATCATCGGGACAGTGGAAGGCCGTGCAGTCGCCCTTAGAGAATACTTACGCAACGGTCGAATAAGGCGATACCATGGGCACCACAAACTGCAAGGACCTACTCGGCTCGTCTTGCTTTAACGGCAAGCTTGCTTATCGCAGCCCTTATTAAGGCGGGCTGTGGCCAGTATCATGTATTTGGGTATATGAGGTCCAGCATCACAGCGGAGGAAGGTACGGCCTAGCGACGTCCCATTCTTGCGTCGGCAACGAGTCGCTTTCTGTACTTTTCCTCACGGCATGCTTCTATGATCCACCTCGAGGCAGGTTGTGGCTAGCGCCGTGTATCTGGGCACATGGTCATCAGCTGTCCGCGGGTCCGACTTCGTCTCCGAGGTTCCACGCTCTTTCGCAGCGTCCTACTGTCTCGTCACCACAATCGAGCCTCAGGGCGCAAGAAATGGTCGTCCCGAAAAAGCAATGCGTACGGCTGACGACACCGTAACGCGCGGTAGCTTACACAGGGCCGCTGCGTACTCGCCCACGCCTGAAATGCCGATCCATAGCGGCTTGACCTGCAGCTGCGGGACGTCGCTCGAATATGGTCCAATGAGCAGCCTCGCGCATCCAGAAGGGGCAGCCTGTGACCTGTCACATCTGTCGCGCAGTCTGGACACGCTGCCGCCTAGGCATCGTCGTGAACCAAACAGCAGCAGGAAAGATTGCGACGCGCATGAGGAAATAATGGAATGTTTCACTTCACGGCGGACGCGAGCTGTAGGGGTGTCGTGCTCGAAAACGACGCCGTCACTTATCACCGCCGGACGGTAGGGCGGATAGCTCCCGCAGGGGTGCCGGCTCGTCTCCACACTATCCCCGGCGCCTGGCAACGAATCACGCCGTGTTTCCAGCCGATAGCGCAGCCTTTCCACTTCCCCGGGAACGCCCAAAAGCGCCCTCTAACCGTTCTCGACGCGTACGAGCCGCGAAGAGTCACCGAGCTCGCTGTGCGAGATATCGACGGCCTCTCTGCTGCCCTTCGCCTGCTGGCTGCTGGGACCCCGCCCACCGTGCCCTCCTCGCCCATCTGCTTGTCCCTCAGGCGTATAAAACCGCCGTCGCCCACCTCCAACCCGACCTTTTCCTTGCTGTACTTGCTCACCATCGGTATGCGCCCGCCTAACAAGTTTCGCCATCAATCGCTAATGCTGTGGAAGTTACCCTGTAGACCCTCGAAATGTCTCCGTACTAGACACCGGCCGCCCAGCTCTGGCATGCCCAGTCCAGGCATCATCCATGGCGGCATTCGCGCTGCCTGATCCTGCGCATCCGATCGCGACATCGTACTTGGAACGCCCGCTGCCTACTGGGCCCTGTAGCCATCGCGACGTAGTCGGCACATGCGGATGTGAACAATTCTGGGACGCTGGGAGTGCAGACATCTATCATGGGAGCAACCAATACCGATCGGGCAGTCAGCGCTCGACTGTGTGTGTCTGTGGACATCATGCCTGCTATCATAAGCCTGCCGTCGCAGCGGCTGCCGCGCGTGCACCCCTATATGATGGCCGCTGTCACACACATTCGGGGACTCAATGCGACCTTCACAAAGCAGGAGGTATGCCGCGCGATCTGAGCCAGCCGCTGAATAGCCCCCCGCCGCGCACTATACCCACACAGCTGCTCATGCGCAACGAAGCCTCACTAGCCAATGGATCTCGTGTCGACAATGGTACGAAGGACCCTCCGTCGCAGCCTAGTTCTTCTGGGCTGCCGCGGATTCCCTCGATCTGCCTCATGTCAAATGATCGTTATCCTGCGGCTAACAGTGCTGCTAGAGACCAAGCCAACCAATCTCGACAGACAATTGCGGGACTGGGTCTGTCTATGCTGAATGTAGGCGATGCAGCACGCTCCTTCGATGGTCAACAATCCGTTTCGTCCACAGTCCCAGACGAGCTCGATCTCGGGCAGCCGCTTGATGGGACACGAGCTGAAAGCAGGCAGCCTTCCGCTGGCCAGAACTCAATGCGAGGTGAGCAAGGTCAATCGGAAAATGCAGCGCTGGGTCCCCTAGATGCCATCCTCGAGTTCAACAGAAACTTTCACCTGGATGTCGGCGGTGATACGATTCCGAATTCGTTCAACCTAGATGACTTCGTGCAAAGCGCGACCGAGGTGGCCACGCCAAGCATACGGAACACACCAGACCTGGCAGTGACCGACCAAGCTGTCCAAGATGGGAAACGAGCCATCGAAGACCTCATTCGGATGACTTCGGGTGCGAGCCAACAGCATGCCGCTGATGACAGACCAGCCAGTGCGGCATCAGCTCCACCTCAGCTTTTGCTCACCAACTCCCCACACACTTCCCAGGAGCATGTGCAGAACTTCCTCAAAACCGCGTCCCCGCAATCGCTCCAAAAACTTGTGTCTTACCTACCGTCGTTATATAACCTGCTCAACTCCATACCGAATGTGGCCAATGCTTTGAAGGAGCTCAACGACCGGCTATCACATCTGGAAAGCAACAATTCCTTCAACTACGTGCATCCTGACGATCTCCATCATCAATTCGACCACGTGGATGGCAGACTCCTACACTTGGAATCACGCATGGATGATCACGATACACTGCATCAGACCATTGACGCCGACAACAGTAGTCTTTCATACAGCCGTCGTCGCATAGCACCGGTATCTGGTTCTTTTCAGTCAATTCGGTCTCTCGAGTCTACCACTTCGTCCGCTCTAATACTCGCTGCCATGGATCGCAAGGAGACCGAGACTGAGATCAGTGGCATCAAAGATCGACTGGACGTACTCGAAACGTTCGCTATGCCGCCAACTCTGACCAAACCATGGGAAATCGAAGTTGTTCTACTGCCGTGGGGTCGCGACCTCAGGGGCATCTGGTTTTCCCCGGATGAATCGATGCATGATCAATCCAATCCCACGACGCAGGACTCCGAAGGGTGGACGCAAGCGCGGAGTTCTACACATAGACAATCAAGTGCTCCAGTGCCTTTACGCGAGACGGACTCGTCGCCATATCCAGCCTCGAGGCATTCATCGCGAAGCTCGCACCCGTTCAGCGACACTGAGAGCGGTTGGTCCAGCCAAGCCATCAGCAATTGGGCTTCTGGTCTGACAGAGGAGCTGTTGTCGCCCAAGGCATGTAAAAGCACCAATCTTGTTCACAAGAGGTTGAGGAGTAGAGGACTCGTCAAAGACGTCACGCTGCACAGCGCCAGCTCGAGAGACATACAACTGGCACTTGCGCATGCCTTCAAGGACATGCTGGAGCATCTCAAGTATACCGATGAAGACGACGAGCCGACAATCCGATCATACCCCGGCTTACGCGCTTCCTTCATTCCGCTTCGCAAGGTTCGGCACGACTCGAAACTGCATTTTCTCACGCCAGCGGAGATGTCGAGCTCTGCGCTTTGGTCTGCCCAGTTCCTTTCTGCAGATGTCATCATGCACGTAACCGGCGGCAAAAAGCGACTCTACGTAACGCAACGCGAAGCGTACGTGCAGTCCCACGATGAAACGGGGAGTTCTTGGACGTGGCAAGAGCTGCGCGAGTTGCCCCGATACCGACCTGAAGCCGATGTCCGAATGGAAGCCAACGACGGGCAACATCACCCTCAGGTCGCGGAGGCGGATGCAAAGGAAGCTTGTTGGACCTACTTCGAAGCCTACGACGCGCCCCCGCGCAGCGTCAACTCTTCATTCGGCAGCCATCACTCTGTTGAATTGTCCATGCGACCTGCTGATCGCAGCTGGCGACGATCGATAACGCCTGCATCCATTCTCAAGAATCCCATGCCTCAACCGATTTCTCCATTGAGCGAAAATCACCCTCGGCGTCCATCTTATGCTCGCCAGCGTACAGTGTCTGCTTCGGTCTTGGAGCCAGCCAATGCGTCGTCATCAAAGCGTCGCATGGATGGCTCGCCTGTCAAGCACTCATCTCAACCGCACAGTCTACGGGCGCCTAGTGCTTCACTTCCGCGAATGAAACGTCGCAGAGTCTCCAAATCCACTTCCCCACGCCCAGCTCTCGACGCCGATGAAAACGCTACAGATGTACATGTCACTGCATGGGCCAACACGCCTCGTCGCTCTCGCGAGCCGTTCTCGCCTTTCTTCTCCTCAGTGGCAGCGCCTCTGCCGCGGACAGCGTCGGACCTCGCCAGTCGGCCCAGTCAACGTTCTTTGGCTGGCACAAGCAAAGGGACACCGTTTGCATATGCAACGCCACACTCTGGTCCTTTGGTCGGCGGTCCAGTCTTTGTCGGAGATGGTGACACCGAAGCGGATGAAGACTTGTATCAAGATGACGATGGCGAACAAAGTTGGCGCGGCGTTGCGACTGGAGAAGAGGACAACGACTTGATCGAAGACGTCGAGATGGGGGCCGAAGAGGAGCTTGCCAGTTTCTCTTTAGGTAGCGTATCCAGCATCCATGACTGCGATATAAACAACGAAAGTGACGGCGACAGCGACAGCGACGAGGCTGATGCCGATAGCGGGTATGCTGCCCAACGGACGGACGCTGAAGACGAGGATGAGGACGACGATCCGCTTGATGCGTTGCTCGGCATCTTGCAAGATTGAAGATTCACGACTTCACGAATTGGGCAAAAATAGCAAGGCGTTCTGGGTTTTGGAATCGTTAATGAGGGATACCACGAGTTTTCTGGGCATATATGAGGAAAGGCATTTGGTTAGCGTGGTGCACATATTTGGGTATGATTGTAACAACATGGTGTGTGTACGGACGCGGCGACTTCGATATCAGCTCACTGTATTAAGACTGCATAGCATAGCATAGCTACTTCTCCGCTTTTGGTGACGCGAGGCCGTATGTAGATGAATCCGGACCAAGATCACCTCCACTCGCATGTGTCAAGCTCTCCGGCATCTACAGAATAGATTCGCGGTCGAGCATCTAGTTTGAAAAAAGCAGCCCACCAGCGCAAATGTTCGATTTCTTCCAGCCGTGCACGTGATCAGGTATGCTGTGATCTCTGTGCTACCGCCAAGCTTAGCCCCTCAGGTCTACGCTTGAGCTCAAGCCTCAAACCTCCCTCACGAACCAATCTTACACTGTTTTGACGTCAATGGAGAACGATTCTCCACCTCGAGAGCCAAATGTTGCTCAGCCATTTCTCCCAGATACCATGGCTGTCATTAACGCCTACGTGATCATGATTATGATTTTTATCTATCTCGTTTCCACGCTTCTCCGCAGTTGCTTGGACATCATGAGGAAGCCCTCTCCAAATCCTGGTCCAGAATCCGTCCAGGTGCTCGTGTATCGAATTCCGAGTGGCGAAGGGGCACCCCACCCCGTGCGGCTTCCAACCACGAGCGAGCCCGTTGCCGTTTACCCCGGTGCATTCCCCGCACACATCCCGGACGTCTTCAGATACTGGACGCTCAGAGGAGTGGACCGTCTGCTATACCGGGATTGGACAGTCACCCAGCTGAAAAGCTACCCGATTGAAAATGATGACGGGCTGTACATGACCATCTATTGCTGGGGCACAGAATCAGGCATGCGGCAGAATCATAATGTTCCGAAGATCCTACGACCGATCGAGGTGATGTATGGGGATGTGTTTATTGCGAAGCTCAGTCATCGGCAATGTGGATGCTCGGGTCATGGGTGGGCGGAGTATGCAGATGTTCAACAGTATTATCTGCAGCGGGTTTTTGAGAAGGACAGGGTGATGGCGAGGGTGGAACAGGAGATGAAGAACGAGTGGGGTATCCGACGAGCTGGGAGGTACAAATCTACTGCCCAGAGCACCTGACCAAATAAGTGACGGGTGATACCCAACTCTTAGTCTTCTTGACTGAACAGTCCATACTGTCCAACACTTGGATGCAGGATCTAATGTTGGAGGCAAAATCAGGGGGATCAGTTTGTTCAACATCTATCCAGAAGACTCTTCGAACAGGTATCATCCTCATACATCTGGAGGAGGCGAGCGGTGTATTGTACCCGAACCAGACTCATTACTTCCATTTCGATGGCACGTAGTGCGGAAGGCTAGAGACGAACCTTGAATGCTTATGAGGGCCCCTCTCATGGCACCTATGTGGACTTGACGTCACCAGGGACTAGGATCGAGCGCTGTTGAAAAGGGTTCAATTTGATCGTGTGGACGTGGGTAGGCAATGACATGTTTATTGAAAACACAGATCGGTGTACCGTGAATGTGTAAATTTTCTTTAATTCTCCACAGTATGCGTTGCTGTCTTAAGCGTGCGTGATTCAGCTAACGCTGACGATTCGCCATGATGCTGAAAAGGCCTCGTAATGAGCCTGTTCCCACAACGCTGTTTTAAAGACGTTGACTTCGGAGACTGCGCAAAGAAAGAGAGGAAACAGGATGCTAGGATGAGTGATCTGAACACAAAGGATCGACATAAGAACTAAGTGAGATGACTAAATCCACTACGCGGTAGTTATGTAAAGTTACCGTACATGTACATCACGTCATGTAGTCCCTTGCCATCCTCCAGAAATCCCCCACGAATTCCCCGCCCTCTTCCATATACTTGACATACGCCTCACACCTTCCGATCGTATCAATCTCGCACACAATATACTCAACCACTAGTTTCCTCAGATCGTCGAGAGTTCCGTCGTCGCTTCTATCTGGCAAATCCTGGCTCGAGTATGCATATCTCGCGAGCTCAATGATGTCTCCAACGCGCTGTGTATACAATCTGAAGGTCATGAGTGTCTTGTGCAGTTTGTGGAGGGTCAGCTCTTTGAGTGGGGCTATGAGGCGTAGATGCGCAAAGCAGTAGAGCCGTGCATGGGCGAGCAAGACTGGCGTGAAATCTTGGTCTGCCGCACTGTTGAGTTTAGGGTCGAAGTCCTTCAGGATCACAGCTCTGGGGCTGCTGTTGCTGAGGTATCTTCGGCTGTTAAGCTTGATCCGTAGTAGGGTCCGACTTTTATCGGGATACTCCATATCCATGGGAGGAGTCTCTGGCGCCGGAATATCCTCATCGACCAGACTTTGTTGGGGTGGTTCCATGGGTGGAGGAGCGTCCAAAAACCCAAAAGTGACTTGCGACTTTTTGCGCTTCTTCTTTTCCTTAGCCGATAAGGGTGCGCATTCATCATAATGTCCATTCTGCTGGTCTTTTTTGGACAAATCTGACGGACGCTGTCCCCACGGAGGCACCGTATAGTCCCCTCGGTAAGCATATTCGCAAAACCGGATGAAATCGTCCACCCTAACATCTCCGATCCTCGCACATCGCTTCTCAGACTCCTCCATTCCTCCATTGATAAGCGCATCCAGTTGCTGACTGGTAGCAGCAATGGCAGCTGCATGCACCACGATGGACTTTCCTTCCTCGCCAACAAAGAAAGTAAACTGGTGTGATTGGATGAGGCTGCCGCGCTTTAGCTCAGACACATCGACTTCGAAACGAGACTTACTCCTCAAAGGTAGGCGCCATCTGTACAAGACGGGTTTTGGGGTGCTTTCTTAGAAAGTGAGAACCGGAAACGCTTATACTAGACATATAGACATAGTTCTGATCGAAAGAAGGGAGACTCAAAAAGTCAGACGAGGAGGTGCGGGGTCATGCAGCAAAACCTACGTGCAACGCATTCACTGGCCGTTGAAGGCAGATTGTGTACCACAACATTATTGTTACATGCAGAGGCGTCCAACAGTGTTTGTTGCTGGACTTTGCCGCCTGCACCTTGCCGCGGAACCTCGATCGCTAATGCAAGTGACTTAAGCCAGTGCCTGCAGAGAGCAGGGTTAGCGAGTTTGAGAGGGCGCCTCAAACATCGGGTACGGACCATTTTCCTCGCAGCTTGTATTGAACATTTGCTTGTTCTACTCATCGACCTAAACCAGAAGGTCGTATCCTACAGAATAACACAGAAATATGGACTGGGCCCGCCACACCACTTCAAACAGAATTGCAAACCCGGAATGGTACTAGAAAGACAATTTTCTGCCCAAACAAGACATACATATGGTAGGTAGCGTCTACAAACGCTGATGAATTGAAAATAAACACGAGAGAACAGGACAAGTCCGCAGTCCCCAGGCATGCAGCCGAGGACCTCTGTTGGACACAACCCTGGTCATACTTGATATGCTGATCTGCATGAAAATGCAACACGAAAATCATGTATTCGGGTACAAATGCAGACATGATCATAGCATTGCATAAGCTTGCCTGTAAGGGGATACTGTGAACATCGACTGATACTATGCATGCCAACACGTCAGAAGCGCGTCTGATTTCTCAGCGTCGCCTGCGTGATCATGCCGCTGATAAGGGCATCTTCTATGCCGCTCGGCTCAGATTTGAGCAAAGGGAAAGCCAGGCCTTAGAGACGCTTTCCGACTAACTCACTTATGGCGTCTTCTAATCGACCTCGCCTTGAGCCGCGCGGACGTCAGCTCAGTCGTTTCTTTGAACCGCTTGTCCTGCTACACACTCTTGGGAGCACACGAGGGGAGCACACACGAGATATCACGTACAATGGGACAGAAATCTCGTGCCTATCGCGCAAGCATCTTATTCGGAGGTTTCTCTGTGACCTTGCGTACATGTGCGATTACGACAAAGGTGGCGATACCGTAACTGCTATAGGACTGGAGTCCAGGCCTCACGGAAATGTTTTCTGGGTAGCCTCGAACACAAACCCGTCTGCAAAAATAATTCCCTTTCTGAATACGCTGTTGGTGCAGCTACGCAATGTCTCAATTGAGGCGCCTATGATCGCCCCGGAAGAGGTTCAAGACCTGGCAACAATGTGTATCACATTTGCAACTCCAAGGATTAAGAAATACAAAAGCCATCTCAGACCGTTGCTGCGACGCTGTCTGAAGCAGCTCGACAAGAAAGACAAAGACAGTGGTGAGTCCGCGTCGGATGTTTAGTAGATCGCCGAAACCCTGGCATTTGCTTACAAATACCAGGCGAAATGCATAGCCTCGCACGATGGCTGCGAACCTGGGATGATATAATAGATCCTGAGGGCTTGTGCCACTTTGCCTATCGAGAACGAAAGTCAGACTACATGCAGCTTCTCGCGCGACTGGGGACCGAGCCGAGCTACAAAAGCAATAAAGATGCGATCCACCACGCCTTCTCGTCAGTGAGGCACTACATCGGAAGACTCGGCCATCATTTCCGAGCAGCCAATGATTTGATCTCTTGTTCTTTTAAACTATCTGACGTTCTACACGACTTTGAAGTTCGTGGCGTTCCCATTCTCACAGGATCCATCATTCCTCCAGCAGATGGCAAGACGACCTTGGAGAGCATGATCAAACGCATGTTACCTGCGGGATCGCCCAGCCTTGAAAGTTATGAAAGGAAGTTGCAGGAGATGGATTCCAAGTACGACTTATCTCGTCGCTTTCTTGAAAACTATCGAGAACCTGGCTTGAAACCCCGCGTTCATGCTGAGATACACGTTTTGGAGCATTTCCACGTTAGTGGTTTACGGTTTATCGACGGTGATTCGTTTATTGCCTGTAGCAAACCGGCGTGCTTTTGCTGCTTGCTATACCTCCGAGCCCATCCTGGGCAATTCGTGGAGCCGTTGTCACATCATAAGATATATCTGAATTGGAGGCCACCTGACCTCCACAGTCAGAAAGAATTGATTGGAGAGTTCCATCAAAGAGACATCCTCAATGCTATGACGAAAACGATACGAAGGGAAGCTTTGAGGCAGATTGACGACAAGATTCCGCCACATCCCTGGCATCCTGATTCGCTTACTGGTATCACGGAGTCTGCAAGAGGTGACGCAACGCACAGAACCAACAGGCCTGGGGAGGCCTTTGTCCTTGCTCAAAAACACGTTGCGAACACTAGCCTACCTGTCTCAAGGTCGTCGACACCCGTCACTGGAGAACAAAGGGTTGAAGAAGGGTGCGAACAGCAACCGCCTCACGATTCTGGCTCGTCAGTAGTTGATTATTTTCTTGATGATTCTGATTTGGAGGGCGGGATCCCCATCTGATCATTCTCTACCATGTGTGGTTCTCCGCGCACTTTTGCAAGTGGCGGCATAACTCAGTACCGGAACTCAGTAGCGTACCAAAACACAAGTATTCCAAGGTTCAAAGTATTCAACTGCCTCGTCCAGCGGGGATCATCTTTTACTTCTTAGTAATTCCTGTCCTTGAAATTTGAAAAGAACTCCTCAGAGATGCGAAGAGTCCAAACAGGAAACCCTACACGTTGACTCTCTTGCCGAGCCTTATGTGGTGTCTCGCCCCTGAGTAGACACACTGAAAATGGCGCCTCTTTAGGCGAAGCGTGAGCTCGTGGACTAACAGATGCCAGTAGAGGTTAGAGTCTGTTGGCATGTCTGTGTCCATTCGTGTGAGAGCCAAGTGCAGTAGTCGCACATAGGCAGGGGTGCGCTTGCAAAGGCCGGATCAACCTATTCGTCGGGACAGACACGAAGGCTTGCAACTGCCTTTCGAACTTTGCGCCTATACCCGGAATGGAATCAATCAAGAAGGACCAATCCATCATTACAGGAGAGAAATCGATTGGGATATATGAGGTCGGAGATACGAAAACATTGTACTGCATAGCACGCGCATTGCATGACGCCGCACTGGTCAACCACCACCCTATCCAAGGACAACACGTAATTATGCTATCCTATCGAATCGAAAGGTGATTGATGCATATAGAAAAGCCAGTCAATGCAGTCTGCATACCGTCGTCATTGCGAAATCAATGAAACTGTATTTAGGGCTCCCATAACTCTCCGAACGACCATTGATCGATCAGAATCCTTCATCTCACAAATCACTTGCATACTCGTACAGAATTCGTGATGTCTAAGAAAAACAATCTGAACTCGGTCAAAGAGGCCCAGAAGTTCAAGTTTTCGCTGTTAGTAACGACAGTTCCCCGCGACCGGCACCAAAGTAACTTTTGACAGTCATTTGACTTCTCCCATAATTACAGTCACGGTTGGCAAAACAAACACGCTATACATCCATTCTCATTTATTGAAAAACGAATCAGAAAGACTTTTGAAGGACTTGGAAGGGGGTTTCAAGGAAGGCGCCGAGAGCGCCATCGAGCTGGAAGACGAAGATCCCAACCTCTTTGGATATTTCGTCGAATACCTTTACCGCGACTGCCTGATCCTCTCCCAGAACGTGGATCATTACTCGGCGTACGTCACATTGGCGCGCCTCTACGCCCTAGGGGAACGCCTCATGGCACCAAAGTTCCAGGCCTACGCTCTTTGGCGATTCTCCCACTCCCTCGCAACCCACACGCTTATTTCAGAAGAGAGCATTTGCGAGTTGCTCCGGATCGCGTGCACGGAAATCACCGAAAGGGCGAGAGAGGATCCCATGAGATCCCAGATCTTCTGGTACGTGGGGTTCAGAATCTCGGATCTGCAGAAGTTCGACATGTTCCGCCAGCTATTGTGCGAAATCGAGGAGGCGGGAAAGCAAATCTGTCTTTGGATGAATCGAAGTCAGCCCGGAAAACCAGCTGAGCCAAGCGAGCTTCAGTACAAGAGGTTCGCGCCGGAAAGCGAGTTCGATTTGAGCATCGCCGAGGTCATGCCGGGAAAGCAATAGGCGTCAAGATTGACTTCTCTTGGCTTTGTCTAAACAATCAGGCCAGGTTGAACGGTCTGGAGCAAGTGGAGCCATTGGAGTCGCGAGTCCATAGCAATGAGTTGTACTGTGTCACAAGAGGAAAAGGAAATCTGCTTATATACATCGTATCGGCAGGCGATGCACAATGCTTTGAACTGTCGATATAGATATTGCTCCCTCGTGTCTCCAAGCTGGCATCTGCGCGTAGGAGTGCTAGTGACATGACATCATACTGCAGTTCCGCAGCCTAATGAGATTTATTCTCCTCTTTCCTTCCACATGCATGTCTCGATCACGAGCCTGAAGCGTTTTCCAACGCCCCAATGGTCTCCCCACAACACGGCCGCAAGGTGGACGGGTAGGGGAAAGGGGGATGGAAAGGGAAAGCAGGGACGGAAGGAAAGTTGGGCAAGTGCACGCTCACTTCACCCAATCACAACAACCTTCAAGAGGCCTGTGACATGCGGATTTGAGAGTATTGTAGCCACTCATATCGGCATAGCGCGTGGCTAGATTAAGCGTGGTGAGGGTGTGGGGTGGGGTTCGGGCGTAAACGTATCAGATTCAAGCACACTGGCTGCTTGCCAAAATGAAATTCCCATGGTTACCCGTGTTAAGAACACGTGATTCTATCGTTGGGATGGTTCAGACGAAGGTGGTTGAGACGACGATGCTTCTAGAGCCACGATTCACACGTGACTCAACCTAATTACCCTAACACTCCCCTTTTCTCGCGGGCGCCTACAAGCACCTACGTGAGCGACCCCCCGATTGTTCTTCAGCGAACCTGTCGACCTGCACAGCGTGAAGCAAGTTTCACATCTGTCACTGGAAATATGTGCAGTATGTAGCAATTGCTCTATAAACAATTTTGGCCTTCGTCACTACTGACTCAGGCTAAGACCAGCCCATTCTCCTCAGGCTTGAACCACTCCCTCAGCAGATCACCCAGTACCTCGTCCGCGCCCGCCTTGGCTGCACTGCTGCTGCTGCTCGCGCACTCGATGTACAGCTTGATCTTGGGCTCTGTGCCTGAGCCCCGCACCGTGAAGCGCGAGCCGTCGGAAAGCTCACATGTGATCATCTGCGCGGTTGGGTCGACTGGGAGGTCGGGGATGTGGTTGGCCGAGGCGGAGTCGTAGCCTACGGTGAGGTCGCGCCAGCGTGTTATCTTACGGGCGCCCAGGGTGGTTGGGTGTGGGGTGCCCAGTGCGCGTATAGCCGTAAAGACTTGCGTCGTAGTTGCCGGGGAGGGGGAGACTAGGTATGTATTCGCGTCCTCGAAGTATCCCACGTGCTGGTACAGCTTTTGCAACTGTGTGTACGGCGTGAGACCCTGGGTTGCCCAATGTGCGGCAGCCGTGAGGAAGACCGCCGCCGCGCTGATGGAGTCTTTGTCGTGGACGGTCTGGGGCACCATGTAGCCGAGGGCTTCTTCGAAGGCAAAGACTACGGAGTAACCTGCGGCATCGAGGTCGCGTGCGACGTTGCCGAGCCACTTGAAGCCGGTGAGGGTTTCGGCAAAATGGAAGCCTTCCTTTTGCGCCAGGGCAGAGAGCATACGCGATGAGACGGTGGAGGCGAGCATGGCAAGTTTCTCGCGGGGTTTGGAGGCGGGATAGCGATCGAGTAGGTAGGAGGCGAGGAGGATGCCGAGCTGGTTGCCGCTGAAGATGTGCCACTTCCCATTGACCTTCTCTGCGGCTGCGAGGCGGTCTGCGTCCGGGTCGGAGGCGAGGATGAGAGATATGGAGGAGGCGTCTGCGGTCTGCATCGCGAGATCAAGGGCGCCTTTCTCTTCGGGATTCGGGAACTTGACGGTGGGAAAGTCGGGATTAGGCTCTGCTTGCTCTTTGACAACTACCATCTGGGAGGCGACGCCTAGGTCCTCCGCGCAGCGTTGCATGGCTGGCAGACCGACGCCGTGCATTGGTGTGTACACAAAGCGGAGATCAGACTTAATCTTGATTGATGGGTCCTCGGGATGCGCTGCGCACTGGATTGCCCTGTGGTATTTCTCGCGTACGAGGCCCAGCGACCCTTCAACGAGAAGGGAGTCATCGACAACAGAAGTGTTCCAGCTCACCGGCTCCAGATTCTCTTGGATAGCAACCGCGATACCAGCATCGTGAGGAGGTATGATTTGGCAGCCGTTGGACCAGTACACTTTGTACCCGTTGTCGCGCGCGGGGTTATGGCTCGCGGTCACCATGACTCCAGCAGCAGCGCCCAGTTCTCTCACGCCAAACGGCACGAGAGGCGTGTGCGACGGGTTCTCATACCACCACACCTTGATCCCCTTGGCGACGAACGCGGCGGCCGCCAATTTCGCAAAATTCTTAGAGTTGTGCCGTGCATCCCGTCCGATGACGATGCCCCTCGTCTTGACATGTTTTTCGGTTTTCAGCAAGTACGCAGCCAGGCCTTGGGATGCTTGGATGACGGTCAGCGAATTCATGCACGCAAAGCCAGCTTGCATGGGCCCGCGCAGGCCTGCGGTGCCAAAGGCGATGCGAGGGCGGAGACGGCGGTCTAGTTCAGCTGCGTCGCCTTGCTGGAGGAGTCTGTAGATTTCGTCGATTGTGGATTTGTCCTTGTCCAGACGCAGCCATTCCTCTGCTAGCTCTTTGAGGTCGGGTGATAGGCCCATATCGGCAGGACGGGGTCGTGGCGGGGGTATTCCAGGCTGGTTCTGCTTGTTCTCACGTGATTCTTGGTGGAACTTTGGAATGGACACGGGCGTGAAGTCGCTGTGGTTTGGCGCGAGGGGATGCTTGGGCAGAGTAGATTGTGGTGTCGGCAGACGAGGCCTATCTAGGTATTTGAAGCAAGAGCGGCTTCGTTTCCGGTTCTGTTGCGTCACACAAGTGAGGTGATGTTGAAATCTGGCGAGCAAGTGACCGCAAGCGGTGGTGGTGGGCGGTCGGTAATCTCTCGGATCGGAAGGCGCCGCCACGCACGAATTGTGACCCGGAAGGCGCCACAGGGGAATGACAATCGGCTTGTTTCGATGCTTGCTCTTTCGTCGGCGTCAACTACAATTGTAGCAAGATAATGTCCATGGCCTCGGTAAAAGTTGCTGTCCCAGGCGGCCGTTTACACGTGGGGTTGCCCTGGATTGCGGCTGGCCCGAGCTTCGCGGCGGTGGGATGAGCGGAACACTGCCTCCCGCCTAATGCCCCAAACGCAGAGCGATTCGCAAGCCTCTCCTGATCTGTCCACGCAATGAGCTGATTGTCTTTCTACACAGCTCGCACCTTCAAAGCGAGCTCGCATCGCCTCCGAACACACTCTCCAGGGGCTCCAGCACCATGGCCGCCCTGGACCGCAAGACGAAGATATGCAGCCGCCGCGAGATCGAGAGCCTCATCGCCGAGGGACGCCAGATCGTGATCGTGGATAGCAAGGTGCTGAAGGTGGACGTATGGCTGCCATATCATCCAGGCGGTGACAAGGCCATCAGGCACATGGTGGGCCGCGATGCCACCGACGAAGTGCACCGGTACGTTCGATTTGACAACCGCTCCTTAGCTTTTGCTGACGTTGCGATCCAGCTTCCACTCTGCACAGACGCTCGAGCTCACCAGTCGCTACCAAATCGGCTGCATCGAGGGTCGATGGCTCAATTTTGTGCCGCCAATCCAGGGGGGCAAGTTCAGGACACGGGAAGAGCTGGACAAGATATCCGACGAGGATTACGCCGAGTCGTGCTCGGAGGAGCACGAGTCTGTCAGCTCTTCGTCTTCGGCAGCGCAGAGTCCAGTGTTCGAGCCCGCCGACCCGCCCGCCGCTTCGCTTCGCAAGCGTCATGTATCACCCTCGGCTTCATCCGTCTCGTCGATGGAGCTCGAGCAGCCGGCCGCTCCTACCAAGATGTCCGTACTGGATGCACGAACACAAGAAGAGCTGGATTTTGACAAGGCAAAATATCCCTCCTTGGACCCCGAGAGCCAGGACAACATCGTTCGCAAGTACCGCCAGCTGCAGGACCGCATTGAGGCCGAAGGCTTGTACCAGTGCAATTACTGGTCAGGGTATGGCGTCGAGTGTCTCCGCTACTTTACCGCCCTTGCTTTGACCGGTCTTTGCCTGCGGGCCGGATGGTACATCACCGCAGCCTTCCCGCTTGGCTTCTTGTGGCACCAGCTGTCCTTCACAGTGCACGACGCCGCTCATATGGGCGTTACCCACAACTACTACGTCGACTCTATTCTAGCCATGTTTATCGCAAACTACTGTGGCGGTCTGAGCGCGTGCTGGTGGAAGCACAGCCACAACGTGCACCACCTCGTCACAAACTCGCCAGAGCACGACCCCGATATCGAATACCTTCCCTTTTTCGCGATCACGCACAGGTTCTTTGAAGATCTTAGATCTACCTATCACGAGTTCACGATGAAGTACGATGCCATTGCCAAGGTCATGGTTCGTATCCAGCATTACACATACTACCCGATTATGATGGTTGCGCGTTTCAACCTCTACAGACTCGGCTGGACCTACATTTTACTGAACCAGAGTCCCAAGAAAGGTCAAGCCTGGTGGTTCCGCTACTTCGAGCTTGTCGGCCAAGTCTTCTTCTGGACCTGGTACGGCTACTTCGTGGTGTACAAGACGATCCCCGGCGGCTGGAACCGCTTCGCGTTCGTCATGATCAGCCACGCCATCACCGCGCCCCTGCATGTCCAAATTACCCTCTCGCACTTCGCCATGAGTACCACCGACATGGGCGTTACCGAGTCCTTCCCCCAGAAGATGCTGAGAACCACCATGGACGTCGACTGTCCCCAGTGGCTTGACTTCTTCCACGGCGGCCTCCAGTTCCAGGCTATTCACCACCTGTACCCTAGAATTCCGCGGCATAACTTGCGCCGCACACAAAAGTTGGTCCAGGAGTTTTGCAACGAGGTGGATATACCCTATGCGCTATACGGATTCGTAGACGGTAATAAGAAAGTCCTTGGAAGGATGGCGGATGTCGCGCGGCAGGCTGCTATCTTGGCTGAGTGCCAGCGCACGATCGTGGCTGGCGAGGTCGCGCATTAACGGGACTCTGACATTTGCATAGCATGCGAGATTTGCTGTTGGACATAGAATCATGATAGGACGGAAAGACAATGGATACGATATACACGGCAGCGCACGACGTCCGCTGTCATTGGCACACTGCTTATCCACATACAAGTCATATTGCGTGTTCTTGTCCACCGCGCTACGTCGCGATCGGAGCATTTTGTTTCGGCCCCCAGTACAGTAAGCAGTCGACGAGCTAGCGCTCTCTCCGTCTTATCCATTCGACTCCACTGGTGTACTTTCTATGAGTGGTATACTCGTTGCGAGCGAGTGGTCGTCTCGACAAGGCTGACCTCACGTGGGTTAGGGCTAGCATCAGAGCGGTTGACGCTCCAAGCAGGGTTCGTGCGTCGTCTTTCTGCACAAGGTATGCAGTTCGCTGCTCGCTTTAGCATTAGTAGATACATAGCCGAGTTGGAAGGCGACCCCTGTTCTGCGTGCTTTTCTGCTAACAGAGTTAGGCGGGGGAGTAAGGAATGGCGGGCGGCAGAAAGACGGAGGGCAGTGCATGTCGATATTTAGTAGACTTCGTCTCATATCTCCAAGTGAGTACAGAGGAACGCAATGTATGTAATGCAATCATGTGCTTCGGAGAATGTAAGCACGTCTCTGTAATATATGCTTTTGGTGGATGAACATCCCTGTACTACGTGCGCTTCCAATAAAAGATGTAGGCGGGGAAGAGCCGGCATGCAATGGCTGTGCCACCGGGGCCTGGTTGCCACGGAGTTTCCAACAGAGTAAGCATGATGAGGCGGCCAAGAATTGAGCGGCTGGCTATTGCATTAAACTCTAGGTGCAGTAAGGACCCGTGTCGGACGCAGTATAAGAGCTGCTTATGCGCCGGAATGGAACGATTTCAGCTTTTGCGCCTGCTTACTCGTGGCCACAGCTCCCTCAGCATGGCTGTCTCGTTTACGACCGTCGTCCTCCAGTATCTACCGATTGCACTTGTGCTGTCATTTGTGTATGCAATTACCTTGGGCATATACCGCGTGTACTTGAGTCCGCTGTCACACATTCCAGGCCCAAAACTTGCGGCCGCAACGCGCTGGTATGAGCTCTACTACGATGCCTACAAAGTGGGAAAATTCTACTTTGAGATTGAGAAGATGCACGAGAAATACGGTAACCACATCGTCCTCGGCCCACTGCCCTCTACCTCCAATTTCCACATGCTAACACAAGCTCAGGCCCCGTCGTCCGCATCAACCCATTCGAAGTCCATATCTCTGATCCCACTTACTATAACGAGCTGTACAACATGAAGCTCAGACTCCACAAAGACCCATGGTACTATTCATGGCTCTACCGCCCAGGCTCCATCTTCGCGACCATGAATCCAGACCTCCACAAACTGCGCAGCGCACCGATAAAGAAAGGCCTATCACCCACAAGCATCTCCCGCGTAGAGCATGTTCTCAAAGAGCACCTCTCCCGCCTTATGCTCCGCATCCAAGAACACAAAGACCGCGGCCAGCTCATCCACATGACTAGCGCATATCGCGCGCTCGCAACCGATATTGTGACGGATATTTCCTGTCCCAAGAGCCTGCACCTGCTGGACAAGCCCGGCATGGGCCACGAGTTCCACGAGGCGATCGCAAACTACACCATGTTTGCGATCTGGAACCGGCAATTCACCTGGATCGGGCCGCTCCTGGACTCTCTCCCACGCTGGCTCGTCGCGCTGCAGGGCGACGTCGCCCTCGGCATCATTGACTTCCTCGTTGGTCAAGAACAACAGGCCGAAGACGTGATCAAGAACGATGGCAAGCCGATCGGCACAAAGTCCTTCCCCGTCATCATGAACGAAGTCTACAAGTCTCCGGACATACCGCCCTCTCAGAAGACCCCGCGGCGCCTGTTCGAGGAGATAGCAATCCTCATCGCTGCAGGCAGCGAGACCACCAGCAACTCCTTACTCACAACGACATACCACGTCCTCGCAAACCCAGAGATCCGCGCAAAGCTGCAGGCGGAACTCCGCACCGCCTTCACAGCGGAGGAAACAAGGGGGGTCCTGAGCTACAAACAGCTCGAGCCCCTGCCCTACCTCACCGCCGTCATCCACGAGGGTCTGCGCCTCGCAACAGGCGTATCCGGTCGTCTCCCACGCATCAACAAGATCGCGCCAACCCTCTACACAAACCCCTCCACCCACAAAACTTACACGATACCACCCAACACGCCCGTCTCCATGACCACGCGCTCCATGCACTACAACGCCGCGTGCTATCCCTCCCCAACTACCTTCCTCCCTACACGATTTCTCGGCGATGAGAAGAAGGAGAGTCTGAAGTGGTTTGCGCCGTTTGGCCGCGGCGCGAGGAGTTGTGTGGGACAGCATCTCGCGATGGCGGAGATGTATATGGTGATTGGGAATTTGTTTGCGAGGTGGGATGTTAGGCTGGGTGAGGGCGTGGACGAGCGGGATGTCGACATGGCGCATGAGTGTTTTGCGCCGTTTCCGGAGGTGGGGAGGGAGGGGGTGCTGCTTGTTATTGACGGGGATGCGAGGTGACGGTCGGAGAGTATGGGTTTGGCTCTGCGTTCCCGGAATTGGCAGACAGTCGGGTTGTATGGAAGACAGGGGCTGGTGAGGAAAGGTCTGGATGTGCTCGCTGTACCGTTGGTGCATTGCTGCCTCGCGGTTATGGAGACGGTGCGATGTAGACGGGACAGCTGGTTCACGCGGATATCAAGACCGCGTGAAGCCTGGAATATGTTAGTGGGCACGGATTTCTTCGAAACAATGATTTCCCCCACAACAACGTCACGTTGCCCTAGCAATGCTAGAAGGCCTTCATTTATATACCGTTTTGCTATGTTCATTTCCAGAGATCTATATTTATTAGGTTCCTGGGTAAATCGCGCGTTGTTAGCACATGTGAACCTTGAAATTTACCTCCCAATGGGATAAGTACGCCAGTCCACAGAGTATGGCGCCTTATCTCTAGTTGTCTTTCCCGGCCTATGTTAGCGGTATTGATGACAGTTCTTACATACCAATCCCATGTCCCAACCGTACAGACGCCGACGTAACGCTGTTCGAGATCCAAAACTGGTCCTATTAGTATAGCGCGGTGTCCGATCCTCCACCGCAGACAGCGAAGTCTCTCAGCAAATACCCAGCACTAAATGGCAGGTCGATGCGGATGGTATGTGCAACATTTACTTGGCGTTGATGCAGCGGCAGGCAGTCGAATTCGCCTTGCACTGCACCGGTACCCTCGTCCCAAACACCGGCGATAGACAAACCGTCACACCTCATGCGGTCGAGCACCCAGCGGCCCCACCATTGCACGGCCCTGCAGTGCGCAGAAGATCCGCAGCTACAAGTAGGCGTCGTTTTCTACGCTGGGGTGGGCACAATACTCGGCATCGGCGGGCGGATCATGCTGGTGCAAAGCTATCTGTCTGCGCTTGTACAGGCTTCTCGGACGAGGACTGGCCGGGAGTGACCCACAGGAACGCGACGTCATATTCCGATCTCTTAACGAGACCGAGTGTTTCCTGGTAATCATTGTCGAATGCATCGGGTTTCGACTGTTTCCGCCACGTTGGAAATGTGAGGCCGGAATGATCTACAACAGCGCAGATGTACAACAAGGTGACTGCCCGATGGTGGGTAGTTCATCTGGGTCCTACGGCCTTCTAGAAGTCTTCTGTGCGGACAAGATCGACGTCATGCCCCGGCCCTGTCTCGAAGATCACATCGCCCCAACACCATGCCGCGTGGACAGTGGCGCCCATTTGGCACTTTCGAAAACATGCTCGGGTCACGCTCCCGGGATCTGCTTGTCGCTTCCGAGATTGCTCTTCTTTCGGCGCGGAGATCATTTTTTGATCTATTTGTGGTGGGTTTTTGATTTGAGGTGCCAATATATCCACCGGGAAACCACGACCGCGTTTCCGATATATGAAGCGCCAGCGGGTCACAACCAGATATGCACCCCAGAAAGCGGCAATGGAAAAATAAAGCTTAATTGAAGCTTAATTGCAGCGTTAGTCTAGGCCTACAAATAGTGATCTCGGGCGCCTTCTATAGATTTTGTCTTCTCACCTGTACCTTCGTACTCGACTGACAAGACACTGCTCGCAACGATGCTTCGTCAAATCGCTCTCGTCGCCCTCGCGGCGCTTCCCGGCTCTCTGGCTCAGGTTACTGAAGGCTTCGAGAACGGATGGGACCAGACTGCATGGCCGACTTACGCTCTTGATTGCAGCCAAGGTGGCTCAGTCGCGCTCGACACTACGACTGCTCACAGCGGCAAGAACTCGATCAAGGTTACCGGTGCTGGTGGCTACTGTGGACACATCTTCGTCGGCACGACCAAGGTTCCCAGCAGCGGCGACGTCTACGTCAGGACCTGGCTGTGAGTCTTTACCATCTGTCAACAACCTACCACATTGCTTATCTTCCGTGTCTTACAGCAAAGCCTCAAAGGCCCTGACCGATTCTCACGTCTCTTTCATCACCATGCCCGACTCCGCCCAAGGATCCAAGAAGCACCTTCGCATCGGCGGCCAATCCAAGATCCTCATGTACAACCGCGAATCCGACGACGCGACGCTTCCCGACCTCTCGCCGAACGGCATCGCAGCGTCCAAAGCTCTTCCCACCGGCAGCTGGCAGTGCTTCGAGTACCACCTGGGCGCGGACGGGTCAATTGAGACATGGCTAAACGGAGAAGCCATCGCGGGGCTGACCACAAAGAACAACTCCAACGCAGGACAGTGGACAAGGAGCTCGATCAAGCCCAAGATTACGGGGGTTTACTTCGGATGGGAGTCGTACGGTGGGGACACAAACACATTTAACTACGACGATATTGCTATTGGCTCGACCCGAATTGGCTGCACGTAGGGTGTTTCAAACGTGGAACAGGGAATGTGGGGGTAGGCACAACTTGTCCATACAAGGTACATCGTCACTGTAAATATTGTTAGCATTTATCGATCAGTGAGAAACACGAGGATATCGTTTTCCTGCACTGCAACGCGGCCCACGTTAGCTGAGTGAAGCGTGGATCACACTTATGCCGCACACCCTGACCCACCTCCTGCATCTACATGCACGATGTACCATCACCATCTCCGTCAGCAGGATCAGTTTCCCGAAATGGAATTCCACCCTCGAAGCCCATCATGTAACATGCATTACCCATCAAGGCACGTCCCGGCGCGTGACCCCGCGTCTTGGTGCTCCGGCGCGAGCGACGATCTCTTCGGCTAAGTGCCTGGCTTTGTACCTTGCATCGACTAAATCGCGGCTACAGATGCAGGCAATCAACACCATCACAACGGCTATCACGGAAGCGACTAGGCCCGGGATATTTCCCCATGCAATTTCTTCCGCTGCAGCGCGCGCGATATATTGCGCTGGGACCCACCGCCCGGACTTATCACTACGAGTTGGTTAGTGGACCAATGAGGGGTACGCTCCAAGATCTTGAGAGCTGCATGAGATGAGGAGGACAGCACGATAGTGGGAGGTTGGAGCGGTGGAGTAGTCGATTAGGGACGAAGGCGGGCCGCTCCCGTGACGAAATGTAGGTTCCCATCGGTGCGATAATGCACCGAAAGTGGAAAGTGGTTTGCGCTGTAGATGCAGCAAGGTACTATAAGGGTGAGGGACTATATCAGATGCCCTTATAAGGTCGCGATAGTACGTACCCCCTCAACGGATCCGTACGGTCGTTCTGATCGAGCAGACCAGAGGCCCGCTCCCCAGCCCGTCGCGAACCATGCCCTCACTCAAGTCGTCAAGTCCGTCTGGACTTCTCCTCCTTGGACTGCTGCTCCTCACTGTCGTCGGACATACAGTCGCACAATCGTCGCGCAAGCGCTCCAGTCTCAATGCCGACTGGCGGTTCTCCCGCTTCGTCGACAATCCTGACGGGCTTTCCTACGACACCCTCAAGGCGTGGATACTGCCTTCATCCAATGACTTCATCACCCGCGCGAAGTACCAGAGACCTACAGGTACGCCACCGGGGAGTGACGTCCAGTATGTCAAGGACTCTTTCGACGACAGCAAGTGGGATCCCGTGACCCTTCCGCACGATTGGGCTATCAAGGGACCATTCGGCGCGCCTGGCGTTTCTGGCCCGGAGGGTAAATTGCCCTACAATGGCGTGGGGTGGTACCGTAAGACGGTTAAGCTTGGAACTGGAGATGTTGGCTCCGGGAAGAACCTGTACCTCGAAGTTGACGGCGCCATGTCGTATGCGAGTGTCTTTTTGAATGGCGTACTTGTTGGTGGTTGGCCATATGGATACAACGCATTCCGCTTGGATCTTACGCCGTATGCGAAAGCTGGGGATAACACCCTTGCTATTCGACTTCAGAATGCGCCGGATTCTTCCAGGTGGTACCCAGGTTAGTCGAGCCCATTCGCTTTTGCTACGATCTGCATCCGGACCCGTGACTAACAGCTATCGATACTAGGTGCTGGTCTATACCGCAATGTCTGGCTGGTAAAAGTCAATTCCGTTCACGTTGCGCAGTATGGAACCAAAGTCACCACGCCATCCGTCAGTGCCGGATCAGCGACTGTGGACCTGAGCGTCACAATCGAGAACACTTCCAACAGCACCAAGCGGGTCGACTTGGTGACTGAAGTCTACGAAGTAGACGCGTCAACCGGTAAAGCCACAGGCGACGCCAAGGCAACTTTTAAGAGCATTTCTATCAGCGTTGCAGGCGGCTCGAAGCAGGTCGTGAACAGCACCACTGAACTCTCCAACCCCAAATTATGGGGACCAGCCCCGGAGCAGACTCCGAACCAGTACGTTGCTATCTCGAAAGTGTCGGCTGGCGGAAACGGTACTGTCGATTCAGTCGAAACCAAGTTTGGCGTTCGAACACTTGTCTATGACGGTAATAAAGGCCTCATCGTCAACGGTGCCCACGTGTACGTGAAAGGTGTATGCAACCATCACGATCTTGGATCCCTTGGAGCCGCCTTCAACTACCGCGCTGCCGAGCGTCAGCTCCAGATATTGTTAGAAATGGGCACCAACGCCCTCCGGACGTCGCATAACATGCCTGCCCCCGAGCTCCTTGACCTTGCAGACAAGTACGGTATCATGGTGATGGGCGAAACCTTCGACACATGGAAGACGAAGAAAGTGGCCAACGACTATCATCTGCTCTGGGACGAGTGGCACGAAGCAGACATGCGATCATATGTCCGCCGTGAACGCAATCATCCTTCCATTGTGGCATGGAGCATCGGAAACGAGATGCCTGACCAGTCGTCCGCGTTGGGCGGCCAGATAGCCACAGAGCTGCAGAACATTGCACGCCAGGAAGACGGGACTCGGAAGTCTACCGCAGGTCTGAATAACGCCGGGCCGGGCACTGCCTTGGTAAATGTCCTTGAAATCCCGGGTCTGAATTACCAAGGCGAGGGCAAAGGAACATCATGGAACTCCACGTACCCCAGCTTCCACAGCCGATACCCTGACAAGATGATCTGGGGCACCGAGACTGCATCCACGGTTAGTACACGCGGCACATACGTCTTCCCAGTGACGAGCGGCAAAACTGCCGTCGTCGGGCCCAGCGCGGGCGAGAACGTCACGATGCAGTATGTCTCCTCCTACGAGTTGTACCACCCCTCGTGGGCCGCCTCCCCAGATAAAGTCTTTATCCAGCAAGACAAGTATCCCTATGTCGCTGGCGAATTTGTTTGGACCGGCTGGGATTACATTGGCGAGCCAACGCCCTTTGACAACACCAGCCGCAGCTCGTACTTTGGCATCATCGACCTTGCGGGCTTCAAGAAGGATCGCTTTTGGCTGTACCAAGCGCGTTGGCGTCCGGACATCCCGCAAGCACACGTCCTGCCGCATTGGACGTGGCCCGACCGCGTGGGGAAGGTTACCCCCGTCCACGTCTTCACATCTGGAGACGAGGCGGAGTTGTTCGTCAATGGAAAGTCACAGGGCCGCAAGAAGACCGAGCCGTCTGAGTACCGTCTTCGATGGGATAACGTAACCTACGTGCCGGGCGAGATCGAAGTAGTCGCGTACAAGAATGGTAAGAAGTGGGCCGAAGACTCAAAGAAGACGGTCGGTAGTCCGGCGAAGCTGAACGTAACGGCCGACCGGACATCGATCGGCAACGACGGCTACGACTTGTCGTTCATCACGGTAGCCGTTGTCGACAAGAACGGTGACACGGTGCCGATGGCGAGCAACGCTATTTCCTTCTCGATCGATGGGCCGGGGGAGATTGTGTCGACGGATAACGGAGACCCCACTGACATGGTGGCTTTCCCGTCCCTGACAAGGAAGGCGTTTAGTGGAATGGCGCTTGCCATTGTGCGCTCGAAACCGGGAGAGTCGGGTAGCCTCAAGGTCTTGGCGACTTCTAGTGGGCTTGAAGGAGGCGAGGTGGTTGTACGGGCAGGTTAGGACGAGTTCAAGTTTGGTAGGTCAGTAGACTAGCGCATGATATGAATGTAAGACTCACCATACATAGGCTTGATGAAAGGTATTGTAGTGAATCACGAAACTCGTGACGACTCGTGACGTAGGTGTTGTGAAGTAAAACGAAACGTTAATAGCGTAGGTGAAGTCTTACGAGGGTATTTTCTCTCAGCTACGATTCGTATGATCAACATTGGTTCCAGGTGGAATGAGCCTTGTATCATCACGATAGTCCACCGACTTGATCCTTTTCGCTTTCGCTCAGACCCCAAGACCCCAAATTTCTAATGCGTTGGTCTGGGCCAGTATCCAGATACTAGTCCGTTCTGAAACGTACCCAATAGATCTCGTGTCAGCATAACGTAGCCCAAGCATCTCATAGTGGTGTTTCAACCCCGCTGCGACACCACATTAGCCAGTGTAAGCTTAATTAATATGAAGCCAAAATGGGAAAACACACTATGTGTACAACCAATCATTGGCGACCCAACGATGTAGCCTTAGAAATTCTAAAGATGGGAACCAAAAGGTTTGTTCTCTAGGCCGAACAGCCGTGCATCGAAGCAAGAACTCGGTCGTTTCCATCGCCCGAGAGAGCCACCTTGACAATCCATAAAGACTAAAGATGTGCACTTGCAAATACGTGAATACAAAGTAGCCATGAAAACACTCCTCCTTCCTCTCGCGACTGCTTTGCTCGCCCAACAAGGCAACGCACACTACGTCTTCAACCGTCTTATCGTCAACAACACCGTCTCAAAAGAATTCCAATACATCCGTGATGTAACCGGCAACGCCGGCACACGCGAATCCACCTGGCTGAAGTCTTTCCCAATCTTCGGCCCAGAAAACGAGAATGTAACATGCGGCCGCGGCGCCTTCCCCGTCTCCAACGCCGCAACTATCGAAACCGCAACCATCGTCGCCGGCTCGAAAGTCGGCTTCATGGTGTCCCCTCCTATGTTTGATGACGATCTGATACAGTACATTTATCACGAAGGGCCGGGACAAATGTTTTTATCCAAGCTACCCGAGGGTACTGAAAGTCTGAACGACTACGATGCTAGTGGCGATTTCTTCAAAATCGGGTACGCGGGGCCTAAGAATGCAACGACATGGCTACTCCACGACCAACTTGCGATGAACGCGACAATCCCGAAGACGACGCCGCCAGGAAAATATGTATTGCGTATCGAGCAGTTTTTGCCGTCTTCGCAGCGGGGGCAGAGTCAGTGGTTCGTAAATTGCGCGCATGTCGAGATTGTGGGAGATGGCGGGGGGACACCAGGCCCGTTTGTGAGGTTTCCGAATGCTTATAGCGAGGATGAGCCTAGTGTGTGGTTTCGGGAAGAAGGAACAGAGTCGGGATACCCAAAAGATGCGATGAAGTATGTGGAGCCGAGACCGGCGGTGTGGAAGGGTTGAGCGTTTTGAAAGGTGTTGAGAGCTAAACGAAATTTGAAACTGATACCGGTAGGATGGGATCAACTCAGTAATGTAGTTCTTCAAGGGGGACCTAGGGGTGTAGGAGCAATTGACTGCTCAATCATTTCTTGGGTACCAGTTCAGAAAACGCTTGTTGGGAAATTTCCATGGAAAATTCTACGAAGGAATGTCTGTAGGGCACAGTACATTAGGGATGGTCCATCGGGGTCGGTCCAAAAAATATAGAGTCAAGAGTCACAGAGAATCTAGCCAGCGCTTCGCCTTCTTCTAGCTGATCTCAAGCCCATGAGGATTCATTTATGCAGTTCTCTTTGCTGGTATGACAGGAGAAGGGGAGGCAGATTCACGTATCTCCCCAGAGGTGCCATCTCTCCATCCGAATCACTCTCGTCTCCAATATCGGGTAAAATAAAGCAGATTCTAAGGCCGTAATGACGGAGACCTCGTGAGCTCTTGACCCACCTTTGCGCGTCCAAGAGGCGTGTTGCACATCTCGAGTGACTGCCAACCCTCGTCGCAAAACCTTTCGTTCATTGGCCGGACCCAAGAAACGTTCACTGCACCACTCAGATCCCCCGGCCAAGGAGAAAGCTGGGCCCTTCGCCTTTCACTTTAGGTCAACTTCGGGAATTCATAGCCCAATTTCCTGTGAAGTCTATCGCATATTCTTGTCTGAGTCTACTCCACCCTTGGGATGGGCATCGGCATGGCGCCTTCACCGGTTGCTCTGTACGCTCGCTCTAGGAAGCTTGAACAATGGCTTTTCTCCTAGCCGTTTGCCTTCCTGTATTCCTCCTGTACAAGTTGAGAAACAAATTGTGTCGGAGTATATCCATCCTAGTAGGTGATTAGGTATTGAAGCACTTCAGATCTTCGCTCGTGAGGACTGCGGGTGCGGGGCACAGGTCGGGGGCGCTTCATGGGATTCGAAAATGGTCGCTTCCACAAGGTTGAAACGCAAGGACGTTAGTCTGTTGGTTCAGGTGTGGAACTCAGAAGGGTGTTCAGATGTTCGACGGTCGCCAACTGGTGTACAGAGATAATTTGGCGGCCGCGTAGACATGTTTCGAGGTGGTCATCACAAAGCGACCTGTGACTGTGTCCGACGGTTTCAACCCTTATGCCATGTCTTGAAGCTGTGATACGGATAGATAGACGCAGTCTCGAGCAGCTGCATCGTGGCTTTGGCCAACGCGAAGGAATACAATCACGCTTGGCTGAGTTCGTTAAGGTGAGGTTTTTGAAACCGATTCGAAGAGTGACAGTCGTCACGACAACATCATCTCCTCTGCTGTTGCTCTTCGAAATGGCGTCAGCGTATCAAAGTGAGAGAGCTGCGAGGTGTAACTTATAGAAGTGAAGGAGGCGAAGGTGAATGCAAACCTAGCAAGAGGTTACCTAGACCTGCTTGCTGTGCCGCAGAGCCCTGAACCCCCAGGTTAGCATAGTAACTTTCTCCTCAGATTTAGCCAGGTGGATTCACTGCGTCAGTTTGGCCATGAGACCAGATGCAGCCTGGTAGGTTCTGTAGCGGCAGTGGCTGGAGGCTGGGGTAGGTGCTGTGGCTGTGAGGAAGGCTAGCCAAGAGAGGTTTAGACAAGTTTCGTTGTGTCCTGCAAGGAAGCGCCACCCTTGATCTGTTCATTCATGCACACCGCATTGCAGATAAGCTGTCAGTATACTGCCATCAGGAAGAACGTAACGCATTTGTTTATGTACATGATGTGTGAAAGGCGCTGTGATGTGGAACTAAGGCCGTATTGGCATAACGTGGGGAAACCCCGCATCCCCAGGCATCGGGCCACGGAACAATATAGTCGGCATTCGGGTTATCGTTCCTAGAGTCGTGCATAACTAAACTGTGTCCTAACGGTGTCAATTGAGCCACCAGTCCGAGTCCCGATTGCGGAGATGTCGACTCGCGATTCAGAAGGCAGCCCTAGCGCCGTCGATACCAGCAGTCATGTGGAACAAACAGCAAATTCCCCACCCAAGTCTGCACCAGACATTGCATGCAATACCTGCCGAAAAGCGAAACTCCGGTGCTCGCGAGACAAGCCGTCTTGCGCGTATTGTAGAAAGACTGGTACGGTCCTCTTTATGACGTGGTTGCCGACGAACTGGCCCTAATTCAGTTCTCCAGGAGCGGATTGCCTGTACGAAACGAAGAGGACGAAACCGGGTTTGAAGACAGGAGCCATAGAGAACGTACACAGAAGGCTAGGTACGCTATTACACCCCACACTTTTGTCGCGGTTCCTAAACTTGTCGAGATATCCTCGAAAGGCAGACGAAAGAACAAAATGAGGCTTGGAGGTCGTCGCACATAGGCGCGAGCGTCAATTCCCAAGACAGTACAGCACGTGAGATTGTAAATCTCCTCGCTAGAGAACTTCCGAAGCTTGTCCATGGATCCACCGAAACCTCGCCTCGATCGTGGTTCACTCAGGAAACACGATTGGGCTCAAAGCGAAGACGTGTACCCGATGATGAGGATAAGAAGTGGGCAGTCGACTTTGCCGACTCAATGTCATTGAATCCGGCTCACTTGGAAGAGGCAGTCACCGCGTACTTCTTTTATGTCCATCCGTGGATCCCAATGATCCACGAAGGACGCTTTCGACAACGCTTGGAGCAAGAAGACCAGCGTGCGAGACTCGTAGTGGTGGTTGAGGCCATGGTTGTTGCGGCATCTAAATTCGTGCCAAATGCATCGATACCAGCCGGTACAATCGCGCGAGTACGAAACAGGGTAGTTACAGCAGCGATGGATTGCCTTTGCCTAGAGAGTCTCCAGGCTCTCATCATTGTAGCTTATAACGACGTGAGTGATCATCAGGCATACGAAAGAACTGTCTGACAGGCGCATATAGATTGGAGATGGAAACGCCGCGAAAGCCTGGTCACTCGTCGGTTCACTCACGCGCACAGTTGAGTATAGCCAACTGGCGCAAGAGCGCGAAGACAACGAGCACCGATCACTTTGCCAGCCATTCGAGGTCTTAGATCATACGTCAGACTGGACCGAACTTGAAGAGAGACGGCGAATCTTCTGGAATGTGTTCGACCTCGATCGCTTCTGCTCTGTTGCAATGGGTTGGAATACAAGTCTGACATCCGCGGATGTTTATCGTCGATTACCATGTGATGGCCACCTTTGGCGCAAAGAACAGGCTGTCAAAACCCCATACTTTGGCATCTGGGACAAGTCAGCTGGGAAAATGGGAGTTCCGATAGGTTTCTTGGTCGAAGATGATGACCTTCCAGAAAAGGCCAAAAGGATCTCAACAGCGGACTCACGTGCGCCCCAAGGATTGAAAGCTGCAGATATGTCAAATGTGGGTGCAGTCGCGTATCGCATTGAAGCCACTGAGTCAATGTCCCGTGTGGCAATCTGTTTCCTGCAGCAGAAAGTCAACATGCGCAGCCAGCAGGAGATATCGTCTTGGCTTACCAGGTTTAAAGAGTTGGATCTGCGGTTGGTACATTGGAAGATGCTTCTTCCCCAAAAATGGAAGAGCAACCCTAATATGACTCGGCCAGTTCTACTCATGGATCCGAATCTCACACTGGCCCACGTTACGCACAACGCGACTATGATCCTGCTGCATCAACTCATAGCCTACCCTCCCTTTCACTGGCCATTCCGTAGTCGATTGCCAAGCAGTTGTTCCATCGAAGCTTGTTATTCAGCGGCCATGGAAATTGCTACGATCAGCCAAAGATATCTTGCCAATTCCCCGCAAAGTCGCCCAGTCGCGAGTCAGTTCGCCTTTTGTATTTTCATTGCGGGAAGAGTTCTTCTCATCCATTGGCGCTCTAGCCCTCGAAACGAATTTCCAAATGAGTTTTGGAATCTGGTGCAGTGCCTGGAAGAGATGTCAAGGCGTTGGACAGGTCTTTCCCCGATACAAGCTCATAATCAAAATCTGTCGGGACGATATGTCGCACGTCTCAAAGAGCTCTACATCTCATGTGTTAGAGATGAGGCTTTCCGAATCTCAGTCGCTGATTATACCAACGAGATTACATATCGCGTCAACACGTCATCCGAATCAATCCAACCTCGACGGCCGATGCATACCAACGAGATGCACCCACGACCGGACATGCCTATCTCTGGAGTTAGCAACGCAGAATGTCCTGTTCGACAGACCGACCCGCAGCCAGATGCAACAATGTTCGGGGATGCGAGGATGGATATAGCAGATATCGATAATCTGGAGGGCGTGGATTTCGACACTTTGCCGCAATTGATGCTGGATCGGCACTTCATTGATATGGACCGCATAATCGCATTCGAAGATGGGAGCATGTTTGCCGCCACGGTCGATAACGGCATGTTCTAGTTACATAGTCCGCTCATACAATTCCCATCTTCATCAAGCGGTTGCCGAACTGTACAAGATAGTAGTCTCCATATACCAATCCGTGATTCGCATATCTTTTTCGCGCTTGCTCGTTGTTGTTAGCTGTCCCGTACTTTAACATCCCTTCGAAAGACCATCCGGGCGTCGAGTCTTCTGCGCTGATGTAACCATTTGATGCGCACACCAGTGTCGCCGTCTCTGGTGCCAAGGCAAATGAGATTGTATCCTGCACTATCATCATAGCAGTTTCACGAAATCGAGAAGCCAGCATGCCTGAACCAAACCCTGCTAATGCCTGAGACAAGATAAGCATTCCATTAGCAGCGATCATGCCAGCGGAAGAATCGCGGACAATGTTGGTTTCGTCGTCAATGGGGGCGTCAAAATCCCAAAGCGGCACATAACGGCCTGGAGTCGCGTAGGCTGGAGTTGTTTCCAACCGGTAAAGAAAGTATTCAGCAAGACCACAAGAAGCATGCAGAAAACGCCAGTCTTTGGTAGAGAGATAAGCCTGTGCGTATCCTAGAATTGCCCACGCTTGTCCACGCGCCCAGTTGGATTCGTGGGCGTAGCCTTGGGCAGTCAGACGTTGCTTGAGAGTGCCGCTTTTCGGATCGATATTTGCCACATGGCAAGTTGAATACCATGGGCCAGTATAGCAGACTTTCGGTTTGTTCGACAAGACCACGTGCTCAGGGCGTAAGTGTGACCTCAATAGGGTTTCGGCGTGCGCAGTCGCCATTTCGGCCAAAGATGGATCTTGCGTGTGGTGAGCGGCGTAGTACATGAGGTCTAGATTGCACATGCTGTCGATAATAACGATCATGTTGTCTTCTTGATCCAGAATCTCCATGTCTCTCGTTTTGAGTATATCCCAGCTCCTGATTGCTCGTGCAGAAGGAATATATCGCGAGGCTAGGCTCCGTGCGGCTCTTACAATCGAGTCAAGACTTTTCCGGTTACCAAAAAGTTCCCAGTCTAACTGCAATGCAGGCATTATAATAAAGCCGATATCATGGGTGTCGGTGCGCGTGTCCATGTTGTACAACGGTTCTGCCCATGTACGGCACAATGTCAGGAGTTGCTCGCGGAACTGCAGAATGCTTATCTCAGGCGGCAATTGTAGGCTCTGAGGAAACCTTACGGCACGCTCTAGGATGGTATACAGCGTGCCTGGAAAGAAACCACAAGTCCAGAAGTCGGCCTCACGAAGAGTATACCTCCCGCCCTGACCCGCATCCTGAGGAACGTACTCTGGGAAAAAGTCCGGAAGAGCTTTGATTGCAGTCTGAGCTGTTCGAAGAGCCTTGGCCGTGATGTTTTCGGTGAACAGGTCTGGAAGATGCCGATCTACAACGAAAGCTGCGTCCGAGGTGTCCATTTCTAAGGATGTGACACTTGTAGGTGGACTAGACTCCACGACGCAGGTATCCTCGTCACTAGAGTTGGTAAAATGGTAAGGCAGAGTCATTTTCGGCGAAGCGGATTGAGAAGAGACAAGATTGCTTCCGGGCAAGCTTTATGGATAAGCGGCTGCCCGAGCCGCAAGGCGACCTTGTCCCCCTTGGTTCCATCCCGTCCCGTAATCTCGCACCGAGTTAGCCATGTTACACGTTGTCCGCAGCCAAAACGTCCGGCGCGATGTGGGATAAGAGTGTCGGAGGAAGAGTCTCTCCAAAGGCCGCTGCCAATGCTCCGGGGATGTTGTCCTTGCCTTTTTTGGTTCGGCGTTGGAGAAGCGAAGATGCGGGGCAGGACGTGTTCGGGCTAGCGCTGCACCGACTAACAACATCGACTCAGCACTCCTCCGCAAAACTCGCATCAGGGTCATCTACCTTTACTAACTACGCGCGCGGAATAAATACTTGAGATGTTGCTCCCCACTATAACTGTTACATACCGGGATTGGCTTTCCTCCCCTTGACTCCGTCTTCTTCCATAGCGATCCCGTCCATCATGCAGAAACCAGATGAATCCGGGGAAATCTCGACTGCCGAAAGGACGTACGATGTCGGCGACAAGAATAATGAACATGATGAAGTCGTAGTGAGCTCTGCGACCGAGAAGCCCACGAGATCTCTGTTCGTGGCATGGATGTACATTTTCGACTGGTACCCCAGCCACTATAGCAAGGAAGAGAAGAAGCTCTTGCGCAAGCTTGACTGCATCCTACTTACCTTGTGCTGCTTGTGCTTCTATATCAAATGGCTCGACCAGAATGCGCTCAATAGTGCGTATGTTTCCGGTATGAGAGAGGAGCTTCGCATCAAAGGGAACCAGTATGTTCTCCATCCTCACTTTGGTCACTTGCTTACGTATGCAAGGTACTCGCTGTTCGGTACCTTTTACAACATCGGGTATCTGATCTTCGAGATTCCAAGCATGATGATCATCTCACGTCCGAAGCTGGCCCGTTACTACCTACCACTGATGGAGACGCTGTGGTCGATCCTCACCTTCTGTCAAAGCAAGCTTCAGAATGACAAGCAGATATTCGGCTTGAGGTTCCTACTAGGTGTTTTGGAGACCCCGGCTTCAACCGGCAGCATCTACCTTTTGACATCGTGGTATCGTGCTGACGAGGTCTTCAAACGCGCTGGCGTGTGGTACGTCTCGAGCAATGCTGGAGCAATGTTCAGCGGCTACTTACAGGCGGCTGCGCACAAGAACCTGAATGGCGCCATGGGCCGCTCGGGTAAGTCGCATGATTTGACACGCCGAACTTGACCTGCTGACGTAGTTTTTTTTATAGGCTGGCGGTGGCTGTTTATCATCGACGGCAGCATCAGTCTTCCAATTGCACTCCTCGGCTTTATCATGTTCCCTGGCCTTCCTACCAGCCCACGGGTCTGGTGGCTCACAGAGAAGGAACAGAAACTCGCCATCGCCCGCATGCGCAATGATGGAGTGAAGCAATCCAGCAAGATCGGAAAACGTATGCTCAAGCGTGTCTTCACGCATTGGCACTTCTACATCCTTGTCCTAACGTACGTGTGCTTTCAGTGCACCTCGTATGTCGGCGGTCAGATGGCGATCTGGCTCAAATATGAAGCTGACAAGCACGGCACATACACCATTGAGGAGATCAACCTCATTCCGACTGGTGTACAGGGTGTGGCCATCGTCACTGGTGTCTTGGCTACTAGTCTGGTCATGATATACCCCATGTGGATCGTGTTTACGGTCGTTTCCTCGATCCTGCTATTTGCCAATGTATGTTTGCTGGTATGGGAAATACCGCTTGGTCTGCACTGTAAGCGTGTTTTTTTTCTGATCCGACCACCCATGATACGCCGACACTAACCTGCAACAGTCCTCTGTTACTACCTCCTGGGTATGACATCCTGTATCACACCCATTCTCTTCCCATGGGTGAATATGATGATGAAAGACGACAACGAAGCGCGCAGCTTCACCACTGGCGCAATGATGACTATTGGCTGGGCGTTCTTCAGCTTCTACCCCATTACTACGTTCCCGATTCTTGAGGGGCCGAAGTGGCGGAAGGGCTTCACCGTCAACACAGTGCTCATATGTGCTTATATGACGTTCTTCCTGGTTGGTCAGTACCTGTGGAGGAGGGAAGTAGCGGCGAAAACGTTCGACACAGACCCTTCTGCCAGCGAGCCGCTGGAAAAAGAGCCTGACGCCGTGCACGTCGAGGTTGCAGATAAGGAGACGAGGGTCTGAGACCACCGAAAGATAGTCTTAAGCATACGCCAGGAAGAGAACAAGCTAGAATTTTGAGCTTGCCGCAGCTACGCAGTATGTCTGCCAAATTTGATATCGCGGACCTCAGAGTACCGGCGCGTCAATAACTTCAAGTGCACATGTAGCTTTATGGAAACACGTCACGGGACTTGTGCAGGATCATTGGCCCGAAGCCGAGATACAAAGTATATAAGTTTCGCCCTTCCCTTAGCTACGGTCTGTCTACCTTCGGCCCTTTTCCTTTCCCGAGAGCCTCCAACATACGCATAACGTTGTAACCCACCATGCCGCCCCTCCCAGGGTTTTCAGACAACCCACTGCGTACCCGCGCCGACCTCATCCGCGCTGCGATCGCCCTCGTTAAGCCTCTAAACCCATACAAGTCCCCAGGCGGAGCGCGTATCAAACTAGCCACCTCGACCGCCGCCGGATTCAGCGAGACGGCCGCCCAACTCGAAGGCTTCTCCCGGCCCCTCTGGGTCGTCGCGTATCTCCTAAGCTTGCAATCCACGGAGGTCGACCCCTTTATTCAAGCCCTGCTCTCTGATGCAGCGCTGAACTTGGAATCATGGGTCCAGGGCCTGAAAGAAGGCACAAACCCCCAGTCGCCGGAGTACTGGGGCGACTTGGCTCCATTCGACCAAAGAATGGTCGAAACGGAAACCATCGCCATCGCGCTGCTCGTCCATCCCTCCGCCTTCTCTTTCGAGCACGATCCCGCTGCGAGGAAGAATTTGGTGACGTGGTTAAGACAGATTAATGGACATGCTATGCCAGCGAATAACTGGCTTTTCTTCCGCGTGCTGGTTAATCTCGCGCTGGTGCTCACCTTAGGTGTTCCCTTGGGGGAGGTGAAGAGCTATATCGACGATGCGCTGGAAGTGTTGGATTCTTTCTATCTCAGCGAAGGCTGGAGTTCTGACGGTCTGTGGGGCGCGGAAAGGAAGCAAGCAGATTACTACTCCGGCAGTTTCGCGATGCAATTCTGTGCGCTGCTATTCGTGAAGCACGCCGAGACTCTAGCTGGATACGGAGAACGGGTGGCGAAGTTCAAAGCAAGAGCGCGGGAGTTTGCGAGTGAGTACTGGCGGTACTTCGCCCCCGCCGGCGCGGCAATCCCCTTCGGCCGCTCCCTCACATATCGCTACGCCTGCGGGGCTTTTTGGAGTGCTGCGGCATATGCTGGAATCGACTTGCCTCCTCCACTGGATATCGGCACGGTGAAGGGGTTATTGCTGAGACATTTGCGGTGGTGGGCGGGGCATGAGGGGATATTCAACACAGACGGCACCCATAATATCGGGTACACCTATCCGAATATGTATCTCGCCGAGAACTACAACTCCCCACAGAGCCCGTACTGGTGTCTGAAAGCATTGCTGATTCTCGGTCTACCATCGTCCTCCTCTTTCTGGACGGCGACCGAACTGCCCCACCCGTTATCCCCATCCGCACCGCAAGCCTCTCCAAAGCTGGAGCTGGCAAAGATAAAGCTTCTCCCCCAGCCACACCAGATTTTAGTAGGCGCAGAGGAACATCACTACCTCGTCTCGTCCGGGCAATGCACAGCCAAACGCTTCAAAGGGAGGGAAGCCAAGTACGGCAAGTTTGCGTATTCCTCCGCGTTCGGGTTCTCTGTTCCCGCCGGCCCTCTCCTCGAACAATTAGCGCCGGATTCCACCCTAGCCATCTGTTTCGAGGGGGAGGAGGACGAGGCAGGGTGGAAGGTACGCTGGGCACCAGAGGGCGTTGAGTTTGGGGAGGGAACTGCGGAGGGGACGTGGATCCGGAGTACATGGCGACCCTGGAAGACAAGCGGTGTGCACGTCCAAACGACGCTCGTGGTGCCGGGGAGCAAGTGGGGTGGGTGGCATGTACGGGTGCACCGCATCAGTCTCCCACCTGGCGCGCCCGCGATGAGGGTTGTGGACGGGGGTTTCGCAATCGACGCTCAGACGTCCCGCGGCTCATCCATTTTCGAGACGAGCGTGGGTGCTTCGTTCCCCCAGGCACACGGGGAGCAGAGAATGGAGGGGTGGTGGAGCGACGGGCTGGGAAGTCTAGTCCTCTCCCGCGGCGGCGCGAGCGGCGTCGTGGACCTCACCTACTCTATCGACGGCGGCGCAGCAGCATCAGACGGCAAGGCGCTTATCATCCGCGCGGATCCGAATACGTGAGCTGCCTTTTCCTTTCCCCTTTCCTCCTACGCCTACTTGTCTAACCAGAGATCTAGCAATCTGATTGCGTCTCGCACACTGATACCCGCCATGCAGCACTCGCTCGCCGCCAACGATGGAGAAGGGAACAAAGTGATCTGGCTGGTCACGGGCGTATTCGCTGTTCAGGCTGAGGCGACACGGCATCTTGAGCGGGTGTGGGAGATGTGGGGAGACCGGCCTAAAGGACGGTTCGAGGGGGGCAGCGTGAGGTTCGTGTAGGGAAAAGATTGCAGCAAGATCAATACAAGCGCGTTCATAACATTTGCATTTGCTGCGTGACGTGATAACCAACGGCACCGTGCCAAGCAGACTATGTCTTTGCCGCCCGTGATGCTCGTCATGCCTACCCATCTCACCACCAAACAACTAATCAAGCTCTCAAAGCATCGCAACATGATCAAGATGACTGGGACGCGAGGATCACTCTCTGACGAAGAAAGAAAAGGGTATCAATGCCCGCCCACCGCTCACTGCATCTCCTCCGTCTTCGCTCTCTTCCCATTCGCTGCGTCTTCGTCGACCTCCAGTTTCCGCTTACCCGACGCCTCTGCCGCGGACGATGATCCTGCAGGCGCGGGCTTCTCCTTCTTCTTCGTCTTGACGAGACCCGAGATGTCGTTAGCAGACTTTGTCGCCTCGGCGAGCGCGGCCTTTTGCGTTGCAGGGTCTGCGCCGAGGAGGCCGCCGAGCAGGCCTTGGAAGACGGTTGGGTCGACGGCGTCGAACTTTTGCTTTGTGGGGTCTTCTTTGAGGTCGGCGAGCTGGGCGATGTTAGTATGACGTACTTTGCACGAGAGATGGACAAGATCAACTTGGACTTACCCGTGTCTTGAGGTCCTCTAGCATGCTCTTCTTGTCTGCGAGCTCGGCCTCGAGCTCCTTCTTCCGCTCAGGGGTGAACGTCTCTGCTGTGAGAGACTCCTCTGCTTTCTTGAGATGTGCCTCCTGGTTCTGAATGGCGAGCTCGGTCTGCTTGCTGGCTTCGTTGCGCAGGTCCCAGTCCACAACGTCTTCTTCCTGCTTCTGGGCGTCTTCGGGGGCGGCTTCCTTGTTGGCCTGCTGCTCGCGAATCTTCGCCATGGATGCGAACTCCAGGGCTAGCGACAGCGTGTAGTGCGCTGATGTGACCTGCTCGTGCCCGAATGGATGTAGCTCCTCCAGGAGCTCGAGCGACCTGCGTGCATCTGGTATCGCGTCGTGGAAGCGCTCGTTCTCGAAAGATAGATCGACGAGGAAGCCGTAGATGTCTGCGAGTTTCGTCTTGATTGCGCGGGCTTCTGGGGAGAGCTCGGCCTTGCCCTTGCCTTTGCCTTTGCCTGCACTGTCGCTGCCGTCGAGTGCTTCCAGCTGCTTGTGATACAGTACGCGCGCAATCTCGAACATCTCAAACGCATCCCCGAAATCGTCTTGCTCTTCCTCCTGGCCTTCCTCGCCGTCGGTCTCTTCCTCCTCCTCGTCTGAGTCATCCCAGTTCTCCATGCCGGTCAGCTGGAAGAACGGCTTCGACTGGACCGTCTGTTCCTTCCCTGCTGCCGCTGGTGCGCCGTTGGTTGCTGTGCTGCCCTCTTCTGGTATCGTGTCCTCCTTCTTCGCTTTCTTGGATTTGGGCTTCTTCTTCTCCTCCTGTGCGACCTTGGTGCCCAACACATCGCTCTTTGCGATTGCGACCTTGTAGAGCGCGCGGCCGTAGTTGAAGAGCAGCTCTGCGTTCTCGGGAGCCATTTCGCCGTTGAGCTTGGACTGGATCTCGGCGGCGTCGGCATAGTGGTCGGCGGCAGCGGAGAAGTTCTTGAGCGAGTACTGGAGGGAGGCGGCCTGGGTGAGCTCGTCGAGCTTCTCTTTGGTCGCGGGGAGCTCGGCCGTGTCTGCGGCGACGTCGGGGGTGGGCTCGGCCATTGTGCTGGATTTTTCGGCCTTCTCTGTGCGGCAACGATCCGGTACGAGGTTTGTCGCCGAGGGTGTTGTTTGTAGCATGCGGGCGGGCGGGCGCAAACCGAAAGTGAAGGCTGGCGGTCCGTGCACACGTGCAGGCGCGACCGCGTCGACGCGTAAATTACTCGGCCATGGACGTGACGTACAAGCACTTCCAGTATCCCGCCCAACGACGACCAGACACAATGGCGACCGCCAGACGGCCAGAGAAACCCTCGGCAGTTCCCCCGAACCTGATTCCCTCGTCATCGCCCGCATTCGGCACGCCCGTCCACCCCATAAACCCCCGCCGGACGGCGCCCATACGCGCCCCGCCCGCGCTCAAACCTCCCGTGCGAGCCACCGTCCTCCCCATCGAGCTACCGCCAGCAACGCTGCGACCTCTCGCCTTCCGCACATTCACCAAAAAACACAACCTCACCCTCACATCCTCGGCGCTATCGGCATTGGCGAGTTTCATTGGGAAACACTGCGGGGCGGCATGGCGCGAGGAAGGGCTGGCCGAGAAGGTGCTCGAGGAAGTCGCAAAGGGATGGAAGAAGGACAACGCGCAGGTCATCGTCGAGGGCGACGGAGAGGCGCTGAAGAGGATATTGAAGGCGCTTGAGGGGTGCATGAGCGGAGGACGCATCGTCAATGCTTCGAATCTGAGCAGACAGAGCAGCTTCAACTTTGGACCCGATGCAAACATGAACGGGGCGCCGAGCTTGGACAGCAGGCCATCCTTGGACCACAATACAAGTTTTGGGATATCAAATTTGGAGGTCACCGACAAGGATGATGAAGAAGAGACACTCAAGGATCCGCGCGAATGGATCAAGGTCATTGGAGCGTTTGAGCAGCCCAAGTTGGTGTACAACGTGTCGAAAAAGCACTTCGATAGGTACGTCTTTCCAAGAATGTGCGAAGAGCACTATTGACGTGATCAGATCAACAACAAAACCATCGCTCTTCCCAGATCCATCACACAAGACGGACCTCTTCAGACAGCGCTACCATACAGTACACCAGCGCATACTCCGAAATGAGACCTTCCAAGCACCTACTTTTTCCGCCGCTCGGTCAGCTACCCTCAACAGAACAGGCTCAGTTGCTGTCTCTAGCATGAACACAATCACCCCTGTTGCGAATCTCCTCGGTCGCAGTGGAAGTACACATCTCCTCCTCGGCATGATAACCATCTCGCCCACAGGTACCCTCACGCTCTCCGATCTCACAGGCACAATAGCTCTGGATCTCCAGCACGCTCGGCCCATCCCGGAAGACGGCACCTTTTTTGCACCTGGCATGATAGTCCTTGTAGATGGCAGCTACGAGGAGAACCATGGCGATCCGACTGCCGGCTCGAACACTACTCTCGGCGGCACAGGTGGTATAGGAGGCACGATAGGTGGCAAGTTTATCGGCTTTTCCGTCGGCCACCCGCCCTGTGAACGGAGAACCGCGACCCTCGGCGGTGGAGACGAGGCTGAGAAGAACGGTACGGGAGGCCCTGCCTTCGGCTGGACGGACTTTCTGGGCGTGGGTTCCGAACGCGCAACGGGCTCGCGAATGAACCGCATAGCCTCAAAACTGCTCACACCAGAGCAAGCACACAACATCGTCGTCGCCTCGGACCTCCACCTCGACGTGCCCTCTACCCTAACCGCACTGCGCACCCTTCTCCGTACCTACTCACCCCTTCCTAATGAATCCACACCCGTCTACCCCCTCGCCATCGTCCTCATGGGCAACTTCTCCTCCAAAGCCACCCTCGCCGGCGTCCCCGGCGCCGGCTCCATAGAATACAAAGAGCACTTCGACGCCCTCGCCTCCGTCCTCTCCGAGTTCCCCCAAGTCCTCGCGCACACCTCCCTCGTCCTCGTCCCGGGCGACAACGACGCCTGGCCCAGCGCCTTCTCCGCCGGCGCCGCGACACCCCTCCCCAGGAAGCAAATCCCCGAGCTCTTCACCAGCCGCATCCGCCGGGCCGTCCGCGAAGCCAACAGCGAGGTCTGGGGCCCCGGCAAGAAGGCCGGCAAAGAAGGCGAGGTTGTCTGGACGAGCAACCCCAGCCGGCTGACGTGGTTCGGCGTGAAGGGGGAGATGGCGATACTGAGAGACGATGTGTTGGGTCGTCTGCACCGCACGAGCATCCGGTTCAACAAGCCCGACGCCGACCTCGACGACGACCTAGATCTTGAAGAGCCCGCGCCCGAGGCAATGGACGTCGACCAGCCCACACAACTCGAGCCCACGCCCGCGCCCCTGGCACAGACGCAGGCCCAGATCGACAGCGACACGCTGACCGCACGGGCCCTGACCCGCACATTGCTCTCGCAGTCCCATCTCTCACCCTTTCCGCTTAGCGTGCGCCCGCTGCACTGGGACTTTGCCCATGCGCTGAACTTGTACCCGCTGCCAAGCGCGGTGGTGGTCGCGGATAGCGAGGCTCCCGCGTTCGTGGTCAAGTACTGCGGGTGCACGGTGATGAATCCTGGGCCGATTGACGGGAGTGAGGGGCGCAGGGGGAGGGAGGGGAGGGCACGTTGGGTGGAGTATGATATTAGGGGGGGTGTAGGGGTCGTGAGGACGGAGGGGTAGGATGGTGGAGTGGGCATGGACATTGGATGGCGTTGGGATGGGTGAATACCGGGACTTGCTGGGTGGTAGTCATGCTGCGGTCGGGCGCTTCTTTATGGGTTCATGCATAGCGAATATCTCATTTGCGATTTGGCTTCCATGGTTTATGCAGCGCAGGTGTAGTGCCGCGGCTTGTTCAGCCTCGCCGTGGTCCGGAGATCACGCAGTGAGGTTCTGCCTTGCGCGCACCCGCCCCCGTCGCCTTTGGCAGGCAATAGAGCGGGTGGTCTGAGGGTTTCACTCGGTATGCTTTCTCAGGAACAAACAGGGGACTTGCTTTAGCTTCATCGAGAATCAGGCATCAAGAGCGTGCTTTTGCTCGGCGCGTTTTACCGCGTGTGGAGCGTGGTTGCAAGGCTTTACTGTTAGCGACGGCGTGCTGTGTACTGAGTATGCGCGGTTGGAGGTAGGACAGCAGAGATTGGGGCGGAGGAGGTTCTAGGAGGTGTTAGATAGTGGGACATTGAAAGGTGGGAGTCATCTACTACGACTTGGGGTAACGGGATTTGAGATGGCAAAGTTATTGCATCTGGAGAGGCTGAGGCATGGTATTATGTCTGTGAGTACGCTTGGATCCCGATCCTATGCGCGAAAGCTGTGATGGAAAGCTGTATTAAGACACGTTATCGATCTGCAGTAGTCAATGGTGTATGGCGAGTTGGATGGCAAAGAGCGCGATGGCGGATGTAGTGGGTTATATGGTGGTCTAAAGTTGATGGATTGCGTAAAGTGCGAATGCGTGGACCTGGCTCGTCAGACTTCTAGATTCGCTGCAGAGCGTTGGCAATATATGATAACCCTCCACTATAAGTTCCGGCCACTTTCATGAGTTTATGTTTGGGTTGAAGTAGTATCTACACCGTTGCGCAGCTCAAAAAATAAAGATTCCATTTCTATGCTCGTCAGGTAAACACGACGTTGGTTGCTGGGAATCGCTTTGCTTCGGGGGTACCCTTTCCGTACACACCACAGAACGACAAACTAGCCGCACGCAAGGTCATCTCGATGTCGAACCTTGCTTCGTAGAACTCTTGCGCACCTTTAGTAATTGTCGGGATGGAAAGGCCTCGTAGATCCATTTTGAATTTGGCAATCTCTCTCACGCCTACAAAGAAAACATCGTTAGTTGTTAGTACCCTCTAGCGAGACTGATCAACTTACTTGCGTCATCTCTATATGTACCTGGAATATCATTTTCGCACGTGTATATGCGTATGACTGGAGTGCACACCTGGTGCGCTGGAACTCCGCGCTGCACTTTGGCCACCTTGCAAAAGTCGAACGACAACGGTTCGCCATCTGGGATGGTCTCGCCCTGATATATGTTACCTAAAGTACTAAATTTGTAATAGAGCTGGCTCCAAAGGCATATGCTACGAAGAAATGATCATGCGCGTACCTTTCTAGCAAACCAGGTGATCTTTTCGATTTTGTCTCCGTCGTCTCGTTTTTTTCTGTGCTTTCAATTTAGTCTCTGAAAAAGTTGCTTGGTCACTAGGGGCACTTGCCTTCGGCTCTCCGGGTCTACGCCTTCTTCAAAGCTCTCTAAAGCCGCAGTCCCGTAGTGCCTTCCCGCTAGACGGGACACTACTTCCACTGTTCTGGTGGATATCACATTGAAGGCACCGTCATCATCCTCAGGCTGGAGATTCTTGCCCAGCCCAGCAAGACCAGCGACCAAGGCGCCACGAGCGATAGCAGTGTCACTGTTGAGCATCAGCACCGGTGCAATGAAGGCCCGAAGGAAGAGTATCACCCGTTATCGATCCGCTGCACTCTGATTTTGTTTCTGACGACAGCATCGATCTGTTCAAGCCTCCTCTTGAGGTACGGGTTCTTGCCGAAGCCACCCGCCAGCAGTACTGCCGTTACAGGCCGACGGGTATTGTTGATCTGATCACGAACGAGACCCTCAATCTTCGAGATAACTTCATCGAAAACATGCTTGCGCAGCTCTTCGGTCGTCAAGATCAGGATATTTTTCGCCACCCCGTGTGGCTTACTCTCTTTCAAGCCGTGGATTCTGATAACCTTTTCCTCTTGGTGCTCGTCTGTAAACTCAGGTTTTATCTGGTCTTCGAAAGCCCTCAGTGCTTCTACCATGAACTCTGAATCCCATGCAGGGTAGTCCTCCAGCTTTTTCTCGAGGTATGCTTGGAAAATCCGATTCAGAAAACTGCTCCCGCAGAGGCCTCCGGACCCAGTTGCAGCGCCAGCAAGTTTACAGTGGAGGATTTGGTCGCGCTTAAGGGACTCTATGGTGTAGGAAGCAAGGTCAACAGTACTGCGTGGTACATTGTTAGCTTCCGGGCACGATCTCGCGTATGCGGTGGAAACCTACCCTCCACCAGCATCACATATGACAAATGTGTCGCCTTCATTTATCCAAAGCATCTGCTGGATCGCGTATATGCAAGCAGCTTCAGGCTCTGGAACGAGCTGAAGCTGGCTGCCTTCTCCCATACCAGCCCTCTCGGCACAAAGACGTGTCTTCTCTTGCTCAGCGTGATCCCAAAGCGCTGGAACCGTTATGATATAGTCTCTCGGGCACTGGGCCGCATCTTCGCCGTACTGGGTGTGGAAGAATTGGTCTACCGCGCCCTTGACGCTGCTGAGATAGTTGACGACAAGACTCATGCATTCGTCATCCTTGACGACAGGCAGGGCTGTCTGGCTCTTATACTTGCGCATCAGTTCTGATTCTCGAGCACGACGCTCTTCGAAATCATTGCAAAGTCCTAATTTGAACCATTCGTGCATCTTGGTCCCGTGGCGTGCAGCATATTGCTGGGCTTGGTAACCCCACCTATATACCCCAGTCGTGCCACCGTTGTCGTAATGGAGGATTCTATGGCAAGTCAGTGATGCACTGGGATCACCGGATTGGTCGGTAATCACGTTGGGATCTTCTCTACTGTCATGGCCCCTCCATCTCCCCAATGTGTCAAGAGGTTTGGTAAATACGACTGCAGTTCGGATATCACATCAGCAAATCAACCTTTAGGTTTGCGCATGATGTTTCAACTTACTTCGAGGGTGTTGGCGTACGCAACAGATGTGAAAGTAGTTCCTAAAACTTTCCATCACTATCAGCATTTCTCGCTTCCGAAGTAAAAGCATACCAAAGTCAACTGCGACAACGATCCTCATTCGACTTTGACTTGCAAGCTCTTCGTCCCGCGGTAGAAAAGTAAGAGTATGATCTTTGGCCATGTTGAAAGGCTGTTATTTATCTTTCTTAGCGAAGGTATCAAGACTCTTCTAGATGCACTGACACAATCTTGAAGTAAACAAAGCCAAAAGCAGCATAAGCAGAGTTGCCCAGGAAGAAATAGCTTTTTTTGTTCGCGGCCGTGTAGGCTGCAAAAGAGAAGACGACCAAATGGGCTGATCTTTATCTGCCCTTCGGGTGTTACATGAACGATTGTATTGTTGGAAGGGGGTTTTAGCATCAGAAAAAAACGGATTGAGGATACCGCCGGCAACATGACAAATTTGCCCAAGCTAATCCGCGAAAGCCACATAAGCATGGTGCGACCCCTGCAAAAAGTCTGACTTCACCGAGCCTCGGGCATCTACATGCCATCGTTTTCACCGCCGGGATACTTTGGTGCTCTGCTGCAGTACAACCCCGCAGCTTTGGACACTCCTGAAGCTTGTTGCTCTCCACGTTCTCTCCTACGGCATCCGCATTCCGGTTGTGAAGTGTCAGATTTTTATCGTTGGTAGTTGTGAAGACAACGAAACTGGGGCGACCACCGTATTTTCGGCCCAGAACACCAGAATGGACGAGCACCCGAACCTAGCCACGAGCGAGATAAGAAGCCTGAGGAACCAGACCGCAATACTCCAGGACAAACTCGATCGCTCTCTGGCGAAGATAATGACGCTGCAAAGCGGCATCGATCAGGTCACAGATGGAGAGGTGAAGAAGCGATTCGAAGGTGTGTTCAGCTCAATTCAGAACTGGGTGACAGAGATTGAATTAGATCTCGTGCGGCAATCTCGAGACTTTCGTGACGACTTTCAAGAAGTATTGCGTCAAGAAGAAAAGGAGCCAGTGCTGTTGAGTCTCGGTCTTCGTGCATACGGCGAGGATAAAAGTAGTCGGTCAATGTGGGAGTTCGCCAGCATGGGGCATTTAGATACGCGATGGGTAGGCACTCTGGACACTTGCATCAACGTTGTCCTCTCCCGGTTCATGTGGCAGCGTCTGTACCATCGCGTGTTCTACTCACCATACCCTATTGGGTTAAATGTGTACGCACAAGATGGGATCGACTATATTTTTCAAGCCATAGAAGATGGCGATGATGGGGAATCTAAAGTCGGTTCGTATACATCGTCAAAACGTAAGTGTTCTCCCGTGAATGCTGATCGCGATTAGAAGCTGAGGCGATCTTGAGAGCCAACAAATGGAGGGCGGAATCAATGGCGACAATAGTATCTACTACAAGGTTCCGAAAAGATAAGGACGCAGAGATGCAATACCTTCTTGAGGATCTTTGGGATGATCTAACGCGTCGGCTACCTGTGATCGATACTGCGACGCTCAAACGACATATGGACAGTCTCTCGAACCACGTGGTTGGCCCAGCTGTTGAGCTGAAACAAACTATATCCTGTTCGTCGGTCGAGTATTGTTCAGTTGAGCCTGAACACGAGATACTGGAGAATGCCCGAGACGGTGATCGCTTTTGGGAATTTACTTTCAAAGACATTGTTGAGTGGAGAGACAAAGACCCGTTTGAAACATATGGAGGCCTGTTCCGGCTGTTTCCCGGCATTCGTCGAAGGGGAATGAAGGATACAGAGGATGTGGTTTTGGTCAAGCCAACCTTGCTTGTTTTGAACAGACAAACGATCGGCATGTTGCAAGAGTTCAGAGAAAGCAATGCGTGGACTCAGCATAGACGACAAGGAAGCCCAGGAAAGACTGGAACGGGTCCGTCTCGACAAGCCTCGCTTCCTCCCTCTTCCTCGCGCTCTTCGACGACCAAAACGAAAAGCGACCGACGCACTTCTCATCGCAAGCAGGATGAATCCTATCCAGAAACGAGTGGCTTAAGCCGCATAGTACGACGACTCACCCCAAAAACTAAGAGTTTCGGGCATGAGAAAAAGCTGGAAGACCTGGCTTTCGACACAAGACCTCGTCTCCATCGTCGTGGAACCGAGGACAACGAAATGAGGGAATCACCACCGAGGGAGACCAGAGGGAAAGATAAGCGGTCTAGAAGAACTCCAACACCTGCATCTTCGCGCAAGCCAAGTCTAGTCCAACCCTATCTGGAAGCTATGATTCCGCCTGGGCAATCGAGCGAGCCTCTTCCAGAATTACCATCTCAGCCGATCCCACGTGAGAGTCCACAAGAGAACTACGGAGAATACAGCACACATCTGAACGATGACACAGATATTCATGGTTCACTAACACAAAGACCGGAAGGTGAAGAAACCGAGCGTAGTGATACCGATTCGTCGGTCGATATCCTCTCCAATCTCGAAGCAGAGGGAGGAAATAGTGCGCAACAAACGAGAGCAGGACCAAAGGAACTTGTTCGGTCCCCCGGACTTACTGCACCAGGACTTCACCCAAATCATACGGCGTGGCGGAGATTGCAAGCTAAGTTGCCTCCTACGCTCTGAGACGAAGCCCAATACGTGATTGTATCATAGCTTAAGATTTTTGAAATTACAGTTACCAATCCCAATGTGCAATTATAGCGCTAAGCCTAGCAGTCGTGCTGACATAAATGATGTGAGCCAAGGATACGACGAAGTAAAGCAAGCGGCATCCAGACGTACGAGCATGTCCATATAAGCTTGATTCTAACCAACATTGAAAGCTCCAGATGCCTCGGATCCTGAACCATTTCCAGGTAAATGTTGCGTGTTGCTACCGCCTTGTCCAACACTCTGCGCGGGTTGAGCTGGTTGTCTCGCGGCTACCGTATGTCCTGTGTTGCCACCAACGTTGAATTCCCCATCGATCTCTTGCGTTGCGCCGGTTTCTCTGCCATACTGGTTATCAACTGCATTGAATTCACCGTTGTCTGGCTGGAATCCGACTCGACTCGGCCCTCGACCTCCCGTAAGGCGGTCATTTCTGAGGATGCCTCGTTCCCTGCGTGAAGGACCGGGGGGATCGAACGTGTAATCGTGTGGTCTGTCTGGGACAATCGGTTCTCTATTTCTAATCTCGCGTGTGCGGCTGGGCCGTCTACTGTTCTGTCTACTGCCAGCGTTGAAGTCGCCGTCGGGTCTCCGCGGGGCACCTGCACGGCTCGGTCTTCTAGTGCCAGCGTTGAAGCTTCCATCATGCCTATGTGATGGAGTGTGTGTTCTACTTTCTCGTCCGTTGAGCGCATTGAACTCGCCGTCCAATCTTGTCGGCACAAGTGGTGGCAGAGGATGCCCTGGTGGAGGATTTGGTGGATTCTTCTCAGGGTCACTACCCGATAAATAGGAGTCGGTGTCGCTGAATGTCCCGTGTCTCTTTGCGGTGCAGCAATAAACAATCCCAAGTAATAAGATTATCACCACGAGAAGCGAGACTATAATGGCAATAGTGTCGTTGTTTCGAACCATGATGGTGCGTCGCAGGCAAAATCAGACGAGGGACACCCGAAGGGGCCCACGCTGCTGAGACTCCATAGCCTTGTTATTAGCCAGTCTTCTTTCTTTACGAGCGTAACAACCAGCCCCCTCCAAGAACATCTGCAAGGCAAATTGTTTTGCCCGCATCTAGAAAATCTAGGCGAGAGAAGGCAATACGAGTGCACTCCGGTGAGTTAAAATATCAGCTGCTGCACACCATCGGAACCATCTGAGTGGATCGGGCTGCTGCAAACTGGCCAACCTTGCTGATGGCCTCGACTCCTCAGTAGATGGTCCGATAACGCTATGTTGATGAGCTCAAGTCAACATTAATGACCAATGGAGCGCGATTAGTGATCAGGTCGCTTCGCCTAGAACAAGGACTAAGTACAAGAAGTGTAGCACGGCTGGGAAATTATGGCGGAATTGGATGATGAGGACGACCCCACTTTTTGTACTCCCCTAAAATCGACTGTGATTCGACCAACCGGAAGGCTGAACTTGGGATTATGCCACTGTACGGCACAGTCAAGGCACCCCCAGTATCTGCTGCGGCCCGCAGAACATACTGGGCCATACCGTCCAACTTACAGCCAAGACCAAAGTGTCCTTCCAGCAATTGGTGCTCTCCGCGGACTATGGCTCTGGAGCGCCTTTTACACCATTATTGTTTTGCATTATGAGCCTTCCCGTACTAATGGGTAGGTTCCATCGTGCTCGTATTCGGAGTTCCCAGCCGGTTGGTGCCAATGTTTGGGAATTGGAGGTTATAGGTCGAAGGCATCCAAGCTACCATAGGTAATCTACCCGATCAAGGTGCTTGGCGGGTATGATGAAGCAGTGCTGTTGATCTTCTGATGAGCTTTCTGTGCTGATCAGGCATCGCTGTGGTTAATTGGGTGCGTGTAGTGTTCGCCGTGCACTCCCCCACGCAAAAGTCTGCGGACAAACAATGCACTATCCCAGCTAGAGGCGGACGATGGGATCGCTCTTTGAATTGTCAACCTATATAAAAAATACTCCAAGATTTTCATTTTTTGCACATATCAACGCCTACACGCTCAATTCGCATCGCCTTCCGCCAAAGGATCGACTCCGCCGCCACTTCCCAAACCTTCAGTGACTCCTACTTCGCTCTCTTCGGAAACAAATTCCATATCTCCCCGAATATCATCACTGTAGGACTCACCTATCCTCAGTCGCGCTACAGAAACGCACATCAGAAGTCGCCCCTACATGGCGGAGCCTCCTCACCTAGCAGCTCATCCACCCGTCCCTGAGTCCTACCCCACAGGTTCTCAAGCGCCTGGAGTTGGACCTGAAACTCTGCGCTCTCATGGATCGTCTCACAGTCTCTATAGTCGGGCTCGATGTAGCCGATGATCACGGCTTTGAAAGTGGTGTAGGTCTGCTGGCGCTCGTTTAGCCGGTCTTTGTGCGCGAGGACGACGGCGTGGGAGAAGAATCGGTGGGAACAATGGGGCCGGCGGGTTGTGTTAGCTTTAGCCAGGTACGGACGGATGTGTCAGCGAGGGTGGGAAGCGAGAGGGGAGTTTGATGGCACTGAAGATGAGAGATTCGATGTGGGCGCGGATTTGGTACTCCATGAGGTAGTCTTGTCGCTGTTGGGATTGATCAGGTGGTGTTTTTTTGGCTCATGGTCGATGATGTATGTAACGTTTTTTGGGAATGTGTAATTGAGGTGGGTTTGGAGGAGGCCAGGGACCGAGGTTTTGTAAACCGGGAGAACGTTTGTTGGGATGCAAACTTGAGGGTATATTTCTGCAGTATTATGAAAAGAGGCGGAGTACAATTAGCTCATATGTTACGTAGTCCATGTATCAAACTGTGTGAGGTCGTTGGACCCCGGTAACATTATGTATTTGGTTGCAAGCATTCCATTCACTTCTCTGCCCATTTGCTTGAATGGAAATATTATCCATCCAACCGAAAGTTTCTGAACCGCTAGCTCCATCGTCCATTCAAATGAAAGCACCCTCTTCTGAGCCTTTTTAGTTTCCTCCATCGTCTTCATCACAATTAATGCTTCGGAACGAAACACCAGGCTCGAAGTTCAACTTCTCCATAGAGTCATGAAAATTGTACCTTACCCGCCCCAACAGGGCACCCAGTGCGTCCAACTACGTCGCGGAGTATTCGCTAATCCTTTCGCATCTCACCCAGTCACTGTATCCATATTCATCCGTTTGGAAGCCATTGACCGTGACTCTGTAATTCGGTTCATCTAACGCGTCCCCCATGTGGATAGCGTAGGAGATGTAGCCTTTATGCATATGCTTCGCTTCGAAGGCGCCTAAGGCGTCAACATACGGTTCGATAGTGGAAAATTGGACGTGCCTATCATCTGTGCTTCTAATTTTTCGATGACTTTCAGCTTTATGAGACGGGCGCGGGGTCACGTTTCAGACTGCGGTTGTGGCTGGGCTAGTTGATGTAGGGGTTGCTACTGCTAAGTTTGCTGCTCAGTTTGCCGCTGACGCAGTTGTTGAGCCTGTTGCCAGCCCTGCTGATCAGGGACTTGTTGTCGAGCCAGCTGTTTGGGCCATTGCTGGGATCGATGTTAGCCTCGTTGATGGGCTTGATATCGATCTAGTTTGGTAGAAAAATCGAATGACATTGTCGGATAAGTTCTGCAACAGTACAAGATCGTGTGCCGGTCTCTGATCCCGCTCTTGTAGCAGACGTCGTGGAAGGATTAAGAGCGCCACTTGGTGCACATGCCATCGATAAGGATAAGGAGGAAGCCCTAGTTTGCGAGCTGGTGTACCCTCCTGTGTTGCATATATGCCTTGGGGACATGGAAGTCATGTGACCCGGCGTAAATTTCGTCAACGACTGGGTCCTTCGTACTGGAGTAGTCCACATCGCGTGCGTGAGAGCGGAATATGAGGCCTTATATTGGCATAGAAATTTCTCGGCCATGTCCATCCGTCACCAAAAATCTGTGAACACCGTGCGGTCTTTGCTGAAGGAACATGCGTGCCTACTATCACCTTCTGTAGAGATCTAAAAGCCTAACACATCTAAATTTTCCCGTGCGAGATGCGCATAGTACTGGTCTTAGCCGTAAACCGCGCATAACACTTTAATTCCGATATGCTGTTTCATTTCGCCTATCTAGTCCACCGACCGTACCAAACATTCTTCTTTCGTGATATGAATTACCGCTCTTAAGTCGTAGAGGTAGAGGTGTTTCCAGCCGTCACGTTAGTTGCCCAGGCCAAGCACAAGAAACTCGGCCAAAATCTCACTGCAAATCATCGTTCCCAAGCGGAGAAGTGAATACATACAAACCACTGGTATGTTTCAAGAAGGTCGGAGTCCAAGGAATGCCGTTGATTTCTCCGACATTGGTTTGGCTGACTATAGTCCTATATGCCATTTGACCAGTGTACTGGATGGATTATCCTGGAAAGCTGAATTTGTGGACCACCTTGAGCAGATGTCAGCAAACTGCGACAAAATCTGTCTCACTTTCACGTCCTACGGATCGGATACCATCTGCGTCTACCAAGAGATCAATTTTGGTATCAAATCCATCTTCAAATCGAATGCTAATTTGGTTGCTCATTGAATATGCTACCCCAAAAAGCCTTTTAGAAACATGTACGTGAGCTTGGTTCACATTCTTCAATAAAGCAGATTGAAGCCTTGCTCGCACGAGGCGACAGCTACGAAGATGGGTAGGGGTATTCTTGGGGGGACATTCAGTAGCCAGAAGCTCCCCAGTTCCACCGTTGCTGCCATCAAAATTAGTCCGACATGGGGAAATCTGGAGGGGCTCTCTGTTTTTTGCCGCCTCTGCTCGCTGACGCGGTCGGATGAGCGAAAATAATCGCTTGTAATAAAATTCGACGCAGCCACATTCAGTTCAAGCAATTTCCAAGTTTGCTGTTGCAGCAAGATTCCTCCTGCGGTATCGCTAATCTGCGGTTTCTTCTCGTATAAGTCCCAATCGACAAATGGGATTCGCTAGCTCGATCACAACTGCTAATCCACCAGGTCCGCCCCCTATGATGGCGACTTTGAGTCGACGTTCTGAACCCATCCCAGAATGGTTGGAATTTCATCATGCACCTGTTCAAGAAAAGTTTCTTCCAGGTGACCGTCTCACGGCATGGTGTTTCAGCCAGCGAGGCTGCATTGTTGATATCAGTAGTGGGTCTCTGTTTCTTCTTCGCACACCATATACAGGGATAGCAGAGATCAGAAGTGATGGAAGAAAGAGGAAAATCGCAGAAGGTCATGTCAAGCATTATGGTGCACGCTCGGTGGGTCAGACATCAAGCTGCGATTGCCTAGGATGACTACATGGACGAAGTGCACTAAACCCGGGCGGGCGCCGTGTAACGTATTCCATATCTGAATGACTTCCGCTACAACGAAGATTCTCCTTCCTTGGAAACAAAATAGAAGTGGCTGGTTATAGGCATTGCTGACGGATTGTAGTCAAGTTTGGGCGTTCATGTAATGGCACACAACGGGCTGCACGCTTGCCCTAAACAGGACTAGGCCATCTCAGTAAGGCGGACCCCACGCGGGAGGATTCACCGCACGATCTACAAGGCTGATCGACGGATCGTCAGCGACATAGCATCACGGGCATTGCTCCTTTGAAACACATCCTCTACGCCCGATCATACTGCAAAACCATAACTGGACATCGTGCGCTCAGGGCGGTGTCACATCGCGCGAGAAATGCTTGAACGTGGAGTCGATCTGGAACCGCGCAATGTCCGGGGACATCATCACCGGATCGCACGAGCTGGCTTGAGTGATTGACTTCGAGAGCACTGAAATATGAGGACAACTATGCGCACCTCAAGATGTATAAAGGCGCGACAATGCCATAGGGAATGGCTAAACACAGCTTCATTCCTCCCTTTTCCATCAGCGCTAGTCGTTCTTCTCTTCAGTTCTCTTCCTCCTATCGCAGCCATGCGTTACTCCATCCTCTTCCTTACCACCATCCTCCCGGTGTCGCTAGCCGCACCCATCGCTTCCACCCACCAGATCCAGCCCCCGGCACGCCTCAACCGCCGCTCTTTCACCGCCCGTGAAGAACGTTACACCCAGCCCGACGGCGGCTTCCCCGTGCCACCCGTCGCCCCAGCTCCAGGCGCCCCAGCTCCTGGGCGTTTCTCCGGCCCAGATGGTGGCTGGGTGAAACGACAGAGCGCTGAGCCGGATGTCTGGACTCCTCCTGGCCCAAGAAACGGGGTATCCGATGGAGGCTCGGCTGCGGTACCTGCACCGACTGAAGTCTATGTTCCCCCTTCCATCCCAGCACCAACGGAGGTTTACTCTCCCCCATCCGTGCCAGCACCTACCGAAGCCGCACCCCCGCCCTCGAACATCGGCTGGTCCATCGCCACACGTCAGGACCGCTACACGCAGCCCGACGGCGGATTCTACGTCCCGCCTCCTGCCCCGGTTGCACCCGTAGATCCAGCGCCTGGACGATACGATAGCCCAGACGGCGGATGGGCGAAGCGTCAGGATCGTTATACGCAGCCCGACGGCGGATTCTACGCCCCGCCACCTGCCCCGGTTGCACCCGTAGATCCAGCGCCTGGACGATACGATAGCCCAGACGGCGGATGGGCGAAGCGTCAGGATCGTTATACGCAGCCCGATGGCGGATTTTACGTCGCTCCTGCGCCTGTTGCACCTGGGCCGGTCGAAGCGGTACCGGGACGGTATGAGGGGGTTGATGGTGGGTGGAAAGCTTAAGGAAGTTGGCAAGCAGTTTTGGGCTTGTTTTGTGATGTAGGGTTGGAGATGCTGGAGGAGTGGCTTGGGTGGTGGAGGGTGTACTTTGTTAGATAAGCATCGAACTGAACTAGAGTCATATTGTGTATAGAGTCTTTGGAAACTGTCCTTCTTGTCAAATGGTGTGCAAGGACATGTATTCTGACGTCCTCAATGCTCGTGTGTCGTCTCGCGCGATTAAGCTTTTGCGGGTGCATAGTCTTGGTATTTGCATCCTATGCCCATAAAAGGGGACTCGAACTCCGTGAAATCCATTAAAACCAAGAGTCAATCCGCTGTTCAGCCTTGCGATTGTGCGGAGATCATGCAGGGAGCATCTGAATCCTTCCCGTGTGGGGTCCTTGCCCGAATTTTGCCTAGCCCCATCCAAGAGAAGCGCACGACACTCCTGTGGATGATTGCTAGAACAGAGCATCGAGTCGATGGATACCGCGCTGTGGAACTGCCTTACACGACCTTGCATCAATCAGCACGCCTCATTACTTGCCACAGGCTACCCTGTGAACTTTCCCCCACAATAAATACACACATCGCAGGCCAGGAACAGCGCTCTCGCCAGCGACACCTCTCCCTCTACCCTCCCGAGCTCATCTTCCTCCTGTGCCCCTACAAACTCCTCGCTCAGATACGGCGTCCGACACAGCGCGCACGCCTTCGATATCCTCGGCCGCTGAATCGCGACAAAGCTGATCCCACACCGCGAGAACTCGTGCCCGTTCGTGCACCGCGCAGTGTCCAGGTCCTCGAGCGGTATCGAGGCAGAGCAGAAGTCGCAGGTGTCGCAGGGCTGCATTGGTGTTGAGACCACCTCTCGGGGGTAATCCTCGTCTCCCTCTGCCATGATGGTGTCAACGAGGGCGACGATGCGGCGGTGGTGTTGTGCGATCTCAGCGGAAAATCGTGTTGCGCGCGTGAGTGATTGAGGGAGTACGGAGACAAAGGTTGCGAGACTGTAGGCAATGAGGGTGCGGGGAAGGAGTGTCGACAGGGAAGGGGCGAGGGTTTGAGAGACGAGGATCTGCAGGCGTTTGTTGATGGTGGTGGGAGAGAGTAGGGTGTGTTTTATGTGTGTCATGAGGGCGCGAATATCATTCGTTGGAACCTCTGAGGTAGGTTCTCCGTTCATCTGTGAGGAAGAAGATTCTGGATGCAGAACAGAGAGCTGCGCGGCCACTTGTGAGATTGTGCTAGGCGACGACTCATTGCCGTCGCCGGTGCGCTCGGCCCATTTGCGAAGCGTGAAGACGAGGCCCTCTGCGCTGCAGTTTTGCGCGGGAACTTCGAGCTTGGCATCTTTGTCGTAGTCTCGTAGGCCCGAAATGGTTATTGACGTGCGCCGGTCGTTGGGCGGTCCGTATTCTATCATGTCACTTGGATGGATGGTGCTGCATGCTGCGATGAAATCGCCGAGCGGCGAAGTAGACAGCCCCCAGACTTTGCTTCGGACGTTGCCTGCAAGTTCATGCTGAGCGCTGAACAGTGCCTGTGCATCCCACAACTGTTCGCGCCAATGAGGATGGCCGGGAATAGTAGCTAGAGAATCTTTCGTGCACTGGAGCCGAGTTGTATAGCTTAGAGTTGCCTGAAGTGACGCGAAGTGAATAGTCGGATCCTCTGTTGTGTGGTCCCATACTGCTGCGCTCATTTCGTCCCAGCGGCCGTCCAGATCGTGCTCCGTTCGGGCGAAAGCATTGGCATTACTTGCGGATATCTTGAGGACCACAACGTTGGTAAGGGTGAACAGGGCCAACGTGACAGTGTCGCGATTCTCGGTTTTGGATGACCACTTCATCGGGCCGGCATGTCGAAGTTTGATATCAGGGTAGACAACCTCATCGTTCCCGATTCCGATGGTCTCGCCGCTGTACGTAACAACACGGGCGCGTACATCGTCATTCGTGGCGTACACCAAGACAGAATGAAACCACTCTCCCTGCATCGTCCATGGACTCCATGCGAGTTGTGAAATGTGCCGCTGCTGTTGCATTATTTCATCGAACGTGTTAGCGCTCTCGAACACGTTCTCAGAGTCCGGGGTAATCGAGAAATGGCTCAGAACTTCGCCTGACCATTCTTCCTCGGCACCGAGAGTCGTGGCTGGCGTATCAATAGCGACTATAGCAATTTGGTTGTCGTCGTTGGCAACAGCTAAGAAAGGTTGAGCCCAAGTTGTCCGCGTGCCAATGATAGCAGCAGGGCCCAGGCTAGGCATCGAAGGTGCCCAGGCAAAAGATCGTATGCGCGCGCGAAGACGCATCTTCTCAACGGACTCATGGACCAGGGTACTTTCGACCTCATTCAAGTTACTGGAGAAGTACAGTACGAGCGCATCATTGATGATCTAGCGAAGCTCGTATTAGGATGCATATCATTCTTGACGAATGCAAGGGCGTACCAGCTTCCGCCTCCAGCTCAATTCATCATCAATCTTCCCCTCACTGGCCCAGATGCTCAGAATCAAGCTCGACGTCAACACGCCAAGCGCACATCGTCGATGCTTCGCGATCCCCGGCGGTGACCAGGTTATTGATACAGGCGCGCTGGTGGACACTTCCTCGCCGATGGAGTATGTAGATACAGGCCCAGCTTCTTTCTCCGGGAGCTCCGTTGTGGTGAACCACGAGACTGCCAGTGGAATGTGATGCCAAGAGGAAAAGTCGTGCTCTGTGTCGTTGGACTTGGTGTGTGGAAACTTGCTATTTGTTAGTATGCACTGTGACTTGGATAGAGCTAGCCTGGTTTAGCTCGTATGTGCGCGTGTTTGCACTCACCAGAAGCTCAACTTGTTCCTCGCTCGCAAGCGCGATAATGCCATCATGGCTCCATTCGATCGCGTCGACACACGCGGGCCAGCACGCTATCGTCGTGGTGTCCGCCATCGCCTATTAGTGAAATTGTACTTGTATGGAGAAGGCATGCAAGTTTGCTTCATAACTACGGCTGTCGCGACGGTGAGGTTGAAGCGTGAAAGCTCGCTTGACCGAAAGTGGATTTTGGAGGTTGACGCGAGTCAGGTGATTGCGACGTCATGACTCGTGTGGTCGTCTAGTTGCACGTAGATACCAGCGCCGACCTGCATCTATCTACACCAGCACGAACCTTTACTCATACACAACATCTGCTCTTACAGCTTGAAACCCTCATCTGATCGATCTCGCAGAGATTTTCAAGAACGTTGTGTCGACCTAGACCTCAGTCTTATGTGGTTACCAGCAGTGGGAACACGATTATCAGGATCGGACCAGGCGGGGAGCAAGAGGATCTTGCGTGCAGTCCCAATTCGACGGAGATTGATGAACCGACATCGTTTGCGTTATCAAGATGACTCCTAGTGTCAAGGCTCTGAACATGGTCTGTACAGCTTTAATAGTTGATGTTGTATACGCGCCTTGCAGCTTCCAAAGCCTCAAAAGAAACGCTCCGTTCCATACAGCTACATTTGCCTGACGACATTTGCGAAAAGACAAAGAAATGGTATGTTCATAAGAAAACCCCATGGTATGAACGCCCTGTTATGCTACCTCGAAAACAAAAACAAAGACTGATCACGCTCAACTCAATTCGACTTGTTCCCGCCACCGCACCAACAGTTCCCTTCGCCCTCCCGTTCGACGTGCAAGACCACGTCCATGCCTTTGCCCTTGAGAAACTGCGCTGTGCGTTCGCGGACGTCTTCGACGTCTGCACCCCGCGCGGCGATGATGTGGATGGCGCCGAGTATGCGTTGTCCGCGTGAGGCGTGAGCGTGGTCGTGGTCATGGTCATGGCTATGGTCATGGTCGTGGTCGTGGTCGTCGTGGCTATGGTCGTGATGGTGTGGTGAATGGCTGTGGTCGTGGTCGTGCTCATTTTCCGCATGGGAGTGAACATGTCCGTTTCCATGCACGTGGTCGTGGTCGCACTTCTCATGCTCATGAGCATGCACTTCAGCGTGCGCAGCACCTTCATCCTCCATCCAGAACTTCGGCACAGCATAGCCCACGACACCTCTTAGCGAACTAAGCTCTTGAAGGGTATTGCGAATGCCGTACTCGACGTCTGCAGGCAAAGAGAGCATCAAGCGCATACCGGCGCTCTTTACAAGGGGAATGGCGGAGAAAAAGATGAGGATGGCGATGATGCAAGATGCAATCGGGTCCCAGCCAGACCAGCCGTAGTACTTGGTGAGGAGAGTGGAGATGATCACGGCGACAGAGCCCAGTGCATCGGCAAGGATGTGCAGAAATATGCCCTGCATGTTCTCGTTGTCATGGGAATGCCCATGACCGTGTCCATGGTCTCCATGGTCGCTGTTGCGCGTTAGTACGATGCAAAGTTGAAAATAGCTGACTGATGACTTACTGGCCATGGTCATGCCCGTGACCGTGATGGGCGTGCCCGAACGCTGTCAGTCCCACAATGTTCACCAAAAAACCAAGCACACTGACGATGAGCAGCTCGTTGAGCCTTTGCAGCTCATGACCTTCCCATAGCCTTTCAAACGCATCGAAGCAAATCTCAACACTGACCAGCAAAAGAAACACACCGTTGGCAAACCCAGACAGCGTGTCAACTTTTCCATAGCCATATGGGAAGGCAGCGTTCGGACGCCACTTGCTCATCACCGCGGCTGCCAAACCGACCGCAAGTCCAGCACAGTCGAAGAGCATGTGGATGCTGTCGGTGAGCAGACCCAGTGATCCGCTCACATAGCCATAAAAGAACTGGACCATCATGAAGGACAGATTCAATACCCCGAAATAAGCAATGCGGCGCGAGTCCTTCTCAATCATCACACTATGGATGATGGAGCCTGGCGTGCAACGTGCAATGATGAAGGCAGATATATGGGAATGGTTGCCATGGAGGTGGTGATCGTGACCGTGATCGTGATCATGCGAGTGTGAATGACGATGGGTCGCATGCGAGTGATCGCGTGACGACGGCCGAGAAAGGACTGGTGCTCGTGTATCAAAAGCAGTTGCCCCGAGAACAACAAGGAAAGCGACATAGGCGTGCCAGGCTTGGTGCTCAAATTGTGCGAAAACGATCGTGATCAGGCCGCCAATTGCCAATCCACTCTTTTTAGCGCTGTGCAAAGCGTTGGGAGAGGAAAGGTATACAGATGCTGTCCCTGACGCAATGGAAAGGGTAGAAAACAGGAGTGCGTGATGCGACAAAGATGGTGCAGCTGAAGAGAATTGGGCGAAGATAACAGTGAAGCAAGTCAACACAAGACCAGTCGCAAGAGTAAGATCAGTATCTAGTGACGTGCTGATCAATGGAGAGGACGGTTTCGGCAAGCTCGCACGTGTCGATGTTTGCGTAGCCCAGCCATTCTGGGTTTGCGGTGTCATCAAGGACCAGCCCGTGGTTGGGAGAGGCGGCGGAATGACAAATATGGAGATCACCAGCGCGATGAATCCTAGGATCACCCCGGCTCTCTCTGCTGCGGTGACGCTGCGCACAACCATTGCGATCAACAAAGCGACGTACGTTCTCGTCCTGGTGCGCAAGGTTCGCCTGGTGTTGTCCCACGCTGACTGTTTCCCGGGCCTTTGGTCAAGATTGCCTAAACCTGCTGTGAAGGCCACCAGAAGAAAGATGGCAGTTGTGGCACCTCCTAACTGCATCGTAGCATAGAAGGGCAGCATGACGCCGAGTGCGTGTAAACTTGCGCGAAGTACCAAGCTCGGGTGGAAACAGCCAGGTTCGTTTGAATCCTTCCGTCTGTCTAGCGGTTCGTCTGTGGACAGGCGGAACTTTGATATGAGGCCTACGAGCAGCAGTGTCGCAGACGAAAGCGTACATGCGTGGAGCAATTGTCCGCCACCCGGGTACTCTAGACTGTTGGAGTCGGCCACTGCATCTGCCAGGCTCGTGGGCGTTTTTCGAGCCTGCGATACAGCGCTAAAGTATGCAAGCGACGCGAAGACGTAAGGTAGAGGCACGAGGAGGGCTGTGAGCGCTTCGGGAAGTTCGAGCCAGGACCTGGTCACCGATTAGCGTATTTCGGCGTTCTGTGAGCGTCGGTTACGTACGACTGTGAGTACGACTGTGGAGGGAACGCGGCCGGGTGCTCATGGATTGGGGAGAAGGCTTGCTTCGCGGCCGCACTCTTCCCTCCTCCTGGCCTTCCTAAGTCGGACTCGCCCCGCGGTCTGCCCTTGGGGCGCCCATTTGTGAACGGCTTCAGCGTGTACGTCGACTCGGTCGATCTCGAATGGCTGTGGGCGTGATCGTGCGATTGGTTGTGCTGGTGGCCGTAGGGAGACAGTCCCTGCATGTACAATTGACCGTTCATTTCGGATCTGGCATGACGGTGGGCGCCCCCCGCCTGGCTTTGTGCCTTTGAGGGCGATGCGCCGTTCATCTGCGCGGTCCTGGGTGCAGATTGGTCGGCAGCGTAGTGCGAGTGCGAGTGCGAGTGTCCATGGCCACGGGCGGGCGACGCATTGTCTATGGGCAAGGCATACGTAGACGCCATAGGTAGCGCGTTCGGGGGGCCGCCGCGGTATCGCCTGCGCGCATCCGACTAGGCAAAAGGGCCGCGCCTCTGGGAGTCCTGGTGGGTTGGTTCTATTGTCGCATCCGATGCGGCCAGTGCTGGAACAACAAAGCGCGGGGAGCCAGAGCGAATTGCGGGGAGGTGGAGGTATCGCAAAGCGGTACCGTCCTGAATAATGTTTCGTCGATAGCGGCCGCGGCCGCTCAGGGGTCTCGTCTCACCGAGACTGGCAGGCGCGATGCCCGCCGAGGCGCCTGCTAGCTCCGCAACTGTGGCGCCCTAGCGTGGCCTGTGGCTGGTTCGCACTCGAGAAACGTGACCTTTTGCTACAGCAGCGAATATACATCGCCGGGGTGCCTCGCTTTTCGGGCGCTGCATCGAAATGTGGAACACGTTCGACATCTTCCGCGACGACTTCCTCGGCGAGAAGGGCAGCTGGCTGTTCGATGTGGCCCTCTACGCGATACTTGGCCTTTCCACGCTATTCACCATCATCCTAGTCACGTTGCCCTCGCAATACGACCCCTACAAGGACAAACCGTTAAGGGCCGTGAACGAGAGGGGCGAGAAGATTGAACTGAAGAGGAAGGATGGAAAACAGACGCTGGATTTCAGGGCGGGGCGGACGACTCACATCGTGGTTCTGGGCGACATCGGTCGGTCACCGCGCATGCAGTACCATGCCATCAGCATTGCCAAGCATGGAGGAAAGGTCTACTTGGTTGGATATCAGGGTATTTAGAAGCATTTTTCCATAGATTGAACATCTACTGACTACCTTGCTAGAATCTGAAGTCCACCCCGACGTAGCCGCCAACGACCTCATCACCGTCGTCCCCCTTGCTCTATCCCCATCATTCCTCCGATCCAGCTCCAAACTCCTCTTCCCCATTGTCGCACCGCTCAAAGCCCTCCACCAGTCCTGGACCCTCTACCGCACCCTCGGCTACGCCTCGGAACCCGCACGCTACATCCTCGTGCAAAACCCACCTTCCATTCCCACTCTCGCCATCGCAACCGTCGTCAGTTTCCTCCGCAACACCGAGCTCGTCATCGACTGGCACAACTTTGGGTACTCTATCCTCGCGCTCAAACTTGGTGCTTCGCATCCCCTTGTCAATATTTCCGCCCTGTACGAGAATGCTTTCTCGAGACTGGCATCACAGCACATCACGGTGACGCATGCAATGGCGCGAGTCCTGAAGGACAGTTACGGCGTCACAGCGCACGCCTTGCACGACCGACCCGCCGCCCTCTTCCGTCCGCTCAACGTAAGCGAACGCTCAAAGTTTCTTTCCCGCCTCCCCGAGACAGCGCAGTACGCACAAGACTTAGCCAAAGGCTCGTGGAAGCTCATCGTGTCATCAACTTCCTGGACCGCAGACGAGGACTTCTCGCTGCTGCTCGCTGCGCTAGAGACCTACTCCGCACGCGCGACGTCGCAGGTTTCGCTCCCGAAGATCCTGGCTATCATCACGGGGAAGGGGCCGCAGAAGGAACATTACCTCTCACTCGTGAAAAAAATGAATCAGGAGAAGAGGTTACTCAATGTGGTCATTCAGACAGCGTGGCTTACGCCAGGGGACTACGCGACCCTCCTCGGTGCTGCGGATCTGGGCGTCTCGCTGCACACGTCGTCTTCGGGCGTGGATCTGCCGATGAAGGTCGTGGATATGTTTGGCGCTGGTCTGCCGGTGGTTGGGTGGGGAGACTTCGAGGCGTGGCCGGAGCTTGTGAAGGAGGATGTCAACGGCAAGGGCTTCAAATCGAGTGAGCAGTTGGCGGGGCAGTTGGTGGAACTATTTGGCAGCAAAGATAGCGTGTTACCGATGTTGAAGAAGGGTGCGTTGGAGGAGAGTAAGAATCGGTGGGATGACGAGTGGGATCGGGTTGGTGGGAAGCTGTTCAGGCTTTTGCAGTAAGGACATCGTGTTTACTCGGACAACGCACCATGTGTCCCTTGGGAGGGACAAGAGCGTCACCTGGCTTGTATATAGCCCCAAAAATGAGCTTCAACGTCCTTCATACTGCTTCACAATCCTGTTCTCCGACTGTAAATCCGATCAAGTCAACCCGGCCTTACCCAAGTCTTTCACTCACTACACATTGCTTTAATGAGTGCACTCTCCATAACTCTTAACTTTGCATACTCATCGCATTTTCACCTACGCCATTCTACACACTCTAATATATATACGTTGACATTGTGTGTACCAGCCCGTATCGTTCATGAGTCTGAAGTACAAGTCCTAGTAAGTTTTCCCAGCATTTTCCAGATATCCATACGAAATGCTCGTCTAGCCCCCTGGACATACGCATGCTCGATCTGCATCCATACCTAGGCTATCGTCCTTTGGCTCGTATGGTCTAGCCTCGCTCTGAGGGTTTTCCGCGACCGTATACAGAAGTTCCGGCCCAAGCAATACCCTTATAAACACCGCCTAGAATCTATGGTGGCTTTATACAATACATCATACCATATGCTTTTTCATTGAGGAAGTCAATCAAGTATACTTTGCCTCCTCAAAACCCAAAGTTCCAGCTGTCAATATTTCTCGCTTGTTTCTTACGTTGATGTACTAGTATTTATGAAATAGTTACATCTCCTTTACCAGTGCAGCCTGGCCTCGCTCTCAGAATTCTCAGCGACTGTGTACATGCCTTCAGGCGGTAAAACGCTCTTTCTAGACACTGTCCAAAATTCATAGTTAGATTAAATACACTACATTGAACTTTTCCTCAGTTTCGCGCTTGAAATCTTTCAGGTGCACCGAGCCTGTTCTTGAATTGCAGACCGTGTCAATTGCACGTCCTGCTCACTTGATTACCGATATTGATACGCCGCATATGCAGCACAGTCATCAAGACTCCAGTCGTGCTGAGCATGGCACACTCATTCACACTCGTCCAATATCTTCTGCGAAGTCTTGTCTGGTGCATAAGCTCCTATGCCGGTACAATGTCGCTATCGCGGCAGTGTGGTGATGCCCTGCTCGTGTGACCCTTAAGGTAGGGTGCGCATGAGTTGTATTGATATAGTGGATTTTTCCCCTCGTGGCATTTCTTCGACTACATAGCTCGGCAGGGATCTTATAGCTCAGGCTCCTGAATGATGATGCCGTAGTCTTGCATATGCTTCATTATCTTTATGATCACGTTAGATGGTTGGAGCCAGAGTGCGTAAACTTTCTCCCCCTTTCTCGTGCGGTTGGAATGTGGTGGAGGAGTGCTGGTTTGCGAATGCAGTCTTTCTGAGTGTAGTGTGGACGTAAAGCGAAATATTAAGCTCGGTCAGAGTACGGTTTTCAAGGCGCGGATGGGAATGTGGGAGGCTATCGTGTGAGAATGGATAATGGTGAGAGAGTGTTGCGGAATGCAGTGTGAATATGAAAGGGGGTCGTGTAGGGCTGAACGGGAGCGTATGGGTTTACATCGTTAGTTCGAGGGTTTTGGTGAGGTTTCAAACGATATGGACTTGAAGCTGGCCTGATATATAGGGCACCCAAATTATCTTTGCGATACACATAACCTGTTAACTAGCCACTTATCACTGCCTCCTATTTTGGCCTGCCCTCTGTACAGAAAATACATCAAATGATGTCACCAATCGGTCTCACATTGTGGAACCTTCACGTCGATGTCCGAACAAACTTTTCTATCACACCGGGGTATCATAACGCCATCCATGCATCCCTCCTCTTATCCTATCGAGTCACTCCTCCCTTCCATTCCATGCACATAGCATCCTCCTTGTCCATTATTTATCCACGCCAACCTTACCCTTTCCCTTCCCCATCTTCTTATCCACCCCCAACTTCTCGATGTCCCCTTCTTTAAAGTAGAAGGGCGCCATCTCCGTCAGCATCTCGGGCTCGATTGGTAGAACCGAACGCATGAATTCTTTGGAAGTCAAGACTAGTTCCGAGTAGATCAACCATTTCGGACGTTCGGACGGCTCATGGACCCAGCTACTTGGGTGTATCCACACGGTTGTAGAGTTCGCGCCCTTGACCGGCCGGTAGGACTGTCCATCTCGCGCCATGCGTGCCGAGTTGGCGAAGTAGCCTGACACGAAGGCCTTCTTGATAGCGACAGGGTCAAGTTCACCTTCGTCTTCGGGGATAAGGCCAACTTGTTCGCAGATTTTTTCGAGTTGCTCACGGATCGAACGAATTCGATTCAACGTGCGATATTGCAAAAATTGCTCTTTGCACCACATTGTGTCGTACTCTGTTTCTACCCATTCGGAGTAGATTTTTTCATATGCGCCGTAGTCGCCGAGTCCCTGTCCTTTGTTGCCGTAAAAGCGTTTCTTCGCGGCGTCAACATGTAGTTTTTTATCCTTCGGCGCGAAAAAGAGGGCATTGGCCTCTCCTAAAACACTCAAAATGGTAAGCACCGGCCTAAGACAACCGAATTTTCCTGCAGAAATCAAAGTCTTCGCCTGCTCTGGAGCTACTGGAAATTGGCTGAGGGTTCTCCCGACTCGGGTCACTACACCTTTTGAGTCGAGAGCACCAAGGCAATAAAGCGTTTCCAGACTCGCCGCGATCGATTCCGGTGCTGGAGGGCTCATCCATTGGAAGGAAATTAAATCGTTGATACCGATGCTCTTCAGGAGGAGAACAGTGCTGGTCAAATTAACTCTCAGGATCTCAGGTTCGGAGGTCTCGGCCAACTCGTTCTGAAATGAAAACTGTGTGTACAGCCTGAAACAGCTTCCAGGCCCCGTACGTCCAGCACGTCCAGCCCTCTGGTTTGCGGAAGCTCGCGAGATTGGAACAACAGCGAGTTGCTCTAGTTTAGTGGTGTTGTTATAGCTGTTCTCTTTAGAGTAGCCAGAATCAATGACATAGACCACACCGTCGATGGTGAGCGACGTCTCGGCGATGTTGGTGGCGAGTATACATTTTCGTGCCCCCTTCGGCGCGGGTGCGAAAATTCGCCCTTGTGCGTCCTGGGGTAGGGCGGCGTAAAGGGGAAGGACGATCAACTCCTTCACTCGATTACCGAGTTTGAGCTTAGTCTCCTCGATACTCTGAAGCGCGACTTCGATCTCGTCTTGCCCAGTCAGGAATACGAGGATGTCGCCGTCACCAGCACTTGCATGTATTTGAAACACCGTCGTTATGCTCGCTTGCCTAGCTCTTAAGTTAGTCATGTCATAAAAGTGGGGTGACACATTGACTTCGCACTAGGGGTAACTTACAAATAATTAGCCTCAGGCTGTGACGTGTTGTATATTGTAACTGGATATGTTCTACCGGGAACTAGATACAATTAGCCGGTTGCCTAGAGTGAAACGTACTCTTGAAAACTTACCGTACAGAATTGGGCAGCTCTGAAGAAAGTTTGAGAATTTCTGGGCGTCCAGTGTAGCACTTGATATAATAAGACGTAGGTCTTTCCTGAACCGAAGGACGTCGACCAAAAGACCGAGGAGAATGTCTGTCGCCAGAGTCCTTTCGTGTGCTTCGTCTAATATAATGCAAGAAACATCTGGAAGGTCCGGCTGGCTCAAAAACATGCGTAACAGCGTTCCATCAGTAAGGTATTTAAGACGAGTCTTCTCTGTGGTCTTGTCTTCAAATCGCACGGTGTATCCTACCCTATCGCCGAGGCGACACCCTTGCTCTTCAGCAACACGGGTTGCCAAGGAGATCGCGGCTACCCTACGTGGTTGAGTGCATATCACCTGTTGGTCTTTAAGTCCGAGGCGATCGAGGTACTCGAGCATGTATTGTGGAATCTGCGAGCTTTTCCCGCTTCCTGTCTCTGCGGTTATAACCATGCATTGATTTTCAACCATCCCGTCGAGGATGGTTGATTTGAATTTATGGATTGGGAGTGACGTCCGGACGTCTGCGATGGACTTCGCTCTTTGTTCCGCAGCGTCTAGCTGCGCTTGCAGTTGCTGCTTCGAAGGATCGTATTCAACACCGTCGCCAACGAAATTGATGCTCGTGCTGGGATCAAATACGAACTCGTACTCGTCCTCTACCTCGCGGGCACGTTGGTTCCCTTGGGCCGCTTTAGCTTTGGCTGTCTGCTCTTCTTCCCAAAGTTGAACTTCGCTTTTGTAGTGCTCTTTAGACGAGGTATTCCGCTTGGACAGGACCTCCGACTTGTCCGTCGTCATGGTCGAGTCGAGCATGAAGAAGCCGGAATTCGTGTCGTCGATCTGGTTGCGCTCCAACGTCAGGCGAAGGGTCAACTTTCTCTTGTCCATTTCATCGAGCTCTCGCTTCGATAACTTGCTGCCGTATTTCTCCCGTTCCCTCTCATCCTCTTCGACATCCTTCTGTAGTTCGGCAATTTTCAAAGCCTCGCGTTTTTGTAGGTAGTCAAACCGACTCCGCTGCCGCAAGTCGGAGAGGTCGTCGGTAGCATTGCGCTTGGGAGGCATTGTGGCGGGCAGTTTGGCGCAGGTATTGGGGCAGAGGTTGCGCAAAGTCTCGTCGTGGAGTGTGTTCGGTCGGTGGAGGGTCGTAAGAGGCGTCAGGTGGGCTCGAGGAGGCGCTAGGGGCAGTTGTCCACAGCGCTTGCACCCACACAACAGTGTTCTGATCGTGTGCGCGAAGTGTGCTCAACTGAAAGTGGAGGCGTCGAGAGGTATGCGGCGAACGCGGAGCTGTCCTGATTCGGCGCTAGCGTCGGTGTGCGGCGATACTGTTATTCCGACAACAACGCCAAATTCTTGAGCTTGGAGTGTAGCGATGGAGCGAAGAGAGAGGAGAGCCTGCCGATATAGACGAAGAGAGCTCGGAGCCTGGACACGTACCAAGGTAAGAAACAGGCAGCGGCTATGCGTTTGAGCGATCGTGGAAGATGAGGGTGGAATGGAACCTGGAAAATGTTGTTCTTGGGATTCGAAAAGCTGTAAGGTTCATGACAATGCCGGATAGTGTATCGAGCTTATTGTATAGGTGCTACCTTTCAAGAAGCGACATTTCCAAATGTATATTCGTCGTTGACCGAAACACCAAATTAGCCTTTGCGTATCTCCGCATGTCCCTCTACAATGCATCCACTTCTATGTACGAAAACGGTAGATTCCATCGCTTGATGCAGCGCTACCTGTCATGATATCTCCCTTGAAATGCTGCCAAATGTATGCAAAGAAGTTTTCGCTGACTCGAAAGCCTATGAACAGGCGAGTTGGACAAAGCCAGGATTCAGTCTATCTCCAACTTCGTGCTTGCAAGATGCCGTGTCGCCACTCAAAAGCTTCCAGACCCTATATCTCCGCCATCGCCGAACACCAACTACAGTCCTAGGGCAGAGATCTGAAGAGAATCGGGCTACAATTTGGCTACACTTGGATAATACACCGTACTCAAACTTCGGTCCTCTCACTTGAATGCTCCATCGATGTTCCCTCCCTTTGAGTACAGGACTCGCACTTGCCGCAGCAAGCACGCAGCCGGAATACAGGACCTTCGATGAACTCGACCAACATGCCATCCTTTTGGAAGAGACGCCATATACCAAAGACAGCGTATCCCTCCATGGCCTTTGGGTACTTATTGTACTCATCGTCGCGTTGTGTCATGTTCGTACTGTCCATAACCACCCGCTTCAACCCGGCGAACGCAGGCAGCATCTCGAGGTAAGGCTTGACCAGGAAATGCTCGGTGGGGTCGAGCGTGTCGGTCAAGTGGTAAATATTGAAGCCGATCTTGCCCATGCAGTCGAATCTGAGGGTAATTGTGGAGATGGCATTTTTCTGCTCCGTGCTCAGATTCTCCACTCGCCTCTGGAAGTAGAAAAAGTTCTTCGTGTCGAAAGTGTTGTTAGTGAAGATGTGCAGGCGGGACTCGATGTAGGTCTGGCGGCAGACGAGGGTGAGAGCAAGCAGGTTGGCGACGCTCGGGAACTCGACGAATGTGTGGCGCCAGTCCCACGGGTCGATGGGGCCGACGATCAAGTGGCCGTCGGATGTGTGGTATATGCTGTAGTGACCAGTGACATACTCATAGAGTATGTTCCGGATCTCTCCGGGCAGACGAAACAGCGGGGATTTGGTCGAGTTTCGCTTGGTGCTGAGCGTTGTTAGATATCAAGAATCTTCCTATTGAGGAGCACTTACATGGCGACTACTGCCGCAGCTGGATGCATGTTGCCGAGGTGTTTCGCTGGTGGAGGAGATGGAGGTGCGTGCGGGTGAGTGTCACGGTAAACATTATGATTGCGTAGTGTCCACATATTCGATCGTGTGAAACGCAGGGAGCCAGCGGAGTACATCTCAGCTCCCCGGATAAGTTGATTACGAGCGTTTGCGAGCCCCTCGAAGACAGCCGCGGGTCCACTCAAAACACGCTTTTGATCACAGGGCAAAGGCGCAAGCGTCCAGGTGAAAGATGTCAACATGGTCGATTCGTGCCACAGTGAATGCGTGCGGGGGGTGATTGTGACTGGGGAAAGCGTGGGGCCCAAAGCTCCTGCAGCAGCTCCATTCATTGGGAAGCGGAAGCCTCAAAGGGCATGTTTCATTGCGAAAAGCATCGTGGCTATATTTGGTCGCTCGCGGTGGAGCATGTGGTGGCAATGAACATTGCGTTCTGTTCAATGAACCATGTGTTAAGCGCGCATCTCTGTCCAGCATTGAGGGGTTTATCTGTTCGATCAACCTTGCGAAGATGCATGGTTTTGAGTTGAAATCCGCAAATGCTCATCAGCATCATACACTTGTTGCGGAAGCCTGGTTCAGTTTAGCTTCCACGTGATCGCGCGTCGCGGCGGGAAACAACGAACCTCCGACGCGTCGATGTCTACGCCACCTTCACTCCGCACCTTCACACTTCCGTCCGAACAAATGTGAGCGCAGCCCACCCTGAACCTGCAACGCGTACTAATATCTACAGGCTCCGTCCTAAGTCCCTCGCCGCTGGCGAACAAGGCGCACCAGCCGCGAAACCAAGATTACTCGGCACACCCGCGTCCGCCGACCGCCTGCACAAGCCCTTCAGATGCCCCGGCTCTGCTACCTCGACACGCACGACAGAGAAACCTGCGCGGAAAAGGCGGAAGGTCAATTACGCGGGTGCCGACGGTGAGAACGAAGAAGGCGATAAACCCTACTCGAACGATGATCGGCTGGCCCTTGCCACTCGGGATGTTAACAGGTTTCCGGTGTTCAAGCCAAAGGACAAAGACACGGCTTTTAAGACGAAGTTCATCGTCCCATTGAAGAACAAGGATGTTCGAGGTTACAATGCGTTCCGTCCAGCACCATTGCTAGGCATGCGGCAAGGCAGAGTGTTCGTAGCGCGCCCGTTGCACGACCCTAGCGGAGAGTTCGCCATCGTGCTGTACGATCCCACAGTCGACGACAAACCGATAGCAAAAGAAGTGGCAGAGCCTAAGTTAAGTCAGGAGGAGAAGAAGTCCATGGACGAACCATTGGTGCATAAGAGTTTGGCAGAGATTCTGGGCCTGAAGAAGAAGGTTGATGACGACAGGCCACGAGTGCCCGTCGTCATAGACCCACGACTTGCAAAGGTCCTCCGACCACATCAGGTTGAGGGAGTAAAGTTTTTGTATCGCGCTGTAACGGGCATGATCGACCCGAAAGCGAACGGGTGCATCATGGCCGACGAAATGGGTCTTGGAAAGACGCTGCAGTGCATCACGCTCATGTGGACGTTGCTGAAACAGGCACCAGATGCTGGAAAGTCTACGATTCAGAAGTGCGTGATAGCATGTCCTTCCAGTCTGGTTCGAAATTGGGCAAATGAGCTCGTAAAATGGCTAGGCCCGGACGCAATTACGCCGTTTGCCATCGACGGCAAAGCATCTAAAGAAGAGTTGATCCAGCAGATTAAACAATGGAGTATCGCATCAGGGCGATCCGTTGTGCGACCCGTCCTGATTGTTTCCTACGAGACCCTACGAATCAACGCTGAAGAGCTTGCGCAAACACCAATTGGTCTCTTGCTCTGCGACGAAGGCCATCGATTGAAGAACGGCGAGAGTCAGACTTTCACAGCTCTCACTGGACTCAACGTACAGAGACGAGTCATCCTTTCTGGCACGCCCATTCAGAATGATCTATCGGAATACTTTGCGCTACTCAACTTCGCAAATCCGAACTATCTTGGCACCAGGAACGATTTCCGCAAGCAGTTCGAAAACCCTATTTTGCGAGGCCGTGACGCCGATGCCACAGATCTGGACCGCAAGAAGGGCGACGAGCGTCTCGCCGAGCTGCTCAATCTCGTGAACAAATTTATCATCCGACGAACAAACGATATCCTTTCCAAATACCTACCTGTCAAGTACGAGCACGTCGTCTTCTGCAACCTAGCGCCGTTCCAGAAGGACCTGTACAATCACTTCATCGCCTCCCCTGAGATTCGCTCTCTGCTGCGCGGCAAAGGTTCGCAGCCGCTCAAGGCGATCGGCATGCTCAAGAAGCTGTGTAATCATCCCGACCTACTCGACCTACCAACCGATCTTCCAGGATGCGAGGACTTCCTGCCAGAAGACTTCGTCCCCAAAGACGCCCGAGGCCGCGACCGCGAAGTCAAAGTATGGTACTCTGGAAAGATGCTGGTTCTGGACCGCATGCTCGCATCCATCCGCGCAAACACCAACGACAAGATCGTACTCATCTCTAACTACACGCAAACCCTCGACGTCTTCGCCGCACTGTGTCGCTCCCGCAACTACGGTTGCCTCCGCCTCGACGGCACCATGAACGTCTCCAAGCGCCAAAAGCTCGTCGACAAATTCAACGACCCCGAAGGCCCCGAATTCGTGTTCCTCCTGTCCTCAAAAGCCGGCGGCTGCGGTCTTAACCTCATCGGCGCCAACCGACTGGTCCTCTTCGACCCCGACTGGAACCCCGCCGCCGACCAGCAAGCCCTCGCTCGCGTGTGGCGCGACGGCCAAAAGAAAGACTGCTTCGTCTACCGCTTTATCGCGACTGGCACCATCGAAGAAAAAATCTTCCAACGGCAGTCGCATAAGCAGTCGCTGTCCTCATGCGTCGTCGACGCATCCGAGGACGTAGAGCGCCATTTCTCTCTCGATAGCTTGCGCGAGCTGTTCCAGTACCGCGCGGACACTACCAGCGACACGCATGACACGTTCAAGTGCAAGCGGTGCAGGAAGGAGGATGGGCGACAGGTGCTCAAAGCACCGGCGATGCTGTATGGCGACACGAGTACGTGGAATCACATGGTCAATGATGGGGAGACGGGGCCGTTGGGGAAGATTCAGGATCTGTTGCTTAGGCAGGAGGTCGCAGAGAAGGAGGTTAGTGCGGTATTTCAGTATATCAGTCATTGAGTTGGCTACGGGGATGGCTACGGCTAGGAGATATGCTTGGATGGGCGGATTCTTTACGCGTGGGTGTTGCATCGTGGAGGCATTTTGGAAAGGTGATCTTTTAGCGTTCATTGTTTGTTTACGTACTTCATGTCTGATGTGTCATGTCTCATTTGAGGCTTTTCTTTGGTTTCGAGTCATGGTTTGGCGGAAGGTAGCGGAGTCTTGTTCTGTCTCGGGTAGCCTTGTCTTGTGCATTGCGCTTCAGGAATTTTGCATCGCGGTGGAGCAGGGTTGCGTTGCGGTATAAAGACATGAGAATGGAAAGTTGTTCCAATAATTGTAGCTCATTGGCGATGTATGGAATGGGGTGTGATGAGTACCGCGGTGGTGGGAAGTTGAGTCAACGGGGGCACTGCGGTGCTTTTGTTACTATAAGCGTGAGTTCAATAGTAAGACTTGGATTGGTGGTTCGGCGGCACAAGTAGGAGAGCGAGCCAATTGTTATCGATTTATTGAAAGTGGTCTGATAGATTCCGCCGCGGCGGAAAGTAAGTTCAATTGAAGTCCTCAATGGGGCCACGCTACAAGAATCGGAGGCACTGCGGTGGTTCTCGTACTCTTGGCGCGAGGTGATAGTAAAGCCTGGGTTGGTGGTTCTGTTTTAGTGATGGAATTGTGAGGATGGTGACGACGACAGCTGCTCTTGGGATTACCACGCACGGGCAGGATGACATGAGTCGCAGTCATCGCGGTTTCAACAGGAATCCTCGTGCCATGGAAAGTCGCGTGAACCATGCTATGCTTTGGCCAGTACACACCTCCTGTCGAGTTTCTTGAGACTAGAGCGAGGTTCAAGTTATTTTCTAACATGGTGGCTCATAGATTGTCGCAAGAATTCATGTGGCCCTTCGAAAGCTGAACAAATTATCGTGCACATAAAACTTCTGGAGAACGACACTATACGGTACTGCAGGCGTGCTAGGCACAACTTTCTAAGCAACCCCAGGACTGCATCACATATACGTGGAGCTTCGTCGCACTGCATTTCAAGGACAGGTCTAGTCAAGCTTTGCACAAAAGAAAATTTCTGTAGTTGTAACTAGGTAGCTCCCGACTATAGTATACACATTATAGACATAAAGAACCTCGTGCCTTCTCTCGGCAAGACACTAGCGTACGCGTCATCCAGAGCCGCATGAAACGCCCCCATCCACCCCTGCAAGAACCACGCCCTAACCCTTGTTGCAAGACGCAATCGCCAGCATCCCATCTCTGACATCGTATTCGCGACCGTATCGAACCCTGCAAGGTTGTCCCTATAGAGTTACAAGACCGCAACGTCCACGCGTAATGCCCATCCTGCGCTCTTGGCGGTGGGCAACAGCCAACCAGCTCGACTCCGGACGCCTGACCGTGGGAGTCATACGTGATTCGGCATTCAAACGCCTGAGTCCTCCTCCTCAATACCGATGGTATTGGCCCAGTCGCTCCAGGCTGCGCATGTGTTTTGCAGGACGGAGGTGGACGTGAGGAGGTCTGGGATTTCAGATTCGCGCTCTACGAACTGAAGGGCGAGACCTTCGGAAGTGTGCCAACCGATGTGGCAATGCATCTGTGGGACTGTTAGCCGTGTTGCTGAAAAATCAGAGGAAGTGAGAAGAAGCAACGTACCAACCAAGCTCCAGGGTTATCTGTCAAAAAGGCAATGACAAGGTATCCCGCCGCCGGCAAGTTTGCGACATCTCGTCGTGGAGGATTGTTCAGATTCAGAGCCACTGAATCGTCATATGTAGCATCCTCTTCCGCCGCGAGAATGAAGAAGTCGTGCCCGTGAAGATGAATCGGGTGTGGCACCCCCAATGCCGTCTCGATCACAAAGTACACCCACTCGTTGGCGTTGTCCAGCTTATACACATTCTCCTGACTCTCGAATGTCGCGTTGCCCTCGCTGATCTGCAGCAGCGATGGATTCGCCCACTCCACGAGCATGCTCTTGAGCCCGATCTGCCACTTGAACAAGTTGCCTGACGCGCTGATGCTGACGCCGAGGTCTTCGTCCTGACGAGGGTCGACGACAGTTTGGGTAAGGTATGGCACAAGGTTGGAGAGGAGTTCGTCGTTACAATCGGCGTTGGAGAGATTCGAATCTGCAGTGGAGGTCGGGTCGGCGGTTGAGGAGCTCGAGTAGCGGACGATGGCGCGGATGTCAGCGCTGTTGGCGTTGGAGGAGCAGGAGGATTGTGGGACCGCGCGCATCCAGTAGTCGGCAGTTTCCTGGTCTGCACTGACGATGATGTCGTAACGCTGGCCTGATTTGTGTGAGCAGTTGGAACATTCTGGCCAAGAATGAGGTCTTACCCATGCCAATGTCAAGATATGTAGTCGTGTACGGAATGATGGGGACGAAGTCCATGGCGATGACCTGGAAGGAGTGGCCATCGATAGCGAACTTGTAATGAGTGTCGATCGCGGTGTTGACGATGCGGATGCGGTAGCTCTTGCCAGACTCAAAGCTTGTTTCATAGCGCGAGCCACCGTCTTCGAAGGTGTTTAGGCCGTTGATGAGACCGTTTTGCAACTCAGGCGGACCAACAGTCTGCGCATAGCTGTAGAGCTCGTCGCAAGTCTGGTGCGTCCAATCGCTGAGCACAATGGGCTCGAGCTCTTCGTCGTAATTCGCTGTTGCAGGGCCATGAATGACCATTGGTCCGAAGACTCCGTTCCAGGCTTGCAGGCTGTAGTGGGAGTGGTACCACGATGTGCCGTACTGGGTGGCTTTCCATGTGTATGTGTAAGATTCCCCAGGCTTGAACAGATCAGTGATATGATTAGCAAATTATAAAAGAAGACTTACGGCGATAGGGCACTGCGTGATGGATGGGACACCATCTTCCTGATTTGTGTAATTCTGACGGATACCGTGCCAATGTATTCCAGTGCCGTTGGCAGTCAAGGCATTTGTCACATGTATCTTGACAGTATCCCCCCAGTTCGCTTCGATCAATGGACCAGGCACAGTTCCATTGACGGACAAGACCATCCGCTCAACACCATCAGGAGCTGCCGTGATGTTTCGTACCTCAAGCCAGTACTAATATTGTCAATTCAGTTTCTAGAAATAGGCAGTGTGCGGGGGCTACGTACCTCGACAGTGACACCTGTGTCCGGAGCCTCGTCATACCAGTTTGTTTCGATGCTATAATCACACCATACACTTCGGTCAGAAGCAGTGTTGCCCTCGCAGACTGCTCGGGAAGAAAGTAAAGGACTTGTTTGAGGAGCAGGCATGGCAGAAGCCGCCGCAACCAATATAACGAGTGTTCGAAGCAGAGTCATAATGAATGACAAATCTAGGAGCTAGGAATGACTGAGTGGAACCACGCGCAAAGCTCAATGAGTGGGAGCCTTAGGGTAAGTTGATGACAGGATGAGTACATCTCGAAGCATATATATATTCACGAAGGGCGTATCTTCGTGAACACGAATCGAGATGTGACAGCTCCTCAACTACCCCAGTCGAGATGCAGTTCGGATGTGACACTGCGAGGAGTCGTCAGCAATACCGACAGAGTGTTAGCGGTGCCATTGTCGTAGAGCCGATGTACGAAGGGCCACGATAGCATGGCCAAGAGACGAAGTCCGCCTGCAGGAGTAAGTTGAAAGATCCGTTTCGAGAAATACTCCGATTCCCATGCATGAAACAATAAGCCGCTAGACACACGTGCTGGAATATGCCAAGTTCGTCCGACTGTATGTAGGCTTTAGGTCCGGCTTACTCACACCACGGGATTATGAGACATTGTAGCATCGATATAGGAGCACGCTAGTATGATCTAAATCTGTTGGATGTGCGTTGCGTGTCTATTGGAGCACCGCATACTGGGTTTGTGAATGGCCCACTCCGTGCGCAGAAATGCAGGGAGCGTGAATGAATCGCAAGCGCCGGATTGCACGCCATGTTGAAGGGGTGCCTGGGAAATCAAGTATAGAATAGTGGTTCGATTTGTAGCTCCGTGAATATCGACCGCGTACTCCAGTGCTGATCAGTTAAACCTGAGTAAATTTGGCCTCCTCCAGAGAGCGGATAGCAAATCCACCGCATGGTCTTTGCGTTGACCGCGTTTGTAAACATGAAGCGAAATTCGCGAGCGCACCAAACAAGCCTGCGCCAGCGTAACGGTAGCACCCGTCCATCTCGGGCGGGAACCCGGGCGGCTCAGATCTCGTATTGCAATATCCACTCTCCGCTACCAAGGGTTCTATACAAGGTTGTGCAGGTGCGGCTTACGGCGAGTCCGCAAGACTACGCGTCCATCATGGGTCCTTATCAGTCGTGCATCCTTGTTGGAGGTGATATTCACCCGCAGGAGCAGTCGCACCTCGCGAGATAATTTATGGTGCAAAAGTTCTCGTGGATGGTATGGTCGGTATCGTGGAGCCATCACACCAAACATATCCACAATGCTCGGCATTTTCCGTACTATCAGTGGATCAAACAAACGCAAGTTTTGGGGTTGCACGCTTTGGGAGAAAAAGGTGGGGGTCAGTAGTACGTCGGCCTCCACTCCGAGATCGACAGGCGTCCAGGAAACGTGCACGCGTCCAGACAGGCATGATCCCGCAATGACGACGCTTTTGCGAGTCATGAAATTTCCGAAACTGATCGCACCCAAACCCTACGCATAGAGTTTGTGAGAACATGGAGTAAGTCGACTCAAGTCCGCCATTGGCGTACATACTAAGCTTCGAGGTTCTTCGCTCGGCTTAGCTGGTACCGTACCGAGCAGGGAATCCTAGGGAAGCGCCATGTGACGGACAACAAGCATTCTTGCCATGAGCGTCGTCAGCGCATCACGGCCACTACTGCAGGAACAGCGTCGACCGAGGCTTGAATTTACTCGCTGTTTGTGGCGCCACTTTCCAAAGGTATCATTCGCCGCTGACGCTCACAACTATGCATGTTTAGTTTCATTGTTTGCCAAGGAACAGTATCGGTCGCTTGCGGATGTACGATACCGAGTCGTTAGTCTTATGAAAGAAGAGATAACTACGAGTATGCTTTGTCGCAAGTACCTTTTGGGCGGTGTTGTGCGAAGGGCCTGCATGAGGACTCGTCATCATGGATGCGAGTGTGAGCGGCAGTTGAAGTCCGTGCCGCTGGTGGATTGCGATGGCAGGAGCTCTTGGTGTATATCAAATGGAAAGCCCGTCTCAAACCATAGTTGCTGCCATCTCCCATCATTCCTGGTCGATATTCGCTCTTTCCCCAACACTCTTTTAAAAGAAAAATGTTCGGCAAGCTTTCGTCAATTGCTGTTCTCGCCGCATGCGTGACCAGTGCAGTATCCGAAGAAACCGAGTTCAAGCTCTTTGCCTATGGAAAACTCGCCTCGTCAGGCCTGCAGCTGTTCTACGGCGACGGTCAGTACTGAAACACTTTGTGGGCAGACGACTGTCTCATAGACATTCAGGCCAAGCATACGTCGGTGGCACTCCATCCTATGTCAAGGAGTCGGTGAACATCTCCCGTAAGAACAAATCAGACAGTGTATAAGATTGTGGCTTACGGTCACAGTGGTTATGGCCGATGGTGGCGACAAATTTGTGGCTAAGGCCAACACCACGGCATCTGCATGGTCAACCGACCCCACGATGTATGTTGACCTTACAGAGGGAGCTACGAACCCTATAGGCTTTACCCAGGACAATGAGACGCTTCCAAGTGGCGCGTCTTCCGTTGGTTTCGGTCTCTACGGAGGGTGGGCGTTTCACAAGAATGACGACGCGGACATCGAAATGAAGTTCCTTGCTACACCAACAAATGAGACTGGTGTTTACTTGTGCGTTGACCAGAACTTATTTTTGATAAAGCTAACGATTTGCAGGGTTAAGTGGAATGCTGCATCCACGAAAGTAAGCGATGCCATTCCGATATCGCTGCGCACTCAGGCCCCGGTTGCGCTTGACGACAAATAGTTCTTGCGTGGGTGGCGCAGCAGTCTGTAGTTCGATGAATGGTTGTGATACACTTCTTCCAATGGCACTCTTGAGCATCTTCTATTCCTCTACCGTTGCTATGTCTGGCGTTGATGATAGTTTCGTATGAGACCGCTTCTATGGTAATTATGATTTGCGACGGCGTGTGTTTTGAGTTAATGCAGTGCACGTCGAATGTTTGTTTCCTTGGGATATTAAAGTTTACCCGGGCTTGACATGAAGAATGGTTGGCCCCTGCGCTGGAATTGGTGTGCTGAGCTTCTGTTTTGCTTGGGTTGGGACGGGCCGTTCGACGACCTCGCACCACTCAGCCTTCTGCGTTCACTCTGCGCGTCTTAATGCAGGGTATAGGCCCATGTATTAAAAGTCACTTCCAATGGGCTCGACATCGCCACACATTTCTGTACTACTTATGTGCCGCTGCTCCGCCTCATAAAGCAGTGTGTAATAGAGGTTGATGTTATACTTCACCTCGTTACTGGCATTAGCTGTAATAGATTGACTCACAATCTTCCAGGGAGCTGTTCTGAAACCTCTCAGAAAACAGCAGAGTTGGGAGCATGTGGGAGATAACGCCTCGATTGTAGTACAAGTGTCGTGGTGGATGTTGATTGGCCAAATGTTGGCGGGGTAGTAGACGATTGTGGCCCATAATGTATCGGATATAAGGTGAATGCAGTCCTCGAGAGTTGTTTCGCCGTTCTCGATCTGTTGTCATATCGAACATTGCCCTGCAAACCCGCATCTGACTTTCTAACGATGGCACTAAAGAACAAGAAGGTTCGTCATCCAGCAGAAGCGATAGTGTCCGAATCATCTTCAAGGATGTCAACGCTAACGAGAGCTCCTTAGAAGCTGGGTTTCGTCGCAGAAGGGGACGGAGCTATCGGGGAGGCTGCACCTACAGCTAATCCTGAAGCTTCGACAGCAGAACCCGAAGTTAAAGCAGTTCCGCAGCCTAAAGCGAAACAAACTCCTCTTTCGTAAGCTTAATCGAGGTGTTCAACAGGGCTTGAACCCTGCTAATTGTCGATTACGCAGTCCTTACACCAGCAACCCCATCACAATCAATGTCGGGCCAGTGCCAGTGACCTACTACGTTCCAAGGCATCTTCTCAAATGCACAAATTGGTCGACGGTTCCTGCTGGTGGGGAGATCAGCTTGCCTACTATGAGTGCGGATACGGGACATGTACTTGTGCATTACCTCTACACCGGCAAATATCAGACGCTTGAGTCAGTGGTGAGTGATATCGCACAACAACCAGAGCTGGCTTTAAAACAAGCGCTTCTGGTATATATGGCGTCGGTGACCCTCGCGCTGAATGGACTGGAGCAATTGGCCAAGAAAGAGATCGAAGACCATAGCGCTTCCATGGATTTAAAGACAATTCTCGATATCACCAGGAGTGAAATGCCGAAGAAGACTGAGCCCAGTGGCTGGATCCAAGCATACCTGAAAGACAAGACCCAGAAGGCTTTCGAGAAGGACCACACCGTCTTCGCAGACGATGCCTTCTGTGCAATTCTGTGTAAACACAGTAAGCTGAATGATCATGTGATGCGTTCGGTGGTCAAGCTTCTGAGCGAGAAGTTGACCCAAGTGCTGGCGGGAAAAGAGGACATTACCCATGCACTAGATGAGGTTCCACGTTCGCAGCCAGTATCAGAGGAGGAGGTTGGCGGAAAAGACCTGTTTGCTGGCTTAAGCAAGTTGCAGAGGAAGAAGCTGGAAAGGAAAGTGGAACAGATGAAAAAGAAGGAGAAAGCGCGACTTGAAGCGATAGAAGCAGCAGCAGCAGCGCTGTCCCAGGGTGGTGTTATCAACGACCAACGACTAGCTCTCGATATCGTTGAGGAGTCAGCTGCTATTGAAGAGCCCGTGACTCGATGGGAGGCTTCAGCCCCTGCTCCGGAGCCTCAGACATGCTACGAATCATCTGTTCCTACGTTAGAAGCTGAGACTCACCATGAAAACTCCATGAATTTCGTGGGTCCCGAGGAAAACCGACCTACAGCTGAGCCTCCGAAGAGCGTCTGGGTTGAATACGTTCCTCCGCCGCCTCCAAAGAATGAGACTATTTCGGCGAGGAAGAACAGGTTGCGTCAAGAAAAGAAGGACAAGGAGAAGTGGGACAGAGAACAGCAGGAGCGCATTGACCAGGAAGAGAAAGAAAAACCCTGTGTGGGGCCGGTCTCTACAACCCATGCTTGTTGGGAAGACTCAGGTCTTACCGCCGAGTCTGATTCTTCTTGGGAACCAGCAGTACCTTCCAGTCCCCTTTGCTGAATCTGAGCCCATATACGATGACTCGGTGCCCATATACAATCAACGACAAACAAAGCTGGACTCATCCTCGCACATGTTCCATGTTTTGACTTCTTTTGGGCAAGAGGCGCCACAACAGAGCCAGACGTGCGTCTGAACCGTGGTTGTTGAGTGTAGAAAGACATTTGAGCCAAATGTAATGGTTCCGAGTCATCAATGCTGTAGTTGGCCGTTTTTTAAAGCGTCAGAGCAACGTGTGAGAAGGTTTTGTGGATGGGAGATATGTTATATGAACTTAGTGACAAGCATGGCCTGGCTTCGCGATATTGGAATGCATGCGCGCACAACTATTTGGCCATCTTGGTCGATTTTATTGCGGTCCTTGCAAATATGCAGGTCTTCATAAGGTAATTCCAGAATCGGGAAGACACAGTTCAGCTGCATCGAATTTTGGAACTAATTGCTTGACGCAACATGGCTTCTGGTCCCAAGCAACGGAGTAATGTGCAAATTCACTAAGGGAGGGCAAGAGGTTTACATGCACAGTGAGGATTGCGGCCTCACGCCGTGTCCAAAGGTTGCACACACGTACGTGCGCTTTTGCCGTCATTTAATCGACTTCTTGACCGCAGGGACACATACGTCTTTGTCTCGTAACTTTTAGTCCGGAGAAGGCATATAGAAACTCTTCGTGCGCTTTGAGACCTGTTGAGGCTATCTCGGGTCTTTCAGTCCTTTGTAGAGCGGATGCGCCGTGTATGTCAAGGAGAACAAGACTATAATTTCTTATTATCTCTGTTATGCGCACCGCCTCACCAGTTACGGTTTTAGTACCATACGCGGATTGCTATTTGCTCCTATCTGCGATAACATCGTCGTTGACAACAGGATTAGAGTGCTAGAAGCCGACGTTGTGAATGCTCACGCTGAGTTCTTGCACGGTGATTATACAAAGGTAAACGAAGAGAGTTACTAAAGAATTTGTGAAGAGGAATTCGAAGCGAAACACAGCTCACAGAGATCCAACCCCTCGGTGGGGTCGGACCAGACGCTCTAAACAGAGACACAGGATGTATGTCCCAGTATTTCCAACACGGTGAAGACACTATCTTTAGTCCCATCAGCTGCGTGACGAATGATTTTAGACTTAAGTAGAGGCAGGGTAAGAAGCGAGGCGTATTTTATACTTTGAGAGCAGCCGTACAGACATATAGAGCGAAGCTGGTATAGCTTCAACTGCACGAGTACCCGCCAGAGTTGTTTACTCACATCTCTCAGTTTCTCAACACGCTGAGGCAGGCACCAAACGCCTTTATCACAACTTTGAAACCCATGGAACTACGTGTCGCACATCGAACCTACCTGCTCATCTCGGCCATGGGATCGACCGCTATGCACCAGCTAGGATCGGCTTGCGCGCAATATGCAGCCAACTGCGTGATGCGAAAACTGTCCTTCATGAAGACGTTGAGACTATTCGTGTCAATTGATTACTCACAAACTACCGAGAAGCATAGCTGCACTTACACAGGCGCCTCATAGAACGTCAAGGCAGCCGTCGCGGGAGCCTTGAGCGCGGCAAGGAAGCTCTGGGCCTCGACAACGTCCTCGAACTCCATCTCAATTTGGTAGTTGACCAACTGGATGGTAATTTTTGTCGTAGCGCTACTTAAGATACGGATACAATATCAGAGTGAGTTATGACAGGGTGTTACATGTCTCGGCTAAGCAGGAAGACTTTCCTGTTACATGAATGACGCATTTTCTTTGTATCTGGTGGTTTACTCACCCTGTCGATTAGAACGGCTGCACACTGCGAGTGCTTCCGAGGCCTTGAAGTACACTGGCTTGCCATTGTCGTCCTGGGCCGCAACCGAGATAGAATCGTCGATGAGGATCGGGTAGAGCAAGCCGAACTCTGCATTTCCCCGGTCAAGCAGAAGTTCGCAGTCGCCAACAGTGCCAAAGTCAGCTGTATGCACAAGCGAAACGAGATCGCAGCGGGTCATGCGCCGGAGGGACCAGACGGTCGGAGACTGCTCCTCGGGTGCGAGGTCAATAGTACGCGCCATGTTGTCTGACTTTGATATACTCTTTCGATTGCGAAGGCGGATAACAGCAAGGACTATCCAAACAAGCAATGTAAAGACTAAAAAGGGATGTGGTGGAAAGAGGCAGCTGGTACTGTACAGGCGGCTGTTGATCATGATGATACCTCATCTCGCTTGGCGGAGAGGGTGAAAGGGAGGGTGAGGTCGGAAAGAGCGAAAGGGCGTGTTGATTGGTTGTGCGGGCTGCGGCTTGCTGTACCTGTATCGCATCCCGCTGAGCAGAGGCTTGACGATAGCGAACGGCCTCGAGAATGGTGAAGACGAGTGTGAGAGGACGAGGTGAAGTATCGTGGGATGGTGGGACGCCGGCGTTTTGAAAACACCTAAGCCGGGAAGGCGCAACTCGCTCCTTCCTCCGGTGTCAGTCAGTCACACACAGCTAGAGGAACAACGTCACCACAAGATAAGGGGACCCGTTCCTCTTCCTCTCTACCCTGCATGGTACATTGATCACGCATCTAGCTGAACGACCGACACTGACCAGCCGATACGCCAAGATCCATCTCATTTCATATACTACTACAAGAATTTTTGGTTTGCCCATACTTACGACTCGCGACCGAAATAGAAGCTCAGTCCAGGTCGGCTGCGAAGGTACTGTACACATCTCATGTTGATATCAAGAACACCTGCACCTTTCATCTCCCTTCACCGTCTTAGTTGAACCCATAAATGCCACCCTGCTCCTGGAATTTGAGTTGGTAGTCCCTGATATCCGCCCAAGCCCTCAGCTCAGCCTCTTCATCGACCTATCCATCGTTAGCATAGTCATTCCTGCTGTAAGGAAGAACCACACTTACCGGCCCCGCACTCGAATCGCTCCCCTCAGGCTTCACCCTCTCCAACTTACTCAAAATATCCAAGAACTTGTACAAATAATCCTGATGCTGCAGCGCGACACTGCCCTTCCGCTCCTTTGGTATCTCCAGCAGGGTACTAGCAATACTGCGAATCTTCTGCGTGAACGAGTCCCCATTTGGTTCCATGTTGATCATGTCGATGCTGCCGAGGACGACGAGCAGGTCCTTGACGACCTGCTCGCGCTCCTCGCTCATGCGCTTCTCGAGTTCCTCGGACTCGATGGTGGAGCTCGCGACGAGGCGGTCGAGGCCGGTGAACGGGGCCGAGGGGGAGGATTGGAGTGCGTGCTGCGTGCGCGCGTTGTTGGATTTGTCGAGGAGCGCGAAATATTTTTCTACGAGGTAGGAGCGCGTGCTGAGGTGCGAGCCGTAGATGTTGGCTTTTTGAATCTCGTACTGCATGGTGCGGCGGGCTTCAAGGAGATCCGGGTTGCCGAGGTTGTTTAGGTTGGGGTCGCGCATGTCAGCGTATTCAGGCATGGGAGGGTAGTAGGGCTGGCGGCGCTGGGCGAAGCCGCCGTCCTGCGACTTGTTTTGCACCTGGAGAACTGAGGGGATGTTGGCGAGAACCTCTTTGCAACGCCGCAGGACTTGGTCGAGCATGCGTTGCTGTTGGTCCCAGTCGTAGAGCTCGTCGATGCCATAGGCCATTTCTGATGTAGACAGCGCTGCGTAGGAGTTGTAGATGCGGACATTGAGATTGAAGCCAGTCACTTCGGATACCACGTCCGGAGGCTGCGGGAGGATTTCGTTCGGAAAGATGCATGCATCGTCCACTTCCAAAGGCAGCGGAGGGAGCTGTTCGGTTGGTGTTGAGGGTAGCAGAGTGAGCTCCCCAAAAGAAGCTCCCAGCTGCTGCAGATTCCTACCCACAGTTAGCATGTAACGTTGGAGGTGGATGAAAAACCTACCGCACGCCCACGAAAAGAGTATAGAAGACCCTCCGACCAATTTGCTCTGTAATATAGTCCAGCGGGACATCCCTCGAGCCCTCAAACTTGGGTCCCGACGAGCCAGTCGCCTCTGGCAACTGCCCTAGATAAGTATACCCCTGCTCCTTCGCCTTGTGCAACCCCAACGTGCGCAAAATAGTCAAACACTCGCCCAGATACAACCTTAGCTGCCGCCACCGGAACGTGTATCCACCGACCAGCCCCAGAAAATAGCTCGTACACGCATCGTAGACATTCAAGCTCGGCTTATCCAGGTATCCCGGGCCGCGGGCCTGAGCGCAGATCTCCCTACATCGGTCGACGAGCGCGAGGTGGCTGGGGAAGAAATCGCGTGTCTGGTGCTTGAGATGGAGCCGTGGTTTGCGCGGGAACGACGCCACCAGCGCTGCGACCATGGACGCCAGTAGTGCCAAGAAGGAGTCGTTGCCGCAGTCTTCGCGATTATTCCAGGCTTCTCGGAACGAGGGCTCGTGCGGGAAGGGACAGAGCGGGTGGATGTAGGTGAAGAAGTCGTCGATCAGGCTGTTCATGATTGGGAGGGAGCATATGGATTCGGCGGTTGGCTTGGGGCGCGGGGGAGCGGCGAGCTGGGCGAGCGCGTGGGCGGCATTGGTGGGCGAGGACGCGGCGTGAGGTTGCGCTGGGTCAATCTCTCCCTCCTCTATCCGGCGCTTCTTCTTGATGGCTTCGGCATGGCGATTCGGGGGACCGCGGCGGCGGCTTGGTCGCTCGAAAGTGCATGGGATGTCGAGGGCGGCGCACGCTCGACACGGAGGTCCTGATTCATCGCACTGCGCGTGTGGTCAGCCAGGGTCCGAGGGCGCCGCGGGGAAGCTCTACCTTCACTTTACGGATGCTGCACGAGTCGCAGGCCTTCCGCAGGCGGTTCGTCTTGGGCCCGCCGCTGTCCTGGGGCTGGTTGAGCATGGGCGCGTCGTGCATGCTGAGCGGACTCACGCCGGGGCCGGCGGCCTGCTGCTGGCCCGTCTGCGTGCCCAGCGGCTGTCTCTGGTCGGCGCCCAGGGCATGGTTCGCCTGCTGCTGCAGCTGCAGCACATCCTCGACCTTGGGGTAGATGTCCTGCGGGTAGGGCTGCAGGCGCGGCGGCGGCGGCTGTCCTTGGCCCAGCAGCTCGTGGCCAGGCTGCGGCGTCGGCGGAGGGTAGATGGGCGTATAGTGGGGTTCCTCGGAGCCCGGCGGCGGAGGATACTGAGACGACATGATGCGCGCGCCTTTGCAGGCGTGCTGCTTGCGCCGATGATTTCCCGCGAGAGCGAGCCGTGGCGGCCAGAAGCGACTCCAGTGCTGTCGCCCAGTGTACCTCGGAGGGAAAGAGGCGAGAGTTCGGAGAATTGATCTACAGCTCGAGCTCAAAGTCGCCGGAAGGCAAACTGTGGTGACGCGTGCGGGTGACCCACTACGAAATACAAAGAAAGCCTCGCGATTACCAAACTCGCCGCGATGCAGCAACAGACGCGCTCGCGTCTCGGGCACAGGCCAACCTCCGACCTATCTGGTATATCCTGGTGAATGCAGTCCCATCCATCATCCATTTCCTCTCTAGACCTCTTCTACCCATTTCCGTGTCTACTAGTGTCGGAAGCGTTGCAGAATGGGCGGCCAGGCCAATGGCCAGTGCGATTCTCTCTTGCTCGTCCCCCGCATGTCAACGTCAACGATTCGAGCTGAACCTGCTCGTGGTGCATAGAACCGCCGTACGGCCGACGTCACTTTGTCGTATGCCTACCAAGCAACCTCCGTTATTCGAGTATAGAACGGCAATTGGCCTCCATAATGTCCTCGCCGTGTCTGGCTAATGGAATTTAAGCGGGTGATGAGGCGATTTCATTCGAACTGTATACTAATGGCTTGATAATTCTAGGAACGCGCCCGCAGCCAATCTGAGTGGATATCTACCATAGAGCCCCAACGCCTTCAGCCCCAACGCTAATACGCAGTAACGCTATTATACACAAATATTGAGTTTCGTAGTCCGCACTCGTCCATGTCCCTCTATCCGGCATTCGGATCTGCCCAATGCCCGTAATCACGGTCGGTGTGACTGTCGGCTCATGGCACGCTCACCCTGAAACTCCAGCATCGAGGGCCACATGGAGCCACCCGGTGAACATGTCGCTTATTGCACCTGCTTCATCAGTCCACCCCCAGCTCAAACAGTCAATCCGAATCATCACTACTCGCACTCTCCCTCGTTGGCGGTCGTGAACTCTTCGCCAGCGAAAAATCCAGGATGTCGCTCTTCGGGCCCGCATCCACAAACTTCCGCAGACACCACCCGATCTGCACCGCCGTGAAGCGCTCGTTGCCCAGCGGGTCGACCTGCTTGCCCTTTACGAAGATGATCTGGTTCTGGCTGTCCTCGCGGTCGTACACTTTGTCCGAGGAGCCCCACGCGATGATGGCGAGCTTGGAGGCGCGCTTCTGCTCGGCGGCGTGCGTCGAGGAGCGCTCAAAGCCTTGCTGCGCGAGGCCTTGGAGGAGGTGCTCGTAGATTTTGCGGGGGAGCTTGGTCGAGGAGGGCGAGTTGGTGGGCCAGGTGGTGATGTTGAGGGTTACGAGGTTGGCGAGGTCGCCGAGGCAGTTCTGGACATGTTAGCATCGTGGATGGCGATGGAATGGCTGACGTACCTCGAAATTGATGAAAGAGTCCTGTTTGGAGCGGATCACGCTCACCTGCGGGAACGCAACGGATACCTGCTCGAGCAACGGGCAGTCTTTGCATAGCTGCGAGAACGACGCGTAGTCATACACCAGCTCGTCATCGCAGTCATCCGGGATGCGGCTTGCGTGGACATTTAGAGACTTCAGGGTCTTGCCATGTCGCACGATACCGGCAGCCGCTGGTAAACTCTTCGCATATGACAAGTCTATGGTGAGCGTCTTGATGCCGGAGACCAGGCACATGAAACCATCCAAGGCACCCAGTCCGTCGTTCTCGTGGTTGTCGTCGTGCTTGAATTCCAGAGTCTCCAATTTCTCCGGCAACTTGGTGCTCTTGCTAAGCTCCGCAAGCAGCGCGTCGGCACCGGCACACGCAAACACCCGGATAGACTTGACAGATCGGAAGTCAATCAGCTTGCAGTATGTATTCGCCGCATACCGCAAGTTGATCTTTTGCAGCGTAATTTCCTTCAACGCCATGGGCGTGCACTTTTCAAACGGCCGCATATGACTGAACATCGTAGACGTGATCAGCCCCGGCTCCGTACTCGAGTCGTTGAGCTCCCGGTTCGGAATCGGCGAATCGTTCTCCTCAAAGCTCGCATGCAGCGTGATCTTCTCTACATTCCTCGAGTTCTTGACCAGCATTTGGCAGTAGTCCAGGACCTCGCGGCTGTCCGGATACAACCCCAGCTTCTTCACATTCTCAAAGATCTTCTCAAAGTCCGAGATTTTCTTGACTTCCTCGATGACGTCTCTGTCCAGTGCGATGCCCTCGAGCCACTTCATCCGCTTCTGCTTCTTGTACAGCAGCACCAAATTGTCGCCGGAGAACGGGGACCACGGATGCCACGAGAACTTCTCCAGAATGTTTTCCGGGAGCAGCTCCAGGATCATCCGGATCGCAAAGTTTGCCTGTTGTTGCTGGTTGCATTTGTCCAGCACATCCGCCAGGTACATGTCCAGCTTCCTGACATGCTGCAGGCCAATGTTCTTGGGGCTCAGAAAGGCGCCCAGGCGGGTGTCGTTGGGGCTCCCCACGTCGAGGGTGACTTCATGGTACAGCGAGCGGACGGCGATTTCGTGGAGCTGCTTGCACACGAGGCATACGTTGCGGAGGTCGGTGGGGCGGTTTACGTGGTCTATTACAAGCGTCTTGATGTCGGTGGACAGGTCCATGAAACTAAGTTTGGGCGCCATTGTGGTAGGTAGACTGCTGCAGGCTTAGCTTTGCACTGCGAACCACGCTCGATTGCATTTAATAGAGAACGAGTGGATGTCAAACTCACCAACCGTGGACCGTCCAAAGACTCAGTCTACGACCGCGACTACACGGCTAGGTACGGGTTTACAGCTTCGCAGCGCCGGAGCTCGATCCGCGGGGCGTAGCAGGAGGATAAAGCAGTCAGAGCGGTCGCAGGGTGCAGCTCGGCGGGTGGCGACAGCGGCTGCCTTGCTGACCGGTTTCGCAGCGTGAAGGCGGATCAGTGGAGAGCTCGCAGCACTGCGATGGATGCAGGACCAACCGCCCTTCAGCCTCACGGACCGGTTTCCACCTGAAGCGCACTAGCAGATGTGTGTCCCAATTTGTGCAGACAGTTGTCAATCGTGGGCGCAAGGCGCGAGGCAAGCTGCTGTGTTCAGCTGCGATTGGAGAGCGTGAGCGGACCTGCAGCGATTCAGCGATCGATACACGGGACGGGATTCAGGATGCATGCATGCACCGCCACGCTGCTGAGGCGCACGATTACTTTGTGGGGTCCGCTAGCGCAGCCTACTACGTGCCACCAGCGCACGTCAGCTTCGTTGCATTTGCTGCAAGGAGAATCATTGTGCACATGGCGCAAGGCAACTAACTACCGTTGCCAGCTTTTCGTACGCTTCAGCAGCAATGATTCCACGACATAGAACTAGTCGCAACACCCTGGTACACCTACTACGACCATGAATTGCGTGCGGGCACTCACGCAATTGACTAAGCATCTCAGCGAACCCTTAGGCAGCTCTTCTCTGCCTCAAAGATGGCTTCGGCTTGACATGGCGAGCTTCCAATGAGACTTTCGTGAAGTGCACAAGAAGATCAGCTATATCAGTTTCTTTCTCGAAAACATTCAATCTCCACAACATGCGTAGCAGTACAATTCTCCAACTACTTTCCGTCTTCACTTATCCATCCCGCAACCCGCCTCCCCCCTACACCTCGAGCGGAACACTCCTCCACACATTCTCCCAATCCTCCCTCTCCTCCCCACCCCACATCTCCCTAAACACCTGCCCCACCACTGACTTTTCAGACAAAAAGCTCTTCTTCCCATACCTCTCCACATCCCTCACTACAATCTCCTCTCCACGCTCCCCCGCCCCCTTCTCAACCACCCACGACCGACTTAATACCTTTGTAACTCTGCTGATCGAGAACTCGTTATGATCCCCAAACTCGCCTCCACCCCTTGTCCACAATTTCAGCAACTCCATCTTCGCGCCCTTCTTCGCTGCGGCAACGACGCCCCAGATGGAACGTACGAGCGCCTCGTCAACCGCGCAGTTGACTAGCATCTCCTTCACAGTTCCCCTCAGCAGGCGCCGATTTGCCACATCCGCCACCTCTTCATCCGCATCCGTGCCGGTGAAGGGCGGCGCGTAGCTCGCGTCGCGGGTTACGCGCCACTCGGCGCAGTCCAGCGTGAGGAACAGCGTGCGCAGGGCACGCATGTCGCCGAAGCATCTATACAGCGCGACCTCCTCAGGGCGAGACTGGTGTCGTTTTATGGGGAGCGCGAGGTGTGCCAGCCTGGGACAGCGCCGCTCCATGTCCCGGAGGTGCTGTGCGGAAAACTGCATGGGAATGTCGGTGCGCGCGCGCCCGTTATGCCACCTCCCCCGCTCCTCGAGCGGGCGCAGCTGAAGCTTTTCCAGCGTTGGGCCGTGGCGGGCGAGAATGGCGGAGAAGATGGGGTCGTCGAGCGGGCCGTGGACGGAGAGCTCAGTCAGGGGCGGGAAGGACCCGAAGAACGAAGCGGCTTGGGCACTGTAATGCGGGCGCTCGAGGAACCTGTCGTCGCGCGTCAGACTGACGCAGAGTGTGCTCAGTCGTGGGAACGCATGCGTTTGCACGAGCCACTCCATGTCTGCGCCAGAGAATGCATATGTCTCGTATTGGTACGAACCCCCGAGGGTGAGGTGCTGCAGGCACATGAAGTCTGTGTAGCGAGCCCAGGGACCGAGATGATCTAGCAAGCGGCCGCAGCCTTTAAGGGACAGCGATGTCAGTGATCCGCGTGCCTCGGGAGTATACCCTGGAAGACCTTGCCAGGCGTCTCGGCGACGGAAATCGAATCTTTTAGTGTCGTACGGCTCTATGTGCAGGACGGTAACGTCTTTGAGGTTGGGAGCAAGCGTCACAAGTTCCCTGACGGCTTCGAGATTGAAGTCATCGTCGCCGTCGGAATCGCGGCGGGCGCAGGTAAGCTTTAGGCTGTGCAGAGAGGACGATGTAGCAAGCTGCATCTCGTACGGATACGGGACGCCCCATAGCAAGGTGCGGAACCGAAAGGTCTTGTGGTGGAGGCGGCAATGGGGAAGCCGCTCGTGCAGAGTTTCCAGGAGACAGGGCGGGAATTGCGTTTCACAGTCCCATATCAGGTCTTGCAAGCGAGGTATTCCTCGGAGCAGGGTCACCACGGGACCCCAGGCTATAACTTCATCATCTGAAGACTTCCCGGGGACGCCTTGGTCATAGACGACATAGCTGTTGTGGTAACAGTTCGGCTCCTCGTCGGGCAGGATATCGACGAGGCCTTCCTGTTCCAACCAGTTCACACGTCTCCAGTGCGGATAAACGGCGTCGCTGTCCCGTTCTCTCCTCGTTGGCTTGAGCTGTAGAGCGCCTTTGACACAAAGGCATTGGACTTCACGGGCGGAATCGGTGCGGGAGAGCGCCGAGAGAAGGGTATTCACGTCGTCCTGCAGTCTGTCGCGATCCTTTACAATCACGGCGAGGCGCCGGAAGAGGAGAAACGCGGAGGCTTTGTGACAAGCTTTGCTCGTCAAGCTGAAGGAGAAAAGACTGGCCCGATGCAGTGTCTCCACGCATTCGAAGATCTGTTGTATTATTTCCAGGGGCAACGATAGCAATGGCATTCTAGCTTTGCGATTTGATGTGGTCGGTCAAGTCTGAATCTTAGTACGTTCGATGCTGCGGTATGTTCAGATAAAGTGGCCTATAGGAAGTGAGTCATGAATGTGGGGGCCGAAATGCCTCAATCACCTGTCGGCATCGGTCTGACACTGGGCTCCCAGCACCCTTCCATCTTAGTCACCAGGTAGCCTCGCCATTACCCCTTCATACATGCATCGTATCTAGGGCGACGACTACAGGCTACCATCTTAGCGGGAGTGGGGCACGGCACCTCGCCAATTCGTACGAGGCAGACACGGTGCGGTGCGGTTCTTCTGGCCTGTTTTGGCATGTGACCTAGGCAGCACTCTGGTCTGACCGCTGTGGAACATCATGCCAAGTGGGTGTATGTACGAAAGTCGCTCAGGAGCAACACCATCCAACTCCCTTGTAGCATAACAAGCAAACAATACCCATTCTTAACGGGACAACTATGCCCCTTTCTTCCGCCTCTCTCGCGAACTCCGCGACCGTGTCTACCACTTCGCCCTCCTCAACCAATACACATCATTCGATGAATCCTGCGTCCATTTGTGCGTCTCGTACACGCGAGACGACAGGGTCTATGAAGAGCGAAAGGCCAAGAACCTCGAGTGGCTGCTGACTAGCCGGCAAATTCTGTCAGAAGGCCTCGAGCAGTTCTATGCGCACGCGACACTGTGGAAGCACTCTATCGTGCGGTACCCCAAGTATTCGTCCCAGGAACTCACGCTGGATGGAAGGAGTGTGTTCGACCTGGGACGCATCCGGGCTGCAGGCCTGAGCGTGACAATGGGGAGAACGTGTTTGATGGATGAGTACGAGAACAATTACGATGCTATCGTGCCTCGGGGGAAGGAAAAGGACGACTTTGTGGATGAGGATTTTGGGGCGTTGGGGAGGGCGATTGGGCTGCCGGAGGCATGCGCGTTGAAGGTGCTGGAGCTGGATGTGCATTTGTTTAGGACTTATGATCATAGTAAGGATTGGGAGGCTTCCGGGAGCCGATTCGTGGTTAACTTGTAAGTACGGAGTGATTGTGAGTGCAATTTGGAATGAAGCTAAGGTACGCAGCGGGGGGAACGGCGAGGGCGAGGGTGGCGATGAAGATGGAGATGAGGACGACGATTTCGCTTCCGAGGACAGTTACGACGAGGGTTACTGGAATAAATACGGGACTAATCTGTCCCACCCCGAGGATGTGACTGGGTGCGTTGCCGATTCCAATTTCCTGAAGAATCTAGGAACTTTCTGGGAGAAAGTCAAGATCAAGTATACGCCAACGTATATGGAGGGGTATTGGGGCGATGGCGACCCGGTAGAAGCGAACGTCCTTGCGGTTCTAATAATCGAGGAGAGCCTTGCGGAGACGGCTAAGGAACTAGTTGGCGGAGAGGGCTGGGCCGTTCGAGATAGTCTAGAGGACGAGTGCGTTAGCAGCGGTGTGGGTGTTGGATGTCGAGAGGAAGACGGGGGCGGAGAGGACGGGACGTCTGGAGCATGTTGGGCTGCACAATTACCTGGCGCCATGTGATAAGTGCAGGACGCGACAAGAGAAGTTTCGGCGGGAACCCGGGGAGCATGGAATGGTTAGATTTGTTGGGGAGAAATGTGGGGCGTGGGTAAGTAACGTTTCGTGGTCCCGGAAAGTCGCGGTATGGCTAAAATATTACAGGTCGAATTCGAGACGCCGGTATTCTGGGACGGAGTCGTCGAAGATGCGTGAGTTCGGTAGATCAGAAGCTAGACAGGATGTCAGTGGTCATTTGGTCGATTTCCAGATCATAAAATGTAGCCGCTTGTGAACGATGGAACAAAGTCTGCTGATAAAATGAGGTGTAATAGTGACGAATAACTCCGGCACGGCGGAGTCGCTATCGTCTACTACACACCTGCGGCGTGCTAGAGGCATTTGCCTTCAACACAAGCTGACCAGGCACAACTCCGCTAACAATCGCGCTGACCTCAAGAACTCACTGAAATTTCAAAATCACGTCCAGTTTCTCGTAGCCATTCCCACCTCCCATACCATCAATCCCGTACTCAAGCCCATCTTTCCTCCACCCTAACTCCAATGTCCATGACCCCGGACCATGGAGGAGTATGCTTTGCATATATACAGGATCCCACGCCCAGCCTCTCCCATAACCCCAGCCGTATCAACCAAATTTCTCCGTATACCACGTCGAGCTCTTGACATCCGTCCGGTGCCACTCATCCGGCTGCAGCACGCGGCCATCGCTGACCCTAGTACTTCGGGGGGTATTAGTAGGGCACTAGGATAGAGATAATAAAAATGCGAAACGAAACGAAACGAAACGAAACGAAACGAAACGAAACGAAATAAATAGAAGGCCGCGCAGCAACCACGCTTCCCCCAGAATCGAATCAAATCAACAGCACAAAGCACTATTTGATATTCACCTCTTGCTGGTCTTCGCCTCCTCAAGCGCATGCATCTTCGCTCTCGCACTCCTTGACCCGCCCAACTTCGGTCCCTTGGGCGCTTCTTTCTCCCCGCGCGCAGGGGGAGCAGGCTTCCGCTGCTGCCGCTCTTGTATCGAGTCCAGGAACTCCTGGCGGAACTGCTCGACCAGGGCTTCGTCGTTGTTGGTTTGCATGTTAGTGGTGGAGGTGGAGGGAGGGGGCGCCGAGTCGAAGTAGTCCACTAGGGGTCAATGTCAGCGGGGGACTAGGATGGTGTAGGAGGAAAGGGAAAGGAAGGAAGGGATACGTACGCTTTGCCTCCCGCAGAACGGCCTCGACCATGGCGTCGCGCCGTATGTCCTCGCTGTTCCTCCGCTTCGGCTGGCGACGGGGCTTCCCATCTCTACCCAGCCGCACTTTAGCAGGTTGGTCTTGCGCGCCTCCGCCTCCACTTCCACCCTGCAGCTTCTTCCACGCAGCCTCCGCGCGCGAGGTAGATGCCGGTCCGAGATCTATCTCCTCGAGCTTCCCCATGCCGGCCGCGAGGCGGCGAGCCTTCTCGTCGTCGGGTGGGTCTTCGGATTTTGTGCGGGCTTCTGGCGCGGTAGGCGGGCTGAGCCTGAGCGCTGCTGTGTGTGCAGACGGAGATGGCGGATCAGATGCCAGGGTTGCAACGGCGGATACAAGATGGCGCGGTATAGGCCAGCCATAGAGACGGTGGTTCTTTTCAGCTTGGCGGGCTTCTATGTATTCCGTACTGGCTCGTTAGCCTCCATGCCGTACAGTGGTAGATTGGGGAATCCAGAAGGCAGCTGGAAAACACGACATACATCTGTTGATCGTCCGTATCAATGACCTGTCCTGTCTGCGGCACGAAACGGCTCGTGTAACCATGCCTCGGCGCATCTGCATCTTGCTCTCGCAGCACGACTGTCTGCGTCTTTGTGAGCTCCGCGCGCGCCGCAGCCTCGCGGAGGCGATCGCGGGGCCGCTTGCGGTTGCGCAATATCTCTTTCAGGGCGAGGGAAGTCCCGTCCTCCTCGAGAGCAGGCGAAACAGTAACGGTCGGAACGGCATCTGGCGAACGGGGCACCGCCAGCGTGGTCACGTCGTCCGTCTCTACGCGCGCGCGCTTCGTGTGCGTGGTTTTGCGCCGCTTGAACTTGATCGCAGGTTCGGGCTGGTGGGCATCCATGGCTGCTGTCTGCGCGACAAAGAGGGGACCTTGCGGCAGCTTGCGGGTAAGGTGAGGCAAGTGGGGAGAGGTGGGCGCCAAGAGGATTGCATCGATAACATTCACCGCGGGCTAAGTCGCCTGCGATTGGTCACTTTTATATGTCCGCCTTCGTGCTCAGAGATACATATATCCCGTTGCATTGGAGACGTGCATGCCAGCCTGTTCTACATTGACGGCCAGTGCCCATCTCAGCCCAGGAACAGGACTTTTACTACAGATGTTCGTGCGCCATCCCGTCTAGCATGGCTTCCGAGCAATACCTATGCCACTCATGCATTCGCGCTTACTCGTAGAAAGCGCACTATTGGCCAAAATCAACTCGTGCACTCAGTGTTGGAGTGCCTGGAAAACCCAATGTTCACTCAACTTTGCCGTGAACGTTTCGACCATTTGACTCTGCAGTCCTTTCCCAACGCCTGTCATACTCTCTCTGTTACCGTACCTGGGTAAGCGGTACGCTGCGTCGCACTGTTTGAGATGTCATGATTATAAGCACTGGATTCGTGGGCAACCTCACCAGCACGTACCTCAACTGGTCAAAAGAAATTGTTGTTGACGTGTTCTACAAATGCTGGCAACTATCAGCCCAACTCTGGACGTACATCCGAACATAGCTAGAACCTCAAATATTTACAGTTCATAGCTCTCCGTCCTTCCGCAGCGTCTCGTTACCCCACGGCTCGCTCGTCAACGACGTCAGACCGCCCGCAGGCTCACAGCTCGCCCTCCCGCTCAACGGTCCCGGCGTCGGCACCTTCACACCGCCAGCCTCGTATCCCCGTCCCTGGTCAATGCTCGACCTGTCCTCCACATTCCTGTTCTCGCCGGTGATGATCGAGTATCCGTCGCCCGCGAGACCCGGGGTTCCGGGCTGTGCGCCGGTCTTCTCGGCAGCGTTCTGCAGCGCCTTGAGCAGCGAGGTGGTGGATTCGTATGTGAGGTCCTCGTAGTAGTCATCGTTGATCTGGACCATGGGGGCGTTGGCGCAGGCGCCGAGGCACTCGACCTCGGTGAAGGTGAAAAGGCCGTCCTTGGTGGTCTGTCCGTGGTGGATGCCCAGCGTGTCTTCCACCGCCTTCATCACGGCGTCGCTGTTGCACAGCATGCAGGGGGTCTGAGGCTGTCAGCTGGGCCAGCTCAATGCACGCGCTGCCCACTTACCGTTGTGCAGACCTGGACGTGGAACTTGCCGACGGGCGTGCGGTTGTACATTGTGTAGAAGGTGGCGACCTCGTAGACGCGCATGGGCGGCATTTCGAGTATCCGGGCCACCTCGTTCATGACGCTGATGCTGGTGAAGCCGTGCTGGCGCTGGCCGAGGTCGAGCAGCGGCATGACGGCCGCCTTCTTGTACTGCGAGGGGTACCGGGAGACAATCTCCTTGATGAGCTCCTCATTCTGCGCGGTGAACTTGAACGGGATGGACGGGTTGTTCTCGGGCGTGTCGCGGTGCTGGAGGCTCCGTCAGCGGTGCATTCGCAGGTGCGAAGACGTCGAAGAGCTACTCACCACCATCAGGGAGTCGCTGCGCGCGGGGGCTGTGACGCTGAAGGCCCGCCATTGGGTCCGCTGGAGCTGGCGCAAGGCGCGGGGCCCGCTGCGATACATGAACGGTACCAGCTTGGAGGCCATTGTGGGTGTGGGAGCTGCGGGTGTTGCGATGGCGTTGATGTCGCAGTTGATGTTGAAGCACAGATCGCGGAGGAATCGGCAGCCAATCACGCGCGAGGAGAGGTCATCATAAAACTCCGATGCCAGGCCTCACTTCGCCACTCTACAATGTACGAAGCAACCTTCAGAAATCATAAGCAAGCCTGCTTCATCTATGCAATTGCATCTTCACACGAGAGCAGAATTGATCGGTGTTGATGGATGAACGAAGATAGTACTGGCCCAATCCTTGGCTCAGCCGGTAGCAATTCCATCGCACACATGAAAGCCTCCATCTCCAACAGCCAAAAGTCGCGCTCATCCTCCCAAAGCATGGTCTCGTCAAGCATGTATACATACGCACTGATGTCAGAAATGCCTGCAGTGCTCAATCGGGTAATCGTCTCCAAGCCTATGCGCCACCCATAAACTCCATCCATGCAAAAACAAAACGAGAAACTACTACACCGAACGCGCGGCACATGTCATGCTGCCGCAGGAGCTGCCATGGGCGCGTTGGGGAGCTGTTCTATCTGCCTAATCAAGAAGCTTTTTTCGTCGTTGAACTGCTCGTCCTCGGTACGGTCGTCGAGGAAGTTGGGTAGGAACCGCAGTAGTTTCTCGCGATTGCTGATGAGGATGCGCTGCACGGCGACGGATTTGTTGGGATTAGCAACAAAAACCTGCAATCGTTAAAATTCAAGCCCGGAGTTTAGGTATGTCGAGGACTCACCTTGAAGACGTGGAATCCTTCGTAGTTGATCATGCGCCGATCGTCCCGCAGCAGCTTCATGATGATTTTCAGGTGCTCGCCCGAGTCAACATACTGCGTCATGACGTTGTAGTTCGCTCTATCGAGCAAGATCTCGCCCAGGAGCTTGATAGATTGCCGCTTTGTGACATAGCTCTCTGATTGGATCAGTATCGTGTTGTACCTCGAAAAGAACATGTCGAAGTTCGTTTGTAGGTACCCGGCCACCAAGCTCTTGTGTTTCGTAAGAATGTCCTAGTTCCGTCAGCTGGTGTCTGCCCTTGATCTTACGGCTTTCATACTCTGAATGTGTTGAAGGCATCTGCGCTAACTTCAAATGCGCCCTTGTCTATCCAATCGAAGAACTTCCAGAAGACGCCCTCTCCTGAAGATGGTACATCGGGATTCACGCTTGCGAGGTCGCGCGTCTTTCCGTCCGGTGTCGGCTCGTCGTACAACAGCAGTGCGGCGATGGAGTCGTACTTAAGGGCCTCTCGTAGCACGCCTCCACACGGCATAGCGCTCTCTCGCCGGTCGTAGCCTCGGCATAATGATATTATGATTTCGGGTCTGTATTGTATGACGTGGTGCAGGACCTGAGGATCTGGGGCGCCAGCAGGCTTGTAGCGGAATGCGGTCGAGAAGATGACTTGAGCGTCCTTGCGCGATTCGAAGGGCAGCTTGTGGATGTTGTTCGCGAGGGTGAAGAGCAGGTCTTCTTGGATGATGAGGCTCAGCAGCTCGAATACGGACGCCGGGTTTACTTCCGACTCTGCAAATTGTCAGACATGTGTTCCAGCAGACAGTGACTGCGGTGAAATCAAGAAAACAAGTAGGTACCGGGCGTGCCTTGGAGCCTGATCTTGAGCTGTTGCAGGTCTCGGGCCAGCTCATCTTCTATCTGGTCGCACGTCAGTCGGAAGCCCACCAGCGATGCGTTGGCAAGCGTACCTTGGGGTTGGGCTTTGTCTCCTCGCTCAGGCGGGTAGTCAGCTCCTTGGTGGAGCGTACGAGCTCGATGTTGGGCTTTGCCGACTTGCGGAACAGGAAGGCCATGGTGTTGGCGTGCAGGTCGTTGATGGAGGGGTGTTGTGGATCTCGAGCAGAGGGGCGTTACGTGAAGCGCAGCTGTCGCCTGGCAGCAGCTACCGCGGGCGTGACGACATGCAGTATGTGGAGCTCGAGGCGACACAACAAGGATCGTGGGGTTTGTTGTGCGAGAGGTCGAGTTCAAGGGTGCCCTGCATTAGCCAGCTCTCCAACAGGCAAGTCTATTTTAGCGCGTCACCCACCAATGTGGAAATCTACCACGCTATGCACAGCGCCAGTACCAAACTTGATGAGAGGGACGGCCTAATGCTGAGATTGGCCGAGCACATGGACGCGGTAACATGAAATTGCACATCTGAACATTTGGGCTGTCTACATCTATTTTGCTCTGTAAATCCTTGTTCTGCGCTCTTGGTTGCGTTTGCCGCTGTATCGTTGTGCATATTTACTCTGTTCACTGCTTTATTGAAGGCCAGGGACCGATCATTCAATGAAGTACGGATGTTCGAGAGCCTGCATATATCAGCTTCCACACTTGGACGCGCTACATGGACGAGCTTACCTGCGCTGCTTTCAACCTATCGCCACTCTCATAGCGAACTAATTGCCCGACAAGAGCTTGTTCGACATCCGAGGTGCCAGGAAGCAGGGTAGACCACGGCTTGGCTGGAAATTCAATGAACTGCACTTTGCCCCAATCTGGAAACCCAGCAGCTTCCTGCGAAACCATCAGCATGGTACACATACATAGAGACAAGTACGTACCGGCCATACATCCACGTTGGGAGTACCCAGCTTGCTAAACATGCTCGATATGAGAGCTAGATCGCTGCCCAGCTCCCCGGAGTCAAACAGCGTTGGATGGCCGGGAACCAGAGCTTCAGCAACGGTGCACCCGGCAGCCCAGAGATCAAGTTCACAGCCGTACCTCTTGTTTCCAAAAAGAAGCTCTGGCGGCCTGTAGCATGTGGTTCCAACATCGGTGATCTTTGAGTCCGTGGGCTCCGACCCAACCGTGTCAGGGGCCCATGCAATGCCAAAGTCTGTGAGGTAGGCCGGGCCATCCAACGACTTGAGTAGTATGTTCGAGGGCTTGATGTCTCTGTGTATGATTCCGCGCTCGTGCACGAATTCCAGAGCTGAGAACAGGTCCTTAAGTGCGCGCTGAGTCTGAGCTTTCGAGAGTTTTTGGTCCCGTAGAAGCCGGCTCATGTCGAATGGCATGAATGGGAATACCAACACGAATCTCGAGCCTGGCTCGTTGAAGGTTTCCAGAAGTGGAATAACACGATTAGACGCCGCGAGTGCCAGTATCCGGGCTTCACGTTTCGAGTTGTGCGGTGGCTCCATCTGAGACGGCGTGGTGACTTTCAGAGCGACTAGTTTGCCCGTCTTTCCAGAAGAAGCAAAGTAACCTTCGTGTTTGGCAGTGGCTGCTTTGTATACGACAGAGGAAGTCCCTTCGCGGTGGTATATGGCGTTCCTATATTCACCAATGTCCATGCCGGATGGCGTGGGGACATGGTCTTCATCCTGGTAGGAGTCAGACACGGAATGGAGCGGTGATGAGGGTTGAGTACTTCATATGGATGGAAGGTATTTGCAGGCGCACCCAGGCTAGTTATTGCGTGCTCGCACAGCTTTTCGTAGTCTTCCTGGGCAATGTCAGTCTGGATGAGTTCTGTTGGTAGAAACAGAGCTCAGTACAGCATTCTGCGCCTTTTCGTAAATTTGTGATTCTAGCACTGTTGCTTCCCGGCGCGCGTCAGATGCGCAGATGGTGGGATCCGATCCTTGGTGGGCCGATGTTCTGAGAATGGTTAGAACACGCACAACAGCGCTCTATGTATTGGGATCTGGGTCATAAATCGAAATTGATTTTCAAATGGATATTCCACACTGGAACACATATGTGAGGAGCATCTCATTGTCAATCGGCCAAGTAAATCAGTCACGGAAATCGGCAGCATCGCCCAATTCGGCTGTGATCTGCGTAGATGAGGTGCTCTTACGAGATGCTCCTTCCGGACTGAACGCCCTTTGCGAGCCTCGAATTGACGGCATGTGTGGTCATGGTACTTGCATTTTGGTGACTGCGGCCAAGCGCACAGAGAAGCCCAGCTTTGAGCGCCAGTCGGCTGCCATCTGCGGGGGACTGGTGTTGTGAGACGTGAGGAATACTGTTAGGAGGCCAAGCCAGGGGGGTGGTTGCTGTTGCTCTTGCTGCGAACGCTCGGCCACTCCAAATGGTGTCTTCCCTGCTGCCCACGAGATCACCCGGCGCAACGCGCTATGATGCTCGGGGATGTTCCCCGCGATAATCTGCTTGCCCACGCCCTCGCTGCGTCTCTCAGCATTATAATACCGCCGACAACACCGACATCCGTTTGACGTAATCCCGGGCGAACCGCGCGTTTAGGCCTAGTCTCCAAGCGGGCAAGGCTCACCCGAGGGACAGCGCAGTGAGTCGTCGTAGGAACACAGCATCGCATCAGCTCCGCGACACTCCCGGCCAGCTCCAAGGGCAGATCTTCTATGTGAAAGGCGCTGCATCGCCTCTCCGCGGCCGCCGCGCGTCTCCCCACCCCCCGCCATGGAGCTCCAGCGCAAAGAATACCCGGGCCTGCTGGTACGACATCTGGGCCGCCGCCCGAGCTACAGCTGCTAACACCCGCAGGATGCGCTGCCGCCGCAGCAGGCCGTCGACGTCCTCAATGGGCGCATGAAGCATGTCAGCGCGCTCAATGCCCACATTGCCGACTGGCTGCAGGTGCGTGTCTCTCCTCGCGACTGGTTGTCGAGGCTCATGGCAGCAGGAACGCCGCCGCGTAGAGGAAGCCTACGTGCAAGGCTTACGGAAGCTCGCGAACAAGCGCCCGCCAGACGACTCGTCCGATCTGGGGTACGAACCCATCTCTGCGCCTAGCACGAGGGCATGCGCTGACTGAAGCAGCGTCTTTTCGACGCCATGGCAGAAGATCGTGAGCGCAACCGAGGCTGTCGCCGAGTCGCACCACACCCTCGCCCAGAAGATTGAGGTCGACGTCGAGCGCCCACTGCGAGAATTCGCCACGACCAATCGCGAGGTGCAGGGCATGTCGACCATATCCGGCAACCTAGCGTCCATGGCCCGCGAGATCGACACGGCCAAGAAGAAGGCAGAGAAGCTCAGGGAGAAGGGCGCAAAAGCGAAGGCATCTGCTGTGGCGAGCGCCGTTGCTGACGTCGAGAATGCGACCCTGCAATGGGAATCGCAGGCTCCCTACGTGTTCGAGAAACTGCAGGCTGTGGACGAAAGCAGGCTCAACCACCTGCGCGACGCTCTTACGCAATTCCAGACACACGAGGTTGACCAGGTAGAGCGCAACCGCATCAGCGCGGAGGAAACCTTGAATGTGCTGCTTAATATCGAGACCGCCGACGAGATCCAGACATGGGCATTGAGGATGCGCAGTGGAGAGAAACCACCGCCAGCCAACCGCAAGGGCAGCAGCGTAGGCACGCCATCAAGGAGTTTGGCCCCTCCTCCACCTATGCCCCCGCCCCCCATGATACAAGCGGACGACGACCGTAGTCAGAAAAGCGGGTCTGGTATGTTTGCGCTTGGCTCTTATGAGGGTGCGACTAACCACTTTGTAGTACCAGAAGAAAAAGGGAAACATAGTTCGAACCCATTGAAGCGTTTTGGAACTGTTTTGAACCGCCGTCGACAGAGCATGCATCCTTATGGTCGTCAATCGTCGCCGGAAAGAAAGTCAAACTCCAACTTGGGTTCTGGTTTCCCCGGATTTGGCAAAATCAAATCGAAAGATCGCGACACAGCTAGCTCCTCTATAGATCGTCCTGGATCGTCTGCGACAGGCGCGACTCCGCGCCCCTCAGACGCATCGGCCTCACCCAAGCATACCCGCAAGTCTAGTGCCGACCCAGACCGTCCCAATGGGGCAAGCCCTGAACCTTTCGAGGAACGGGCCGCTAGCCCTACGCCAGCCCCGGCAGCTGTTAACGGTACCACCCACGATACGATACCCGAACTGATTGAGCCACTGGCACCTCCCCATCATGAGGAGCCGAGAGCTGAGGTGAATCTACCTGGTGCGATTTTGCTGGATCATGCTAAAGCCAATGAACAGCCCGAAAAGGATGATGAAGGGTTTTCCAAACCGTTGTCTGCCATCGATGCGATCACGCAAGCTGAGAACGAAGCAAGAGAAGCAGGATTGTGAGTTCTGTTCACTATATACTACCTCGGACTGCATGGCTGACTTCATCAGGAGTGGTAATGAGTTGGGCAATCCGCCGCCGCAGTTCAAACTTGACATCAAGAACGCGCCGATCCAAGAAGAAGAAGGCGATGTCAACGCTGCCATGGCTGATATGGCTAACACCCTACGAGCGGTATGAGGCCTATTCATGACAGCGCTCTTTCGATGCTGACAATGATACAGCAAGCTGTACCACCCAGACGCTCAGGAACCCTGCGGGGACGACGCGACGTCCGTAATACGATCTTTGTACCTAATCCCGCAACACCTGAACTCACAAGCATCGGGGAAATGCCCCCGGTTCCATCAGCGAGCTCCGAAAACACGACCTTCCCACCTCCTGCAGTTCCACCTCAGCCAGCATCTCCTGTCTTCAAGCTTCCACACCGTAGCCTGGCAACGGATGATCATCCCGCGTCAGACACGCAGTCCATTCGCTCCGGACGATCTTTGAGTAGTTCGACAAGTACGACGATGAAGCACCCAGACATGCACGAGCCCGGTTTGAATGCATCTTTAGTAGAGACTGTCAGCGCGTGGTTCGAACAAGGGCACGTCACCAAATCGTTGGTCATTGGACAGGTCGCGCTCGCTTTCAATCCTGTCGATATTTCATCTGGACCCTTTGGGACAGAAAACATCCGGTTGGAGAACTTCCCCGTCTTGGAGAAGGTCGCGCCCAATCCTGCGTTCGTGGAGCAGGTGACGGACACGCCTGGAGAGTACACCGTGGATCTCTCCAGAATCACAAAGACCTCGGTAGCATTTCACTACCAGGTACACCTCGAGACTGAGAACCTTGCCTCGTTCGCTCCGATACTACTATCCCCCGTGTGGAAGTCGGAGCCTACGCAGACTTCGGTCCTTCTTAACTACGGGCTCAACCCCAAGTTCAACATCGGCGACCAGACGAGCATCACACTGCAAAATGTGGTGTTGGTACTCAGGCTCGAGCCTGGCTCAAAGGCTACATCCTGCCAGTCGAAGCCGGCAGGTACGTTTTCCCGCGAAAAGGGCCTGATCTACTGGCGTCTAGGCGAGGTCACCTTCTCCCGCGACCAGCCGGCGCAGACGATGCGCGTGCGGTTCTTCACCGACGGCGAGGCGAAGCCCGGGAACAGTGAGGCGCGCTGGGAACTTACCGGCGCACACTCGCTCGCATTCGGCAGCGGGCTTGCAGTCAGCCAGGTCGCCGCTGCGGCGGGCGAGAGCAAGACGGAGGAGAAGGAGGCGGATCCGTTCGCCGATGCGGAGGAGAATGTGCCGCCGGCCGGCGGGGCTGCGCCGAGCTGGAAGCCGGTTACCTGTGTAAAGCGCATCTCAAGCGGCACGTATCTTGGTGTGTGAGATTTGGATAGGATGAGGTGGTGGGTACAAGGTGGATGTTGACGGTAGGCAGTGGGGCGATGGGGACGGAACAACGTACTATGGAGGACGGGAGGTTGGGCTGCACGGGTAGCGGATTTTAGATGGCAGTGTCGTGTCGCTGTTGTTGTTGGTGGGTTTTGTGAGATAAGTAGAGTGAATCGTATTACTTGCCTAGCCTGATCATGGAGGATAATTTCGGCGTCCACGTGGGAATACCGCCGCCCGGGCGTGTCCGCGAAACCCTGTTCCTGGCGCGTTGGTGTCAAGACCGGAACCTCAATGGCCCTGCTCTGGCGTGCTACCAACGTTCATTTAGTTGTCGTACGATGGCGAGGCAGCGTGCGGCGCGCCATTGGGTTGGCGCCCGAGTGCGGCCAAATACACTGGACAAACACGTGTTCCCGGAGCACGCATCCTAAGCGTGCGTGGCGCGGGATGGCGTGTCAATTGTGGGAGCATGGTGGCCGATTAGAAAAGGGAGTCGTTGCAGCGAGTCGTACAGTAGACACCTACGTTGGGCTGTTACAATTTAGGGCTAGGGGCGTATGATGTAGCGAGGTGCTGCACGAAGACACGCGCGCCTACTCGCGGAAATTCCCCATTTGGCGTGTCAGCTCTCCAGACCGGTCTCGAATGAGGCTGAACGGACTTGGCCAGGCCGCGATCGATTGTCGAGCGATCGCAACGGGGTGTGGCTTGTCCTGGTGTCGGGAAATAGATGAGTTTGTTCCCAGATCGCGATGCGAGGCAGCGCGCGCTAGGCGGGATCCAGACAGCATGGGGAAGATGAGGATGTTCGGCGGACGCATGTGCCGCCATCGGCGATGAGCCTAGAGCGCTTTCGTCGGGCATGGGGTTCGCAGTGTGGCGCTGAGAGACGTAGCGTCCAATGTTGCGCACTGGTGCTGCGTCTGATTGCATTATCGACGGAGTGTAGGAGCGGTGCTACGCGAGGGTTACTACTGTTAGAAGAGCCGCACCACCGCAGGCCCAGCAGGTCGGGCGAGCGGTGGCTCGTCTCAAAGGGAAACGAGGGTGCGTGGCTGGGCTCGGGGCTCTCGAGGAGAATTTTGCTGTTCGCGTGCGGCGTGTACCAGTCATGCATCGCGTCGTGATGCTGCCATTACCGTTCATTCACTCGAGGCTCGAAGCGCGGGTCACTGTGGGCTGGTCCGCTCACCTGCGTTAAGCGGGCTTGGCATGACGTATCGCCCCTGCCCTGCGCACGCCAGATTTGAGGGCGGCTCGCAGCTCCGCGTGTGCAGAGGCGAATGAATATACATTCTGCCATACCAGCCGTCAGCCACTGTGCCGTTGGAGCGGCGCAGAATAGGCGCCTGAACATTTGCGTGTCTGCAGTAGACGGCGGACCCGCCCGCTAGAAGGTGGAAGTGGCAGCACTGGGGCCGGACTACAGTTGCGTCCCTGGTCCTGCGAGCCTTGTGCCAGGAAACAGTCTCCAGCTTAGCCCGCTGTCAGTCAGTCCGCTCTCGCTGCACGCCAGCCTGCCCGCCCGACCGCATCGCCAGCGCAGTCCGGCCAATATTGCGGCGCTGCTGTTGTTGCTGTCCGCCTGCTGCAGCCTCACGCCCGCCGCATCGGGTCGTCGCTTCGTCGCTGTCGCGCTCCAGGGTTCTGCTGGTACGTCATTGTGGACTTAAGGGACGCTGCGCTGTCAAGGGCTGTCTTGTCTTAGTCCCACCGTCTCCGCGAATGCATGAACTGCCCTGTCGCCGGCCATTGTGGAATCCTTCGCACGTCCTCTCCCTCAGTCCGTTGGAGGAGATAGGGGGATGCAAGAATGAATCGGGCTCCGTTGCCGTCGCCAACATCGAGGGCTCCTGTCGAACCCACCGACGTCACCGCGAACGACACCGCTTCTTCGCACCCAAACCCAGCAGCACGCCCGGCGCTGCCGCGCTTCCCCCCCAGCAAGCCCGACCAGGACGACGACGAACCTGCGCACGCGCAGTCCCACGATGAAGACACCACCGACGCCGACATGAGCGACAGCGCCGACACAGGCCGGGTCCACGAAGCGACGCAGGCAAAGTCGTCGCCGGATGAGCTCGAGATCGAGCGTCTGCGCACCCTGCAGCTGAAGGCCATCCAGAAGCAGCAGCGGGCGCGGGCGCAGGGCGCAGACGCGGCCACCCCGGCGTCGAGAACGCCCCTCGGCGGACGTCGCCCCTCGCCCATCAAAGAGGAACCCGCCTCCGCGCTGTCGCCCACGCTCGAAGGCGCCTTCAGCAGCCCGCTGCCCACGGCGCAGACCGCCTCGACCGAGTCGACCGAGTCTGCCAGAACCATCCGTGGCAGCGTACCCCCTACACCCGCCGGCCGCGCCCTCCGCACCCCCTCGTACCCCTTCCCTACCGTCCCAAACACCCCCGCAGCGTGGTCGTCCGCGTTCCACCAGCCCTTTACGAGCCTGTCGCCTACCGTTTCCGCAATGTATGGCAGAGACTATGCTGCACCCCGAGAGCGTGTACTATCCGAGTCTAGCACGCCCGCTGCGTCAGGGACACCGTTTGCGCCTGGGCAAAGGCCCTTGAACAGCCCCCGCCCGGAAGACCCACGTTTTCCAAGCCCGAACCTATATGACCTGGTTCTGTCAGTGAACTTGGAACCCGGACTCGCTGCGTGGTGGAGCAATGTCACAAAAATAATGTACGAGAACTACGGAGTGGAAAGAGCGACGTTGGCCGTCCCCGCGGATTCGTCGGATATTGAGAACGTCCCGTGGGGCCAGAAATGCGCGTTCCATGCATCTGCTCAGGGTGAGAGCCCCCGTATGACCACATTCGAAGCAAAGGCGCCCGAGAAAAGTCCAAGCCCGGAATCGGAGGACCATGACGACCTTCCGCCGGTGCCTATAATACCAGACAGGAGGCCGAAATTGCCTTCACGCCACTCGTATGCGGGACACGAACGCCAGAAGAAAGATGCTCCCGACAGCCCAGTGCCGGCGTTTCCTCAACGACCGCGCGGGCTTCTTCGAACCGTCAGCCATGCACCCCAAACAGCAACAAGAGCGGAGCATCCATTGCGACAAGTGCTGCCCATGTCCTATGACGGAACCTCGTACCAACAATCCACCCCTACTCCATCCAGAGTGCCCACTTTCAGTGATCCTGACTTTTCGAGTGTTGGTGGTGCAGAGACTTCAACGCCTGTTGCTGTGTACCCTGTACTGCGCGCCCTAGATCATGAACCTGATCCGCTCATTGACAACTCCGGTGTCAATCGGGTTTTGGAAAGAGGCCGTGTGGTGACACTGACTAGAGACTACTCACCGTCGTTCTCTTCTGGCCACAGCTCAAGCGACTCGTCACACGAAGATCTACCTCAACCGCCCACAAAAACTCACGGATCCACGCAGGAAGCCCAGCGGCCCTCAAACGTTCGAACACGCACAGGCCAAGCGTCTAAAGCATCAGAACAAAATGATCGCCGACTACAACCTCGCTACGAAGAGTACGAGCAATTCCCTAGCTCGCCCTGGGCGCAGTCCCCCGCTCCGTCGCCCGCAGTTCAGAATGATGCATCAGAGAATCCTTTCTTTGCGACAAGCAATGTTGACGAAGAGACTTTCAACCCCTCTAGTTCCACCCAGGACTACACCCAGTACGGCATTGTCGAAGCGATCGGTGTCGACAAAGCCAGCACTGTAACACATATACCTCTGATTCACCCCACATTATCACAGACAATGCAGGCTCCCGATCCCGGAACGCCCTCTCATACCCCGTCTCCCTCTAGAAGAGTGTCTGAGCAGTCCGTACCAGAATCGACGGCTCCACGAGAGGACTTTGAGCGTAAAGCACCCATTGCCATACTATCCATCCTATCGCCCATCGTACCGTATCCTCGAAACCTTACGAATTCTCTCAAGCATTTCGGTCCCCATCTAGCGACTTCCTTCTCGAACGCGTGGCAATTTTCAAACGCGCAGGCTCAAGCGACGGGCACTGCGCAGCGGCGATTTGGTTCAGGTCAGACACCAGGCCTGGCGCCAATGGCGGGTTCAGAGCGCCTTGAGAATCTCATGCATCTCGATCTTGAGAGTATTGGCAACTCTACTGGTGGGAGCGTGACAAGTCCCTCGGATTACTCTGGGCGCTCGAGACCGAGCCCGGGTGGCTCCATTGCGGGTACCCCAGGCTGGGATGCCAGTGCCCTCGGGTTGTCCAGCAAGCAGTCTGTGACTAGTACTCCAGGACACTTGGCAGGCAGTGAAGCCGTGGAAAGCTACTTTGATAGCAAGAAGAGGAGCACTCGTGGACAACCCGCGGCACACGAACAGAACCGCAAGCCAGAAAAGCACGCAGGAAAGAGAATGAGTGTTAGCAGCGTAGCGGAGACTCCTGAGGACGACGCACCAACGCCAAGGAATGAGAAGGGCCTCACCGAAGAAGCGCAAGGATCGCGAAAAGCTCGAATGGCGCCTCGAGGGCACTCGCTTCTCCATTCGTATGGAGCGGATTTCAGCTCTTCGTTCCAGTCGCTCCCTACCGCGACGGCGACTACGCCTGGGCTTCGGACACCGTTGACACCAGCCGGCCACGCACGGAGCAGCTCTTTGTCAGAAATTCTGCCTGCTCCGATCATGCCACCTCCGTCCGAGAATCTTCTACGCACGATTATCGACTCTTTACCAGTCCAGACCTTCACTGCCCTTCCCACTACTGGGGCCCTCACTTGGGTAAATTCTAAGTTCTTGATCTACCGAGGCCAGGAACAACATCAAGTTCTACAAGGGCCCTGGGATACGATACATCCTGATGATCGCGAAGGATATCTGGAGCAATGGAACAAATCTCTGCGGACGGGACAGCAGCTGCAAAAGAAGGTTCGATTACGAAGATTTGACAATCTCTACAGATGGTTCTATGTACGAGTGGCGCCCTTGAAGAATAAGCGTGGCCAGATCGTACATTGGATTGGAACCAACATGGACTTCCATGATCAACACCTAGCAGAAATTAATTCTGCCCGCCAGCAAGAGACTGCCGCATCAGAAGCCAAATATCGCGCGCTTGCCAACTCCAGTCCTCAGGTGGTCTTCGTGGTCTCCGATCGCCGCGGTCTGACATTCTGTAACTCTCAGTGGGAGACCTACTCTGGTCAGACGGAGACGCAAGCGCATGGGAATGGCTTCCTTGAGCACGTGCATCCTGAGGATGTTATCAAATGCAAATTGCCAGAGATGTCGGACGATGGCTCTGCCAATGTGCCCACTTCTTTACCGACAGAACATGCTCGTCAAGACTCGTCGTCGTCCGACGATTCTTCTGAGACCGAGAAGACGATCACTAGCCCCGGGAGCTCGCCGGATAGGATGGACATGCCTCAGGCAAAACTCTCGAGGCTCGCTAGTACAGGTATTCTCAGGATCAAGAAGGATGCTGATGGCCGCGCCTCTTACTCTACTGAAGTCCGACTCCGTAACAAGGCAGGAGAATATCGATGGCATCTTGTTCGCATCTTGCTCGAGAAGTCGCTCGCAGAGGATAGTGAGGAAGAGACTTGGTACGGAACCGCTACCGACATCAACGACCACAAGCTTCTTGAGCAGACCCTCAAGGAAACGATGGACGCCAAAGGTCGCTTCCTCAGCAACATGTCTCACGAAATCCGCACGCCGCTCAATGGTATCTCCGGCATGGTCAACTTCCTGCTGGATAGCCCGCTCAACCCAGAGCAGCTCGAACACGTTAACATTATCAAGGCTAGCACGGACAGTCTGCTGAATCTCATCAATGACATTCTAGATTTGTCCAAGGTGGAGGCAGGCATGATCAAGCTTACCATGGAGTGGCTCCACTTGCCTTCTCTACTGGAAGAGGTGAACGACCTTAATATGGGTCTCGCCATACAGAAAGGACTGGAGCTCAACTACGTCATGGATGAAGGCGTGCCGTTGATGGTCAAGGGTGACAAGTTCCGCATCCGTCAAGTGCTCTTGAACGTCGTCGGCAACGCGATCAAGTTCACACAAAAGGGCGAGATCTTCGTACGCTGCCGACTCCAGCCTTCGGATAAGACAGGACCGTTGGCTAATAACGAGACCATGGTACGCTTTGAAGTCATTGACACAGGATTGGGTTTCACCGAGAACGAGGCCAAGTATTTGTTCAAGCGGTTCAGCCAGATCGATGCGAGCAGCACGCGTCAACATGGGGGTACAGGTCTTGGGCTGGCGATCTCGATGCAATTTGTTGAACTTCATGGAGGACGAATGGACGCTCAAAGTATTCCCGGCAAGGGCTCGACCTTCTTCTTTACCATCAAGTTCGGCCTGCCCTCAGAAGATGACTATCCGCAACCGAAGCCTTCAACCCCAGGCACACCGGCACTTGAGCCATCTATACCGGTCCCGGCGTTGCCAATACAGCCTGCAGCACCCCTGTCAAAGCTTACACAACCGCCGCATCTCGCTCAGTTCCGTCACGAGCGCTTCTCCAGCAGTTCTTCTGAGAAGAGCGAATCGGTCAAGTCGCCTGTACCGAGTCTTACCGCGTCCGAGCGGTCTCGTGCATCTCCTTCTCTCTCATCGGGGAGCTCGGATCACTCTCTTACCAGTGCCGCTCTGACCGGGAAGTCAAGTCTCCGTTCAGAACGCTCGTCGGCCTCGTCTTTCCTGCAGGAGAGTACACTAGCGAACGCCGAGCCGGAGATGAAGCTTGCTCTCCCATCTAAGAGATCGGCGAGTGACGACTCTCCCATGAGCTCAGAGGAGACTGTCACCGCCATTGGAGCTCAGCGCAGCCTGTCGCCACTTGGCAGCTCGTTGCAGCCTCCGATGTATTCGATTCTAGTTGTGTGCCCGTTGGTGCACAGCAGAGAAGCTACCATCCGACACATCAAGCAGACTCTGCCCACCGGTATCCCGCATCAAGTCACAGGACAACCCAGCCTAGTCGAGGCCCAGCGCATGATTGGTGGTGACGACCCCGTCCTCTTCACCCATGTTGTGCTCGTCCTGCACGAGACAACCGAAGTCATCACGATCATGGACCAGATCCTGAACTCGATGGTGCACGGCAATGCCTCTATAGTGGTTGTGTCGGACCCCGCACAAAAGAAAGAATTGATGAGCGCAGCACCCATGTACGACTACGACCAGCTGCTGACAGACCGCCGCTTGCAGTTTATCTACCGCCCGCTCAAGCCGTCCAAGTTCGCCGTCATCTTCGACCCGCAGAAGGAGCGCGAGTCCAGCACCGACCGCAATCAGGATACCGCGCAGCAGGTCGTGTTCAATCAAAAACTTGTGTTCGAGGAGCTTAAGCGGAGGCTCGGCGGCAAGGGGCACAAGGTGCTGCTGGTCGAGGATAATCATATCAATCAGACGGTAGGTAATGTGGTCTTGTGATGAGGAAACATTGGGCTAATGCATGATAGGTCGTACTCAAGTTCCTGGCTAGGATATCGATCGAAGTTGAAACGGTGCTAGACGGTGTGCAGTGCACCGACATTGTCTTCTCCAAGCCTCCAGGTTACTACTCCATCATCCTGGTGCGTCGCTCTCATCCCTCATCCCTCCCCCCTCTCCTTATCTCCCAACTAACACCCCTCAGTGTGATCTCCACATGCCGAACAAAGACGGCTATACGGCGTGCAAGGAGATACGCCGGTGGGAAAAGAAAAATGGATACAAACGCCATCCAATCATCGCGCTGTCGGCGAACGTGCTTGGTGATGTGTACGCCAAGTGCGTGGATGCAGGGTTCAACAGCTATGTGACGAAGCCGGTGGAATTCAAGAAGCTGAGTTTGGTGATGATGAAGTTTCTGGATCCAGTGGACAAGGAGAAGAGTCCTGAGTTGATGCGAAAGAAAGGCTAAGGGGGAAGAAGCGGCAGGGTGTATCATGAAGAAAGTGGTGGAACGCATACATTTTGGATCAATAGGTTTTGCTTGCTTGCATTAGCCAAGGGCGCACATGAACGCATTTGAGATTTCGACGCGCCGCAAGCATACGAAGGCGGTCGCGCACGCGGGCGGAGGGAATGATAGAAACACAACGCAACGGATGGATACCCCGGGACACTCCAGAACGCGCCTTTTAGGGCGCCGGCGATGCTTCTATGCACTGGACTTGGCATTTGTTTTGCAGGATACACCAGGGCTGGAATAGGCATCGGATTAATGACTTGGATCGGGCGCATACCATACCTGGCGTTCTGCGCTTTACAATATACATATGGGAGGAGGATATGGTGGAACAGGGGGGATAGGAAGGATGAGAAGGGTGTAATATGGATATGGATATGACTGAGGAGGGATTGGGGAAGGGGAGGATGAATGATTGGGGGAGTTGTATGATTTGTACGATAGCTGGGTCAATATGTGGGGATGAGAACATACCAATATCAAAGTACCAACTGAATTGGGCATGTGAATGGTAACGGAAGTAAAGTCAACTTCGAAGCTCGCCTATGCTCAGCCACTTGCTCGTGCGTGTGATAGTTCCAGACTGCCATGATTACCACGCGAAGGAGCACAGAGTTCAGATTGCTGTGAGTGGCGGGAGAGGGGTTGCTGTAGCTCGTCGGGGTGTGTGTGTGTGTGTGTGTGTGTGTGTGTGTGTGTGTGTGTGTGTGTGTGTGTGTGTGTGTTGGGGGGATAGTGTGGTCATGCTAATCACTAGCCTGACGACCAATAGCTCATCACTTGCAAAGCTGAGAAAGCTGCTAGCCCAGACAACATACATGACGTTCGTGAATCGTGGATTGGAAAATTCGGAAATTCCGAATCTCGATTCTGGTTTCTAATAGGGCCGCAGCATACCCACGGGAGTTGGGTGTTAGATCTTCCACCATGGGAAACGTAAAAAATATCGTGGATAACCAGGCTAAGAGATGGGCAAACACTGTCTCACAAGACTTGCATGCAATACATTCGCACACCGCGGACTTGTGTGATACGACACCATATTGTCTTCTGTTCGCTAACGACCGTCCTTTCACCTCTAACCCACAGTCCTTTGCTGCAGGTCGTCCGGCCAGTCGTGCCGCAAACACGACGCACTTCCCACCTGCTACACCACCTACGTAAAGGTCGTCCCGCTCTTCTTTTTCTTCTTATTCTTATTTTTCTTCGCAGATGAAATCGTTCCGTTCGCAATCACAACCTCAGACGCTGGAGACGCGACCTCTACCGCGGGCGACACAACCTCATCCTCCTTCTGCCCAGCCACCTCCGGAGTGTCTTCCACCTGAGTGACATCCTTCTCGACGAAAGAATCATGCCTCGTGTGGGTTACCGGCTTCCCCATACTTTGATAAGTCTTGCTGTTCTTCAAGTCCAGCTCATCAGTCACACTCTCGGGCGCTGCCGGCGACCCAGGGCTCGCAGGTCTATGCTCCATCTCACCTGGCACACTCGGCTCGATCTCCTCAAGCTGGACCACATCCTCCTCATCGCCATTAATCCCACCAGCAAGCTGAAACTCGTCCACGTTGCCGTCGACACCCTCTCCCTCGCCCTCAGCCATACCTTTCAAGCCACCGCCCCCCTGCCCATCCCCACCCTTAGGACTATCCATCGGCGGCGCATCCCCACCCCCACCCCCTCCCCCGTCCCCCTCCACCTTCTCATACGTCCCCACAATCGCCCGCATAACAACCTTCCTGAACCTCTTATCCCCCTCAATCATCTCGACAAACCCCTCCTTGACAAAAAGTCCCGGATCCTTCGCCGCAGCGCCTTTGATCGCGTCTTCGAGATAACCGGCAAACCACCCTTCCTCCTCGGGCAAGATTGGAAACGCATGATCCCGCGCCACACCCAGGACATCCAGAATCGTCAGCGCCCGCCCTCGCGCGGCGATCTGGCCCTGCGCGAGTGCCGCCAGCCCGGGCATCTTGTACCGCACGGCAGCGGCATAGACGCATGCTGCGAGCTTGTACTCGGCGACCTCTTTCTTGTCGGCCTCGCCTTCCCACGCGAGCGTCTCGTAGCGCCCGGTATACAGGTAGGCGACTAGCGTGTGTGCAGTGACGGCGTCGAGGTCGGGGAGCGCGACGGTGTCGTTTGTTTTCTCGGCCCAGAGGGTGAGGGCGGGTTTGCCTGCGGCGAGGGAGAGGGCGGGGGCGAGGGCGAGGATGGAGGCGTGGAGGCGGTAGCGGGTGCGGGCGAGGCCGACGTCGAGGGAGATGAGGGGGGTGGAGGTGTAGGGCCTACTGCCATTAGCACTGAGCAGCGGGGCGTGGGATGTGGATATATTGTTACGATTTTGCATAGAAATCCGGTAGTGCCGTGGTGCCATTGCCGTTCTGCTTCTCAGCCGTGTCGGCAACAAGTCCAGCGTCCGAGCCGCGGACCGACAGCACGGTGGATGAGTCGTCGTGGACGGACATGCTGTCTGCAGGTGTCTTCCACATCCTGTCCGTTTCAGTCTGGTCTTCCCACTTCACGTCTCTTCACCCTTTGCTCCCACCTCTCCACCGGCCCAACCCCTCCTATATACCCTCCCCGCAGAGTGAGGCTCTTCCTCCGCATCTCTGCAAGCTGCGCTGGCACTCGCAAAATTCAAAAACATGCACGCATTCTGAGTTGTCCATCTCATCTAGTCTCAGCCTTGTGCGAGCGCAAATGTGGTTCGTCAGCCTTGTGGGTGAACTGCATGCTGCGTTCTTGTGCGAGAGGCATTGGCCAATCAGGCAAGACTGGTCCTCTGGCTGATCGGTGAATAGCTGACCGGTGCGGGGAGGGTGTGTGATTTGAGGATGAAGCACCTTCACGGGTTTCATGTGGTTGGGTGGTTGTCCGGGTGTGAGGGACTACACGTGTATTTGCGTAGATTTGGGTATGCTTGCATGCTGACAGAGGTGCACGGGCGAAGAGAAGAGGCAGGTATGGATTTGAGGTTGGAGTGTTTTGATCTAGAAGTTTTCTATATGACAGGTATGAACTTCTTCAGGTAGGCTTGTAGACCGAGTTCTGTCATCATACATGCGGCAGAACGCTCAAGTGAAGCTAGTGGCCTCGCCGAGAGTTATGCACGTGTTCGCCGTGATGTGAGGCGCGGCTTCAGCCGGGAGTGCTCGTGAAGGTGAGTTGCGTGCGGAGACGTTGCATGGGCTGCAAGTGGTATACCATGCACTGGTGTAGCCAGCTGATTGGAGATTCGGGAAGATACAATCCCAAACACAGTATCGAATCCAGGTTCGCTCAAATGTCCACTCCGCCATTTCGCTTGTGGTTTGATAGTGGTTCCCATCGCAAAGGATGGTCGCGTGCACCTCATGCCCTCAAGACCCCGCCGGTCGGGCACTTGCAAGCCTGACAACCTTTCCCCCACCCATCTGCTGCGTCTTCACCCACCCCTCTACATCGTCTGTACCAGCCTGTTCTCTCTTCTTCGTCGACAACACCTGCCACAGATTCGGGAAGCCTGCCTTAACAGGACTCCCCGCTTTCTTCGCACCCAGAATAGCCAGCTTCTTCAACTTCGGGCTGATGTACCCAGAAATCAGGCCTTCCAGGATCAACGACGCGCACAGGCCTTCTATCTCTTCAATATCGAACTGATGGACGTAAGGTACGACGCCCTCCATGCCCTCGAAGTCGGGATCGATGTACACTGGTGGCGTGGGGGGTGCTTGCAGACTGAACGACCACCCATTGGCCTGTGGCTTAGTCGGCGCCGCGCTGGCCCGCTTTTCGAGAAACGTTGCTGCAATGACAACGGCATTGAGATCTAGACTTGGCGGTGCGCGGTCCATTGGGCCTGGCTGCTTACCCGCGAGGAGGAAGACTCTGCGGTACAAACTCCGGTATACCATGATCTCGCAACAGTTGCCGATCTGGTAGAATACCTTCCAGCGACATAGCTTGGCCGCGTACTCCCAAGATAGGTCGAGATTCATCATTCGTTGAAACGCCTCGAGGTTGCCCTTGCGAATTGCTTGAGTTATCGGCTGGAAGATGTCGCGGAAATATACGGCTTCTGGCCGTGCGTATACCCGTTCGGACGGAAAGCGGCCAAGGATCAGATTCGCAACGAGCAGATAGAGGAGAATCAGTCGTCGTTGCTTCAGGAAGCTCTCATGTATTGGCGTGTCGGTGTATGCCTGTTGCAGGACCATCTGCGCCTGGTAGAAGTTGTTCGAGATGAAGTGATAGCGGCCGAGGTAGTAGAGGTATGTGACCCTGTCTCCAGCTGGGTAGAAGTGCAAGGGTGGGGACGCCGTCTCGATGTTCTTGAAAATCATGGAACAGTTGTCGAGCTTGTTTGACTGGAACAAGATCTTGAGACACACGTTGGCCATCTTGTATACGCCAATCTTCTTGCCGTCGGGCCTGCCGTCCTTTATCCCACCCGCGACCGTGTTCCTGTCGTTCAGGCAGGTGAGGAAGCCTGGTCGAACGATATTGGCTGCTTTTTCGGCAAGCGATTCGGCTTTGTCTTTGTCATTTTTGTCGCTCTTGGAGTGTGCGAGGGCAACCTGGGCGAGCTCGGGCTGTTTATCGAGGGCGATGGCCAAGCGCGCGAATATCTGGGCGTAGCCGATGAGAGTCGGGAGGACGAGGATGCCTTTGATGGGGTGTGCCAAGGCCAAGTTTCCCTTGGTCTGGACATCGCTCATGGCCTGATATGCCTTGAGCAGCTGGGACGTGTCGACGTCGCGGATGAAAGTGAGCCACGCGGCCAGGAAGCGGACCATGCTTTTCCAGTCCTGGATCGGGCGGCCTTCTTCATCGTCGCCTCCGCGTGTCTCGGTGACTGCAGCACTTATCACCGCTTCCAGGCGGTCTTCAGAGCCATCGTCGTCGACCGGGTACTCGACGCGCAGCTCCTCGATGAGCTCGTAGTAGACGGGGTTCGCGAACGGCGGTTCGAGGACGAGGATCGAGCGGATCTTGAGCGCATCGCGGTTCCCGATGGCGGAATTGACCTCGTGGCAGAAGGTGGCCACGAGTTGGCGGGACATGGCAGTGAATTGAGTCGAGGTGAGGCCGTCCGCGACCGCGAGGTTGGCCGCATTAGCGCGCGTAGATTAGCCCCGCGTGCGCGTGGGGCTTACAATGCTAGCGCGTTGTATCGCTATTGACACGCCAGGGTCAGCTCACGTGCCTTGCAGGATACCACACGTGACGCACAGGCTCGAGGTCAATGCAGACTTCCACCATCCCAAGAACTCGTCTCTTCCGGTGCTGACATGACTGTCAGTGTCCGCGCGACTATAAACGGACATCATAGCAGTAGAGCCGAGTAATCTGATTCTCCACACCAACTACAGGTGGCCACAAAGTGGTATCTTGCACAAACCATAGACAGATGAAGACTGTCAACTCATCACGTGAGGTAGCAATGGAGACGAGAAGCGAAAAATGTGTGGAAGACGCCAGACTATGATATTAAGTGGTAGCTGTATGCATGAATATGTACAAAAGAGAAAGGGTATGTATCGCTCGAGGCCTTCCTTCCTATACTACTACCGTCACGTTTTCCCTGGAGCAGAGCCCTGTCCCACCTAGTACCCATCGACACGCCACACCGAGCTATCGCTGTTGGCGCTGTAAGTGAAACCGCAGTTACCGTTGCCAACAACGTAGCCAGCACCAGTGTCAGAGCCCTTCTTGGAGAAGAAGAAGTTGGGGTGCTGAGTCTGCGAGCTGCAGGTCGAGCCCTCGTGGTAGAGGAGGAAGCAATTACGGCTGGTGGGGCGGAAGCTCCACGTCTCGCAGCCGGCGAATGCGTGGCAGGCGGAGCAGCACTCGGTGGCGCTGCTGGCGCCGTCGGCGACGATCTTGAAGTCGGAGGCGACGCCGGGGCCGTTGTTGGCGATGTTGGTGATGTAGTAGCCGACGCCGCCCGCGTTGAAGTTGGAGCCAAAGATGTTGTTGCCCTTGGTGCACGCGTCGTAGAGAGTGGGGCCGGGGATGATGCTGGTGGTCGTCGTGCTGACGGTGGTGGTCTCGGTGGTGAACGTAGTGACGAAGGTGGTTACGCTCGACGTGGACGAGTAGGTCTCGGTGGTGGATACATCATCGGGGACGACAGTGGAAGTCGAGGAAAGAACCTTGGTCTTGGTGGTCTTCTGCCAGTAAGGGCTGTACATGGTCGTAGGAGCCCTGGTCTTGGTGACGGTCTTGGTGTTCTTGTTGGGCACATATTGGGTGCAGTGGACCTTGGATGGCCAAGAGGCGGCGGCCAGACCTTTGACCTTCTTGCTCGTAACAGCACGGATGGCATGAGGATGCTCCAACTCGCGCTCAGCCTCATCTTCGCGCTTGTAAAGGCTGTTGCGGTTGACGGTATCGGCAATGGGCTTCCAGCCAGTAGCAGTGGGCACAATCGTCGTTGAAGTAGATGAGGTGGTGCTGGTGTCCGTTGCGGTCGCGGTCAAGGTGGAGGTGATGGTGTTGGTCGCAACATCGTAAAGTGTGGTGGTGGTGCTGAAAGTGTCGGTCACGGTGGAGTCCGTGACGACGCGGGTGCTTGTCGTGATCTTCGTGATCACATACCAGTAACGGAGCCACTCAGTGGTGACGGGAGTGACAGTGGTCGTTATGGTAGGCCGGATGCTCTTGGTCTTGGTTGCGAAGTCGGTCGGAACATTCTTGATAGACTTGCTACCCAGCTCAGTGCGGCAGGTGAAGGTTCCGACGTTGGCAGCAGCTGCGAGGACAGGCAGGAGCGCCGTGGCAATAGTGAACTTCATGATTAAAGGATTGATGAACCAAGTCTTCTGTCAATGAAGTAGAAGAGAGGAAGTGCTCAGTTGTGAGGCGGCTGATGAGAAGCTAGCAGTCAGAACGTGGTGGATTTAAAGACTTCCTCACCCAAGCCATGAGCCGATATCGACCCCTGGAGATATTAGCATCTGGTCTTTGCCGAAGCGCCCGCGAGAGAAAAAGTTGTCCAGACTGTCGGTCGCGATGGCCAAGAGCCTTCGGGGCGCACGACGCGAGACCTCGTGTGTCGCGTGCATTGTTGGTCAGAGACGCTTGCTGAACGCCCTCAGCCGATGTGGAAATACGCCATGACTGTTTACAGCGTCGCGGAGAGCCATTTTCGATATTTCTAGCATACTTTACTCAATTGAGATGATTGTAGCTACCTATACGCCCCACCTAGCCCGTGTTGAAGCCCGAAATCGATGTCTTGGCCGTTTCCCTCGTCTTGAGGCAGCTCTCCTCCAGCCAGCCACACTCGAGGTTGTTCTAGGCCTGCGAAAAATCTAGACCTCATGGCAAGCGAAGTGGGACGTGCAAAGGAGGTTAAGTCATGGGCGACTTGATCTACAACTACAAGCAGCGCAGCTAAGATCGGATAGGAAAGCTTGGTGTTTTGATCAGGGGTAAAGAAGCAAATTGCCCAATGAAAATCATCGCCCTGCGCTTAAGCTTGTCGTTAACGCGGTATCTAGTCCATTTGTGGTTTAGCGTTACAGGCGCCATCAGCGGCTGCGCGTCCTAGTCCGGTATGGCCCCCATCTTTTGAGATGTCAGGGGGCGGCTAGCCTCACCGCGATTCGGCCCGGCACATCTCCACGGCAGCACGTGGACATCGTGGCAGTAATCGGGATCTGGGGAAGTGCTAAATTTGACCGCCGGAGTCGCCGCTCGCCAGAGCCAATACAACAGGGTTAACCGAATAATCCACACAACTCGTGTCATGGAAAGATGTTGTGGCTTGCAGAGAGCAAAATATCGTACCCGCCAACGACGTTCAGCCGCGTTGCTGAGATATGGCTTTCCAAAGGCGCCGAAAACTGAGTAGTCTGCACTTCTAGACAACGCCTCTGCGGCGTGGCCGTCGTGATCATGCAAGAAATGCAGGGACACCAAAGTGGCAGAGTCTCCCCCATTGTCGGTGCTTTCCGCCTGGCTCAGTTCAAAAGCAGCACTCCCTTGGACTGTTCCGCGTGGTAACAACTCCAGCTCTTTCCTGAGTTTCATGGTTTGTTCGTGAACCTAGGAGCCATCGTCCATCATGTTGTTCACCAAAGAGCTTTCATCTTTGCTCCTCTTCTGCGGTATCTCGACTGCGGTGCCAACTTTCACTTCGTCCCAGAGGACTCGTGTCGACAGTCGTGATGTCGCTGGGGTTGATGCAACGTCCTCAAGCACGAACTCCACGAATACCATCCTTGAGCCAGTTCTGCCTCCTGAGGTCGACCCTACGGACCTTTCCATCCTCGCCCTAGACCCCGTTTCCACACTAGCATGGGCAGGCTCGACCAACAGCTCCAACTCGAAGCGCGCGCTAAAGCGTGATACCGGCGTCTTGTCTCAAGCAAACATCACTTTCCAATACCCTTCTATCCCACTCGACCAGTCCGCCTTTGTCTCTGGCGTCTCTTGCTCCTCGGGTACTCTCACGGCGACTCTGACCAAGGCTGCGTACGCCTACGCCAAAAAGGCATGGAAGGGGGCCAGTCACATCGTCTTCATCACCGCTGCTGATGGATGTGGTATGGACAAGGCCAACGACTTCTTCGTGACAAACTCTGTCGACTTCTCCGACAGCGACAACACATTTAAGGCAGCAGGAAACTCGGCTACCTACCAGAATGTCACACAGAAATTCAACCTGCGATGGGGCGACATCGGTACCTACGACCTACGACGCTCGGTCGACAAGAGATCTGTAAGCTTGCTTCCTTGATGCTTCAGTATTGCATTAGCTAACATCGGGCAGATGTTCGAGCTGCATCCCCTCACGAGACGTGCATATGCGGAAGCCTCGATCGAGTGGTCTGCATATCTCAGTGATCTCATCGGTGAGGAGGAAGATGCTCCGTGGGAGAAGGCCGCGCTTCTCTGGAAATGGGGCAAAGAAGGTGGCGAGGAGGACGACTCATACAAGAAGGGCGAGGTTGCAAGCGACAGTGGCCACCACAAGCGATCGAACCTCACTATGCTTGACAAGCGCGAACTTGACTATGGTCTTGCCCTTTACTGCGTCGAATGTGGCTTTGGCGGATCGGCCAAGATCTGGGGAGAGATTGGTGCTTCAGCGACTTGGCTTCCTCCTTTCTTCGAAATCGACACAGTTCAGTGTGGTTTTGGTGCTACCTTCAAAGCTGGACTCTACCTCGGCATGGAGGCATTCGTCAAGTACGAGAAGGAGTGGGAGAAGGAGCTAGCCAGAATCCCTCTCGGTGGTTTCGCCATCTCTGGCCTCGTTGAAGTAGGACCGTTCGTCAGCTTGGGTGTAGAAGCAAAAGTCGGTATCGAGGCGACGGGTGAATTGCTCATCGGTGCGGGTGTTGAGTGGGATAACATCGACATCATGCTTGACTTGCTTGACTCTGGCAACAGCCATGCCAATGGTCTTGTACCCCAGTTCGTCCACAAGGCCGAGGCTCAGGGTCAGCTGTCAATGGAAGCTTCTCTCGGACTGCCCATCAAGCTAGGAATCGGTGTCGACATCTTCGACGGCTTGTGGGAGGCTGACGCTGCCGTCGTAGACACACCCTCTGTTGTGCTGGAAGGATCTTTCGAGGTGTCCGCCGAGGTGACCGACGAGGGAACCATAGAGTACGACATCAACGGCGGGTGCTACGGAATTGCGTGGAACATCCATTTCGAAAACACTCTCCAGGCCGTCGCGGAAGCAGACCTCTTTGGCTCCTGGGAAATCGATCTCATCGAGCCCCAGAAGAGCGACCCCATCTTCGAAGGCTGCATTGGCTATGTCAACGACGGCACGGGCGACAATGAGGACTCCGCCGAGGGTACTGGAAGCAATACCGGAGCTACAGGTAACGGTATGACTGGTGAATCCAATGGCCTGGCTGGTGGCAACAATGGCGCGGAGAAGGCCGCCTCCAGCGCAGCCGCGAGCTCTACCATAGCATCCTCTTCCAGCAAGGCCTCCAGCAGCAGCAATGCCTCTTCCGGCAGCACGAAGGCCTCTACCAGCGCTAAGGCCACGAGCACGGCTAAGGCATCTTCTTCCACCAAGCCGAGCTCATCCGCCAAGACGACTTTGAAGACCAGTGCTAAGGCCACTTCGACTGCTAAGGCTACTTCGACAAAAAAGGCAACCTCTACTGCTAAAGCTACTTCTACTAAGAAGGCCACTTCGACGGCGAAGTCCACCAGCACTAAGAAAGCCTCTACAACCGCGAAACCTACCAGTACTAAGAAAGTAACGTCGACAAAAAAGGCGACTTCCACGAAGAAGGCCACCTCCACGAAAAAAGCTAGCTCGAAAGGATGCACGAAAAACTGCATCGACTTTTGAGAGGAGAGGGTAGAGCGCTTCGCGGGTAAAGGTGGGGTCGGGTCTTGCAGCGCAAGTTTTGGATCACCCGTTTCGTTGTGTACATATTTTCCATCCTAATTAATACATAATGTATCCACTGCTGTAATGTTTCGTTGTGCCGCATATTTGTGAAGAATCAAGCGACACTGACCGTGCACCTCACTGGTCGCAAACTGCATGGGATTTGGTTGCGCTTGTCCTCGCGACTACCAGTGGCTCAGAGAATGGGCCCGAAAAAACTCGAATAGCTGATTTCTTCAATTGTGAAGTCCTCGTGTGCATTTGCGAGCCGCGGTCGGGTGAGTCCTCAGCTCACGAAACGTGTGCTCAGCAAAGCTCGTCGAAACTGGAGCAGCACGACGAGAAGATTTGTTGAACTGGCGTAGCTATGGCGTACACGAAGACTGCTAGAGCTGCCAGGTGAGAATATTTCTTTTCCCTTTAATCGTAATGTTGTGAGACGCACGAGGAAGGCTACTGTTGTGGGCTTCTTTACTTTCCAGATAGAGGTAGCAGAGCATTGGCAATGCCAGGTAGACCGAAGCGAGAATAGTCTAATTTTGAACTAGCGGAGTTGGTTGTCAGTGTCGCGCGTAAGTGCATGGTGGAGATTACGAAAGCTGCCAAGTCCGCTGTGGCGGTCTCATTTTATTTCAGCTGCGCCCCCAATTGCTGTGCGCTAGTCTCCCATAACAGAAGTCAGTCCTTTCCAGTCGTTCATGCGTTATGTTTGTTGGGAAAAACGACCACGAAGAGATGCGCATGCATGGTTTACGCGCAGTGGGATGCACGGTCGGAAAAGTTTTTTTGGTCGACGCCCTTCCCGGTAGATATGAAGAGTCACGGCTGTCCATATCCTCGCAGTCCTGTTGCTGTGACGCTGCAGTTCGAAGCTTCTCCACATCCTGGGGGATCGGTGGCCCACCTAACGTCAATGGAAGTAGATGACGTTGGATATACTAAAACTGTGCTTGCCGCTGCCGTGCAGTCCATCACGCCTGTGGATTCCTGACACCGCATGTTCAGTACAGCGTAGGCCGCTGCTGTGACTAATATCGATTCCTTGGACGTCGTGTCGTCAGTCATATTGTAGGTCGTAATGTAGAACTGCTGTCCTCGAGAACTTAGCCCCCGAAAACGGTCTTCAATCAGGTCGGGCAACGCGAACGCTTCAATGAGTGAACTTTCGACAGTTCAAAGGTATTAATAGGCTGCATCGGGTCGCTGCTGCTGCTTGCCTTGCATGGTCTATGAGATGTAGCGATCGCGGAAGGCGTGAAGCGACCTGGAGCAACATGGTTCGATGAACAGAGCGCGATTAGGATGATGAAGCCTTGGGCCTACTGACAATCACCCGGGTGTTTCGTGTGTGTGTGTGTGTGAGAGAGAGAGAGAGAGAGAGAGAGAGAGAGAGAGAGAGAGAGAGAGAGAGAGAGAGAGAGGCTGCGTCTTCTGGAGAATGTTTGATACAGGCGCTGTTGCAGTTAGGGAAGATTGGACATCTGGTCCATTTTCGCTGATGAGATGATGGCGGCGGCTGAAAAGTCTCAATCCTTGTCTGCATAATTGCGTCTAGGACCCAATAGTATGTATAGTAATTTTAGAGCAGTTGAGAATCTTTCTCATCCACAGCCGTGGCAATTGCACTGAACAAGTGTTGGGTGGACGTTGGCCGAATTAGTGCGTGCAATGAAGCCCCGCGCAAGAAGCTTGATTGACTTAGCGTGGCGGGCGCGTCGGATCGCGATCGACAGGGTCCCAACTCAACACCTTTCACATGTTATTAGACGTGGTCATTACATCAGTGCGGGTCCATCTGCAACAGCACAGCTTGAAAATGGATGCATTCCGCTGCCAGAAGGCACGCTTCAGGATCTTGAAATTCCTTTCCGGATTTATACCAGACTACGCTCTCCATCCGCGACAATGGGGCTGCGAAGTCTCCTCCAGTATCTTATACAGAGTCCTATACTCTTCATCTACCAGCTTCTCCAATGGGCGCTGGATAAGGTCCTATCACCAACGCCGCCTCCACCGCAAGCAGAGTTGAAGAGGCCCAAGATCGCTGTTATTGGAGCTGGTCTTACCGGAGTATCCGCAGCATCCCACATCGTAGGCCATGGCTTTGACTGCCGCATCTTCGAAGCAGGGCCCAAGGAGAATTTAGGAGGAATTTGGAGTGTATGTCACGCATCTATCTAACATCTTCGTCGTCCTCATGATGCTAATATTTCCGTAGCGAGTCAACAATACATCGGGATTGCAGATTCACAGCATCATGTACAGATTCCACCCCAGCGTCCACTGGAAGAAAGGCTACCCAGATCGCAAACAAATCGTCTCTCAAATCACCGATCTCTGGCATCGCTACAGTCTTGAAGACAAGACGACCTTTAACACGCGCATCGAAAAGGTGTACAAAGACCCACACGGCCGGTGGATCTTGAACGACCCATCCCTTGGCCGCTTTGACGGCATAATCGTCGCTGTTGGAACATGTGGCGATGCAAAAATGCCCACGCTCCCAGGCCAGGAACACTTCAAGGGTGAAATATGGCACTCTTCCCAACTCGACGGGAAATCCGCCAAAGGCAAGACAGTCGCCATCACCGGGGGTGGCGCCTCCGCCGTGGAAGCCCTCGAATTTGTCGCCCACTCGGAAGCAAGGCACTCATATGTGCTCGCTCGCAGTGAAAAGTGGATCATCCCGCGGAATCCGCTGATCAATGGGCTCCTCGCCATGAATGTCCTTGGTAGCGAAACAATCTTCTCATGGATTCCCGAGAACATTCTACGCCTCTTCTTTTACCGAGATCTCTACGACATTTCGCCTCCGCGCAACAGTGGAAAGGGGCTCTTCACTGAGACTCCCATGGTCAACGACGACGTCCTCGACCTCGTGCGCAGCGGGAAGGCATCCTGGCTCCGCGGCGACATCCTCGGCTACGACTCCTCTGGACGCGGCATCAACTTCAACAAGCGATTGCAGGGCGTGCCAAAGGACGGACCTGGAACCGAAAAGCTCATCGAAGCCGACATAGTCATCATGGCGACGGGCTACAAGCGACCCTCGCTCAACTTCCTACCCAGCGAAGTCTTCGAAGACCCTTACGCACCACCAAACTGGTACCTTCAGGTCTTCCCGCCTGACTATCCAGAAATATGCTGCAACAACTGCACATACGTCAATGCCATCGGTACAGTCGGAAACTACCACATCGGCATATACACGCGTTTCCTCCTCATGTACCTGGTCGACCCCCTGGCACGGCCGCGCACGGCATGGATGAAACGATGGATTGACATGACCCGGTTCATCAAGGCCAAGGCACCCGGTGGAGCGTTCGAGTTCTTCACGTACAGCGAGCTGATATACTGGTTTGTATTTACGATTGCGATCAATCCGTTCCGCTGGAAGTGGGCGCTGTTCGTTTTGTGTGGAATCGGGAAAGATCTGCCGCTCAAGGTGGTAGAAAGCGAGGATAAAGTGAGGAATGGGATGGGCATGAGGAATGTGTGGGATGATAAGGTCAGTGGGGAGGCGATGTGGATCGGGGGAAAGAGCAATGGAGATTGAATGCGCTGGGGGCCGGAAGGTGGTAGTATCGTGCGAATCGTGTATAAACGGCAGAAAGAGGCTATGGGAATGAGAACACCCACCAAGACTCCGACACCCCCAGGCCCGTCTTTCCGCACAGGCAACGCTAGTCCTCCAACCCCTCGTACAACACCCCCTCAATCCCCGCCACCAACTCTATCCACGCTACGTCATTCCACGGAAAGAAATTGCCATTCACAACAACCACCACGCCCCTCTCCTTATCCACCCAAAAATCCATATTCGCCGCAGAATACCAGTAGACACTGCCCTTCCCCCTACCCCTCCTCCCATCAGCAAGCGTCCGCTCCGCACCCTGCACTCCGCACCCAAGCCCAAACGAGCCCTCCGGATCCATATACTGAGCATCTAGCACTGCTGGCTTGCAAAGCATGTCCAGGGCGGACGGCACAACGCGGCTGTCATTCCGTAGGTGAGGTGGGAGCTGCGGCTTGGTAATCTCGGCGGTTGAGGCTGGGGAGAGGACGACGTGCCCGGTAAGGGGATCGCGGCCGGCGTTGAGGAAGATGGTGAGGAGGCGCGCGTAAGATGCTGCGCTGGCGACGAGGCCGGTACCCAGGGGGTAGGCGTGGTATTTCCCGGCGGGATATGCTTCTGCGCGGGGCACTTTTACGATGGTGGGCAGGTCGATGGGGATGAATGTGCCGTCGGGCTGCTTGAGGCTGCGGGGCCAGAAGCGGCCTTTACTACCGTCTTTCGTGGTGGCATCACCGCCGTAGGATTCTTCGAAGGCGATGTCGGTTATGCCTAGTGGGGCGAAGATGTGTTCCTGGAGGTAGGTGGCTAGGTCGGTTCTTGTGATGCGCTCGACTAGCACGGCGAGCCAGTCGAAGCCCTGTGCGTAGTTGGTGTGTGTCCCTGGTTGCCAGAGGAGAGGTGCATCCAACACTGTTTGGTGCGGGTCTGCGACTTCGTTCCTCGTCTCCCATCCCTCCGCGAGGTACTCGCGCATCATTTGATTAAAGTACGTATGCCCCGTTCCGTTTGTGTGGTTCATCAGCATCCGGGGTGTGATCTGAGTTTCCATGGGAACGAGTATAGGCGTCTTCTTGTCATCGTCTGAAACCCTGGTCAAGACCTTTTTGGAGGCTAGCTCGGGGAGGTGGTCTGAGATGAGAGAGGCATCGTCCAGAGAGATGAGACCGCGGTCAACGAGTTGCATGAATGCTATAGCTCCCACAATCTTAGTACAAGAATGTATCATCGTGAGTGTGGATTCGGAAAGACGTGCTGGGCCACCCGACGCATGTGTGAAGACGGTATTGTTGCTCGCATCGACGACGTGGAGGATTGCACCTGGTAGAATAGGGATGTCGCCGGTTGTGGCTTTGTCCAAGTAGACTTTGAGTTTTGTGGTCGCATCTTCTATCAAATTTGGGGCCATGATGGAGACGTCTTGATTTTGAGCTGTTACAATGCTGTCGGGTTGTATCTAGGTAGGCGCGAAAAATCTCCATCTTATATCGTCGCCTCTCAATTTCTAGGTCAGACTCAAAGAAAGCACCGAAGGATCTAAGATCAAGGAACATAGTGTAGAACAAGATCATTGGGCAATGTAAACTTCCTACATGTGTGCTCGAGGCGTATATGGTCAATCCAACCAATAGACGACGAGCATGCGCTCCATAAGCACGCATGCACAGAAGTTTACACGTATTCAGTAAACGAAGGCCCGTCAGCACCCATGTATGCTGACTTATGTATATCCTGTGCACACTACTGCGTTTTTGCTGACGCCAGCTGTAAGATACCTACTCTATGTAGTTCTTCTGTAGATGCGCTTAGCGGCGGCCTAGTGCTTGACGTTGGAGCAAGACGTAGGTTTATTTACCTAGGGAAGGCAGAGCACCTTCGTCTCGAAGTGAGGTAATGTATGGAGATGAGGTTGAGGGTATGCAGATCACCGTAGACGTGCCCACTAGTGTGGAATACAAAGCGTTGCATATACACTTCGGTTTCGTCTGTGCAATTAACATAGTCGCTTGCACATGACACAGGTGGCTTGAATATTACCTCCCCCAGGCTAATTGAGACGTGAATAGACCCGTCGACTGCCTCGGCTATCCCTCTCTACTTGGCTGGCCTTAGCAAACTCCGCAAAAAAATGCAGAAAAATGTGTTGATAATTGACAATTCCAGGTAACGCCACAATAACCTGTACCACTGTTCCAATGCGCAACGAGAATGAATTTTCCTCATCGCACTTTCCACATAGGTGATACAGATGCGGACTTGTACTGCGTTGGCGCACCAGTATCTCTCTACTATGGAAGAGAACTAAGGTGACAGTCTGACATCAAGATGATGGGTTTGGTGGAAACAATAATGAGCTCAAAAAGAGAGGACCAGAAGACCTTGTGCATTGAGGCGAAACACCTGGAACCTGAACCTGAACCAAGAAAAAAAACAACTTCATAAGCCTGCCCACAATCAGAATCGAACTGATGACCTTATCATATGCTTTTGGGCTACTAGTGATACGCTCTACCACTGAGCCATGCGGGCTTAGTTGTTTGATGACTTGATGGGTTTTAACAACATATATATAGTTTTTAACAAAAAAAAGAAAAGATACCTCCTGACCGACGATGTGTGTGCGGCCGGGCCGATTTATCACTGTGGGGTCACAACGGAAGCGAGCGGATGCCAGCCTCCGATCGCCAAATCAGAGGAAAACACACCTGATTCGCCCGTGCGCAACCCATGTTCCACTGGCACCATGATGTCACCACACATGGGCGTCGGATGCTTGCGCAAAGCAGCACGCGCGGGTCCATGTGAAACTTGGATGCGTAGACCGGGTGGCTGGGACAAGGTCAAGAACAAGGACAGCATATAAGCGCGCATGCCTGCCAGAGCCTTGCGCGCCATGCGATTGCGACTATACTGCTGCCGCTGAGGCTTGGTCCGGACGGGCGACGACTGCGCAATTGGATTGCTGTGTGTATAGCCAACGCCTCCGCACTATCGAATACTATCGAAAGAAACCGCGACTCCTCGGATCCGAGATGTCGGCAAAAGCCCCCTCGACAACCGGCACAACCACCGGCTTCCTCTCCTTCAACTCCCGCCCGCCCCGCCTCTACATCACTTCCGCACGCGTGCACGCCCCGGAATCCACGCTCCTTGCCTGGCAAGCCGAAGGCTTCGAAACGACATACATACCGTTCGACCGCTCACAACAAGCTGCCTACATCTCCACCATCAAAAACCTGCACAAAGATCTCGCCATCGGCGAAACCTACGCCATCCTCGCCTATGGCGACGCCGCGACCGCCGTGCTCAAGACCGCGCAGAAACCCCTCCCACGATGCTGCGCCGTGCTCGCGTTCTACCCCAGCGTGCTGCCCAGCGCGGGCTACAAGTTCCCTTCCATGCTGCGCGTGCAGATCCACGTGTCGGGGCAGCAGAACAGCCCTCGTCCTGAGATGTGCGAGTGGCAGCTGTACCGCTACGAGAAGAGCAAGATTGGGTTCGCGGAGCCCGACGCGCCTGCGTATGAGCGTGTGGAGGCGGAGCTGGCGTTTAGCCGTGCGTTGGCGGGCGCGCGGAAGGCATTCAAGACCGAGGCTGATATTGAGAGTGTCACGCAGGCGGCGTGGAGCGCGAAGTATGAGGAGGAGGTTCCTGAGCGGGGGAGTATGGGAGTCGTGCAGGGGATGAGTCAGAATAGTGCGCATGTTACTATTGTGCCGACGCTGGAGGGCGGGGTGGGGAGGAAGAAGTTGGAGGAGTTCTATAGGGAGTTTTTCATCCCGAGTTTGGTGGAGGACTTTGAGATTAGACTTGTGAGTAGGACGGTTGGGGTGGATCGCGTGGTAGATGAGATGGTGATGAGCTTCACGCACTCGGACGATGTGGACTGGATCCTGCCTGGCGTGCCACCGACGAATAAGTTCGTGGAGGTGGCGGTAGTCAGTATAGTGGCTGTAAGAGGAGGGAAACTGATCAGTGAGCATATGTATTGGGACCAGGCTAGTGTGTTGGTGCAAGTTGGACTGCTGAATCCGAACGTTGTGCCAAATAAGCTGAAGAGCCAGGGATTGAAGAAGATGCCAGTCGTGGGCGTGGAAGGTGCAAGGCAAATCTTGGATGTGAAGCCAGAGCGATACAACAAGTTACTCAAAGAGCATGGACTTCTGAATGGTATGGCTGCACTGAACATCAATGGTGTGAACGGAACCAAAGGGGCGTGAGATTGGATGACTGCTTCAAGAAGTGCTGTAGTATGTCTTGTGGGCAGAGAGTGCGTCGCGCAACTGTTTAGGTCCAGATTTTGGCCATGTCAAGTCGGAGACACTGAGGCTTATGAGTCCACGAAGGGCTATTGCATGGGAAATACAACTGGGTGTTCGACGGCTCGAATACCAGGAAAGCTTGTTGCCGGCCCAATCTTGACACGAAAGGTTATTATGTTTAATAGAGTAAATATCAACCCGATTGTATTCAGCTCATGAGATGCAGTACGCGAGGGCTCCACCAAGGCGCCCCATACTGTTTTACCAGGTCTTTCCTACATAGTACACAACTCGGTGCACCACGGTGGCCTGTGTCGTTCGCCAGGTACGCATGTGCGGCTTCAGCTCGTCAAAACTGTTGCTTTTTGGCTCCGCGGGGCATCACCTCGCGCGTATCAGAACACGTACCCACTTCGAATCTCTACCCACGTGCCAGCGCATCTCGTTCTTTTCGCCTTGCTCGTATGGAGCCGGAACGAAGCCGGCTCGGAGCCGTCGTCTGCAGTCTGACGCAGCCATGTTATCGATTAAATGATGACACACACCAGCAGGATGCGCCAAATTGCGAGCATCGCTCAGCCTGCCCTTCTCGGATGCGCGTCCCAGGTGCTCGGGGGCGAACACGATCTCTGCCGCTTGCTCACGAATTGCATGGCGGCGCGGGAATTGGAGAAGGCTTTGCTCTGCCTGACGCAGCCACTCATGGTAATGGTCACGAACCGACCGCGTTCCCTCGGGTGCGGCTGGCCTGCTGTGCGCGTGTTGGACTTTCGACAGGGCCGTGCATGATTCCCAGCCTCGACGTTCCACGAAGAACAATGTGCACCGATTGATGCCAGATGGTTCGGCGTGCGTGTCCCCAGTCCGGCGCGTGGAGTACACCACAGGCAGTCAGGGGCCTCGTGGTCTGTTCGGGGGTTAAAATAGCAAGGCTCATCTGGGTGCGGGAAATTGGGGGTTTGGGCGAATCGCAGTGGTTTGGTGCCTGCACTAGGCAGTGAATGGCGAAATGATGTGCGGGATGGCACGGGCCACGAAACGAGCAGCGCCGCGGCAGGCCGTCTGATTCGTTTGGCCGCTTGCTGGCTGCCGTCGTGGCCGTGTTTCTCAGGCTGCTTTTCCCCTGCCGCCCGCCCGTTTGTGCTCTCACCACCTCTCGCCTCTCGCCTCTCTCGCCTTCCCCGTTGTTTCTCACAACACCACGCGACCCGGCTGTCGTTCGCCCTTCGTTCATCGAGCGCGGCCCTCGCACACACTCCCTTCCCATTAATACCCACACTCCTTATGTTTAGTGCCTAGTCTGCGCCCCCCGTACACACCACGTACATACGCCTACATTCCGCGAGACCTGGACCGCCACATTCCGCGAAGCCACCGGCCGCCCTGGAATCTCGCCAACTGCGCTTGTATATATCGACACACGTCGGCTACTGCGTAATAATATCTTAATCGTGCGCGCCTTCCCGATTCGATACCGACCTTTATTTGCCAGCACGACAATCCCTTTGTGAACGACCGTCGGCGACTATTATTGGATTGAAAGGCCGCCTCTGCCAACATGGTGCACCAGCATGGAGCGAGGCACCTCGAGCGCCGCCAGCGCCATCACTGGTTTCAAGAGCAAGAGGCCGACCCGGTCGAGGAAACTGTATTCGTGACTATGCCAAACACCTTCGCGGCCTCGCAAAGCGTAGTCCTAATAACCATGACCGACGGTTCCGATACCCCCAAGAGCGCCGTCGGAGGCGCTGTACAGCAGACGAAGACTCTCGTGCCACCTGCGGTTCGCACTCGTGAAAGTTCATCAGACGAGGACACTGCGAAAGCGACACCCACAGCATCGGCCAGGCAAAGCAGCCGCACCGCAGAAGTGACTTCTCACGCCAGCAGCCATGTCGGTCTCCAGTCCACGTTGCAGATTGACACCTCTTCTTCGCCCCAGGCCACTGTATCCTCCCTTGTTGCAGCTGGCGTCACGGCGGCCGCTTCAGCCAGTTCGTCCGCAGAAGCCGCCTCAAGCGGCATGTCTGGGGGTGCTAAGGCAGGTCTTGCCTTAGGAATTCTCGTCGGTATCGGGGCTCTTCTCGGTGCTATCCTCTTTGTCGCTCATCGCAAGAAGAGGGAACGAGCTGCTACCGCCCAGCAGGCAGCAGACAACGAAAAGGCCACCTCGATGCGCAACATGCCTCCACCCCCCATTGCGAAGGAGCCCACTCCTAGCGTCAGGACACAGGCGAATGCGCCTCGCCTCAGCCTCCGCCCTGTTACTCAGTTCGACCCGGCATTCCCAAATCGCAAGAGCGGTGCCAATCTGCTTGGTGCTGCCGCTGGAGCTGGAGCTGGCGCCGCCGCCGGTACCCGATCACCTTCACCGTCCAGTCCAGGCAGCCCGTGGGAGAGACCCGGAGCGTCCAACGCCAGCAATCCTTTCAGCGACCCAGCACCCTCGAACAGCCCTCCGCAAGATCCCTTCGGCAACAACGCGGCAATCGAGACTCCTCAAGCTTCTGCTCCTGGCACACCTGTAAACTTCAACGCGGAGTTCGGCAATCCTGCTCCGGCCATTGCCGCCGCGGAGAGAGCACCAGCTGTCGCTGCTCTACCCGTACCTCCCACTGTTAATGCTGATAATGTTCCCCCGAGCCCCGCCTGGACTGACGACATTCCCGCTTCTCCTGGACCTGCGCCCTCTGGCCCCCTGCCCGTCGCTGTTGCTGGTGGTGCACCTCCTCCCGGTCCCAACAATGTCCATCGTATCCAGCTCGACTTCAAGCCCTCCATGGCCGATGAGCTCGAACTCCGTGCAGGCCAGTTGGTACGCATGCTTCACGAGTATGATGATGGCTGGGCTCTATGTGTCCGCCTCGACCGCTCTCAGCAAGGTGTCGTCCCTCGCACATGTCTTTCCAAGCACCCCGTCAAGCCCCGTCAAGGACCTCCTCGCAACGGCCCTCAAGGACCCCCTCGCATGCAGGGACCACCGCGCAACGGTCCTAACGGACCTCCCATGGGCCATGCAGGTGTTCCTCAGCCGCGTCCTCTTTCGCCTGCTAACAATGGACGTTCGTCTCCCCACCCTCCGGCCCTTTCTCCTGCCAGCGGCCGCATGTCTCCAGCTCCTCGCTCGATGAGCCCTGGACCCCGCCAAATGTCCCCTCCTCAAGGGCGTGCCCGGTCAAACAGCAACGCGCCCTACGCCAACCAGCCCCGTTCCATGTCACCTGGACCATATGGCGGAGGACCTCAGATGGCTCCTCCACCACAGATGGGCCGACCGCGCTCCAACTCGGCTAGCCAGATTGCCCGGCGTGGCTCGCCGCCAGGCCCTAGTCCCATGAATCCCAACGTCAACCCCAACGCTCCGACGCAGATGCCGGCCCGGAAGCCCATCCCCGGTCAAGCATTGTAACGTCTTTCATGAGCAACGGCACGGTCATGGCATTGTTGTCCCCTTTGTTTCCTTTCCAATCCCATACTGTCGGCGAACGGCGGAACTGGTCTGTTTCTAGTTTTACACCCATAACTTCTATTCGTGCGGATCAGGCCTCGACACGGCACCAGCGGCTTCGCTGCAGGGAGGCGTCCGCTGCTTTGTGCAACTGTTTATACCCAATCTGAACCTTGTTTGATTCGTTGAGCGATGTGTACCTTCTCGGAGGGCGCAGGATGGAAGGGCGAGAATGGAGATGTGTAGAGATGGATGCGTGTCTAGCACGGTCCGTTACTCGAATCAAATATCTAAAGAATTCTACAGTCTTGAATGAGTGATGCAGGGACAGCGAAGCGTGATGCTGTGGTTCCCCAGCAGTTCGGATGCGTGCCCAGTAGTTAGGCACCGCGTCCGCTAGCTGCTGCAGGTGGGTCCATCCCAGAATGACGCAATCCAGAGCTCATGGCCTTACTCATCAAGACCATTTTCGAAAGCCCCATGGCGAAGTAGCACTCCATTTCCAATTCACAATCAATTGGTCTCAACACAATGGCATCCTTCTTACCCCGCGCCGCCCCCCGCGCTCTGCGCTTCGCCGCACGCCCCGTGCTGCGCACTCCTGCCTTCCGCCGCGGCTTCGCGACGCCGCCAGTCGCTGAACAGCCTCGTCTGCGTCTGGGCTCTGTAGGCACGTATCCCTCCGTCCGTCGTATTCTGAATCATACTGACTTCCACAGCGCCAAACTTCCAGGCCAAGACCACGCATGGCGATATCGACTTCCACAAGTACATCGAGGGCAGCTGGGCGATTCTGTTCTCGCACCCCGCAGACTTCACGCCGGTGTGCACGACGGAGCTGGGCGCGTTCGCGAAGCTGAAGGGCGAGTTTGAGAAGAGGGGTGTTAAGATGATTGGGCTGGTGGGTCTCCCTTCCTGACAATCCATCCCAGACGGGCCGTCGATCTGGGCCGGAAAGTTTGAACGTGCACACAGGAAGCATGCTAACCCCACGCAGAGCGCAAACGACCTCACCCAGCACGACCAGTGGGTCAACGACATCAACGAAGTCGCCAACACCACCGTCTCCTTCCCCATCATCGCCGACGCGGACCGGTCCGTCGCCTACCTCTACGACATGATCAGCCAAGACGACCTCGACGCGCTCGCGACCAAGGGCGGCATCGCGTTCACCATCCGCGCCGTGTTCGTCATCGACCCCGCGAAGAAGATCCGCCTGACGATGCTGTATCCCGCCTCCACGGGTAGGAATTCCAGCGAGGTGCTGCGGGTGATTGACAGTCTGCAGTTGGGGGATGAGAGGGGCATTGCGACGCCGATTGATTGGAACAGGGGGGAGGATGTTATTGTGCCGCCGAGTGTGAGTACGGAGGATGCGAGGAAGAAGTTTGGACAGGATAACGTGAGGGAGGTGAAGCCGTATCTCAGGTTTACCAATGTGGGGAAGTAGATATGTAGAATGACGCTGTGGGATTGGCCGGCTGTGTGTAGAGTAGAATTGACCAAGGAGACGAACACTTTAGGCCCTTGGTACCCCGCAGGTCAGAAGCTTGAGCGCAGTGCTGATGTCCCCCGGGGCGATAGCATGTAGGCTGGCTGCACTCAGATAGATGTCTTTGAGATCGTACATGGGGTTGAGTGGCCGCCCGAGCCCTTGGGCCGCGCACCGCACAGCGCGTGATGCGGCTGAGAAAACGCGGGCTCCACAGCTCGTCGCGGGGCTCCAGTCGTGTTTGACCTCGGCCCAGCGCGAGCCGAGCGAGCTCCGACGTCAGGGCCCAGAGCCAAGCTCCGGAGACCTGGAGCACGCTGCTCACATGTAAATTGCAGGTTGTGCCTTTGTGCCTTTGTTTTTTTGTTCTCGCTTTCTTGGTCGCTGTCGCTGCCTGGCCTTCTTCCTAGGTATATCTTTCTCACCGCGAGCAGCTCTCGCCCCCAATCGCTTGTGGAGAGTGAAGCGGAAGACGACAAGCACGTGCAATGTCGAACAAGCTCCCCGCCGCGCTGTCGCCAGAGAACCTCCCCTCGAAAGAGGAGTTGAAGGAAGATGTCAAGGCCGCCTCCAAGAACAGCTTGCAGTCCCTGCGCGCCCTCGTCGCCGGCGGCGTGGGCGGCATCTGCGCCGTCGTCGTGGGCCACCCGTTCGACCTCGTCAAAGTGCGCCTGCAGACGGCGGAGAAGGGCGTGTACAGCGGCGCAATGGACGTCGTGCGGCGCACGATTGCGAAGGAGGGCATGGCGAGGGGGCTGTATGCGGGTGTGAGTGCGCCGCTCGTGGGTGTTACGCCGATGTGTAAGTGGACCTAGTTCTTCTGCGCGTTTCCAAACGACTGCAGAAGACAGGATGGATGATGAATTGAGAAGCTAATATGAAGGGGTGAACAGTCGCGGTATCCTTCTGGGGCTACGACGTCGGCAAGCAACTTGTCTCCTCATTCTCCACCGTCCACAACAACCAATACTCGGTCGCCCAGGTCTCCGCCGCCGGCTTCTTCTCTGCCATCCCCATGACGCTCATCACCGCCCCCTTTGAGCGCGTAAAGGTCCTCCTCCAGATCCAGGGCCAGAAGCAGCTTGCCCCCGGCGAAAAGCCAAAATACGCCGGTGGCGTCGACGTCGTGCGCCAGCTGTACCGCGAGGGCGGCATCCGCTCCGTCTTCCGCGGGTCCGCCATGACGCTTGCCCGTGATGGGCCGGGGAGCGCGTGTTACTTTGCGACGTACGAGGTCGTGAAGCGCAAGTTGACGCCCAAGGACCCGGTCACCGGGGCCCCAGGCAAGCTCTCGCTGAGCGCCGTCATGGTGGCGGGCGGTGCCGCGGGCATCGCCATGTGGATCCCCGTGTTCCCGATTGACACGATCAAGTCGCGGCTGCAGAGCGCTGAGGGGCGGCCGACGATTGGCGGCACCATACGCGGCATCTATGCGAGCGGCGGGTACAAGGCGTTTTTCCCGGGCATCGGGCCTGCTATGGCGAGGGCGGTGCCGGCGAACGCGGCGACGTTTTTGGGCGTCGAGCTCGCGCAGAAGGCCATGACGAAGATGTTTGACAAGGATGGGGAGTAGGTTGGTGAGTCTTGTTGGATTGCGAGCTTGATGTTCGGATGCTTTGCTTGCTGGCTTAGAGTGTATATAGAGGATGTGTCTAGCAGTCTGCATACATATACCATTGATCCTTTCCACGGCGCTTCTGGTTCTCCCAGTGCATCGTCGCCTTGAACTGAGGAGCAGACCTGTAGAAGAGAGAATACCAATTCATAAAAAGTTTCTCCACTTTTCCCGCGCCATCTCACTTCGTTATCCTCTCCAGTATGCCATGTACGAATCATACGCTTCCTGCCCGTCCCATGCGTACAGACCCCCAGCAGAGAACCCCTTCATATCATCATACCCCTCGATCCCCCACCCCTCTCCGTCCAAACATGCCTCCACCGCACCCCTCACATCCTCCGCGCTGGCATACTTCCCGTTCCAGCACTTAAGCACAATAGCCCCCATATGTTCCCTCTCGAGCCGCGGCCGTCCCCCGGAACCGAACATGCTTGCACTAGCGGCAAGTTCCTCCCCGCTCTTGCGCGGTTGTCCCGCAGGTTACGTGCTCCATCTGCTAATGTGTCTGCGGCCAGAACCCCGTCATCAATTCGTTACACCTGTGGTGGGCGATGAATCTTGTGAGTGCTGTGTCGGAGGGTCGCGCGAGGAACGGTAGGGCGGTGCACGCGTCACGGCGTTTGAAGCTGTCGAGGTCTGTGAGGGCTGGCGCTGGAAGCCTCGTAAGGGTGCAAACTCACGGGACCACGTGCGCATGGTTCGCCCAGACCTGCTCGTATATCACCGTCGTCTTCCAGCATCCTGTCGCGTGGTATCCTCCCGCCACCCCGCGTCCAATGAATCATCTGGATGTGCTGCAGACGGGGGGCAATCCGGGCCATCGAAGTAGGACCGCGGGGCGAGCAGAATCGAGTCTCGCCATATTGCAAGCTCATCTACTACGGTTAAGTGTGGAAATTTGGGTTACGCCGCGATGCTTTTGTCTGAGCAATTTCTTAAGCAAGAATCGGCATCCGTCAAGCGGAAGGCCTCCTGGCTCTTTCGTTCTGTATCTGATTCTGCACACATCGTTTCCTGTCTATATCCATCGCCTCATAACACCATGTCGGGGTTTGACATTAAGTGACGAGAGATCGCTTCTTCGTTTCTAGTTGGAAAGTACCACAAGTAGAAGGAATAGATGTGCACCAAATTCACAGTCAGATACTGAGAATATGATGTAAGTATTGGTCAATGAGTGCGTGCGATGTGAATATAAAGCGAGGTGTAGGAATGTAGGAGTGTAAGAGTGAATGTGTTGCTCGGGCAACACGGGCAAGGGCTGTTGCCGGTATAGGCTAGCGCGCTTCTGCTTTATGGTCGCTGAGCGGCAACTGCCCTCCCACAAGACGTTGGAACGAATGCAATTCTACTGGGGTGGGGGGTTTCCACAAATCGACGCTCGCACTTACATGGTGCATCACCTGCAAGTAGGAACCCTGCGTACGATCAAGAGTTTAACAAGACAGGGCCGGCCACGCGCTAACGGCTTAGCGGCGATCGCCCGATGCTTCGATGCACAAGCGGAGTGACGTCAAGGGGGCTGTTTCGTTCCTGCATCACGCCGCAGTGCGCGGCTGGTGGCGGCGAGGGTTAATGAAAACCGGGAAGCGGATCATTTCCCTGTACATTTACATCCAAGCTCGTGCCCCAACCTCCAGTCTCGCGTTTCCTTGCGTCTTGTCACTTCCTCGCCTCGGTGTTGAGGTCAATCCAGAGCCTACTCAAGTATACTTTAGTACGGGTTTGTCTCCACCTCGCGTTGCGCGTGTTGTTTACTAACACCCTGTGCAGGCTTGCAGGATGTTTACCAAGGCTCCGCAGCACGCGATGCTGCTCGCTGCCGCACTCCAAGCGGCGAACGCAGTCGCAATTCCGGATCCCACGGCTGCCCCGGCTCCCGTCGAAGCACGCGCCCCTATCACGACACCAGCGCCTGTTGTCTTTGTAGGCGGCCGCAGCTATGTTCTCGACAAGCGCAACCTCCTTGATGATATCAAGAACGGCGTAGACAGCATTGCGGCTTCCTGGGGCAGTGTACTGGGTACCGATCTGCCTAGCTACTTCACGGAAGGTATCCCCAACTTTTTCCAAGATCTACCTACCGGTAGCCAGGTGCTATCGTCGCTTGGAATTAGTGATGATGACCTGAAAGCATCGCCGACTGAGGTGCTCAACGTGCCGCCGTATGCCAACTGGACTGACAAGGGTTGGAATGTGCGCTTCCACGGAAATGTTTACAAGATGCCGAACATTTCCCAGTCAAAGATAGATGACTTGGCCAATGTCTTCTTGATCGATGTTAAACTCAAGGATCTGCCCCAAAGCCAGCAGGATCAGGCAAGGAACTTGACCAAGGAAATCTTCATCGTGCAACAGAGCAACCAGAACGTCTCGCTACACCTCGAGCCCGCCCGTTCGCAAGGTGGCGATGGCGAGCCTGGCGGCAGCAACGCAATCACCCCTCCAGGTGGCTCGCAGAACATCACATTACCATACGAGACTACCTCCGAGGGCGACTTTGATGTGTTCGTGCCGATCAGGAACATATCCGGTGGAGGCCTGCTCGCTGGAAACGAGACCAACAATGTACAGCGACTAAACGTGTACGCCAACGGCACACTTACCGGCAATGCCACTGCGTACCTTGTTCCGACAGAGGGTATCACATTCATCTCCGATATCGACGACATCCTCCGTGTCACGAAGATCTACGACCCCAAGGAGGGCTTATTGAACTCTTTCGCAAGGCCATTCACCCAGTGGATGAACATGCCCGAAATCTATGCCAACTGGTCCCAAAGCCTGCCCAACAGCACGCATTTCCACTATCTGACAACCACCCCAGAGCAGATCACCCGTAATTACATGGACTTTATCTTCAAGACGTACCCCGGAGGTTCCTTCGACACACGCCCGCTGAACTTCTCCGACGTCAGTGCTACCTTGTCGATCCGCAAGTACCTGCTTGACAAGGTCTTTGAGACCTTCCCGAAGCGAAAGTTTGTGCTCATTGCGGACACTTCGAACTCGGACGTCATGAAGGACTACCCTCAGCTGGCACACGACCACCCGGACCAAGTGCAGTGTATCTTCCTGCGCAACACTTCGTCGACTGACGACAGCGACTGGTTCCCATACGACACTTCTGGCTTCGAGGGTCTCAACAACAAGAGCTACATGTTCTTCCACGTTCCCGATGATCTACGCGGCCTCGACATCGCCAACGGACAGTGCTTGAACAGCACCATTCAACAGAATGTCACGTTTTCGCGTCAGGATGAGGTCCTTGGTATTCACGGTGCGGGTGTCTCTTTGACGGGCAGCGCTACGATGAGCCTTGTCGTCGCTTTGTTCGCTACTATCTTCATGGTGTTGTAAGAGTTGTACACGGAGCCGTCAAAAGTTCCGCACCTTGTGGTTTCCCATAATGGGCAAAACAGTACCGGTACTTTCGATGAATTCCTGTATTTCCGGATCACAAATATACACGGTGGAATTTTACCAACCTAGCTGCTTTATGTTTTCGCGGCGTCAAAGGGTCGGATATCTGGGTCAGGGTAACTTTCAAGCGGAGCGATGATATTCGGAACCCTGGATGTGCACATGCTTGGTTCCATCAGTGGCATTGGTTCCACTGTGCGTTGATTTACTGTATATATCGTTGCTATTAATGTTCAGCTTCATGTTTCACGCACTTTGGTGGTCACATTCGAGCTCACGTAGCACACGGCGTTATTACCGAGTAGGGAGTGCGCGGAATGAAGGTCTTTCACCCAAGCGCTGCTCTACCATTGACGGCATTCCACAGACGTGCGCGGCCATTTCCGCCAATTTCAGGTACATGCCTTCTTTGTTGTGATTTCCAAACATCCGACCTCCTGATGATCGCAGCCACCGCCAACAAGGGTTCTAAGTCGCTTTGTCCTCTGTATCTGGCTTGTTTCACGGCACCATTCGTTTGTTCGCCAATTATTGCCATCAAGATTTCAAGCAACCACAGTCGGATGTCGTGGACCCGACTATAGTTCCTGAGCCATCGGCGACAGACTTCCAACAAGAGCGTGGCCAGATAACACACGGGAGAAATATTGCACCGGTCTGGTGCTACTTTCGCAGTATTGCAGATATGACGGACACACCTCCTTTACCAGAGGCTACCAGCGAACTGCAGCAACATCCTGTCCCACCACTGCCTTCGACACCTCTCAGCCCTCCACCAGGATTGCTTTTGAGCCACCCGCCACCTGTACGTTTGTCATCCAGTCCAGCTTCGTCGCCGCGCATCGTCGGATCGCCACCTACACGAACGCAATCGATACACCCCGAAACAGGAAGCCTCATGGCAGCAGGGACCCAGCCCGGGGCTGACTTCCTGGAGCTTACTAGCGACGATGACTCCGAATGGGAGGATGACGATGGAACTCGGCGCTTTAGTGATGTAGAAAGAATGGGGAGCAGAGTCTCAGCTGCCACATTTGAGAGCACCAGAAGCGAGGATTGGGAGAGAGAGAGAGGGAGAAAGAGACAGAGTGAACATCTTACGGCACTTCCGCCTGTCAACCAGATATCTGCGCACGATTCTGCTACAGAGGAGGTCCCACCTGCAGCGCGGCGTCCGCCGAGCCAGGCACGCCAGATGAGCCTCAAGAGATACAGCCGGGTCAATGTTGTGCACAATCACGGTTCACCACGCTCGAGCATCCTCAGCAATGACTCCTCGGATGTAATACCACGACCACTCAATGTCTCGCGAACTGTATCGCAGAATCTCGAGGAAGACCCACCTAGCCGGGTGTCTACCGAGACACACAGACGCTATCAAAGAAGCACGTCAGAGTCTGAAAGCATCCGTATGAACGCGTTTCTCAATGCCCATTACGCGACTCTACAGGCCATCGACTCTCAGCCAAACTCACCCCCGGCTCCGCAGTTCTCCTTCCCAGATACCTCGAGACAAAGAAGTTTCTCGGCGCAGCGACATATCAAGCTGATGCCATCCATCCACACAGATGTACATGACCCAGACCGGCCACCTCACCTCCCAGCCCACTTCATCAAGACCCCCTACCCCTTCAGTCCCAAGAAAGAGTTCCCACCCCCAAAGACCCGCCCGCGCAAAACAGACCTCTACATCACGCCGCTCTCCACCTCCCCCCAGAAAGGGATCCATGTCCTCGGCATGGCTCACGACACCGCCTACGACCCACGGTCCCGCCTCGAGCGCAACATCTCTGCGCAGGGTCTCATTCACAGCCCATCCTCCCCAACCACAAAGCACGAGCGCTGGAATTCCGCCCGCAGCACAAACTCCGCGCGCGAAAGCTACATCTGGCTCAGCCTCCGCCGCAACAGAAACCATATCGCCTCCCGCATGGAGTCTCTCACCATTCCCTCCTCGCTCGTCGCAACACCACAGCCCAGCCCAACATTCAAGCCCAAGTTGCGCCACCTCGCCGCGGACTACGACGACATGCACTTCGCGCGCGAGCTACGCGCCACGTATCGTAGACTGGCCGGCCCGTGGGTCCTGCGTGTCCTCAGCGCAAGGAAGCTGCGCTACATCCGCCTCGCGCAGGTCTCCGCCTGGAGCGGGTCCTCCATCCCGCCCGGCCTGCACGAACAAGCCGGCACGCTGCTCGCGGCGCGCAGCGGCCTCCCAACGCTTGGCGATCCCGGTCCACCCTTCACCGAGCATGCGTTGCTAGATCTATATCGCGCGCCGCGCTCGGGCGACGCGCGGTACACGTGGGTGCACTGGGCGCGCCGCGTGGCGGCGAGTAATCGGCGCCCTTCAGATCCCCACGCGCATGAGCGGACGCGGAGTGATGGAGTAGCGGAGAGGGAGGTTACGACGGTGCAGTTTGTCCATGCATTTGCGCCGTTCAAGATGTTGACTGTGTTGGTGGTTATGCTGGCGGTGGCAGTGGCGGCGGCGGTGTTATACATCTTTTTGGGGAATAGTGTGTGGAGGGGAGAGGGGACGAGGGAGCGTGCGGAGAAGGTGACGCCGGGAATGCTGGTGGGCATGTTGGCGCTGGGTGTGGAGGGTGTAGTGTTTGTGGCGTGGGTTGTCGGGAGTTGGATGTGGTTGTAGGAGTGATGTGCTCAAGGGGAGCCTCATTTTGATATTTTCTGTGAATAGTTCTTTACGGTGTGATATTTTCGAGCCGCCGGAATTCGACGTGGGTGCTACAGAGTTACAAGCGGTTGTAGGAGTACAGGAGTGGGTTTTCCAGTTGGTTTAGGTAATAACATAATCGGGGGAGATCTTATTGAGCAGGCAGGGTTCGGCGTATACTACTATGGCAAGAAAGTTCACGATTTTCACTGCGGCAATGGTGTATCGGCCGTGCTCAACGTCTTCAGACATTGTGGAGATATAACTACTGCCGGAATTGATGGAAAAGACTTCACAAGTCACGCCAGTCAATCAAGCAGTAGAAGCGATTTACCCTCAATTGAGTAAGTGCTTGGCTGACTACTTGACTGGCTAGATGTGTTATAGTGGAAGAAACATTTTTTTAATAAGACAAAAACAGTATTCCACCATAGTTTGGTAGGATGTTGCGCTGCAATTAACGTTCTGGCCCCACGTACAAATGGGGCCATCGCACAACGGCGCTCCGGTTTTCCGACGCAGGTCCGAATTTACTTCGTGAACCAGCCCTCATGTCAGCTTACCCATGGTAGACCAACGGCCGCAGTACTCTGCGAGTTCAAAATGATAAATATACTCCGGATTTCTCACATTCACCTACCCTGCACCACACCCTTTCTACCCTCCTCTCAACGACGACCCATCACGCCACAAGCCCTTGCTCGTTTCGCAAAGTAATCTTCATCACCAAGAAATCACATGAGATGGGTGGCATGTTCAGTTCTCCCGAAATTCTACCTCCGTCGTCGCCTCCGGATCCTGCCAAACTTGCACTAAGACCCGAAGAAAGCAAAAGCCTCGACCTATCCGATGGACGTACCCTCGGTTATGCAACGTATGGCTCAACCAATCCATCAGACCCGGCCATATTCTTGTTCCATGGAATGCCCGGATGTCGACTCGTAGGTCGCAGCTGGAATAAGCTCTGCAAAACCATCGGCGCTCGCCTGATTACCATCGATCGCCCTGGGAACGGACTATCCACCTTAGTTGATCGAAAGCTGACACAGTGGCCGGAGGACGTACTGAGTGTGGCGGATCATCTTAAGATTGAAAGCTTCAGCATCGTCGGAGGGAGCGCAGGAGGACCTTTCGCTTTGGCATGCGCACGATTCATTCCCAAGGAGCGACTGCGGAGGACGACGGTGGTTTGCGGCATCGCGCCGATAGAGGCTTTCCTGGATACGACGCCTTACCTATCATGGCGCTTAGGAGGCTTCACTCCGTGGGCTGTTAAGCTTGCCGCGCGGCACATGATATTACCACGTCTTCTGGCCCCATATCGGGATCTGGATCCTAATCGGTTAAAACGTACTCTGGAGGACCAGTGCCAAACACCAGAAGAGAAAGAGTTTCTCAAGCCAGATCCAAACAGAGAAACCGACCTCGACGACGCAGTGGCGGGACTTCTGGAAACCTTCAAGCAAGGGACTGGAGGATTTATGCTCGATGGAAGCATCACTTCCAGCGATTGGGGTTTCGACTTGAAAGATATTGATGGCGAGAGAGTATGGCTGTGGCATGGGGACCAGGACGCTGTCGCGCCGGTCGCTACAGCGAAATGGATAGATGAGCGCCTGGGTGGTGGAAGGCTGAGAGTGTTGGAAGGCGGAACGCATTCTACGATTTGGAAGCATCACGAGAAAGAGATATTCGAGCAAAGTGCGAAGAGATAGAACGACGGCTAAGATTTGTGTCGGACGTCGCGCGCTCTGGCTGATGGACTGGACGTCGCAGGGGCATCACTTAAGCTGTTCTTTTTAATTCTAAGTGACGTTTGGAGTACGCTATCAGCTTCAAGAGTTCTGCAAAATTTAGATTGTTTTCCGTTCTACCCTCGCAGGGGCGTATTGACTTGCTAAGATGTGTAGTTCGCTACACCTACCTGGCGCAACCCTCGCAGGCGCCAATGTGGCCTATAACGCTTTGTCCTCGCGAGTTCAAACACTGTGGACCTTAGATTTTCGCAGGCACCATCCCTGGTCGACCTGTATCTAGCGTAGTCTAAGATCCACAAAGGCCGACTCCTTAGCTCGATGCTACCCAGAATCTTGTTATCACGAAGCTTTGCTGGAAAATATACTCAAAACTTAGTCCCTGCAACCTTGTACGATACGCACCGTTGGCAGCCTGGCTATCGCCCGATTGTGATGTTCGCATAGCCTCTGAACAATCTTAAGGCGTCGGCGAACGTAACACAACACACAGACCACATGATCTCCGAGCCACAGCACATGAGAAGTGAATAATAGTTCTAAACAACAGCCCCACAAAAATGGGTGCCAAGCATCAACAGGTCAAATCATCCAAAGCCAACGAAAAAGGCCCATCACCAGTCACCGTACTTCGCATTCCATCCTTGAAAGGAATTCCGCCGAGCACCATGCTCATCAAACCACGGGGCAGGGTGGCTTGCAGCCAAAGCCCTGCAACAAGCTTTCCCCTGGCCTTCGCCTGAGTGAGCCAGTCAGCGGCCCCCAAATTGTGGGCAGTCCGCTTGGCGAAATCTTGACCCCAAGACAGCCTTGCTGTAATTCGTCGCTTGCCTGAGAATACGAGAGGGCTGAGTCGCATCACCGGTGGCAGCATAAAAATAGTCGGCTGTGTTAGGCACACGCGCCATTATAACACGAGATGGGGCTGCTGTAGAGAAATGTTTTTTTGGTGAATTTCGCCCTCTACTTCGACTTTGACAGTTTGAAAAATACCATAAGTGTTGAGCGGAAGCTCATCCGATATCGAATCGCCGGCATCGAAGCAAGCAGACTACGGCAAATATACAATCATGGCTCCAAGGCGAGGAGGCGGCAGCGGCAGTAGTTTTGGGGGAGGAAGCAGCGATCCAGTCTGTCCAGGCTTCCTCAACGACTCCTATGCGACGTATTTTTCGACAACCATCGTATACTTTGTCAGCTACTGCCTCTTCTTTGTCCTTACATTCGCTGTCCTGATATTCGCCTGTTGTGTCCGCAAAAGATCGGCGAGCCTGATTGGGCTACTCTTAGCAGTGCTCGGCTTTATGAGTGTGTATGTCGCGCGAAATTTTCTGCCTTATGCGAAGAGACGACTTGCTAATGAAGCACAGTGCTTGGGCGCTTGTTATTCTGGGCACCGTACTGCGCGAGTGCTGGGTTCTCCCTAACATACTCGATTATTACAACTTCGCGATCACATTCAATATCTTATTCAACATCGGGCAATGGCTCTTGCTGTTCATCCAAGTCTGGGGAGTTAACCGCCTGCTTAGCAAGCGCCTTGGGTCGGGCCAGGCTGTTGTGAAGATTGCCACGCTCGCTGTTACTGGCGTGATGGCCGCGCTCACAGCCGGATACATCGGCCTATACTCTTACAATCGCTGGACTGTTGTGAACAGCTGGCGTTACGACGAACCATCGGAACACATTGATAGGACCAAGTTGGATGACGAACGTAAGCTCGCCGCTGCGTATTGGATACTCTATCTCTTGAGCGTCGTTGCTGGGGGTGCTATTTCTGCAGCTCTGCTCATGCAGCTACGATCAAAGAGCATCCCTGTCAACGTGAGTGTTCAAAAAAGCCCCAATGCTCGGCCCGCACTAACTCAAACAGGACGTCATGAAACGCACGATTGCACTCATCCTCTGCATGCTCTTGTGGGTGATCTTCCAGCTCGTAACCATCGTCGAGGACCTGCAAGACAGATACCTCGATGTAGACACGAACACGGCTATGTACTACCTCGACGGTTTCTTCCAAATCTTCTCCTACGTTGCCATCGTTAGCTTGTGCAAGCTGAATTTCTGGAAAGACGGCGCCGCGCAGACAGCGTACAACACTACGGGATATGGGCAGCCAGCATTTGCTCCGATGCAACCGCCGCAACAGCAGTATGCGTACAACGGGCAGCCAAATCAGCCATATCAGTACCAGCAGCAGTCGGTTCACCACAATGTATCTGGTTTTGCGAACGGAAATGGACACATGGTGTCGGTCAAGTAAGGAACCTAAGGAATTGACTCAGTGGTTGGTTTGTGTCTTCGAAATGGCGTTTGGACTGGAAATACCACGATGTGCTTGGACTTGGATAGCAAAATTTTGCTTAGGAAATATCACAGGATCGTAATGAGGGTCTCCAGTCCAAAGAATATTTGCTCTACAGCTTCAATATCATAATCTAAGTTGAAAACTTCAAAGCTGTTGATTCTAATGCTCAAAGCTAGTTGGAAATGTGAATAGCACAATCTATTTACATAGAATACCTATCGCTTCTCGCTTCTCCCAACTACAGACACTCAAACCTATCTTCAAATAACTGCTATCCCCTCCATCCCTTCGGAGCCTCACCACCAATTTGAGAAGCCGACTCCGACGGCGAAATCGAAGCAGTAGTAATGCCATCGTCATCATCCTCATCAGTCTCGTGCCTGATACCCCTTCGGTTCCACGTTGCTTGCAACTCGCTCGCGAAATCGCCCTGTGGCGCTTCCTTTGGAGGCGGGCGCGAACGAAGCTTCTGACGACCCGGAGACAAACCTGAAAGGCCACTAGTAGATGACGGCGATGATTGAGGGGAAGGCTTGACGGCAGTTGGGAGTCTTACCAGAGTCTGCGGACTTCGAAGCGTAAAAGGAGCAGTTGGAGAGAGGGGGTGCTCGGCTGCTAGCTTCTGTGAGGCATGGACGGGTTGGCGACGCGTACCGATGAAGTGATGACCGTAACTCTGTTCCTTGGGCGGTTGAGAGAAATCTAATAATGGGACTGCTGGAGCCGGCGGCGGCGGCGGCGGTGGTGGTGGTGGAGGCGGAGGCGGAGGCGGAGGTGGTGACGGTGAAGAGCTCTCTCCGATTGTTGTGGTCGTGTAAGTAGTCTTGGTATGAGTGATCGAAGTGTGGGTCTCAGTGAAATCCTGGATTAGGTCAGCAATGTGTTCTGTCTGTGCAACGAAAAAGGATACTAGATGTCTCCATAGACGAGCCGGCACTCGTGTATGACCTTGCTTACCTTGTACTCGTGTTCAGCCCGCCATGCTGCATCGGGTTCTTCTTGGACCCGCCTTAAGTGAGCCTCGTGTGCCTCCGCGTTCCTACGTTGCTCTTCCTGGTCCGCAAGTCTAGCTTTCTCCAAGTCCATTCGTAGTAATTCTTCTTCGCGTGCTCTCTCGAAGACCGCTCGCTTCTCCTCTTGTTTCTGCTTACGAGCACGAGCCTCCTCTTTTTCATTCTCAATGCGCGTCCTCTCTACTCCCTGCTCCTTCTCGATGCGCGTACGATGTTCTTGATCTCTCAAGATTTGTGCGCGCTCTCGACTTTCGCATCGAGGACATGGTCCCGTGAAGTTTTCACTGCGGATGCTGCAGTCTCTCCGCTTTCTTACCACCGGGTTATCGATGTCGCAGTGTGTTCCTGTCTGCCCCCACAATGAACATCCTTTGACGTTATCGTCGGTCTTGTGGTCGCACTCGAAGAATTTGATAGTGTAGTGACACATCGCAGAATCTGTTGCCGTGGGGCTCGGTAGTGCACGTTGTTGCAAAGGCCGATAAACGTAGTAGGGTATAGGTTGGATGAAGAAGTTCGAATAGGGGACGTACATCCTCGAGAAGATGCGCAGTACTTATAGCTATGTAGCAACGAAATTGATTGCCACGGATGATGGGTTCTGTTGACAGTGCAGTGTTGGGTGCTGTGTCTTTTGAGCCCAGATTGCAACACTTGACAGGCTCTATGAAAAGATGGGTGGGGAGTTTGACGAGGACAGCATGTAATTATGTGACGGGGCAAACGGGGTTCTCCGTGATAATCTAATGTGAATTATGTAACATCACTGTGCTAGCTCATTTCCACTTGTATATGCATCCTCTGATTGTTAGACTTTTATTTTTCAACAATTATATGTTCCAGTGCTGAGGGGCCCGTTGGAGACGCATTTCCGCGCAAAATCCACTCCCATAGGACCCGAGGGACTCACTGCGCAATAGTGGATGTGGAGATATGGGACCATTTCTTGAGAACTAACATAAAACTCGCTCTAGCCTCATCAATAACAATCATCAAGAGCTTGCTTTTAGTCAACAGGTCTCACAGTGGAGATATAGAGGCTGAATAAAAATCAAATATCGCTGCGAAATCAGGTACATGTTTCCACCGTGGCGGCAATCCATGACAAGCCTAGAGCGTCGCCACCAATGTTGCTTAATTTAGCTGCTTTCATGTCGTGACAGCTACGATAACGGATTAACACCCTAGCCCTCGTTCTGTCTCACGGCACTTCCAATCGCTGCAATCACTCTTGACCCAGAATTTCTCGAAACCCGCAGTCTCACCTTGAACTTTCATCGCGCACCTCGGGTGTCAAGGACAATGGCAGCCTCACGTGCACACAGATACTTTACGAAGACCAAAGATGCTGGGGTTCTGGACACAGTGATTCATTGGCTCTATTTTCTGTATCCTTCAGTATCTCACAGCATGGTGCGCAAGGCTGGGACCGATGTGGGACGCGCCTGGTAGCTGCGAGGCTGAATCTGTGCTTATATTAATAGCAACGCGTACCCGCCAGCCTTGCCCCATCCTTAGCGCACCCACAGCTCTCCATCATCTCTTCCATTGACATGCCTCAACACGATGGTTAACAACTCTCGGACCCAGTCTTTCGATGATCAGGTGCACACCGGATTTTGGATCAACCACGTGAAAGGCCCAACATATGGCGCCACACTGACACTCAACCAGCAGGCTGGAAACTTCTTGATTGCGTTCTTGGCTCTGTATGTGGGCGTCACTGGGCAGAGCTTCTGGACTATTGCGCGTTTTCTTCTGCACAAGCACCTGTCTTCCAAGTCCCGATCGGACGGCGTGTATCATCAACAGCAGGCGATATTACGCAACTCGAAAACCGCGCCAGGCGCCGTGCAAGACACACTAACGCTTCTGATTGCCTGGAGAAAAAGAAGTCGAGGTTTAATTCGTCGCTTATTACCTGTATGGATAGTTGCATCTGTTATTTCGGCGGGTTTTGCAGTTGCTGGTGGGTTTTATAAACCCTAGTGGTACAATGGGCATAGCTAACACGTATCGCCAGGTGTTTTTTCTTCGCAGATCACCGCGAATCAGTCTAATGAAGTCTTGCTTCTTGGACCCGAATGTGGAAAGTCTCTGGACAACCAAGATAGCTCCAACGCAGTATCCTCCGGACTAGTCAGGTATCGGAACGAAATGTTCTTGGAATATCTAAACTACGCTTTTGCATGCTACCAAGACCGGCAAAGAACACAATCAGCATGCCAGATATACACGAAACCAAAGCTCCATTACAAGGTCGATCGCAATGCAACATGTCCATTCCAAGACACTATATGTCAAAAATCATCGAACAATCTTTATATAGATTCTGGATACCTGGATAGTTGGGGAGACCTTGGAATCAATGCAGAGCCACGATTTCAGGTTCGCCTCACTCAACATTGCGCCCCTTTGGTAACCGATGGATATAAGTCCAAATACATTAGCCCATCAGATCCATTGAAGACATTCATGCGGTATAGTTACCTTCACAACGACACGATCACCAACTCTACTTCCGACATCATGGACTGGCGCATCTTTTTAGTGCCCCTGAAAGATGAATTTGATGAAGTCGCGCGCTACTGGTCGGACTCCGTTGCTCAAGATTACAGAACGCGGTCAGTTGGCGCCTAAAGCCTATGTAGACGTAGATTTGGTTTGTTGACGGTATACAGCTCGATACAAGCCAACGATATATATGGAGACTCGACGTTTGTTGCGGATCTGAACCGAACAGACGCTTTCGTTGCGTTGATGTTTCTCGACTCAACTGATGTCCTCTCCCGCGAGAAGGTCGAAGACCCTTGGTTTGCCCATACTGTCAACGCATCGCAACGCCAATATGAGTTCTTTGGATCAGATTCTCTCTACTTGTCAGATGAGCCAGCAACGGTCATTGGGTGCGCTGCCCAAGTTTTCTATTGCAATCCCAAGATTACAGATCCCCAAAGGCGCTGCATAAATTATTTTGTGACAGAAGCATCTGATATAGGCTTTTCGGCATTGTGGCCGGAGGAGAGCGATCTCAAAGCATTCAATGGTTATATTGCGACCAATAACGTCATGATCGCAACCCCCGACTCTTTCTACAACACACCAGGTTTACCTAATCTTCTGGCAAGACTCACAATGGACAATAGTATACAATGGGATCATTTTGCGCCGGATCGATGGAAAGAAGAAATGGAGTTTCTTGCTCAAGCCTCACTTGCGTCGTTCCAGTCTAATGTGCCTCAAGCAACACAAAATGGAGTCTGGTACATGAATCGGACGCTTTGCGATAGCGATACGGAAACCGGACTGTGCGAAAAGCTGTGTCGGAATCAGGCGAGTGGCCCCTTGCTCTACACGAGAGCGATTGCGCACTTGTATCAGACCGCCCGGTCGACTAACAGTTTCCCAGAAAGTCCGAAGCTCAGAGTATTACTCGTTTAACGTCCTCGGCATGTCCATCATCATCTTCGTGGGCGTATTCCTTATGGTTGTCGGGGCTTTCATCGAAAACATAGCTACTACCATCGGCAACACTTTCAGTCGCGATAAGCAACATAACCCCCCGTACAGCCGGCTAGAATGGGAGAGTAACTCTTTCCTGGACTTACAGCGGCTTGCGCACCAAGCCCTCGGAGTGGGAAACTGGACCCGGAGCAGGACTGGCATTCCGATCACAGCACCTGGAGAACAGCTGGGCGTTTTAGATTCTGCCGGACAGTCGAAGCTTCCTATTCTGAAACGGCCGAGAATAAAAGAGGAGCTTCAAGATCTGGTTAGCCGATCAGGTCATCAACGGTCCTCTTCGGCAGGCCATGTTATGGGACCAGAATACGTGGACTCATTTCATAGTCCCTTTGACTACGCGAAGCACAGAAGATCGGACAATGGCGCCCCAAACGAGGACTCTGCTTTCAGGAGCAGCGTGCCATCCCGCTACCTTCGAAGACCTGGTTATGCGAGAGTCTACACCGACGAGGCGGATACCATCTACACGGGTAGCGTTTCGAACACAAGATGAGGAATGGGACAAACTCTAATGATGTCAATTTGCAGTGATTTTCGGAACTGAGTCATACGCCCCGGAGCGCAGTACCTAATGTCAGACATTAGTTATCGATATGCTCAATCCTAGTTCGATCAAGCCTCGCTGTTATCGCTAATATTCTACCATCATGCAGGGACAGGGTAGTCGCGCGCTCCCTCCGTGCTAAAAAGTACAACAACTGAGTCCTTCCCTAACCCCAACTTCTTCTCACTCACCAACTTCCGAAGCGCACTCACGGGCGCTGCCCCACAGGGCCCGTTCTTCACACCCTGAGTGTGCAGATACTGCAAATCGAGATGCGCTTCTGTATCCGTCACATCTACGCACGCATCCACGCCGTGGCGTAGCACCTCCCACGCGGTGTACGACACCGTACCGCAATTCATGCCGTTCATGATACTGTTCCCTGTTGTGATTGGTGTGATCTTTCCTGCCTCGAGGCTGGTTCTTAGACAAGCAGCTGTGTCTGGCTCGACTGCTACTACAACTGCGGATGGAGTGGTTGACTTGTAATGCATTGCTACCGCCTGCGCCCAAGACCCGACGCCCACGGACGCTATGGCGTGCGTGACTGGCCCAACACCATGTTGCCGCAGCTGCTGATCCGTCTCGGTGAGCATGGTAGAGTACCCTTCTACAACCCACTTACTCCCTTAGCATGCACCCTCACATCTGCTCGGCAATATCTCACATACCTGCGGAATCTCCTCATACCCCTCCCACCCCGTATCCATCATGAGAACACTTCCTTTCCCCTCAGCCTCCCTTCTCGCCGTGCGAACAGCCTCATCATAGTCCCCGTCCACAACATCTACCGTCGTGCCTTCACTCCTAATCTTCTCCTGCGTACTTTCATCCATAGTGCCCGGCACAAACACCGTCACATCAATACGCATAAGCTTTCCCATCCTTGCCACGGCCCTCCCCCAGTTCCCCGCCGTGCACGTTACTATCCTCACTCCTGATTTCCTCGCCGCAGCTCCGACCTCTTCCACGCCCACGCCTTCTTCCAGACGGACGTCGCACGCTGCGGCTACGGCTTTGAAGGTCGCCCATGAGGCGCCAAGGATCTTGAAGGCGGGGAGACCGAAGCGGTTGCTTTCGTCTTTGACGAAAATGTAGGCGAGGCCGAGAGATTGGGCGAGGGATGAGAGGGGGTGCAGGGGCGTGGCGGCATAGTCTGGGAGGAGACGGTGGAAGGGGAGGACGTGAGGGGAGGGAGGTGAGCCGGTGTAGGTGTAGGAGGCGGCGGAGGGGTTGAGGAACATGGTTAATTGCATGAAAAGGGTAGTTAGGCGTAGAGTGTTGGACGTGAAGGTCTTCCTTTCTTTCAGGTCGTTGGCGATATAATGTGTACCCGGTTTTGTGCATTGAACGTGGAGCTGGATATGACGTGCGAGAGGATTCTGCGTCGTTTCTAGCCTACATAAAATGGTTGTGAATTCACGAGCTTCATCATATTGAGCATCCAGCTGCGTACACGCTCTCCGTCGGAATTGGGCGGCGTAGTGGTAGCACCTTCCACCAGCGTTGGATGGCCACATAGGCCCGAGCTCCTACGCTACCGGTAATGGCGTCATATTCGAGGCGATGCATAGCGACACCTGCAGCCTAGACAACTCTGTACACTCTTCACCATGCCGCAGCCACAGGCAGGATTGACCGAGAACGTGAAGCGGGTGATTGTACAGCCGACCTGGGAAAATGTGGTCGCCAGTTCGTACCAAATCAAGGCATGTTTCCCTACGGCGCGATCACTAGAAAGCCCTCTAACAGGCAGCAGGGAATCATATACTTCCTCGGCCACCCATTCCTATACCCCCTCGCGCGCCGGCGCCTCCTTCCAGCAGTCCTACTGAGCGTATTCGTCCTCGCAAACCTCTTCGTCTGGGCATACCTGCCACAAGTCGCGTTCCTTGCCCTCTTCCAGAAGAAAGGAAGCGCGTGGGTAAATGGAACGTTCTTGGTCCTGGGAGAATCAGCAGCCGTCACGGCGTTGCTGTTTGAGGCATGGCTCGTGGATGAGGTCCAGGTGGACATCTTTGACGCAGTACTCGTCCACAAAGGTTATGACGACCTGGTCCGTCAGTTCCGTCCAGTTTCAGACGACTCTTTGAACAATCCTGTGCAACGACTCGGCAAGCCGACCAAGTCTTCCGTATACGCGCCATTCTCGTTCCGGCAGATTGCAGAGTTTGTGATTCTGCTGCCGCTCAACTTCGTGCCGTACATTGGCGTGCCGATATTCCTGTTACTTACCGGATACCGCGCCGGACCCCTGCAACATTGGAGATACTTCAAGTTGCTCGACTTCAACAAGAAACAGCGAAACGCCTTTGCAAGACGTCGAGTGTGGCAGTACACCTGGTGAGTTCGCTCGGAATCCGCTTCCGGGCCGATGCTAACCTCCCACCAGGTATGGCACCGTCTACCTTTTCTTACAGCTCGTGCCACCGCTTAGCATGTTCTTCCTGTTGACTGCACCTGTCAGCTCTGCGCTCTGGGCTGCTGATTTGGAAGCCCGGCGGCGACAACAAGAAACAGATGTAGTGCAAGCTCCTGCATACACAGATCAGCCACCGGATGACCAAGCATAGACAAGTGTATATCAGTAGGGTCGCTTTGTAGGCACCAAATGACGATTAATAGCCACGTGTGACTCTTTCGCCTCCGGGCTATATTCGTGCACTGTGCGAGACCTCGGGCTGCTGAGTGATGTTTGTTGCGGCGAATTAGCGCCACCGTTCCTAGCCGCAAAGCTCCATGTCAGTGCTCCTAGCCGGGAATTGGGCGAGAAAAGTAGCGCTTGCACCTCAAAGCTCAACAACCCCATCACCAATCCACTCGCGCCCATTGCAACCGCCCCATCCTCCAGCCGTACTGCTCGCGGCTTTTCCTAACCTTGGGCTTCAGATCTTCCCCCGCCATCATGTTCCGTGCAGTCGCTTCTCGCGCCGTGCCAAGGGCAGCGCGCCCCGTCACCCAGAGCACCTTCTGCGCCCCGAACATTTACTTCCAGGGCCGGTTAAGGAGAGGATACGCCTCGGAAGCTGGTGAGTGGCCATGTCTTTGCGCAATACCGATGGCCGGGTGCTAACTGGAGATAGAGGAGAAGGACCTCGTTATCATCGGCGGCGGCGTTGCGGGATATGTCGCGGCGATCAAGGCCGGCCAGTCCGGTTTGAAGGTGCGCGAACACGATTGCTTGACTATGCGACAGGGACTGACAACTTCCAGGTTGCATGTATCGAGAAGCGCGGCGCCCTCGGCGGCACCTGCTTGAACGTCGGCTGCATTCCCTCAAAATCGCTCCTTAACAACTCGCACCTCTACCACCAGATCCTGCACGACACCAAGAACCGCGGTATCGAGGTCGGTGATGTCAAGCTCAATCTCGCAGCGATGATGAAGGCGAAGGACACATCTGTCTCAGGTCTGACCAAGGGTATCGAATTCCTGTTCAAGAAGAACAATGTCGAGTACATCAAGGGCACCGGCGCTTTCAAGGACGAGCACACAGTTGCGGTCAACCTCATCGAGGGTGGTGGCGAAACCACCGTGCGCGGCAAGAACATCCTCATTGCAACTGGTTCCGAAGCCACGCCCTTCCCGGGCCTGACTATCGACGAGAAGAAGGTCATTACGAGCACTGGTGCTATCGCTCTACAGGAGGTTCCCAAGAAGATGACCGTCATCGGTGGAGGTATCATCGGTCTTGAAATGGCCTCTGTCTGGTCCCGTCTTGGTTCTGAGGTCACCGTTGTTGAGTACCTCGGCCAGATTGGTGGGCCCGGTATGGACAAGGACGTCGCCAAGCAGGCCCAAAAGCTCCTCCAAAAGCAGGGCATGAAGTTCAAGCTCAACACCAAGGTCGTCTCTGGTGATGCTGACGGCGAGGGTGTCAAGGTCACCGTTGAGGCTGCCAAGGGTGGCAAGGAGGAGACTCTCGATGCCGATGTCTGCCTTGTGGCCATCGGTCGCCGCCCCTACACCAACGGCCTCGGTCTTGAGAACATTGGTCTTGAGGTTGACGAGCGTGGCCGCCTTATCATTGACCAGGAGTACCGCACCAAGATCCCGCACATCCGTGCCATTGGCGACGTTACCTTCGGACCTATGTTGGCTCACAAGGCTGAGGAGGAGTCCGTTGCCGTCATTGAGTACATCACCAAGGGATACGGCCACGTCAACTACGGTGCCATCCCCTCCGTCATGTACACCCACCCCGAAGTTGCTTGGGTCGGCCAGAACGAGCAGGAGCTCACGGCTGCTAATGTCAAGTACAATGTCGGACAATTCCCTTTCTCTGCCAACTCAAGAGCGAAGACCAACCTCGACACTGAAGGTTTCGTCAAGATGATCTCTGACGCCGAGACTGACCGGATATTGGGCATCCACATCATCGGCCCCAACGCCGGTGAGATGATTGCCGAGGGTGTGCTTGCGCTCGAGTACGGTGCCAGCTCCGAGGGTAAGTCAACAAATAACAAACTGTACTCTGAAATCAATTCTTACCATCTTCGCAGACGTTGCACGGACATCACACGCCCACCCGACTCTTTCGGAAGCGTTCAAGGAGGCCGCTATGGCGACGTACGACAAGGCTGTTCACTACTAGATTTCTTATTTCGTTTTGGGTTCCGGTTAGCATCATCGCAGGAAGTCGAGCTCCAGCGGGAGTTTGTGAATAGTACCTGTAATATATGCCGCATGCCAGTGCACGTCTGAACACAGGTTGATTCATGTATCCAATTAGCTCGAGTCCAAGTGACTGATTTCGTGAGGCTGAAGACCCCTGCTCAAGGTGGCTCGTGCTCGCGTGACGTGCCGCCCGCGCGCGTTTTGGCGCGTCTCTCGGCGATCTTCAAATCTATCAAGTGATCCTCCACACTTCCCGTCTGGTGCCATTCCACTCACGACCACTTACCGCCATGAGTATCACCGAACAAGAACAACGCTGTAATGCGCTTCGACTCGATCTGAAGCTCTGGGAGCGCAGATTCAGCGACACGAATGGAGGGCGCAAACCGGGACGCGACGATATCAAGGCTGACGCGGTAATATGTACGCAAACGCGATGGCCTAACTCTTCCACTACTGACGGCTTGCAGCACAGAAGTACATAGATTACGAGAACCTCAGAAAGGCGCTTGCCGTCAAGGTCGCCCCTACAACACCGAGGAAAGCCGATAAACGGCGTGTTACCCACAACATCGACCGAACAACGAAAGTGACCAAGACAACCGTCACGGCAACCACTCCAAAGAGGAAGCGTGAGGACAGCGGTGTTGCTGAGGAGGACGTGACTTCGCCGACTGAACTGCTTTCGCCTGAAGGGCCTGCATTCATTGGTCCCACGCCGCAACGCGATGGTTACGCCATAGGACTCTTCGATCTTTTGCCCGCCGAGACACCAAGCAGAAGCAAGCGGACCGCACTAATTGACGTGGAGCTGAACGTTGTGCAGACTCCAAGCAGAAAGGACGGCGAGACATCACTTGAATCGAGGCACCGTGGAGAAAAGACACCGCAATCCACAGGCAAGAGGTTCTTGCTCGACTCGTTCCTAGCAGTCACGCCGAACAAGAGGAAGCTTGGAGATGCGACAACGCCCAGCTCGAGGGGTCTCGCTACACCGGCGTTCCTTCGAAGATACAACCCTCTCACGAAGATCAACGAAGATGATGAGCCTGCTGCCCGACCTGCTCCCTGGGCGCGGAGACCTTTCGGCCGAAGCCTGAGTGCAAGGATCCAGGCGATGAGGCAAGAGGAGGAGAACCGGTTCGAAGAGGAAGCTGATATCATGCGCGAGCTTGAGATGGAGGCCGAAGGCATGCCGGCACCGAAGAGGGTCAAGATGCCAGAGATCCAAGTGGAGGACAGCCAAGCTGCAATGCCTTTGGGTCCCGATCGCGGTCTAGAGAGTGAGGGTGAAGAGGAAGAAGATACTGGGCTGGGCCCAGACGGGCAACCCAGGAAAGTCTGGAAGAAGAGGGGTCTCAAGAGGCAGACGAGGCGCGTCATCAGTAAGTCTGCCTTGTGTGTTTGCTTTTCTATTGCTGACCATACCCAGTGCGACCCAATTTCATCAAATCAAAACCTCAACCTGAGATGCAGCCTGACGAATCCGACGACGAGGCAAAGGTCGCGGAAACTCAGATCGACCCTCTCAATACTTCCAACGGACCTAACTTGTCTGTCTTTGATGAGGACGATGGGTCAGACTACGCAAGCGACGCGTCCCATAGCATCAAAAAGAATAAGACGCAGCAACGCAAACCCAAGGCCGCGTCAACGACGCAGGCCACGGACGATAAGAACGACAAAAAGGGCAAAGAAGGAACGATCAAGGCAGCTGCACGTAAGATCAAGCCGTGGGCACACGCGAATTACCAGAGGCTCAAGATCAGAGGCAATGGGGGAAATGGCGGTAAGGGCCGCTTTGGACGGAAGCGATAGACGAATGATGACTTGATATGCGTCGCACGCTCGGCCCGCGAAGAGGGTCGGGTGCGCCTTGGTGCAGCCGGTCGTCAGCCTCGTCTCTGAGATGGTGGCTTACAGACGTGTACTGCACGCGCGTGGGTGGATGGAATGCGCCAAATGTTGCTGCCTTTGAGACACAAACGTGATGGCGAGGTCATTTGGCTGTATGTAAGCCAATGAGCAACCAGGGCTGGGCTCGTGTCGTGCGCGGCATGTACAGCGGTGTATCCGTGTAGATATATAGCATGAGAACCGGAGCAAGTCCATGTTCACCACGGCTTCACCATGTATATTCGACATCGCACGTTTGAGGGAAGTGATATGTCATGGCCTAGCCCCAGGTCGTGGAGCCCCGAAGCTCGGGCCTCTCAACCTCCGCCGCCTCAAGCTGCAGCACCGCGCAACCGGACCAACACATCTAATCCCCCGCCACCAGTCCTGCAACCCGCCCCGACTCCCAATCACCCCAAACCGCCCTCGCCACATCCACACACCATGGCCGAGAGAGAGCTTGCAGATCTGCTCAAGCAGCTCCACAAGACGCTGCAGTCGAAGCAGTACCAGCAAGCCGGCTCGATACTCTCACGCGCAAAGATCGCCCTGCTCGGTCTCAACACCCTCATCCCGGCCGAGTCAACACCATTCAAGCACCTACTGCTTGCCCGCGAAACCCTCGAGCTCGGTGCCATCATCTCGATCCGTTTAAAAGACCCGCATTCCTTCACCCGCTACTTCCAGCAACTGCAGCCCTTCTACTCCCTTCCCGAGGATAAGCTCCCGGCCAAAGGCAGCAACGCAAGCAAGATCACCGGCCTGTATCTGCTGCTGTTGCTGAGCGACGGTGACTACGCGGGGTTCCACACGCTGCTGGAGACGCTCGAGGTGGCGGCTGCGCAGGCAGGGCGGGGACTTGAGGACGATGCATTCATTCAGTATCCGATAAGATTGGAGCAGGCGCTCATGGAGGGCAGCTACGACCAGGTGTGGAGGCAGACGAAGGGCTCGAATGCGCCCAGCGAGGAGTTTGCGTTGTTCTCTGATGTATGTGCGCCAGTTCTACTCTCGGCATTGCTTGCGGCATGTTTGGGTTGCTATGGAATGATTGCTAACATAAACTAGGTGCTCATCGGCACCATTCGTAGTGAGATTGCGTCGTGCAGCGAGAAAGCGTACCCCTCGATCCCCATCTCCGACGCCAAGTCGCTCCTCTTCCTCGAGTCTGAAGGCAGCGTCGTCAACTTTGCGAAGGAGCGCAAGTGGGTTGTCAAGGACGGCAGGATATACTTCCCGAGCGAGGACGGCGAGTTCGGCAGCAAGGACATACTCGTGACGAGCGACCAGGTCATCGAGAACACGCTGGGCTACGCGCGGGAGCTGGAGACGATTGTTTGAGTGGGGAATGGCGGGATGTGTGCAGTGGAGACAACAGTGCAGCGTGAGAGTACTGTACGATACTTTACGATTGGCATGGGGGGGCGGTATGGCGCGACACACAGTTACTACTGGTGCGGCGGGCTAGGATAGACCGGCTTAAGGGATGCTCTTCAGCCGGAACGTAATGAAAACATTCCTGGCATCATTCACGTCTACTCATGTTGCGATCGTGTAGGCCTGCTCTAGCGCTCGCATCTGCTGCAACGGGTAATGCATGAAGCAAGAGCAGCTTTGACCGCCAACATCCTGAGTGATTATTCAACATGTATCCACACCGTCCGAACTCCTTGATTCCTCCCATGACATTGCATCTCTGTCTATAACTTTTCATCATTGAACTTTCGACACGCGCTCAAGCTCACATTTCCCATACTCATCGGTGCTTGGCGCGTCTTTTCGCCGACGCCGCTCCGCATCGACCTCCGCAACAAAAGTTCCCAGCATCGCATCACGACCGCAACGCAAAAACAACCAAATTAAATTACCACAACCATGGCGAAGAAGGCGCTCGCCAAGGACCAGATTGTTAAGCTGATTGTCGGCGCCGGCCAGGCGAGTCCCAGTCCGCCTGTGGGTCCCGCGCTGGGTTCCAAGGGTGTGAAGAGTATGGATTTCTGCAAGGTACGTTTTGCACGTAGGAGCTTTGCGCGTTGAAGAGGGTTTGAAGAGGAGTTGAAGTGCATCTTATGCGCAATTGCTCCATGATCGAACGCTGGAGGACGTTCTGCGCGCATGCGCATCGCCCAGAATCCTCGGCCATCCGTACTGACCTAGAATCAACAGGAGTTCAACGCCCGCACCGCGCACTACATAACCGGCACCCCCATCCCCGCCCGTATAACCGTCCGCCCCGACCGCAGCTTCCACTTCTCCCTCCGCACACCCCCCACCGCAACGCTCCTCCTCACCGCCGCCGGTGCGCCCCTCATTAAGTCCAAGATCCGCGGCGCAGGTAACGTCCCCGGTCCCATGAACAACCACGACGGCAACAAGGGCAAGACAAGTTCGAATACTCCGACGAACGGGAATGCGACGAAGGGGACGGTCGGGACGGTTAGTTTGAAGCATGTTTATGAGATTGCGAAGATTAAGCAGAGTGAGGGGAGGTTGAGTGGGTTGAGTTTGGAGGGATTGGCGAGGAGTGTGGTGGGGCAGGCGGGGAGTTTGGGGGTGGTTGTTGTGCCGTAGAGGAGACAGAAGGATCGTGGGCTGAAGTCAAGCGATGGATGGGCGGATGAAGAGCAGGAGAAAGAAGCGCAGGTGATGTTGTAGGATACACACGCATTTGCATGGGCTGGAGTTCCCTGGGAGCCGACACGAAGGGCCGCGAAATACCCGCGCTGTATATCTACTGTAGCGAAAGCCGTGTAAATTATATTCAAATTCTGGCAATACTACTACCTCGAGGAGTCTGCGAACGACGGGCCAGAAAATGCAGGGGAGAATGTGAAGGTGGTCTCGACTTCGGCCCAGACGTCCGCCGGGAGCCAAGGAAGGACTGTCAACATTGAAGTTCAACGCCGGCGAAAACAGTGGTGAAAGATGGTAAATCCCGGTTTGCAAGAAACGATATTGATACTCACAAACATTGGGCTACGGAACGTAGGATAGAGTTGCTGCAGTCAATGCAACGCGGTGTAGTCCCTTACAACGAGCGAATATCTTCAAACATAGGGCTCATGTGTATATAACATGCCTACAGCCACCCTTCTACCGTGGTACACCACATGCACGCAATTCATCAACCCAGCCAGCTTATACACTTTCCCAAGAAGGAAAACACAGCACGGCATTACCCACTCGATCCACCAACATAGCCAACCAGCCTCCACAGCACCACAATCACCATTTCCCACCGACCGCACCCCGCTCGAGCCACCTCCATCCGTATCCGCTAGCACCCTCCACGTCCCCACGTTCGTCGCATTTACACAAGACACAAAATCCACGCGCAAGAAGGACTAACCTTACAAATGCATAATCATCGTTTGAAGAAAACGCTAGATGGTGGCCTCCATTCATGTTAGCGATATTTTCTACGATATCTGGAATGCGATCTCAACGGCTCCTAGCAGTTCCCAAGCAGGGAATATGTAGGAAGAGCGTGGCATACACACGGAATAGATGAATACGCTAGAAAATGTTCATGATCTCTGCGTATGCGAGGCTTACGGTGGCATAAATGCGTTGCCACCGTACACTTCCTTAGAACCAAAACATTGAACCCCTCGATTTGCCTTGCCGGTCCTGGTGACAAGTGACCACGATCTACTGCAAATGACATGGTACTGATAAGGAGTCAATAGCATCTTTTGCCACTGGTGAGCTAATTCGGCAGCGAAGTGTATCGCCCACCACCCATTACATGGAGGGATCTGATACTCCTTGTCCATGGCGATATCCGGAGAGGTCTCCATAGGTACTCGAGCCATTCTGTCGTCACCACGTTGTACAGCGCCTCGGATGGCGAAGCCTGTAGACTTGAGGTTACTTAGGTTGGTGAGGAAATCTGGTTGGCCTCCAGAAGAGCTTGAACCATCTCGTGGTCGTTACGTTGCAAGGGAGACTATGTCTATGTGTGAGCCTTGACCATACTTGACTCCGCCTATAAAATTCGAACCATTTCGTGGCCGCCTTGTCGTACAACATTTGGAAAGGCGATGCTTGCAGACCTGATACTATTTGGGCTGGCCTCCAGAACAGTCTGTACCATTTCGTGGTGGGTGTGGTGTACACATTGTTACATCTACGTGCGCATCCTCGAGCATCCTTGAGGTCGCCTTGATGAATATTCGGGCCATATCGAGGTCATTTTTACTCACGGCAATTCTAATGCCTTCGCATGCATGATTGACGAAGTTTGGATCGGTCTCCGCAAAGACCACCTTTCCATGGGTCAGAGACAATTTCCATCAATTCGTGACTCGTATGTTGCTGGTACATCGCTGCTCACGTGCGGAAAGGGGCAGGGGCGAAGGCGGGTTGATGCATAGCCGCCAATGAGGTCATGTTTGGCCATCTGCTCAAGTTTGAGATTCCAGCTGGCTGCTGCCCTTTCCAGGCAATCATTCTGTGCTGCAGATACGCCGGGAGATTTTGACCAAGACTTGATAGGACTTGTTGGCGTATAGAAGCTCCTGTGAACAGCGGCTGCCCCTACAGTACCGCATACTATGATTTCAAGATCCAATACGCGTAAGTCGTTGACACGTAATGTGCCTACGCCTCCCATGCAACGAGATTGATCGTCCAATGCCTCAACGCCCGTGGATGTGTTCGTTCTGCGAACAACAAGGAAGCGACGAAAGCATAGCAAAAGCAGACCACACTACACCACAGCATACTCCGAAATGCGCTCCAAGGCCCCGTGCGCACACCTGCTCCTCTACCACCTTGTGCCACCTTACGCCCACACCCACCTACGTGCTCAGCCTAATCTCCCCACCGCTCCTCTTCAACCCCAGCTTACTCAACTTGATCCGCGGCACAACGCCCAGCAGCACCAACACGCTGGCCACAATGACGGCCCAATGCTGGATATGCGCCACACCCAGACTGTACGTCGTCCAGCTGCTCGCGCACACGGTCGCGAGTCCTAGCGTCGCAATCACATAGCCCGACACGCGGTGGTACTTGTATATGGCCTTTGCCTGGTCGACGCCGCCGTACAGCGAGGGCGTGTAGTACTGCGTGAAGCCGACGAGGGCTTGCAGGAAGATGGCGATGTAGAAGGTCAGGCCGAGGATGGCGTGCGGGCTCGCAAAATGCTCGTGGCCGGGGCCGGCTTTGTTGATCTCAATCACCACCAACCCGGCAAGCAGGGCGGCAAGGCCGAAGAGGTGGAACAGGGCGTGGATGAGCGTGCCGGTGCGCTTCTGGCCCGGGCTATGTGTGGGCTGGAGTATGAGGGCGGCTTGCGTGGCGAGCAGGAGGCCGGCCGAGTTGAGCAGCGGATGCGCAGAGAAGAAGATGAGGTCGTGGGACAAGATGGCGCCCCAGATTATGGCGGCGAGGATGAAGATGCCGGCTTGGGCGAGGGGCGCGGTGCCTGCAGCGGGTACGGTCAGCGGGTGCCATGCCATTCCTGCGGAGCTGTGGCTTACCCAGCCAGAGGTTCTTCCATATTGTTTCTCCTTCTACCTGCGCGGCGTCTCCTCTGCGGCCCAGCAGGGGCTCGTCTTCCCCTGCGCCGCGCGCTGCGTTGAGGTCTGGGATGCCTGTGGCTGAAGCCATATCGTCAACCGTCCCTGCTCTGGTCCTATTGCGTTTCCCTTTCTAGCGTATACACAAGACCGCAGAGGTATGCACACTCCGTCTCAGGTGAAGGACCGTGAACGAGGAGCAGAAGCAGCAAGCGGGCTTGGTGAGAAGCACGCGGAGTTAAGCGGGGGGAGGCTGTTGCGAGTCGCATCGATGACGGAATGCCCCCCTGTCAAGGCGCGGAATACGCGAGCAGCGCGCGCCAATTGCAGCACGCCGCCTCGTCAGCAGCTGCATCGCGAGGTCAGATGAGCGCGTTCGATCGCGAGGAATAGGAAGGTTGGAGACTTGCACGAGATCCCCACTTCAAGGTAGGTCGCCTTCGACGGCAGGGCACCCGTGCTCCGGTCTCGTAGCACCGGCAAGCTCCCTCGGCGAGATTGAGGAGGAAGCAGGCCGGATTCTGCTACGAGCCATGGGCTCTGTCGGGTGCGCGGACTCAGAGGCATGATGAGACGCGTCGACAAAAGAAGGCTGCTCCGAAGTGGTCGTCGGTGAGGCGAAGGCGAGGTTCTCATTAGCTCAGGAATGGTAATAGGTGGAAATCACATCATCAGCACCCCGTCTTATACTAGTCGTGCTAGGACAGCTTAATGTTTTGGCGAGGTCGCCGCAGATTCCAGACAGCTACACACACTGTGCTGTGACCCCCTCGTAGTGTGCCCAACGCCTACATGTAACCATCGCCTATATGTATCGATCGAATCCGCAGCAAAGGACCACCGAGCCGCATCTATGCCCGCCTGTGTTTGAATTGGCCCCACAGACATTCCAACTTATCCACCTAGCACCGCCCTCTCGATCGCGTCGGCCGTCTCTCGAGGCAAACTGAGGAACGGGCTATGACTCGCATCCAGCTCCTGCGTCCTGATCGGAAACCCTTGTGCCGTGCGTTCGACCATGGTCTTTTGAATCTCCAGGGGTATAGCAGCATCACGCGAGCAGTATACGTAGGTAGTGGGGACGTGCTTCCACGCCGCATACGTCAACGCGCTGTGAAAGACGCGATAGCTGTGCGGCGCGAGGTTGGCAACGGCGTTTGCTTGTGCTTCCTCGGACATGTCGTTGTAGAAAATCGCCTCGGGATGCTTGGGACGGACTTCGGTGCCATCTTCAGAGACATCGAACCACGGGAGGTCGTTGCCGCCGAACGCTGAGATCAACGACGAGCCCTCGGGAATAATGAACGAAGCCAGGTACACGAGCTGGGAGACTTCTCCGCGCGTAAAGTATTTACCCGCCTCGGTGGTGGGAAGACCGCCGTACGAGTGCGCAACGATTGTGACCTTCTGACCGGCAGCCCGGGCTTTCTCGACGCGTTCGCGGATGACGGCGACATCGCGGTCAAAGTTTTCAAGATGCTTGGAAGGTCCGACTGAAGGTAGCTCGATCAATTCGGTGTTGTAGCCGGATTGCTTGAGCAGAGCGGCTACATCAGAGAAGCACTTGGCCCTGTGCCAGGCACCGGGAACGAACAGGATGGTGTTCATCGCCGCCATAACGAATTCGAGTGCTCGGTGCGACAGCGGTGGCGGCGAAAGCAGTGAAATCGAAGTCGGTGGCAGCAAAGTCGTTGATATACGTCTAATCGGATTAGCGGATAAGTACACCAGACCTTAGAGCTACAGACGGATGCGGGGTCTTCGGAAGGGTACCGCCAACTTCGACCAACGTGATACATGTGTTGCCGACAACAAGGTCCATCCGAAAGAGTAACTCGAAAGACCTCCCATGGTGCACTCACATTTGTAGGTATCGTATTTGATAGATTCTTTTACATACATATCCAGACAAAAGATCACTATCGGCGGGACGCAGTGTCTCGCGCCGAGGTATATCGCCAGTCAAAGCCAGCCCCGAAACGCCCGCAATGCTACCTGTATGATGCCAAAGCCGTTGATCCAAACTTCGCTCGCTACTCCAAGTCTTCTGGTCTCTTCACCGGCGACGTTCTCAACGGGCTATCGGTCGTTGTGCGTTCTGCGTTAGCGCCTGGCCCAAGACTCAGACTGAGGCTGTTGCGGACCAGGCTCCCGCTCGTGGAGTGTCGAGGTCGCACCAGATCTGGATCTTGCGTGTTGACTGGCGCGTAGAGATCCTGCGCTGCGAGATGCGCGTTGATCCGCGCCTCGCTCCGCATCTTCTGGATCTTGAAGTAGTTGTACGCCGCGATGCTGCAGATCGTGATGACGAGGCCAGTGAGGTTGATCGGGGTCAGCGGGTCGTGGAACACAATGTTCGCCGTGGTGATGGTTACCACCTCTTTGAATATGCCGCAGATGCTCAGCGTGACAACACTGGTCCGCTTCAGCAGCGCAAACTCGCTCGCCGTCATCAGGAACGCCAGACACCCCGGGAACAGCAGGATGCCGATGCCCAGGAGCGCACCCTTCATCTCAAACAGTCTAGACAGCCCCTCGAAGAGGGCTGGAAATCCTTCCACGGGTATCGCTAAAACGAGGATGCTAATGAACATGACAGGTGCTAGGAAAAATATCGAAGAGAATGGATTCGCGGTCGCGGGGTTGCGTAGGAGCAGAATCTGTGTGAGCGACCAGCGGAAGCCCGATGAGCAGGCGGACGACATGACGAGGATGAAGCCGAGGACGTGGAAGGCCGTCTCGCCGGCGACCATCATGATCACGCCGAGGGTCATGATGGCGATGATAATAATGAGGCGCCACGAGATCTGCTCGAGGCCGAAGAGAAATGCGAACAGGAGCACGAAACCGAGTGCAGACGATTTGCACATCGCTGCCATCGTTAGCTCATGTATCGGTTGGGACACACGCAAACTCACTGAAAAAGGTCAGAGTAATGAACTTCAGGCTCGTGTTGCCCAGCCCAATGTCCATGCCGGTGGCCGCGCCACAGGGACCGATTCGCGTAAAATAGAACCACTTCGTCATGAGTGGTTTCTTAGGGTCTAACGGTTCGTCGTGGGCACCGGGGCCGTGGGGGTTAAGAGAGTCGTGGCGAGGCCGGAGTGAGGGTATCATGAAAAGAACGAGCGATGCAAGCGTAAACTGGACCACCATGTGCAGACAGGTCGTAAAGAGCGGAAATGGAAAGATGTTCTGTGTTTCGCCGTCGCCTTTTTCTTCCTTGAACATCCACTTGTTGTACACGGAGATCGAGATGGAAAAGAGGTACCTGGGGGAATTAGCTCGAGGGCAATTGGGTCGTGTGGATTCACTCACCACAGTCCAATCAACGCAGCGTTTATCAACATTGAATGGAGGAGGTTCTGATTGGCAATCTTCTCCTCCTCCTTTGTGAACTTGACATCCTGCGGGACGACGCGGTTCTCCAGCAGCGTGTTGCGCCTCTTCCTGCGGCGCCTCCGCCGCCTGTCTCGGCCGGTGAGCCCCGTCTCCTCGTCGTCCTGCAGGCCGTCGGCGCTCATGTTGTCCAATTCGAGATCGTCGCTGTCGGTGAGGCCCGAGTCGTCCGAGTCGCTGCCAGGCCCCCTGTCTTCGCCCTCTTCGAGGATGTGGTCCGAGTTGCGCCGGCGGTGCTTGCGGTCTGCGTGCTGGGCGGGGCCAGAGGCGCCGGCGAGGGAGGAGGAGCGTCGGCGGGCGTGGGCTGCGGTCACCTGGTCCTCCATAGTCTTAGGGGTCGGAGCCGGAGGGTGGACCAGGGACGCTATGTTGCGGGCGGCGAGCCGGGCGCCGTCGTCGCTGTCTAGGTCGGAATCGGTGCTGGAGGGGGGGTTGGAGATTGTCGCGAGTGGAAACACATCGGCGGGATGCAGCAGCGAGTCGGGGTGCGCTGGAGCTTTTGAGCCTTCGAGCCAGCGAACCACCTCGGCGGTCGACATGGTCGGCGGTGACGGGCACGATGACGGGAATAGCGCCTTGGCGGACGATCACAAGGCAAGGGTGACAACGCTCATCTGGACGCTTCGCCGGGATGACTGCGAAGCCTGATGCTGTGAGAGCAGCTGCAGGAGCCGTCTCAGCGCGCAGTCAGGACGTGTTCTCACGCCCTGGGCCGCAATCTGGAACACGCTTACGCCTGGAAGCGCTGCTTGGCTGTTGTGGAACGTCGCCAATCCCCGTTGCCGCGTGCCTGAGCTGGCCTGTCCACAGCGGAGCGACTATGCGGGAGGGCTTGTATCGATATTGGCACCTTGGTAAGGATGCGACGCTGCCCGGCTCCTCTACTCTGCTCTACTCTAGTTCTAGCATTGCTTAGCCCAAGTGAACACTCAAGCCTGTCACATCCGCTTGGAAGGGCTTCAAGGTGGTGGTAGTGTCCCCCTCCGCACCTGGGCAGACGGGACAGGAACACAATGCTTCTGAGAAACCAACATCCACAAGCCAGCGCGACTGGCACGCCCAGGGCAAACAAGATTGATTACCAGGGTCCTTGGCGGATCTACACGTCTCGCGGAGTTCTCTCTATCACAGCGACTGATACCGGTGTACCCCGCACACCTTCATCACGACACGGGCTGCTTCAAGTAAACATATCTTCCGTCTGACACCCAACACGCAGACCCAGACTCTGTAGACAGTATGAGTGGACTAGGCGGTCTCAACAAGACACCTGACTCGATCGTCATCAGCGTCGTCCAGTCCCAGCTCTTCGACGTCGCCACTCCCACCCATCTCTCCCAAGCAGTCCAACACGTAGTCGCGCTCGTCGAACGCACGAAACGCGCCTACCACGCCACCGACATGGTCATCTTCCCCGAGTACTGCATCCACGGCCTCTCCATGCGCACCAACTCCGACATAATGTGCACCCTCGACGGCCCCGAAGTCGCCCAATTCAAAGCCGTCTGCCGCGCGCAAAACATCTGGGGCTGCTTCAGCATCATGGAAAAGAACGACCTAGGGGCACCCTGGAATTCTGGGCTCATCATCAACAATGCCGGAGAGCTCGTCAACTACTACCGCAAGATGCACCCGTGGATTCCCGTGGAGCCGTGGTACCCGGGCAATCGGGGGATCTCGGTTTTTGAGGGCCCCAAGGGGGTCAAGATGAGTCTGATTATCTGCCACGACGGCATGTTTCCTGAGATGGCAAGGGAGGCGGCGTATCAGGGGGCGGAGGTGCTGCTCAGGACGGCGGGGTACACGCCGCCGATCAAGCAGTCGTGGGAGCTGACGAATCGGACGAATGCATTCACGAATCTGATGTATACGGTGTCGGTCGCGTTGGCGGGCACAGATGGAACGTTCAAGAGCATGGGCGAGGCGATGTTCTGTGGCCCAGAAGGAGATATTTTGGTGCGTGGGAATAATTCGGCTGACGAGATCTTTGCTTGTGAGATCAGGGCCGACGAGGTAAGAAGACGACGGATGCATTGGGGTGTTGAGAACAATTTGTATCAATTTGGACATCGAGGATATGTGGCTGTGAAGGGGGGTGCGAGCGATTGTCCGTATACGTACATGAAGGACCTGGTGGCGGGAAAATGGGTCACTGCGGAGGACGCTGAGGTGACCGTCAAGGACGGTACGAGCTGTGGCTTTGAGCCGCCAGGGCAAACTTTCGTTAATGAATTGGATGAAAAGAAGTGACGCCTTGGAGATCAAAGAGCACTACGGGGTATGCGGGTGAGCTTGCAGTATAAGTTGGCAATCTGATAGGCTAACATGGTGCGGCTTCTTCAACTCCGCATTCCAGTGTTGCATCTCGGATCATGTCAATGCAGGGTCTGTTGCCGTCTTTCACGTTCATCTTGTTGACGGGTATCAAGAATACAACATGTATTCCCAGCGATGAATAATATGTACGGCGGCTCTACCACGAATATGCAAATTACAAGGAACGCTTCAAGAATCACCAAGCCCGCGCCTGTAACACAGCCAGATGACGCAGCTCTCTATTCACTCCGCTCTTTGCGTCCATCCCGGCTGCTTCCAGCTTCAATGTGGGGATCGTATTCCCGGCTGCGCACGGGGACGACCGTCGGGTTAGCCTCTTTCAAGGGCCCGGCTTCGGTGTCCTCAAGGTCACTGTCGTCATCGACGCCTCTCTGTCTCCGCCTCTCGAGCCACTCGTCATCGCTCTCGTCGTCGGTTTCTTCGCCAGCTGCAGCCTCGTAATTCGTGTCGTTTCCAGCAGGGTCCTTGATGAACCCATCGATGATCCAGTATTGCATAGCGTTCATGATCAGTGGGAAGATGAACATGACGAACAAAATCTGCAGCGTCTCGCTGCCCTCGGTCCAGCGAAGGGCCCAGTCGCCCACCCATGCGATCCACGGGAGGAGCTGGAAGATGAAGAAGACGCACAGCTTCATGCCGAGCAGACCGAGGAAGTAAATGACGGATTGCTTGAGCCACCAGGTAGCGCGGGGAGGGTGACCATAGTTTCCAGAGCGGATGGACTCGGGCGGGTTGGCCATGGGGGTCAGGAGGAAGGCCCTGTGAAGGACCTTGAGCAGAAGCACGAGGATGGGAATACCGATGGTGGTCTAGGCATGTCAGAACATGAGCGTCGCGGAGGATTAGGCAATACATACATCAATCGCAAGGTTGAGCAGGTAGAACGAGCAGGGATTCGGCAGGTCTCCCTTGTCGTCCTGGCCTGCGTGTTGTGGTGTAGCCTTCGTGTTTGCCGCCACGTCGAACTTTCCAGATGACAGCATAGACATGAGAATATTGGCCAGGTGCAGCAAAACAGATCCGAAGACCTGTTTCGACACATCGAAGAACCAGATCTTGAGCGGACGGCGGGGTGTCTCGCGCCATCTCTTGTAGGCGAGCGAGGACACAGCTAGCAGGCCCAGAGCGCCCTGGACTATCAGAGCGTATGGGCCAAGCAGGTGGCATTCGCCGTTATCGTCTGACTCCATCGGGCTGGCCTTGTCCGAGGTTGAAGCTGCGGGCTCAGCGGCAGCGTTGGAGGCGGCGGGTCGCTGTTCGGACGAGGCAGGTGTCGCAACGGCGGTAGGGATGGGCTTCTCCGTGGGCTCGGTCGGCTCCGTGGGGCGCGCAACGGTGGGGCGCTCGGGGGCGGGTGGTGGTGGTGGTTTCTCAGGGTCTGCCTGCACGCCGTCGATGCCCACCAGCTCAGTCTCGAAGATCAAGGTCGATGATGCGGGAATGGGCCCGTTCGCGTAGTTGCCATAGCCCAGGCTCGGCGGAATGGTCAGCTTCCTACCCTCTCCTATGCACATTCCTACGAGGCCCTGATCCCATCCTGCAATGACCTGTCCAGCTCCCAGCGTGAACTCAAACGGGGTCCCACGGTCGTAGCTCGAGTCGAACTGAGACCCATCGCTGTCCAGTGTTCCTTTGTAGTTGACCGTGATCTTATCGCCTTCTTGCGTTTTCCGCGTGCAATCGGCAGGCTTCGTCACCTCGATACCGAGGCCTTGGGCGGAGGCGAGGGATAGGAGGAGGGAGAGCGGCAGTGCGCACAACGTGGTAAAGCGCGCCATACGCGGCTGTTGGGGTAACGAGCGGTCGCGACGTGGCAGAGAGATGCGACGAGGTAACGCAGAGGAGGTAACCGTGGACCAAGCAAGCAGGCGGACTTGGACGGGCGGCGAGTCTCGTGATGCTGAAACACGTCAAAGCGGCACGCTGTGCCTTTTTCCCCGTCGATCGTACACAGACGAGAAAAGCGACAGATAAACTGTCTACAGCGAAGGAAAACGTGAATGTGCGAAGGTGGAAGCCTGCGCCTCCATCATCATGCGAACGTTGGCCGTCCGCGGCTTCTCGCCAAGTTGATCTGCGGCACCTAGCTTCAGCCAATTACACGCCGTCCATAAAGTGTACCAAACTTCACACGTTGCCAGCCGCGCACTCTTCTACATGTATAAGGCCCCGCATATTTGCCTAAACTGCTCCAGCATACAATTGATTGGTGTACTGTTGAAGGTCCCTCCCAGCTAAAGTCAATCTCGCCTGCAATCCATGAGCATCCACATGCAAAAGGCTATGTCTCAAGCGCACAAACATAACCCACCGTCCAACTACAGCAGAAGTAGTATAGACAAGTCGTGTTACTGACCATGGAATTTAGTCTTGAGAGCTTTGAACCTAGCTCGCTTAGATTGGAAAGTCACGGAGACGACCTCGATTTCCAGATCCCCGAAAATAATTCAAGGCCGCTACCCAAATGCGAACGAACTTATACGGATGTAGCTGCCAACTATTCATTCGACCCCAGCAGCATCCCAGGACGAGCAAGACCATCAGTAAATACGGTCCTTACGCCCTAGCGACATCGGCCTCCTAATGATGTCTAATGAGCTCGTTATGCCGCCGAAATGGCGCGACGCTCAAGTACAAAGCAGGAAGTTAATGAGGACATTGTATATTCGTTGCTTGCTCAGAATCAGATTCGAATACTTCGACTTGCTCCGGGAGCTTGGGAAGAACTGGTGCACTGCGCTCTCAAACCCGTGTATTTGGATAGTTTTGCACGTGGCAAAATTGTCTTCCAGGCGCCATCTTATGCTTGGGGCACTAATGCCTTCACCGAAGTCGTGTTTGTACAGGACGTTTCGTCGGATATAGGTGATTTTGTCACCTACGAAACTTTCGAGACGGCCGCAAACCGGACGCGACCAAGATCATTCTTCGTACGAGATAATCTTTACAAAGTCTTGAAAAGATACCGGCACAACAAAGAAAACAAGTGGTTCTGGATCGACGCAATTTGCATAAATCAGGCGAACGACATGGCGAAGAGTCGACAGATAGCGCATATGCTAACTATCCATTCAAGCGCCTTCAATGTCGCCATCTGGCTAGGCAAAGCAGACGAGAAAGACTCTGCCGCTATCGCACTGATTCCAAAGAGTCCCAATCTGAGGTCTATCAACACATCACTGAACAATAATAGGTATGTTGGACCGAGGTAGATGATTTGTGTTGCAATGTTAGCGAGGTTGGCTCTTGTTACCAGTATCAAGGTCTGTGTCTTCCATGTTTTCCTTGCAAAGGTCACCTCTCACTGACTTGTCACGTATGTGTAGACCATCAAATGACGTACTTTGTTCATGGATTGCATTCTCACGTCTGCTTCAACGAGCGTGGTTTCGGCTACGCTAGGTCATTCAAGAGGTCGCGTTCTTGAAACGCCTCGCAATTCGCACCGGCGGTGATCTCCTAAGCTGGGTCGACTTAGCTACCCTTCCAACCCAGAACCTTTAGTCCATCATCGGCAATAGTGCCCTCAATGACTCGAGAAGACACAGCGCTGAGCCGTCTAATCTGGGTGCCCCTTTGTGACTAGCAGACCCGAAAAACCTGGAGACCTTTGCTGAACGTAAGCCCTGAAGCCATGAACGTTGCAACATAGTCTATTGAATCGTAAAACTCTAATATACTGGCCGTCCGTAGCGCCCACGTTATGTTCCATGGGGATTTCGCTCTGAATTTGATGGGGAGATAAAACCATCGAATCCTATTGCGTCATTCATTGTCCGTATTCAGCAGATAACAAGAGCCATGATCAGACTTCGACTACGTGTTAGGACAAAAGTCGCTCAACTTACTCAAAGCAGGTGTTTGGCGTGCCCACAATATAAATTTGGGTCACTCAATCTCAAGGTTTGTAAACTTGAAGTAGAATGGGAGCGATCGGGAGACGGCTGTGGCGCTCGTGGCAGATCGCCGAACCCCGCCTCTCCACGCCCTATTATAGACGAGTCAGCCTTCACCATCACTCAGGCCCACAACAAGTTCGAGGCCAGTAGCAGACCTCATAACACATTCGGGAAGATTTCCCAGCTCGGCGTCGCTCATTTAGGCTCTGCCCACATCTTAAAGATATCTTAAAGATGGCAATCTACCTATCGCACTCTTTCCGAGGCCACTACTCTCAGCTGCCCAGCCACAGTGCATGCTGTACCCCTATGCGCGACGAAGAACGATGTGGTTCCTAGAGATGCTTGCTGCCTACAATACTACAAGCTTTGGTTCCAGCTGCCACATTGGGCGAGTTCCAAGCCAATATTTAATTAAGCCCTGGCGCTTTGATCATCCGGACTCTGCACGCAACATGCAAAGCTGAGAGTAACGCCGACAGCACCAGGGCTTCATGTGGACATAACATGGGACGCGGCGGTGTCTCTGATCTTTCCATTTAGCATTTGTCGCTCACTTTCCTCGCTTTTGCTCTTCTGTTTGATCGACTTTACGAATCCTGTTGTTTGGACGTTCTTGTCCCGTAACCCTGCCACAGAAGTACACAAAGTTGTACAAACATGGGTTGGAGGAAATTCGCGCCCTGCGCGCTCGGTTTGATATTGTCTTGCCTTGCAACAACGTAAGAACACTGCAAAGCCCTCATCGCAAGCCTAACGAAGATAGCACTTCAGCGCTAGTAGATCCACGGGCCCTTGACACATATGACTACATTGTCGTCGGTTCAGGGCCTGGCGGAGGACCTTTGGGTTCCCGTCTCGCCCTTGCAGGATACAAAGTATTACTCATCGAGGCTGGCGACGACCAAGGTGCAAACCTTCGCTATCAGATTCCCGCGCTGCATGCGCAATCGTCCGAGGAAGCTGGCATCAGCTGGGATTACTACGTCAATCACTACTCGGACCTGGAACGTCAGAAGAAAGATTCCAAAATGACATGGCGAACGCCTTCGGGGGAGCTTTTTGTAGGACCAAATGGAGCCAGCGGAACTGGCGCGCCACCTTCCGGGAGCGAGCCTGTTGGTATATTATACCCAAGAGCGGGAACACTTGGCGGCTGCAGTGCTCATAATGCGTTGATCACCGTGTATCCGCATAAGAGTGATTGGGATGGGATCGCTTCTCTCACTGGTGATTTCTCTTGGGCTGCAGAGAAAATGCGGAAGTACTTTGTCAAGCTAGAGCGCAGCAGATATGTTCCGAGCGGGATCGTTGGCCATGGTTTCGATGGGTGGTTGACGACCATGGTCACGGACCTCACGCTCGTTGTGCAGGACTTCAAGCTGCTGTCTCTTGTGGTCGCTGCTGGAACTGCTATGGGCAAGAGTATCCTTCTGGGTCTCATCACTACAGTGACAGGTCTCGGACAGGTCCTCCTAAGCGATCTCAATGTTGACAGCCCCTCACGAGATGCGACTGAGGGTATCTACCAAATCCCCTTGGCAATGGACGACCGTCATCGTGTTGGTTCTCGCGAGTTCATCCTCGAGACGGCAACTGCAAAAAACCCGGACGGAAGTAGGAAATATCACCTAGACCTTCTCCTAAACACTCTTGCGACCAAAGTTCGCTTCGACAACACAACCACGCCCCCGAAAGCCACTGGCATCGACTTCCTGTCGGGCCAAAGTTTGTACCAAGCTGACAAGCGCTATTCCCGCTCTACAACCGGCACAAAAGGCACGGTTTATGCCTCACGCGAGGTCATCCTTGCCGCCGGCTCCTTCAACACGCCTCAGCTACTCAAACTCTCCGGCATCGGCCCCGCCACCGAACTCCAGCAGCACGACGTCCCCGTCCTCGTCGATTCCCCCGGCGTAGGCACCAACCTACAAGACCGCTACGAAGCAGTCATAGGCGGCAAAACAGACTCCGATTTCGCGCTCACCACGAACTGCAAGTTCCTTCACGGCTCGCCGGACCCCTGCTACGACCAGTGGAAGAACAACGCCCTCTTCAAAGGCGTCTACGGATCTAATGGCCTGGCCATCGGCATCGTGAAGAAATCCTCTGTCGCGGAGAAGGACCCGGATCTGTTCATCGCTGGCGCTCCGGCATACTTTACGGGATACTTCCCCGGGTACTCGAACTTCTCGCTCGCGGATAAAAGGCATTGGGTGTGGGTCACGCTGAAGGCGCACACACGCAACACGGCGGGGACCGTGACGCTGAGATCCGCCGATCCGCGCGATACGCCGCTTATCAACTTCAATAACTTTGACGCTGGCACGACGGCTGACGGCGCGGATGAAAGGGATCTACAAGCGGTGTATGAAGGCCTGCAGTTCAGTCGCAAGATCTTCAAGTCGCTCATTCCCATAGATGGCAACTTCGAGGAGGTATGGCCCGGTCCGAAAATGAGCAGCGAGGCCGCGGTGAAGGAATTCGTGAAGAATGAAGCGTGGGGCCATCATGCGTGCTGCACTGCAAAGATTGGCGCGGACGGTGACAAAACCGCGGTGCTAGATTCGAAGTTTAGGGTCCGGGGAGTGCAAGGGCTGCGTGTGGTGGACGCCAGCGTGTTTCCGAAGATTCCTGGATTTTACATCGCGGTGCCTGTGTATATGGTTTCTGAGAAGGCTGCGGAGGTCATATTGGCAGACGCAAAGTAGAACTATTCATGACTTACAAGGGCAATAGCAAGGTACTGGGCCATATCCACAATTCGAATTATCTCATTACATTAATAATGCTATATCATTACACTCAAACCACGCTACGGCTTGATAACTTGCGCAAAAGGAAGCGTATTGTCCATGAAGAAGTTGGATTTGGGCTCGCCCGAGAACGCAGGGTTCGTGGTGTTGCAGAACTGCGTGAAGCTCCCTGCCTTCGCGATTTTGCCCTGCACAATCTTCTGGTACTGCGCCAGCGGGCATGATGCGCCAGGGCCGCCGTTGCAGTTGGCAACCGGGTACACGACGTCGTTCAGGATGACGCGAATGTAGGTTGCGCTGGGCGGAGGAGAGACATCGCGCTTCTGGGGCGAATCGCAGTCCGAGGGAGTGGCGGCGTAACCCGGGGTGGCGGTAGGGGTGGAGAGGGTGGTGGAGTCGCCGTGGGAGTAGCCTTGGCCGTAGCTAAGCGCAGGAGTAGCGACAGAGCTGGGTGACTGGCCGTGCGAGTGTCCCGTCACGGAGCTAGGTTCTTGGCCGTGTGAGTAACCGGGAACAGAGCTCAGAGCAGGAGGAGCAGGGGCAGAGCTAGTCGCAAGACCGGAACTGTAGCTGGGAGCAGAGCCATTTGTATGGGATCCAGGAGTGGACACAGGTGCCGAGCTGTTGTTGTAGCTTGAAGTGTAGCTGGGAACAGAGCTGGAGACAGAGCTCACAGGCGAGCTGGGGGAAGAGCCAGTGCCACCGCAGACCAGACGCTCGAAGGCGATGGTACCGCGCATGGGAGTCAATCTGCTAGCGCGGAACTTCCTTTCCCGGTTTGTCCTGTTTCCAGAGAGCTGGGGCTCGTTGTCGAAAACGCCGCTGGCAGCAATGAGCTGGTTGATTTGGCCGTCGTTCGAGAACGAAGCAATGACGTTGGGCGCTGGGAATGTCGAGTTGCGGAGCGTGTATGTTTTGTCAGGACCGTCTACGAAGCGTCGGACCAGCATGTCGAGAGTGGGAAGCATCTGGAGCTTCTCGACATCAGAACCCAGGCCTGTACCGTACCAGTAGCGCAGATCCTGGGCATACTCGTATTCCAGGATCTCTTCCTCAGTGAAGATGTCGCAAAACGGACTCCGCTTTCCAGTGATCTGGGTCTCGAAGCCGCATAGGTAGGGGATACTGGTAACTTCTGATTCCGTGAAGCTGAAGTTGCCATTGAATTTGGCGTTGAGCCTGGCCGCAATAGGGGGAACGTAGATGGACGCCCACTCGTCGGTATACGGACTGCCGCCGTTGTCATTGTAGGCTGGGCAGAGGTCGCTAGGTGCCAGGGAGTTCATCCATGACGCAGGGTCACTGCTGTTGAGAGCATAAATGGTTCCGAGCTCAGTGGCATTTGGGCCCAAGAATCCCTGCGCAAACATACGCGCACTATCACGTACTCGAGGGCTGGAGTTGTAGTAGTTCGACCACATGGTGAAAGGAGTGTTGTACTTGTAAAGATCGGGGTAACGCAGACGCCATGTCGCACCCATTGCCGTGAGCTCCTTGTACCCAGTTGGGGAGATTTGAGCAATCTGGGCAGCGGGATCGGACAGTACTGGGGTCCAAGTCTGCAAGAATTCGAGTTTCGGGTCGCTCACTGTGAATAGGGACTCTTGAATATGGTCACGCATCGCCACCCATCCATTGTAGGCGCCAGTGTCAGGATAACGACTGCCGTGACGTGAGAAAAAGGCGGACAAGTCCACTTTGCAGCCCTCTGGTACTTCGGAAGAGATACCAGTTACTTCGGGACCTGCTAACTGTAAGCCCGAGGACCTGCACATATCAGATGGCGCTATACTGACCCGGAAACCATTGTCCATTACCTCCCAGGTGCTGTAGGACGTTGAAGTCGTCAGCCGTCGCATGCGCAACAGCAGATGCCGCCACGAGAAGTCTAATGACATGTTCCATGTTGTCGACTTGTAAGATTGTGAGTCTGCGTTGCGCACTGCTCTCACCGTCGTTGCGCGCATACCTGTCTTTAAATACACGCTGTCGTTTATGCCGTTCAGACACAGTTACTTAGACCTCGGAGATGAGCATTGGCGATGCTTCCCAAAGAGGACTCGGGGCGATCAGGGGAGAAGACGGCGCGGACACGTGGGTAGCCAACACAGTCCCAACGGCCATCTCATGGTACCTGGAGATAAAGTAGCGATGGGGGAATTTTTTTCCGTCGTAATAAGATTATCGGTTGGCGCGGCGCGATGCGTGGCGTTGTGTAGATGGAGTACGCACTCTTTCCAGCTACCGTCGACCTATCGATACGGTATTCGTGATGACAGCCCACGCGTACGCGCCTTGCCGACGGCAACCCCTCGCTTGCCCATTACCGTCACGCTTATGCATCGCTGGGTCTCAACATGGCTGTTTCTCGATGCCCATCTGGAGTTGTTCATTACTTTCACGTTCCTGAATGGTGCTGTTGCTACGGCTGGCTTGGTCGATGACGCGGTACCGCGCGGCGGGGCTTGCGGTGGACTAGGCCCATCATAATCGCATCCTTCGGTCGAACTCTGCCAGCCATCACAATGCACAACCTCAAGCGGGCATTCAAATCCAAACCCATGACTGAAAGCTTGAACCGCGCGACTTGGATCTGGAGGAGTGAGGAAGTCATCGGCAGTGATGATCAGATAGATCAGTTCGTTGCCTTCGCGCGCAAAAATGGCATCAAACGCGTCTACATACACATTAACCCGGACATCCCGCCTCAAACCCTGGCCAACTTCGTAGGCAAATGCAGCCCTGCCGGTATCGCAGTCGAGGCATTGATGGGCGACGCCGCCTGGATATTTGACCCGAAATCCCATGAAAGCTTGCAAATTCGTCTCCATTGGGTGGCGGAGTATCAAAATCAGTACGCGAGTGAGGCGCAAATCTTACTCCAAGGCCTGCACCTTGATATCGAGCCTTGGCAACTGGATGGATGGCGCAACGCTGAACAGCCCGAGTTGATCAGGCAATGGCTGGGCTGTTTCCATTACCTCAAGAGCTGGGCCCAAACTCAGCAACCGCCGCTCCCTGTTGCAGCTGACCTGCCGTTCTGGCTTCATACCCTGCAATACCCGGACAACAATGAGAGGCTAGATGTCACTATAATGGCCATCCTGGACGGGGCGGCATTCATGACGTACAGGAACGATCCGCAGGGTTTGATGGACGTTGCAGGCGAGGCATTGTGGGCATGTTCGAAGTGTGGGAAGAGAAGAGAGGGTATATACCTGGGAGTCGAGACTGTGCCGAGCAAGGAGGGGCAACATATCAGTTATCACGGCTTGGGTATTCGTAAACTCCAAGGGGATCTTGGTTTCTTGGAAGGTGGCTATTGGTTAAGAAAGAGAGAACCCCATGAGAAGCATTTCGCTGGCCTGGCTGTACACGACTATCATACATGGTCCAAAATGTATGACTAATTATATGCTGGGCGGGTGCACATTCCATAGTGGCATGGTAAGCGAAATATAACAGAAGCTAGAGTCTGACCTGGCAAGTGTCGAAAACTCATGAATGTCCACAAGTAAGCAACAGCTGCGGCATGGCAGACTCATAAGTCTTTTGGTCGAGGCTAACATTGATAGTAAATGTGAACTACATGTTCTAGATTTCTGACTAACATATATCAAGGCAAGCTCAAGAACAGATCCAGCATTCTTGGATAATCCGGTGTACCCAGCCCTGTGAGCGGATCCCATCCTTTAGATGCGTCGAAGCCATTGGTTCCACATCCCGGATTCGAGCCGTTCTTGATATCATTGAGCACTTCCGGATTTGCATACAAAACAGGATTGATGAACCCTACAGGCCCCTTTCCGACCTTGATACGTTCCTCATTGATTATGTTCACCACAGAGGCAAAGATCGGAGCAGCAGCAGAAGTGCCACCTGTCATACGAATACCACCACCGTACACGGCGGCAATGTTGTCGCCGTTGGCAGCGACATCAGGAAACCCCCGCCCGTTACGGTTGTAGAGACCAGTACTGTTTTTCCAATTGCCCTCCAGCCTTCGGTCAGCACGTAGACATGGATTAGGAATCAGTAGACTCACATCGTAGTAGTAAGGGTAGCCTGGATCAGCGATTTCGAAGTAGCCTTTGACTGCTTCGGATTGATACTTCGGCACTCCAAAAACGTTCGAGAAGCCACCACCGGAAGAGTAAGGGAAGTAATAGGGATCGCCCGCGAGATCATTTGCGGCACTTTCAGGGTCGAATACTGTCTTCCCAGGATATACTTTGGTCGCACCAACGCTGGTCAGCCACGGGCATGTATTGGGATGCCCCGGCGTGAAGACGGTGCCATTACGTAGACAACCATTGGGTGAGTCAGGCTTGGGAAGGTCGCCAACGCCAGAATCACCGGACGCAATGAACACAGAAACACCTTGAAGGCCGAGCTTGAGCCACTCGTCACACTGTAGATGGTAGTTAGGTACAAAACATTACGAAGAGGGAATCAAGCATCGCTCACCTGTCGCTTTTGATATGCCGCAGGGAGCTCTGCTTCGTCCTTCATGTACGAGATAGATATCACGTTCGTGGGCTGGATCATTGTCAGATGAAGCTCAAGCTCTCCTACGTTGCAAACTAACCTTGTACACACCACACATTCTTTCACCCTTATACCCGCCTTCTCGCTCATTTGGATAGACAGGGTCGAAGTCGGGGTTGTCTCCCTTCTCACCATATGCTTCGTACGTACAATAACTTCCGTCGATAGCATCCAAGAATGTATTGAACAAGCCACCCTCAAGCCACTGATGTACTGTCCAGTAATCGTCGTCGACCTGGTAGACAGTGGCATTTTGAGGATGTATGAGGGGAATAGCCAATTGCAGGTCCATACAAGCTTCCGATCCTGCATGAAGTACATCTACAGGTGCCACGCCCCCATTAATAGAGCTCACGATTGGAGCAGTGCCATTAGCAACGTAGGGTGTGAAGTTCGAGAAGAACATGTCCAGGTCTTGTTGTGCATACGCGCTGGAGAGTAGGTAGATACCCATGGTATTGTTGGGGTTGACGTCGGCTTTCTGATCTGGGAATGGAATGTTGTATAACGCTCGAATGCATTCGTGAGTGATCATCTGATCACAAGTGTCGAGTGAACTGGTGTTCCTTTGCGATGGAAGGCTGGGCTCGGATATTCCACGTCGAAACGCCTTTTTGGAGTCGCGCTTGCTTGGCACCTTCTCGCTGATTTCGATGCTAGGTAGTGTCAGCGCGTGCGAACCCTGTACGTCGAGTAGATGTCGGCCAACATACTTTGAGGTCTTCAAGTGCAACCCTTTAACACCAGGCGTTACGTAGTCCACGTGCTCAAGCAGATGGCTTGGCAAGTGGTACTGGTCGCAGCTCACTATCTTCATCTCCCCATCGTCCAATTCAAAGTACTCTGTGATGAACATCCGCTCAGCCTCTTCGACTGTGGCATCGAACGCCACCCATGCTTTGTTCTTCGTTCGAGTGATGCGCGCCCTTTCGATTCCGCCTGACTCGACGAGCCAATCGGTAACTGCGTCCACAGTATTTTTAGAGGGGGCGAACGCGGCAACGACCTCTTCTTGAGTCCAATGTTTTCCATATCTTGTAGATCTTGGGTGTGAGACATCCATGAGCCATTTCTCAGCCGATTCTCGTGCAACTTTATTGGTTTTGAGACCGATTCTCATCGGAAGGCGTACATGGGGCTCTAGTCGTCGATCGAAGTTGCCAAGAGTGGCACGTTTCTCATGGATTACATGATCGGATGAGATAACGATTGCTGTGGCAGTCGAAGCTGCTATCGCCAGAATTGTAAGTGCTAAACCCATTTCTTTTGCGACTTGAAGCTTCAATGTCGAGCCGGATTGAGTTATATGAATTTCTCGAGTGGATATGGATTTTTTTTTAAATGCTCCAGGGTTTCAGTGCTGTCATGTGCTTTAGAAATAATCTGCCTTACGCGCAATGTGTGTATTCTACCCCGCGAAAGTAGCCGGAATGTCCCCACGTGAACGCGTAAAGCATTTTTGTGAGGATATTCAAGACATGCTTGCCATTGGCAGGAAGTTGGTCATCTGAATCAGCCTCACGCGGTGCCCTCCATCGAAGGATGCGCTAGCACGAACCGGGAGCGAGGTAAATTCCGTAGCGAGAAACGAGTAACACGTTGTCCATACTTACGGCCGTGAGATCGTCCTGAAAACCGAAATCTGAGGCTGTGTCGGAATTTCGGCCAATCCTTGAAATCTGCAGGTAGAGAGCTGGCGACTGAGCGCGACCTTGTGAATTATGTGCGCTAAGTCATGACGACATCCTGGTAAGCTCACGTTGGAGCAACTACCTGGGCAGCTTAAGGCAGCTATCGATCCACAAAGATTCAATTTCAGAACAGTCAGTCGCCGTACGTCACCATGGCAGCTCCTCTTGAAAAGACTCTACAGCCTCTGTCCGGGAATCGGACTCTCAACAAAGCATCATCTGATGACTTTACTACAATTCCAGCGCTTCAAGGCGGTAACCTCCTCATCCGGCAAGGTCCATCGGCTACATCCATCCATAAAACTATTACACAAGCAGAAGCGCAACACATTGAGGCTTCGCAGTCTGTGACCGCTGGAAAGATCCCGGGCATGACCGAGGAATATATCCTTGACTAGGAATGGCGCAGTCATGATCATCCTCTATTCGGAGGTAGCCGGTGCATCGGCGTTGAAAAAGGGGAAGGTTTGTTAATTGGATATGGTGAGTGGACTGAGAATGATAGTGAGAGAAAACCCGTGCAGGCGGAGGGTAGAGCCGCAAGTGGTAAGTAGGAAGCTAGCTATTTGTGGGGTTTCGAGATCACCTATCGGAAGGGGAGCTATATGACGCGTGCATGAGTAAAGAAAGGCCAGGGTGAAAAGCTCGGGGTCAAGATGGTATACGATTGCGAACAATGACAGTTCGCTCTAATGCTTTGCTGTGAGGCTGACACTACCACAGCTTCCCATGAACCAGAATTATCAGAATTATATCTGTCGAACTATCAAAGAGATTCCAGATTTGCTCGAAATTCAATTGGGTACTGAGCAACTGTATTAGGGTAATGTCCGATAATGCAATACTAGTCTTCCAGCGCTGTGTTCAAATATTGCATGTAATAGAAATTGAACACCATCCTTGAATCATGAATATCTTGAAGTTCTAGTTGGCAGATATAAGAACTAATACAAGTTTTCTTTTGCTCCAGCATATAAGGAGCTTTTCGCAAGGGAAACATATGACAAAAGATGACGAGAAGGACCACTTACGAATTCCGGATATGTTAGCTACTCGTGGAAGCGTAGCAGTATTTCTTTCACAAATTGCATTGGGGATTGCTAAAAATATGTAACGAATGAGATATTTGGGTGAAGGCAAGTGGATGCGGTCGGATAATCGCGGATGCGTACCAGGGGAACTATGGCTGCATGGCAAACCTAGCTCTTTTCGTTGAACGGTACGCCAGGAGATCGAAGGCTCATGCAACCACCGTTGCTCTACATACAAGATCGAACTTGCGTACTATCACTCGTAGCACTGGATCGCCCCCTAACGCAATATTATGGATTGTCTTTGTTTGATCTGGCATGATGGCTTGATATAATCACAGGGTTCCCGCGCGATCGTGGACTTTCAATGCACAACGGATGACCTAAAATGTATGCAGCTCCACCTTCGTATCAGGAAGATCAAGGGCATTGCCTCCTTCATATCTACACAAGCATTTCACTGTAGAACGTATCGGGGACCCGCAGCCACACAAGCGTTGATCTTATCGTGTTCAGCAGGTGTTAGACGAAGAAATTGCTACAGAAAGGCATCAGAACGAGAGTGGTGACAGCGCTCAAAAGCCGGTCGTGTGTGGGAACCAAGCTGCGAGTACCGGATATTGTCTAAGCTGCGGGAACGCACCAATGTAGTTGTTCTGATCGCGATGGCAATCTTCTGTCGTGTAGATTGGGCGTATCATGACGGCTGGATACGTGGAGTTTGCGTTAGGAGGATGTAAGCTCTGGTGGACTTAGATACAAGGGGGGATTTAGATTAGACTGTGAAACTGTTATAGTATATAGAGTTTCCATTTTCCCTAGACTTTCTGTGCACTGCGAGTATACATCTGGAATTTGTTAAGCAGCCGTGCGGTATGAGCCTGTCGGGGTACCGCAATTCTTTCAACAAAGTCTTGCAACCTTTTTATAGCTAGCTAGCCGTTAACGTTATAACATCTTACTTCTTTAATCAGCTAAAAGAGTCTTCCTTTTTTAATAGTAAATACTACTAAACGAACAAATAAATATCAACGATACATAACGATAGGATAACTGGAAACTCTACCATATATGTCGCAGTTCAATCTACGTTACTATCGATCCTATTCGGACCGATTTCTCATGGACTCCTGAGGATCGCGACAATCATTATAATTCAGCTACTGAATTAGGAAACTCTGAATAAGCCAAGTCCCCTGACGATCGCCTCACTATGGCTATATAGTTTAGTTAGAATCACAGCAATACAACTTCAGTGAACCTTCAATATTTTCCATTGCACGATACCTACGGTCCTAAGATCGTCACAATATATCTAGAATACATATTCTCCGTTCGCGTATCCTGCAAGTAAATTTTCGGTCTAGCAATGGCTTTCTTATTCACGCACGCGCCTTAATAATATCACTCGCCTTCTCTGCAATTGCATACATGGTAGCCTGCAGATGCGTGGCAGGAATAAGGGGGATGATGCTAGCGTCGATGACGCTCAGCTTTGCGACGCCATATACCTGCAGCTTCTCGTTAACACGGCCACCCAAGGATTCCGGCATCATACTGCAACCACCGCTAGGGTGTGCAAATGTTGGGGAAAGGGATCCACTCTTGATGCCACCCTGAACTATCTCCTCATCAGTCTGATACTGCAGCCCTGGGCTTGTTTCGACGGGGTTGTAGCTCGCTAATTCCGGGCGCGCCCAGTGCTTCCTGTTATATTTGGTGAGCGACATGTCCCATGATGTCCGCGTCAACCGGATTCTGGATGGTGTTCCACTGAACGATCGGATATGCCTCTGGATGTGTAGTATTCAAGGTGATGGCCCCACGAGACAAAGGCTTGTTGTTAGCAATACCGGAGAAACCCCAGGGCTGAATGACGATTTCGCCAACAGCAGCCTTCGCCGCAGCAAATTGTTTTGCTAGGATATCAACTTGCTTCTTGAACCCGTGGAGAAGTGGCGCGCTCTTCGAGTAACGCTCAGGAAGGAAGTTCTCAGCCCTCTGAGCGCGAATCTTATCAACGATGGCTTTATAGGTGGGCTCGAAGTGTTGAAGAGCCATAAAAACGAGCCCATTAGCACGACCGACCGAGTAGGGACCTGTCTTAGAGGAGAGGTATAAGTCGTAGACCGTCTGGTTGTAGGTCGCGTTGGTGTTGATAGCAACAATACTGTCTTTGGCGTAGCCTTCGAGGTTGAAGTTCATGTAGTTGGCGATATGGTCTTGGAAGTTGGAACTCACGGCTGGGAGGTCCTGTGGAATTAAATGTCAGCAAAAGGTCTGCCATTGAGGTTTCAGATGAGGGTTACCATTTTGATAGTCACACCAGCGGCCTGGAGAACGTCCTTTGGTCCAATGCCGGATACCATGAGTAGATGAGGGGTAAAGACACCACCAGCGGCAAGAATGACCTCTTTCGCTGCGACAGCCTGTGACTGAACTCCCATGTTCTTTGACGTAAACTTCACGCCAGTTGTAGTGAGAGCGCCAGTTCAGCTCTTTAAGAATGTGATCCTATCAACGTGTGTGCCCGTCAAAAGCTCTAAGTTCGAGCGCTTAGAAGCAATGCGGTCATAGTATGCGGAACGCAATGTAGTACGGGTAGCCGTGTCTTTATTTATCGAATTGGGGCTCCAGTATACTCCGACCGGGTCGACGAAGCCCTCTCTCGGATGCGGAATGTCCACGCTGTTCCATGAGGCGAAAAGCTTCTTCATGTCTGGAAACTGCCAGTCCGGGATTGATACCTTTACTGGGCCAATTCCATAAACCTTTACATCGTAAGAAATGTTAAACTCCTTAGTGGTCTCAGCGGATGGGGCATCGAAGTGGTTGCTTTTCAAGAAGTACTTTTCCAGACCCTTCTAGCCCCAGCCTTTGTTACCGAGAGCCTCCCAGGCATCGTAGTTGGCATTGGCGCCACGGTCGAACTGCATACCATTCACGTACGAACCGCCGCCCACGATATTACTAACAGTCACTAGGAATGTCTAGTTTCCAAGATTAGGAACCGGGGCGCTGTAGATGTTGTACATGGCTGCAAGGTTGAGGTCACCCGAGTTGCCCGGAATACTAGAAAGTGTACCATTGTTGAGGATATCGTTTTCGATGACAAGGACGGTCTCTGTACGGAGGTGCCTTTCAAAAGTCCTTGCCCACCTTGGCGAGCAGGGGTATACGCCACATTCCGAATTTAGACATATGTCCGATTATCTAAGTCTATGGAGATTCCTGCCCTCCTTGTACTCATTGCCCCCTTCTAGCTCAATGATCTTCTTTATATGGACAGGAATACGCTCAATCCAAGCCTGTATCTTCTCCTGAGGTAGATCTCGCCAGCACTGCTCCCATGCACGGACAGCCTCTGCTCTACTCTTTGGCGCGCCTTTCTTTGTAGTAGCTCTCTTCATCCATGGCCAGCAAGGCTCAATAGCGTTTAGGTCAGGAGAGTTGCCACACCAGAGCAACTTTATAACATCATGGATGCTATATATATAGCTCTGGACATGATGATCATGAGAGGGCGCTTTATCTTCTTGTATAACAGTGTCTGGCCGCTCTATTTTGCACTCCTTTGCAAAAGGTATTAGCTTTGGAAGTAGCACAGACGTCTGGTACCGATACCAATCAATACCTAAGCCTCTACCTCGGCTGACCTTTCCTGTCTTCTTATTCCAAGTCCATTAAGGTTGTCGTCTAGGCTTGTTACGTAGATCAAGGCGACGCATTCCAGTTTCAAGCTCCTATTACGCCTTCATGATAGGCTCTAGCTCTTAATTTAGCTCCTTAATTTGAGTAGTAGTAGTCTCCTTCTCCTTCTTTGTTTCTGGTGCCCAACAATGACATGGGCCTTTCTTATCGTATGAAAAGCACCCCTAGAACATGAACTTAGAGTATCCCTTCCACCTCTCACGAATACAACTTCGAATAAATGCCTCATCAGCCTTCCGCCATATCCTATATCCTCCACGCCTATGCAGGAGAACTACAGACGTTTCATCAGACTAGATAACATTCTTCCAGTCCTCAATTGTCCAGTGTTCATGCTGTAGGCACTAGTTATATCGAGCCTTACTATTAGAGGTTAACAAGTATTAACGGAAGATGAGATCCCTACTATTTACCACTATAATAACGCGCCTAGATATCACTTTCGCCATATTATAATTAGCCCAATTCCTTACAAATCTAGGCCAAGAGTACTATAACATAACTAATTAAGTACTCCTTGTTATAAGGGGTTTCCACGTACCTAACCGTAGGTCCGGACCTTGCGGGTATTTAGTGATTCGAGCGTAAGGGATAGCGGTATCAAAAGGGTGGGGTGAATATCCTACACCATATGATAGTACGATGCAATAAATATTAAGAGAAAGCTAATAATTCGTACAAAGATAAGTGGCTTCAATTTAGATATAAAAGCAAGCTTTTAAAGTTAACTATAAAGAATAGAAAATATCCAAAGAGTGTCCTACACTATATACCATTCATCCCATTCTTCTATCTCCTAGAATCCCGAGGGCTCCCTAGGATCCTACCCTCTTAGTAGGATACCTTCGCTGTCTCCCGCCAAGTCTTCGGTCTCCTGGGATCCTCCAGTCTTAGCGGGATCCTAGTTACGTGACCACTAATATAATTCCAATAGGCGTCTAGCGTGTTAAGATACGTTAGCCTCTAGCCTAGGGGGTCCTATTATCCCACTAGACGTCTTTATTTTCCTACCATTATTCTATGTAATTATAACATTACCTCCCCTCTTAAGGTTATCATCCCAATACCTTATAGGAGTCTCATGACCCATTATGGCGGCGTTATTAGGGAGTATTAAGGTGGGCGCTTCCCCCAGCATACCTATTATATTATATCCTCCTCTAGTTCCCCCCAGCCTCCCTAACCATGCCCAAGGTACCAAAGCTATTATTAACTAACAAACGTCGTTAGCGCGCTAATAAGGTATATATACGTAGTTTAGAGATACTTATACATTATAAATGTTATAAAGACAAGAACATCCCTAAGTGTTTTATAGATACTTTAAGTGGGAAGTATACTACATGCCTTACTATCCATTTAGACTACAGTTTATAGGTTTTAGAGAAGGAGTAGGAGCGCGTTTAGCTTCTAAAGCGTTAGAAGTAGATTACTTTACTAACGGCTAAGGCGGAAGCCACTTAGGCAACTACTAAGACTACTTATTTAAAACTTAAGATCACTTAAGTAGAAGAAGAGGAGCAGGCTTTTACTATATATAATACTTATATGGCTAACATGTTAAAGCGTTTAGAAGAGGAGGCTTCAAAGAGTACGGATACTAACATTAATCTTATACCGTCGCCATGCATACTTTTAGCTAACCTAGGCTAGCTATAGGCTAATTCTTCTACTTTTTTTAACTTTTCTAGCTTTATTAACTTTATTCCCTCTTCCCTAGATCTCTCTAGACTCGAGTTTCCGTTCCGTAAAACTTCTCCAGTAATTCATTATAGTTCGTAAGATTCTCTCTTAGTTCCCATATATTATACTAATCTAGCCATCCTTTCCACTTAACCAAGTATTACTACTAACCTCTAATTATGCATAGGTCCCTAATTTCTTTAACTTCATACTTATTGTCCTCTAGTTCTAGTTAGGTCTTAATTGGAGCGTCCGGTAGTGCTAGTTCTAGGAGATTTTTATGGAAAGTAGGGTGTATCTTAGTACCAGTTAGTAGTAGTAGTTTTATTATAACTAGTCCTTTTATTTCTTAAACTTTAAAAGGTCCTACCTATAGGTGATCCAGTTTTTTACTTAGCCTTTTTGTTTTAAGGTTTTTCTATAATAGGAAAACTTTATCCCCCTTCCTAAGGGTTGGTCCCTTAATCCTTTATTTATTTATATTTCTTAATGCTGAGAGGGCTTTATGGGTGATCCTTTCCCATAGAATTTTATAAAGTTCCTTTATTTTCTACGCTCTATCTTAAGCTCCCGTTAAAATACTCTATATATCTCTTAGATTTCGATAAGTAACCAGCTCATATCCGTAATTTACGTAATGGGGTGAGTAGCCTATTATACCCAATCTGGCACTATTATACGCTAACTAGGCTGTTAGTAATAGCTCTACCCAATTATCTTATTATTTATTAACGTAGAACCATAGATACTATTCTAGTGTCTAGTTCATGCGCTCCGTTTATCCGTCAGTCTAGGGGTAGAAACTCATTAAGAGTCTCCAGTTCGTCCCTAGAGCGGCCGTAAATGTGTCCCAATATTTGGACGTAAAGAGCTTATCTCTATCCATAATAACTTCTTCTAGAGGGCCGTGTTCTACGAATAATATGCTATCGACTTCGTAGGCCAGGTCTTTAGCTATTATAGACTCTTCCATGGCTCTAAATTTGGCCGCCTTTATTAGTCAATCCACCATCACCATAATAGTGTCACATATCCATTTTATTCCAGGTTATAGCAATTTCGGGAGTTT